ATCAAGCGGGTAGCTAACAAGAGTCAAGCGGGTAGCTAACAAAAATTTTTTTAAAAAAGTTACAGATTTGGACAAATCCAAAAATGTAAAAAAGCTTAGTAAGCCACCCAGAAGCAACTTTAAAGCTAAAAAAATTGAAAGAAAATTTTTAACACTGTTAAAAAAGGCTTAGGCTTAGTAACCACCCAGAAGTAACTGTGAAGGCGAAAACCCCAATTTTTCATTCCAGATTTTTATTAAAAATTTAAAAAATGGAGGGAAGGGAATCGAATCGACTCGAATCGGTTCGAATCGACTCGAATCGGATCGAATCAAGCGGGTAGCTAACAATCGACTCGGTTCGAATCGGTTCGAATCGGTTCGAATCGGTTCGAATCGATTCGAATCGATTCGAATCGGTTCGAATCGGTTCGAATCGGTTCGAATCGACTCGAATCGACTCGAATCGGTTCGAATCGACTCGAATCGGATCGAATCAAGCGGGTAGCTAACAAGAGTCAAGCGGGTAGCTAACAAAAATTTTTTTAAAAAAGTTACAGATTTGGACAAATCCAAAAATGTAAAAAAGCTTAGTAAGCCACCCAGAAGCAACTTTAAAGCTAAAAAAATTGAAAGAAAATTTTTAACACTGTTAAAAAAGGCTTAGGCTTAGTAACCACCCAGAAGTAACTGTGAAGGCGAAAACCCCAATTTTTCATTCCAGATTTTTATTAAAAATTTAAAAAATGGAGGGAAGGGAATCGAATCGACTCGAATCGGTTCGAATCGGTTCGAATCGGTTCGAATCGGTTCGAATCGGTTCGAATCGATTCGAATCGATTCGAATCGGTTCGAATCGGTTCGAATCGACTCGAATCGGTTCGAATCGACTCGAATCGGATCGAATCAAGCGGGTAGCTAACAAGAGTCAAGCGGGTAGCTAACAAAAATTTTTTTAAAAAAGTTACAGATTTGGACAAATCCAAAAATGTAAAAAAAAGCTTAGTAAGCCACCCAGAAGCAACTTTAAAGCTAAAAAAATTGAAAGAAAATTTTTAACACTGTTAAAAAAGGCTTAGGCTTAGTAACCACCCAGAAGTAACTGTGAAGGCGAAAACCCCAATTTTTCATTCCAGATTTTTATTAAAAATTTAAAAAATGGAGGGAAGGGAATCGAATCGACTCGAATCGGTTCGAATCGGTTCGAATCGGTTCGAATCGGTTCGAATCGGTTCGAATCGGTTCGAATCGGTTCGAATCGGTTCGAATCGGTTCGAATCGGTTCGAATCGGTTCGAATCGGTTCGAATCGGTTCGAATCGGTTCGAATCGGTTCGAATCGGTTCGAATCGGTTCGAATCGACTCGAATCGGTTCGAATCGGTTCGAATCGATTCGAATCGACTCGAATCGGTTCGAATCGACTCGAATCGACTCGAATCGGTTCGAATCGACTCGAATCGGTTCGAATCGGTTCGATCGACTCGGTTCGAATCGGTTCGAATCGGTTCGAATCGACTCGAATCGATTCGAATCGATTCGAATCGATTCGAATCGATTCGAATCGACTCGAATCGGTTCGAATCGACTCGAATCGGTTCGAATCGACTCGAATCGGATCGAATCAAGCGGGTAGCTAACAAGAGTCAAGCGGGTAGCTAACAAAAATTTTAAAAAAGTTACAGATTTGGACAAATCCAAAAATGTAAAAAAAAGCTTAGTAAGCCACCCAGAAGCAACTTTAAAGCTAAAAAAATTGAAAGAAAATTTTTAACACTGTTAAAAAAGGCTTAGGCTTAGTAACCACCCAGAAGTAACTGTGAAGGCGAAAACCCCAATTTTTCATTCCAGATTTTTATTAAAAATTTAAAAAAAATGGAGGGAAGGGAATCGAATCGACTCGAATCGGTTCGAATCGGTTCGAATCGGTTCGAATCGACTAACAATCGGATCGAATCAAGCGGGTTCGAATCGGTTCGAATCGGTTCGAATCGGTTCGAATCGGTTCGAATCGGTTCGAATCGACTCGAATCGGTTCGAATCGGTTCGAATCGGTTCGAATCGACTCGAATCGGTTCGAATCGACTCGAATCGGATCGAATCAAGCGGGTAGCTAACAATCGAGTCAAGCGGGTAGCTAACAAAAATTTTTTTAAAAAAGTTACAGATTTGGACAAATCCAAAAATGTAAAAAAGCTTAGTAAGCCACCCAGAAGCAACTTTAAAGCTAAAAAATTGAAAGAAAATTTTTAACACTGTTAAAAAAGGCTTAGGCTTAGTAACCACCCAGAAGTAACTGTGAAGGCGAAAACCCCAATTTTTCATTCCAGATTTTTATTAAAAATTTAAAAAAATGGAGGGAAGGGAATCGAATCGACTCGAATCGGTTCGAATCGACTCGAATCGACTCGAATCGGTTCGAATCGACTCGAATCGGATCGAATCAAGCGGGTAGCTAACAATCGACTCGGTTCGAATCGGTTCGAATCGGTTCGAATCGGTTCGAATCGGTTCGAATCGACTCGAATCGACTCGAATCGATTCGAATCGGTTCGAATCGGTTCGAATCGACTCGAATCGGTTCGAATCGACTCGAATCGGATCGAATCAAGCGGGTAGCTAACAAGAGTCAAGCGGGTAGCTAACAAAAATTTTTTTAAAAAAGTTACAGATTTGGACAAATCCAAAAATGTAAAAAAAGCTTAGTAAGCCACCCAGAAGCAACTTTAAAGCTAAAAAAATTGAAAGAAAATTTTTAACACTGTTAAAAAAGGCTTAGGCTTAGTAACCACCCAGAAGTAACTGTGAAGGCGAAAACCCCAATTTTTCATTCCAGATTTTTATTAAAAATTTAAAAAAAATGGAGGGAAGGGAATCGAATCGACTCGAATCGGTTCGAATCGACTCGAATCGGTTCGAATCGACTCGAATCGGATCGAATCAAGCGGGTAGCTTCGACAATCGGTTCGAATCGGTTCGAATCGGTTCGAATCGGTTCGAATCGGTTCGAATCGACTCGAATCGGTTCGAATCGGTTCGAATCGGTTCGAATCGACTCGAATCGGTTCGAATCGACTCGAATCGGATCGAATCAAGCGGGTAGCTAACAAGAGTCAAGCGGGTAGCTAACAAAAATTTTTTTAAAAAGTTACAGATTTGGACAAATCCAAAAATGTAAAAAAGCTTAGTAAGCCACCCAGAAGCAACTTTAAAGCTAAAAAAATTGAAAGAAAATTTTTAACACTGTTAAAAAAGGCTTAGGCTTAGTAACCACCCAGAAGTAACTGTGAAGGCGAAAACCCCAATTTTTCATTCCAGATTTTTATTAAAAATTTAAAAAAAAAAATGGAGGGAAGGGAATCGAATCGACTCGAATCGGTTCGAATCGACTCGAATCGGTTCGAATCAAGCGGGTAGCAATCGACAATCGGTTCGAATCGGTTCGAATCGGTTCGAATCGGTTCGAATCGGTTCGAATCGGTTCGAATCGGTTCGAATCGACTCGAATCGGTTCGAATCGGTTCGAATCGGTTCGAATCGACTCGAATCGGTTCGAATCGACTCGAATCGGATCGAATCAAGCGGGTAGCTAACAATCGACTCGGTTCGAATCGGTAGCTCGAATCGGTTAAAAAATCGGTTCGAATCGATTTGGACAAATCCAAAAATGTAAAAAAGCTTAGTAAGCCACCCAGAAGCAACTTTAAAGCTAAAAAAATTGAAAGAAAATTTTTAACACTGTTAAAAAAGGCTTAGGCTTAGTAACCACCCAGAAGTAACTGTGAAGGCGAAAACCCCAATTTTTCATTCCAGATTTTTATTAAAAATTTAAAAAAAAAATGGAGGGAAGGGAATCGAATCGACTCGAATCGGTTCGAATCGGTTCGAATCGGTTCGAATCGGTTCGAATCGGTTCGAATCGGTTCGAATCGGTTCGAATCGGTTCGAATCGGTTCGAATCGGTTCGAATCGACTCGAATCGGTTCGAATCGGTTCGAATCGGTTCGAATCGACTCGAATCGGTTCGAATCGACTCGAATCGGATCGAATCAAGCGGGTAGCTAACAATCGAGTCAAGCGGGTAGCTAACAAAAATTTCGAATCGGTTTTAAAAAAAGTTACAGATTTGGACAAATCCAAAAATGTAAAAAAAAGCTTAGTAAGCCACCCAGAAGCAACTTTAAAGCTAAAAAAATTGAAAGAAAATTTTTAACACTGTTAAAAAAGGCTTAGGCTTAGTAACCACCCAGAAGTAACTGTGAAGGCGAAAACCCCAATTTTTCATTCCAGATTTTTATTAAAAATTTTAAAAAAATGGAGGGAAGGGAATCGAATCGACTCGAATCGGTTCGAATCGGTTCGAATCGGTTCGAATCGGTTCGAATCGGTTCGAATCGGTTCGAATCGGTTCGAATCGGTTCGAATCGGTTCGAATCGGTTCGAATCGACTCGAATCGGTTCGAATCGGTTCGAATCGGTTCGAATCGACTCGAATCGGTTCGAATCGACTCGAATCGGATCGAATCAAGCGGGTAGCTAACAAGAGTCAAGCGGGTAGCTAACAAAAATTTTTTTAAAAAAGTTACAGATTTGGACAAATCCAAAAATGTAAAAAAAAGCTTAGTAAGCCACCCAGAAGCAACTTTAAAGCTAAAAAAATTGAAAGAAAATTTTTAACACTGTTAAAAAAGGCTTAGGCTTAGTAACCACCCAGAAGTAACTGTGAAGGCGAAAACCCCAATTTTTCATTCCAGATTTTTATTAAAAATTTAAAAAAAATGGAGGGAAGGGAATCGAATCGACTCGAATCGGTTCGAATCGGTTCGAATCGGTTCGAATCGGTTCGAATCGGTTCGAATCGGTTCGAATCGGTTCGAATCGGTTCGAATCGACTCGAATCGGTTCGAATCGGTTCGAATCGGTTCGAATCGACTCGAATCGGTTCGAATCGACTCGAATCGGATCGAATCAAGCGGGTAGCTAACAAGAGTCAAGCGGGTAGCTAACAAAAATTTTTTAAAAAAGTTACAGATTTGGACAAATCCAAAAATGTAAAAAAAGCTTAGTAAGCCACCCAGAAGCAACTTTAAAGCTAAAAAAATTGAAAGAAAATTTTTAACACTGTTAAAAAAGGCTTAGGCTTAGTAACCACCCAGAAGTAACTGTGAATCGGCGAAAACCCCAATTTTTCATTCCAGATTTTTATTAAAAATTTAAAAAAATGGAGGGAAGGGAATCGAATCGACTCGAATCGGTTCGAATCGGTTCGAATCGGTTCGAATCGGTTCGAATCGATTCGAATCGATTCGAATCGGTTCGAATCGGTTCGAATCGACTCGAATCGACTCGAATCGGTTCGAATCGACTCGAATCGACTCGAATCGGTTCGAATCGACTCGAATCGGATCGAATCAAGCGGGTAGCTAACAAGAGTCAAGCGGGTAGCTAACAAAAATTTTTTTAAAAAAAAGTTACAGATTTGGACAAATCCAAAAATGTAAAAAAAAGCTTAGTAAGCCACCCAGAAGCAACTTTAAAGCTAAAAAAATTGAAAGAAAATTTTTAACACTGTTAAAAAAGGCTTAGGCTTAGTAACCACCCAGAAGTAACTGTGAAGGCGAAAACCCCAATTTTTCATTCCAGATTTTTATTAAAAATTTAAAAAAAAAATGGAGGGAAGGGAATCGAATCGACTCGAATCGGTTCGAATCGGTTCGAATCGGTTCGAATCGACTCGAATCGGTTCGAATCGGTTCGAATCGACTCGAATCGGTTCGAATCGACTCGAATCGGTTCGAATCGGTTCGAATCGGTTCGAATCGACTCGAATCGGTTCGAATCGACTCGAATCGGATCGAATCAAGCGGGTAGCTAACAAGAGTCAAGCGGGTAGCTAACAAAAATTTTTTTAAAAAAGTTACAGATTTGGACAAATCCAAAAATGTAAAAAAGCTTAGTAAGCCACCCAGAAGCAACTTTAAAGCTAAAAAAATTGAAAGAAAATTTTTAACACTGTTAAAAAAGGCTTAGGCTTAGTAACCACCCAGAAGTAACTGTGAAGGCGAAAACCCCAATTTTTCATTCCAGATTTTTATTAAAAATTTAAAAAATGGAGGGAAGGGAATCGAATCGACTCGAATCGGTTCGAATCGGTTCGAATCGGTTCGAATCGGTTCGAATCGGTAAATCGGATCGAATCAAGCGGGTAGCTAACAATCGACTCGGTTCGAATCGGTTCGAATCGGTTCGAATCGGTTCGAATCGGTTCGAATCGGTTCGAATCGACTCGAATCGGTTCGAATCGGTTCGAATCGGTTCGAATCGACTCGAATCGGTTCGAATCGACTCGAATCGGATCGAATCAAGCGGGTAGCTAACAAGAGTCAAGCGGGTAGCTAACAAAAATTTTTTTAAAAAAGTTACAGATTTGGACAAATCCAAAAATGTAAAAAAAAGCTTAGTAAGCCACCCAGAAGCAACTTTAAAGCTAAAAAAATTGAAAGAAAATTTTTAACACTGTTAAAAAAGGCTTAGGCTTAGTAACCACCCAGAAGTAACTGTGAAGGCGAAAACCCCAATTTTTCATTCCAGATTTTTATTAAAAATTTAAAAAAAAATGGAGGGAAGGGAATCGAATCGACTCGAATCGGTTCGAATCGGTTCGAATCGGTTCGAATCGGTTCGAATCGGTTCGAATCGGTTCGAATCGGTTCGAATCGGTTCGAATCGGATCGAATCAAGCGGGTAGCTAACAAGAGTCAAGCGGGTAGCTAACAAAAATTTTTTTAAAAAAGTTACAGATTTGGACAAATCCAAAAATGTAAAAAAAGCTTAGTAAGCCACCCAGAAGCAACTTTAAAGCTAAAAAAATTGAAAGAAAATTTTTAACACTGTTAAAAAAGGCTTAGGCTTAGTAACCACCCAGAAGTAACTGTGAATCGGCGAAAACCCCAATTTTTCGATTCCAGATTTTTATTAAAAATTTAAAAAAAATGGAGGGAAGGGAATCGAATCGACTCGAATCGGTTCGAATCGGTTCGAATCGGTTCGAATCGGTTCGAATCGGTTCGAATCGACTCGAATCGGTTCGAATCGGTTCGAATCGGTTCGAATCGACTCGAATCGGTTCGAATCGACTCGAATCGGATCGAATCAAGCGGGTAGCTAACAAGAGTCAAGCGGGTAGCTAACAAAAATTTTTTTAAAAAAGTTACAGATTTGGACAAATCCAAAAATGTAAAAAAGCTTAGTAAGCCACCCAGAAGCAACTTTAAAGCTAAAAAAATTGAAAGAAAATTTTTAACACTGTTAAAAAAGGCTTAGGCTTAGTAACCACCCAGAAGTAACTGTGAAGGCGAAAACCCCAATTTTTCATTCCAGATTTTTATTAAAAATTTAAAAAAAATGGAGGGAAGGGAATCGAATCGACTCGAATCGGTTCGAATCGGTTCGAATCGGTTCGAATCGGTTCGAATCGGTTCGAATCGGTTCGAATCGGTTCGAATCGGTTCGAATCGACTCGAATCGGTTCGAATCGACTCGAATCGGTTCGAATCGGTTCGAATCGGTTCGAATCGGTTCGAATCGACTCGAATCGGTTCGAATCGGTTCGAATCGGTTCGAATCGACTCGAATCGGTTCGAATCGACTCGAATCGGATCGAATCAAGCGGGTAGCTAACAAGAGTCAAGCGGGTAGCTAACAAAAATTTTTTTAAAAAAAAGTTACAGATTTGGACAAATCCAAAAATGTAAAAAAAGCTTAGTAAGCCACCCAGAAGCAACTTTAAAGCTAAAAAAATTGAAAGAAAATTTTTAACACTGTTAAAAAAGGCTTAGGCTTAGTAACCACCCAGAAGTAACTGTGAAGGCGAAAACCCCAATTTTTCATTCCAGATTTTTATTAAAAATTTAAAAAAATGGAGGGAAGGGAATCGAATCGACTCGAATCGGTTCGAATCGGTTCGAATCGGTTCGAATCGGTTCGAATCGGTTCGAATCGGTTCGAATCGGTTCGAATCGGTTCGAATCGGTTCGAATCGGTTCGAATCGACTCGAATCGGTTCGAATCGGTTCGAATCGGTTCGAATCGACTCGAATCGGTTCGAATCGACTCGAATCGGATCGAATCAAGCGGGTAGCTAACAAGAGTCAAGCGGGTAGCTAACAAAAATTTTTTAAAAAAAGTTACAGATTTGGACAAATCCAAAAATGTAAAAAAAGCTTAGTAAGCCACCCAGAAGCAACTTTAAAGCTAAAAAAATTGAAAGAAAATTTTTAACACTGTTAAAAAAGGCTTAGGCTTAGTAACCACCCAGAAGTAACTGTGAAGGCGAAAACCCCAATTTTTCATTCCAGATTTTTATTAAAAATTTAAAAAAAATGGAGGGAAGGGAATCGAATCGACTCGAATCGGTTCGAATCGGTTCGAATCGGTTCGAATCGACTCGAATCGGATCGAATCAAGCGGGTAGCTAACAATCGACTCGGTTCGAATCGGTTCGAATCGGTTCGAATCGGTTCGAATCGATTCGAATCGGTTCGAATCGGTTCGAATCGGTTCGAATCGGTTCGAATCGATTCGAATCGATTCGAATCGGTTCGAATCGGTTCGAATCGACTCGAATCGACTCGAATCGGTTCGAATCGACTCGAATCGACTCGAAGCTTTTTTTACATTTTTGGATTTGTCCAAATCTGTAACTTTTTTTAATCGGATCGAATCAAGCGGGTTAGCTACCCGCTTGACTCTTGTTAGCTACCTGAATCGGTTCGAATCGGTTCGAATCGGATTCGAATCGATTCGAATCGATTCGAATCGATTCGAATCGATTCGAATCGATTCGAATCGATTCGAATCGACTCGAATCGATTTCGAATCGACTCGAATCGGAAAAGTTACAGATTTGGACAAATCCAAAAATGTAAAAAAAAGCTTAGTAAGCCACCCAGAAGCAACTTTAAAGCTAAAAAAATTGAAAGAAAATTTTTAACACTGTTAAAAAAGGCTTAGGCTTAGTAACCACCCAGAAGTAACTGTGAAGGCGAAAACCCCAATTTTTCATTCCAGATTTTTATTAAAAATTTAAAAAAAATGGAGGGAAGGGAATCGAATCGACTCGAATCGGTTCGAATCGACTCGAATCGGATCGAATCAAGCGGGTAGCTAACAATCGACTCGGTTCGAATCGGTTCGAATCGGTTCGAATCGGTTCGAATCGGTTCGAATCGGTTCGAATCGACTCGAATCGATTCGAATCGGTTCGAATCGGTTCGAATCGACTCGAATCGGTTCGAATCGACTCGAATCGGATCGAATCAAGCGGGTAGCTAACAAGAGTCAAGCGGGTAGCTAACAAAAATTTTTTTAAAAAAGTTACAGATTTGGACAAATCCAAAAATGTAAAAAAGCTTAGTAAGCCACCCAGAAGCAACTTTAAAGCTAAAAAAATTGAAAGAAAATTTTTAACACTGTTAAAAAAGGCTTAGGCTTAGTAACCACCCAGAAGTAACTGTGAAGGCGAAAACCCCAATTTTTCATTCCAGATTTTTATTAAAAATTAAAAAAATGGAGGGAAGGGAATCGAATCGACTCGAATCGGTTCGAATCGACTCGAATCGGTTCGAATCGACTCGAATCGGATCGAATCAAGCGGGTAGCTAACAATCGACTCGGTTCGAATCGGTTCGAATCGGTTCGAATCGGTTCGAATCGGTTCGAATCGACTCGAATCGGTTCGAATCGGTTCGAATCGGTTCGAATCGACTCGAATCGGTTCGAATCGACTCGAATCGGATCGAATCAAGCGGGTAGCTAACAAGAGTCAAGCGGGTAGCTAACAAAAATTTTTTTAAAAAAGTTACAGATTTGGACAAATCCAAAAATGTAAAAAAGCTTAGTAAGCCACCCAGAAGCAACTTTAAAGCTAAAAAAATTGAAAGAAAATTTTTAACACTGTTAAAAAAGGCTTAGGCTTAGTAACCACCCAGAAGTAACTGTGAAGGCGAAAACCCCAATTTTTCATTCCAGATTTTTATTAAAAATTTAAAAAAAAAAATGGAGGGAAGGGAATCGAATCGACTCGAATCGGTTCGAATCGGTTCGAATCGGTTCGAATCAAGCGGGTAGCTAACAATCGACTCGGTTCGAATCGGTTCGAATCGGTTCGAATCGGTTCGAATCGGTTCGAATCGGTTCGAATCGACTCGAATCGGTTCGAATCGGTTCGAATCGGTTCGAATCGACTCGAATCGGTTCGAATCGACTCGAATCGGATCGAATCAAGCGGGTAGCTAACAAGAGTCAAGCGGGTAGCTAACAAAAATTTTTTTAAAAAAGTTACAGATTTGGACAAATCCAAAAATGTAAAAAAGCTTAGTAAGCCACCCAGAAGCAACTTTAAAGCTAAAAAAATTGAAAGAAAATTTTTAACACTGTTAAAAAAGGCTTAGGCTTAGTAACCACCCAGAAGTAACTGTGAAGGCGAAAACCCCAATTTTTCATTCCAGATTTTTATTAAAAATTTTAAAAAAAATGGAGGGAAGGGAATCGAATCGACTCGAATCGGTTCGAATCGGTTCGAATCGGTTCGAATCGGATCGAATCAAGCGGGTAGCTAACAATCGACTCGGTTCGAATCGGTTCGAATCGGTTCGAATCGGTTCGAATCGGTTCGAATCGGTTCGAATCGACTCGAATCGGTTCGAATCGGTTCGAATCGGTTCGAATCGACTCGAATCGGTTCGAATCGACTCGAATCGGATCGAATCAAGCGGGTAGCTAACAAGACTCGGTTCGAATCGGTTCGAATCGGTTCGAATCGGTTCGAATCGATTTGGACAAATCCAAAAATGTAAAAAAAGCTTAGTAAGCCACCCAGAAGCAACTTTAAAGCTAAAAAAATTGAAAGAAAATTTTTAACACTGTTAAAAAAGGCTTAGGCTTAGTAACCACCCAGAAGTAACTGTGAAGGCGAAAACCCCAATTTTTCATTCCAGATTTTTATTAAAAATTTAAAAAAAATGGAGGGAAGGGAATCGAATCGACTCGAATCGGTTCGAATCGGTTCGAATCGGTTCGAATCGGTTCGAATCGGTTCGAATCGGTTCGAATCGGTTCGAATCGGTTCGAATCGACTCGAATCGGTTCGAATCGGTTCGAATCGGTTCGAATCGACTCGAATCGGTTCGAATCGACTCGAATCGGATCGAATCAAGCGGGTAGCTAACAAGAGTCAAGCGGGTAGCTAACAAAAATTTTTTTAAAAAAAGTTACAGATTTGGACAAATCCAAAAATGTAAAAAAAAGCTTAGTAAGCCACCCAGAAGCAACTTTAAAGCTAAAAAAATTGAAAGAAAATTTTTAACACTGTTAAAAAAGGCTTAGGCTTAGTAACCACCCAGAAGTAACTGTGAAGGCGAAAACCCCAATTTTTCATTCCAGATTTTTATTAAAAATTTAAAAAAAAAATGGAGGGAAGGGAATCGAATCGACTCGAATCGGTTCGAATCGACTCGAATCGGTTCGAATCGACTCGAATCGGATCGAATCAAGCGGGTAGCTAACAATCGACGAATCGGTTCGAATCGGTTCGAATCGGTTCGAATCGGTTCGAATCGGTTCGAATCGACTCGAATCGGTTCGAATCGGTTCGAATCGGTTCGAATCGACTCGAATCGGTTCGAATCGACTCGAATCGGATCGAATCAAGCGGGTAGCTAACAAGAGTCAAGCGGGTAGCTAACAAAAATTTTTTAAAAAAGTTACAGATTTGGACAAATCCAAAAATGTAAAAAAAGCTTAGTAAGCCACCCAGAAGCAACTTTAAAGCTAAAAAAATTGAAAGAAAATTTTTAACACTGTTAAAAAAGGCTTAGGCTTAGTAACCACCCAGAAGTAACTGTGAAGGCGAAAACCCCAATTTTTCATTCCAGATTTTTATTAAAAATTTAAAAAAAAAATGGAGGGAAGGGAATCGAATCGACTCGAATCGGTTCGAATCAAGAATCGGTAGCTAACAATCGACTCGGTTCGAATCGGTTCGAATCGGTTCGAATCGGTTCGAATCGACTCGAATCGGTTCGAATCGACTCGAATCGGTTCGAATCGGTTCGAATCGGTTCGAATCGACTCGAATCGGTTCGAATCGACTCGAATCGGATCGAATCAAGCGGGTAGCTAACAAGAGTCAAGCGGGTAGCTAACAAAAATTTTTTTAAAAAAGTTACAGATTTGGACAAATCCAAAAATGTAAAAAAAAGCTTAGTAAGCCACCCAGAAGCAACTTTAAAGCTAAAAAAATTGAAAGAAAATTTTTAACACTGTTAAAAAAGGCTTAGGCTTAGTAACCACCCAGAAGTAACTGTGAAGGCGAAAACCCCAATTTTTCATTCCAGATTTTTATTAAAAATTTAAAAAAAATGGAGGGAAGGGAATCGAATCGACTCGAATCGGTTCGAATCGGTTCGAATCGGTTCGAATCGGTTCGAATCGGTTCGAATCGGTTCGAATCGGTTCGAATCGGTTCGAATCGGTTCGAATCGGTTCGAATCGACTCGAATCGGTTCGAATCGGTTCGAATCGGTTCGAATCGACTCGAATCGGTTCGAATCGACTCGAATCGGATCGAATCAAGCGGGTAGCTAACAAGAGTCAAGCGGGTAGCTAACAAAAATTTTTTTAAAAAAAGTTACAGATTTGGACAAATCCAAAAATGTAAAAAAGCTTAGTAAGCCACCCAGAAGCAACTTTAAAGCTAAAAAAATTGAAAGAAAATTTTTAACACTGTTAAAAAAGGCTTAGGCTTAGTAACCACCCAGAAGTAACTGTGAAGGCGAAAACCCCAATTTTTCATTCCAGATTTTTATTAAAAATTTAAAAAAAATGGAGGAAAGGGAATCGAATCGACTCGAATCGGTTCGAATCGGTTCGAATCGGTTCGAATCGGTTCGAATCGGTTCGAATCGGTTCGAATCGGTTCGAATCGGTTCGAATCGGATCGAATCAAGCGGGTAGCTAACAAGAGTCAAGCGGGTAGCTAACAAAAATTTTTTAAAAAAGTTACAGATTTGGACAAATCCAAAAATGTAAAAAAAAGCTTAGTAAGCCACCCAGAAGCAACTTTAAAGCTAAAAAAATTGAAAGAAAATTTTTAACACTGTTAAAAAAGGCTTAGGCTTAGTAACCACCCAGAAGTAACTGTGAAGGCGAAAACCCCAATTTTTCATTCCAGATTTTTATTAAAAATTTAAAAAAAAAAAATGGAGGGAAGGGAATCGAATCGACTCGAATCGGTTCGAATCGGTTCGAATCGGTTCGAATCGGTTCGAATCGGTTCGAATCGACTCGAATCGGTTCGAATCGGTTCGAATCGGTTCGAATCGACTCGAATCGGTTCGAATCGACTCGAATCGGATCGAATCAAGCGGGTAGCTAACAAGAGTCAAGCGGGTAGCTAACAAAAATTTTTTTAAAAAAAGTTACAGATTTGGACAAATCCAAAAATGTAAAAAAGCTTAGTAAGCCACCCAGAAGCAACTTTAAAGCTAAAAAAATTGAAAGAAAATTTTTAACACTGTTAAAAAAGGCTTAGGCTTAGTAACCACCCAGAAGTAACTGTGAAGGCGAAAACCCCAATTTTTCATTCCAGATTTTTATTAAAAATTTAAAAAAATGGAGGGAAGGGAATCGAATCGACTCGAATCGGTTCGAATCGGTTCGAATCGGTTCGAATCGGTTCGAATCGGTTCGAATCGGTTCGAATCGGTTCGAATCGGTTCGAATCGACTCGAATCGGTTCGAATCGACTCGAATCGGTTCGAATCGGTTCGAATCGGTTCGAATCGGTTCGAATCGACTCGAATCGGTTCGAATCGGTTCGAATCGGTTCGAATCGACTCGAATCGGTTCGAATCGACTCGAATCGGATCGAATCAAGCGGGTAGCTAACAAGAGTCAAGCGGGTAGCTAACAAAAATTTTTTAAAAAAGTTACAGATTTGGACAAATCCAAAAATGTAAAAAAGCTTAGTAAGCCACCCAGAAGCAACTTTAAAGCTAAAAAAATTGAAAGAAAATTTTTAACACTGTTAAAAAAGGCTTAGGCTTAGTAACCACCCAGAAGTAACTGTGAAGGCGAAAACCCCAATTTTTCATTCCAGATTTTTATTAAAAATTTTAAAAAAAATGGAGGGAAGGGAATCGAATCGACTCGAATCGGTTCGAATCGGTTCGAATCGGTTCGAATCGGTTCGAATCGGTTCGAATCGGTTCGAATCGGTTCGAATCGGTTCGAATCGGTTCGAATCGGTTCGAATCGACTCGAATCGGTTCGAATCGGTTCGAATCGGTTCGAATCGACTCGAATCGGTTCGAATCGACTCGAATCGGATCGAATCAAGCGGGTAGCTAACAAGAGTCAAGCGGGTAGCTAACAAAAATTTTTTTAAAAAAAGTTACAGATTTGGACAAATCCAAAAATGTAAAAAAGCTTAGTAAGCCACCCAGAAGCAACTTTAAAGCTAAAAAAATTGAAAGAAAATTTTTAACACTGTTAAAAAAGGCTTAGGCTTAGTAACCACCCAGAAGTAACTGTGAAGGCGAAAACCCCAATTTTTCATTCCAGATTTTTATTAAAAATTTAAAAAAAATGGAGGGAAGGGAATCGAATCGACTCGAATCGGTTCGAATCGGTTCGAATCGGTTCGAATCGACTCGAATCGGTTCGAATCGGTTCGAATCGGTTCGAATCGGTTCGAATCGACTCGAATCGGTTCGAATCGGTTCGAATCGGTTCGAATCGACTCGAATCGGTTCGAATCGACTCGAATCGGATCGAATCAAGCGGGTAGCTAACAAGAGTCAAGCGGGTAGCTAACAAAAATTTTTTTAAAAAAGTTACAGATTTGGACAAATCCAAAAATGTAAAAAAGCTTAGTAAGCCACCCAGAAGCAACTTTAAAGCTAAAAAAATTGAAAGAAAATTTTTAACACTGTTAAAAAAGGCTTAGGCTTAGTAACCACCCAGAAGTAACTGTGAAGGCGAAAACCCCAATTTTTCATTCCAGATTTTTATTAAAAATTTAAAAAAAAATGGAGGGAAGGGAATCGAATCGACTCGAATCGGTTCGAATCGGTTCGAATCGGTTCGAATCGGTTCGAATCGGTTCGAATCGGTTCGAATCGGTTCGAATCGGTTCGAATCGGTTCGAATCGGTTCGAATCGACTCGAATCGGTTCGAATCGGTTCGAATCGGTTCGAATCGACTCGAATCGGTTCGAATCGACTCGAATCGGATCGAATCAAGCGGGTAGCTAACAAGAGTCAAGCGGGTAGCTAACAAAAATTTTTTAAAAAAAGTTACAGATTTGGACAAATCCAAAAATGTAAAAAAGCTTAGTAAGCCACCCAGAAGCAACTTTAAAGCTAAAAAAATTGAAAGAAAATTTTTAACACTGTTAAAAAAGGCTTAGGCTTAGTAACCACCCAGAAGTAACTGTGAAGGCGAAAACCCCAATTTTTCATTCCAGATTTTTATTAAAAATTTAAAAAAAAAATGGAGGGAAGGGAATCGAATCGACTCGAATCGGTTCGAATCGGTTCGAATCGGTTCGAATCGGTTCGAATCGGTTCGAATCGGTTCGAATCGGTTCGAATCGGTTCGAATCGGTTCGAATCGGTTCGAATCGACTCGAATCGGTTCGAATCGGTTCGAATCGGTTCGAATCGACTCGAATCGGTTCGAATCGACTCGAATCGGATCGAATCAAGCGGGTAGCTAACAAGAGTCAAGCGGGTAGCTAACAAAAATTTTTTTAAAAAAGTTACAGATTTGGACAAATCCAAAAATGTAAAAAAAAGCTTAGTAAGCCACCCAGAAGCAACTTTAAAGCTAAAAAAATTGAAAGAAAATTTTTAACACTGTTAAAAAAGGCTTAGGCTTAGTAACCACCCAGAAGTAACTGTGAAGGCGAAAACCCCAATTTTTCATTCCAGATTTTTATTAAAAATTTAAAAAAAATGGAGGGAAGGGAATCGAATCGACTCGAATCGGTTCGAATCGACTCGAATCGGTTCGAATCGGTTCGAATCGACTCGAATCGGTTCGAATCGGTTCGAATCGACTCGAATCGGTTCGAATCGACTCGAATCGGATCGAATCAAGCGGGTAGCTAACAAGAGTCAAGCGGGTAGCTAACAAAAATTTTTTTTTTAAAAAGTTACAGATTTGGACAAATCCAAAAATGTAAAAAAAAGCTTAGTAAGCCACCCAGAAGCAACTTTAAAGCTAAAAAAATTGAAAGAAAATTTTTAACACTGTTAAAAAAGGCTTAGGCTTAGTAACCACCCAGAAGTAACTGTGAAGGCGAAAACCCCAATTTTTCATTCCAGATTTTTATTAAAAATTTTAAAAAAAATGGAGGGAAGGGAATCGAATCGACTCGAATCGGTTCGAATCGACTCGAATCGGTTCGAATCGGTTCGAATCGACTCGAATCGGTTCGAATCGGTTCGAATCGACTCGAATCGGTTCGAATCGACTCGAATCGGTTCGAATCGGTTCGAATCGACTCGAATCGGTTCGAATCGACTCGAATCGGTTCGAATCGACTCGAATCGGTTCGAATCGGTTCGAATCGACTCGAATCGGTTCGAATCGACTCGAATCGGATCGAATCAAGCGGGTAGCTAACAAGAGTCAAGCGGGTAGCTAACAAAAATTTTTTTTAAAAAAAGTTACAGATTTGGACAAATCCAAAAATGTAAAAAAGCTTAGTAAGCCACCCAGAAGCAACTTTAAAGCTAAAAAAATTGAAAGAAAATTTTTAACACTGTTAAAAAAGGCTTAGGCTTAGTAACCACCCAGAAGTAACTGTGAAGGCGAAAACCCCAATTTTTCATTCCAGATTTTTATTAAAAATTTTAAAAAAATGGAGGGAAGGGAATCGAATCGACTCGAATCGGTTCGAATCGACTCGAATCGGTTCGAATCGGTTCGAATCGACTCGAATCGGTTCGAATCGACTCGAATCGGTTCGAATCGGTTCGAATCGACTCGAATCGGTTCGAATCGACTCGAATCGGTTCGAATCGACTCGAATCGGTTCGAATCGGTTCGAATCGACTCGAATCGGTTCGAATCGACTCGAATCGGATCGAATCAAGCGGGTAGCTAACAAGAGTCAAGCGGGTAGCTAACAAAAATTTTTTTAAAAAAGTTACAGATTTGGACAAATCCAAAAATGTAAAAAAAAGCTTAGTAAGCCACCCAGAAGCAACTTTAAAGCTAAAAAAATTGAAAGAAAATTTTTAACACTGTTAAAAAAGGCTTAGGCTTAGTAACCACCCAGAAGTAACTGTGAAGGCGAAAACCCCAATTTTTCATTCCAGATTTTTATTAAAAATTTTAAAAAAATGGAGGGAAGGGAATCGAATCGACTCGAATCGGTTCGAATCGACTCGAATCGGTTCGAATCGGTTCGAATCGACTCGAATCGGTTCGAATCGGTTCGAATCGACTCGAATCGGTTCGAATCGACTCGAATCGGATCGAATCAAGCGGGTAGCTAACAAGAGTCAAGCGGGTAGCTAACAAAAATTTTTTTAAAAAAGTTACAGATTTGGACAAATCCAAAAATGTAAAAAAGCTTAGTAAGCCACCCAGAAGCAACTTTAAAGCTAAAAAAATTGAAAGAAAATTTTTAACACTGTTAAAAAAGGCTTAGGCTTAGTAACCACCCAGAAGTAACTGTGAAGGCGAAAACCCCAATTTTTCATTCCAGATTTTTATTAAAAATTTTAAAAAAAATGGAAGGAAGGGAATCGAATCGACTCGAATCGGTTCGAATCGACTCGAATCGGTTCGAATCGGTTCGAATCGACTCGAATCGGTTCGAATCGACTCGAATCGGTTCGAATCGACTCGAATCGGTTCGAATCGGTTCGAATCGACTCGAATCGGTTCGAATCGACTCGAATCGGATCGAATCAAGCGGGTAGCTAACAAGAGTCAAGCGGGTAGCTAACAAAAATTTTTTTAAAAAAGTTACAGATTTGGACAAATCCAAAAATGTAAAAAAAGCTTAGTAAGCCACCCAGAAGCAACTTTAAAGCTAAAAAAATTGAAAGAAAATTTTTAACACTGTTAAAAAAGGCTTAGGCTTAGTAACCACCCAGAAGTAACTGTGAAGGCGAAAACCCCAATTTTTCATTCCAGATTTTTATTAAAAATTTAAAAAAAAATGGAGGGAAGGGAATCGAATCGACTCGAATCGGTTCGAATCGACTCGAATCGGTTCGAATCGGTTCGAATCGACTCGAATCGGTTCGAATCGGTTCGAATCGACTCGAATCGGTTCGAATCGACTCGAATCGGTTCGAATCGACTCGAATCGGTTCGAATCGACTCGAATCGGATCGAATCAAGCGGGTAGCTAACAAGAGTCAAGCGGGTAGCTAACAAAAATTTTTTTAAAAAGTTACAGATTTGGACAAATCCAAAAATGTAAAAAAAGCTTAGTAAGCCACCCAGAAGCAACTTTAAAGCTAAAAAAATTGAAAGAAAATTTTTAACACTGTTAAAAAAGGCTTAGGCTTAGTAACCACCCAGAAGTAACTGTGAAGGCGAAAACCCCAATTTTTCATTCCAGATTTTTATTAAAAATTTAAAAAAAATGGAGGGAAGGGAATCGAATCGACTCGAATCGGTTCGAATCGACTCGAATCGGTTCGAATCGGTTCGAATCGACTCGAATCGGTTCGAATCGACTCGAATCGGTTCGAATCGACTCGAATCGGTTCGAATCGACTCGAATCGGATCGAATCAAGCGGGTAGCTAACAAGAGTCAAGCGGGTAGCTAACAAAAATTTTTTTAAAAAGTTACAGATTTGGACAAATCCAAAAATGTAAAAAAAGCTTAGTAAGCCACCCAGAAGCAACTTTAAAGCTAAAAAAATTGAAAGAAAATTTTTAACACTGTTAAAAAAGGCTTAGGCTTAGTAACCACCCAGAAGTAACTGTGAAGGCGAAAACCCCAATTTTTCATTCCAGATTTTTATTAAAAATTTAAAAAAAATGGAGGGAAGGGAATCGAATCGACTCGAATCGGTTCGAATCGACTCGAATCGGTTCGAATCGGTTCGAATCGACTCGAATCGGTTCGAATCGACTCGAATCGGATCGAATCAAGCGGGTAGCTAACAAGAGTCAAGCGGGTAGCTAACAAAAATTTTTTTAAAAAAGTTACAGATTTGGACAAATCCAAAAATGTAAAAAAAAGCTTAGTAAGCCACCCAGAAGCAACTTTAAAGCTAAAAAAATTGAAAGAAAATTTTTAACACTGTTAAAAAAGGCTTAGGCTTAGTAACCACCCAGAAGTAACTGTGAAGGCGAAAACCCCAATTTTTCATTCCAGATTTTTATTAAAAATTTAAAAAAAATGGAGGGAAGGGAATCGAATCGACTCGAATCGGTTCGAATCGACTCGAATCGGTTCGAATCGGTTCGAATCGACTCGAATCGGTTCGAATCGACTCGAATCGGATCGAATCAAGCGGGTAGCTAACAAGAGTCAAGCGGGTAGCTAACAAAAATTTTTTTAAAAAGTTACAGATTTGGACAAATCCAAAAATGTAAAAAAAAGCTTAGTAAGCCACCCAGAAGCAACTTTAAAGCTAAAAAAATTGAAAGAAAATTTTTAACACTGTTAAAAAAGGCTTAGGCTTAGTAACCACCCAGAAGTAACTGTGAAGGCGAAAACCCCAATTTTTCATTCCAGATTTTTTTAAAAATTTAAAAAAAAATGGAGGGAAGGGAATCGAATCGACTCGAATCGGTTCGAATCGACTCGAATCGGTTCGAATCGGTTCGAATCGACTCGAATCGGTTCGAATCGACTCGAATCGGATCGAATCAAGCGGGTAGCTAACAAGAGTCAAGCGGGTAGCTAACAAAAATTTTTTAAAAAAGTTACAGATTTGGACAAATCCAAAAATGTAAAAAAAAGCTTAGTAAGCCACCCAGAAGCAACTTTGAAGCTAAAAAAATTGAAAGAAAATTTTTAACACTGTTAAAAAAGGCTTAGGCTTAGTAACCACCCAGAAGTAACTGTGAAGGCGAAAACCCCAATTTTTCATTCCAGATTTTTATTAAAAATTTAAAAAAAATGGAGGGAAGGGAATCGAATCGACTCGAATCGGTTCGAATCGACTCGAATCGGTTCGAATCGGTTCGAATCGACTCGAATCGGTTCGAATCGACTCGAATCGGATCGAATCAAGCGGGTAGCTAACAAGAGTCAAGCGGGTAGCTAACAAAAATTTTTTTTAAAAAGTTACAGATTTGGACAAATCCAAAAATGTAAAAAAGCTTAGTAAGCCACCCAGAAGCAACTTTAAAGCTAAAAAAATTGAAAGAAAATTTTTAACACTGTTAAAAAAGGCTTAGGCTTAGTAACCACCCAGAAGTAACTGTGAAGGCGAAAACCCCAATTTTTCATTCCAGATTTTTATTAAAAATTTAAAAAAAATGGAGGGAAGGGAATCGAATCGACTCGAATCGGTTCGAATCGACTCGAATCGGTTCGAATCGGTTCGAATCGACTCGAATCGGTTCGAATCGACTCGAATCGGTTCGAATCGACTCGAATCGGTTCGAATCGGTTCGAATCGACTCGAATCGGTTCGAATCGACTCGAATCGGATCGAATCAAGCGGGTAGCTAACAAGAGTCAAGCGGGTAGCTAACAAAAATTTTTTTAAAAAAGTTACAGATTTGGACAAATCCAAAAATGTAAAAAAAGCTTAGTAAGCCACCCAGAAGCAACTTTAAAGCTAAAAAAATTGAAAGAAAATTTTTAACACTGTTAAAAAAGGCTTAGGCTTAGTAACCACCCAGAAGTAACTGTGAAGGCGAAAACCCCAATTTTTCATTCCAGATTTTTATTAAAAATTTAAAAAAAATGGAGGGAAGGGAATCGAATCGACTCGAATCGGTTCGAATCGACTCGAATCGGTTCGAATCGGTTCGAATCGACTCGAATCGGTTCGAATCGGTTCGAATCGACTCGAATCGGTTCGAATCGACTCGAATCGGATCGAATCAAGCGGGTAGCTAACAAGAGTCAAGCGGGTAGCTAACAAAAATTTTTTAAAAAAGTTACAGATTTGGACAAATCCAAAAATGTAAAAAAGCTTAGTAAGCCACCCAGAAGCAACTTTAAAGCTAAAAAAATTGAAAGAAAATTTTTAACACTGTTAAAAAGAGCTTAGGCTTAGTAACCACCCAGAAGTAACTGTGAAGGCGAAAACCCCAATTTTTCATTCCAGATTTTTATTAAAAATTTAAAAAAAAAAATGGAGGGAAGGGAATCGAATCGACTCGAATCGGTTCGAATCGACTCGAATCGGTTCGAATCGGTTCGAATCGACTCGAATCGGTTCGAATCGGTTCGAATCGACTCGAATCGGTTCGAATCAAGCGGGTAGCTAACAAGAGTCAAGCGGGTAGCTAACAAAAATTTTTTTAAAAAAGTTACAGATTTGGACAAATCCAAAAATGTAAAAAAAAGCTTAGTAAGCCACCCAGAAGCAACTTTAAAGCTAAAAAAATTGAAAGAAAATTTTTAACACTGTTAAAAAAGGCTTAGGCTTAGTAACCACCCAGAAGTAACTGTGAAGGCGAAAACCCCAATTTTTCATTCCAGATTTTTATTAAAAATTTAAAAAAAAATGGAGGGAAGGGAATCGAATCGACTCGAATCGGTTCGAATCGACTCGAATCGACTCGAATCGGTTCGAATCGGTTCGAATCGACTCGAATCGGTTCGAATCGACTCGAATCGACTCGAATCGGTTCGAATCGACTCGAATCGGTTCGAATCGACTCGAATCGGTTCGAATCGACTCGAATCGGTTCGAATCGGCTCGAATCGACTCGAATCGGTTCGAATCGGTTCGAATCGACTCGAATCGGTTCGAATCGACTCGAATCGGATCGAATCAAGCGGGTAGCTAACAAGAGTCAAGCGGGTAGCTAACAAAAATTTTTTTAAAAAAAGTTACAGATTTGGACAAATCCAAAAATGTAAAAAAAAGCTTAGTAAGCCACCCAGAAGCAACTTTAAAGCTAAAAAAATTGAAAGAAAATTTTTAACACTGTTAAAAAAGGCTTAGGCTTAGTAACCACCCAGAAGTAACTGTGAAGGCGAAAACCCCAATTTTTCATTCCAGATTTTTATTAAAAATTTAAAAAAAATGGAGGGAAGGGAATCGAATCGACTCGAATCGGTTCGAATCGACTCGAATCGGTTCGAATCGGTTCGAATCGACTCGAATCGGTTCGAATCGGTTCGAATCGACTCGAATCGGTTCGAATCGACTCGAATCGGATCGAATCAAGCGGGTAGCTAACAAGAGTCAAGCGGGTAGCTAACAAAAATTTTTTTAAAAAGTTACAGATTTGGACAAATCCAAAAATGTAAAAAAAAGCTTAGTAAGCCACCCAGAAGCAACTTTAAAGCTAAAAAAATTGAAAGAAAATTTTTAACACTGTTAAAAAAGGCTTAGGCTTAGTAACCACCCAGAAGTAACTGTGAAGGCGAAAACCCCAATTTTTCATTCCAGATTTTTATTAAAAATTTTAAAAAAAAATGGAGGGAAGGGAATCGAATCGACTCGAATCGGTTCGAATCGACTCGAATCGGTTCGAATCGGTTCGAATCGACTCGAATCGGTTCGAATCGACTCGAATCGGATCGAATCAAGCGGGTAGCTAACAAGAGTCAAGCGGGTAGCTAACAAAAATTTTTTTAAAAAAGTTACAGATTTGGACAAATCCAAAAATGTAAAAAAAGCTTAGTAAGCCACCCAGAAGCAACTTTAAAGCTAAAAAAATTGAAAGAAAATTTTTAACACTGTTAAAAAAGGCTTAGGCTTAGTAACCACCCAGAAGTAACTGTGAAGGCGAAAACCCCAATTTTTCATTCCAGATTTTTATTAAAAATTTTAAAAAAAATGGAGGGAAGGGAATCGAATCGACTCGAATCGGTTCGAATCGACTCGAATCGGTTCGAATCGACTCGAATCGGTTCGAATCGGTTCGAATCGACTCGAATCGGTTCGAATCGACTCGAATCGGTTCGAATCGGTTCGAATCGACTCGAATCGGTTCGAATCGACTCGAATCGGATCGAATCAAGCGGGTAGCTAACAAGAGTCAAGCGGGTAGCTAACAAAAATTTTTTTAAAAAAGTTACAGATTTGGACAAATCCAAAAATGTAAAAAAGCTTAGTAAGCCACCCAGAAGCAACTTTAAAGCTAAAAAAATTGAAAGAAAATTTTTAACACTGTTAAAAAAGGCTTAGGCTTAGTAACCACCCAGAAGTAACTGTGAAGGCGAAAACCCCAATTTTTCATTCCAGATTTTTATTAAAAATTTAAAAAAAAAATGGAGGGAAGGGAATCGAATCGACTCGAATCGGTTCGAATCGACTCGAATCGGTTCGAATCGGTTCGAATCGACTCGAATCGGTTCGAATCGGTTCGAATCGACTCGAATCGGTTCGAATCGACTCGAATCGGATCGAATCAAGCGGGTAGCTAACAAGAGTCAAGCGGGTAGCTAACAAAAATTTTTTTAAAAAAGTTACAGATTTGGACAAATCCAAAAATGTAAAAAAAGCTTAGTAAGCCACCCAGAAGCAACTTTAAAGCTAAAAAAATTGAAAGAAAATTTTTAACACTGTTAAAAAAGGCTTAGGCTTAGTAACCACCCAGAAGTAACTGTGAAGGCGAAAACCCCAATTTTTCATTCCAGATTTTTATTAAAAATTTTAAAAAAAATGGAGGGAAGGGAATCGAATCGACTCGAATCGGTTCGAATCGACTCGAATCGGTTCGAATCGGTTCGAATCGACTCGAATCGGTTCGAATCGACTCGAATCGGATCGAATCAAGCGGGTAGCTAACAAGAGTCAAGCGGGTAGCTAACAAAAATTTTTTTTTAAAAAAGTTACAGATTTGGACAAATCCAAAAATGTAAAAAAGCTTAGTAAGCCACCCAGAAGCAACTTTAAAGCTAAAAAAATTGAAAGAAAATTTTTAACACTGTTAAAAAAGGCTTAGGCTTAGTAACCACCCAGAAGTAAAAAAAAAAAAAAAAAAACTGTGAAGGCGAAAACCCCAATTTTTCATTCCAGATTTTTATTAAAAATTTTAAAAAAATGGAGGGAAGGGAATCGAATCGACTCGAATCGGTTCGAATCGACTCGAATCGGTTCGAATCGACTCGAATCGGTTCGAATCGGTTCGAATCGACTCGAATCGGTTCGAATCGACTCGAATCGGATCGAATCAAGCGGGTAGCTAACAAGAGTCAAGCGGGTAGCTAACAAAAATTTTTTTAAAAAAGTTACAGATTTGGACAAATCCAAAAATGTAAAAAAAAGCTTAGTAAGCCACCCAGAAGCAACTTTAAAGCTAAAAAAATTGAAAGAAAATTTTTAACACTGTTAAAAAAGGCTTAGGCTTAGTAACCACCCAGAAGTAACTGTGAAGGCGAAAACCCCAATTTTTCATTCCAGATTTTTATTAAAAATTTTAAAAAAATGGAGGGAAGGGAATCGAATCGACTCGAATCGGTTCGAATCGACTCGAATCGGTTCGAATCGACTCGAATCGGTTCGAATCGGTTCGAATCGACTCGAATCGGTTCGAATCGACTCGAATCGGTTCGAATCGGTTCGAATCGACTCGAATCGGTTCGAATCGACTCGAATCGGATCGAATCAAGCGGGTAGCTAACAAGAGTCAAGCGGGTAGCTAACAAAAATTTTTTTAAAAAAGTTACAGATTTGGACAAATCCAAAAATGTAAAAAAAAGCTTAGTAAGCCACCCAGAAGCAACTTTAAAGCTAAAAAAATTGAAAGAAAATTTTTAACACTGTTAAAAAAGGCTTAGGCTTAGTAACCACCCAGAAGTAACTGTGAAGGCGAAAACCCCAATTTTTCATTCCAGATTTTTATTAAAAATTTTAAAAAAATGGAGGGAAGGGAATCGAATCGACTCGAATCGGTTCGAATCGACTCGAATCGGTTCGAATCGGTTCGAATCGACTCGAATCGGTTCGAATCGACTCGAATCGGATCGAATCAAGCGGGTAGCTAACAAGAGTCAAGCGGGTAGCTAACAAAAATTTTTTTAAAAAAAAGTTACAGATTTGGACAAATCCAAAAATGTAAAAAAAAGCTTAGTAAGCCACCCAGAAGCAACTTTAAAGCTAAAAAAATTGAAAGAAAATTTTTAACACTGTTAAAAAAGGCTTAGGCTTAGTAACCACCCAGAAGTAACTGTGAAGGCGAAAACCCCAATTTTTCATTCCAGATTTTTATTAAAAATTTAAAAAAAATGGAGGGAAGGGAATCGAATCGACTCGAATCGGTTCGAATCGACTCGAATCGGTTCGAATCGACTCGAATCGGTTCGAATCGGTTCGAATCGACTCGAATCGGTTCGAATCGACTCGAATCGGTTCGAATCGACTCGAATCGGTTCGAATCGGTTCGAATCGACTCGAATCGGTTCGAATCGACTCGAATCGGATCGAATCAAGCGGGTAGCTAACAAGAGTCAAGCGGGTAGCTAACAAAAATTTTTTTTAAAAAAGTTACAGATTTGGACAAATCCAAAAATGTAAAAAAGCTTAGTAAGCCACCCAGAAGCAACTTTAAAGCTAAAAAAATTGAAAGAAAATTTTTAACACTGTTAAAAAAGGCTTAGGCTTAGTAACCACCCAGAAGTAACTGTGAAGGCGAAAACCCCAATTTTTCATTCCAGATTTTTATTAAAAATTAAAAAAAATGGAGGGAAGGGAATCGAATCGACTCGAATCGGTTCGAATCGACTCGAATCGGTTCGAATCGGTTCGAATCGACTCGAATCGGTTCGAATCGACTCGAATCGGATCGAATCAAGCGGGTAGCTAACAAGAGTCAAGCGGGTAGCTAACAAAAATTTTTTAAAAAAGTTACAGATTTGGACAAATCCAAAAATGTAAAAAAGCTTAGTAAGCCACCCAGAAGCAACTTTAAAGCTAAAAAAATTGAGAGAAAATTTTTAACACTGTTAAAAAAGGCTTAGGCTTAGTAACCACCCAGAAGTAACTGTGAAGGCGAAAACCCCAATTTTTCATTCCAGATTTTTATTAAAAATTTAAAAAAATGGAGGGAAGGGAATCGAATCGACTCGAATCGGTTCGAATCGACTCGAATCGGTTCGAATCGACTCGAATCGGTTCGAATCAAGCGGGTAGCTAACAAGAGTCAAGCGGGTAGCTAACAAAAATTTTTTTAAAAAAGTTACAGATTTGGACAAATCCAAAAATGTAAAAAAAAGCTTAGTAAGCCACCCAGAAGCAACTTTAAAGCTAAAAAAATTGAAAGAAAATTTTTAACACTGTTAAAAAAGGCTTAGGCTTAGTAACCACCCAGAAGTAACTGTGAAGGCGAAAACCCCAATTTTTCATTCCAGATTTTTATTAAAAATTTAAAAAAAAAATGGAGGGAAGGGAATCGAATCGACTCGAATCGGTTCGAATCGACTCGAATCGACTCGAATCGGTTCGAATCGACTCGAATCGGTTCGAATCGACTCGAATCGGATCGAATCAAGCGGGTAGCTAACAAGAGTCAAGCGGGTAGCTAACAAAAATTTTTTTAAAAAGTTACAGATTTGGACAAATCCAAAAATGTAAAAAAAGCTTAGTAAGCCACCCAGAAGCAACTTTAAAGCTAAAAAAATTGAAAGAAAATTTTTAACACTGTTAAAAAAGGCTTAGGCTTAGTAACCACCCAGAAGTAACTGTGAAGGCGAAAACCCCAATTTTTCATTCCAGATTTTTATTAAAAATTTTTTAAAAAAATGGAGGGAAGGGAATCGAATCGACTCGAATCGGTTCGAATCGACTCGAATCGGTTCGAATCGGTTCGAATCGACTCGAATCGGTTCGAATCGGTTCGAATCGACTCGAATCGGTTCGAATCGACTCGAATCGGATCGAATCAAGCGGGTAGCTAACAAGAGTCAAGCGGGTAGCTAACAAAAATTTTTTTAAAAAAGTTACAGATTTGGACAAATCCAAAAATGTAAAAAAAAGCTTAGTAAGCCACCCAGAAGCAACTTTAAGCTAAAAAAATTGAAAGAAAATTTTTAACACTGTTAAAAAAGGCTTAGGCTTAGTAACCACCCAGAAGTAACTGTGAAGGCGAAAACCCCAATTTTTCATTCCAGATTTTTATTAAAAATTAAAAAAAAAATGGAGGGAAGGGAATCGAATCGACTCGAATCGGTTCGAATCGACTCGAATCGGTTCGAATCGACTCGATTTTTTTTGTATTCAACCGCCCACAACTCGGTTCATTGAAAAGATGGACCTAAACAATTTTTTTTTTAATTGTAGCGCTAAGCGAGCTCTACAAGCCTGAATAGGACTCGCAAGATAAAAATGCAAATTTTCATGAGTTATGGAGGTGGCAAGATTTTGGTACATCACATATCTTGGTATGACCATGAAACCTATGCATGGGATATTGAGAAATTCTTCTGAAAGCTTGCAAATGTCCTTATAATGAAATTCCCGAAAGGAATTTTTCACAACTTGATTATTGGTCTTGTAAATATTTGTTTCCCAGAACGCATTTTTGAAATTTCGCTTTTTCTACATCAAAAAGCCGTCAAAATCAATTATAAATGATTTTTTCGGTCTCAAAATCGAAAAATACCCCTAGGTGAACATTTTCAGAAAGTTTCAGTCACTGGGAACCGAAATTGGTACTTTTTTGTTTATCTCCATAACTCACGAACCGTTCGTTTTTACGAAAAATAGATGCTTCCAGCGTGTTCAGGACACTCATTTACCCCTAAGGAGATATTTTTTACATCATATAGTCCATTGGGACCATTTTCGAAAAAAAATTCCACAAAAGATTACTGTAGTTGATCCATTTTTTCGGAAAAAGGAAAACACGGATAGAAAAATAGGATAAACTATTATTTTTTTTTCTCTCAAAAATTGAGAGAAAAGGAGAGAAAAATAATAATAGTTTATCCTAAATTTCACGATTTTTTTTCGATTTTTGAAATTGAGCAAAACTTTTGAAATTTATGGGTGGGGGGTTTTCGGCTCCGTGGAGCATCGTGGTGATAATGATTTTACACGAAAATGAGCTTATCACCTCTTATCAGTGATTATCAAAAAATATCAAAATTATCAGATTGAGCTCAAACTCGGAGAAAATGATGTCTGGGGCTAGTAGAGCCCTTTTTTGATAAGTTTAGAGCTCCAGCTTCATCCCAGAAGCTCTTATCAGCTGTTATCACTAAATTATCAATATGCTCAGATTGAGCTCAAACTTGGAGAAAATGATGTCTGGGGCTAGTAGAGACTATTTTTGATAAGTTTAGAGCTCCAGCTTCATCCCAGGAGCTCTTATCAGTTCTTATCACTAAATTATCAAAATGCTTGGATTTGGTTGAAACTTACAGAAAATGATGTCTGGGGCTAGTAGAGCCCTTTTTTGATAAGTTTAAAGCTCCATCTTCATCCCAGAAGCTCTTATCAGTCCTTATCACTGAGTTATCAATATGCTCGGATTGAGCTCAAACTTAGAGCAAATGATATTTGGGATGAGTTGAACACATTTTTGATAAATTTAGAGCTTTTTATCCGCATCAGGAGCTCTTATCACTCCTTATCAAAAAATATAAAAATTATCAGAACAAGCTGGGAGTTAGAGGAAATGATGTTTTGTGATTGTAGATAACATTTCTGATAATTTTAGAGCTTCAGCTTCATCCTAGAAGCTTTTATCAGTCCTTATCACTAAGCTTCATCCTATACGATTTGATGAATAATATCCTGAAAATTAGAACAAAATGCGAAGTTGTCTATGATTTTTTTATTGATGTAGGCATTGAAAATAGAGGGAACTTGTAAATCAACAAAATTGAGATTTAAATTTGGTTTTTTTTCCAAAAGTTCCACGCGTCTTTTTCGGGCCAAAATATCAAAAATAAGCTCACAACCAAAAATCAAAATTTTTTTATATTTCAACAAAAAATCAAAAAACAACATAAAAATCAACAAATTTTGCAAAAAAAAAACGTTTTGAAATCAATCCTCCATTTCTTCATCTCCTTCTTCAACAGCAATATCAACTCCTTCCGCTTGCATTTTCTTGAATGTTTCTCTGGCATCCTGTGTCATTCTCTGGAAAAATTCAACAATTTATCAACAAAAAAATAGCTTACTGAATAAAAAAAACCAACCTTATACATTTTCTTTGCCTTTTTTTTCGTAATATACTGTGCAGTTGTTCCTTTTTTACCTGATGGAGCATCCAAAACTTTATGACCTTCTCTGACTGGAAGTTGGAATTTTCGGAACAATTTCTTCTCGTTGACTTTTGGCAATTTTTTCAAATCGAATTCTCCAGCGGCCAAAGCTTTCTGAAAAATGACGGGGTTTTTGAATTTTGCTAAACAATTTGTAGTTTTTGTATCACTGAAAAACTTCAATTTTTCTGAAATATTGGTCAGACAACGGAACTTAACCTTGTGAATTGTGAAAATGAATTTTTGATGGTTTCTAATTTGGGGAATTTCGGAGCTATAAATCATAACCTTTAAATAAAAAAACCAACCTGATTTGCCACAGACAATCCTCTAACAACTGGTGTTTCAGCAGCAGCATCCGTTCCCTCTTCCATTTGTGTCGCATTCTTCGTTTTCACCTCTCTTTTCATTTGCTTCCTTTTACTTTGACTTGTTGCAACTCCCCTTTTGCGAATATTTTTTGTTTGATTCTTGAATTTGCCCATTTTTCGTTGGAGTTAAACTGAAAAATATGTTGAGCAAAGCAAAAATCCAAGAAGTTTCAAAGTATCGAATGGTTTGAGTGAAACCAAATTAGATAAAACAAGATTTTTCGAAATAAAAGAAAAACAATTATGAACAAAGAAATCTAAAAACTAAATATCAACAATAATTAAAAAAAATAAGTCTATGCAATATTTTCGATTCCTTTCGCTTTCGGTCGTTTCTGAATTAGTGAATCCTCCAAAATTCTTCGCTTTTCCAACTCTTCCTCATAAATCTTTTCAACATTTTTAGTTTCATCCAAAAGTTCAACGATTTTCTTCTGCAAACATTTTTATTCGTGAAATCTCAATTGAATAAAAAACTCACAGCCAATCGAATTTGATCCAATTTATAATTCAATTGTTGTTTCGAAGTTACATGAACTTCACGACCATCTTTGAAAGAAAAATCAGGCGATTGTTCGAAAACATGTTGATGTGGAGCATAGTAAATTCTGAATAAAAAATAATTGACTTTGGAAAAATAAAGTGAAATTAAGAACTCACGGTTTTTTCCAACTCTGAACTTTTCCTAGACCTTTTGGCACATTTTGTCGAGCCACCAATTTTTCTTGCTGCTCCTTGATTTCGTCTTCTGCAAATTATATATTTTTTAAATATTTTTTCAAATTCAAATGATTTTCCCAAATTTATTCCTAGTTAGGTTTAAAACTCACTGAATTCATAATTTGGCGCAGCTGAATATGAAACTCTCGAAGTTCTCAAACATCCAAGTCGACTCAATCTACACAACATTTTTCTTCTGTTCTGAATAACAACGTTGAAAATCTGTAATCGTAAATATCTAAATGAAAATATCGAAAAGTTCCAAAAACTTTCAACTTGTAAAAAATATCCAAAAAATGATAATTTTTTTATTTCAACAAAACAAATTTATAATATTACCAAGTTGTCGAGGTGAGCAAATCTTTTCGATTTTGTCTGAAAATGTATCTTATTTATGTATAGAATCAACTTTTTTGTCCAACCTTAAAGTGTTGAGCTCTTTTTGTAAATCTCGCTTATACATTTGTGTGCTATGATTCGCTTGCCTCGCTTCAACATGTTTTCCCGTTGTTATTTGCAAATTTCGATGCACTTCTTCATTCTCCTTTTTCAATTTCTCATTTTCTTTTCTCAATTTCGTGATTTCAACTTGCAATTTTTTCATAATTTGTCCACTTTCAACAACTTGTTCAACTTCATCCGGATGCATTGTATTCATTTGCGAATATTTCACAAGTTTCTTCATATTCGTATTCCCCTTTATCGATTTTAAACTCTCCGAAAAACTCGTTGTAAACGAAATCGGATTATACAATTCCAATTTTCCCTGTGATATTTTATCCGGATATTTTCTTTTTCCTCCTCTCTTAATCATATACACATTTTTCGTTGGTTCAGAAGCAGTAGAAGTAGATGGTCCAGGTTCATCATAAACTTCTTCCTCCTCGATTATATTTTCAGGTAACAATATCTTCTCCTGATTCTGATGCTCTTCAGTAAATATCTGTTGATAGGATTGTGTGGCCGAGTCGAATATGAATTCAGAACCTTCTTCATCAATCAATCTATCACCATCAACTGGAACATAATCGAAATATTGTCCTTCTGAAGTTGAAGGAATTCCTGAAAATAAACATTTGCGATTAATTATAAAAACAATTCTAAGTGACTCGAAAAACACCTCGAGGTATTCACATTATCTATCTTTAAAAAAAAGAGCTTGAAATTTCATGAAGTACAAATTGCTTTACGGTGGTACATGCGAAGAGTCTTTTTTGACTTCTCGGCGAGTTAGCGTAAGTCAGAGGCAATTTCAGAAAAAAATCCCATGATAGGTTTTCCTCATTTGGGGTGTAGATCAAACTGGAAAAGCGTTGACCCGAACTAAAATTTCGAAAAACTATCCCAAGCCCAAATAGGCGCAGTCTGAAAGCCTGCGCCTAACTAACCTCCATAATATTCTTCCGCAACTTGAATACACTCCAAATCTTCTTTCACCTCAACTTCATAAGCAACATCTTGTTCATCAACGTGAATCACTTCGCCAATATGTCCCATCTGAAAAACCTCTGATAAAGTTCATAAAAATCGATTCAGATAGGGTACAGTGATCTCAAAAACACTATCAACAAAAAAAGCTTCGCTGTAAAAAATAAATTGTATTCGAAAAAAACAACGAATCGAAAAATATACAAGAGTAATAATAAATACGAAAAAAAAACACTGGGATGATAAAAATCGAGAGATCAATTCCACATTTTGATAAGACCATCCCATCCAGCGGTTATCATTTTTGATTTTTCGTGTGGATGCCAATGGGCTGCAATACATGTGTTGTCGTGTGCCTTCCATCTGAAAATCGCGATTGGATTTTTCTAGAAATGAAAAAAAGGTTTTCACGTACTCATTTTTACAGTATTTGTTTGATCACGTATTGAAATTTTTTATTTTTAGAAATTCAAAGTTTATTGTTTTCCATTTTCTAGATTTATTTCGAAAATTTGAAAATTAAAGAAAAAACATCAATTTTTCTAATTAGAAATTCGAAAAATCTTTTCTTCAGAATAGTTTTTATCTTGAGTTTCCACGTCATAGCTCATAAATATTTTCCAAATAAAAACTCACTTTCCAACAATTTTATGAGTTCTCCAATCCCAAACAAACAATTTTCCATCAGCATCTCCAGATATCAAGAAACTCATATCTGGACTATAATCAACATTACAAGCATAACCAGCTGCATTATGTCCTCTGAACGCCTTCTTTTTTGTAAATCTCAATTTATCTTCGATTAATTGGAAAAGAACAATTCGATTGTCCATACATTGACCAACGACCCATTTATCTAAACAAATTATTTCTTATAGTTTTTTCTCTAATTTAAAAAAAATTAAAAACCCACCATTTGGTGACTTTGTCATTGTTGGAATTGCGTGAAGTCCGACATTTTGAATCAATTTCGTGTCCACTGGAATTTCCCATTCCCAAATTCGAACACTTTTATCATCAGAAGTTGAAGCAAATCTACGATTTTTATCAAAAAATGTGATGGAATTAACCGCTTGTAAATGTCGATCATATTCTTGCACAATTTCTCCACTTCTCGAATCCCATTGGATAATCTTCTTATTTTGCATACCAACCAAAAACATGTGATTTTTATCATCATCTGGATGATATTTTAGACAATATGGAACGTGTCCTGTGTGGAAGCGATTTACAACTTGTCCGGTTTCAGTGTCCCATAATTTTACATATCTATCAAAACTGGCTGATAGGAATTGTGTTCCATCGTTGTTGAAAGCCACTTCTCGAACAGGCATTTTGTGACCCGAATATGTTCGAACAGCTCGTTGACGATCGTATACTTCCCAAAGTTTGATCTAGAAAACAATTTTGAAAATTCTGATTCTTCATTTTTTTAAAGTCAATTCCGGTGGGAAGTCGAATCAGTTTTTCGACCAAAATCTAATCTCTAGACACTCTTTAACTCACTTTTGTATCCATTGAGCAAGAAAGAAATAGATGTGCACTTTTCGGGAACCATTGCAGATAATTGACACCTTTCGAATGTCCTCTGTAGGTATGAGTGAGTTTTTTGGGAATATAACATCTTTCAGGAACATAGTCTTCTCGAAGATTGACACCAGTAAAACTCGGTGGAACCAAGAATGATCGACCTTGATAGTCTTCAGCATCTTTGACTAAAAAATGGATAATTTTTGAAAGAAATGCGCGAAAAAACTTACTATGTAATACAGAAGATTCTTCAGCCATTTGTTCATTATCTTTTTGCTCTTTCTTATATCGTCGACTCTTTTCTTGCTTCTTTTTCACAAATGCATCCATTTCTTTTTGCAATTCTGGCGTTGGTTTTGCAATTGTTTTCTCATTTTCATATTTTGACCATGGTCCAGTATATCCATCAATATCACTCGGATCATCATTTCTTAATCGTTTCCTTCTTTCTCCACCAGTTTTCTTCGAATCAAATAATGTGACTCCTCCTTCAGCAACTGCTTTTTTCGTGTCTCCAACGAATTCCGTTCCTCGATCTGCAGTTGGATTTCTCGCATATCCAAGAGTATCAAAACTTCGGATTTCTTTGTCAAAATGGAATTGATTAAAATGTGCAGGTTCGACATATCCAGTAAGTGTATTCTTCTGTGCTCTTTGTTTTTCAGTTTTGAATGGGTTGACAGGTCCACTTTCTGGTTTGAAAAGCTCTTCAAATGTTGGATTCGATTTGATTTCTTTCGTTTTTCTGTCAATCATTGCAACTTGTCGAATATCACTGCGAGTTTCAACACTTGGTGCAACCTATTTTTATATTTTTTTTAATATTTTTCGAAATTTAGTTTTAAAAAACTTACCACTAGCGAAGAATTAATATTCAGCGACGCCGATTTTCCATTAGCTATATCTTTCATAACAACATCATCATCTGATATTTCACTGTCACTTCCATATGCTTGTAATGCATCCATTTTTTTCTGAAAATAAAGATTACTTCAATAGGATCTCTTGAGAAACTGTAAAAAAAATACGAAAAATTAACGCCCCAAAGAAAATGTTTAACAATGGAGCGAACAAGCATCATTTCTATAGCGGAACAAACGCGCCCTATCGAGATTCACCCCCATTATTTTAGCAAAAGTGTCTGCCTACATGAAAATGCATTAATTCGACTAAATATTTATTTATATTATCTTCAAGCGCTGTACGTTTTTTTTTTCAATTTTGTTCTATACTATTTGTTTATGTTGTAGTTAGAAATACAATGGCTACAAGTTCGACAATTATTGATTTTTATCAAAAGAAAAGAAAAAGTTTAACAAAAAATGCTCACTTTTTTGAAGATGATTCATTTTGTTTTGATTGAATGTCTTGGTTGATACGTTCGATGAATCATTTCACTTTAATTTCGGAATGACCATCAAAGTTATATTTGCGATGCCCTAGATTTACGATTGCCACGTATATAAATAGCCGCGACGTGAACGGAAATTATTATTTTTGTTCATTTCGAAAAATCTAAACCCAGGAAATTATTGCGTAGGCGCCTGAAAGTGAGCTATTCCTAAATCCTACATTTCAAACCTGATTTTCTCACACAAATTGTAGCCTTTCAGTCGTTTTCACTCACCAGTTTTTGCACTAGAATCGACTTTGAAAAAGTGAAAAATATTTTTTCGAAAAAAAAAACTCCCTAAATTCCGCACTTTCTCGTCGCAGTGTTTGCACATAACCGTACTTTCTTCAAGGCGCACTAGAAAAAACTATATTTCGTGACGAGACCACACCCTTTACCCAACACTCCTTTAAACTGTATTTTCATTTTTTCTCTCCTTCAGAAATGACCGAAGATGTGGAAAATCAACGCCCTTTCTGCATCAAATCAGTTGCCGAGCAAATGAAAACAATTTCAAAACTTGAAGATAATGTGAGCTTGATTGAATTTGTCGAAGTCTACGAGGAATTGTGTAAATTCATCAAAATGCTCGGGAAAATATTCGAATTCGTTGAAAAAGATGTGCAAGAGAAAATCATATTATTGAAAGCATTGCATAAGGAGAATTCCGAACATTATGCAACAGTTATATCAATGGTCGAAATCGAAAAAGGGAAGAAAATGGATAAACATAGTGGATGTGTTGCAATTTTGCATTTGAATCGTGCCTTGGAATTCATTGTTGCTTTCATGAATTCAGCAGTTTCTGCAGGGATGGATGATAGTATTCCAAAAATTTGTAAAGAATCATACGATGAAACTCTCGCCAAGTAAGTTAAACATATTTGTAAATGAAGAAACATATTATTTTCAGACATCATCCATGGATTATTCGAACAGCAGTAAAAGTAGCTGTTTACACATTGCCAACTCGCGAAAAGATGCTCGAATATATTAAAGGAAGTTTGGAAAGCGAATCAGAAGTTCGCATAGAAATTGACACTGTCGTAGAAAATGGAAAACGTGTTCATGAACGGATTAACAAAATATACACTACTCATGATTTGCATAAAATATGTTAAGGGTACAACATGTATTTATAAAAAAACATTACTTGCATTATAACAAGCATAAAATTGGTTTATTTTTTTTTGAGTTATTATCTTGAATGATGGTTTTTGAACCTTGAAATATCTTTGATCTTTTTTTCCAGTTTTTAGATTGAATTCAGAAAGTAAAATTCAGATGGAATTCGTTGAATACTTCGAAGAGTGTATCGTGGGTCAAAAATATTCTCATTTGGCGATTAGTCCCGATAACTCGTAAGCTATTTTTCAATTTGAAAGTCTCAAAACCTATTTCAAAAAATAACAAAAATGTTTCCTTTTCCAGAATAATAATCGCGGCAACATCAACAAATTGTGAAGTTCTTTTGGATAATAAGCGAAAATCAATAATCAAACATGAAGCGAATGTTGTTGGCGTGTTTTTTGAGACAAATACAAAATTGATCACAATCACTGAAAATGGAGAAATAACAAATTTCGAATTGACGGAGGAGCAAGTTTTTGAGAAGAAGTACTCGAAAAGAATCACAGCTTTCCCCGTTGTGTAAGTTTTTTTTGACAAGAAATCGGTTTTAAATATATTCATTTTTACAGTTCGGTTTTCGCGCAGAAAAATGAAAAAGAAGAGTTCGATTTCTGGCTGATCATGAAGAAATCGGATAAGAAAACTGAAAAATTCTACGATGTTTGCTTCACTTCTTCAAATGGTTCAGGAACTCTCGAAAAAGTTTGGAAAGTCCCAACATTTCTGAATACTGAACAAATCGTCATCGAAAAAAATGTTATTGCTTATTGTCATAACCAAGAGGTTCATGCAATAATATTGAAAAAAGATCGAAAAATCGAAAAAGAAACACAATATCGACATGACAAAGATGATTCAACATATCGATTTGTTCGAATCGCAGCAAATTCGAATTATCTAGCCGTTTCTATGGCAAATGGATTAGTTTATCAATGGTCGAATTTGAAATCCGCAGGAGTTTCGGATACTTTTACAAGTAGCCATTGGCATAAAGTTGCACCGCAAGTTGTCGTAACTAAATTCGGAAATGTGTTATCTGCCGGAGCGGAATGTGTTCTTGCAAGATTCACAAAAGCTCAAAAATTACCAACACTTTTGCCAAGATTGATTGCGCCAGTTGTGAAACTTTGTCTATCGGATGATTCGTCAACTCTTCTCTTGCAATTAGAAGATAACTCAATTCACACTGTTCTTCTATCAACAATGGCTGTTAAAGAATCTTATTCAACAATGCAATATTGTCCAAGATCTTTGAATTGCGTTTTCCAAAACGATCCAGCTATGAAAAGATATTTTGTGATGAATGCAAAGCCGGGAGCAATTCAATGGGCAGAACCGATTCAAGGAAAAACATTGCAAGTTGTAAGTTGGCTTAACTCTTTCATGTTTTATCTAAAAGTTTCTCCCCCAAACCATTTTACTTGCAGATGAATGTCACAAAGGAAAATGCAGTCGATGGAGATATGTCACTTGTTGGAATTAAACCAGCATTTCGAGATGTTTCAAATATGTCACTTGGCATCAAATATACAGCAACTTTGGAGAAATTCATGAATTTCGAATCAGAAAATCATATTCGATTTTGGAAAAGAAATATCGATAATCCGTTTTTGTCTAGTTTGATCACAACTGTTGCAGTTGAACAGGATGTTGTTTTTGTGTCTGTTTGTCAAAGTGAGACGTCGAAATATGATAAGGTTGGTTTGTAAATTGAAATAATGCAGAATTTGGTGCTCATTCAAAAGTTATGACGTTTCAAAATTTTGAAATCTGAGAAATAATTATGATTTTTGAACAACATACTACTTTTGTGAGTTGTTGATTTAATTTTAAAAATTCCAACCTCATCCTGAACACATTTTCAATCCCCCAATTTTTCCAGACAATCATCAGCGCTTCAACATCTGGAAATATCAGCGTCTGGGAAATATCTGAAAATGAGCAAGATGTTCGCGAAGATTTGACAAGAGCCAGAAATTGGCAAGAAGCTTCGATAAATGCGATTTCAACAATTCAAGCAAACGGAAGATTTGCCAGTGCGCATGGAAAACACGCGGTTTTGTGGAATGTTGCGAATGTGAGTTTGAGAAAAATTATTTTGAGAGAATGTTGCCGAAAAAATCTATGTTTTCTCGGAAAAATATTCAATTTTTTTCGGAAAAGTTTTTCAGCTTTTCCTAAATATAAATTTCTTTTTTTTTTCTTCAATAAAAATCCATATTTTTCAGATGAAAATCATTGATGTGATCAGTTGCGAAGATGAAGTTTTGAAGTGCGAATTCTATGGAAAATATCTGATCATTTCGCACAAAAAAGGAGTCACTTGCTGGGATACTGTAGCTCTTCTTGTCATTTGGAGAATTCAACAAAGAGTTGGCCTTTTTGTGTCGGAAGCGGCTGGATGTTTTGCGTATGATGAATCGCAAGGTAAATTCGATTTTTTTTGAGATCTGAAAGTTCTCAGAGATTCGCTGGCCAGCTGGTCACTAGGTGGGACCGACTGCCCATCTGAAATTGACACGGACAACCACATCGCCCGTATTTTTTGCCAGACGACCTGGTCGCGAGGTGGTTCAGTTCATGCAGACCACCTCGCCCAGGTTGTCCAGCTCGTGCCGACCTCGCGTCCAGATCGTCTCGCTTAAGAGAAAAAAGTCCAAAAAACTTGTGAATCCGAGCATTCTAGAAGAAATTGGCTCATTTTCTGTTTTTTCGGAGTACTAGAAACCTTAGGAAGTGAAAAAAACAGTAAAAAATGCACTATTTTGAGGACAAACCACCGTCTTGCTAGCTTTCCAGGATTTCAAACACACAGGCCACGTGGTCGGAAAACTCAAGGCGACCTGGTGGCCGAATCAAATTCAGCTCGTTTTGAACTTTCCGGCCACCTGGTCCTGATCTAGTGGCGAGCTGGCCAGCGAGTCTCTGAGTTATATGAACATTTTTTAAAAGTTTCTCGAAAAATTTTCCGAATTTGAAATTTTAATAAATTCAGTTCTAAAAACGTCAATTTTTTCAGTTATGAATTTTGATGCGGAAACTGGAAGAGTATTGAAAACTATCAAATTCTCAACACCGGTCAACGATTTGATTGTTTTATATTTGCAAAAAGCCAAATCATTGGTTTATATTGCGAAAACTGAAAAAGGAATTCTAACCTATCGCCCATCTCAACATGGAACATCACAATCAAAATCAAAACGCCTTTCGATTGCTCCAACTCCTTTCAATGAACTCGCAATTACAAAACAAGAAAATGCTGAAATCTCGGAAGATCAGAAATTTGTTCGGCAACCTCGTCCAGATGCTGCTAAATTATTCGCCGGACCTGTTTATTCATTACCCCCAATTTCGTTTTTAGCCCCACTTTTTATCGAAAAATCATTGTTACCTCCACCGTTTTAATTTTTTCCTTCAATTTTGTTATAGTTCTTGTTGTTCTTGTTATTGACTTGTTATTATTTCTTTTTTTTTCTTTCTTTACAAAATAAAATTCATTCAACCCAGCACAACAATTTTATACCACACACACATTCAACAGTTTTCCTTCTCTATTTTTTGTCATATCATACATACAAATATTGTATAGGGGAAAGAAGAAAGAAAGGAAAAATTACTAATTATTTTCGACCCCACAATCCACTTGCCATTTGCCATTGTGCTGGTTCAGCTCTGCAAAAAAATTTTTTTTTTCAATTTTGAAACAAAAATATAAATCCTACCGCTTGAAAAGAATTTCATCTGGAACACTTCGTTTACCCCACAAACTGTTGAGTTTTCGCCAATTGTCATTGTTTCGCTTGAATTGATGCTCCTCTTCTAGCTGAAAATTTTTAAAAATTAAAAAAAAGAAGAAACATGTTCATTTGTGTAAATTGGTCTCGACACGCAGATCGTTTTTTCTTTGTGCGTCTTCATTTTACTACGGTTTTGTGTTTTTTTTCATTTTCGAAAGAAATTTTTTGCGATTTTTCGAAGAAGCCTGGAGAACAATGGATTCTGGACCAACGTTAGTTTATTTGCCAATTTCATTTTCAGATAAATTCTTTATTTTTCAGCTCAGCGAGTACTCAGAACTCGAGTTCTGAAAAAGACGAGAATGGAAATTACGAGATTGCCAGCAAACTTCATCTAACTGGATCCGATAACGAATATGAAATTTTGATTTCTTTCCAAAGGGAAAACACTGGTTTCAATCGTATTGAATTCATGAAAGATGCCTACTCACCAAAAGCTACTAAAGTTTGCTTGTAAGAACTTCTTCCCTAATTCCAAATTGTGTTGAGAAATTAAACAATATTTTCAGCCGAGGTGAAGCGTTCAGCAAAGATTGGCCAGAATCGACAGTTGAGGAAGGGAATCCACTTGACGTTGCAACAACATATTTCAAAAATCTTCTCAAACAACACAAAAAACATGTTGAAAGTGTTCAGATCGATGTTCCTGATATTCATTATTGCGACATGAGAGGAGAAAAGTTGCCAAACTTGAAAGTTTTGAATGTTGTTTGTTTGGAAGCACTTGGTTATTTCACATCAGCAACAACAAATAGTCTTAAAGACTTGACCATCAATTTTCCTGGCTCTGATCCATGCGGTTTCCAAGGACTTCCAAGATCTGTTGTTATGTTTTCAGATGTAAATTATTATTTTTATTTTCAACTCAATTCATTGATCAAACTATATATTTTCAGATCTTCCGTGTTACTGATCGTCTTTCAATTCCTGACTCCAAAGTTACTTATGACGAATTTCTTCGAATGAAAGCCAAAGAAACTATTTTGATAATGGGATTATTAGATGAAGAGGAAATCAATCGATTGGTCAAATCATGGGTCAAAGGAAAACCAGCAAAACAATTCGAACTATGTGTTTTCAAAAATCCGTGCTACAAAGCTCCATGCAACTACAGATGCAATTCCCACATCACACTTAGTGGAATGAACCACACTGAATTGAAAAACGAATACTACAATTTGGAGTAAGTTTTCGTTTTTTTTACTATGAGAAATCCGCAAAAATCCTTTTTTTTTCAGCACAATTTTGTCGATTGAAAATCGCAAAGTTCATCGTGTGCAAAGCAAGAAAGATCCCACATGCTTCGTTGATATTTTAATTGGACTTGAAGGAATTGTTTTGGCTGTTAACAAGAAAAATGCCTACAATCCACCAGAGAATAACCAACATTTTGGTTTTGCGGGTGAAGGATTCGAGCTTGATTGATTTTTTTGTTGAAGGGGTAACTTTCTGTTAGAATTTGTTTTTTCGTGCATCTGTTATGTTATATTGTTAATATGAGACTAAATATTCTACAAGATCAAAAGAAATTTTTAAAAAACTAACCGGTGATTCAATTGGAACACTTCGTTTACCCCACAAACCAACTCCATTTTGCCAACCAGGTCGACCACCTTCACCAATACAATATGAAAATGTGATGAAAAAAAGACCTGGAAGAATTTCGAGAGTTGGAAGAACTTGTGATAAAATTCTAGGGGGAACAGAAAAATTTGCCACGTCATAACTTTTGTGCTCCCCAGAATCTCGATCAAACTAACCAACAATAAAGTGTACAACTTGCATTATGCTTGATTTTTGACGTCCAAAATTGAAGAGAAACCCTGAAATATTGGTAGATTATTTTGGACAACACAAAACACGAAAAAATGAGGAGGAAAATGAGTATTTTTATGGGAGAGGGGCGGTCCGGAAAATTATTATTATTATTTATTTTTTCAAGAAGCGAGAGCGAGCAAATTCTATAAATCTACGAATTTGGACACACAAACGCAGAAATTTATGTCAATTCTATTCACCAATATTTCAACAAGAAAAAAACAAGTTTTGTTCTCTCTGAGCTTTTGGGGGAAAAATTGTAAATATGTATTTTCAGATTTTCTCGGCGGGACATTTTTTGCTAATGCGATATTTTATGGGATTTTGTCGGAGAACTCTGAGCTCTGCTCTAATTAGATAGTTGACGGAAATCTAAACGAGTTGTGGAAGTGGAAGGAAAAACCGAAAATCAAATGACTACAGTACATACGTCGCATACCCATGTTTCAAATCCGCCAGGGCATACCCCTATTTTTGAAGATTTTCGACGAAAGGGATAACCCCCCCTTTTTTTTTCATTTTTTTTCCATTCCCAGCTATAGAAATTTGAAAATTACAATTTTATTGAGCTTATAAGCTCAGAAAAAGGAGCTTGGCGAGGTTTTTTCCCCTGTTTTATCAAAGAACACAGGGGTAAAAAGTCACTAGGGGTATCTAATGAAAACCAATGAATATTAGACTTGAGTTAGGGGTAGCATGCCTTTATTAGACCCTTATCAACTATGCTCCACAACAAAATCCAAAGAATTAAGCCTGGTATCAAAATGGGACCACTATGTCATTTTTCACCTCTGTTATCAAAGAACACAGGAGTAAAAAGTCACTAGGGGTATCTAATGAATACCAATGAATATTAGACTTGAGTTAGGGGTAGCATGCCTTTATTAGACCCTTATCAACTATGCTCCACAACAAAATCTGAAGAATTAAGCCAGGTATCAAGATGGGACCACTATGTCATTTTTCACCTGTTTTATCAAAGAACACAGGGGTAAAAAGTCACTAGGGGTATCTAATGAATACCAATGAATATTAAACTTGAGTTAGGGGTAGCATGCCTTTATTAGACCCTTACCAACTATGCTCCACAACAAAATCTGAAGAATTAAGCCAGGTATCAAGATGGGACCACTATGTCATTTTTCACCTCTGTTATCAAAGAACACAGGGGTAAAAAGTCACTAGGGGTATCTAATGAATACCAATGAATATTAAACTTGAGTTAGGGGTAGCATGCCTTTATTAGACCCTTACCAACTATGCTCCACAACAAAATCCAAAGAATTAAGCCAGGTATCAAGATGGGACCACTATGTCATTTTTCCCCTCTGTTATCAAAGAACACAGGGGTAAAAAGTCACTAGGGGTATCTAATGAATACCAATGAATATTAGACTTGAGTTAGGGGTAGCATGCCTTTATTAGACCCTTATCAACTATGCTCCACAATAAAATCCAAAGAATTAAGCCTGGTATCAAAATGGGACCACTATGTCATTTTTCACCTCTGTTATCAAAGAACACAGGAGTAAAAAGTCACTAGGGGTATCTAATGAATACCAATGAATATTAAACTTGAGTTAGGGGTAGCATGCCTTTATTAGACCCTTACCAACTATGCTCCACAACAAAATCCAAAGAATTAAGCCAGGTATCAAGATGGGACCACTATGTCATTTTTCCCCTCTGTTATCAAAGAACACAGGGGTAAAAAGTCACTAGGGGTATCTAATGAATAATGAATATTAGACTTGAGTTAGGGGTGATTTACCTTAATTAGGTTCTTATCAACTATTTCCAAGAAGGGAAAATGTATTAATTTCAAAAACATTAGTTTGACCATAAAGCAAACCACCAGCTCTGAGAAAAAATATGATCGTAATTGTAGATTACATTACTATTCTGTAGACCGCTGACTTTTAATGATATTAGAATATAGATTCGATTAAGTAAAAAACCTTACAGATTTGAAATCGAGAATTTTTAATTTTGAGAAATATGAAATTTTGTTCATCCAAGAGATTAGTTTTAAAAAGATCATATCAAATCTAGCTAGTTAAACGAGACACTAAATAAATCAAATTGTGCAACCACAATGATCCATATTAATTTTGAAAAACTCTACATTGTCGCTTAATCATAATTTTTGCAAATATTACAGTTACTAACTGTCAGTTGATATGTGAAAAAATGGCGTAGTGGTCCCATCTTGATACCTGGCTTAATTCTTTGGATTTTATTGTGGAGCATAGTTGATAAGGGTCTAATAAAGGCATGCTACCCCTAACTCAAGTCGAATATTCATTGGTTTTCATTAGATACCCCTACTGACTTTTTACCCCTGTGTTCTTTGATAACAGAGGTGAAAAATGACATAGTGGTCCCATTTTGATACCAGGCTTAATTCTTTGGATTTTGTTGTGGAGCATAGTTGATAAGGGTCTAATAAAGGCATGCTACCCCTAACTCAAGTCGAATATTCATTGGTTTTCATTAGATACCCCTACTGACTTTTTACCCCTGTGTTCTTTGATAACAGAGGTGAAAAATGACATAGTGGTCCCATCTTGATACCTGGCTTAATTCTTTGGATTTTGTTGTGGAGCATAGTTGATAAGGGTCTAATAAAGGCATGCTACCCCTAACTCAAGTCGAATATTCATTGGTTTTCATTAGATACCCCTACTGACTTTTTACCCCTGTGTTCTTTGATAACAGAGGTGAAAAATGACATAGTGGTCCCATCTTGATACCTGGCTTAATTCTTTGGATTTTGTTGTGGAGCATAGTTGATAAGGGTCTAATAAAGGCATGCTACCCCTAACTCAAGTCGAATATTCATTGGTTTTCATTAGATACCCCTACTGACTTTTTACCCCTGTGTTCTTTGATAACAGAGGTGAAAAATGACATAGTGGTCCCATCTTGATACCTGGCTTAATTCTTTGGATTTTGTTGTGGAGCATAGTTGATAAGGGTCTAATAAAGGCATGCTACCCCTAACTCAAGTCTAATATTCATTGGTATTCATTAGATACCCCTAGTGACTTTTTACTCCTGTGTTCTTTGATAACAGAGGTGAAAAATGACATAGTGGTCCCATCTTGATACCTGGCTTAATTCTTTGGATTTTGTTGTGGAGCATAGTTGATAAGGGTCTAATAAAGGCATGCTACCCCTAACTCAAGTCGAATATTCATTGGTTTTCATTAGATACCCCTACTGACTTTTTACCCCTGTGTTCTTTGATAACAGAGGTGAAAAATGACATAGTGGTCCCATCTTGATACCTGGCTTAATTCTTTGGATTTTGTTGTGGAGCATAGTTGATAAGGGTCTAATAAAGGCATGCTACCCCTAACTCAAGTCTAATATTCATTGGTTTTCATTAGATACCCCTACTGACTTTTTACCCCTGTGTTCTTTGATAAAACAGGGGAAAAATGACATAGTGGTCCCATCTTGATACCAGGCTTAATTTTTCAGATTTTATTGTGGAGCATAGTTGATAAGGGTCTAATAAAGGCCTGCTACCCCTAATTTAATTAAATATTTATGTGGAAACTTTTTTGAAGCTTAAATTGGTATCCCTATGGCAGAATATGTAGTGAAAATTATCATCAAAACTGAGAAAATTTCATAAAAATTTTTTATCTCAAGTGACAACCCCCTCCAAAATTTGGCGTGAGGGATAACCCCTCCACGGGTCGATTACCCCTGGCATGCGACGTATGCTACAGTAGTGGCAAAAAAGTTCGAAATCATTATCCTAAGTAAGTTTGATGCGTGACCTCTTTCCAACAACAGAAAAAAAAACAATAAAAAAGAGGAAAACTACTTTTCGAAAACAGAAACAGAAGAAAAATGTGATGTTTTGTGGCCTTTATGACGTTTTTCTTTGACAAGAAGTCCCATTGGGGAACAAAAAAATCATTGGCAAAAATAGAAATAGAAATATACGAATTTTTGAAAAGGGGGAATTCATTTAATTGGCAAGGAATTACGAAAAAAACGAAGAAAAAAGAGTAGTAGTACAGATTTTACTCATTTTTTTGGAATAAGAAATGAAAATGAGAAAGGAAAGGGAAATGGAAAAAAGTAGAGTATTTTTGATAATTGGGAAAAAGTCTGAAGATTTCTCGGAGGGTCGGAAATTAAAGAGACATTCATCTTCTTCAAAAGTTCTGAATTGAATTTTTCAGCTAAATTCTAATTCGCTTCGAAAAATCCTAGAAAAGTTCCGATTTAAATTTCCGAAACTCGAGAGGTCTTCAGAAATTTTTGATAAATCATTTTTCGGTCTTCAAAGGCCGATCACAAAAAATCTTATTCAGCTCTTTTTCGGTAAGTCTGGAGCTGGCCAATCCTGAATTCTGAAGATCATATATGAAAAATCCGAAAGTTTCTCCCTATTTTGAAGTTTAAGTTTTTAAAATTCAAAAACATCCAATTTCAATTCGAATTTAATCTCTGAAAATGTTGGAAATGATTTGTAAATTTCTTTGAGTTCACGTTAAATAAATCATAATTTTTTCCACGTTGACAAAAATGTGGTATTTTTTGTTTCAGTTCTAATTTTATTTTTCTTCCTTTGTCTTGCCTTTCTCTATCTTCTCATATATGATGTTCTCGATGAAATCTTAAAATTTCCTGATTTCACGAAAAAAAAAAACCAAATTGAAAAAATAAACGAGAGAGTGTTGTGTGTAGAAGAGACGAGGAGAGAAGGAACGAGAATGAGAGATAGAAACGCGTAAGAGAGACGCCAGACAACACGACGATTTGTGATTTTTTTCCAATCTCAAAACCATTTTTTGTATTTCACAAAAAATGCTAAAATCGTTCATACTTGTCCAAATTTCACAATCTTTGCAGCAAAAGATGGCAAATTCTTGAGAATAGAGATGGCAAAAAGAAAAACCTAAAAAACCTTTCTACAAACACCAAAAAACCGTGATTATAGGTTTTTCGCCTTGATTTCCCCTGATATTTATAATATTCGACTTGCTTTCTATGAAAACTTTTAATGTTATTCATTTTCTATACAAAAAGATTTTTTAAAATGTTGTATTATTGCATTGCCAGCCTGAAAATTTTCCAAACCCCTCAATTGAGATTTCAATCTCATGGTTTATTTGTCTGGAATTCACAAAACTCTCCAAAAATCTTCCGAATATTCGGAATTCGAATTCAAAACAATTTCATAAACAAAAATGCGCCTCGAAATCGAAATTCTTCTCCTACTTTTTCTAATCAATTTATCCACCGAATCACGTTTTAACGAAGCAAGACTTACTGCAAAACTTCTATTTCACAAAATCTGGGAAGCCACGGGGCAGAATAATAAAAACAAGGCCGAGAAATATTTCGCAAATTCATTCTACTTCACCACTTGTGATATGAATTTCACACGAAGTTTTTTCGTGAAAAGCTGGATTGATGGCGGAACTCGGCCCGACGGAATTCATTTATATAATGCTGATTTTGTAAGGAAACATTAGTGGAATTCTAAATTTCCAAAATTAATCATTTCAGAGTCCCCGAGATAATTATACAATTCTAGAGTTTTCATTGAATTCACCAAAATATAATTCGGAATATTTGGCGAATAATAAAACGGGAAAATGGCGGATTTCCGAGGGAAGAACAGTACCACCAGATTTGTGTAGATCCGAATTTTTCATAGCCACATAACTCTGAGTTATTATAATAAATTGAATCGACTTTACTCAAAAATGGCTGAATTTTCAAGCTCAAATCTTCAGAAATTTTGAGTTTCGTTTTATTTTTAAGGAATTCTTTGAAACTTATATTTTCTCAAATGTTTTTGAAATTCAAAAAAAAAGAAAACTTTGAAAAATGTCGAAGCTCTCTAAAATGAGCAATACTTACAGATCGGAGGTTTCTTAGAAAAGTGGGCGTATTTTTCTGAAAGACAGTGCATTTAACCTTAATCATGCCATATTTTCCCACCCGGCAAATCAAAACAAATTCAAAAATTCAAAACATGCAATTCCCCCTCGTGTTTTCAGAAAAAATAAAAATGAAAATAAAAAAAATGTTTTCGAGTCTCGAAAAATTTGTTGTTTTTTTTCAAAAGAAAAATTGAAAATTGAAATGGAAATATCAGATGGTTGAGAACAACAATGCATCTTTCGCTTATCTTATAATTAGAAAACACAAATGGGATTTTTTTTCGGTGAGCAGAAGAGAGGAGGAGGTACTTTAATTATTTTTAGCACGAAATTTTTTGTTGCGAATTTGAACAAGGAAGACGTGTTGTTCGCATTCTTGTCTGATCTAAAAAAAAAATTGTGTTCAAGGGTACGAAAAAACGTCTCTCTAGTTAGTCCTAAAAAGACTGTTAGGCTTCAAGTTAGGCTTAGGATTAGAAAGCTGCTTAGGTTTCAAATTTGGCTCAAAAAAAACCTCTTAGGCTTGAGCTCGAGTTTCAAACAGTACCTCTTCAGGCTATAATTTTTAGGTTGTGCTTATCAAAAAAGTACAGTGTCCCTTGATCCACACTTTTCAGAACCTTTATTTTCAAAACCCTCCTTGTTTTTCTCTCTTTTCAAAATCATTCGCTAACAAAAGTACAAATTTCGCAAGTCAAGTACTCGAAAGACAAAATCTGGAATCTCGCCTATAGCCTTTTGACCGTTTTGCAATGTGCAGTTATTTTTTGAAGTGAAGAGCATTTCGCAACTCTCTCTTGACATTTTGTATTTGTCTTTTCGAAACAAAAAAGTGATGAGATGTGATAAATAGAAAAGTATATACTTGGGAGAAACAATACTTGAGACTGGTTTGTTGGGTGAAAAAATGGATGGATTCACGTGAAAAACATTTTGAAATGGATAGTTTCGGGATTGTGAAACTCCAAAAGATCAGGTCATGTGAAAAAAATTTAAAATTCAGAAAATTCTCTGTAACTTTTTAGAAGTCAGATTTTCAGAAGTTGGAAAATATGTTTCGAAAAAAATTTTTTGACAAAAAAATAATTCAAAAATTGTATAACCAAAAATTCTGAAAACAATAAGAGCGGAACTCCCCAGACACCTTTTTCTCAAAGCCAAAATCAAAAATAACCCGGAAATGCACTTTGCAAAAAATACTACTATTTTTTTTCAAAAATGATTCTCAATCTCAATTAGCAATCCCACGTAAAACTCTCAAATTCCCTGAGAAATCCGAACTCTGCGCCTAATTAACACCACCACAACTATCAATTTTCAAAAAGAGGCGAAAAAAAATTATTCATTAAGTAATCGACAGGAATTTGGACAAATACAAAAGAAAAAATGGAAAAAAATAAAATAATTTTAAATATTGACAATTTGATCCTTGGCAACTTGTTTTGGTGGAGCAACTCCAAGTTTCTCCACTTTTCTCGCGAGACTTTGCAGAGTTACAGTAACCGAAAACAAATCGCGGCCATCGAAAAGATCTACAGATTGGAAAGTTTCCTCGTCTTTAACTCCAAGTTTGCGAGCAGCTCCGGTGAATTGATTGATGTTTTCCAAACAGTTGAAATTCGAAATTGGTTTCATGATCTTTTTCACACTTCCAGCTTGAATTGCGTTTACTAATCTATAAAAAAGTGTTCAAAATTATTTTTTCTAAATTACACAAGCTCAAAAATGTAAGATGATCAAACCTCAAATATGTTTAAACTGTTTACTTACTTGCACAATCTTTGTCCATCTTTTAGTTGTTCTCTAAAATTATCACGTGATCCTTCAACATCGACATCTTCTTTGATTAAATCTCGAATCCACTCAAGAAGATAACCCGCCTCAATATCGTTGAATTTGCTAGCTTGTTTATCGAGAATGGCACCTGAAAAATAAACATATATCGATGATTCTTCGAGGGTTCTGAATCCCATCTAAAAATCGAACTTGTTCATTTAAACCCCCAGAAAATTTTACGTTTGATCCAATTTTTTCGAATTTTAATTCTTTGATCAGACTCCTAGGCCCCTAGAGATTTCCTTACCAGCCATTCCGCTTGGTCTTGGTCTGTGATAGCTTTGCGACATTGTATAGATAGATAAAAATAATATGAAATGGAAGAAAACGAAAAAATAAACACAGCTCCCCGGTCTTATCCAATTTATACCATCGAACACTGTCTGCTTCTCTCGATTCTCCTAATATCACATGTTATTTTTTGAGGTGATCCGTTTGATGTTGATTTTGTGGCGTGGGAGCCCAGCTCTCTCTTTGGTTTGGTTTTGTTGCTTTTGGATGAAATGTGAGTCACACTTGAGAAAAGAAAATACTACACAGGCAATTACAGATCAGCTTATTATTAGTCTATTATTGACTTATTTTGAAATTTGGCTTATTATAAGCTAATACGGTACATATTATTAGTCAAAAATCGATGAAATTTTCTAAATCTAGCCCAAAATTAGCAAAAGCCGTTTTATGATCAATTTGAAAGTGAGAAATAGGAAATTACATTTATCTAACAATTCTAGAGTTCAATCAGAGGTCCAGAGATCCCTAAACTTCAGACTCATATTTGACTAATAACAAGCTTATTAGTAATTATTAGTAACTTATTAGTCAAAAATAAGTCTAAATTTTAGGGATCTCTGGACGTCTAAAATTGTTAGATAAATGTAATTTCCTATTTCTCACTTTCAAATTGATCATAAAGTAGCTTTTGCTAATTTCGGGCTAGATTTAAAAAATTTAATCGATTTTGACTAATAATAAGTACCGTATTAGCCTATATTCGACCTATTTTCAAAATAAGTCAATAATAGACTAATAATAAGCTGATCTGTAATTGCCTGTGTAGAACATTGTTTTCTTGTAATACTGTAGCAGTTCAGAATTGGGAAAAATTACGAATTCTTTGGAAAAAAATTAGTAAACCCTCTTGAAACCTAAGAATTGAATAATTATTGGAAAATTCAGCTTCCGAATTTTTTGAAAAAAAAAACTCGAGGATTCACAATTGTCAGAGGATTGCCAGAAAAATTTTTCGAGTAAAATTACTGAAAAAAAATTCAAGAACATAAAATTGTTCCAGATCCAATATTTCTTAATCAGCGCACTTAAGTCAAATTTCAGGATTCAAATAGATATTATTTTCCAAATTCAAGGGAAAACCCATATTCAACATTTCCAAATTCCAGTTTGCTCCTGGAATTTCAAATTTCCCAGTGTATATACATTCTTCAGATTCACATTATAATGTGTCATAAAGATACTAAATTCATATGTACATAGCAGTCAAACATTCTATTTTTCTTATCAATTTTTCAACATTTGATCACTTTTTTCTTTCTCCATACTATTCTCTCACATATTTTATTCTTCATTTCTGCTCTCAAAAATTTGTTGACTGTTGTTTCAAATGGACAATCCGAAATTATTGCGAAAAATCAATCTAACCTTGATTCTGATAACATGTCAACTTATTCTAATCATCACTTTTGGCGGTGGTTGGTCTAGCACCGGTTTTGCTTTGATCCCATATCCTTCGGTAAGCTTTTTCTGGAAATTTCGGATGGCACAATATTTTTTATGAAACATTTTTTTTGGGTGAAACACTTTGAGCTCTAAATCAACAACCTTGTTGGTTTCGATGATTTTTATCATAAACTTTGAATATTTTTATGGCGCAAGTAGTATTGATAAGCAAACTATGCGAAACTAATAAACTGTGACTAATTTTTGGACAGAAAACATGATATACAAAGAATTTATGACGTGGCAAAGAGGTTTTTGAAATCAGAGTTCAGATTTCAAAAAGATCCAATAAACTTTAAAACTCAAGTTTTTCAGTGCGAAAAAGTGAATTTTTTCCAGTTATATTGGTGGGCATCAACAACAGCAATAATTCTATATATCGCCTTGGCCATCACATTTCTCTACATCGCGTGGCTTGTTGTTCAAGTCGTCTACCCGGATAAAATCCCATTAGATCTCAAAAATATCATGTTCATCGATATGATTGTTTCTGGAATTCTATCGTTGCTGTTGATTTTTGCATTCAGTTTCTTTGCTGGCGGATTCAATGGATCAACGTACAGTATTTTTCGGGTGAGATTTTATTTACAACTATGCAGCTTAATCGTATCTTGAAATTATTTCAGACTCTTGGATACAGTTTCTGGTTTTGTGTGATTGCTGCAATAACCGGGGTTGGCTCGATGATTTCAGCCGGTTTAGGATGGTTTAGATCATAATTTCTGAACAATTATTTACACGATGTTTATGTAATAAAAATATTTATAGATTTTTCCTTTCAAGAAATTATAAGTTATTCACAACGTTACAAATATCATACAAGTTTGATCAGATTTGATTAGAATTAGTAAAAAGCTTAATTAGCATCAGAAGTCATTTCAAGAAGTGCAGCAACCGTTGCTTCTTTATCTCCACGTCGTTCTTCAAGAACACATCGGATAACTTCTTTGTCAATCGATGGGAACATTGATTCGATTTCCTTGGTGTCTTCATCGGTGATCTCAACTGCTGAAAAATATTTGATTTATGAGTTTTTGAGGGAATTTGAGGAATTCTTTAAGCCCCAGAAAACTCACGTTGTGGTGGTGGTGGATTAACATCAGCTGGCATTTCAATTGGTTGAAACGAGAATGTCAAATGAATCATTCCCTCTTTTCCTTCTCCTTGTGGTCCACTCATTTGAAAATAATCATCAACAGTATCACCATTGAAAATCTCAGTCGGCAAAATAATATGAACCCACGCAATCACCTCATCTGGTCCAAACGCTTTCTCATCAAATATCTGAACATAAACACTCTCCACATTCATTGGCAAATATGCGTTGAGTGTTCGATTCCAGGCTGGCGATCGTCCACCACTTCCATCCACATTTGTATCAAATGCAACATTTCCGACTCGAACTCGACAATATGGATCCATTCGAACGATGCCATAATTTTTGACGAGGTTTGCTTCGTGGATTGTGATTGAGATTCGACCGCGAGTGTTTGGTGGCACGAAACTAACAAGGCGCGGTTGAACGATTTCGGGTTGCGCGACAGGTTCGGGAGCTGGAGTTGGAATGGCGAGACGGAGAAAATGTGGAGGCAAATCTCCAAGGAGACACTGGAAAGGAAATTTTTTTGAGAACTTCTCTCGAGAGGGAATTTCCAAAAAAATCTATAACTTTTTAGTTAAACTCTCAAAATGACGTGGCAAAATTCAACAAATAATAAACTTGCATGTAAAAATAGATTCCCATCCGGAATTTTTTTTATTTGGAGTTCAAAAGTTTCTCTCAAAATTCAGATTAAAAAATTCTTCCTAACAAAGAAATTCAAATTTTTTTTTCAAAATTTGCCACGTCATATCAAAACGTGCTCAGGAATTTTTTTGTACGAGTTCTGCACCTTTTTTGTACCCGTTCAACACTTTTTTGCATTTGTACGCGTTCAGTTCCTGATATAAGACAGCTAAAAAGACTGATCGTGTACACGCATAAGTTTGAAAGCGTACTTAATAGGACTGAACGCGTACAAATGCACAAAACGTGCTGAACTCGTACAAAAAAATTTCTGAGTGAACTAGTTCCACCCCATTTAAAAATCATTTCGAAAAAATTTCTATAATTTTTCTTTCCTTGTGAAAATGTGTTTTTTCTGTAATTTTTTCCCAAAAAACTTTGCCACGTCATAACTTAAACCCAGTTCAAGTGGGTGTGAACCCGAATTCCTAAAATATAACTTTCTATTATTTTCAAAACAAAAATTCGAGATTCAAAATTTTGAGGACGTATTTCTCAATGAAATTGATATTTTCAACACATATGTGAAATTCGATTCCATTTTTTCAAAAAAAAAAAAAAGAAAAAAAACTTCAAAATTCCCCGGGGAGTTTTTCAACGTCAATGTGTTTTTTTTTCGGGGAAAAAACCACAGAAATCCTCTTGGTTTTTCAATGATTTTTTTCAACCAAAAAAAATCATGACTCATATTAATCTATTCTATCTGTTCGTCATTTTTCTCTATGACCTTTACGAAATATTTATGTAAACATAAATATCGAATAAACTGATCATCAATTTTTTTCTGCAGCGTTCAATCGAATCAAAAAACATTTATTCTCACCTTTCTACGTCGTTCGGCCACAGTTTCAACAGACATTTTATGGGTGACGCTGAAAAAAGTAAAGTTTTTGTTTTTTTTGTTCGAGAAAAGTAATTGCATGAAATGAGCAGGGAAAATCGATGAGAGCTAGGCTAGACTAGAAATTTTGACAGCATGCAATTGCGCTCTAATTTTAATAACAACATTTTCAATATGAAATTGATGGGGCTGAAGAAGTTTGAGCACATCGAACAGAAAATCAGAATTTTTGTAGATCATTGAAAAATTAGAACCACAGTCATCTCCAGAAATTTTTAGAATTCGAAAAAATTCTATAAAAAAAAATTCAGAATCAGTTTTAAAAAATAGCTGTAGATCAAAAATTTTTACAGTACCCCGGGGGCTTTAAATGTTCAGAAACTTAATCTTATTCGAGCCAATGAAATATTACAGCAATAAGGAAACACTCCGGTTTTTCCAAAAATTCTGTGGATCAAAAAATACAAAAAACACATCCGGTGATACGAAAAAACACAAAAATTCTCACGGAAATTATAGAATCCCACAGTAATCATTCAGAATCCTCAATTACATTAAATCTCAATTTTACTCTAAAAAATTGCAAAAATATGTAAATACTTATTGACAAAAAAACCAAGCGAACCCCATAGTAAGAGTATTGACTCTTCTTTTTTTCCCCTTTCTCATCTCCTTCTTCTTCTTCATTACTTCTGCGTCTCTGACCATTTTGTCTCTCGTCTTCTCGTTTTTCTCTACCCAAACTCTCCCCATTTCCTATAGTGTTTCGTATTTCCGCACATCAGTATACAACTTTTCCATTTTTTGGCTTTTCTACGAATCCGTTTTTGTGTTTCTGTGTGACGCCGTTTTGAAACATTTGATTTTTTTTTTTTGGGAAACTGGGTTCATGAGGAAAAATCCAATTTTTATCAAAATAAAAAAAATTTGATGTGTGGGCGAGATACATTTTTGATAAGAAAGTGCACAAAACTTTTCAGAGTATCAAACTTTTATTGAAACACTGTGCTCTTTTCACGAAATGTTATTAGGTTCTAATTTTTTGAGAGATAACAACTAGATTTTCGATAACTTTTTTTTTCTCCAAAAGTATACATATGTGAGCTCGTTTAAATTTCAGAAATATGTATTATTATAGTTTGAAAATGGTCTGAAATATTTACACTATAATTTATACCTATTTTAACATTTTCAAAAAAAAAAATAAAAATTTAGAAGGATTATTTAGAACGAGAAAACTTGGTCCGTATTTTCGAAAAATTATTTTTGAATCTGTCTTTTCTAGGCATCCCAGTCGGTCCAAGTTTTTGTAGAATTAGAAATTATATTAAAAAATCTCATTTCGCAGAATTTCCACACAATTCCAAAAAAACTCCTACTGTAAAAGATCATTCGTATCAATTGGTCATATGTACAACCCTCGAAAATCAACCCTCGAATGTTTTACCCTCGTCATTTTGTACAACCCTCGTGTGTTTAACCCTCGGCATTTCAAAAATTATTTTTTTCATTTTTGAAATGATTTTTTTTCGGAAAAAACTTTATTTCTCCCTATGAAGATTAGGCTTACGATTAGGTTAGTGAACGTATCAATTTCATTTTCTCACAATTATCCTCATTCATTTTGCACCTATTTTTAGCGATGAAAATTGTTCTCTTCGTCTCCCTGTTTCCGAAAAAAAACTCAAAAAATAATTGCCGAACAATGATTTATAGGGATTTCACTTTCGCCTTCGTCTCTTTCATTTTTTCGTGTTTTCAAAAAAATATAGATTTTTTCTAGATTTCACAACAACAAAATGATGCAGGGATATGATTACGATTCAGATGATTCACAACCGACATCTTCAACGAATTGTGAGTTTTTCTTTGCAAGATGAAGCTAATAAGTATCTATGTCTAAATATAAATTTCGATAAGCGAACTAATAAAGTTTAGCCGACCGGAAATTGTATTTGCAATTCGAAACTAATCAGAATATGATGATTGAACACTTGATGAGATACTGTAGGAGGAAATGAATATTTTTTGACGTGCAGGTTACCAAAAAAATAATTGTGAGCTCAATTATAGAATTCTCGAGAGACTGAGTATTAGGAAAGCCTTTTTTATTATAAAAAAATATTCTGATAAATTTCGGTGGTCATTTTCTAGCACAAAAGACACTAGGAATCAGGGCCGGTCCAATTTTAAAGATTTTGAAATCAGAATTTGAGTCTAGAATCTGGTTGTTCAAATCTGATAGTCTAGCAGTCTAAAACAGCTAGATTCCTAGAAAATAGTTATCAGGAATTCAAAAATGGCCCAATTTCTTTTCTGGTCCGACTAGATTTTGGCTCACATTGGTTTGTTGAGTAAACTATCAAAAACTTTTCAAATCAGAAACAAATAACGCAACCGAACGCTATCAATTTTCAGCCAACAGTTCACCACTTTTCAATCCTCGCCCTCACATTGTCAAAATCGTGAAATCAAACACGGGTTTCGGGTTCAATGTCAAAGGACAAGTTAGCGAAGGAGGACAATTGAGAAGTGTAAATGGTGAATTATATGCCCCATTACAACATGTGAGTGCAGTTTTGATAAGAGGAGCTGCAGACACAGCTGGATTACGAAAAGGTGATCGGATTTTGCAAGTGTAAGTTATTGAAAAGCAATTCGTTTCAAAAATATAAAAATAAATATTTAGAAACGGTGCAAATGTGGAAGGAGCAACGCATCGAAAAGTTGTTGAATTGATAAAAAATGGGGGAGATGAGCTAACAATGATTGTTATTTCGGTGAATGATAATGAAATCGATCGATATGATTATGGAGAAGAGAGTTCGATAAGTTATACAAATGATTATTCGGAAAGTCGAAGTCTTCCAATTTCTGTTCCTTCTTACCATACAATCAATGATGGAATTGAGCGATTTGTTGTTTTCAATATTCATATGGCTGGAAGACAATTGGGTTCTCGAAGATATTCGGAATTTGTTGAGATGCATCAAATGCTCAAAAAACACTTCTACGATTTCTCATTTCCACATTTGCCTGGAAAATGGCCGTTCAAATTGTCGGAACAACAATTAGACGCGCGTCGTCGAGGACTCGAACAATATTTGGAGAAGATTTGTAGTGTTCGAGTTATTGCGGAGAGCGATATTGTTCAACACTTTTTGATGGAATGCGATCCGATGTGTGAGGTGGAGATTCGAATTTTGTTGCCTGACAATACTCCAATGTCAATTAGGACAAGAAAAAGTGTGTCGATCTCGATGTTCTATTCGTTAGTTCAAAGAAAGTTACATATGAGTCGAGAAGCTTCAGCTGCATGTGCTATCTACGAATTGTTAGATTCGAATTTCGGTAAGTCTCGAAGATTCTCGCCGTAATTAAATTATTGTAAACTGCGCTGTTTTTTAGTAAGTGAGGATTAAAATACGTAATTTTCAGATTACAGTATTTTACAACGTAATTACACACGTTGGTTTACTTGAGAAATGAAATCTGTCTCAAAATTTAGGGCACACTTGTAATAGTGAAAACATCTATCTAAAGTTTATAAATAAAGATCTGTTTGGGCTCCATTTTCATTCGGCTAATCCAAATTGAGCCCACCTCTCTCCTCTTCCAACCTAGTCAACATAAAAAATTTTCAGAGCGAAAAGTGATGGACAGCGAATGTGCACACGATCTCTACACCCACAATTATTCGTCCGCCTCTTCTTCCTGCCTTATTCTCCGAAAATTCATTTTCGACATTGAAAAAAGAGCGACAATTGTGTCGAAAAGACTTGATCTTCAAACATTTCTGTTTCCTTCAAGCAATTTCGGATATTCAGAATGGAAAACTGATCACAACACGAAAAAACTATCAACTAAAAGCGATGCAAAACGAGGAAAATATGGATGAATTATTGGAAATGGCTAGGGGATTGGAGGGATATAATCAGATTACATTTCCAGAAAGTCTGTGTGTTTTGAAAAAGTCAAAGAAGAATGTTGTCATGGTGATAAGATACAAAAATTTGTTATTGCGATCTAATGATGAGGTAGGGCCACGGATTTTATTAAAGAACTATTAACAAGAATTAAAAAAACAATTTCAGAACTCAGCTGATCTTGAAATCGATTGGTCAAAAATGTTGGAATTCCGAGTATCAGAAGAGGGAAACTCATTCTTATTTGAATATTCGCGTGAAGAAATTGACAAAAAACCAAAACTAATTCAACTCGAAACTCCTTTCGCAGAAAATATGGCAGAATGTTTTGCAGAAATTCAGTATGAAAGAAAGAAAAAAGAAAATGCAGCAGCGTCATCATCATCATAATTAATAGGCATCCGATTTCTATATACTTACTCAAGTTTGAAAAAAAATACACTTTTTGCTTTAATTTCTCAATTTTTTTTAATACTAACTTATTCTTCGACTGACTGATTGACAAAAAACCATGACAGGAATGAATTGAACTGTATATTTATTGTATTATCTTATCATTCATTCAGTTTTTCTGTGTGAAAAATAAAGTTTTTTCAACCCAAGTGCACTTTTTCTCGAAAAAAAAAGAAACTTTTATTCTGCAAGTTTGCGCCGCAGTGTTTACACTTTTTTCTGGCGCCGAACAATTTTTTTGAATTTTCCACATTTTTTTCATTTTTTCCCCTAAAAAAATCCTTCATCAAAACGATTTCAATTGAAAATTGTATTTTCAGCAGGAAGGACACGAATTTTATAAGAGACAGCCGGCATGTCAGACGAATTACGAATAGATTGTAGTGAAAGTGGAGGCATTAGACGGTTAGAACAATTTTTATCATATATACGTTTATTATAATATATACTTTTTCATTGATTTTTTCTAGAACCGGACCGTTTTCTCCAAGTCTACCACTATCAGTTAGAAAACAAGTGGCTCTTTTGAAAAATGTAAGTTTTTGTTGTTGTGAATGATTAGGAAAGTTAAAGGAAAAATTTGTTTAAGATGGATTCACCGAGTGCGGATGATGGTGGAATGTCCAGTGGAGCATCTACACCAACTAGAAAACGTCTCCCGATGGTAAAAATTTGAAATTTTAGGATTTTCGGGGAAAATACTGTAGCTTGTGCAAACACTGCGCAAAACATTTTAAATGACGCGCAGAAATTTTAATTTGTTCGAGAGCTGACAAGCAAAAGTAATAATTAGAATTATTTTCGAAATCTCGTGACTATTTAGAACATTTATGTAATTTTTTAAAACCTAACAAAAAAACATTCTAGGTGCTACGAAAAAACGATAAAGGCGAAACGTTTTTGCATATATATGCGAGAAGAGGAGACACCACAGAGACATTGAAAATAATCCAGCAAGGTGCAAATTTAAACGAACAAGATAATGCCGGCTGGACACCTTTGCACGAAGCATGTGGAAATAATCAATACGCAACCGCTGAGCTTTTGATAAGTCATGGTGCGAATGTGAATTTGAGCTCAACTGGAACCGGAGACACACCTCTTCACGACGCGTGCGCTGTCAAAAATCCACAGCTTATCGATCTACTTTTACGAAAAGGTGCGGACAGAAATATAAGAAATCGAAAAGGTGCACTTGCTATTGAATTATTATCCGAAGATGATGTTGAAGCTTTGAAAATATTTGAGACAGTTATGGCAACTTCGTCTTCATCATCGTCTTCCTCTTCTTCTTCAACAAGTTCAGTAATTTCAACAAATTCTGATAGAGATGATGAAGAAATTGAAGACGAAGATACTGGAACACCAGTTCCAGCGTGTCGATCAAGCGCTTTAATTTCATCAGAACAACCGAAAGATGAAGAAGAAATGGGATCATCATCGCCAGAAGGAAAAGATGCTACGGTAAGATATTTGCCCTCTAATAATTAGGGGAGAGCTGTGAAGGGGAGAAAATACGATTTTTCAGTTCACATTAACTACTTCACGTCGAGGAGTTTCAACTCGTCCAAGAAGAGCAGTTCGTGAAAAGGTGAGTTTTTTTCTATTTTTCTGGTCCCGAAGCTCACTAAATTCTTTTCCAAAATTCTAGTTTTCACCCGCTTTGCTTTGTAAGTTACATAATTTTAGAAATGATTTTTAAAAATATATAGAATTTTCCACGTTTTCCAAAAAAAAATACATTTCCACGTATGCCCTTTTTCATTTCATTTTCAATATTTTGCAGGCGCCAATCCGTCAAACCCGCAAAACACGTGGCTCCAGAGCAGCAGGTCCAACACGTCGTGGAGCACCACGAAATGCATCAAAAAGAGGAGCGGCAGGCGGCTATTATGCTGCCGATGAAAGTGCGCCCCAACGAACAAATATATCTGATTCAGCTGTGGTGGTCGCTTCGCTTTCAACAACAAACACTGCTGTTTCTTCGAGTGCTCCAATATCTGCAAGATTTTTGGGTAAAAGTGCGTTTTTTTTCTTGATTTAGATATATTAAAATTTGATTCTTTTGTTATTTGTTTATTTAATTTATAAAAGAAAAATCGATTTTTTGTAGAGTTCGACGAAATGACTACGGATGATCCATCGAAAAAGGGCAAAGATGTTTACGAATTTCGAGATGATGAAGATGAAGAAATGCCACTTGTTCGATTTGACACACCTTCTACTTCAAGTTCTTCAGCAATTCAAAATCCATTGAAAAGAAAATTCGAAGAAAGCGATGAATCAAGAAAAGTTCCACCAATTCGAATCAGTCTAAAAGAAATCGTTCAGAAAGAAAAACTTGCTGAAATTGAAGACCAAAAAAGGGAGGAAAATCCGATTGTTGAAGAAGAAAAAGCTGAAGTTGCAGAAAATGAAACTGTAGAAATGGAGGAGAAAATTGAGGATGTCCCAACAACAAGTGCAGCTGTGCCGGCGCCAGTCGAAGAAACGAGTTCTGGTTACGGAACTCGGAAGAATAGGGGGAGACCGTATAAGAAACAAGCGTTGGCAACGAAACCAGAAGATAAACGGGTTACAAGAAGCAAGGTGAGCTAGAGATCTAATTTTTGAGAGGAATTTTGGAAGTTTCTCAAACTGGAAAGCTATTGTCCAGCTGAAAATCATACAGTTTTTGAGCCTTATTTTCATCAGATCCTTCTTTTCAAAAACCTTTTTCCCACAGGTTCGCCAAGCTCCCGAAGAAACTCAAGAAGAAGTTCAACGAAGTGTTCGAAATCGTCTATCCTCTGTCAGAATCTCAACAAGTTCTGCCCCAGCTCCTGGCCCCAAACCCGCCACCGCTACAGTACTCACCGAAGGAGTCAAGGCTTCGCATATCATGTCACCGAAATCTAGTGTTGATTTAAAATCTCCACCATTTTCACGTAAGTTTCCTTCGAAAAGTCGCAATCAAAATTCGTGAATTTTCAGCAGCCTCTTCAACAAAACCACGTTTCAAACAAGTCGTCAAACATATTTATCAAGGAAATCCGGAAAGAACATATTTCACATTGAAACATTACACATTGAAAAAGTATCAATATGAGCAGCAAAAACGGAATAGTGTACCGGAGAGACCGATTATCATGAAAGAGCGAGAGTATTTATCGTATTTGGAGGCGAATGATATTCGATTCTGGAAATTTATTTTGGCAGACAAACCAGAACCGAGAATTATGCCTGAAGATTGTCCGGAAGAAATGAAAGAATTGTGGAAAACTATTGATGAGGAACAGTGAGTATGGGGAAATTTGAGAGGGGGATATTTTTTAATTTTATGAGAATACATTCAGGCATGTTCCTGGGGCCGGCCGGGCCGAGCCCGGGCCCTCATCTCAAAGCCATGGCCTCGGCCCGGCTTTCAATGAAATTGTGGGGAAAGCCAGGGCCGAACCCCGGCTCGGCCCGGCCGGCCCGTTTTGGCCCGATTTCAATATTTTCTCGTTCTTATCACTATTTTTTCTATGTTTTTCATTCATTAATTCTGACGTCAAATAATAGAAAAACAGGAAAATGAAGCAAATTGTTAGATATTTTATTCTAAAACGCCTGTAAAATCAATTTTTGTCAAAAAAAAATTTTTTTTTTACAACTCTGACACGATTTTTTCGAATTGTAATCCTAATTCACATGTTTGAAAACATTGTCTCGGTATTTTAGCCTAATTCTAATCGAATAGTGGACTTGCGAACTTGAGAAAAATAAGTGTGTTGTTGACAAAAAAATTGGAAGGGCCAGCCGGGCCCGGCTCGGCCCTGGCTGGCTTTTCAGGAGCCATCGAGCGAGAAGCCGGGCCGGGCCCTAAAGCCCGTTTTTTCCATTCGGCCAGGCCGGGCCGGGGCCAGCCCGGTCGTAGGAACATGTCTGGAATACATTTGTTCCTGGTCAAAAATTCAAAAAATAATAAAACGTGAATTTCACGTGACCATTTCATTTTCAGTTTTCATAATCATTTCCAACTGATATACATATTTTTCAGATACAAGTTATTGAATGAATGGAGAATCGAGAAAATTCGAATGAAAATCACAATTCAAAGAAGAAATGTTGAAACAAGAGATGATCGATGGGTAAGAAAATTTCCAAATATTTTAATTCTTCAATTTTCATCTTTTCTAGCGACACGAGCATGGTGATTATACTGTACGTCCAACGCTTTTGACACCACTTTTAAGAAGTTATGAGTGAGTTTTTCTTTTCTGAATTGATAATTTTTCCAATGTGTGTTTCTAGCGCTGGAATGTTGGAAAAAGCTGAAAGAGATCGTGAAGTTCCGACAGCTGCTGAGATGGAAAAATGGACAGAGGAACGGGTTGAACAAGTGAGACTGAGACAATTTTGTGTGGCTAGGGTTATGTATAATAAACATGTGAGTTTTGGGGGATCAAAGGGTCCGAGGAATTTACAAAGTTAATTTTTTTTGATAAACTTGGATTTTCGCTAATTTTAGATGATTTCAAATTGATGTTTCCTAGAGAAACCATCGATTTTGGTCCTTTGAAAGTCGAGTTCTCTGAATTTTAAAAGTTTCAAATATTTTGTTCGAAATATGTTTCTTTTTTTTTCAGAAAACGCTTTGGGAAATGGATTCAAAACGATTCCGAATTCATAAATCGTTTTATAAAAAACGGCTCGATGAATTTGTGCCGAATTTGGTCGAATTGGTCACTCCGCTTGATCCTGATTTGTAATCAATTTTTTTCAAACAAAAATTGCATAATTTTGTAATTATTTACATGTATTTATCTATTTTATATTTTTGCTTTACTAATGATACTCAAAAATTTTATATAAAAATTTCTATTTATTTTTTTTTATTGAAACTTTTTCGAGAGGTTTTGGAACCTTTTCCGTATTTTGAACCATTAATTTTTCTTTTTTTTAATTTTAAATTTTGTAGATGGTAAAATTGCAAGTTGAAACATTGCCAGTCCCATATTCTACGATTATTTTGCATTGTTTGAAATATCCATCGAATGGTGTTTTGGGATTATTGATTGGGCAGAAAAAGGGTGGAAAAATTACGGTGAGTAAATTCCAAACTTTCTCTTCAATTAATAAAGTCAACTTGCAGGTTTCTTCGAGTGTACCAATTTGTCATGAAGCAACTCCATTAGCACCAAGTTTAGAAATTGCCACTACTTTGGTTCATTCAAAGTTTGGAGCGCAAATTGTTGGTGTTTATTTTGCCAATAGCTCTGCAAATGATAAAAGCTTGAATCCCTATGCAATTCGTTTGGCTGAAAGAATTTCGAGCGTCACAAATTCTTCGGCTATTCTTATTCAAGTTATTAATGATCGTTTGATGGCAGATTGTGAGGAGGATAGATTAGTTGCGTATGAAAAGGAGACTGAAAATTGGAAAGAGGCAGAGTATGTAAACAAGTTTTGAATTAAATATAATCGGATTATCATGTGTTTTTAGAACGATGTTCCAAGGAGCTAATATTTTGAGAGGATTACAAGCCGCTATACAAAAGAAGCTTTATCGGGATTTGAACGACTTTGAGAATCACCTTGACAACCCGGAGATCGATTTTTATAATACTAATCTTGGCAAGAAGTTGGCGTCCGTTGCCGAACTGAGAGCTTAAATTATATATGGGTTAACTTGTTTTCCTCTCGTTTTGATGAATAAATTATTATTGAAAAACACAAAGTTCTGGAGGCAATACTTTTTTATCAACATGAATGAAAATGTTTTCAAAAATTGTAATTCTCACTGGGCACACACACACACACGGATGTAAAATAATTATTGATGGGGGAATTTTGCATTTATTCGTAGACCCATGAGTTGATGAATGGGCTGGCGTAGTCGTTGATCTCGTCTTGCTTGAACCAGTGGGCGATTTCGCGGTTGGCCGAGTCGACAGAGTCGGATCCGTGGCAGATGTTGCGTCCAGTTTGAATGGCGTAGTCTCCGCGGATGGTTCCTGGGAGTGAGGCCAATGGGTTGGTGGCTCCGAGCATGGCACGTCCTTGTTTGACGGCGTCAAGTCCTTGCCAGACCATGGCGACGACTGGTCCAGAGCTCATGTAGTCGATGAGTGATGGGAAGAATGGCTTGTCTTTCAAGTCTTGGTAGTGAGTCTGGAAAAATAATATGGATAAGAGAAATTGAAATTATGCAAGGTTGGATGGCCTAAAATTTTGAGGAGAAACTAACCTCGAGGTGGGATTTCGAGGCGGTGAGTTGCTTGAGGGCAACAAGTTTGAATCCGCGCTCTTCGAAACGAGCGATGATCTTTCCGACGAGTCCACTGAAAAATCGATTTTTTAGGAAAGAGGTGAAAAATTTCGAAATTTTAGGATCTTCTTGAAAAATAGGACTAGAAAACTAGCCAATATATATCACAAACATACCGGTGAACTCCGTCTGGCTTGACAGCGATGAAGGTTCTTTCAGTAGTGCTCATTTTCGGGCAATCGGACTTCGAACAGGTATCGTCAGCAAATGCGGCGACAACAACGACAAGTGAGGCGAGCAGGCAAACCCTCCAGCGCATTCAAAAACTACAACACACGCCAACAATTGTTACCGTATATAGGCGTGGTAAGACCCAGACTCCGCCCAATGTTGGCATTCTGCCCATTTGCGTTGGGGCGAACTTGAACGTTTTCTTGCGGTTTATTGTTTTTTTTGTTCGTTTTTTTGTTTTCCGCGGAAAATTCCGTCTCTCCCTCGAAAAAAACCGGTTGTCAAGCAACATTCCCTTTTTCTAGTCTCAAAAATCTATGTGGTTCAACACATTTTCATAATTTTGACACTGTTTGAAACAATAAAACATCGAAATGTGTCTGTTTTTGAACAATAGATTTTTACACTAAAAGACCATCACCACCATGTCATAAGTATAAATAATTTTCAGAATAGAATATATACTAACCGGTTCTTCTTATCTTTTCTTCTATGTTTAAACGGATACTTTAATTTGGTCGGACTAAGGTAAGTGTGTAAATATTGAAAAACTAAATATACACCCTGAATGTTTGTAGAGAGCAAAGTCTTTTTTGCCATTCAATCGTCTGACAACCTCGATGGAAAACGAAGTGTGAGTTTTTTTAAAACATAATTGTTGTTATTTGTCATAGGAAAAATAAATATTTCAGAGTTTTACCAACGAACGGAATTTTGAAAAAATGGACAAATTACATGGGCGGTTGGCAGGATCGCTATTTTGAAATAATCGATGGAAATTTGGTGTATTACAAATCGAAAAACGATAAATCTTTTGGTTGTCGTGGTAGCATTTTTCTGAAAAATGCCATCATAACAGCCAATGAGTTTGACGAATGCGAATTTTCCATTTCCATGGGCGAAAATGTTCAATGGTTTTTGAAGGCAGAAAATTCGCATTCAAAATTGCTATGGATGCGATCTGTCGTCCGAGAAACGGTATTTTTTTTCGCAAAAAAAACCTTTTGTGCTGTGTCAATATGTATTTCGGGTGGGCTGTGATTAACCCTTGTTTGAACTTTTCACGAACATCAGAATCAAAAAAAGTTGTGTGATGGGAAAAAGTGTTTTCGAGGGACTAAAAAAATCAATTTTTTTTTCTAGATCCAATCGGACTCGGATTATAGTAGCACTAGCACAAAATCGCATTCTCGAAACCCTTCCGTTTCCTCTGCAATTCTCCCAAAAACCGACGAAGATCCAACAAAAACACTAACCACAAAACTATCAGAACTCGAAGCATATCGAACAATGTGTAAAGATCAAATGGCATCAATTGAAAGATTATTAGAACAAGGCGGTGCCAGTTGTATTGTTCCACAACCATCGATTTTATCAATTAAGGCAACTCATTTAGCACTAATTGTTAACATTAATCATATTGTTGAATTGGTTAAATCGTCGAAAGTTGTGTTAGGAAATGATAAGCAACATAAAGAATTGTTGTGTGCGAAAGAAAGTATTGGCGGAATGGAAAAAGAGGATTGTTATGCATCGGATGACAATTCTACTATTGTAGCTAGAAATCAAGATCTTGATGTGGTGAGTTTTTATTCAATCCATATGAAGCTTACTCATAAATTTTCTAGACAAGTGATTGTGATGAATTCTACGATGCTGATGAATTTGAAGCTCGATCAATTAGATCTACCTCACCAGTTTCTACACCTCCAGCTCCAGAAACTCCCGCCAAACCAGAATTTCAATTCCGCCACGAGACCCCACACACAGGACATTATGACAATCTCGAAGTCTCTGATACCCACAATCTTTACTCGAAAATCGATAAACTTGCATTGGATCAATTGAAATACGCATTAGCAGGAGTTGAGGATAATGTTTGGACCTTGTTTGCTGAAGATGGTCCAATGAAAATGTATACAAGACAAATTGAGGATGAAGGTGGATTGCCGGTTGATCCATTGAAAGCAACACATTGTGTGAAAGGAGTGACTGCGTTGGAGTTTATGCATTATTTTTATGATGCAAGATATAAAATGCAATGGGATCATACATTAGATTCGATGAGTGTTGTTGAGAATATATCAAGTGATGCGGTTGTTTTGCATCAAAAACATAAAACTGTGAGTTTTTTCTTAGAAAATCCCATTTTATCTTACTGTGACGATTCCAGACTCTAGAAAATTTCACGTCAAATCCTTTTTTTCAGGTCTGGCCGGCTGCTCCTCGCGAATCTCTGTTCGTTTCGCATATTCGACGAGTCGATCATATGAAACGAGACGGTGCTCATGATTTGTATATAGTTTGTAACACAGACATCAAGAGACCCGATGTACCAGTGAGTTTTTCAAAGTTTTTTTCCCCGATAAAAATAGTGGCTAGAATGTTCGAGAGGATACTTGAGTAAATAATGAGTTTTTTTTGGAATTGAACATTATGGAGGCTATGAAAATATATTCTAGTCTGTAAACACTGGACCTTTTTTAGACTCCTCAAAAAAATGTTTCAGCTCGGTTCATCATCATCAGTTCGTGTCGGTCTAACCGTCTCAATGATATGCGAAACAATTGTCAAAAATCCGGAAAAAAGTCGAAAATTAACACGCGACGACGTAACTTGCAATATAATCTATGTCTCTCAAGTGCATCCTGGTGGATGGGTTCCAACAGCCGCACTTCGACATGTTTATAAAAAAGAGTATCCCAAATTTTTGCGAACCTTCACCGAATTTGTGCAGAAAAATGTGGCCGGTAAACCTGTATGTATATAATTTATTATTTGTTTTTTGCATTCGTTCAGAGAAAGTCAGACTTCTATTATTATGTGATAAACAAATTTGTCTCTTGTTTACGCCTACGAATTTTTTCCCTTGTTATTTTTTATGTGGTTTCCCAGTCCATTCGTATTTGTTATTTTTCAGAATATAATTTGCAGGTGATAATTTTTTTTTGACAGTTTTTGAACGGTCCGATTTGCAGGATGTCTAAATTGGATCTTTAGATTTTTGGGCGGAAAAACAACGGAAGAATTTCGTATTAAAAATTCAGAATCTTGAATTTTCAACGAATTCTAAGAATGGTGTTTCAGAATTTTTTCCTCAAAATGGTCCAATTCAGACATTCTGAAAATCCTCACCGACTCTCCCCCGAAAAATGCATTTCTTCCAGAATAATGACATGAAAACCGTTCAAAAATATGTGATTCTAGTGCTTCTACTCTTATTCGTATTTTTGATATGGGAAGAAAATAATATTGGAAGTGGTTATGTTTATTGGGCAAATCGATATCAAAATGTGATTTTGAAAAATATTACGGTTATTAGAAGTGAGTTCTCTTAAAATTATCAGCCTATAAATATCTCTAAAATCTCAGATTCTACATCAAAAATTAATATTGGAATTGTCATAATTTTACAAACTCAAGAAGATGAATCAAAGTATAAAATGGCTCTGGATACGGTTAAATGTTATGCACAATATTTTAATTATGATCTACACATTGTGAAAATTGATGAAAATTATGAAGCAAAGCAGAAGTGTCAGCATTCAGATGTACTTAAGTTTCTAATATTTTAAAAATTAATTAGCAATCAAAACATTTTCAGTTTATGTTCCGACGTCATTGCGTATTGTCGTATTTGATGTTTACCTCAAAAATTGCAAATGATTGGGTACTTTTTGTTGATGCTGATATGGCTGTGATCAATCCAAACAACTTGATCGAAAAATGGGTTCTTCCGTATTCTTCTAAAGATGCCAAGACAAATATCATATTCTATAATCGAATTATGAATCATGAAGTGATGGCTGGCTCATATTTAGTCAAAAACACCAAATGGTCCCAAGATTTTCTCATGTTCTGGGCGAATTATCAACAAAAATTGCCGCATTCCTTCCATGGAACAGATAATGGAGCAATTCATGTGAGCTTTGATTTGTTTTTTTTTTTTTTGAAAATGTTTTGAATTCTATTGCAGAGTGTGATAATTGAGTATTGCCTCCCCGATAAATCGAAGCAACGGGAGTTTTGCGAGAATAAATTTTGGAAAACGTCCAGAAATTATCACGATTTATCGGAATATGAGATTTGTTGCCAGAACATTTTGAACTCGACAAAAATGGAAAAAGTGGAGATTTTGAGAAAAGGCCGATTTTCGTGGGCTAGAGATGGATGGCTGTCGAATTCATTGTGGTCCGATCAGGATTTTATTGTTCATGGTTGGCAGGAAAGGTTAGTAGGCTATAAAATGTGCTGAAAATAATTTTAACATGATGATAAAGTCAAAAAAAATCTATATAAGCTTCTAAATATAGAAAGATTTTTCCAGAAGAAAAGACAAATTGATATTCGCAATGTGGCATTCTCCACTGATTGATTCAAAATTCGATCTCTCACTTTGCTCAACTTCAGAAGCTCACAAAAACTGGAAATACAAGGACACTTTCTATACAACTAACCTCGATGTTAATCGAAGAATAACCTCTTTTATTCAAAATTTGGAATAAATTCAAAGTTTTTTTGTTTGATTTGATTGATTTTTCAATTGGTTTTTGAACCAATTTCATATATATTTTTTGTAACCAGTATCAATTTGTTGCCAGCTGAAAGAACGATTTTATCAAACTCACTCACGTGATTTTACTGCAGTACAGTACTTTGTTTAACGACATGTGATAAAATTGTACTTGACATCATTTCTGAAAAAAAAATCAAATTATTTTTTTTGCGTGAACTTTGATCGATATCATCTGTTTGTTCATTTCTCTATTCCTCTTCATCTTTATTTCGTTGTTCGATTCATCCAATTTGTGTTGATTTTTGTATTTTCTTATTTGTGAGAGAATTTCGGTGAGATCTTTCCACAAAAATCAATATTTCTTTGTAATTGGTTTTTAGTCCGGAATAATTGATTTTGAAAATATATTTTTGGTCTAAAAAATCCGTTTTTCAAAATTCTGAAATTTCTAGATTCCTTCAAAAATTAAAAACTTCTAAATCAGAATATGATTATTCCAGTATGAAGAATCCAAACCCTTGTGGAATAGAATTAGTCATTTTCAGACAGATATTTTTTGATTAAAAATTATTTCAGAACTCTGATTTTTGTGCTACAAATTCGAAAATCGGACTAAATCTAGACAAAAATTCAATTTTATCTGGATTCAGTCCAATTTTCAAATTTAGAGCACAAAAATCAAAATTCTGAAATAATTTGTAATCAAAAAATATTTGTCTGAAAATGACTAATTTTATTCCAAAGGGATTTAGATTCTTTTCAGGAATAATCATCATTTAAAGGGGGACTCTGAGATAAACGCATGTTTTATCCATCCTAAAGCTATTCCGTCTATCATTCTCACTCCGTTTGAGAAAAAAAATATCGAATCCCAAACCTAAAGAAAGAACGAAAAAAATTAAAGTGTGTGTCAACACCGACTGGTCCGCAAACATTTAATCATACGCGCTGACGCGAAAAGGCGCTGCAGAATAGAAAACACGCTGCTCGCCTATTGTATTTTTTGGGGATCCCAAACCTAAAGAAAGAACGAAAAAAATTAAAGTGTGTGTCAACACCGACTGGTCCGCAAACATTTAATCATACGCGCTGACGCGAAAAGGCGCTGCAGAATAGAAAACACGCTGCTCGCCTATTGTATTTTTTGGGGATTTTTAAAAATGGGAACCCCCCCCCGGATTTTAAAAGGGACACGTTAAATTTTAAAAGGGACACGTTAAATGTATGAACATTGGGAACCATGAGAGTCTTTCAAGCTTTGCTTTTCCCAGGGAGAATACTAGTTTTGTGTGTGAGAAAGAAAAAAAAAGAAAAAAATCTGTGAACATTTCTGGCACGCGAGCTTGTGCGCTCTAATGACAACGGCGGAAAAAATAAGATTCAAACTGTTTTTTCTCTTTTTTGCAGTAATTTCTCACAGAAACCAGAAGAAACAGGAGTGAATTAGTGGTTTTCGTGAGTTTAGAACGTGAATTATATTTTTAAAAAAATTTTGAATGAAATTTCATTAGAAATCGGCAGGAATCAGTGAATTTTTGAAATTAGGCGGTGATATATTTTAATATAGTTGTTTTGAGCTGAATTTTGATAGGAATGTTGCTTATTTCCATGGAATATTACTGAATTCTACGTTTTTGTGTTTTATTCCATCATTTCCCAAACAAACACACTGCGAACAACTTTTTTGAAAAATAAAAAAACGTGCGCGTCAATTAAAATGTGTGCTGTGCACAAACACACAAGGCGACGCAAAACTACACACCACTTTTTCAGATTATTTCGGTGACCCCCTTTAATCAGAAGTCTTTAATTTGTATATTCTTGAAATTTCATAAAATTTTGCGACTGTAAATTTCACAAAGAATTCCATCGAAATTTTAAAATCCCGGTTTTTCCGAAGAAACTTGGCCATTCCCAAAGACTTATCAAGATGTTCTGGATTTCCAGACCAACATTTCTAGACAAGTCTAAAATATTTCTTGATTGTTTTCCAGCCAACTCGTTTTTAGCTGATTCATCATGCTCTATTCAATTTCAGAGTGCAATTCTCTAGAGCCCTCCTCCTTCCTTCCTTCCTCTTCCCCTAGTTTTTCCGTTTCAATACGATTAATCAAATACGTACATGTAGGAGAAAAATGACGAAAAGCCCGATAAATGTTCTCGGTGGTTTTTTCACGGTTCACATTTTTTTTTGCTTGTCTCAAGTACATTTTGAGGACAATTGAGGAAAGACGACAGACAGCCCCCCAGCGACTCTGCGTCTCCTCAATTTTTCGCTCAATTTCACCTCTTCTTCTCTAGCCATTTTCTCTCACTCACTCTCTCGTTTTTCCAATCGAACTGGAATTTCTTTTTCGTTTTTCTTCGATTGGACAAGTCTGTGTATACAGACTGACGCTTTTTTGCTGTTTCCTTTGATTGCGATGTCTTACCGTGAGAGAAAGACACTTTTTGTTGGAAAAAAGAAGGATTTATCGTCTTATCGATTTTTCCTCAAATTTTAGAAAAAATGATTGTAGATCAAATCAAAAAATAAATAAAAGCCATCCAAAAAAGTCCAAAAACCCGCGCGATTTTTTTGAATATCATCCAACCAAAATCGATAGGGCCTGCGCAGGTGTCTATGATTTTCTAATTTATCATCCTGAGCTTTCGCGCATTTTTCTTTGTTTCTGCACATCTGGATCTTTCTGTCTGCCCGAAAATTTCACATCTGCACTTTTACAATTGTAACTTTTGGGGAAATGTATATTTTTGTGCTTCTTTGAAGTGAAAATCAATAAAAAATGTTGCCAGCTGAAATTTCTAGAAGCCTTTTATGAATTCTGACTCATTTTTAATCAATTTTTCAGAAGAAAAAATCATTTTTCATCATTTTCTAGCGTGACAAAAGTTTTTTTGGAGAGAAAAAAAATTGTGTCAGCCACTTTTTTCTAACTGACATCTGGATGTCTATTTTACATATCTAGAGTCTGAACAAAAGTTCACATCTGTAGCATATAACAAAAATGTATATATTATGCGAAAATATTGTTCTGCCTTTTGTGCGCAGTTCAAAAATCTTTCTGAAAAATTGATTTCATTTTGAACCGCCCAAAAAGCGCTCGAATTCTTCATCAAATTTTTTCGCGTGAAAAATCTCTTTCTGGAATGTTTATCGATTTTTGCGCCGCCCATCGTGGCTTTCGTCAGAATTGTGCCCTTTTTCTAGAAAAAAAAATCGAATACACACATCTGGCCATTTTCGTCCTAAAAAGTCCCTGCATCTGGACTTTTGTCACAAAATCGTAAATACAAAAGTATATATATATATATAAAACCAGTTACGAAATTTGGTCTAATTCAAAAATCACATGTGTTTTTTGTTTATGATAAATGATATTTTTTGTCGAAAAAAAAAATGATAACACATTTTGATTTTTCATTCAATTCTCACAAAAAAACTTCGTTTTTCGTTTTTTCTCTAATTTTCTCTGCTTTGTCGTGTCTTGATGTGTCACTTTTCTCTCTTCCTCGTTTTTTTCCCTCATTTTTTGCCTGTCTTTTTTCTTCTTCTTCTTCACGAAATCGATTTTCTATATTCTATATTACAGGTTGTTACGCCATGGCGTGCCTTCGTAAACTCAAAGAGGATATTGTTCTATTGGAGAGAATCTTCCCAAAACAACATCAGACTTTTCAGGTAATTTAGAAATTGGGGAAAAAGTTTTGGCGCGAAATATTGATCTTTTTGATATTAAATTAACATAAGGCTAGGAATATTTCTAGCGCTAAAAATCGAAAATTTGAATTCAAATTTGCAAACCGCCAGATTTTTCAATTTTTTCCAAATCTATTAACCCTCAAAATTATTGCCAATTTTCCTTCAGATTCTGTCTGCATCAGTTGACGAGATCTCAATGAAATTCATCGATTCAACCGGTCACTCAGTCATCATCAATGCAAACATCCAAGAGAACTATCCTCGTCAACCGCCAATTTGGTTCTCCGAATCTGACGATGTTCCAGCAATCGGAGCCGCACTTCAACGTCTCACTGAAACCAACGAATCAACTAATATTCTTCATCAAGTCCATCATTTAGTCTCCGAACTCTGCTCGTTTTATCAAATTAATATGCCAGTCGAATTACCGCAAATTGCTCCGCCAGCTAGAGAAGATGTTGATGAAGGGCAAGGAAGTGATATGGGAGATGAAACTGAAGATGATTATGATGGAATGGCAAATGGTGATACTGATGAGGATGAAGTTGAAGAGGAAGAAGAAGAGGAGGAAGAAGAAATGATGGAAGATGATGATGATGGAGATGTTGAGATGATTCAAATGGCTGAAGAAGAGCCAAGAAGTTCACAAGATGAAGGAGTTTCGAAAGAAGGTTTAGAAATGTTGGATAAAGTGTCGAGAGTAAATCGACAACAACATTTGAATGGAAGTGTACAAGGATCGGTGTCAGCAACTGATCGTTTGATGAAAGAGATTCGCGAGATTCATAAATCCGAACATTTTCGAAATGGTATTTACACATTTAATTTGGATAATGAGGGCGAGAATTTGTATGAATGGTGGATTAAATTGCACAAAGTTGATGCGGATAGTTTGCTGTTTAATGATATGAAGACTTTGAATGATGAACATAAACAAGATCATATTTTGTTTCATATGACGTTTAATGAGAATTTTCCATTTGATCCGCCCTTTGTGAGACTTGTCGCACCAACTGTGAGTTAAAAAAAAATTCGAAACTTGTTTTTAAGGAGGGCATTTTTCAGAAGATCCGAAGTTTCTGAAATTTTTTAAAATGCAAATTCCAAAAAAAATCACCGTTCATCCCAGAAAAACAAAGTTTTGAAACATCAAATTTGTCTTCGTGATAACTACACTTTATAAGCTTGGCAACTTGTTAATTTCTAGACGCGGGTTCTAGAGAATTCGGTTCTCTAGGCTTTGCTACTTGATCTAGCCGAGATGTTATTTTCAAAACCCATATTTCTTCCTTTCCAGATTGTCAATGGATTTGTTTTGGGCGGCGGTGCAATATGTATGGAATTATTGACAAAACAAGGCTGGAGTTCGGCATATTCGATTGAAAGTGTCATTCTTCAAATTGCCGCCACACTTGTCAAAGGAAAAGCGAGAATTTCGTTTGATACATCGAAGAGTGGCCTTAAGGTAAGATATTTTGATATGAAAATGTAATTCTACAGTAGTTTGCCAGTGAGAAGTTCATGTTTCAGAATTAATTTTTCGAAGTTTTTCTGGAATTTATAATTTTCTCTGGAAACAAGTCCTTTCCCATAAAATTAGAGCTCAAAATCTAACACATCTGGAAAGCCGCAATTTTCGTAGAGAAAACTTATAATTTTTGTGAAAAAAAATCATTTACCAGAAATTTTCTAAAAAGTTCCAGATTTTGTAAAAAAAATAAAATCTTCATTTTTTTGCAGTCCCACGCGAATTATTCATTCGCCCGTGCTCAACAATCATTCAAATCACTTGTACAAATTCACAACAAATCCGGCTGGTATACACCACCAAAATCTGATGGATAATGTAACTAATTTCAATCTCTCCACCCAACAAAAATTCAAATAATCAATTCACATTACATGAGCGCTTTGTACTCGGTTTTTTATTCATTTTCTAAAAATTTAAATTTTTCTTCCCCTACTATTTGTCCCCCCTCCTTTCATTACATTTGTCGGGTTCCGCGTTTTTTCTTATTTGGGTCCTGAATCGATTGATTGATTGCCCACACATTTTTTTTCTCCTTTCAACAATTTTTTTTTGGGGTTTTTCAATGTCTAGTTTTATTTTGTATCGTATTTTTTGTCTAAAAACCCCAATTTTTCACTAAAATTCATTTGTTTTCACATATTTTTTTTTCTCCAAAACATTCCTGCATCTATGTATATTTTTTATGATCTGAACGGTTTTGTTTAACCCGTGTATACACTTCTTTTTTTCAGCATAAGTATTTTATTTCTGACTCAAGCACAAAAATAATAGAAATCTAACCAGTTGAAGGAATTATTGCAAAAATATTGTTGTTTTTTCGAGATCAATAAATTAGGTGAGTATTTTTTTTTAGGAATAGGGGAAAAAGTAGAACATTTATTGGAGAGATCGAGAAAAAGTGAATAGAAGCCGGTTGGTTTTTCCTCATCTTTTCATATTTTCAACCTCTTTTTGTGTCTTCGAATTTTGAAATTAGTTGAGGCAATCCACTGACATCGTCGAGCTGTAAAATACATTTAAAAAAAAATATTTTTGAGATTAGAAAATGTAGTTTTTACTACATTATAAGGTTTTGGGAAATCTGAATTTAGGCTAAATTCTGAATAAAAAATTTAATTTTTTCTCGAAACTATTGCTCAGATTAGAGAGTTTGTAGAAAATTTCCACGTAGCATGTATTATTCAAAAAATCTACTGTTTCTAATTTCTAAAATGTCATTTTCCGAGGGGTTTAAATGCAACCACCGAACACTTTTTCCGAGAAAAATCCGCAAAAACTTGCGATAACTCACAAAATAATCGGAATATTCTTTCAAAGTATCTCTAGTTCCAACACCAGTCATAACAGCAACACTTGCACGAAGTCCCGCCACTTTTCCCATCTTCAAATCAGCAATCGTATCGCCGACCATCAGCGCCTCCTTCAATTCCACATTCAATCGTTTGCATATTTGAATTGCACAATGTGGCGACGGTTTTGGCACAATTCCAACATCATTTCCACAAACTACGTCATCCAAGAAACGTGTCACGCCTAATTTGTTCATTTGATCTATTGTTGCTGCTCTGCACAAAAGAAAAGAGATTGGTGATGACAAAAAAGGGAGTCATGTGGTTGGGGGAGATAATTTGGTGAGACCAAATCTAAACTTTGAACTGAAAACACAAAATAGTAAAGCGTTGCGGTCACGCGCTGCGTGTTTTATTTTCCATTTTTTTTTTAAATTTTTCGAGGAAATTTCGAAAATTGAAATATTCTCAACTCACCGTGAATCAGCTGTACAAACGGCAATCAAAATTCCCATACTCTTCAAAACCTCGAACAGTTTCGGCAAATCACAAACCGGCGCCATTTGACCTGGCGACGCTTCTGGTACACAACCCTGAACAATCGAATCGGCTTCGGTCGGATTGATTCCGAAAGTTTGGAGAGTTAGCGAAACATCTTCACGAATTCCGGTCAACGTTTTTTCGGCCAATGCGCCCATTGAAACCTGCAAAATTCACAGAATTGTTAAATTCCACGTCATCACGCACTATTTCCAAATTCAAATTTTCCCACCCTCCCTCTTTCTTCTCTTCTCTTTTAATCGCCATAGTTCACCCAAACCACAAGCAAAAATCAAATTCTATTCCCATCATGAAATTTCATCCGTTCCTAATGTATTCAAGATGAGAAAAAATATCTTTGGCGCAAAGAATGACGCAAAAAAGAAGAGAGAAAGTAATTCAATCCCAGAAGCTCAAAAAATCTCACCTTCCCCGCCAAAATATCGACACCCAGTGTTTTATAAACAGCTGGTCCCACGTTCAATTTCGTCGCTTTTTCGAGCAATTGCACAGTGTTCTCGGCGTACGGTAGCCACATTTTGTGAAAATCCAAAAGTGTTCCATCTTTATCGAAAATTATCAATTTCACTCCGTTGTTATTCAATGTCATTTTGAGATTTGAGTTAGTAGAACTGCAAAACACGAAATTTTTTGGGGAAGGGAAGAAACTCGGAGAAAATACGTTTGAAGAGTTTTTGCAGGTTTAGGGGAACTATAGGATTTTTCGAAATTTGAAACATAGACAATCACATTTGCTCTATCGCACACATAATTTATTTGTGTAGGCGCGGCTCCTTGACAACTAGGATGTCTAGGTTCGGCCACTTGTCATAACAGTTCTCAAGGCGCGGGTCCTTGCCAGAGTCGATCTCTCGGTGGGGAACCTAGACAATTGTTTTCTCTAGGCGCGGCTCCTTAGCAACTAGGATTTCTGGGTTCGGCTACATGGCGGCTCTAATAATGCTCTTCAAAGTTTAGAATAAAAAATTTGAGGCACAATTTTTATTTTTGAAAACCAATTCGGATTTTTCCCATTCATAGCAGCGAAAAAAAAAACGCGTGGAGAAATCAAAAAGCTATCCAACATGAAATATTTATAATTTTCTATGAAATATATTTGCGGAGAAATTTTGTGTGTGTGTGTGTGTGTGTGTGTCACTGAAAACTAAAATAAAATAACATTTGACACCTATTGGGTAGTTGGGTAAATGTTGTAAGCCGAAATTCAAATATTTTTTTTCGATTGATCAATAAAATTTTTTTTTGTTTGAAAGCTTGTGACGAATGAAGATCAAAAGTTCCTATGAAGCTAGAAAAATTGAAAAAAAAATAACTGAAGTGGGTAGGGCCCAAAATCAGGCTCTTTTCCAAGCTCCTAACCTTTAAAAATCCCCCCTGATCCATTTTTTTTTTGGAAATCCCAAATTTTCTCACCGTTTTCTAGTAGGCTGGTTAGTTGAAATGCTCAGGATTGGATTTTTTCTCACATCTCACACACGTCTCGATTTTTTTTTTCGATTATTTTTTTTTCGCGTTCTATTTATTTTTTTTTATTCATTTCGTACCCACAAATTTCCGAATAGAAAATCCCATTTTTTTGTTGAAAAATAAAAAAATGCACACACACTCAATTAGAGACTATTCTCATTTTCAAACTAACTAACGAAAAAAAAATAGGGTGAAAAAGAAAAAAAAGTATCCTATTTCGAATGGGAAAAAAACGAGGAAGAGCAAGAGCGGAGCAAAATTCCAATTAAAATTTCAAGCAAATCGAAGAAAAACTATAATTATTTATATGTATATCACAGATATTTAGCCTAACTGCTTATTATTTGGACGATTTATTTTTTTTAGTCATAAGACTCATGTTTTATTTCAGAAAAAAAAATTATTTGAAAAAAGTTTCACGCGGGTGGGATCGAACCCTGGCTTTGCGAATGCAAAACAGTCGAGTATATCACCTTACCCTTAAGCTTTTCAATTTTGTGAAAATTGTCGAATATAAAATGCGCGCAAGTTTAAAAATTCTCAAGAAACAAAAAAAGCTGAAAAGACAAAAAAACTGGCGAAGAATAAGATTTTCTTCTCGTCTTCGGGGACTACAACAACTTTTTTTTCGAGCCAACAAAAATATGGGCGGAGCTTTTGCATTTTCGTTTTTTTGTTCTGCTTAGCTCCTCCGCAAAAAAAAGAAGAAAAAAGAAAATCAAATTCGAAAAAAGGAAGACGTCTTCTCTCTATTCCCCCTATTTTTTGGCTCGTCGCCACAAAAATATACGCTTGGGAATTTTGAGAAGCCTATGACGTGGCATTTGTGTTTCAAACGATCATTGGATAATTTTTGGATGATCCTCTGGAAAATCTGATTTTCTTAAGAATCTGGAAAATTTTTATTTCTTGGGAAGAAATCGAGTTTTCCAAATTTGCAAATCAAATTTATTACATTTTTCTACAAAACACTTCACTTTTTTTGGGAAAAAAAAGAAACTTGAGAAAATGACGTTTTGGAAAAAACGTCTCTTGGGAAAATTGAAGACATAACATTTTAAAGTTTCGTTTTTTGGGATATTTGAATTGGAGTCGAGGAATTGGGCCAAAAATGTGATTTGTCTAGAAAAATTCATAACATTTCGATAAGTATTTGCCGAAATATGGAACCACGCGCGCTGTCGTCAACGCGGAACCTCGTTGTTTTTTGGAAATTGACAATTTGCATGAAAAATTGAATGTTTAAAAAATTCAAACCACGCGCTGTTGTCAACGCGGAGTCTCGTTGTTTTTTTTTTGCAACAAATTTTTTTCAATTTTTTTGTAAAATGACAATTAGCATCTGAAAAACTATTTTTTAGGGATTAAAAAAATCGAAGCTTGAAATTTTTCCAGATTTTTTTGTTGAAAAGCTTGTCTAAAACGAGCACAATATTTCAAGAATCTGCGAGCTTGAACGCATAAATATTTCAAAATATTCCCACACCTCTTCCATATATTTTTCGTTTTTCTCTATTTTTTTTCTGGAAAAAGAAAAAAATGGATAGAAAAAATCCACGGAAATGTGCTCGAAATTGGCCAAATTTCTTTTCAGATTGATTGGCTAAATTATATGGTTTTGAGGAGAAAAAGAAGAAAAAGAAGAAGCACGTGAAAACTTTTCGAAGAAAAAAGCTGAAAAAAAATAATTGTGAGAGGGGAAATTTCTCGAAAATTGCTGGGAATATCAGAATTTGAAGCTTCAAATTGCTGAGAACTTTAGAAGATCTAGATCAAAAATTTTTAGATTTATATATTTTTTCAAAGTCTACTGTCGTCAACGCGAAGTGTCGTTGTTTTCTTTTTTTTTGCAATTTTTTTTATTTTTCTGTAATTTTTTTTATAAAAAGAAGTTAGCAAGTTTTCTGGGGATAAGAAAAAAAATAAATTCATTTTCCAAACCAAAAAAATTACAGCCCAATTTCTCTCAAATAAATAAAAACATTGAAAATCCAACAACAATCCAGAAATATCTCAAAGTAGATGAACTGTTGAAAACATTGTTCCTGAAAAAAAATCCCAAATTTCCCAGAAATCTAAAAAAGTTCTCACCAATCATTATCATTTTGAATTCGAATCTGTTTTCGAATAATTTTCATCGTTTCCCGATTCAATTCTTGATCATTTCGATCGCAAGTTTTGATCCATTTATTCAATTTTTTAACCTCTTCCGATCCGGCGGCAAATCTCAAAGGCAATCCAAGAACTGCCACATAATCGCCTTTTTGACAAACTTGAAGAGTTTCAGTGATCTGAAAAAAATCAGAATTTCTGGAAATTTCTAGAAATATATATCAATAAACCTTGCAATCCAAATGATAATGTTTGGAGCAGATAAAATTATAGAATTTCAAATTCAATTGTTGCTCAATGATTCCATGAAGTCCAAGATCGGGTTCATGAGTTGTTGAAGTTGTTGTGGGCGCATCTTTTTGAAGTTCTTGTTGATGTGGAGAAGTTGTGAGATTCAAGGGAGGAGCAACTGTTGTAGAGTTTCCTGCGACTGAAAAATTCATGGGATTTTTTTCGGGCTTAGATTGCTGTTAAGTTCTAGAATTTCAAAAATTGAGAAAATTTTAACTTTTTAAATAATTTTGTCAAATTTTCACATCGTTTTTTTTGCTGCCAAAATTTTTAAATCTTCAAGTTTCCACGTGGATTATTGGCGCCAAAATGTTTTTGAAAAAATTCAGTTTTTGAGTAAATTTTAAATTTCTTGAATGCGAAAATCCTCGTGGAAACTTGAAGATTTAAAAATTTTGGCGCGAAAAATCCACGTAGAAATTTGAAACTTCGAAAAGTAAAGGTTAAAAAGAAAATTTTTTAAATCTTCAAATTTTCACGTGGATTCTCTCATTCAGAAAGTTTATTTCAAAATTGCTTCAAAAACTGTTAGAAAAAATTCTTTTTTTCAAAAGAAAATAATCTTTGCCACATAATAACCCAATTTCCATCGCCACGTCATCGCGGAGCATCGTTCTCACCTTCTCCATCCGCCAAAACAATTCCAAAAACAATAAATGCAAAATACAGTAGTCGCTGACAAGACATCTTGTGAGAAGCAAATAATCGAATGAACCGCTTCCCAGCCATTTATATTATGCATAATAATCAAATAATATTCACAGCTACAGTATCTTCGTGTAATAATATGACAAAAATAAATTTATTGATCAGCGGGTAGGGTATTTCAAATAAATGGGGGAAGTAAAATAAATGAAACCGTAAATATCGATGAATTTGGGCAGGCACAACTAAAGTAACACACAAAAAAAGTCATTAATTAATTAAAGCTAAAGCTATTCTACTTATTATAAAATTTCTTATTAATATATTGAATGGTTTTCAAAACATCAAAATTCAGTTTATTTTCGAGATTATAACTTGTCTCTTCAACTGAATCAAGTTTCAATAAATCTTGAAAATGCAAAACCATATTATCGGCAATTTTCGAGTTATCCGAAATCGTTATTCTAAATATTCCTCTTTCTTCAGTCGATGCAATTTCAACATTCGTTTTCTTGTTGGCTCCAGGATATTCGAGCAAAATTCCTTTTTTCACCAATTTTTCAGCGCTACTTTTGTAGGTTTTGATTTGATCCAAAGATGCTCGTTCTTTTTGAATTTTTCCAGCTTCTTTGGTATTTGGGCGGAATGACAATCGGCTGAAATTTGAGAGATAAAATTAGATTTTTACAGTATTTTTAGAGCTGGAACTTCAAAATAGTGAATATTTGGACTGAAAATTAAAAAATTAATTTTTTTTCTGATGAGAATTGGATATCTACGATATTTTTGGAGCTGGAGCTTCAAATTTCATTAAAAATCCCAAATTCACGTTTAAAAATTTCAGATTTTCATAAAGTTTTTGGTTGAAAATTCAAAAATTAATTTTGTGTGATGGAAAAAAGGCAGCCCAAATTCAGATGAAAATTAATTTTTTACATTATTTTTGGAGATGGGGCTTGAAATTTCATTAAAAATTCCAAATTCACGTTTGAAAATTGAAATTTCCGTTGTTTTTTTTTCAAATTTTCAAATATTTTCATAAAATATTTGGGAGATTGAAAGTTTTCAGATGAAAATTAGATTTTGGAGCTGCTTTTTTACAATTTCTGTGTAAAAATTCACAATTTTCCCCCGCGTTTTCACTCCAAAAACGCTCACCGACTAGTCCTTGTCAAATTTTGCAAGCACGTCTCCAAATATTCTTCATATCTCGACAATTTCTCATTCAATTCTTCGCGTTGTTCAATCAATTTTCGTCGTGTTTCGGCCACACTTTTCTTCTGTTCATGTCGCTCTTTTTGTCGTCGATTATGCAAACGAATATCCTGTAAACGACGTAATACGAAAACATTGCGGGGAAAAACATGACATGGAATGTTTGATTTGATTCGATTTACGTTGTTGTTTTTTTGCAAAAAGTGCGGGAAAATGGAAAATCTGGAGTGAGGGGCGAAAAAATTCAGAAGTTTTTGAGAGGAATTTTTGAAGAAATTTTCTCATCTTCGTACTCTATCTATCGATAATTTCAGAATTTTCATCCAAATTTTGAGAATTTTGGTTTTGATTTAATCTCAATACGAAATCCCAAAGATCAAGAAAAACCCCAGGGTTTTGAAATGGACACGTTAAAGGTATAAACATTGAAAGTCTTTCAAACACATTGAAAAAAATATTTGATAATAAATTATATCAAAATTTCGAAACGTATTTTTTTGTTTTTGACAAATAGGAATTTTTAATCAAAATTTGACTCAAAAGTGATGAGAATGAGATTTTTGTCGAAGTGAAGCAATTTTGAGCTCAAGTTTTTAGAACTGCAAATTAAAAAGGAACTTTTTGCCAGAAATTTTCAATAATAGGGGTATGCACTGGTAGATTTGAAACGCGGCTATGCGACGTATGTTTAGATAGAAGAAAAAGATTTCCACGTGGTTTTTAGGCCCCAAAAATTTTTCAATTTCCCCGTGGCACTCACATTCGCAATATCCGTCACAATACTCTGATATTTCTCATCAGTTTTTCCCTCCTCTTCCAATTCCTTCAAATCCTTCTCCAATTCCACATCTTTCGAATTCTCAATCAATTCTCCCACATTTTTCCCCTCGATTCCTTCCAACAACAGCTCAACAACTCGTTTTTTGGCTCGTGTGAATAATTGCGGATTCGTTCCATCGGCCAACAATTCATTGGGTGAGGGATGCAACTGAAGTGTCAACATTTTTTCGCCTCCCGGTAAATTGGCTTCAGAAATCAATTGAATTATCAAATCATCGGTTTGTTGTGTCAATAGCTTCTTGTTCTTTTTCAAACATTCGACAACACTTTGAAGATGTTTGTCGATTAGGGAAAGTGTTGGTTTTTGGAATGGATCGAATTGCGTAAACTCATTCAAACAATAAATATCATCAAGCATCACATTACGAACATTTTCATTGATGTATTTCCTGCAAAAAAAATTATTTGGTTTTCATTGTATTTTTATAGGTCCAACTCACATAAACTTATTATGAATCACATGAACTTGTGCATTCAACGAAGACAAATACCATTTATCATTTCCATATCCTTTATTCGAGACAGCGAATTCCAAAAATTGCCAAACACATTGTAGTCGATGTTGTGCATCGTCGTTGATTTCTTTGCCCAGAGCTCGGAAAATGTTGCGAATCGAGAATTCGAAGAAGGTTCGGAACGCGAATTTGGCGACGATTTGATCGATTTCTTGACTGGTGGCTGCTGGGAATTGATGACGGAGACATGTTTCGAGATAGGAGGTCATGTAGATGCACGATTTTCTAGAGAAAATATAGGTTTTGGGGGGAGAAAGGGGGGGGGGGTTAAATTTTGACGCGAAAATTAAAATTTCAAAAATGAATTCAAAAATTCAGCAAATTTATATTCCAAATTTTTTCTGAATGTTCAAATTTCCATTTTTTGATGCGAAATTAAAAATTTCAAAAATGAATTCAAAAATTCAGCAAATTTATATTCCAAAATTTTTTGAATTTTCAAATTTCCACCTGGATTTTTGACTCAAAAATTTTTTAAAAATCAATTTTTTGTTTCAAATTCCTGACCAAATTTTCGCTCAAGATTTTTTTCGCCCAAAAATATTTGGATAAAAAATATAAGTCCCCACCCCCAAAACTTACCCCAACTTGAATTTCTTGAAAATGGCATCACTAAAAATCTCGCTCCACTTTGCCAAAAAGCTCAGCGAATCGCTCAAAATCTGCGAGACTTTCTGATCCTGTATCGCTTTTTCGGCCGTCTCAATTTTCTGCTGATAAAGTTCGCGATAGAGTTGAGTTGGTTCCAAATGGAAAGTGACAACTCGCGATTCTTCATCAACAAAACTTTGCAATTCATCAACAATGCTTTGACTTGGATCATTTTTGATATTCTCAAATCCATCAATCGAGAATCCTCCGAAATCATCAATTTTCTTCAGCTTCTCAACATCCCGTTTCAATAACTCACACAACAATCGAACCACCAAAAATTGTTCTCGATTATCGCTCAAAAATCCGAAAATTGGTGAAATAACTTCAGAGATCAACGTGGATTTTGATAGTTGCGCAGCTTCACAATCTTCAATTAGATTCGCAAGATAAATTGGTTTTGTTTGAAGATAATATAGAAGTTGTTCCAATGATTCAACACTCGATTTTTCTTTTCTTTGTTGTTTCGAAGTTGTTCGAACTGTGTAGGAATCAGCTGCTTCTGCAGTTTTATCACGGTGTGCAATTACTTCCTGAAAACAGGGGAAAGTGAAACTGGTTGACGCTAGGAAGAGAACCTATATGACCTAGATTTATTTGGTTTTCTCTTCCACAGCTCTAAAACTTGAGGAAAAAAAAGAGAAATGAAAACAATTTTTGACGTCAAAAGTTCACGTGAAATTTAAATGTTTTCAGAAAAAAATTTCAAAATTTTTTCCAAAAAATCACCTGTAAATTGAGTCGATTTTTAATCAACAATCCAATCTTCTCATCCAATTCAATGAGATTCGCATCCAATTGTCGATTTGCAGCCATAAGTCGAGTTATCTCAACTTTGGCGTCAACAACTTGCAAATCTTCACTGAATCCACCATCAAGCATATGAACAAATTTTCGGACAAGGGATAGGCTTGGAGTTTCAGATGTTTCTGAAATAAAAATTTTAATTTTGAAACGTTCCCTATTCAAAAAACTCACTCAAACTCTCCAAATCCTTCTTATTCCTATAAACCTTATACTTTTCTTGTATTTTCTTTGCCGCCAATTCTTTCGCCTCCATTTCCAATCTCAATTTCTCCTCTCGTTTCCTTCCAATCCAATCCTTCATCACATTTTGCGATTTCATCACTCGTTGTTCATTTTGTTTATAATATTCATCGAATGCAACATTCTCCTCATCCATTATTTTCTCAATATCTTTCCATTTGAAATATCCCAATTCTTCGGGCTCTTGCGGTTTCGTCGATTTTTGCATCGTCTTCGTTTCCATATAAACATTTCCAGCTGCAAATTCATGATCCAACCAGCTGTTTGTCAATGAAATCGTATTGTTGTTTTTCTTTTTATCTTCCGGAGCATTCAAAAGTCTTCGCGAATACCAAAGATTCAACTCTTTTCGGAAAGTGTTTGGCCGGATTGATTTGATAAGTTTATCCAAATTTGATCTAACTGAATTTTCATCTCCTTTCAGCATTGACGAATTCAACTGGATTACTGGAAAAATATCAATTTTTAGCTTTTTCAAAATCGATTTTTTTCTGGAGATAAATCTAACAAACCTGTGGCCAATTCCTCAAACGCAATATGAACCTGATGATTAACCTCCTTCAACGCCTGCCTAACATCGCCCAACTTTTTCGGTTTATTCAATTTCATCCGTGTCACATAATACTCAAGATTCTCTTGAATATAAACATCTCCTTCAACTTTCAAAATCGTCACAATTGCATCGAGATCTTCTCTTTGAATTGATTCATTCAATTCCATCAGGACTCGTTTTTCTTCGGAAATATCGCCGAATTCTTCGACGATTTTTTCGAGTTCCGATTTTTTGAGATAGTAATCTTCGGGAGCATTCTCGTAGAGTTTTCGGAGGCTGCAAAATTGTGAGTTGAAAATTTTGAGGTCGGGAAAAATCTGGAGACAGTTGAAATCGTAAGAAATATCCGAAATTTTGTTTCAAAATTTCGGAAAACTTAGAATTCCAGAGAAACTCAAAAAAAGGAAAAATTTTAAAATGAAATTATTTCAAGCTAAAAATCAGAAAAATTCTAGAAAATTTTGAAACTATAAAAAATTGAGAGAATTTTTCGTGGAACAAAAATTTTCAAATAAAATATCTGGGTGAGTTTAAAATTAAAAAAAAAAAACATTTTTTGTATAAATTTTCAGGTAAAAATTTTCTTTTTTTTTTCTAAGAAAAGAGGAAAGTTTAATCTCAAATTCATGAAAATTTGGTAAGCTGGAAAAATTCTAGAAAATTTTCAAATAAAAAATCTGGGAAAATTTTAAATTTCAAAGAGAAAATTAAGCTAGTTTTCATTTTTTGAACAAAATCAGGGACTCTTAAGATACTAACACTTTCGGTTAACATTTTTCCTTACCCTTACACATTTAGACCTTAATTTTAAGGCCTTAAATTTCCTCAAAACCCACCGATTATAATACAATTTCGCATTGCTCGCCTTCACTCCTTCTCTCAAATTCAAATTCTTTAACGCATTTAACACATCTTCCGAACTTCCGTGCTCAACAGCAATTCGAATTTCGACTAACGCATTGGCTTCTTGGATAACTTGAAATACTTTTTCTCTGGTCAACGGTTTTTCAACATCTTTCAAGAGTTCCAAATATAAACCAATTGCGAATTGACGAACATCTTCGAATTGAAGAAGATCGAAAATTTCCAAAATTTCCGATTCTGAAGGGTTGTTTTCCAATTTTTCCAACGCGTGTTGATCTGGAATTTGAAAGAATTTGATTTTTTTTCTTTCTTCAAAAAAATTCTTACTATTAACAGAATTCACAACTGATTGAACATATAATTTCGAATACTCTTCCTCTTTCTCCAATTCTTTCTCCACAAATTGTTCATAATATTTTTGTGCCAATTCAACTTCCAAATAATCAATCGAGCAATTCTTAATCGCCTCTTTAAATGCCTCCAAATCCCTTTCATCCACCGATTTTTTGAGCTCTTTCAGTTTCTCACAATCAGCTTCTCCTCGATTTTTTCGATCTGACAAAAGATTTCCAACATCTCCGAACTCAGGTAGTTTCGAATCTTTCAGATTTTCCTTCATTTCTTCGAGTTCGTTATTTGAGAATTTCGCTTTTCCGGCCAAATTTCGCATTGGCGGCGCTTTTCGCTGACGATGAAGAAGTGTGGCGAGGGCGAACAGGCAGAACACTGTTTTCATGTTTCGTCCTTCGAAAACATCCGCTGTTTCGGGGATGAAAATCTGGAAAATTGAAATTGGTTCAGAATTTTTTGGGAATTTTTTTCCTGAAAATTAGCATTTTTCATAAAAATTTTAGACCTGAAACCTGAAAATCTGGGTTTTTGGGCCTTTTTTGGTACAATTTTGCAGGCTTCTAGGCAATTTTTCAGGTTTGAAAGACATTTTTTGGGTTTCTAGGCCATTTTTCGAATTTCTAGGCCATTTTGCGAATTTCTATGCAATTTTTGGAGGTTCTTGGACATTTCTTGAGGTTATAGGCCATTTCACAGGTTTCTAGGCCATGTTTGAATTTGAAAGCCTTGTTTTTGGGATTCTAGGCCATTTTGCGAGTTTCTAGGTTGATTTTCGAGGTTCTAGGCCATTTTTTGAGATTCTAGGCCATCTTTGGATTTCTAGGCCATTTTTTTGATCAATAAACCTGAAATTATCATAGAATCCCAAAAAAGCCTATCTAACCTTTGCCACGTCAGAACATAATTTTTCGAGAAATCTGAAGAAGTTCAAGCTCTTTTTTTTTTCAAAAATCACTTTAACTTTTTCATAAAAAAATTTCAGGATTTTAATAACATTTTTCAGCGTTTGTCACGTCATAACACAATTTTTTCGAGAAATCTGAATCCCAACCTTCTCCAATTTCCCCCGCGCTCAACAAACCTCTGGCAAATGCACACTTTCCATAGCTCTTCTCCATTGCATAATATTATCCGTGTGCCGATAAACCGGCGTATTCTCATTCTGTCGATATTTCTCCTGCGACTGATCGAAAATGCCTTTTTGTGGCACAATTTCGGGTGCAAACGAGTTGGCCAATCTCGCCAATAATACGCCGTTTCGTAGATTCTCCTCCAGCTCACCCACTTTTACGATTGCCTCATCTTTTAGGCATTCTGACAACCATCTGCAAATATATTTATATTGCATTCTGTGTTTGTGTTTATTTGTTGGCGTGGGAAAAATTGGATGATGGAGTGGGATTACTTACAAAGCTCAAGGAAAATGGGTTAGAAAAAACCGGATTTTTTATGGAGTTTAATATGAGTAATGCTACATAATATTTTTAAATTCCGAGTTCGCAGAATTTTTTTGGATTTGCAAGAAGCTTCACAAGTTTTGATTTGAAATGCGAAAATTATAAAAATATTGTGTTTTTGAGCACATTTTTGGCCAGAAATCAAAAATCAAATTTTCGAGCTGAAAATGCTGGAATTGCTCATTTTAAATGATCCTATCGTTTTGACCTTCAAAAATTGGTCTAGAATTTTGGGAGCCAAACATTTTCTAGATCTATTTTCGAGCCTAAAATTCTGAGATTGCTCATGTTAACTAATTTCAGGGATTTTTTCTCCCAAAAAAGTCCATTCCTCACATCAGATTCACCTAGTTACTACAACTTACGTGCTCGTAAAATGCAGCAAATCCGATTATTTTCATCCGGATCAAAAATGCATTATTTTGATGAACTTTTATTGGAAATGAGAATTAGAGGCACTGCATTTTCACGCAACAAATAATTCTGATTTGATATTTGGGATAAACTTTGACGCTTTTTCACCCAACCCCACACCTGACGAGACGTGTCCAAAATGGACACTGTACAAAAATTTTCAAAAGTCACACTGTACATTTTTTCACGAAAAAGTGAAGTTTTCATTGATTTTCAGCGGATTTTGATGACAATTTTCAAATAAATTCATATTTTCACGCTGCACAATTTTTTTTTCAAAAATTTCCACACTGCACAACAATTTTGGGACACTCTCTCGCCAGGTGTGCCCAACCCCTCACAAATTTTCCCAACAAAAATCCAAAACCCACGTTCTAACTTCTTCACATCTACACAAATATTCATAGGCAACTCGATTCAATCGTCGTTCATCAACATCTTCCAATTGTTCCTCTTCAGGAGTTGTTGCCATTTTCTCTCTGCAAAAATTTTCAAATAAAACAAAACTCTTGGCAGCTATCCAAATAAGAGCAAAAGGAAGAAGTATAATGTAGTAAAAAGAAGACACAAGGATTCTTTTCCTTTTCCTTCTCTATTTCTCTAACAACTCTCTTCGAAACATGGATGAATGAATGAGCAAAAAAAGGGGAAAAATGAAAATAAGAAGACACAGAATCACGAAGAAGAGGGTGAAATTTGGATAATATTTTATTTTATTGTCACAAGTGGATTTCAAAATTATTGGCTTTGAAAAATTTACAAAGGCTTTCAGAAAGCCAATTTTGTAAAGGCTTTCAAAATTTCTGCAAAAATTACAAGCTTATTAGAGAGCTCGTAGTAAACCGGAATTTGTACAATTTCTTTTAAAAAATCTCACAATTTTTCAAAAAATAGTAGGCAATACTAAATATCTTGGGAAAATTGCAATTTTCAAAAAAATCTTTCGGAAAATCTTCAAAAATTCCTTTCACATTAATTTAAAAATCTAAAGCTTCTTATTCAAAATTCAAAAAGATTCCAAAAAATATGTTTTCACATTCCATGCAAGAAAAAAAACTTATTCACTAGAAAAAGCTAGTGATTGCAAAAATATATGCTTTTTCTTGTTATTGACACCCGCCGGACTCGGCAAAAAAAATCTTTCACATTTCTATATAATCAAAAAATATATATACTACTTTCTTTCTCCTTCATCTAACTAGTAAATACTGACAGAGCAACAAAAAATGAATCATTTTTGACCAAATATTGCATTTTTTTGGTTGCTTCACAATATGAAAAGTTTATTTTTTTTTGGTTCAAAAAACAAGGGGGTTTGTATATTTATAAAATGGGCGCAGATGTGAGAAATAAGATGAATTTCTTCGGGAAAAAAAGGAAACAGGTGAAAAGGAGGAAAATTTATAACAAGAGGCAATAGAACGAAGAAGAACAATTCCGACCTTGCAACAATTCGAAATGCGGAAAAATTCGCGTTTGAAACGAGGCGAGAGTTTAATTGGATTATTCAACATTTTATGGGTTCTTCGGTTTTTTAGGTATTAAAAATTTGCTGATAAGAAATGAAATGAAAAAGGTTCGAAAGTTTGGAGCATTTTACATGTGGAAAGAGAGGAAAATAATTTTAGAATCAAAATTTTTTTCAAATATTCGAGTCATACATCAGTATCCCCGGATTTTCGTCCGGAGGGGGACCAGCTAACTTTTGGAAAAAATAACAATTTACACCCCAAAAACCAAGTTTTTTCTCTTCTTTTGAGGGGGTCTGGCTAATTTTTGTATTTTCACATTCCGGGGGGTGGCTAATTTTAAGGCCCTGACCGGGAGAAACTGATGTATGATTCGAGTTGTGGACGAGAAAACCTGCTTGGTTTTCTAGGCCATTCTTTCCCGCACACATTTTCTAATTCTTTTTTGAACCGCACATTTCTCATTTTCAGACGAAAAAATAAAATAACTATGACAACAGACAGCGAGCCTAAAAATAACAGCATTTCGGCAACAAAAAATTGATCAGAAAGGTGAGGGATGTAGTAAAACATTTGGTGTAATAGTTACACCAATCATCAGGTAAACCTAAAAACCTGACATGAGTTATATCTAAATAAAAATAGATTTTGGTTGCGGTTGGTTATTAGCGCGTTCATCGATGACTAATCTATTTAACAAGTCTAGGCCATTTTAGAGAGAAAAACCTGGTTTTTCCTTCCCATTAACCAAAAAAAAACTAGGAAATTGTTCTTTTTTCAAAGTTTCTTTTCACACATTTTGTTTTTTTTTCAAAAAAAATAAATAAATAACAAAAATATTTGGTCACAAGCTTTTTCAAAAGAAGTAAATAGAAGAAAAAACTGACCACATAAGAGAAAAAAGGATTTTTGGGCAACAAAAAACGAGGAGAAAAAAATGTGATACGGCAGGCAGGAAACGAAATAGTTACTTAATTGTGGGTTTTTCTCTATATATTCTCCATGTCTGACTGACAAGACAGAGAAAACTTGGATTTTCTTTTGGAAAAGTGAAATTCGAACTTTTTCAAATCAAATAAGAATAATAATTAGGCTATTCAAGTGCTAATTAAAATTAATATAATTAAACCTATTTAGTGTATTTCTATGCGAAGAATGCTAGAAAAAACACAAAATAAATACAAAAGTGTAATTCAATACTTTGCAATTCAAAAGCCTATTGACACGACATTTTTGGTGAATCAAGAAAATAAAAAAATAGTTTCAAAATCGATTTTCCAGAGTAATGTTTGCGGGAGAGAGAAGGAAAAAAAAATGATAAGAACTTCTTCGGGTTTTTCCTGTCCAATATAAGAACATTTGCAAATAATTTTTGGCCAAAACTCGGTGTTAAAACGAAAATAAAATCAACAGTCAGTTTTAGAATGTTCAGTGAAAGAATTTATTCTACAACTTATGGGGGATTTAAAAAATAAACAATTTTTATATAAGGAGAACACCGTAGCCGATTTTTGTGTGAAAGAAAGAAAGAAAGACAAAATAGGAAGCAAGTTAGAAGGCATATGGTGTATTTTGGCTATTTTCATCGATTTCGTTGCCTACTTCAGCATCGTCATCAACATTGAAGAATTCGGAAATGATACGGTAGGCGTGCGAGTAAATTTGTTCCGATTGCGATTCTTGAAGACGTTCCAATTGATCCAATCCACCACATTCTTCAACTTGAGCATTGACTGAATCCACATCGGCTGGATAGCTGAAAAATTGCTCATTCAGAAACAATTACTCATTTGACTACATGCATTTCTTATGAGTTTCTCAATCATTTTTTTTTTCAACAAAAAACCCGCAGACCAAATTTGAGGGTATTTAATGTTTTTTTGAAAAAATGTGTTAATTTCAAATTTTCTTTCAAAACTTACCTATTCGAAACGGTGACCAAAATGCTGTACAAAGTCTCCAATGCATTATTCAACATGTCGGTGTTAGTTTGATTCAATGCCTCGCAAATCGCCGGGATCGCGCCTTCTCGAACCATCTCGAAAATCTGCTTGGAAGTTCCACCTTGAGCCAAGTTTGAGAGAGCCCACGAGGCTTCGAATTGGCATTTGTAGTCACCCTGGAACCGGATCATTGAGATTTAAATACACACACACAAAATCTTAAAAAAAATACCGATTTGAGGATATTGACAATAACTGGAAGAAGATGAGCATCAAGAACCGCTTGAATTTGTTGTTGAGTTCCAGCTATAATATTACTAATCAACCAACAACACTCCTTTACAATACTTGTCGATTTGGTTCTCGTCAACAATGGAATAATGTGTTCAAGAGTTCCGAGATCGATGACTGTTTGAGTCAAAACATCACTTCCAGTCGCGACATTTCCCAAAGTTCTCAACGCCGGAGCGACAAGAGTTTCGGTGGCGTCGAAGAATTTGATGATGTGTTGGAGGACACCGCATTCGCGTGACAATTCGATTTGCTCATCTGGTCCATCGGTCAAATATGAGACAGCCCAGCAAGCGTCTTGACGAACTTGTGGATCTGAATGTTGGACGAGTTTGGTGAGACCGTGGCTAAGAACGCGGAGAACATTGATTGGAGCGTGTGGATTCTTGTGGCGACACATGTTGGAGAAGGCCCAAGCAACGGTTCTTGCGTGAGTTACATTAAGTGAATCAAGGCTTGTCATCAAATGCATCAATGCTTCGATTCCATGGCATTCTGAAAATTTCAACTTTACATATAATTCGCAGGATAGAGCATCTAGAACTTACGAATAACATAGTCTCTAAGTTGTGCACTGTCTCCAGCAATATTGGCAACAGCCCAAAGTGCTTGTTCGGAAAGTTGTGGATTCTCGTGAACAGATAATTTGACAAGTGGAGCTGTGGCTCCAGCTTCAACGGCGGCGATGGTTTGTTCAGTTGTCCCCGAAACGATGTTTGTCAACGCCCAAGCAGCTTCGTATAAAACTTTGACATTCTGAAATTTTCGTTTTTTTTCAGAAAACCGAACGATTTATTTACTCACATCTAAATTGAGAGCTTGTACGAGCGCGTGAAGAAGTCCAGTTCGGATAACTTCATCAATTGGTGGATTCTTGTTTTTGCTCAATGATTTGCGAAGACTTTCGAAACATTTCAACATTTGCTCATCGGTTGGATTGTTTGACAAAATTTTCTTGATCTCATCATTTGTATATCTGACAGGAGCGGAGGCTGGTTTGTGTTCCACATCAGATTCACTCTCTGATGCCGAATCTTCTTCAGCTTCCACAATGTTTCTTCTTTTCATCATCATATCGGCACCCTTTTGTTTTCTAATTTCAACACTACATTCTGTTCTACGTCTACGGAGTTCCTGAAATATCAAATTTCGATTTTTTCTTCAAATTTTCAATCCAAAATTTCCACTTACATCATGCTTATTCAAGTTTTTGTATTGTTGGAGACGAGAATCGAGTTGTTCTTCATTGTCAGCAGCAACATTAGCAGCAGAAGTGGTGAGTGGCATAGCTAAACTGTGAACTAAAACGAAAAATCACTTTTTTAGGACAAACGAAAAAGAAAATTGCGTTTTCCCGCCACGATTTTTTGAATTCAAACTTGTGCGCCCCCGCTGTTCGCGCCAGTCAAACGAATTGCTGGCGCATTTTTTTTTTTATTTTTTTTCAGGCTGCAGAATTTCTGAGAATGAAATGACTCAAGTAGGAAAGTGCGCTCTAGCGAACAAGGAGGGAATTTGAATTTATTTATTTGTTTGTTTGAGTTGTTTTCAATCGATTTTACATTATTTTTCGAGTGATTTGTACAGAAATTGAGTAAAAAGGAGTGGTTTTGAGGGAATCGAATGATTTTTCAAGTATTAATGAGTCAGTTTCGTGAGTAAAATGTATTTTTTGTACATATTTCGAGGAAAATGAGCACTTGCTTGGAAAACAAAAATGAATCTGGCAAACTTGTATCTGTTTTTCGAACATTTTCAGTTTTTAGACTGAAAAAAGAATATATTCGCATTTTGAGTCAAAATTCACGAAAGAAATGATGTTTTAAAGAATAAACGTGGCCCCATTAAAACGTGTCTTGTTTTTGAAGTGCATAATCATATGATTTTTGTTGAAACTATTTCAATTTTCCATATAAATTCAAATCAGATGACTGAAAACATTATTATGAATACTTTTGGTGAAACAAAATAACCGTGAGTAAATCTAAGAAAGTATTGCTAATATACTATTCGTTTGAAATTATATTTTAGGTTTTTAGAGAATTATAGTTATATATCTCTAACCTGACTTGTGAATATTACATTAAAAAAAAAACAACAAATTTAACAACAAAAACAACAAAGTAATAAAATAACAAAACAAAGGGAGAGAGAGGATAGTTTCGGAGGTGGAATTGTTTTTGAGTTTAAACCGAGTATGTATTTCTAGAAGAGATTGAAGTAAGATCCTTTCTCACAAATTGAACAAATGTTATATCTCAAGTTTCTAGTGCAAACTTCATGTGCACGGAATGGGCAGACGGAACATTGCATATTTAACTCAGATGAAGATTCACCCGATGAAGATGAAGGAGCTTCTTTCTATAGAAAAAAACATTAAAGGAAAACAAACCATGAAACTCACTTGATCACAAATGCAACAACAAATTTGACTTTCTTGACGATGGTTTTCATCTTCATCTTGAGGGTGTTTTCTTTTTCTGATGTTTTTGCTCTGTAAAACGAAATAGAAATTCAAAATGTCTTTTTCTTCGAACTGTTTTCTTGATACCTTTTTTTGCATTGTGAAATTCATTACAGCATTTGCTGTTAAGGGCTGAGAATTTGCAGATCCAAGATTTGCTCGAGTAATTAGACCAGGAGATTTGAAGGCCTTATCACCAACTAATTCTCGTGCAATTTTCTCGAAAACTTGAGCAATATCCGAAGATATTTTAGCGCATTTTGAAGTAGAGTTTCTAGATAAACTTCTCAATTGTGTCTCAATACAATTATACGCCTGTAAAATTAGGTTGATTTATAAGTATGTATGGATGTTTATTACATTTTTGATGGAAGTGATGTTAGCCATTGCGATATCACGATATTTCTCATTTTCTTCATCATCGGTATCTTCCCCGTCTTCCATATCAATCACATTCTCGGAATCACCATTATCATCCGAATTTTCGATATCATGATCTCCAGCTCCTTTCATATTTTCATTCTGTTCCCCATATTCATCATCATTTTCTAGATCTAACTCTAAATTTAATTCACTTTCTTCCTCGTTATTCGTTTCTGAATTTGCTGGAACTATATCATCAACATCTGGATTCGCTTTTTCGGTTCGGAAAATAGAGGCTGAAATGAGTTCATTGTTTTCAAAATTCTATAATTTTTTGAATTCAAATATACTTACGTCTGAATAAAACAGCGATGTGACAATGAATGCAATTGCGGCCTGACACTTGATCAGTACAAGTACAAGTTACATTTGACCAGCACACTCCACAATTTTCACAATGGCTGTTTTTCTGTATGAGAAAATTGATAATTTTTTGTGAAATCGAATTTTCATATTTATAAGATCTAATTTACCAAGAAAATGCTGTGAAAAATCGAAATTCGGAATAATTAATTCAAAGGTGGACTTACTAAATTCCAAAAATGCCGGCTTATTGTTTACTTGCTATAATTGTTTGCTTAATGGTACTGTACACGAAAATTTTTCTAATTTATATAAGGACACGTGAATCTCAAAAAAACTGGAATCTTATTTTCCATTTTTCTCTGTCTGAGCATCAAACCGAAACAGGCACCAGTGAAAAGCACTTTGAGCGTGATGAGTATCAAGCGATCTTAGGATATTTTTTAGCGAAAAATTATGAATTTTGCGGAAAAGTTGTCTTTGTCAGAAGAAAAATTCGAAAAAAAGAAATAAAAGTTTATTCATGATAAAAGTGTAAATTATTGTTTCATTCTTGAATACTGTGGTTTTTTCACAATGTTTAAATGATCTGCCAAAATTGGAAAATCGAAACAAACTAACAGGATGTTGTTGATATATGAAAAAGTTTTTTTAAAATTTTTTTTGATTTTGTACCGAAAGGCTATTGTTCTAAAAGAAATCACGTTTTTTTGAGAATAAGTTTGAAGCATAAGTTTCCGTTCGCCGCCGAAAAATTTTCGTTATGAAAAAATATTCGTCGACACGTGAAAAAATGAGCCATTTCTGTTTTTAGGCGGCGAAACGGGCGCCTAAAATTTCAACATTGTGAAAAAACTACAGTATACTTTTTCATTAATAAGTTTTTGATTCTTTATTTCGAATTTTGTCTTTTGATAACTTTCCGCGAAACTCATAATTTTTTTCAATAAAAAAAAATGCAAAGCACTGTTAGTTTCTCACAAAAATCGAAATTTTATCGGTTTTCAGAGAGTACTCGAATTATCACGCACATTGATCGAAACTCTCCAGTTTTGCGACAAAAAAAAATCGCGAAATTATTTTTTTCTTCAAATGAATTGATCCATTAGTTAACTAACCTTGGTGTCACAGATGCATCGATTTTCGTATGTGACAACAAAAACGGTTTGGTTCTTTTTTTCGATTAGAAAAACTGAACTTTCTTCTGACGTTTCTTCAATTTCGAATTCGAGCTGCAATTTAACGGCCAATTGATGTAACTTTCTTTGCTCGCATGATCTTAAATTAGCACGAGCAATATCTCGAGCAATTTCGACTTTTCGCTGAATCATCATATCCAAACAAGTATCTCTTAAATTATAGGTCAGATTGTCAACTCGAATTTGCAACTTGTTTTTCAGTCGTTCTCTCTGGAAAAATATTCTATCATTACAACTTGTTTCTACTTTTTTTCAACCTTAATTTTCGAATTCCACGATTCTGCCATCATTGAAGTTTGAACCGGACTATTATCTCTATAAACAGTGCACCATAGCTTTTTGTTCTCTGGAATTTCTTTTTGTAATGGAAACATTCGATGTTATTAGGTCTCACTTTCATATCTCTTTTTGAAATATTTCGCAAAACTTCTCGCATTTTCATAATCCAGAGTTTGAAGATGTGAATATAATTTATTCAGCTCAGATTTCAATGTATATTCGCTTGGTGTTCTCATTATCAAATTCAATAGTTGCATAACATAATATACGTGTTCTGCCTGTAATTATTGTCATTTATATTTTAATTGTTATCCAATTAGTATATAGTAGATTTTATTATATCTTTTACGAAATTCTTACTTTCAATGTTTCTTGAGCTCTTTTTCCAAGTGCACGAATAACGTGCCATCGGCACCAAAGTTTCAATGTGATGAAACGGTTTTGTGGAAATTCCTAAAGAAAAATATTATAACATGAAACTGGCACTTTCATTTACATAGACATATGCATTCCAAAATGCTCCAGCCTCATCCGTCATGAACACTTCTGGACAAAATTCCGGAAAAATTCTCTTCACCTCCCGGAAGAAGAATCTCAATTCTTCTGTCGAAGAGCAGTTGGATAGCATAAATCCTGAATTAATTTTAGAATCATAACTATCTTTTTTTCCAAATATCATTGGTTTGTTTTTCCAATCTACGACTTTGTAAAGAATGATTGATTAAAGAATGACTCGCTCGATGTGTTCAATTTTTCAGAATTTTTCAATTTTAATACGAACTATTTGACCCCTTGATTTTTAATAATTGACTCAGAAGTTTTTCTTATTTTTTGAAATGTTTTTGATCCCCGCAGAAATAATCTGGTGTATATAAAACATTTGAAGTTTTGTGTAATTTTATGCACGGTATTATCAACGTCAAATTGTGTGGCACCGAAATGAAATAAAAAATAAAAATTTTGTGTGTCGCTACAGTAATCCTCATAGTAATGTGTGTTGAGATTACTGCAGCGACACACAAATTTTTTATTTTTTCATCTCATTTCGGTTGACGTGGATAATACCGTATTGCCAATCCGAAAAAATTTGAAAAATATAATTCGAAATTTACACACTGGCTTTTCAGTTTGCTGTACGTGAGCGCCTATTCAAACAGGGGATCTTTTATTTTCTGAATTGACAATAGAAGGATTCGTAGTTGTCAAAATTTTGGAATTTCAACATGCTCATTTAGTGAAGTATTGTCATAGTTTAATTAATTTTCTTCGATTTTTTTTTATAAACTGACTAAATTAACCCACCTACTGGGACACCTCGATCATTTTCGTCCATAACGAGCATTGTCGTTAACTTGAGATCGTATCTAGTAATGTTGTGAGTTTCATCCAGAACCACAACTCTCCAGGAGAGTTTTTTCAAAGCTTCTTCTTGTTCGGGCAAAATCATAACTAGAAATATTTGATCTGTTATTCACTGATTTCAAGACTTTAGTAACAACAAGGCTGCTCAAATTGGTTTATGAAATGGAATGAGTTTGGAAGAAAAGTTGATTCTATCTTATGTTAGATATATCGGTGCGCTAATATTCTATTTGTCGATTATGATAACATGCTCGATATTGTTTTGAAATTAAAGATATTCTTCATAATATTTTGTATTTTTTTTTTGTTCTAACCATCTAATGTTTGATGAACTGTTCTAAAAGTTTAAGAATATGTATATTTCCAAATATTCGCTCTAGGACCCACTTGAGCAACCTTGATTTTCAGTTTTACCTAAGATAAATCCTTGACCAGTAGAATTGAAAGGTAGTCGCAATAATCGAATTCCATATTCAGGGTGTTCTTCTTTCAATTTTTGAATAGATGTCAGATCATTTTTGTCACATCGCCCGTCAAATAAATCAAATCTTTCGCGGATAACTCTGAATTTTTCCTTTATTTGCAATTCGGTTCATTTGTCAGTTTTTAAAATTTTAGTGTAGTTTCATTTCCCACAAATTTTATAGTACGGTACATTTTTTCTCAAATTACATGTTTTGTATTTTTTAGAAGATTACATTTCTTATCAGTAGGTAAAATGATCTGAAACTTTTTTATTCGAAATTCTCAACAAAAAAATTGTTTTGAAATATCTAAGAATTTTTATCTCAAAATATCTCAAAATCTATTTTCAAAAATCATTATTTAACTATCGTATGTTTGAAAGTGATGAATTTTAGAAAATTTTCAATTTTGATTTGTCGTTAAAAAACTCATATGAAAATATGAATATGACAGGGACACTGTACAAAAACTTTTAAAAGCCACACTCTACATTTTTTCCGAGAAGTGTAGTTTTCATTGATTTTCAGCGGATTTTGATAAAAATTTAAAAAAATTCTAAATTTAACGAAAATTTTTTAAACACTCTTTCCAGGTGTGTATGGTTTGATTGCTTTCAAAAGATTCACCTTATATCTTCGTTCAATACATAATGAAGTCTGTTGGAATCCGGATATTCTCTGCGTAATTTTGCAATGATTTGTTCATTTGTTTGTTTTTCATCGATCAACCTGATAAATTTTAGAATTAACCGGGAATTTTGTTTTTTTTTTCACATACTTTTTGATTACTGATATTTGAGCATCTGTATACTTTTGTTTTGCCCAGTCTAATTTGTCATGCCCCTCGTGATCAAAACAAGCAATAATCGAATAACTTTCATCTGGATTTTTCACAACCTGAAAAAAATATTGTCAACTAAAAATATCTTGTTGTCTATCGAAAACCTACTCTCATAAATGCAGAGCAACACTTTTCGCCTGTTTGTTTTCTCGATTTCTTTTTCCGATTTTTTGTGGCAATGGAATCGTATGAACCTTCATAACTACATTTGAAATATTGTGTGGTAATGTTGTTGTCAGTTGCTGTTCCACAAGATACAAAAGTTGTACAAGTACTTTCTTTTCGTTTATTCAACCAAACATCAAATACTGCTTTACTATCAAATTTTTCATTTTCCACTTGGAATCTTTGATTCATATTATGATCATTTCTCAGATGTTCACAAAGTTTTTCTCGATTCGCAGACTTTTTACAACAGTTATCGAAAACACAATTCAACGTTGATTTTTCTTCTTTTTCTTGATCTTCTTTCAGAATTTGTACAACGAATTCAAGTTTGCCATGTACACTTTTGTCTTGTTCCAACTTCTGTAAACAAAAATATACAAAAAATAAGTACTATAACTGAACCTTTTTCAAAACTCCTTGTTCATCTTTGTGCATTCTTGATAAGTGTGACAAAATTCCGGAATATTTGGAACAAGATGTTGAACAGTTTTCTTTAGGACAATTCCATACATTCCCACTATTTTCGATGCGTTTCATAGATTTCAAAGTTTTATTGAACAATATAACTTGATCTTCTGTGTATTTGTGAACATTTTTCAGATGTCGACGCAAATTATCACCTCGAGTTACAGTATCGCATCCGATTTCCGGACATTTGATTTTATTACTTTGACAATTGTTCATATTTATTTGAATATAGGTGAATATAGTTTAGGTAAGAAAAAATGTAAAACTGTTTATGAAACGCATTCAGACTACTGTAATAAACGGAACACATTCACTAAAACGTTTTGGTCTCGTCACGAAACTACATTTTTCAACTAAATTTTTATTTTTCAATTTTTGTTTTGAAATAAAAACATAACTTTTTCAGTAGATTATTATGAATTGTTTGAACCATTGATCATCCCAATGTTTGCCAATGAGATGAAAGTCGTGCAGAATCAGGATATCGCTAAGCATAAAACGGTATCACTTCGCGAACTTCGACTTCGAAGCTTCGAAAACAGTGTTTTCAAAACACTAGATATTTTTGTTTTCCGAACTTTCCTTATATGTTTTCAGTCTAAAAACTGAAAACTTTCCGATTTTTTCCTCATTTTTTTTGTTATTTTATTAATTTGTTGTTTTTGTTGTTAAATTTGTTGTTTTTTTTTTTAATGTAATATTCACAAGTCAGGTTAGAGATATATAACTATAATTCTCTAAAAACCTAAAATATAATTTCAAACGAATAGTATATTAGCAATACTTTCTTAGATTTACTCACGGTTATTTTGTTTCACCAAAAGTATTCATAATAATGTTTTCAGTCATCTGATTTGAATTTATATGGAAAATTGAAATAGTTTCAACAAAAATCATATGATTATGCACTTCAAAAACAAGACACGTTTTAATGGGGCCACGTTTATTCTTTAAAACATCATTTCTTTCGTGAATTTTGACTCAAAATGCGAATATATTCTTTTTTCAGTCTAAAAACTGAAAATGTTCGAAAAACAGATACAAGTTTGCCAGATTCATTTTTTGTTTTCCAAGCAAGTGCTCATTTTCCTCGAAATATGTACAAAAAATACATTTTACTCACGAAACTGACTCATTAATACTTGAAAAATCATTCGATTCCCTCAAAACCACTCCTTTTTACTCAATTTCTGTACAAATCACTCGAAAAATAATGTAAAATCGATTGAAAACAACTCAAACAAACAAATAAATAAATTCAAATTCCCTCCTTGTTCGCTAGAGCGCACTTTCCTACTTGAGTCATTTCATTCTCAGAAATTCTGCAGCCTTTTTTTTTCTAGAAAGTTTTTTTTGAGAAAACAAGTTATAAATTCTAGTATTTACAGCTAGTTTCAAATGATACGACGAGTATATGGATGTGGATTATCTGCTTCGGGTGCTTTGGCTATTCCAAGTCTTGTCAAACCTCGACAAATTGACGGAGAAACACCAGTTACGGCGAAACAAGTGAAATATCCGAAACGAATCGATTTGGATGATGTTAGACATATTTCTGCAGGCTTTGGTTTCTCACTATTTGCATCAGAAAATGTTTTGTATGGTTCAGGATTGAATAATCGGTGAGATTTTTTTATAAATTCAGCAGAGAATGTGAATAATTGAAATCCTTCTCTCTAATTGTCAAAATATAATTCATCTCTAGATTCCAGATTGCTTGCAAACAATCAGAAGAATACATGATTCGCGCAAAACGAATTCGATTAGCTGAAGATCCAAAAATCTTGCAAATATCCTCAGGGCGCGCACATTCTCTAATTCTCACAACTAATGGAGTCTTTGCATTCGGCGAAAATTGTTTTGGACAATGTGGTTTTGACCCGCAAAAAAGCGAAACACTTCGAAAACCAACTCGTCTCAACATTGAGGAGAATATCAAATATATTCATTGCTCTTTGGACTCTTCATTTTTGGTAACTCAGAATGGAGAAGTTCTGTCATTTGGTTTGAATGAAGATGGTCAATGTGCAAATTCGGAATATGGAATTCAACATGTTCCAACAAAAATTGTCGGGGAGGCAAATGACGCGAAAATTGCAAAAGTTGCAGGAAGCACTGACACAATTCTAGCTCTTTCTGAAAATGGAGAAGTATTAATTTGGGGACAAACAGAATATGGACAAGGATTAGAATCAAGTCAAGGAGATATTCAATTAAATGTCAGTCGAAATATCTGCCGAAATATTGAAGTCTCTTCAATTGCATCCACTTCATCTTCTTGTATCATTTCAACATCTTCAGGAGAAGTTTATGTATGGGGAATTGGAGTTCTTGGAATGGGACCAAAAACTGAAAAATTATCTGGGTTAACAAAAATGGATCAACCATTATTCGATGATTTGAAAGTCAAACAAATTTATGCTGGAAATACGAATATGGCAGCATTGAACGAAAAAGGAAATCTATTTGTTTGGGGAGAAAATCGGTTGGTTTTTTATTTTTTTTTGTTGCTAGGGATTATCTTATCAAAATTTTTATATATTTCAGTTTCTCAACACTTGGCCTCGGTCACAAAGATCGTCAACATTTTCCATTTCGAATTTCGATTCCCGGCTCAATCGAAAATCTTTCACTAGGACCAGATATCTCATTATTTTTAGCGTCCTGATTTTTATATAAAAACAATTTTATCTTTCTCATTTTTCTTCAAAAACAAACGTTTTAAACGTCTGAAACATATCTTCTTTTGCAGCTATATACTTATTTTTTTTTGTAAATATTTATAATGGCATTTTTAATAGATGTCAAACGTTGTAAGAGCCGCTGGATTGGTGATTTATCGCCAAGTTGCTGGAAAAACCGAGTATTTATTACTGCAAGCTTCCTACCCACCGTATCACTGGACTCCACCAAAAGGACACGTCGATCCAGGTATTTTGAGAGTAATATGGTTTTTTGAAAAAAATAAAAATTAAATTTAGGAGAAGACGAATGGACCGCAGCACTTCGTGAAACTAAAGAGGAAGCAAATCTTGACAGAACTCAATATACAGTTCATGAAGATTGTCACGAAACACTTTATTATCAAGCAAAAAGAAAGGCAAAGTCTGTGAAGTATTGGTTGGCAAAGTTGAACAATCCGGATGATGTGAAATTATCGCATGAGCATCAAAGCTGGAAATGGGCAGAATTGGAAGAAACTGTCAAGACTGCTGATTATAAAGAGATGGAGGATCTTTTCCGCAAGTTTGCCGCCTATATTGCCAAATTGTAAGCTTTTTTTGTATGAAAAAGTATGTGTTTATGAATATATTTAATCTCGTTTATATAACAAACAAATAAGTAAGTAGATAAAATTACAGTAAAATTTTAAATGTAAGATGCATCATTTGAATTGTATGGATACAAATCTCCCATTGTTGGTGAGCCATGTTTGTTGTCTTTTGGAAAATCGCCAACAACTTGCCATTTTTCACGATTCTCATGTTCCAAATTAGCAATCGATTCGTAGTGGCACATATGTCTAAAAAGAAAAAAAAATTTATATATTTTCTCTCGAAAAATCGAAAAAAAAGTCACCTGTACAATCGATAAACAATATAGATGAAGAATAATTCCAACAATGCGATCAATGTATAAATCAACAACATCAAAACTCCCACCAAAAACATCGCATCATCACTATAATATTCCTTGCTAATTCCAATCAAGTTTCGGATTCCCGAATATGCTCCAACTAATAATAGAATTGTCACAATGAATGAGACGATGAACAGGAAAAGAACCAAGAAAATCTGAAATTTTCCGTTGATTTTTTAATATAAGAAGTTTTACTACCGTTCGAAAGCTTTTAAATATAATGAACATAGGCAGGTGGTCTTCACAAGAAGAAAGCTCAGAAAAATGAGAAAAATGGCTGAGCCCATCATCTTTGATGTGATACTAATATGAAACGGAAATCCGAAATTTTTGCAAAAAAATCTAACCTGAGCGCTCAAATGTGGAATCATCCATCTCGCATTTTCCGATTTGATTGCATAAACGAATAAAGCGATGGCGATCAAAATAATGATGATTGACACAATCCCGACGATAAACCATATCGAATATGGTGCTCCAAACATGTGAAAATTACGGAATAAACCATAGACAGCGAGAGCGCAGAGCAGTAATTCGATGACTGCCACAACTAATCCAGCTGTTTTCAAATTTGTGCACGGAATGTAGGATTTTACCATGTTGCTTTTGGTTTCTGAAATATTGATTTTTTCGAGGAAATTTAGTAGTTATTCAGAAAAAAAGCTTAAAATTTTAATTCAAAACAAAAAACCAATTATTCTGCGATTTTTTTCTTGAAAAAATTTATGATTTTTCAACGATCAGAAAAATTTCCGGATTTTTTTTTCCAGTTTTCAAGTTTTGATCTTTGAAAATTAAGACTTGCAAAAATAATGCCAAGATTTTTTTTGTTGAAATTTTTCAAGTTATGACGTGGCAAAATTGAAAAATTTCAACAAACAAATCTTTCCAGTATTTTTTTGTTCTTATTAATTTTTCAAGTTTTTCATTGAAATTTAAAGATAAAACTAATTTTTTCAACTTTGCCACGTCATAACTCATGTTAACAAAAATACCAGAAACCCTAAATTATGTCAAAAAATCGCGGAACACGAAAATTATTCAAGTTAATCCAAAAAACAAACATTTACTTCATTTATTTACCATAAATTCTCACCTTTTCAAAAAAAGTTCTTTCAAAAAGTGGTGTTTGAGGCAAAATTGAACGTAGGTGGAAAGACGAAAAATCTTCTTTTTCTTCTCGATGCGAAGAAAAAAGGTCCGTCGGGAGGCAAAAGTTGTAATATTTTCTCGTTTCAAAAAAGAGAAATATTGAGAGACGCAGCATTTTTGTTGTTTTCAAGAATCGATTGACATGTGATTTAGAAAAAAGATTGGAACAACTTTTAATAAAAAATATTTATTATTTTTCAAATTTCCTCCATCTCGGAGGTTCTTTCGATTATTTGAACGGATTTTGCACAAAAAATCACTTGAAACATGAAAAATAATTGAACAGAAACCAAAACCATCGAAAATATCCAAATTCCAAATTCGAAGTTCAGAATTGTTTTCAAATACCAAATATGTAGAGAAATAATAGCGACAAGCACAATTATGACAAAAAATGAAAACCATCTTAAAAATCTGCAAAATATCCGACAAAGTAATAAAACCGATGTGGAAATATACAAAATACATTGGTAATAATAAAATTCCGAGTTTTTTGAATAATAGGTGTAGAAAAAATAATTGATTATTGATAATGCAAAATAGAAAAACAGCGAGAAATGGAGATATTTCTGGAATTTTTTTTGATAAAAGATTTTTTTTGAGATAAACTAACTTACTTCAACATTTATGCAACAGCAAATAATCTTCAATTTCGTCATTTTCACGGAAAATTGAAAATGAAAAATGAAAAAAAAAACGTCGGGGATAAAAAAAGGTCATATTCCAGTTACTGTAGATTCATTTTTGAAAATTTAAATTCTTAATTTTTAACAATCGGAAATTCGAAGTGGCTCCAAAAATACGATTGCTCATTTTAGTCAATAAAATTGAAAAAGATAAAAAATCAGAAGTTTGGAGTAACTCCTAAAATACGATTGCTTATTTTAGTCCATAAAATTGAGCTGAATAAAAAATTTGAAATTCGAAGTGGCTCCAAAAATATGATTGCTCATTTTAATCCAAAAAATCGAAAATTTGGAGTAGCTCCGAAAATACGATTGCTCATTTTAATCCATAAAATTGATCTGAAAAAATCCAAAAATTTTAAATAACTCCGAAAAATTGACTATAAAAAATCCTTTATTCTTATCAATAAATATAATCCAAAAAATTCGACAAAATACTCTTTTTCTTCTTCACAAAAGTGCCCTGTACAAATTTAACAGTCTTCATTTCTTCCATTCGATTCTTCCGATTATAAATATAAACAACATCCGGCACTTGAAATCCAACAATCGACGGTTTAATTGATCCAGGAGTATTTGATCGTTTCACATTTCCATTTGTCACAACTAAAGCTCGAATTGTATTTGATAATATCCGATTTGGTGTTTCGAAATATTCTTTGTCGCGAGATGTCATTGTTGGAAGCTCGTGATATTTATCAAGATCTTGTCTGAACAAGAAACTTTGGGATTTTTCAAGTTCGAAAAAGCGTGGGTTAAGAATTTGGGGTAAGCCTAAGGTTTGGGCTGAAGATCCAGGTTTTTTGAGTTCAAACAAGCGTAGGTCCAATTTTTTCAAACTTGAAATTTTCCACGTGGATTTTTGGCGCCAAAAAAATTCAAATATTCAAAAGCTCGGAAATTGATCTACAGTACTACTCCGAATATTTTGAGTTGAATTTATATACAGTAACCCAGGCCTAGGCTCATTTACATTTAAAAAATTCCAAATTTTCGCGCTAACAAGGAAAGGTTTTCAATGTTCCCCCAAGGAAAAAATCGAGAGTATGTGGAATGTTGAGGGTTCCCGTGGGTAAGAAAAATCCTAACGGGAATAAGGAGAAAAATGCCTTGTTTTAGAAAATTTTGGTGTTATTGATTTTTGCGATGAAATTTTTTGAAAAAATCGAAACTTTTTTCAAAATTGATGAAAAATGTCAGTCTAAAAATCCATTTGTAGCGCAAACGGCGTACTTTAGTATTACTTTGACTAAAATTAGAAATAAAATAATTTTGGTCCCAAAAGTCCACTAAATCAAAAATCCAGTTTGAAAAATTCATAGAAAATCAACGTTTTCGTTGTGAAGGAGAAGTTTGTGTGAATCGAGACTATGATTTTTGGATTCTACGGACCAAATTACGTCTGTTGACCGTCATAAATTTTTCAAGTTCCGTTCATTTGAAAAATGGAAAAAATTATTTTTTGTGTTTTTTGGTGACCATTTGATCAGAAAAACCCCGACTAAAAAAACCAAATTTAAAAAAATGTCTAATTTTTTGATAAAAAGTTTCACAAACACGTAATCGACCATTCTGAACAACTTCCACGACTCAAAAGTTCATGAAATAGATTCAAAATCGAGTTACAGATGCTCTAAAAATCAAAAAGTGGTGTAAAAATCGACCTAAAATACATTTTTTCTCGAGAATAAGGCATTTTTCTCCTTATTCCCGTTAGGGTTTTTCTTAACCACGGGAACCCTTAACATTCCACATACTCTCGATTTTTTCCTTGGGGGAACATTGAAAACCATTCCTTGTAAAACTGATCTACAGTAACCTAATCCTAGGCTCATTTATATTCAAAAAATTCCAAATTTTTGAGTTTAAACTATCTATGTACAGTAACCCAAACCCAAGCTTATTTGATTCCAAGAAATTCCAAATTTTCGCGCCAAAACTAATCTACAGTAACCTAGGCTTATTTACATTCAAACAATCCAACATTTTTAAAATTAGATCGATCCACTCACGGTTTTGGAATTTCTTTAACCAGCGTCAATTTTTTCTCCAACAATTCTTTCAAAGCATCCGATACTTGCACAGTCCCACTATTCGGTGGTTTTTCCTCTTTCGTCGCCCAAAATGGCACACCATTTATGAACAGCCTTCCATTATTCTCATTATTCATAGGCCCTTCACTAACTGTAAATATATATCCATTCTCAGATTCGCTGGCAATTGCATCATATTCTCCAGGAACATCGAGGATTTTCACATTTTCTTCAGGATTTCTGAAATGAAATAAGTAGCTTTTTGTTTCTGCCTAGATAACTTACTCCATCTTATTTTGACTTTTATTTTTTGCTCTATTATACAGCAATCGAAATTTAGTGTCATTCGTTTTCCGAAACGAATTTTGTAAACGTTTCGATAGATCCAAAACCGGTGTCAATTTTCTCGTTTTCGATTTTCTTCGAGTTATAACATCTCTTGATGAGCTTTTTTTCATTTTTGTATTTCCTTTATCGTCTGATGCAGATTTTTTGATTTTCAAATTCTCATCCGATCGTTCGTTTTTGATTTGTTTTTTATTTTTCGATTCATCTTCTGCCATTTATTATTGGAAAATAATTAGAAAATGAATTTAAAAAATTTTGAAAATTTTGAGGCTGGAAATTTAGGTCACGTCGAAAACCCATAAATTTCTAGAAAAAAAATTCCCAAGTAAAATGTTCATTCAAACAAAAAATCATTGAAGATTCGCACACAATTCCGCAACTTTGCTAATATTCTCCGGATCATTCGACTTCGTTTTGATCCAAAATGCAATCGCTTGATAAATCGCCAAATATTGTTCCGCATTCTCAACAATTCCAAATCTTTGTCCACGCAACGCTATGAACAATTCATTGATTTTCACATCAACATTTTTGATAACATGCGACATAATACAATAAATCATCAAAATAGTTCCAGCTCTTCCAACACCATTCCAACTACAGAATAAAATAGCATCAGATGCTTTGCTCATTTTTTCACAAATCACTGAGCAATCACTTATATTCGTTGGAACTTTGCCAATATTCCAAGTTGAGATAGTGTAGACTGTAACAAGATTTGAATTCGAACAACCATCTGGTAAAACTTCGATTAGAATGGCATTTGCTTCTTTTCCAATCATCTCAACTTTTTTGACATTCAAAAACATTGTTCCAAAAGTTGCAAATGCGCCATTCGTATTTGGAAAAAAGCTGGATAAATTCAACGTTTCATTCGGAACAAATCCAAAAAACACGCTCGAAATGCCTTCCTGCAAAATTTTTTTTTAACTTTCTAAACAAGAATTTGCAGTAACTTACATCAAAAATCATTCTCCAGAACACTTCCAAATCTGCAACTTCTGGCACTTGTCCAATCATCAAATTTCTTGTCGAATCTGCTGGATTTGTGATTTTTGCCGCATTGATGTAACCACCAGCTGGGATTTGAAGCTTGAGTCGATTTGTTTCATCGATTGGAAGTTCTTGGTTACGATTTTTGGTGGGATTTTGGAAGAATCCTGCGCAAGCTTCTTGAGTTGGAACCGGAGTTTGGACGGCAGCAAATTCAGCAGCAGGTGAAGTCGGGTCTAAAAATTATATTTTTTTGTAATACGGTACACAATTTGTGCATTTGCGCGTCGTGGTGTTTGCACACTATTTTTTTCTATTTATTTTTTCAACTGTTTTCTGGGTTTTTTAACGCTTTTTTTGCATGGTAGAGACAGTTTAGGTAAATTCTGAATACATAATCAGATTCGTCTCATTGAGATGAATCCAGAACAGTGATTACTCTTTCAGAAAACACATTTCAGAGTTTTTTATCACTCACCAAACTTATTTTGCTGCAACAATTTTTTAACAGCCGAATCATATGGCCATTGTCCATCAGCTGCTCCACCAACTTGTGTCATTGTTGTCGTAACTCCTCCAATCAGCGTATTCGGACTAATTGTTGTCATAGTTGTGGTAACTCCAGCCCCAACTTGTGTAATCGTTGTAGTGGTTGCTGTTGGAGTTCCTGGAGTTGGTGGCGTTTGTGCAGCAGCTGGTTGTGGAGAAGTCAATGCAGTATTCGATTTACTCTTCGATTTCTTCAGATTTTTTCTTCCCGATTTCTCTTTTTTCTTCGATTGCTCCTTTCTCTTCGATTTTTCATTGGTTTTCGATTTTGATTTTATCTTCTTAACTCCGCCGCATTTGTTCTTCGCTGACTCGAATGCTGATTTTAACATATTTTATTATCCACACGGCTTTGTTGATTTGAAAAAGCTAAGAATGATCACACATTTTCGATTTCTCCGACACGTTGAAAATAATTCAACGTGTTCTAATTTGATTGGCCTGAATCACGTGAACGTTTGTTTTTTTTTTTTGAATTTGGGATTTTAAAGTTTTTATTACATTCATTCAAAAATATTTACAACCAAAGAAGCCTAATTCAAAAATTATCAGATCTTACAATAATTCTTATTCGATTTTTCTTCGATGTTCCTTCAATTTTACAATAAACCGCATCTCCGAATAATTCATAAATAATATTTTGAAAATCACCAATAACTAATTCAAAATCAGCATTCTCGTAGATCTCTTCGATGTCTATTCGCCAATCAGGAATACATTTGTTTTCCAGTTTCTGTAATACTATGAGAATTTGAAAACAGGACAAATGTTTCGAAAAACTAACCAATAATGAATCTATAGTATTTTCAAATGTTGACCAAGTCATTAGAAAATTTAGATCTGAACAATTTTGCATGACATCAATAAGATCTTCAAAAGAATCTGTATAATCTAATATTTCAATTGTTGTAGCTTTCGATGATCCAGCTTTTTGTATATCCCAATAATTGACTTTGATTTCGAAATTATCTTCAACAAATTCTGATATTTTATACAAAATCTCTTCACTGATTTGTGGCCCTTCATATTTCACATCGTAGATCAAATCGCAACATAATATTTCAGTCAACAATTCAATTGATAATTCTCGATCAGTTTGAATATGAAGATTGTGACATTCTGCATTTTTGAATACAAAATACCATTCCTCAAGTGGAACAATTCTTGGAAATGAATTTATTGATAAATCAGAGATTGCCAAAATTAGACTTTCATTGCAATAATTGAGCCAAGCGTTGCATTTTGGTCTCATCATCGTTTCCAAAGAGTTTGGAAGTTTCTTGAATTTAGCTTGAGCTGTAAGGTTTAAAAATTGCATTAAACTAGAAATTAAGAAAATTATAAAACAGCAATAATGAAAATATTTCAAAAAATCAAGGACTGAAGAAGAATACGCCCAGCTTCATTGATTCAAATTTCAGATAAGAAAAATGAAAAGTGTTTGCGAATCTTGCGAACGAATCAACCAAAATTCGATACATCAGGATTTATTGAAAAAAATCTTCATGTGAACACTGATTTTTTGAACCAGACATTTCGAAGTCTACAAAATCAGATAGCGAAAAAGTTGGTTTTTTGTTGAAAACCTTTCTTATCTGATTTTTTGAAAGGCCTAAAATTGAAAGTTTTTCATCTTTGAAAACTTCTAGTTCCGAAAAAAATAACCCCAGCTTCATCGATTCAAATTTTAGATAAAATGAATTTTTTGTAAATATCTTGCGAACGAATCAACCAAATTCGATAGAATCAAGACATCAGGATTCCGTATGAATAGATCTTCTCAAGAACAAATAGAATCTGGAATTCCAAAAAAAAGCTCACGTGAAACGTGTACCCATCCAAAAAAAAATCTGAAATATTCCTCATTTCTTGAGTTGAACCCAATTATAAAATGGAACAAAATCAGAACAATGGTCGAAATTTGAATGAAGAGGTGCAAAATGATTGGGGAAGAATGAGAGGTTGGAATATGGTGCAACAACCAGAAAATCTATGGAATTTTCGAGGAAGAAGAGCGCAAGCCGGGGGAAATCGACAAAATGTTCCAGCACAAAATATGAATAATATGAGACATGGCGGAGGAAGAGGAAATGAAAGACATCGAGCACAAAGTCAACGAGGACATGGAAGACGAAATGGAGATGTAAGATATTTTACACGGAATTTTACAGGAGAGAGACGCAGAGAAATCCAAAACATGAAATTCGAAAAAATTTGAAAAATATTTTTCCCGCGCTTGGTCTCAAAGCGAAGATAGTGTTTTGTACCTCTCTTGGAGTTTAAAAAATTCTTTAAATTTTGTGCAGATTCATCCTGATTTGTTTCAGCAACAAGAAACTCGTCGAAAAGATTGTCGCACAGCATTTGAATTCGATCACAGAGAAGAGCAATGTTGGACACGTGTTATTCAAGCAATTCAACAAAACTCCACCAATTTTGGGCCAACTTCTGATTTTCACATTCCAAATGAATTCGAAGTTTGTGCAAATTTGAGATCGAGAGAGCAACTTGATACAATACAAAATGCTCATGAAATTATCAACAATCAATTTCAATTTTGCTCAAAACCTCAAATACAAAATATTCTTGAAAAACTCGAAATGCATATGCGAACAAGTGCCATTGAATATGAGATGTTGGAAAAAACAATTGGAGAAATGACTGAAAATTTGGAAAAGGCAAATAAGGAAATGTATGATTTGGAGGATATTATTCAAAAAGTTAATTTCATGAAAGTCGCTCAATAATTCCATCTGAATAAAATTTATCACAAAATTGTTGAATATACATTTGACAAGAAAAGGCATACTATGCAGACTATTATTGTTTCTCGTTTTGTTCGGAGGAAGATGGCGCTGCCTAAAGTTTTTCAGGTAATTTTTTTTTATTTCAGAAAAAAACGAACCTCTTTTTCCTTTGATTCCTCTTTTTCTTTCTCAGCTTTTTTCTCGTTCTTCTTTTTGTTTTCGTAACATTTCCTTCAATTCCAAATTATGTTTATTCACTCGACTTTCAACTTGATTCATATATTCATTCAATCGATCGAGTTCTGCGTCAAGTTGATGGAATTCTTCATTTTCCGAAGAACAATCCGACATTGGATCTTCGCCTGCCATTTTCATTTGGAAAATTTAGAAATTCAACGAGTAAAAAATAAAAATCGATAAATGTAACCGAAAGGGCACGACTGTTCGGGGAAGAAGAAACTTCGGCCACGCTTGTGACGTCATCAATTTTTCAAAATGAAACTGGCGGCGCGGCCCGAAAATGTTACAGGCCATAACTTGAAAAACTAAAAACGTAGCGATAATCTACGCATCCGAATCTCTTTGAATAAGTATTTTCCGAAGGTCCTGCTGCGATTTTACGAAATCGTGTCGAGACCCGTTTTCTCAAAAAATAGCATGTTTCTTTGTGCGTTTGCGGAAATTCAAAAATAGTTTTTTTTCAAACATTTTTTTTGGTAATTAGCTCATTTTCGAGAGGGAATTCCGAGAAGATAAGCATATAAAACAACTTTAGATGTGAAAAAACATGAACTGACATTGAGTGCATGAGAAAATGGCTAAATTCATTATGTTTTCTGTTACCTGAATCATATTTTACAAAGGTAATTCAAAAACTGAATGCTGTGTTCATTATCTGGGCTTGAATTTTCAGCTTTTTCATCATAGAATTTCAGTGTTAAAGTTTAATTTGTTGAGATAGCGATAAAACTTTGGTTATAAACTTTTGAGCTCAATTTTAAGCTGTTTTCAAAAGAAAAAATGCGTTGTTTTTCCCACTTGCATTAAATTGAAAACGGATTTCAATTAACAAATGTTTTGAATGACCCTGGAACTTTAGAAATGTTCTTTGGTGAGTTTGTGTTTAGATATTCGGTGAAAAACATCAGGTTTTGATTGAAATCTGGAATTTCTTCAAATTTCGAGCTTTTTCAGCAATTATTCCCAATAAAGTTCAGAACTTATTTTAAACGAGACTGATTTGATCTTAGGTAGAATCTTAAGCATTTTTTTATTGAACCTTCATTATTTGCTCGCCAGTTCGCGAATGGCAATCATTTTAATTGTAAAACATAATAATAAATTAATTTATGAAAAAATTATGGCAGAAAAAAATGAAATCCATCGTTTGACAAATGGATGATGAGCATGTTTGAAGGATGATGTGAAGTGTTTTGTCTGGAAAAGGAACAATTAGTATTTCTCTGGAATATTTCATTTTTAGTGATAATCTTGCTGTCCAGAGCCTAATACTAGTTAGTTAATTGAGTAAGCTTTTCTGTGAAACTAAACATAATATTTTCTTACATCGTATTCGGCCTTGAAAAATTAATCGTGATAGAAATTTGAGTTGGTTTCTGTAGCGAGTAATTTTTCGATAGTGTGATTTTTCTTCAGACTTAATTGTTCTGGCGATTAAACTCAGGTCTGAATACAATCGTATTTGGAACAACTACAGTGCTCCACAAAATTATACGGTCAACATGAAAAATTCCAAAAATCAAAAATCCGGAGAGCATTGAATTTCTAAGTTCATGAGGCTAAAATGGGCTCAAAAAGACATCTTCAGAAGATGTAACTAACTAACATCTTCAGAAGATGTAACTTTCAATACTCTTCCTATGACAATCGTCTCGAACAGGCTGATTATACTACATCAGCCAGACGTAGTTTAGAACATTCTTTATCAATCATGTTTTCCATAAGCAAAAACCTAATCCACTTCCCCGACAAAATAAGATATTTTTCCAGTTCATCTTCGCCTCGCACACCTCTGGCAATAAAACTTAATGATAAGAGATTCTGCAAAACCTTCTTCAGTTATATCTTCAAACATTGGAACAAGTTGGCCACCTTACTTACAAACGACACCAGCTTAACAATGCTCAAATCAACCATCCGCGCATTACCAAACAGTTTTTTTGTTTCGCCTCGCCCCTAACCGTGTATATATTTATATCTTATTCCTATCACTCATTTATTCTCATTTTTCCTCGCATGTAAATAACACCTCATGACAATGATGTTCGAAGTTACCCTTTCTAACCTCCAATGATTGTCTTGGACTTCTGCTTCCTATACTTGTCTGCAAAGCCGAAATAGCCCTTCCTAAAAGTTACTGGTCCGCTCCTGACCAATATTAGCCATGGTCCGATTAATTGACCAACAGGCCTTTTACGGAAGGAGGCGTTTGCAGAGGGTTGGGGATTGGATTTCTAATTCTCTCATTTTATCTTATATTCAAATAACTTCGTTCTGAGTCAAAACTTCTAACTTCTAACTTCTAACTTCTCATCTAATTCAAATATTCATCATTAAACTTTCTCCCCCCCCATATTTCAGTTTTTTATCTTTACTCCTTTTCCCCTCTTTATTTTACCTTTAATGCATCCTTATTCACTATCATGTTAAACCACATTCATTATTCACATAGTCACATCCTCTCAAATGGCCCAACTTGTCTTTTTTATAGGACCTACGGGCCTTTTTTGTTTTATTGCAGTCATCTCGATTATCATTTCTCTACTATCTCTTCTTTTTAAATTCTTTTGTCTTTCACAATGTATATCGGTGTGGTTCAATAAATATATATATATAAAGTTCAATTATTGGTCCGAAAACAAAATTGGAATTGCTGGTGAAAAAATGAAAAAAATCGAAAAATCTCATTTTTAGGTTTTTTCCAATCCACAAAATGATACGGTCAACCATCATTTTTCTTCAATTTTCCAGTTTTTTATTGAATTTCAATGTGATTAAGGCTGAAATGGTGAATTTCGGTGATTTTAGATGTTCCTCGAAAAAATTAGCATACCCTTTTAGGCTACGGGGTCCAAAAAGGACCAAATCAGAGAAACGCCTCTCAAAGTGCAAAAATCTCACAAATTTTGAAAAATTTCAAAGTTCTGTCGACTGATTCGTCGCAAAAAATTAAATGTAGCTTTGCTAAACACCGTTGACAATTTTCCTTCCAAAAATCAATGAAAGTTGTGAAAAATCAAAAATTTTCATACCTCGCTTCAATGAAAAATGTGAATTTTCGATCTTTTCCGGGGAATTGAAAGCCCCATGGCACGAGATTTTGAAGTTGATCCATCAAACACTTCAGAACATCCATCAGATATGTCCACTGACACATGATAAGTGCCATGGGGCCTTCAATTCCAGCAGAAAGTTCCAAAATTCAATTTTTTATTGAGTCGAGGTATGAAAATTTTTGATTTTTCACAACTTTCATTGATTTTTGGAAGGAAAATTGTCAACGGTGTTTAGCAAAGCTACATTTAATTTTTTGCGACGAATCAGTCGACAGAACTTTGAAATTTTTCAAAATTTGTGAGATTTTTGCACTTTGAGAGGCGTTTCTCTGATTTGGTCCTTTTTGGACCCCGTAGCCTAAAAGGGTATGCTAATTTTTTCGAGGAACATCTAAAATCACCGAAATTCACCATTTCAGCCTTAATCACATTGAAATTCAATAAAAAACTGGAAAATTGAAGAAAAAATGATGGTTGACCGTATCATTTTGTGGATTGGAAAAAACCTAAAAATGAGATTTTTCGATTTTTTTCATTTTTTTTACCAGCAATTCCAATTTTGTTTTCGGACCAATAATTGAACTTTTGAGCCCATTTTAGCCTCATGAACTTAGAAATTCAATGCTCTCCGGATTTTTGATTTTTTGGAATTTTTCATGTTGACCGTATAATTTTGTGGAGCACTGTAGAGTGACAATTTTGGAATTTAAATTTAAATTTTTGGTTTTTTTTTTCTGCTAGCCTTTTTCCACGAAATGTCAACATATGTTTTGAAGATTTTAGAGAAAATTTTCAATATAAAAATACTTACCGAAACACATAGATATCATGACATTCATAAGTTGTTTATAACAGCAACAAGTTATTCGCCAAATCTTCTGTCGTTTTATGCAAACTTGCTCGCTTCATGTAACGTTCGATCACTCAAGTTCTGTTGAATGAACCATTCATCAATTTTGTTGGTTTCACATAGCTCGTCTTGTTGAGTTTTGCCCAGTCAAGCCACATTTTGTTGGCTGATATTGAAATGTTGTCCAATTATAATCATGAATTATCTAAAAAAAAAACTAATTTAGACAATCCGCAGAAAACGTACAACAATAAAGAAATACGATGTTTTTCTGTTGCTCTCTATATTAAATATGTACGAACGTTTTAAACAATTTACATAGAGAATAGACAAACAACTGGTTCAGTAAAAAATTTAAGTTTAGACACTAATTTCAGTAAAACCGGAGGGAATTCGCTCAAATACACACCTAACCTATATTCTCCGAGCGAAAAATAATCAATATATGCTGTAAAAAAATGATTTCTCTACAGAAAACACTAAAAAATATCTCAGCAAAGTGAAACGGAAAAAAAATGGAAAAAAAATAAAAATAAAAAAAATGTGTGCAATTTCATGTCAGTGTGTATGCACATTCTGCGTACAGTACTCCGAAATTTTTATTTCCGCTGCCGAACAGGCGTGAGGGGAAAGAATAGCCATGGCGCAACAATGGCCGAGTTTCCGACTAGTTCGGCCAGAACAAAAAATCTCGGCCATTATTTTTTTTTCGGGGGAAAAACTTCTGATTGTGAACTAAATCTGGATTTTCTCATTGAAATCCAGTTATTGTTATGACTTTTATATTGGAATCTAACCAGCTTAACCTTCTCCACAAGCTTTTTTGAAGGCCTGAAAATAATCTGGAACTCTTCCAAATTGTTTTGAAGATCCGTAATCTGGCAGACGATAAACATTTATTAATGAATAATTGTTATCAAAAGAACTGATTTCACATATGTACATACGTGTCTTGAGTAATTTTTAATTGAAGTTAGATGACTCTAAATTTAATCTAATCTCATCCGTGATTTGAAAGGCATTCAGTTGCTCAATAAATTCGAAGGCTGCATCCATCACAATTTTCAAATCAAAATCTCTATAAGAATCGTCGTAGAAAGCAAAATGTGCGCTGAAATGAACAATATAAATTACTATCTACAATATAAATTACTATCTACCTATGGAAACACGCTTTCCCAAAAATAGTTTGTCCGGGGCCCATTCTCAGCTTCCAGCGCACTCACCTTTCGAAACATGCATAATTCTTTCCTATCGGCATTGATAAAGCGAAGGCGAATCGACGGTAGCTATCATCAGAATTAAGCGAAACCCGTAATTCGTGAAATGAGATAAGTTCTAAAAAAAAATACATTGTAAATAATGAAAATTGAGATTTTTACGCGAAAATGTCGGCTCTAAACGGAAAAAAAGGGTTTTAGGAAAAAAAATGAGGTTTTCGGAAGAACGAGGAGTTTTGAAAACTTTAACCTTTCAATTTCGTGTTCGCGGCTCCCCACACTAACTGGCATGCCACTCTGAAATCTCTTGTTTTCCAACACACAACGGTCAATCCGAACATTATTGAAGAGTCTTTGGATCTGTTTTGGTCGTCAAGGTACGATTCAACAAGTTGGTTATGATACAAGATCTGAAACGAATTCTAAAATTAAAATATTTGTTTATGCATAAACTAACGTCTTGTGTTTTTGAAATTTTATCGTTTTTGGCAATTTTATCGTATTTGACAAGCACGTTCCTGATCCAAGTTTTTATGTTAATAACACGAGACCCGTTCACTTCTTTGAATGAATTTTGTAAGAACAATAATAATGTATCGCATTCGAGCACTTTTTTAATTCTTTGGTTTTGGTGTTGATCCATTCCTTCCTTTCTAAAACGAAACGAAAAAATGCGCTATAAAATCTGAAAAAATCTCTTTGAAAACGGATTCGAATTCAGTGGGTTTGAATCTCTATAGAAGTACCAGGTATTAAAAAAAAGTTCAAAACCTGACCTTTACCTTGTGAGCACAAGTTCTTTGGTCAAATATTTAAAAAAAACTATTATTTTCCTGTTTGGCGTTGGAATAATTGAAGAGCCCCTCCTCCTCCGTGATCCCTTCGCACACAGTTTTGCAATATGCCGCATTGTTGTGTGTGGGGCACACCTGACGAAACGTGTCCAAAAGAGACACTGTACAAAAATTTTCAAAAGGCACACTGTAATTTTTTCAGGAAAAAATGTAGTTTTTTACTTAAAATTTTCTTTTCTTCTTCTTTTTTTACTTTTTCCTTTTTTAAACTCTGAGATAAATTATTTTCAATACTCTTATCTACTTCTAGTGTATCCAGAATCCGCTGAACTTATTTTAAAAACACTTTATAAAACTCGTTTTTCATTGAAAATTCGTAAAATCCTCGTGGAGGCAAACAATTAATTTTGAATTGGCGGTGGAAAATGTGTGTGCGATAGAGCGCAGTTGTTCGTTCGAAAATTTTTATTTTTTCTTTTTTTTTCACGTGCTCCTAAAATTTCGAAATTTCTTAATTTCGCGAGTTTTAAAAGTGTTTACGATGTTTCAGTTGTGATTATCAATAATTTTTGCTAATTTCAGACAATAATGCAGTCTCTAAACATCACCCCGTCAGTGGGTATGATTGCATGTTGCGAATGCGGTGTTGCAATCACTCCAAATCAAGCAAATATGTGCAGTGGATGTCTTCGATCAAGAGTTGATATTACAGAAGGAATCACTAAAACCTGCACTATTTACATGTGTAAATTTTGCGATCGTTATTTTGTTCCACCAAGTGCATGGATGAGAGCCGAACTCGAATCGAAAGAATTGTTGTCAATTTGTCTCAAAAAGTTAAAACCAATGTTAACAAAGGTATCTATTATTTCAGCGCATTTTCAGAAAAAAATTGAATTTTTACAGGTTCGTCTAACTGATGCATGTTTCGTTTGGACAGAAGCTCACTCAAAAAGAATCAAAGTGAAGATCACAATTCAAAAAGAAGTCTTCACCAGCACAATTTTACAACAAAGTGTTGTTGTCGAATTCTCGGTTGCCAGTCAATTGTGTGATGATTGTCGTCGTGCAGAAGCCAAAGATTTTTGGAGAGCCTGTGTTCAAGTTCGCCAACGCGCCGAATTCAAAAAGACACTTTTCTATCTCGAACAACTTCTTCTCAAACATTCAGCTCATAAAGAATGCACTGGAGTAAAACCAGTTCCAACTGGTATCGACTTCTACTTCGCGAAACAACAAGAAGCTCGAAAATTCGTCGATTTTTTGAACACAGTTCTTCCATGCAAATATCATTATGCTCAAGAATTGATTTCTCACGACACCAAAAACAACACCTACGATTACAAGCATACATTCTGCGTTGAAATCGTTCCAATCTGCAGAGATAATATTGTATGTTTACCAAAGAAAATTGCACAACAATTCGGAAATATGTCACAAATTGTTATTTGTCTTCGCGTTTCCAATGTTATCACACTTATTGATCCGAATAATTTGCAATTAGTTGATGTTCAAGGGTTTGTGTTTTGAAGTAGAAACAAAAAACAATGATTTTTTTTTACAGAACAAACTTCTGGAGAGATCCATTCGACGCATTATGCGGGCCTAAACAATTGACAGAATTCTACGTTTTGGATGTTGATGTGATTGATAACTTCGAAAGAAAAGCTGGTCATGGATATGTGAGTAAACGACATCAATTAGCTGATGTTTGGCTAGTTCGAAGTGATCAAGTTGGAATGTCAGATGCTCAAACTTTATCAGCAAGAACACATTTGGGACATTTATTATCACCAGGAGATCTTGTTATGGGTAAGATTATATATAATCATACGTCGGATACCATTGTTCCAAATCTACCAGTGCATACCCCCATTTTTGAAAATTTCGGGCAAAAGGGATACCCCCTACCCTTTTACCTTTTCCTTTTTTATTTGCAGTTGTAAAAACTTGATAATCAAAATTTTTGTTAAAATTTGAGCACAAAATAGCTTCATTTCGACAAAAATCTCATTCTCATCACTTTTAAGTCAAATTTTGATTAAAAATTCCTATTTGTCAAAAACAAAAAAAAATACGTTTCAAAATTTTGATATAATTTATTATCAAATATTTTTTTCAATATGTTCATCATTTATTATGTATACCTGCAAAAAGCGAAGTTTGAAAGACGTTCGGGATTCTCAATGTTTATACCTTTAACGTGTCCATTTCAAAACCCGGTGGTTTTTTCTTGATCTTTGGGATTTCGTATTGAGAATAAATTAAAATCAAAATTCTCAAAATTTGGATGAAAATTCTGAAATTATCGATAGATAGAGTACAAAAATGAGAAAATTTCTTCAAAAAGTTTTCTTTTTTCTGGAAATCTAGTTTTTTTCAGCGTTCGATCTTAAAAACTGCAACGTCAATAATGCAACCTTCGATGCCATGAATAATGAAAATGTTCCTGATGCAATTATTGTGAAGAAAGTGTTTGATAGAAATCGACGAGCACAAAAACGACAATGGAAACTTAAGAGATTGGTTGTTGATGGAAATATTGTTGGAAATGAAACTGCATCTGTTGCTGACGAATTCATTGGATTTATGGAGGATATTGAAGAGGATGTTTTGATGAGAGAGAAAATCAATATTTATAAGGATCAAGAGAAGATTGAGAGAAGAATGGGCGAGGCCACAGATGATGAAGATGAAGTTCCAGATGCTCCAACTCTTGCTGAAATGTTGGATGATTTGAATTTCAACGACGATGAAATGCCGCCAGAAACATCTGGAAATGTTGGAGAAGAGGATGAAGAAGCAATGCAGGAATAAAAAGTTATTTTTTTGATTTTATTTTTTTTTGTTATTAATTTTCTTGTTTCCCCCCTGAATTTGTTATAGCCTATTTACTGTCTTGTTTGAATGAAATTCCACATTTTTTATTGAATTTGATTGTGATATTGTGTTGAAGTTTCAACAAGATTCCTATTTTGATTTTTTTCGGGGTTCAGGTTTTTGAAATTAAATTTTCATTGAAAAAAAACTTTTTGAAAAATTGCAAAAAAACAAATTTTCTACAGAAAAATTATAGCGAAATTGTTTTGAAACAATTTCCTGAATCCAATTTTTTTTAAATTTCAAAGTTTCAATTTCCAGACGGATTTCAAAATTGGGAGAACAAATTTTTCTGAAAAAAATTGAAAATTGCCATCAGACAATTTTTCTACAGAAAATTCATAGCGAAATTGTTTTGAAATATTTCCTGAATCCAACTTTTTGTTAAAAATTTTCAAAATTGAGAGAAAATTTTTTCTGAAAAATAAAAAATAGCGAAACTGCTTTAAAATTGTCAAAAACCACATTTTCTACAGAAAAATTTAAATATCTCATCACGAAAGTTCATTTTTTGAGTTAAAAATTTTTCCTCAGCTTCCAAAGATTTCAAAAGCGTCGCAAAATCTTCCGAAATGTTGCTCAATACAAAAGTGGGCGGAGCTCTCATAATTAATTGCGCAAAAATTAATTACAATATCTATTAACCAGATAACAATCTCAATTCACCCCGTTCACAATTTGACCTCTCGTTTTTTATTCAAAACGTGCTCAGCACGTGTACTTCACACTAGTTCCATCCTTTTTTTCTCTCAATCGATACGTGTTTGTGTCTGCGTCTCACTGAAAACAACATGCATCTAGGCACCAGCACAAAACAACAACAGCATGTTATTTTTGCCGCCGGCCGGCCGACCGCTGCCCCGTCCGTTTTTTTCTCTGATTGTCGAAAGTTTTGTCTGATGGCTACTTTTAAAGATATAAAATCTTTGTTTGTTTTTGCTTTGTTGAATTTTTCTCGCATTCAATGTCTAATGTTTGCTTTTGATGAGGACATGACTTTTTATAACTCAGAAAGTTTAGTTTTACAAAGTAAAGTTATTTCTCAATATATTTTTTGCAAAGAATCTGAAAACAATAGTAGATATTGCTGAAAATTTGACAACTGTTGTGAAAAAAATCGCTTTCTGTCTGTCCCCAGAAATACTTCTTGATAAATATTTTATTTGTGTGTCCTACACAATTTTATTTTATCATCGTTGTTCTTTGTGGTGAAAAAGTCAGTAAGTAAGTGCTATTTAATGACAAATCAATTACTTAACTTGTTTTTTTGTTCACTTCGCAAAAAATGTTGTTTACTTTATTTGTAGAAAAATGTAACTATGATCGATTTTCAGGTCGAATTTCACAGTGTGTTGTATCTATTTTACTACCTCAAACCGCTAGACCTCGAATTTTTCCAAAAAATTTTTCTGATAGATCAAAAATATTTTTCTCTAAATCTCTCACTTTTGCGTTGATTTCGTCGATTTTTTGTCCCACCCCTAAAATCGTGGCAGATCTCAAAAAAATGCGCGAATTTTTTGGGTAGTAAATACACGCTGTGATTTAGGCCAACTCTGAAAACTTCCTTGAAAAATGTGTTTTTTGACCCTCTTCTCAAAAGTGTTCATTCATCTTCATTGTTTGTTCTTATCATCCGCCCCCTACACAACTTTAAAACAAAAAAGCATAATTTTTCACGTGGACACAAAAAGCTCATTTTATGGGTCGAGTGCAAATTTGCATCATTTTACGAAGCGCCGCCCATTTTTCCCTCAATGTTCAAAATACATTTTGTGTACTTTTAAGGGAAACCTGTTTTTTTTTTCTTTCTGTGGTGGTAAATATTCTAGTGTATTTTTCATTTTTTTTAATCATCACGTGTTGCTCTGATTAAACATTTGATTGTTTTTCAATTCAATTCATTTCAACATTTTCAGCCAGCCCAAAAATGTCGTGGGTCCGTTATACAAAAACGGGTGTGGCTGTTGTGGCAACATCGGCCGCCGCCGCTTTGGCACTTGATATGACGAACGAACGAAGATTTCAGAGACAAGTTGTGGGTTTTTATTATTAGAAAATATGTGGTTATGACGTGGCAACATTGCTATCAAATGATGTAGCGGATTATTTTTTTGAAAAATTTTCTAAAAATATTGTTTTATCATTATTGTTATAATCAAAAGTTCAAACTACACATGAAAACGGGTCGAGATTATAGTTGGACATCAACTAAATTGACTAAATGACATTTTCAGGTTTTTTAAGCAAGTGAGTTGAAATATTGCGTTCTAATTTTATTCACATGGTCTAAGACGAACATAATGATATAAATTTTGATGAATTTACGTTATCCATAAGTGATTTAGCGACTTTTAGTCGATATTTAGTCGAAACGTCGCTAAATCACTTATAGATCAGGCCTGATCGGAATGGACCTTGTCGGAAGGTTAGGAATGAGCACACTCGTTCCGAGTGGTCAGATCGTAATTCCGAATTCCGAACCTCCATTCCGACATTTTTACCTCGGAATTTTTCGGAATGTTTCGGAATGATATAAAACTTAAAAATAGTGTCTTCAAAAGTTACATTTTTCGAGAATCACAAGAGAAAAAGAGATTTTTTGAAAATGATAGGTAAAATTCATCAACTCTTCCATTTTTTTGTTGAATTTTCCACTAATTTCAGCTCAAACATTCCGAAAAATTCCGAAATTCGGAAGAAAAATTCTGAAATTCGGAAGAGAAACACATTCCGAAATTCCAAAAAGGTTCGGAAGTAACATCGGAATGATTCCGATTTCGAGAAAATAGATTCCGATTCCGAGACACGTTTGTCTCATTCCGAAAAACCTGTCGGTTTCGGAATTTCGGAATTCCGACATTCCGATTCCGATCAGGCCTGTTATAGATAACGTAAAGTCATCAAAATTTATATCATTCTGTTCGTCTTAAACCATTCTATCATATGAATAAAATTAGAAACCAGTATTTCAACTAACTTGCTTAAAAAACTTAAAAATGTCATTTAGTCGATGTCCAACTATAGTCGAGTTGAAATGATGTTTCTAAAAATCCGCCATTTTTGCTAAAAATGTGAAATTTAAAAAGCTGAAATCAAAATTTTCTGAAAATTACATAAATGGGCTTCTATTGAAATTTAAAATCTGGTTTTTCGCAAAAAAAAACCAACTTTTTCCAGAAAGATCATTTCCGAACTGTGCACGCTGATAGATTGGCTGAATTGAACAAAAGAGCTCCAAGTGCACTTCCAACAAGAAAGGATATTTTGGCATCATTGAGTGTGAGTTAACCGAATTCCCTTCTATTTGTTTCATCACGAAAACTTTTCCAGAAAGGCGAAGAATTCGACGTATTGATTATTGGCGGTGGTGCAACTGGTGCTGGTGTCGCGCTCGACGCAACAACTCGTGGATTAAAAACCGCGCTCGTTGAACTCGATGATTTCTCATCCGGAACATCTTCCCGATCAACAAAACTCATTCATGGCGGAGTTCGATATCTTCAGGCGGCTATTATGAAACTCGATTTGGAACAATATCGAATGGTGAAAGAGGCGTTGTTCGAGCGAGCCAATCTTCTCGAAATCGCTCCACATTTATCTGCACCACTTCCAATTATGTTACCAGTTTATAAATATTGGCAAATTCCGTATTATTGGAGTGGAATTAAGGCGTATGATATTGTTTCGGGAAAAAGAGTGCTCAAAAATTCGTTCTTTATTAGCAAAGCTCAAGCATTAGAGAGGTATTTAATAGAATTATTTTTTTATTTTTTATAGAAAATTCAAAAAATTGTAGATTCCCAATGCTCCGCAATGAATCACTTAAAGGTGCATTGATTTATTATGATGGACAACACAATGACGCAAGAATGAATTTAGCTATTATTCTATCGGCAATTAGACATGGAGCTGCTGTAAGTTGGAGTTTTGTTGGGAGAAAATGAATTTTTTTTGAGATTTAAAAACGATGTAGAAAACTGTTTTAATGTGAAATCCCCAGAATTTCTAATGGATCAATTCATCTGGAGAAAAAATGAATTTCGCGACATTTTTTGTCGCGAAATTGCATTTCGCGAAACGACACGAAATTAATAAAATAAAAGAGGAAATTCTTTTTTCGTGTGTTGGGTCTCGCAGCGATTACGTGTCCCTTTAATATTTCTCCTTTATTTTCGTGTTTATTTTGTGTCGTTTCACGAATTGCAATTTCGCGACAAAAAATGTCGCGAAATTCATTTTTTCTTCAGATGAATTGATCCATAAATATTTGTGAAAGATCTCTAGATTTTGAGCTGAAAAATCGTTCAGATTAATGTCTCCGACATCTAGTTCTAATATATAAAAACTATAATTTTAAACGAAAGGTCCCAGAAATCTGAATTTTTTGACGCAAAATACAATTTTTTTGTGATTTTTCAACTTTAAGATCATGAAAATCGCGAAAAAATCTCAAATTTTCAACAATTGATTTTTGATAAAAATTTTGTTTTAATCCTAAAGTTTTTGAAAATTTATTTAGCGCCCTGAGAAATTAGCATTCAGAATTTTGAGTAAAAAAAGTGCTCCTCTCCTCTATCAAAGTTAAAATTTTAAAAAAAATATAATTTTATACGAAAGGTCCCAGAATTCTGATTTTTTTGACTCAAAATACAATTTTTTTTTGTGATTTTTCATCATAAAAACCGCGATTTTTAACTCAAAATTCGAAAAAATCCCAGATTTTCAACCTAGAATTAATTCAGGGTGAAAAATGGAGAAATTTTTTTTTTTAAATGCTATAGTTTTTGAAAATGTATATAGCGCCCTATGAAATTGGCTTCCAGAAATTCAGACATTTTTTTTCTAGTGTGCCAACCACGTCCGCGTTGATAAACTTCTGAAAGACGCCGATGGAAAAGTGATTGGTGCTCATGTCCGCGATCAAATTTCTGGAGCTGAATGGGATATCAAAGCAAAAGCTGTTATCAATGCAACCGGTCCATTCACCGATTCAATTCGTCTTATGGGAGATCCCGATTCAGCCAAACCAATCTGTGCTCCAAGTTCAGGAGTTCATATCACACTTCCCGGATATTACAGTCCTTCGAATACCGGTCTTCTCGATCCAAACACATCAGATGGTCGTGTCATTTTCTTCCTTCCTTGGGAAAGAATGACGATTGCTGGAACAACTGATTCACCATCAGATGTCACACTTTCGCCTCAACCAACCGATCATGATATCGAATTCATCCTCCAAGAAATTCGTGGTTATTTATCGAAAGATGTTTCGGTTCGTCGAGGAGATGTCATGTCAGCTTGGTCTGGTCTTCGTCCACTTGTTCGTGATCCAAATAAGAATGATACCAAATCGCTTGCCAGAAATCATATCATCGAAGTCGGAAAATCTGGTTTAATCACAATTGCCGGTGGAAAATGGACAACCTATAGACATATGGCCGAAGAAACTGTTGACAAAACAGTTGAGATGCATAATTTGACACCGGAAAGTAAATGTGTTACACCTGGATTATTATTAGAAGGTGCACATGATTGGAATCCGTTGCAATATATTCATTTGGTACAAGATTATGGAATGGAAGTTGATGTTGCTCAACATTTGAGTCAAACATATGGAGATCGTGCATTTGTTGTTGCTCGAATGTGTAAAATGACTGGAAAACGTTGGCCGATTGTTGGCAAACGTCTTCATCCCGAATTCCCATATCTCGACGCCGAAGTTCGTTACGCAGTTCGTGAATACGCTTGTACTGCAGTCGATGTGATTGCGAGACGTATGCGCTTGGCGTTTTTGAACACGTATGCTGCTCATGAAGTCTTGCCCGATGTTGTTAGTATCATGGCGGAGGAGTTGGGATGGTCGAGTGCTGAGCAAAGAGCACAACTCGAGAAAGCTCGGCAATTTATTGATTTGGAAATGGGACAAAATGCGAAACAGACTGCGGTGTCGAATGCGCCATTGAATTTGACAAGGTTTGTGGGGGATTGCTCATACTAAACAACTTTTTTTTGGAAAAAAACAGGGATTTCTCATATGAAAAAATTAAGGTTTCCATGAATTTTTAGCAAATTTTTCTCGAAAAAGCCCTTGAATTTTTCTCAATTCTGACCCGATTCAAAAATTTCCGGAAAAAAACGGAAAAAAGTTTATTTTTGAATTTTTTTATAAACATTTTAAAATATTGAAATAGCTTGAAAAAATACGTTTCAAAGAATTTAGATGTTTTTTCGAACTGTTTTAATTTTGATACTGATTTTTTCAAAAAAAAATTCAAAAAATCTTTTTTTTAGAAAAAACCAGGGATTTCTCATATGAAAAAATAAAGGGTTCCATGAATTTTTAGCCAGTTCTTCTCGAAAAATCCGTTGAAAATTAGTTTTTCCACCTATTTTTTGGGATTTTCACAAAAATTATCCACGGAATTTTCGGTGTCTATTTCGAAAAACTTTCAAAAAGTGGTTTTTTGGGTCTGATTCAGACTTTTTCTCGAATCTGACCCGATTCAAAAATTACCGGAAAATGGGTTTGTTTTTGAATTTTTCATAAAAATTTTAAAATATTGAAATAGCTTGAAAAAATACGTTTCAAAGAATTTAGATGTTTTTTCGAACTGTTTTAGTTTTAATTTACAAATTATTGTCAATCCGAAAATAAAAGAACCCCCGTTTGAATTGGCGCTCACGTACAGTAGACTAAAAATGACGCACATCAAACTGGTTGGCAAATAGCCAGCGTGTAAATTTCGCATTTTATTTTTCAAATAGACTTCAAAATTTTGCAAACTGCTTCAATTTTAATACACAAACTTTCAACAAATTCAAAAAACCTTTTTTCAGAGCCGAAATGCAATTGGCCAAAGAACGTTTCACCAAATTGGACAAGGACAACAAAGGACATATTACAGTCAACGATTTGCGAAGACATTTCAGAGAACATAACCAAAAAATTGATGAACGTGTTTTGCACGAACTTTTGAATGAGGTTGATTTGAACAAGAATGGAGAAATTGAAATTGCTGAATTCTTCCAGGTATGATTTTAATTGAAAAGAAAAACCGAATTTTATATATGAAAAATTCAAAATTTTGAAATTTCAGCTGTATTCTGGATTGAAAGGTGGACAAGTGACAAGTAATCGATTGGTTGGATATTTGGATGAGATTCATGGAACACCAAGTGTCAATCGAGCTTGCGGAGGTCTATAAGTTTTTTACCAAAATTTTTTTTTGCAACTTTGTATAATTTCTCGCATTTTGCCCCAACTAAACTAACTTTTTTCTTATTATTCAGACGAGAAACCGTCGTGTAAGAAGTATTTAGATGAGAGACCGGTTTGAGTTTTTATTTTATTTGCACCCTATTTTTTGACGGAGAATAAATCTTGAAAATTATCTAGCAAGTTTATTCGCTGAAAAAATGTGGAGATCGAAATGATTCGATGGCAATTTTTTGAAGATTAGGGGAAAATTTCACATGGAAAAAATTATAGCAAGTTTTTTTTTGAAAAAAAATTAGCAGATCGAAATTTTTCATTTTTTGCCTAGAAAAAATAATTTTTCGGGAATTCCGAAAAATATACTGTTTCAAAAATTGTACATTATTTCATTTTTCAAGATATTCTTCAACTTGAAACTTTTTAATTTAGAAAATCTTCCGCGAAAAATACGTTTCAAAAAAAGTAGATTTATTTTTGAACGTTTTCAAATTTGTTTTGCTACCTTTTCCTCGAAAATATTTTCTCTAATATTTTTTTAAACAGGCTGCAATTTTTGGCTTCAAATATATTGAAACTTCACTGTTTCTAAAAAAAAATAGACAGTTTTCGAACTGAAAATCTGAAAAAAATTAATTGTTGTATTCGAAAAATTTTGATAGAAAAAGAGTCTAGATTTCTACATTCCAAAATATTTTTTTCTGGTTGGTGAATTATTTTTTCTCTTCTTTTCTCATCTCATCATTATAATATCTAATTATCCCGTTTCAATCTGCCTTTCTTCTAATCTCATTCACGGATCACACAACAATCGAAAAAATAAGAGAAGCTTCTGCCTTTCCATTCCATTTTCCACTGTTCATTCGCAAGCAGCGGCGGCACGGCATTTTCGATTTTCTCCCAATTTGTTCCGGAGTTGTTGCGCCATTTTATTGCTTGTTAGCAAATTTAATTCGATTTTAATTGAGAACCTTGAAAATGTTCAATAATACGCGAAGGATTTTTATGCGCAACTATGATAGTCCGTGTATTTTTGTTGTTGTGGTTTATTTTGTGATCATTTGTGGATGGAGCTTTTTGAAAGTGAGTTTGTCTCGAAAAATATCTTTGAACTTGGAAGTTTTTTTTCTGAAAATATGAAAAAGAGTTTCATTGCTCATGATAAACTCAAAAAACATCTCATTTTTCCGTGAATAAAAAACCACCAATTTTTCTACCTCAATAACCAATTTCATCCACGCCTCACTTCATTTCACGAAAAAAACAATTGTTTCATTTTCCCGTATCTGATTGAAAAGGCGAAGAAAAAGTTGCATAAAAAACAAGTTTCAAGTCGAGAAAACAAAATAAATCTTCGCTTCTCGAGATTTGAATCTCACTTCTCGAAAAAACTCTCAATCAAATAAGCATGTCTTGAGGTATTCAATGAACCGCGATATTGGAGACAAAGGAATATTATTGAGAAAGTTGATGAATTGTCGAGGATTGTGAGTTGGATTGGGGGGAGGGGGGGGAGGGGGTTCAAATTAATTCAGAAGTTCAAGATCTGTTTCTGAAGCTTAGGAGGTTTGTTGGAGAGAAATGTTAGAATAAGTTCCATTTTTTTTTCGAAAATCTAGGAGGTTTCAAATTTGTTTTTTTTTAGAAGTTTGAGCTCTGATTCTAGATTTAAAAAAAAAATTAGCATAATCTAGATAATTTCAGGTGTGTCAGTATTCTAATTTTTCTTAAATTCAAATCTCTGATCTGCTGGTTTATGATCTTTCTGGCTAGAATTTTAATCAAGGTCCCAAACCTAGCCAGAAATGCCCCTAGATTTCAAGCTGAATCTGGTCCCAAACCTTTTGAATCTACTTCTAAATCTGAATTTCAGAATTCCAGTATTCCAAAACATTGCTCTTTTATTTCTCACGCTTTTTAGAGCTTTCCAAATACCTTCAAAATCTTCCAAAATTCCCAACCTTCCTAACATATTTCAGATGTCTCTTGAACGAATCAACGAAAATCCAGAATTCGAAAGATTTTCACGAAGTTTACAACTATTATCAAATCCAGGATATGTGATATTTTACGATTCCTCAAATCTCGACATAACTTATAATCATATTTGCAACCTGAAATCAATGCCAAACAGTTTATCTCGTTTAGCGGCCGTTTCTTTCGACAAAAAAGCATATGAAGAATTTGATGAAAAGTATCCAGAAATACCGAATGTTCTGATTGATTTGGATGATATCAAAAATTCGATGCCCGAAAATTTGGAGAATCGCAAATATATTTTTTATCAGATCATTTTGTTGGTGAGAACACGGATTTGTGCCGCGTTGGCATCACGGGGTATTGATTTTTGGGCAATGCAACAGGATACACTTTGGATTGATAATTTTTCGTCGATGGATTTGGAACATCGATATCCGAATGCTTTGATGTTATTTGATACGGTTGGAAATGATTTAGTGAGTTCTTTTTTTGAAACATGAAAACACTGGTGAAAAATACGTTTCAAAAAATGAAGATATATTTTTGGGGATTTTGAATTACGATGGTTGTCGAAGAACTTGTACAAGCTTAATCTTGTGAGAAATTCAGGTCTAATATACTTATCTGAAAAAAATTTTGAACTTGGCTCAAGTAGCTTTCTTAAAATAAAATTTTTGAAAGTCTAGAAATATGGAACTTAGCCTTAAATTTAGCCTTAATTTTTTATTTGAAAAAAAATACCAAAAGTTTGGCCTGGTCTAATTCAAAACAGCTTCTGGATTCAAAATTTATGTTTCAATGAACCCTACTCAAATCCAGGTTATTTCTGATGAAAAACTTCAAAATCTAAATTCGCATCTCATATCAAAAATAAATCAGAAAAATACAATTTTCGCGCTAAAAATTCTGATTTAAAATTTGCATATCTTGGTTTCTCATCAATCCCTTTTCCCAAATCAGAGAAACCGGGTTTCAAAATCAAAAATATTAATTTCAAGATTCCCGAATATGATCGAATGCGTGGTTGGATTTGTGGATCGACGTTTTTTGTGCGTGGAAATCCGACAACTTTTCAGTTTTTTTCGCAGGTTTTTTTTTGAATTTTTTTTCCAAGATAGATTTTGTGAAATTGACAGATTGACACAATGATGAGAACGATGCAAAGTCCCGATTCATCAATCATGACGTATTTGTGTGGACATCGACAATACAAATGTCAAAGGTTGCCGAGATGGTAGGAGACGATTTTTCAGATTTAGAAAATGTGGAATAGAAAATTCAGAAATTTTCTGAAAAATTCAAGGGGATTTCTAAAAATTGGATTTTTTTTTTTGCCTGAAAATAGTTATGACGTGGATATTGACTACAGTAATCTCTTTTCGATACAATTTTGGACAGCTGAAAATGAATTTTTAAGCTTAATTAATTAATAGATTCAATCAAGCCTTTTAATTTTTCAGAAAATTCTATTCCAAGGTTGAACACATCTAAAAAAAAATTTTTTAGAAACCTCTAAAATTTCAGAACTTCAAAAAATGCACCCCCAAAATTCCCCCTCCCACCCAAATCCAACATTTTCCACAGGATCATCTCATCATCCAACTATTTCCTCGGACCTCGCGCAAATGTTCCAGTTCTCGTCCAAGTCGACACCGATTCTCGCGAGCTTTCGAAAAGAGAAGTTTTCCAAAATTCCAAGTTCATTTTCCGATCATCGAATGGAACTTGTGACGAGAAATCAGTGCGGAAATTGAGGTGACTTCGATTATTTTTGTATTGCTCATATTATTAGAATATTTTGATTGTTTTCAGATCTGCGGTTCAAGAAGCTCTACCAAATTTGATTCGAACCAACATAGATTACACGGAAAAAATCTATAATGTTTGGAAATATCAACTAAAATCGATTTTCAACAAAGATCCGTATAATAACAAATTATTCCTGACTGTTCATTATGGCTTAATTTAATTTTTCATATCAGCAAAATTATTTCGGGTTTGAAACGAGTAGATCAATAAAACTTTATTTTTTTCGGTTTTCGATTTGGATGAATCTGAAATCCAGGTACATTAAAAACAAAATCTAAATACGAATCTAAATAATTCAAAAACTTACCATCAGCAGGAAATTTATAGTAAAAGTGATAATTCTAACACATGTTCCAGTTATGCAAAACAAATCAGGTTCTAAAAAAAATTTGGGTGTTTTTTTTCAAAACATTTTTTTTTCAAACTCACTGAAAAAATATAGAATAACATCCTTAAAATCATAAAAATACAATCGATTGATAATATGAGCAATAGTTCGGGCAAACAGGAGAATCAGGAAAACTCGAAGAAAATTGAATAGGATTCTTGAGCGAACTTTTGCGACACTCAGAAAAATGATAGCGAAGAAGAAAAATGGAAGAGCAATCAATGCGCTGAATTGATTTAGGGAGTCTGGTTGAAGTTTGCTTAGGATGATTAGGGAAACTCCGAGAAACATGTTCCAAATTGTGGCAATCATTAGATATGGTTCAACTGCGAATTTTTGCATTTTTGTTTTAGTAGATTTGATAGAAATGAAAATGATATTGATTTGAAATTGATTAGTCTGGGGTCACGTTTTTATATTTCACAATCAGGAAAAAAAACTGAATCAGAAAATAATTTTCATGATTTTCATAAGAAAATATCTCAAATTTTCACAAGAAAACATCTCCAAAGCGAAAAATGTCAGAAAAAAAGAAAAAAAAGTTGTGCGGTGGGTGGGGGTCGAACCCTGGTTTCGCAAAAAGTCGGCAGACGTGCAAACCACTTGGCCACGCGGCTGGTTTTTTACGTTGTCAAAATTGTCATATTTAAAAGCTTGAATGGCGAATTTTTCGATACTGCAAAATGTTTTTTGGGAAATTTTTCAATTTTTTGAAAAACTTGAATTTTTATTTAAACAAGAATGAAACGACCGGCTAACGCCGGTCTTCATTCTTGTTGCTACGCAGCCTTCGGCTGCGTGCTGAAAGTCCGGATCCTACAGTAATATCTCATAAAGTTTCATAAAATTAGAATTGTGAAATCCATGGATTTTTCTTGAAAAATGAACTTTTTGGAACTTTTCCAACGTAATTAATTGAAAAATGTTATGTGAACTATAATGGACATACATCATTCAGGAATCTGTTACTTTGAAGTCGCCTTACTTTTGGCAACATTTTGCATTGAAAACTAGCTTACCTATAAATGTGCATTGTGTAATTTCGGGATCTGAATCTGGCGTGTTCATTAAACTTTTAATTATGTATTTATCACACACAAATAGCTTGTCACTTCAATTTTTCTATAAAAAATATTTGTAACCCTACAGCCTTCGTTCTTCTATTTACGAAACAGTTTTCAAAACAATTTTGGTTTTAAACTTTTCCAAAATAAAACACATTGTAGTTTTTTTTTCTTGGGCTATGAAATTTTCTTAAAATTTGAAAGAAATCTAATTTTTTTCACATTTTCTGTAACAATTCACTTTTCAAAATCTCAGATACTGAAACTTCAGATCTTCTGTATTTTTGATATTTTTTCTTAACAATTCTGTAATAAAACCCAGTTGGTCTAACGAACCTCCGCTAGAAAACTTCCCTCTGGTGAAATTGTTCATAGAAGTGGGGTTTCCGGAAGAAGGAGGAGTTTTGACCGAAAAGAGGGGTTATGGACATTTTATGCTCTCAGATGTTGAATATTTTCAATGTTCATAAAATGTAAGCGTAAGATTCAAATAAAGCCCAAAATTCTAACTCTTAGCTACTTCTGAAATCAAATGTTATGATTTCATGATCTCAAACACCTAAATCTTTTGAAAACTTCTATTTTTCCAAAAATCCAATTTTTTTGAAAACCTCCTTCTTTTTTCCAAAACTTCCTTTTTTTTTACATAACACCTATTTTCAGTTCAGAGCCAAAACTACCTTTGTGATTTTTCCTAGGAGATTTCTCTTGAAATCTGAGGGAATTGATTTTTTTCAAAGACAATTCTGCTCAAAAAATATCAATAATTTTTGAGCTTCTAGATTTACGTATCTTCAGATCCTCGAAGGATCTTTATGTTGAAATTCGTCGAAATCCTTTGATCACCAAAAAGTGTTCATTTTTGAAGTTTTTTGAATCCTAGAGCGATTCTACAGGTCTTAGGTGAAATTTGCTCCCAAAAGTGAAACAAAAATCATCATTTCACTATTGACATTCCTAGGTCTATCACCCTCGGAGCTTTCCAATAATAATTTTATAGAAAAATTGAAAAAAAAATCAAATATTATTTCTTTACTAAAGAAAATCTTTAGCTTCTAACTTCAAGAGTTTGTCTTACTCTTACAAATGCGAACCCTATTTTAATAAACTCACATGCTTTGCTACATTTCAAAACATAGTGTAGAAAATTAATGCGGCAATCCAAGCGTTTTGAAAAATCAGAAATGAGCAAAATGACTCACGTCGAATTATTTAAATTAAATCTAGGGTACAGAAGTAGGTCAAACGGGACAGACGGAACGCCGTTTAATATATAAGAATGATAAGTTCACGTAAATCAACGTGACCTAGAAAACAAAAAAAAATTAAAAATCCAAAAAATGTTAGTTGAGTAAGTATTTCTAAATTAACTATGGCAGCGAAACAACCGGAAAAACAAGAAAAAGATTGGGTAAGTCACAAAAATATTCTTGGCTACAGTAACCCTTTTCGGAACTTTTTTGGTAGATCATGAATTATCCGAAAGAATGAGCTCTGTGAATCAAATAAGTGACTACAGTAACCTTTTTTCGGATTTTTTTTTGGTAGATCAGAAAAACTTAAAGCCCTGGGAGCTCTAGACGTTTGAGAATCGAAAAAATTAGCTCAGAAAATTGACTCACAAATCCTGAAAAATTCCCAATTTTTCTAGTTGGCCGAAAAATCGAATGTGAAAAAACTAAAATTTTACCATGGAGTGATAACTCGAGAAGATGTACAAATTTTGATGAAAGAAAGTCATACGGGTGATTTTTTGTTGCGAGCCGCGTTGATGAAAACCGATGTGATTTTGCGCGTTTTTTTGTGTGTCAAAATCGGCGATCAAGAGATTCATCATTATTTGTTGGAGTTTTGTAAGGATGAGAAGTTTTTTGTGAAACAAGAGTTTGAGAAGGAAGGGAAGGGCAAGATTACGGTGGATTCGCAGATTTTTAAAGGTTTGTTTGAGAAATAGGAGATGGGGAAATCAAGTTAGCCTAACTTTAATTAAAAAACCAGGTCAAGAAACTGTTTCTACAGTAACCTGGGAACCTGAAACTTTTTTTTTGATCTACCAAATTTTCTGATCATAATTTTTGAGCGTTAAAAAAGTACAAAACCACGCTGAAACATTGCCACGTGGATTTCATCTACAGTAACCTGGAACTTTTTTTGATCTACCAAATTTTGAGCCACGTGGATTCTATGTGTTTTTCAGCACAAAAAACCTACAGTAACCTAGAAACTTTTGGGCACTAAAAAGAACAGTACCGTAAACTTTCACGTTTGCCACGTGGATTTCATCTACAGTAACCTGAAAAATTTTTCTGCACAAATTTTTGAACCACGTGGATTCCTTTACGCTGAAACATTGCCACGTGGATTTCGTCTACAGTAATCTTGATAATTTTTTTGATCTACAAAATTTTGAGCGTTGAACCAATGCCACGTGGATTTCATGTTTTTTTTCTGCGAAAAGTTACCCACCTCAAGATCTACAGTAACCTAGAAAATTTTTTAAAAGTTCCTCTAACTCGAAAAATTTCAGACTTTGATGAAATGATAGCACATTTCCGACACCATCGATTAGCCTGCGGTGTCCGCCTAAAATCCTCAATTCCCCGTCCAAGATGGCAAATGAACCGTCAAAAAATCATTTATGATGAGACCGGAATTCTTGGCGAAGGCAACTTTTGTTTCGTATATCATGGAAAATTGCGAAGAAAAGATGGAAAAGACGAGGAGATTGCGATAAAAATATCGAAATCAAAAGGGGACGCCGTCGAAGATTCGGCGGCTATCATGGCTGCTCGAAATGCGCTTTTCGCCGAGGCCAGAATCATGACCACTATCAATTATCCGCATATCATCAAATTGTTTGGAATATGTTGTGATAGTCCACCATTTATGGTTATTATGGAGTTTTGTAAAGGTGGAAGTGTTGAGAATTTGTTGGAGAAGTCTGGAAGAGAGATGGAGGAATATGAGAGACAGACTATTTTGATTGATGTGAGGGTTTTTTGAGTTTCAATTTTTCAAAAAAAAAATCTAGATCCAAATTTTCCGGGTTTTCAACTAGATGTAGGTTCGAAAATGCTCAAATATTTTAGCACCAAATTTTCTACCCCAAGCCCTACAGTAATCCGGAATCTTTTTGATCTACCAAATTTTCTATTTAAAATTCTTGACGCCGAAAAATTGCCACGTGGATTTCGTAGGCTTCGAAGCTAGATAATACTGGGAACTTTTTTGATCTACAAAATTTCTGGCGTTGGTCCAAAATGCCACGTGGATGGTTTAGCTCAAATTTTAGGACCATATTTATTGCCTTGATCCCTACAGTAATCCGGGAACTTTTTTTGATCTACCAAATTTTCTATTCAAAATTTTTGGCGTTCAAACAAAATGCCACGTGGATTATTAGCTCAAATAATCTAGCACCAAATTTTCCGCCTCAAACCCTTCAGTAATCCAGAAACATTTTTTGATCTACAAAATTTTTCTGATGCAAATTTTTGACACTGAACCAAAATGCCACGTGGATGTTTTAGCTCAAATAATTTAGCACCGAATTTTCCCAAGCCCTACAGTAATCGGGAAACTTTTTTTGATCTACGAATTTTTCTGATCAAAATTTTTGGCCCCAAAATATTACTGTATCTCAGGCTTGTCGCGGAATGCGCTATTTGCACGAGAAGAAGTGTGTTCATCGCGATTTGGCCGCCCGAAATTGCCTGATCTCCTCTGATGGTCTCATCAAAATTGCTGATTTTGGATTGAGTCGACCTCTGGCAGCCAATCAAACATCATTCAAAGAAACCCTGAAACAAGCCCCTCTTGTGTAAGTTGTACCAAAAATTTTGAACGAAATCAAGCTATAAAGTTGATTTTGAAGATGGTTGGCTCCTGAATGCATACAAAAACAATCTGAATTCTCATCAAAATCGGATGTTTGGGCATTCGGTGTTTTGACTTATGAAGTGTATTTTGATGCGCAAAAACCATTTGCAGAAGAGAAAGACAATGGAGTTATTATCAAAAATATTCGAAAAGCCAATATGCCAATGCTTGAAACGAAAACAAGTTCACCAAAAATGGATGAGATGCTAGCAGCGATTTGGACGAAAAAGCCAGAAGATCGAATTGATTCTCAAAAATGTCTGGAATTTTTGGTTGATGCGTTGGTTGCGGGAAATATGACATCGGTGAAGAAAATGCAATTGAATAAGTTGACGGGGGTTTCGAGGAAGAAGATGGCGAATACGGATACGGATAGAGATCGAGAGGATACGGAATATGCTATTGATGCGATTACACCCTCATTTAATGAGACGAAATCGAAATTTGATCGGAAAAAAGCGGCGACTGTTAAGAGAAGAAATCGAAATACTGTGAAGAAGAAATCATCGCAAGATAATACGGTACCAAAAAGTGGAAATAAGGAGAGTGAATAAAGGTTTTTTAGGATTGAAAACTTAAATTTTGAAAAAAAAATTGTGCACACACAAAACCTACAGTATCCTGGATTTTTTTTTTGATCTAGAAAATTTCTAATCATGCAAAAACAATGCCACGTGGATTTCATAAACTACTTTTTTTGTGTGTTCGATGGAGCGCACTTTATCAAGTGACCCTTGAAATTATTGATTTTTTTTGGTTTTTGCCGTTCCAATTTCTGTCAAAAATTTATCAAAATCACAATTTCAAATGAAAAAAAAATATCACAAAATATAATAACCCAACAAGAAAAATGCGAAAAAATCCTGAACCCGTGATTTGAGCATTATTACACCATTATTATGTTTTGTCTTGAAAATGAAAATAAAATAAATTATGCGATCACAGTTTCTGGAATTCAAAAACATCTTCTTCGTCTTCATCGTCGGATTTGTAGAGGGGAATTCGTTCGAAACCTTTTTTCGAGCCGATTCCTAAATTTTTTCTTTACCGATGTTTAAGAAGTGAAATAAATAGCTTACCATTGAAAAATCCTCTTCGATTCAAAACCGAAGTGACTCTTTGTCGACACATGAAAAGACAGGCGATTAGAAGAAGCAATGAGCAAATTGCCACAATCAATAAATTTGATGACGATTTGTTGAGTTGTTTTTCGATTGTCATATTTTGATCGGAGATCTAAAAAAGTAAAAGATGATTTTCTGTATCAGAATCGATCGTGAAATCTACCTCAACAGTAAATTTGGTGAATGTTTGTCCACCAGCTGTCCGCACTTTCACAGTATGTTCTCCATTTGGCAAAGCGATAAATCGTTCGCCATTCACAAGTGGAAGACTTGCGTGCATATGATCGACAGAAACTGACATTCCAGCGATTCCACCGATTATTCGAACACCACGAGTTCTTTCTTTCAACGAATTCAGAAGTGATTGTCGATTTTCACTGTAAAGATGACCGCTGGCCATGTTTTCGTAGCAGCAGCCAACTTGAGCAAGAACCGCGTCGATTTTATCAGTTCGATCTGCAAAATTTTGTGAAAATTGTTTTTTTGGGTAGTTTTTCTATAGTATTTCTAGAGGGCTGATTCACAAAAAGTCAAAAAATGTCGGTCAAAATTAGTTTTTCGAGTTTTTCAGCCGAAAATGATGACAAATCAATATTTTTCAAGTTTTTGGAGAAATTTCTGATGAAAATAAGCTTCGGGAACCCTTTTTGCTTTTTTCGAAATTCATCAAAATTTAAAATTATTTTATTTTACGAAAAATCAGCAAAATTTTTGGTGCAAAAACTTTTGAAAGTGAATTTCAAAGTCAATTTTAATCAGAAATTACTCCAGAAGCTTGAAAAATATTGATTTGTCATCATTTTTGGCTGAAAAACTAGAAAAAAACTAATTTTGACCTACAAATCCACCAAAAAATTTTCAGAAAAATTTTAAAAAAATCAAAATTTCGAAAAAAAATTGAAAAATCTTACGTTCAACTCCTGAATTATCCATTCTCGAAACTTCATCATTCCACGAGAATTCCTTAATTGATTCCTGTTGATTCCGCATACTTCTCGAACATCCATCACTCACTGATCCTCTCATCGAATCATGTCCCGATTTATAAACCTCCGCAATTCTTTGCGCAACTCCAAGTGTCTCATTGATAAATCTCACTTTCATTCCACCAGTTGAGAGAATTATTGTGAAATCAATTTTCGGAACAGCTACCAGAACATCATCAATAAGTGGTTTGAATGGTGAAATTGTCTCATAATCATGACAATTTAATTGAGTATGTGGTATTTCTGGTAGGAAAATCAACGTGGAATCATGTAAAATCTCATTTTTCACTTTATTTTCTTCATTACACCATGTAGACATCATCTCATAAACCATCGCTTCTGTTCGTTTTTCAACCGACGCAATCAATGTATACGGTGCTTTTCCACTTCCCATTTGATATAATCTCAAAGGTGAGCCACCAATTTCAGTGACACATTTATTTTTCTCCAGTTGAGCGACAGCCGCATCAGTCACTAAAATCGTTCGATCTGGTGTGAAATGATCAGTCGGTTGAGCCGATGGTACAATAGAAAACTCGCTGACGCTATCCTTGGTTAACTCATTTTTGATAACATTTGTGATAGTTCCAACGGTTGCGGCTTTCTTCGAAAGATCTCCAGCTGAACATCCGATTCCAATTCCCAATTCGAAAGGTTTCTTCAATTGCAAACCATCAACATGTAAAGCGAGTTTGGATTCTAATAATTTTCTCTCACATTCTCCACTATTACCAATAGCTTTCGTCAAACTTTCATCCAATTTTGATTTATCGAAAAGTCTCGGCTCATTTTCCGAAACACTGAAAGTTACAGTTTCCACAAATCCCTCGCTGATTATTAAAACCACAGCCGGGTCGAATTCCTTGATTCTAGTCTTCAATCCATCATCAGATTTCGGAATTAGCATAACCGTGAGATCCTTGTCAAATGAAAAATCAGCGGAGCATGTTAGAACAGCCAATTGTTGAATCACTTGTTTTCCTCTGAAAATTTTAGATTTAAATGGTCCGGAAACGAAAATTATGAGCAAAAATGAAAGATATATGTGGTCGAAGTATTTTGGGTGGCCGAGAAATGTCGGAAACTCGTCCAAAGCTAACAAAAATGATGATTTTCGAAAGATTAGAGCAAGTTTGTTGCAATGGCCGAATCGCAGACAGTTCTCGGCCATCTAAATACCTCGGCCACTTATCTTTTTTTTTCTGTTTTTAATTTTTTTTGTGAGCTATTTTCATTTTGATCCTCACATTCATCAATATTTGAAAATCGAAAAAAAACTCACAAATCATCAAAAGATGTAATAACAATTCGATTCTTCCCATTTCCTCTAACATACAAATCCGACCTCGTTTCATTATCTCCACATCCCAAAAGCGTCACATCATGCCTAACACTTCTTTCTCCAGCAGCAACTGTAACTGTGAATGAATCAGTTTCAACACCACTAGCAGTCACAGTAATCGTATGATCTCCCGGTGATAAAAGCCGCCAATATTCTCCCTTCTCCGTAGCTTTAATATCCTTCCCATTTTCAATTGAAATAGTCGCATTCGCAAGTGGATTATTATTTCGATCCTTCACAATCCCATAAATCCCACTCAATCCCATTTCCAAAAACGAAAGCATTGAGAACTGATGTTCTTCCCATAATTTCGGTAACATATCATCTGTTGGAAACTTAAAGCAACCCATCTCAATTGTGATTTCCAAACTATTCGTATGCTCATATTGCCAATCTTGCATTCCACCAGCCAAATGATACCATCCAGCACCATTTGTGATACCATTTATGAAATTGTCACCGTCGGCTGAGAGTCCACAACGTCTTCCGGTTTTCCACATTTTTGTGTGGGCTCGTGCGTATCGATAACTTAATTCAACAAATAATTTGTCATCGGGACTCTGAAAATTTTCTAGTTATTATCGAAAATCTCATCGGTACCACGCGCTCCACCGAAATAAACACGCAACGCAGACCGCGTCGCGCCACAACACACACAAAAATGGAGGGAATTTGAATCGTTCCCTTTTTTGTGTGTGTTGTGGCGCGGCGCGGTCTGCGTTGCTTGTTTATTTCGGTGGAGCGCGTGGTAGATTTTCGATGATATGAAACATCTAGAAATCTTCTGGAACTTACCATTGTATAAATCCCATCTTTCCCCGTAACTGAATCATCGTAGGGATAATTTGCCACCAAAGAACCACCGTGTAGATTCGCTGACAAAACAAATGGATAAGCTTTCAGCCAAGACATAACAGCGATGTTCTCTCTAAAAAACACTTTTTTGGGAATTCTTTTTAAATAAATTAAAAATCTAGAAAAACCAACTTTTCCGGATCAGTTCCTCCAGATTGTTCTCGATGTTCAGGATACATTGCGGGGAAATTGCGATTCAAATCCACGTCATTCGCATTGGCTCTTCCCATATAACCAATCCGATCTCCAGGCAAACCCTTCTCATAACCATCGGGATTCATTGAAGGCATGAAATGCATTCGGGAACTGTTGACCAGCTAGAAAAACGAAAAAATTGATTGAAGTTGTGTTTTTTCAAAAAAATTTCAGACAAAATCCAACTCACATCAGTCAAATACTCATTCTTCCCATAGTTCTGACACAGCACATCAATAAGATATAAAAGTGCTTCTCTTCCAACAACCTCATTTCCATGCATATTTCCAACAATTTTCAATTCCGGCTCCAATAATTCATGTTCTCTCGGATTATCAGACACAATCAAAACCCAAAGTTCTCTTCCTTCAACTGATTTTCCAGCCGAATACAGATGTGTTATATTTGGGTAATTTAGGCTAACTTGTTTCAACCAAGCTGTCATGTCGGAATAATTGTGATTTCGGATTTTTGTCGAGTTGACGTTTTCGAAATTTCCAACTCTGTAAAAATTAATTTGGCTCAGTTTTTGAAGAAAAAAAATCCGAGGATTTTATACGTTTCAAAATTTCATTATTTTTCATGAATTTTTTCAGAATTTGATATATTAATGAAAAAATAATAATAGATACAAGTATAAAATGTGCAGAAAAAATCCGCACTAATCAATTGAAAAGTTATGACGTGGCAATTTTTCGAGTTCTTGAATTTTATAAGAGCGGAAAAAATGTTTTTCCAACATTTTTAACTCAAAAAAATTAGTTTTCATTGAACCAGAATTTCATACGTTTCAAAATTTTATTATTTTTTATGAATTTTTTCAAAATTTGATCTATGTATTTGCGAAATAATAATAAATACAAGTATAAAATGTGCAGAAAAAATCCGCGCTAATCAATTTAAAAGTTATGACGTGGCAATTTTTCGAATTCTTGAATTTTATAAAAGCGGAAAAAATTGTTTCCAGAATTTTTAACTCAAAAAAATTGGTTTACAATGAACCAGAATTTCATACGTTTCAAAATTTCATTATTTTTCATGAATTTTTTTCAGAATTTGATATATTAATGAAAAAAATAAGAATAGATACAAGTATAAAATGTGCAGAAAAACTCCACGCTAATCAATTGAAAAGTTATGACGTGGCAAAATTGAGATTTTTTTTTTGAAAGAATTTCCAGTGAGTGTTATTTCAGGATTATTTTCACTTTTAAAATATAATTTGTAGTCTTAAGCTAAATTAACTAACTAACTTACGTCAGTTAAGTTCTAGTTAAGTCAAGTAGAAATTAGTTAGGTTAGTGTATTTGAAGTCTAAAAAACCAACTTTTGTTTCATCGACTCCCACGATGGAAAATAATTTGTATCCTTTTTGCTATTTCCAAAATACCGTGTCAACGCATCATTTTCCTCCATCTGTTTCTCCATTTGCGACGCAAAAATATCAGCCTTCCATGATAAATCCAAATCTTGTGCGAGCCCCAAAATTGGCAATAGAATCAATAAAATCTGGGCTCGAAAACCCATTTTTGAGCGAGGCTGAAACAAAAATTAAAATTTTGAAATGAAACAACATGTATGTATCAGAAAAAAATTCCAAAACATTTATAAAATCAATAAATCATGACCCCGATGAAAAAAAAAACAAAAAGAAATTTTTTGTTTATATTTTATTTCATTCACGGAAAAAAGTTCGAATCAACCAGGAAAAATCAATAAAAAGAAAAAAGAAAAAGTTATATTTGTACAGGTCGGAGAAAGGGGATATTATAAAAGGGGATGGGAAAGAGAGACGCAGACATGATATTTTGACACTTTTTTGAAGGACAGATAAATAATATATGGGAACACCGTGTGAATTATTGATTGAACAAAAAAGAAAATAAAAGAGAAAAATTGTTTCGGTGATGGATGAAAACAGAAAACAAAGATGGATGGAACTGGATTCTTTATCTCGAGAGAAGAACAAAACTGGTTAAATAATTCGAAAAATTTGAAATTCAAAAAAATGGAAATGACTTTTTTATTTTTGAAACTATAGCAGATCAAAATCAAGAAAATTCTGAATTTTATTAGTTTCTTATTGGATATTTCAGAAGTTCTCTTTTATTTTATCATAAATTATTACCGTATCCACAACTTGGATTGTCTGATGGAGCGCGTTTGTTGGCAGCCAACCTGGAATAAACAAATTGAATTTTGTATAAGTTTTTGAATAAAAATTTAAAAAATTGGGCATAGCTTCCGCATCTCCGCTGAAATTCCAAACAATAACTGATAAAATGCAGAGTTTTCAAGATTTCCTATTTAAAAAAGAAAATCAAGAAAATTCTGAATTTTATAAGTTTCTCATTGGATATTTCAGAAGTTCTCATTTATTTTATCATAAATACTTACCGTATCCACAACTTGCATTGTCCGACGGAGCGCGTTTGCTGGCAGCCAACCTGGAATAAAAAATTAAATTTTGTAATTGAAAAATAAGTTTTTTAATAAAAATTATACGCGAATTATGTAATAATGAAGCCATTTTTCAAAAGACATTCATTTTTCGACACGTGTAAATAAACACGTGCTTTTCAAAAAAAAAATTAAAAAAAAAATAAATGTATGCATTTGCGCGTCACCGTGTTGGCACACTTTTTTCATTTCGACAAAAAATTATTTTCAATTTCAAACTCACTTGGAAATTCGCGATGAATTGATGGTGGTTGAGAGCAAAGCAAAGGGATTCAAATCGACTCTCCAATTGTTGTCAATAATTGAAGAGATGATAAGGCAGGTAAATGTTGGGAGGGAGTACAAAGCAAAAATCGGGGAGAAAAATTGAAAAAAATATATTTGACAGATATATCTGGAAAAACTAACAGTTGTTATTTGCAGATTCGACGGAAAACCCACCTTATTGAGACATCTTCGTTTCATGGGATGTGTTGATTTTGTGGCTACAAGAAGAATCCGATCTGGCTGGAGATTGCGCTGGAGCTCGTCTTTTTCTTTGCTGGCGATTAGGTGTGGCGACTGGTGAATGGAACTGCAAATGACTGATTCTATCTTATTGTTTGCGCATCATCTTCATATTCATCATCCGAAAAAAGCGTTCAATGCATCTTTGAGAAGTCTGACAAGACGGCGCGATTGTTTCGATTGGCAATTTGGCTGTTGAGAATTGGTCGATTTCTGAAACAAAAAATCGGACATTGTAAGGTATTTTTTGTTTCGAACCAAAAAATTTCAAAAAAACAAAAACAATTTAATAAATTTCTAGTTTTTCCAATTTTCAAATAAAAAAACCAACTTCAACTAATTTTTCAGCATGTTCCGGCGTATCAACATCCTGAATATCTCCAGCAGCAACTTGTTCAACTCCAATCAAATCAATTTCATCATTTTCTTCCATCGGTGGATTTCCATTTGGACTCATCTCAATATCTTCAGAAACTTGTTCAACTTCAACTAAATCGATTGCATCATTATCAATTCCAGATGTCAGTGTCGAAGCTTGGTCAATTCTTCTTGTGCTTCTGGATTGGTTGGACGATGATAATTGAAGATCGAGTAAATCATCAGAAGAATTGTCCTTCACAGCTGTTGATGATAAAATTGGATCATTGAGATCCATCTCAATGCTATATTCCGAAATTCTGGTCACATTCGGTGCAATTTCATCAACTTCAAATTCAAATGGTTCTCTAAATGTTGGTCGATTATTTGAATTGACTTGAGCTGATGGTTCCGGAATTTGTGGATTTGATTGAGGTGTGGTCATATCCTGAAACGAAAAATTGGATAATTTTGAATATGGTAAGACATTTTTTTGTTTTTTGAAATCCCTAATTTCTGAGGAAAAAATTGGCGAAAATTTTAGAAGCTATCTCAAAATTTCGAAAATTTCTAGCTTTATTAAATTTTTCGAATAAATTCAAAAATTATTTCTCGATAAATTTTTTCTCAAATTTTTGAACAAAAAGACTAACTTCATTTTCAGCGATCCACGACTCCGTCACAACCTCTCCATCTTCAATATTTCCTTCAGCATCCGGATTATCGTCAGCTTTGAGAGAGGACCTGTCAAAAGTGGCCACCGAATAATCCAGTGTTGCCGATCCGGAAGAAGTCCATCTCGCCGCCCTTCGAAACGCAGATAATATTGATGCCTCTTCGGAGTGGTTTCCAGAGCTGGGTGGCTCAGACTCTTCGCGCATCGGAGATGTCTCGTAAGATTCTCGACGAGTTGCGAAGCGCTGAAAAATGTGAGTTTATTTTTCGGAGGAGGCGGGGTTTAAAAATTTGTCAAATATTTATTAACTGAATTTATTGAAAATTTTCTTGGAATTTTGTATTGTAAAATAAGAAAATAAAATCAATACTCACGTTTTTCTCACTAAAATGCCGTGGTCTTTGCGCCAACGCTTTCCCTGCTCTTTATGTTTCTAAATATGTGCGTAAGTTGGCCATGTCTTCGTCTGTTGACGTGGTCAAGTCAAATTGATCCAAGACTTTGCATGGGCGAAGTTTGGTGGTGGGTCGATGGATCTTCGAGTTTTTGAGCATCTTCATCGTGCGATGGTTGAGCATTTGGTGAGAAATGCATTTGTTGCTCTTGCGGTGTGGCCATATCCTGAAACAAAAATTTGAATTATTTTGGTTATGTAAATTTAAGTGGGAACAAGTTAATCAATCGCATTGTTAGTTGAATTTGAAATATAAGGTTATTATTTTCTTTAAGCCAAAACTTACAATAGCGACAAGTTGAAATTGAAAATCTTTTTATTCCAACGTTTCGACGTATAACGTCATCATCAGGTATAATACTGGAAAAATAAAATGGATTATTTACAAATGATAAGTTACAAATTTTGAAATAAACTAGTCTTAAAGTTTAAACTTAAAATAAATGAACAAATCTTCAAAAAACCAAAATTTTCAAAATAATAAAATGAATCTGCTAAAGTGCGGGTAGGCGGAGTGTTGTTAGTACCTTAGGAGCATTATATTTTTTATTTATTTTTATTGTGAAATTGAAATGAATTTAGATGAGAATTTGTGTTTTTTGAATGTTAGTTAGAAAGAATTTTGTATTTGGATTGTTCCAAGCCTTGTGATCATATCCGAGAGTTTATCTTTATTGTTTAATGAAGGATTGTGATGTTTTATCAAAACTGATGTTGACGTTATACGTCGAAACGTTGGAATAAAAAGATTTTCAATTCCAATTTGTCGCTATTGTAAATTTTGGCTTAAAGAAAATAACAACCTTATATTTTGAATATTTTGGTTATGATAAGATATTTTTTGTTTCTAAAAATCTTAAATTTCCAAGGAAAAAATTTGGCAAAAATTTAGAGCTAGTAAAGGAAAAAATTTGGCAAAAATTTAGAGCTAGTAAAGGAAAAAATTTGGCAAAAATTTAGAGCTCGATCAGATTTTTCTGAACAACAAAAAAACTTACTGCTCCAGAATTTGCATTAATTTCGGTCGAATTGGCAAAATTCTTCATTGGCCATTGGTTGAAAATTCACCAATTGTTCGCGTAGACCTGGTTGACTATCCAGATAATTCCGAACGTCTTCCTGAGAAATTGGCGGAAATTCCATATTCATCGGTGGTTGTTGCGGATTCGAAGAGTTGTGCGAATCTTCTTGAGCTGAGCCAGAAGTGGTCGAGTTTTCCTCCATGGTCGAAAGGAGGTCCTCCATCAGATTCACAACTTCTGCATCTACTCCTTGCTCTTCCACCGGGTTTCCCGGCTGGTGTTTAGCCAAGATTTTTGCCGCAGACTTATCAATTTTTCTAGGGCTGATTCACGAACGAAAAAAATGTTAAAAAATGTTTTTTTAACATCGAAAGATCAATTCACGAAAAGTCAAAAAATGTCGAAAAAACATTGTAGGTCAAAATTAGTTTTTCCAGTTTTTCAGCCAAAAATGATGACAAATCGAAATTTTTGAAGTTTCTGGAGTGATTTCTGATGAAAATAAGCTTCGAGAACCCTATTTTGCTTTATTTTATGATTTTTTTTCGAAATTCATCAAAATTTAAATTTTTTTTATTTTCCGAAAAATCAGCAAAACCTTCTGGAAAGTGAATTCCAAGGTCAATTTTCAACAGAAATCACACCAGAAGCTTCAAAAATCTCGATTTGTCATCATTTTTGTCTGAAAAACTCGAAAAACTAATTTTGACCTACAATGTTTTTTCGACATTTTTTGACTTTTCGTGAATTGATCTTTCGATGTTAAAAAAACATTTTTTAACATTTTTTTCGTTCGTGAATCAGCCCTTCTGAAAAACCATTTGCTACTTGCAATTCTTTTAATTCTAGCGGGTAGATCAAAAACAATTTTTTTTTGTTTTTTTCTCCATAAATGTTTTTTTTTGTTTTTCTGATTTGACCTAATCATTTTTGGATATAATATAGCCTGGAGTGTTTGTTTGTTTGTGGTTTAATCAAAAATCAAAGAAACATTTTTGTTTTTTTTATGGAAGAAATTATTTTGTACTTTAAAAAATCTGGAAATTAAATGAGAGTACTGTAAACGTCTACAGTATGGTTTTTGAAGTTTATTTTCATCAGAACATACCTCAGAAGCTTAAAAATTAAAATTGTCATAATTTTTGACTGAAAAACTAATTTTGATCTACCATTCTTTACTATTTGTCATCTTTTATTCACTGCATTTCTTTTCATTCAAAAACTTGGAATTTTTTAAAGACACATCAGCCACTGGAAAAAACAGATTTCCCGCATTTATTTTCAAATGACAAAAACAGCATGTGCGCTCTATTGCTTCGTTGTGTGCAAACTCTTTCGAAAATCACACAAAAAACTGTGCGGCAACAAAAAACACACGCGCCGCACAATTATTTTGTTTTTTTCACTTTTGCCAGACTCAAAATTTTTTCTTGATTTTTATGAATTCCGATTACTTGAAAGTTGTTGAGAAAGAATAACAAACGCATTTTCTGTTCATTTCTAGTGGATTGTGTGTTTTTAACGTGGCATTATGAATTAATTTCAACCTATGTTTGTGCACCCCATTCTGTATCTGTCCGCTTGTTGTAAATGTGCGTGCGCGTCTATCTTGGCAAAGTGCGGCACATTTTATTTTATGGCGTCTCGCAAGTTGTTATCTCATTTTTTATCCGTTACAATTTTCAATTTGTTTCATTTTTTTTTAAATCATGGAAAAAAGTAATAAATACATTTTATTATTCTTTCAAACTTGTCGTAATTGATTAAATTTGGCTCCAATTCAAATTTTTGATTTCAGTTCGAAATAATGTGGCGGAAAACATTTGCAATCGATGGAGTGACGGTAACTTGTAAAACCCAGGATTTTGCGAATATTGTATCAAATCTCAAAAGTGGTGTTGTTATAGACGACAGCGATGATTGGCTATCAGATGTAAGATTTATTTAAACCTTTTATCACCAATCTACGACACTGTTAAAATACGACCGAGCTGATGTAGGCACCTGCAGCTTCATTTGCATGACGTCTGCAGAGCGGAATGCAATCTAGGCGGCAGACCTGCGGAAAAACTAAGAAAAAATTGTTTCTCGATTTTTTTTCAATTCATTTATTCTCTTGAAATTCGTTTCCTATTCAGCATTTCCCCCTTCGGAGAGCTGCTGCAGTAGACGCGCAGCAGGCACACATTGCATTCAGATCTGCAGTAGGGCTGCAGCAGCACGCATGCCGTTTTTACCAGTGCCAGTGCGAAACTCTTTTTGTTTCAGGCCGTTGTGCAAAAATATACACCTCTCGAATTAATCGAAGCAGCTCGATCTGAGCTATCAAAGACACCACAGGATAAGATTCAAGCTTCCAAAAAGGGTTGGATGGCCGCAGCATTGTCGATAAAAATTTTGTTCATAAAATCGCTCAAACTTGATGTGACAACATATAATACTCTTTCATTTTTTGCGCATCTCTCATTGGATATTGGTGATTTAGAGTTTCATGATCAATATTCTCTGAGAAACTGTTGGCAAGTCGCCGAGCGGTGAGTTAGGTTTTTTTGGTATTAATTTTCATTTCGCTTTTTTAGCCTCCACCAAGAATATTATGGAGTATGGGAGCCTGATTTCTATGCCGATTATATTGAATCAGATTATTCAAAGATTTTGGATAATGTACAACATTTTGTGGTATTTTTATCAAATATAGATCATCAAAATCTTCGAGATCGGTTTCATAAGGAATTTCCATCATCCTCTCCGTCATTGGTATTTCGAAAACAAAGTGGGAATATCAAAATTGGAGACACCGATTTTGAAGTCGAATCCACAGCATTCTATCATCCGGAAAGGTATTACGGAGAATAAATCTCGCTGAAAGTGCTATTTTCGATTGTCAGGGATCTCTTCAAATACAAAATTCTACGTTTTGTTAAAGATTTTTTTTGTCTCAAGTAGTTTTGCTGTTTTTATTGTAGAAAAATTAATAAATGTTCAATTTTGGAATCTTCCAAAGTTTCGGCCTCGGAACCTACAGTAATCTTTCAATTTTTTTAATCTACCATTATTTCTGATTGACATTTTCGCATCAGGACTATAATTTTAATGCATAACATTTTCGGCTTCAAACCTTACAGTAATATGGTAATTTTTTGATCTATAAAAATTTCAGAATAATTCATTTTAGCGCTAAAATGCCTATGATTTTCTACACAAATATCCCGATTTTTTATCTACAAAATTTGTTGAATCATAATTTTTGGCGCCAATAAGTACAGTACCGGATCTCGAAGTCTACAGTAACCTGACACCTTTGTTGCTACACGTGGATGCTATGGTTTCTGCTTTGAATTTGATTTCTACACAACTTACAGTATCTTGAAAACATTTTTGATCTACAAAATTTTAAGAATCATTATTTTTTTAATACAGTACTGTTGTCTCGAAACCTACAGTAACCTGACAACTATTTGATCTTCAAAATTTTTTCAATTATATTTTTTTGGACTCCGGACGTACAGTAACCAAAAACCAAATGTGCCACGTCATAGATAGTTCACGATTTTTTTCTACAAAACCTACAGTATTCTGAAAACATTTTTGATCTACCAAAAATTAAAGGATTAATTTTTGACGCCCTAAAATTTTCGAAAAAAAAATGCACTTTTCAGTCACATTTTCTCTTCCAGCGGGTAAATATTATTGTGAAACTTCGATTTTTTTTAGTTCCTCCCCCACACATCAAAAAGTATACAAATAGACGGGTCGGATTTCGAGTGTTTTATTTATCCCCAACTGACTGTTCGAATTACTTAGCCTAACTTTTTTCCAAAAAAAAAAATTATTTTTCATTTTTCTTCATAGATAAAAATGTCAGTGATGTGTGGTGAGTTGGTTTGTTTCGAAACAGCTGTGGGGGATCCGGGGAAGAAATCCGGGGAAAATAATATTGGAAAATGAGAGAGCGTGAGAGATTGATTTGTTCATTTTTCCTCGCCTACACATCAGAAAAACCTAATTTTTAAATAGAAATAAAATTTTGAGACTCAAAATGTCAGGTGAATATTTTTTTGTTGAACTCAGAGAAATGGGCTGGAGAACCGGCGGAGAAAACGACCTATCGGCGAACTTTCGGACAACCGGTGGACAAAAGTTTCGGCGAAATAGTGTAGGTCAGACACTCCGCCGGTTGTCCGAGAGTTCGCCGACATGTCGTTTTCTCCGCCGGTTCTCCAGCCTGTTTCTCTGAGAAATTCAAATCTTTTTTTCAAAAAAAAAAAATTTTTCAGCGCCAAGTAAAGATAGCAGTGAATATGGTCGTCCGAAGCCGGGAACCCTCACAGAAATGCGAGCCAAAAAAGCAGGTAGGAAACTTTTTGGAGCCTACTAAAGCTCACAATTTTTAAGCGGCTCATGTTGCTCGAGAAATGTTGACGCTATGTGAAGTGGTTGAAGATTATGGTAAGCGAGAAGGTGAAGATGGGCCGATTCGAATCACATTTGGCAGATTGTTTGGAATTTATGTCAATATTTCGGATAAGGTTCGGTTTTTCAAGGAAACTATACGTTTCAAAAATATCTAAAATTATTCCAAGATATTTATTTCTGTTAGTTCATTGGTACATAATTCAAATTTTTGGAAATAATTGAATTTTTATGAAAAATGAGCTATGACGTGGCAAATTTTTTATAATTTTCCAAGCCACGCAAATTTTTCTGTCTGAAAATTCAAAATTTTTGAATTTGCCACGTCATAACAACCGAAATCTTCTAGAAATTCAGTTTTCCCAAATTTTTTTTGAATACTTGCTAATCAACAATTCAAAAACGTGAATTTTCCTGTCTGAAAATTCCAGAAAATCCATTTTTTTTGGTTTAAAAATTCAATTTTTCAAAATTTTTGAATAAATTTTTTAAAACAGCGAAAAATTGATTGATATTTTTTAATAAAAAAGTTTTCAAATTTCAAAATCCTAGCCTATTCATGTGTTATGACGTAGCAACCTCCCAAATTTTCATAAAAATCTGCTAAGAATTCATTTTTCCTCGAATTCTGATGAAAAATGAGCTATGACGTGGCAAATTTTGCAACTTTCCAAGCCACGCGAATTTTGCGAAATTATTCAATAATTTTTTTAAACAATGAAAAAGCTATATTTAGCTATGCTAGTAATAGATTAATAAACAAAAAACAATTCAAATAAGTTATTTTTGAAACGTATTGAATTCTGGTGCAAAATGTTCACAATAAAAAAACATTTTTTACAGGTTGTTGGTACATTATTACGTGCTAGAAAACACAAAATGGTGGATTTCGAGGGTGAAATGCTATTTCAAAAACGAGACGATCATGTGATAATCACCCTACTTCTAGAAGGCGCCGAGCTAAAAACTGCAATTCGCGAACATGCGGCTGCAAATCCAAAAGACTAATTTTAAATTATAAACTCGTAATTATTCATGACCGTAAAAAACAAAAGAGAAGAAATAAAATTTTAGCGGGTTTACCTGAGATCATTGAATATGTCTGGCCGATTTGACATTCATTCTGAGCAAATATTTGATTTTAATTTGATCCGTATTGTATACAATGTATCTGAAATGATAAAAATATTTGACAAAAAAAAACTTTGGAATTTGCTTACTCATTATAAAGAAGTGAAAGATTGTGTGCAGTGGGTGATTTTGTCGCTTTTCCAAGTGGAATTTCATAACCATCAGCATGTGTGATTGAACTACTTGGATATTCTCGACCCATTCCTTTCACCGAATCTTTATTCTGTTTTTTGATATAATTTGCATCGATTGTTTGTGCATGATTCAATTCGAGAATTCTTCCAAGTGCAACTTCGCATAACAACATATACGCCTCGTCATTATTATTCGCCTGAAAAACAACATAAATTTTTTCGGATTTTTAGAGAGCTAAACTCAATTGATTTTTTCAAAAACAAAATTTTCCAGTAAATTTTTCACGGAAATTATTCGAATTTTGAATACAATTTTTTTTAATTGAAAAATTTTTCGGGCAGTAAATTTTTAATTCAATTTTACCTACTTATTTTTCGTTGGAAAATTGGAAAAATCAATTTCAAATTTTCAGACACAAAATTTAGGTTTCTAGAAATCCAAGATTTCGAAGAAAAATTTCCGAAAACCTGAAATTTTCATAGAGAAAACTTTAAGTAAACTTCGAGTCCCGGATTTTTCTTCAAAATGTTAAATACAATTTTTTTAATTGAAAATTTTTTCGGGTAATAAATTTTCAAGGTTTTAAGAGATGCTCATTTTCCAAATAAATTCCAAATTTCAAAAAAAACTCACTCTACAATAAAACAAGCTCTTCGAAAACATATCAGCAAAATAAACGCCTTTTCCAAACATATAACCAGACTGCAAAAAAATCCTATTTTTTGGTTAAAAATTCGAAAAACAAACCACAGGAGCTTCAGGCGGCGCGATTCGAAGTCCTTGTCCAAGAATTCCAGCAAAGTTCATTTTTCCCGATCCATGCCACAATAATTTCCGATTTCCCACTTGTTCCATAAATTTCTCTTGTTCTCCATGCCGCTTGACTTCGAGGATCTGCAAATTTTTAAATTTTTTTCAAATTACAAAACCTGCAAGCTTAAGTACATCAATTAATTGTTGTTGTGTCATATGTGTTGATCCTTGTGTATTTTTCATAAAATCCACAATATTTCGATAATCCAACGAATTCGAATCAAGCGGAACCAGATCGCATTTCAAATTTCGATATTGTGTATCAACCGGGTCACAATTCAAATAAACTCCTTCACCATGTTTCACTTGATCATATGCAAATTGAATTTCGGATAACATATCCAACATATCCGACTTTTGCTTGATTTTTTTGAATGAATCGATTGGTTCGGGTGATCGCATTCCGAAATTGTGCGGGATAATTGTGTAGAATTTATTTGTTGAATCATAGATTTTCGCCTCATCTGTCTTTGTTTCAGCGATAAGATCTTGAAGTTCGGATAAAACTTTGTAAGCCGATGTGATTTGATTTTTCGACAATTTTCCCAAGGGCAATTTATTCAAATCCATTTCAAAACTTTGCATCGCCAATTTCATATTATTTGTGTTGAACATTGCCATAATTATCTCTTTTACAGGTTTTGGCAAAGCGGTTCGGGATCCGGGAAGAATTTCTGATTTTCCCAAAACTTCCTGAAAACCAAACATTTTTTCATGGCAATAGAGAAACATTTTTTATCTAGGTTCCAAATTTTTCATCACGTTTTAGTACCCGATTTTCACGTAAAAGTCCTCGAAGCTGGTGGATTCTGAGCAAAAAATAAGTTGTATTCATCGTGTAAAATGGCACATCTTTCGAGGATTTTACTAATTAGAAAATGCTCTTTCAAATGAGCACGACTCATTTTTTGCTCAGACTCCATTTGCTCCACTTCCACCTGAAAATCGGGTACCAAAACGTGATGGAGCATACATATTTTATATGAATTTTTCAAAAATTATACCCTATCCCTTTGAAAAACTCACAAATTCGGAATAATCGGTTTCAATATAACTATAACTTCCGGGATATTTTCGGAAATATTTTCTGAATTTCCATTCATTTTTGGTTTTTTCTTTGAACACTCTTTCAAATTCCGATCTTGCAGAATCCAAATCATAGAAATTTCTTGTATTTTTGTTTCCCACATTTGTACCAACTCGACCCCAGGATTGGAATAAATAATACGATCTGAAAAAATAGTTCAAAAATTAGTTTATTCAAAACCATATGTAGACTAACTCTCTCGAATCATGTCTCAATAATTGCATTTTATAATACGAATTTTTGTTGCAAAGTATTTCGGTGAAAGACATTGTTGCAGAATAAAGACCATCTTCTGAATACAAAAAATATCGATTAATTAATTAATTTTTAATTACATACCATCATCTCTATAAACATGGCACTCTTCAGCATATTCAAATTCCGTGTCAACAACCGTTCCTTTTTTGATAATTTGGCGAGTAATCATATCTGAGACTTGACCATTTTTCGAAGCTTAAAAAACTTTTTTGAAGGCTTGCTTGGGAATTTTGCAGAGAAAAAAAAACACTTACTCATCATATTCATCGGATCAATTGCCTCATCTGCAACATCTTGTTCGAATCTTGAAGCTCCCAAATATTTGAATGAATCTGTGGCGCTGAAAAAATGTCTTCAGAAGCTGGGAGACATCCGCAAAAATTCATAGGATCTTTGGGAAACTCTAGATTAAAAAAAAATGTTTTCTAGGTGTTTCTGACCCGCTGATCAATATAAAATTGGAGAACTCAATTCCTAATATGAGTTATGACGTGGCAAATTTCGAGGAGCAAATCTTATAGCATAGCGTTGTTCAGGAGGATCAATAACATAAGTAGACTTCATGTTTTCAATCAATTTTGAAAAATTAATTTTATTTTGTGAAAAAATGTCAGGATTTTACAAAAAATTTTGAATTCTTTCACAGAACAAAATTAATTTTTCAGAATTGATTGAAGACATGAAGTTTACTTATGTTATCGATCCTTCTGAACATCATTTTCGAAGCTAGTTTTCAGCTTTGCCACGTCATAACTCAATTGAGTTCTAGAATTTTATCGTGATCAGCGGGTTACTAGAAAACATATATTTTATTTTCAAAAATCAACCAAAAACTTACGTAACAACTTCATCTTCAGCACGATATAAACGATCAACCAAATCCTAAAAAAATAAAAATATAAAATTCTTTTCAAATCCCCACTCTTTTTATTGCTCACATTAAAATGAACATTGGACAAATCGTGATGTCTCGAGACTTCCAAAGGCATCGCAAATGGAGTTCGAACCGGATTCTTGTCAGAAAACATGCATTTCGAATATTCAGTCGCATAACCCGAGCAAGCATAAGTTTTGAATGATGAGCTGTAGAATAATTGACCATTCTGACATTTCGAACATGGAGCCGGTGCTCCAAACAATGCGATATCAACAAGTCTCTCAATAATTGCATCATTTCCACTTGGAACAACTTGCTTGTTTTCCTTCAGAATCACTCGACGTTCATGATCTGTTGTAACATCGGAGAAGAATTTGCGAAGTTCCCACATTTTATCAGCTTGTTCTTTGAGTTTCTTCAATTTTCTTTCCTCTTTCTTCTTTTCAATTTCTACTTTTCTTTTCTTCGCTCGTTCTTCCATTTCATCCAATTCTACAGTTTCAAAATGTCTTTTGATATTATTCTCCTTTTCTTTTTCAATTGCTACTACTGAAGAAGTTGATGGTGTTGGTGATGGAGATGGTGAAGAACTTATGCAAACAATCTCATCTGGATCTGATTGTGAAATTTGAACAATTGGAGCTGGAGCTGCTTCCGATGATGATGAAGTCGCTTCAGGTCCAGGTGTTGCTTCAGGTCCAGATGAAGATGCAGTAACCGCAGTACTCAGCTAAAAATGTTTGTTTTGAAAAGAAAAATGCTACTTTCAAACCTCATTTTTGCGTTGTTCATACGCTTCAAGAACAATATCTCTTTGTTCAGTAGTTATAAAATTCCACGCATCAATTTTCGTGAAATCCCCATCAAAACTTTTGAATTGCGAAAAGAGACATCTTGGATGCGTGAATTTGCTTTTATATTGACACTTTACTTCGCCGGAGTTAATCAATTGTTGACATCCCGAACATTTTCCTCGTGAAGTTGCTGCAGTTTGAAACTTCAGTATACTGAAATCCAATATTTTTCCGGTTGCTGTTGTTGATGCGAGTACAACTGCTTTTGGTCCTGCTTTGAATTCAGCTATACTTTGTCGAAGTTTTTCTTGATCTTCCCACTTCAACCAATCTACACCGCGAATCGAACTTTCGTTAATATCATCCTTTCCGAATTTCAACTTCTTCCAAAAACAAGCAAAATGAAACCAATTATCTTGCATTCCATCGAAAAATGTGCTTGGTTGACGGGCGGAAATTCTGATTGAACTATCTGCAATCGACCCACGACATTGTTTACAAGTTGATCTACCAGATTTTGCATATTCCACCGCGTACGGTAATGTGCATCGCTTCTCTATACTCTCTGAGTCCATTTTTATGACTCTGTAAAAATATGAAAATGAAACATTAATTTTCCGTGAAATTGTCTAATTTTTTTGAAATTAGCGGAATTTATGAAATTCTGTAATATTTTTTTTGAAAATAAAATCTATTCAATTTGAACATTTAAAATTATCAAACCAATATTTAGCGTATATTCGATTTCTTGCTTTCCCTAAAAAACAAAAAAAAAAAACAAAAATTCAAATTTGACCACGCCCCTCGCAAAGTGCGGCACACTTTGTTTGCATTCCGCGGCATGGCATCATTTTTATTTTCTTTTTTTGTGTGTTTGAAGTTGTTTCAACTTTTCTCTCGTGGTTTGCCGAACTAAATCAAGTAATTACAGAATGTTTGATAGTAGTGATGATGAAGGACCGTCCGACATATCAATGATTCATGCCGCACAAGCAACAAGGGAGTTTAAGGAAAAGTTTCCGTTGAAATCCGAGACTTTGAAAAAACAAGAACTTGAAAGAGCTCGTCGAACGCCTGCTGTTCGTAAAAAGTTGAATTTCGATGTGACAATGTCTCCGAGCTGTGAGTTTATAATTTCTGATATTTTTATGATTTAAAAGCAATTTCATTTTAGTCGTGGAAGCCGAAATCAAAACTGTTCAAGCGAATTCTGAAATTTTGGAACGGAAATTGACGATGAAAAACGAGGAGATTGAAAGGCTAAAAACCTTCATTCAGAAAAAAGAGGAAGAAAATAATCGATTGAACTTTCAAAAAACACAAGCTGAAGAAGAACTTCGGAGAGAAAAGTATCAAAACAATGCGAAAATTGCAAGAACAAATTTGGAGTTGGAAAAATGGCAAACCATTGGGAAAAAGTTTTATACATGGTTCAATATAGCGAAAAGTCAACTTGAAGAAGTGCAAGAACTTAATGGAGATGATTGGGAAAATCCCGAGAAAATTGAAAAAATCAATCAAATTTCGAGGGAATTTTACAAGTTTCTTGAGAACAACCAGTTCACCGAAGGTTGGTTATTTTTCGTTTTCGTTTTTCAGAACTTGTTTTAAAAATAAAAAATAAGTTTCAGATTTTGTTGATCAATTGGCTGCGGGAAGTATTCAATCGTATTGTGGTGTTGAATTTCCAGTGAGACAAAACATGAAGACAGAATGTGTGCGCGGGTCTGAACAATTGAATTCCACAGAATTAAAACCGCCGGGAAATGAGAGTACAGTTCTCAATGATTCAAATATGTCCTTTTCGAATTCAACAATCGCTGATTGCTCACAGGATACAACTATTTTGACCGGGGTGGAAGATATAATAGAACATCAATCGATTATGAGAAGGATGAGAAAATTCAACGATTATTGTTGGAAAATAGTGTTTTGAAAGATAATTTGAAGATCGTGAAAGGTAGATCGGAAAGATCGATGATAATTGAGGAACGGAATCGATCGCTGGAAGTTGAGAAGGATTCGCTTCAAAATCGTCTCGATCAAACTTTCGGCGAAATTGAAGCAATGCGAATGGGACAAGCTCGACAAATTTTCAATATTGATAATTGTCCGGAAAATTCGGAGAAATATCTTCGACTTATTGATCGGATTAATGGACTTTTGATTGAGAATAAACGATTGGAGAAGGATTTTGAAGCGGCGACTTCGAGAATAACGAAGATGGATCAGGATTTGAAAAATGCTGAGAGAAGAAATTCACACTTGGAAGATGTTTATTCGAATCAAGTTTCGAAATTCAACACGTTACAAAAAGAAATGGAGGATGTTCAAGCAAAATATGATACTTCTCTTGAAAATTTCGAAGAAGTTGCGGCTAAATTGAAAGAAGCGGAGAAGAAAATCGAAGAATCTTCAGTTATCTCTACAAAATCAGATGGCGATTCGACACTTCTCGCTGCTCCACCAACAGATGCTGGAAATTCGACACAAATCTTCCATATGGCGTCGAATCCATTGAATCTTGCACATGCCGAATTTCAAGATCAAGAGACTAAAAAACGGAAATTGGTGAGTTTTTCTATTAGTTTTTCAAATTTTATATTATATTTTTTATAGTCGGAACTTGATGGAGCTGAAGATTCTGAAGCGAAACGAATTCGACAGGAAAAAATCGATGAATTGGAAGAGCAATTGCAAATGCTTGAAAGGGAGAAGAATGTGATTGAAGACAGCTATAAGTTGCACAAAGATCTTGCCAATAAGTTCAGGTAAGTTCAGGCTTGAAGGCTCTGGAATTCTATGAAAACTATTTTTTCAGACAAATTTGCATTGCGTTGACTGGTCTTCAAATAAAATTGAAGGATGCTGAAGAGGGTATTTGCACAGTTCAAAGTGAATATGAGGAGACAAATCAAGGACAATTTGTGTTCAAATGTTTCTATGGAACAACTCGCATTGATATGCTTGATGTGAACAGTGATTCGTCAGCGGAAATGATTCGAAAATGGGAACCGCTTATGAAGAAGTTGGTTTTTTTGTTTGGAAAAACTGAATGGGAGATTCTGAAAATTAAAATTTTTTTCAATCGAGATTTTTCATGAAATATTTGTTTTCTAGTAGTTTTCGACCCGCTCATCACGAGCAGAGTTATGACGTGGCAAAAATTGGAAAATTTCGAAAAATCGTAACTTCAGAATGATTTTCATGAAAATCTGATATCATAGGATTGTTCAGGAGGCTTGATTACATGGCCAAACTTTGTTTTTTCGATTTGTGATTTTGAAAAACTATTTTTGTTCAGTGAAAAAAATAAGTCCGGTCATGAACTTTTTTGAAATTTTTCAGAAAAGCCTCCTGAACAATGCTATCAGATTTTCATGGAAACCGTTTTAAAAGCGAGTTCTTATCTCCTTAAGTCCCAACTTTGCCACGTCATAACTCATGTTAGAAGTTGAGCTTTGAAATTTTAGTCGGAAACTAGTAGTAAAAAGATCTTGGTTTGCAAGTTTAAAAAGTTCCAAAGTTTTTCAAATTTCCCACAAAAATCCCAATTTTCCAGATATATCGGTGAACGCAACTCGATTCCCGCATTTCTCGCCGCAATGACACTTCAATTAGAGCAAGAACGCGAGTTTGACGAAACAATGCACGAAAGAACTCACACTTTCAGTGTTTATCACGAAGATTGAAGTGTTTTGCCTTGTTTTTCACACGATCTACCTGTCAAATAGTTTTACGTGTAATTTTCACTTTTTTTCAAAAAATGAATTATTTTTGGTTTTTTTTTCAACAAATGTTTTTCAACGAGTTGAGGAGATCTGTTATTTATTTTGTTTATTTTTTAAAATTTACTTTTAAAAAATGTTTTTTTCGCAGAAAATGATAAAAGTTTTAATAACATTTTCACAATCACATTTGGATTTTCGAATTGCTGAATTTGAAGCGATTTGTGAAATGTTCAATATTTCCTTTAAAACAGCAGAGAATAGCTTCAATAAACAGGTATTTCGAAAAATACGAAAAAAAAAATGAATTTCATTTTTTTCTTTAGAAACATGTTTATCTAATCGATTTTGAAAATTTGGAGGATGTTAAAAAAGTTTTATCTCGCGCAGTTCTCATCAAATTCGCTTTTGAATTCATTGAAAACGCGCAAAATTACGAAGAACTTTATGAGAAACTTGGAAAAACTGTCGAAAATCAGACATCATTTGCTCTCCGAATATTTTCGATTGGCCGCAAAAAAGAAATTGGATAATCTGGAAAGAATTCGGAATTTCTTGGAAAATGTTGAAATTGCTGGAAATGTTGATTTGAAGCAACCGGAAACCGAGTATTATTTGGTGGAAGAATATGAAAATGCGGAAGATGAGCAGCCGAAAATGGTGTATTTTAGTAGATTGATTGGAGAAGGGCGGGCAGATCTGAAGACGAAGTATAATTTGAGGGATCGATGTTATATTGGAAATACGACTATGGATCCCGAATTGTCGTTTATTCAGGCAAATATTTCACAAATTCGACCTGCTGAGTTGGTTTTGGATCCGTTTGTTGGTTAGTTGAATTATTACGTGAAAAAAATAGAATAAAAATTCGGGACTCAAGAAAAATCCAAAGAAAATCTCAGCTCAAGAAGCTTCTAGAAATCCTTGAAGCAAAATCTAGAATTTTGTCTTTAGAAAATAGGATGTGAAATTTTGAATCAGGAATTTCGGACCTCGAAATGCTAAAATTTTCAGAAATCTACAGGTTTCCTCTTCAAAATTTGGGCTCTCCAAATTTCTAGGCTTCATTATCCAAAACTGGATATTTTAACCTTGAGCCGAGCTCCAAAGCTCCAATTTTGAGAAATTCAGAATTTTTAAATAATTTGGAAAACCCTAGTTTTCTACTTTTTCTGAAAGGCTCAAGCTTTCATAAATTTCGGTCCTCAAAATGCCGTGAAAAATTTAATTATTGGGAAAACCCCGAATTTTCTACAAAAGCCCTTGGATTTTTCTGAAAATCTGATGGCTTCTTGAAATTCTGAAAACAAAATCATTCAATCCTCTAAAATTTCTGAAATTAAATTTTGAACCACTATGAATTTTAATAATAATAATTTATGACGACACTGAAGGTGTTCGCAGCAAAAACAAAGGAATATATAAAACATGGAAGATAAAAATTAAGAATGAGTTGGGTTTGAATTTTTGAAAAGGGAAATTTTCACGCGATTAGAGCACGCATGATCATTACCATTTAGGAATGCCCAATGGTCTCGACGCCTCCACGAAGAAGGCCGAGATTTGTCTGTTGGTTTATGGCATCTCCTCTTCGTGGAGGAGCCGAGTAGTGAACACACCCTTGGCAATAGATGGATCAGCATACCATAATCGGTGTTTTTTGCAATAATGACATCATAAAACCGGGTGTTTCATTCAATTTGGGGTGTGGAGGGAGTTTTGGATCTTTTTTTGTCTTGAAATTTTCTGAAAAGCTCCTGAAATTGTCTTGGAAATTAAGGATTCTCAAATTTTTTGGCTCTGTTTTTTACAACGGGAATTTCTTCCATGAGCCAAGAAGCTCTAGTGCTCCAAATTCAGAAAAAAAATTGGTAAATCAGAATTTTTTTTGATAATTGGGAAAACACGAATGGTTTTTCTGAAAATCAAGTTTTTAGGAGTCAGAAAAACTTTTTCTTTTCATTTTTCAAATCAAATTCTGAACTTCATAAATTTCTCACCTCAAAATGCCTAGATTTTTGAAAAGCTTTAGATTGTGTCTTGAAAATTTGGGCTCCTGAAACTTCAAAAAAATACCTCGAAATTAGAATTTTATATTTAAAAACAACAAAAACTTCTAATCCTCCTCATTTCTTCTTCGACTTAGCCAAATTCTTCTTCGTTTTTCCTTTCGATGCAGTAGTAGTAGCACTGTCTATTGTTGACTGTGAAACCCCTTCAGAATCCAGCTGAAAACAGTTTTTTTGTAAATTCTAAATTCCTCCCAGCTCACCTGAACATCATCAATTTCAGTTCCGATGCTAAAAATCTCATTTTCAGTTTCGTTGAAAAACACATCTTTCAGCACCACATTTTTCGGAACTTTCGAATTTGCTGCCTGAAAATTAAATTCGAAACTGGAAGAACTTCAGAAAACCTACCATAAGATCCGTTTCATTAGGAATAAAAATATTTCCTCGTTTTTTGAACTTCTTCAAATCACTCTTCTCTTTCTTCAATTGTTTCTGATCTTCCAAATCTTCAAGAACCGTCAGATATTTTTTGCGCCAAACCGGATCATTCAAATCCATATTTTTGTCCTTGTATTGTTTTCTAGTCTTCTCATCAAACGCTTTATTATAAGTTAGTTGTTTGTTTTTGGTACCAAAAGACATTGAATCTTCGGAAATTGGCGGAGCTTCATCTTCTTTTACTTTCTTCTCCTTGTTTTCCTTCGATATTTTCATATTCCACCAATTCTCATACGCAATAAATCTCCGCTGTTTCAACAAATCTTTCTTTTCCAATTGTTTCGTTTTCAAAGATAACAAACCAACCAAAATTGTAATTATAACACAAATAAAAACATAAGAAATCGTAGAATATTTGATTATAAATGAAGTTGAGATATCTTTCTGTTGACAGTAATCCGGACAATTTAAAGGTTCATCCTTGTCACAATCAAAATCATCAGCTTTTAAGGAGTGAACGATTATAAACAATATTAAATAGAACTCTGAAAACCATTGGAACGAACTTGTGACGTGGATTTTTAGTCACTCACTTTTTTCTTGAAAACATGAACATTCTTAATTCGAAATGATTCATTATCACGTGATTTCTCACGTCTAAAAAAACAATTCACTTTTTCGCATCTTCTTTCGATGCTCCTCGAACTTGTTCTTTGCTCTCCTTATTCTTCCGAACACTCTTTCGTACACTTCGTTTCGTTCGATTATTCGATTTATCGCGTTTACTTTTGATCGTAGCTTCTTTCGATAACGCCTTGGGTTTTTGAACCGGCGTTTTTGCGGCAATGATTTTCGGAGCGGTTTTTGTGGAGAAACCTTTGTTGGATAATTTTGAAGAGGCGATTGTGGAGTCCATTGAGGAATCAACGTCGAACTGGAAATTTTTGATTTTGGGATAAGCTCAGAAAATTCGAGATCTGATATTAATGGACTTTGTCTCATTTCTGATGGTCATATCGGAATTCAGAATTTCGATTTTTCATACCAACATTTTTCTCAGAGTTCAAAATTCCGAAAACAGGAGCGTAGCCTATGTTCCGCTTTATCGGCCACGTGGATTTACTATGGTACAGTTTTCACGTGACCGCCCCGCCCGAAAGCCCCGCCCTAGTCCTTTCTGAAATATCCAATAAAAATTTGAAAACTGGAATTCTCTTATAAGGAAATTCCAGCATTTTCAGATTTTTATTGGAATTTCAGCGGAGATGCGGAAGCTAGTGTAGACCGCTATCTTCCGCGTCAGCGGCACTGTCCACGTGGATTAACTATGACGTAGAATTTTGTTCTTAAAATAATTCGGAATGTGTTCCGACGCTCGGCTTCAGAATTCCGAACAGCCCTGATCCAGAATAAACTTTCTCACCTGAACATCGTCAATTTCCGTCCCAATGCTAAAAATCTCATTATCTTTCGGATTAAAGAACACATCTTTCAGCGCAACATTGTCCTTCTCCTTGCATTTATTATAAAACTCCTCAGCCGGCACATTATTCGGTATAAAAATCGCACCCTTCCTCTTAAACTCCTTTATCATCTTCTGATCATCGTTCGCTTTTCCCATCTCTCGAAGTTTCAGCACAAAATCCACGCGATTTTTCGGAATCTTCAAATCAATTTTATATTTCTCCAAGAACATCTCCTCAATCGCCTTATCCCGCTTTTTTATCACTTGTCAATGGAATATCAGCTCCGAGTTTTTCCAATTCTTCTCGAGTCATTTCTTGTGTCGATATTTCGAATTGTTTCTCCTCTTGTTTATATGCAAATGATGCTGATTTATCAGCTGGAACTGCTTGAAGTTTATCCAAGTTCAACACTTCTTTCGCCTCTTCTTCTTTCTTTTTTTCATCATTATCATCATCATCACTGAATTCAATAATATTTCTTGCACTATCGTCAGATCTATATCTTGTTGTGCTGGTTGTTGTTGTTGTTGTTGTTTTAGTTGTTGGTGTCCAAGGTGTCCAAACCATTGCTGGCTGTTTTTCTCCACCCATATCTTTGATCTTGCGTTTTACCCATTCAAGTTTGTCGAATTGATCAGTTTTTGGTAGAATAGCTGAGAGATAACAAAGAAGAAGCAGATAGGCTGGAACAATTAGTGAGATGATAATAATTAGAGCATCTATCCAATTTAGTTCGGTTTTGTATTTCACAGGTGGCGGGAAAAATGCGTCCTGAAAAATGGGGGTTTTGGAAATTTTTGAGAAGAGAATCTGAGAGATTTCTAGGCTTGGTTGCTTGAGAGTCAGGTTCTCTAGGCGCTGGTCCTTGAAAATTGCAATTTCTAGGCGTGGTTACCTGAAAACTAGGTTCTCTAGGCACTAATCCTTGGAAATTGCAATTTCTAAGCGTGGCTACTTGAAAACTAGAATTTCTAAGCGCGGCTGCTTGGTTTAGAAGCTCTCAAGACTCGACTCCTTGTCATAGTGGATTTCAAGACGCGGCTACTTGAGAGTTAGGTTCTCTAGGCACTAATTCTTGGAAATTGCAGTTTCTAGGCTTGGCTGCTTGAAAACTAGGCTCCCTAGGCGCTGATCCTTGAAAATCGAATTTTCTAGGCGTTGCTACTTGCCAACTAGAATTTCTAGGCGTGGTTACTTGAGAGTTAGGTTCTCTAGGCGCTGATCCTTGAAAATTTGAATTTCTAGGCGTGCCTCCTAGACAATTAGGTTCTCTAGGCTCGGCTGCTTAACAAACAAGCTCTAAAGGTATAAAAAAATCCTCACATGATCAGTTTTTCCACCACCGTATCCAAGAATTTCCTTCGCACCCAAAAACCTCTAACTCACATAGCAATTTTTTGGTTTTTCCGAATTTATCATCAATTTCTCTTGTTTGATAAATATTGCAAGAATCGAAATAGTTATGATCAAAGTTAAATGCAATTCTTTTCGAAGAAATCTCATCGTTTTCTCTTTCTCGATGTATTAAAAATGAGGAGATTGCATTTATGAAAACAGTAATCCACGTTGATTGATCGCTAAAATGTCACGTAAATAATTTTCAAATTTTCAGGAACCGGAGGATTGATTTTACCGGCTGCTGAATTCGGCGCATTTGTAATTGGCACAGAGATAAATTATCAGACGGCGAGAGCAAAAGGAAAATCATCGAGACAAGGAGTTGGTGAAAGAGGAGATGACGAAAGTATTCGAGCGAATTTTGAGCAATATTCGATTTCGGATAAGTTGCTCTCGATTATAATTGGGGATTCGAGCAAGCATGGAATTTGGAGGAAAAAATCCACAATTTGATGTTATTGTGGCGGATCGTGGGTTTTTTGTGAAATTTTTTTCAAAAAAAAAAACACATAATTTTCAAAAATTCGGCATTCATCTCAAAGTTGACGAAATAAATACTCGATCAAAAAATGAAAAAATTTTTTCGAGGTACATTCGTAATTTTGTTGAAAAAATGAAGTTTTTAGCTAAATACAAAATCATTTTTTGATCGAGTATTTTCGTCAACTTTGAGATAAATACCGATTTTTTGAAAATGACGTGTTTTTTTTTTGACAAAAAAATTAGCGTAACTCATGAAATTAATTTTTTTTCAATTTTCCAGCTCCTTATGGTGTTCGCGAGAAGGCGAGAAAAATTGGAAACAAGGAAAAACCACCGAAAATCGAGGATGTTGATTAGTTAGTTCAACTCCTCTTAAAAGGCTCTTTCCCGAAAAATGTTCTTATTTCCAGTATTCGATACCCGGAAAAAGAAGAATACAATTTGGAAAACACGTATTGTGATCTGTTGGATCTTGCTGCGAATATGTGTATTATTGGGGGAAGAGTCTCGTTTTGGTACCCGGTGATTTTGGCGGATTATTGTGAGGAAAATCTGCCGAAACATCCAGCTATGCGATTGATTTTCAATTGTGAACAGGGTCTGACTAGGAAATCGAGCAGGTTTGTTTTTGGAAACAAGATTTTTTACAAAAGAAAGTTTTCAGACGGCTTTTGACTTATCGGAAGATTCGTGAGCCACAAATTGATGAGGAAACGGAGATTTCGAAAACAGGAGTCAGCAATTATCGAAGTGTACTTTTCTCCACTAAAAATTAATTTTTCCCATGTTTTGTTTGTTGATTTATTAATAATTCCTCTGTTTTTGTTATCTTGAAGCCAAAAAAAATAAATATTTTTGTTTGAAAAGAAACACACAATTTAAACGAGCGTTGTGTCTCGCGACGAACAAACATTTTGCAGTTCGCCGTCTTACTGTAGTTGGCTCCGCCCCCTTCCATCAGCACGCAGTTGATGCGAACAAAAAATGCGAGACACTGTATTAATGGCGGGTGTTGCTGTCAGGCAGATGTCTTTTTGAGGTAGCTCAACGCTTGATAAATCGCCCGGTTGTTGCAGTTTACTTTATTTTCTTTGCTCTGCTTTGTTGTCAGGTTTTTTTAATTCAAAATTTGAATTTTTTCAGTAATGAAGCTATCAACAGTCTTTCTCCTCGCCGCTTTGGGATTCTGCGCAGTTTATGGTGAGTTTTTATTTTCAAAAGTGAAAATACAAAATTTGATGAACAGAAAAACCAAGAAGCACCTACTTTTTTGAAAATTTTGTTTCATTTTGAAAATTACTCGGTCAAGGTCATATTTGCTAACGCAACTTTGATCCACAAATATAAAATGTTTTTTTCCAGCCGCTGATGTTGTTGATGGAGAAGTCACCGAAGACTCAACAAGAGCAACAACTGAAGATGATGATTTGACAATCGGAGCATCACCAGACGCCGCTCTCGCCTTCCAATTTGTTCAACCAGCCGACGCCAATACAATCAATGAAGTTTACGGAGGAAGCCCAGTGAAATTCTTGATCGGATTCCAAAATCGTGGAGAGAAGGACTTCATCGTCAAATTCTCGGAAACCTCGTACCGTTATCCATTGGACTTCAATTATTATCTTCAAAACTTCACACGTGGAGAATACAACCGTCGTGTTGCACCAAAAGAAGAGGTCACCCTTGATTATGCTTTCTTCACCCATGAAAGTCTTGCTGGAAGATCACTCGGACTTGTTGTCAATGTTCACTATGAAGATGCTGTAAGTTTCTTTTTCGAAAGAATATTGGATTTCAAAATTAATTTTTTTGTTTTTAGGATGGAAAATACTTCATCAACAATGTCTACAATCAAACCATCACTGTTGTCGAAGATGATTCTGGATTCAACGGAGAGACTGGATTCATGTTCTTGATTTTCGTCGCTTTGGGAATCGGAGCTCTCTACGTCGCCAACCAATTCTTGTCCAAGCTTTCACGCAAATCTGGCCTCCAAAAGAGATCAACAGTCGAACAAGGAACATCGGGAAATGAAGTTGACTACGAATGGATTCCACGTGATATCATCAAGAACAGCGAAAAGAAATCACCAATCGCTGGATCACCAAAAGCACGCAAAGCCAAGAAGACCGATTAGATGAATTCGACGATAGTGTTTAAATTTGTAATTTATTAATATTTGTTTTTTTTTGTTTGCGGCACGGGTATGCTTGTACCGCGAGTCTTTTTTCCAACATTTTATACAGATTTTTTAACGTGTCTCTGTGTTTTTTTTCTTTTCAAAACTTGTTTTTATCCTCATATACATATATTATCAGTTATAAAACGAAACTAGATAAATATTTGTACCTATACCAAGACTTTTTCCATTGAATTACGAATTCCAGATAAATTTTCAGCTTGATCAACGCAAAAACAAACGTGGAGTTTACGTTAACGTTTTTTATATATTTGTCGTCAAATAAAATGTTCAGTACGCAATACGTTTGCGGAGTTTGCAATTAATCTGACGCGCATTTATTTTCTTTTTTTTTCGAAAAAAATTGCAAAAGATGGCTAAAACTATTCAAGATTTCAACAAGGACGACGAAGAAGTGAGTTTTAAACTTATCCTAAATATTTAATTGATTGATATTTAGCTTTGCAAAGAAGCCAATAAATTTGTCAGTGTTTATTACGATGTTTTGGATCGGAAACGAGAAAAAATCTCTTTTTTGTATGCCAATGTCGCAAACTCGAATCTCGTATGGAACGGAAATCCTGTTGATGGATATGATAATATCTGCAAGTGAGTTGATGGTTTTTTCTTGAGAATTCAAAAAATAATCCGGTTTTTTTTTGCAGATTCATGACCACAATTCCAGCAACTCGACACGAGATTCATAGCATTGATGCTCAAAGATTTCCAGAAAATATGAACGGCGAATTGTTCAACGGAATTATTTTACATGTTGCTGGCGCAGTTTCTTCGGGCGATGACGGAGATCGCGCATTCACACAAACTTTGGTCCTTTGCGTTGAAGATGAGAAATACAGAATCAAAAGTGATCGATTCCGTTATATTGAATAATTTTTATCAGTTTTCTGAACTTGTTGTTTTCTGTTTTTACGTGTATTTTTATCAACATAAATCTCATTGAAATTATTTTAAAATTATTATTGTCTAGCTGAATCGTTTCCACGATTTCATAATACCTAAAAATTGGAAATGCGGTTGGATAAAAAAATAGAACGTGACCTATTTATTTCTGATTGGAAAATATGCAGAAATTAAATATTTCCAAATTTTCATTTCAGATGGAAATAGAGCACATGAGAACGGTTGAAATATTGGCAGCAAAAGCTGCAAATTGGGGTTTACCAGAAGAAGAAGAACTCGAAAAGGAAGAAACGGAAAATGAAGATTTTCTAGCTGGAACTCTTTCTGAAACATTGGAAAATGTGAAGAATCGAGAGAAAGAATTGGTTGAAGCGCAATTTCCACCAGATGTAACCGCATTTCGAACAAATATGCAGAAAATGCGATTGTTAGAAAAGCAAATAGAAATCTCGAAAAACACGATGAAAGAATTACAAGAAGCCTACGAATCAGTTTCCAGTCGAACTTCTTCCCTTCACGATGCATGCGATAAAGCGCTAGCTGAACAAACTGCATTGTCAACTGGATCGCATTTAATCAAAACCAATCTATATTATTTCAAACAAGCTGATGTTATAATGAAAAAGTTATCTGTTGCAAAACTTATGGTAACTGGTCAATCATTCGCTGCAATTCTTGCTTCAATTGATGAGTGTTTGTCGTTTCTGAGATCGCATCCAGAATATCGAGAATCTGCTGTTTATATTGCGAAATTTGAGCAATGTTTGAGCAGGTTTGTGAAATGTGAAAACGGAACTTTTACTCTAGATTTTTAACAAAAATATATGTTTTCTTGTAGTTTTTGACCCTAAAATTGCAGAACTCAAATCCTAATATGAGTTATGACGTGGCGGGATTTCAGAAGCTGAAAACTAGATTCAAAACTGATTTTCATGCAAATAGGAGGGTCGACTACATAAGTGAATTTCTTATTCTCAATATGTGATCAAAATTATTTTTGTTCATTGAAAAAAGTTGATTCAGATGCAGATTGTTTCAAATTTTTTGAAATCTGCACCTGAATTAACTTTTTCAATGAACAAAAATAACTTTTCAAAACACACATTGAAAAAATAAGAAATTCACTTGTGTATTCAACCCTAATATTTGCATGAAAATCATTTTGAATCTAGTTTGCAGCTCCTGAAATCCCGTCACGTCATAACTCATATTAGGATTTCAGTTCTGCAATTTCCGAGTCAAAAACTACATACATTTTGTTAAAAATGTAGAGTTCAACGTCTCACCTAAAAATTCTGATTTCAGAGCAATGACTTGGGTTCGTGTTGGAGTAATGAATGATTTGGAAAATTGTTTCGATGATGTCAAAGATCGACAAGCCCAGCTACAGGTACGGTACTTTTCCCGCCCAAAATTCTTCCTCTCAAGACCCATTTTCTTCTAGGTCGACTATGAAAAGATTGGACGAGGAGGCGCAGACGAAGATACATTCGCTCTTCTTTACGGTGTGTTTGCATCGAAAGCGTCGAGTGTAAAGTGAGTTTGATATATAGCGCAGGTGGTTAGAGTAAATATTATCAATCGCAAGGTGCTGGGATCAATTCCGGCTGCGGACAGATTGAGTTGATTCGCTTGGAATAATTGAGCAGAGTCAAATTACTGTCCGAAAATGATAGAGAAGTCACATGTCGAATGAAAATGTCTATGGTTTACTACTGTAGCTTCGAGTAGTGCTTCCCACATTTATTTATTTTTAAAATACAAAAAAAATTGATAATTTTGCAGAGGAGCAATTAGTGTTGTTGAGCAACGATTTTGGAATGTGCCAGAATTTGAGGAAATGTTGGCCGAATGCCAATATGCATATTTTGCCAAAAGACAATTGTTGTTGGCGCCGATTTTGGAATCGACACTTTTGAATTTGTCTACGTAAGATTTCGAGGGGATTTATCTAGAAGCCTAGAAAAGCCTAGAAAATCCTGTTTTTTTTTTCAAATTTTCGACAAAAAATACTCAAATTTCAATTTTTCTCCAAATGTTAAGAAAAATCTGAAAATCTCATTTTCCACGTGGATTTTTGAAGATGTAGCCTAGAAAATCTTGCGTTTTTTTTTTTAATTTTGACAAAAAATTGTACTGAATATCCAAATATTGAGGAAAATCTGAAAATCCTGTTTTTTTTTCAAATTTCTGACAAAATAGTACCCAAATTCCAATTTTCCTCCAAATTTTAAGGAAAATCTGAAAATCATCTTTTCCATGTGGATTTTTCAAGGTGTAGCCTAGAGAATCTAGCTTTTTTTTAAATTTTTGACAAAAAATTGTACTGAAAATCTGAAAATCCTGTTTTTTTTTCAATTTTTTTACAAAAAAATACTCAAATTCCAATTTTCCTCCAAATTTTAAGGAAAATTTGAAAATCTTCTTTTCCACGTGGATTTTCAAAGCTGTAGCTCAGAAAATCCTGTTTATTTCAAATTTTCGACAAAAAAATATTCAAATTCCAATTTTTCTCAAAGTTTTGATGAAAATCTCATTTTCCACGTGGATTTTTCAAGCCGTTAACCTAAGCTTAGGTTCAGGGTCTTCTTCAGAACTTCAGGCAAAATTTCAACAAAAAATACTCAATATCTTCTATTCCACGTGGATTTTTAGTAGTCTGAAATTTATATTTTCCAGCTCAAAAATTTCCAGAAACCACGCGGATTCCACATGTCGATTAACACGAGATGCCTGCACTTTTATGCTGCGAACCTGTGATGATGAATATCGATTATATCGCCAATTCTTCGTTGTCAAAAATCAAAACAATCCACCCTTCCACTCTGGTCGAACATCTCCAGTTTCAACGATTTTCAAATCTACATCTGAACAACTTCAACAACATCAACAAGTTCATCCATTCGAAACATTTACTGAACAAATGTGTCGATTATTATATGATATGTTAAGACCGAGAATTGTGCATAATCCACATTTAGAAACACTCGCTGAACTTTGCAATATGATTAAAATTGAGATGATTGAAAATCGATGTTCACTTCAAATGGTATCAACAATTTTAGGAGAAGATGATTGTTCATTGAATCCACGAGCCGGATTTGTGTCAGTTATGGGTGAATTGGTGGGAGATATTGCTGAAAGAATTGTGCATCGTGCTGGAATGTATGCGCAAAATGATATTGGGGGATATAACCCGGCTAGTGGAGATATTGCTTATCCACAAATGTTGCAAATGATGAGGAAAATTGAGAAGGATCAGAAGGAGAAGGAAGAAGAAGGCGGAGAAGAAGATTGCGAGTAATATTGATCAACATTGTTTGTGGTATCCGACTGTCAGAAGAACTGTTATGTGTTTGTCCAAGATTTTTCCGTGTCTTGATGTAAGTTTTCTAGAAAAATCAAATTTTTCGCATAGAAATTTCATCAGGTTTTGAATTTCTTTTTTTTTTTTTTGAGAAATTGCACCAAAAGTTTACTTTTTTGATTTTCAAAGTTTGAATTATATTTAGATTTCTGTGATTCAGTTTTCAGAAAAACTTAGAAAAATCTGAAAATTTATGATTTTCAGAATTTTTCTTGCATAAAACCCGCTTTTACACTAAAAGTTTATGCAGAACATTTGGACCAGGCTCAACTTTTTTGATTTTTTGAATTAGATTTAGATTTCGGTGATTCAGTTTTTAGAAAACTTGCAAAAATCTGAAAATTCATGATTTCCTAGTGTTTCTTTCTAGATTAAAAGCTCCCGATTAAAATTCCTTGAAATTTCAATTTTTAAAATTTTTGTATTTCCGGACAAATTTGATTTTAGAAAAGCTGAAAATCTAAATTTTCAAAAAAAAATTCCACAAGAAGCTCAAAGAGAATTTGATTTAACAATTCTGAAACTTGGATCAGGTCCAAATCTTTTTTCAAAATTCAGAAAATCACGATTGCAAAATCTACGTTTAAAAAAAAAAAAATCAAAATTTTCTCTAATTTTAACGATCTTCTTCTGAAATTCCACGTTTTCCGATATTTCAGCACCAAAAAATCCACGTGGCAATTTTTATTGGTTCTCATCAAAAAGTTCACAAAATAATCTTTCTCCTCTAGATCTAACAACCTTCCAATTTCCAGATTGGAGTATTCCACTCGCTAGCTCGTGAAATGCTCCAAGCCTGCATCGATTCTCTCGAAGTCGCCTCAACTGCCATCCAAAATATCCCGCCAGCCAAAGGCTCGTGGAACAAAAAACTGGACGGCCATCTTTTCGTCGTCAAACATCTTCTAATTCTTCGCGAACAAACTGCGCCATACCGCCACAATGTTTTGCGAACCGATTCGTTGTCGACCAAAGATTTTTCGATTGATTTCTCCAAATTCACAAATGTCTTATTTGATTCGAAATCTAAGTGGTTTGAATTGAGCACGAATAATACGCTTCTGGAATTGATTACCACGGTAAGCTTTTTTTGTTCTCAAGAATTTTTTCGAAAAAAAAAAGTTTTAGGTTCCAATTGAAGTTAAGGAATATGAAGGAGATTCGCGAAGAATTTTAGATCAACAATTGAGAGCTGCTTCATTTCGATTGGCTCACGAAGCATCGCAAATTATGATTGGAAGGTTAGCCGAATGGATTGATATGGCTGAAGATGAGAAGTTGAAAGAAGGTTTTGATTTGGCGAAACAACCGAAACTTCAAGCGGCTGTTTTGAAAGATTTGGCCGGAGAAGCTTATAGAAATGTTGGAGCAAAGTTTGGGGAGGTAGGGAAGATCTATTTTTGAAAATTTCAAGCTCAAAATTGCTTTTCTATAAAAAAGCACGATATTCCATGGAATTCCCTTCAAAAAGAAATTTTTACCCAAAAATTCCAAATCAAAAATAAAAAAAAATACGTTTCAAAATTTTCATATAATTTATAATCGAATAGGTTTTTTTCAATTTATTTGACATCTTTTAGAAGTATAAGTTAGAACCAAAATTTTATAATTGGAAAATTCTGAAATTGAGCTATAAAAGCTTGAAAATTTACGTTTTTAATAAATTTTAAGTTTAAAATTGCTTCTTTTCGGAAGAAATCTAGAAATTTGATGTTTTTTGGTCCAGAAAATCCGAAAATTTTCAATTTTTGTCCAGAAAATTCGAAAATATCGTTTTTTTCATTCGAAAAATACAATGGATTTCTCTCCTAAAATTTTAAATTTAGAGTTTTTCAGCTCAAAAGCGATTTTGAGTCAAATTTGGACCCAAAATTTCAACATTTTCAAATTTAAAAAAAATACGTTTCAAAATTTTGAAATAATTTATTATCGAATAGGTTTTTTCATTTTATTTGACATTTTTTTTGGTGAATAAAACTGAACCAAAATTTGAATGAAAATTCTGAAATTATCGATTTTTGGATCAAAATTCATGAAAATTTTAAGCCCAATGACTGAAAGAGTACAAAGCTAAAAAAAATTGAATTCAAATGTTTTTCTCAAGTGATTTCATATAGATTTTAATTGTATTTTTACGATAAAAATGTTCCTAAATTTGATCTAAAAATCGATGATTTTCAGCTAGGATTCTTTAAAAGTCAATTTTTTCCCTTTCCAGATTCGCGCCGCCTATTCTCTATACATTGGTGTCACCGAAACCGAATCCATCCTCCTCTCACCTGTTCGAAAACGTGTCATTGATGTTTTCACGCGCGTCAACTCATTCGCCTCCAAATGCTATGATGAAGAATCGAAAGCGGTTGCCGCTCTTCCAAATGTACAACAATTGATATTAATGCTTAACAAATAATATAGTGGCTTTTGGTTTTGGTTTTAACACGGGTGGGATTTTTTGTGATTTTTAATGCCTGAGTGTGTAAATAATATGGGATAATTTATTTATTTTTGATTAATAAAGTTTCAAAAGTGCTTTCTCTTTCTCTCTCTCTCAGACGAAAATTTTCGAATTCAATAGATTTTTTTTGTTGAGAAGCTCAATTAATGTGGGAAAAATGGATGAGCAAGACATTTATTGAAAAAAAAAAAATTTTCGCCCCGGGTTCCCGGAAAATGATGTATTCTTTTACAATATTTATAAAGTACACCTATCAAATTTCAAATCTTTTTCTTATTTTAAGTAGAAAAAATATGTTTTACAGCTTTTGCTCATGTTTTCTCGTTAAAATTATGAATTTTGAAAAGAAAATTGAAAACAGCTGGAAATTATGCACACATTTTTCGCAATGTTTTCCGAAAAACATGGAAAATGTTGGAAATATTTTAGGAAAACAATGGGATTCAAAACCTCTCATCATTTCTTTTTTGCTCTTGTTTTTTTTCAATAGTTATTTATTTTATAGTGGAAGATGTTTGATGTTATGTGGAAAAAATTTAATCGTTACGAGACCACATATGCGCCTTTGAAACCCCTGTACCTTTTAAAACTACTGTAGCACTATTTCAGCTGTGTTTCTAAATAGAAAATGCTAAAATATTCAGCGTGATGAAAGAATCTGAAAAATTGTGGTTCGCTGCAAGACCCAGAAAATGTTTGTTATGCGCCTTTGAAAATTACCGTAGTTTTTTATTTATTTTTATTTTTTGGAAACCTTTTTCTTTTCTTTAGTTCATAAATGAAATATTTTCACAAAATAAAAAAAATTAGAAAAAAATAAATTTCAAAATTAAAAAAAGTGAAGTTCGCTGCAAGACCCAGAAAATTTTTGCTCTGTATGCGCCATTGAAAATTACTGTAGTTTTTTTTTCAATTTTTTTAAAAAATTTTTGGAAAGCTTTAAAAAATGGGTTCTCAAAAATCAATTTGAAGCCTATTTCTAGATTTAACAAATCCTAGACCCGCAAATTCAACTCGCTGTAGATCACGCGCGATTTTTTTTTTAAATTTTTTCGTCTCTTTCACTCTCACCGATTGATTTTTTGTTTATTTTTTTTCTGTTTTTCATTTTTTTCTTCTAAAAATCGCCTTTTTTTCTTTTTCTTCTAAAAATCTTCTAAAAATCGCTAAAAGTCTATCAATCAAGAAAAAACCCACAATTCTTTCTATTCTCCATTTTTTACGATAATTTAATCTGCTCTCATTGAAAATGAATGGTGGGCGTGACGACCCGCGAAATTCCTCTCGTTTGGCTCAAATCGAAATATTTCCCCATCCATTTTTTTTGTGCCAACGGCGAAATGCAGATTTTTTCGAGCCTTGTGCTATATTTTCTGAAAAAAGTTTGCTCTTCTCAATTTCGCGCGCGCGAGACCGCCATGTGAAAATTGAAACTGGATATTTGAGGAAATCGCCAAATTACGATAGTTTCTATTTTTTGTGTTGTCTGATAGATGGAAAAAACTCGGCGGAAAAAGTTCACATTTCACAGCGACACAAAAAAAAGATGAAAAAAGTTTCAAATTTCTCGCTGTTCCAATTCTCATTTACTTTTTGTTTCACCTATTTTTTGTCGATTATCTTTAACTTTTTTTTAAATTTTCAGATGTGCGAAGAGAAATGAGCTGGAAAGTTTTGTGCATTTTTTTGCTGATTTTGGTGCCATGTAAGTTTCACACATTCATTATTGGGCTCTTTTTTTTACAAACAAAAAAATCTCTTGGAAAATTTTTTGGACCTTTGGAATTTTTAATTAACGAACGAGGATTCTCATATATATGAAAAAAGAACGCTTTTTGCCTAAGCTCCGCCCACATTTCTCCGTAAAGATGAGTATTTTTCAAAAAAAAGAAGCCTAGTAGGTCAAAGATTCTGTCATCCGGAAATTATACAAGTTCTTCCTCTTTTTTTTCGGAAAAATACACATTTATTAAAAATTCTGCTCTTCAGAATTCTGCTCCTGTTTTGTTTGTTTGTGATGTTTCGAGTGACTTTTTCAAGGGTCCCCAGGAATAAGTTTTTTTGTGAGCTTCTGATTTTTCTCAGTGTTTTGGATCAGGAAAAAATTGATTTTTTCTGGATTCTAGAATTTTTTAAATTCAAATTTCTGATTTTTGATTGAACCTGAGGAATAGTTTTGAGCCCTGAGCCCGATTTTCAAAATTTCTAAATTATTTACCACGTGGATTTCGGCTAATTGTAGTCTCAAAAAGAATTTCCTAGTTTTTGTGAGCTTCTGATTTTTTTCCGAATTTTTTTCTTGCATCAGAAAAAAATTGATTTTTTCTGGATTCTAGAATTTTTTCTACAGTACCCCAAGAAAAAATAGTGCCAAAAAGTTGCGAAAAATTCGGTAGATCAAAAATTATAGCCCCCAAAATCTACTGTAGCTCTGAAAGCGCTTCGGGACCCAGAAAATGAATGAAACTTTATCCTGAAATATTGGTAGATCAAAAATTATGGCCCTCCAATAATCTACAGTAACCCCTGAAAGTTCTGGAACCCAAAGCAATCCTGCTAAAAATTTTTGTGAATTCAGAGCTACAGTGAACTCGAAAAATGAGCGTTAAGAAAATTTAGAAAACATTTTCAAGTTTCCTAGATTCAGATATTTTTTAGATTTTCAGAGGGCTTTTCAGATTTCAAAAATCAGATTTTCGTCTGAATTTTTCGAAATTCACCGTAGTTTTTTTCAACTATGAAATTCTCTCAAAACCTTTTTCGAAATTAGAAATTCAAATTTTCAGTTTCCAAATTTTTTTTCAAAAATTTAGACTTACAGAAAATTCGTGATTCAATTTTTTAAAAATTTCCAAAATTTAGAGTTTTTTGGGTTTTCACAGAAATACTCCTTCTCAATTCCCTTTTCCTTTTTTCTCCATTTTTTCCACCCACCACAACCATCATAAATTGTTCCAAGTCTAGTGGAATAATCTACTTTTTTCCTCCTCCTCCTCCTATCTTTTCTCCTTCTTCTTATTTTTCCTTTTTGACTGGGGCACCACGATTTTGTTTTAGTTTCCAAAACCTTGGGGAATATTTAGTTGGGATATTATCATCTTTCTATAATCTTCCATGTTTTTTTGGTGCTCAAAGCAACGCAGAAGAAAAGAGCAAAGTTTTGAACACTTCAAATTTTCCAGATTCAGTCAGATGTTCTCAAGTTTTTTAATAATCATCTCAACATTTTTTGAGATCATAGTAGTTTGTGAAAAAGGTAATTAACCCAGAAAAAAACTAGACTGGAAAATTTTAAGATCAAAAATAAAGGTTATTTTTTGCAGGTGTCTGGGCTGGTGATCATGAAAAAAAGTTGTACGCCAAGTTGGCGGAGAATTATAATAAATTGGCGAGACCTGTGAGAAATGAGACGCAAGCGGTTTTGGTTTTACTTGGCATGGATTATCAGCAGATTTTGGATATTGTGAGTTCGGGAGAATGATATTTGAGCTTTAAAAACTTTTTCTGAACAATTCTAATTTTTTGGGATCTTTGCGAAATTCTAAAATCGAACTCAATGATAGATTTTTGTTCCCACGAACTTTTGAATGATTAATTGAGGGTCTGAAATTTGCTAGACCTTATTTTCAGATAAATATTTCTCCTCTGTAAAATCTTCATCAATTTTATTTTCGGAATTAAAAATCAGTATTTCAAAATTGTGGGTAATTCGGAAAATTTTTTTTTCTTAAAGTTTTGAAGCTAATAAAATTCACACATTTCTGAATAATTGTATCTTCTGAATTAAAAAGTACTTCAAAAGATTGTGCGAAAAAAATCTATTGGAAATTTTTTTTAGAAATGTTAGAACTTTGGAAAACTCTGATAGACTTTAGACATTTCAGGAGTTTAGGGGTTCAGAACTATTTTTGAAAACACAAAGTTTTGAAGCTAATAAAATTCCCAAATTGATAAAATCTGGTTCTAAAAATTTTTACTGTAAAAATTATCATACATTGGGAATTCGGAACTTCTAGAATTTTGAAAAACTCTGATAGATTCTTAACATTTCAAAAATTTCCCAAAGTTGATCAAAATCCACGTGTAATTTTTCCCTGCAAAACCATTTTCCTCCAGGACGAAAAACATCAAATAATGAACTCCAACGTGTGGCTTCGAATGTCCTGGATCGATCATTATCTAACCTGGAATCCCGAAGAATACGGTAACATCAAAGAAGTTCGCCTGCCAATCGGAAACATCTGGAAACCCGATGTTCTTTTGTACAATAGTGTAGATCAACAATTCGACAGTACCTGGCCAGTTAATGCTGTTGTATTTCAGTTAGTTGATTTCTAGAGGGGAGATCCTAAATACCTAATTAATTAATTAATTATTTTTATAGCACCGGAAATGTGACATGGATTCCGCCAGCAATTATTCGCTCAAGCTGTGCAATTGATATTGCCTACTTCCCCTTCGACACACAGGTTTGGTTTTTGGGGCCCCCAAATTTAGGGGCCTCAAATTTGAGGGCCCAAATTTAAGGCCCCAAAAAAATTATTTTCAGCATTGCACAATGAAATTTGGCTCCTGGACCTATTCGGGATATTTCACCGATCTTGTAAACACCACAATCTCACCAGCAACTTATAAACCCAATGGCGAATGGGAACTTCTGAGCCTGGCTTCAGAAAGATCCATATTCTTCTACGAATGTTGTCCGGAGCCCTATTATGACGTCACATTTACCGTGTCAATTCGTCGGCGAACCCTCTACTATGGTTTCAATTTGTTGTTGCCGTGTATGTTGATCAGCTCGTTGGCATTGCTCAGTTTTACATTGCCGGCGGATTGTGGCGAGAAATTGAATTTGGGTGTCACGATTTTTATGTCACTTTGTGTTTTTATGATTATGGTGGCTGAGGCGATGCCGCAGACGAGTGATGCGCTTCCGTTGATTCGTGAGTGATGGTAGATCAAGTCTAGGTTACTGTAGATTGTCTGGGGTACTGTAGATCTCTAGAAATCTTGTGGATGAGAAGTTTTGTTGGGATTACTGTAGACGAAAACTGTAGATCAAAATTCTGCCGTGTAAGTACTGTAGACCCAAAGAAAATTTTTCGAGAATACCGTATCTTGTCTGGGATACTGTAGATCTCTAGAAATTCTAGAATTCAGCAAGATTTTAATGTAGATCAAATATAGTGGCATGAAATTTTGTGAATACTGTAGATAGCCCTCAAAATTAAAGATTCAACTGGGGTACTGTAAAATGATCTGCACGGAAAACAACGAGATTACTGTAGAGGAAAAAAATTCTAGGATTACTGTAGATCAAAATGTAGATCAAAATTCAGAAAAGCGTTCAAGTACTGTATCTTAATTTCTCCAGAAATCTACTTCTCTTGCATAATGTTCCAAGTTGGCGCCTCTGTCGTCGCCACAGTAATCGCTCTCAATTTCCACCATCGATCTCCCGAACAATATCGACCGATGAATTCGATTGTAAGTTTTTTTTTTAAATATTTTTTTACAAAATTTTACAAAATGTTTTTTTAGTTGAAAAAAATCCTGCTTGTCTGGTTGCCGGCGATTTTGGGAATGGAACGACCGATGTGCTCGAAATGGCATTGTTCAATTCACATCATTCGACAGAGTCGAAAAAGTTGGTGGAAATGTTTTTGCAGTGGGGGGGGTTTGGGGAATAGAAAGGGCTAAAATTGAGCATGGAATTCAGCTCGAGCTGGAAATTTTGAACCTTAAAGTTAGGCTGAAAATTATGAGCCTTCAAAATTCAGAACCTTCAAAGTGAGCTTGGAAATGTGAGGTTTCAAATTCTGAGCTTTCAGATTCTGAACCTAATTGTAAAATTAAAATGAAAATTTTAAGTCTTCAAATTCTGAACCTTGAAATTGAGCTCAAATTTCTGAACCTATATATTCAGCTCACGATTCTGAATTTTTAATTTAGCTTAAAATTCTTGATTTCAAAATTCTGAGTCTTCAAATTCTAAGCCTACATTTTTAATTAAGCTAAAAATTTTGAACTTATATTTTTTACGTCTCTTAAGCTCCAACCAATTTTCTAATTGAATTTCAGGCTTCTGGATTCATGGATCGTAAGCTTTTAAATTTTTTCCCAATTTCCAGAAAACAACGTCAATATTTGATCGAAGTTGAGCGGCACATTCTAACGCGTCCGAATTCAAATGGCCATTCGGCGATCGATAAAGCGATTCATCTTGATTTATCCACAAATCATTCAACAACAATCAAATCACCCAAAAAATTGCCGAATTCTCAAATTGGAAATGGAAATGGGAATGGAAACATCGAATCAATTATGAATAAATATGCAAAAATGCCGAATGGAGCTGGATATTCGCCGACGAGAAATATGACTGTTCCACAGAAATATAATATGAGCAATTGTAATAACAATAACAGTAATGATCGACATTTTCGTGATGATCGACATTTTCATCATATTTTGAATGAGTTGAGAGTGATTTCGGCAAGAGTTAGAAAAGAGGTTGGTTTTTGGGAGACAGAGACAGAGAGAGAAATAGAGAACCAGAGGATGTTAGGGATGCAGAGGGTGTTAGAGCGACAGAGATAGTTAGCGAGACAAGGAAAGTTAGAGAGCTAGAGAAATTTCCACGTGGATTTGGGAGAGAATCTCTGAAAACTTCTGAACTGCAAGGATTACTGTAGTCTTGTCTGTTCCTCAAAATTTCAAAATTTCCCGCTAAAAACTGCAAGAATTACTGTAGCCTTTGAAACTTTACCGTGAAATTTTCGAAATTCAGAAAAAATTTGGGAGCAAACTGCAAGGATTACTGTAGACTAGTTTTTCCCGTTAAATTTTAAGTTTTCCTGCCAAAAACTGCAAGGATTACTGTAGACCTAATTTTTTGAGCTAAGTTTTTGGCGTCAAACTGCAAGGATTACTGTAGACTAGTTTTTTTCCGCAAAATTTTAACATTTCAAATTTTCCTGCCAAAAACTGCAAAGGTTACTGTAGCTTTTGAAACTTTACGGTGAAATTTTCGAAATTCAGAAAAATTTGGGAGGAAACTGCAAGGATTACTGTAGTCAAGTTTTTTTTCCGCGAAATTCTAAAATACCAAATTTTTCTGCCAAAAACTGCAAAGATTACTGTAGACTTGTTTTTTCCGCGAAATTTTTGCCGTCAAACTGCAAGGATTACTGTAGACTAGTTTTTTTCCGCAAAATTTCAAATGTTCCCACCAAACACTGCAAGAATTACTGTAGCCTTAGAAATTTTGCCGTTGAAACTGAAATTCAGAATAAAATGCCTGGCGTCAAACTGCAAGGATTACTGTAGCCTTTGAAATTCAAAATAATATTTTTGGCGCCGAACTGCAAGGATTACTGTAGTCCTAGAACATTTAGCGCGAAATTCAAAATAATAATTTGCAGGAAGCCATGCACGCCCTCCAAGCAGACTGGATGTTTGCAAGTCGAGTCGTCGATCGAGTCTGTTTCCTCCTCTTCTCATTCTTCCTCTTCCTCTGTACAGCCATCATCTCCTATTATGCTCCACATCTTTTTGTATAAAAAATTGAAGTTACTCTAACTCATGTACATTTACCAAGAATCGTGTAATATTTTTTGTTGCTTTAGATGTATATAATTCTGTGATAAAAATTTTACACATAAACTTTGATTCATCGCTTTTTTATCAGGCGAAACTGTTCAGACTTTTTTCGCAGAGGTGCTTACGTTGGTCAATTTGAATTCACGTGCCCAATCTAATCTTTGAAAATTCTTCTCTTATCAAAACAAAACTTGGTCTTTTCTTTTCTCTTTTCGAGCAGCAAAAAAAAGGTGCAAATATTTTTCTGATTGATATGATTCCGCTTCGATTTTTGGTTGGTTTTTTGTTTTTACATAGAATCTAGATGTTCATAATGAATTCAGATTCTAATATGTGCAACACTATGTTTGACCTCAATTCTATCAAATATGAACACTTATAATTTTACCAAAATTTGTATGCAGGATGATAACAGCACGACTGGAGGTATGATTTTTAAAATTGGAAATAAAAAAAAATTTGGAACTTCAAATCGCTAAATTTTTGAAAATTTCCCAAAAAATCCAGCTTCTTATTGGAGCGCGCTTTCATTTTCCAACCAAAAAATCACTATTTTGTCAAAAATATCACCGGATTTTGGCTACTTCCTAAATTCCAGCAAATGGAGCGAAAGTAGGCAAAACCCAGTGATACTTTTCTGATAAGAAATGCAAGTGCACTCTATTGAGAAACACCCAGAGGCAACTTGAAATTTTCAAATTAAAAAAAAAAATTGTTTTGATTTTATTTCCAGTGCACTTCACAAAATGGGAGTCAAACTTCCTTCAATCTTGTGTAGCGATCGGAAGTCTAGCCGCCTCAATACCGTATTCTCTAGCCTATCAACACCTCCCCCACAAATACGTTTTCATATCCGCCGGCATCATTTCGGGTGTCTCAACAGCTCTTGTTCCTCTCGCAAGTTCTCTTGGCTTCGGTTGGTTTGTAGTAGCCAGGATATTCCAAGGCATGGCATTTTCCGCCACTTTCCCATTGGCGGGAAGTATAACATCAAGATGGGCGACACCATTTGAACATGGTGTATTTATTGGATTATTGACTGGAAATACCCAATTGGCGAATATTTTCACAATGCCAATTTCTGGATGGCTTTGCTCTTCTTCAGCTGGTTGGACATCTGTTTATTATGTACATGCCGGTGTTTGCCTCATAGTTTTTCTGGTTTTCTTGTTTTTCTTCAAAAGTTTCCCTGAAGAACATCGATGGATAACAGAAAAAGAGTTGGAAAAAATCGGAAGAAGGGAATCTCAGGGTCCAGTGCAAAAGCGAGCAAGTCTTCCATTGAAACAAATTCTAACAAGTCTGTCTTTGTGGGCTTGTTGGATTGCGTCATTTGGAGATTTGATAACTGTTCAACTTGTTTCAATGTTCAATCCACAGTATATGAAAGATTATTTGGATTATGATGTGATGTCTTCAGGTTGGTTAAAAAAAACTTTGCCTCGAAGCGGGATCGAACCCACGCTCTAGAAAATGAGAGGCGAGCGTGTTTACCACTCGACCACGCGATCATATTTTTCTTTCGTGCAAATTTTTGATAAATGAAACGCATTCGATTTTTTCCAGGATTCCTCGCCGCTTTGCCAATAATCTTCCAATTCCTCATCAAATTTTGCTCTGGAATCACAAGCGATCTATTCAAATGTGTTTCTGAAACAACAAAAGTAAAAATCTACAATACAATAGCCTTAGCAGCTTCCGCGTTCTTCTTCATTATCCTCGCCTTCATTCCACAAAAAGATCATCTCTTCGCAATTATAATCCTAGTTTTCGCGGAGAGTTTGATGGGTGCAAATACGGCTGGATTTAATAAGTGCGCAACTCTTCACTCGCAACAATATGCGTATTTTTCGATGCAACAGATTATGAATATTTGGGCGTGCACTATTTTTATTGAACCGTTCTTTGTGAATATGATTGTGAAAGAGAATACGTAAGTTAGAAGGAAAAAGGTTTTTAACATGAGCAATAATCAAACTTTTCGTTAAATCGTTAAATGTTAAGTTGATTCCAGAAATATTAGATAATACTTAGACACGACTCAAAATTTCAGAGTTCCAAAAAATCCACTTTAAGATGAGCAATAATCAAATTTAAAATTTATTGTCTTTAAGATTGAATCTTGTAAAAAAATCAAATTTCATATGTTTTACTGAAGCCCCCCCCCCCCAGATTCTATGTATAGCTCAAAAAAATGCCTGCTTCAGATTCGTCGATTGGCGTAATTGTTTCCTGGCACACGCTGTCATTTTACTCGTCGTCAATACAGTTTTCGTTATTTTTGCCGATGCTCGACCCGCTTCATGGACTCGAATACAACAAGAAAATGAGGAGGAAAACAAAGAAGAAAAAGCATAATTGAAATTCAACTAGTTTTGTTTGTACCTTACTTTAATTGTGTAGAAAAACTAATAAAATAAAATAAAATAAGTAATGACTACCAGCTAGCTAACCATGGTTCCATTTATTTTTAATACAATTCAAAAACTTCACAAGGATGATTTTCATGATTTTTCTAGTTTTTATTTTTCCAAAATTCAGTTTTGGATGTTTGTCCTGCTCCAAGTTGTGCTTGTAAGTTTACTTAACGAATGAAAAACATTACCCGCGTGCGTCTGTGCGTTGCGGTCGGAAAACCGCGACGCACAGCCGCACGCGACTGACGATGTATCATTTTTCTGAAGATCTCCACCATCACCTTATTATTACACCCCGCCAAAATACTACGAACCAAAATACGATAAATACTACGAGCCGAAATATTATGATAAGAAAGAAGAGAAGTACTACGAGGCTCCGAAACCTTACGCGGCATCACAGACAATCGCAACCGAACCACCGAAATCGGATATTTTGCCGATGTTGAATTCAGTCGAATCGGTTGGAGGAGTGAGTAATATCACACCAAAAACCGCCATTGATTATATGGATGAGTTGGCGATTATTGATAATTATAAAGAGAAATCGACGAGTTCGGAATCGGTTGAGAAAATACATGGGAATATGCGATTGGAAGAGCAGGCGTTGGAAAAAATGAATGCGAATGAGGATTTGGGAATTGAAGAATTACAGAATGTGGTGAGAATTTGAAATATTTCTGGTTAATTTTTCATCACAAGAGACAAATTTCAGACGCCACTTATTGAATTAGTTACTGAACAAGTTCGACCGATTCGAAATGATCCACCAATGATGTTGGCTTTACCAAAAATGCCAAATTTATCCGAATATGATACAATTATGGCTGAAGAAGAGGAGGATATGACAACGGCTGTGAAAAAGGTAAAAAAATGCTTGTAAGGTATCAGAAATTCTCGAAAATTCTCTAGTAAATTCCATTTTTTCAGGAGCCGACTGGATATACGGTATCATACAAAGCGTCTTATTGAAAATTGTTTTTTTTTTTGATAATATTATTTTCCCCGGAAATATTTTGAATTTGGTTTTTGTTTTGTCTTTTTTTTTTGAATAATACAGTACATCTTACAGTTATTTGAATTTTATACACATATTTACTAAATTTAGGAGCACAACAAACGAAAATAAATTGGAAAAGTTTTCGGGAAAACAAAATATTGAAAAATTTCGAGTTTCGCGAAAAATAAAAGAAAAATCCGAAAGCAACATGACAGTAAACATGTGTTGTGGTCTTGCAGCGACAACGTGTGTTGTACGGTATGTAAAGCTTGCGCCTTGAATATTTTTCTTTTTTTTTTTTTTTTTTGAAAAAAAATCTTTTTTTTTGTTTTCCCGGATTTTGAGTGTAAATTATGATTTTTTCAGGGTACATCGGTTAAACTAACTCCTAACTAATGTAAAAATGAAAGGTAAATGCGAAAAAAATGCGTAACAGTTCTAAATTAAACGTTTTTCAGTGACAAAGGACACTTCGAAGAGGGCTCGAAAAGTTTCGGAAACAAGACTCTCTCCAAAAGACGAACTTTTTCGAGAAACAATAAGAGTTGAGATAGATACTCGCCCTTTCTACTCATGGAGCAACTCCCAACTCACCCAAGAGGCAACTGAAATAGGCAAAGCCTTGTCGAAAAATGTGGCACAAGTCAAGAAAGCCTTGTTGAACCGCAAGAATTTTGTTGAGCGGAAAATAATGGTGAGTATCATTGATTTTTTTTATCAAATGACCATTTTCAAATGTTCAGGATTCGCTAATAAATTTGGAAATAACCGACCCCAACTCTCCCAAAATCAAAGCTGTATCGGAGGAACTAAACATCTCACATCCGAATGTTTTTTACGTTGCCAGCCAGAAGATGTCAATTATAACGAAGAAAATATTCGAGAAAAACACCGCAAAAGCTTGATCACTTTATAATCCTGTACCATTTTGTAAGCACTTTTATGTAACACACTTTGTAAAAATTATGCATAACAACTTTAATGTATCCTTCTAATTTTTCCATTTTTTATCAATCAATGAAATTGTTTTCTATAAACTTTTCTTTTGATTGAAGGAAAAAGTCGCATGCACAAGCGTCTTAGCTTATTTTTGCAGTTAGGCTGGCCGATGTTTTTTCTAGGCCAAATTAAAACTTTTTTCGGGAAAACTGGAATAATATCTGTTTAAACAACGCGTTTTTTGTAGAATGAAATGTAAGAATCATGAAAACTTAAAATTGGATGTTTCAAATCAAATTCGCGCATTCAAGAATAGGTTTGAAACCCTGAAAAGTAAGTTATTCTTTATTTACTTCCAAAAACAATTTTCGAAATTTTCTTCCAGATGAAAATGATTCTGCTGGAATGTTTGAAATAGTTCAAGAAATATCGAAAATGCTGAAATATTCTGGAGAGCTTAAAAACCTATGGATATTAGATTCGTTGAGAAAATCTAAATCATTTTTGTTGAAATTTTTGATTTCTATGAATTTCCGATCAGTTAGCGACACAAAATTCCCAATTTATGATATATTTATGGAATATTTCCCGGAAACTGTACGAGTATTAGGTAAATATTTGAAATATATTTAGGTAAATTAAACAAAATTTCAGAAAATCGATCATATGTTATTGCATTCGGAAAAAATCGTTCCTTCAATCTTGGAATTCTTTCGGACGGATGTCCTATAGAAGAACCACGGATTGTTCAAATTCCAACATGTAAAAAGATTGTTATGTCGAATTTCCACACAATATTTCTGACTTTGGATCAGCGAGTTTATGGTTGTGGAAAATCACAGAATTTTATTGTCAACAACCAAGATCTTTCATATACTCCTCAACCTAAATTGATTGAAATTGGGGAAGAATCCGAGTTTCTTGATGTCGCGGTCACTGATAAATTTACTGTTTTAGTATCAGAAAGATTTGTGAGTTTATTTTTTAAATTTATATTTATTTATCAAGAAAAAAACAAAAATTCAGGTGTATTTCATTGGACAATGCTCTTATGCTTTTTCTTCAAGGGGAGCTACATTAATTGATCAGAACTGTGTTCAAATACCATATTCTATGAATACGAAACTGAAGAATGTTTATGCTTATGAAAAATCAACTGTTTTGGAATTTGAAAAGGAAGACGTTAATTATGAATCAACTGTGGTTTTTGGCCAGATTACTAGTTCTGAGAAATGTGAGAAAGTTTAATGTTTTAACTTAAAATAATAATTTTTTCAGTTGGCAGACAACAATGTAGTGTTCGATTGAGAGAATCAATTGAACTTTCGCTTTTCATGGAATATGGATCTATTCAATATCAACCAGTGAAGACTGCACATTTAGCATTGAGGTTAGAATTTATGATTAACTTGAAATCGAAAAGCGATATGAATCCAAAACAGTTTTTCGTGAAGCCAGGAACAAACGAGATAATTGTACAATTTGAAAATGGTATAATTGCGAAAGGTCATCTCGAATTTTTGAAATTGGATGATGAATATCTGATTTCACGAAGAGAAAGGGGAATTCTGGATGTTATGATGAGATATCAGCTTTTTGCGATTTTATCGGAGATTCCTGGAACTTTTGGCAGCAATGTTTTTTGCGCATCACCTGATTTGAATAATATTTTGATTCAAGTTGGAAAACATGATGAAAATGGTTTGTTTTATTTTGAAAAAAATGAAAAATATTTTTGTTTAGAGAAAGAAGAGAAATCACTAGCAGAGCAGCTAAAAAATGAAAATGAATTGTTCTCAAAAAATAGAAGAGCGAGATTGATCGAAAAACAATTCAAAAATATGATTTGGGAAAGAGAAAAGATATTGAAAATGCGGGATATTCGTCGGAAATTTGATGCTCTTGAGGAAGAATTGTGTAGGAGAATAATGGAATTTGATAATTTAACTATGGAAGATATCCAATATTTTTTAGAATATTTACGCAATATAGCAGATTCTAAATTCATCAGAGAATATGACATTCCGATTGAAGAATTGATTGAAATGATTGAAGTGTTCGAACCGCGATGGGGTAAGAACTTATGCCAAAGTATTCTAAGATTTATTAAAATTTTTGCAGTATTTTTTGACAATATGAGCGATTATCGGCGAAATTGCCTTATTGAGGATATAAATAAGGCAAGGAGAAATGATAATTTGAATGATATCGAATTGCGTACAGACAGGTATTTTTCAAAAATTGTTTACGTGGGAAATGTGTGTGTGTTTTTTTTGCTGCCCGACTCTCTGTAGAGCACAAAAATAAGCCGAAAAAAAATGTTGTGTTACTTACTTAGTTACTTAGTCGATCCGTTCTTCAGCATATTGCGCGGACCACAGTTCTCCATTTATCACGGTCTTTGGCACGAGTTGTCCAATATTCGACCAATTTGTTGTTGTTGTCATATATACAGTGGTTTTTCCTTAGTTCATCTGACCATCTCAATGGAGGGCGTCCAACTGGTCTTTTCCAATCTCGTGGATACCAATCCAATGTTGCCGTTGACCAACGGTTGTCGTTTCTCCTTGCCATGTGTCCGGCCCAGCGGGTTTTTTGTTGGCGGATGTGTCGAAGTGGATCCTTGACTTGCGATAGCTTCCGGATGTCTTCGCGGTGGAGATTTCTTTCGCGTTGTTCGCTGAGTGTTATGCCAACCAATCGTCTTTCCAATGCCGCGTGAGAGATTCGAAGAGCTTCTGAATTCTTTTTTGTGAGGGTCCAAGCCTCTGAACCATAGCAAAGGGCGGGTAGAACCGTTTGATCGAATAAGTTTGCTTTGGTTTTTTGGCAAGTGATGGCGTCGGTTGCTTTTTCGATGGATTTGAAAGCAGCCCAGCCAGCTCTTCTTCTTCGGTGGATTTCCGGCAGGAGTTCGTTTTGAGGATTTAATTGTCGGCCAAGATAAATATATTCATCGACATTTTCAATGGTTTTGTTTCCGATTTCAATTGGACGGGTGAGCGCAAATCGGTTTCTCATTGATTTTGTTTTGGCTTCATTGATTTTTAGGCCAACTTTTGCGCTTTCCTGCACCAATTCTTTCAACATTCTCGAAGCTTGATGCGGGGTGTGTGAGATCAGAACGACATCATCAGCGAATCGAAGGTGGTTTAACTTTCTACCATCTATGCTTATTCCACAATCTGACCAATTTGTGGAGCGGAAAACTCCTTCAATACTCGCGGAGAATAGATTCGGAGAGATTGGGTCTCCTTGGCGAACTCCTTTTGAGATTGGGATTTCGACTTTTTTGAAAAATGGCGTGATGTTGGTGGAACACTCCTCGTAGCATTTTTGGAGGATCTTGATGTAATGTTGATCGACTCCTTGATCTTTCAGCGAATTCCATACTGCAGCTGGTTCTACGCTGTCGAATGCTTTGTGGTAGTCGACAAAGATCAGGACAAGTGGGATTTGGTGTTCTCGACTGGCTTCTAGAATTCTTTGAATTGTGGATATGTGGTCCATTGTTGAGAACGATCTTCGAAATCCAGCTTGCTCAACAGGTTGGGATTCCTCAAGTGGTCGGCGGATTCTCTGCAGAATGCACTTTGTGAAGAGTTTGTAGAGAACTGGGAGGATTGTGATAGGGCGATAGTTTTCGAGGTTTTCGCGATCACCTTTTTGAAGATCAAGATGGTTTTCGATGTTTTCCATGCCTTGGGTATCTCCTCTTTCTCCATCATCAGGTTGAAGCAGTGTGTGATGATCAAGATTATCTTATCCGTGCATTTTTTGAGAAAATCGGCGGTGATTTTGTCTTCGCCAGCGGATTTTCCGTTTGGGAATGATCTCAGAGCTGCTCGAATTTCACTCGGTAGAAACGGTGGTGGATTTTCAGTTCTTCTCAATCTTCTGTTACTGGGATTTTGTGGAACATCTGAGCTTTTGAAAAGCTTTGAGTAAAACTGATGTATTTCTTTTTCGATTTCTCCTCTTCCAGTGATCCGAGTTCCGGTTGGAGAAGATTTCAAGCATGGAATTGTGGCTTGATATTCGACGAGGTTTCTGGCGACTCTTTTCAGACTTTTTCTTGCCATTGCTGCGTTCACGAGGCGAGTTTTGGCAAATTCTTGGTGATCTCTGGCAAGTTCCTCGCGGCACAATTCCGAGATGGTGTGGAATAATGGATCAGATCGACTCGTTTCTCGTCGAAGTGTCAGCAGTTGGCGAGTGGATTCACTTATTCTGTTTTGTGAGTGATTTGGTTGTGGAACCAGCGATTTTTCTTGAATCGATCTTAACATACCAACGATTTTGTTGTAGAATATATCTATATTCTGATCTTGTGGTGGAATTTGCGTGAGATCGCAGTTGGTGGCAATCGCGGACTCGTCGATCATTTTCTTCGGTTGACGTCGTGTCATGAATTCCTGATGTTTCACAAAATTTAGGTTGAAGTGTAGGTTGGTTCGGACAAGCCTGTGGTCACTTCCAATTGTGAACGATGGAACAACGTGAGTGTCGGTGAAGAAACGACCGTTGGTTAGTATGTGGTCCAGTTCATGTTTGTGTTGGCCATCAGGAGATATGAAGGTCCATCTTCGATTTGTTGGTTTTTCGAAGAAGCTGTTGGTGTTGTAATAGCGATTGCTCTCGCAGAAACTTGCCAGAAATTCTCCTGGTTCGTTTCTTGGCTCCATTGAGTGTGTGCCAATGTATATTTCAGATGAGTTTGCTCGGCTTCCGATTCGCGCGTTGAAGTCGCCCATAACAATCTTGAATTTCGATTTGCATTGGCGGATGACATCTTCAACGTTTTCGTAGAATTCAGCAATTTCCTCGGCGTCAGATGTTCCAATTGGTGCATAGACTTGGATGACTGTGCAGTCGAATCTTTTGGAAACATAGAAGGTGAGGGTTGCAATTCGATGGTTTATGAATTTGACTTCTTTGACTTTTGGAGTCATGGATTTGTGAGTGATAAATCCAACCCCTCCAGATACCGAGACTTCGTTTCGTTTTCCAAGGAAAATACCAGTTCCGTCGGCGCTCTTGGCTTGTTTTTCTGCCCCTCGTTTTGTTTCAGATAATCCGATAATATCGTACTTGATTCGATCAGCTTCTTGGAGAAGATCAGCAAGACGATCATCGGTGGCGATGGAGCGGCAGTTAAATGTGCAAATCCTGGCGTCGATTTTTCGTGTTTTTGGCTGGCATTTTTCCTTATTCTTTTTCCAATGACGGGTGGTCGGGGCTCCGAGATTTGATCGCCTCTCCCCATATGTTTTCAAGCCCGTCGTGTTGAACGCAGAGGTGGGGTGCGGAGGACTGAGGCAGTTTTTGGAACTGTTTTTAGCTATAAGTTTTTTCTCCTGGTTACCCATACAGAGGCTTGCTAGGCCTAAGTTAGGGCCTCGTTGGAACCCAGCTTGGAGACAGCGGGCGACAACTCGGGAGAATGTCCAGCTTCTTGGCTACACACCTGGTTGGACAAGGGCTCCAAACCTTGCCGTAAAGTTGTAAACCAGGTGTGCAAATCCCCATCGCCACGTAGAGGCTCAGCACTATAATCCACCGACTCGCGGCTTCATATAGCTTGGACTGATGGAGTATAGCTTGGACTGATGGAGTTCGAGAAAAACACCGCAAAAGCTTGATCACTTTATAATCCTGTACCATTTTGTAAGCACTTTTATGTAACACACTTTGTAAAAATTATGCATAACAACTTTAATGTATCCTTCTAATTTTTCCATTTTTTATCAATCAATGAAATTGTTTTCTATAAACTTTTCTTTTGATTGAAGGAAAAAGTCGCATGCACAAGCGTCTTAGCTTATTTTTGCAGTTAGGCTGGCCGATGTTTTTTCTAGGCCAAATTAAAACTTTTTTTCGGGAAAACTGGAATAATATCTGTTTAAACAACGCGTTTTTTGTAGAATGAAATGTAAGAATCATGAAAACTTAAAATTGGATGTTTCAAATCAAATTCGCGCATTCAAGAATAGGTTTGAAACCCTGAAAAGTAAGTTATTCTTTATTTACTTCCAAAAACAATTTTCGAAATTTTCTTCCAGATGAAAATGATTCTGCTGGAATGTTTGAAATAGTTCAAGAAATATCGAAAATGCTGAAATATTCTGGAGAGCTTAAAAACCTATGGATATTAGATTCGTTGAGAAAATCTAAATCATTTTTGTTGAAATTTTTGATTTCTATGAATTTCCGATCAGTTAGCGACACAAAATTCCCAATTTATGATATATTTATGGAATATTTCCCGGAAACTGTACGAGTATTAGGTAAATATTTGAAATATATTTAGGTAAATTAAACAAAATTTCAGAAAATCGATCATATGTTATTGCATTCGGAAAAAATCGTTCCTTCAATCTTGGAATTCTTTCGGACGGATGTCCTATAGAAGAACCACGGATTGTTCAAATTCCAACATGTAAAAAGATTGTTATGTCGAATTTCCACACAATATTTCTGACTTTGGATCAGCGAGTTTATGGTTGTGGAAAATCACAGAATTTTATTGTCAACAACCAAGATCTTTCATATACTCCTCAACCTAAATTGATTGAAATTGGGGAAGAATCCGAGTTTCTTGATGTCGCGGTCACTGATAAATTTACTGTTTTAGTATCAGAAAGATTTGTGAGTTTATTTTTTAAATTTATATTTATTTATCAAGAAAAAAACAAAAATTCAGGTGTATTTCATTGGACAATGCTCTTATGCTTTTTCTTCAAGGGGAGCTACATTAATTGATCAGAACTGTGTTCAAATACCATATTCTATGAATACGAAACTGAAGAATGTTTATGCTTATGAAAAATCAACTGTTTTGGAATTTGAAAAGGAAGACGTTAATTATGAATCAACTGTGGTTTTTGGCCAGATTACTAGTTCTGAGAAATGTGAGAAAGTTTAATGTTTTAACTTAAAATAATAATTTTTTCAGTTGGCAGACAACAATGTAGTGTTCGATTGAGAGAATCAATTGAACTTTCGCTTTTCATGGAATATGGATCTATTCAATATCAACCAGTGAAGACTGCACATTTAGCATTGAGGTTAGAATTTATGATTAACTTGAAATCGAAAAGCGATATGAATCCAAAACAGTTTTTCGTGAAGCCAGGAACAAACGAGATAATTGTACAATTTGAAAATGGTATAATTGCGAAAGGTCATCTCGAATTTTTGAAATTGGATGATGAATATCTGATTTCACGAAGAGAAAGGGGAATTCTGGATGTTATGATGAGATATCAGCTTTTTGCGATTTTATCGGAGATTCCTGGAACTTTTGGCAGCAATGTTTTTTGCGCATCACCTGATTTGAATAATATTTTGATTCAAGTTGGAAAACATGATGAAAATGGTTTGTTTTATTTTGAAAAAAATGAAAAATATTTTTGTTTAGAGAAAGAAGAGAAATCACTAGCAGAGCAGCTAAAAAATGAAAATGAATTGTTCTCAAAAAATAGAAGAGCGAGATTGATCGAAAAACAATTCAAAAATATGATTTGGGAAAGAGAAAAGATATTGAAAATGCGGGATATTCGTCGGAAATTTGATGCTCTTGAGGAAGAATTGTGTAGGAGAATAATGGAATTTGATAATTTAACTATGGAAGATATCCAATATTTTTTAGAATATTTACGCAATATAGCAGATTCTAAATTCATCAGAGAATATGACATTCCGATTGAAGAATTGATTGAAATGATTGAAGTGTTCGAACCGCGATGGGGTAAGAACTTATGCCAAAGTATTCTAAGATTTATTAAAATTTTTGCAGTATTTTTTGACAATATGAGCGATTATCGGCGAAATTGCCTTATTGAGGATATAAATAAGGCAAGGAGAAATGATAATTTGAATGATATCGAATTGCGTACAGACAGGTATTTTTCAAAAAATTGTTTACGTGGGAAATGTGTGTGTGTTTTTTTTGCTGCCCGACTCTCTGTAGAGCACAAAAATAAGCCGAAAAAAAATGTTGTGGCTCAGAAAATAGGCTCATGGATTTGAAGAGCACAATTGAATTTTTCGGTAAATTTTGTCGATGTTTAGGAGAGTCGATTGGCCAAAGGCAAAAGTTTTGACAAAATTTTCCACGAAAAAAAATTCATTTGTGCTCTTCAAATCCGCGAGCCTATTTTCTGAGCCACAAAATTTTTTTCTCGAAAAAATATGGAGTATTTTGAAGCTGAATCACGAATTATAAATCTACATATTTTACAGAAATCTGTGCCATATGAATAATGCTGTTATATTTTCAAATTCGTGCAGAGTTAATCTAGCAATTAGGAGATTTGATGATACCAAAGCAGTTGTGCAATTATTCGCGATATTTCTTGAACTTATTCGAAAATTGATGAATGGAGAAAAAGAAATTGATTCTGAATTCGAAATAAAGTTTCCAAGAAGAAAATACAAGTCTGAAAATGTAAGAGTTCCTCTGGTTTTTAGAAGAAGAAAAAAAACAATTTTTTTGAACAGATTATCGAAATTTTCCAAAAACGGATTGAAGAAGGGGATTTGGATGAATTTGACATTCCTTTGGATATTTCGATTATAAGTCGTGAACATAATTTGAAAGAATCTGCCAATTCAATTATTCTATCGATGATTTATCCGGAAGCTATGGAATTTGTGGTTGATGACAAAATTGAGATAGATGGAAACTCTGACCTATATCATTATTTATTCAATCGTTCTCGATCTGGATTAGAAATCGAACATCGAGCTGCAAATTCTTCAGAGGAAGATGTTGTGATATTTTTGACGAGCGATGGAAAATCAGTTCAAATTCATCGGTAAGAAATTATCAGGTAATTTGTTCTACATATTTTGAAGTTCAGATATCTTGTATTGATTCATTCGAGACATATCAGTGCAATGCTTCGATTTACATATACACAATATGGAATTGAATCCTCTTCTTGCTCAAGTTCATCTCAGAAAATCGAAGTGAAAACTTCAAGCACTTCGAAAACTGTTAGAAATTCGATGGCAGCTCTCAAAGATATTCGAACACTTTTTAATCGAAATATGAATGAGGTATGAGAAATTTTGAATATATCTAGAAAGAAAGAAGTTTGCATTTCAGCTCATCGAAATCGTGTTCTTTTTCAATTATTTTATGATGTTCGAAGCGGTTCAAGACACATTAGATGTTATATTTTTGACAGCGAATCCACAAAACTCTTCATATCTTCTACAATTGTATGAAAATTTACCAGAAGATACGATGGAAAGATTCTTGAAATATCCTTATTTTCTATTTCAAACCAAATCTGAATTGACAAATGAACTTGTATTGGAATTTTCGAAAAGAGCGAAGAAACATCCAAAAATTGTGCCGGGGTCCATATTGTACCATTTGGATGAGAATGCGTTTATTGAGCGATTTATTGGGAATGATGGAGATGTGGAAAAGAATATTGAGAGACGAAAACGGAGATATTCATCGAAAAATAATAGTGTCTCCCGTTCTACTCATGGAGCAACTCCCAACTCACCTAAGAGGAAACTGAAATAGGCAAAGCCTTGTCTTACTCAACCGCAAGAATTTTGTTGAGAGGAAAATAATGGTGATTATTTATATTTGTTTTATGCACATACGGTTTGAATATTCAGGATTCACTAATAAATTTGTAAATATCGGAAGCACTCAATATCTCACATCCGAATGTTTTCTACGTTGTAACAACTTTAATGTATCCTTCCAATTTTTCAATTCACCAGAACTATTTTTTTATCAATCAATGAAATTGTTTTCTAAACGTTTCTTTTGATTGAAGGAAAAAGTCGCATGCACAAGCGTCTTGGCTTATTTTTGCAGTTTGGCTGGCCGATGTTTTTTCTAGGCCAAATAAAAATATATTTTTCATTTTGTAAACACGCCTGTTCGGCAGCGGAAATAAAAATTTCGGAGTACTGTACGCAGAATGTGCATACACACTGACATGAAATTGCACACATTTTTTTTATTTTTATTTTTTTTCCATTTTTTTTCCGTTTCACTTTGCTGAGATATTTTTTAGTGTTTTCTGTAGAGAAATCATTTTTTTACAGCATATATTGATTATTTTTCGCTCGGAGAATATAGGTTAGGTGTGTATTTGAGCGAATTCCCTCCGGTTTTACTGAAATTAGTGTCTAAACTTAAATTTTTTACTGAACCAGTTGTTTGTCTATTCTCTATGTAAATTGTTTAAAACGTTCGTACATATTTAATATAGAGAGCAACAGAAAAACATCGTATTTCTTTATTGTTGTACGTTTTCTGCGGATTGTCTAAATTAGTTTTTTTTAGATAATTCATGATTATAATTGGACAACATTTCAATATCAGCCAACAAAATGTGGCTTGACTGGGCAAAACTCAACAAGACGAGCTATGTGAAACCAACAAAATTGATGAATGGTTCATTCAACAGAACTTGAGTGATCGAACGTTACATGAAGCGAGCAAGTTTGCATAAAACGACAGAAGATTTGGCGAATAACTTGTTGCTGTTATAAACAACTTATGAATGTCATGATATCTATGTGTTTCGGTAAGTATTTTTATATTGAAAATTTTCTCTAAAATCTTCAAAACATATGTTGACATTTCGTGGAAAAAGGCTAGCAGAAAAAAAAACCAAAAATTTAAATTTAAATTCCAAAATTGTCACTCTACAGTGCTCCACAAAATTATACGGTCAACATGAAAAATTCCAAAAAATCAAAAATCCGGAGAGCATTGAATTTCTAAGTTCATGAGGCTAAAATGGGCTCAAAAAGTTCAATTATTGGTCCGAAAACAAAATTGGAATTGCTGGTAAAAAAAATGAAAAAAATCGAAAAATCTCATTTTTAGGTTTTTTCCAATCCACAAAATGATACGGTCAACCATCATTTTTCTTCAATTTTCCAGTTTTTTATTGAATTTCAATGTGATTAAGGCTGAAATGGTGAATTTCGGTGATTTTAGATGTTCCTCGAAAAAATTAGCATACCCTTTTAGGCTACGGGGTCCAAAAAGGACCAAATCAGAGAAACGCCTCTCAAAGTGCAAAAATCTCACAAATTTTGAAAAATTTCAAAGTTCTGTCGACTGATTCGTCGCAAAAAATTAAATGTAGCTTTGCTAAACACCGTTGACAATTTTCCTTCCAAAAATCAATGAAAGTTGTGAAAAATCAAAAATTTTCATACCTCGACTCAATAAAAAATTGAATTTTGGAACTTTCTGCTGGAATTGAAGGCCCCATGGCACTTATCATGTGTCAGTGGACATATCTGATGGATGTTCTGAAGTGTTTGATGGATCAACTTCAAAATCTCGTGCCATGGGGCTTTCAATTCCCCGGAAAAGATCGAAAATTCACATTTTTCATTGAAGCGAGGTATGAAAATTTTTGATTTTTCACAACTTTCATTGATTTTTGGAAGGAAAATTGTCAACGGTGTTTAGCAAAGCTACATTTAATTTTTTGCGACGAATCAGTCGACAGAACTTTGAAATTTTTCAAAATTTGTGAGATTTTTGCACTTTGAGAGGCGTTTCTCTGATTTGGTCCTTTTTGGACCCCGTAGCCTAAAAGGGTATGCTAATTTTTTCGAGGAACATCTAAAATCACCGAAATTCACCATTTCAGCCTTAATCACATTGAAATTCAATAAAAAACTGGAAAATTGAAGAAAAATGATGGTTGACCGTATCATTTTGTGGATTGGAAAAAACCTAAAAATGAGATTTTTCGATTTTTTTCATTTTTTCACCAGCAATTCCAATTTTGTTTTCGGACCAATAATTGAACTTTATATATATATATTTATTGAACCACACCGATATACATTGTGAAAGACAAAAGAATTTAAAAAGAAGAGATAGTAGAGAAATGATAATCGAGATCAGAGTTCCGCACAAAAACAGTTGTTTTGAAACTCAAGCCGGGTAGTGTCAAAATTTTGCTTCAAAACCGTTTCAAGCTCACAGTTTAAACAGCTTTTTGTCATTAACACTCCTAACAAAAACGGGTTGGTAGAGTGTTCTGTAGAAACCCATTTAGGATTTACCCTATCCTGAACAAAACACATTAGTTTGTTTTTTGATTATACCATAAACACTTTTCACAGTCTTCCAAAAATCAGTTTCAATCACAGTTGAGATTTGAACAGTGTTTTGCTATACTCGAGTATCAAAAATAGTGTTTCATGCACAACAAAATTAACACTGTTTCAAAAATTTGTGCATGAAACCGGGTAATGACACTGTTTCGTATTATAAGATTCATGAAACATCAAATTTTTTAAAATGTTTTTTGTGATGTTTTTCTCTGATATTTTCTGAAATTGTGTTGATTTTGCATATCCTAACAATTTTTAATCATCAAAAGTAAGAATAAAAAATGTGATGTTTCATGAATCTTATAATACGAAACAGTGTCATTACCCGGTTTCATGCACAAATTTTTGAAACAGTGTTAATTTTGGTGTGCATGAAACACTAATTTGATCCTTGGGTTTCGAGTGCTTGTTGTTTCACACTTGACATGCATGAAACCTCACAAAATTAAAGAGGGTTTGAATGTTTTTTGTGCAAGTATGTCAACATTTTAGCTTCAATCAGAGGTCAGCGTAAATGTTCAGCTGAAATATGAACAACCGAATTTGAAACACGTGTTCAAACCGCATGTTTCAATCTTAGAACGGCTGAAACTTGGATGTTAAGCTTTGCTTTGAAGCAGCTTGATGAAACAATTGTTTCAGTTCTGCTTCGGGGCGACACTCTGATCGAGATGACTGCAATAAAACAAAAAAGGCCCGTAGGTCCTATAAAAAAGACAAGTTGGGCCATTTGAGAGGATGTGACTATGTGAATAATGAATGTGGTTTAACATGATAGTGAATAAGGATGCATTAAAGGTAAAATAAAGAGGGGAAAAGGAGTAAAGATAAAAAACTGAAATATGGGGGGGGGGAGAAAGTTTAATGATGAATATTTGAATTAGATGAGAAGTTAGAAGTTAGAAGTTAGAAGTTTTGACTCAGAACGAAGTTATTTGAATATAAGATAAAATGAGAGAATTAGAAATCCAATCCCCAACCCTCTGCAAACGCCTCCTTCCGTAAAAGGCCTGTTGGTCAATTAATCGGACCATGGCTAATATTGGTCAGGAGCGGACCAGTAACTTTTAGGAAGGGCTATTTCGGCTTTGCAGACAAGTATAGGAAGCAGAAGTCCAAGACAATCATTGGAGGTTAGAAAGGGTAACTTCGAACATCATTGTCATGAGGTGTTATTTACATGCGAGGAAAAATGAGAATAAATGAGTGATAGGAATAAGATATAAATATATACACGGTTAGGGGCGAGGCGAAACAAAAAAACTGTTTGGTAATGCGCGGATGGTTGATTTGAGCATTGTTAAGCTGGTGTCGTTTGTAAGTAAGGTGGCCAACTTGTTCCAATGTTTGAAGATATAACTGAAGAAGGTTTTGCAGAATCTCTTATCATTAAGTTTTATTGCCAGAGGTGTGCGAGGCGAAGATGAACTGGAAAAATATCTTATTTTGTCGGGGAAGTGGATTAGGTTTTTGCTTATGGAAAACATGATTGATAAAGAATGTTCTAAACTACGTCTGGCTGATGTAGTATAATCAGCCTGTTCGAGACGATTGTCATAGGAAGAGTATTGAAAGTTACATCTTCTGAAGATGTTAGTTAGTTACATCTTCTGAAGATGTCTTTTTGAGCCCATTTTAGCCTCATGAACTTAGAAATTCAATGCTCTCCGGATTTTTGATTTTTTGGAATTTTTCATGTTGACCGTATAATTTTGTGGAGCACTGTAGTTGTTCCAAATACGATTGTATTCAGACCTGAGTTTAATCGCCAGAACAATTAAGTCTGAAGAAAAATCACACTATCGAAAAATTACTCGCTACAGAAACCAACTCAAATTTCTATCACGATTAATTTTTCAAGGCCGAATACGATGTAAGAAAATATTATGTTTAGTTTCACAGAAAAGCTTACTCAATTAACTAACTAGTATTAGGCTCTGGACAGCAAGATTATCACTAAAAATGAAATATTCCAGAGAAATACTAATTGTTCCTTTTCCAGACAAAACACTTCACATCATCCTTCAAACATGCTCATCATCCATTTGTCAAACGATGGATTTCATTTTTTTTTCTGCCATAATTTTTTCATAAATTAATTTATTATTATGTTTTACAATTAAAATGATTGCCATTCGCGAACTGGCGAGCAAATAATGAAGGTTCAATAAAAAAATGCTTAAGATTCTACCTAAGATCAAATCAGTCTCGTTTAAAATAAGTTCTGAACTTTATTGGGAATAATTGCTGAAAAAGCTCGAAATTTGAAGAAATTCCAGATTTCAATCAAAACCTGATGTTTTTCACCGAATATCTAAACACAAACTCACCAAAGAACATTTCTAAAGTTCCAGGGTCATTCAAAACATTTGTTAATTGAAATCCGTTTTCAATTTAATGCAAGTGGGAAAAACAACGCATTTTTTCTTTTGAAAACAGCTTAAAATTGAGCTCAAAAGTTTATAACCAAAGTTTTATCGCTATCTCAACAAATTAAACTTTAACACTGAAATTCTATGATGAAAAAGCTGAAAATTCAAGCCCAGATAATGAACACAGCATTCAGTTTTTGAATTACCTTTGTAAAATATGATTCAGGTAACAGAAAACATAATGAATTTAGCCATTTTCTCATGCACTCAATGTCAGTTCATGTTTTTTCACATCTAAAGTTGTTTTATATGCTTATCTTCTCGGAATTCCCTCTCGAAAATGAGCTAATTACCAAAAAAAATGTTTGAAAAAAAACTATTTTTGAATTTCCGCAAACGCACAAAGAAACATGCTATTTTTTGAGAAAACGGGTCTCGACACGATTTCGTAAAATCGCAGCAGGACCTTCGGAAAATACTTATTCAAAGAGATTCGGATGCGTAGATTATCGCTACGTTTTTAGTTTTTCAAGTTATGGCCTGTAACATTTTCGGGCCGCGCCGCCAGTTTCATTTTGAAAAATTGATGACGTCACAAGCGTGGCCGAAGTTTCTTCTTCCCCGAACAGTCGTGTAAAGCCTCTGCTTTATTTTTTTTTCATTTTTATGAAAAGTGTTTCCCGTTCCAGAAAAATGTTTTTTTTTTGCAAAATTGAAATTTATAAAACTGGAATGTTTTGGGATGATTCATGTCTAATAATTGATAGAAGTCATGACTTGAATCATAATTTTTTCAGAATGAAATGTGCGAATCATGACAAATTAAAATTGGATATTTCAAATCAAATTCGCGCATTCAACGATAGGTTTGAAACCCTGAAAAGTAAGTTATTATTTATTTACTTCATTTAAAAACATTTTCACAACTTTTTTCCAGATGAAAATGATTCTGCTGGAATGTTTGAAATAGTTAAAGAAATATCGAAAATGCTGAAATATTCTGGAGAGCTGAAAAACCTCTGGATATTAGATTCGTTGAGAAAATCTGAATCATTTTTATTGAAATTTTTGATTTCTTTGAATTTCCGATCGGTTAGCGACACGAAATTTCCAATTTATGATGTATTTGTAGAATATTTTCCGGAAACTGTACGAGTATTAGGTAAATATTTGAAATATATTTAGGTAAATTAAACAAAATTTCAGAAAATCGATCATATGTTGTTGCATTCGGAAAAAATCGTTCATTTAATCTTGGAATTCTTTCGGACGGATGTCCTATAGAAGAACCACGTGTTGTTCAAATTCCAACATGTAAAAAGATTGTTATGTCGAATTTTCACACAATATTTCTGACTTTGGATAAGCAAGTTTATGGTTGTGGAAAATCACAGAATTTTATTGTTAACAAGCAAGATCTTTCATATACTCCTCAACCTAAAATCATTGAAATTGGGGAAGAATCCGAGTTTCTTGATGTCGCGGTCACTGATAAATTTACTGTTTTAGTATCAAAAAGATTTGTGAGTTTATTTTTTAAATTTATATTTATTTATGAAAAAAAAACAAAAATTCAGGTGTATTTCATTGGACAATGCTCTTATGCTTTTTCTTCAAGGGGAGCTAAATCAATTGATCAAAATTGTGTTCAAATACCGTATTCTGTGAATACGAAACTGAAGCATGTTTATGCTTATGAAAAATCAACTGTTTTGGAGTTTGAAACGGATGACGTCAGATATAGATTAACTGAAATTTATGGGCAATTTGTTAGTCCCGATTTCAAATGTGAGTAAGTTCAATTTTTGAACTTCAAAGAAAAACATTTTGTTTAGTGGGCGCTCAAAAATGTATTGTTAGACTGAAAGAATCAATTGAACTTTTGCTTTCCTTGGAAAATGAAATTATTCTGTATCAACTACCGGATTCAAATTTGCCATTGCCATTAGAAATCATGATAAACTTGAAATCGAAAAGCGATATAAGACCAAAACAGTTTTTTGTGAAACCAGGAACAAACGAGATAATTGTACAATGCGAAAATGGGATAATTGCGAAAGGTCATCTTGAATTTTTGAAATTGGAAGAAGATGAATTTTTGACTTCGAGAAAAGGAAAAGGAATTATGGATGTTTTGATGAGATATCAGCTTATTGCGATTTTGTCGGAGATTCCTGGAACTTTTGGCAGCAATGTTTTTTGCGCATCGCCTGATTTGAATAATATATTGATTCAAGTTGGAAATCATGATGAAAACGGTTTGATTTGTTCTAAATAAGTATTTAAAGATATTCAAAGTTTTTTAGAAGAGAAATCACTAGCAGAGCAGCTGACAATTGAAAGTCAATCCTTATCGAAAAATAGAATATCAAGATTGATCGAAAAACAAATTAAAAATGTCATTTGGGAAGATGAATTGAAATTAGAAGATGTTCGTCTGAAATTTCGTGCCATTGAGGAAGAATTGTGTAGGAGAATTATGGAATTTGAAGATACAACTATTGAAGACATCAAATATTTAATAGAATTTCTAAATAATATTGGAGAAGAAGCATTAGATTTCATCGAACAATTCAATTTTCCCTTTGATCAATTGATTGAAAAATTAAAACTATACGAACCGGATTCGGGTAAGAACTTTTGCCCTAATTATTGTATTTAAGATTCGTTTTTTTTTGCAGAAATTGATTTCGAAGATGATTTGGACATTTTGGATGAAAGTGAGAGAAAATCAGCAATTTTGAGAATAAATGCGGCAAGGAAAAATGATAATTTGAATGATATCGAATTGCGAAGAGACAGGTTCAAATATTCTTCTAAAGCTGAAGCACGAATCGAAAAAATATCAAAATTTACAGAAGTCTACGCAATATGCATGATGTTATTTCACTTTCGAATGCTTTCAGAGTTACTGTAGGAATTGAGAGATTTGAGGCTACTAAAGAAGTATTGCATTTATTCGAGATATTTATGGGGATTATTCGAAGTTTGATGAATGGAGAAAAAGAAATCGGATTTGAATTTGAGAAAAAGTTGCCAAGAAGAAAGTTCGAGTCTGAAAATGTGAGAAGTCCCTCTGGTTTCTAAAACAATCACAATTTTTTCAAACAGATTATCGAAATTTTCCAAAAACGGATAGAAGAAGGGGATTTGGATGAATTTGACATACCTATGGATATTTCGATAATAAGTGCTGAACATAATTTGAAAGAAACTGCCAACTCAATTATTCTATCGATGATTTATCCAAAAGCTATGGAATTTTTGATAAATGGGAAAATTGAGATAGATGGAAATTCTGATCTTTATCAATATTTATTCAATCGTTCTCGATCTGGATTAGAAATCGAACATCGAGCTTCAAATTCTTCAGAGGAAGATGTTGTGATATTTTTGACTAGCGATGGAAAATCAGTTCAAATTCATCGGTAAGAAATTATCAGGTAATTTGTTCTACATATTTTGAAGTTCAGATATCTTGTATTGATTCATTCGAGACATATCAGTGCAATGCTTCGATTTACATATACACAATATGGAATTGAATCCTCTTCAAGTTCATCTCAAAAAATCGAAGTAAAAACTTCAAGCACTTCGAAAACTGTTAGAGATTCGTTGGCAGCACTCAAAGATATTCGAACACTTTTCAATCGAAATATGAATGAGGTATGAGAATTTTTGAATATATCTAGAAAGAAAGAAGTTTGCAGCTCATCGAAATCTTGTTCTTTTTTGATTATTTTATGATGTTCGAAGCGGTTCAAGACACATTAGATGTTATATTTTTGACAGCAAATCCACAAAACTCTTCATATCTTCTTCAATTATATGAAAATTTCCCAGAAGATACTTTGGAGCGATTCCTGAAATATCCATATTTTCTATTTCAAACCAAATGTGAATTGACAAATGAACTTGTATTGGAATTTTCGAAGAACGCAAAGAAACATCAAAAAATTGTGCCGAATATGATATTATACAATTTGGATGAGCAATCTTTTATTGAGCGATTTATTGGGAATGATGGAGATGTGGAAAAGAATATTGAGAAACGAAGACGAAGATATTCATCGAAAAATAATAGTGTCTCGGAATCACCAAGATCTGAAAATCTAAATGTTGTAACTCCAACAAAAACTGAGCCAATTCCAATTGCTAAACCATCGAGTCCGATTCCGATTTATTCCGAGTCTCCAAGTTTCAGTGAAGAATTTCCAGAGTCTCCAAGTTGTTGTGAGTTTTTTCTCTCAAAATTCTGACAAAGCGTTGAAAAAAGCTAAAAAATTATCTATTAGCTCTATCAACACCTTTGACAAAACATCGATCTGGCGGAAGATTCAGCACAAAAGGTAGCCGATTCAAAAAAGCTAATGAAATATTATCATCTCCCGAGCCGGCAAATCCTTGGAAAACCACACAGAACAGTTTTGAGCCGGTTGTTGAAGAAGTTCAGAGATTTGAAGATGTTGTGAAAGAAGAGGAGAAATTTACGAAGATGAGAAGTTTGTTTTTCTCCTACTTTCTTTTATTTTAAATTTTTAACCCAAAGATTTTTCAAATTTTGCAGAAGGCGAGATGAAAAAGATTCGACATTTACCACATATCGAAATGGAAGATCAAGCGGTTGTTGAAATTCTGAGAACATTCCAAATGCAATGTGAATTGGAGGCTTGCGTTACGGTAGATTTTCTAAATTTAATTAAAGAAAATAAAATTAATTGAATTTCAGGTTGAATTGGTTAGCGATTTTGAAGAAAATGTGGAAAATGAACCAATGTGGGGAATTATGCCGGGATTATTGAAGAGATAAATTTATTTTTTTTTTAATCAGGGTTTTTTTCTAATAAATATAAAAGCATTTTTTTTTTGAAGTTTTGTGTTTTTTTTCAAAATCAATTTTTACAGCAGATTGATAAGAACATTTTGTAAAGCCTCTGCTTTATTTTTTTAGAACTTTCTATTTTTACGAAAATTGTTTCCCGTTCCAGAAAAAGTTCCAAAAAATGTTTTTTTTTTGAAATTCCTCAGCATCTCGTGGCGTACAAAATGCGCACGATAACGTACGCTTTCCCTACACTCTTTCTACGCTTTTTGTACACTTGCCACTTTTCGCGAGTGTAGCTACATTGTAGGACCGCGTTGCAAGCTTGTTGCGTTGCGGCTATTATTTTATTTTTGTTTTCTATTTTCTTTTTGGCCTAAAATTCTTTTTAAACGTATAAATCAGGTATCATGATAGTAAAATTATATCTGCGTGGATTCTAGAAGTTGAAAATAATTATTGAAGCTATCAAACAACTTATTCGTCAAAAAAATATCGTTTTTTCAAGAAAAACCTTGAAATAATTTCGAAAATTCATCCAAACTGCGAATCAGAGTTGACCGATAACATTCCTTCTTTTTATTCTCGTTATTATTCTTTTTACACCTGAATTTGATTGCGATTTGTTGAATTTCAGATCATCAAACCAACAACTCCTAGAATTTGCATCATGACGGCAGAAAAAAGGAGGAGAATCTTCACTGGAGTTCATCGAGGAGATGATTTTAAAGGTGAGGAAGACTACTAGGAAGACTAAGAATTCGGAATCTTACTGGCTAATCGCCTGTCAAAACGTAGGTGATCTGAAGTTGGCAGATCATTTCGTGGAGACGCCTCTTATAATTATGATAAGTAGTAATGTAATGGGACTTGGGATGTTTATGATGTTGAAAATCATCCTATTTTTCAGGTTGACACTTGATGCTCCGCCTACACCTACGCCCAATGCTAACATCGGGACAATTTCGACCGAAGATTCGCAGTAAAGTCACCTGAATATCAACGACAATATGCACATGCTCCACAACCCGAATTCTACCCCGCAACCCCGACTTCAACCACTCAACCCTCAACAACCAACAAATTCTCAAAAAATCTTCGGAAAAAATTATATTTCTAACTTTTTTTATTATGTTTTGAAGATTTTTGTTATTATATTTATTTTATGTGCTAAAAGTCTATTGATCCATAAATGATTTGTTATATTTTCTAGTTTTAATCTCTCCTAAATCGCAGCGCAAAAAGAAAAAAATCGATTCGAAATTCGGTGTACGGTTTTCGTTCAAAAAAAAGGAAAAGTGTAGGATCTTTGTAGAGTTTTTTGTAGGATGTGCGTACAATGTTTGTAGCGTGCGTCATACAACAATGTAGCTACACTTTTTGTTCGCAAAAGTGTACGTACGCCAGGAGATGCTGAGTATCCGTCCAAAAAAATTGTGCAATTGTGCGTGACGGTGTTTGCACAATTTTTCGATTTTATTTTTTTTTTCGCAAAAAAACGTTCGTTCGTTCGGCAAAAAACAGCATTTTCATTTGTATTTCATTTAAAAAAAAGTATTTTGCAGATAAACATGGGTACAAGAGAGAGATATAAGAGAGGTGGAAGTTTTGTGCCTCGACAGGAGCGAAACGGATTCATGAATGCGAGAATTTTGAGTCATCAACAGCAAAATTCGAGTGATTCACACTTCGAAATGGAAATCAAGAATAAATTGGACAAATTTCAAAAGTCAAATGATGAGTTGAGTTTGTCATTGCCACCAATGAATCGAGAAGAACGAAAGAGGGTTCATGAAGTTGCGCGGAAAATGAGATTAAATACAAAAAGTGCGGGAGATGAGCCGTATAGATATATAGTTATATCGAAAAGAGGTTTGAAAACGTTGACTCGAGCATCTTCACTTGCGACAGATCCGATTACTTTGTCTGAGAAATCGAAACATGCGGTTGCAGCATTTACAAGTAAATTTACAATCAAAGAGGAGGATGTGGAAGATTTTTTGATTGAAAAAACAAATTCGGATCTAAATCGGAATCGTGGAAATAACAAAATTCGCGCAATGGTTCCACCAAGAGTAAGAATTCAAAATAATGATATTATGCGAAGAAGGTTTGTCTGGATTTTTTTGTAGTGAGGCTACAAATATATCTTTATAAATATTTTCAGACGAGAACTTCCATCCTACAAATACCAACAACTTGTGATCGAAGCAATTCGTCATAATAACGTGGTAATTGTGAGTGGTGGAACCGGATGTGGAAAAACCACACAAATTCCACAGTTTATACTGGAAGAAGCTGCGGAGAGAAATGAAAAGGTTCAGATTATGTGTACACAGCCGAGAAGATTGGCAGCTATTTCGATTGCTGAACGAGTTTGTAAAGAGAGAAATGAGAAGTTGGGTGATGCTGTTGGATATCATATTCGATTAGAGCAAAAGTTAGTGGATTTTGTGCAACAAATATGATTTCTAGAAGTTTTCGAGCACGATCGCGTTGTTTAAAATTACAAAACTCAACTCCTAACATGAGTTATGACGTGGCAAAACTCGACACTTTAGGAGCTAATAACTAGCTTCAAAAATGATGTAAATCTGATAGAATAGCGTTGTTCAGAAGGATCGATAACATAAGTAAACTTCATGTTTTCAATCAATTTTGGAAAACTGATTTTGTTCTGTGAAAAAATTCAGGCTTTTAACTTTTTTGAAAAATCCTGACATTTTTCACAGATCAAAATTAATTTTTCAAAATTGACTGAAAACATGAAGTCTAATTATGTTATCGATCCTTCTGAACAACGCTATGCTATCAGATTTGCATCATTTTTGAAGCTAGTTATTAGCTCCGAAAGTGTCGAACTTTGCCACGTCATAACTCATATAAGGAGTTGAGTTCTGTAATTTTAGACAAGGGGATCGTGATTAGCGGGTCGAAAACTACTGGAAAATATATTTTATTGAAAATCTAGAGTGAAAATTCAAACATTTTCCTTGTGAACTCCCAAACCTCTTCATTTTTGAGTCCACGACCTTTAATTTTTCATTCAGAACATCGGAAAACACAATGTTAACATATTGCACAAGCGGTGTTTTGCTCCGAAAACTCTCCGTCGATCCATTGGCACTTGGAATAACTCATATAATTTTGGACGAGATTCACGAAAGAGAAACGAATACCGATTATCTTTTGATTGCTTTGAAACAAGCGTTGAGAACACGACAAGATCTGAAAATCATTTTGATGTCAGCCACAATTGAAGGCAATATGAATTTATTCGAGTCATATTTTCAAGAGAGAAATGTGCATATTTTGAGAAGTAAGTATAGAAAACTTAAATCTTAACTAAGCTAAAATCTTTCAGTTGAGTCCAAATTATTCGATGTTCAAAAAATCTACCTTGATGATATTCTGGCAATGATTGGCTACGAGCCACCGGAATCATTTGGCTTCTTTCCAATTGGTAACAATGAGAATGCGGGTGATTCATTCCCCTCAATGGGTGTTTGGAATGCTGCGAATAGTGAGCCATTCTCAATGACGCACGCGAATACAATGCCGAATTTGAAAGAAGTTTGGACGGAGCCGAATTATTCGCAACCTCCGATCTTTTCACATCCATCTTCATCACAAGAATGTATTACGAATGCGAATGGTGAATGGCTTGGTGGCTCGTATCGAACTATAGAAGGTGATGTGATCACAGAAAGTGCGATGAAAGAATATATGACAGCGATGGGTGGAACACATATTCTACCAACGGTTTATTCGCAACCACCTCCACCAATTCCAACAAATTTGTCACAACCTCCTCCACCACCAGTTCATTTTGGACAACCGCCAAATTTCAATACGAATTCGAATTCGAATGGACTTGGTTGTTTTAACATTCCGGAAAACACATTTGGTGCAAGTATGCGAAAAGAGCAAGCGATTGAGCAACAATATCGACATGATTTGAAGAATGCGCTACCCAATCGATTGGCGTATTTTTTGCCGGAAGCTATGCAACAAGTTAGACATATTGATACGAGAGCGATGAATTTGGAAGCGGTTGGTTTTGGGGGGTCTTTAGACGCGGGTCCTAGACAATTTAGTTCTATAGGCGCGGGTCCTACACAATTAGATGTGTAAGGCGCTGCTACTTGAGAGCTAGGATTTCTAGACGCTGCTCTCCTCGCCAGAGGGGATCTCTAGGCGTGGCTACTTGGAACATGAGATCTCTAGGCGCGGCTTCATGTCATAGTGGATCTCTAGGCGCGGCTCCTTGCCAGAGTGGATCTCTAGGCGCGCCTGCTTGACAAATATGATTTCTAGACACGTCTACTTGGTAAAGAAGATCGCAAGGCGCGGTTCCTTGCTAGAGGTTTTCCTAGACGTGGCTACTTGCCATTGGATATTTCATTTTTTGAAATACACCATTTTCGAAGCCCTTCCCAACTCACCTGATTCCTCTAAAATGCCGTGCATTTCCGAATAATTTTTTTCCACTTCAAAATATTTGGTTTCAAGAAATGAATCTTTGAAAATTCTAAACTTCACGTGAAAAAAACTCGCCAAAAGTTCACGTTTTTCGAATTAGTTTCATTTCTAATTTATTCATTTGTCATAAATCGTGACTCTGATTTTTGCACAGTAAGTTAGGGTGAAAAGGGAGTTTTCAGCGAAAATTGCCGATTTTTGTGTGCCAAAATGACATTTTCTGCTCAAAATCACCCGAATTTTCCAGAAATACCTGGCTTGCGGCGGCAATCAATACATCGAAAGTGTCGATTGGGATCTCGTCAACGAGACCATCAAATACATCGCCGACAGTCCGATTTTCGGCTCCATCCTCGTCTTTCTCCCCGGCTACGAGGATATTCTTCAGGTTCGCGAGAAAATCGACGAATGGAAGCACGGCCTGAACAACTACAGTCTAGTGAATGTGATCTGTTTGCACTCGCAAATGAATTCGGCCGATCAGAGTGAGGTGTTCAAAACTGTGCCGAGGAATGTTCGAAAAATTGTGAGTTTTTCTTCAAAATAAATTCAAAAAGTTCAAAAAATTGTAGATTTTGTCAACAAACATTGCCGAAGCTTCAGTTACAATTGAAGATGTGATTTTTGTGATTGATACTGGAAAAGTTAAGGAGAAAGTTTATAGTCATGACACAAAGATTAGTCAATTGAAAGTTGCGACAATTGCAAAAAGTAATGCGGATCAAAGAAGTGGAAGAGCTGGAAGAGTTACCAATGGATATTGCTTCAGATTGTATAGTGAGAAAGCGTATTTTGATATGCCACAAACACAACTTGCTGAAATGCAGAGATCTGCTATTTATGTGAGTTTTCAGTTATTAAAATTGTAATTTTTTTTTCAAAATGAAACTTCAGAACATCTCTCCAGTTTTCTAGGAAGCTTCTAAATCTTTGCTTGAAAATTATCAAGCTCTAAAGCGAAACTATAGTCTAGTTTATCTAGGAATATTTCAAATTGTTTCAGAATTTGAATTTTGAGTTCCTAGAATTTTAGGCTTCGGAGATTTTTCTCAAAATCTAGTCAGAGTTCTAGAAAGTTCTTGGAATTATCAATTATCATACATCTTTTTCTAAACCTTCTTAGCTCCATAGCGAAACTATAGTCTAGTTTTGCTAGGAATCTTTCAAATTGTTTTAGAATCGGAAATTTTTAGATCCCAGGTTTTTAGAATTCTGGGCTGAAAATATTTTGAAATTTTTGAATTTCAATATCAATTTGAAATTTTTGAAATCCTAAGCTACGATTTTTTGATTTTTTAACTAAAATTCGAATTTTCAACTGTTTTCAAGCTGAAAATTTTGATTTCAAAAATTACTCCCATATTTCAGGCTGCTAAAAAAATTATCTGAAAATCTTTTGAAATTTTTAGAATTCCAATATTAATTTCTTATCAAATTTACAAATTTTGGATAATTTTTTTATTTTGAAAAATCCTGATAAAAAATAGTTCTCAAAATGCAGAATTCCACGAAAAACATGAAGTTCAGCTGAATTTTTTCGTATCAAAATCCAAAATTTTTCAGGATGTTTGCCTTCACGCCAAATTATTCGCTCCAAAAGGAATGCGAGTCGCCGAATTCCTCGGAATGGCTCCCGAACCACCAAAACGAGACGCCATCGAAAAAAGTATGGAATTCTTGGAACAATTGGGCGCATTATATTCGCATTCAAAAACAGCCGAAGATATGCCAGCCGGTGATTATGATGAAGATGAAGATCCCGAACTAACTGATTTCGGTCGAATCATGGCTCAAATGCCGCTTGATCCACAATTATCCAGATTGCTCATATTTGGCCTCGCACTCAAATGCCTTTCACCAATTGTGAATTTGGTTGCACTTTTATCATATCGTGATCCATATTTGATACCAAATCAATCTGATCGTGAAGCACTGAACAAAACACGCGATCGTCTTGCTGCTCGCGATTTTTCCGATCATTTGGTGTTTATTCGATTGGTTGATGAATTCTCGAAACTCAATTTCAAAGACAGTGCAAGATATTGTCGAGAGAATTATTTGAATGCGAATACAATGCGAATGATTGTCGGTGTTCGCAGGCAATTATTCTTCGAATTGGTTCGCGCCAAATTGATTGATTCGGAGAGCGAAGCATTGACAAATGTTGAATATAATATGTATTCGTCGAATTGGCCGATGATTCAGGCGGCGATCTCAGCTGGTTGTTATCCGTATATTGGTGTTAGTGTGGGCAATTCGAATAAGTTGAGGAAAATTCAGACACAGTAGGTTTTTTTTTTTTTGGGGCGGGGGTTGAGATTTTTTAAAATTAGGACTGGGATTTTCTGAATCTTGTATTAAATTATTACTTCAGAAATTCTCGAAAAAATTTTTTGCACAAAATTTTAGGAGCTTTCAGAGCTCAAAATTTAAAAAAATTGGGACTAAATTTTGCCACGTCATAACTATATAATTTCGAGATTGGAAAAGATCTGTTGAAATTTTAAAAATTGGGGATTCATGAGATTTTTTAAAATTATAAAAGTACTATAATTTTAAAAAAATTTAAAATTATAAAAAAATTATGAAAGTACAAATTATTTTAAGCTTGGAAAATGGTGGAATTTTAAAATTAATTTTCTGAACTTTTTACCCATAATCAGGAATTTTTGCAGAACTTTAAAATTCGAAAATTTTGAAGATTTTCTACACTTTTTAATGAAATCTCAATATTTCTAAATTTTATCTGCTTTTTCTCAAAATTTTCATATTCTGCCACGTCATAACTACATTTTCAAATGTAAAAAAAAACAGGATTGAAATTTTTTTATTAAAATTGACTTGAAAACTTTTGAATTTTAAAAATTAGGACTGAGAGCTTTCAGAAATTTTATATTTTCGAGAAAAATCTGTCTGCTAAAATTCAAAAATTCCAAGAATTGTAAAACTCAGATATCTTAAACTTTTGCCACGTCATAACTCATTTTTCCTATTTTTCCAGTGCCGACAATTTCTCCTCCCTCCACCCATCTTCCGTAATTCGCCGCCAAACAAATCTCAAAACTCGCGGACAAGAAGAAGACACCCAACTACAATTTGTCGCCTATCAAGAATTGTGCCTAATGGATGGCAGTTTGGCACTTCGCCACGTCACAGTAATCCCAGCGATTACAGTACTCCTCTTCACTGGACCGATTCGATCGAAACAATCGATTATTACTGATTATCAACTTGGTGAGTTTTATTTTTTTTTCAAGGGGAAACTTCAAAATTAAAAAAAAAATGTTTCAGTAAATGAAAATGGACAAAATGATGATTCTGTTGCACCAACATCTTTTCTATCTTTTGAAACTTATGAAATTGAACCATGGTATTCGATTAGATCAACTAGAAAGGTCAGTTTTATTTTACAGTTTCACAATAATAAAAAATAAGTAAAAAAAAAAACTAGTCAAAAGTTAGATTTGGGAAACATTCTAGTGTACATTGTTCAAGACGTTCCATTTCGCCGTCTGTCAAAATATCCGGAATCGACACACCTTTCGATTCCATTTTGTGCGCTTTTGCGATGTGATACGCGACAACTGAACGTTGTCGACCTTTGAATGTGCAATTTATAATCGGGCACGCGTAGCTGCAAAATATTTGTTGAATTTTTTAGAAAATCATGAAAAAGTGACAAACCGGTTGAGATCTGTGTGAACAATCGCGTGACTTGATAATTGCCGAAGATTCATTGAAGATGTACGAACGTTGTTTTTGCATTTCTGAAAATTTGGGGAATTTTGATATTAAATTCAGATCTTGAAACCCGGCTGGATTTCTAGGCCATATTTAGTATAAACATCATCAGGATGACCTAGAAATTGTAAAACTCGGATTTCTAGGTCATATTTAGTATCAACATAATCAGGCTGGCCTAGAAATTGTGAAAATAGAATTTCTAGGCCATATTTAGTATCATTATGATTAGGATGACCTAGAAATCGGAAAAATTGAGTTTCTAGGCCTAATTCAGTCTCTTAATGATTAGGATGACCTAGAAATCGTTAAAAATAGGATTTCTAGGCCATATTTAGTCTGTCGATGATCAGGATGACCCAGAAATTGTAAAATTTGAATTTATAGGCCATATTTAGTATAGACACGATCAGGCTGGCCTAGCATTCATGGAATTTGATTTTCTAGGCCATATTTAGTATCAACATAATCAGGCTGGCCTAGAAATCGTTAAAATATTATTTCTAGACCATATTCAGTCTCTAATTGGTCAGGCTGGCCTGAAATAGCCCCTATTTCCTCAGATTTTTGATCTGAAAATCGCAACCAACCTGACAAACAACATTATCATAATCATCTTGCTCTGGCATATTCACAGCTGGTGTGTCTCTTTTCGGCGGTCGACCTCGTTTCGGCTTCTTTTCAAACGGCGCCAAAACTGTTCTTGGTATTTCCAGCTTCACTTTTCCAGTTTCAGCTCTGGTTTTCTTCGGCTTCTTCTCCTTTTTCTTCTCGATTTTCTCGAATTTCACAAGTCCACATTCTTCTTCCTCGCTACTTTCATAATTATCCTCTTTTTCCGCTATTTTGATATAATACGCCGAATCGTCGTCCATAGATTTCGGGATTTCTGGCAAGGCTTTTGAGAAATTCCAATCGAGTTTTGGCTTTTTTGCTGGTTCTTCTTGTTCTTTATCTACTGATGGAGGATATAAGACTTCCATTGGAAGAGCTGCGATTTCTTCCGGGTTTTCCTCTGGATGATTTTCGACTTCTCCGCCTTCGAAGGAAACTTCCTCAGGTGTTGATTTGAGAGCTAGCAAGGTTTCATCTGATTTCTTGGGAAGTTCCACTTTCATCACTTTTCTCACCATTTCCGTCTCATCGTTGTAGACTGTGAAGGTGTTTTTCTTATTTGTTAGCTAGAAAATGGGTGAATTTTTGCCTGAAATGTTCTCCCTAAGCTTTTAAGACCACTAAATGTCTCCGTAACCTGAGGTGCCCTAACTTTTACCCAAAAACTTACAAGAAGTGTGACGATTTCGGTGACTTCTCCAGCATCTTTTGCATCAATAACGACCAGCATTTTTTTAGCACAAGAAATTTGATTCGAAAAAAAAATGCAACAAGTTTTATCATCAAAAAAAAAAGAAACAAATTTACCGCGTAGATCAAAAATAATTACAACATTTCGAAAAATTAGTGAATCGAAGTGTCATCGATATCATAATCGTCTTCCATTTCATCGTGTTCACTTCCGCCCTCATTGAATTTGGCCGCGTCCCGATTTTTTCTCGCAATTCGATCGCTCATCTCGGGAAAGCAGACAGCAACGCATTCGCGGAGAATTTGCTGGTCAGATTCGGTTCTGCAAAAAACAAAATCAGACTAAATATATTTTTTTTCACCCGAAGGAAACTCACAAAATATCTCTGACAGTGTATTCGCCGACTTCCATTCGATGAACGGTTTTCATGTGACGCGATACATCTGCACGGTGTTTTACTTTGAATGGGCAACCCGGAATTGTACAGTCGAATCTGCGAAAAGTTTTTGTTTGGTTTCTCGAAGAACTCGGAGCTGGAATTGGATTTTGCCACGTCATAACTTTTGAAACTGAACTTTTCTAAAGGTGGTCTGGTTCAGATTAAGGCAATTTTTGAAGAAATCTACGAAAAAATTGTTAAGGGTTTGGTGCATTGCTCAGGTCAAATTATGCATTTTATGATTAAATTTAAATTTTTTGAGTTAAAAATGGGCATTGCTCAGGTTAAATGGAATTTTCCTCAGCCTTATCTAACCTGAGCAATGCCTATTTTTCACTCAAAAATTAGAATTTAATTATAAAATGCAACATTTGACCTGAGCAACGCTTCAAAAACATTGAAAAAAAAATTTGACCTGACACCTAGTCTTCAGATTTTAAGAAAAAACTTGAACCGGACACCTTTTCCCTTATTTTGAGCTTAATTAAAGTTCTCACCTCATCAAATCTGTATGAATAATCGCATGTGCACATCGTTTATAATAATCCAAACCTCGAACTTTTATATTCGTACTACAAATTGTGCATTGCGAGACTTGCACAAGTTTTCCATTCGATTGAACTGTTCGCATTGGTTGTCTTTCTACTGGCATATTTGAAGCGGCCGCGACGAATTCGTGTGACGAATATTCAGATGGATAACAATTTGGAAATACTGAATTATTCTGGATAAATGATGTTGGTTGAGGTGACGGATTGAACATTGCGATCGGTTTCACTTCGTCGATTTCAGCAGAAACTGCGGATTTTTTAGCCGGAGGTGGTTCCATGAATAATTGTTGAGGTGGAGGGGGAGTTGGCTGTTTTGGTGGATGATTTTGTGGTGCACACAATCTTTCGCGCTCTAATGCATATTCTTGAATATCGTTTGTGCATGTGAAACGGGTTTTTGTGTGGGTCATCTGGAAATTATCCATTTTTGACCTTTTTTCTTCTGAAAACTCACAAGAATATTCATAATATCCAACGCACTTTCCTTTTCGCGAACTTCGATTACGATATACGTGTTGATTGACATTTTTTCGCTGAAAAAACGATTGATTTGCAAAAAAATCTGCACGCGCAAACTCTACAGTACCTCACGGGAAAACTGCAAATTCTGTATTTTTATTTTCTTAAAAAAACGCCCTGTATACTAGTAAAATCGAAAAAAAGAGAGAAAACAAAAAATAATAAAAACTACTCGAGTCGCGTTCGGCCACTAGTGAAGAGACGCAGACAATGAGAGAACAACAAATATGTGCTAGGGACAATTTGGCTAGAGAGTGAAAAGGTGGAGAGCGTCTTCGAGCGCGATTTGGATTTGGGGATTTTGAGCGGGGCCCTTTTTTGACACCTCCCTGAAAAATGGATGTAGGGTTGATTCAGGAACGAAAAAAAATGTTTTTAACATCGAAAGATCAATTCATGAAAAGTCAAAAAATTAGTTTTTCAAGTTTTCCAGTCAAAAATGATGACAAATCGATATTTTTGAAACTTCCGGAGTGATTTCTGATGAAAATAAGCATTCAGAACCCTATTTAACCTCATTTTATCAATTTTTTCGAAATTCATCAATATTTGAAATTTTTTATTTCACGAAAAATCAGCAAAAACTTCTGAAAAGTGAATTCCGATGTAAATTTTCATCAGAAATCACTCCAGAAGCTTCAAAAATCTCATTTTGTCATCATTTTTGACTGAAAAACTCGAAAAAAGAATTTTGACCTACAATGTTTTTCGACATTTTTTGAATTTTCGTGAATGAGCCCTTGTGAAATTTGTGGATTGTAAAAATTCGTTCAAAATCTTTGCGCGGTGAATGTTTGAGAGCAAATTGGACATTCAAAAAAAGAGCCTATTTTCTGAGCCACGAAATTTTTAACCAAAAATTTGTGAATTCGTCGTTCTGTACTCAGTTTCTGATAAAATCTTCTCTAACATGAGTTATCGACTTTCAAAAACCGCGAATTTTCAAAAAATTCTCGATTTTTGGCTCATTTCTGGGCTCTTCAGAGAGACAATAATAAATAATTTTTCCCGATTTTCCAGACTTTGGTTCAACTGCTCCGCCTTCGCTTCAAATTCATGAATCATTTCCTGCGCGCTCTTCACAAACCACATCTTTTTGCCTCGTCGACAAATGAATTATCTGTGGGTTTTTGTCCTTTAGTTCGAAATCCCAATAATCCCGTTGCAGAATTTACTCGAAATGATTCGCTCGCTGATCACCGAACAATTATCGGTGCACAAATTCGCACCCACAATTCTTCCACCATTGCACAATCTTCGAAAATATCCGCCAAGAGAACCGCCAAGATCTGAAACACCGCCGCCGCAAAATGATTATAATAATTATTATCATTATTATCAACAGCCACAACCACAGCAACAACAGCCATGTTCTTCAAGTAGTCGGCGAGAAGATTCGAATTATAATAATGGAGATCGAAATGGTCGAAGAAATCAACAACAACAACATCAGCAAAAAAGTGGAAATTATGGGAATTCGAGAAATTATTATAATAATCAGGAGAGAAAACAATCACAAGAAAATGGATATCATCGAAATGGTTATCATAATGAGCAACAACAACACCAGAATAATTATTCGAATCAACCAAGACAAAATGGCTATCATTCTGGTGGTTCCGGAGGAGGAGGAGGATATAATGAGGTGAGCTTAGGCTGAAATTGTGCCACATGGAATTTCAGATTTTGAATTTTGAAATTTAGTGAATTTTAAAGTCTGACGTATGGAGTTTTTTGGCACGTGGATTTTAGACCTAAAATTTCAGAATTTCCCAAAAATTGCTAGGTGAATATAACATCAAGGGTTGGAAAACGTTTTTCATAAACTATTTTTTTGCCACGTGGTTTTTCATATTTTGAATTAAAAATTTGCCACGTGGCCTTTAGATCTATTTAAAATTTCAAAATTTCCCAATTAAAAAAATTTTCGCCACGTGAATTTCTAGATCTGACACTAAGGCTTAGAAAAAGTTTCCCATAACTATTTTCTTTTTTTTTTTTGCCATGTGGATTTTAGGTTTGAAATTTAAAGTTTGCCACGTGGATTTTCAGATCTGAAATTAAAAGTTTGCCACGTGGACTTTCAAATCCAAGAAAATTTCTGATTCATTTTTCCAGCCAACCTCTTCCACTCAAAACATCCCATCAAATCCACATTATTGGCATTATAACTCTCAACAACCACAGCAATCACAACATCAACATTTTGAGCGGCAAACTCAGAACGCTCAAAATTATCCGAAAAATCGCAATAATTATCAACAAACACAGAATCATAATCATAATAATTCAACCCAGCGAGGTGGAAATGGTGGAAGAGGAACATCAACAAGAGGACACAGATATTAGTTGTGAGTTTTTTTTTTTTGAAATTTGGAAATTCAGGAATATAGTTCAAAATCCTGAAATCATCCAACTTTTTAAAGTTTTTTTCTGGGAAATTTTGAGGTCAAATTTTCAATTTTGAAATTCAGAATCATCTTGAATTTATCCAAATTTTTGAAAATGAAAAAATAGGCTCTAGAATTGTATCTGAAATTTCAGAAGAAATGTTCCAATTTTGAAAAGATTGGATTCTTGAGGAAAAATTAAAAAAACCTCTGAATTGACGGAATTTTCTATTTTTGAAAAAAAAGTAATTTGGTTTTGCCACGTCATAAGCTTTTTTAAACCAGAATTTTCCTTCGATGAGAATTATTTTTAATGTTCAATTTTGCCCCGTAAGCGCGGCTACTAGAGGACCAGGCTCTCTAGGCGCGGCTCGTTGACGTCTAGAATTTCTAGGATTGGTTACTTGCCACATAAACTTCTCGAGGCGCGGCTCCTTGCCAGCGAGGGTCTCTAGATGTGAGTTCTAGAAAATTTGATTCTTTAGGCGCAGCTAGTAGAAAACCAGGCTCTCTAAGCGCTGATCCTTAACATCTAGAATTTCTAGAATCGGCTCTTTGGCATTGAAGCTCTCAAGGCGCGGCTCCTTGCAAGAATTTCCAGAAATCCTAATTTTCCCATTTTTCCAGATGTCTTCTCTCACCTTCTTCCTCTTCTACAAACATAATTCTGTCAAATTGATAATACTTAATTTCATATATAATTTGTCTTCATTTTTCCCGTTTTCCTTTCCCCAATCTAGTTTTAGTTATTTTTCCATTCTTTCTTTCTTTCTTTCTTCCAATCCCTGTTGTTTTTTTCATGGTCCCGGGTGTTTACATCTCTGTAATTTTCAGCTTTTCTTTATTTTCTCGGTCTCTCGATTACTGTTATTTTGAATACGGTATTTTCTTCTTCTTTATTTATTTATTATTATTTTTATTTATTTCGTCGTATTTTTAATACAGTTTTCAATTTTTTTGAAGTTTTTGGGAAATTCAAGGTTTTTTGAAGACTATTGAAGTTATCTGATGTGATTTTTCAATCTGAAAGCCGATTTTTAAAGTTTTATGGAATATCGAAAAGTTGAGGAAATATCTGAAAAAGTTTGGAAAGTTTCAACGAAAAATGGGCATTTTTTCGTGAGTTCCAGAATTTTTCTTCGAAAAAAAAATTATAAATTCAATTTTTTAGGCTCAAAAAATCTTGCGAGCCCCAAGAAATCGCGTTGTTGAAAAAATTGAGCCACGAAAATGTTGTGCAAGTTTTGGAGTTTGTGCCGAATTCGCCGCGCGTGATTTTCGAATTTTGTCCACACAATTTGTATTCGCACGGGAAATTGTTGGAGAATATTTGCGGGATTGCGAGAGATTTGTTTAGAGGATTGGAGTATATTCATGAAATGGGAATTATTCATCGGGATATTAAGGTAGGGAGAGGTTTTGGGAATTTGAAAATTCACTTTGAAATTTAATTTTTATCTTAAAAAATGAGATTTTAAATTGCCACGTGTAAAATTGAAAAAAATTCGGAAAATTCATTTTTTTTTTTTAAATTAAATCTTTCTTTTTTTTCTGATGAAATTTTAAACTGCCACGTGGAAATTCATAATAAAATCTGAATATTTCAATTTTTGAAAAAACGAAATTCAATTCTGAGCTTCCACGTGGCAAATAATCAAATTAAAAAAAATTGATTTTTTTTTTTGGAAAATGAAATTCCAAGCTCCCACGTGGAAAATTTAATCCTACTTTAAAAATCAATTTTTTTGGGAAAACTAATGAAATTCAATTCTGAGCTGCCGCATGGCAAATAATCATATTTTAAAAAAATTGATTTTTTCTGAAAATGAAAGTACTAAGTTGCCACGTGTAAAAAATTGAAAATTCAATTTTTTCTTTGAAAAATAAACTTCACAGTGAAATTTAATTCTAAATTGCCACGTGGAAATGTTTTTATTCCAAAATCCTGCGTTAAAAATTTGTTTTTCTAATTTTCTGAAAATATCATTTTTAAATTGCCACGTGGAAAAAAGTTTTGAAAATTCATTTTTTGTTGTTTTTTCGCCACGTGGCATATGAAAACAGTTCAAAAATTGTTATTCTCTGAAAATAACATTTCAAATTGCCACGTTTTTCAAAAAATTCAATTTTACAATAAAATTCTAAACTGCCACGTGGAAATTGAAAATTTATTTTTTTTTAATGCAAGTTTTTTGCCTGAAAATGCAATTCCACAATGAAATTCAATTCTAAATTTCCCCCCTTTTCCAGCCCGAAAACCTATTGCTCACCTCAAACGGCTCTCTAAAAATCGCAGATTTCGGAATTTCTCGACACGAGAATCCCGAAATGACACCCCACAAATGCACATTATGGTATCGATCGATTGAAATGCTGCTAGGTGCCACGAATTACACAAAAACTATTGATTTATGGGCGGCCGGATGTGTTTTGGCTGAAATTGTTCGTGGCGAACCGATTTTTAAGGGAACATCCGAAATTGATATGGTTTGTGGTTGTGTTTTTCGATTTTTTTTTGAAGGAATTCTGAAATTTTTCAGCTCAATAAAATCATATCAATTCTGGGAACTCCAAATTTCACAAATTGGCCTGAATTAGACAATCTTCCAACTATGCAATACATCGATTTGCGCGAACAACCCAACAATTATTTGTCTGAAAATATCCCGACTGAAAATCTCGATTTACTCGATCTCATTCAACTACTTTTGACACATAATCCCAAACTTCGAATAACTGCCAAAAAGGCATTGTGTCATCGATTTTTTGAAAATGCGGGTGGAAAATGAATTTATTAATCTTTGTCATCTTTATTTGCCTCTTCTTTGTCATTTTTTCGAGCTGCGAATACTGTAATTGCGATTCCACCATTTTCAGCAACTCGCAGAACAGAAGCCATGTTCTGGAAGGAAATGTGATTGAAAGTTTTTGATTTTCGCGGAATTCTAGGAATACAGATAATAATTGAACTGTGAATTTCAGGCAAGTTCTGAAATGAAAAAAGCTACAGTACCCCTGAGGCTACAGTAATTCTTGCAGTTCGAAAGTTTCAGAAACCCCAGCGGATACAGTAACCCTTGCAGTCCGGGAGTTACAGTAACCCTGAGGCTACAGTACTATTTGTAGTCTGGAATAACCCTAGGCTACACTAATCCTTGCAGTTCTATGAGGTACAATATCCCTTGCAGTCTGGAAGTTACCGTACTATTTGCAGTCCGGAATAGCCCTAGGCTACCGTAGTCCTTGCAGTTCTCGATATTCTAACCTTTAAGCTAAGTTCTGCAATCCGGAAAACAACCCTTAGACTACAGTATCCCTTGCAGTCTGGAAGTTACAGTAAGCAGTCTGGAATAACCCTAGTCTACAGTGATCCTTGCGGTTCTATGAGGTACAGTATCCCTTGCAGTCTTGGAGTTACCGTACCATGTGCAGTTAGGAATAGTCCTAGGCTTCGGTAATCCTTGCAGTTCGAGAGTTACAGTAATGATAAGGCTACAGTATACTCTTGCAGTTTGGAAGTTACTATTTTTTCAGACAAATTTTCAGACAAATTCTAGAATCTTTAAATTTTAAAAAAGGAAAAAAACGCACATTTCCTTGATATCTCGGAGCACTAAAAATAGTGATAAGTTTTTTGTCAGCAAAAAATCGAAAACCAACATCAAACACTTGATGCGCTCGAACAATCAGATTGATGTTCAGCTTTTTACAACATTCTTGCACCGCTTTTTCACTGAACGAAACTGAACAACTTCGATGAGCATTCGGAATGAAGAGCGATGATTCACAAGTGTTTTCTTTCATTTTTCCGATCGAAAAATCGATTAATGGATCGCTCCACATTAAATCGAACGCCAATGTGTTGTCGAGAGGTTTTGAAAGTGGACGTTTGATCTGCAAATTTTTGGGGGATTTTTTTGGGCTTCTCTGAGCCAAGTTTTGAGCCCTCAAAAGTTCAAAAATTGGCTCAAAAATATGAATTTTCAGGGTCCATTTTAGGCCTTTATGAGAACTCAGAACTTGGCTCAGAGTGAAAAATGTTCTTACATTCCGAATATCGTCCAATGATTTGAGATGCGGTGAAATACCGCCATGCATGCACAGAATTTTTGTGCCAACAAGTCCTGCTAATGGCATCCATGCGAACGCTTCGTTGAAACGATTCCAAACTTCGATTCCGTCTTTTTGACCGATTTTATCGACGAGTTCTTCCTGGAAAAATTCAAAACTTTTTCTAGAAAAATCTACGTGGCATCTTTTCCTTTGTGAACTTTTGATTTTGCCACGTCATAGCTTTTTTCTTAGTTTTTTTTTGGTCAAAATTTTAAAAGTAAAAGTGTTTTCAGAAAAAAATCCACGTGGAATCCTCAAAAATTGAGAAAAATTTGAAACATTGCTCATGTTAAAAATAACTTTTGCTTATTTTAGCAAAGTACTCTGGGCATCTTTTGAAACACAAAGTTTTTCGCTGTGAAAAATTGAAGCTCAAAATTTTTCTGAATTCTAAAAAAAAATCCACGTGGCATCTTTTCCTTTGTGAACTTTTGAACTTTTGACTTTGCCACGTCATAACTTTTCTTTTTTTTTGGTCAAGATTTTAAAAGTAAAAATGTTTCTCAAAAATTGAGAAAATTTTGAAACATTGCTCATGTTAAAAATAACTTTTGCTCATTTTAGCAAATTATTCCTGGGAAATTTTGAAACACAAATTTTTCTCTGAAATTTAATTTTTAAAAAAATTTTTTAATCAATTTCCTCAAAACGCTAGAATGTTCTGGAAAATTTTACAAAATTTTGCCACGTCATTACTTTTTCTATGAGCTAAACTGGTAAAATCTCCGTCAAAAAATACATTTCAAAAAATTTCCAAAAAAATCCACGTGTCATTTTTTCCTTTGTGAACTTTTTTGTAAAAATCCACGTGGAATCCCCCCTCCTTAACTTACCCTAAATCCATATACAAAATTAGTCTCCTTAGTCTCATGATTTCCTCTCAACAACTTATATTGATCCGGAAAAATGCATTTCAACGAAAAAACCAAACAAATACATTCAACCGAATTCGGTCCACGATCCACAAAATCACCCAAAAACATATATCGACAAGTTGACATTCCGATACTTTTTGCGATTTCCTCCTTCTTCTTCCTCTTATTTTTCCCATCTTTTTTGGTTTCCTCCAAGGTTTTTGTATTTTTGAAGTTGAGAATTCGAATCAAATCTCGATATTGTCCATGAATATCGCCCACAATTATACAGGGAGGCGATAAATTCACAAGTGTTTCGTCTTTTTTTAGTTGCTCGATGACTAGTTTTATGAGCTCTTTGAGTTCTTTCGCTGTATAACTTTGCTGAAAATTTTCAGAATTTTTTTTTTAAATTCAGAACCGGCCCAAATTTGCTTTGATGGCGGTCCGATCTTATTTCTAGTATATTCTAGATATAAAATGAGCAATGGTCCATGTCACTCACACTTCTGGCATTCGTCCAAGCTCTTGCTCTCAAATGTCGTCGACAAAAATCGAGAATATCGAATTCATCATCTTCTTTTATCAAATTTGTACCGCTTTTTGACATTTGATATAATTTTGTAAATTGTTAGCTTTTTTCGAAAATAGAACAAATAGAAAATGATTGGATTTTGGAAAAACCCGTGGAAAATGTATGAAAAACAAGGTCACGCATAAAAATTGAACATTTTTGGAAATCTTTATTTTTTCATTTTCCTCGTTTTATATGTATATCAAACATTGGCGGTCTGAAGAAAAGAGTAGCGCGTGGTCGAGTGGTTAACACGCACGCCTTTTAATCATTAGGTCATGGGTTCGATCCCGCTCCGAAGCAAACTTTTTTTTTCATTTTTTTTACAAATTATTTTCCCTACCAAAATGAATAAATAAATCTAGCTCCTTCTTGTTCACAATATTTTCGTCAAAGAGAATTCCCAAGAGGATTTTCAGCCACACACACAATCGAAAATTGAGGCGATTTTCCTATTTTTGGTCGGTCGGTGGCAACTTTTTGCTTGCTCACAATCCGTCATTTTCACCTCGCTATTTCAAAGATCACATTTTTTTGTGTAATATGTGTTATAAGTAGAAGAATGAGCACTTACACTTGATAAACAACAAAAATCCATTTGAAATTTGAAATTGCTTTTTTCTAGATATATAGATATTAAAAGTTCCCACCAAAAATTTAAAAAAAAAAAGAAATAAATTTAAAAGTCGCGAGCGGGGATCGAACCCTCGACCTTCGAAGTAGTGGTGTAGGCACTAACCGACTAAGCCACCTAGTCCCCGAAATTTCCAATTTTCCAGAAAAAGTAGTTGGTTATTTACCCCAATATTTATTCAGCTTCTTCTTTTTTCTCGTTTTTTCCCATTGTTTTTATTTATTTTTAGGAAGAAGGAAGGAAAAAGTGTTTTTTGTCGAAAAAAATTGTCTTTTTTTTGGCTGAATCGAATTTTCCAAGTTTTCTTTGTCAATTCTTCGTTTTTCTTTCGCTCTACGCAGAAATTTGATATTTTTGGATGAATTTTGAGTTAGCGAAAATAGATTTTTGAAACTCAGAGAGCAGAAAAAGGTTTCTTGAAAATGTATGGAATTTTTGAAAGGTTTTTATTTTTAGAAAATCAAGTTGGGCTAAATCAGATTTTTTTCGAAATCGAAAACTTCGCGGAACTTTTTTTCCCATGAAAATATTTTGCTCATTTAATTTTTTCACGCATTTTTTCTAAATCTGAATATCTTATTTTTTGCGATGAGAAAAATTCAGCCTGAAATTCTATTTTTCAAAGAAAAAAAATTAGAAAATCATTCGGATTTCCGGATTTTCAGGAACTAAAGTGTTTTTGAGAAAGCAATTCTGAAACTTTTTTTTCATAAAAAAATTCTAAATTTTTGGGAGTTACAGTACCTTTTGCAGTCCGGAATAGCTCTATGCTACAGTAATCCTTGTAGTTCTGAAAACATTTTGGACAACTGAAATTTGAAAAAAAAAATCATTTTTTTCATAAAAAGTTTCAAAAATTACATTTTTCACGTTCACGTGAACCTCCCCATTTCCAAAAAAAATACAGCAGATTTCCTGAAACTAAACTCTTTCCTGTCCCATTTCACCCAATCTTCTCCCTCTTCTTTCAAAATAAAGTACACAATCAAATTTGTTTCTCACCGAAAATTGTCAAATTTACTTTTCTTCTTCTATTTCTTTTTATAAAAAGAAGCAAATTTGCCCCGTTCTTCTTCTTCTTCCACCCAACAATTAAGCTTCTTCTTTCTGTCCTCAGCTCTTTCTCTTCTAATTTTATTATTATTATTATTTATTTATATTTCTCTTTCTTTCTTCTCTCTCTCTCTCTATTTTTTTCTATGTTTTCTCTGTGTCCATCTGTTCCATCTCTTGCTTTTTGAGGTCCTTTCGACTTTTCATGTGCTCAAAACCAAACACATAACTTTTTCTTCTTCTTTTCTCCGCCCCAAAGTCCCTCTGAGTTTTTTCCTTCCGTTGTACGTTTTGAAAATTGATCTAGACTTTCGATAATTCAATCATAATTTGAATTTTCTAATTTTTCTTTTTCGCTTCCCCCTTGTTTTCTAAAATTCCTTATAAGAAAAAAAAACGAACAAAAAATATTTTCAGGAATATTTTTCATTTTGATGAACCTACTCAAATAACAAAGTTTTCTGCAAAAATGACACATTCCATGTGAGTTTTTTTTGCATTTTTTTTTTTTGAAAAAATCAAAAAAATTCGAACTCCGCGCGGCTTTTCGGTCAATATTTGTTCGCAATGATGACATGGAAAATTGGGGCTATTATTTATTGACGTGATTTTTTGAACGAGAAAAAACAAGAAAGTTAAAGCAATAATCAAAGGTTCAAATACCGTAAGACAAAAATACAAAATACGAATTTATAGCTACAAAAAATTCTAGAATAATCCAACTCCCCATTCTTTTTCATTTTCAATTTAAAAATTACGTGCAAATTTCAAATTTCAAAAAAACCCCCCTAATTAGGTCTCAAGGCAACGAATAAAAAGTAGAAGAAAAAGAAGACGAAATAGATTTAGAAGAGCAGAAGAGAGCCCAGATGAAAAAAGGAGCATTTACATTCGCCCGCGCATTTATTTCACAAAACAATATTCTCGGTTAAAGTAGTGCGCCATTTGGGGCGACGTCGCACGCTAAATTTGACAAAAAATTTTGATGCGACGTCGCTCGAAACAGCGCCTCATTTGATGCGCTGTTTGTGGCGACGGCGCGCATTCCGGCGCTATTTCGGGCGACGGCGCACACTCGCACTACGGTAGGAAACAAAGTGTGCAAGCATTTTATATGACGCTCACCCTTTTATTTTTCTTTTTTTTTGGGCGGCCTCTTTTTGTTTGTGTTTTTCGAGGGTTTTCAGTATTTTTTTCAAAAGAAGTTGTAGTAAAATGATGAAAACCACGTTGATTTTATCTATTTATATGTTATTTGCTGCCGAATAAGTAGAAAGCTCGGCTCTATTAGGGGGAAAATGATTTTCAAATAGTTTTGTCATTTTTCGATGTATTTTTTCAAGCCGGAATATTTTAATTAAGTATTTAGATTTACGAGAAATTTTCTGGCAAGATTTCATTATTTTTACGTGAGCATGAGACGTCATTTCATTTTCAGTTAAATTCTTGATCCTAGAGTCAGTTTTTTGTTTCTTTTTCGAGCCAATGGCAATTTCCTATTCGTCTGGCTTGTTACTGCGATAAGATAGTTTTCAGATAACCGGAATTGGAAGTTCGACAATAAAAAACCAATACAACATATGGTGGCGTCACTGAAATCATTTTGTTTTGCGCGCTCCTCAGGTTTGATTTTTATGTATTGTCTTTCGAAAATTCAAAAAATCGTAGGTTAACTGATTGATTCTAGATTGGAACAATTGAAATATCATGAACAACATCGAGACGGTCGAAATGGAAACAGATCGAATGGCCAATCGACTAGGAAAACAAGAGATGGTAAGTGTTTTTCGATTTGAATCTCGAAATACAGACAATCAAATAAGTAAAAAGATAGCGAACCAGCTGATCTGGCATACCTTCCTGCCATATATCAAAATTTGACGAGGATTTGAATATCAAAATTTGATTCAATTTCGAATTTTTCATTTAAAAAATTCCAATAGTTTTCGAGCTGAAATACATAAAATTCATGGTTTTCAGCTCGAAAACTAGCATTTTCTCTCGAAAATCCCTGAAAATCGCGATTTTTCAGCTGAAAATTGTGATTTCCAAGGATTTGGGCAGAAAATCTGAAATTTGGCTTGAAATTTGAAAGTTTGCCTTGAAATTCACGTTTTTTTGGAAGAAATCGCAACTTTCTAGGTGGTTACTAAGCCTAAGCCTGAAGTGATGTTGAAATTTTGAAATAATTCTTATACTTTCGACATCATGTTCAGGTTTTAGACTTAGACTTAGCAAACCCCCTAAAAAGTTGCGATATGTCCCGAAAAAACCTGAATTCCAAGCTAAACTTTCAAATTTCAAGCCAACTTTCAGATTTTCTGCCCAAAATCCTTGGAAATCACAATTTTCAGCTGATAAATCGTGATTTTCAAGGATTCTCAGCAAAAAATCTGAAAATTTGCTCGAAATTCATGTTTTTTCGCGAGAAAATAAATTTTCAGCCCAAAATTAAGAAAATTTGGAATTTGCAGCTTTGCCTTGACCCGGAACCTTGAATTTTCAAATTTCAAGGTTTCCAGCGATTGAATAGCTGGATTTTCAATCAAAAAGGATTAAAATCTGGATTTTTTCTTCCTCAACCCTTAAGCTTGATATATGAGAATTCTTGCTTTTGATTGAAAAAAAGCTGGATTTTTAAACAAAAATGATGGAAATCTGAAATTTTCAGCTTTTCCCAGACCGGAGATCTTGAAATTTGATAATTCAAGGTTTCGAGCGAGGGAAAAGCTGGATTTTCAGCCAAATTTCTAGAAACATCCAATTTTTGGGCCAAATCAGACCGTATTTTCAAGAAAATCTGTAATTTTGGCCCCTGAGTCCGGTTTTCAACAAAAATCGGAATTTTTGACAAAAAAATGGGAAAAATTTGAAATTTCAATCAAATTTCTAGAAAAATCCCAATTTTGGGCCACATTTCGATAAAAAGGCCAAATTTTTGAAAAAATCTGTAATTTCGGGTCCATTTAACTTTTTTCGAACATTATCGCAAAAATAGTGGACACGTTTTTGTTAACTTTTCCTCAATTTTCTTTCATTTCGAAATGGATTCAAAAATGAGCACCGAGTTTGAACCACGAGTCAACAAAGCTCAAATGAGTTCTATTCTTAGAAAGTTAGCCTAGATAAGCCGAGTTTTACTAAAGTTATTAGAGTATAGGAAGATTATGAAAGTTCATATCTTACAATTCGCAGAAGTGCTTCGCTATGTTTATACCAATACCATTTTTCAGATTGCGACACGAGATTTTCAATCAACAACAAGCTGCCGCAGAGTCAAAAATAATTATTTATGTTATAACTTCTGTATTTAGAGTAAATAAATATCATTGTTTCAATATATGATGTTAATTTAGTATTCAATTCAGCTTTTCTAGCGCTTATCGAGCTTTTTCTGGTCCAAAAACGCTTTTTGGAAGGTTTGCTGCGCTATTTCGAGCGACGGCGCGTCAATTTATGCGCTATTTCGGGCGACGGCGCGTCGTTCTGATGCGCCATTTCGGGCGACGGCGCCCGGCTGTTTGATGCGCCTATCGCCCCAGATGGTAGCAACAGCGCCCCAAAAGTCAGCAAGTGGCGCATCACTTTATCCGAGTTGATTAAACTAGAGAAAAACTAGAGCATTTTTCATCCAATTTCTTCGTATTTTTGGTCGTAAGACGCTGGGAATTTATTATTATTATTTTGAATAGTATTCTAAAAAATGGAGTCATCGCGATCGCGCTCTTGTGAGCCGCCATCTTCGCGCAGCTCATTGTGGTCCGGAATGTTGGCGCAGAAAAAACCAGATGATAATTTCAGACGTCGACGAATGTCGAAAGCTCGACGCGAATCGCAGATGATTGAATTGTCAAGTTTGGGTGAGTTTTTAGAGGGGGGATTGAAAAAAAACACTTTAAAAATTTAAAAATAATAAAAAAACACAGTCGACTCTCATGCTACAGTAAGAAACACTACGAGACCCAAAATATGTTTGTTGTGTGCCTTTGATAAGTGTACTGTATTTTTAAATATTTTTTTTCATTTTTTTTTGTGGGCTTTGTACAGATATCTGGGATTATCCGGCTTTAGACACCTATTTAGAAGGCTTCATTTAGACCGGCCTAGTTTCTACCTTCAGCCGTAACTCGATAAAAACATGAACTTTTTCAAAGTTCACCCCAAATCATATTTTCCCAGACACACTCATTCTTAAGGGTCCACTTTATTCAAATGTTCGTGGGAAAATGTTAATAGTTTTTAGGTTGTTTTATGGGACCAAGTTCAAAAAAAATTCGGTAATCCCAGTAAAAAACAGTCATCAATTACCTTCTTCTTCACCATTCTTATTTTTTCTTCATTTTTATCCATTCAAAAAAAAGGCAGGGGGCTCCACCGCCGTTTTTTGCTCCTCTTCTTCGTCTTTCTTTCTTCATACATACGCCGAAAGCACAAAAAGCATTCGCGTAGTTGTGCTCCATTTCTCTGATCGTCTCGCCACTCTCCTCACATCCCTCGCTATTTTTCGCGGTTTCTGAAAAATGGAAGATGAAGATGAAGAAGAAGAAGAAGAAGTCTGTGTATGTGACAACAACTGTTTTGTGAAATGAGTAATTTCGAGGGGGGAAACCTAAGTTCGCTCAATTGAGAATAAATATACAATGTGGGGAAAGTGCGCTCTATCGAACATTTAATTTTAATCCGCTGAAACGTGGTTTGCATCATCTTTAAATAGCACAAAGTTGTCCAAAAACAGAAAAATTTCTATTTTGAGTTGAAATAATCGGTTTGCTGATCATTTTAACACCATAAATTATCAAAAAGAGTAAAAACTGATAAGAAAATTATTCTAAACTGTGAAAAATGGGGCCGCATACTCCATCTACGGTAACATTTCATGTTGGATGTGATACTTGTGATCTAGACACACCGCTGAGCCGAAAATGTCATGTTCATTTTTGTGAGTTGACCTCAGGGACCTTCCAAAAATATTCCCATCCAAAAATAAATAATAACAATTTCCAGCTCCCGGCACAAGAGTCATGTTCCTATTGAAAGAGAAAGATGATACACCGGCACTTTTCACGGAAATGGGCGAATTGGGAGCAGAAGAATGGCGGGAGACTGCGAGATGGGTGAAATTTGAGGAGGATGTTGAACAGGGTGGAAATCGATGGTCGAAACCGCATGTTGCAACACTTTCACTTCACGCGCTGTTTCAGTTGAGAAGTTGTTTGATGAATGGATTGTTTTTGAATGATTTTCCCGAAAATGATATGCAATCGATTTTTAGTGGGTTTTTTTGAGGGGAAGAAATGTCTTGGGAAAATGTTTTGACATTTTGGAAATTAAGTGGAAAGGTTCACGTTATCTTATCAATTAAATTTTGAATTAATTTCAAAAATTAACAATTTTGAATAAATAAATGAATTTGAAAAATGTAAAGAGCAATTTTGAGACAAAAAAAAGGGACTAGAAAATTTCTAGTCCCTAAGGCTATGTTTTCCTAGTCCCTCCATTTCTCTAGTTTTTTTTTCCTGGGGCTCTATATGCTCTACACTTTTAATACAGATTCGGACAATTTAGAGATGAATATCTTTCACTATGTTTATTTCTAAATGGCTTGCCGGCCATTTCAGCTTAAGAATTTAAAAAAAAATTCAGAATTTAAATCCCCTCAATTTCCAGCTTCGATCGTCGATGAGCTGATAAAAAGTGGCGATTTGCCAGCAGAAAATCGTGAAGACTTACGCGAAGTTCTTCTCCGCAAACACGTCCATCAATACGAGCAGGTACAGCTTTTATTTCCTCTCATGATTTTTCCCGATCCCAAACATTTTTGAATAGCCCGGTTTCTGGTCAACACATCCGTCCACTTCTAAACACCAGGTGAATTCGATATTTTTGCTGTTATTAACATTTTTTCTTGAATTTTATATGGTTTGAAGTTTAGCTTTTAACAGCAAAAATTTGAATTCACGTGGGTTTGGAAAAGGTGTGATCTTTGAAAAATTGATAAGGTGTGAAATATTTTTTGTACCGAAAGAGAATATTTCGAGTGATAAGAGGAGATTAGAAGTGGAGTCGCTTTCGTCATCAAACAGAAATTTCATGAAAATTCGAAACACGGCTGTTAAATAATATTAATTGCCGACCTCATGACGTCACAAACTTTTGTGCTTTTTCGTTACAAATTTATCACTATAGCATCTTTTCACCCTGACCAAATAATCACAAATTCAAAAAGCAAACAAATACAAATGAATTTATACATTTTATAGGCCAAGAAAAACGGGGCTGAAAAATCTGGAGGATTTTTGAGCACAGTTCGATCGATTTCGGATATTGGAAAATCGTTTTCCCATGGAAAGAATTTGGGAAAAATTGAGGAACAACCAGCACAAGGAGGAACATCTTCGAATCAATTAACACTTCCCAATGTTGAATCAGTTAGCAATGTATCAAAAGAAGAAGATGCGTCGAAAGGAAATCTTCATTTTTTGAAAAAATTGCCAGCTGGAGTTGAAGCAAGTAATGTGCTTATTGGAGAAGTGAGTACAAAAAAATTCTATTCGGCTTCAAAAATCATTTTAGGTAGACTTCTTGACAAGACATGTTTGCGTTTTTGTTCGACTGAAGAATGCGAATCAACTAGGAGATTTAACCGAAGTTCCAGTTCCAACCAGATTCATTTTCTTGCTTCTTGGTCCAACTGGACATGCACAACAATACCGAGAGATCGGAAGAGCTATTGCCACACTTATGGCTGATGAGATTTTCCACGATGTTGCTTATGGAGCTAGAGATACTGATGATTTATTGGATGGTATTGATGAGTTTTTGGATCAAGTGACAGTGTTGCCGCCTGGTGAATGGGATCCGAATATTCGCATAGAGCCACCGAATAAATTGCCGTCGCAGGAAAAACGAAAACAATTAGGAAAAGAATTATTAGTTGAAGAATCTGCCGAAAAACCGCATGCGAAAAAAGTTATTGAGGAAGAGGAGGAAAATGCGCATGGCAATGATCCAGCTCTCAAAAGAACTGGAAAACTGTTTGGTGGATTGATTTTGGATATCAAACGAAAAGCTCCACATTATATTTCGGATTTTACCGATGCATTTAATATGCAATGTTTGGCCTCGATTTGTTTCATGTATTTCGGACTTCTTGCACCAATTGTTACTTTTGGTGGACTTTTAGAAGAAGCGACACATCAAAGAATGGCAGCGATGGAAAATCTATTCGGAGGTGCTTTATGTGGTGTGATCTACCATCTGTTTGCCGGACAACCCTTGACAATTGTTGGATCTACTGGACCGGTTCTCGTTTTCGAAACTATTGTCTACGATTTCTGTCATCGATTTGGTATCCAATATTTAAGTTTCCGATTCTGGGTTCATGTTTGGACTGCAGTTATCCTGTTCATAATGGTTGTTACTGATGCAAGTTCATTGGTTTCATATATTACTCGATTTACCGAGGAATCTTTCGCCACTTTGATTGCTGTTATTTTCATTTATGAAGCAATTATGAAATTGGTGAAGATTAAAGGACAATTGGATGTTATTGAATATTCGCGAAATGCTGTTGAAGGAAATTGTTTTTGTATTCCAAATGTTGGAAAACCTACAGTCAGTCACGAAAGAGCTATTCATTACATCGAACAACACAAACTAACAATTCCACACAATTCAACATTCATCGATGTCGCCAAAGCTGGATTGAGTGATTGCCGTGGAATCGGTGGAGCTTTTGGGGGAGACTCCTGTTTTCCACTCTATGACAAACTTCTCATGTCAATTTTGCTCACAATCGGAACATTCTTCTTGGCGACAACGTTGAAAAAGATGCGCAACTCGTGCTATTTCCCGTCGCGAGTTCGTCAAACTCTTTCGGATTTCGCTGTGATGATTGCGATTGTTTCGATGACATTGGTTGATATTCTTGTGGGAGTCAATACGCCGAAATTGAATGTGCCAAGCACTTTCAGAGTGAGTTTTTTGAACAAAATTGAGCGATTTCAATAAATCTGAAATATTTTCAGCCAACATGGGAAGGTCGTGGTTGGTTCATTCCACCGTTCGATGGAAATGCATGGTGGACAGCTCCACTTGCATTCATTCCAGCTCTTCTCGCATGTATTCTCATTTTCATGGATCAACAAATCACAACAGTCATCGTTAATCGCAAGGAGAACAAATTGAAAAAAGGATGCGGATATCATTTAGATCTTTTGGTTCTTGCTGGATCAATTATCATGGTCGGATTTCTTGGACTTCCGATTTATGTAGCCGCCACAGTTTTATCAATTAATCATATTAATTCATTGAAAGTCGAGTCAGAATGTAAAGCACCAGGAGAAGTTGCACAATTTGTCGGAGTTCGTGAACAACGTGTGACTGGAATTGTTACTTTCCTCATTATCGGTTTATCTGTTCTCGCAACTAATGTAAGTTTTTTTTGAATTACTTAAGAAAATTTATTTTAAAAATCAAATTTTCTAGGTACTTGGCCGTATTCCAATGCCAGTTTTGTATGGTGTATTCTTATACATGGGTATCTCAGCTCTTGGTGGAATTCAACTCTTCGACAGAACTTTACTCTTATTCATGCCAATGAAATATCAACCGGATACTATATACATTCGACATGTTCCAATCAAGAAGATCCATTTGTTTACCGCATTCCAGATTGGATGTTTGGCTCTTTTGTGGGTTATTAAGTCAATCAAATCGACATCTATCTTATTCCCAATTATGGTAACTTTTATAGATTTTGTCAAGAAATCTATAATTTAATTTACAGCTTGTTGTTATGGTTGCAATTCGTAAATTCATGGAAAAAGCGTTCACCACAACTGATTTGAAATATCTTGATGATCCAATGCCTGATTTCCACCTCAGAAAGAAGGAAGATCTTAAAAGAAGACAATCGGAGGGAGAACCGGTTGAAATTGAAATCGATAATGAGAATCAAGCAACAATTCATGCTGTTAAAACCGAAGCCCATTTACATATTCCAATGGCATCTGGAAATGTTATCAAGATTCCATTGGCTGCGATTCAAGAACCATCGCATCAAATTAATTTGACAAAAGAGGTTAATAATAGTGGAATGTGGAAACACATTAGTTCGACGGATTCGAAAAATTCGCTAGTGAAGGATATGCCTCAAGAGTGAGTTAATTTTTTTCAATTCTTGGGAAACAACAAGAAGTTTTTAGGCCTGAATCATCGAATCCTGCACCAATTGAACAACCTGAAGATGATGATGATCCGATTATGATCAAAGTTATTCGCCCATCGCCTCATCCTTCTCAATCAAATCTCAATGAGAATACTCCATTGTTAAAGGAGGATGAAGCCAACAAATCGACATCATCTAATGAGCCAAATGTCTGATGACAAGAACTTTAATTGCTATTATTATTTTTTTAAATTAGTTACTGATTTTTGTCATTGCCATAATTTAATTGCTGTTTTCTTTTATCACCCCCGACGAATCTTACTTTTTTTCTTTCATTTCTTGTTTTTCTGCTAAAATTTATGTATTTTTTTAGTACAAAACTACTCATGATTTTACCTTTATAAGGGTTTTCCTTGTATTATTTGTTAGTTTCTTATGAAATAAAAGTGTTTTGAAAGTTACAGATTGATTCTAAATACAAAACGGAGTTCTCTAAACTCGAATAATTTCTGAAATGCCGGGAGATTCGCGGGAAATGAAAGCGAAACGTGAAAAAAAAATGAAAAAAAAAAATTAAATTTCGAATTGTGCGTCAAATAAAATGCAGGGTGTGCAATTACACTTTTACGCACAAATGCAGATTCGGCGTTTGAAAATTTTCGTTTTATTTTTTTTTGTTTGTTTTCGTCGTCCTAACTCGGTTTACAGCTCGTTCTCTAGATTTCTGATTTTACTAGTATTCTCCCTGGGAAAAGCAAAGCTTGAAAGACTCTCAGGGTTCCCAATGTTCATACATTTACCGTGTCCCTTTTAAAATCCGGGGGGGTTCCCATTTTTAAAAATCCCCAAAAAATACAATAGGCGAGCAGCGTGTTTTCTATTCTGCAGCGCCTTTTCGCGTCAGCGCGTAAGATTAAATGTTTGCGGACCAGTTGGTGTTGACACACACTTTTAATTTTTTCGTTCTTTCTTTAGGTTTGGGATAAATTGTTAAATAGAAGACCTTCTCAGTTATCCCATCCATAATTTCATGTTTACAGATGGAATCCGGTAGATTGTTTGATATTGCAGTAAGTGATTCTTCGACAGCTTTCGCCTACATTGATACGGAGTCAAAAGATGATGAATGTAAAATTGAAATCGTTGAAAAAGTGTGCCAACAGCGAGTGGTTTTCAGTAAACCAAGTGTTCGACGATTGATTATTGAAATGTATGCGGCTTTCAATGATTGTCAAAAGTTGGCCCAAAATGACGATGTTTTAGATCCAACCACGTAAGACTTTTATTGATATTTGGCTTGTAGATAACAGTATTTTCATCATAGGTCTTGCGAGATTTCGCGTTCATATCGATCAATTTTGCTCAACGCCGCGATTGCTCACTCAAATTCTGATCTTCTTGATGATTTTTCCTTGTGGTCGCTTTATGAGAAACTTTATTTCTCAAGAAGTGACGGTTCGATATGTGCTGATTTGATTTCATGGGCCAACGAGAGTTTCACATTTGTCAAAACCGCAACACTCAAAGCGGCCGAAGAATTCAATCCATCTGCCGAACAACAATCGGAAGAATATTGGAAAGGAGTTGCGCTTTCATTGCTCACTTGTAACTTCAAGGAATGTATCGAGCTATTATCAATGTTTTCGAATGAACCAGCTGTTGATCGATTTTTGAGTTCTCTCGAAATGTTCAGCACTGATTTATTGATTGATGAAGGGAAAACAGATAAATTAAATGAGTGGAAGGAAACTTTGACAAATAACCTGAAATTTGGAAAATATGGAAATCAACAAAACATCATTTTTCTCACTAAATTACTTATTGGTAACGAAGATGTAAGTAACGCGGAATATTTTTATTTACAATCAAGAAATGTTATTTTTTTCAGTATTTGGGTGCTATGGCTTCGAGATTGATTGATAATTGGTGGACATTTATTCCCTTCTATGTTCTTGTCAAAAATCCATTGGCAAACTATGGAGAATTCGTAAATTCGGCTGATGAATGTAGACAATTATTTGAAGATCCTGAAAATACGAAAAATGAACCAGATGTGTTTTGGTGTCTCATTTCAAAGGACGATGCTAGCTTCTATCAATTAATTATGGACAATCCTTGGCTCTCAGTTCATCTCGTTGATTTGATTCAGAAATCAACAAAAGACGCAGAATTGATCGATTTGCGGAGAAACCTTATTCTAAACTATGCATCCAGTTTGATATTGCATTCAAGTTTATGGGAAATTGGAGTTGGATATTTGCTACAATGTGGGACTGAAGGATTGCTTCGATTAGAATCACATATCGAAGGAATTCATATTGAAGATGAGGAAATGGCTGAAAATCTCTTTGAAATTTGCGAAATAAATCGATTGGATGATGCGAAAAGTTGTGTGACAAATACAATGACTTATCGATATTTGAGAATGGAAGAATGGAGTGCTGCACTCGGATGGGCTCTCAAATCTGGAAGTAAAAAATCAATCGATACTGTTGTTTCAAAGTAAGGTTCTTTTTATCTTTTTCCTCTAAAGTAAATATTTTCAGAATTGTCGGAAGTAGCAGTCGCGAAGAAATGGCTTCTCTAAGTGTTCTCAATACTTTACGAGTTGATTCAGTTCACAAACCTTCCCTTTCATTTTTATATAATTATCAAAGATTTGTGAAAATGATGCAAAGTGGAGAATTGAGCGATTGTGTAAAGGTAACTAATTATTGGAGAAAAATTTTGAATCTGAAAATTTGCAGCATCTTGTTCCACTTATCATGATGCCCGATGTTCCAACACAATATTATTCAGATTTGTTTGATTATTTGATTTTCATCATCAAAGAGGATGATATGGTGAGTTTTTTCTAATGAAAGTCGATAATTGTTTCTGAAAATCTAAAAATTTCAGAGAACTGGAATTCGCTTCCCCAAAGAGATTCTCTACGAACTATCAACATTTTTGGCCACATTTTCGTTGGATAAAAGTGTCGATTTGGAAGATGGATATTTGAGACGAGTCAAAGTTCTGAAGAAAATGGTAATGCTGAAATTGGCCGAATCGATATCGAAAGGAATCATGTGCCAATAGAGAATTCCTGGTTTTTTTTCGTATTATTTTGATCTCTTTTTGTTTTTATTTATTTATTCTTATTTTTTTCTCGCTTTGGAAAGGTTTTTTTGTGAATAAGAAGTTTTATATTATAATTTTTTATTGAATTTCCTTTTTTACTCGTTTTCAGCGAGACAAAATATATATTTCTTTCTAAATTATACAAAAAGATTTTCAGATGGATTTAGTTCAAATATTCCAGAAATTTCAGGTCGTTCTAGAGTTTTTGGCTAAAAATTTCGTATTTTTCAGATTTCTATGATTTTACTCTGAATTGAATTCCAATAGAAATAATTTAAAAAATATTTTTTGACAAAAAATTTCGAATGTCAAAACTATATTTTTTTGATATTTTTTCACAGAAAAAGTGTTAAAAATACGAAAATTGGCAGTTTTAATATGTTATAATTAATTTGAAAGACGATTTGATCAATTTTTAGTCAAAAACTCTACAAGAACCTAAAATCTTTAGAATATTTGATAAAAACTAAATCCGCCTGTGTTAAAAACTCCAGCCAAACTATATTCTCAATCCAAAAAGCCCCACCCCCATTGACAAATGCATGCACAAGAATAAAATAGCGAAGCGATTCAAAACTCGCTCTACCGCACACTATGCATAAGTTCTTTTCTCGTCTCTTTCTTGCCCCCCTCCTCATCCCAACTTTTTTGTCTTGCCACTTTTGCCCCGCTTTGTGCGTGGTTTATGTTGTGTTATTGGATTTAGCTTGGCTTGAAAGAAAACGTATTCGATTTTCGATTTTTCCCAAAATATTTATTATTTGGTGACGTTCCACGTGTTCTTATTTTTTATTTCCATTTTCAAAATATTCAATAAGCTATCTCATTTCGCATTTATTTCATTTCAGGCAGTTGTGTGCGTGCGGCGTGCATAACTTTGCCTAACAAACGAAGTGAACGCGACGGCTTCTGCTCGTTGGCGTCAATTGGAACCATCGTCTGGTGAAGAAGAGGATTCGGCGTCGGGATCACACTCGAGACGAGGACGGTTCGCAGCAGCCGCGGCATCGCATCAAAGACAACAACAACAAGTAGTTCAAGCTAATAAAGCACCATCTGAAGCGGCCAGTTTATCAGGTTCAGCAGATATGAGCAGCTCTGAAGAGGTGAGCGATTTTGGGAGGGTAGGAAAACGTGGAGACTCTAATTGCATTTTTTCTATTAAAATACTTACGGGAAAATTGATCAAATTTTATTGTTTTGGCTCATTTTCATTTTTAAAAACCCCAAATTTGAGCTAAAAAGAATTTCAAAGAGTGAAACTTTGATTTCAAGCCTGTAATTCCCTTTTCTAGACCAGAATTGACCAAATTCCGAGATTTTCAACACAAAACTCGTCAAATTTCCTTCTCTGGCTCTAAATCATCGAAATTTGATGAGTTCCGGCTCAAAATTCTCCAAAACTCCACATTTCAACTTCCTACCTCAAAATATATCAAATTTCACGATTTTCAGTCTAGAATTCATCAGATTTCAAGTTTATATGTTCAAAATTCATCGAAAATCCCAAATTTGAGCTTAAAAGATTTCCTAGAGAGAGAGGCTAAAAACATGAATTATTTATCGATTTTGCGCGCCTAATCCTCTTTCCCGCTGAAATTTGATTATAAAGCGTCATTTTTCTCGATTCGATAGGGAATTGGACTTTTTTACTTGATATAGAACTATATTTTTGTCCAGAAAATTTCCACGATATCTCAGAGAAGGTCTGGCTGGAACGGCGCGGTTCGCGAAACCCAAAATCTGCCAATCCGCGGCTGACACAAGAACTTTAGCGAAACGTCCGCGAAATTATACTCCGCTGTTAGCGAAACGTCCGCGCAATGCACTCTCGAAATATAAAAATGCTTCACTACCCCTGATAATTATCAGAAGTTAGTATTGACTTGTAGTTCCAACCCGGCCTCGATCCCAATCCTGTCGTTTTGTAGTCATCCATCTTCCTTGCTGCGCTATCCTCGTTGTCGCGTACGCGATACAATTTATCCTTTTTGTACCCTCCCTCTCGAGTCCATCCGCTGATCCGCGAAAAACGCAAAAAAATCAAATTTCCAAGTCAAAAAATTTCGCGCAAACCTCACCCAAGAACCTGGAGAAGTAGGGAAAAAATTGCCCACCTGGGTTTATTTTCAAAAATTGCCCACCTAGTAAAAAAAAATTTGCCCACCTGAGGCTCGCCTTAAAGACCCTAAAAAAAATTTGCCCACCTGAGGCTCGCCTTAAAGACCCTAAAAAAATTTGCCCGCCTGAGGCTCGCCTTAAAGACCCTAAAAAATTTGCCCACCTGAGGCTCGCCTTAAAGACCCTAAAAAAATTTGCCCAGCTGAGGCTCGCCTTAAAGACCCTAAAAAATTTTTGCCCAGCTGAGGCTCGCCCTAAAGACCCTAAAAAATTTTTGCCCACCTGAGGCTCGCCTTAAAGACCCTAAAAAATTTGCCCACCTGAGGCTCGCCTTAAAGACCCTAAAAAAATTTGCCCACCTGAGGCTCGCCTTAAAGACCCTAAAAAAAATTGCCCACCTGAGGCTCGCCTTAAAGACCCTAAAAAATTTTGCCCACCTGAGGCTCGCCTTAAAGACCCTAAAAATTTTGCCCACCTGGGGTTCGCCTTAAAGACCCTAAAATTTTTTTGCCCACCTAGATTTTTCGAAAAAAATTGCCCACCTAGGTTTTCCGAAAAAAAATTGCCCACCTGGAATTCCAGGTGTTGGGTGAGGTTTGAATTTCGCGGAATGCGCGAAATTAGACTCTCATTGGCTGAAGTTTCGCTGTCCGCGAAATTTTTTTCGCGGAATCCGCGTAATGATTTTCACCCAAAAATCGGTGAAAAATCGTCCGCGGACCGCGCCGTTCAAGCCATACTTTCTCTGAGATTTTAAAGTTTTCTATTTATTTACTGCTAACAAGATCTCTGAGATTTCATTCTTAGCTTTTTTCTCAATACTTTTCTAAACTATATTACTTCCTCAGAGAAATAGGAAAATTTTTGAACCCTATTTTCTTAACCCCCAAATTTTAAACAAAAAAAATCGCGTTATCAGTTTTGGTCTCAGCTGGTTTTTCTTTTCCTTCTTTCTCAATACATTTCTTCTTCTTTTTTCTTCCCCTTTCTTCTTTTTTATATTTATAATATGACAAAAAATAGATAATCAATAACTGTTTCTTATGAGTTGTACAAATTCGACGGTTAGCCAATTTCCCCTTTCTCCTCTCGTAAAATTGAAAATTCTTGCAGGTTTCCTGGATCACTTGGTTCTGCGGATTGCGTGGAAATGAGTTCTTCTGCGAAGTCGACGAGGAATACATTCAAGATCGTTTCAATTTGACTGGACTCAATGAGCAAGTTCCAAAATATCGACAAGCGCTCGATATGATTTTGGATTTGGAGCCGGAAGACGAGTTGGAGGACAATGCGACGAATACGGATTTGGTCGAACAAGCCGCCGAAATGTTGTATGGTTTGATTCATGCTAGATATATTTTGACGAATCGCGGAATTGGACAGATGATTGAGAAATGGCGCGATCATGATTTTGGAGTTTGTCCGCGTGTTTATTGTGAAAATCAACCAATGCTTCCAATTGGTAAGTTTTGAAATATGGAAATTTGGTAGCACAGATATATCAGGTTTTTTTTGTTCTCAAAAAAATAAGATTTTTAATGAAGTGTAGGTTTTCTAGTAGATTTCGACCCGCTGATCACGATTCCGTCGACTAAAATTACCGAACTCAACTCCTAAAAAGAGTTATGACGTGGCAAAGTTCGGAAATTTCAAAAAATCGGCGGTCAAAACTCGCTTTCAAATCGGTTTTCTGAACAACGCTATAACATCAGATTTTGACGAAAAACGAGTTTTGACCTCCAAAAGTCGCAATTTTTCACAATTTTCCAACTTTGCCACGTCATAACTCATGTTAGAAGTTGAGCTTTGTAATTTTAGACAACGGAATCGTGATCAGCGTGTCGAAAATTACTAGAAAACATGAAAACATTTCATTAAAAATCTCGATTTCAACTTGAAACAGTTCGGATTTGCTACTTCCAAAGCTGAATTCCACACATCGTTTTTCGATTCAAAGCCTAGATCTATTTATAACTCCAAATCCATATTTGCAGGTTTATCCGATGTTCCCGGCGAAGCAATGGTCAAACTCTATTGTCCACGTTGCAATGACGTGTTCATCCCACGCTCTTCCCGCCATCAACACACCGATGGAAGCTACTTTGGCACCGGCTTCCCGCACATGCTCTTCTTTGTTCACCCAGATCTCCGCCCACGTAAACCAGTCACTCAATTTGTTCCAAAGTCAGTTGTTTTTCTTTTTCGAAATTTTTTATATCATCCTAATTCTTTTTTTATAGGTTGTATGGATTCAAGATTCACCCAAGAGCTTATGGAGGTCAAGAAACTCCATCGACTGGTCAAAGTAATTCAAGCGCGCCCCAAAATCAGGCAAATAATCAGTTCAATAATTATGGAGTTTAGAATTCCACTCTTCTCTCACTTATTTTTTCTATTAAAATAAAAGTGACTGAAAAATTGTATTGCGTGTTGACCCGTTCCTTTGTTGTTTTCCCTCTTTTCCTTTCCTTCCAACTTGATTTGTCTCGAAAAAATATTTCAAATCTTACGTTTTTTCGAATTCCATTTTATTTTAATTATTCTTTTTTTGTATGTCTCGCCTATTGATTGAAATAAACTAAGTTTGAAAATTTATCCCTGAAAATTTGTAACCCGGGAAAAATACGTTTCAAATATTCTACGCGTTTGATCCGAGAAACGGAAATAGACCTAAAAATCAAAAAATGTGTGCAAACACTTTGACGAGAAAATACACTTTGATCGTAGCCGCGCGCGCGGGTCAAAAAATATTTGAATTTTATAATTTTTCGCGTGAATTTCAGTTATTTTGGATGTTTTGACGGTGAGTTTTCATCGCGTCAAGACCACATAAGTACTGTAGCAATTGTTTCAGCTGTGTTTCTTTTTTTTTTAGCTTCCCCCCTCTCTCAAACTTCTGAAATAATACACTACAGTGTAGTATGAATTCCAAGTATTTATTTTTCTCAACTAGAGCAAATTCGCTCTATCGACAATGTGTGAAGAAATAGAAGAGAGCGGAGAGAAATAGACAAAAAACATGTGAAAAGTGAACCTCGTCATGTGTTTTACTACTTTTTTGCAATGCTTTGAGAAAAATTTTCAATTTGTTTTGATTCAACAGCTGAAATATACTTGTTTTTTATTGTTTCCGCGAGAATTTATTGATTTTTCTTGAAACCCCATTGAAAATTTTTGTTTTTTTTTGCAGAATACTAATAGTGAAAGAAGTATAATAATAATCAATAAATATGAGCAACAGCAAATCGTCGAGAAATGTATCAATGAGCGGCGTGTCAACCGATAAATTGCTGACTTTTCAAGTCATACCAGATGTTGGGTTGAAAAGCGACAAGATTGAATTTGTTTTGGGAATGCCGTTGAATCAAGTGTTGACGATGATACAGAAGAATGCAATGTTGTTGAAACAAGTCGAGTTGAGATATTCGAGAAGGGTAGGGATTTGTAGTTATTTTTTTTTGAGTTTCCATAGAGACAAGAGAATCTGTTCTTCAAATTTTCAGTTTTAGACGAAGTCCATTTATTGATCCTTCTCTAAATAAGAGTTATGAAAAGTCCCGTTAAATTCTGTTGATGTAAAAATCAGCTATGACGTGGCAAAAGTGTTAATAATCCTAAATATTATTGTCGAAGTTGAAAAAAGTGGCTGCCATAAAAAATAAAAACCAATGCAGAATAAATGAAAAAAACATTTTTCGTCAGTCGCGTGCGGCTGTGCGTCGCGGTCGGGAAACAATCGAAAAAGTTCAAATTTCCTTTGTTTCCGGACCGCGACGCACAGCCGCACGCGACTGACATTGGTTTTTATTTTTATGGCAGCCACGTTTTTCAATTTCGACAATAATAGGATTATTAACACTTTGCCACGTCATAGCTGATTTTTACATCAACAGTTTTAGCTTTTATTTTTCACGTGACATTTTCAAAATTCCACGACACTCCACGTTTCCACCCCCGCCTTTCTCTTTCATTTCCCCATTTTTCCATTTCAGGATCCCGTGCATCGCGATGTCTCGGTTTATTTGGTTTCCGATGGAATTCAATTGATTTTCGACGGAGTTACCCAACTTGCAAAACTCATTGAAGTTGACAATTTATCAAGAATCATTTTGAAATATGGAAATTCGACATTTTCGGAACCTGGAGCTGAAGCTTCCATGGAAAAAGTGAATGAATGTTTTGGTTCGACACATCCGGGAGCCTATGATGAAAAACAAAAAATGTATGTACAAAGTTGGCCGGGATTGTCATTTTGTTTTCCGACTGATTCGAATGATAAAATTGAAGTTACGGTAAGTTGAAGATTATTTATAGTTACAATAACTCGCTTGTTGTTTAGCCCGGTTTCGGCCCAAATCTTCGCTCACTGAAATATGATGCAAATTCACAACCGCGACTAACAAAAATGTCAATTTATCGAGGCACAAATTTGAGTCAACCCGAATCGGTCGATATTCCATTTGCCAATTATTGTGGGGAGAATCGGACGCGGCGGGTTGAAGCGATTTGGGAAAATGAGATTTTGATGGGCTTGGATATTTGTTTTGATACACAGAGTGAGTTTTGGGAACATTTTTATGGAGAAAATCAAAAGCATGCTGATTTTTAGCTTTTTTTTCGAAAAAATTGCAGAACTTAATATGAGTTGTGACGTGGCAGGATTTTAGGAGCTGAAAACTGGGTTCAAAAATGATTCTCATGCAAATCTGATAGCACGGGGTTGTTCAGGAGGATCAATAACATGAGTAAACTTCATATTTTCAATCAATTTTGGAAAATTAATTTTGTTATTTGGAAAATTCAGACATTTTTTCACAAAACAAAATTAATTTTTCAAAATTGATTGACTTATTTTATCGATCCTCCTGAACAACACTACGCTATCAGATTTTCATGAAAAAACATTTAAAGCTAGTTTTCAGCTTCCGAAAGTCACGACTTTTCGAAATTTGCCACGTCATAACTCATATTAGGAGTTGAGTTCTGTAATTTTTTTTCGAAAAAGTTACCTTGTAAGCAGGCATAATTTTGATTTTCTCATCTTTATCTTCGCTAAAATGATTTCATAATCTTTAAATTGAACTGTAAATTTTCATATCTTGAAAAATAGTTTAAAATAATTCTTCTCCAAATTATGCGGCTTTTTGGCCATCAAATTTTCGTTCCTCAATTTTTTTTCCAACAAAACCCCATAAAATTTTGAGAATTTTTATTTGAAAAAGCTATATTTTCCTAGTTTTTCCAATCTCAATTTAATTAATTTTTTCCTAGAAGTAAATTTGAATTCATAATCTTTCAAACTTGAAAAATAATTTAGAATAATTCCTCTTCGAATTATGCGGCTTTCCGCCCATCAAATTTTCGTTCCTCAATTTTTTTCCAACAAAACCCATTAAATTTTGAGGATTTTTATTTGAAAAGCTCCCCATCTTCTTCGATTTTCCTCTCATTCCTTTTGTTTTTTCCAGACGGTGCAATTATCGATGGAGATTTTGATGTGTTCACCACCAAAAGATCAGTATACTTCGGCGATTCGGTTTCAACAGTTCAATCAACCCTCGGTGCCCCATCAAAAATCTATTATAAATCGGATGATAAGATGAAGATTCATCGAGGCGCGTCGAAAGAAACATTTGGTGGACAACCGCACTTCTTTTTCAACTATTTCAGTATGGGAATCGTGAGTTTTTGTTTTCTCGTATTTAATAATTGTGTAAAGCATGGTCTCCTTCTAACCGTTTATTGGTGGTTTTTGCATAGTTTTTTCGTTGGTCCTTGGTCCGAAAAAAGAGTTGCGCTCTAATTGTTTTGGCTCCCCTCCACACTTTAGGCACTCGTACTGTTTTTTCTCTCTCTGAAGGTGTTTTATCGATTTTTTTCAGTTTCTTACCCTTTTATCATCACATTCCAAATTTTCTTGGCACTTTGTGCGCTCTAATTAGCTATGGCTAAAATGTGATTATTGAATTTTTTGTTGACTGAAAACAGTTCACATGACAGTTTAGCACTCGTACAATGTTTTTAACATGAGCAATTTCCCCTTTGTGAATGCGATTAACTTCTGAACAATGTTTTTCTAAGTTCCGTCATGTTTTTCCGGGTTTTTTTTTCTATTCATATTTCCACTCGCACAGGTTTGAGTGCTTTTTGGCGAAGTTTTTTGAAATACAAATCACACTCGCACAGAGTTTTTGAATGAGTTTTTTGTCTGAATCAGAAGGCTTGTGTGGAATGAGTTGTAGTTTTTTTTCTTGATTATGTCTGGCTTTTTTGATGGAACTTTTTGATGGAACTTTGGTACTGGAATTTTTGGGAGATTTTTTACTAGTTGAAATCAGGAAATTTTTGATGGGATTTTTTGGTATTGACTTTGAAAATCGCAGAAATTTGATAAATTTATGAAAGTCTCTAATTAAAATTCGTACGATTATTTTGATCCCAAGAAATTTGAATGTAATCTTTCCGAATCTGGGACTTTTTTCGAAATTTTAATGAAAATTCTAAGCCTTTCTACATTGGAATATCAATTTTCCTGAAGTTTTCAACGCTATTTGAAATGTGAAATTTTTTTTGAAAATCTGGAATTTCTGAAAAATTTTCCTGAATTCAAATCTGAAAAAAACCCCTCCTAAAAGTTTTGGAACCAAAACCATTTTCAAAAACTTGTAATTTTTCGACCTCAAGTGATCCCGCAGTTCTATCCTCCCCTAATGTCGTCAAAAATCTAGCGTTGAATGATTTTTCTAACTGCTACCTCTTTATCCAAAATTCGAACACTCGCACTGATTTCTTTTCTTCGCCCCCCTAAATGTATTTAAAATGTTTAAGCATGTTCCTTACCGCCCGCCCCGACGCAATTTTCGTGACACTCGCACTCTTCAAATATTCACAATTCCCATAACTACAACAATTCAAATGTACTGACCGCGCTTTTTGATATTTTTCGCTTCCTTCTTTTCTCTATCCGGCTAACTAATGAATCTATTGGGAAAAGTACACGCAATCGTAGTGTGGTGATGATGATAATCTAGGATATGTTGCCTTTTGTTTTGTTTCTTCCTCCTTCCTACTCTCTTCTGCTCCTCGTTTACACGAATAAGATTTACGGCCATCAAGTTTTTTGATGTGTTGTTGTTGTCGGATGCTTCTTGTGTGTGCTTTTCTGCGCAATTGGTTTAACACTTGCACCGCAACAGAAATGAGAAGGAAACGGATGTTGTTTGGGTTTATTGGTGGAGGTGTTGTGATTGAGAACCTTTGGATCATAGTTTTTCGGAACTTGGAGATCTAGATCTCGATGATTTTCCAGGAAAAAATTCAATTTGCTTTGAAAGAGCCTCAACTTCTTGAGAATTTGGTTTTCCAGTGTTTTTGAAACGTTTCTATAGTTAGAAATTCAAAGCAGTTGAGCCTAGAAAATTCTATTCTAAAAGATCGGCGACTTGAGATCTTCTATGCCTAGCAGTTGAGCCTAGTAAATTATGTTTTGAAGGCGCCGCGCCTAGAGAGCCTAGTTCTCAAGTAACTGCGTCTAGAAATTCTAGGTTTCAAGTAACAGCGCCTAGTAAATCATATTCTAAAGGATCCGCGCCTTGAGATCTTCTATGCCTAGCAGTTGAGCCTAGAAAATTCTATTCTAAAGGATCCGCGCCTAGAGAGCCCAGTTCTCAAGTAACCGTGCCTAGAGAGTCATCTTCTCAAGTAACAGCGTCTAGAAATTCTAGGTTCTTAAGGATCCGCACCTAGAGAGCACAGTTCTCAACTAGCCGCGCCTAGAGGGTCTAATTGAGCCTAGAAAACCAATTTTTAATTTCAAAATTTAAAGTCCGGCTCACAATAGGTTGGCTCAACTTTTCTTTTGGAAATTTTTGTCAAAATGTAGGCCACCGAAATTAGAAATTCAAAAAAATTGGATTTTTTAGCATTTTTCAGATGAAACAAAAATTCCTCAAGCACTTATTGCATGCCTGAAAATTCTCCCAATTCAAATTAATCCCACAAATATTTTGATTGTATTTTTGTAGAGAATCAATTATTTTTGTGCCTTTTTTATGGGGTCTCGGACCCCATAATTTTACACGAACACACGAAAAACATCTGTCTTTTCTTCGTATGTTTTTCCACACCTTCTTCTTCTTTTTTGGCTTCTCGTATTGTTTGAATGACCAATGCGAAAAAAAATAATAATGTGCTTTAAAAAATCCCCGCTGGTGGTAATAGTAAAAAGTAACAATAGCAGAAGCATATGCAATCTCACCAAACACACACAAAAACATTAATAAATAACTCAATTCAATTCATTATGACACGAAAGATTGCCTCATTGTTGTCTATTTTTTGGTTGGGTATCTTGATTTAGATGAATTAGAATTGGACATGACGTTTTTATGATTTTTTGTTGGACAACAGAAAGGTGCAAATTGACGGAGAATTTATTGCTCTGTCATTTTTTTTGGGAAGGATAATCAGTGTGAAATTGTTATTATATAACAATAAAATCTAAATCCCTTTTTTTCGGACCACAAAAGTCAAAAGTAATACGAGCTGTCACCGAGATTTTGAAGAATAAACAAAAAAAAGTTTTTGAGTTTTTTTTCGAACAAAAACGTTGACACTAATTTAATATTCAGGGTGTGTTCGAAAAGACGAAGAAATTCTTTATTCATCTGTTTTTGCCCCGTGTTGATTTGACGAATTGTTGAGTCATTTTTCATGGAAATTGTTTATTAGAACACCGTATTTTATGGAGAGATCAGAGTAAATATTCCGATCCTTTTTTTAAAAGAAAAGTTGACTAGGAGCGGAACCTATATATACAGAATACAGAATATCAATTAATTGGGGGGAGAAGCTAGATGCCGAAATAGGCGGCTGTGGATTTTTGATGAGTTGATGGTGGTGGAATTAGTGGAGGGGTTGATTTGAAGGTTTCGGTGGAAACACAAAATGGATCGAAACCGGTTGGTGGAGAAAGTGGACCGTCATTTGTGCTTGAAGAGCATGAATGGGTGTTGGCCATTGTCAAAGGTGTTCGCGAATGTTCGCGAGTCACATAGGAACCTTTGTATTGTCGCTCGCGGCAGCAATAGAAACAGCCGAGGAGGATGAGAAGGAGAGTTGCGATGAGCAGAAGAGCGGTGAGGAGAATGAGCATTTCGGAGGTTTGGGTGAGGCCGTAGCGGGCGCCGAAAAGAACTGCGCAGTCATTTACCTGGAAGTTTGAGGATTCGGGGGTTTTGGTTGAACGGGGGATACTATCTTGACGTAAGTTAGGCTAAATTGCTAGGATTGAGCTTAGGCTTCCCACACCTTTTGAAAAGGGTTCTCTAATGGTATTTCTATGTGAGTTAGGCTAACTAGATAATAACGAATTTTTGCTCAGACTTAGGCTTGAGCTCATAAAAAAATCTGAGCTTAGGCTTAGGCTTAGTAGGGCTGACTCACGAACGAAAAAATGTTTTAAAAAATTGTTTCGAGTTTTTCAGCCAAAAATGATGACAAATCGATATTTTTGAAGCTTCTGGAGTAATTTCTGATGAAAATAAGCTTCGAGAACCCTATTTTACCTCATTTTATTATTTTTCACGAAATTCATCAAAATTTGAATTTTTTTATTTTTCGAAAAATCAGCAAGGTCAATTTTCATCACTCCAGAAGCTTGAAAAATCTCGATTTGTCATCATTTTTGGCTGAATAACTCGAAAAACTAATTTTCCCCCCTTTTTCTACTAATATGAAAGAAGTTAACCGGAATTCTCTCATCCCATTCATTTTTGTCATTCAAACGACCTCGTTGAATAAGACAACTTAACTATGTGTTTTTATTTCATTCATTTTCCTTCTTTCCCCCGAAAAAAAAACTGACCTCTGTAATCGCAAGAACTGGATGTCCTTCGACTAATGAAGGTGAAGCACATTGAACTTGATCGTAGTTTAAAATGTGTCGCATTGCGTGTCGATCGCGCATATGGACCTGAAATTAGTTGGTCAGAGAGATAATTAGTGTCGTCTTCCTCCTCGCAGAATATTCTTATTATATTTTTGAGTGAAAACATGGAATTAGATAAAATTATGAATGAATGGATGAATTGAGCGAGCGAGTGAAAAAGCGCCCCCGGAAAATGATGAATTGGTGTATTGTTTTTACGAATTGAGAAAAAGAAAATATATAAAACCCGAAAACGATTTTGAAAATTTCCCACCTGTAATCCTTGAATTGCACACGAGCAATCCCATTTATTACCAGTCATATAAACCCGATCAACATTGTTGAGAAACGCTAAATCACTGTACGAAAATGAGGTGAACTTGTTGTTTGAAATGTCGAGTTCCTGAAATGACCTCTTTTGCTATACGAAATAATATCATATTGCTATCCATTTTTGAGATAGATCAAATTTCGTCCTCACCTTAATATTTGGCAAAATAGTGTGAATATTATCGGGGAAATATGAGATTTGATTTCCGGAAATATTGAGAGACTCGAGATGATAGTAGCGAGACGGTAGTTGGACTGGAATATGGGCGATTGTGTTGAAAGCCATCTCGAGGTGGAGTAGATTCTTCAATGTGTGGGTGTAGGAGTCGGAGAAGGCTGGAAATTACAATTTTCATAGAGCTGTCAAAAAAGAAAAGACGATTCTTACTTTTGAGGAAGTTACCGGAAATTGCGAGACTTTCAATGATATCTTGAGCCCATCCGAGATATGTGGAATCGAAGTCGTTCATATGATTGAATGAGAGATCGAGATGTTTTAATGGGATGTTTCGGAAAGCGTCGGCATGAAAGGCTGTTTTTGACAAACCGAGCAAATTATGAGATAAATCGAGACGTGTCAAATTATTGCCACAAAATGCGCATGCCACAATTTCTTGCAATGAATTATTTGATAGATCCAAAACGGAAAGATGTGCGAGATTTTGCAGCTCCCTTGTGGGTATTAAACCAAGGTCATTTCCTCCAATTCCTAAATTACGCAATTGTGGAATACGATCCAATGATAGTTTTTCGATTGATTGTAATTGACAGTTGTTGAGATACAACTCTTCGATTTGAGTGATATCGGAAAAGAGATTATTGATTTGTTCGATTGGTATTTGATTGTTATCGAGTCGTAAAACTCGGAGAGCTCCTAAACCGCGTAGCAAATTGGCTGATAAATCGGTGATTGAATTGTTTGATAGCGAAAGTGAGCGTAATTGTCGAAGATAGGTGAATACGCCGGTTGGTAAATGATTCAAATGATTTGATGATAGGTCGAGGATTCGAAGTTTTGGCAAACCGCCAAAATTTGACATTGTTGCGTGATCGATGTTATTTGATCGCAGGTCAAGTACTTCTAAAGATGGTAAACGAGGAGTTCGAGACATTTGTGGAATTTGACATTCGATAAGTCGAAGTACTTTGAGTTGCGCAAATCGGTTTATATTGTCGCTCCAACGTAACTTGTTTGGACCACGATTTGGAGGAGGCTGAAAATGCTTGGTTTCGCAATAAAAAAAAATCCCTTCCTCTAGAGAGTTTGGAAACTAAAACTTTTTTTTATTCGATGCTATCTATGTTTCGAAATTTTAATCCGTTCTCCCAAAACGGAAGGATTTGCATAAATTAGTTGGAAACAATACGGAAAAAAAGAAAGAAGAAACTAACCTGAATATGCAAGGATTTCAAAGTTAACGGAAGTTGATTTAATATATCCGCAAATACGGTATCATTTATAACCGTTTTTCGACAATAAACAGACCAAGATCCATCAATTTGATCACATTCACATTGAATTGGGCACGATTGAATGAAAGCCGATGATAAATTGATTTGATTCAGTAAAAGTATTAGTAATACAAGTAGCATGCTTTTAGCTGTAAGAAGAGAAAGAAGAATAAAACAATGGTGGAAGGAGACGAGAAAAATGTGGGGGCGGAGCAATCTGCGAAATGGGCGGAGTCGAAAAGGATGGGAAGAAGAGAAGGATAGAGGGTGGCAATTATATCAGCTTAGGGTTTTTTAGGTGTTAGGCTAAGGCGGATGCGTGTTTTGATGTTTGTGGATTAGTGAAGATGCACCTGGCGGAAGTGGGGACTTTTGGAAGTTTCCCAGATTCCCAAAAAAAATCCATGTTTCTTGAAACAAATTTGGCAGACAGATGTAACGTATCTCGCGCGCGGGCTGGTGACAAATCAAGTATTCATGAGTGTTATGGCTCTCTCGTTTCCCCCCTCCTTCATTATTCTCAACAACTTGATTTGGCTCGGTTTCTCCCAACAAATAGCTGGAGCTGCTCCAGCTCCAGCTATATTCAAAAGGTATATAACAACATCTGTGGCACAAAATCTATCGGAATTGTTATGACATATGGGAGCGGGTTATTAATTTGTAGAGAGGACGGGAGGGAGTGAACAATTGAAGCATGCATTTTTTGACCAGGGTTAATCATGCGAGACTGTGGGAAATGTATACAACAAATAATATGCGAGAATACAGAGAGACAGGGTAATTATAACAAGCAACAACGTGTTTTGAAAATTTGTGCCCTATTCTATTTTTGATTGATCATTTTGTTATAAATGGTATTGTGGGAGAGCTGGTTTTTTTGAATATTATAATTAGAGTGGACATGATGGGTGGGAAAATTGGAAGAGGGTTTGGAAGCTATTCCGGGTTCAGCCTTGTTTTCTGAATCGAGAGAAGGTCTGTGAAATTCTGACGTAGCCTCGTTGGAAAATGAGCTCGGGTTTTACTGAAAGCCTTAAATGAGCCCCTGTGGTCTGTTGATGAAAGCTGACTTTTTGGACGTCGGGGGCCGAATTCTTAAAAATGGTATACTGAAGCTTGCTGTTAAAAAATTTTTGGCGTACCAAAAAAATTTGCTACGCCCAAATTTTACTTCAGTAACATTAGGTGTACCACATTTATGAATCTGGTTCATGGTCATAATTTTAGGAAAAAATTCAGCCTTGGGGCAGTTTTTCAAAAAAGTTTGATTGGAACACGCTAAAATTCAAAAAAGGCTGGATTTTCTGCAAAATTTCCGCCTAACTCCTAGGGCTTTCAAATTTTTCCGAAAAGTTGAGTAAACTTTTCTCTAGCGTTTTCCCACCACCCGTTTAATTTTTGGTCAAAACCACTTTGAACTCTTCTCTCCTAATCAATCATAAACCCTCTCGACCTCTCTTGAATTACATAATCAAGAGTTTACACAACTTTGTGATCACACCGCCCATCTTATTGTTGGCTGCTTGTTTACAAAACATTATCCAATTAAACACGACCACATCCAGGTGTCTTTTTCCTGCTTCTTCTTCCAGTTTTCATCCTCCATCTCATTATTATTCCAACATACATATTTCTGTTGTTGCACCCCCTGTTGTTTTGACTGATCAATCAAACTCGCCAAGGTGTGATATAGTTTGGAGAACGAAAAGATTGATGAGAAAAGGAGAAGTGGGAGAGGAAATATTTGGTTTAATTATCGCATTTAGTTGGGGATTTTGTTTCAATTGAATTTCCTTCGCCCCCCAAACCGAAAGGAAATGAGATGTTTATATAAACATGATTAAGGCGTTCCTCACTCACACGCTTGAAATTTGATTAGAACATTTTGCTACTTTGTTTCATTTGGGAGAATATTTGGGTTGATAGCGGAACAAGAGGATTATGTATTGGAAGAGGTTACGGACGACCTGTTTTTAGATTTGGATGTGGGAAGTCTAGATAACATCTTTATTTTTTTTCGCCACTGAATTGAGATGTAGAAATGCATTAGTTTCGCATGCTTGAACGAAAAGGACGTTCTGGAAACTTTTAGAGGAAATTTGGAGAAAAACATTTATTTTTTAGAGGAAAGGTTTTGAATTTGGGACACTTAACTTAACTTCCCCTACCGCGCTCTGAAATTGTGAAACTAAATTCGAACAGAAGAAAGGTAGCTCAGTCGCAGGGGTGGCTGTTATCAATCTCAGGGTCACGGGTTCAATCTCTCCTCTTTTCACCCTCATGGCCGCCCAACTTTGACTTCGTATCGAAATTTCATAATGAAAGGCTATTTATGCCCTAATTTCATCCCTTCATCACCAGTTTCACCCTTCACAATAATAATAATAATAAGAACAACAAACTCATCATTCTCATCAGCTTCTCCTTTTTCTTTTTATTTCACACCCGCCAATCCTTTTTATCATGCCGCCGCCGCCTTTTTGTTCCAGGGGATTTTGGAAAGAATTAGGAACGAAATAGGAAGGTCGATTTAAATGACATGGAAGAATGCAAAAATGGGGATAAATTATATAAAGTCAGTCAAGTGAACACTGTGTTTTTTGGGAAAGAAATTTGAGGAAAATGTTTGGGATTTGCGAAGAATCCTAATTGGCAAAAAGCAGAAAACAAAGAGAAATTGAATTTTCACTTTGTCTTTTTCTCTTTTTTTCGTTTTCTTCGTCTTCCTTTAATATGGTCAGTTTTCTTTGTCCGTTTTTGGCTGGCTCCTCTTAAATCTCTCCTTTTTTATGCAACACAAAACAATTGGCCTTTTTCCAAAAAAAAAAAAAGAGAAGTATGTTTTGACAAATTGAATAAGAGGAGAAAAAGAGGGAGGAGATCAGCTGTAGTATCCAGAAAAAAATAGGAGAAGCAGTTTGAAAATGGAAATAAAAAAGGACAAGCGATTTGTGTTTGCATTTGGATACATTTTATGATATTTGCATAGAAATTTGAAATGACCTGCATGGGATGAGATTGCAAAAAAGGGGATTTGAAATTGTTGGCTGGCTTAGCCGGAAAACTTGGTCACAAGTGGATCTGTGAGCTGGAAATGTTGAATTTGGAACTTAGCCGAACTCTGCAGTAGAAATCAATAAACCTCGAGGTCCAGTCGAAAAATTTCCTGGGTTTACCAGAAATTCTCGAAAATTCTACGTGAATTCTAGATTGCTCTGTAAACTTTCTTCCCTTTGGCCTCCCAAGTTTTTTTCCCATAAATATCCTAATAATATCCATTCTCTCATCCACTTAATTCAATCAGATATAAACCAAAAAGGCCCTCACCCCATATCGTTTTGCATTTAAAATTTGTTTTAAGCGCTCGAATTTCAATACACACACCAACACACTTTACCCTTGAAATTGAACCTTCATCCACTTTTGACTTCCTTTTGAGCTTCTTGAAATTAATCAAGCTTGGATTGAGAAAGGGAATATCGGATAAAAGAGTCAAAAACCTTTTGCCCCCCGACATGTGTTAATTAAAAGCGCGAACGGATTAGGGTTGGGGCGGGAAGGTACTCTTGAATAACATTGACAGGTGCAAATGATATATCATTGATGTTTTCTTCTTGTCTCTTTCTAATAATAATAATAATAATTTGATGTCAAGAAGGGGGTGTTGACATATGTAAAAATGTGTGTGTTTTGGGGGAGTACAAAATTATGATGGATTGGATTTTTCTGTTTGGTAAACAGTTTTTGAATTTAAATATGTAGATGAATTTTTTGGGCTTACGAGAACATTTCCCAAGTTCGACTTATACAATTCGTGATCATGATTTTCATGGAAGGCCGTGAAAAGTCTGGAAATTCCAGAGGAACCAGAATATATCTAGAAATCTAGTTTTTGACCTACTGAAAATTGGCATTGTTGAAAAATTCTTGATATTTTCGCCACGTCATAAGAACATTTTTCAGAAATTTCTGCATAAATTTTAGGAAAAGCTTGAAAATTCAGGTACTTATGAGAACATTTTCCAAGTTTGAAATATGAATTTCGTGATCATGATTTACTTGAAAGACCGTGAAAAAGCTCAAATTCCAGAGGAACCAGAATATTTCTAGAAATGTAGTTTCATCCAAATGTTAAAGAGGTTCTTTGATTTTTTTTTTACAAATTTTTGTTTTGGTCAATTACACTAGGGAAACGAAAAGTTCGCGCATGTCAATCATTTTTGCGTACGCCAAATTCAACACGAAAAAACGTTGCATTTTTTAAAAAAAAAATTTCCAAGCGAACTCGGGACGGCGAAAAGGAAGGAGACCATGTTAAGGAGAAAAATCCCCGCGCGTTCCAACCAAACCCCGTTTTTCCAGGATATTTTGTTTGATTTTGTGTCGAAACGAGTTATCAAGTTTGTATTGCACACAAATGCGCCAGGACATCCCGATTTTGGAATGTGAGATTTTTTTCTTTTGAATATTTTTTTTCGCCAGAAAACCATACACTTGCAGATATTCACGATGCAATTTCTCGATCTCACTTCAAAATCCGAGCCATCAAATTGAGACATTTTCGAAATTTGACGATTTCTCGGCCGCGTTCACCGATCCGAATTTGGACACTGAAGCGAGACCGGTGGATTTGCGGCGACTCGAGCCGCACTCGTTTGGATCCACTTTTTGCTATGGAGTTCCGCAAGTTATTGTGGAGGTTGGTGAAAATTTTTAAAAAATTTCAAAATTTGGGCCCAGAAATTGTAAAAAACTGGATTTTCTATTTTTCAATCTAAAATTTTTTATCTGAAAGTTCGTCTGAAAATTTCATCCTCGAAGAAATTCCCGGATTTTGAAGTTTTGAAAAAACCAGAGCCCCAATGTGAATTTAAAACACTTAAACAGCTCTGAAATTTTTAAATTTCTAGCCAAAACTAATTTTAGGTTGAAAAAAGTCCAGGAATTGTATTAAGCTGGATTTCCTAGTTTTCAATCTGATAATTTATAAGATTACACTTTTCCCAGAATTTTAGTTTTGCAAAAAACCAGAGTCTCATTTCCAGAATTGTAAAAATTCCAGAGCCAATATCTGGAACCCCTCAAATTGTTTTTTTTCAAAATTTTCGGTCCAGAAGTCATAGGAATCTAGATTTACTATTTTCAAAAAAATATCCACATGGCAGCAATTTTCAATTTTGGAAATCCACAATCCTGAGGACAGTTTCAGAATTTTAAAGTTTTGAAAAAATCAGAACCCAAATCTAGAACCCCTCAAACAATCAAATTTTTCAAATTTGAGCCAAAAAAATCGCTTAGAAAAACTTTTTTCTCAATTTTTTGGGTTCAGGAGTTATAGGAAGCTGGATTTCCTATTTTCAAAAAAAAAATATCCACGTGTAAGACAGTTCCAGAATTTCAAAGTTTTGAACCACTCAAAAAATCTTATTTTTTACAGGTAATGGAGAATGGACATGTTGCTGCACTCACTTTATATGACGAAAAATTGTAAAAAAAAATTTGGTGCTTTCTCATTTTTTTGTTGCCAATTCAACCATCCTCATATTTTGTTCTCTTATTTTCTGATTCTATGCAACTGGTTTGCGTTTTGTATATTTTTATTATTATGTAATATGTAACGGATTTTTGTAGATAAAAAGACAATATTCAGAAACAAAGAGAATAAATTAAATCAGGACACCCTGTTTTTTGCAAATTAATTAATTAGAAGCATCTGGAGAAGTTGTTGATTCGAAAAAGTATCGTTTTTGAGTTTGTTGAGCGAATGGGAAGACGGAGGATGAGGAACATGATGAATTGTCGGATGATGTGCCTTTAAATCAGAGAGGATTACGGTATGAAGATATTATATAACTCACTGGGATATTTTAGGCGGATGAATAGGCCCATGATTATTGCGATGAGAATTGCTAGAAGTGCACCGATGAATGCAAAAATTATCATTAGAGCTGCTTTGGAGATTGGAGGAGAACATGTGGATGGAGAATTGGCTGGAAAATGGGGGGATTTGTGAGTTTTTTGGGGGTTGAATTGCCACGTCAGCAAAGTGTGGGAAATTTAAGTTTTAATCGGAAAATTTTTCCGAAAAAAAAATCCAAAGAAATATACGTTTCAAAATTTTTATGAGTTTTGAAATTTTATTTGGATTTCAATCCCAAATTTCTGATATATTCTTTTTGAAATTGTAATTTTGAAAATCTACTGTTTCAAAGTTTATATATTTTTCAGCCTAAAAGTCCAAATAGCTCAAAACTTCATAGGAAAATTGAAAAAAAGTGATTTTTCTGTGAGCCAAATAATTTTTTCGGAAAGTCCTTGCCCAGAAAAATTGGAACAAAAAAAATCCCACGAAAATTATTTTCTTTGGAGAGCTACAAGTTTTTGAATAGAATTTTCCAGTGAAATTTTACCCTGAAAAATATACGTTTCAAAATTGTTATGAGTTTTGAAATTTTATTTGGATTTCAATGCCAGACTTTGAGAAATTTCATTTGAAATTGTAATTCCGAAAATCTACTGTTTCAAAATTTATATAGTTTTTCAGTCTAAATTTCTAAACAGCTCAAAATTTAATAGGAAAATTGAGAAAAATTTGTTTTCCTCTGCGAAGAACAACTTTCCAAAATGTTAATTTTTGGAAACCTTCGACAATTTTTAGAAGGTTCAGAAATTTACGCATACCTTTCTCATTTCCATTTTCCTTCAACTCATTCGGCATTTCCTCATCTAAATCATAAATCAATAATTGTCCAGCAATCATTGGTTTCTCCTCATTCTTCCCCCTCAACTCATTTTCATCTTCAGCCGGTATATCTCGCCGCCTCGTCGATGTCCAATCAACTTCAATTTGATCGATCTTCTCGCCACTTCGAAAATCGCCAGATTTCTTCAAATCTCGCATATTTCGAGTCTTCTTCTTGTTCTTCTTCTTCATCATTTTATCGAACTCCGCGAGCAACGCTTTTGGATCATCAACAGAGTCCCTAAAAATATAATTTTAGGGTTTACGTCTTAAGTTGTGGGAAGTTACCTTAACATTTTCTGCAAACTATCACTGCTTATATCATCCGGCAAATTTGCCAATAGATCTGTGAGATTTGGTGGAATTGTAACTTCATCATAATCATTGTAGTCACCGCCTGAAAATAATTCAAAATTGTGAAATTTTTTGAGCTACAGTAATCCTGGCCAGAATTTGATATTTTCTGACGGTTCCTTACAAGGAAAGGTTTTCAATGTTCCCCCAAGGAAAAAATCGAGAGTATGTGGAATGTTGAGGGTTCCCATGGGTAAGAAAAACCCTAACGGGAATAAGGAGAAAAATGCCTTGTTTTAGAAAATTTTGGTGTTATTGATTTTTGCGATGAAATTTTTTAGAAAAATCGAAACTTTTTTCAAAATTGATGAAAAATGTCAGTCTAAAAATCCATTAGCGCAAACGGCGTACTTTAGTATTACTCCGACTAAAATTAGGAATAAAATAATTTTGGTCCCAAAAGTCCACTAAATCAAAAATCCAGTTTGAAAAATTCATAGAAAATCAAAGTTTTCGTTGTGAAGGAGAAGTTTGTGTGAATCGAGACTATGATTTTTGGATTCTACGGACCAAATTACGTCTGTTGACCGTCATAAATTTTTCAAGTTCCGTTCATTTGAAAATGGAAAAAATTATTTTTTGTGTTTTTTGGTGACCATTTGATCAGAAAAATCCCGACTAAAAAAACCAAATTTCAAAGAATGTCTAAGTTTTTGATAAAAAGTTTCACAAACACGTAATCGACCATTCTGAACAACTTCCACGACTCAAAAGTTCATGAAATAGATTCAAAATCGAGTTACAGATGCTCTAAAAATCAAAAAATGGTGTAAAAATCGACCTAAAAGACATTTTTTCTCGAGAATAAGGCATTTCTCTCCTTATTCCCGTTAGGGTTTTTCTTACCCACGGGAACCTTCAACATTCCACATACTCTCGGTTTTTCCTTGGGGGAACATTGAAAACCATTCCTTGTTAGATTCCCCTATAAAAAATTTTTCCCAAAAATTTCGCAACAATTTTGTATTTTATTTTTGAAATATCTAACAAGAATCCAGTTTCGTTAGCCTTTTTCTCTACTTCAATTAGCCTGTCTCTGACCTACATCAATTTGTAAAAAGTGACCAGTTTTTCTTACAAGGGAAACACTAATTGGTCTAACTCATGAGTCACACTCACTTTTTGATATTTTTTTGCTTTTTGGTGGCTCGATTGTTGTTGTTGGCGATAGATTGTTGGAGGAGGAGGAGAGCAGATCGTCTTCGGTTTCGAACGTTTTTGAGACGCTTTCTTGGGTTGGCTGGAAATTTTGAATTTTGGATTTTGGGGGGCCGAAAAGCCACGTGGCAAATAGTTGGATTTCTGGGGATCAGAAAACTGAGACTCAAGTTTTTCAATGAAAATTCAAAATCTGGAAGTTTTTGGTAAATGGAAATTTTATTTCGGAATTCAAGAAAGTTTTAAATTCAAATTTCATGGACGAAAAAATAATAATTTTAAAAATTCTGAAAAAAAAATCGTTCTTGATTTTTGTGACTTCAAAAATCTCAGAGCTCAGAGGTTCGATCCCCGGTCCGGACGTGACTCAGACTAGGCTCAAGAAGGAGAAGCCTAGGCTAAAAAATTCCTAAAGTCTGAAAGCTTCATGAGTTATCGGAAATTCATCTTTTTTTAAAATCTAGAACCAATTTTTCAGTGAAAAAATTTTCAGAACCAAAATTTCCCCGCCAAAACTCACAGTAACAGGATTGATAGGTGGTGAGAACGCGGTGACTGGATTTGATGAATCGTAATCCAAAGGTTGTGTCACTGCTCCGTTATAGGAATTTGAATTCGGGCTGAAAATTCTTTTCTTGGTAGATCAATATGTTTTCCCTAATCCTAAAGTACCTGTGTAATTTTGGCGCCTCATCTCCTTCATATTCATAATCATTCGATGGTTTTGTTGTGGTTCGAATGCGATTTCCTCGCTGTTTTTTGGTCGTTGATGTCTGTTCATCAACATATTCATAATCGGGATTCGGTGTGGATAATCGACGATGTGGAGTTTCGTCAGTCTCGAAACTATCAATCACTTTTGACATTGAACCGCAAGATGGAGGCTAGAAGAATTTGGTTAATTTTTTTCTGATGAAGATTTGACTCACCGTGATGCCATCACACATTCCATGCTTCTTCATACACATTTGAACTTGGCAGAAAAACCAGACGCCTGGTTTGTCGGCGAATTTGAAGACTGAACTTTCGGCGTAGGCTCGCTGAAGATCGGATGAATAACGAATCCCGGTGATTAGGATTGGATTTATGGGGCAGCTGAAAATTGTTGAAGCTTGATTTGTATGTTTAAAAAAAAGTTTAAGGTTACCCTTTGTCGTCGATGACATCCGCTTTTTTGCCGAAACCATCTGTGACGTAGCAATTATTGATTAGAACTCCGTACATTTCTAAAAAAAAAAAAATATAAGATGAGCAATGAAGTTAGAGCAACTCACGATCATTACAATGCCACTGATGAACAACTCGATCACCGACTCTTGCGAATTGAATCGGTTGCCCCGCAGGTCTACCAGCATCCAAATCATCGATTGAGGAGGAGTGGATCGAGTAGGAACAGCCGGGAATTCCGTGACGAGCTTCGAGTTCGGATGTTGGGATCATGCTGGAAATCAGGGAGAGATCAGAAGGTGTTCAAGAGGTTTTTAACTTCTCAAGGATTAGTGCCTAGTAGCCGCGCCTAGAAAACCTGATTGTCTAGGACCCGAATCGAGAGGTATTTTCTAGATAGCAAGGAGCTGTGCCTACGGAAGATTCACGTCTAGTAGCCGCGCCTAGAAAGTTCAATTGTCAAGTAGCAGCGCCTAGAGAACCTCAAAGTCAAGAAGCAACGCCTAAAGAATTCAATTGTCAAGGGGCCTAGAGAACCTAGTTGTCAAGGATCAGCGCCTAGAAAGTTCAGTTGTCAAGTAGCAGCGCCTAGGAAGTTCAATTGTCAAGGAGCAGCGCCTAGAGAATTCAATTATCAAGGATCAGCGCCTAGAGAACCTCAATGTCAAGGATCAGCGCCTAGAGAATTCAATTGTCAAGGAGCAGCGACTAGAAACCCTAGTTGGCAAGAGTCAGCGCCTAGAGAACCTAGTTCTCAAGCAGCCACGCCTAGAAACCCTAGTTGTCAAGGAGCAGCGCCTAGAGAATTCATTTGTCAAGTAGCAGCGCCTAGAGAGCCTAGTTCTCAAGGGGCAGCGACTAGAGAATTCAATTGTCAAGGAGCAGCGCCTAGTGAGCCAGTTTTAAATTCTGAATGTGATTTCGCTGGGATTTTTTTTGGTTAATCAAAAATTCTGATCTAAAAAATGTTGATTCTTAACAATTTTGAATTCAAAAAAAATCTGAAAATCATCAACTTTTCAAAACCAGAAAAAATTACGTTTCAAAAAATTCTTACCTAACTCCCAACTCCGCTGTTAATCCTTTATTCGCTTCCTCAAAGAAACATTTAACATGATAAGCCTGATCAACTTTCGTAATAAACAACGGATGAAACGACACAACTACCGTAATCCCATAATACATTCCACGTGGATCGACACTTCGCAAACTTTTCATTCCACACGCGCCAAATTGTAGATCAAAATGGGGTTTTTTGGTGCGTTGCGTGGCGAAATCGTCTTTATAACAATCTTCGAGTTCACTTCGACCTTTTGCATAAATTCGACCTGCGAATATTTTCCTAGTTTTGATCCATATTCGGATTTCGTCTTCTAGACATTCGATGTCGGGTTCACCAATGATTTCATTGTCGATGCTGATTGTATTGGCACTGGGCCAACCCTGAAAATTGAAATTTTTCCCTCCTTTCATATCTCGACAAGGCGCACATAGCTTTCCGTGTGCATATATAGCGCAGTCGGGTAGTTGCTGGACTACCACCCAATGCGAGGGCATTTTGGTGGGTTCGAGTCCCACCGCAAAATTTTTATTTTTTTTGAATTTTCATTTTTTCTAACAACATATTTAATTACAACGTCTTTGCAACTTTGAAATTATAATTCTCCTCCTTTTTCTTGTGTACTTTTTTGGCCGGTTTATCCATATTATTTTCCGGTCTCCATGGATAGGGTAATTATTGAACGGGAGAGGAGAAGAGGAGAGTTTCGAATACGGATTTTTGGTTAGCTAATTTGATTTATTTGAGAAGTGAAACGGGAATGGGTTTTGAAGGATGAGAAAAGGAAAAAATGACGAATGAGGAAGGAAAATGTGTGAAATGAGACCGGAAATTGACAGTTTTTTTGGAGAAAGTTTCAGAATTCAGAAAAACTAGAACTTTTCAGTGTTAAAAAACTGTTCAAAAAATTTTTTGGAAAAAAATATACAGTAATCTGTTAACACTGCTGAAATTTTTTGAGTTGAGCTCTGTCATTTTTCATTCGAAATTTTGTTTCAATAATTTTCCGGAACAGAATACGTTTCGAATTTTTCATATGATTTTTTGTCGAAAAAAAAAATTAATAAACTTGTGGAATAATGACCGGTTGTATAATAAAATTTGAGTTTCATAGAAATTTATCTCATCATTACTGTAGACGAGTACTGTAGATGAACCCTGGGTACTGTGAATGGTGGATAAAATCTACAGTAACCACAAACATTTAGAGTTATGACTGAAAAATAGTTTGTTTTTGGACAAATTTTTGAAAAACAAAGATTTCTGAGCCCAAATTATTTTCAGAAAAAATTTTACAACTTAAATTCAAAATTTCAAAGCAAATTCCAAAATTGAATTTTAAATAGAACTTTTATTGAAACATTTTTTGAAAGTCAATTTTCAGAATTTAATTTTTTAAACAGGGATTTTTAATTTTAATTTCAACTAGAAATGTTATTTAAAAATATTTTCAGAATCTCATAATACAATTTCACCATAAAAATTAACTTACCAGCCACGCAATGATCAAAATTTTCAAAAAGTGCATTTTCGCTCCACCATAAACCCAATTTTGTTTTTATTTCCTATCCTATTCTCTGCTGCAAACTCTGAAAAAAAACCTATGAAAAAGAAAAAGTAACGCAAAACAGAAAAAAAGTGAAACTGTATGTGTATGGTCAAGAAAAAGGGGGTAATTATTAGGAAGAAGGAAAGGAAAGAAAAGGTAAAGCAGAGGAATTATAAAATATGAAGAAGTAGAAGAGACTGGATCGTATTTTATAATTGGATATATAGATCCATAGAGAGACAAAAATGGGTGGAGTCGGGACGGACGGGAGGAAAATTATCCAAAAATATTGGAAAAGATGAAGCTGATGTTTCGAAATTTCCGGTAGTTATTCGAGAAAAATAATACAGTAATTTCGAAATATGTATAATTCGAACATGTTTTTCTGGACGAAAATTGTTTCTGGTTTGGATTTGAAATTTTGTTAGACTATTGAAACAACACAAAGAAACACTTGGATAGTTTAACATGAGCAATGCCCTAAAAATCATATTTTTCTCTAAAAACTGAATTTTTCCAGAAATTATTTGAGCTGAAAATCGCCTAACATGAGCAATACCCTAAAAAATCATAGTTTTCTATGAAAACTGTATTTTTTAGCATTGCTAATTTCAGCTTAAAATCGTAAATTTTTGATGATTTTTAGCCTGGCATGGGCAATGTCCTAAAATTAAAATTTTTCTATAAAAACTGTATTTTTTAGGCATTGCTAATTCCAGCTGAAAATCGTAGCTGTTTAGCCTAACATGAGCAATGCCCTAAAAATCATATTTTTCTATAAAAACTGAATTTCTCCAGAAATTATTTGAGCTAAAAATTGTACATTTTTGATAATTTCAAGCCTAACATGAGCAATCCTATAAAAATCAAAATTTTCTATGAAAACTGTAATTTTTGGCATTATTAATTTCAGCGGAAAATCGTAAATTTTTGATGATTTTTAGCCTAATATAAGCAATACCCAAAAAATTTTGGAGAAAAAACCTAAATGATTTTTTGAACCAGATATGATGTGGGGGGGGGGGGGAATGAAAACATTTTTGTTTGCGATTTAATTTTCTTTTGTCACGCGAGAATTGTTTTTTGGGGGAACTTAATGAATTTTTTTGGGCAAAAAGTCTGCGAATTGAACTTTAATCAATTTGGCAGAATGTTCCGGGATTGAAAGAAAAATTGGGAAAAAAGAAACAATTTATGAATTTTCTATATAAATTATCCAAAAATTGGTCGTAAAAGTTGGCCGTAATTAGGCGCAGGCTTTCAGACTGCGCCTATTTGGGCTTGGGATAGTTTTTCGAAATTTTTGTTCGGGTCAACGCTTTTCCAGTTTGATCTACACCCCAAATGAGGAAAACCTATCATGGGATTTTTTCTGAAATTGCATCTGACTTACGCTAACTCGCCGAGAAGTCAAAAAAGACCCTTCGCATGTACCACCGTAAAGCAATTTGTACTTCATGAAATTTCAAGCTCTTTTTTTTAAAGATAGATAATGTGAATACCTCGAGGTGTTTTTCGAGTTACGTCAATTTGTGATATCTGCGTCGAATGCGGGACCATTGAAAAAATGACGATTTTTGAACGCAAGTTTCTACTCTAGGTTGTCTTAATTATGAAAATCACTTGATTCAGTAAGACGCAGCACATAATTTCGCGTTTTTCAAAAAAAAAGACATTGTAAATTGATGAAGGAGAAGCTGAAAATTTTTAATTTTAGTTTTTTCGATTTTTTGAAACTCCACGGAACCGTAATTTGGTTCAAAATGAACGCAGCGAAATGATTTTTTTTTCAAAATGTAGCGTTTGGCGTGTAGAAAATCAACGAAAAATACTAGAAGTCGCATATCCACTTTTAAGATGAGTTATGATATGATATGACATCTGGAAGATAATTTGAAATTTAAAAAATCGGCTTTTCCGAGAAAACCAGGCCTGCAACCTATTATTTTGACAATAAAATATGAAAGAGCACCTAAAAATACCCCTTAGGACACTTTTACAAAAAAATTGTTCGACTGGATTTTTTGGAATTCGAGGTAGATTCTTTTGACATCTATATTGCCGAGAAAAGTCCGTTTTAAAGGCATTTTAGTGTTGTTTCGATATAACCAGTGTCTTCAGAATCGAAAAATAGACCGAAAATCTTTTTCCCGCGTCGAAAAAGCTCAATTTACAGAAATTTTCAGCCGCGCAAGCTTTTGCGCAATCAAGAAATAATAGGTTTGTTATAACGCATGGCTTTGTCCCATCTGGCAGGTTGAGCAACGTTGACACTGGTTAGTCTCGAGTTCGACCCCTGCCGAGTGCAAATTTTTTGAAAGTTTTGGAAAATGATGAGACTGTTTTGGAAACATGTTTTTTTGTTAGTTTCCGATGTTTAACCATCCTGGATTTTAGTAAGATCTTCGAAGCATCAGAAGGTGACACTGGAAAGATCGATTTTTTTTGAAAAATCTCAAAACTTGATGAAAATTCGAAATTTTTCATTTTTACACGGAAATCATTGAATTTTTCATTTTTAATCATCACGGACTTCAGCAAGATCTTCGGAGCATCAGAAAGATCGAATTTTTTGAAAAATCTCAAATTTTGTTAAAAATCATAAGAAAAAAGACTACATTGGAAACATATTTTTATGGTTTTCTGAGTTCTGAAACTTCAGTAAGACCTTCGGAAATCTGAAGGTATTACTGAAAACATTTAATTATTTTTACATCTCAAAACTTCTTGAAATTCATAAGATAACTCGAAAAGTATTATTTTCATATAAAAATCTATGCATTTTTTATTTTCATCGTCCCGAACTTTACTGAGACCTTCAGAATATCTGAAAGTGAATTTTATAAAAATTCCTAAAGCTCTTTAAACATTAAGACGGAACTCAAAATGTCTCCTTAACTTGAAATCGACGACGTTGTTATAATTCTGACCATCTTGATCTCTCAATTCTTCATCATAATCAATTTCTAACTTTTTCCCAAAAATTATTTTAAACCGGGCTTGTGGCCATTCTTATGGCCACAATGGAATGTATTTGGGCTTGGAGATATTTTATAACCTGAACTCTAGACGAGAATAGAAATTCCAAGCTTGTCAAATTTTAATTTTTTGCTCAAATACCCGCAATTCGAAAACATAACTCTGATTGCTGAATTGAAAGGACTACAAAATTAATTTCTTGAATCGCGAGTATTTGAGCAAAAAATTAAAATTTGACAAGCTTGGAATTTCTATTCTCGTCTAGAGTTCAGGTTATAAAATATCTCCAAGCCCAAATACATTCCATTGTGGCCATAAGAATGGCCACAAGCCCGGTTTAAAATAATTTTTGGGAAAAAGTTAGAAATTGATTATGATGAAGAATTGAGAGATCAAGATGGTCAGAATTATAACAACGTCGTCGATTTCAAGTTAAGGAGACATTTTGAGTTCCGTCTTAATGTTTAAAGAGCTTTAGGAATTTTTATAAAATTCACTTTCAGATATTCTGAAGGTCTCAGTAAAGTTCGTTTAGAGTTGGACTCGGAAAATTTTGGTTGATTCCTTGTTGGCCACTTTGAACAACTTGATTGAACGCTGGTGCTTGGGTTTGAGAAACAAAAATTTGTTGATTTGTAAATTGTTCTAATTGTGGTTGAAGATTCGGAGCTAAAAGATTTTCATTTCAAAATTTTCTCATCATTTTCTTGAATCTCACTTTGTGTTGGAAATTGTTGTTGATCGCCTCGATTGAAAAATCCACCATTCAAAAAATTCGGGGAAGTTGGAATAGGAGGTGGTGTAGAAGGAATCAATGTCGAATTCATTTTGAGAATCTGGAAGCGCAGCATCTTCTTGGCAGAAAATATATGTCAAAGTTGTTAATATGAAAAGAGGAGTTTTCATTTTCAGAGTGAAGTAAATAATATTTGGAAATGCGAATTGAATTCGAATGTGGGATGATTGAATATTTGTGCACCTGTTATTGCTGTTTGTTTGGTTTTCATGACAAAAATTGTTTTCTGCGAAAAAATATGTTTGTTTGAAAATTTCAGGTTGGCGCTATCAAGCATGTGCGCTCTATTGAACGTGCGAACATTTTTCGTTTGAAAATTTCTTTTTGTTTTTTTTCGTTTTTCTTTGTTTTGTTGCTAAATGCGTATTCAGAATAACCATTGTTTATCTATAATATCGCCTTAAATATAGTGCAATAATATCATAAATAGATTCATATTGAGCTAAAGTATTAACCATGCTAGGTCTTTGTTGACGAGCGCGATTGACTTCGATGAAAATATCGATGATTCCCTCGTTTCGAATACGTGAGATAACATTGTCACTGCAAATGAAGACACCAGTTCGACCGATTCCAGCGCTAAATGTTATTGATTTACATAATATATTATACGTTACTAGTTTTTTACCTGCAGTGAACAACTATAGGACTTTTAAATTGTCTTTGTCTGATTAGAAGAAGGAAATCAAGAAAACTCGAAATTTCCGGAGCATCATTATCTCTCCAATGTTTATATTGATAGTGTGATACTTGACTACTTCGATTTGCCGAATAAACATCGAATTCTCGATGAACAATTCGTCCTTCTTCCGATTCTGATACCAAACTAACAGTTACACCTTCCTCATACCTAATTCCCTCTCCTACAATCTTTGGGAAATACTCTGCGCATTTTTGCTGAAATGAGATTTGTATTTAGAAGAAGCATATTTACGTAACTTTAAAAATACCTCAAAGTTCTCGAAAATATCGGTAAGCATAACTATGCATTCCACATTGTTTTGTAAAACCATTAGCCAAAAATCTGGAACGGTATCCACTCCTTTCCCTTCTTCGATTCCAATCGGAGCTTGTGTTGCAATCCAGCGTAGAGGGTCATTTTCGCCATGAATGAAATTAGCATTTATGTAGTTTTCTTTTCGTAGGGGAACAATTGTATGGTCATCTGAAAGGTAATTTAGCCTTTTTTTCAATAGAAAATTGTTAAATTTTTGAAAACCTAGTGATGAACTTCACTAATAAAAACGTGTAAAGTCACGTTTTTTCGGTAGAATTTTTTGATTCATTTCTGAATAATGTGAAAATGCGAAATATCCTCCTCGTTTCTCGAAAACACATGATTCGGTTATTCGACTTATCCAATGATCCGTGAGAAAAAGTGAGTTTTATTTCTCGACAGTTGTTTGTTGATTTTCAAAATCATTGGCAACTTTTTTCCGCAAAGAACAAGAAAACAACAATAAGTACACTTAGCCTATAATAATCCAAAAAACTGACACGGAACAATGTCTGCGTATCTATTCGAGGAACGATGTCTCGCCGCTTTTTCTCCACTTTTTGTTGTTCTTCTTGCCTCTGTTTTTGATAAAACCTTGAAAAAACAAGCTTCATTTCTATATTTTTGCGATAATCAGTTACCTCAAACTCATCTTCGATTAATCTTGTTCGATTTTCACTTGGTTCAGACATTTCTCGTAGAAAATGTTCTGTTGCATGATCACTGAAAATAGTGTATTCATTCTTAATTAGGTTTGGAAATATCTATGACTCTTACGTTTCAACAGCAAATGCATTTTGTACTATTTTCGGCTGTTCAATGATTTCTAAATTTGCCGGTCTTGAAAGCCGCTGAAATTCTTGTTTTGGAGTTACTGGAGTGATTTCCGATGGTATTATTATCCTTTTAGGTTCAACTGTTTGTGAAACAGTTGGAAAAGGTTCTATTCGTCTAGGAGGTTCAACATATCTTTGTTTCGTGATTTTCTTCGATGGGTAGAATAAACAGACGCATAAACCGCATATCAGAAGTAGAAGAAGTAGACTAATTGCGAGACATGTGAAAATTATACCAGGAGCTGATAATTAATTATTTCAAATAATTATAGCTTATTATAGAAACTTACTCTCCATTTAATAAATAAACACCTAGAAATTCGATAATTTCAAAATCTATGACAAATAGCGTTTTTTTTTCATAAAAAAACAGTTTCATTTTTTCAATCGAGAAGATGTAAGCGGATTTATCGAGTAGTGCCTTTTGTACCGAAAATTTCAAAATCCCTTCACACAAAAATCGCAAAAAAAACCCGTTTGCCTATGATCTGCCATTTTCTCGATGACAAGATGAGGAAGGTTGATGATGCACTTTTAAAAGAAAATTACGCAAAATCAAGTTTTTTTCCTGCTATTTTTTTTCGTCTGTCTGGGCATCGGCGGCGGCTGGGTGAACGAACATTGAAGCAGGAGTGCGAAAAAACTCGATAGAATTCAAACGTTTTCCCCCATTTTTATTTTATTTTATTACATTTTTCACAAGCTCTTGTGAGTGTGTTTTGAACATGTTGTCCATTATTAAAAACTAGAATAATAGGGTTTATTTCTTCATTTCCAAATGGAATTGGGTTATGACGTCCGGTCGGAAGGTTGCCATAAATGTCTTCTTCTTTTCCTCGGAATAATTCAGTAGTCTCGCGTTTTTTTTGAAGAAAAAGTTCATCTTAGTTGTGCTTTGTGGAATTAAAGTGCACAAAGTTAACATTCGTTTTTCCAAAAAATTATAAACATTTTGAAAAACTACTATTTAATTTTTTTTTTCAAATTTTCATCGAAAAATGAAACCGCCAAAAAACCATTTATTATACGTCAGAATATCATATTTCCATCGCTCCATTCATTCATTTTTTATAACACTCCTCATTTGTCGAACCAATCCAGGCAGACATTGTGAAAAACACTCGCATATGGTGCAAAATGAGGTCCAACACGAATAACTACTCCATTTTTTTCCGCTGACGTCGAGAAAAAATGCGTTGTTTTCTGGTTTCTTCTTGGGAAAAACGCGGATAATTGGAAAGAAACTGGGCTGTCTGACTGAAATCGTTTTTTTCTCTATTTACTAGCTCATTTTTTGGCTAAAAACAATAATGTGTATTGAAGTGCCAATCCATGATGAAAAATGTACGAAGAATGCCCTTTACAGGCGACCAGAGCACTTTGCACTTTCAGCACAAATTGCCTTCCTTTTTGTCATCTCTCTTCTTTCGCGGTCGAGTTAGTCATCCAGGTGTATTTTTCATTTCCTTTCTATTCATTCGAAAATATATTTGGGGAAGCTGTAATTAGTCAAACCAGCTGTTCTGTCGATTTTGGTTGTTGTTTTGACGATTTTTTTAATTGAATAATATCTGTCGCCTGGGGTTACAGATTAATATATTTTGAATATTAAGAAATATTTCTCGTGTATCGATCATAGGCAAATTTGTGTGTTTCAAAAATTTCCTGGTACGAAAGGTGACAGCAAAAATTTTTTAGTCGGCCTTGACCGGCATACCGATTATTGTCGCGTTTTTGTTGTCATGTTTGTTACTATCTATTTATGCAAAAAGCTTGTTCTAGATACTTCTCAAATTCTCATTAGTTTAGTATTTTTGTTGTTTTCGAGGATCATCAAACTAATGAGAGGATTAAAGCTTTTCTGAAAAGCTAATAATCTTATTAGATTAAATATTCATAATCGAAATCACTTTTTATTTGACGTCTTTCTAGTGTGTGTTTCATTCAGTAAAAAGCTTTAAAAGATTCGAATCTGTGAGGCTTTAATGTGTCATTTTCCCATTTTCCTCTTTTTCTCATTGGTGATTCACATGAGAAAATCAAACAATTTGAACCTATAGGTATAGTTTTCTTCATATTTCGAACATCACTTTTTCTTGTTTGCCCATAATTACGAATTCTGATTATTCTCACATGTTCAGGAAAAAAAAAGAAAAAGTTACGTCATAATGTGAAATAGTCTTTACTCATGACATAGTTCTACCATTTTCATAATCTGATAAGATACCTTGTTTTTCGGCTGAATCAAAAACAGATACCAATCTGTTTTTTTCCCCTTCTCCATTCACATTAACAAGGTAATTATACTATTATATTTTATGTTATTAATGACTTTCATAATAACAATAATAAAATGAGAGAAGTGTAATAGACGGGTCTCGTAGCGATCGAAAAACACGTGATTTTGAAGTAATAAAGTAGTGTGGGAGAGATGGCTGCCGCCACCCCTCACACAATCTATCCTATCTATCTCTATGGTCTTTTCCCCTTCCCTATGTTTGTCGAATCGATCGAGGTGTGTGTCTGTTTGTCTGCCGCACTTCGCTCGCCTATTCTTTTCTGCATTGCATTGCATATTGCGTTTTGCCTTGTTACATACAATCCGGTCTTTCTTCCTTGTGTCTCTTTTCATGCGCGCGCACTCCCTCCTTGGTTCTTTTTTTTTTGCTATTCCATAATATACGTTTTTTCAGTGTTGCGCGTTTTTTTTTGCATTTCGATTGGTTTCGTAATCCAGAATGAGACAAAAAATTGATTTGGGTTCATTTTCTTGTACTCGAAAAATTTGCGTGCATTTTCATTCCGGGAAAATATTCGCATCCTTGGCGCAGAAATGCGGCAGTTTTGGGCGAATGTGCGACACTTTTTTGTCGCTAACGATTTCAAAATCTTCGGCACAGGCTCTCGAAAACTCGAAATTTGAGAACGATCGCAAAATTAGCTCTCTCGTTTCGCACATTCGCGCACTTCTGCTGAAAAGTACCGCAGATCTGCGCGAATTCAGCGAATATCTGCCCGAGATGATTAATTTTCTTCATCACTTTAGATTAAGAGACGTTTTTTGCAAAAAGGCAAATAGGGTCGGACAACAAAAAAGGGTGTAATTTTAGAATCGGCTCAAATTTTTTTAATTGATGGATGGATGGTGAACATTTTCCACCATATTTTTTTCCATAAAATCGATGCACCAATTTGGTGGGGGTGATGAATGCGAAAAAGGGCATTTTTTCAAAAAATCAGAACTCAGCTCAAACTTCATTATTTTTGATGATCAAAAAAGGATTTTGTAGCTCTTGAGACGCTCTTTACTCCTGAATTTACTAGAATTGCCGAAATCCAAAAATAAATTTTCAAAATCGATGAAAAATTTTTGACGCTAATTTTCCCCCTTAAACGCCATTTCCGCAATTTCTAACTCGATCCATTAGATCCGCCTTGCAATTTTACGTCGGATTAGTCGAAAAAAACGGAAAAAAGGGGGGCCTCAGAAAAAGTTTGATTCCACCTTCTAATTTCCATTCTGACGCGCGCAACACACATGTGTGTATTTTGTGTGCGCATGCTCCCACATATATGTGTGTTGTGTGTTAGAAGCTTGAAATATACAAGGGTACTGTAGTGTGTAGTTTATTTTTGTATTTTTATTGTAGATTTAGTATCTGGGGAGGTAAGAAAAACCCCGAAAGATTTTTACATGCAAAAATGTTTTTCCTGGGGGTGGACCTTTTTTGAGATTTTTTTTGGTTCTAAATTTTGAAAAATTGTAACTTTACTTATAATGGACGAAAAAAATCGAACATAAAAGCTAAACAAAACTTACATTTCGCTCTATTAACTCAGCTCATGGACAGTTCTATGGACTGGAAAAATTGTTGTAACAAACTTCTGACCTACAAAATTCGAAATTTTCAAAAAAAAAAAAAAACGAAAATTCGAAATATTTTAGAAAAAGTGTCAAGTGTTATATTGTTGAATAATTGTTCGAAATTACGTATATATTTTTGTATTGTATTGAAAATGTTAAAATCGATAGATTTCCGGGTTCCCCGAAGTTCTGAACATCGATTGTATACTTTTCTCTTGCAAAAATAAACTGAAATAGTGTTTTCTGCAGGCTGCAATTTTTGGTAAAGTTAAAAACGTAAAAAAAACGTTCACTGGATCGATTCCTCACATTATGAAAAATATTATCTAAAAAAATAAGTTTTGGGAAAAGTTTCAGGGAATCGAAAATGAAGCTTACGCGCTCTCTATCAGCACTAGAAGAGCTGCGTTAAGAACTTTCACTTGGTACGGCCTCTTGATAGTTTTTATGTCAAGTCGTTGCGCCTTCAAAAAAGATCCAATATCTCTAGGTACTGCTCCTAGTAAGAAGCTCTGACAAGAAGCCACGCCTAAAGAGCAAGTTTGAAAAGGAAAAATCTTGCTTGGAAAATTGATAGGATTCTTGTCAGACTTGCTCTCTAACGACATGTCAAAGAGCAATCGCTGAAAGTGAAAGAAACGAGAAGATATTGGAATCCCGCGTGATCTACAGCGAGTAAAAATTGCTGGTCTAGAACTTGTGAAATAGCATTCAGCTTGATTTTTTAAAATACATTCTTGAGCTTACAGTGTGCCATAAGAGTAAAAGGCCTCAACTTATTTCGAAACAAAATATGTGCAACAACAGGGATTTCAAAAATTATAGATTTTTTTTCTTTTTTTCACTGATTCTGAGTCTACTTCACTCTTGTCAGCGATGTTCAATTTTCAAAGGGCTGACATGTAGTGCTCTAGTGCGAGGATAAATTAGTTCTCTAGGAACGGCTGCTAGCTTTTTTCTGGTGCGAATAGTTGAAAGCGTTATAGTTCCCGACATTTTCAAAGTGTTTCGTTAAGACAACAAAGATTTCTTCAAATGTCTGAGGTCAGAAAAAAAAAGTTTGTTACAACAATTTTTCCAGTCCATAGAACTGTCCATGAGCTGAGTTAATAGAGCGAAATGTAAGTTTTGTTTAGCTTTTATGTTCGATTTTTTTCGTCCATTATAAGTAAAGTTACAATTTTTCAAAATTTAGAACCAAAAAAAATCTCAAAAAAGGTCCACCCCCAGGAAAAACATTTTTGCATGTAAAAATCTTTCGGGGTTTTTCTTACCTCCCCAGATACTAAATCTACAATAAAAATACAAAAATAAACTACACACTACAGTACCCTTGTATATTTCAAGCTTCTAACACACAACACACATATATGTGGGAGCATGCGCACACAAAATACACACATGTGTGTTGCGCGCGTCAGAATGGAAATTAGAAGGTGGAATCAAACTTTTCTGAGGCCCCCCCTTTTTTCCGTTTTTTTCGACTAATCCGACGTAAAATTGCAAGGCGGATCTAATGGATCGAGTTAGAAATTGCGGAAATGGCGTTTAAGGGGGGAAAATTAGCGTCAAAAATTTTTCATCGATTTTGAAAATTTATTTTTGGATTTCGGCAATTCTAGTAAATTCAGGAGTAAAGAGCGTCTCAAGAGCTACAAAATCCTTTTTTGATCATCAAAAATAATGAAGTTTGAGCTGAGTTCTGATTTTTTGAAAAAATGCCCTTTTTCGCATTCATCACCCCCCACCAAATTGGTGCATCGATTTTATGGAAAAAAATATGGTGGAAAATGTTCACCATCCATCCATGTATCAATTAAAAAATTTGAGCCGATTCTAAAATTACACCCTTTTTTGTTGTCCGAGCTCCTTCATTAAAATTCACCTTTTTGCAAAAAACGTCTCTTAATAAGTTATCCAAAGTCGGTTCCCACGAAATTCAATTTTCTTGAAGTGTACTCGGAACTAATAATTTTTCAAAAGTTGCAAGAACTTGGAAATTACGAAATTCAATTTCATTTTTAAAAAATTCATTTCAGAGATCTATGAAATTGTTCTTTGAAAATGACTAATCTCTTTTGAATAATTTAATCATATAAAATGGAAATTGTGCTTTCCTCGCAAGTTTTTTAATGATCCCGCCTCTTTCTGAAATTTGAGTGTAACATTTTTCAATTTTACACCTTTCGCTCTTCACTTTCATTTTCAACATGACTTCCACTCACTTTCTCACTAAATACTTACTTTTTTATACAACAAATATAGACAAAAAGTACGGTCACATCCATCCACTTTATTATGCACAATTAGCCAAATCCCGCCCACTTTAGGACGCTCATTGTAAAAAAAAGTGCTGATAAACTCTAGTCTCGACAATTTTATTTTGTTTTTCTTCATCGTCTTGTCGTTTTTATTTTTTTCTCCCTCTTCAAAAATAAAAACAAAGTTGTTTTTCCTGGTTTTAAAAACAAATTCATCATTCGTTTGGATTTACTCTTTTTTTTCTTCCTCATTTTTTTGTGGTTAATTTGTTGGATTCAATGATTTTTTGGTCAGTGTACTTTTTTTCGTCTAAAAGAAGAAATAAAGTTCAAACATTTTTCTCTCCCGTGTCGTGTCATATGATTTTTCAATTTTTCTCTCAAAAATTTCTCGCCGCCATCTAAATGTGACTGAATTATTAGTAGTTCCATGACGTTTTTTTCTCATTTTACGGGGAAAATGTTATTTAGGCGTCTTTTTTTTGTAATAAAATTATGAACTTTCCCAAAAAACCAGAATAAATTATAATAATCTGTTCTCAAAATCATCGATGTTTTGTTCACCTTTGTTTTATCGCATGACCTTGTGTCACAGAATTTTTGACGTAATTTGATAAAATTTCGAAACCTGTTCTATTGATTCATCTCCAAATTTCAGTAGAATATGGAATCTCGGGCGTCAACATCGGCTGGAGCACTTCGCGCACTTTCTGTCGAGCTCAAAAATCTGCAATCACAACCGGTCGAAGGGTTCACGATAGACGCCAACGAGGATAATCTTTTCGTATGGACTGTTGGAATTTACGGGCCACCAAAAACATTGTATCAGGGAGGATATTTCAAAGCCAACATTCGATTCCCATCAAATTATCCATATTCGCCGCCGTCGATGAAGTTTTTGACGAAAGTTTGGCATCCGAATGTTTATGAGGTTTGTTTTTCTTATTTTGAGAGCGAGAAAAATGAATTCTGGCTGGTTCTATCAAAAATTCTGCTTGTTCTATTTGTTCTGGGCGCCAAACGGTGAATGTGGGTTAGGTAAATAGGAAGAAAAATGAGAGGGAATTGGAATTGAGAACATAAAAAATAAAAAGGTCGCGAAATCAGAGAATTTTCAATTTTTGAGTTATGACGTGGAAGATGATAGGGCTTTTTTAGTGTAATTTTTCAAACGATGCTAATTATGAAAAATTTACAAAATAGGAAATTTTGCCATGTCATAGCTTCTTTATCTAACAAGGAAACGTTTTCAACTTTCAATCTAGACCCACTCATCAATATTCCGCTGTCAAAATCTGCAAAACTCAACTCCCAATACGAGTTATGACGTGGAAACGTTCAAAAATTGGGACTTTAGGAGGTCAGAACTTGTCTTGAAAATGATTTCCATGAAAACCGCGAATTTTGCAAAAATGTCCAACAATGCCACGTCATAACTCATATTGGGAGTTGAGTTTTGCAGTTTTTGACAGGGGAATATTGATGAGTGGATTGAAAACTACTAGAAAACATATATTTTATTAAAAATCTCGATTTGAACTTGAAACAGTTCCCTTGTCAAGTAATAAACCATTTTCATTCAAATTTTTCATTCGCATCATTTGAAAAATATCCACGTCATAACTCATTTTTCAGACGAAATATTGATCAGCGGGTCAAAAACTGCTAAAAACGTATATTTTATTAAAAGTCTCGATTACAAGTTGAATAAAACAGATATCTTGAAAAACTATAGAAATGGCAGAGTTCAAAAATCAATTTTTTACAGAACGGCGATCTTTGTATCAGTATTCTTCACGCGCCAGTCGATGATCCACACAGTGGTGAACTCCCGTGCGAAAGATGGAATCCAACACAATCAGTTCGAACAATTCTCCTATCAGTCATCTCACTTCTCAACGAGCCAAACACTTCATCGCCAGCCAATGTCGATGCATCAGTGATGTATCGAAGATGGAAAGAGGGAAGTGATGCAGAATATGCGACGATTGTCAAGAAACAGGTGGAAGATTCGAAAAAAGAGGCGGAACACGATGGAATTGTTGTGCCGGAAACGATTGAAGAGTATTGTGTCAAATGGGCACCGCCACAACACGACGATTGTCTTGATTCGATTGATTTTGGTTGGTTTTTTTGGCAGGGAGGGAGAAATTTGAAAACGTATTGTAGATTAACATTTTGGCGCGAAAAATACACTTTTTTTGATATCAAATATTTCTAGGGTCAGGTACTGTAGAAATTTAGCCAAATTTTTTGGCATAAAAATTGATTTCCATACAGTAGCCAAGACTTATTTAGTCTCAAAAACGTGGATGTTTGGCGCCAAATCAGATCTACAGTATCCCAGATTTTTGCCGTTAAAAATCCACATTTTTTGACACCAAATTCTACAGTACCCATAAGCTTAATTGGTGTCAAAAAAGTATAGAATTTTTGGCCAAGTCTTTTAATTAGGTACTGAAGTGCCAACCAAATTCCAACAGTTTTGTGGCTCAAAATTTCGGCACAAAATTGATCTACAGTAACCGAGACTTGTAGAAATATTTAGTCACAAAAACGTGGATTTTTGGCGTCAGATCAGATCTACAGTATCCCAGATTTTTTCCATGAAAAATCCACGTTTTTTGACACCAAATTCAACAGTAAATTGGCCGATTCTCAATTTTTCACCCGAAAAATTTGTATTTTCAGACGACGATATGATGTATGACTACAATGACGACGAAGAAGATGAAGAAGAAGAAAGCGATGATGATTGTAATGAAGAAGACGAAGATAGTGGGCAAGGTGAAAACTAAACTTAAACACTTTATAATTGTTCCATGTCTTTTCATCCATTTTCCCTTCTTTTCTCATCATATCTCTCTCTCTCTCGAAACATTCTTATTATGTACCCCTTTTCTTAACCTAGTCCTACAAATTGTTCTTAGGTCACCGCTTTTTTTTCCATCATCTCAAAGCTACTATAACAGTGCCTCCTCCCATTCAATCCGATTTAGAATTTGAAAATTTTAACAACAACAAAAAATATTTGAGAAATTTGAACTCAAAATCAAAAAAAAAACAGACTATTTTGAATATCTTTAATGATAAAAAAGAAAAAGAAAATTGAAGACTCTCATGCTGTACAAAATTTGAATTTCAACACAACTTCATGTTTATTGTGTTTGTTTCTCTCTGTCAATCATCACATTTACACTATCTCCTTGTCTCGTCTTCATTTTCCTTCTTTTTTTTGGTGTGTATGCAAATAAATACTTGTTGTTTATTTATTTTTTGGGTATTTTTGGAAAAATGTCTGTTTTTTATCGACGATATTATTTTGTGTAATTCATTATAGTTTCCGGGGTCGAAAAAATGAGTTTATTTCATTTCAAAAATTGCTGGCAATCTTCGAACTCCTTCGACTTTTCCATTCAAAACTTCTCGCGATTCTTTGCAATCGCCTTTATAATGATAAAATGCAAAATAATGTTTGTTGTTGAGTTCCAGCGCTTTTCCGGCATTCTGCAAAAATGTTCTCTGAGCTTTTGAATCGCCTAAAAATCAATAAAAATTCCAAACTTTTTCCCCAGAAAATGTACGTTTCAAATTTTTGATGAATATTTTCGGAATTTTCAAATTTCGATACCACGTTTTTTTTTCTGTAGGTTTGATTTTCCAATTAGCATTTTTTTTCATTTTTCTTCAGTAAACTTTCTTGGAAATTAGGAAAACGAAAAATTGACAGCTAAGAAATTCAAAAAAATTTCCCCCAGAAAATTTTTTTTTTGGAAATTAGGAATTTTAAGGGTTCTAGAAAATTGTTTGATTCCAAAAACTAACATTATACCAAAGACTGAGCTCTTTACTGGTTTTCGGTGGCAATGTTCCAATCGGTGGTTGAACTCGAAAATATTCGGAAGATGTGCAACGAACTTTGAAACTGAACACTTCATTGGTTGGGTTGAAGATTTTTATCGTCATTGCCACTGGCTTTTTATCGTCTTTGCATACAAATGTGATCTGTAAACATCAAAGATCTTTCGCCGAGAAGAAATACCGTACCTGTTTCGCGCTGAGACCCAACTTCGATGGTGGTTCTGTTGGTTTATTTGCGATGATTGAGGGGCCGGCATCGACGAGATCTTTGATACCTCCTAATGGAACTTCTCTGGTTTGTGTTGACGTCATTTTCGGATAGAAACTGAGGTTGGAGAGGCGAGCATGGGATTTTTATACGTGTGAAAATATAGGTCACGCAAAAGTAGGTTACGCTTGAAATTTGAAATTGAATAATTATTTTTACTTTTTTGAAAAGGGCCCAAGAATTCAGACTTTGTAGAAATTTTTTAATTAAAATGATGTAAAGTTTTGAAAAAAACTTTAGAAAAACTGATTCTTTCGCTAGAAATTTAGAAAAAAATCAAAATTTATGTCATTTTTTGAAGGATTTTCTAAATTATTCATTTTTTCTGGAATTTTTCCTCTGATTTCTTTAATTTTCAAATTTCACATATTTTTCTTCATCTCTTTTCTCATTTTCTAAATACCTTCATTCACTCATCTTCGCTCCATTGCTAATTTTCGCGTTTTCATTTTTTCGAATTTTTTTCTTCCAACCAAAAATCTTTTTTGTTTCAGAACAAACTCACAATGAGTCGGCGACAAAATCCATCGGAATTCCTCAAGAAAATCATTGGAAAACCAGTTGTTGTGAAATTGAACTCGGGCGTTGATTATCGTGGAATTTTGGCGTGTTTGGATGGGTTGGTTTTTTTCTGATTTCGCGAAAAATTCTCAATTTTTTCATAGATTCATGAATATTGCTCTCGAACAAACCGAAGAATATAGTAATGGTCAATTGCAAAATAAGTATGGAGATGCTTTCATCCGAGGAAATAACGTGTTATACATCTCAACTTCAACTAAATGAATAAACGGTTTTTCTCACGATCTCAATAAATTATATGTACTCAAAGTGTTGCTATTTAATTGTGTTAAATGTTTTCCATCGTTTCCTCGAATATTTCGTCGATTTTGGGGGTTTCCCAATTGAAAAACGAAATATTTGGGTTCAAACAAGTGTCGTTGTGTGCGTCGCGGTTGTGTGCAACGCGGTCGCTTTATTTTCGAAATTCTCCCGATTTTCCCCTATTTTTCACGCTGTGCACTCGATTTTCAGATCAAATTGTTGGGATGAAATCGCGTGTTGTGACGAAGGTAACCACGGTTAGTTTTTGATTTTTGATTTTGGGGTTTTGATTTTTGGCCGCTGGAAACAATTTAAAAATAAATTGTTTCCGAATGGTAAGTGATGTTTTGTAATGACATGCATTTAATTGGAAATGATTCACTTGATACGATGAAGCTTTATTAAGTGGAGAAAACACGTGAACTCATAGAAAATCCATTAAATTGCTCATTTCAAATGATACCATTCAATCATTTCTAGTGAAAAATGCTCAATGTGCACCAAGGGATGCTTTGTTATCAAGAACCGATTAATCTACGAAATGTTTCACAAAATGTATATAGGGCGGTATGGTTTTCAGCATAGTTTGTTTGCGCGTTTAAAAATCAATAATTTTTTGTATTTCAGACGGAGAAAGAATGGTTAATTTGTCCGCGTTGTAAAAATAAGATGTTGAAGCCGAATAAAATGGGGACAAATAATGATGGATTGATTTGGATTTGGTGGATGTGTGAGAATAATAATGAATGTAGTTTTCCTATGGAAATGCCGCCAGATATTTATCACGTTGAACAGACTGCTGAACAGGCGAAAAAAGGGTTTTACCCACTTCCTCGAATTCGTTCACTTCCTTCCAAGCTTCATCATCTTTATCCAATTACATTTGCTGCAAGTCTTCATGAAAAACGGTGTAGTAGTTCGGCGAGTATTCAAACTTCCACATGTGACTCGGGTTTATCAAATAGTTCAACTGAAATTACCTCAACTCCAAGGCAAACCGAGAATGATCCAAGTTGTTCGACATCTGAAGGTGTGACAAATGTTGAAGATCGAGGATATGAAATTGAACAAGAAGAGATTATTGAAAGTAGCAAGAAGAGGAGACCAATTCGAACGATTAAGAAAGAAGGATTATTGGATACGGATAAATCTTGGACGAAATTGATAGCAAAAATAGCACAGGATAAAACAGAGTATAGGGAATTTTTGGATATTAAAGATGAACAATTGATATCAAGAGTGAAAGAAATTATTGATGAAGGAGAAGTTGAGAAGAAGCCAGTTGCATTGACGACAAAAGGAAGACGAAAAACTTTTCAATTGGATGAAATGGATTCTTCTTTGAGACAATATCCATTGAGAGTTGATTGGAATGTTGCAAGAGTTCAATTATTACAATTAGATAGATATAATAAGGTAAGTATTTTGAGACTAAATCGACTAAATGCCATTTTCATGTTTTTTAAGCAAGTTAGTTGAAATATTCGGTTTTAATGTTATTCATGTGATAGAATTGTCTAAGACGAACACATAATGATATAAATTTTGATGACTTTACGTTATCCATAAGTGATTTAGCGACTTATCGACTAAATATCGACTAAACATCGCTAAATCACTTATGGATAAGGTAAACTCTTAAAATTTATATCATTCTGTTCGTCTTAGACTATTCTATCATATGAATAACATTAAAAACCAATATTTCAACTAACTTGCCTAAAAAACATGAAATAGTCATTTAATCGATGTCCATATTGTAAATAATATTTTTCTTATTATAGATGAACATTGGATTTGCGCCAAATTCCGAAAAAGTTCTCGACGCTATTGGAATCGAAGTCAAACCAAGTATTCTGAATACGACGAGTCATGAAGAAGTCACGAGGGATAGAGCCAAAATTTTGTCGGAGAAAATCGAGGGAGCATTGGTAGGTGTTTTTGTAGTTTGTTGTATTTAGAATTGTGAATTAATGATTTTTTTGTTGCAGAAACGAATCCATCAACCGGTATGTGAAAATGCGAATGAGAAGGCGAAACGACAAAAATTGGAGACTGTTCAACGATTGCAAAATGTCAAAGAGCAGAGGATAAATGCGGTTAGGTCGCTAGCGAAGTCACGGGTTTTGAGTAGAGTAAGTTCTAGACTAGCCTATATTTACAGATTTTTAAACTTATTTTTTCAGCTAAGCAATAGCGAGCGTCCGACGCCTTCAATCACACCATACACATATTCCAATTTCGCCTCTCCATTTTACGAACAAATTACAACTCCACATCCATCACCAGCCAATTTTGTTCCCAATGAATATTCACTTAATCTTTCTGGCCTTCATGATGATTATCAACATTATCAGCCAATTTTACAACAACCGGCTGAAGTTCGAGAAGAAGAAGAAGAAGAAGAAGAACATCAAGAAGACAATGATCTCGATTTGGATCAATTTATGTTTGATAATCAAGATGATTTTACTGGTATTTTAGAAGATGAACAAATCCCCGAACAAGATCTAGAACCAGAACATCCGAATTTCGGTGATTTGGAAGATTTTCAATTTTAGTTTTTTTTCGTGTTACTTTTTTGCTCATGAATCTTTGTTGTTTCTTTTTCCTAAAATTCATTTATTTCCTAAAAGTTCATAAACTTTTATCATACTTTTCCTCACAATTTTTTAATCGATAATTCGAGCAAAAATGCGATTCAGAATGGATTACGAAGTTTGTCGGAAGGTTTGGGATTCGCAAATCGCCGCCCAAATCACAATTCAAAATCGCGATGAGATTCTGCCATTCTACACAATGCTGCCAAGATTTTCGTATTTTTCAGTGGTTTTGCAAGATGTAAGCTGAAGTTTTGCGAGCTTAAATTTAGAAAATCTGGAAAAAATGTTGCAGATTCTTCAATTCTTCACATCTCGCGACAATGAATTGAATTTGGATGGCGAGAAAATTTGGCTGGAATCCAAAGGAGTGCCGCTGAAAATGTATATTCCGATTGGCGTGATTTTTGATTTGAATAATGAGGTGGAGGGAGACACGTGGCATATTGTTATCAAGTTGGTTTTTGATCTGAATTTGAGCAAAAAATGATGGATTTTGAGGGGAAAACTTGAAAATTTTCGGCAAAAATTGAGTAATTTGATGTTATTTAGCTCCAGAAACTGAAATTTTCGATTTTTGTCACAAAATTTCATGAATATCCCCCCTAAAAACCTATATTGACTCAAAATTTTTAATTTTTCTAACACGGCAAAAATACGTTTCAAAATTTTGATATAATTTATTTTCAAATATTTTTTTAAATTAATTGTCAATAATATTTATCCCTGAAAAAGTCAAAACCGAAATTTCAAAAAAATTCCAAATTTCTATTTATAAATTATTCAAAAAATCTGAATTCAGAACCTCAAATGCTCCAAGTGGATATCGAACAATAAATCGCGAAACAATGGAGCAAATCTATTTGCAAAACTTGAAAGAAGCCGATTTTCTGAAGCGAAAAGCGGAAACAATTCAAAATATGCAAATTGATGAGCATCGAATGCTATGGGACAGTATTTGCAATAGTTAGTTTTGAGTTTTGGAAAGTCCCCTAAAAAGTTGGGTTTTTTCAGATCATTTCGACGATTTTTGGGGAATCAACAAAAAGTTGATGGATACGTCAGATAAAATGTTTGATAGTATTCCGTTGAGAGTTTATGAGAGAAATCGACCGGCTTTTAAACAGGTGAGACAATTTTTGAGAGCCTTGGAAACACACCTGACGAGACGTGTCCAAAATGGACACTGTACATTTTTTTCAAAAGTCACACTGCATTTTTTTTCAAAAAATAACTTTGTTTCCTTTTCACCAACATTTAACCTGGAGAAATAAATGCGCATTTAGTTCAGTGGCAGGCCATTTTGCTAGTGTTCAGAAGGCCCAGGTTCGAATCTTCATTCGAACTAAACTTTTTTTTATTTTTGCTCAACTTCAAAAACAACTTCAGCTTGCTAATTTTTCGAAGTTTCTCGGTGAAAATCAACTCAGCAGACTTCGTTTTAGTGTAGTAACACAATGTGCAGTGTGGAATTTAGGTGACTGCTTAGCAAACCATAGTGTCACTGAAATTTCGAAAAAATTGACTTTCTATGGAAAAACTTCAAATTCCACACTGCACATGGGTAAATTCGAAAACTACGCTTAAAAATACACCAACTTTCTGAATATACCAACTCTTGATATGTGCTCGGAAAAAAATGCCGTCCGATTCTTTGTAATGTCCATATTTACCATTGAAATGGACACTCCAAAATAACAGCGAAATAGGGCATTTCCACACTGCACTCATGGTGTTCCACACTGTCTATGACCATAGCAATCTATCATAAAAAATTCAACCATATCCGTTAAGCCTAAGCTTAGTTATCCTAACTTCAAAATTTGAGCAACGTTGCAACGCATTCGTTTAAAAACAGTTTCCTTTCCACCAACATTTTCCCATTGGGAGAAAAGAGAGATGTGGCCGAGAGGTTAGCATTTTAGACTGGCGAGCATGAGACCAGGGTTCGAATCCTCCTGCCGGCGGAGTTTTTTTTCGAAAAACTTAAAAATTTCACGCTGCACATTTTTTTGAAAAAAATTTTCACACTGCACAAAAAATTTGGGACACTCTCTCGTCAGGTGTGCTTGGAAATTAGAAAAAATAGAAAAACACATTACAGTTCTCATAAAATTAATGAAAATTGAATATTAATTGATTTGTTTTATTTATGGGAAAAATTTGGATTGGATACTGTAGGATCTATTTTTGAAACAAAAAATTTGTTTAATAATTGCAATTTGAATTTTTTATTTTTGAATCGAAGAAAAATCAATTCTGGGAAAATTTTGAAATTTCAGATATAATCAATTGCATTGGGGCTTGTTTAGGCTCATTTTCAAGATTTTTTGGCTCGCAAAAATGAACCTAGGCTTTTCTAGACCTATTTTTCATGTTCAGGCCCGATTTCAGGCCGATTTTCGAGATTTTAGGCTAATTTTTAACCTCCAAAAAAAAAAAAAAGTTTGAACTGAATTTCCAATAAAAATACACACATTTGATGTTAAAATTGAAGAAATCGTTTAAAATGAGCAATGCTATCTTTTTCAGCGCAAAATATTGATCTAGAAAAAATGTTTCGCCTTGGCTGGGGATCGATCCCCCGACCTTGTGATCAACAGTTTTCTAGACTAAAATTTAGTGTTGAAAATGAAATGGATAATTAGAATTAATTTTTATTTTCAAAAATTTATGAAAATTGATTCCAAATTTTTTTGTAGATCTACAATTGTTTCCCAAAAATCAACAATTAATTTTCCCGAAAAAATCAAAAATTTCATTTTCCAAATTTTCCGAAAAACCAAAAATTAATTTCCCAAATTTTCTCAAAAAAATAATAAATTAATTTTCCAAATTTTCCCAAAAATCAAAAATCAATTTTCCAAATTTTCTCAAAAATCAAAAATTTCCATCTTGCAGACTCTCCTCAATCCTCGAAACGATTCGGGCGAACTGGTCACCGTCGGCCACGCGATCTGCCAACTTCTCGCCATCTCCGAAATCCTCCCAACATCAACTCTGATCTCACACGGCATCCGAATTCCCGCCGAAACACCGCTCATCTACGCCGCCAAAAATCTCACGTATCCCGACAATTTTGTGCACATTTGTGTGTTGAAAAATGACTGACTGGAAAAAATCCTCACTGGGGACCCCCATGTAAATATTTGTCTATATAAAGTTTTTTGTTCCTTTTTGGTCTTTTTTTGAGGAGCAAAAAAATAAGAAATGAGCAAATGCACACTTGGGAAAAGGATTTTCAAAATGCAAAAGCAAGGCATACTTTTTTCGAGAGAAAATCTGAAATTTTCAGATAATTTTAAGATGTTTTATAACCCAGGGTCATTTTTCCTATAGAATTTTTGTGTTTTCTTGGTCCTGACACGATTTTTAGGGGGTTTTAAAGGCGCAGGGTTTTTAGTACGTACTATTATTATTATTATATATTTACACATCCTCCTCGTTTTCTTATTTGTTTTATTTGCACATGTTCCAAAATACCGTCTGCGTCTCTTCTGACCCCTGCACTCTCTCGCTCTCTCTCGCCCCTTTCTTTTTTTGGACTGCTTCTTTCCTTTCCCATTTTTCTTCGACCACGCCGCGTGCATTGTTGATAATGCGCTCCAATGTCAAAATTTGGGTTTGGGTTATGAAATGTTTTTATTGGGGTTCCGAACTTCTCTAAACTCTCTCAGAGAGAGACTCTCTCTCCCTCTCTCTAAAGCCATAAAATCAAATCTTCCAAGATTTCCTGTGTCTGCGCCTCTCTCAAGTTCACACACTATTTCTTGGTGTCCAACAGCTGCTACTGGATACTTTGTTGTACTTTTTCTTCGTTTTTCGCTTTCTTTTTTGCTGTGTCCGATGGGTATATAGATGTGTTTCGACACAATTTTATGCGTCATTTCGCATTTTTTCTGCGCGCCGATGCGCTCTATTGATAATCTTGCATTTTTTTGGACTTTGAAATAGTTCCGACTTATTGTTATATTAATCTTTTCTATTTATATTTAAATCAAATGTTTCTTATCATTAAAAATTTTTTAAAAATTCTTCGTTGTGGAAATTTAAATTATTAATTTTTTGATTGCTAATTTTTCTACAAAAATTCATTTTTGTCAAGATTTTTCATATAATTTTTCATATCTTTTTTAAAAGTGTTTAACTACGGGTGAAAATTCTTTTTTTTATTGCTAATTTTTCTTTTTTTTTAATTAGTTCAAGATTTTCCAGATTTCTTGAACAATTTTTCTGAAACTCTGGAAATTGAACTGTAATTTTCTGGTATATCAAAAAAAAAATTTTCTAAATTTCTCACTTTTGCTTAGAATTTCATCGTTTTCAGTCACAAAATTTTTGAGTAGTAAACTACATACCGTGTTTTCAGATCATCCAATTTTTCGGGTCCGATGTTTCTCAAAAAATCGAACCTGGTCCAATTTTCCTCTAGAGCTCTTGATCTACTCCCAGAAAAATCCTGAATTGTAAATAGATCTGACAAAAACCCAGCTAGAATTTCGGAACTTTGAAAATCTAGGCTTCAGAATCCAAATCTAAACTTCTAGATGAAAAATTCTAGAATCTGAGTTCAGAACTATGATATCTAGAAATCCAACTGGAGATCTAGAAAAATAGATCTGAAATTCCAGCTAGAAATTTAGAACTTTGAAAATAAATCTAGGCTTTCAGAATCTAAACTTCTAGATAGAAAATTCTCAGTTCAGAACTATAATATCTAGAATTCAGAGATCTAGAAATCTAGATGTTTAATTTTTGATCCAAAACCTGCCCGAATTTCGCTAGAAACTTCAGATCTTTTCCCAGATCCTTCTAGACTTCTAGAAGTCCCCCCCCCCCCAAAACCACTCTCATTCCATCTGCTGTCTCTCTTTTATTCCATCTCAAGAGTACAATTTGGCTACATATTTGAGTAGTTTTCATGCATTTCCTAGATAACTTCTTTCTTGGTCCCTTTATTCCCATCATTTTCCGATTTCTCTTCATATTTTTTCTCTTCTGTTCAAATGCCCACCCACCCAATTTTCTCTAAACCTCTCAATTCTCCAATTGTATTTCCGATCTTCTGCTCGGGATTTTTTACATTGGAGAAGAGAAGAGATGAATGTGTAAAGTAGGACGACACGGGAACAGAATCCCTTCTGCTGCTCTAAAATCGCTTTCTATCCTTTTTATTTTTGTCGGTGATGGGTTATGTTGTTTTTAATAATAGTACCCACTGATTTTATTGATTTTCCGGCCGGAATATTTTTTCTACATTTTTGAAGATTAACTCTGACCCTTGACATATAAAAAATCAGATAAAATGTCTGTGTCTCTCCACTTCCCACACTCTCTCTCCCTGTTGTCATTTTATAATACCCTCATACATATTTTATTATAATATCTCTATTAGCCGAGGTCAAACTCGAACCGAATTTATTTTCTGAAATTGCAGATCGACCATGGGTGTGTTAAGTCTGAATGTAGTGTCGAGTGAGAAGGGCATCAAGAAGACGATGCAATTCGAACCGACGACGCTAGTTTTTGACGCCGCCAAATTGATTAGGGACAAATTCGCCATGCATGACACTAATTGTGAGTTTTTTTCTGGGGATGAGATTGAATTTGGAACATTTTTTGGAATTTTAAAAAATAAGCTTCTCTGCTTTGATTGATTTTATAGAATCCAATTCTTTCTAGATCGTACCTTGTTTTGAATTTTGAGAAAAATCTGAACTAAACTAAGGTTTCCCAATTATGAAATCAAATTTGAACATTTTTTTGGAATTTCAATTTTTTTTTTGGAAGTTTTGAAACTAAGTTCTATATTCAGGTCATAGTAAGTTTTGAATTTTGAAAAAATCTGAACTACACTCAGGTTCCAAAATTATGAAATCAAATTTGAACTATTTTTTTTGGAATTTCAAAAAAAGCTTCTCTGCTTTAATTGATTTTATAGAAATTTTTTCGAGGTTTTGAATTTTTTAAATTCTGAACTACAGTCAGGTTCCAGAATTATGAAAATCTGGGATTTTTTATGAACAATTTCTGAATTTCAGGTCTCACAACCTTTTTTGAAATAAAATTGTTTTTTCCACGTGGAAAAACCACCTGAAATTCATTTTCAAGATTTTTGCAATGAGCTTTGAGCTCCTAAATTTAATTTCAGGTTTTTTTTGAGATATTTTTAGCCTAGAAAATTTCAGAGACAATAAAAATAGCAAAGCTGTTCCGATTTCAATTCAAAAATTTTCCGAATTTTTTTTCAGAATGTATAGACTTTTTAAAATCGGAACAAGAATCTTAAATTTTGAAAAATCTGAATTTTCAAATTCCAAACTTATGAAAATCTGTCGGCACCAAATTTCAGAACTTTTCTGTGAACCAAGATTAAAGGTTTTCAGAATCCTTTTTGAGGTCCCAGAAATTTTCTGAAAATTTCACTCCAACTTTTTTGTTGCAGCCAATGAATACGGTCTTTTCCGTATCGAAGACGATCCATCAAAATGTGTTTGGATGGAAAATGGTCGAACTCTCGAATATTATCTCGTTCGCAATCAAGACAGAATCGAATACAAGAAAAAGATACGATACTTGAAAATCCGAATGTTGGATGGTGCCATCAAAACAGTTTCCGTCGACGAATCGATGCCCGTTTCACAATTGATGCTTCCAATTTGCAATAAGATCGGAATATCGAATCACGATGAATATAGTCTGGTTAGAGACGATGTTTTGTTGGCTGGTAGTAATAATAATTCGACGTGGAATCTGAAAGAGGAACGTGGACGGAGTGTTGAACGAAGCGGAATGATGGGTACATTAGGCCGAAAGAAGGAGCAAAAAATGGAAGAGTTGCGCAAAAAATTGCATACCGATGAGGAACTTCCATGGTTAGATCATTCGAAAACATTGAGAGAGCAAAATATAAGTGAGGAGGAGACTTTGTTGCTTCGCCGCAAATTCTTCTTTTCTGATACAAATGTTGATAGTAGAGATCCAGTTCAACTCAATTTATTGTATGTTCAATGTAGGGATGGAATTCTAAGAGTAAGTTCAGATTTTTTTTGCTAGAAAACGATTCAGTTCCGAATTTTTCTAGGGACTTCACCCGGTTCAAAAAGAAACCGCATTCCACCTGGCTGCTCTTCAAGCACACATCGAATATGGTGACTTCCCATACGATAAGCCAAAGTTCCACATTGATGGACGCGATGTTTTACCGAAAGAATATGGAAAAGTGAAGGAGAATGAGAAGAAGGTTGTTCAATTATACAAAGAATTGAGTGGAACCCCGGAACTTGATGCCAAAAGCAAATATGTTCATTTGTGTAGAGAATTGAAAACTTATGGTGTCACTTTCTTTGTTGTTAAGGGTGAGTTACTGTAGATCATATATAGATCAGGGCTGATCGGAATCGGAATTCCGACCCCGAAACTCGGAAGGTGTGATATCCTTCCGAACCTTCCGACAAGGGCCATACCGATCAGGCCTGATCAGGCCTGATATGTGGGAAAAAAATAATTTTTTTTTAGAAAAAATGGCTGGAAAGAACAAATTGGTTCCTCGATTGCTTGGAGTTAACAAAGAAAGTGTGATGAGAGTCGACGAAAAAACCAAACAAATTTTGAAGGAATGGCCCTTGGAACAAGTTCGTCGATGGGCTTCCTCTGGAAAAACCTTCAATCTTGATTTCGGTGATTATCAAGATGGATATTATTCAGTGCAAACATCGGATGGAGAGAAAATCGGACAACTCATCGGTGGATACATTGATATAATTTTGAAGAAGAAACGAACTCGTGATCATCAAGGAATTGAAGGAGATGAAGGTTCGACGATGTTGGAAGATATGGTTGCACCGGCTAAAGCAACCCTGGTTGCGCATGGTCAAATCGGATCGAATGGACAAAATGTTACCGATGGAAGTGTGGCGGTTAAAGGAGTGTTGCGTACACCGCAAGGTGGATATGGTTACGGTATTAATGGTGCGCAATATGGTGCGGTTAGTGGAGAAGTCACTTCGCAAACATTGGCTAAGGTGAGTTATTGGAAAATATAGTGAAACGTATTAAATTGGGGTTTGCAGATCAGAGTTTGAGAAGGTAATAGCTTTTCATAAGTTTCACATCAGTTTATTTTAGTGTTTTCATTTTTCAAGAGTCTTAAAAATTTTTTATTCAAAATCTTTCAGGCTCAAAGATTGCGAATTCGTGATATGTACGAACATCCACAAAGAGCGTTGATCGGAACAATTGAAGCCACAATTCGCGCTGTAGATGAAGCTGAGACCGAACTCTATGCTGAACCACAAATCGATATTCCTAGATTCAACGATGATCAATCAACAAATCGATGGATTGACGAACAGATGGCTGTTAATAAGGAAAATGTCAACGAAAGATTGGCTGCAATGGGCGCTGCAACAGCTCAAGTTGTTCAATGGACAGCTGTGCAAGAAGAATATGATGATCGCGTCGGTACAGCCATCGCAACCATCGGTTCGAATCTTCCCGATGTCAGTCGAAATGTTCGAGATTTGTCCGCGCTTATGACACGCGACGAGCGGGGAGATCTCGTCGAAGCGACTCGTCTCCTTTGCGGTGCTTTTGGTGACTTCTTGACAGCCGTCAATCCAGAACAAAACGAAAAACGAACTGTTGTGTTCACCGCGGCTGGTCGTGTTGGAGAATTCTCGCAACAAGTTATCAATTCGATGGATCAACAGACTGAAAGTCAGCGAATCTTTGATGATCATTTGGTGCAAAAGGCTAAAAATGTTGCATCATCAACTGCTCAACTCGTTCTATGGTAAGTCTTTGGGAAGGATGGATTATAATGAAATATATACACCCCTCGCCGGAAATTCCCTAGATCAAATGTCATTTTTCTCACAACCAAGCCGCCAAAAAATGTTTATTTTTTGCTCGTTCGTTCGTGTATACATTTTCCTCCAAGACATGTGCATCTGCCAGCAACTTGTCTCTTCTTTTGATTGGCCCCCGTTTGCCGAAAAGATTTTGTTTATGTCCATGTGTCTCGACGAATTCATTCACCCAATCAGCCACCATACACGCAAACCACTTAAGACTTCTTCTTCTTGCAAACAATTAGAGCCGAGAGGGCCAACTTCAGAAAAAAAATGCATTTCTTGTTGTTGTTCAAGAGGGCCCCCTTTCTCGTCAATCTTTTTTGTTATACTGGCGCCAAATCCACCACCATCTGCCTGCCTCTTCCCCCCAGAGACTCATCTATAATATAACCCTCCCCCGGCCCCCTGTCTCTCCCAAAGAGAGAATGATGGATGTGTGTGTATGTATGTAAATCGGAGAAAAAAGTCCCTAGAGGGCACACACACAACACGCATAGACACATCTGTCAGACCACGCCCCCTTTTTGGTTAGTGACTGAGCGAAAAGAGTAGTCGTTTTTGCCCGCTATAGTAGTAGTTGTTGTGTCCTTCCTTCGCCTCTATTTTTCGCCCCTTTTTTATTCAAAGAAGAAGAAGAAAGACGACGACAATGTCAATGGTGAGCTGCATTTTTTATTCTTTTTTCCGTGTGTGTGTGTCACTTGGAGTTCAGAGGTTGTTAGGTGACTGCACTTATTTATAATTGATTCTTTCTCTTCGTAGCTCTCCAGAATCCAAACAACTATAGTTTGCGCAAACAACTGCGATAGATCACTTTTCCCTGAAACCTATATGTACATATAAATTATTTTCCTCCTTGTCGGCGTAAAAAATTCGATTCACGAAGATTCGAAACCAGTTCCGACCGCACCCCTCGATTTTCCTCCCTGTCGTTTTTTTCTTCTTCCGCGCGCGCGCTTTTCCTTATCTTCACTAGGCTTCTGCGCATTATCACCGCCTTACGTAATACGTTTTTCCTCCACTACGATTATTATGCGACAAAAACGGCGAGCCACCAATAATTCACCAACAATTGTTCGAAATGTACAAATTTTCCGCTATTATAATTCGGTTGTGAAAGCGCCGCCAATGAGTCGAAAAGGCTCGTTGTATAATTTGTCGCGTAGTACTAGTACAGGATCGTCAAGTAGTTTCGGGTAAGCCCTCATTCAAAAACAAAAACAATTTCCGAAAATAGTAAAGGTCTCTCCCTCTACCTATAAATTACCGGATCTGCACTCACTCAGTCGGCGCCGCAATTATATTCACCTGAATAAACTTGTTGAAACACCGCAGAACTCATTCAACCATAGAACCTTTCTCCAACCAACCCAATTATTATTTTTTCGCACAACTTCGTACTAATGTTTGCTGCTTTTTCAGCGCCAAAACCATCTCGGCAGAATGCGAAGAGTCAGAGGTTCAAGAGAAGGTGATTCATTCGGCCACAAAATGCGCGTTCGCAACATCTCAACTTGTTGCTTGTGCACGAGTCGTCGCACCAACTATCGAAAATTCGGCGTGTCAACAGCAATTGACGACTGCGGTGACCGAAGTTTCGCAAAGTGTCAGCAATTTGTTGCACGACTCACAATACGCTGTTCGTCAACAATCGAGCTTGAGTGATATTCATACTGCTGCCAGACAGGTTAGTTGATATTCACACTGCTGCCAGACAGGTTCAAGGTCATTCCCAAACAAAATATCTAATTTTTAGGTGACCAACGCTCTTGACAGCCTTTTGGAACATGCCAAAACCTCACCAAAGACTACAACTCGCCGTGAGGAGGAGGAAGAATATAATGCGGTATTGCGAACAACAAACCGAATGATTGCACATCAAGGACCATCGGAAGAATTGACTCGCGAAGCGAAGAAAGTTATTCGCCACAGTCAAGTTCTTCAAGAACATTTCGAACATGAAGCTCATCAACGTCCAGAAGATAAGGATCGTTTGTTGGAGGCAGCTCGACGAGTCGCGACTGCAACATCCGATATGATTACAGCGACAAGAGATTGTGAGTCTCGACCAACAGAAGCCGAGTCGGAAAGAGCTTTGAGAAGTGCAGCAGAGAGACTTGGACGAGTTACGAATGAGACAACTCAGGAGCAACAGGAGAAACATATCATGCAACGACTCGAACAAGCCGCTAAACAAACTGCTTACGATGCGACACAAACTATCGCCGCCTCAAACGCTTCTAAGGTTAGTTTAGTCGGGCGGCATTTCTTTCTTGATTGCAAATTATAGGAGAGAAATAGTGTGCGAGAGAGTGGGAGAGAGAGAGAGGGGCAGAGCAGGCAGGACAGACATAAATAGGCAAATCAAATTACAGCCGCAATCAAAGGAGCACAAACGAACTGAGACCACAGAACAGCTTTTAGTTGACGACACCCATACTATTTTACGAATTCGCTAAAAAACCAAAAAATCTTTCCGTTTTTTGAAAATATATGTACTATTGAATTCTTGCCATATCTTTCATAAAAAGTGCCTTTTGAAAAAATTGTGTCTTTGATTTTTCAACAACTACAAAAAAAGTAAAGTTCGTTCGGGTCGGTTGGAAAATTGTAAGTTTGATTGCGGTGAGATTCTGCTCTGCCTTTTTCTCTTTTTTTCCACAAAAAATTAACTAACCATCTGTGAGAGTGTGATTTTTAAAAAATAAATATTAGATTAACTTGTTTTCTTAACCCTAATGTTTCATAAGCTTTTCATTAATTATTATATTTTCAGGATGTCATCTCAAACAAATCCTACAGTAATAATTTGGTTTATGAATCCACTTGTACAGCCGAACATCTTCCGAGACTTATCACATCGATTAGAGAATCACAAAATGCTAGCACAGATAGTGAGAAGTTCCGAGCTCAAAGCAGACTTATTCGTGATTCTCATCAAGTTCTTGAAACATCAGTCAGACTTGTTGAAACATCTCGAACTGCAATTCCATCAGTCACCGAAGTACATCTCGCTTCAAACCTATCAGAATCATCAAATCGTTTAGCAACTTCGCTAGCCGAATTGAGAGCTGCTGTCAACGATGCTCAACAACTCAATTTCTCGCAACAATTGGTTTATAGCGAAGAATTGATTCGTGAATTGGATGAACAATTGGTGAATACACACCGTGCTGCGATTGCACATCAATTGACACCTCCACAATCAGCAACACCTTTGTCAACAACATCTCAATTGATGTCGACTTCAAGACATGTTGGAAGTGGAGTGGCTCAATTGATCTCTGCCGCCAGTTCGAAGGACGAGAAACATGTTGGAGCGTCAGCTGTTGAACTTGCGCAATACCTTCGTGATTTCACCAACGCTGTCACTTCAGTGGTTTCTACAAGATCAGATGTTCAACTCGAGAAGTTCATCGTCAGCGCTCGATCAGTGGTTCATGAATCCGGCCGAGTATTCGATCGTGTTCGTGAACTTTCGCCACCAATCGTTCTCGCTGATACCGCCAAAAATGTGTCGACTTCTTTGAAACAAGTCATCGCCTGTATCCCCGACACAGAGCACATTGAAAAGGCGATCTACAAGATTCAAACAGCGTCGGGTAGCAGTGGAAAGATCAGTGCAACTGGTCTTCGACAAGCCGCTGATCGATTGATTGATGCAACATCGCAAATTGTTGTGACTTTGGGAGCCGCTGATAATATGAAAGCTGTCGATGTTTTTGTTGAAGCATATTGTGATTTGCACGCTTCAGTGATCGCAAACATCCGAAATCAAGGAGATCAACAGATTCGAAACAAATTGGTTGAACGATTGGAAAACACTCAAAGAGAAGCAATCAGTGTTCTGGGAACATTGAGTCGTGCCAGCGTTCTTTCCGATGCCACAACTTCTCAACAACTCACCACTGAAACTCGACAACTAACATCTACAGTCAATCGATTGGTTGAAGATATTCAAGATGGCGGAGAAACACCTTGGGAAAAAGAATGCGATGCGGCGTTGAGAAGAATTCAATCAGTTTACCACGTCACCCAACACGCCGATGTTCCAATCAATAATCACGGTTATTTCCAATCGCTTCAAAATGTTTCTGAAGTTTCACATCGTCTTGGAGAAGCTATGACTGGAATGGCAAGACACGCAAAAGTTAATGATACACAAGGATTCTGTCAGAACGTTAGGTAAGCTATAAAAAACCCTAGATTGTTTGTAATCAATATCAATTTTCAGAAGTTCTGCTGATGCTCTTTGCTCGTTGGCTGAATCAGCTTCTCATTCTGCATATCTTGTTGGTGTTTCACATCCAGCAAGTACTCCAGGAAGAGCAGCGCTTATTGATTCATCGGAAGTTTCGAGAAACGTCGAATCTGTCACATCATCTTGTTCTCGAATCGAATCAAGAACCTTGAATCGTGACGAGTTGCTCAATGAAACCACGTCAGTCGCAAGAAGCACAGCAAATCTCGCTCAAATGTGTCGAAATGCTTCGGAACAAACATCGAATGTGAACGTGAAGAAACATATGGTGAATAGTGCTTTGGAATTGGCATCGAAGACGGCGAATTTGGTGAACTCGGTCAAGACTTTGGATTCGCAACGAACACAAGAAGCCGGAAATCATTGCAATAATTGTTGTGTTGAATTGCGACATGTTGTTCAACAACTTTTACAATTCGCCGATAATCCAGATTTCGGAGCTATCCAGGCTAACATTTCGAACGAAGGTCGACACTCACAACAACCAATTCTTCATTCGAGTCGACAAATGTTGGATTCATCAGCTGAAATGATCAAGACAGCCAAACAACTTGCAACATCTCCACAAGAAGCTGCAACTTGGCAAAGACTCGCTGATAACAGTATTCTTGTGTCGGAATCTATTAAAAGATTGGTCGCTTCGATTCACGAAGCTGCACCAGGACAAATTGAGTTGGATCGAGCTATTGCTAGACTTCAGGGATTATCTGGATATGTTGAGAGAAGTGCTATGGATGCATATGCAAATGCCAGTGATTCACAACACAATTCCAGCGCCGAAAAACAATTGTTGCAACAAGTTCAACACATCACCCATTCTTTGGAAGATAAGGTTGATGAGTTGAGAAGTGCTGCAGTTGCTCATGGCGAAAGACTTCCACATATTGTTGAACTTCACGTTCAGTTAACCGAAGATATGGCGAATGCAGCTTGTGCGGCTGCGAGTTTGGCAGTTGATAGTAATCAACAAACTGAGTTGTTCGATAAGTGTCGAACTGTTGTTGAAGCCGAATTGCAAATGATGATCGCTTGTCAAGAATCGGGAGGAAATCCGAACGCTCAACACGCTCATCATCTCGTCGATGATTGTGCCGCACAATTGAAACATGCTATTGGAGATATGCGAGCAACCATTGCTAGAGTGTCGAGTGAACAAGGAGCTGTGCAAGGAATGGTTGATACAATTTCGAGTTCGATTGTTCACACTGACACTGCTTCTGGACCTGGATCAACGACTGGATCATTTGCTGATTCGCAAACAAGAATGACTGGAAATCTCGAAGAGATCCGAAGAACAGCACAACATATGCAACGATGTGATGCGAATTCACTTGGACCAGCCTCGTTGAACTTGAGTGAAAAATATCGATTGGTTGCTGCTGATGTTCGAGGAGCTGTTGGAATGTTGCCAGAAGCTGATATTGGACAAAAAGTTGAAAGTCGCTGTTCAGAAATTGGGAACAAGTTGCATTGAAACTGTCAAGACTGCTGGACAACGAAGAGCACATCCAGATGACGAACGAATTCATCGAGAATTATCATCACAAACTGTGACAGTTGTTGAGCGAGTTGATCAAGTTTTGGCGGCTTTGCATGAAGCATCGAGGGGAACTCAAGCTTGTATCAATGCTGCGAACACAGTCAGTGGAATTATCGGTGATTTGGACACAACTATAATGTTCGCCACAAGTGGCTCGTTGAACACTGCTGATGATCAACAAAAATTCCCAGCTCATCGTGAAGCGATTTTGAAAACCGCCAAAGCTTTGGTCGAAGACACAAAAGCACTTGTAGCCGGAGCTGCATCGAATCAAGAACAATTAGCAGTTGCTGCACAAAATGCCGTGAGAACAATTGTCAATTTATCAGATGCTGTTAAAAATGGAGCTGTTAGTTTGAGCAGTGATAATTCGGAAGCGCAAGTTCTGGTGATTCACGCAGTTCGAGATGTTGCTGCCGCACTTTCGTCGTTGATTCAAGCGACAAAGAATGCATCTGGAAGATCACTTCAACATCCAGCAATGGGACAATTGAAAGATGCTGCCAAAGTTATGGTTACAAATGTGACATGTTTGTTGAAAACTGTCAAAAGTGTTGAGGATCGTCAACATCAAGGAACTCGTGCTTTGGAAGCCGCTGTTGATGCTGTCACATTCGAGATAAGACAATATGAAGCTGATTCATCCGATCCATCAGCATCCCATATTTCATCCGAACTTCGAGCTGAACATCTTCAATCAGCAGCTGATAATATTTCACAAATAACTCGCCGAGTTGCTTCAAATGCAACCGCTGACAATATTCAAACACAAGACGAAGTGATAGCTGTTGCAAATATGTCGCGAACTGCTGTTCGAACATTGTTAGCTGTTGTTCGCAATGTTTCAAACGAAACTGATTCTGCTGATCAACGCTATCAAGTTCTCGACGGTGGTCGTGACGTGGCAAACAATATCAAAAATTTGCTTGTAACACTTCACACTCAAATGACAAGAAACATCGGACACGATGAATCCAAGAGTTTACTTTTGGAAGCATCTCGAGGTGTCAGCCGCGCATTGTCAAGTCTTATTGGAGTTTGCTCGGAAGTTAGCTCAACTGGTGGTCATACAATCAATGAGAACAACACAGCTGCTGCACATGCTGAAAATGAATTATTGGGTGCAGCCAGTTCAATTGAAGCTGCCAGTTTACGTCTTGCCGAACTTCGACCGCGTCAATCTATTGTTCATAATGTAAGTTTTTCCTCTGAAAATATAAAATATTCACTACTCTATCTATATTATTCCACACATCGGCTAGTGTCTGATATGTCTGGTATTCTTGGGTTCATTTTTTGATATGTGAACCAGCATATTAGACATATCGGATATTGGTTACTCGATGTAATTTTTAAAAAACAAGGTTTGTCAGATGTTCTAATTTTCAGTTCTAAATATTCTGATATTTTTTCAATACTGATGTTTTCAGGAACAAGAACAACCAGAAGAGATCGAATTCGATGGTCAAATTCTAACAGCCGCAAAATCAATCACATCAGCAGTACAAACATTGGTTCGAGCCGCTTCAAATGCACAACGTGAACTGATTGCACAAGGAAGACTCGACACTTCTCGATCTTCCGGTCCCGATTATCAATGGTCAGAAGGTTTGGTGAGTGCAGCTCGATTTGTGGTCGCTGCAGTTCATCAACTTTGCGAAGCTGCTAATGGATTAGTTCAAGGACAAGCGAGTGAGGAGAAATTGATTTCGGCTGCGAAACAAGTCGCCTCATCGACTGCGCATTTATTGGTTGCGTGTAATGTGAAAGCTGATATGGATAGTCAAGCGAAGAAGCGGTTACAAATTGCTGGACATGCTGTTAAGGTAGATACATCATCACAAAAGGGATTAGGGGATCAATAAATGTATGATTTTCAGACTGCAACTGAAAGCCTTGTTCAATCAGCTCGTCAAATCGTCTCTCGCGATGATCGTAACATTGTGATCTCGGAGAGACTTGTCAGCGGAATTGCACAAGTTATGGATGCACAAGAAGAAGTGTTGAGAAAAGAGAAGGAACTCGGCGAAGCTCGTCATAAATTGGCTCATTTGAACAAGGCCAGATATGAGAGAAGCGGCGAGGAATAATGAATGATTTGTTGACATTTTTATTTTATTTATTTCTAGATCTATTGATGGTGCATAATTATTACATGTATTTATGAATTTATTAATAATACCTACTTACTTACTCCAAGTTGCCTTATTATTATTGTTCAATAAATTTTTATTTAAATTTAAATTCAAATTATTTTATATTGCATCAAAAACCACTGAAAATCAATGAAAACTACACTTTTTCGTGAAAAAATGTACAGTTTGGCTTTTGAAAATTTTTGTACAGTGTGGCTTTTTGGACACGTCTCGTCAGGTGTGAATGGGACCATTTTGATTTTTCGGAAACCAAATTATATTGGGAATAGAGAAAAAAAGAACCGAGGATTTCAAAAGACCCAAAAAATTATAGAATTTTTTGAAACCTACTTTTTTCGGTTTATTTCGTAAAGTTTTTTTTCAAAATTCATTGCGAAAATAAGAACACCTCGTTCCAAAAAAAATTGTAAGTGGGATTTTTTGAGTTGGGCCCAATTTCCGATATTTCTCAATTCTCAATGGGGCCATTTTGATTTTTCAGAAACCAAATTATATTGGAAAACGGAACAAACAAAACCGACGCTTTCCAAAATATTATAGAATTTTTGAAACGTATTTTTTTCAGTTTTTTTAAAAAATTTTTTGCGAAAATAAGAACAGCCAATTCGAAAAAAAGGTTAACAGAGGGAATTTTTGAGTCAGAACGATTTTTTAATTCTCAATGGGACCATTTTGATTTTTCAAAATTAGAGTATAATGAATTTTACGATTCTAACAATTATTTTATATTGCATTTCAAGAAAACATGAGATCATAAGATACATTTTTTTAAAAATACATTTAAGGTCTGTCATATCCGGAAACAAATGGAACACCAGAAGGCACATTTTGCTTGTACTCCTAAAATCCAAAAAAATTGAAGCAGAAGCTGAAATTACAAAACCTACCAAGTAGGCCTCCCCGAAAAACGCAAACAAATCGCGTTCTTCATCGTAAATTCGCTGCGAGAAAAAGTGCCACGTGACATAACCGTAGGCTATACAACAAATTGGATTGCACATTACAATTTGGGTGGAGACAGCCCAAATGAACCAGCCTAGAAAATAGGGAATGTCTCGTTTGAAAAATTTTTGAGAACATAAATTCAGAATTTTTCGATTTTTTTTTCGATTAGCTAGCAGTTTTTCACGCTGAGAAAGATCACGTTTGCATTTTTTGTTGAGCAACTCTCCGAAGAGCACAAAAATAAGCCGAAAGTTGAGAATTTTTGAAAATTCGGTGTTTTGCGAGCCCGTTACTCATGTTAGAGAAAATTTTTATCAAAAATAGAGTACAGGGTGGTGTTCAGAAGGGTTGAGTTACCAAGTTTCAACCTATTTTCTGAGCCACAAATTTTTTTCTGAAAAAGTATGGATACAAACTAAAAATTTGTAACTTTGGTAAATCGATCTTCCTGAACAACATGAATTACGGGCTCTCAAAATCACGAATTTTCCAAAATTCTCAATTTTTGGCTGATTTTTGGGCTTTTCAGAGAATCACTCAGCAAAAATAGGATATTTTTCTCTTAAAACACACTTTCCTCGTGATCCCAAAGCTCAAAAATCCCCAAAAACCAACCGCAATACGCAGGATGTCTAACATACGAATAAATTCCCTCAGTCATCAATTTATGATCGTATCGTTTAGTTTGTGCCAATCTATGCGTAAATCCACTTCCAGCTGTCAACATTGCTGTTTTACGGAAAATATCACCAAAAATACACAGGCCAACACCCAATAAACTGATCGATTGAAGTTTCATTTCAGGGATCAGGAATACCTAAAAAAAATAATTTTATTATTGAAAACTATATATAGTATTTATGATCAAAGAACCTCACCTCAACACCAAATTCAATCCAACTTGCGATTGCAGCAATCCAATAGGAAACCGAATGATTCAACAAAAATGAATCGGCTTGAAGAGAACGGCGATTTGACAAAGCGGTGAAAATGTATTCGGTGAAATGAAAAATCGATAAGAGGAAGAAGTAGCGAACAATGAATGATGATTTGTCGTTGAAATTGATGATTGAATAAATTAAAGAGAAACCACTTGTCTGAAATGATTGGATTTTTTGAGGAATTTTCAATATTTTTTTACTTTCTCAACACAGATGTATAGACGATTTCAAAAGATCCAAAAAATTATAGAATTTTTGAAACGTATTTTTTTTCGGTTTTTCTCGCAAAGGTTTTTTTTCAAAATTTATTGCGAAAATAACCACAGCCCATTCGAAAAAAAGGTTAACAGTGGGAATTTTTGAGTCAGACCGATTTTTCAATATTTTTCATTTCTATATGATAGATATCGCCTCTACCGACGATTTCAAAAGATCCAAAACAATATGAAATTATTGAAACGTATTTTTTTCGGTTTTTCTCACAAAGGGTTTTTTTTCAAAATTGTTTCGCGAAAATAAGCTGCACAAAGCTTCTTTCAGAAGAACACATCAAATTTTGAAAAACTAACCGCTCCCAAAACCGCCGCCTGTGTTGTGCATTGATATTTCCAATTTTGAAACTTTCCAACCTTCCAACTAATCGGTCCCGAAATTAGCACAAATATCAATCCAATCCAAAAATTAACCGCTAGACTTGAGATAACAGTGACTATGAAAAATAATAAAAAATGAAGGGAAACATGACGAAGCTCGGTGTCTAATTGAAACTGTTTGAATATTGCAGACATCTGAAATTTCTCTCTGACGTGAGGAAAAATTCAAAAAATTAGGGAAAAATATTATGTATTGAATTTGTAACAAATTAGTTGAAAGGAAAGGGAATAAAATAAATAAATTCATAATATTCAACAGTTTTGAGGCAAAAATAAAAATAAATCAATAAAACGAGCTGATCGATTCAATTAAAGAAATTACACGTTTTCGCTCATCAAGTGCATCCAATCCCAAATTTTCATAATATTCTTCGAGGATCTGCAAAAAAAAAAAGGATTTCTTTTCCAAAAAAAAAAATCACTGACCGGCGATAGAATAGTGTCTAATCTATCATTGCTCATTTTCATCGAAAACAATTTTTGAGCTCTTTGTCTCGCTGAAGGGACACAAACTGTGACATCAGCTAGGATTAATGAAAGACGTTGAAGGGAATACAATCCATTGTCAAGTTTATCCAAATATTCACGATCTTCATCGTCTTCTTCAGAACTTCCAGCTTCTTTTCGTTTTTTCAGCTCGAAACGTTGAACTTTTTTCTCTGAAGAAAATAGGTTTTGGGGGAGGGGGGTTTCAAAAAAAAAAATATATAAAATGCTTACTTATATTTGAGGAATAATTCAACAGCTCGATCGACTTTTTCATGTTCGTGCTCAACGAATTTTTGCACAATTCTTTCGCGATGATTTTCGCTGCAGGAGGAGAGGAGAGATGAGAGAATCTAGAGAAAAATTATCATTTTTAGTATTAAAAAAAAAGCTAGAAAACTTACAGTGCATACGTGTTCTTCATGCTCATCTGGTGTTGTATCCTTTCTCTTAACTTTGGAGGGTGTTCTCATGAAAAGCGGGAAAATAGTTCGTAATCCGAGCATTTCGACAAGTTTATTGCAATTCTCGATTCCTTCAACTCCTGAAGTTGCATGATCCAATACTTTCAAAGCACTTTGACGTGATTGTTTCTTTTCTCGAAGCATCAAATTCATCAATTGCAAACCTTCACCATCCAGGAATTTTTTCCTGTTTTCTGGCCACATAAGTGCTGCGCAAAGTGCGTTGAACAGATTTTCCATGTATTCCCGCTCGTCAACGCTTGTTGGATCGCTTTTCTTGTAAACTGCGATGGCTCGAAGAAGAATATCGATTCCATCGACTTTTTCAGTCAGTTTTGATTTTGCTGAATCGGAAGATTGAAGGATCATTGACAAGAGTTCGGATGCGTACATTTTATTGGCGTCGAATGGGGATTTTTGGAAACATCGCTTCAAAAGCCAAACTATGAATCCTTGTTTTACACACTCTTCAGTGGTCTCGTCGCGAAATTCGATCATCTAAAACATTTTTTAAAATAAACATATATACATATATATATTCCCTATCGAGATCTAGATATCTCCCTGAACCTACATTTTCAACAACACTCAATCCGTTATGAATTCCATCACTTTCATCTTTTTCTTTTTCATCCAATCGTTCAAAACATGACAACAAAGTTGTGATAATTGAACCATTTGATAAACTTTCAACAAGTTCAACAGCTCCTTCATCTCCTTCATTCAGAATATCAACATCGGTCAATTCTTGCAAAAGATTCAAAGTTGCACAAATAATATCCGAATTCTCGTGTCCTAATAATTGAAGAAGAATCTCGACACCATTCGCCGAAACAAAAACTCCATATAAATCGGGTTGAGTTGCCAAAGTGTGCATCTCCTGAATCGCTGTATCCAGCTCAATTTCAGAATCCATAAACTTTTTCGGATCATCTGGATTTTTCACGCGCATTTCTCGATTTTTCAACATCTTTTCTCCAATTGCCCCACCAATTTTCTTACTTGAACATCATCTAATGGAGTGAAATTCGCTTGATCTGATTCCAAAGCCGCAAGAATATCTTCCGCATTTGCTGGAGGAGCTGAAGACGATGAAGATGGCTCGGCATCGAATCTCGATTTCTTCCTGGCTGGTTGATAAGTCGCCGAAGCATTCGATGACTTCAAAATTTCTGTCACATCGATCGAAGCCATGCTTTGAGAAGCCTAAAGTTAGATTTTTGTTTGTGTGAACAAGAAAAAAAATAAATTCGAAAAAAAGCTGCGCTAAACAACAGGCAGTGCGTAATTGTCAAGAGAAAACGGAGTGTCGTTTGAGATTTGTGTGTTTTGCAAAAAGACGAATTTTTGAAATTTTAAAAAACGATAGGAATTCTCGGAAATCGCATTTAAAAAAAGCACATACCACAACTTAGATTCTTCAGTGGTAAAAATGTTAGTTTACATCTTGAAATTTTTCTGAAAATTGTAGGAAAAACCCCAAATTTTTAGAAAAATGTGAATTTTCGACCAAATTTCGAGAAAAATCTAATTTTTTGGGCCCGAATCAGGCCTGAAGCCTGAAAAAAAATCTCAGGATTTCAAGCCTGAAATTTAAGAAACATTCAAATTTTTAGACCATGAGCCCGAAATTTACGATAAAAAACCCAAAATTCGGGCTTGCTAGGCTAAATTCCTAGAAAAATCTAAATTTTGGGCCCGAATTAGGCCTGAAGCCTGAGAAACCTCAGATTTCAAGTCTGAAGCCTGAAATTTCCGTCTGAAATTTGAGAAAAAGCTCAGATTTTAGGCCTGAAGCCTTAGAAATCTTAGATTTCATGTCTGAAATTAATTTGAGAAAAATCTAAATGTTCTGGCCCCAAGCCTGAAAATTGTGGAATTTCCGGTGGATATTTAATAAGTTGAAAATTTAAAGGGTGGTTCTTTCTGTGTAGAAAAAATGGTACACGCGCACACAAAAATTTATGCATTAGAGCGCATTTTCTTGTTTTGTGTGGTGGCGCCTGTTTTTTCTATAGAAAAGCTGCAACTTTCAAAGAGAACATTCTCAACGATACAAAGCAAGATTCATTAAAGGAACACAATTACTTGTGAAAAAATTTTCCTCCAAAGAAATTCCAAATAAACTTCCACTTAAAAATTCCACGACTAATTTATCATGTTGTTGTTGTTCGAGCTCACACATAGATACACACAGTGTCATATTCAGAGACACGCTATGTATATTTTCTCGTCTTCCACTTTCACTGGCTAAATAATTAGCCAGGCTGACCCAACCAACCAAGCAGCCAGCTCATTCCATTTCCTCTAGCTTTTATGTATGTTCTGCCTCCCAAAAAGCGAACACTTTACGAGCCGAGAGCCCAAGTGGATTAATTGACTTACTGAAATAAGTTGTTGCTTTTGGTCCCTCCCCCTTTTTTTTGCTCCTGCCTTTTCTCGTTTTCTTCTTCTTCTCAACAAGTGACAGCGGCCCCTCACTTCTCACTCATAAAATTGTTCAGTTCACTCATTCACAAGAGCTTTTTTTATATCTACGCTTTTTTATTTCATATTTTTTTTCATTTTTTTAGAAGAAGAAGAAGGACAAGGAAATAGAGGCGGATGTAAGAAGGTTTGGGTAAGAATGATATCGAATATCTTTTTGATTTTGGCACTGATTCGGAGTACGGTAGAACAAAGTTCCATTGAAGGTTAGTTAGCTTATCTTTGGGACCTTGCATAAAAAATTTTCGCTTTAATTTTTGGAAAGCTCCCAAGTATATTAATTCATTGAAAAATTCTGTTTTTCTCACCTGAGGAAAAATAAAATATTTTATTATTTTTCCTCGAAAAATTGTATCATCTATTTATCATCAATTAATCATGATCCTCGTCTCAAATTCACTTTTTTCTGTCAAAATTTTTTTTTCGGGGAGTCAAAAATACTATATATATAATCCCATTATGCATCTCATCTCATCTCGTTGTATATAATAATAAACAAAAAGTAACCCCAGCTAGAAATGTTGTAAACAAAAGGTGTCACATGTGGTCATAACATATGTTTATTGCGTTGGGTACAAAAAGATCTACTACTACTACAAATTTGAGATGGGAAAAAATCGACATCAAGTGGGTCGGAGCATAATTCAAAATTTTATTTTGTAGAAAAATTAGATTAAAAATTGGCTCAGAATTTCTGGAGCCCTAAATTTATGCTCAAAAAATCAGAAGCTCTAAATTAATGATCAAAGAAACTGGAGCCGAAAATTTATACTCAAAAAATCTGGAGCCCTAAATTTATACTCAAAAAATCAGAAGTTCTAAATTTATGCTCAAATATTTTTTTAAATCACATTCTTCAACATTTTTTTAAATCACATTTTTTTCAAATTTGGTTTTGTAAATGAAATCTTTGAAAATAATTAGGATTAAAAATCAGGAGCTCTAAATAGTTTAATGCTCAAAGAGCCTGGAGCCCTAAATTTATGCTCAAAAAATCTGGAGCCCTAAATTAATTATTGCTCAAAGAACCTGGAGCTCTAAATTTAATTTCCCAACTTTTCCCGTAAAAAAATCCCCCAATCGATCAATCAATCATAACTCTCATTTTTTCCGCCACAGGAATTCTCAAAGAATCTCTTCGATCAAATCGAGTGCAAGCGTGTGACGGCGAGCGCATCACATTGAGTTGTCCGCGAAATACTCATATTATTGTTCAGAATGGGTGAGGAAAACTTGTGTGATTGATCGATAACTTGTCATAATTTTTTATTTCTGTAGGTTTTATGGAAGAGTTGTTCCGGAATCGCAATTGTGTCCAGCACAAGTTCCGAAAAGATCGACGAAAAATGAGAAGTTGAATAAGTATTTGGGAGCGACGACTTGTGATGTTATTCAAGCGCATACGGTGAGCAAAAATTTTATAGAAATAATTTTGCACAATTTTTAAAATGATTTTTTTTCTGAATTTTCCAAGTTTCCCAATTTCCCGCTCATTATCCCCATGGGACCACTATATATAATTCATCTTTTTCGTTTTTCTCAAAACAACCTTTTTTCACACCCGATCTAAATAAATTAGCATAATCGAGTTAACTTAACTCCTTTCCTTTTTCTATTCATTCAACGAAATCCCAATAGTACGACGATGACTAATAGGCTTTCCTTTTCTTTCAGAAAATCCGCGAAATTTGTGACAAGCGTCGAAAATGTACAATGGTTGTGGATACGCATACATTTGAGGATGATCCATGTCCGTCAACTTCGAAATATTTACAAATGACGTATGCTTGTATGCCAGTTGCATTTGAGGATGAAACGATTTGTGGGAAGAATATTGAGATGCGATTGGAATGTCGAGAGGGAAAAAGGATGGCGGTGTTTTCGGCGGTTCTTAAAAGTAGTCAACAATGTCAGGTTGAAAATCAGACGAAGAATGGTAATTTTTAGAGGATTTGAAATAGGAGGGGGTTTCTGAAATATTTTTTCTTGAAATTTGAGAAGTTGTAGATTTTGAATATTGAACTTAAAACAGGTTGAAAATTAAAATCTGATTTTTGGAGTTACTCCGAATTTCTGATTTTATCAGCCAGAATTTTTATGGCTGAAAATAAATCTCTTTCTAGATGGAATTTTTGCGCTGAAAATGATGGAGCTACTAAAAATTTCTGAAAATCAATATTTCCAGCATTTTCAGCTCAAAAACTTCATCTGGGAAGATATTTCTGGAATTTGACATTTTTATAAAGCTTCAGATCAATAAGTTTGAAGAACACTGTTCTAGATCAAAATTTTGCTCTGAAAAAGCTGAAACTACTGAAAATCAATGAGAATCAACATTTTCAACATTTTCAGCTCAAAAATTTCAACTAGAAAAAGTTTTCTGAAAATTGACATCTATTTGAAATGGATCAAGAAGTTTGAAGAAGACTTTCAGAAAACATTTATGGCTGAAAACGCTGGAAATATTGATTTTCAGAAATTTTCAGTTTCTCCAGCTAGCTAGAAAAGTGTTCTTCAAACTTCTTGATCCATTATCTGAAGCTTTCAAAAAATGTCAAATATCTTTCTAGATGGAATTTTTGTGCTGAAAATGCTGGAAATATTGATTTTAAGAAGTTTCAGCATTTTCAGCGCAAAATTTTGTTCTAGAAATCTTCAAAACTTCCACCCTGACCCTTTTTCTAATCAAAAACACTCTAGATTGCTCATCCGATGTTCTTCCTCAACTTCTCCAACATTGCCACGCCCAAGAAGGTTGTACAATCAAAACCGAGATGTTCGAATCAAGCTGTAAGGAAAGTAATGATCTACAAGTTGTATATGTTTGTGTAAACGAGGAAATATTTTCCGAAGAAGCGATTAAAGGAGAACTTCCGATTCTAGAAGTTTTTCTGAAGGAATTCAATGCCAACAAGGACAAAGGTTCCCAACAAATTTCGAAGATTTGGCATGGCGAGCCAGAACATCCAGAGATTCCTGACGAAATGCCAGTTCATCAAATCAATAATGATGGTAATATTTTCTCTCTAGATATTTTGCTCACAATTAGTTTCATTCCAGCTTCTTACGTCACTCACGATGAATACGGTCTTCATAAACCGGAAACGAATCCACTTCCTGAAGTTGAACGCATTGAGCCAAATCTAGTTGGGCTAACTTCGGAATTCATGGTTTTTGTGAGGTTTTTAAGGGCGAATGATCAGAAGATTTTGGCCTGTTCGGTGTTATCGATTTGTATTACATTGATTATGATTTTGACGTTTTGTGTTGTCAAGAAAACAATTTTTAGTGAAAGTAAGAAAGAAGATAAGAATGCGATGAAAAAACAATCACTGGAAACTAGATTACTGGTTTCATCGAGATGTAAGTTAGCCTAACTCTCTGACAAAAATTCTCATCATTTTGTTTTTTCTATAGATGGTGATCACATAATGCCAGAAGTCAACATCTATGACTTTGACGATGATCCGATTCTTCGAAGCACAACCACTTCAACTTTTAGGCATTTGTAGATGTTATAACATCGTGAAAACTCGGGTATTTATCACTTATTTTTATTTACATCATTTTTTGAAACAATAAAATTTTTTTTGAAAAATCGTTGTTCGAAAGTGACACGTATTATTGTTGAGATCGTTTCTCGTCGATGTTGGTTTTTTATTCGAGGCACGGCGTTTCGTCGGATTCTGAAAAAATGAAGGGTTTTGAGGGTTCAGAATTTAGATTGGCAAATTTTTGGTTCACAATACATTTTTTTTTGAATTTCTGGTTGAAATTGCGTTTCAAAAATTTTAATTCATAAGTTTTTGATCATTTTGTAGGTCAGAAAATTCAACTCATATTTCGAATGAAAGAAAAATCAAAACAAAATTCTAGGTTCTTTTTCTGAATTTTATGATCAATTTTTTAAAGTTCCAAAAAAAATTAACAGAATTTTTTTTTGAAAAATCGTTGTTCGAACATGAGAAAAAATAAATAAAAGTTTGCATGTGGAATTGATCTCGTCACCCTCAGATCCAAAAACCAGAGATTTACCACTGAACTACGCGACTTTTTATTTGCAGACCACAAAATGGTCAATAAATAATTTGCAGACCCAAACAAAATTTGGGACTGCTTTTTTTTTGGGGACTGCTTATTTTTTTTTCTTTAAATTACACAGTTCATTACCGTACTCCTATGTGTTTTTGGTCAAAACTATCCTGAGCTAAAAATAAAATTTTGAAATTTTTGGGAAACTGGCTTTGATGCGGATTGATTTTTTACCACAAACTTTTTCAATTCAAAAATGTTCAAAAACCCACGTATTCTACTCCTATTCGTAATCGAAATATCAGTCAACGAATCAACATCAGCCAGCGGTGCCAATCGATTCGCATCAAGTGCCACAAACTTCCTCCTTTCCGAATCCTGCTCCTCCTCCTCCCGAAACGTTGTCACCGCACAATTTCCACTCGCTACAAAAGTCTCCTTCTCATCGTCATCCACAAATGTTGTATTTTGTTCTGCCGCGGCGGCCGAAGCGGCACGTTTCCGTCTTTTTTGCAAAATCGATTCTTCGGTGATTATTTGAGCGTGTTTATCTCGACTTTCTAATGTTACAACACATGCGATAATTAGGATGAATGAGCCAATTCCCATTAAAATTGGACCGAGGTACTAAAAATAAATACGAATGTTTTTTCGGGGGAAAATGAGAAGATGGGGACTTACTTGCATACTTTTCAATTGATATTGTATGAATTTATCGTGTGTTATTACTTGAGAACCATTTGAATCTAGTCGAACTCGCTGAAAAATGAAAAATTTAAAAATGAAATTTATTTTGGCGCCAAAAATTTTCATTTTCTGAATTTTTTTTAGATCAAAATTTTAGGCTGAAAATGCTTGAGATACTGAAAATTACTGAAAATCAATATTTCCAGCATTTACAGCTGAAAAATTTAGTCTAGAAAGAGATTTCTGAAATTTTACATTTTTTGAAGCCTTCTGATAATGGATCAAGAAGTTAGAAGAACACCGTTCTACATCAAAATTTCGCGCTGAAAATGCTGAAACTACTGAAAATCAATGAAAATCAATATTTCCAGCATTTTCAGCTCAAAAACTTCATCTAGGAAGAGATTTCTGGAATTTGACATTTTTTGAGAGCTTCAGATTTTTGTTTGAAGTTTGAAAAAGAATTTCAGAATATATTTCTATATCAAAATTTTGCGCTGAAAAAGCTGAAACTACTGAAAATCGATGAAAATTTCTGAAAATCAATATTTCCAACCAAAAATTTAGGCCAGAAAAATTTTCCTGTAATTTTATAAAAACCATACCTCTGAAAAATGAATATCAAAATATCCCAAAACCGCCATCGACAATCCAACAACAATAATAATACATCCAAAAATCACAGCTCGACAAGCCGCCCAAACAGTCTGAAATAACATTCTATGTAAATAAATATTTCGAAAATTTTTCACAACTTTTTCCCGTATCCTTGGCAACCCTCCGGAAAAGTTATAATAATAGCCACTCAATTATTTTCAAAACCTCACCAAGCTTACCTTTTTATTATCTCGATAATAAGTGGAAAGTAGAAACTTTTTACGAATTTTCTTGTTATTTTTTGGAATATTATTTGGAGTTGACATGTTTTGAACAAGACTTTGAACAAATATGAGCACAAAATATAGTGTATGCTTATTATTATTATAAAATAAACAAGTCGGAGTACAAAAAGAGCACCTCCTTTTGCTGTCTAACTTCTCTATAGCTCAGGGAAAAGCTGCTCTGAACTAACTGCCTAATCTTATTAGACATTTTTGTCTTGTGAGAAAAAATCATGGCTTTTCTTTTTTTGAGAAAAAATTGATTTTTTTCAGATATTTTTTCTAGAAAACTTAAATTTTTAAGGTTAAGTAAAGTTCTTAAGCCGAGTTTAGCCGAATCTTGGCTCAAAATGTTCCAAATTTGAATGCTCATTTAATATGAGCAATATCAGAACAAAAATTGATCATTGCTCATGTTAAAATCTACCTGTTAAAATCTATCTACTGAGGAAAAATTAATTTAAAATGAGCAATACCTAAAATCGCCAACGCCAAGTATTGCTCAGATCAACAAGTCAACATAACAGAAGCAATTTTCAAATCATTGCTCATGGTAAACTCTGAATTTCTAGAAGAGTTTAACATGAGCAATCCCAAAATCTTTAAAAAAAATCAAGAACTCACCATTCTCAATCGCAAAAAATAAATAACAAAAATAATATTTTTGCTACTCACATAAAAATTCCAAATACAAATATTTTCTATTTATTTTTCAAGAATACTTGAAATTCTTTCTTGTGTGTTTTTTAATGAGTCGTAGTAGACTGACAAAAAAAATGGCGAACAACCAAAAAAAAATAAATAAGAAGGATGAGCTTGAATGTGTGAGAAAAATGAATGAAATAGAATGAAATGTGAGGAAGATTTAGAAATGCACCGAATTTTTTAAAGCTTTTTTTTTGGCAAGATGGCTTTTGTGTTGTGTTCTTTGGCTGATTTTTAAGGGTTTTAAGGCTTTAAAAATCAACCCAATTAATTTTTTAGGCCCAGAAATATTAGGCCTAGGATTTTGGGATCAAGAAGCTTTTTAAATTTAGGCTTAAAATCCTTTATTTTAAAAAATTTCATTTTCAGAAAAATGTTTTGAAATTTGAAATGCAATTTTTATGCCTAAATTTTGAGACGAATCAAATTTCATCTCTAAAAATTTTTCAGAAAAATTTAAGATTCTTAAGTTTCGGTTGAAAAACTGTAACTCAAATTTTTCCAGATTCAGGCTTGTAATTTAGCCTGGAGCATCAGGCTTAACATTAAACCTAGATTGAAACCTTAAAAATGAACCCAAATTTTAGGTAGGCCCATAAAAATCAGGCCTAGAATTTTTGGATCTAGAAAAAATCAGCTTTGAGAATAAGAGTGTAACATTCTAAATTTTGGGCTGAAAATTTCAGAATGGTAGATCTCAAAAAATGCCTCCAATTTCTATTTATTTTCATTTTCAGAAAAATTTTCTGAAAACGAAAAATTCAAATTTCAAAACCGCCAACCTTTTTATGTTTGAGCAGCGATTCATAAATCGCCAAAGCCATCGATTCATCACCACAAGATTCAGCAATACTTGTCGCAACTCGTGAATACGAACACTTTTTCGACATTTTTTTTCAGATAGAATAAAGGCTAGAATGAAAAAAGAGAGGTTTCTAACACCAATTCAATTAAATTAAAAGGGTTTTGGAGTAAGTAACAAGAAATGTTCTATTCTTATTTTCTTCTTGGCTTTGCTTTTCGCATTCAAAAGCACACTTCCGAATGAAATTTCCGGCAAAAAATGAGTCGGGAAAAAAGTTTGAGAAAAGTAGACGAAAATTAGTGAGTAGCACCCTTCGATAAAAATACGTTTGGGAATTCGTCGTTTCCAGAAAGAATTGTTTGAAAAATAAGTGAGAGAAAAATTGAATTCCAAAAAAATAGAAAATATCGATGTACATAAGAAAGAAACGGAAGGATGGGGTCTGCTAAACTTTTTCATGATTTTTTTTGGCGGGAAAAATTTGAGGGAAATTTAAAAGGAAACTTTAATTACGAACGTTTCAATTTGATTTTTCAAAATTAAAAAACGCCCAAGAATAATTTTTTTTTGAATTCTTATAAAAATATTTCGAATTCTCAAAATTCGTAATAAAATCGCAGTTGGATACAATTTTCGGATTTTCCAGAAAAAAAAATTATCTTCTAAATTTTTGAGTTTTTGTAGCCATGAACTTTCAGATATAAATTTTGAATTTTCAGAAAGAAGTGATTTTTTTGGGAACAGTTCTGAATCGGAAATTCAAAAATTGGGAAACTTTTTTTTGAAAATGTTTAGATTCCTTCCCTTCTGAAAATTTGGGCTCAATTCAAAATTTGCCAAAAAAGTTTTCATAGAAAATTTTTTTTCTAAAACTTTGGTTTTCTTAAGAATAAAAATCAGGATTCAAAAAAATTCTAGAAACAGAAAAAGTTCTTCTTTCAAAACTTGTCCGCAAAACAAAAAATGAATTTCATAATCCAGGATTATTTCAAAACTTTGTACCTCCCCAAAAAAAATTCCCCAAAAAAAATATTCCACCAACCTTAGCATCCGCTTTTTTCTTGATAATAATTTTAGGCTTCTTGATTTTCTCCTCTTTTTTCAACTGTGCCGCCAATAATCGATCTTGTGGAAGTTGGTTCAAATCAGATAAATTGATTTTCCCCAGGCCCAGAGAAACTCCACGCGCAGCTAGCATCTGAAATTTTATTTTTTTTTTGAAAATAAATATTTTCCCGGAAGACAATTTGAAAAATGAACATGAATATGTTTTCCAATTTTTCCCCTCCGCTGAAGAAAAATTTAAAATTCACTAGAAGAGAATATGGATTTTCTGGTGGCTTCCTAATATATTATGTATATTTCTAATCCAGCAAAGAAAGACTTACTCCCATTTTTGATTGAAAAATCCTCAGAAAATAGAAAGGTTCACAGAAAAAAGAAGAGGAGCACAAAAAAGATATGACACATTACATTAAAACCAATTTTATGTTGTAATCAATATTTGTAGTATCTCGGGAGATGAGAAGATTGGTTTTAAATTGGAACATTTTTTTTGAAAAAGCTTGGAGAAGGAAAACATTTGAAATTTAAAATTTCAGAAAGTCAGAATTGGTTAACACTTCCGAAAAAGTTGGTTCAGGTCATTTTTTTTTTTTTTTTATAAGAAAAGTTCTAGAAATCTTTTTGGTAAGAAAAAAACATTTTTTGACAAAAAATATGATATTTGAAAATTAAGAAGCCTCACATATGTTCTGGTTTTTTGAACTTTTTTTGATAGATTTTGAAGTTCAAAAATCAAACTTGAAATTTAAAAGAAAAGTTGAGAGAAATTTATCTTCAGAGAAGAGTCGAATTGAAAAATTTTGAAAAACTTGTGAAGCAGAAAACTTCAGGTAGTTCTGAAATTTTGATTTACAAATTTGAGATTTAAGAGGAAGCTTATCAGAAAAATTGAAATTCCTTACTTCAAAGAAAAAAATGTCTCGAAAAAATCTGAATGCACCAAACAGCAAACACTACGAGCAAACCCCCTACAGTACTTCCCTGGGGAAAAAATTTCAAAAAAAAAATTTTAAAGTTCAAATCTCCGACTGTACGTAAAATTTATTTGAAATTTACAGAAAATTTAAAAATTTAGATACCAAATAAAATTTTGCAGTCAATATCAAGCTAATTTCAGATTCTAAAAGTCTCTGATCTCATAATTTAAAAAAAGGTCCACAAAAGTTTCAATAAATGGAAACAGATGTTTGTGATTTTTCTGAACTTCAAAAAAATTCTAAAAATCTTCAGAATCCTTAGAAAAAAAAGAGAGAATCTCAAAAATATCAAATCTCTCCAAAAAAAAGTCAAGAACCCTTGAACACTGCAAAATCGAAATGTCAGAAAAAAGTTGGCTTCGTATTTTTTTTGTCGTTGAGAGGGGGAGATTAGAGAAATAGAAATAGAGAAAGAGAGAGGGAGAATCGAATATACGGACCAACTAAAACTAGAAAAGAATGGATAGAAAAAGCATGTTATGTGAAGAAGCATAGGAAATGAGCGTAGGAAAAAAAAGAAGAAGAAAAAGGAAGAAAAAACGAGGGAGGAAGACAAAAAGTAGACTAATTTCATCGCAACATGTTTGGATTTCAGGTTTTTGTTGGAAACATTGAAATTTGAAACTTTTGAGTTCTTCTTGAGAATATGATTTTTTGATTTTTCCAAAATTTTGGGGTCCTGTAGATTTTTGAGTTACGGTAAGTAAAGTTTTTCGATCTTCTGAATTTTTCATCAGAAATTCTTGGAATTTTTTTGTCCAAAAAAAATTTTAGAAGCTCAATTTTTCAACGAAAATTTGAGTTATCCCAACTTCACAGAATTTAATTTTTTTTAGAAAATCTGAAACTCAAGAAGCTTTCAAAAACTTCTAGGTTCACCATTGCTCATATTATGAAAATTTTCTAATGTTGCTCATGTTACATCTAATTTCAAAACCTTTTTGGATTCTCAGAAAAATCTGGAACTATTATTTTTCAAAATTTCCGAATCCAAATCCACCCTGAATTTAAATGAGCAAATTTATAAAAAAAAATATATTTATTTTTGTGAAGAAAAAAAAACATTAAAAATGCATGACTCCTATTTTTTCTTCGAAAAAAAAAATTTCAAATATCTCACCTGAGTCGTCGAAGCTTTCCTAATATCCACCAACATTTTTCAAGTTTTCAGTTTCACCCAAAAAATGAGGAAAAACAGAACAAAACAAAACTTGCAATATAATTTGATTTATTTTTTGTGTGTTTGTGTCTTTTCATATGTGTAGCAAAAAAAACAATATTCCCGAGGAATCTGATTTTTTATGCACATAAGTTCGTGTAACACATGAACATTTCACAAAATATGAAAAATATGTGTGAATTTTTGAATTTAGAGGGAAGGATGTGGGAGTGAAGAATTTGAGTACTGTAGATTTTCAGCCAAATTTTCAGATTTGAAATCGAAATTTGTGTGAAAACCCAATTTTTTAAATTTTTTTTTTGATTGCCACATCATAGTAGCTTTCATATAAAATTCAGAAACTTCGAAAATTCAAAATTCAAAAACTCACCGCCATTTAACTCCTGGTTTCGAATTTGCCATCGAATTCATCAACATTCCCCACACTCCAAAATCGAACAAAATCGAATAGAATTCCTGAAAAATGGGGCAAAATTAGGGTTTTGGTGGGGAAAATGAATGGTTCAAGAGCCCAAGTTTTCAATAAAAATTTAAAATTCGGGCATAGCTTCCGCATCCCAACTGAAATTCCAATTTGAAACTGATAAAATAAACCATTTTTCAAGATTTTCAACAAAACCCGATGTTTTATCAGTTTCAAATCGGATATTTCAGAAATTCTCAACATAAAAAGCTTACCATGATTCCAATTTCGCATTCCAACATTTCTCAATAATATCCAGGAATTCACAAAACATGGATTTATTGATTTAAGTGGCGAGATTCTGGAAAATTTTGAAAGGGTATTCAGTGAATAAAAGATGACAAATCAATAAACAAATGGTAAAGAATGGTAGATCAAAATTAGTTTTTTCAGTCAAAAATTATGACAATTTTAATTTTTTAAGCTGTTCTGATGAAAATAAACTTCAAAAACCATACTGTAGACGTATACAGTACTCTCAATTAATTTCCAGATTTTTTTTAAAGTACAAAATAATTTCTTCCCAAAAAAAACAAAAATGTTTCTCTGATCTTTAATAAGGTTAGTTGAGCCCCCCCCACTGAATAACAGACCCCCACCCAAGATGAAGCCCCCAAAATATTATTTTTTCTCTGGGTGGGTCCAAAGTGGGGGCTTCTCCTGGGACTTGGGGACCTGAATTGGGGTGGGGGCCTGTTCTGCGATTTACCCTGATCTTTGATCAAACAAACACTGCAGGCTATATAATATCCAAAAAATGATTAGGTTAAATCAAAAAAATGAGCGAGATCGTTTGACGCGTCAAGCGATGTGATTAACTCTTTCACTCGAAAATCACATCGTTTGACGCGTCAAGCGATGTGATTAACTCTTTCACTCGAAAATCACATCGTTTGACGCGTCAAGCGATGTGATTAACTCTTTCACTCGAAAATCACATCGTTTGACGCGTCAAGCGATGTGATCAACTCTTTCACTCGAAAATCACATCGTTTGACGCGTCAAGCGATGTGATCAACTCTTTCACTCGAAAATCACATCGTTTGACGCGTCAAGCGATGTGATTAACTCTTTCACTCGAAAATCACATCGTTTGACGCGTCAAGCGATGTGATTAACTCTTTCACTCGAAAATCACATCGTTTGACGCGTCAAGCGATGTGATCAACTCTTTCACTCGAAAATCACATCGTTTGACGCGTCAAGCGATGTGATTAACTCTTTCACTCGAAAATCACATCGTTTGACGCGTCAAGCGATGTGATTAACTCTTTCACTCGAAAATCACATCGTTTGACGCGTCAAGCGATGTGATCAACTCTTTCACTCGAAAATCACATCGTTTGACGCGTCAAGCGATGTGATCAACTCTTTCACTCGAAAATCACATCGTTTGACGCGTCAAGCGATGTGATTAACTCTTTCACTCGAAAATCACATCGTTTGACGCGTCAAGCGATGTGATTAACTCTTTCACTCGAAAATCACATCGTTTGACGCGTCAAGCGATGTGATCAACTCTTTCACTCGAAAATCACATCGTTTGACGCGTCAAGCGATGTGATTAACTCTTTCACTCGAAAATCACATCGTTTGACGCGTCAAGCGATGTGATTAACTCTTTCACTCGAAAATCACATCGTTTGACGCGTCAAGCGATGTGATCAACTCTTTCACTCGAAAATCACATCGTTTGACGCGTCAAGCGATGTGATCAACTCTTTCACTCGAAAATCACATCGTTTGACGCGTCAAGCGATGTGATCAACTCTTTCACTCGAAAATCACATCGTTTGACGCGTCAAGCGATGTGATCAACTCTTTCACTCGAAAATCACATCGTTTGACGCGTCAAGCGATGTGATCAACTCTTTCACTCGAAAATCACATCGTTTGACGCGTCAAGCGATGTGATCAACTCTTTCACTCGAAAATCACATCGTTTGACGCGTCAAGCGATGTGATCAACTCTTTCACTCGAAAATCACATCGTTTGACGCGTCAAGCGATGTGATCAACTCTTTCACTCGAAAATCACATCGTTTGACGCGTCAAGCGATGTGATCAACTCTTTCACTCGAAAATCACATCGTTTGACGCGTCAAGCGATGTGATCAACTCTTTCACTCGAAAATCACATCGTTTGACGCGTCAAGCGATGTGATCAACTCTTTCACTCGAAAATCACATCGTTTGACGCGTCAAGCGATGTGATCAACTCTTTCACTCGAAAATCACATCGTTTGACGCGTCAAGCGATGTGATCAACTCTTTCACTCGAAAATCACATCGTTTGACGCGTCAAGCGATGTGATCAACTCTTTCACTCGAAAATCACATCGTTTGACGCGTCAAGCGATGTGATCAACTCTTTCACTCGAAAATCACATCGTTTGACGCGTCAAGCGATGTGATCAACTCTTTCACTCGAAAATCACATCGTTTGACGCGTCAAGCGATGTGATCAACTCTTTCACTCGAAAATCACATCGTTTGACGCGTCAAGCGATGTGATCAACTCTTTCACTCGAAAATCACATCGTTTGACGCGTCAAGCGATGTGATCAACTCTTTCACTCGAAAATCACATCGTTTGACGCGTCAAGCGATGTGATCAACTCTTTCACTCGAAAATCACATCGTTTGACGCGTCAAGCGATGTGATTAACTCTTTCACTCGAAAATCACATCGTTTGACGCGTTTGATTTTTGAAAACTGTAGTTAAAAATTAATTCATTGATTTTTAGCGCCAAGTTATACGTTTTGCTAGTCATAATATAGTGAAGAATACTCGAAAAATTATTTCAAACAAGTTTCCTTTTTATTGTGTTTCATTTACTCGGATTATAAAAGAAAAATTAATAAATTCAAAACAAACTGGAAATCGCGTGCATAAAACTATGAAAAAACTAATCTACCTATGAATTATTTCAAAGTTTGTTTTTCAATAAAATCTGGAAGCTGATCCTATACCATCCAGTGTAATTCAAAGCTTCATCTAATCATTTAAACACAGTAATTTATAAACAACTTTCCTTTGACATCAATAGTAATTTTGAATTAAAAACTTTACCCAATATTTTCCGATGAAGCCCAAATCTCACCTGTTAGTTTTGTTCCTCCCCCCCCCAAACCTCAAAATAAACTAACTTGACTGGTCCGTTCCGTGAGGAATTGTTGATATCTTTGAATGTCCTGTCCAAACGAAAAATCTTCTTTTTCGAAAGCCTGAAACATCTACATTCTTTTTCTCAAAATCTTCGCTTATTCCTAAACTTACATCAGAAAATGGCAATTGTGCATTTGATGGGATCCCTGCATTCTGTGACGGTTGTCTCCTAAAAAATAAGAAAATTGAAAAATGTACCAAATCACCCCATTAATAACACTTTCTGCGCTGAAAAAAACCACTCAAAAACAGAAAAAAAGCAAAAAATTTTAAAAATAAAAGTCGGGAAAAAAAGAAAAAAAACAACGATACTCCGCGTGCGCGTTGTTTAGCGTGTTTATTTTGTTGTTTTTTTGCAGGGTAGATGAGAGAGTGTGGGAAATGGAGAGATGGTTAGAGAGAGAGAGATATGTTTTTTATTTCAAAAGAAACTATTGATTGAACGTTTTTTTTTCCGAACTGAATCATTTTTCTGGTTTTTTCCAGCGCAGAAAGTGTTATTAATGGGGTGATTTGGTACATTTTTCAATTTTCTTATTTTTTAGGAGACAACCGTCACAGAATGCAGAGATCCCATCAAATGCAGAATTGCCATTTTCTAATGTAAGTTTAAGAATAAGCGAAGATTTTGAGAAAAAGAATGTAGATGTTTCAGGCTTTCGAAAAAGAAGATTTTTCGTTTGGACAGGACATTCAAAGATATCAACAACTTTTCACGGAAAGGACCAGTCAAGTTAGTTTATTTTGAGGTTTGGGGGGGGAGCAAAACTAACAGGTGAGATTTGAGCTTCATTGAAAAATATTGGGTAAAGTTTTTAATGTTAAAGGAAAGTTGTTTATAAATTACTGTGTTTAAATGATTAGATGAAGCTTTGAATTACACTGGATGGTATAGGATCAGCTTCCAGATTTTATTGAAAAACAAACTATGAAATAATTCATAGGTAGATTAGTTTTTTCATAGTTTTGTGCACGCGATTTTCATTTTTGTTTTGAATTTATTTATTTTTCTTTTTATAATCCATGTCCTTTTTTAAAAGACAAGAGTGGGTCGAGCGGACAGACAGATATACTTAATATATATAAGAAAGATTCTTAGCAAAATGATAGTCATTTCTTGTGTCAGAAATGGTCAAGTTGTTAGATCACGTGTTTTTTGTTCAGAATGTCCAGGATCGGATCCTTTTGGACGTTCGCGAAGGTATGATTTTCGGAAAAAATGGGGAATGTCGCAATTGCGACATTTCAAAAATGAGAACAAGGGGGACCCCATTGACAAATCCTTCTTCCAAAAGGTAGAATTATATATTTTATAATGGGTTTTATTTTGGAATATGTGTTTATTGATTTCCGTATGTTTTTTTCCAAATGATTTCTGTCGTAGTTAGTATTTATGTCGTCTTCAACACAGCGTTCTATCCCGAACACTACAGGTGACTTCTATCGTCACACCTAATTACCGCTTAGCCCAAGACTTACTTCTGATGTTCCGCTTCCACAGTCTTCCGTGTCGTCTTCGCGCTTCCTATCAGAACCTATAGTTGAGCCATCTCTTGATAGACTGACGTCTCTTCCCTCGGACCTTGCAACCCACCAAATGGGCGTGGTCACAGAGAGGCTTACTTATATTACACCCTTTGCTATTGGCAGCGCCGCAGTATTTTTTCATATGTTATGTTAGATTGCATTTCTTCAGACATTTTTTGACAGTATAGTTTCTTGCAAGTAAAAGAGTAATTAGAACTGGCTTTTTATGATTGAAAAGAAAAGACTGATTTATTGAAGAAAAAAACAAAAAAAAGGAAGTTTTTGACGAATGTCATCGAGTAAGCATTAAGAATAAGATTAAAATTATTAATATTAGATTAATTAAGATTAATAATGAAATTAAGAATAAGATTATGAATCGAATAAGCATTAAGCAATCATTGCTTGTTTCGTTTCTTCAAACATGAAGAATTTCCATCATTACTCGAATTAATTCTGGTTGATCTTCGAAAATTATTTTCCAAAAAATCATCAAGTTGCTTGATTTTTGTGTCAATTTTTGCCAAATAATCCGCATTATTGTTGAAAATTGTTTTTTTGGAAAATTCGAACAACAGATAATAAATTGTGAACAACTGTTGATGGTTCTTGATTGCAGTCGGACGACGTGCTGACAAAAAAATGAAGTTCATAATTTCATAAAACTATCAAGACTTACTTCTAAGATTGTTCTAATTAACTCCAGGATTTCGCATTTCATGTTGTTCGATAATGTTTCCAGTATCGATTCGAAAATGGAAGATCTCCCGGAACCAGAACTCGATATGAACGTCGCAATTTTTTTTGAGCGAGTGATTTGCAAGAATTTCAAAACATGTTCGGCATTTTCTGGACGACAATCCTTCTTCCTAAAAAAAAATTCAAAATCATTTTTAGTTTTTTTAATCCATTTTGATTCAAAATTCACTAACCAATTCTTAACTTGCATAATTGTCATTTCTCGCATTTTTTAATCATTTGAGACACGTAATTCATAAATTGCCGAGTTTTTTTGAGACTGCTCTTCCATTTTAATGCAGCTGATTCGAAAATTGCCAAATGTTTGTATTTCTCCAATTGATTTCGGGTAAAATTCATAGCATTCGACATTTTTCATTGGCATCATTATAATTTCGCAGTTTTGGTTCAACATCATGTTCCAGAAATCTTCAGCAGTTTGTTGAAGTGGTGCTTGAGCAATGATGACATCAAAAATCAAGCCGTAATGCCATGTTGCATTGATATACTTTGTTTCATCGATATCAATTACTCTTCCCATATTTGATCAGAAATATAACGATTTTTTGTTGGATTTCGGGTGAAAATTCGTGATGTTGCTGGTTTTTGGCACTTCGAAATCAATTCAAATTCATTCTTTAGTTGTGTTGGTGGTTTTGAAAGAATTGAATCGATATATTTTCTAAATGCCAACATTTGAATATTCGATGGTGGAGAGCTGCTTGTTGGAACGGGTGTGTGATTTATTTCCAAAATTGTGTGATGGTGAACTTTCCGCATAATCTTTCAAAAACTCCTCGAATCGTTTCATAATTGTCGCTTCTTTCGTTATTCGGCCGTCTATTTTTCTGAAATAATTGAACTGATATGATTTCTTAAACACTTTTCTCATTATTCGGACTAGTAAATGTGGCTTGTCCCGTCACGTCAATAAAACAAAGAATTACTAGTGGAATTGAGTATTACCACTTCAGAAGTGAATCAAAGAACACGATTATTTTTCAAGGAAACGTTTATTTACCTTGTTTTTTATAACAATAACGATGGCGATCAATCAAACTACTCGAGGGATTCCCCTCAACCCGTGTTACGGATTATTAAACGAGCAAAACGTAGATTCAACGCTCAAGCAACGCAAACTCAAAAAAACTTTTCGAAACGCGCTCAAAACCCGCACCAGCACACCAAACGCGCCAGCCATCCCCTCAGCAAGGCGCGTTTGGCGACGTTTGAATTTTCAAACCCCGCTACTCTTACTCTACCCCTCAAATCTTGATAATATTTTGGTCAGAGACAGTTTTTAGGGCCCAAAGAATCTTCTAAAATGCATGTTCTTTCAATGGACTTCTGAGCCGAGTTTTGAGCTCTCAAAATACACAATTTTTGAGAATTGGATCATAACATATGATTTATGAATTCAAATTATAATAAAACTTCAATTTTTCTCATTATTCTTGCAGAACATGTTATCAAAATTTGCATTTATATTTACAGTCAAATGCTGTGGCATCAAAAAGAAGCAACACAATTTAACGTTGCTAATAATTGAGAGTTAGAATAAAACATCCCTTTTTCAAAAATAAAAATCTAGATCATCTTTACCTTATGAAATCCTCGACCACTCTTACTTCTGCCATTCATTTGAGTTTCTCCAGAATTGTCTTTTTTGTTTCCACATCGTAATTTTTATCAGCTACAACTTTGTCAAATGGTTTCTCCAACTTTTGCAGTTCCTGAATTAAATTAACTTGAATCGGTAAAATCCAGAAAAACTCACTAAAACAATATTTTCAACATCTCCGATTGTTTGAACTCCTTTTAATAATCGCAATGTTTCCGATGGCTCGATTCGATGAGCTGGTCTAATTCTTTTTAGAAAATCCGATTTCAAGTCGCTGAACTTGGATATTCGATTGATTTCGACTCGAATATCGGAAACTACGATGCACTTGATGAAATCGATCGAGAGAATCTGAAATAATCTTTTATTTTCAGAGTTGTGCAGATTGTAGAAGTCCATAAATTTGGAAAAAATTACTCACTTTTGTGAAAATACCAAAGATTTTTGCCAATGGTTCATCTTGCATCTCTTCGCATTCTTCAAATGATATGTTTTTTAGAATAAGACAACGATTCGCGATGACAATCTGCAAAATTTTGAATCTTATTGATATATTGTAGCTGTTGTAGTTGCGACTTTTTTTATAATAGAAATTTATTGAAGCTAAAAACTAAAATACAAAAAGTTACACTACACAATTAGAATACAAAGACAAAACAATTTACAATTGTTAAAACACAGCTAAAATAACCTAGGAAATTGACCCGAAGAAAACCTAATGAAAAACCGCCTAATAAATGTGCAACGCACAAAACACCTAATAAAAAACTGCAGACAACTGCACACAAAAAAACAGAAGCAGAAAAAGATAGGCGGTCTCTACGCCGCCACCTCTGCCACGTCACACGTGCACGTGAAATAAATTAATATAAAAAGATTGATTCTTTTTATCTCTTTTATTTATTCTTTTTTACTACATTCCATCAATTTTGAACATTTTGAGCCCAATACCAAGGGGTACTGTAGATTTTAAAAAGACTTATGAGTGATATACAGGAAATTTGGAACTTTTTCATTAAACGAGGTACTGTAGAGAATACTGTAGAATCAAAGATGATCTAGAGTGAATTTTTGTTACCGACATGAATAGGTTTTCTTCGGTTTTTTTTTGAGAAAATCTTCTATCGTTGACTATCTTACCTTCTCTTTGGTTGACAACTTGAGCTTGAGTGACTGAAACATCAAAGTTGTTGGTGGGTCCGGCGAATGAACCAATGCAGCTATCGTTTCTTCGAAAATTGTCTTGTTGAGTTTTGCCATTAAATTCACGAATTTCTGTAACATTATGTTTGCGATTAGGCCTCTTTAAAAGAAATGTCGCAAACCTCTTCTTTCGCAATTCCTTGTTCCATCTCTTCAATGTCATCCAATGTATTGTCATTGTTTTGGGCCATTTTTTTAATTTTCGCTGATTTCTTGAGAAAATAGAAAAAGAAATGAGAAAAACAATTTTTGTTGGCATTCTCATCGAACACGTCACGTTTTATTTATTTTATTTATTTAAAAAAATTTAATTTTTTTTAAATTCAATCAAAAATGATTTCTAAAGTTAATCTAAAGTTTCAGACAGATTCATAATATTTTCGAAAGGTGTAATTTTCTCACAGTCTCAGAGAAAAATATATCAAAGGTACACTGAAAATTTGTGGGACTGGCATTCAATAATTTTTGAAATTGCGGTAGATAAACATATTTTGTTTTTGAAAAAAAATGTCTCAAATTTTTCCTAACCCCTTTTTTATTATAACTAGGGGCTCTCAGCCCCCAGGCGTAATAGTCTTCTCATTTATTTCCGTTTCACTTTTTTCTGTGATTATTGTCCACAGAACATTGACTCACAATCAAATTTATAGAAATCTGGAAGGCTTCCTAATTTTGCCATGGATGACGTCATCGATCAATTTTTCGAAAAAAAACTTCTTCAATCTTTTTTTCGTTCTGTAACTTTTTTTTTTTTGAAAAATCTCGGGCCGATTTTAGATTGAAAAAACTCGGGCCGATTTTTTTTTACATTTTTGGATTATTCCAAATCTGTAACTTTTTTTTGAAAAAACTCGGGCCGATTTTTTTTTACATTTTTGGATTATTCCAAATCTGTAACTTTTTTTTTTGAAAAATCTCGGGCCGATTTTTCTTGAAAAATCTCGGGCCAAATCTGTAACTTTTTTTTTTGAAAAATCTCGGGCCGATTTTTTTTTACATTTTTGGATTATTCCAAATTTGTAACTTTTTTTGAAAAATCTCGGGCCGATTTTTTTTTTACATTTTTGGATTATTCCAAATCTGTAACTTTTTTTTGAAAAAACTCGGGCCGATTTTTTTTTACATTTTTGGATTATTCCAAATCTGTAACTTTTTTTTGAAAAATCTCGGGCCGATTTTTTTTTACATTTTTGGATTATTCCAAATCTGTAACTTTTTTTTTGAAAAAACTCGGGCCGATTTTTTTGAAAAATCTCGGGCCAAATCTGTAACTTTTTTTTGAAAAACTCGGGCCGATTTTTTTAACATTTTTGGATTATTCCAAATCTGTAACTTTTTTGAAAAATCTCGGGCCGATTTTTTTTTTACATTTTTGGATTATTCCAAATCTGTAACTTTTTTTTGAAAAAACTCGGGCCGATTTTTTTGAAAAATCTCGGGCCAAATCTGTAACTTTTTTTTTGAAAAATCTCGGGCCGATTTTTTTTTACATTTTTGGATTATTCCAAATCTGTAACTTTTTTTTGAAAAATCTCGGGCCGATTTTTTTTTTACATTTTTGGATTATTCCAAATCTGTAACTTTTTTTTGAAAAAACTCGGGCCGATTTTTCTTGAAAAAACTCGGGCCAAATCTGTAACTTTTTTTTTTTTGAAAAATCTCGGGCCGATTTTTTTTTACATTTTTGGATTATTCCAAATCTGTAACTTTTTTTTGAAAAATCTCGGGCCGATTTTTTTTTTACATTTTTGGATTATTCCAAATCTGTAACTTTTTTTTTTTTGAAAAAACTCGGGCCGATTTTTCTTGAAAAAACTCGGGCCGATTTTTTTTACATTTTTGGATTATTCCAAATCTGTAACTTTTTTTTTGAAAAAACTCGGGCCGATTTTTCTTGAAAAATCTCGGGCCGATTTTTTTACATTTTTGGATTATTCCAAATCTGTAACTTTTTTTTGAAAAATCTCGGGCCCATTTTTTTTTTACATTTTTGGATTATTCCAAATCTGTAACTTTTTTTTGAAAAAACTCGGGCCGATTTTTCTTGAAAAATCTCGGGCCGATTTTTTTACATTTTTGGATTATTCCAAATCTGTAACTTTTTTTTTGAAAAATCTCGGGCCGATTTTTTTTTACATTTTTGGATTATTCCAAATCTGTAACTTTTTTTTGAAAAATCTCGGGCCGATTTTTTTTTTACATTTTTGGATTATTCCAAATCTGTAACTTTTTTTTGAAAAAACTCGGGCCGATTTTTCTTGAAAAATCTCGGGCCGATTTTTTTTTACATTTTTGGATTATTCCAAATCTGTAACTTTTTTTTTTGAAAAATCTCGGGCCGATTTTTTTTTTACATTTTTGGATTATTCCAAATCTGTAACTTTTTTTTGAAAAAACTCGGGCCGATTTTTCTTGAAAAATCTCGGGCCGATTTTTTTTTACATTTTTGGATTATTCCAAATCTGTAACTTTTTTTTGAAAAATCTCGGGCCCATTTTTTTTTTTACATTTTTGGATTATTCCAAATCTGTAACTTTTTTTTGAAAAAACTCGGGCCGATTTTTCTTGAAAAATCTCGGGCCGATTTTTTTTTACATTTTTGGATTATTCCAAATCTGTAACTTTTTTTTGAAAAATCTCGGGCCGATTTTTTTTTACATTTTTGGATTATTCCAAATCTGTAACTTTTTTTTTTGAAAAATCTCGAGCCGATTTTTTTTTACATTTTTGGATTATTCCAAATCTGTAACTTTTTTTTTGAAAAATCTCGGGCCGATTTTTTTTTACATTTTTGGATTATTCCAAATCTGTAACTTTTTTTTTGAAAAAACTCGGGCCGATTTTTCTTGAAAAACTCGGGCCAAATCTGTAACTTTTTTTTTTTTGAAAAATCTCGGGCCGATTTTTTTTTACATTTTTGGATTATTCCAAATCTGTAACTTTTTTTTTTGAAAAATCTCGGGCCGATTTTTTTTACATTTTTGGATTATTCCAAATCTGTAACTTTTTTTTGAAAAAACTCGGGCCGATTTTTCTTGAAAAAACTCGGGCCGATTTTTTTTACATTTTTGGATTATTCCAAATCTGTAACTTTTTTTTTGAAAAAACTCGGGCCGATTTTTCTTGAAAAATCTCGGGCCGATTTTTTTTTTTACATTTTTGGATTATTCCAAATCTGTAACTTTTTTTTTTGAAAAATCTCGGGCCGATTTTTTTTTTTACATTTTTGGATTATTCCAAATCTGTAACTTTTTTTTGAAAAATCTCGGGCCGATTTTTTTTACATTTTTGGATTATTCCAAATCTGTAACTTTTTTTTGAAAAATCTCGGGCCGATTTTTTTACATTTTTGGATTATTCCAAATCTGTAACTTTTTTTTGAAAAATCTCGGGCCGATTTTTTTTTACATTTTTGGATTATTCCAAATCTGTAACTTTTTTTTGAAAAATCTCGGGCCGATTTTTCTTGAAAAATCTCGGGCCGATTTTTTTGAAAAATCTCGGGCCAAATCTGTAACTTTTTTTTGAAAAATCTCGGGCCGATTTTTTTTGAAAAATCTCGGGCCAAATCTGTAACTTTTTTTTTGAAAAATCTCGGGCCGATTTTTTTTTTACATTTTTGGATTATTCCAAATCTGTAACTTTTTTTTGAAAAATCTCGGGCCGATTTTTTTGAAAAATCTCGGGCCAAATCTGTAACTTTTTTTTTGAAAAATCTCGGGCCGATTTTTTTTGAAAAATCTCGGGCCAAATCTGTAACTTTTTTTTTGAAAAATCTCGGGCCGATTTTTTTTACATTTTTGGATTATTCCAAATCTGTAACTTTTTTTTTGAAAAATCTCGGGCCGATTTTTTTTTTACATTTTTGGATTATTCCAAATCTGTAACTTTTTTTTGAAAAAACTCGGGCCGATTTTTTTTGAAAAATCTCGGGCCAAATCTGTAACTTTTTTTTTTTGAAAAAACTCGGGCCGATTTTTTTGAAAAATCTCGGGCCAAATCTGTAACTTTTTTTTGAAAAATCTCGGGCCGATTTTTTTTTACATTTTTGGATTATTCCAAATCTGTAACTTTTTTTTTTGAAAAATCTCGGGCCGATTTTTTTTTTACATTTTTGGATTATTCCAAATCTGTAACTTTTTTTTGAAAAAACTCGGGCCGATTTTTCTTGAAAAAACTCGGGCCAAATCTGTAACTTTTTTTTTTTTGAAAAATCTCGGGCCGATTTTTTTTTACATTTTTGGATTATTCCAAATCTGTAACTTTTTTTTTGAAAAATCTCGGGCCGATTTTTTTTTTTACATTTTTGGATTATTCCAAATCTGTAACTTTTTTTTGAAAAAACTCGGGCCGATTTTTCTTGAAAAAACTCGGGCCGATTTTTTACATTTTTGGATTATTCCAAATCTGTAACTTTTTTTGAAAAAACTCGGGCCGATTTTTCTTGAAAAATCTCGGGCCGATTTTTTTTTTACATTTTTGGATTATTCCAAATCTGTAACTTTTTTTTGAAAAATCTCGGGCCGATTTTTTTTTTTACATTTTTGGATTATTCCAAATCTGTAACTTTTTTGAAAAATCTCGGGCCGATTTTTTTTTTTACATTTTTGGATTATTCCAAATCTGTAACTTTTTTTTTGAAAAATCTCGGGCCGATTTTTTTTTTACATTTTTGGATTATTCCAAATCTGTAACTTTTTTTTGAAAAATCTCGGGCCGATTTTTTTTTACATTTTTGGATTATTCCAAATCTGTAACTTTTTTTTGAAAAATCTCGGGCCGATTTTTTTACATTTTTGGATTATTCCAAATCTGTAACTTTTTTTTTGAAAAAACTCGGGCCGATTTTTCTTGAAAAATCTCGGGCCGATTTTTTTTTACATTTTTGGATTATTCCAAATCTGTAACTTTTTTTTTGAAAAAACTCGGGCCGATTTTTTTTTTTACATTTTTGGATTATTCCAAATCTGTAACTTTTTTTGAAAAATCTCGGGCCGATTTTTTTTTTTACATTTTTTGGATTATTCCAAATCTGTAACTTTTTTTTGAAAAATCTCGGGCCGATTTTTTTTTTACATTTTTGGATTATTCCAAATCTGTAACTTTTTTTTTGAAAAATCTCGGGCCGATTTTTTTTTACATTTTTGGATTATTCCAAATCTGTAACTTTTTTTTTGAAAAATCTCGGGCCGATTTTTTTTTACATTTTTGGATTATTCCAAATCTGTAACTTTTTTTTGAAAAATCTCGGGCCGATTTTTTTTTACATTTTTGGATTATTCCAAATCTGTAACTTTTTTTTGAAAAATCTCGGGCCGATTTTTTTTTACATTTTTGGATTATTCCAAATCTGTAACTTTTTTTTGAAAAAACTCGGGCCGATTTTTCTTGAAAAAACTCGGGCCGATTTTTTACATTTTTGGATTATTCCAAATCTGTAACTTTTTTTTTTGAAAAAACTCGGGCCGATTTTTCTTGAAAAATCTCGGGCCGATTTTTTTTTTACATTTTTGGATTATTCCAAATCTGTAAACTTTTTTTGAAAAATCTCGGGCCGATTTTTTTTTTTACATTTTTGGATTATTCCAAATCTGTAACTTTTTTTTGAAAAATCTCGGGCCGATTTTTTTTTTTTACATTTTTGGATTATTCCAAATCTGTAACTTTTTTTGAAAAATCTCGGGCCGATTTTTTTTTACATTTTTGGATTATTCCAAATCTGTAACTTTTTTTTTTGAAAAATCTCGGGCCGATTTTTTTTTACATTTTTGGATTATTCCAAATCTGTAACTTTTTTTTGAAAAATCTCGGGCCGATTTTTTTTTACATTTTTGGATTATTCCAAATCTGTAACTTTTTTTTGAAAAAACTCGGGCCGATTTTTCTTGAAAAATCTCGGGCCGATTTTTTTTTACATTTTTGGATTATTCCAAATCTGTAACTTTTTTTTGAAAAATCTCGGGCCGATTTTTTTTTTACATTTTTGGATTATTCCAAATCTGTAACTTTTTTTTTTGAAAAAACTCGGGCCGATTTTTCTTGAAAAAACTCGGGCCGATTTTTTTTTTACATTTTTGGATTATTCCAAATCTGTAACTTTTTTTTGAAAAAACTCGGGCCGATTTTTCTTGAAAAAACTCGGGCCGATTTTTCTTGAAAAATCTCGGGCCGATTTTTTTGAAAAAACTCGGGCCGATTTTTCTTGAAAAATCTCGGGCCGATTTTTTTTACATTTTTGGATTATTCCAAATCTGTAACTTTTTTTTTTGAAAAAACTCGGGCCGATTTTTTTTACATTTTTGGATTATTCCAAATCTGTAACTTTTTTTTTTGAAAAAACTCGGGCCGATTTTTTTTTTACATTTTTGGATTATTCCAAATCTGTAACTTTTTTTTTTGAAAAAACTCGGGCCGATTTTTTTTACATTTTTGGATTATTCCAAATCTGTAACTTTTTTTTTTGAAAAAACTCGGGCCGATTTTTTTTTTACATTTTTGGATTATTCCAAATCTGTAACTTTTTTTTGAAAAAACTCGGGCCGATTTTTTTTACATTTTTGGATTATTCCAAATCTGTAACTTTTTTTTGAAAAAACTCGGGCCGATTTTTTTTTTACATTTTTGGATTATTCCAAATCTGAAACTTTTTTGAAAAATCTCGGGCCGATTTTTTTTTTTACATTTTTGGATTATTCCAAACCTGTAACTTTTTTTTTTTGAAAAATTTCGGGCCGATTTTTTTTTTGAAAAACTCGGGCCGATTTTTTTAAACATTTTTGGATTATTCCAAATCTGTAACTTTTTTTTTGAAAAATCTCGGGCCCATTTTATTTGAAAAAACTTTCGAAAAAAAAAACTTATTTAATTATTTTTTTGAATTAAATGTACTCGAGAGATGTTAAGAATAAGAATTACAATTGAATTTATCAAAAATTTCAAATTTTTTGATCGAAAAATGACTCGTGGCAAAATCAGGAAGGCTTCCTAATTTTGCCATGGATGACGTCATCGATCAATTTTTACTCAATAAATGCTTAACAAATGAATTTCAATCAAATTAAGCCTAAAATATTGAAAAATTGCTTCCATGTAAAAATGAAGTCGATGAGTTTTTTTCAAAAATCTCGGGCCGATTTTTTTTTCAAAATTCTCGGGCCGATTTTTTTTGAGACCTGAGTAAGAAGTTACAGATTTGGATTAATCTAAAAATGTAAAAATGAAGTCGATGAGTTTTTTTCAAAAATCTTACAAATGAATTACAATTGATTTCATCAAAAATTTCAAGTTTTTTGATCGAAAAATGACTCGTGGCAAAATTAGGAAGACTTCCTAATTTTGCCATGGAAAATCATTTTTCTGTATTAAAAGTACTCGATAGGGGCTGTTAGCCCCCAGGCGGGGCAATATTTGATCAAAAAATAGAATGTTCTTTAGACAGTACTCAATAAATGCTCACTAAAATTTTTTTCTGACAATAATTTTTTTCTGAAAAAAGACTATTTTTCTCACGTCAAAATTTTTCTTCGAGCTTTTCTAAGCGAATAAATGGTCGTTTCTTGTGTCAGAAATAGTCAAGTGGTTAGATCACGTGTTTTTTGTTCAGAATGTCCAGGATCGGATCCTTTTGGACGTTCGCGAAGGTATGATTTTCGGAAAAAATGGGAAGTGTCGCAATTGCGACATTTCAAAAATGAGAACAGGGGGGACCCCATTGAAAAATGCTTCTTCCATCGAGACACCACCCAATCGGGATTTTATTAAAAAGGTAGATTTCAAACCAAGAATCTAGTTCAAAAAATTTTAATTCAAAAAATCTAAGTTTTTCAATCAACATGATATTATCCAATCGTATTCATCTGCAGAAATATCAGGCTCCTCTTCTTCTATGCTATCTACAAAAAATATGTTCAATTTTTTTGAAATCTGAAAATCTCACATATCTGCATTCGATTCAGCTCAACAAATTTGAACGTTTTTGCATCGTTTTTCTTGCCAATCAGATCTTTGAGAATGATTGATCCCTAAAAATCTTTTGATTAAAAAAAAATTTTTTTTTTGACTCAAAAACCTCATAAACACTTTTCGCATCATTTTCATATTCAACATAACACGTGAATTTCAAATAAGCTTCGTTGAGAAAATTCTCCGAAACACGTGGATATTTGAAAATCTCGTTGATTTTTTGGCACAAAATCGGTTCGAAACTTTTCGATCGCCACTTCACACTCTTATGTCGCATTATTGTTTTGGACGTTTTTTGTCGGAATTCCACTTCCACCCATGAAATTTCATCATTTATTGGCTCTTTTTCTGTGCGAACTGTTAGAACATGCACTATGAAAATCATTAATCGACGATCGAATTGTAAAATTGCTTCGAGAAATTTTCTGGAACAAAGTTATGACGTGGCAAAATATGAGTTTAGAAAATAGGATTTTTGAAATTTGAAAATATATTTTCCAAAAATCATAATCTAGTTAGCTGAAGTCTGGGTTATAACGTGGCAAACCGTGCCCCAGGAAACTCTTTGCCACGTCATAACTCATATTCAAATTTGAGCCATGGATTTCTAAGATGATACAGTAACCAGACTACAAAATTTAGGATGGAACTGAAAATGAGATTTGCAGTTCGGTACAGTAATCAGACTACAAAATTCAGGATGAAAGTGAAAATGAGATTTGCAGTTCGGTACAGTAATCGGACTACAAAAATCTACAAAAAATACGCCAGCATCAAATTTAGCCCAAAGTTTCTTTGCGCATTTTTTTGATCTACAAAAAATACGTCAGCATCAAGTTTGGGCTCATTTTGCAGCATTTTTCATGGCGCAAATTTTGTAGACTATCAAAAATACGTCAGCATCAACTTTTGGCGTTTTGACCCGATTAAAGCCCCCCCCCCAAAATATCCCGAAAAAAAGCGATTTATGAGTTGGAAATCGGAATTCGGGTTAAAATAAGTAGACAAACGGGAAGAAAAATAGGAAGAGATTTTCAATCGGACCGGATTTTCACAAAAATTTGTAACCAAGCAGAAAATCCACGTCATAGCTATCAAATTTTGTGACCTCTAGTCCGATTCAAAAAAAAGTAGAAGAAGCTCAGAAAAATTAGCACATGCTCAAGCGAAAAGTTGGAACCGGCGCTTCACTTTGTCGACGAAGTTTTCCTGACCTCCGACTTCCCTCAAATGCACTTCGACGACGTTCGACGTTTGGAAGAGGTGTCTAAAAACAGATTAGTTTACTAGATATTGTGAAGTTGAAAAATGAAGCTGGCATAAAAAATGAAAACCTTCAGTCGCGTGCGGCTGTGCGTCGCGGTCGGAAAAAGAAAAAAAAAGATTTTTGTGCGTCGCGATCGGAGAACGAAAAAAGATTTTTCGACCGCGACGCACAGCCGCACGCGACTGAAGAAGTAGACATGTTTCCACTTCGACGATAACTAATCAATAAATCAATATACCATATCATTAGTTGTCTCATTTTCCGGGACACCACAAAGTGGAGTGCTTGACATTGGGCGAGGTGCTGGACTTCCGATCGGTTCTCTCGGATGAATTGCTCGAAGTGAATCAGAGCCAGGTGTTGCGTCGTATACACTTACCATAGCTACAAACAAAAATGTTTTTTAGAATTCAAAGTTAGCCTAACTCACATGAATTTCCAGATGAAACAATGGATCTTGGACTTCTTGGAGATGGTGATCCTCCCCAAAACTTTGGAGAAATATTCATATTCTGTGGTTGTTGAGCACCTTGAGCTTCATCAGGAATGCTCAAGAAATTTGTCTGAATCGCTGGAAGTGTTAGATTCCTCTTGTAAGGTGCACGGCCTCCTCGTGGCATGTTTGGCGAGCAAATTTGAACGCTCATCCGTTTGTCGGATGTTTTCATGGCACTTAGGAGTTTTTCCGATGTCATCTCGTCGGATCCTTGAACCCATTCGTTTTTCGCTGCTGACAATTCGCTGGAAAAATTATTTCTCATTGCTCATGTTACTCTTAATCACTTTGGGACCTCAAGAGGAATTTTTTGAGACCGAATAAGCCTAAACTAATATGAGCAATGTTTTTTTGAGCGCGTTAGCGCGAGTGTTCCTTTAAATTACTGTAGCAATATTTTGACATCAAACAAGCCTTGTGGTACTGTAGATTAATATGAGCAATACCAAAGAAAACAATTTTGTGAATAAAAAACTTAGCATTGCTCATGTTAATAAAAATTCAAATAGGATAAATGTGCTGTTACTGTATGTAAATCGCTTCAAGACCTTATGAGGAATATTTTGAGTCCAAAAAATCCTTTAAAATAATTTACAGCATCTCATGTTCCTTTAAATTACTGTAGGAGTATTTTGAGCTTCATATCCTCAGATAAAATAAAATTCAATGAGCCATGTGAGATGAAACATGTAATTTTATTTTTCCTTTTTCTCTTGGAATAAATAAAAAACATATCTGAATGTAAGAAATGGTGACCGAATATCATTTGTTCTATACTCTGATTTACAATGAAACAGATACTATTGATAACTTACCAATGAATCCAATTCCAAATTATGTATCTTTTGGTTTTTTTCCAAGATTAATCTTAAATTCAGCAAACTTGCTAGTTTTATCCATAGTCAAATCTCGAACCTCAACAAGTTCATTTTACTATTTATTTTTTGTCATTGGTATTTTCAATTTTCTATCATGGTATTCTTATGAAATATCACTTATAATTGATTTAACAAATTGGTCATTGCTCTTCAATATCGATCAATTTTTATATATTTTGCATTTTATTACTTATTTATCTGTTATGTTTTTGAATATTGCAATAGCAATCAATAGATATACTTCAACATTTCTGTGTTATAATCAGATTTGGAATAGATTCTATATCAATATTTATATACTTTCAATTATTCTAACTTCAGTCATCATTACAATCTTTACTAAAACTTTGGTTGTGCTTTACATTTTAAATAAAGAGGGAATGTGGATTGCACAACCCTCTTCACAACTTCCACTAAGATATATTATTGTAGTTTTTAGATTTTCAACTGATTATATTTTTATAGTGTTAACTTATTTAACACATTTGAAAATTAAGAAATTACTTATCAAAAATGATGAGACTGTAAGTTTTATCAACTTTCTGAATGAGAACATTGTTTTTTTTAGAAAATATTACGACTTCTTGTTTCGCATCTCCCGTGTATTGTTATAGTTCAAATTTATCAGATGAAACTTTTATTTTTTGAAAATTATACTGGACTTTTTGCACATTGGGTTAGTTTCATTTTGAATAATAAATATGGAGTGAACAATCATAGAATTTATGTTTTAGATTGGGATATTGACATTTTCTGAATATGTTGGTTACACACTTTTTATTATCATTATTGATAAAAATATATGTGCGGAATTTATTGATCGATTGAGTTTTTGGAAAAAATATAAGACGAATCAAGTCTCATCCTCAGTTACGACATGTTGAAACATTATAAACCTGTTTTGAAATAAATATTTGAGTTCCCAAAATCCTAATATGAGCAATATTATAATATTCTGCAGAAATATTTTAATTGTAAACAAGTCTGATGTTACTGTAGATTAATATGAGCAATGCCAAAAAAAAGAAATTTTTTGTATAAAAATGGGAATTGCACATGTTAAATACTCTGAATCGCTTCAGGACCTCAAGGGGAAATATTTTGAGCGCGAATAAGCTTAGACTGATATGAGCAATGTTTTCCGAGCGCGTTAGCGCGAGTGTATGTTCCTTCAAACTACTGTAGGAATATTTTGAGATCAAACAAGCCTATTCAGTACTGTAGATTAACATGAGTAATAAAGATTGCTCATGTTAATGAAAACTCGCTTCAAGCCATTGAGAGGAATATTCTAAGTCCAAATAAGCCTAGTGATACTGTAGATTAACATGAGTCATACCAAAAAAAACAAATTTTTGCATAAAAAAGGGCATTGCTCATGTTAATGAAAACTCAGCTCTAATGGTGGTAATGTAAATCGGTTCAAATCCTCAAGAGGAATATTTTGAGTCCAAATAAGTCTAGTGATACTGTAGATTAACATGAGCAACACAACTTGGCTACTTCTAGATCTAACTCAACTCACCGTTCATCAAAACAAATTGGACAAAGCGAATGTTTCTGCTGTTTATTCGCCGGATTCACAACCATCGCACATTTTTCGCACAACGCTATTCCACATTTTTTGCACTTCGTTCCACTATTCAAAATATAACCCAATGTCGCTGAACAAACTGAACACGATCGAGTATTCCATTTTGGAAGTGGTGAAGTTCTTCCCTGTGATATATTTCCCGGACTCGACAATCCACTTTCACTCGATTCCGAACCGCCAATACTCAATTTTTTGATTTGAACTGAAGTTGATAGCGAGCTACAAAAAAAAATATTTTTTTTTTAAATCCTGAACTTTTTGGTACCGTATTCGATTCTGCTCCAATTGCTGAAACTCCAAATCTTTTTCCAAAACACTTCGAATCGCATTTTGTTCAGCGACGGTTAAAGTTTTCAATGAATCATTGACTTCCTCCCACGACGACATTTTCTGGAAAAAAATCAATTAAATGTTTTTTGTTGAAAAATATAAAATAAAATAAAATAAATTCTAGACAGTGAGTACATAATACAATCCGAAAATCTAAGACAAAAAATAAGAATGAGTAACTAAGTACAGTAATCTTTGAAACTTTGGAATTCCAGTAAGTGGGCGTGGCCAAAATGCAACTAGCGCACACTTTTTTTAATACAACAAACCTCAAAACTTGAAGCACAATTTCAATTTCAAAAATAAAAAAGTTTATATTTAAAGTTTTCTCGCCAAACTTCCGGTCTTATTTAAAATAATTAGTGAAAATCCAATTTATTAAATAGTTTTAGACCAAAAACTAGTGCTACAGTATTCTATGAGAGCTTTTCTCAACGGAGCGCATTTACTCAACCGCTTTGAAATATTTCAAAACGTTTTCCGAGCTCGCATTTTATATTCGACATTTTTAATAGCGTGAAGAAACAGCCGCGTGGCCGAGTGGTTAGCATGCGCGCCTACTTGTCGCAAAGCCCTGGCTCGGCCCCACCCGCCCGCGAAATTTTTTGTTTTTTTTCGGAATTTAATCCAATTTCTGCCAAAAATTATAATCTGCTGACTAAAATCGCTCACATGATAAAAAATGTTTATGATGTTCTGCGCTTCATCAAAAAAATCAATGCACTCTCGCGCAAAAAGCTCACATTTGTTATATTTTCTATAGAAATAGAAGCAATATATATGAGTTTTAACAAGAAATAATTAAATTGTGTGACACACAAACTTTTTTTGCGCTCAAAAATCAAAAGAAAAAGCTATTCGAAAAATTTGCATTTTTCACATAATAATATAAAATCGCGGGTCTTTCGGGCACGAAAAATCAATTAATAATTGATTTTCGTTCTTTTTTTTTGAATGAACCAAGCATAATAATATGGAAAATAGAATAAAAAACATATATCAATTTTTGCCGGCTTTGAGCTCTCGCCGAGCCAAAAAAGAGGGATGAGTGCATTGATTAGGTTAATCCGCTCACATCGGCGCGTGAGCAGATTAGAGCTGGCTGAAAGTGGGCGGAGCTTTGTGCTCTGAAAATTTATTTTTTTGTAAATATATTTTTTTTTTTGATTTTGAAGAAAAATATTCTGGAAAATATTGTTTCCAAAAAAAATGAAGAGAAAGTTTCTAAAATTTCAAAAACTTTATAAAAAATCTTCTGAATCTAAACTCCAAAAACATATGAAAAACAGAAAAATGATAAGATTAGATTCTAATATTAAATACACATATAATCCGTTTTGAGCTTCTTCTTCTTCTTCTATAATCCTATCTATCTAAAAAAATTAAATACAGTATATTTATTCGACATTGTGAGCTTCGACCAATTTTCGATAAATTGATCCTTTTTTCGCCATTAATTGCTCATGTGTTCCACTTTCAACGGCCTGGAAAAATATTGAAATGGGATTTATGAAAAAAAAATTCTGAAAGTACTTAAGCTTGTACTTTGAGTTTAGCGAAAAGGGAAAAAATAAACGTGAGATTTTTGAGGAAAAACTGAAAAAGATATCATTCTTCTCAATTCAATAGTTGAAAAAGGAGGGAAAATGAGCTTGAAAGTGAAGCTACACTTTAAAAATTTTACCAACATTTTTATTATGCATCTATTCATTTGCGAAAAAAACCGAAAAAAATGTATTTTTTTACAATTTTTTTCTATTCATGAAAATGCACGAAATAAATGTCAATCGCGGCGAGACCCACACTCATTTCAAGAGAAACAACGAGCGAAAAAAAACAAGAAATGAAATTTTCGAAAGCATGTATTTTTTCACACTTTCTGCCTTGAAATGATGTGGGTCTCGTCACGATTGCATGTATTTCGCGACAATTTGTGATTTTGGTGAATAGAAAAATATTGTAAAAAAATACATTTTTTTCGTGTTCTTTCGCAAATGAATAGATGCATTAGGTTGAGAAAATGGCCCTTGAAATTTTGCTCCGAAAAAATGAACATTGAATATATTGGTACTTGAAATTTTTATCGAAATTCAGAAAAATAGTAATTTTCTTTTTTTTATTTCAGTTATTTCAGATTTTTTTGTTTTTGATTTTTTAGTAAAAAAAATAGAAATTCCGTGTTATCTTTTTTATACCTGCTTTTAAATCTGAAATTTCAAATTTTTTGAAAAAAAAATTATTTTCAGATTTTTTTTGATTTTTTAAGGAAAAAGTTACAAATAAATAATTATTTTAAATCCAAAAAGTCTATCAGAAACTTCTGTGAGCAATTTCAGACCTAAAATGTTAACGCTTCAAAATTTATTAATAAAATTCTGTGTTATCTTTTTCAAATTTTTCAAAATTTAAATTTTCAGCTTCCACAAACTTTCCAGCCTTCTCCCAGAAATTCGCTAATCTCCCATTTACGTAAATCGAGGAAAAAATGATGCATTTTTGATGGCGCCAAACTGCTTTTGGGTTCACTTTGTGGCAATTTATGAAAAGAGATTTGAGGTCAGCGGGTTCGAATCTATATGTGTACCAAATTGTAGAAAAAGTTCAGAACCTGACCTTATGCACTTCCCTTGACAGAGATTTTCTCTGCGTCTCCTCTCACTCTGACATGTTGTTGTGCAACGAGAGAGTGTTGCTATCGAGAAGAGCGCAGAGTTTGTGAACGCGGCAGAGTATTGTAGTTTTGTTTTCATCAGCAGCAAATGGCGTTATGCCAATATCTATAGAGAATTCTGTTTATGGGGTGATTCATATAAAATAATTGACAAATCACCTTTTGACATATTTTGGCTATGCCAACTTTTTCTAAAAATATCAAAATTTCGATTTTTTGAACATTTTTGGGGTGAGGCTAAACGTTTGTTTAATAGATGGATCAGCCAACTTCCGAAGAGCTCGAAAAAATGCTTTACACCACTTCCAAAACTGAAAATGAGATGCACAATTGTGGTTTTGCTATAAATGACAAGCATATCATATCATTTAGAAATGGAAGACATTCACATTTGAAGCGAGGCGACATGCTGCAATTATACAATTTGAGCGATGTCGATGTCAATTTCAAGGTTACCTTTTTTCGTTGTTGCAACTCATTTGAACAGCTTTCCAGGTAAAAGTTGCCAATAATTCCACAGTATATGATGTAATGGTTTTTGAAGTTACGGAGGGTGATATTCCACATTTCCCAAAGGAACGTGGCTTCCCATATCCTGGGAAGGAATATTACCAAGTTGGAATTGATCATCAACGAAAACCATTGTGGCGCAAAGGAGTTATAACTGAAAAGAAAGGTATGTCTTTGCTCAATTCCTCAATTTTACACATTCGAGATGTTTGATTTATTGAACATTTTCAAAAACATACATCAAAAATGAAACACGCAAATCACAAACAATGTGTACCAAGTCTCATTAAAAGTTAAAAAAAATCATGAACTTCCCTTGTTAGATGGATATTATGTGGGACAATCAAATGGAGCTACTGGTAATGCGGGAGAACCATTATTTGACACAACTGGACAACTTCTTGGGATGACTATTGGTGAACAAAATCCTCACGATGTTGCTGATCATTTTCGTTATATAGTCAGTACTGATATGATTTTGGGAGCTGGAGATGTTGTGATTGGCGTAAGTTGGATATGAATCGTTGGTTAGAGAACCGTTTTTGTTTCAGAAAACGAAACATGTCACTGAATGCGAGGAGTGTTTGAGAAGGAAGAGATTTAGTAGTGAATGGGAGGAGTGAGCACACTTTTGACACCAAAAATTGAATATGTTTTTCGAGGAGATCAGAAAAATTATGCTAAAAATTTCCAAAAAAATCATTTTTTCCGCTTTTTTTTTGAAAAATCTCACATTATCGATCTGGCAGCAAAATCATCACTTTTGTTTTGGACCCGTTATTGTCACTTTTACGAAATCCATGTTTTATATATTCCTTTGTTTTTGCTGCGAACACCTTCAGTGTCGTCATAAATTATTATTATTATAAATTATTATTATCCCTGTGTGCCTACGTGAAAACCTATTTATTTCTTTAATTTTTGGCGCGTGCGCAGATAAGAGCTGGCTGAAAGTGGGCGGAGCTTCGTGCTCTCTGAAAAATCATGAATGTTTTTATTTTTGATAAAAATTCTGGAAATATTTTTTCCAAAAAAAATGAAGAGAAAGTTTCTAAAATTTCAAAAACTTCATAAAAAATCTTGTGAATCTAAACTCCAAAAACATATGAAAAACAGAAAAATGATAAGATTAGATTCTAATATTAAATACACATATAATCCGTTTTGAGCTTCTTCTTCTTCTTCTATAATCCTATCTATCTAAAAAATTAAATACAGTATATTTATTCGACATTGTGAGCCTCGACCAATTTTCGATAAATTGATCCTTTTTTCGCCATTAATTGCTCATGTGTTCCACTTTCAACGGCCTGGAAAAATATCGAAATGGGATTTATGAAAAAAAAATTCTGAAAGTACTTAAGCTTGTACTTTGAGTTTAGCAGAAGGGGGAAAAAATAAACGTGCGATTTTTGAGGAAAAATTGAGAGAGATAAATAGAATAATTTTGAATTCAATAGCTGATAATTATTTCCAAAAAAAGAGAGAAAATGAGCTCGAAAGTGAAACTACACTTGTACTGTAGGTTTTTCAGGCTCATAAGGCTACTGTAGTTGTCCGATCTTATGTCCCTTTAAAGGTGTCTAGGAGTACTGTAGAATATTTTCAAATTTTTCACAAAAAAGTGAATTACTGTAGTTTCCATAGCTTTTGATCATCTAAAAAGGGTCTAGGGTACTGTAGATCATTCTTAAAGGCTTTTGATCCTTTTTTTGAAAAAAGGATTACTGTAGTTTCTCAAAAGCTGTGATCCCTTTAAAAATACCTAGAAATTACTGTAGTTCTTTTCAGAAGTACATATTCATTTTTAAATTATGTTTGGGTTACTGTATTTTCTTGAATTTTTTGAAAAAGGGAATATGAGCTAATTATGGGAAAAATCTATCTGAATGTTTTGTCGAATTTTCCAATGTTTCTAAAAAATTCAAAATTTTATCTTTTTTTCTAGTAAATTGGATACGGTCTTAATTTTTAATTTTTTTCAGATTTTGGAGTATATTTCAACTTTTCTAAATTTATTCTAAAATCTTCCAATTTGCAGCTTCCTGCCAGTAACTCGCTAATCTCTCATTGATGTCATCAAAAACTCACTTTTTTATCCTTGATAACATAAATCAATTGAGCTGATCGAATTGTGCTCAATCGGTGTGCAATCACTAGAACAGTTCGACCTTTCATCACATTATTCAAAGCTTCTTGCACCTAAAAAAACAGAAGGGGATTAATTTAAAGGGAAAGGCAATACATAAAGATTATGACCACTTTTCAAAATTTTCAATTTTCGTGATGGGACCCAGGTACTGTAGGATTACGGTTGCTTATCATGAAATTTTGATATTACCATGAGATTCCACGTAGAATTTGGGGCAGTTTGAATTAAAACATGACTATTTATGAACAATTTTGAAAATTAACTTCAGTAGTGGGTCCCACCACGAAAATTTGTACAGTAACCGCGTCATGTTTATCCTCAAAATTCTCCAAATTTAACGGAGAGGAAACTTCTCTGAAAATCCTGATTTCTGCATTTTTCTGGAGTTCTAGATATTTTTGGCCCAGAAAATATTTAAAAAGCGTGGCCGAACTATTTTGATGGCCGACAAATTTCGGGAATTCGGCCAAAGCAACAAATGCGCTCCAATCTAGCGGAAATCAGTATGGTTTTCGCTTTGGCCGAATTCCCGACATTTCTCGGCCACCAAAATAATTCTTTTGAAAATTGGTCATAATCTCCATTGCCAGCTAAAAATAACTATAATTTTTCACCCCGTTTCCTGTCAAAAGGGTTTCAAAGATTATCTCCTCTAAAAAAGGGATTATGTTTTGACTCACCAATTTTTCGCTTTGCGAATCGAGAGCTGAAGTGGCTTCATCGAGCACCAAAATCGGTGGATTCTTCAAAATCGCTCTAGCAATCGCAATTCTCTGCTTCTGCCCGCCAGACAATTGTGCACCTCGCTCACCAACAATCGTTGAATATCCAGCAGGGAATCGGCTCACAAATTCATCAACATGTGCAGCTTTTGCAGCTGCTCGAACCTCTTCATTTGTGGCGTCTGGCCGTCCATATCGGATATTTTCTTCAACAGAAGTCGCGAATAATACGGGTTCTTGTGAGATTAATCCGATAACTTGTCCGCGAAGCCATTCAACATTCAGATTTTTCAAATCTTTTCCGTCTAATGTTACACGACCGGATTTGGGCTCATAAAATCGTTCGAGCAAATGGGTTATTGTTGATTTTCCTTCTCCACTTGGACCACAAAGTGCAACTACTTGACCAGCGGGAATTGTCAGGTTCAAATTGTCAAATACCTGGAATTTTTTAGATTATATGGTTTTGGAAACAGCTGGAAGAAGGCTTCTCAAAACTTTCAGATACATTTTGAAACGTATTTTTTTTGGTTTTGAAAAATTCGAACGTTGACCCTCAAAATCGCTAGAATAGAAGTATTTTTCAGATTTTCTGGACGAAAATCGAAAATGTTCGATTTCTAGTAGTTTTTCAAAAATTAAACTAAAGAAAAATGCTTTTAACAAAAATTTTCGATTCAGATAATGTCAAAAAAAAAATAGGAAAATATGTAGTTTTTTCATTTTCTGAATCGAAAATTTTTGTTTAAAAAAAACATTTTTTTTTTTAGTTTTTTCGGCCTGAATAAGAATTATTCATGAAAAAAGTTTTTTTTTAATTCTGGAACATTTAAAAATGAATAAACATTCTAAAAGTTCTAGTTTTTAATCAAACAATTTTTAAAGAAAAATTTTCAATTATTTTTTAGTTTAAAAATAAGCTTTTAAGAAGTTTTCTTTGAATTTGAATTTTGAATTTTTATTTAGAATGTTATAAATTCACCGGCACATAAAAATAGTGAGATCAAAGGGAGAGAGAAAAAAGGGGTAATTCACATGAAATCGAAAAATAAATAGGGTGAATAAAATAACTTTCCAAATTTTTAAAAGACCTAAATCCCGCAAGAGACCTGGTCAGTTGGAGGTTTTGACAAAGAGATAAGAAAGAGTGTGCGAGAATCTGGCCGTAAGGGTTCATGATAAAAGCGATGCGTTCAAACCATTAATCAATATTCTGAACGATTGCACTGAAGAATTCATTTCAATGAGGTGCGATAAAGAGTTCCACTTGGGAACTGTATGTGAGAAAAAAGAGTTGTGGCATTTTTGAGTTAAAACTAGGCGGGCTGGGTGACGTGGAAGTGTTGAGAAGCTGATGAAGTCAAATGTTTCTGGCTGGTGAGAAAATCCATTAAGGGCTTTGAAAAGATGAATAATATTGGCTCTGGATCTACGAGTATGGGTTGACACCATGTTGATCTGTTTGAGGCGATCCTCATAAGATTCAAATGGCATATTACAACGATTGAAGACTTTACGAGTGAATTGACGTAATGGATTTTCTAGGTTATTTGATAGATTTTTAGTTAGGAAGGGGTCGTAAACTTCGCTACAATATTCTAGAATGGGGAGGACATACATTTTGAAGAGAAATGCGTAGGGTTTTATTGTGCTAAAATGGAAGTTACGGAGAATTTCTTGTAAAAATAGTTTTTTTTAATTTTTGAGATTTTTTTTTCGAAAAATTCAAATTATTTAAAATTTCGAAAAAAAATGTTTTTGAATTTTTTAATTCGACAACTTTGATTTCTAGTTGAAAAATAAGTTTTTAAGAAATTTTCATGTAAATTTTTTTTCAATTTTGGAGATTTTCTTTAAATTCAAATTATTTAAAATTTCGAAAAAATGTTTTATTTAATTCGAAAACCATTTTTTCTTGAATTTTGGATATGTTTTTGAAAAAATCTTAAATTTTTCATTAGAAAATCCTAGTTCCAAACTCACAACATGTCCAGGTCTTGTCGGATAACTAAAAGTAACATCTTCAAACTTAACATCTCCCCACAAAGAATGATACGGAATACAAACACCACTCTCATAATCAATAACTGGTGTAATTCTCGAAAATTGCAAAACCCTTCCACCCGCAGTCCATCCTTTAATCGCAGACCCAAAAATAATCGACAATTGGCTAAGAGACCGTTGAATTGTTTGCGCAGAAACCAAAAATGACATGAGTGCTCCAGGCGACATTTCTCCTTGTGCAATCAAATTTGTTCCACCATACAGAACTGAGAGAACAATTCCATTGAGAAATAGATTAGTCGCTCCTTGGAACAGTCCAATTCCAAGTCCTAATTGTTCTTGCATCGATCGCGCTTTATCCAACTCCTCATCAAATAACCTAGACTCCAACTTCTCCATAGCAAATGCCCGGATTGTTCTCATATTTGTCAGTGCCTCGTCTGAAACAGCGGACGCTGTTGCTGATTGTGCTTGCGCTCTTCGACTCAAAACACGAAGCCCTGATCCAATTAAGGAGCCAACTAAAATAATCCCAGGAACAACTGCGATTGTATATAATGTCATTGTTGGTGATAAATAAAATAATGAACCAATACATCCAAGAGTTTGTGCAATTGTTCGTAGCCCTTGAGATACACACATTTTGAAACTACTTTTGAATTCTTGAACATCTGAATTCAAGCGCGCTGATAATTCTCCAGTTTTCTAGAAAAAAAAAATCAAGATTAGATTTTTAATGAAATATATGTTTTCTAATAGTTTTAGACCACACTTGGCGAGAGAGTGTCCCAAATTTTGAGCAGCGTGAAATTTTTTTCAGAATAAAAATTGTGCAGCGTGAAATTTTGAATATTTTCATCAAAATCCGCTGAAAATTAATGAATACTTCACTTTTTCGTGAAAAAAAAATGAAAATTTTTATAACCTTCCCGCCCGAATCGAAATTTTGGTTTGGGCGGGAATTTTTATTTGAAAATTTTTGTACAGTATCCTTTTTGGACACGTCTCGTCAGGCGTGTTTTAGACCCGCTGATCACTATCCCGATGTCTAAAATTGCAGAACTCAACTTCTAATATGAGTTATGACGTGGCAAAGTTCGAAAATTTCAAAAAATCGAGATTTCAGAAGTTGAAAACTAGCTTCAAAAATGATTTTCATGCAAATCTGATAGCATAGAGACCGTGTTGAACAAATTGCATGAAAATCATTTTTAAAGCTATTTTTCAACTTCTGAAATCTCGATTTTTTGAAATTTTCGAACTTTGCCACGTCATAACTCATATTAGAAGTTGAGTTCTGCAATTTTAGGGTCAAAACTTCTAGAAAACAGTTCCTTGTATTTAGATTTAAAAAATCTCTCAAACTCACATGTGAATCGAAAAACGCCATATCCAGGTACAAAAGCTTGTTAAAAAGTTCTGAACGCATTTTCATTGCCATTCGCTCTCCGAGAATCGTCAAAAATGAGATATAAGCAAAGGTTAGAGCTGATTGAATAATATACATTGATAACAGTTGAATCGCATGTGGTTTCAAATGATCGAAATGATCGGAAAGTTGTTTATTATCACTTTTTATAACATCAACTATTATATTAACGAGATCTCCAAGACATAGTGGGATTCGAATATTGATTACAGCTGATAGAATTGCACACTGAAGAAATTGAATAGTTTTTTCTTATTTTCCACATTTTTCAGAGCAAACTTACAACAACAGCGGCCAAAAACCATCCAAAGAAAGGTTTAATCAATCTCCATAATTCTCGAAATGACATACTTCCCTCATCATCATCTTTCGATCTAATATGCTCCACTCTTTTACTCAATTTCGCGCTACAATTCAGCCTTCGAATCGTGGCAATCGTAAATCCCGTCGAAAATCCACATATCCGAAGTGTCTTCAAAACATGTGCCTGTTTCATTGGTTGACTGACCCATCGCAAAGTTGAGTATGAATTTTTTGCGCTATTTATCACGGATCGCATGGAAATTACCGGAAGTTTTGAGAGGATCGTCATTCTGAAAATGTTTAATGTAATGGTTGATTTTTTCGGCAGTAAAATCGATGAAAACGACAAATTTTTGATGGAAACCCGGGGAAAACCTGAAAAAAACAAAAAATAAAAAAAAAACTACTGATAAAAAAGTGTGCGGCGGTTGCCAAAATGTGTGCCGCATGCTGCATTCATTTTCTACTTTTGAATTTTTGTTTGTTTTTTTTGTTGGAGTCTCCCATTCTTCGACCGAATCAGCTGATTTCAACAGATTCAAACAGTTCAAAACATACTGTAGTTCGATGTAAACCTCTCGCAAGTCTCATCATAAACTTGAAAAATTTTAAAATGTCGAAATATTTCTCATTTTTAAATATGACGTGTTTTTTTCTGTTACGTGGCATTCTTTTTTTGTTTGTTGAAAATTTTGTTCATTTTCTTGATTTAAACTATAGTATTCAGTGTCTCATACTCATTTAATTATGGATTAGAGTTAGTTTGTATTCTTTATCCTTTGTCGCCATTGGTAACGCAAAAGTATACCTAATCTCTTATTAAAATTTTTTTTCATTCACAGACTACACATTTTCATACTCTTTTTCAGATGGATTACGATTTTGACGACTATGGTGCAGGCGGTGCCGAAACATTGACTTTTGTCGACGACGACGATGGCATGAGCGCTGCAACTCAGGATTCACAATATTATGCGGGAAATCAATTCAGCTTGCCAACTCAAAGTTCTCAGGTGGATTCAGTTCTCGTTTCGGGTGTCGAGAGCAATGCCGATTTGACTTTTCAAGAAGTCGATGAATCGGAAACTGAAGAAGAATATATCGATACTTCGAAGTTTGTTGAACATGCTTGTCGTTATTGTGGAATTAGTGATCCACTTTGTGTTGCTAAATGTACAGTTTGTGACAAATGGTTTTGCAATTCAAAACAAGGAACTAGTGGTTCACATATTGTTAATCACATGGTCAGAAGTAGACATCGCGAGGTAACTTGAATATTCTTCCAAGAAATCCTCAAGATAATAATGAAATTCAGGCTTTTCTTCACGAAGAATCTCCATGCGGTCCAACTCAACTCGAATGTTATTTATGCGCTTCGAAAAACGTGTTCAATCTCGGTTTCATTCCTGCAAAAGCTGATTCAGTTGTTGTCATTCTTTGTCGAACTGTTTGCCTCCAACAAGCATCTCAAAAAGATCCGAATTGGGTTGCCGAAGATTGGAAAACTCTTATCACCGAACGTCAATTATTGTCCTGGTTGGTGAATATTCCATCAGAAGAGCAAGACGCGAGAGCAAGGAAGATCACACAATCGCAAGCGAGTCGTTTAGAAGATTTATGGAGAGAAATGCCGAATGCAACGCTGGAAGATTTGGATAAACCGGGAATCGACAGAGAACCTGATCATGTTACCCTAAGATATGATGATGCTTTTCAATATAAACATATTTTCAAGCCTTTGATAAAGATCGAAGCTGAATATGATAAAATCATGAAAGAATCTCAAACTCAAAATGTTGGTTTAGTTCGATGGGATAGTGGATTGAAAAGAAAATCACTTTTGGCATATTTCCATCTTCCAAAATATTCGGATGGTTGTATGAAATTGATGATTGGAGATCAATTGAAATTGACACATAATCAGACGGTTGATGGGTCGACTTGGTCAACCAGTGGAACTGTTTTCAAATTACCTGATAGTGAGTTCAAAAACGTGGCATTCGTGTGTTTTTTTCGCAGAAATCCAAGAATTTTGTGAAAAAATTGAGAAGAATTTCAAAACTGTTTTAACTTTAGCTCTAGATTTTTAATGAAATATGTTTGCTAGTAATTTTCGACCCGCTGATCACGATTCCGTTGTCGAAAATTGCAGAATTCATCTCCTAGTATTAGTTATGACGTGGCAAATTTCAAAAAATCGAGATTCCAAAAGCTGAAAACTAGCTTTAAAAATTATTTTCATGCAAATATGGTAGAATAGAGACCGTGTTGAACAACCCTATGCTATCAGATTTGAGTGAAAAACTAGTTTTCAGCTTCTGAAATCTCGATTTTTCGAACTTTGCCACGTCATAACTCATGTTAGATGTTGAGTTCTGCAGTTTTAGACGACTAGATCGTGATCAGCGTCTCGAAAACTACTAGAAAACTTAATTCTTTAAAAATCTAGAGTGAAAGTTGAAACAGTTCCATTGTAAGTTATAGTATACATATAATATTTTCAGATCTCTCTGATGAAGTTGGAATTGAAGTCAAAGCTGCAAACGTCGAAAAAGATGTTACTGAAAAACGTATCATGTTCACTTGCGAGATTGTTTGGAACTCTACCACATTTGATCGTCAATATCAAGCTCTTGATAAACTTGCGAATGATAACAAATGCGTTTCTCAATATATTTTCCATAAAATAATGGGGCGACAAGTTGATGAAGTCATGTTTAAGGTAAAACTCATCGAGATATTAAAAAAAAATAAAATTTAATATCAATTCCAGTATCAACTTCCAAAAAGATTATCTGTTCCCGGATTGCCGGATTTGAATCCAAGTCAAATGCAAGCTATCAAACAGGCTTTGACCAAACCGCTTAGTTTGATTCAAGGACCACCGGGAACTGGAAAGGTATTTTATTTTTAATTTTTGATATACTCAAAATTAAGCTATTTTTAGACAGTAACTTCTGCAACTATGGTATATCATTTGGTGAATCAAACCGAAGGACAAGTTCTCGTTTGTTCACCATCCAATATTGCTGTTGATCACCTGGCCGAAAAAATCCATAAAACTGGCCTGAAAGTTGTTCGACTTACTGCGAAATCTCGTGATAGTACTGATAATTCAGTTCGTTTCCTAACCATCGAATCACAATTGAGAGTTCTTGGCGGAGAAGAATTGAAGAATCTGATCAAATTGAAAGAGGAAATTGGAGAACTCGAAGATGCTGATCATTTGAGATATTTGCATTTGAAACAATTGACCGAGCATGATATTCTTGCGAAAGCTGATGTTATTTGTTCGACGTGTTCAACTGCGGCTGACCCAAGATTGGCGAGAATTCGCATCAAAACTGTGTTGATTGATGAATCGACACAAGCAACAGAACCAGAGATAATGGTGTCAATTGTGAGAGGTGTTCGACATTTGATTCTTGTTGGTGATCATTGTCAATTGGGACCTGTTGTGTCGTGTAAAAAAGCGGCGAATGCTGGACTACAACAATCGTTGTTTGAGAGATTGATTTTGTTGGGAATTCGACCGCATCGACTTCAAGTGCAATATCGTATGCATCCGGTTTTGTCGGCTTTTCCGTCCAATGCGTTTTATGAAGGAAGTTTGCAGAATGGTGTTAGTGAAAGTGAGTTTTTTTTTGAAAATTAGGCTCTCTAGGCGCCGATCCTTGAAAATTGGAATTTATAGGGTTGGCTACTTGAAAACTAGAGTTTCTAGGCACTGGCCTTTGAAAATTGAAATTTCTAGGCGTGGATACTTGACAACTAGGTTCTCTAGGCGTGATTCCTAGACAATTAGGCTCTCTAGACTCGATTCCTTGAAAATTAAAATTTCTAGGCTTGGCTGCTTGACAACTAGGTTCTCTAGACGTGGCTACTTGACAACTAGGATTTCTAGGCGCTGATCCTTGAAAATTGAAATTTCTAGGCTTTGGTCCTTGAAAACTAGGTTCTCTAGGCGCTGATCCTTGAAAACTAGGTTCTCTAGGCGCTGGCCTTGAAAATTGGAATTTCTAGGCTTGGCTACTTGAGAACTAGAGATTATAGACGTGGCTACTTGAAAACTAGGGTTTCTAGGCCTGCCTACTTGAAACCTAGGTTCTCTAGGCGCTGATCCTTGAAAATTGGAATTTCTAAGCTTGGCCACTTGCCATAGAAGCTCTCAAGACGCAATTCCTTGCCACAGTTCATCTCAAGAAGCGCGTCCTAGACAATTAGGTTCTCTAGGCTCTGCTACTTGACAACTAGGTTATTTGACACACAAACTCTAAAAGTGTACCTCTTCAGAATTGAAAATTTGAAGTAAATACCATTTTTGATTTTTCCCAGGTGATCGAATTCTACAAGGAGTTGATTGGCAATGGCCAGTTTCCAATCGCCCATCATTTTTCTGGTCATGTTATGGAGCCGAAGAAATGAGTTCAAGTGGAACATCGTTCTTGAATCGAACTGAAGCTGCGAATGTCGAAAAATTGGCTAGTAAATTGATAAGGTAAGGGTTTTTCATAAAATTTAAAAAATTCCCATATTTTTCGCAGAGGTGGAATGTTGCCTGAACAAATTGGTATTATTACTCCTTATGAAGGACAACGTGCATTTATCGTAAATTATATGCATACTCAAGGCTCCCTTAATTCAAAACTTTATGAAAATGTTCAAATTGCGAGTGTTGATGCGTTCCAAGGAAGAGAGAAAGATTTTATTATTGTAACTTGTGTTCGATCGAATAGCTCGTCTGGAATCGGATTTTTGAATGATCCACGGCGTTTGAATGTTGCGATTACAAGAGCAAAATATGGATTAGTTGTGATTGGAAATGCAAAAGTTCTCGGAAGACAACCAATGTGGCATGATTTGATTACGTTTTACAAAGATAAAGGATTGGTCTTTGAAGGTCCGATTAATAATTTGAAATCGGTTAATTTGACATTGCCGAAACCGGTTGCGAAAACATCTGGAATTGGGGTAAGTTTTTTTTAAATTTTTGAAAAAATAAACAATTTTCTTTCAGTCGGGAAGATATGGTTTGCAACGTTTCACCTATAATTACAATGAGTTCCGTGGCACAAGCAATGCTAGACTCCCAATGACTTATAATGGAACACAGAATTTGTTGTCGCAATCCAGATTGGCTAGAGATTCGATGAATTCGAATATTCCGGTGCCGCTTGATGTGATTTGCCCGAATATTTATGTGCAACCGAAACAACAGCATAGAGGTGGGGTTTTTGGGCAAAAAATTGAAAAATTTGAAGTATTTTGAGCCCAGAAACTGAAAAATTCGACAATTTATGCAAGAAGCACGGAATTTCATGGGTTTTCTCAAAAACTTCATTTTTCAGCGTCAAATTTTGACCCAGAAATTCGAATTTTTCAAAAACAAAAAAAATACGTTTCAAAATTTTGATATAATTTATTATCGAATATTTTTGTCAATTTGTTTTTGAAAATAATACAGTTGAAAATATCTCAAAATTTGAATAGAAATTCTGAAATTATCAATTTTTGGATTGAATGCATTGGAATTGTGAAAAAATCTGAAAATCATGGTTTCTAAAACGTTCCAAAAATTTTAAATATTTTCTGTAGAAATTCAAGAATTTCCAAATTTCTCATGCAAAAAATTGAGAAATTTGATGTTGTTCGGGTCCAGAAACTGAAAAATCCAATAAAATCTAGTAACTTCCTATTTTTTTTCCAGCTCAAAAGCGTCCAAATTTGACACAAAAAATTAGAATTTTTCAAAAACAGAAAAAAATACGTTTCAAAATTTTGATATAATTTATTATCGAATATTTTTGTCAATATGTTTTTTAAAATAAGACACTTGAAAATATCTCAAAATTTGAATAGAAATTCTGAAATTATTAATTTTTGGATTGAATGCATTGAAATTGTGATAAAATCTGAAAATCATGGTTTCTAAAACGTTCCAAAAATTTTAAATATTTTCTGTAGAAATTCAAGAATTTTCAAATTTCTCATGCAAAAATTGAGAAATTTGATGTTTTTTGGGTCCAAAAACTGAAAAATTCGATAAAATCTAGTAGCTTCCTATTTTTTTTTGTTTTCCAGCTCAAAATCTCATTTTCAGAATTAAATTTTGACCCAAATATTGTAATTTTTAAAAAACAGAAAAAAATACGTTTCAAAATTTTTGTATAATTTTTAATCGAATTTTTTTTTCAATATTTTTTTTGAACGGGTGATAGTCACGAACTTAGCTGGAGTGTCTAAATTTCTACGATTTTCCTTATATTCTCCATTCAAACATCTTCAGGTCGTCGAAACAACCAAGAATCCTCGCGGTATTCCGAAATGTCACAATCTCAATTCTCCCAAGCATCACAAGATCCACACATGCATCTACAATCCGGAACCTACGATGCTTCCCTATCCGCTTGGTCACAATCACAATCAGGCGCCGGTTCATCGCGATTCACTGGCCACACTCAACCAATGTCTCAAGATATGTCACAAATTGATGATGTTGAACAAGATTTGGCGAATCTTCTACTTTCGCAAGGTCAATGAAAATATTTTTGTATATTTTCATAAGGAAGGGCAAATGGATTCGAGACGGAGAGTTGGGACACAACACGGACACAATTTCACAATTCTCGATTATTCCTAGCCTAGTTTCCCCCTGTTTTTCGCTTTTTTTCTATATATTTTTTGTTTTTTCTTGTGTTTTTTGACTAGAGAAATTAATTATGATCAAATCTATTTTAGCATTGAGCAAAAAATCTTTTCCGAAGGTTTTCAATCATAATTCATTTCTCATACTCGTCTGTAGTTTTTTTGGTAATAAATTCTTGAAATTCAATAATTTTTGTGATTTTTTTTCTGATAATTAATTATAAGGTTATAACATCCTTGTACTTACCCAAAAAATTTCAAAAAAAAAATTATTCCAGAAGTTTTAGGGTTCAAAAATGGTTCATAGCAATCGAAGACGTAAGAACTTCAAGAATAAGAGAAGAGATGGTCAAGGAGAGCAAAAAGAGGATAATCGCGATAAAAATGGATATCGAGATGTGATAAAGGAGAATGAGAAATATTGGACGTATTATAAAGAGCAAGGAGTGTTCCCAGCGGAGCAGTTTGATGAATTCAAGGCGGCACTTCAAAGGGATTTACCGGTTTCGTTTAGATTTCAAGGATGTCATAAGTGAGTTTTTTCGGGGAATTTTTTGATTTTTGGCGAGGCGCAAAAAATTTAATTTTATCAAATTTTAAATCCACTTGAGAATTTTTAGCCTGTAATTTTGATTTCAGATTGATTTTTAGAAAGTTTGGAATAATTCTGGAACAATACCGCATTCAGAATCTGAAATTGTAGACGAAAAAAAAGCTTTTTCAGCGCTAATAGATATTTTTAGACAATTTCTTGGGAAAAATTCTAAAAGATTACTTTGAGTTTGAAATCTGCTCCTAAAGTCTATTTTAATGAAATTTAACCGGTAACTTTTGGAACCTGGTGCTCACTGGAAAAAAAGGAAAAGGAGATTTTTCATGTTTTTTTTTTGAACAGTTTTTCAAAGATCCTGTTTTCGGTTTTTGCTGCGCAACTCTGTGAGGAGCACAAAAATGAGCCGAAAATTGAGAATTTTTGAAAATTCCTTGTTTTTTGAAAGCCCATAACTCATGTTAGAGAAGATTTTATCAAAAACAGAATACAGGGCGATGTTCAGCAGGGTCGATTTACAAAACTCAAAAGTTTTGTCAAAATTTTCCAAACACATGCAAATTTGCCTCAAAAAATCACTAAATTCACGGGATTTCTCCCCAAAATTTTGAATTTTCAGTGTAAACAAATGAAAATTCGGAAAAAATCGTGAATTTCAGAAATTCCCATTTTTCTGCTAATTTTTTGTGCTCTTCGGAGAGTCGCGCAGCAAAAACTGTGCAAAAAGATGTTTGCCTGGAATTTCAGATTGATTTTCAGAAAGTTTTTGAAAACAAATCTGAAATCCACTAGTTCTAGAATTACCCTAAAAATTCAAAATTCAAAATTAATTAGCAAATGATTTTCGAGCTAAAAAATCCTACAAAGTCCTAAAATCCTCGCTTCCAGAGATCGTGAACAATTGATCCACGAAATGGAATCGCGATTCTTCGGCGCAATTCAAGAATCCAGCGATGTCGCAGTCTGCGTCCCAAAATCTCTCCCCTGGTACAAAGAAGCCTATCAAACGCCAATGTCTCGTTCAGCTGTTCGAAGTCATCCAATTCTCGCGCAACTCCATAATTTCCTGGTCACCGAAGCTGAACTCGGCAACTTGTCTCGTCAAGAGGCGGTCAGTATGATTCCACCGTTGTTGTTGGCGCCGAAAAGTGATCATCGAGTTTTGGATTTGTGCGCTGCGCCGGGAAGTAAGACTACTCAACTGCTTGAGATGCTCCATGAAGAAGATCCGAATCCAAGTATGGTTTTTGATCCAGAAGAGAACCTTTTTTCGGAACTTGCTGAAAATGGATATTTTGTTCTGAAACCCAAAAACTTACCCAAAAAAATTCGAGGTCTAGAATTGACCTGTGAGCCAAGTTACAGAGCTCCAAAGTTCGGAAAATCTACAGATTTGGAGCCAAAGCTGTTCGAACTTTGGAGCCCCGTAACTTGGCTCACAGGTCAATTCCAGACCTAGAATTTTTTTTGGTCAAGTTTCATATGGTTGTTGAAAAAATTGTCAATTTTTCAGCAGGTTGTGAGGAAAGTTACTTTGTCAGATTAAATATGATATAAAATATCTGAAAATTTCAGCTGGAATGGTTGTTGCAAACGACGTTGATATGAAACGCTGTTATATGCTCATCCATCACACTTTAAAACGTTTCCGAAGTGCGGCTTGTGTTGTGACTTGCGAAGATGCTGCAAGATTCCCAAAAATTGTTGACCAAAATGAATCGAAAGTTCAATTCGATCGAGTTCTAGCTGACGTGATTTGCAGTGGCGATGGAACACTTCGAAAAAATCCAGAGATTTGGAAGAAATGGACACCGCAAGATGGTTTGGGTTTGCATCGAATTCAAATTGCGATTGCGAGAAAAGGCGCGCAACAATTGAAAGTTGGAGGGCAAATGGTGTATTCGACGTGTTCGATGAATCCGATTGAAGATGAAGCGGTTGTTGCGCAATTGTTGAGAGAAAGTAAAGGAGCGTTGAGATTGGTGGACACGTCGAATATGTTGCCTGGATTAAAACGGGAAAATGGAGTTTCGAAGTGGAAGGTGAGGGGGTTTTTGTGGAATTTTGCGGGCCCAGAAAATCTGAGAACAACAAAATTTCATGGATTTTCCAAAACCTTCAATTTACAGCGTTAAATTCTAATTTTTAAACACCAAAAAAAAATACGTTTCAAAATTTTGATATAATTTATTGTCGAATATTTTTGTCAATTTGTTGTTCCATAAATAAACATTTCAATTTTCGTATAAACATTCTGAAATTATCAATTTTTGGATCAAAATTCATGAAAATTCTTAGTATTCCCAATGTTTTTGTGATATAGAAAATTGGAGTTAGAAAGAATTTCATCTCAAAAACATCAATTTTTAGTTCAAAATCTCAATATCAGCAATTTTTGATACAAAAATTTGAATTTTTCAAACCCAAAAAAATACGTATCAATATTTTGATATAATTTATTATCGAATATTTCTGTCAATATGTTTTTCAAAATAAGACAATTGAAAATATCTCAAAATTTGGATAAAAATTCTGAAATTGTCAATTTTTGGATCAAAACAGACCTCGGCTAATCCGTGGCTGGTCAGACTACAATTTTGAAAAAAATCTGAATTTCATCTAGATTTTCACCGATTTTTATTTGACTCAAAAATTCTAATTTTTCAAACCCAAAAAAATACGTTTCAAAATTTTGATATAATTCATTATCGAATATTGTTGTCAATGTTTTTGGCAGTTCGAAACAAATCAAAACCAAAATTTCAAATTGAAATTCAGAAATTATCGATTTTAGCCTAATGATTTTCTAATTTTCTAACAAAAAACCAACTCCAAAAATTTGTCCACGCAAAAAAAAACAATTTACAGGTCTACGATCGCGATATGAAGTTGTTCAATAGCGTTGAAGAAGTCACTGAAGAACGTTTGAAAAAGGTTATCATTCAATCCCTCTTCCCACCAACTGAAGAAGAAGCGAAGGATATGAATTTGCATTACGCGTAAGCTTTTTTCTTCAAAACACATCAAAATTAAAACCAAAACCACTTCAGAATGAGAATTACTCCTCACCTTCAAGACACTGGTGGATTTTTCGTTGCTCTTATTGAAAAAGTCACCGATTCGGATTTGGAAGCCAACGCGGCGAAGTGAGTTCGAATTTCTTAAATTAAAAAAAATCCCTTTTTCTAGTGGTCCCGCGTGGAAAAAGAAGAAATTGTTCAAAGATGAGCCATTCACATTTTTGCGAAAAGACGATGAGAGATGGTTTGATATTCGAGGATTCTATGGAATCGACGATTCGTTCAAATATGAGAATTTGTTCAGTCGACGAATTGAGACAAATGATGCTGACAGTCGACAATTGTTCTTTGCAAATGATACGGTCAAAGATTTTGTGGTAGGTTTTTTTTGGAACAGAAATTTTTTTTGATATAATTTATTACACACCCGCTCAAGCAACACAAAAATCAGCAAAACGCTGTAAAAACGGTGCAGCCTGTAGCTCAAAACCTAGATAAGCTTCATGAAAAACTAAAGATAGCATGAAAATCAGCGCATCGAGTTCTGCCTGACTTGCTACTTTTCTTATTTTTTGAGGTCCTGCGAAGAAAGTTAGCAATCGCGACAAGACCCAACGCATGAAATGTATCATGTTCCTTTAATACTGTAGTGCGAAATATAACGGCGAACAGAGAGAATTAGACAAAAGTGTTTTCACAGTTTTTTTCATTCGCATATTTTTCGTTTCACAGTAGAAAACACTCATTGCGTGGCTTGAACGGGTGTGATTATCGAATATTTTTTTCAATTCTATCGGTATCAATATAATTGAATAAATCAAAACTAAAATTTAAAAAAATGCTCAAAATTTGGATAACCATTCTGAAATTATCAATTTTCGGATCAAAATTCATGAAAATTTTTTGTATTCCCAATGAATTTGTGATATAGAAAATTGGAGTTAAAAATTGAATTTGAGCTTCCTAACCAAAAATTTTAAAGCTTAAAATTGCTCATTTTCGGCAAATATTGAGAAAATTGAGCTTCGGAAACTGAAAAATTCGTGCAAAAGCAAATTTTGACCCAAAAATTCCAATTTTTCAAAAACAGGAAAAAATACGTTTCAAAGTTTTGATATATTTTTTGGTCAAATATTGTTTTCAATTTAATCGATATCAATTAATCAAAACCAACAGTTCTGAAATGCTGAAATTATCGATTTTTGGATCGAAACTTAACCTAAGACTCTATTTTCCAGCTCTCAAACATGACAAAAGTGTCGATTCAAAACGCCGGAATGAAAATGTTCAGTCGAACAGAGGGAAAAGTTGAAAGTACACGATTCCGTCTCTCACAAGAGGGAATTCGTTATCTCTTCAAATTTATGAATAAACAAAAAGTGCTGATCTCCAAAGAGGATATGCTGAAAATGCTGAAAAGCGAGGTGAATTTGGTGCAATTGGAGAGTTTGGATTGTAAAGGAGATGTGAGAAAACAACAAAATGGAACTGTTGTTGTTTATTGTGAGGAGGATGAGCCGGTTTGCACTTGGGTGAGTGATTTTTTCACAGTTTTTCACGTTGAGCGACTCTGAAGAGCACAAACATGAGCCAAAAGTTGAGAATTTTTGCAAATTTGTGGTTTTGAGAGCCCGTTACTCATGTTAGAGATGATTTTATCTGAAAAATCTGAATAAAAAGGAGCTTCGATTTTCCAAATTCACAAATTTTCAAATGAGCCTATTTTCTGAGCCACGGAATTTTTTTTTTCTGAAAAAATATGGATTTTCAATCAAAACTACAAGAATTTGTTCAAGAAAATCATATTTTTTCTCGAAAAAAATTTGTGGCTCAGAAAATTATAGAAAATTTAAAAAAAAACATTTCAGTTTGGTAGATTTATCCTCCTGAACATTACCCTGTATTAAGTTTTTGATTAAATCTTCTCTAACATGAGTTATTGGCTCTAAAAACCACGAATTTTCGAAATAATCTCAACTTTTGGCTCATTTTTGTGCTCTTCAGAGAGTCGCGCAGCAAAAACTGAAAACATGAAGTTCCTGGAACTCATAATACAGAAAAGAACCCCGTCAGAAAAAATTTATTTAAATCTCCTGGAACTCGCAGAAATAACCATGTTCTTAAATGAAAGTTTATATCACTTGAATAAACTAGTTTTGACTATAAAAAGTGAAAAAATGCTCCGTGAGCTCAAAAAACAACATGGGGACCAGGTTTACATCTTACAAGTCCCCGTGCATTTTTCGAATTTTTGGGCTCACGGAGCATTTTTGTGTGTTTTGAAAGTCGAAACTACTTGAACTTTTCACTACTGATTCTGATTTCACCCAAAGAAATTAGAGTTTTGTCTGGAAAAATCAAATTTTCACAAAAATCTAGATTTCATTGATTTTCAGCAGATTATATTTCAAAAAAAAATTTTGATTTTCAGCAAAAATCTTGGAAATTTTAATCAAAATCAATTTAAAACTTTGATTTTTGATTTTTAACGTGAAATCACAGAAGCTGAAACCCATTTCTCTTTCAGAATAAAAAAAATTCAACAATTTATTTTCCAAACCTGAACTACTTGAACTTTTCATCCAAAGAAATTAGAGTTTTGTCTGGAAAAATCAAATTTTTCCTTTTAGAATATGATTAACCTCAAAACTCTCGAATTCTTCAATTTCAGGTTGGATACCATACAATCGCCCCATATATCAGCAAAGAAGAAAGATTGCACTTGTTGCGAATGTCTGGAGTTGATTGTGCTGAAATTGAGCAACTTATGAAAAGTAAACGAAAGGAAAAGGCGGCACAGGACCGCGAAAGTTTTGCGGCGAAAGAAGAAGCTTCTCCTGAAGATGTCAAAGAAGAGTTATCAGAAGTTCAAAATTGATATTTTGTTATCCATTCAGATTTTATGTTATTGTTGTTTTTAACTTGTCTTTTTTTTTCTTGTTGTTATAAAATTTTTAATGTTTTTAATTGTAAATTTTTCAAAAATCTGTTGATTTTTCTATTGGAAATACCTGCCTGGCTGGAAATGAATCAAACTGAAAAAAATCTCGAAAATTTAAGTAGAAATGAAAGCTGAATTGCTTGGGTGTGGTTTGACTGTTGAAGGACAGTTGGGAGTTCGATTAAATGAGCCGAATATTGTGGTTCCGGAGAGAATAAGTGAGTTTTTTTGGGGGGAAAATTGAAATTGGGAAAAGTTTTTTTCTGATAAAAATTACAGAAAGTTTAAAATTTCTGGTAACTCAAGATTTCGCAATTCTGGAATTTTGCTGAAAAATTTTTGAATCTAGAAAATTTGAAGGTTTTTCAGTCAGCCAGTATTTTGGAGCTGAAAATTTAAAAATTCTGAAAAAGTTTTTAAATCTGAAGTTTTTTTTCAGTTAGCCAGCATATATTTCGAATTTCTGAAATTTTTTTGTTAGAAATTTTAAAATCTAGAAGCCTCTGCAGAATTTTAAAATATTTTTCAAATTCAAAAAGATTTCGCAATTCTGGAATTTTTCTGGAAAATTTAAAGGTTTTTCAGTCCTTTCCCGAAGCCTTTTGGAGCTGAAAATTTTGGTGATTTGACTTTGAAGTTTTGTTCAAAAATTGAAATCTTAAAAGCTAGTAATCAAGCTCAAAAAAGCTGAAAACTTCTGAAAGCTTTTTAAAAAAATCGATTTTTTGAATCATACATTTCGTAATCGTAATAATTTTGCCGAAAATATCTGATTTTCAATGAAGTTTTTTGAGCGCAGAAATTTTTGAAATTCTGAAATTTTGCTCACAAAATTGATAGCTGAAAAGCTACATTTAAAAATTTTCTTCAAATTCAGAAATTTCAAATCTGCAAAGTTCATTTTTTCGCATTTCGAAATTCAAATCGTGATTTCAAGCTCCATGGGAGTGCTCACAGAAATTTCTGGCACTTTATGACTTCTGGATCGTTTTCAGGATAGTCGAATTAGTGAATTTCATCAAAATGTTTAAAACTAGAAAATCTGAAGCTTTTTCATTACTTTTTTCTTTCAAAAATTTGAATCCTGGAAGCTTTGGGCTCCATCAAATTTGCTCAGCAAAATCCCCCTCTCAAAAAAAGAAAAATAATTTCCAGTCGGAGCGCCCAACGACATCGACGGAACATCCGTAAAACAAGTTGCTTGCGGCGAAAACCACACACTTTTCCTAACAAAAGACGGAAAAATCTGGAGTGTTGGCGGAAATACAGACGGACAACTCGGAAGAGGCGGCAGTTGCGAAGGATCCTTCTCGATCTATCCAGTCGCCTCGTCGCAAGGTGTTGAATTCATTCAAATCGCCGCAGGACGTGCGCATTGTATTGCGGTGGCTGAGGATGGCAGAGTTTTCACTTGGGGCAGTAATGAACATGGACAATTGGGATTGACGAGTTTGATTCAGCGACAAGAGACACCGAAAAGGGTGAAGACGTTGAATGAGGTTATTCAGATTGCAGCTGGAAGTGATCACTCGATTGCTTTGACGGAATGTAGGTTTTTCACGGGAGGGAGATTTTTTTAAAAATTGTTGAGAACCTGAAATTTCATCTAGAAAAATAAAGCCCTAGTGTTATAACAGGGCTGATTCACGAACGAAAATTGATCTTTCGATGTTAAAAAACATTTTTTTTTCGTTCGTAAATCAACCCTAAACAGTTTTTTTAAATGTTTAGAACATTAGGGCTTTAACTAAGGTTATATTTCTCAAAGTGTAATTTACTGGCTGAAAAATTTCCCGCATTTCTTGAAAAAGTCAACGCGAAAGTGAGAGGTTAAGAGAAAAATATTTTTTGATCTACCAGAAATGAAAAATGTTATTGTCCATCCTGACGAATTGATCAGTGGGATTTTGTGATCTACTGTCTGAATCTCTCGTTTCACACACTATTTTGGTTTCAAACTATAAACATTCTGTAGGTCAATTGTTCAATTCGTCAGGATGGACAATAATAATTTATCCCATGACTGAAAAATTTCATATTGAGGCCAAATTTCTATGATTTTGAATTCAGAAATGTCAGATTTCTTCTTTTTCAAGTTAAAAATGACATTTTCGGGAGGAATTTCTGTGGATTTTTTTTGAAGCAGCTTCTGAAACTTCAAAATCATAGAAATTTGCCCTCAATCTTAAATTTTTCAGTCATTGGATAAATTATTGACCCATGTTAGGGTCGACTAATATGAGTTATGAGGTGGCGGGACTTTAGGAGGTCAAAACTCGTTTTTAAAATGATTTTCTTGCAAATCTGATAGCACTGGGATTTGTTCAGGAGCAGAATTCGAACTTTTTCTAAAAAATCTTTTGGATTTCTGAATGAACCCAATTTATGAAGGTTCATTCAGAAATCTGAAATATTTTTCAGAAAAGTTTAAAATTTAATTAAATTTTTTCCAGCCGGCCGTGTTTTTGTTTGGGGCGAACAAGCCGATGGAAGATGCATCCATGAACCGATTCTTGTTGAGGAATTGAGTGCGATTCCAATTGTCAGAGGTTTGATTTTGTTTTTTTTCGAAATTTTCAGCCTCCACTTTTCACACAAAAGCAGATTTTGATTTAAAAATTAGCAATTTTCAGTTGTTGCCGGAAGTCGACATTGTATTGCGATATCGGCGAGTGGAAGTGTCTATTCTTGGGGACAAAATGATCACGGACAATTGGGTTTTGATGATCCGAGACGTGAGTTTGGAAGAAAAACTGAAAGTTTCACAAAAATCTGATATGAAAATCTAGATTTCATTGATTTTCAGCAAAAACTAATTTTTAAGAGCAAAAATCTTGGAAATTTTAATCAAAATCAATTTAAAACCCTGGTTTTTGACCAATTTCTGTTTAAAAAAAATTATAAAAATTCAAATTTTATTTTATTTTCCAAACGTGAACTAATTTTTCTCCCCTGATCATTCCTAATTCTCACCCCCGGCCCTCATGACGTCATATCTTTCAAGCCCGAACCCGCGCCTTCCACATCGAACAAATGGATGGTTTTGGTGTTGTTGAGGCGGCTTGCGGTGATGCGCACACCGTGCTATTGACAACAAATGGACGACTATTCAGTTTTGGATCGGATTCTTTGGGACAATGCGGTTTTGAGAGAAAGTTTGTTGATTTTCTGGGATTCTTTGCGAAATTTTTGTATTTTTTTGTAGAACAGAAAAGCGAACAAGTCCGACTGCTATTTCGGATTTGATAGGAAGTCATGTGACAAGAGTTGCAGCTGGAAGGTAGGTCAACTAGCTGAAAATTGAGAAAATGTAGATTTTTGCGGCAAAAAACACGAATTTTGATGGATTTCCCCAAAACCTTTCATTTTCAGCAATTGTGGGCCAAATTTTGACCCAAAAATTCAAAATTTTCAAAACAAAAAATACGTTTCAAAATTTTGATATAATTTTTGGTCAAATATTTTTTTATTCTCAATTTCATGGATGTTTCGCCTGAAAATTTTAACTCAAAAGTTTCCGATTTTCGAAATGCCACGTCAGCTAAATTTATTCTAGGATTTCAGCTCAAAATTTCATTTTTAGCAAATTTTTACTCAAAAATTCCAATTTTTCAAAAACAAAAAATATACGTTTCAAAATTTTGATATAATTTTTTGTCAAGTATTTTTTTTTCAATCCATTTTGTGATCTCGATTTAATCAAAATTGGAAAATTCTCAAATTTTGGATAAAGATTCATGAAAATTTAAAGTATTCTCAATGACTGAACAATTACAAAGCTGGGAAAATTTCTTCAGATTCTTTTTCTTCAGAAATCCTTTTTGAACACCATTTTTGATGTTCTTTGAGCTCAAAATTGCTTTTTTCCGGCAAAAATTGAGAAATTTCATGTTCTTTGAGTCTAGAAACTTTAGAAATCTGAAAATGTAGCTTTTCGGTGCAAAAAGCACGAAATTTCAGCTCAAATTCTCATTTTCAGCAAATTTTGACCCAAAAATTCCAATGTTTCAAAACCAAAAAAAATACGTTTCAAAATTTTGATATAATTTTTGGTCTAATATTTTTTTTCAATTTTATTGGCATAATTATAATTGAATAAATCAAAACCAAAATTTGGATAAAAATTCCGAAATTAAATACAATTTTCTAGATGTCACACCTTAGCAATCGTATCCGGATTTGTCTATCCATTCGGTCTCAATTCAAGCGGTCAACTTGGAAATGGAAGTGTTCGAACACAAGGTTCACCAAGAAGAACCGATGAATTGGATCATGTCACAAGTGTTTTTGCCGGATGGGATCAATCATTTTTCTTGCGATCCGCGAAATTAGAAGTGAATCAAGAGGTTGGACCGTGTTCACAAGTGAAATATCCACAAAAATTGACACGCGAGAATTTGGAAGCCGCTTTGAAGTCTGGCGACAAATTGAATGTTATTGCGTGAGTTTTTTGCTGTAACTTGAGTTGCTGGAAATTCTCCTTGAAACTAAGATTTTTAGATTGATCGAATCCGTATTCTCCTCAGCAAGTTGTATCAATAATTCATTTTTATATCCGGACGATCGACGATTTTGTGTTGGATTTGATAGATCGCATGGAATTGACATGGATCAAGTTATGGAAGCTTTTTTATTGTTAGATGAATGTAGTTCGAGACAACAATATTATGAATTGGTAATTAATCTAACTGGGAGCTTGAACAAATTTTTGAAAGACTTTTTTTGGGTCAAAATTTGGCCAAAACAGTAGAGCTGATTCACGAACGAAAAATATGTTTAAAAATATTTTTTTAACATCGAAAGATCAATTCACGAAAAGTCAAAAAATGTCAAAAAAACATTATAGGTCAAAATTAGTTTTTCGAGTTTTTCAACCAAAAATGATGACAAATCGAGATTTTTCAAGCTTCTGGAGTGATTTCTGATTAAAATTGACTTTGGAATTCACTTTTCAGAAGTTTTTGCTGATTTTTCGTAAAATAAAAGTTTTAAATTTTGATGAATTTCGAGAAAATCAATAAAATAAAGCTAAATAGTGTTCTCGAAGCTTATTTTCATCAGAAATTAATCCAGAAGCTTTTTTTCTCCAAAACCACAGTGAACCAAATTCTCCAGAATTTTTTATGCAAAAAATTCTGAACTTCAAAATTTCTGTCAGTGAAGTTGAAAATCTTCAGATTTTTCAAAAATTCATTAGAACTTTGTCAAATTTGACCTGAAATTTCTGATGTTTCAGTTTTTCTTCAAATCTAAAACTACCCAAGATTTCTAGAATTTTTTCCGATGAAAAAAAATAATTCAGTGGAATTTATTCAAATTTGTACATTTTTCTCTGAAACCTGGTTTTTCAACAACAAAAAAGGGCTGATGTCAAAAATAATGACAAATCGAGGATTTTTGAAATTTTTGGAGTAATTTCCGATGAAAATAAGCTTCGAGAACCCTATTTCGCTTTATTTTATGAATTTTTTTCGAAATTCATCAAAATTTAAATTTTTTATTTTACGAAAAATCAGCAAAACCTTCTGGAAAGTCAATTTTCATCAGAAATCACACCAGAAGCTTGAAAAATATTGATTTGTCATCATTTTTGGCTGAAAAACTCGAAAAACTAATTTTGACCTTCAATGTTTTTTCGACATTTTTTGACTTTCCGTGAACTGATCTTTCAATGTTAAAAAAAAACATTTTTCTTTTTCGTTCGTGAATCAGCCCTAGTAAAAAAATAGCTCAAAATTTGGCCAAAACAGTTACGAAATTTCTCAAAATTTGGCCAAATTTTCAGCCCAAGTCCTCTCAAAATCAAAATTATTTCCAGATTGCTGAAATGCTAGCCATGTCGCTTGAATCCACCTCTTCCTACATTCCATCGGTTGAAAGACTTCGGCTTTATCTCATTCTACCCTGGCTCACCGTATTCTCGGAAAATGTTAACGAAAATACTGTGAAACGCTTTCATTTGCCACTCTTCAAACATTTATGCCAAAATACGAATGAAAAACTCGGAAATGTTCTAGGTGAGCGCGAAAAAACGCGAAAAAAAAAAGTTTTTTTCAAAAAAAACGAGAGACTCAGGCAGTAGAAAACTCCGGAGTTTCGCCGAAATGGAACGAGAATGTCGCTAAAGAGGCTCCAAACCCGGTTCCGGATCTTTTCTCGGTACGCTTTGGCGATTCTCCGGAACTTTTTTGTCGATTCTCCAGAGTTTTTTTGTTTTTGTCGCCTGCTTTTTTCGAATACATTCTAGTCTTTCACTCTCAAAAATCAATATTTATTTTCAACAAACAGGAAAAATTAGTTATTTTCTGATTGTTTCAATCTCCAAACGAGTAGAATATAAGCATCAGAAGATTCCTTTGGCATTCTAATGAAGATTTGGTGTTGACTTCGGCAATTTTTTGACAAGAACTTCTGTTTCTTATCATTTTGAGCCAACGAGGAGAGCTGCAGCACTGTGTGGAGACGCCATAAGCCATTTCATGCTGAAAATTGAGAAAGGATAATAGATTTATAAGGATGATTTTCCAAGAGTATTATTAATCGTAATTTCTCACTTTGAAATTGTGAACGACCATTTTGAGATAGGATGTGATAATGGTCATAAACTTGAAATTTGGAAACTTTCAAAGCTCAAAAACTCGAAAAACAAACGTTCATCGATTTTCTTTCTCATGACTCACCTCATAAATAGAATACATCTTGTGATTCACGATTTTGGAAATATTGCAAGGCGATCCTCCAGAAATTAAAATTGAACGAGGATCTGCTTTCGAATTCTCCTAGCGCAAGGGGATCCAATTGAATCTATAAATAAAACTAGTATTCACTTCTGTTAAAGAAACTTCACTCACCAGCAGCAAAAATCGCTAATTGTATTCCAAGTCCAGGTTGACTTCTATCCATGACGATTTCGTAGTTCGCACATTGCTTCTAGACGATTTCAATTGTCTGAAAATTATCAAATCAGGCAAAGACACGCTGAAAACTGAGCAATTTTGAAGGAATAGCAAAAACTAGAAAAACGAAAAAAAATGAAATGAAAAAAATGACTCGTCATTGTCATCATTCGATGGAGCGCGTTCGATCGACAGCGATTTGCTCCGGAGATTCGCCAAAACCAAACTAGAAAGGCGTGCCAAACTAGAAAAAACAGGCGCTCTCTCGATTTTCTGTACCCACTTTGGCCTATCTCCAGAGTTTTTGCGTTTTCTGGTTCCCCTCCGGAGTTTTCTACTGCCTGAGGAGAAGAGATAGGCTCCGCCCACTTTACACACAAAACATAGCGAGTGGCGCGACGCGTTTGTGTGTCGGTGACACGATTTATTGAAAAGGGGGAGAGGCCCCGCTTTGGTTAGTCTTCAGTAGAGGTCATTACTTGATCTGCAACTGAACATGATGAACTCGGGCGATGATTGTTTATTGATTATATCGCACGGCGGGGCGGGAACGCAATACCTGCCTGTCAGCCCGAATCTGACACAGTTTTTGAAGACCTCAAAAAGCCTAGAATGGCCTGGAATAATTATATGAAATTTAATTTGAAAAAAAAATTCTAATTGAAAAAATGTAATTCGAATTCCTGTTGGGGTGATTCAAAATTTCATGGATTTTTTTCTGGTAAAAATTGAAATTCTTAGGGTCCAGAAACTGAAAAATCCGAAAATATAGCAAAAATCACAAAATTTCATGGAAGTTTCTCTGAAAAACTTTAAATTTTCGAATTGCTTTTGTTTTTCAGGGATTCTGAGAAATTAGGACTCAAAAAGTCTAAATTTTAAAAAACCAAAAAAATACGTTTCAAAAATTTGATATAATTTATTATCAAATATTTTTGTCAATGTTTTTTTTGGTTTTACATTATTGTCATTCCGAAAATAAAAGCCCCCCTTTGGAATTGGCGCTCACGTACAGTAGACTAAAAATGACGTGACACATGCACATCAAACTGGTTGGCAAATAGCCAACGTGTAAATTTCGCATTTTATTTTTCAAATAGACTCCAAAATTTTGCGAAGTCTACTGTGGTCTTGGTTTCCTAGGCCATTTCGGTTCTCTTCCAAGGTTCATATTTTTTCGGAATGACAACATGCATAAATCAAAACCAAAATTTGGATAAAAATCCTGAAATTATCGATTTTTTGATCATAATTCATGAAAATTATAAGTATTCCCAATAACTGATAAATTTTAAAGCTGAAAGAATCTCTTAAAATTTTCCTTTTCAAAAATTGGGGTGAGTAAAAGTTTTGGATCGAAATCTGTTCTGAAATTCAAGTTTTCATGGGGTGATTCAGGTTGAAAAAAACTGAAAAAAAAAACTTTTTTAACAAAAATTTCCGATTTTTGACCTGAATCACATCATTTTTTCTTCATGAAAATTTATCATTTATTGAGAACAATTATAATTTTCATGAATTATGATCAAAAAATCGAAAATTTCAGATTTTTTGTTCAAATTTTGGTTTTTTGATTTGTGCAGGGGATATGCATTGACAAAAATATTCGATAATGAATTATATCAAAATTTTGAAACGTATTTTTTTGGTTTTTGAAAATTCAGAATTTTTGGGTCAAAATTTGCGGAAAATGAGATTTTTAGCTGAAAATCCCTATGATTTTTGAGCAAAATTTTCAGATTTTTAAAGAAAAATTATTTTTTGGTTTCAGAGTTTTTGAGTCGCTTTCGAGCTGAAAAACAAAAGCAATTCGAACATTGAAAGTTTTTATGAGAAACTTCCATGAAATTTTGTGATTTTTGCTACATTTTCGGATTTTTCTCGAAGTGTTCAGTTACGGGAATCAAAGAACTTCAGTTTTTTTCCGTAAAGAACGAATTTAGAGCCTCAAATTTATCAAAAATAAAGATTTTCAAGTTTTATAGCTGAAAATGATTAAACAAAATTTTAAAAAAATTCAATTCGGAAAATTATGAGTTTTCTAGAAATTTCCAGCGCCTTCTAATCTCACAAAAATGTATTTCAGAACGATGGTGGAGTGAGATGTCTGCACGACATTTCCGACGAATTGTTGTTGTCGCAAAAGCCGCTGTCCGATGTTTCGTAGCAGCCAAAAAGAAGCCGTTCGAATGTCAAGAATTCCTTCACGTTCTCAATCGCCTTCACACCATCAACAAGAAATATCACATTGTACCACTTGAGATTTTCTATGTTGATGAATTGAATGATAATTTCGATGTGAAATTGGATTATGTGGAATGGGTTGCTGGGAAACAGCAACAAGATGATGACACGTCGCCTTTTAATCATTGGTCGAATTGGTCGTTTTTGTTGAATGCGGCGGCGAAGGGAAATTTGTTGCATGTTGATGCGCTTTGGAAACAACATGTTAGTTTTTTTGGGCATGAAATTCCACGTTTTTTGAGTCTAAATTTGATTGGGCTTTTTTTGCTCAAAAAAAAATTCTGAAATTCAATTCAGAAAGAAATTCCACGTTTTTTGAGCCCTCACAAACCTATTTTTGAAATTTGCCACGTGACATATTTCAAAAATAGGCATTTTGACGCCAGAAAAGCTTATTTGACCCTTTTCGTCTCGAAAAAATCCTGAATTCAAATTCAGGATGAAATTCCACGTTTTTTGAGTCTAAATTTGATTTGGCTGGTTTTTTCTCAAAAATAGAAGTTCAGCCCTCAAAATTTCAGATTTTTCTTGGGAAAAAATTTGAATTGTTTTCCAGTGGAAAATTTGGTTGAAAAATCCACGTGGCAACTATTTTATGATGATTTACTGCCTGAAATTTCATTCATTTTTACACGAAAATTTCAAAATTTCAGTGTTCGAAGATTTTCGTAGAATTGTTTTTCGATTGAAAATTTGGTTTCAAAATCCACGTGGTAAGTTTTGAAATTTTGAAAAATTGGAAAACTTCATATAAAAAACTCCGAATTTTGATGCGAAAATTAAAAATTTTCAAAAAAAAATCCACGTGGCAAATTCTGGAACTTTTTTCTTCAAAAAAAACTTTAAAAATATTTTCTGATTTGGAAAAAAAATAAAAATGATTCTGAAAATCAGCTCCAAGTTCTACTCTGGTTTTGTGCTCCCAGAAATCCTGGAGCACTTTTTTTTCGAATTTATTGAGTCTAATATTGATTTGGCCTTTTTCTGCTCGAAATTCCACGTTTTTTGAGACCACACAAGCCTATTTTTGAAATTTTCCACGTGGCAATAATTCAATTTTTTGGCGCTAAAATTTGGAGCGTTTTGAGACCCAACTTGACTAAAATCCACGTGGCAAAAAATGCAATTTTTTCATGAAATCCAACAAAAAATATTTTTTTCACAGGTTCGAGTTCAAAACTCGCAAGTCAACACCATCTTCGGCTCATTCTACAAAGAAATTCCGGTGCTCGAAATCCATGTGCGACGAGATTTTATCGTTTCCGACACGATGAATCGAATGGCCCACCTCGACACTTCTGACCTCCAAAAACCGCTGAAAGTCAAAATTCAGGGAGAAGAAGCTGACGATGCTGGAGGTGTGAGAAAGGAGTTTTTCATGATTGTTATGCCGAAAGTTTTGCAGCCAGAGTTGGTTTTTTTGGGGGGAGGAATTCCGGGATTTTCTGGAAGTTGTCTGAAATCGCAGAATTTCATTCCTATGACGTGGCAAAGTTTTCGTAGAATTGTTTTTTGGTTTGAAATTCCACGTGGCAAAAAATTTCTGAAGATTTTCGTAGAATTTTTTCTAATTGAAAATTTGGTTTAAAATTCCACGTGGCATATATTTTATGATGATTTACTGCCTGAAATTTCATTTTTTTACACAAAAAGTTTTGAAAATTGCAAGTTCTGCTCTCAAAATTTCAGATTTTGAAGATTTCCCTAGAATTGTTTTCCAATTGAAAATTTGTTTTCAAAATTCCACGTGGCAAATTTTGAACCTTTGAAAAATTCATTAAAAACTCCGAATTTTGATGCAAAAGTGAAAATTTTTCGAAAAAAAATCCACGTGGAAAATTCTGCAATCACAAAATTTCAAAAATTCGTTTTTCTTTTCAAAACTACTATTTCTCCAAATTTCATTTCGAATAAAAATTTGTAAATAAAAAAAAAGATTTTCTGAAAGTTGTCTGAAATTGCAGAACTCAATTCCTATGACGTGGCAAAGTTTGAAAATTTCGAAAAAAAAATCAGGATTTTAGAGCTTCAGAAATGAAAATTTCATCGAATTCTTAAGACTCAAAAATGTGGGTGGAGCTTATTTGCAAGCCTGGCACCGTTTTGAAAACACGGAAAAACCTGTGCCAGGCTTGCAAATAAGATCCGCCCACATTTCTGTGCCAGGGAATATTTTTCAACAAGAAAATTTTTTTCAGCTAGTTTTCAGCCCCTGAAATCTTTTTCAACTTTGCCACGTCATAACTCATATTAGGAGTTGAGTACTGTAATTTTAGACAACTTTCAGAAAACTACTAGAAAACATATATTTTCCAAAAATCTAATCAATTTTCAGATATGGAATGTTTGTTGAAGATGAAACGTCGCATTTAGTTTGGTTCAGCGGTTTGCCCGAAATAATCTGTGATCGAGAACAATTCCGACAACTCGGAAGATTGGTCGGTTTGGCGATCTATAATCAAATCCTCGTCCCATTCCCATTTCCTCTTGCTTTATACAAACTTCTTCTCGAACAATCGCCAAGTTTGGAAGATTTGATTGAATTGTCGCCGATCGAAGGAAATGGTTTGCAAAGTTTGTTGGATTATGAAGGAGATGATATTGAAGATGTTTTCTGTTTGAATTTCACAATTAGTTTTAATTGTTTGGGAGAATCGAAGAGTGTTGAATTGTGCAAAGGTGGAGAGGGAAAGAATGTGAATAAGGAGAATCGACAGGCATATGTTGATGTGAGTTGGAATTTCTATTTTGGTCTGGGGAAAGTGTGGGTTCCAAAAATCGTAGGAAAAATATTCTTCTAAAAAATTTGTGGAAAACAAAATCTGAAATAATTTCTGATGATTTACCGCCTGAAATTTCATTTTTCACACAAATATCTGAAGATTCTGGTAGATTTTTTTTCCAATTGAAAACTTGGTTTCAAAAATCCACGTGGAAAACAAAATCTGAAATAGTTTCTGATGATTTTCGTAGATTTTTTTTCCCAATTGAAAATTTGGTTAAAAAATCCACGTGAAAAATTTAAATATCATCTGAAATTCCGAACTTTCCGACAAAAATTATTAACAAATTTTTCAGTTGAAAATTTTGTTCAAAAATTCCACGTGGCAAATTCTGGAACTATTTTTCCAAAAAATCGCAAAAACCCAAATTTTCATTCGAAAATTTTGTGGGAAAAAAAAATCCACGTGGCAAACAATTTCTGAAGATTTTCGTAGATTTTTTCCAACTGAAAATTTTGTTGAAAAATCCACATGGCAAATATTTTATGATGATTTACTGCCTGAAATTTCATTCATTTTTTACACAAAAATTTCAAAATTGCAAGTTCAGACCTCAAAATTTCAGATTTTGAAGATTTTCGTAGAATTTTTTCTAATTGAAAATTTTGTTGAAAAATCAAAGTGGCAAATTTTGAACCTTTGAAAAATTGGGAACTTCATATAAAACTCCGAATTTTGATGCGAAAATTGAACATTTTCAAAAAAAAAATCCACGTGGAAAATTCTGCAACCACAAAATTTCAAAAATTCGTTTTTTTTTTCGAATAAAAATTTTGGATTTTTTTAATGAAGAAAATTTTAAAAGAATCAGAACCTTTGAAAAAATGCCACGTGGCATATTTTGCAAAGAAACTTTTTTCAAAAATCCTTGGGAACTATTTTCTGATGATTTTTTAGCCAATAATTGGTTTGATTTCCAGAAAATTCCAGATTTTTTTGACAAGAAAACCTGTTTTGCTCAATTTTGTCCATAGACAGCTTTTTGGGCTCAAAAGGACCTCTGAGCCAAGTTCTGGGCTCTCAAAAGTTCAAAAATTAATGATTTTTGTGAAAAACTGAATAGCAGACCGAAGAGCATTGAATTTTAGGCCAAAAAAATATTTTTGAAAAAAAAAAATTTCCCCCCCTGAAACCCCCCCATATAATATTTCATGTGTTTTTCCCTGTCAGCTCTACGTCAAACATCGTCTAAGTCTCGGTTTGAATGGCGAAATTGCGCAACAGGCTCGATTGTTTTGCGCCGGCTTCCGCGACTCATTGAACAGTCGAATTTTGTCGTTTTTCCAACCGCGTGAGCTCATGGAATTGGTTGTTGGCAATGAGAATTATGATTGGAGCCAGTTTCGAGAGGTTTGTTGTTTTTTGTGCTCTTTTTTTTGCGCGCGCAACAAAAAAACAGTAGGAAAATACCAACAAATGACGTAAAATGTTTGTTGAGTGCACAACAAAATGCCGGAAATTGAAAATGATGATGAAAAGTAAATAAATTAGTCAGAAATGTGCATTTTTGGGTTCAAAGAATGGAAAGTTGTCTAGGAGTTTGTGGGAAATTCTGAAATTTTATTCTTTTTTGGATTGAAAAAAAAATTAATAAAAAATTATATCAAAATTTTGAAACGTATTCTTTTTGTTTTTGAAAAATTGGAATCTTTTAGTCAAAATTCGACTAGAAATGGCTTTTGAGCTGAAAACCAAGAATAAATTAAACTATGACGTGGCAATTCGAAAATTTAAAGTTTTTAGGGAAACCCCCATTAATTTTTGTGCTCTTTCCATGAAAAAGCCACATTTCTGGATTTTCTGAACGAAAATCGAGAATTTTCAGTTTGTGGGCCCGAAGAACATCAAATTTCTCAATTTTTGCCGAAAAAAAATTTTTTTCACTTCAAAATTTAATTTAAAAGTTGTTTTTCATTGAATTTTTAAAAATCTGCGATTTTCTAATTTTTCTCCTCTCTGAAAAGTTGAAAATCTTCAGATTTTTAATAAGTTCAGTAGAATTTGACCTGAAATTTCTGATTTTTCTGTTTTTCTTCTTTTTCTTCAAAACTACAGTGAATCAAATTTTCCAGAATTTTTTATGCAAAAAATTCTGAACATCAAAATTTCTGTCTGTGAATTTGAAAATCTTCAGGTTTTTCAGAAATTCAGTAGAACTTTGTCAAATTTTACCTTTTTTTCTGATTTTTCTGTATTTTGCTAATGTAATTTTTTGTCCGAAATTGAGGTTACTCTAGTTTTTTTCTGAACTTCAGAATTTATACTCAAAACTTCTCTCTGAAAATTTGAGAATCTTCAGGTTTTTCAGAAATTCAGTAGAACTTTATGCTTCAAATTTGAGTTTTCTCTATTTCCAACTTTTTTCCCCCAAATCTACAGTTACCCAAGATTTCTAGAATTTTTTATTCAAATTTTTTTGGTCATGAAATTTGGAAAAGTCCCCCATTCCTCAATCGTCTCATAAAATGTCCTATATATTTTTCGCTGCGCGCGCGTCGAAATGTTGTATGTTGAATTGCCGTCGGGTAATTTGTGTTTGTCCGAGTTCATGCATCATCATCTTTTATTTTTCCCTCTCTCAACTCTCCTCACTTCACACACTCTCTCACCGATCGGTTGTCGTGATCATGTGTTCCTATGGGCTGCTGCTGTGCGCGGGGAGAGCGCATGCGCGCACAAAAGTTTTTTGTTTGAGAGACGCAGACACCACTTTTCGCAAAAAAATCCGGTTTTTGCCTGTCTATTTCCATTTCCACTGGATTTTTTGCCGACAGGAATTAGTGGCATACAGTAGGAAATAATGGGGGGTTTTTTTGACAAAAAAACTAAAAAAAATACCAATAATAATAATTGGATGGGAATATTTAGTGGTTTGAACAAAAAACCTAAAACCTAGAATTACAGTACGAAATTTTACAGAAATCCTGGATTTTTTCTGAAAATTTGACGTTTAAGGTGTTATTAAGGTTTACCCGGAATCGCTCAAAACCGGGCCCTGTGAGCCACGTTTTTGGGCTCCAAAATTTGAAGAAGCGGCCCTGAAACCGTGAAGTTTCTTGAAAATCGATATGAAATTTGAGATCTCCAGCTTCTTCTCTAGATTCTAGAACCTTTAGGGCCAAAATTTAATAGCTAACATAAAAATCTGGAAATTTTTTCAAGTTACCAAAAATTTGGAACTTTTGTTTCGTACAATGGATTTTTGGAAAAATTGTTAGACCTATGACGTGGATTTCTGGTGAGCGTGGAAAACTTGAAAATTTTGATCCAACATAAATTTGAAATTTTTGCCCATCAATTTCACAGGTTCCGAAAAATGGGTTTCTTTGTTCAAAGTATTAAAGTTCTCATTTGTGGCGCCAGAAATCCGAATTTTCTATACAATATTTGACGTCAGAAATCCACGTCATAGGTACAAAAAAATTTGGGGAAGAATCCCTTGTTTTTTTTGTTCATTCATTCATCGAATTATCTTATCAATGCATATCCTTTTCTTTTTGTTTTGTATATATTTTATACAGAAGAAAGACAGATTCTTTCAATTGTCTGACAAATAAAAAAAATGAATGAATGAAAAACAAATTAAATGTACTTTACACTGTAATTCGAATTCGAATTTGATGAACAAAAAACAATTGTTTTTTATTTCAAAAAACAAAAAAAAATTATCTGATTGAACACGAGAAAAAACAAATTTTTGACGAAAAATAGGAATTTTATCGATTTTTTGAAAATTTGAGGAATTTTATCGATTTTTTCGGGGAAGGAGGCGATTTTTCACACTATAAAGACATTCGACCTGGAATTTAGCCTAACTCGGATTTTTATTGAGATAGGAGAGATTTGAGTTAGCCTAAATCTAGAATTTCTTGATAAAAAATTGCCAAAGAAATCCCTGGTTTTCCTGGAATTTTATTGATTTTTTTTGGGAAGAAGACGATTTTTTAGAACACTATAAAGACATGGAAATTAGCTTAAATTAAATTTTTCTAGAACTTTTAGTTCCTCTAATTAAAAAGGATTTTTTAATTAGCCTAACTCTAGACTTTCACAGAATTTTTCAAATTTTTTCAGTGCGTTGAATACAAAGATGACTACAATGAGCACCACCCTGCAATCATCGCATTCTGGAAAGCCTTCTATCAACTCACCGATGAGCAAAAAAAGAAATTCCTGCAATTCCTGTCGGGTTCAACACGTCTCCCGGTTGCTGGAATGTCAGCACTTCAAGTCACCATTCAACCATCTGCAGATACTTCTCTCCCAGTCGCGCATACTTGTTTCAATCTGCTGGATTTGCCAAATATTTCTGATGCTGACGAACTTCTTCGACGACTTTTGATTTCCATTGAACATACCGAAGGTTTCACGCTCGTTTGATCTGCTTTTTGTAAAAAAAAATTTGTGATATATTTATTTTTTTTTTGGAATTTCCGGTGTTTCTTCATTTATAAAAATTATTTTATTTTAATTTTTTTCAAATTTATTTTCCTCAAAATGGTTTTCACCTTTAAAAATACCGAAAATTTAAGTTAATTATTGCAATTAAAAATTATTAAACAGAGATGAAGAAATTGTTGGTAATCATCAAACCGGAGATTGTTGCCCATCAAATTTTGAAAAAGGTAAAATTTTGAAAATTTTTTCGATAGAGCGAGGTTGCTCTGTTGAACCTGGAAATCTGGTATTCACCCCCAAAGTTCTGGAATTTTGAATTTTCAAAATTCAAATTGTTTTCTGGATTTTCAGCTGGGTACCCTTCAGAATCTGGAAATCCGGTTTTTACTTTTAAAAAAATTCTAGAATTCTAGAATTTTTTTAAACTTCAAATTTCATTTTTTTAAATTTTTGAATTTTCTCCCTAGGTAGTTATTATAAATTTGTATATTCCAAATCCCCCTCTCTTCATCTTTTCCCCGCCGAAAAACGTTCCGCCACTTTCGATTAATGCGAAGCTGCAAGTTTGACCCCAATTTTACACTGATCGCCTATATGTAGGTCAAATTCACTTTTCCCTTTGCCGAACCGGATCAAAAGAGAGACGATTTATTTTATTTTATAAAGCTTTTTGTGTGGAAAATGAGAAGATTTTCTGTAGGCGGCTATCAATGAATTGAAGCAAAAAGGAATTGAGATTGAGGAAATGCGAATGATGAGAATTGGAAGGAATTTAGCCGAAAAACTCTATCAGCAACATAAAGGTGAATGGAAAAAAGTGGAAGATTCGAGAAATTAGAACGGGAAAAATATTCTGAAACAATTCTGAGAGTTTCTGAATCTAGGGGAAAATTGGTACATTTTGATATATCCTTACAAGTTTCGAGATCTAAATCTGATCACCTAGAAGTTCTGAACATTTTTGAAATAGTCCAAGTTCAGGACCACTCGCACTGTCGTCAATGCGGAGTCTCGTTGTTTTTTGAAAAAAAAATTTTGGACCATTTTTGAATAGTCGATGTTTTTGGTTCATTAAAATTATTTCTATTCAAAAAAAAATTTTTTTCAAAAAACATTTTCCTTAAAAAAAGGCTTAAATTTCTCGAATAAGGCTAACATTTCCTTAACTAAGGCCAAAATTTTTTGAAGGAGGTTTAAATTCCTTAATTAAGTCAAAAATTCCTTAAATAAGGCTGAAATTCCTTAAATAAGGCAGAAGTTTCTTAAATAAGGCTGGAATTTCTTTAATGATGCTGTAATTCCTTAAAAAATGATGATATTTCACAAAATTCCAGCCTATAAACCTGAAAATCTAACCTATTTTTTCAAAAAAAGTAAAAAACAAGAAATCATCATTCCGGTTCACTTCTCCCTTTCTCGCAACCAGTGTTTTCCAGACAAATTCTTCTACAATCGATTAGTTCGACATATCACAAGTGGCGAAGTGTTGGCCCTCCGCGTCATCGGAAATCCACGTGATTGTATCGGATCCAGCCGACTTTGTAGCTGATTATCGCCTCAGAGTCTGAGGCAACAAATCGCACTGTCCGATGTTCGAAACGTTGCTCATGCTAGTGATTTTGAAGTGGCCGAGAAGGAATTGAAATTATTTTTTGTAAATAACGAATAAATTCAAAGTTTTTATCAAGAAGAAAAAAATAACAGGAAAAATGCGAGGTAAATAATAAGGGAAATGTATACAAAGTAAAAAAAAAATTAAGTAAAAAAGGAAAAGGCATTTATAAATATCACAAATATACATAAACACTTTTTAGATCACAATTGGCTGAGGCTATTTTATTACGCGGGGGAATATTAGAAAATTTTCGAAATTTATTTATTAGACCGGATATTGACTGATTGGGAAAGGGCTAGAAGTCGGCTGAAAATTAATAGGACAAAAAAACAGACAAAAAATGAGATGAGATCGATGGAAAAAGTGAAAGACTTGTTGTTTTGTGTGGAATTTTTCGGGAGGAATCAACAAGTTGGACTGATGAACCCGAATAGGAGACCTAGAAGAAAGGAACTTGTGGGGGCGAAAAAAGAAAAAACTATGATGAAGCGTATTGTTGGGGTGATACTTCGACTAGAGTGGCTGCAAATGATCCGGGTAGCTCTGCAGATGGTTCGACATCAATGATGAATGTGTCTTCGTTGCAATAGTGTCGCAGCATGTCTTCGTCCATTTTTACTGTTATTCCTTTGGCACATCGTTTGTAGACACCGCTCATCTGTAAGATTATTGATTTATTGATTGGTTTGGGGGGGGGGTTAACTTTAGGTGCATTTTTAGAGGTAGGGCCCTCAACTTTTGAAAATTTTGGAGAATTTTCTCAAGGGTCGACCGGACGTGCCTAAACCACTTTTTAGTGGGGATTTTACCCCACTCGTAGGTGTTTTAGCGACATTAAATGATTTTTCGACGTTTAAATCGACCGGACGTGGCTAAATCACTTATAAGTGAGGATGTTACCTTACGCATACGTGATTTAGCGACGTTAAATGGCTTAGCGATATTTAAATCGGCCGGAAGTGGCTAAACCACTTTTTAGTGAGGATTTTACCCCACTCGTAGGTGATTCGACGGTCGACAAACGTCGCTAACGTGGCTAAATCACTTAACGTTAACCCAAAGTCTTCAAAAATTATATCATTCGAGTTGGGTTAGCCCTCTCTAACCTATTTTGACTCACTTGCACAAAAATTTTGAATTAATCTTATGGTAACCTATTTTACATTGAACCTATAGGGGGGGACTCATGTTACAATCATCGGAAAAATAACCCCACTTGTATGAACATAGATTTCAAGCCCTTTGGGAACTATATTTTTGAAATTAAAGTATCTAGTGTTCAATAATAATCCCTCTCCTCTCCCCCTCTCTTTTCATCACCGAAAAAGTGTTTATTTTTTTGTTTGTAATACATGAGGATTGAATATTTATTCAATGTTTTGTGGTTGTATTTGTATTAATGTTCAGCGTGTCAATAAAACATGTAAGACCAAAAGTTCCCCTGTTTTTTTCTAATAATTTTTCAAAAATACCCCTAAGGCCCCTTGCCCCAGGACAAATTTTCATATATATATTTTCGGTCATCATAAGTGACGGTCATATGTATAAATAATAAATACAATAGGAGGCACAAAAAACGAAAGAAGATGATAGGTTTATGTAAATACACTCTTCGCTGGTCTATTTTCTGTCTTTTTGATTCTATTCTCGGCGCACGGTCTCGGAAAAAAACCCGCGGAGAAGAAAAGACAATTGAGCCTAGAGCAAAAACACGAACAAACATTTTGGAATTTCTCGCAAAAATAAAATTATTGACTTTTTTTTTGGGGTAGAGATGGAAAAAAGCAAAGATTTGGAGGGGAAAGGGTTGCGAAATTGAAAATGCAGTGAATTGCTATACCTTTAAATGAATGTTCCTTTAAAGGTGTACTTTTAAGTGCCAGAATGTTCCTTTAAACAAACTTCATGGTATTTTCAGGTCTTGTAGCGAATCACTGTAATTCTAGGAACCTAAAAATGAGCAGGGACTAGAAATAGAATTCTAGGCCATATGTAGAAACCTAAATAAAAACCCCCTAATGGCCTAGGCTTCCCACGGCCACGACACTTATCAAAATCAAAAAGCTCACCTTCTCTGGTTCGACGTTGAACTTATTGGCAATCGCCAATGCGAGTCCAGCGAGCGACGATGGTACAACATGTAACGGTTGGTAGATTTGTTCTTCGCGTTTTCGAACGTATAACATTACTGAAATATGATTTGATGTTGTGGTGGAAGAAGAAGTGGAATCGAAGCACTGGTGGTCTGAAATGCGATTTCAGACTTGCTTCTCGACAGGACAACAATTGGTGGGAACAGGTTTGGGGCGGTAAACATAAAAGTTAGCAACATAAAAATGTTTTCTTAAGAATCGATTAAATATCAGGTATAATAAACCACACGCGCTGTCATCAACGCGGAGTCTCGTTGTTTTCTTCTTATTTTTTTGCAAAATTATTTTTAAAAAATGCCTTACTCCTTTCAGTTGTCCTCGGCCTTTTCGGAATCGGCTCCATCTCGCTCATATCATAACTAATACTTGTGCTATCCACATATCTCGTGTCATACTCCTCAGGCGCAATGAAAAGCGCCGCCGGTTTGTCCAACTCTCGCATATGGTAGAACTCGGATCGCTCGCATTGCTCATGATATTCTCCTTCGGACTTCTTGCGGCCAGTCATGTTTCCAGCAGAGGCGAATTCTAGAAAACAAAATATTTTTGGGGGATTTTGAGCGGTGAGGAATGGTTAACGACGTTAATTAGACAAATTACGAGACAATAAGCGAAGACTCGACAAAAAGTTAAAGTATATCTAATGTTACCTTGCATTCGTCGTTTTTCGTCTCGTCGATTCTCGTGCAACATTTTGCGATTCGCACCCTACAAAACAATTAACACATAAATAAGATTACATAGAGAGTTATATGAGAAGACAGGACATGGACAAATTGTGTTAAAGCGTTTTTTCTAAACGACAGAACGACACTAAGATATATATGTTCAAGATACCTGCGATCTTTCGTTTTTGAGCACGTTTATCTTCGTCACGAAGTTTTCTCTCAGCTCCCTAGAGGATTTTTAATTGACTCAGGGGTATTTATGGGGGTAGAAAAAAATTATGCGGCGTCCAAAAGTGTTTTTTAAAGGTACACACAGTAAACAACCGTACCACCTGCGTATCTAACTATCTTCTTATTGGGTTTGGAAAGCGACCGCAACGCATACGCGTCGCTGGTATAGATGGAAATGAGCGATTTTCCATACGAATCGAGTTAGATGTGCAGGCTCTACCGTACTTTCAGCATGTGCCTTCAATCTGAAGGGCTGTTTTTTTGGACGCCGCAAATATTCTCCCTGGGGATTTTCCCTTTTCCCAGCCCCCCTCCCCCGCCTTCAAAAATCAATACTCACCTTATCGCAAAACACCTTAATCTGACAATAACCTCGATGAAATGGTAATTTATCATTATCCCCGTCATACGTATCAACTTGAACATGAAGCGGAAGACCTTTGACACCTTTCTGATTCGAAAAATCGGTCGACAAGCATTGAACAGCGATGCTGATCTTTACACCATTTTGCTCCGACGGATTCCAATAAAATTGCACGGCGTTATGCGCAATTTCCTCAACTTGTCCAATCATTCCACTACTATTTTTACTATCCACCTCAAGAATTCGCTGTTTCGATGAGTGTTGTCGTGAATGCCAGAATTGCCACGTTTTAATCTCTTCCTCATACGTTTTATCTTCTCGAAACACAACCATCAATTGACTTTTGACTGTGACGTTTTTCAAAGGTTTGCATGGATCTGGGATGTAATCCAAGGCGACGGTGTAGAATTGACCCTTGTTCACATAGGTCATTCGATCGTCTTCTCGTCGAACTGAGGTTGAGATTGGCGCTTCGAGAACGTATTGAAAGCCGAGGGCGTTGTGTCTGGAAGTTTTGGAATAAGGTAGAGGTAGGATGATCTGGTGGTAGAGTGCTGTTAAGTTTAACATTTTTTGTTAAAAGCCTAAAAGCCTCTAACTTAGGCTAAGCCTAAATGCCTTTAACTTGGGCTAAGCCTGAATGCTTTTAACTTAGGCTAAGCCTAAAAGACTTTAACTTAGGCTAAGCCTTTAACTTAGGCTAAGCCTTTAACTTAGGCTAATCCTTTAACTTAGGCCAAGCCTAAAAGCCAGGTTTCGAATTAATATAACACTTGAGAAAAACTATTCCAGAATTATTTTAAACAATTTTAGAAGCATTCAAATTTGAATTTTAAAAATTTTAAAAATTAACCTTAGAGTTCTTATCAAAAATCTTTGGTCTGGAAGGTTTCGAATTAATTTAAAGTTTCCTCGAAAAATCTGAAACTCAATGTTCAGAAAATCAAGTTTTAATGGGCTTAAAGTAAAAAAACAGATTTTTAAGGAGTTTTAAAGTTTCCTCGAAAAATCTGAAACTCAATGTTCAGAAAATCAAGTTTTAATGGGCTTAAAGTAAAAAAACAGATTTTTAAGGAGTCAGAAGCATTTAAAGTTCTTCGGACCTAAAATACAGGCCTAAGGACCAAAAATTATAGTTTTAAAGTTGAAAAATCCCTCACAATTTGGGAATAACAAGTGGCGAATCCCTATGACTCAATGTTCTCTCGCTATTCCTCTCCATCATCTGATCGCCAAAAAATTCCTCCTTCGGATTCGTCAACAATGAAATATCTCCACCGATTCCCGAATCAACAGGCGATGGCATATCAACAGCTTTATAAACAATTCTCTCATTTTCCACCGACACTTGTTGTTGTTGTTGCTGCTGCTGCGAATACTGCTGTGCCTGTTGCGTCTGCTGCGTGTTCCTCGAATACCCCACCGCACCCTGTGTACTATACCCAGCCTCCATTTGTCTCCCCCAATCTTGCTGAACCGTGTTCGCCAGAACTGTCGGATAATATAATTGTTGTGTGGCGGCTGCTGATCCAGGATGTGTTGAGATGAATTGTGGAGTGGTGTGCCCCACATATTCATAAACTCGGGTATACTGCGGCATCTGGGTGGAGTAGTAGTCTAGCGATTGCATTTTTGATAAATCTTGGAGATTTGCCAGTGGCGCAATATCGATCGGCTCGTTTTTGGGAAAATCGACGAGTTGTCGAGCACCGGGCGGCGCGGTTTTTATCACCGACGATTGCTCCAATTGGAACTGAGACATTGTTGTCTGAAAGATTATTCTCCTGTGATTGGGATAAAGTTTTGTGAAGCGAAAAAAAATAAGTTACAGCAAGTTATTATTATTATTATTATTCATATAAAATTTTATATTTCTCTTCTCTTCTCTTCTATTTTGCCCTATTATTATTATTATTGTATTTGTTGGAATGTGTACTGAAATCGAAAGTTTCTCCTTTTTGCCCCCCTTCAAATAATAAATAAATTGAATAATAATAGTAATTCAGTTGATTGAGGAATGAAAATTGGAATTTAGGAGGAGAGGAAACTGGGAAAAGGTGAAAAATTCCCGGGTGAAAAGTTAAATTCAGGTTTCAGAAATTTTTTTGAAACTCACAATCAGAATGAATTTTGAAAAATTCATGAATTCAATAAAAATGAGTAGGGGATTTGAGAATTTGAAATTTTTTTCGAAATTTAGGTTTCAAAAATTTTGTGTTTTTTTTTGTGAGAAGAGGATTTGGAGAGCTGAAAAGTTCCCTGGAAAAAAATTTTAACCAAAATTCAGATTTTCAAAATTTTGTGCTACAGAATTTACTTGAGAAAATGCAGATTGAAAAAAAAAATTTTTAAGACTCCGAAAAATTTGATATTAAAAATTCTCGATGAAAATTGAATTCTGAAAAATTTTGTGTTTCAAAATTAAGTTTCAGAAAAAAGTTTCTGGAACTTGAGGATTATTTTTTGAAAGCTTCAAAATTAAATAAGTTAAAAAATTCCTTGGTGAAAAATTGAATTTGAATAAAAATTCAGGCTTTCAAAATTTTGCGAAAGAAAAAAAATTTCAGAAAGTTTTTTTAATATCCCGGGGAAAAAATTCTCAATGAAAATTGAATTCTGAAAAAAATTATGGTTTTTTAAAGAAAAAATTTAGAAACAGTGAGGTTTCAAAAATCTGAAGAATATTTTTCAATTTCAAATAAATCCCCAAAGCTCTCAAGTTCCCAGGGAAAATCTGAATGAAAATTGAATTCTGAAAAAATTTTCAAACCCAGATCAATCAATAAAAAAACAAAATCAGAACCAAAATAAAAATTAAAATCAAAATCAAGTTTCATATCAACAAAAAAAATTCCAGTTTACTTGACACATCTTCTTTTCCCCCGTCCGTCCACCAAAAGAAGTTCAAGTGTAAACAAAACTAGTACGTAGAAAAGGGGGGGGGGCAAAAAGTTGATTGATACAGGTACTCCCGGCCATCATCATCAGCCAAAAAAAAAGGTGTTTCGGTCCTCGGCGACGACCTGTTAGACTGGAAACCGGTCAAAAACAGGCTCAAAACAACTGGCATCATGGCCGTGGGGGCAACAACAAGTCTTTCGCCTCTCTCGGCCGTCAGCGAAACGAAAAGCGACCCCGCCCCTTGTGCGCGCGCGCCTCTCGCCGCCCCCCGTTTTGTGTCGCCGTCTCCGCCTCTACAATGCTATTTCGCGCGCACAGTTCTTTTGTATCCGGTCTCCTGGCTTGGCTCCGCCCCCAATTTTTCGGGCCAACAACCGGAATTTCGCTTTGCGAGAGAGACTCCGCCCCCACATTTTCGCATGCGATGAGTTTTTGAGAAGTTATGAAAAGAGGCGGAGAGCTCTTCTCATTATTCCCCACGTGGGACGTTTTTGTTTCATGATTTATTGATTTTTTATTGATTTCGTGTTTTTTTGTGTTGAAATTGTGTTACAGTAACTAAGGTTAGACCCAAAAGCCCTTAACTTAGCCTAAATTTGAAAGTGTTCAGCTAAGCTTACCCTAAAGGCCTTGCTAACCCTAAAAACCTTTAACTTGGGCTAAGCCTAAAAGCCTTTAACTTAGGCTAAGCCTAATAATCTTTAACTTAGGCTAAGCCTGAAATCCTTTAACTTAGCCTAAATTTAGAAGTGTTCCGCTAAGCCTTAGCCTAAAAAAGCAAAGACCTTTAGCTTAGGCTAGGCCTAAATTTGAAAGTGCTAAGCCTAAGCCTAAAACCTTTAATTTAGGCTAAGCCTAAGAGCCTTCAACTTGGGCTAAGCCTAAATTTAAAATTGTTCAGCTAAGCCTAAGCCTGAAGAAAAGGCCTTTAACTTAGACTGAGCCTAAATTTAAAAGTGCTAAGCCTAAAGCAAAGGTAACTTAGGCTAAGCCTTTAACTTAGGCTAAGTCTAAATTTCAAAGTGTTTAGCTAAGCCTAAGCCTAAAGCAAAAGCCTTTAACTTAGGCTAATCCTAAAAGCCCTAAACTTCGTGTAAGCCTAAGAGCCGTTAACCTCAGCAACCCCTAACTTAGGCTAAGCCCAGAAGTCTTTAACTTAACCCAGGCGCACATCTTTGGTCCCGCAGCGCTCGATTTTGAAAGTTGCAACAAGTTTTCATCTGGAATTTTTACTGCGATTTGAAAAGAGCCAGTTGTTTTACCAGATCAGAAAAAAAATTCAAAATCCAGATTTCACCGCCTAAATTACAGATGGGTAAGCAAGTTTGCTCTATTGCACACACATCATTTATTTGCGTGTACTTCTCGTGGAATTTCTGATAAATTTAGGCTCGTTTTTAGGCAGTTAATGTTTATGTGCCTTTAAACTATTTGACTATTTTTTTCAATTTCAAATTTAATTTAAAAATTTTCCAGAATCTTCGACCTCCACTTCTTTCTCCAATTGTAATTCTAATTACAAAATGTTTTCAAAAATAAAAAATAAAATCATTTTATTGGTTGTTGTTCGATTACTGTATACATCATACATACTGATTATATGTTGTTTTGTTTTGTTTTGTCATCGTTTAGATAGAGAAGGGGGTACTGTAGGGAACAAGAGAGAGAGAGAGAGAGAGAGAGAGAGAGAAGAGAGAAAATGATGGATGAACAAAAAATAATCGAAAGTTTTGTGGTTGTTGTTGAAGGACGAATTTGGAAAAGAGAAGAAGAAGAAAATAGTTTGGTTGACTGGGGACTGACAGAAGAACGGGTTTCGAGAAGGTCCGGTTTTCTTTTTCTTAGTCGGAAGATGACCAGCCGAAAAAAACAGATCAGCTGATGGCTTTCGAATCGAATCGAACCGGTTTCGTTGAGATTTTAGCTGGTTTTATTTATTTATTTTATTTATTGAATACGTTGTGGGACAACGTGACAAACAAGTATAAAATCATAAAATACATGAAAAGACAAAGAATAAGTTGATGCAGGATTACGAGTTAGAACCCGGGGGATGGTTATGCGCGAGTATTTATGCTAATGTAGGTCTATTATTTGGTGAATCTGAAATTTGTAATGAGCAAGTGCGGTGAGTAAAGAAGTTTTTGCGAATATTCGTTTTTGGAACTTTGTAATGATATCTTACTTTACTACGAGTTTTAGAATCCGTTTTTAAGGTGAAGAGTTTTCCATAAATAAGATCAATTTTATTTGTGTTGAGTTTATATAGAAATAAGTTGTCGATTTTAATTCTACGATTTTCCAAGCTCATCAAACCAAACTCATTATTTCGTGTTTCATTAAACTTATAATCCTTCTCATCTGATCTAATAAATCTCCCTTTGTGTCTAAATAATAATTTTCTTGTGAAATTGTTTTGGGCACTTTCTATGATTTTTTTCAATTTCTTAGTTGAAGGAGAAGTCACTACTGTTCCATATTCTAATATTGGCCGTACAAAAGTTTTATATAAGTTAATCATGAACTTTATATTTTTGCTTTCGAAAGTCTTGAAAATTTGATATGTCACATAATTAGCTTTAGAAACATATTTTTTCCAGTGTTCTTCAAAATCCAACTTTTGTGATATTATAAATCCTAGATCCCTAATATTTTTTTCAAATTTGATAGGTATAGAATCTATAGTGTAGTCAAACTTTTCCTTTATATATCCCAAAGATGTAAATTGTGTTTTAGAAGAGTTAAGAGTTAGCAGATTATTTTTACTCCAATTATTAATATTGTCTATGACCTTTTGAAGATGGGAACAAGATGTATTATCAGTTATTGTGGAATAAATTTTCAAGTCATCAGCAAATTGTTTACATTTTACACCAGGGAGTATTACCGAGTTTAAGTCATTCACAAAAATAGCAAAAAGAATAGGTGAAAGAACTCCACCCTGGGGAACTCCACTAAAACAGTATTTTTCAGACGAATATTTATCAACTATTTTTACTCGAAATGTACGATTAGATAGAAAATTTTGAATCCACTTAACCAAATAATCATTGAGACAAATTAGTGTTAATTTCTCTAGAAGTTTACTATGATTTACTTTATCAAATGCTTTTGCATAATCAAAATATATAACATCTACTTGTTTTTTACTATCTAATGCGAGAGTCCAATCATCTAAAACATCAACCATTTGAGATACTGTCGATCTTTTTGGACGAAAACCATGTTGGCTATCAGCCCAAAAATTTACAGAATTCAAATGGGTAATGATTCTAACTTTTAAACATTTTTCATAAATCCTACACAAATGAGAAGTTAAACTAATTGGCCTAAAGTGCTTAACATTTTCTGGAGATGATATTTTTGGTATAGGAACTACAACTGATTTTTTCCATTGATTTGGAATTGTTGATGACATCATGGAAAAATTAAATATTTGGGTGATAGGAGAGACTATAAAACTAGCTATGATTTTGATAAACTTGAATGGTACACCGTCAGAAGTTTCAGAAGTACTAGATTTAGATTTTTTAATAATTTTAAGAACTTCATCTTCTAGAACCCAAGGGATAGGCATTGTAGAATTAGATAAAAGAGAAGGAGAGAATTTATTATTACTACAATCTTTTTCGTATTGGTCTTCAAAATAATCAGCTAGACATTGTGCTTTATCATAATTATCAAAAATAAGATTTCCGTTAGTATCAGAGAACGCTGGAATAGAAATATTGTTTGGTTTGAGAATAGTTTTTACTGTTTGAGTGAGCTTATTATATTTATTGTTTTTAATGAGACATCGTTCAAAGTTTCTATTATATTTCTCAACCTTTTTATTAAGTTTTTTGCTAAATTCTTGAAATTTGATAATACTTTGTGGAGTTCTGGATTCAATTACTGATTTCCAGAGAATTTCTTTAAAAGAATACATAGACTTGAGATAATTAGGAAGAGTATATTTATTTACCGAGACTTCTTCTACCGGGACAGAAATTAAAAATAAATTTTTTAAATAAAACGTGAAATTTTCGTACATTGTGGAAATGTCATTTCTACTCCCAAAAATATAATCCCAGTCAGCATTAACTAGATATTGACAAATAAGATCCCAATTTATTTTACGGTAGTTATGAAATAGAATTTTTGGAGATTTCTCAGTTTTAAATGATGGAATATTGAAAGATATCCGATTATGATCTGAATTGCCAATTGGTGAACCCACTTCTACATTAACTAGTGCTGAATTAGATAATACTAGATCTAAAATATTATTTTTTCTTGTTGGGGTCTTAACAAATTGGGTCAACTGAATATATAAAAAGTTGAAATATCTAAGACAGAACACGGTGGGAAAAAAATCAATAAGGAACTTGTTGTTTGGGGTAGTTAAAGGGAACTTTTTGAAGTTTGGGTTTTTGAAGGGAATTTTATGAGCTCATGGTTAACATTCCTAAGTTTTGAAGTAAATCTAAATTTTTTTTTAAATTTCACCTGGTTTTTTGGATTCAAGTACCATATTCAAAAAATCTTCTGAAATCCATTTTTAAATTTATTAATTTATCAGCTCTTGAAATTTTTCTAAAAATTCAAATGTTTATTGGAAAAATTGAGCTTTCTGTAGAAAATTTGGATTTTTTGTTTTAAAATTTTGAATTTCAACATTTCTGGATTCCTGATAAATCTGGGATCTGCAAATATTTAGAACAATACTGTAGTTGCCACAGTATTTTACCTTCTTTTCCAAATTTTGCATTGCCACGTCATAGATCACATGTTTTATAATTTGATTTGAGAGCTACAGTAACCCGTTGAAGCTGAAATGTGTTTGAAAATAGTTGCAATAATTTTTGACACAAATTCTGAATGTGCAAATTTGAAATCCCAAAAGCTAAGTTAAATATGCCGCTTTTGAAAAATCTGAAGTTAGATAACTCAAATTCAGATTTTTATCAAATCTGGAACAAATTATAAAAAAATCTCCACACTTTAAAATAACCAAAAAAAAATTTGATATTCATTGACCCAGAATTTAATACGTTTCGGAATTTTGTCAATTTTTTAAATGAATTTTTTTTGTGTTTTATATTTATCGCAAATATTTCAAAGAAAATCTATCATGGAATAAAACAAGCCCAAAAGTAGTACTCCAGTCAAAAAAGGCCCAAAAAATGGAATTAAAAGCTATAGTAATTTACTACTGCAACAATCTCAAAGACTTCGTCAGTCGCGTGCGGCTCTGCGTCGCGGTCGGGAAACAATCTGGCCGCGACGCAGAGCCGAACGCGTGTCAATTTTCCCGAAAATTTTCAGAAGATTCTAAGAATTGAATCCAATTTTTCACACAAAAACCAATTTCAGTACAATGTAATTTTTATTGCAAATTATTTATTGGATATTCAAAGTTCTCATCGGCGGCGGTTTTTCTCCAATGCAAAGGAAGGGCTGCAAAAAAATTAAAATCCTTATAGAATTCTTGAAAAAAATGTAGTTTTTCTTACCTGTTTCGATGTTCCTTTGGGAATCATAAACGGTTTGACAACGAAAAGAAGAAACGCATAAAATATTCCGAGAAACCAAAAAAGTAGAAGAGGAGAAACGAAATAATCGAACCATGCAAGAGACTGATTACAATAAACCATCTTTTCTATTTGGCCAAATTAGGAAAATAAAATTTTTTTTTGAAATTTTTTTTTTGTTTTTTGTTCAGAGGGTCACGTATGCGTGCTGAATATTTATGTCACAAGTGAATTCTAGAAATTATGTAAATAAATTTTAAAAAATAAAAATGCTCTAAATATCCTCATCACTGTTCGATGGAAAACGACGAACTCTTTTCGAATCTTGACCCAACAAATATTGATTATCTCCATTTCGATTTGCTGGTCGATCTTGGGCAAACGAGGATAATTGTTCGCGAGTTCTTCTTGTGCAACATTTGACGACAATTGAGTAAATGAAGAGGATGATGATTGCGGAAATCGCTCCAATCATCATTGATTTCCAGTTTTGGTGCTTGTTTGAGATCTGGAAAAATAATATTTGGATTTTTTGGGGAGAATTCAGGAAACAAAATTATTTTTTTCAAAAGCGGCAAGTTTTATTGGACCCTAAATATTTGCGATTGAAAAATCATCAGTTTTTTCCCGGGAGGTACTGTAGGGTTTGCGCGTAGTGTTTGTTGTTTGCAGATTTTCTCAGCGTGTGTTTGCGGATTTTTTGAGGCGTATTTTTTTCTTTGAAGGAAGGGATCAGACCTGGGAATTTTTACGTTTACGTTTTTTACGTTTTACGGTTATTACGGAATTTTACCTTAAAATCCATTTTACGGTTTTACGACTCAAAAAATCGTAAAATAATTCGTAAAAAATCACTAAATATAGTGCATTTTGACAGAATCAAATTGAAACTTCAAAAAAAAACACAAAATTTTTTTAAAGAAAATTTTGATCAAATCCTAATTGATTAATTTTTGATGGATATAGTGAATAATATTGTTAAAATTATTTCGGAGTTACGATAAGTTACCAAATCCCAATTTCTGAAGAAGTTCTTGCTGTTTTTCAGTGAAAAGATTGAGTAACAAAATTTTACGAATTTCACGGGATTTTACGGTTTACGGTGCCACGTAAAAATTTCCCAGTTGGGATTTTGCCCCAAGAAAAATGACGTTTTGTCAATTTCGCAACCATTTTCCAAACATTTTTTGCGAAATTTCATTCTGCGAGAATTCCTTTCCTTTTCCCCTTCATGTACTGTGCACAATTACAACAAATTTGCTCCAAATCAACTAGACGCGGATGAGAGCAGGCAGAGACGCAGAGGAAGCGCGTTCAAATTCAAAATTTTCAGATGAATTTGATTATCGAGTTGCACGACGAGGATGATATTGTGCACGACAAGTTTCGTTATACTTTTGACAATCAGGTAGGCTTCGATAATTTAAAAACAAAATATATAAAATTTGTTTTTTAGGATACCTTGGAAAAATTGGAAAATTTAATCTATTCAAAGTTGCACATCAACATGACACATCAAGAATTGCTCTCCGAATGTGGGAAACGAATTTTGGAACCGGGAAATACCAACCTTCAATCTATCGGACTGAAAGATAGCAGCAAACTGATTGTGGTGAATTTCTTTTCTTTTTGAATCCAGTTTATTCAAATTATTTACCAAACGCATTTTAGAAACACTGTCATTTGGATAGATGGAAAGCGTATTTGTCGGGTATTAAAGGTATCAATAACATGGGAGTTTCAAAGCCAACACGAATGAGTTTTGCTAACCTCGCACTCTCTTATTCAAAAGACTTAGAAGACTCTGGATTTTTCAATGCATATCCCAAGTTTTCCACAGAATGGTTGGAAACTAATAGACAACTTAGGAGGTTAGTTTATAGTTGGACATCGACTAAATGACATTTTCAGGTTTTTTAAGCAAGTTAGTTAAAATATTTGGTTCTAATCTTATTCATATGATAGAATGGTCTAAGATAAACAGAATGATATAAATTTTGATGACTTTACGTTATCCATAAGTGATTTAGCGATGTTTAGTCGATATTTAGTCGATCGACTCGGCTTATCGACTAAATATCGACTAAACGTCGCTAAATCACTTATGGATAAGGTAAACTCTTAAAATTTATATCATTCTATTCGTCTTAGATCATTCTATCATATTAATAAAATTAAAACCCAATATTTCAGCTTTAAAAACCTGAAAATGGTTTGAAGAAAATTAATGAAATATGTACATATTTCAGATTCGTCAACGGAACGGAAGGTGCTTTGAAACAAGCCGCCACAACATTTTTCTCCAAAATGTATCCCAATTCGAAGAAAATCGACTTTAAACCCAAAGAAGCAGGGAGTCGAGCTGGAATTAAGGTAACAATTACTGACAATGATGAAGATATCAATTTTTATATGAAAATGTATCATTCTACCGGCTCTGAATTTTCTTTGGAGAACACATCAAAGTCACAATTTCCGGCTATTCTCGAAATGTTCGCATATCGACTTCTTGAATTTATTGAAGTTGGTCCTGTCGTATTCTTTCCATATTATGAAGACGAGATATATATTCACTTTATTGCTACGAAAGAAGTCGCGGAATTCAAGGAATTGGACAAAATTGAGGATGTTAATATGCGAAATAAAGTGGTTGTTGAGGTAATCTTGCAACATTATTTGAATGAGAATAAACTAAATTCCATTCCAGGCTTACTTGCTCTACCTAATCCTTGGAATACACGACTTACACGAAGGAAACATTGGCATAAACAAAGAAAACAACCTATCCATCGTTGATTTTTCCGTGCCGGATAATACATTACGACCCGATATATTTGATGCTTTCATGAATAAGAAAAAATTTGGGCGGTATGAAAAAGTGAACGAAATATTAGCTCAAATTGGACATGAAGAGAGAATGCAAATAGCCAAGGATGCACTTCCACGTTGGAGTAAAATCAATTGTATGACAAGTGATATTATTGATGGCGAGATTAATGTTTTGCGGGAAAAACATGGGCTGAACGATATAACTAGACACGTGGATTATCTCGAAGCTATCAAATCGAATTATACAACGATATGTTTAGCTTTACAATAAATTAATTTTTCATGAAAAGTCCAAAATGTTGAACTCTCCACGTTAGAAGACATCGACTAAATGACATTTTCAAGTTTTTTAAGCTGAAATATTGAGTTTTAATTTTATTCATATGATAGAATGGTCTAAAACTTTACGTTTTCCATAAGTGATTTAGCGACGTTTAGTCGTTATTTAGTCGATAACGTCGCTAAATCACTTATGGATAACGTAAAGTCATCAAAATTTATATCAATCTGTTCGTCTTAGACCATTCTATGATATGAATAACAATAAAACCCAATATTTCAACTCATTTGCTCAAAAAACATGAAAATGTCATTTCAAAAACCAAAAATTTCTTACCACCCATTCGTCGAATTCCACTCGAATATCATCATAATATTCACGAAGCAAATCAATATCCTTCTTCATTTCTTCGCGAGTCTTCTCCATGAAATCTTTAAAAAATTTTCATTGTTTTTCAAAGAACCCGTGAAGAAGCTTCAACTAACCATGAACCAATGAAGAATTATCTGGCATTGAAGTTGTTGTTGTTGGAAGAACAGTTTCTATAAAAAATGATGATAATTATATAATTTTCTCTCATGTTTTTTTTTAATATTTACCATTTTCAATTGATCTTGTCATAAATGGAACATGAACATCATGAACAGCGTTCATCATTGAATCGAACAACCATCTCATTTCATTTCCAATCGAAAATGTTGTATTTTCAATCTCCGATTTTTCCAGCTCATGACGAACAGTGTTTTTTGAGTTTCTGAAAAATTTTCAGACTTTTTTCAACACGAAATTTCAGAAAAAATCAACTAACTCGATGTTTTTCTTTGCTTCATCAATCGATCTCAAAGCTTCCATAATTTCGCGATCAATAGCATCTTTGAAATGAGTTTCGTTAATTGTTGGACGTGGGATGACTGCACAAATTGAAAGTCCAATCAAAACGGTGAGTAAAAGTAGTTGCTGCATATTCGAATATGATTGTGAATGATCGATTTTTTCGAAACATCTGAAAAATGTAGTTTGACGTTGATATTGACCCGCCGGCGCCGTAGATCAAAAAAAAATTTTTGAAAAAAAAAACTTTGAAAGCAAAATACCGTACTTCAAACAGAAGCAACATGCGAAAAATACTTAGTTCGTGACAAGACCACACAAAACGTTGCGTGTGCCTTGAACAATACGGTAGTGAAATGAAATTTTTTATTTTTTTTTGTTTTCTTTTTTTCACGCACGTGGTCTAAATTAGGGGAATTTGGATTTAGGAGAACCTAATATTTGCTCCAAAAAATTTCCAGCCAATCCCTTTTCACATTTTTTTCCCAAATTTTCCTGAATTTCTGAATATATAACCCTAGCTGTTCGATCTCTTCTTTTTCTCTTTTTTTAGTCTGAATCTCTGCGTCTCTCATTTTCCCCACGTTTCTCACTCATTTCTCTTTTTCTCTATTTTATTTCTGCCAACGCATTGGATTTTCTCGTTTTTTTCCAAGAAATTTTGTTCTAAAATTCTTTTTATAGAGGAAATATGGCTAGCCCTCGAACACGTCGAGTTTTGAAAGAATTACGACCATTGGACGATAATAATGTGAGTTAAAGGAAAATTTGAAGAAACGAAATTAGTTTCGTGTTGTTTTTTTTCAGTTCTGCTTTGAATGCGAGGCAAATAACCCGCAATGGGTTTCAGTTTCATACGGAATTTGGATTTGTCTCGAATGTTCGGGAGTTCATCGAAGTTTAGGTGTACATTTGAGTTTTGTGAGATCCGTAACAATGGATAAATGGAAAGATATTGAATTGGCAAAAATGAAAGCGGGAGGAAATCGAAAATTCTCCGAATTTCTACAATCACAACCGGATTTCAAAGAAAATTGGACGATTCAAGAGAAATACAATTCCAGAGCTGCCGCATTATTCAGAGATAAAGTCGCGTGCGAAGCTGAGGGAAGAGAATGGTCACTTTCAACTTCATCAGCCGCCAATTATATCCCACCAACTTTGGGTGGAGGAAACGCGTCTCGAACAGCCACCAAATCATCTGGAAACTCTTCGATTGGCTCGTATTATGGCGGAAATTCGACGAGTTATTCACAATCGACTGGAGATGGAAATTATAGTCAACAAGATTCGTGAGTTTTTTTGAAGCTCTAAAGTTCCTCAAAAAAAAAAATAAAATGTTTCAGTGGAAGCAACAAATACCAAGGTTTCGGAAACACTGGCTACACCCCAAATTCGTCCAATACTTCTGGCGGTGATGATTTATTGGCTGGCGCAATGTCATCTTTATCGATGGGTTGGTCGATGCTTTCGAAGGGGGCTTCTTCGGCTGCGGCGATTGCGAAAGATGTCGGGATGCAGGCAACTCAAAAAGCATCGCAATTGACGGAAAATGTGGTGAGATTCGAGATTTCTTGGGGCTATTCAACGAAAAAAATTATGTTTTCTCAGCGTTAAGAAAACGGGAGAAAAGCGAAGAAAACCTATTCAAGTCGGTTAAGAAAATATAAAAAATAAAACACGTTCAACACACAAATTGCGACGAGACCCAACGAAAAACAACATGTTCCTTTGACCTTACTATAAATTGGTCCCGTTGCGAAATTCTACAGTATCTTAAAGGAACATGTTGTTTTTCGTTGGGTCTCGTCGCAATTTGTGTGTTTTTATGTTTTCTTAACCTGAATAGGTTTCTTTCGCTTTTTTCCTGTTTTCTTAATTGAACAGTCCCATAAAATATATGTTTTCTAGTAGTTTTCGAACCGCTGATCACGATTCCGTTGTTTAAAATTGCAGAACTGAATTCCTTTGACGTGGCAAACTATTTAGGAGCTAAAAACTAGATTCAAAAATGATTTCCATGCAAATCTGATAGAATAGCATTGTTCAAGAAGACCGCTAATATAAATTCATTCTTTTCAAGTATCCAGCGACTAAATTCACAAAAATTGATTAAACAATACGTCATCAATCATTTTGAAAAATAATTTTCGAATTTATCAAAAAATTTTGAAACGTGCATTTTTATGGCGCCAAAATCAACAATTACCATATTTTTTCGAGCTGAATTTTCGGTAAATTTTCAAATTTAGCGTCAATTACCTTAAAAATTTTCTCAAGTGACACTAGAAAGCTTTATCAAAAATCTAGAGTAAAATAATTCAAATTCCAAATATTTTCAGTCACAAAACAACACAATTTTCGGAGGAGTCGCCTCGAAAGCATCAGAAGTTGGAACAAAATCCTGGGATGGATTGCAATCTTTTGTCAAATCTCCATCTCTTCAAGCTTTTTCCGGAATTCTTACCAAAGGGTAGGTTCTTATATGTTTTTAACCCCATCAATATTTTTTTCCAGAGGATATGAAGATTTTGGAAGTGGAACTGGAGGAATGTCAGGATCAAGTTCACAAAATGAGTTCAATGATTGGCTGAAAACTTCGAATTTGTAAGATTTTTTAAAAATTTTTTTCTAGAAAAAGAAAAATTTAAATTTTCAGACCAAGAGGAACAACTGAAGGATCAAATCATATTAGTAGCGAAGAAGTTGTTAAGAAATCAGCTCCACCTAAATCAAAAAGTCCACGACCTCAAAAAGAAGCGAAAAAAGTTGTTGAATCAACTTCCGAAGATTCGACTTCGACAATAGCACAATTCGAAAAATCCGTGAAAAAAGCGCCAAAACCAACAAATGAACCAAAACAAGAAAAAGAAAAAGGATGGGATGATGATGCGTGGGATCTTTTGAATCAATAAGAGAAAATTTTTAATTTATAAATAAATATTCCAATTAATTTATTTCATTTTCCGTAGTTTCTTCTTTCCTGTGATTACTGTTCTTTTATTCATTTCATAAACTTCTATTTTTCAACTTTTTTGGAAAAAACGCAAAAAAAATAAAAGTAAAAAAATTGTGTGCAAACACGCCGACGCACAACTGCACACAAAACTCTGCGCTCTCTCACTTTCTCAGCAAATCGCTGCGTACATGAACGGTAAGGATTTGTGTAGCTTGTGTGCTGTCTAACTCATTTTACACGCATTCCACACACAAGCTACGCACGCGTCTACACACCAGCTACACAAAATAGTTTTTTTTCGATTTTTTTCGTTTCGCGTTTTTTTCGGATTTTGCGGGCTGAATGATGATTTTTGAACACGTTTTGAATGAAAACAACAATTTATTATCAGAATAAGTAAAACGTGAAAAAAAACAAAGTATTTCAAACAAAATTATAAATTAGGAGTTGAAAATTTCGTAGATGTTGCGGATTGTCTTGTTTCCCTCGCCACGAAGCTGCTTTTCATGTCGTTTGTGTCGAGATTTTTATCGAGTGCTGGCGAGACTGAGAATCGGAGAGCATATTCTGTAAAATTGAGATGAATTTTCATGCTTTTCAGAGTAGAAAGAACTTTATATTTATCTTTAAAAATAGCTAAACTTGATCAAATTTCCCAAGACATATTTTGTTATCCCGCACAGCGAAAAAAAATTATTTTTTTGTACACAAAAAATTCGTTGCGGAAATTCAAAAAAAAAATAGGCGGAGTTTTCCACGTGCAACCCCTGGCAGCGTCTTTCTGCAATATTATTGCATGTGCGCACGGTTTTTGTGTGTTCTCCCCTTTTGTTTTTTGTTTTTTTCCTTTGTGTGTGCAAACACTTTCTGTTTTGCGCACCGTACCACACGGAAACAGAAAAAATAATTTTTTTTCGCTGTGTCCCGTTTCTTTTTCGGTTATTGACTCACCTTTTGATTAACGTGGATGAATACTGATTGATGTTGATTTTGTGGAGCGTAGTCCTTGTCGTTGTTGAACTTGTTGAAGTTTTCTGAAAACTGTTTTTGTAGGAAATATGTCGTTTTTTTAAATGAAAATCCCCTCACCATTTAGCAGCCATTTTGCGACGATCACGCTTCCGGAAACCTGAAATTAAAGATAGTTGAAACAATTCTGAATGAAAGAAAAATTTTCAGACTTGAGAAATAGGGGAATTCGTAGATGTTCAAAAGAAATTTCAACATAATTTTCATGAAACACGAAGAAAAATGTTGAAAATTATGTTTGAGTTCATTGCTGGCCCGATTTTCACAAGAATTTAGGCCTGGAAAAACAAAAACAAAAATGAGAAAAGTAGCCGCGACGCCAACCGCGTTGCTTCTCTGATTTGTGTAGCTGGTGTGTAGCTGCGGTGTAGCTATTTTTCGCCGATAAAACCGTTCATGTACGCAGCGATTTGCTGAGTTCGCATGCTCTCTTCTCACGCGGGTGATTTGAAATTTTTGTTTTTTTTATTTGTTTTCAATCTAGATGGAGATTCCGAGAAAAATCAGGAAATTGATCGATGCTGGCAAATTCACAGAAGCCGCCGATGAATTCAATAATGCAGCCACCAAATCGCGCGAAAATGAAAATTTCGATTTGGCGATTTTTTTGGCTGAAAAAGGATTAGAATTTTCGCTGGAACACAGAATGTTTTTGGAAGCTTCGTTTTGCGAAAGAAACTTGGCTGAAATCCACGCTCTCCTTGGAAATGAAGATAAATCAATGGAACATGCACGGAATTTTATCAAATTCTCAAAAATGTGCAATGATCCATCGCAACAACAGCTATCTTTTCATGTAAAAGCATGGTGTTTGATAAAAATTTTTGATGCTGGAAGAGTTGGAAGACTAGAACTTGAAGAAGTTTGTCTATTTATTTGATTAAATATTTTTTTTCTAAAAATAAACTTTCAGGCTCTCCAGAATATCAAACAATCCCAAACACTCATTCGAAAATTTGAGCCAGATCTCAAAAAATCGGAAAAACATGGGACAATTGGAGCGAGAAAAGTATTGCTGGTAAGAGAAAAAGATATCTAGCCAGTAATTCTTGTCATTTAGCTCAATTTGGCAGCCCAAATTCATCAAATTCTTGGAAATATCAATGAGGCAATTAAAATGATCAGTGAAGCTGAAATGATCGCGAAATCTTTGAAGTTTGTTTTTTGAATTTGAGCTAACTCTCAAATATCTAATATTGATTTCAGATCTGAGAGCTATTTACGATACGAAATCGCGTTGACAAAACTTGGTTTGATTGAACCCGAGGAAAGATTGCAATTGGCTAAAAAGATGTTGGATTATGCAAGTGAAAACACGAAGGCAAATGCGCTTATGGAATTGTCGAATGTAATTTTTTTTCGAAAATATTTAGGGTTGATTCACGAACGAAAAAAATGTCGAAAAAACATTGTAGGTCAAAGTTAGTTTTTCGAGTTTTTCAGCCAAAAATGATGACAAATCGATATTTTTGAAGCTTCTGGAGTGATTTCTGATGAAAACAAGCTTCGAAAACCCTATTTTGCTTTTTTCGAAATTCATCAAAATGTAACATTTTTTTATTTTACGAAAAATCAGCAAAAACTTCTGGAAAGTGAATTCCAAGGTAATTTTCATCAGAAATTATTCCAGAAGCTTTTTTTCCTCTAAAACTACAGTGAACCAAATTTTCCAGAATTTTTTATTCAAAAAATTTTGAATTTCAAAATTTCTGTCTGAAAATTTGAAAATCTTGAGATGTTTCACAAATTCAGTGGAAATTTGTCAATTTTTTCAACTTTCACAGTTACCCAAGATTTCTAGAATTTTTTCCAAAATTTTTTGAAAATCTTCAGATTTTTGATAAATTCAGTGGAAATGTTTCGAATCTGTACATTTTTCTCTGAAACCTGGTTTTTCAACAACAAAAAAGGGCTGATGTCAAAAATGACGACAAATCGAGATTTTTTAAGCTTCTGGAGTAATTTCTGATTTAAATTGATCTTCGAATTCACTTTCCAGAAGTTTTTGCGGATTTTTCGTAAAATAAAAATTTTTAAATTTGGATGAATTTGGAAAAAAGCAAAATAGGGTTCTCGAAGCTTATTTTCAATCAGAAATTACTCCAGAAGCTTCAAAAATATCGATTTGTCATCATTTTTGGCTGAAAAACTCGAAAAACTAATTTTGACCTACAATGTTTTTTCGACATTTTTTGACTTTTCGTGAATTGATCTTTCGATGTTAAGAAAACATTTTTAACATTTTTTTCGTTCGTGAATCAGCCGTAGTGAAAATTGTTTTTGAAAATATTAAAAAAAAATCATTTTTGAGTTTGCCACTTGAAAATTTACAAAATGAAGATCAAATACAAATCTTTGAAATTTTAAAAACTGTGCAAATTATTTTTAGAAATTTTCCTGGGATACCTAGATCTTTGGAATTTTCAGAAATTTGAAGTCCAAATTCTATAAAATTCTATAAAAAATAAAAATGAAAAAAATAAAAACCTTTTTAAAAATTTTTTTTCAAATTCCAGCAATATGTTTTATCCGGCGATTTATCAAAGGCATATTCAAATATTGAAAAGGTTTACTGCACTGATCATCGCAAACATTTATCAGAAATTGATTTGGGTATCGTTAAAAATCGTCTTGCAATTGTCTACCGTCTCACCAAATATCAAAAACATCAGAAATCCAAAAACTCTTTGTGCGAATTCTTCGAAGCGATTGCTGATTTATATTATAAGTATTTTGAGTGAGTTTTCGAGTTTTTTTTTTTGAAAAATAAGGGTGATTTTTGATTTTCAGCACATTGACGGAAAAGGAAAAAATTGATTATGGAAGTTTTGCAATCGAGAATATTGTGAAGAATTATGAGGAAATGATTGGGTTAGTTTTGAGGGGTTTGGAGCGAAAATTCGAGAAATTTGATCAAATTTGAGCTCTGGAATGTTAAAATTTGAATTTTCTCAGCTTAGGAATCATCTAACATGAGCAATGATGTATTTAGTTTAAAAAAAAACATTGCTCATGTTTAAAAAATTTCCTACTTATTTTTTATGAATTTCTTTAACATGAGCAATAATTTTTTAACCAAAATTTTGATAATTTTCAAAGAAATTCAGAAAATCACAAGTTTTCTCGAAATTTATAGCATTGCTCATATTTAAAATTGGAATTTTGATGGATTTGGAGCGAAAATTCCAGAATTTTGGACAATTTTTAGCCTTGGAACTTGAAAAATTGAATTTTCTCAGCTCTGGAATTCTCTAACATTAGAAATGATTTTTTGAGCTCGAATTCAGGAAATAATACAGTTTTCTCAAAAATTATAACATTGCTCATGTTAAAAAATTTAATGTTTTCATAAAAATTGGAATTTTGAACGAAAAACTGTAATTTAGATCAATTTTGAGCCTTGAAACTTCAAAAATGGAATTTTCTGAGCCTTGAAATTCTCTAACATGAGCAATCATTTTTTGAGTCTCAATTCAAAAAACCCTTGTCCTCTCAAAATTTTAGCATTGCTCATGTTAAAAAATTTCATATTTTTCTGAAAACTGGAATTTTGAGAGGTTTCTCTAACATGAGCAATGATTTTTGACCAAAAACTTAGATAATTTTCTTGATTTTTCAATAAATTCCTCTTCTGAGCGTAGATTCAGAAAATCCTATAGTTTTTACAAAAATTAGGCATTGCTCATGTTAAAAAATTTAATATTTTCATGAAAATTTGAATTTTGAGAGGTTTCTCTAACGTGAGCAATGATTTTTTGACCAAAAGTTCAGCATTGCTCATATTAAAAAATTTAGGAATTTTTTTGAGCACTCTAACATGAGCAATGATTTTTTTTTCAAAACCAAAATTCGGTTTTGCGAAAAAATTCATTTCTCAAAATATTTTAGCATTGCTCATGTCAAAATTTTTTATTTTTCAGCCACAAACGAAGCATTGATGATGAATTACGTGGATTGCTTGGAATTGCGTTGATTTATATGGATATCGAAACATTTTCGGAAGCTCAAATATATCTGGAAAAAAGGCTGAAAATTTTGGAGGAAAATAATAGGGAGGAAAATGAGGTTAGTTGTTTATATTTTCTACACGAATAAGTTTTTTTTAAATTTTTTTTATAGATTCATGACGTCAAAGTGTCAATTCTGAATTGTGATTGCAAAATGAGAAGACCTGGAGTTACAGAAATATTTCAGCGATCTCGAAAAATCAGTCAAATTTCCGAATCTTCGAAAAGAATTATTTCAAATTTGGGCAGATTATTGTGGATCGATTAATCAGAAGAAATTAGAGAAAGTTTATCAAGAGAAATCGGATGAAATTGAGGAGATTTCGGTGAAAAATGATGATGATGAAAGTGATTTTCTATTTCGAAATATATCGAATCAACAAATTCTGGATATTTGCAAAGAGAGACACGCCAAAAATAGGGAATATGAGAAAATATTGGCGAACAAGGAGTGGAAAAATGAATATGGAGAGACATCGTTACATGAAGCTGCAAAATGTTCGGATTCGGAAAAAGTTGAATTCATGTGTAGAAATGTAGGAAGCTTTTTATTGTTTCAATGTTTTTCGAGCCTCTGATCACTTTAAACTCCTATTATGAGTTATGACGTGGCGAAATCTGAAATTTTTGCTCCTAAAAGTCAAATTTCTCAAAGTTTGCCAAGTCTTATAAGCCTGAAATTTCTATAAAATCCCAGATTTGAGAGCTAAAGCCTAAAATTTGACAAAAAGTGTTCAGGTCCTAATTTCTTGTATTTAAAATGTTAAACTAAATTTTTCAGTTTTTTTTTCAAATTTCACTTTTTCTAGCAGACAATTGGTCAAATTCCGATATAATTTCGAAAAATCGGGATTTTAGGAGGTGAAAACTAACTTCAAAATTGAATTTCTGGCAAATCTGATAGCATAGAGTTTCTTAGGAGGATCGATAACATAAGTCAAACTTTTCTGAAAATTTTTTGGGATTTTTTCAACTCCTGAACAGCCCTGTGCTATTAGATTTGCATGAAAATCATTTTTGAATCTAGCTTCTAAAATCCCGCCACGTCATAACTCATATTAGGAGTTGAGTTCTGCAATTTTAAACAGCGGGATAGTGTTCAGCAGGTCGAAAATTACTAGAAAAAAAATTCATAAATTTTTTGGACTGAAAATTTCCTTGTAAAAAACCGGATGAAATTTCATTTTGAAAAATCAATTTTCTATTCTAAAATAATTCATAATTTTTTTCCCAGGGCTACAACGTGAACGCTGAAGATTGCGGTGGCTGGACTCCTCTCGCAGAAGCTGTTGATTATTGCCAACTGGAAAATGTCAAAATCCTTTTGAAATATCGAGCCAATGTGAATTGTGTGAGCAAAGAAAACGTGGAAAATCTCTCAAATTCTCGAAATAACCGGAAAGGATGTCATTATCGAATTACGCCTTTGATGGATGCTGTAATGAATGGATTTTATGATATCGCAAGGGTTCTGATGGATAATCATGCCGATTTGAAAATGATTGATAGTATTGGATGGACAGCGTATAATCATTTGGAGTTAGTTTGTGATTTTTTTTCTAGAAAAAATATTTTTTTTCAGGAATTTTATCAAGGAAAAAGGCTGTGATGATGATGGATTGGAGTTCAAGGAATATCTTAAAAATGAAATGATAAAACGAAATATCTCGTTACTTCCAATGGATCCAAGTTGCAGGAGAAGTCCATCACCTGTGAGGGTAAGGAAAATTTTTATGAAAATTCTGGGGCACTTTTTTTCGCAGGCTAGTTTTAGCCAGAATTGGTTTATGAAAAATTCAAATTTATATTCATTGAAGAGATTACTCATGTTAAAATTCAGATGTTGAATTATAATTTGGCCCAATAAATTATATGATCAAAATGATCTTATGAGCCAATTTCTAATTCAAAAGGTGAATTTTAACATGAGCAATGGTCTCTTAAATGAAAATAAATTATGAAAATTTCAGAAATCACTTTGGAGACTCCAAAGCTCTAAAAAATTTGTCAAAAAAAAAACGATTTCTGAAAATTGCAAATTTATTTTCATTAAAAAGACAATTGCTCATGTTAAAATTCAGTTCTTAAATTATTTGAAAATTCTTTTACCCAAGAAAATTGAACTTTCTGATTTGAAAACTGAATTTTAACATGAGCAATAGTTTCTTCAATGAAAATAAATTTTGAAAATTTCTGAAATCACTTTGAGGGCTCCAAAACTCTAGAAAAATATCAGGAAAAACCGGATAAGATTCAAAAAGATCTGAAATTCTCAAATGAATTTTCTTTTAAGAGACGATTGCTCATGTTAAAATTCAGATTTTAAATTGTTTGAAAATGATAGAATGTTATACTAAAATCTAATTTTTTTTCAGTTGTCAGATGATATTTTCGAAACTGGTAGTCAAAATGATGAAGAAGATTTCACATTTCTCCCATCAACATCACAACAAAGAACACAAAAACGCCCATATTCTTCAGACAATTTTGAGAATTTGCCAAAACGAAAACCACCTTCACTTCCTTCAAGACCTCCACCTCCTTTGAGACAATCGCCGAATCAAAATCGAAGAAATCGAAAATCCAGTAGTCCGATTCAGCAAACACTTCAATTTTCCCAGCATAAACATCGGAGGAATCAAGGTTCAATTAGTCCACCTCAATTTTCCCAGAATAAATCTCGAAGGAATCAGGGCCCAAGTTCAATTAGTCCACCTCAACTTCCGCTAACTCGAATTCGTGAGCCAAGTCCAATGGATTCCTCACCTGATATTATTGAAATTCCAAAACCCGAAATTCCAAAACCCGAAGTTCCAAAATCATCAATAATTGTGGTCGTATTGGATTTTGAAGCACCAGAACAATTTTTTTCAAAAATGAAGTTATCATTTCGAAAAAATGATACTATTCAAACTGTCAAGAAGAAGATTTTGGAAGATGGAAACAAGAAAAAATTCCCGAAATTATCGATTTTTGAAAAGGGAGAAAATGATGAGAGAATTGTTGTGAATGATGATTTCAAATTGGAAATGTTCAAAAAAGAGGAGGTTATGCTGGTTTGTAAATTGAGAGCATTTTCGCCGCTGGAAAATTATAAATGTGAAACACAAGGTGGGTTTTTTATTTACTTATTTTATGGGATGAAAATGAAAAAAACAATTTTTTTGTACTGTTCTCAGCTTCTGCTACAGAAAAATGAGCCAAAACTCGAGAATTTTTGAAAAATCGAGCTTTGAGAGCATATTAATCATGTTAGAGAAACCTTTTTTTTGAAAAAATATTAAAATTTTTGAAAAAAATATTTGAAAAAAAATATTTGTGATTTTCAGCTAAAAATCCATATGTTTGAGGCATTGCTCATGTTAAAGAAACCTTGGTTTTCCACGTGGCACTCTTTCTTTTAATTTGAACTTTTGCATTGCTCATATTAGGAATTAGTTTTTTTTATTAATTATAATTCCACGATTTTGAGCGGATTGCTCATGTTAAACGGCAGGTATTTCTCATATTAGTTTTTCTGAAAATTGTTCATTATTTTATAATTTTTTAAAAATAATATCCGAATTATTGCTCATGTTGAAAATTATGTAATGGGGTGATTCAATTCGTTTTTTTGACGATTAATTAACAGAAAATCCGAGTCATTTTTGTGCGAATTTTTCACGTTTTTGTCGATTAATTCCATCTTTTTTTGCAATTAATTGCATTCAAAAATGAGGAATTGCAACATGAAATAGAATTTATTTGACCTCATTTTTGAAACGTGTCCCAAATTCACTGCATATTTTTTTGATTTCATTTCGAAATGAAAGAAAATTGAAGGAAAAATGAATTTTTTTGTTGATAATTCCAACTCATATAGGTCACGTTTTAAAATATAGGTCAAATAAATTCTATTTTTTATGCAATTAATCGCATTTTTGCCAAGAAATGAAAGCGAGGAATTGACAAAAACGTGAAATTAATCGCCCTAAAAGACTCGGATTTTTTGTCAATTAATTGACAAATTCACGTCGATTAATTCGACTGAATCACCCCATAAGAGATTTTTTTAAATATAAAATTAGCATTGCTCATGTTAAAATATTCCAGGAAAAGTATGTTTTCTGGATTTTTAGGAATGATATTTCAACAATTCTTCAAAAAATACCAAAAAAATTATATTCATTTCAAAAAAATTTTTGGCTCATTTTTTTTGATAAAAGTGTTCTCTAGCATGAGTTATGGGCTCTCAAAAACACAATTTTCCAGAAAATTCTCGAGTTTTGGCTCATTTTTGTGCTCTTTAAAAACTGAAAACAGGATCATTTTAGGCAACAAAACACTTCCCTTCATAGTTTAAAGAGAAAAATGCAATCAATTATTTTTGTCCAAAAAACTTTGATAGTATTTTCCAAAATACGGTGTATAAGATGGTGTTTGGTAATCCTTTGCACTTGACTCCAAATAACTTGGCCAATAATTTGGATCTAGAAAAAATTCTATTCTCATTTTTTTTTTCAAAAATAAAATGTACCTTTCTCAATTCCAAAACCACCAGCTTCTTGTCCTTTTCCATGTTCGGCTTCAAGAAAATAGGGTTTTTCAGTAGCTTGAATCGAAAAAATAAGAAGCGCGAAGAATAGAAGCTCTAACATTTTTTTTGCAAATGAAAAGTAGATTGGAAGTTTTTGCTAATTGGCGAGCTAATGAAAATTAATGGAAATTGGGGGAAAAGTTCTGTTAAGTGAACTTTTTTGATGGAATTTGAGACGAGGAAGTGGAGATTTTTTAAGATTTAGAATCGAGAATAAAAATTGTGAGTTTGTGATGGTTTTGAGGTTTACAACGTGAATTTCAGCCAAAAATCCATATTTTTTAGGCATTGCTCATATTAAAAACTCTTTTAATTCGAACTGGGGCATTGCTCACATTAGTTATCATTTTTGTGATTTTAAGGGCATTGCTTATGTTAAACGTAAATTTTATGATACAAATTCATTGTCTGAACGAATGACATTCAAAACTGTGAATTGTCAAGGCATTGCTCATGTTTAAAACCTCGGTTTTCCACGTGGAACTCTTTCATTCAACTTCAAAATATTCAAAATTTCAGCATTGCTCATATTAGAAATTAGAAGGATTTGATTTTTTTCAAAGTTTCGTGTTTTTTAGGGCATTGCTCATGTTAAACGTGAATTTTATGATATATAGTTATTCTCACAATTAATCACATTCAAAACTGTGAATTTGAGCCTTAAAAGCATTGCTCATGTTAAAAACTTGGTTTTTCGCTCGTTGCACTCTTTCTTTTAACTCGAACTTCAGAATTGCTCATATTAGTGTTTATGCAAAATTTCGTAGAATTGCTCAGGTTAAGCTTGAATTTTAAAAATATGAGTTTTTCTGGAAGTTTTTTTTCTAGACAAATATAAAATGAGCATTGCTCATGTTAAAATATTCCAGGAAAAATATGTTTTCTGGATTTTTAGGAATGATATTTCATATATAATTCGAAAATATACCAAAAAAATTTATTTTCATTTCAAAAAAAGGTTTAATGATGCTCAGCTCCATAATAATGATCATCATGTGCTCCATGATATTCCTCATATTTTGGTTGCTCATATTTACTTCCATAATATTCTGGTTTCGAATAATCATCATCATGATGATTATATGAACTACCGTAATATGGTGTATAAGATGGCTCCTTCTTATGATAATCCTCATATTTTGGCTCGTAATGATAATAAGACTCTGGTTTCTTCTCGCTATGATAATCTTTTCCATATGACTCATGATATCCAGATCCATAAGTTTTGACTTTCAAAGGTTGATAATATGAGTGATGATGTCCGCCATATTTATTATATTCGGTTGCCAAAACAACTGAGAGAATACAAAATGTTAGAAAAATAATTGAAGATGACATTTTCTGCGACATGTTTCTGTGGTATTTCCGTTGTCTTTTATACCAGACGAAAAGTCATTCAAACGTATTATAATAATTATTTTTTTTTGTGTTATTGTTATATGTTTTTTTTATAACAGTATACATACTTTTACTGGTTTCTCTTATAGTTTAGTTTATTGGTTACTGTAGGTATTCAGAATTCTTCTTCATTTTTTTCTCTGTCAAATTTCGAAAAATCTAGATTTTTCTGAACATGAAATTTTTATTTTATATCGAGAATTGGGAGATTTTATCCTGGAGAATTTGAAATTCCAAAAAAGAAATTTTTTCAATCTGAAAATTTAAATGGGAAGCCCAAATTCAAAACCTGAAATTATAGAGCAAAATGTTTTCCAGTAACAAAAATAATCGGCCCGATTTTTTCCAGTAACAAAAAAATCGGCCCGATTTTCAGTAATTTCAGAAAAATCGGTCCGATTTTTCTGTCTCTGTAACATTACTGCGTGAAATATGCTTTAGATTCTTCCGAAAATCGTTTTTCTTCAAAATCTCTGAAATTCTTAGATTCAGAATATCATCTGAAAATTTGAAAAAATTCAAAAAAAATATTTTTTTTGCAATTTTTCTTCTAGAAAATTTTGTGCAATGAATTTGTGATGGTTTTGGGCGTGATTTTCAGCCCAAAATTCTTGGCCTATTTTTGAGGCATTGCTCATGTTAGAAACTTGGATTTTCCACGTGGCACCCTCTCTTTTAATTTGAACTTTAGTATTGCTCATATTATAAATTTGAAAAATTGTGATTATTTTCAAAATTTCGTGATTTTTAGGACATTGCTCATGTTAAACGTGTTTTTTTAAAATTAAATGTTTTCAAAATTTTGTGGATTTTAGGGCATTGCTCATGTTAAACGTGATTTCAAAAAAATTCTCATATTAGATTTTCTAAATAAAATTTTACATCATTTTATGATTTATCTGAAAAAATTTCGAATTATTGCTCATGTTAAACGTAAATTAAACAAAGGGCTTTGCTCATGTTGAAAATTAAAAGATTTTTTTCCAATATAAAATTCAGCATGTTAAAATATTCCAGAAAAATTATGTTTTCTGGATTTTTAGGAATATATTTCAACAATTCTTCAAGAAATATACCAAAAAAATTTATTTTCATTTCAAAAAAATATATCAAAAAAAATTTAATGATGCTCAGCTCCATAATAATGATCATCATGTGCTCCATGATATTCCTCATATTTTGGTTGCTCATATTTACTTCCATAATATTCTGGCTTCGAATAATCATCATCATGATGATTATATGAACTACCGTAATATGGCGTGTAAGATGGCTCTTTCTTATGATAATCCTCATATTTTGGACCGTATGAGTGGTAGTATTCAGAAATTGGATTGTAGTGTTCCTTGTGTTCGTAGCCATGGTATTTTGGTTGATAATAGGAGTGATGATAATCTGAAAATAAAAAAAAATACAAGATTTTTCTCTAGAAAAAAATTAAATTTTACCCATGACAGCAAAAGCTGAAACCGCGCAAACAGCCAGAAGAATAATCGAAGTTGAAGACATGTTGTTTTTGATAGACTGTGCTGTTTCAAACCTACTTTTATACCACTTTCTGAACACATTAATACTACTATATTTTTATTGTGAATATGAAAAAAAAACTTTCGATTTCTTTCAGATTCTGACATTATACATGAAATTTGTGAACGCTTGGAAGTTTTGAATACAAAAAATCACCTGGATTTATCGCATTTGTTTTTGGAGGCCAAGAAATTTAAGGAGTTGTTGAATATTTTGAGGAATTCCGAGATTTCGGATGATATTTCGGTGGATCTTTCGAGATGTGGTAAATTATCTAGATTTTTTCACAACACTGGTGGTGGGAGCTTGACCAATTTTTGACCAAAAATATGCATCTTTCTGTTTTTTGGCCAAACATTGACTGAAATTTGGCCTTCACGGTCTATTTTTGGCCAATTTCTGACCAACTTTTGGACCAAATTTTGATCAAAATTTGGTCAAAACAGTGAATTTTGGCTAATTGTTTTGGACAAAAATGAACCAATTTTTCAATTTCCTCCAAAACTAAAATATTGATTTTGTAGATTTCAACCTCGAGGAAACGTATAACTTGAAAGATATCATGAGAAAATGTGTTTCGCTCATTTGCCATGGAACAAAGGCGAATTTTGAGGTTTTATTCGATTCAATGAGCAATTTACGGAAATTTACGATATCTTCAACGGAGGGGATTCGAGATCAAATGATTCTGGCAAATTTAATATCGAATAACAAGAATTTGGAAGATGTTGTGATAATTGATATGAAAATTCGAAGTTTATCACCTTCCCCGATTCTCCTGAAAATTATTGAATTAGAAAATTTGAAAACGCTGAATTTATCAGGGAATAAATGGATAAATGAAGAGGATTGGCGAATTTTACTAGGAGAATTGAAAAATTTGGAGGAACTCAAGATGAATAACACTGAAAGTATGGTCGAATTCGAGGCTGAAATGCTGCCGAAGCTGACGTATTTTGAAGCTAGGAGATCGGAATTGAATTGGGCATCGCTTGTCGAATATTTTTCAATATCGCGGGTTTCGAAAATTGATGTTCGAGGAAATAATTTAGAAAATTTGGAAGATTGGGAGATTTTGAAAGAAAGAGGCATCAAGATTTTAAAGTGATTGTGATTTTTGTGAATAATTTTCTAGATTTTTGAATAAATTTCCTAATTTTTACGTGTTCTGATTATTCTACGTTTTCCTCATTTCTAGCTATTCAGAGATCAATAAAATGAAAGAAAATATATTATTCATCTTCATATTTTTGGGATTATTTCAAAATTCTATCGCGAAATTGAACTATACCCATGGAAATGGGTCGTCAATTGAAAATAATGATATGAAAATATTGAAAAAGCGAGAAGCTTTTATTTTCTATCAGCAAGAATTTGACAAATTATCGGGGATTCTTGAAAATCACCTGAAACCGCTGATGAAAAAAGTGACGCGAATCACGGTGGATGATGATTTAACGATTCCACAGGTTTATGGCAAAGAAGTCTATCAAAATAAAATCAATACGCCGCTGGCATTGAGGAGAAATTATATGATCACGGTGACCAAGCAGAAAATATTCGAGGAAATTTATAATGAGGGAACTGCGCAGAATAAGTTGAATGTTGTTTATTCGGGGAAGAAGAAATGGGCGGCGCATATCACTGCGATTAATTCAAATATTATTTTGCCGATTGAGGGAGAATCAGGTTGGTTTGCCGCGTCATAGCTCATATTTAAAGTTACCCTAACTTTTTTTGGCCAGCCTATATGAAGTTAGGGTAACCTCTGCGGAAGCTTGCGAGTAATAGTCATACATAGACCCTTTAGGTAACGCCCCCCCCCCCCCTTCTAGGAAATATTTTCAATAAGTTAACCCCCCTAACCAATTTTTTGTGGGTTTTTGGCATAGAATTCTCCAAAATTTTCAAAAGTTAAAGGCCCTACCTCCAAAAATGCACCTAAAGTTAACCCCTCCCTCCGAATTCGGAGTCCCAGTTCATGTATGTTGTCTCTGCGCGGAAAAAGCTGGCGGCCTACACTATTAACAGGTTAACTTTAGGTGCATTTTTGGAGAAAGGGCCCTTAACTTTTGAAAATCTTGGAGAATTTTATGTCTTTAGAGGCCAAAACCCCACAAAAAATTGGTTAGGGGAGGGGGTTAACTTATTGAAAATATTTCCTGGAAGGGGGGGGGGGTTAACTAAAGGGTCGCACAGGGTGTAATTTACTACCTCAAATCGCTAGACCTCAAATTTTTAATTAATTTTTGGGTAGATCAAAAATCATTTTTCTCTAAATCTCTCGTTTTTGCGTTGAATTTCGTCGATTTTAGTCCCACCCCTAAGATCGTGTCAGGTCTCAAAAAATGCGCGAAATTTTTCGGGTAGTAAATTACACTCTGTGGGCGGCCATTCCGCGTACACGGTTAGGTCATGCCAACATGGCTGATTTCCCCTGTGAGGTACCCCTAACTTTATAAATTGGCCAAATAAGTTTTATAGTTTGTTGTGAACTCTCTGAAGTTTGCCACGTCATAACTCATATTTAAATTAAAGCAGTTTCTGACAACAGAATCGTGATCAGCGGGGCAAAATCCACTAGAAAATATTGATTTACAGATTCAATCGATGAGGAATCTCTGCTTCTAGCAATCGATACATTATTCATATCATCCACACATTCCGATGGAATTGATGACGAATTCAAACGAGTTAAACTTGAGACAAATAAATCGGCTCATGAAATAATTGTTGCTGTCATTTTGGGCATTTATCTGCTGTTTGCCATCTCGTTGGCTGTGATTTGGTTTATTCGAAGAAGATCGTTGAAAAATCAAGAATCTGAGAAGAAATCGAGTTTATTGAAACCGCAGGCGAATGATATTGATGATGATGCCGAAATTGAATTTGTTGATGAATAAATTTATTTTTTTTTTCAATTTAAACGTGAACTTTGATGAAAACGTCAATTTCCACATGTTCCAATGTTATTTTTCATTTTTCTGAAATTCGAAAGCGATTTTCATGAAGACCTGGTGGTACGTATGGTCTACTAACGTGACACAGTGCCCCCAACGCGTAGCCAGAGAAAAGTTGTGCGCATTTTTCGTGCATGTACGGTAGAGCGCACAAGCCTGTTTGTCGGTTTTTTGAAAATTTAACACTAGGTTTTTTCTTGAAACGATTAGAATTCAGTTATACTTGCATGAAAACTCCCAAACTGAGCTATATGTTCTGGAGAATAATGAGAGGAACGTTTTGATATAAAAAATGTGAAGATTGGATTCAAAATAAGTTAGTTAATATCTTTTGAAGAAAAACAATTCAAATTTTATGAAGGAAAAATGTGATTCGGCACTTGTTTCATGATAAATATGTAAATTAGAATACTTTCAAGGTGTTTTAAGAATCATTTGATCAAAATAAACTTCTGAAATCTGGTTTTTTGTTCAATTTTGGGCGAATTTCGATGGAAAAGAAAATAACAAAAACGGCATAATTTTGAATTATTATTCATTCCACATACTTGGGGAGTCCTATTTCAATGTTTTGGAAGCATAACACTGAATTTTATCAGCTTTCCAGGGTCAAAAATGATGTTTTTGCACAAGGTATTTTTTGAAGAGCTCTTGTTCATTTCATTCTCAACCATTTTTCATGAAACAACTTGGAATAGCTTCAATTTTTCTTCCTCTGTCTTCTCCATACTCGATTTAGTTACAAAAATAACATTTCCAGCATTTTTCAGCAAGAAAACAAAAGCGCAAAAAAAGATGAGAGAGTGCGCTTTGTTGAAGAGACGGATGAGAGATAGAGAGAAAACGAGAGAGTGTGTGGAGTGTGGAGTGCTGGCGCAATACGCGTTCGGGACACTGTGCGTGAGTTGGGCTCGCGCGCGCACAATAATAAAGGGGGGACGAGAAAAATATGGCCGAGGAAACCAAATGTTTGTGCGCGCGAATTTAGAATGCTCATATTTTTCATTTTTGTTTTTTGCTTCACCACGAAAAAATGTGTTTGTTAATTAATTAACGCCATAAAAACCTCCAATTTTTGCAGAAAAAAATGGCGGATCCACAATTCTCCGAACTAATCGGCACATTTTTCCAACAATGCAACGATATTGCCGATATTTGGGCGTCGGATTGTGAAAAATGTAATTACGAGAATTTCGAGGATTTTTGCGAGTCAAACGACTTGGAATTCTTTCAACAAGACGATTTCGCGAATGTTCTTCGAGAAGTCAACAAAGGCGCGACTGAATTATTGTTGAATAATTCGAATGATGATATTTGTCAAATTTTCGAAAGTTCCGAAGTTATTCCATTAAAATTCAATCTTCTTGTTTGGTATAAATTGGAAAACGCGAGAAGACCTGATAGCTCAAATCTCGAAGTTTATGAAGGTGTTTCAATTGCCAATATTTACATAGCAATGTGCTCAATGAAAGGGGCAAATGCAGCAAAGCTTTTTCAAAGTGCTCTGTTCGAAAAATGCCTGAAAATTATGAGAAATTGTGTGAGAACTATTAGAATGGGTGAATTAATTGGATCGAATAATAAAACAACGTCGAAAAAGAGGAAAGAAGAAGGAGAAGATGAAGAGCAAGAAGAAGAAATCGCGATGGGACCACCGAAAATATCATCGGATAAAGCTGAAGAGTATTTACAAACCATGACAACTCAATTATTCGGATTTCTTTCGAAAGATTCAATTATTATCAATAATGAAACTCTTATTCAGATTTTAGAAATGATTGAGGAATTGGGAAGAATTGATTTGGACGCAAAAAGCCGATCGCAAAGAGCAAATTCGATTCGAGAATTTCGAACTATTGAACGATTTGTCGATCGATATTCTGCATTTTTACATTTGTTGGCTGAAAATAAATATGAATCGAGAAAAGTAGCGGTTTATTCCCGAATTATCCGCCCTCGTCTAGCTCTTGTTCCATTTCCTGACGAGAATAATAAAACATCGAAAATATCCACAGAAAGAAAACGAGCCGGCGAGCTTGCGGCGTTTTTCATGATCGCAAGAATTGAGCGAAAATGCAGTGCGATTGAGTTGAAACTGAATCAAAATGTGATTGAGATGATTTATAATCAATGCCCGGATTTGCAAGAATTTCGAACCAGTATTGCTAATTTTATCTGTCGAATTGTCGCAATTTTACCATATAAATATCAATATGTAAGGGTTTTTTCTAGAAAATCACCTTAAATTCCGTTTTTTCTAGGATTTCGCTCAAACAATGCATTTATTCTCCCATTGTAAATCTACCGGAGTTCGCCAGTTATCGATTGAATTAGCCACGTCAATGATGTTTGGAGATATTGATTTTTCTCGAGCAGATCCGGGGCCAATTGAAAATGAAGAAGAGGATGAAGAAGAAAAAGAAGAGGAGGAAGAAGAAGAATCTGAAAGTGATTTGGAAAATGATGATGAAGAGAATGAGGAAGAAAGGAAGGAGAGAAGGAAGAAGAGACTTGAGCGAGAAAAATCACCGAATCCTGAGTATGATTTTAGGCTAAGCTAACAAGGGAACTAGTAGATTTTGCCACGTCATAACTCAATTGAGTTTTGCATTTTTTAACAGCGGAATAGTGATCAGAAGGTCTGAAACTACTAGAAAACATATTTTCATGAAAAAATAACCCTATACTATTAGATTTTCATGAAAATCATTTTGAGAGCTTGTTCTGACCTCCTAAAGCCCCGATTTTCCAACTTTGCCACGTTATAACTCATGTTAAGAGTTGAGTTTTTCATTTTTTAACAATGGAATAATGATCTGAAGATCTGAAGATCACAATCCTGTTGTCTGAAATTGCAAAACTCAACTCCTTACATGACTTATGACGTGGCAAAGTTTGAAAATTCTGAAAAATCGGAACTTCAGGAGCTGAAAACTTAACAAGGCTTTAAAAATTTTTTTTTAAATCAAATCTGGATGAAAATCATCTGTGAAGCTAGTTTTCAGCTCCTAAAATCCCGATTTTTCAAAATTTTCAAACTTTACCACGTCATAACTCATATTAGGCAATTTTAGTGTCAAAAACCACTAAAAATTAAAAATAATTTTTTTCAGACCAATCGAACGATTGAACGCCGAAACAATTCTCTATCGAATTTTATATGTTGCTTGTAATGATAAAACAGCTGCCTCAAGATTGCATGGCTCAAATAGTTTGGCGAAAATTTTGGAATCTGAAGCACATCGAGAAAAGTTTATTGAAGTTTCGAGGGAAATGGTTGGTCCTTGAAGGATTTTTAAATAAATAAAAATGATTTTTTTCAGAATGCTCAAAAAGATGCGAAATTTGGTGAAATCAATGAGAATCTTGAAGAAAGTCTTGAGCAAGCTGAAATCGCAGCAAATCCATCAACGAATAATAAAAAATCATCATCAAAAACCGATTTTGCGCAAGAAGAACAGGCGATTATCCAGAAACTCAAAAAATTGAAAATGATGAATAATGGAGAGGCGAGAATTGAGCAAGACACGGTATTTATGCTAATTCGCAGATTGGCAGCGGATGAAAAAGCGCCGGTTCGAAAAAGTGTTTGCGCATCGATTCGCGCGTATTTAACATTTTGTGATGAACGAGAGAAATTTGAGAAAATTATGGGATTATTGGAGACGATGTGTAGAGATAAAATGGTGACGGTTAGGAAACAAAGTGCCGAAATTCTTACTGAATTGATGCTTTCGGAGAATATTTTGTTCAAGTGAGTTTGTAAGAAAATTGAGAAATTTTGGTCTAGAAACTGGAAATTTTTTGTTTTTCTCAGTTTCAGCAAATTTTGCCTCAAAAATTCCAGTTTTTCAAAACCAAAAAAATACGTTTCAAAATTTTGATATAATTTTTTATCGAATATTTTTTTCAATTCCAATTTTTTTATGTCTTCCATAATCAAAACCAAACATTCAGAGTCCAGAAATCTGGAAAAATTTTCCTCCGGTTCTCTATTTTTCTAATGAGCTCAAAATTGCTTCTTTTCGGCAAAAATTGAGAAATTTGATGTGTTTTGGGTCCAGAAACTGAAAATTTGCTATTTGTCATCTAGAAAATCTGAAAATTTAGACTTTTTATACAAAAATCACAAAATTTCATGGATTTCTCACTAAATATTTTGCCTCAAAAATTGCAGTTTTTCAAAACCAAAAAAAATACGTTTCAAAATTTTGATATAATTTTTAATCGAATATTTTTTCTATTCTAGAAATAGTATCTGTTATTCTATAATCAAAACCGATTTGTAAATTTTGGATAAAATTTTGGAGAAATTTATCACAACCCATAATTTTCAGACCCAAGATTTCCTACTCTAAAATTTTCATAAATTAAAAAAGCCAGGAAAATCTGAAAACCGCAAAAATTGAGAAATTTGATGTATTTTGGGCCCAGAAACTGAAAATGTGCTATTTTTATCATGAAAATCTGAAAATTTTGCATTTTTATACAAAAATCACAAAATTTCATGGATTTTTCTCCTAAAAACTTTCAATTTTCGAATCGCCTCGTCATAGATAAATTTATCCTAGTTTTTCAGCTCAAATTCTCAGTTTCAGCAAATTTTGACTCGAAAATTCCAGTTTTTCAAAACCAAAAAAAATACGTTTCAAAATTTTGATATAATCGAATTTTTTTTTCAATCTGAGTTTATTCGTATCGACTTTATTCTTACCTCTATAATCAAAACCGAAATTTGTAAAATTTGAATAAAATTTTGGAGAAATTGATCACAACCCATAATTTTCAGACCCAAAAATGAATTCTGAATTTAACTAAAAATTTCAATTTTTGCAGAGATGTGATGAGTTCGAAATGGCTGAGCTCGCTAATTTTACTTCTCGATGACAATGAAAATGAAGTTCAAGAACACGCAAGAAAGCTGATAATGCGTGTAATTGCTCCGCTTTTGGAAAATACCAGCGAATTGACGTGGGCTCTTCTTGAAACAATTGAAACGTCCACATTGCACAGGTAATTTTTTTTACAAAATTTTGAATTTTCTAGTAGTTTTCGACCCAAAAATATCGCGATTTTTCGAAATTTGCCACGTCATAACTCATATTAGCAATTTTAGGGTCAAAAACTTCTAGAAAGCATATATTTTTTTGTAAAAATCTAGAAAACCTTCTTCAGAATTTTATTTTCAGACAATATTTCATGACAACTTTGAAAGATGCAGCAAATGGTCGACTGATTCGACAAAGTGTTATGGAAACCATGAAAAAACATTTGGAAGAAGGAGCTGTGAATTCGGCGTCAGCTTGGATGGTTTTATCGCAATTGAGTGTGGTTTTCAAGCAGAATGTGGATTATGCGATTGATTCGTTTTATTCCCTTGATTTGACACAATCTTCCAAATTGGTAAGATCAGTTTTTTATGCTGAGAAAGATGCTGTTTTCAGTTTTTGCTGAGCGATTCTCTGAAAAGTACAGGAGGGTCGATTTACTAAACTCAAAAGTTTTGACAAAATTTTCGAACTCATCACATCTCTGAAAAAAATGAAACTTTTAATTAAATTCAGAATTTTAGGGACTCTAATAGTCATTTTTGGGTGTAAAAATGAATCGATAATTTCAGAATTTTTATCCAAATTTTGAAATTTCGGTTTTGATTATAGATGACATAAAAGAAATCGAATCGAAAAAAATATTCGATTAGAAAGTATATCAAAATTTTGAAACGTATTTTTTTGGTTTTGAAAAACTGGAATTTTTGATTCAAAATTAGCTGAAACTGAGATTTTGAGCTGAAAACAAAAATGAAATTAGCTATGACGCAATGAAAGTTTTTAGGGGGAAAAGCTAAATTTTCAGATTTTCTGGATGAAAATCGAAAATTTTCAGTTTCTGAACGCAAACTTCTCAATTTTTGCTGAAAATAAGCAATTTTGAGCCTCAATTGGATCAGAAATGTAGATTTTCAAGTTTTTATGGCTGAAAATGCTTTTTCTCGAGAACAATTAAAAATGTACATGAATTTTGAGCCGAAAATCGATAATTTCAGAATTTTCAAAATTAATCTCTTTATAAATGCCTCTAAGTTTGATGATTGAAAAAAAAATTTTGATAAAAAATTATATCAAAATTTTGAAACGTATTTTTTTTTGGTTTTTGAAAAATTGGAAATTTTCAGTAGAAATGGGTGTAAATGAGATTTTAAGCTGAAAATTGAAGGTTTTTAGTGAGATCTCCATGAAATTTTGTGATTTTTGCAGAAAACAGCTGATTTCTGGATGAAAATCGAAAATTTTCAGTTTCTGGACCCAAATTTCTCAATTTTTACTGAAAATGATCAATTTTGAGCCTCAATTTGATCAGAAATATAGATTTTCAAGTTTTTCTGGCTGAAAATGCTTTTTTTCTCGAGAATAATTAGAAATTTACATGAATTTTGAACCAAAAATCGATAATTTTTATCCCAAATTTTCAAATTTCATTATTCAAACATATTGGAAAACAATGGATTGAAAACAATTTTTGATAAAAAATTATATCAAAATTTTGAAACGTATTTTTTTTGGTTTTTGAAAATTGGAATTTTTGAGTAGAAATCGCTTTTAAGCTGAAATACTAGAAAATTGGCGTTTTTCACGAATTTTTCCGTTTCTGGACCCTAAGAACATCAAAAATGTTCAAATTTTTAAAGCTGAACATGATAAAAATGAACAAACTTTTTTTCCAGATGAAATATATAATTCATATAATAACTAACAATATTCGAGGAATAGAAAGAGGCCAAAGAAAGGAATTGTGTGAATTTATGATGAGAAGACTTCGAGAATTCTCATTTCATGCATCACATTCGAAAGATTTGTATTATTGTTGTGCAAAATTAATGGATGGAATTGGAGATCAAGCAACTGCAAAAGAGGAATTGAAACAATTCTCTGAAGAATTACTTGTCTCATGTTTTGACTCAATTGTAGAATCCTTTGAATTGTTTTCGAAAAAAGAAGAATGGAAAAGAAAATCGGAAATTCAAGAAAGAATTCTGATTGTGGCGTTGAATGTTGCATCGGAAATATTTCTGTTTTGCCCGTCACTTGTTCCAAAACATGAGAGATTGGCGAAAACTCTTTCGCTTATTGTGAATTGCACCACAGGAAATAGCTTACCAGATGTTTGTAATCCGGATATTCCAAGTGTTCATAATACGCGACCACCGACACAAATGTCTGAACATCGAACTATTGATCAATTTTCGGATGTGGTTTTGTTTGGGGATAATGTGAAAGCGGCGGCGGTTTTGACATTGGCGAATATGATTATTGCGGTTGGTTTTTTTTTGGGAGGGTTTTTTTTTGAAAAATCTGGAATTTTTTAAAGTTTGAAGCTGAAAGTCAAAAATTTGAATTTCACATGAAAAATTTCAATTCTAATAATTTTAAGAATTTTTCTAACATGAGCAATGCGTTGAAAAAATTTACTTTTCCAATTTTTAAACCAAGAATTCGATTCCGATCGAAATTTCAAATTCCTCTTTTTTTCAAATAAAATTTTGAAACAGTGAATTTTTTAAGCAAAAAATCTTTCTAGGAATTTTTGATTTTTTTTCTAATATAAGCAATGTATTTTAAAATTTTCTGAAATTTTTACTCTGAAAAAATTCAGAGAATTTTTCATCTGAAATTATATCTAGAAATAATTTTTCAAAAATTATGATTTTTAGAATTTTTCTAATATGAGCAATGCTTCGAAATATTTTTTTCAATTTTTCCATCACAAATCCAATTCCGATCAAAATTTCAAAATCCATTTTTTTAAAATAAAATTTTGAAACAGTGAATGTTTTCTAACAAAAAAAAATTGGAAATTAATTTTTAAAATCTGAAAAACTCAATGAAAGTTCAAGGTTTTTAAGATTTTTTTTCGAGTTTTTCTAATATGAGCAATGCATCGAAAAATACATTCCCCACCATTTTCAGCACGATAAAATGCTGAAATTAATGCCAATGTTCATCAAACAACTCCAACACAATCCATCGCATCAAATTCGTTCAAATATCGTTGTCGCACTTGGCGATATTTGCGAAACCTACAAAACCGATCGATATTCTCCCGTGTTGGCCGCTTGTTTATGTGATCCATCTGTAATTGTTCGACGACATGCGATTAATGAGATTGCCAGAATGATTGCTAGCAGTATTTTTAGATTCAGTGGAGAGGTTTGAGATTTAAAATCTAGAATTTCTTATGAATCGATTATTTTTTTTGCAGGTGATGATTCGATTGATGTTGGCAATTTTGGACGCGAACGATGATGTGAGAAATGATGCGAGATTGTATATTGTAAGCCAAAAAATACCTGAATTTTTTAATTTTATTTTTCTTTAGAGCGAAGTTTTGCAACACGAAATCCCCAACTTCTTTCCCAAACATTTTGTGCATTATATGATTTATTTGACACAAGCCAAGAGAATGATTTATAATAATGTGCAAGGCGAAGATGTTGATGTGACAATGGGCGGAGGAGAATCGCTGCAAAAGATCGGCCAGAATTGCGGTTTATAATTTTGTGGTTGGTTTTTGTTCCCCAGATTCCTGGGGGACCAGAAATGAAAATCCATAAATCACTCAATTTCAGATCGAATCACTTGATGATCGCGGTCGTTTTGAAGTGAAAAAGGATATTTGTTTGAAAGTGTTCAATGCGATTGTGAATGGCGAATTTGATTATTCGGATCATAATGTTTATAGTTTGTTGGATGATGCATTATTGGTGGGTTTTTTCTGGGATTTTTGAAATTCAAAATTAAACAATGATGGAAAAAATGCATTTTTTCTCAATGTTCATTCAACATGAGTTATGAAGTGACAAAAATCCGGAAATTTTAAAAAATCTGATGGTTCTGGAGATTTGACATTTTTTATCCGAAATTTTGAGGATTTTTTTTTGATTTCAGAAAAGTTTCAAATTGTCTGAAATTGTGAATTTTTGGCTCTAAATTTTCTGAAATTTAGATGATTTTTTTGTTGATCTCAGAAAATTGAGTTCAAAATTTACAGACATTTTTTTTAAATTTCTCAAATGTTTTGAAAAATCCAGAAATTTTTTTAACATGAGCAATGCGTTGAAAAAATCACTTTTTTCATTTTTTTTCTCAACAAAATCCGATTCTGATCGAAATTTCAATGCCCCCTCTTTTTTTTAAATAAAATTTTGAAACAGTGAATTTTTTCTACCAAAAAATTAAATTAATTTTGAAAATCTGGAATTTTCAATGAAAGTTCAAAAATTTTTAATTTTTCTAATATGAACCAAAAAAATTTGAAAAATTTAAATTTTTGTGAAATTGTTTCTGAAAATCCAATTTCAGCCAAAATTCTCTGATCTTTCAAAAAAACTTCGAACTTTCATTGAAATTTTTAGATTTTCAAATTAATTTCCATTTTTTTGTTAGAAAAAATTCACTGTTTCAAATTTTTATTAAAAAAAAAAAGAAAAACGATTTTCTGAAATCAAAAAAAAATCATCTAAATTGCTGAAAAAGCCAAAAATCCAGAATTAATTTTTTTTTAAATCAAATTTTTGTAGCTAATGGCATCGAATGAAATGCAAGTAAAAATGGAGGTCGGAAAAAACTCGAATGAAAATGGAATCGAAGAACCATCAGCAGAAGTTGTGAACGCGGCCACCGATTTCATGCGAACTGTCTACCTTCAAAACTACATGGAACACATCATCCCGTCGGTTTTGCGACTTCGCGAATTTCTCAATCAACATCGATCGCCGCTCCAGAAGAAATGTCAATTTGTGATTCGAATGATATGTTTGGAACATAAGAATGATATGGATACAATTCTAAGGGATAATCGACAATTGAAAGATGAAATGGTATTTGAACTGCAAAGAGTTAAGCAAAGAACTGAAGAAGCGAATCGCATTTTGGATGAGCATTTGAAGAAGATTATTGAATTTAATCGAATGCAGAAACAACAACAACAACAACAAGAAGGAGTTGAAAGTGGTGAAAATGAAGAGGGAATGGAAATTTCGAATGGAACACCGAAAAGAGCACAAAATGTGTCAATTCAAGGAACACCGATGTCAGCGAGACAGAGACCATTATCACCGAAAACTATTAAGAAATTGGTGAGTTTAGGGCTTAAAATTGCTCATTTTAGGAGAAAATTGAGAAATTTGGGTCTAGAAACTGAAAATTTTCGATTTTTACTCGAAAATCTATAGTTCTGACCAATTTTAAGCTGAAAATTGCTTCTTTCCGGCAAAAATTGAGAAATTTGGAGCCAGAAACTGAAAATTTTCGATTTTCTCCCAGAAAAGCACAAAATTTCATGGATTTTCCCAAAACCTTCAATTTTCAGCGATTTTTAGACAAATTTTAACACAAAAATTCGAAGTTTTCAAAAACAGAAAAAAGTACGTTTCAAAATTTTGATATAATTTTTAATCAAATATCATTATCGATGCTCGGTTCGATGAACTTGTACATTTTAAATTATTCTCGAGAAATAAGCATTTTCAGCCAGAAAACTTGAAAATCTACATTTCTGATCAAATTGAGGCTCAAAATTGCTCATTTTCGGAAAAATTGAGAAATTTGGATTCAGAAACTGGAAAATTTCGATTTTCATCCAAAAATTTTCAAAAACAGAAAAAAGTACGTTTCAAAATTTTGATATAATTCATTATCAACAATTTTTTTCAATAGTAATAAGTTCGATATTCATTCAATTATTTTCGAGAAATGGGCAAATTTTAAGAAAACCCTTAAATTCAGGAAAATGTTCAGTTTTGTTTTTTCAAAAAATTTAATTTTTTTCGGATTTCAAGCTTTCATCATGAATTTTCTTTAAGGAAAATCCGAAATTCGGCTGAAATACCGTAAATTTAGAGGTTTTCTGAATTTTTGCAGGAATTTGGAAAATTCAAATTTCTCTGTCTGAATCTATTTTTTCTCAAAATTGGTCTGATTGTAGAAAATTTCAGAATTTTTCTCCAAAAAATTGGACCTGGATTACCTGATCTTTCTTATTATCTCAAAAATTCTTTGTTTCAGCGTCGATCAATTGGAATTTTGATGAACGAGAATCAAATTGCACTAAATCCACCACAATTGGATGAAACTGAAGTGCCACCAAATGAACAAGTGGAAAAAGAAACCGAAAAGGAAAAAACGGTTCAAGAAGAAGAAGAAACAGAAGTTGCTGAAACTGTGGCTGAAAATCAAGAAGTTGAGGAAAATGAAAAGACATTGGTGAATGAAGAAGTTCAGGGAAATGAGCCAGAAGCTGAAGAAGAAGCTGGAAAAGCAGAAGAAGAGCCGGTTGAAAGTCGTTAGTTTTTGAGAATTTTTTTCTGAATTTAATTATTTTTGAACCTTTTTTGCAGCTCCAAGAAGACGAAAAACACCGCAAAGAAATCAGGAAAAAGAAGAAGATGAGAAGACGGTTTGGAAAAAACCGAAACTTGCTGAAGGTATTTTTTCATTGATATTTTGTAATAAAAAATGCTGAAATATACAAAATAATATTTTTGATTAGAGACAAAGAGAAAATGAGAGAGTGCAGACAGAAAAAAAATAGTTTTCTGTATTTTTTGTGCGAAAAATCAATTTTTCTGTCTGCACTCTCTCAATTTCGTGTTGTCTCTAATCAAAAATAAAATTCTGGAAATTATGTTTTTCGACGATTTTCTGCATTGGAAAATATGTTTTTTATTAAAAAATATTAATCTGCATAGGCCCATTAGAGGAGAATGAAAAAGAATCGAAAAAAAATATTCGATTAAAAATTATATCAAAATTTTGAAACGTATTTTTTTTGGTTTTGGAAATATGGAATTTAATTTTTAATCAAAAAATATTAAAATTGTAATTAATTTCAGAATCTCCTGAAGAACCTGCAAATACTTCGACAGCAAATGTGACCCTTCGCCGAAAATCTCGAAGAACCAGTCAAATTCCCGAAGTTGCCCAAGAAAATCTGGAAAATCGCCGAAAAACGCGACAACGAGCGGAAACACCGCTGATTTTCGATGAGACTGTGTTGAAAGAGGGACGATTTTGCTCGACGCCGATTCAGCGAAGATCGATGGCTGATGATGCGGAGGAACAGCAGGAGAATTTGAATGTGGGTTTTTTTTGGATTTGGAATTTGAAAATTTGAGGCTGGAGGAGAAAAAAATGAGAAAAAATTAGGTTACTGTAGATTAAAATTTCGCGCCAAAAAATCTTACAGTAGTCCTGGGGTTTTTGGTGTTAGAAAAATGCGGATTTCACAGCCTAATCTCTGGTTACTGTAGGTCAAAATTTCGCGCTAAAAAATCTTACAGTAATCCTGGGGGTTTTGGTGTTTGAAAAATGCTGATTTTCAGGTTACTGCATTTTTCACATCATTTTCAGCTGCAATGCTAGCTCTAAAGTTCGAGTTACTGTAGATCAAAATTTAGCGCCAAAAAATCCTACAGTAATCCTGGGCTTATTTGCTGTCAAAGTATGTGGATTTCCGCCCAGAAATGTTGGTTACTGTAGATCAAAATTTCGCGCTAAAAACCCTACAGTACCCCCGGGCTTTTTGGTGTTAGAAAAATGCAAATTCTCAGGTTACTGTATTTTATAGCGCCAAAATTCAGGTTACTTTATTTTTCACATCATTTTTAGCTCTAAACTTTGGGTTATTGTAGATCAAAATTCACCTACAGTAAGCCTGAGCTTATTTGATCTCAAAATATGCGGATTTCTGCCCAGAAATTTGTATTACTGTAGACCAAAATTTCACGCCAAAACCTACCGTAATCCTAGGCTCATTTGGTTTAAAAATATGTGGATTTTTAGCCCAAAAAAATCTACAGTAATAATATTTTCTTATGCCTCTTTAATAAACAACTTTCAGGTCACTTTTGATTTAAATCTTTCGGCAATTGGAAAAGATGCGACTAGAAGAAGTATGTTTTTTTTTTCTCAATTTTTCCTAATTCCTAATTTTCAATTTTTCCAGGGCGCACAAAGAAAACAATGGCAGATATTTTGGAGGCCGAAGAATAATATTATTTTAATTATTTCAACGTATTTTTTTGTATTTATTAAATGCATATCTTGTTTTTTTACACTTGTCAAAAATTAAAAAAATATTTTTAATCAAAATTTTGAAAGATTTACAAGGAAAACGTATATTTTAAAACGAACCAACGGAAATTATCCAGAATAATCTTCGTGTTCAAAAAGAATTTGATCATAAGCTTCGGCTTTGACTGTTTTTCCGCCGAAAAATCGATTGTCCAAAGCGGTTTTTGCCTTATCGACTTGTGATGGATCGGCGAAGCGAACGAAGATTTTGACGATTCCCATGTGAGCGAAATTTGCGATGACAACCTGGAATTAGAATTTATTGGCTTAGAGAAAGGTTTAAAGTTACCGAAGAGAATATTTGAATGATGCATTGCTCAGTTTAACGAAAAATGATGGAAAATTAGCATTGCTCATATTAAGAGACATGTTAAAAATGTCCAGGAAATATTGTAGGTCAAAACTAGATTTTTGAGTTTTTCTAATTTTTTTTGAGTTTTTAGGTTAAAAATGATGAGAAATCGAGGATTTTTAAGCTTCTGAGGGGTTATTTGACGATTTTTAAGCTTTAAATCCAATTTTCTGATGTTTGTGTCGAAAAAATCAGCACAACCATCTGAAAATTGGATTCAAAGCTAAAATTTCATCTGAGAAGCTTCAAAAAATTCGTTTTTTGCGTTTTTCAGTTAAAAATGATGACAAATCGAGGATTTTTAAGCTTCTGGAGTGATTTCTGATGAAAATTGACCTTTTCCGATGTTTGTGTTGATTTTTCAAATTAAAATCAACACAAACACCTGAAAATTGGATTCCAAGCTCAAATTTCATTAGAAATTGAAGCTTCAAAAATTCGATTTTTCATCATTTTTGGCTGAAAAACTCAAAAAACTAATTTTGACCTACAATATTTCCTGGACATTTTTAAGATGTCTCTTAATATGAGCAATGCTAATTTTTCTCCAAAAATCCCTAATTTTTTGTTAAACTTATGAAAAATGCGGTTTTCCAAGCTCATTTTCATCAAATATTACCCCAGAAGCTTATTAAAAACCCATGTTTTCTCGTCAATTTTTGACTTCGCGTGAAGCAAAAACCGCGCCGCACAGCCGCACGCGCCTGACAAAGTAGTAACTCACATCATTAACAACTCCATACTTCTCACATTCTTCTCGAATCTCCGCCTCCAAATACTCATCCAAATCCTCCGATCCCACCATATTTCTCAAAATCAGCACACACGATCGATTGGTTCTCATCAATTTGGTCATCAACAAATGTCTCGCGTCATTTCCGCGAATCTCCAAACCTTCTTGCGACGCCAGTGACGCATCTTCGCTATTCATCACCTCATTCTTCAACGCGTCCGACATTTCGCCAGCTTTTGCGGCGGCCGCGAGAGCGCCGGCTGAATTGAGTTTCGGCTGGATTTTTTTCGCCTCTTTTTGTCGACGTGGTTTTTTCTGCTTGGTTTCGATGGCAGCTGCAGCAGCTTCGGCTTTCTTTTTATTCGCCAACATTAATGCGCCACCTCCGTCAATTAGAGCTAATGCCATACTTTGCACATTATCACCACCTCTTCCTGGTCCCATTATTGCGAGCATTTCGGCTTCGGTTTGCTCTTCGGCTGTTGGATCTTTCCAGGCGACATGTTCGTCGAGTGCTCCAAATGTTACCGGATCTGTCATTCTTTCGTTTTGCGCTGCTTTTTGTTGATTTAAGACTTGAGCCATCTGGAAAAAGGAATATTGAGGTTGGATAATTTTTTTATGAATTCCGAATTTCCAAGCTGAATTTCAGATTTTTTCAAAAATAGAGCAATTCTAATTTTTCAAAAACTGTAAAATTACGTTTCAAAATTTTGATATAATTAATTTTCAAATATATTTTTCAATAACAATATCACTACGCTTTTTATAAAGAAATTAATTTGAAAAATTTGAATTAAAATTTTGAAATTATCGATTTTTGGTTCAAAATACGTGTACACTTTGAATTATTCTTGAGAAAACAGCATTTTCAGCCAGAAAAACTTGAGAAAATCTACATTTCTGATCAAATTGAGGCTCAAAATTGCTTATTTTCGGTAAAAATTGAGAAATTTGGGTCCAGAAACTGAAAATGTTCGATTTTCATCCAGAAAAGCACGAAAATTTCAGGCATTTTCTCAAAACCTTTAATTTTCAGCGATTTTTAGACAAATTTTAACACAAAAATTCTAATTTTTCAAAAACAGTAAAAATACGTTTGAAAATATTGATATAATTTATTTTCAAATTTTTTTTTTCAATTCGTTTGTGTTAACCTCGATATATCCCATTGGATTTGTCAAAAATTTCCGAATTTCCGAGCTGAATTTCAGATTTTTTAGAAAATAGAGGATTTGGCGGTCAATTTTCAAAAAAATCCGAATTATTCTTATGAAATTCTAATTTTTCATATCCAGCTTCAAAGATCTAGGCTTAGGCTTCAAATTAGAAGCAAACTTCAGAGCGAGCCTAAAACTTGGGAACTATCTAGAAATTAGTTGAGCGTCTGCCAATACTATTAGTTGAGCGTCTGCCAATAACAGAATCAAAATTTGACAAAAAATACAAAACATATTGAACAATTTAGAAACAGTGAATTTTTGAGATTTTTTTCACCTCCAAAAAAAATTCGGGCTTGTACGGAAAAATTCAACTGCATGGTTTTTGAGAATTTGTTATGCAAGATTTTTGAAACAGTGAATTTTTCACAATTTTTTAGTTTTCTAGATCTGAATTTTGTGCTGAAAACGCTGGACACACTTAAAATTGCTGAAAATCACGATTTTCAGCATTTTCAGGACAAAATTCGAGCCTAGAAATGATTTTCTAAACACTTTTCTAAGCTTCTCTAGTCAGATTTCAAGTTTCCCTAACTCACTTTCAGCAGAAATTTTCCCCCAAAAATTTTGTGTTTTCAAAAAATATTACCTTTTCCTCAAACGTCAATTTATTCAGCGCCTCTTTTTTCAGCTTTTTTCGCTGCGAAGTCGAGATTTTTACACGTTGTTGTTGTTGTTGTGGTTGAGAAGGTCCTTCGCATTGTTCTGAAATTTTTTTTAATTTTCAGATTTTCAGATTTGCCACGTGGCAGGAAAAAACCAACCTTCCTCTTGTTCTTCCTCTTCTTCAGCTTCAGCTTCCTCTTTTCTTTGAGTCGACAATTTTGGCACAATTATAGTGGGCGGAGCTACGAGACCGGGAGGTGGGACTATTGGAGCTGGTGCTGGAGCTGGTGGAGCTACAACTTCTTGTGGAGGCTCAACATGAACATCTTCAGCTTCTTCCTCAACTTCCATATCCATATCCATTTCAATATTTTCTTGTGGAGAAGGAATTATTGGAGCTGGCGGTGGAAGCGAGAGTGACATCAGGGGAATTGGATTGATATTCAATTTGACATCGATGTCAGTTGGAAGTGAAGATGATGGAGTTGCTGGAGATTTTGGAGCTGGACTGGCACTTCGTGAACCATTTGGGGTGGATTTCTGGAAGAAAATTGAATTATTTTTTGAAATTTAACAATTTTTGAAGTTCAGTCGCGTGCGGCTGTGCATTGTGGTCGGGAAACAATCAATCAATAATTCATTTTTCCCGACCGCAACGCATAGCCGCACGCGACTGAAGAAGTATTTAATGTTTTTTTTCATTCATTCACTTTGGAGAGAGAGACGCAGAGAAAAAGAGGAAACTAACACGCGAAATTTTGAAATACCGTGATTTCAAGACTTCAAAACCTTCGAAATGTTTTCATATTCTCAATTACACGGCCTTTTACAGGGTAAATCAAGAAATCCCCCAAGAGAACTTCAAAACACCAAATCCATTTGCAGTTTCGTGTCGAGACCAAGCGCGGGAAATTTATTTTTCGAATTCAAAAATGTTTCCCGCACTTGGTCTCGAAACGAAGCTGTTTCTCTGCGTCTCTCATCTTCCTATTATGTCTCGCAAATCCAACAAATTCGCTGAAGAAAATTCGGGGAAACCCCTAGAAACCCTGGCTTACTTTGCTAATTAATAATTAGTATAAATTAAAAAAAATATTCTCGGGATTTCCCCCAAATAATCTTCACCAACTGGGAAATGCGAAACATTTATTAGGTTAAAAATCAATTAAATAAAAATAATAAAACACAGTATTTTACAAGAGATCTCTCAAATTTGCGGCGAAATCCCGGCAGTTGCCGCCAATCTTACCAATGCTGGCGAAGAAGCTGCCTCGGCTGCCATGACTTTTGCCGTGATTGCTGCGCACGCGACGGAAACACTGGCTGGTAGATTGTTGGCGGCGGCGGGTTGAAGGTAGGCCAGAGCGTCGGGTGGAGTCACACATTTACCGACCTGAAAAAATATGGGTTATCAATTGAAAAATTACCTTTTGGAATGGAATTTGAGAGAAAATATCTGGAATTTTAATAGAAAAAAACACAAAACAAAAATTATAATGGGGCGAAAAAAAAATGTTTTCTCAGCTTTAAGAAAACAAGAAAAAGCGACAAAAAACCTATTCAAGTCGGTTAAGAAAACATAAAAATCAAACACGTTCAATACACAAATTGCGACGAGACCCAACGAAAAACAACATGTTCCTTTGACCTTTTGCATTACTGTAATTGGTCCCGCTGCTAAATTCTACAGTATCTTAAAGGGGGAATACCCAATTGTCTCTCATAACATGTGTGATACACCATTCGATTCAAAATTCCAAATTTCTAGAATAAGTTTTGAGAGCTAAAAATTTTGGTGCATATATAAAATGGAATTCTGAATCGAATGATGTATCACACATGTTATGAGAGACAATTGGGTATTCCCCCTTCAAGATACTGTAGAAATTCGCAGCGGGACCAATTTACAGTGATGCAAAAGGTCAAAGGAACATTTTGTTTTTCGTTGGGTCTCATCGCAATTTGTGTGTTGAACGTGTTTTATTTTTATGTTTTCTTCGCTTTTCTCCCGTTTTCTTAGCGCTGAGAAAACATAATTTTTCGTTGAATAGCTCCATAAATAGGTCCTAAACAGCTTACCCTCAAAAATTGTCCACCCAAATCGAACATATTCATTCCGGAAATCGCCTCATTTTGCGAAGTAATATTATTGAACTCAATATACCCGAAACCCCGATGTCCTCTTCCATTTGGTGTTCTTGCCAATTGACATTTTACAACTTCACCAAACGCTTCAAAAACACTTTTCAAATCGGTTTCCGATAAATCTGGATGAACTGACGCGACATAAACACGGAAATATTTTTTCGCGTCTTTTTGAACCATATCGATGATTGGTTGAGCTTGTGGCATATTTGTTGGGAGACGCGCCTCTTGGAACATCTGAAAAATGATTTTTTTTTATTTATAAATAGTAACCACAAGGGAACTTTTGATGAAAAATATCGAAATATACCAAATCGACCATGCTGATCACGAATCCGAAGTCAAAAATTGACACTTTTCTGGAGTTCCAAAGTTAGAATTGATTTTTTGCTCATTTTCACCATGTTCCCGGTGGAAAATCAACTCTTATAACTTGAATGAGCTACATACGAAAACCTATCCGCTTTTTCAAAAAATATCAAAAACCAGCTGAAAACTGTAATTTTCAAAAATTCCCGTGTGTTCAGGACGTTTGCAGTTTTCAGCTGGTTTTTGATATTTTTAAAAGTAAAAAGCGGATAGGTTTCCGAATGTAGCTCATTCAAGTTATAAAAGTTGATTTTCCACCCGGGAACATGAAGGAAAATCGCCAAAACCAAAACTCAAGGAGCTCCAGGAAAGTGCTCAAAGGAATTTGTGCCAATTTTTGACTTCAGATTCGTGATCAGCATAGTCGATTTGGTATATTTCGATATGTTTCATCAAAGAGCAGAAACTCACCATTGAATTACATTTCAAGTTTCGACCAGCTAACATTTGACCATTCATTGATTCTTGCGCGAGTAACGCTGCTTCTGGAATTTCATATTCGACAAACGCAAACGTTTTGTGATGTCCAGTTGTTGGATCCCAACTCATATTTATACTTTTAATCGGGCCGAAGGGATCAAAAGCTTTGCGAAGCATTTCTTCACGAACTTCGAAAGATATCGAACCAACATATATTCTTGACATTATGGATAAAGCTTGTGCATACATTTGTTGTTTTTGTGCCTGAAAAATTTTTTTTATTTTCAAAATCAATTTTTTTCCAACTCACATTTTCTTGCTGTTGCTTTTGTTGTCGCAAAATAATCTGCTTGATCGAAATATCCATCGCATATCGTTTCGCATTGTGCAAATCATCTTTTCGTTTCGACGACAACTTGGAAAGCCCTAAACCAACTCTTTGGGCGTCTTTTTTTGCACCCGGTCCAACAAATACCTCTCCATGTTGTTGTAGAAGCGGCATTGGAACTGTGGCAGTAGAAATCGCAACATTCTCTTCGATATCCATGTTTTCACCCATTTTCGAAAAGCGGTTACGGGTTTTTCGAAAATAATAAAAGAGATAGACAGGCAAGCGCGCTCCATTGACACACCTAAAAATTGCCGTTTTTGAAAAAATGCAACATGTCCGCACAGTTTTTTTTCGATAAAAAAAAATTAATTTTTTTTCACGTATTTTGTTGCTGAACAAAAAATCTCGGTTCGCTGTTTAAAGGGACATGCTTTAATTTTCCACCAAAATCTCAAGAACGGCTGCATCAAATCCAAATCTGAGTACACCATCTTTATCCCCGTGAAAAACTGCATGGAAATAAGCTTTGGTGGAGCGAACGGGTGCCGTTTTAGCGTTTTGGGGTTCGTGGCGAGACCAATTTCGAAAAATAGCGCGCAAAATGGAGAGACGCGAGACATTTTTGTGCATTTGTGCGTCACCGTGTTTGCACAAGTCAATACAGTATACCAACCGCGAACCGAGTGCCAAAAAAATACGTGTTTTTCAGCTTCACAAAAATGAGTCAAGGAGGCAGAAGCAATTATCAAATCCAACCCAAAGTAAAACTATCAAAAACCAGCGGAAAACAGAATGGTTACATGATTTGGATCAGAGAAAGGGGAAGAAATGATTTCCGCCAACGAAAAGGATGTAATTATAACACAACTAACTTGGAACATCAAGCAGAAATGGGAAAATTGTGGAATGAATTAAGTGACGAAGATAGGCTTTTGTATAAAGAAAGAGCAAAACATGCGAATTCGAATCCTGAAGAAGTGACGAGAAGAAGACATGAAACAAATCGATGGAGAAGAGATCAATTGCATAGAAATGCTGACGTGTTTCTTGACAGAAGAAATGAGCATTATAGTGAACTTGTAAGACGTCAGGAATTCAAAAGAAATCAGCGGGGAATGGCGAAGATTCCGGAAAAAGAAACACCGTGGACAAGATTTCCAACTTTCGATGAGGATATTAAAATCAAACGAAAAGCTGACAGAGAACATCTGAAAAATGTTGTAACTTTTCGAACATTGGGAAGACTTGAGAATCCTTTCGTCACAAATCCAAAGAAAAATACTTTTCAAATAATATCGGTGTTTCCCATCACATTTCTATGTAAATCACAATTTTCCGAAGTTTTCACATATCCTGCCGAGATTTCTATAATGACAGCGGACCTTAAACATGGAATTATTGATTTGAAATCGATTCAAGTCGAGTTTCGACCAGATCTTTTTTATGGAGAAAATCAAGAGGATTTTGAATTGGATAGACAAACAAGGCAGATTTATAGTTGGTGGAAATTTAGAATTTTTCAGAAAAAAAAAATCATATATTTTAAATTTTCAGCCGAATGTTTGGGAGTTCCTTCAAGTGGTCCAAGCAACGCTTTATCACCAGAACAGGCGCATCGATGGGTTATTGCGAATACGGATAAAAGTTATTTTCAACTTTGCGATTACAAACAATTCACATGGGTTGTAAGTAGTTTTATATCTACTATTTTAAGTTCTCATCCAAATTTTCAGACGCAAGGTCTTCGAACCTTATCAATAATCGCCGGATTTGCTGCGCGAAAAGATTTCGAAGAGCACATTGCTAATAGACTTGTGACAATTCAGGATTTTGCCATTGAAATTATCGCAAACACGTCGTGTTCGGTTTATGAGAAATGGAATGAGGAGGATATTGAAGAGGCGTTTTTGGTGCGGTTAATAACATGAGCAACATTATTTTTAAGATTGAAATAATGATCTTTAAAAAAATCCAGAAAAATTAAAGTTCTGAAATTTGCGCCCGAATTCTTATAAATTGCGAATTCACAATTTTCTAGGTCTCGAAGCGATTTTCAGATTTTCCGCTTCAAGACCTCAAAATACTGTCCAAGATTTTCCTCTTTTTTAGTATCAGAATAATGCTCTTAACATGAGCAATACCTTAATTAAGATTAACATGAGCAACATCCTTTTTAAGCTTAAAATAATGCTCTTAACAGGGCCAACTTATTTTAAGGTTAAAAAGCGCTGAATAATATGAATTTAGTGTCAAAATAATGATCTTCACATGAGCAATACCTTAACTAAGATTAATATGAGCAATGTCGGCTTAAAACAATTATCTAACATGAGCAATACCAAAAAAATGATAAACCACAAAATATGCTTTAATTTTCAAAAAAAAAGTTTTCTAGCTATGATGCGCCTTTAAAAGCCCTTAAAAATCACTGGATTAACATGAGGAATATAAATATTTTCTTCAGAACAATCGATTATTACCCCAATCATCCGGGTTTTATTGCGATTTCCATCAGCGAATGGACGAATCAAATCTCTCCAAATATCAATGTTGTATAACTCACAATGTTCGACTTCTGTAAGCTTTTTTTTCATCAGGAGCCGAATTCATTTATGAAAATCCCCCAGAAAATCTTAATTCCAGTCACGTTTTCCTGGATATTTGCAAAGAGAATGGCCTCCAAACCTTCAATCAACACTACAATCCAACAATTCATAATCTATGTGAGCAGAAACAAGAGGCGGTTGCGAATTTGCCAATGGCTCCAAGTATTGATAAACCTCAAGCGAATCAGCCTGTTCGAGCAGCTGAACCTGCGAATATTTATGAAAATGCGCCGATTGGTGATTTGCATCCGATGATACGATATTTTAATAGGGGATCAGGTGAGACTCGACTTTTTCTGAAATTGCAGTTATCCTATGACGTGGCAAAGTTGAAAATTATCTTCAAAAATGATTTTCATGCAAATCTGAGGTTTAGGTTCAATTTTTCGGATTTTTGAATTTCAGAGTTGCTAGACCCAAATTTCGTGCTGAATATGCTGGAAACAATGAAAATTGCTGAAAATCAAGATTTCCAACATTTTCAGCTCAAAATTTGAGCCTAGAAAGTCTCCGTGCCAAAAATTACGAAAATTTGGATCAACCGAATAAGTGTCAAAAATATCATTTTTCTATATCAGAATTTTGTGCTAAAAATGCTGAAAATCGTGATTTTAAACGATTTTCAGTGTTTCCAGCGTTTTCAGCACAAAAATCTGGTCTAGAAAACAATTTTTGACAGTAATCCAAATTTTCGGAATTTTTGGCACAATTTTCTACAATAGCTTTTGAAAAGTTGCTAGACCAAAATTTCGTCCTGAAAAACATTGGAAACGCTGAAAATTGCTGAAAATCAAGATTTCCAGCGTTTTCAGCACGAAATTTGAGGCTAGAAAGTCTCCGTGCCAAAAATTACGAAAATTTGGATCAACCGAATAAGTGTCAAAAATATTATTTTTCTATATCAGAATTTTGTGCTGAAAAATGCTGAAAATCATGATTTTCAACGATTTTCAGTGTTTCCAGCGTTTTCAGCATAAAAATCCGATCTAGACAACTATTTTTGACAGAAATAACCCTGTAAGGTACATTTATTCTACCCAAAACCTATTTTTTTCATATGAAAATTGAGATTTTCTGAGCAAACTTTGGAGCTCAGACTGGAGCTCAGCAGCTAATTTTTGCGGGATAATGATCAGCGCGTCGAGTTACCTAACACTGAATTTACCTTATTTCAAAGCCCGTTATCACCCGAATGCACCCTTAATTCCTATGACGTGGCGACTTTGGGAGGTCAAAACTCGCTTTCAAAAAAGTTTTCATGAAAATCTGATAGGATAGGGTTGTTCAGAAGGTTTAGGTTCAATTTTTCGGATTTTTGAATTATCTAAAGTCCCGCCACGTCATAACTCATATTAGACTACCAGAAAACGTATATTTTATTAAAAACGCTTAATTATTCAATAAAAAATCAACAAAATGATCGATTGGTTCAACAATAATTGGAATCAAAATCAATCCTGAAGTTGTTGAAAATCTTCTTCGAAATTTCGGTTGAAACAATCGAGTTCTAGCCATCAGGAAGTTCAGGGAGTAACAAAATCGATTGATGATTAAACCCGGCAAAATCAAGGAGGCTAGAATTTGCCAAGACAAAGTGTGACCAGCAGCCAGAATTCTATGAGATTTTGTGTGCTGAAAATGAAAAAAAAAAAGTTTTTTTATGGATTTACCTTATCCATCAGTGAATTAGCGACTCTAAGGCGATATTTAGGCTAAACCTTACCATAGTTTGATTAATTGTATCACCTGCAATATATCCAAACGTAATGACATACGAAAATTTGACGAAAATTGGTTTGATCAAAAATCGACAAGCTTCTCCGATATCATTTGCGTAGCATGGAAAGTTGGAATTTTTATCAAAAAAATTGAAAATTTTGAGCCTAACGAGGGAAGTGTGTGACCAGTCCCCGGAAATTTTCAATGAGACCTATGTTTTTTAGGTCAGTTTTTCACGCTGATAAAGCTCCTGTTTTGCTGAACGACTCTCTGAAGAGCCCAAAAATGAGCCCAAAGTTGAGAATTTCCTGAAAATCGCGTTTTTGAGAGCCCATAACTCATGTTAGAAATTATTTTTATGGAAAACTGAATGCATCACGTTGTTCAGGAGGGTCGATTTACCAAAGTCACAAGTTTTGACAAAATTTTCCAAAAATTTTCAAATGTGCAATCCATGAGCCTATTTTTCTGAGCCACAAAATTTTTTTCTGAAAAAGCATGGACTTACTAATCAAAAATTTGTGACTTTGGTAAATCGACCCTCCTGAACAACATGATGCATTCAGTTTTCCATAAAAATAATTTCTAACATGAGTTATGGGCTCTCAAAAACGCGATTTTCAGGAAATTCTCAACTTTGGGCTCATTTTTGGGCTCTTCAGAGAGTCGTTCAGCAAAAACTGAAAACAGGATCTTTATCAGTGTGAAAAACTGACCTAAAAAACATAGGTCTCATTGAAAATCTCCGGGGACTGGTCACACACTTCCCTCGTAAGCACTTACCTAAATATCTAATTGGATATTGTCGAAAAATATCGCCTCCCTCGTTTTTCTCCTTCATTTTTTAAAAATAAGAAATGAGGAAATTCGGATAGATAAACGTGAAATAATTTTAGAATTTTTGTTTTTTTCAAATTTTCTCTGAAATTTGTGGCGAAAATGTATTTAAAAAATATTTTCTCCAAATTTCTACCAAATGTCCGTTTCAGGACCTTAAATTCCCAATTTTTTTAGATCTCAAAGCGATTTTCTTAACATGAGCAATACCTTAGTTAAGGTTAACATGAGCAACATCATTTCAAGGCTTAAAATAATGCCCTTAACATAACCAGCTTATTTTTAGGTTTAAAATCACTATGAATTTAGTGTCAGAATAATGCTCTTAACATGAGCAATACCTTAGTTAAGGTTAACATGAGCAACATTATTTTTAAGCTTCAAATAATTCTGTTAACATGAGCAATACCGATAAAAAAAATGGTTAAAAAAGTCTTCTAGTTCTCATGTGCTTTTAAAAAGTGCCGAAAATTCGAAGAAAATCTGAAATTCTCGAATAAAATCTGAAATTTTATCAGAAAAATTTAAAAATTAGAAAATTCCTACGATTTTCAGCCCAAACCTCAAAAATCCCAATTTTCCCATCTCCATGAAAATCTGAAATTTTTAAATAAAAATTCAAAAATTTGAAAATTCCTACTTAGTTAAGATTAACATGAGAAACATCACTTTTGAGCTTAAAATAATGCTCTTAACATGAGAAACATAATTTTTAAGCTTAAAATACTAATCTTTTTGGTCCTGAAACCATTTTTAGTCAACAATTTTTTGAAAAAAATGAATGTTCTTCTCGAATAAAATCTGAAACTTCTATGATTCTCAGCCCAAAAAATCCCCAATTTTCCGTTTGCAGACATCGAATTCTGTCGCGAAATGCTGGCCCTCTACGATTCCTCATCCGACGAAGAAGAAGACGAAACGCGTCGAGAAAACAGATACAATCTGAGTGAACTTCAACTTCATTCAACCAACAACAATCAGCAGATTCGACAACTCAACGACGGTTTTCCACGAATTCGTTGCATCAATAATTCGACACAGAATACGATTATTAATTCGGCGAATCGTGAAAACAATATTCCAACAACATCTTCAGCTTCAGCTTCTAATTCTAATTCTCAAAATCAAAATAATGAAAGAATTCCTCAACCAACACGATTCGATCCACCACAACAAGAACCAGGGTTTGGCAATAGTTTTGCACGCGAGTTGAGAGAATTGAAACTTCAAGCCGAAGATTCCAAGTGAGTTATTCTGATTTGATTTTTCACGGCCTTTTACAGGGTAAAAAATTACCCTGGTAAAGACCGTGTTCCCGATTTTCAGACAATATCTCTACACACCTGATCCAACTCGTCAAAAGCTCAAAATTCTCGAAATCTTCACCTCCGACAAAACCGACGATTTCTACAATTGGATTCCAAATGAAGATTTCTCTGATGGTAAGCATCCTCGAAGTGAATCTTCAAAAAAAAAATCAATATTTTCAGCCAAAGCTTACAATCATCACCCGGCAATTTATCCACGAGACTAACAACAAAAAATAAAACTTTATTCACAAAAATGAATTAAATTTATTTATCAAAACTAGAAAATTGAACAATGAACCGGTTTAGATGAGAAAATGTGGGGAATATATTATAGTCCAGGATCAACGATTACAACAACACCCCTTGCTAGCAAAAATCTTCAACTGTGCTCCACAAAAATTGGATTTTTTGAAAAAATCCAACTTTTTGGAGCACAGTTGAAGATTTTTGCTAGCAAAAAATCCAATTATTTTGGAGCACAGTTGAAGATTTTTGCTAGCAAAAAAATCCAACTTTTTGGAGCACAGTTGAAGATTTTTGCTAGCAAAAAAATCCAATTATTTTGGAGCACAGTTGAAGATTTTTGCTAGCAAAAAAATCCAATTATTTTGGAGCACAGTTGAAGATTTTTGCTAGCAAAAAAATCCAATTTTTGGAGCACAGTTGAAGATTTTTGCTAGCAAAAAAATCCAATTTTTTGGAGCACAGTTGAAGATTTTTGCTAGCAAAAAAATCCAACTTTTTGGAGCACAGTTGAAGATTTTTGCTAGCAAAAAAATCCAATTTTGTGGAGCACAGTTGAAGATTTTTGCTAGCAAAAAAATCCAATTTTTGGAGCACAGTTGAAGATTTTTGCTAGCAAAAAAATCCAATTTTTGTGGAGCACAGTTGAAGATTTTTGCTAGCAAAAAAATCCAACTTTTTGGAGCACAGTTGAAGATTTTTGCTAGCAAAAAAATCCAATTTTTTGGAGCACAGTTGAAGATTTTTGCTAGCAAAAAAATCCAATTTTTTGGAGCACAGTTGAAGATTTTTTGCTAGCAAAAAAATCCAATTTTTTGGAGCACAGTTGAAGATTTTTTGCTAGCAAAAAATCCAATTTTTGTGGAGCACAGTTAGATACATCAATGATAATTTTAAGGGAGCTGTACCATTTTTCACGTCGAAGAAAATCTTCAAAAAAATCAATATTTTCAGCCAAATCATCACCCGGCAATTTATCCACGAGGCTAACAGCAAAAAATAAAACTTTATTCACAAAAATAAATTAAATTTATTTATCAAATTTTGAAAAAAGAAAAAAGCAAACTAGAAAATTGAAAAATCAACCAAAACTAACATTGATTTTTTTGATTGATTTGACGGCAAAAGATTTCTCACTTATCAAAAATAATTACGAAGTGAGTTATTTTAAAATTCATCAAATTTCAAGAGAGATAGGGAGATCAAGTTCATCTTTAATTATATAATTTTTTCAGACTTTGAACTATCAATTATTTTGTTCTGCAAATTTACCAGCTATAAGCAATTTATGCTTAGAACTGGTAACAAAACACAAAGAAGTCAATAAAGAACTCATAGAAGCTCTTGGACCAGCATATACATATATAATTCAGTTGATTTGAATAATTTTGAAACGTAAAATTTCCTTTTTGTTACACATAATTTTTTTTTGATATTACATCAATGATAATTTTTGTCTAAAAAAACTGAAAAACAAGGGGATAAAAATAAAACTTTATTCACAAAAATAAATTAAATTTATCAAATTTTTGAAGAGAAGCAAACTAGAAAATTGAAAAATGAACCGGTTTTAAGTTAGATGAGAAAATGGGGGGAATATATTATAGATAAATAAGAATTCATGTTAGACACCCGCAAAATGGAATAATTTGGAGAGGATTTAAAAAACCTGGAGTTAATTATTTCGATTCTTTTTGATTTTTTTTTACATATTATAAGCGACGTAGATGGGATTGAGTTTCTCATCAAGGAATAGATTTCGAATTGTGCTTCGAAGTTTTTCACCGTTTGGACCATGTCGAATTGATCCAGGATCAACGATTACAACAACACCTGCAAAAATTATTTTTTAAAGTTCCGGTTTCGAAGTTCAAACTTCTGGGAGAAATTCGATGTTGTCCCCAAAAAACCCACCAACAATCAAATGATGTTCTTCTAATACAGCACTAGTTATAGCTGGCACCAAATCGAGTGCTTCAGTTTCTGTGCCACTGCATTCGGCGGCAATCACAACGAGATGATTCCATGTGAAGACAGCGCTGGAAAAAAGGTCATTTAGAAAAAAAACACAGCGTGTAATTTACTGATTTTGACAGGGTGTGAGAGACTTAGAGAAAAATATGTTTGATCTACCCAGAAAAATTCAGAAAATGTCAAAAAACTATATTTTTTCCTATACAGAGCTGATGTAGAGCTGATTCACGAACAAAAAAAATTATCTTTTTTAACATTGTAGGTCAAAATTAGTTTTTCGAATTTTTCAGCCAAAAATGATGACAAATCGATATTTTTCAAGCTTCTGGAGTGATTTTAGATGAAAATTGATCTTGAAATTCACTTTCCAGAAGGTTTTGCTGATTTTTCGTAAAATAAAAAAATTTTAAATTTTGATGAATTTCGAAAAAAGCAAAATAGGGTTCTCGAAGCTTATTTTCATCAGAAATCACTCCAGAAGCTTGAAAAATATCGATTTGTCATCATTTTTGGCTGAAAAACTCGAAAAACTAATTTTGACCTACAATGTTTTCTTACATTTTTTTTACACAAAAATGAAAAATTTCTCGCAGCGAAAATGTTTCAATGAAAAAAAATATCACAAAAAATAAGAAAAAAAATAGTTTTTCGAAAGTTTCGATTCGAATCGTTTCAAATTTTATGAAAATATTTTTTTTTCGAAATTCTGTTTTCCCTACAAAATTTGGCGCGCGAATCTACGAAATTTTGAATAGTATAAATTTGGCGCGAAAATTTGAAATTTCAAAATTTTATTCAAATTCTGAAAATAAATTGAAAAAATGCTTTTTTTGGTAAATTTTAATTCCTTTCTGATACTTTAAATTTTTTTCAGAAACTTTTCAAAATGCTCTTCTGAAAAACCAGAAGAACCTGCTATTTTTTTTCAAAAAACTCACGAATCTCCAACAAATCGATGCGATTTGGCAACAGTTTGTTCAACATCAATCGGATGATATCGCATTCCTCTCAACACCAAACTATCAGCCAGCGCGCCAACAACAAAAACAGCATCGTGTAGTTCCCCGTGTTCAGTTATCGATTGAGTTTGTCGCAAAAATCCGAGATATCCCGTTCTTGCCCATCTCGTTTTTGTGTCTCCCGTGGTTAATCGAGCATTATAAACCATATCAGCAGCTGGAGAATCGCTGTTGGAAAGTGGCGATGCATTGTGAGCTGATGACACCCAAATCTCGCCAAGATGCGAATCGGCGCATTGTCCACGTGTTTCGGGATTGGCGATGGCGATTTTGACGCCGGGTAGAAGTTTGCCGGATTCGATGAGAGCCACACTGTGTGGAGCACCTTTGCCGACCAGAGAAATTCGATCATTTCGAAGTGCGCGCGCGTCAACGTATACTGTAGATGGTTCCGGACCACTTGCACCCTGAAAATATTGATTTTAAGTTCAGAAGAGCATTTCGAAAACTTTCTAAAAATTTTTGATTGTTTTGAATTTTTTTTAAAGATTCAGGAAATTTAACTAGGAAAACTCAAATTGGAATTAAAATTTACCAAAAAAAAAAAAGCTTTTTTTCTATTTATTTTCAGAATTTGAATAAAATTTTGAAATTTCAAATTTTCGTGCAAAATTTTCACTATTCAAAATATTAGCGCTGAAAATGAGATTTCAAATTTCGGAATTGTGTAAGGAAAACAGAATTTCAAAAAAATCTAACAAATTAAAAAAAAATGATTTTCAGTATAAATTTCATTTCACAAAATAAATTTTGAAAATAATGAATTTTCGTGCCAAATTGTTATTCTTCAAAATTTTAAAGCTAAAAAATTATAGTTAGAATTTCGAATTTAAAAAAAGTACCAAAATGTTGTGAAAAACTATTTTCAGAAAAAAAAATTTAAGTATAAATTTACATTCCTAAAAATGAAATTTAAAAGGAACATTTCAAATTTCCCGCGCCAAATTTTTATAATTCCAAAAAATTGCCCTAAAAATCAATTTTGAATTAAAAAAGGACCACAAAACTATTTTCAGAAAAAAAAAACTATTTTTTTTAATAATTATTTTCAATATAATCCCCCCCAAAAACCATACAAACCTGCATACAAACCGCCGAATTAACTCTCGACGAAAAAGCCGTCGAAACCGCTCGATTATTCAACGCCAACGGCGCAAATATTTTACAAAACGACGACATCAATCCAATTCTCGGCCTTTCTTCAGCCATCGCAACCAAACTTCGCAAAAGTGCCAAATTACATCCGCGCTCTTTCAAAGTCTCAACTTGACTCGCCAATTGTAAACAACACAATTCCAGCGTGGAATACGTTGTGAAACAATCTCGAACCTTCAAATTCGACAGCGTCGTCAAAAACAACGCGGGTTGCGCTTCAACTTCAGCCGGTGGAATGAGTGTCGTATGATGTCCAGAATAAACCGACGAGAGACACCAGAGAATCAATGATATTCCAGAATATGGCGATGTTGATACAACAATATGTCGTGACGGATACAATTCCGATGAGACTTTGATGGATTTGCAAGCTGAAATCGCAGCCCCTTCAGTTATAGAGCTTCCCGATAATTGTCCCAATGAATTCATCGAAAAATCCAAATAACATATTTCCTCTCGAATTGTACTACTTCCATTGCTACTAATCGTTGATGAATAATTCTGTTTTCTTCTCCACGAACTTGGCGCATCTTCCAAATCCAAAATCATTGGCCATGCATTCGAATCAATGCTATGCGCGGCTTCTTTGGATTTCAATAATTTCGAGACTGCTTGTGGTGCTAGAATCGCAACTGCTTTCGACATATCAACAATCATTCGAATTGGTCCGAGGGTTGTGTTGAGATCGGAGGCAATTGGTGGTCGAATTAGGACTGGAATTAGGCCGGCTGAAAGACATCCGAAAAATGCGGCGATTAGATCGATTGATGGTGAGAAGATTAATGCGACATGATCGCCTCGATTTAGGCGGGCTCGATCGGTTAGAAGGCCAGCTATACGTTCAGCGCGTCTGAATAAATGTTTTAATTGAAAAAAATATTTGATACAAAAATTATATCAAAATTTTGAAACGTATTTTTTTTGGTTTTGACAATTTGGATTTTTTTTTTTTACTAAAAATCGCTTCTTTTTTTTTTTTAGAAATTTTTTAAAACTCAAAAGTTCAGCCCCATCATTTTTGAGCCAAAAATTGTGCATCTGTTGAAAATTCATCAGCTTCTGACTAAAAAACTAGATTTCAACTTTTGAAATTAAAAAAAATATTTGATAAAAAAATTATATCAAAATGTTGAAACGTATTTTTTTGGTTTTGAAAATTTGGAATTTTTGAGCCGAAAATCGAAAATTTTCAGTTCCTGGACTCAAAAAACTGCAATTTTCTCAGTTTTCTGCCGAAAAATGCAATTTTGAGCTTGAAGTTGATCAAAAATGTAGATTTTCAGGTTTTTCTAGCTGGAAATGATAAGAATGAAAAAGATTTTGATTTAATGAAACATTTCAAGAAATGTTTCAAAATAATTTATCAGAAACCAGGATTTAGAGAAAATTGAATTTTTTTCAATTAAAAATTGCAAAAATATCATGAAAATCATCAGAATTAAGCGAAAAACCCGATTTTCAAATTAATTTTTAAAATATCATAACAATTTGTAAGAAAAATTCACATTAAAAAATTGATTTCTAAAAATTCAAATCACTTGGAAATCATCAGATTTCCAAACTCATTTTTCAAAAATTTGAAGATTTCCATGTCATAACAATTTTTAGGAAAGAATTCCCAAACCCTTCCCGCCCCCCCCCTCAAAAATCCCTAACTCACTTGAGCAAACTGGCAAACGTGGCACTGTCAGCTTCGGGATTCTTCCCCGAAACCAACGTCAAAATGCGATGTTCCGGTGATGTCTGCGCTCTCGATCTCAAACATTCAAGCAGTGGCATCGATACCTCATCATCAATACTTCTTCCTTTCGCCGTCGCAATTCGCACACCTTGCACAATATTTCCAACAAACATTGCGGCCGGTCCAACATCCGATTGTCTTTCACGCGGTTTCGGTAGATTTAGGACACAACTATGAGGACACATTAGAAGGGTGCTTGGATGAAGATCGCCATTTTCGAAACGTTGTTTCGTTTCGGAGACATGGACTCCTCCGAGGGGCGTTTTTGGGAGATGATTGGCTGGAACAAGGGCACAACAATAGATTCCGACTTGGTGAATTGTATCGATTGCTCGGAGAACTCGAGTTATCCACTGGAAAAATGAAAAATTAGGGATATTTAGGGTTACATGGCAATTGACTGAAATTTCATAGATTTCAGATCAAAAATCTTTTCCAAAATATTTATCTATTTTTAGATAAAAAAAGAGTAGGTATTATTTCAAAAATCAAAAATTTACAACACTTTTTCACCCACCGAACTTGCTCAACACTATAATAAAGACTCATAATAATAATGACCTATGTTACAATAAATACAAGCGCTTACTCGTCCTGGTTTTCATGACCATAGGCCCTGTCTTACCATACTTGTGTCTTTCTACCCATTTTTTTGTATTTTCCTTTTTCCCGAATATTTTTTATTTTCACGTTGTCCCCCAACGTATTTCAATAAATAAATAAATAAATTTTAAAAAAATTCAATTTTTTTCCGAATTTTTTGCAGAAAGCTTTGTGAATTTCCAATTTTTGGGAAATTTCTTGGAAACCTTGAAATTTGAATTTCAGGTTGGAAAAGTTTCAGAATTCAAAATGAAACCTGAAATTTGGAACTTTTCACAGTAAAAAACAATGAAAAAGTGAAAAATCTTGAAATTTGAATTTTGGCTTTAATTTCAGGCTTAAAAATTAGGCTTGAAATTTAATTTTGAGCTGAAAATTTAGGGTTTAATTTTGAGCTTGAATATCAGGCTTAAAAATTAGGCTTGAAATTTAAATTTGAACCTGAATTTCAATTTTGAGCTGAAATTTAATTTTGAACTTGAAATTCAATTTTGAGCTCAAAATTTAGGGTTCAAAATCAAGTGTTATATTAATTAAATTAAATTAAGACTTGATTTTAAATTTTAAATCAAAAAGATTTTAAAAGTGAAGCCTAAATTTTCAGCCTGAAATTCAAGCTCAAAACTAAATTTCAAGCCTGACGTTCAAGCTCAAAATTCAAAGTTAATTTTCAGCCCAAAATTGAAGCCAAAATGTAAATTCATAATTAATTAGGAACCCTACAGTAACCAACCTTTTTAATTAATTTTAGGCTGAAAATTCAGGCTTAACTTTTATCAAATACAAAATTTAATCAAAAAATGTGGATTTTTCCCTACAAAACCCCCAAAACTCACATCAAACGCTTCCTCCTCGGTACAATTAGGTTTCTGTTCGGCCACAATAACAATCCTCTCATCTCTCAAAACACTCGTCGAAAACACACAAATCCTTCCTCGATACACAAATTTCATTGGTTCAACAGCCAAAACTGTCGCAATAATATCATCAGCACTATGATATCGACCAGAAACCGATAGAAGCGAAGTTCGTCGCGCGACAACAAAAACCATTCCATCGGGGCCCATGAAACCAATCAAACCACTTCGAACATATCGAACAGCACCGATTGGTTTGCCAGATTCTCCGAGTGGTTCGAGTTTGAAAGTGTGGGCAGTTTGACCTTCCAGCGCCCAATATGCGTGAGATGTTGAGTTTGCCGAAACACAGATTTCTCCAATTTCATCAGATTGACAGAGACGAGAAGATCCATCGATTGCAGTTACAACAACTACAGCACCAGCTATTATTTGACCAGCATCCTGAAAAAATCAGAAAAATTATGAAAAGTCACTGGGAGTTGGAAGGTTACTGTAATTTCTTGACCAAAATTAACACGTGTTTTTTTTTGCCAAAAAATTAATTTTGAAAATTCTGAAATATGAAAAAAATTTGAACCGGGATACTGTAGATTTTGTAGCGAAAAATTTGAATTTGAAAAATTCATTTTCAAAAAATTAAATTTCCCATGAATTTTTAACCAGGTTACTGTAGATTTTTAGCGCGTTTCAAGATCAGAAAATTTTGAAAATTTAATTTTTGTGCAAATTTGAACAAGGTTCCTGTAGATTTGAAAATTGTGGAGATTAATTTTAAAAATTTTGAAAACTTCAAAATTCGCGCACAATTTTTAACCAGATTACTGTAGATTTCGGCGTCGAAAATTCAAATTTGAAAATCATTTTCTTCGCGCCAAAACATTAATTTTTTAAAATTTGAAAAATCAATTATCGGCGGGAAACATTGAAATTCAAAAATTTAAGGATCTACAGTAACCTGGTTCAAAATTGTCGTCAAAATTTTTTGAATTTGAATTCTCTTAGCCTAAAATAGGACTTTGAAAATTTCCCAATTTAGGAACCAAAAAAAAAAGCCTTTTTCGAAAAAAAGGTCTGATTTTTCTCAAAAATTTTTCAAAATTTCTCTCTAGCACTCACTTGTAACGTCAAACTCGTCAACGAATTCTCCTGATCAACTCTGACCACACAATGACTCAACGCGCTCATCGACAAAATCCCCCGTCCACTTTGACTTCCAAGTTGCGAATTTCCGCGTCGTCGAATCGCAATCGTTCCAGTCTCACTACTTCCAGCACACGGACACATTGCATCAGGTCTCAAATTGAATGGCGGCTCTTTAAATGCGGCTGCAAATGCATCACACGATGATAATGACCAAGGATTCGCGCCATCCGCAACTAAAAGTGTTCGCAGTGATGATAATTGAATATCTTTGTGATCTCGAGTTGCAAGAAGTGCCCAATGTAAATCACGCGATTTGACAAGTGCTGTTGTTGCTTGATATTTTGTCACCATATGCATCCACGTGGCTGGATTCATTTTCATTAGGGAATACGGGACGAATATCACTTTCATTCCATTGAAAACGCTCGATAGAATCGCGTGCCAAAGTCCGACTTCTCGTTTGAAATCCACAACACAAACTATTGTTTCGTCTGCAACAATTTTTTTGGAATTTTTTTTCGTTTCGCAAAATTTTTGATGAAAATATATAGTTCACAAGGACTTTTAGATCAATTTTAGCACTGAAAACTGTATCTGAGTTACTGTAGATCAATTTTAGATTACCCAAGGATTACTGTAGCTGATTTTTAGCGCTAAAAACTATCCCTGGGTTACTGTAGATCAATTTTTAAAGAGAAAAATGTCCCTGGATTACTGTAGACGAATTTTTAAAGGGACACATGTCCCTGGGTTACTGTAGATCATTTTTAGCGCTAAAAATAATTCTTCGATTACTGTAGCTCAATTTTTAGAGAGGAAAACATCCCTGGATTACGGTAGATAATTTTTTAGACGAAAAAATGTCCCTGGGTTACTGTAGCTCATTTTTAGCGCTAAAAATAATCCTTCGATTACTGTAGATCAATTTTTGAAGGAAAAAATATCCCTGGGTTACTGTAGCTCAATTTTAGATTACCGAAGGATTACTGTAGATCATTTTTAGGACCGAAAGCTATCCATAGATCATCTCTAGCCTCGAAAATAATCTCTAGATCATTTTTGGCGCTGAAAACTATCCCTAGATCATTTTTAGCGCCGAAAATTATCTATAGATCAAATTTTGGCACTAAAGAACTGAGCCTTCAGAATTTTCCTAGTCTCCAAATTTTCGTAGATAAGTTTGTCTTACAGTAACCCACCTTCTTTATATTCCATAGCCGACGAAACCGCTCGACAATGTGCAAACACAGCTTGTCTCGAAACACACACTCCTTTGACACTTCCATCATTCCCCGTGGCATATTCGATATAAGCCACCGTATCATCAGCCAATCTTGGCGGCGCTGTCCAATCTCTCGCTGGCTTTGCCATATTCTCACTAACCGCCCAATATAATCGAGGCCATCCGCGAAAATCAACCAACTCTGTCGACAGTCCATTGAGTGATGTCGATCCTGATGGTGATGAGAATTGCGATGTATGCGCATTCACCTTCTTCGGCAATCCTTTATAACAAGATTCCGAGGTTAGCGCAACTTTCACTCCACAATTTCCCAAGAGAAATCCGAGTTGCGCAATTCCGGCTTCTCGTTTCGACGACGGCATTTCAACGGGAACCGGAATGACACCAGCCAACATACAACCATAGAATGCGACTAGGAAGTGTAGGGGTTGTGTGTTGGGGTAGATTAGAGCAACTCGATCTCCAGGACGGCAAAGTGGCGCTTTTGTTCCGTCTCGACTTATCGTAACTGTTTTGTTCAATAGCATATAGGCAACTTTATTGGCTCGACTATACAATTTACCTGGAAAATGAAGAAAAAGGTTATGCAGAGCCAAAAAAATACAGAAATTTTCCTGTCCTCCTGCGTATCTAACTTCAATTTCTTTTTTGAAAACGAGTTAGATACGCAGGTTCTACCGTATTTCAGTATGTTCCTTTAATCTGAAAGGGGTGGGGCTTTGAAAGATAAATTTCTGATTTTTTCTCGTTTTTGGAAGCTGCGAGAGAAAAAAACGTCCAAAAACAGAAATTTCCAGATTAAAGGAACATACAGTATCATCTGCGTATCTAACTTCAATTTCTTCACAGAGACCCGAGTAAGATCTGCAGGTGCTACCGTACTCCAGTATTTGTCCGAAGGGGTTTTAGACAGAAAAATGTACGTTTCTTCGCAAGTACGGTAGAACCTGCGTATCTAACTAGATTTCTGAGAAGAAATTGGACATAAACCCGAGTTAGATACGCAGATGGTACTGTTGTTGGAAAATCTGTACCTTTAACTACTAAACAAGCCTAGATAATCTTTTGAAGCCAAAAAATCCACGTGGCGTGCTTCGCAAGCCCTGTTCAAAACAGTTTTGGCGCCAGAATTACTGTAGATTTAGTTTGATCTACTTGAAATTTGGGATTTTTTGAAATCAAATAAGCTTCATTTAAGGAAGATGTCTGTTTTTTAAGGGTTTTGGAATGCCCCATCACAAAAAAACTTACCATAAGTCAATTGCAAAGTGGGTTTTGCAGTTTGATCCAGAACAATCGCCGCAATATTTTTGGCGGCCGTCGTTCCGAATCGATGAAAAGCACTATCCAAACTGCGTGGCATTGTATTATTGGTGTTCGAATGGGCGGCTTCACCTCTCACCGGATTCATCATTGCTCCTTCGGGTCGTGGCGCGTCGGGATCTCGCATTTTTGCGATCGCTTCGAGTTCGGCGTCATCGTCGTTGTAGAATTCTTGGAGCGGCCGACTTCGTGGACGCTGGAAACATGATTGTTCTTTCTCGAGATTTTAATATTCAAATTCAATGATTTCCCTGATTTTTGTGGAATCCACGTAGAAAGCGAAAAAAATGCAAAAAGTGCAGTGGAGCGCACTTGCCATTTTCAGCAGAAATATGGGGGTTTAGAGGTTTCGGGGGTGAAAAATCCACGTGGAATCCAAATTTCGAGTAAAAAATATGGGTTTTATGGTCCCAGGGTCAAAATTTGTGATTTTTTTCGCAACGTTCCCCTTCCTCTCGTGACCTCCTCCTCCCCCATCTGATTAAAAAAATATGTCGAAAAATAGTTTCAGATGTTCCTCCTCGTAGGAAAAGATATATATGTTTTTATGATTGATCGAGCAAAGACTAACTAACAACTCGAAATTTGATATTCTTCTTCTTTTTCGCGTTTTTCTTCCGCAAAATCAGCGAATCAATCAATCATTTGAGACCTCGCTGGCTCAACTCAACATGTTTTTTGGTTTCGATAAAAAAAAAGTTGAGAGAGAGAAGAGACGCAGAGATATTTTTAAATGACCGGAATCTAGTTCTGAGGCTGTGAAAAATCAGCTGAAATACGAAGAAAATTGAGATTTTGCTGTGCAAAACTAGACTAATATTTTCAGCTTAAAAATCCACGAGGCATTGATTTTCAGCCCTAAAAAAACATATTATTCTCAATCGAGAAAAAAAAATGAAAATTTCAATTGTTTGACTAAAATTCAAAAAGTACAGTGGAGCGCACATTCCATTTTTTGCAGAAATCTGTGTTTTTAAAGGTTTCCGGAACGAAAAATCCACGTGGAATCCAATTTTTGGGCTAAAAACATGGTTTTCATGGACCCAAGGTCGAAAATTGTTAAAAGCGTCTTTTCTCTTCATTGAAAATTCGAATTTCAATAAAAACTGCAATAATTGCAGTGGAGCGCACATGCCATTTTTAGCAGAAATCTGGGATTTTTGAGGGTTTTAAAGGTTTCAGGGGTGAAAAATCGCCGTGGAATTCAATGAGTGCGTTAAAAATTCAAGACCATAGTTCCCAACTCAAAAAAGTCTCCCTGACCTTTCCATAAATCGAATTCAACTTCCATTTCTTAAAACCCATTCCCTTCTTCCGCCATCCAACACATATATCATTCTCCTCTTCCAATCGATTTTCCACCTCCAAACTTCGAAACGACCATCGTCTTTGGTCAATCGTAAGTTGCGAAGTCAACGAGGCCGACGAGCTTCGCTTCAAAATCGACGGCTTTGTTGAAAACTGCACGGGCCCGACGAAAAAATCAATCGAATTACAAATCGTTGCCGAATCATCGAAACTAACACTGGGCGAATTATTGGCTTCGTCTTCGTCACCATACGATGGCTCACAAACGTGTCGATATTGATGGAATGGTGGTGGAGTGGGCGGAGTTCCAACCTCTTCAACACTTCGGTTACTTGAAATCCCTCGCTTCTCCTTCAGCGACGACGCTTTTCGATTGTGCAACTTCTCCAGATATTCCCGATGATTGTCACTGGACAATTTTCGAATTGGCGGAAGTTGTGAACGCGACTTTCGAAGAGCCATTGATGGAAAATAGACACGAGATGTCGAACCATCACTCATATTAACAAAGGGAATAAATAGGAATAAACGTCGAGCGAGAACAAAATCAAGGAGAAGAAGAAAATGCGAAAAATGCCAGAGGGAGGGAGGGGAAAACGGGACCCGCACATATCCGATTGCATATGGTCAGCTGTTGTGCAAAATATCAAGAGAAGAGAGAAGAGAGAGGAGAGGAGACGCAGCAATGAACTTTTTAATCCAAATTCAGACATTTTTCACTATTTTTAACCTTGGGAGCATGAAAAGTTTTCATGGTTTCATTGAAAACCATGTTTTTAACACCCCGCAAACCTAAAAAATCCCAGATTTCTGCTAAAAATGGCAAGTGCGCTTCACTGCACTTTTGGAATTTTTGTCAGAAATTTGAATTTTTAACGCACTCATTGAATTCCACGTGGATTTTTCACCCCTGAAACCTCAAAAATCGCAGAATTTCTGCTAAAAATGGCAAGTTCGCTCCACTGCAAATATTGCAGTTCTCATTGAAATCCAAATTTTTAATCAGAGATAAATTTGTTAATTTGTATGGTTCCCCACGGAATTTTAATCCACAGGACTAGGAAAATTAGATTTTTCACAATTTTCGACCTTGGGACCATGAAAACCATGTTTTCAGCCCAAAAATTGGTTTTCATGTGGATTTTTAACCCCTGAAAACCTTCAAAATCCCAGATTTCTGCTAGAAATAGCAAGTGCGCTCCACTGCAATTTTGCAGTTTTCATCGAAATTCAAATTTTTGATGAAGAGAAAATTTTAGTCTGAATCACACCCGTTCAAGCCACGCAATGAGTGTTTTCTACTGTAAAACGAAAAATCTGCGATTGAAAAAAACTGTGCAAACACTTTTGCCTAATTCTCTCTGTTCGCCGTTATATTTCGCACTACAGTATTAAAGGAACATGATTCATTTCATGCGTTGGGTCTTGTCGCGATTGCTAACTTTCTTCGCAGGACCTCAAAAAATAAGAAAAGTAGCAAGTCAGGTAGAACTCGATGCGCTGATTATCATGCTGTATTTAGTTTTTCATGAACCTTATCTAGGTTTTGAGCTACAGGGTGCACCGTTTTTACAGCGTTTTGCTGATTTTTGTGTTGCTTGAGCGGGTGTGGAATTTGTAAAAAATTCAGATTTCTGAGAAATTCACAGATTTTAAATAATTTTTTTGGAAATAATTTTCTAGGCCAAAATTTTCAGATAAACAATTTTTCAAAATTTAAGTTCCAAATATAAGAAAAAAAACCAACCTGTAAAGCATTAACCACACTTTGAATCTTTGTTGAAACTTTGGCCGGTTTCAAAGCTGAAAAATGATTTTTATATTTAAGAAAATTATGATAAGAAGTGGCTTACGAAGAATCGAATTTTGATAATCAGCCGAGTCCGGGGATTCTGTAGAAATGCGCGTTTGTCCACGGATCTCCGTGTTCACATAAACCGCTTCATCATCTGGATCCGAGCAAATTGCGTCGATTGTGGTTTCGAATTCCTGGAGAAAAAAAAATTCATAGGATTCACGTGAAAATCATCACAATTCCAACTCGAAATTCAACTTCTACGTGGAAAAAATCCTATTTTTGCTTTCAAAAATCGATAATATGCGCTCCACTGCACAAGCGAAAAATAAATAAAAATTCAGATTTTCGATAAAAACGCAAAAAGTGCAGTGGAGCGCACATGCCATTTTTGAGCAAAAATTTGGGATTTCTAGAGGTTTCTGGGGTCAAAATCTTGAATTTCTAGTCGAAATTTGTGATTTTCATAAAATTTTTGAAATTTCAAAGGTCAAATCTAGAATTTTTTTCCCTTCAAACTTTCATAATTTCTGTCAACGTTTGACCTTTTGACACATGGTTGATGATTTCAAAAAAAAAACCTTCCGCAAAGTTCTTTGTCTCACCTCTCTATGCGGCGAAATTCGAATTCCCTCATTTTCAGTGACAATAATTTTGGAATTTCGATAATCCTGACGGGAAACTCGAATAATTTCGCCATTTTGTTGGGAAGACGCGGGTTTTGGTCGAATTCGAGCTTGAACATATTCACCATATTCTCGTTTTTGTTGTTGTTGCTGGAAAAAATTGATTTTCGGGTAAATTTTCACTCTGGGACTATGAAAATCATGATTTTCAACACAAAAATTGGATTCCACGTGGATTTAAAAAAAAAACCTCAAAAATCCCAAAATTCTGCTAAAAAAAGCAAATGCGCTTCACTGCACTTTTTGCAGTTTTCATTGAAATTCAAATTATTAACCAGAGGAACATTTGTGCATTATTATAGTTTTTCATTTGGATTTCAATCCCCAGGACCATGAAAACCACAATTTTGACTCAAAATTCAACTGCCACGTGGATTTTTAGCCCAGAAATCTCTAGAAATTCCATTTTTTGCTCTAATTAAAAAATGGCATGTACGCTCCACTGCACTTTTTGCGTTTTTGCTAAAAATTTGGAATTTTTGAGGTTTTTAGAGGTTTCCGGGGTTAAAAATCCACGTGGAATCCAATTTTTGGATGAAAAATCATGGATTTTCATGGTCCTAAGGCCAAAAGTCTTGAAAAATCGATTTTTCTCAGGCTCGGGGATTAAAATTCCATAGAAAACCATACAAATTCACAAATTTTTCTCTAATTAAAAATTTGAATTTCAATGAAAACTGCAAAAAGTGCAGTGGAGCGCACATGCCATTTTTTGGCAGAAATCTGGGATTTTTGAGGTGTTAAAAGGTTTCCGGGGTTAAAAATCCACACGGAATCCAATTTTTGAGTCAAAAATCATGGTTTTCATGGTCCTAGAGCCAATAATCGTGAAAAATCACAAAAATTTTGATTTAGCAATTCTGGGTCTCCCAAAAAAAACAACCAACATCATGTCTATCTCGATTCTCCTGCACCATTCTCAACATCGCTTCAACCGCCGCTCCACTTTCAGCTGCACCGCGTTTCGTTCCAGGAGTCGCGATCTCCGTTGTAGCAGGTTTGGGTTGGGAAGATGAAGATGCTAAAAAATGAAAATTAAGAAATAAAAGATAGCCGGTTTGGGAAAAGGGAAAAAAACAACAGAAAAAATTGTTGTGAAATGTGAAATGTGATAAGAGAAAAGAAGAATGAAAGGGCGAAGGAAACATAAATAAAAATAAAAATTAAATATAATTTGATGTGTTTTTGATGACGTCATGAAAGAACTTACCTAAAGATGAAGTTCTTGGTGTTGTTTGTGGCGGTTTTGTGATTGTCGAGGTTTTTCGACCGAGTGTTCCACCAGCCAAACTATCCTCATCTTCAGATGACGAATCTATAAAAAGGAAAATTGAGTTATGACGTGGCAAGAAGATTCACCCGGAAGCCCATAAAAATTTTGTTATCAGGAAAATTTTGGAGCCTCTGGGGGAAATTGATAATGTAAAATTCTCACCAGAATTTTTTTTTTTAAATTAAGGTTTCAGAACCCAAAAATACTGATTAATTTCAGAATTTTCAGGTTCAAGTTTAGGCTTGGTTTTTAGGCTTAGGCCAAGCTTTGCTCTAGGCTTAATCAGGCAGAGCTTTGTAAAATTCCCACCAGAAATTCGGAAATTATTGATTAATTTCAAAATTTTCAGATTTATGAAATTACATCCAGGATTTCCAAATTTCAGAAATTTTCAGGAATTTCGGGTTTTCACAAAAATTAATTTCATAAATTTTATAATTAGGATTTTTTAAAATAAATAAAAGGGACTTGTGAAATTCATTTCAAGATTACCAAATTTTAAAAATTCTCAGGAATTTCGGGTTTATACAAAAATTAAAATTAGAACTTTTATAATTATGAAATAATTTCAGAATTTCAAAAAAAAATCAGAAATTTTCAGGATTTTTAGGCTCAAGTTTCTTAGGCTAAGCTTTTCTCTTGACTGATTTCAAAAGCTTTGCCTGTAAAATTCCCACCAGAAATTCCAGGATTTTCAGCCAAAAAATGTTAATTTTCAGATTTTTTTTCAAAATTAAGGATTTTCAGAATTTCCCCAGAGGCTCCAAAATGCTCCCCCGCGCATATTTTTGTCACTTACAATACGCCGATTGTCGAATTGCGCTAACTCTCACAACCTTCCCATTAATTCTAAGTTTCGCAATTTGCGGCGACGAGGACGGCGTCACCACCGGCCGCTGAAATTTGCGCACCGCTGTCGGAGTTAGCGGAAGTGATGGCGGCGCCGGTTTGCGGCCAAGTTTAGGCGACGGCGGGAGAAACGCAGAGGTTGTCGAGGAGGCGAAACGAGTTGGCGATGGTGGAAAAGCACGGCGGATTGCGGACGGTGTGTTGGGTGCAGATGATTGCGAATGGTGACGGGGTGGAAAACCCGACATTTGCGTCGAATTTCGGGCTGCTTGGAATTGTGGCGACTTGAGGTTTTGAGGTATTTTGATTTGAGGAAGAAGAGGTATTTCGAATTGATGTTACAGCTATTATCATTTTAGATCATAGTCTGAAACAAAACGAGAATAGGATACGAGAATCTTCAAAAATGAGATGCAGTGTACAGAAACAAAAATTGGCCAAAAAACAGAAATGTTCCTGTCCAAAAACAGAACCACCTGCATATCTAAATCAAATACGTGGATTTATTCGTGCCAAGACCTGACTGAACAGGGCTTGCGAAGCACGCCACGTGGATTTTTGGCGCCAAAAGATTTGCTAGACAGTTAAGGGTACACACTGAAAACAACCGTACCACCTGCATATCTAACTCGGTTTCTTGAAATTTCGAAATTTTTGAAAATGTTCATCAAAATCGGTTGAAAATCAATGAAAACTACACTTTTTCTGAAAAAATTTCTGAAAAAATGTACAGTGTGACCTTTGAAAATTTTTGTACAGTGTCCATTTTGGACACGTCTCGTTAGGCGATGTTTCCTGTCCAAAAAACCAACCCGTCATTTTAAAGGCGCATGCTGAAGTACGGTAGCACCTGCACATCTAACTCGATTTCTGAGAAGAGATTGGACAGAAAACCGAGTCAGATACGCAGGTGGTACGGTGTGTACCTTTAACTGTCTAGCCAATCTTTTGGCCCCAAAAATCCACGTGGCGTGCTTCGCAAGCCCTGTTCAGACAGGTCTTGCCACGAAAAATCCACGTATTTGAGCTTTTTGGGCAGGAAAATTTCATTTTTTCGTTTTTAGACACGAGAAGAGAGAAAAAGCGAAAAAAAAACGTCAAAACCAGAGGCGACTTTACTAACAAAAATATAATATACATATTATATATTTTTGCTTCGTCCACTTCACTTTTTTTTTGTCTTAGAACCACCACCGGCGAACAATAAAAAAACAAAAAGAGAGAACAAACAAAACAGCTTGACCCAAAACAAGAGAGAAATTGAGTTGAGGGAAAAAGATTAAAGGCACATGCTGAAATAATGTAGGACCTGCACATCTAACTCGATTTTTGGAGAGAAAATCGAGTTAGATATGCAGGTAGTACGGTTTTTTCGGCCAAATTTTGTTTTCTGGACGCCTGGAGATTGAGAAATGAAGAAAAGAAGATGAGAAAAATGACCTATAGTGACAATAAATCTTTTTCCACGCCTGAAAACAATGTTCGCAACATTATTTTTTGTTGTGTAATCTTTCGATTCTTTTTTTCGTCTTTGAATCGAAGATATAATAAAACATCTGCTATTTTATGGATTCGGAAAAAAAGAAGAAAAACTGGTGGCACACAATTTTATGAAGTTTTCAGGAATCAAAAGACAACTGACAGATGAAAATTGTGAAAAAGGGGCTGGAAAAAATGGTTTTTTGCAGAGAAAAATTGGAAAATAAATTGAATTTTCGGGTCCAAGTGGTTTCAAGAGAAGATTGTCTTTTTTGCAAAAAAAATGGACAATATTTTGTAGACTTTAGAAAAATGTACCATTCATCAGAAAATTTGGCACGAAAATTCTAAGCTTACAAGTTAGGACGTCCTCATCAAAAATTTTGTATAAAAAATTCCAAGAGTTTTCAAATTTGAAAATTTAAATTTGTTTTGATCATTTTGTTCCTAAGATCGTCTTCATGCTTTTCTGGTGAAAATTCTACAGAAATTTCAAATTCAGACTCGAAATCATTGAAATTTCAAGAAAATTCATTGAAAATGCTAAAATTTCATAATTTTCAGCCCAAGATCATTGGGAGCTGCAGCTATAGCTCAAAATGCTACAAATTTAGTTAAAACCTAGAATTTAGCCTCAAAATCATTGACATTTCAAGAAAATTCATTGAAAATCATACATCAGTTTCTTCCGGTCAGGGCCTCAAAATTAGCCACCCCCGAAATGTGAAAATTCAAAAATTAGCCACATCCCCTCAAAAAATAGAGAGAAAAACTTGGTTTTTGGGGTATTAATTGTTATTTTTCAAAAAGTTAGCCGGTCCCCACCCCTTTTTACCAAAGTTAGCCAGACCCCCTCCGGACGAAAATCCGGGGATACTGATGTATGTTGAAAATGCTCCGAATTACAAATTTTCAGCTTAAAGTCTTTGGAGGCTCATTTTTGGCTCATTTCAAATGCTCCAAATGTAAACGGAGTCCAAAAAAACTTTCTAAACAAAAAAACAAATCACTTTACACCAGGGCTGGTCGGAATTGACCTTTCGGAATTTCGGAAGTCCCATTTTCACTCCCGATTTTATTTTCGGAATTTCGGCATTCCGACTTCTTATTCCGAATAATTTTTCGATAGTTCGGAATTCCGATTTTTTCTTCCGACTTTTTTTTCGGAATTTCGAAAGAAATTCGGAAGTCCTAATGCGCAGGAAAAAAACTGGAAAACGACATTTTTCGATGAGTTATCAGAAGAATTATAGTGAAAATAGTTGCGAAAAAGTGAATCTTGTTCTTTAGTTCATCAAAGACAACAAATTTTTGTCTATTATCGATTATTAAGAAATTTTTCACCATTATTTGAGTCTTAAAATAAAGCTTTCTTCATAAAAGCATATATAACGATATTCCGAAATTTTTCGAAAGTGATTCCGACAAAAAAGTCGGAATGAATAAAAAAGTCGGAACGAGAGTCGGAATTCAAGCAATTCCGAGTTTTTCTTTCGGAAGTGCTTCCGACTAAACTACACTTCCGAAAAAACGTCGATTTTCGGAATTTCGGAATTCCGATATTCCGATTCCGACCAGCCCTGCTTTACACCTATGGAGACAAAAAAAGTCCAGAAAAGAAACGAGTTTGTTTTTTGTCCCATTGTGAGAAAAAGAGCACATTCAGAAGGGCGAACAAAAAAAAAAAGAAGAACCGGCCGGAGACGAAATGTGAGTAGCCGGGAGAAGAAGAAGAGGAAAAAGAGTAGTAGTAGTACACAAAAACTCTGCTTTCGATTGACCACAAAAATCAGAGAGAGAAATAGCCAGGGAAATCGAGAGAGAGCGAGAGAGAAATCGAATCGATTTAATTAGCCAAAGTGGATGGATATCGACAGATAGAAGAAGAGCATTTGAAAAAAAATACACTTTTTTTCGGGGGGAAACTTTCGAAATATGAAAATGACTCATATAGCAACTGTTTTTCGCTGGGGGAATTTTTCGACACAAAACCAGTCACCGTGGAAAAAAGTATATACAACAATTATACCTCGCCGCAAAAAAACCAAACTAGTTTTCGCCGCCAAAAAAAAAAAAACAAAACAAATATAATCTGAGCAACACCTTTTTTGCAAGTGACAAAAATGCGCGGGGGAGCACCAGGAAAATGCTCCAAACTTGGTTAAAATCCCAAATTTTGGCATAAGATCATTGAATTTTCATCAATTTTCAGCCTGATTTCATTGTGAGCTGATTTCTGGCCCAAAATGCTCCAAACTTGGTTAAAATCCCAAATTTTGCCTTAAAATCATTGAAATTTCATCAATTTTCAATCCGATTTCATTGTAAGCTGATTTCTAGCTCAAAATGCTCAATTTTTACCTGAATATCCTTTTTTTGTTGCTGGAAGATTTGCGCTTAGAAGATCCATTTCTTGAAACCGACGTGTTGTTTCGTCGATGTGGTTTGAGAGCTTGAGGGCCGAGTTTTCGACCATCGGAATATTCGGCCAGCGCTTGATGGACTGCTTCGACTCGGATTTCTAGAAATTGAGAAATGACGTGGAAAATGGGGGAAATTTTGACAAAAATGACGTGGAAAATGAGGTGGCCACGCGAGCTTTTTTGAAATTTCACAAGATTCATGAATCTTGTGAAATTTCGAAAAATTCCTATTTTACACAGCAAATTTTTTTCTACGTGACCTCAAATAAAAAAATCATTGCAGAATGTGTTTTTCACGCGGCACACACATCTGGGCGGAGCCTAATAAAATCCTGTTTTTACTCGTTTTTTGAGGATTTGAACCCGAATTTCAGGGAAAAGTTGATTTTTCACTATCAGAATTGAGCAAAGAAGGGTTGAGGGAGGTCCGGAAGACAGAAAATTGCTTATAAATCTTCTAATTCCGCTCAAAATGACGTTTCTCCATATTTTTCTCGATTTTCCCAGGAAAGACAATAAACTTTTGATTCAAAAAACTATTACTACTTGAAAAATTATCAACTACTTCTAAAAATGTAGTTTGAGCATGTTTCCTTCGGTTTCGGCTTCAAAAACACATTTTTTGTGAAAAAAAACACAAAAAAAGAAATTTTTTTGCGAAAATACTGTAGCGACACGTGAAATTGTGCAATGAGAAAATGCGTAGTGAAAAATTTGCTGTGTTTTATTTGCGAAAAATCGCTGTGAGACCCAAATTTCAAAGATTTTTAAATTTCAAGGAACATGGATGTTTTCAAGCAAAGGGTCTCAAGAAATTTCGGCGCAAAACCATCCAAATTTTTCTCGAAAATCAAATTTATGATGAAATTTGTGATATTTTTTGAATTTAATTTGGAAAAAAACGCAAAATCGTTGCGAGACCCTTGAAAACAACATTTAAATTGCAAAATTTCAATGGGCGGGTCTTACAACAACTTTTAAGCACGATTACATTTGGGTATTAAGTTGTTTAAAATTTTTGGTTGCAATTTTTTAAATCCGAACTTTTCACATCTTCTCATTATAAACCTAGGTTATGTGAATTTTTTGAAGACCTACTGAACATTTTACGTTTCAAAATTTCGAAATTTCACAGATTTTTGGTTGTTTAGCGATCAAAAATATGTTAAATTTAGTTCTGTCAAATTCCATGTTTTTCCCCAAAAAATCTACGTTTCAAAATTTCAATAAATCTTCAAATTTATATTTTAATTGATACGTAATTTAATCAATCCTTCAGATAAATTTCGTCATAAAATCCTTTTTCAAAGTAGTTTTCCAACCCACAAAAAATCCTCTCACCAGAATGATATCTATCCTCATCTCTCGTCACTCTTCTCTGCTGTCTTCGATGTGTTCGCGAATTCGGCGACGATACCTCCTTCGACTTCTGCTCATTCTCAATCGCCTGCGATCCTTGTAATTGAGCATTCGACTTCTGAAATGCGGCTAGAAGTGCTCCTCTTTTCTTGTCATATCCCTTCTTCGTAATATCTCCTTCACTCAATTCCAATTCTAATTCAGCCAATTTTTCTCGAATCTCATCTGGCACCGTGTCCAAATCGATCATTTTCGGTTGAACCGAAACTGGACTGACCGAAAAAACCAACGAGAAGAGAGCTGAAAGAAGAAAAAATGAGCATACATTTTAAATTTCTTGCTTTTTTCTTTCTTTTTTGTTTCGTTTCGCAATGCGAGATTCAAAAAGACGATAAAAGAATAGAAGAAGGGGGGGGGTCGGATTAACAAAAGTTCGGAATTGCACCTGGCGAGAGCGTAAGCAAAAAATGAAATGAGTAAGGAAGGAACAAGCAGCAGAAGAAAGGATTTTCTGTTTTATTATTACAACAAAAAATATCTCGGTTTTTGAGAAGAACGGCTAATTTGTCGGACAAAAAAATGTTATTTATTGAATCGGACAGGATTTTAAGGGCTCTGAATCGGACCAGGGTATAGTTGGACATCGACTAAATGACATTTTCATGTTTTTTAAGAAAGTGAGTTGAAATATTTGGTTTTAATGTTATTCATATGATAGAATGGTCTAAGACGAACAGAATGATACAAATTTTAAGAGTTTACCTTATCCATAAGTGATTTAGCGATGTTTAGACTAAATATCGACTAAACGTCGCTAAATCACTTATGGATAAGGTAAAGTCATCAAAATTTATATCATTCTGTTCGTCTTAGACCATTCTATCATATGAATAACATTATGTAGAACCCATTATTTCAACTGAATTCCTTGAAAAACCTGAAAATGTCATTAAGTCGATGTCCAACTATAAATCGGGTAGGTTTTTGAGGGCTCTGAATCGGGCCAGGGTGACATTTTCGATAGGAATCGGATCAAAAGGAACCAGGGGGCGAATTTCTGAAAGTAGTATACCAAAAATTAATGAACAAAATTTTTGGGTACGCCAAATTTTTCCTTCATTAATTTTTGATACACCACTTTCATGAATACGGCCCCTGGTCATGTTTTTAGGCTTAAAATTAGGATGATTCAAGTTTTAGGTTGAAAATTGTGCGATTTTTGCGATTTTTCGACTGAAACCCCGGTTTCCTATGCAAAAATTGAGAAAAATTACTGATTTTCAGCCTAGAGATTTGTCAATTTTTAGTGAAATAGAGGATTTTCACGAAAATTTGTGATTTTTCGAGTTGCCGTGCGAAAATGACTAACGAAACGGAGAAAATCGACCGATTTTTCGACAAAAAAAATATTTTGGGTGCAGTAAAATGGTCCTGAATTAGAAACTATCCCAATTTCAAGGGGGAATGTGGAAAAAAGGTCGGTTTCGCCGGAAATCTAGAATTTAATTTGACAATGAGGAATCACCGTGTAAAAAACACATTTTTCACTGGAAAAATGTGTGCCAGGGTTGCATATTTGGCTCCCGCGTCCAAAAACAAGCCTCTCCCAATCTTAATTGGATAATTAAGTTGAATAGTTTGAGGAGGGCATGAGAGTAACCTTGAAGTCAAAAACGATTTATAAAAATGTGTCATTCACCTGGCCGTTTTCCCTCCAAAAAAAATGTTTCAAAACGAAAATAAATATTTGCGTTCAACAAGTATCTAAATGAAAAATAAAATGAAATTTTGAAGAAAAAATGATGGAAAACCACACGCGCCATACAACAACAACAATAAAATGAAATAAAAATAACAAGAAGGAGTCACCCGAAACCCAAGGTCCGATAATCAAGGTGAGAGACGCAGAGAAGGCGACGTTGTCTGGTTGTCTAACCGGCTACTTTTTCCTTCTTTCCCTTTCTTTGCTTTCTTTTTGCTTGTCCTTTGATTGGGCCCCCCTAAATTTGGGGAGGTACCACCTCCTTCTTCCTCGCGCGTCGTTCACAATATTATCTCGACACATCTCCAACACAAATTTATTTTTGAATTGCTGAAGCTGAAGCACAAAAAGAAGTGAAGAAAAAGTTGTATAGTTTCGACATATTTTATTACTCTTCTTTTTCTTCCAACCACATTTTATGGATTTTGCACAAAGTGTTCATGGAAAATTAAGTATCTAAATATTAGTCTGGGAGGAGGTGCAAATAGAAAAAAAAAGAAAGTTCGCTGAAGCGCATTTTCATGCGTGAGGAAGATTGAAAAATTTGAATTTTGCGATTCAGAATCCAGAGAAACGTACCACGCCCAGCTTCGTGCAAATTAACTTTGAAAATTGGCGGTGTGGGTTTTGAAAATTTTTGGCTAGGTGGAAACAACCTTTTCGACTAAAAAATACCACTTTTTAACGGAAAAACAAGCAAAAATTTGCTGTTTTTCAAGAAAATCTCAAATTGGCAGGGTGAATTTCCGTAAACTTTTATTGGCGCCGTGCATATGCCTCACCCTGGGCCTGGTATGCAGAGAAATATGAACGTTCGGGAATTTGAAAATATTTTTGAAAAAAAAAATAAAATTGTTCGTTGGAGCGCATTTTCATGCATGAGGCTGATTGTGATATTTGAATTTTGCAATTCAAAATTTAAGCTTAGAATCCAGAGAAACATAAAATCCCTTCCTTCAGAGAAAAAAATACGACTTGAAAAAATTCCGCAAACAACAAACACTACGCGCAAACCCTACAGTACTTCCCGCGAACCCCCGCGTGGTTTTTAAAGGAAACCCTGGGTTTTCCCTCACAAATTGTAATCTCGGGAAGCCTGAGAATCTCACAAACTTCCATTCTCAGGCGGAGTATCTATATTAGTTTCTAGCAATTGAAAATTGTGAAAAATGAAAAAAAAAATAAAATTGTTCGTTGGAGCGCATTTTCATGCGTGACCTTGTGGTTGGTTGGGAAATTTGAATTTTGAGATATTATCCTACCTAAGAGTGAGCTGCGATGAATTGTCGCAGTGGTCGATCTTATACCAAATCCATCCATTCAGCCATATTTGAATCGCCTGCGAAAAAACAAAAATGAACATAGAAAAATCGTTTCAATTTTCAAAGTTTCATCCCCCATATTCTGCCCCACTCTTCACCAGAAAAACATCATAAACGATGCGCAAAACCCCGTGCAACTCTCCCGTCACTGTTTTCCGGCCGCAGCAAAGGGATTCAATGAAGAATCCTCACTCAGATCATGTGAAATGAATGGCTTTGGGTTTCAAAAGCTGGTAGGCGGTACTAACTCAGGGAGCGCGCGCAGACTTTCTCTAGTTCTTGAGGATCCGAGTGGATATTACTTTTTGAAAGCATAAAAAATTACCCCCTGCAAAAACTTATCTTTCAAATCCTCGCACGGCCAAAAAATACACAAAATGATGAAAATGGCAAAAAACCGATTAGCGTTTTTTAGTTCGAACACCGAAAATAGAAAAATAGCGGGTAGATCAAATAAATTTTTGGATGTTTCTCGCTTTTCAACCTTTTCCTATGTGAATCGAGAGAGAAACTGAACAAAGGGAACATTTTTGCAGGTTGACGTTTAAGAAATGTCACGCATGAAAATGCGCTCCAACGAACAATTTTATTTTTTTTTTTCATTTTTTACAATTTTCAAATGCTAGAAACTTGTATAGATACTCCACCTGAAAAGTGAAGTTTTTGAAATTCTCAGGCTTTCCGAGATTACAAGGGAAAGCCCAGGGTTTCCTTTAAAAACCCCGCGGGGTTCGCTTCAAACTTTTCCCAGAAAGTACTGTAGGGTTTGCGCGTAGTGTTTATTGTTTGCAGAGTTTTTTCACCGTGTTTGCGGATTTTTTTCTTTGAAGGAAGGGGTTTTGAACGGTTCATAAGAATCCAGCACGGCCTTTTACAGGGTAAATCGAGAGAGAAACACAGAGAAAACGAAAAAAAAATCTTCAATAAACATCAAACTGAAAAAAACAGCGACCGTACTTTTTCACAAGGCTGACATTGCTGGGTCTTGAAGCGATGTTCCATGTTCCTTTTCTATTCACGGGTATTTCGCGTTTTCGTGTCAAAGTTCATAAGAATTTGAAAACAAATTGTTCGCTGGGCCGCACTTGCAATTTCAACTCAAAATTTGAATTTTTTACGTAACACTAGATAAAATTAACCTTCCGATCAACGTGGATTGCTCAGATTAGGTCGAAAATTGTTCATTGGAGCGCATTTGACATTTAAAAAATGACCAAATAAAAAATTCTTCTCCCTAGAAACCAAGAGTTCTTTTTCCACTAATTAAATATTAATGAATGTCCTTGATGAGTGCAAAAAAGTGAAACTTTTCAACAAAATAATTCAAAAAAATCGCAAGATAAAGAGAGAAGGCACAAATTAGTATTAATTAAATATCTACACGAAACATTAACACCTATCTAGATAGAACTAGATCAAGTTAAGCTAATGTAAGTAAAAATCGATAATTAATTATTTGTTCCCTGTTGCATTGAAGTTGCAGGAAGAATTGGTCTACGAGAAGCTCGTTGAAGTTCGATCATCAAAAATAAAATCATCAGTGGTAGCATACCCTTGATAAATTCACCAGTAAAATCATTTATTTCATGAACATGTCGAGGATTTCTGGAAAGAAATTTGGATTTTTGCCTTCCAGATGTTCGTAACCTCCTGATTTTGATTTTCTAAATCTTCGAAAAAACCCACGTGCAAACTGCAATGACAATCCCAATAATAGTTGCACAATGAACCATTGGATTTCGAATTTGTCGTCGAAATGTAAAAGTGATAAACCAAGCAAGAATTAATAGCAAAATAAATAAATTGGTCTCTACAGTATTATGTTGAGTTACTGAAACAACATTTTGTGGAGGATTTTGTCGGGAAATATCCATTACAAAAACAAGTCCACCAAATGGTGGAGGTTTTGATTTGCTGGCTCAAACTATTTAGCAATTTTTCGTCCTGAGAGACGCAGACAGACAGACGACAGCTGTGCGCATCTCTTTAAATACTATTCAATTCAACCTTGGGTCATGTGGTCCCCAAGATCGACCATAAAACTCGAAGAAAATTCAGATTTTGTCAAAACTCGGACAAAACACATCTGATATGTTAAATGGGTACAATTTTATATTTATGAGAAATGCCTACAAAACAACAAAAAACAGCCTGAAAATGATGATAAATATGAAATTATTTAACAAAAATTGTACAAAAATAACGAAAATGTGGCAAAACATTTTTTTAGAGATTTTTGAAAAATTGTTTTTGGAAGATTCGATTTCAAGGTTTGAAAATTGGGAAAATCAAATAATTGTTCCAAAATTTCCGAGATTTTTCAGAATTAAAACAAGTCTTATTCAGATAAAAATTGACAATTTCTGAAAAAATCTCGATTTTCTATTGAATATTTCAAAAAACTATTTTCCCAAAGAAAATACCGTAAATTTTTCCACGTTTTTAAAAAACCATTCAAAAACAAAACAAAATTCATTTTCATAAAACAAATAAAAAAATCAACGAAGAAATTATAAGGCACAAATTAGTATAAATTAAATATCTACACGAAACATTAATTCCTAGATCAAGTTAAGCTAAGTTAAATCAATAAATCAGACACATTTTCTCAAATGCAACCAAATGATCAAAAGTGGCGAACTGGCAATTGTCCAAATATACGTTCTTCTCACTTTTTCCGAGAAAATCGGCAGAATTAAGGCGGAGACGAAGAAAATTGTTGATGGAAGGGTGGTTGAGATTGGAATTGTTGGAAGAATCAAACCAGGTGGTGAAGAAGTTGAGGTGTAGAAATCGTTCAGAACTCTGGAAAGAGCAAAATTGGAGAGGGAACTGGAATTGGGAACAGTCAGAATTTTCGAAAAATGCTCTAGAAACCTTAAAAAATGTTCTAGAAACCTGAAAAATGCTCCAGAAACCTTAAAAATGCTCTTAAAAATGCTCTCGAAATAGAAAAAAATGTTCTAGAAACCTTAAAAATGCACTAGAAACTTCAAAAAAGTTCTAAAATCTGAAAAATGCTCTAGTACCCTTAAAAATGCTCCAGAAACCTCAAAAATGCTCTAGAAAATGCTCGAATAACTTACTTTTCCTTCTCCGCAAATCGATCAATTGTCCATTCTCGTAATTTTGTTTTTTCTTTGGGGATCTGCAAAAATTTTAGAATTCAATTACTATTGAAACTTGTTCGAACAGTCGAATATGATTTTTATTAAAAAATTTCAAATTTCGTCGAAAAATGTTCAATTTCGAATTTTTCAATCAGAAATTTAAATTTTAAAAAAATCGTGTCGAGACCAACAAGAGTACTGTGCCAACTTTCACTTGAGATTTGTAAGAAAATTTATATTTTCTAGTAGTTTTCGACCCGCTGATCAAAATACCGTTGTCTAAAATTGCAGAACTCAACTCCTAACATGAGTTATGACGTGGCAAAGTTCATAAATTGCAAAAAATCGGGTTTTTAGAAGCTGAAAACTAGATTCAAAAATTATTTTGCCACGTCATAAGAACATTTTTGACAACGGAATATTTATCAGCTCTTGCAAAAAGAAATATTTACAGGAAAATTTTTCGCGCCAAAAATTTCGAATTTGAATAATTTTCTTCAAGAATACCTCATTCACACCAAATCGTTCAATTTTAATATCCAAAGTTTTGAACTCCGAAGGTCCACAACAAAATTCGAGCATTCCAGGTGCAATTGCTCGGCGATTTGGTTGCCTAAAAATATTTTTTCATTTTCTCGAAGGATTTTTGTCTGGAAGCTTCTCAAAAAAATTCCAAAGTTAAAAAAAACAGTGAAACACCGTGTAAAATGGCTTCCTCAGTCAATTCCGAAAATTTGTCAATGGTTGTTTTTTTCAACCAGGAGAACTTTTGAATTGAAACTGATCAAAATAAACCGATTTTTATGCCAGACTCCACCTTCAATTCTAATTATTTTTCAAAAAATGAAAAACGCATACCTAGTTTGTCCATACATAACTGTCAAATCATAAATCGCATCAAGTGTCTGCAAATTGTCAAGTGCCAATTGTAATCCTCCACTACGCGGACATAATACATTCCGCATTTCTGGTCTTCCCTACAAAACAATCCGATTTAATTATTATTCTTTTGGACAGATGGTTGTTTGTATTTATTCTTTTATTATTAGTCTTTTTTTGATTCTAGGGATCAATTTTAAATGAAACTTTGGCGCCAAAAAGTACAGTAATCTTGTTCAAAAATTTAAATTTTTGAAAATGAAATTTCGGAAATTCTTTGAACATTTGGGGCCAAAACATGAATTTCAAACTTTTGAAAAAAAATCAAATTTTCCCGGAAAGAAATTCATTTGAAATCTTCAAATTTAAAATTTTTTTTTGAAAAATTGAATTTTAGCGCCACATTTGAACCAGGTTACTGTAGATTTTAGGGCCATACTTTCAAATTCAGAATAAATTGAAAAAAAAAACTTTAAATTTTCCAGAAAATTTGAACTAGATTACTGTAGCTTTTGGCGCCAAAAATAGATTTGAACAATCAATTTTCAGCGCGAAAAATTAAAATTCAAAAATTTTCGAGAAAAATTCTGAATGGGACTCGAAAAGAGCCGCCTTTTCGGTTCAAAATTCAATTTTTCAAATTTGAATTTTCAGCGCTAAAATCTACAGTAACCTGGTTAAAATTTAGGGCCAAAATTAATTTTTTCTGAATTTGAACTTTCGGCTTCAAAATCGGGTCCGATTCAAAGACTATTTTTTGGAAATTTCTCGAAAAATTTACTTTTTTCTGATTTTTCGGGTCCAATTTATAATTTTTCTCAAAAAAAATGGTTCAAACCCGGAATTTCTCACATTTTCAAATTCCCGAGAAAAATTTGAACTAGGTTACTGTAACTTTTGGCGACGAAAATAAATTTTTAAAAATCAATTTTCAGCGCGAAAAATTAAAACTCAAAAATTTTCGAGAAAAATTCTGAATGGGACCGAAAAAGTCTGTTTTTCGGTTCAAATTTGGATCCAAAATCTACAGTAACCTTGTTAAAATTTTCTGGAAAATTTGAATTTTTCAAAATTTGAACTTCTAGCACCAAATCCACAGTAACCTTCATAAACCGCCCAAAATTCTCACATTTTTCTCCAAAAATCGGCAACTTTCTTCAATCAGCTTCGTCTTTTTCGCTGACAATCTCGTTCCTTCCGGAAATATGAGCAACCAATATGGTGGAATTGTGTCATTCAACCATTTCAATTGTCTCAAAACCGGTTCACCAATAAATTCGCCAAATCGTCGAACATAAATGTAGCCGTGTTGAAAGATGTACCAACCGAAAAGCGGCACGAAATGAATCGATTTTTTGACCATTACACGAAATGATTGCTCATTTCCACCAGGTCCGTGACGAGCGGCTAACATTACTGGGATGATCCAGTCAACTGCAAAAATATTGGGTGATTTTTGAGAAATTTTGGGGATTTTAGGAGCTTCTGGGAACATTTTCAACATTTTTCTTGAATTTCTGAACTCTCAAAAAATTTAAGATTCTAGGAAAAACTTAGATAAGATCTCAAAATTGTTTCGAATTTTCAGAAGTTCAAAAAATCTGGAAATTTTCTGGCTAGGAACTTTTGAAGAAGATCTGTGCAGGAAAATTTCCAGGTTTTTTTTCACGGAAAATGAAATATTTCCGGTTTCCGGAAAAAATGCTCTTCAAGGTTTTTTTTTCAATGAAAAATTCAGAATTTCAGAAATTTTTTTCAGATTCTGATAAAAAATCGAAACTTTCAGCATTTTTCTGAATTTCTGAAGTGAAAATCTCTTTAAATGCACCAATTTCAGATTTTACGAAAAGAAGATCTTAAAATTTTTTCGAATTTTCAGAAGTTCAAAAAATCTGGAAATTTTTGGGCTAGGAACTTTTGAAGAAGAGGAAATTCTCAAGTTTTTTCACGGAAAATTAAATTTTCCGGTTTCCGGAAAAAATGCTCTTTAAGATTTTTTTCAAGGAAAAATTCAAAGTTTCAGGAAATTTTCCCAGATTCTGAAAAAAAACTTTGATTTGAAACAATTTTTCTGAAATGAAAACCTTTCAAAAAAAAAAATAGACTACCTAAAAATGTACCAATTTCAGATATTAAAATTTTTTCGGATTTTCAGAAGTTCAAAAAATCTGGGAATTTTCGGACTAGGAATTTTTGAAGAAGATCTGTGCACGAAAATTTCAGGTTTTTTTCACGGAAAATTAAATTCTCCGGTTTTCGGAAAAAACGCTCTTCAAGATTTTTTTTTCAAGGAAAAATTCAGAAAATTCAGTTTCAGGAAATTTTCCCAGATTCTGACAAAAATTTTGATTTTAAACAATTTTTCTGAACTGAAAATCTCTCAAAAGTATATCATCTGAAAATGCACCAATTTCAGATTTTAAAATTTTTTCGGATTTTCAGAAGTTGAAAATCTTCTGCTTGGAAACATTTGGACCGAAGAATTTTATGTAAATATTTTCCAAAGAAAAAAAAATTTAACACTGCGTTTTTCAGATTTTTGGTCCCAGAATCACTTTGTTTTCTGCCCGGAAATCATTTCAGGTTTTCAGAGATCAATAAAAATTCCCAACATTTCAAGATTTTTCAGCCGGAAATGAAAATATTTTTTAAAATTCAAAATTTTCACCCCCCCCCCCCAAATCCCTCACCATTAGATTGATGATTGGACAAAATCACACAATTCTCCACCAATTTTCCATCCAAAATACTCATTTCTCCATGTATCCGAATCTCAACTCCCGACAAATTTTCAAAAACAAACAGGCATAATCGCATATAGGATTTATAAAGTGCATTGTCGAGTTTTTGTGCCAATTTTTGGGGGATAAACCAAGAAATTCCGCCGATTGCAATTGAACACGTGGCAAATGGGACCATTGAGGCGGATAAAAGAGTGCATGGCACTATTGATTTGATTGAATCGGCAGCTAGAGTTAATCCTATCAACATCTGCAAAAAGTTTTTTGAAATTGCAGAAATCAACTCTTAATATGAGTTATGACGTGGCAAATTTCAGAAATATTCTGAATTTCGAAGATTTTTCGAAATTTGCCACGTCATAACTCATATTTTCAGTTGAGTTTTGCAGTTTTATTTTGTTCCCTGACTTCAAAGAATCTGAGCTATGACGTGGCAAATTTTGCAAAATTTCAGAGAATTCACGAACTTCTTCAAAAATTCAGGAAATTTCTGAAATTTGCCACGTCATAATTTCTTTTCAGACCTGATGTGAGTTCTGTAATTTTTGACAAAAACTACCAGAATCTGAGCTATGACGTGGCAAATTTTCCAGACTCAAAATTATTTTTTTCTGCAAATTTTCGGGATTTCAGAAAGTTAGAAGTGGACTTTTTTTCAAAATTAGAAAAAAATTCAGCAAAAATTAATTTGAAAGCTTTTTTTCAGTCAGCAAAACTCAACTGAAAATATGAGTTATGACGTGGCAAATTTTGCAAAATTGGGGTTTTAGGAGCTGAACACAATCTTCAAAAATTCATGAATTTCTGAAATTCAATAAAAAAATGCTCCAAATTTCAAAATGAAAAAAACTGAAATTTTTCAAGAAAAAGGTCACAGGTTCGATTCCCCGTGGGAACTATTGAATTTTTTTGTTTTTTAATATGCCACGTGGCATATTTGATATCAAAATGATCGAAATTTCAAAATCAAGCCAAAAATTTTGAAAATTTGAGAAAACTTCCGCTAACTTTCCTGGAAATTTGCCACGTCATGCAACCTGAAACCACACACACAAAATACACCAAATTTCAGACTAAAACTGAAGGCATGCATTCGAAAAAACTAGAAAACTTTCAATGTTTATTATGTCAATTTGGGGATAAAAAAAGTGAGAATATGATGATAAAATAAATATTAAAGAAAGAAAAGAGAAAAATGTGGATACCTCGTTTCAGCAAAAAAAATTGTGATGAAAAAAAAACAAGTCATGGGGTAAAAAAGGGGATGTCTTGGAAGGAGGGGAGGCAAGAAAAATGAGCAAAAATAAAAATATAAAATATTACATGATAAATACATACAAAATGATTAAAGCCGGTGCTTCGTGTTATGTACTTAAAATAAAATAAAATTTAAAAAAATTCAATTATCTTGGAATGCATGTTGTAATTGTTGAAGATCATCAATCATTGTGTCAAGACTCTCCATTTGAGCGTTGAGTTCTTCGGTGGAATTTGATGGCTGGAACAAATTTCAGATTTGTAAATTGCCACGTCATAGATAAATTTATTCTAGATAAATTTATATTCACTTTTTCAGCTATAATAACTTGAAAATCGACATTTTTGATGAAATTTAGTCTCTAAATTACTTATTTTCGGCTAAAATTAAGTAATTTGACTCCAGAAATGAAAATTTGGGCTTTTTCATGCAAAAAACATTGTTTTCAGCAAATTTTGCCTCAAAAATCCAGTTTTTCAAAAACAAAAAAAAATACGTTTCAAAATTTTGGTATAATTTTTTATTGAACATTTTTTTTCAATTCCGATTTCAAGTGACTGAATCAAATCCATAAACCAAAATTTCTTCAAATTATCGATTTTTAGATCAAAATTTGAAACTTTTTCAAAATCTGCTCATTTTTTTATCTAAAAATCGATGAATTAAAGAAATTTTGGTTTTTATTCAACTATGGACTGGAAAAAGAATTGAAAAAAAAAGTTCGATAAAAATTATATCAAAATTTTGAAACGTATTTTTTTTTGTTTTTGGAAAATCGGAATTTTTGAGTCAAAAATCGCTGATTTTGAGCTGAAATACTAGAAAATCAAAAATTGAAAGTTGTCGGGAGGAAAATTGATTGAATTTTGTGCTTTTTGCATGAAAAAGCTCAAATTTTCAGTTTCTGGACCCAAATTACTCAATTTCAGCCGAAAATAAGCAATTAAGAGATTGAATTTCATCGAAAATTTCGATTTTAATGTTTTTATGGCTGAAAAACTGTTTTAGTTCAATTTCTGACGTTTTTCGACCGAATTTCGAACAAAAATTGTCGAATTCACTGAGTTTTTGACCACATTTTGACCAAAAAAACGGCCAAAACAATTTTTTTTTGAATATTTCCCAAAATTCCTCAAAATCATTTTTGGCCAAAAACAAAATATTTTCAATTTTCTGTGCCTTAAAATTGTAAAAACAAACTTTCCAATTTTCAAACCCTCCCCGCCTTTCTCCAAAATTCCTCACCATCATATTAATATTCCTCTCGACATGTTTCGTCGGCGTCTCTCTCATCTCAATACTATCCGCTCCTCCTCCATTCTTCCCACTCGCCTTTTCCGATTCTCCATTTTCCGACGAACACGACGCATACGGACTATAGATATTGGCCACATTGACACGTGGTTGTGCGGTGGCTCTGCCGACCGGAACTTGTCGGCCGCCAGCTTGTATGATTCTTGGGGTGCTTCCAGGCACAACTGGAGGCGGTGGTGGAGTGGCGCCGGCTAATTGTGTGAAAGATCGGAGCGCATTCGCTGAACTGGGCGGTGTTCCACGCAGCGTTCGATATCCATCAATGACAGTTGGCGGTCCAGATGGTGGAGCTTGCATTGGAAGCGGCGGTGTGGCTGCACTTCCGATCGCCGACGATGAACCGTAGGGCGATTCACAGAAGTCGATCTTGTGAATCGGTTGATGTCGACCGGTTCCGGTGTAAACAACTTGAGGTGTTCGTTGACGAGCGCCTTCCAAACTTTGCGATGATTGATGATAGCTTCGAGTCAATGTTCCTTGACCTGGAAAAAAACGAGGAATTATAAAGGGATTGGGGGAACGGGGAAAAGGTGAGTAGGGAAAAAACCGCAAATCAGTGAGAAAACCCATTCGGAATTAGAAGTTGGAAGAAGAAGGATTTAGTGACTGTAATAAGAAGAAACCATGAATTTTTAGAATTTTTTTTTGTTTAATATGAGCAATGCTTAATGTTTAATATGAGCAACGCATAAAGAAGGACCATAGAATTTTAGAATTTTAGTTTTTCTTTGTTTAATATGAGCAATGCCACAATTTTTTCCACAGAAAATTTTTCAAAAGGAAAAAAATTGCAAAAAAACAAGGTATTGCTAATGTTAAACCAAATTTTTTGATTTTCTCAAATTTTCAGAGTATTGCTCAGGTTAAACATTTTTTTTTGAATTTTTAATATGAGCAATACTAATTAAAAAAAACATTGCTCATGTTAAAAACCCTAAAAATTCGATTTGTAAAATCAAATTTGCAGCATTGCTCATATTAAACACAAAAAAAAAATAATTTTTTTTTGAATTGTTAACATGAGCAATGCTAATTTGAAAAATCACTCATTAGGCTAAAAATGTGTTTTTTTCAGTATTGCTCATATTAAACATAAAAATTCCTAGTTTTTTTTTGGTTAAAAATTGTGTTAACATCAATTATTTTTCCAGAAACGTGTAAAGACAAAATAACACGTGCACAAAACACAAATCCACATCAGAGCTGGTCTGATCCACATTCAATCACATTTCACATTCAATCACTCCACACAACATCAATACCATTTTGAGCAATCGAAACAACTCGTGCCATTGGCCTTTCAATTTTCACATTTTTCGCAATCAAACAATTCGTTTCAATCTCCTCGTCTTCAACCGCTGAACTCATTGATGTTGCCATTGGAGTTCTCGATGATCTTTCTGGTCTTGGCGGTCTTCCGCCAATCGAACCATAAACCGAGTCTAACAAAGGGTACAAAGAGAAACTTAGAATATTTCAGAGGGCGGAAAAAAATCATAAAAATGTACTATTTACAAGGGGAGATCTTCAATGAGACATGGATGTTTCTGTACAGTTTTTCACCCGTTTTCAGTTTTTTTCTGGCCCAAAAATGAGCCAAAAATGGAGAATTTTTGAAATTTCGTGTTTTTCTCAGATATTTGCCACGTTTTCAGTAATTTTGACTCAAAAATTCTCTAATTTTTCAAAAACCAAAAAAATACGTTATAAAATTTTGATATAGTTTATTATCAAAATTTTTTTCAATTATAAAACACCTTAGGGAATTTTAGCAATAGATTAATTTGAAAAATTCAGAAATTATCGATTTTTGGTTCAAAATTCTTGTACATTCTTAATTGTTCTCGAGAAAAAAGCATTTTCAGCCATAAAAACTTGAAAGTCTACATTTCTGATCAAATTGAGGCTCAAAATTGCTTGTTCAGTAAAAATTGAAAAATTTGGGTTCAGAAACTGAAAAATGTTCGTTTTTCATCCAGAAATCAGCTTTTTTATGCGAAAAGCACGAAAATTTCATGGATTTTCCCAAAACCTTCAATTTTCAGCTACAATTCTTATTTTTGATTTTCTGACTCAAAAAATTTTCTATTTTTTCAAAAACCAAAAAATACGTTTCAAAATTTTGATATAATTTTTCATCAAGCATTTTTTTCAATGACATCAAACATTTTTTTCAATAACACCTTAGGGGATTTTATAAATAGATTGATTTGAAAATTTCTGAAATTATCGATTTTTGGTTCAAAATTGAATAAATTTATTTCGAGAAAAAGCAAATTTTGAATGAAATTTCAAAATTGTTATGACATCCCTTAAATTTCGAGAAAATATTCAGATTTTTTCCGAATTTCGAGTTCAGAAAATTCAAATTTTTGAGGAAGGCTGAAATCCCGTGAATTTAGTGATTTTTGTAGCAAATTTGAAATTTTTGTCAAAACTTTTGATTTTGATAAATCGACCTTGGACTCAGTTTGAGAAATACTCCAAAAGTTCCAAGAATATCAAAAAATGTGGTTTAACATGAGCGATATCTTTCTTTTCTGGTTTCCTAGCTCTCAAAACCGCGATTTTCAGAAAATTCTCAATTTTGGCTCATTTCTGGGCTCAAAAACTGTACAAAAGCATAGATTTCTTATTGAAAAACCGCAATTTTCAAAACCAAAAACCCCAAAACCAAACCTTGTAGATGATGATATCTGGGTGTCGGCGATTCAATATCAACCGCCGTCAAATGCGCCGTCGCCAATCCATCCACCATATAATCCGAAGTGCCGGCTCTCATATGACTTCCAGCTCCATTGATCCACAAATCATTCGGTGCTCCTTCAACGCCATTTTGACTCGTTTTTTTCGCTGATTGATATCCATTTTTATTAACCGCCGATGATCTTCTGAAGCAACACATCAGAATAAGAATAAGTGAGAGGAATAGGATGAGAATTAGAGCGATGAGCAATAGAAGATAGAGGGGGTTTTCAGCAAAAACTTGTTTCAAATGATCGATTATTCCGATTCGATTTGTGCCATTTGACGAAGTTCCATAACCACGTCGATTATTATTTCCAGACAAAATCGCACCACCCGAAGGAGTATAACCAACTACTGATGAAAATGGTCCATGTCCTGCAAAAAAATTCGTTAAAAATATTTGAAGACCAACTTTTTGTGCTGAAAACAGCGGAATAACTTATTTTCAGCTACGAAATTTTTCCATTCAAATATCGAAGATATATCTTATATAGATTGAAAAGAATATCTGATAATAAATTATATCAAAATTTTGAAACGTATTTTTTTTTGTTTTTGGAAAAGTCGAATTTTTTACCAAGAATTGCTGATTTTGAGCTGAAATCCTAGAAAATCAAAAATTTAAAGTTTTCAGGGAGAAAATTGATTAAATTTTGTGCTTTTTGCATAAAAAAAGCTACTTTTTTCGAATCTTCTCGAAATTTTTCAATTTTTGCCGAAAAGAAGCAATTTTGAGATTAAACCTGATCAAAAATGGAGATTTTCAAGTTTTTATGACTGAGAAAGTGTTTTTATGTCAATTTCTGAGAAACTTTTCGACCAAAGTTGAATGAAAACAAATATTTAATTGTAAATTATATCAAAATTTTGAAACTTATACTTTTTTGTTTTTGAAAAACTGGATTTTTCGGAGATTTTCGGGTCGAAAAGCGAAATTTTTCAATTTCCGGACCGAAAGCCCAACTTTTTGTGCTGAAAACAGCGGAAATATTTATTTTTAGCTAGCTTATCGTTTTCAGCACGAAATTTTTCCATTGAAACAATAACGGAGATTTATTGAAAATAATATTTGATAGAAAATTATATCAAAATTTTGAAACGTATTTTTTTCTGTTTTTGAAAAATCTGGAATTTTTCGGGAATTTTGGGACGAAAAACGAAATTTTTCAGCTTCTGGAGCCTAATTTTTCGATTTTTTCAAGCAATTTTCAGTGCGAAAATTTTCGAAATGTCTAATTTTTTGAATTTCTCAGACAATTTTCATAGCGAACTTTTGGAAATTCTTAATTTTTCAAATTTTTTACAGACTTCAAAATTGAGAAAAAAAAATTTTGAAAATTTTCTCAAAAACTGTTTCGTATTTTCTAAAGACAATTTCAGGCTTTTTCTCTAAAAAACGAGCGAAAATTTCACAATTTCAGAGCGAAAAAAACCAACCAACCTTTCTCATTCCTCGCCTGAATCTTGAAAAAATAATTCGCCTTCGGCAACAAATTGCTAACTTGATGCGACAATTTATCGCCCGCCACATAGTTAATAATCCAATCTTTATCCGCCAACGACGACCTATCCGTGTAATACACCAAATATTCCTCGATTTCTCCATTCGAATATTTGGGTGGCTGCCAATGCAAAGACGCCGAATGGGGATCTCCCGACTCCGCCGGCAAAACCGTCAAATCCCTTGGCGCACTGCTAGGCGGTGCGGATTGCGTCCGATTCCTCGTCGCCATACTCCACGCACTCAATGAAAATCCATTCGAAATCGCTCTCACAGCAAATTCATATTCCGTCGCCGGTCGCAATCCCTCAATAGTCGCCCAAGTTTCCGTGCTATTCACATATCTATGCTGATTTCCATCAACACTTGTGCTATATCTAACAGTATATAAAGTGTTGAATGATGTTTCATCAGCTTCCGTCCAAATTACTCGAATACTTGTGGCTGAAATCGCTTCAGCTCTCACACCAACTGGTGTACTTTCACCTTCCCCAACTAATTCCTCATCTTCATTTTCACTCGCATCTTCTCCCCCAAAAACAACATCTCTGGACAATGTTCGAACAGTCTCATAAATCGGAAATCCGGCTCCAAAATTATTAAAAGCTCTCAATGAGATCACATAATCTCTTCCCGAATGTAAACGCGGGATTTTATATTGTGTTGTAGATGCGCTAACTCGCGCGGTCTCCGTGTCCGGAACACTCAAACCCCATCCGACTTGATAGCCTCGAACGAGATTTTGCTCGTCGATTGGTGGAAGCCACGAGACAACAATGTAGTCGATTCCGGCGTGTGGGCGGATTTCGCGCGGAGCTCCCAGAGTTCGTTCTTCTTTGTCTTGTCCGGGTGTGTCGACGTTTATCCAATCGGAAAATGGACCGGTTCCGTTCTGCAAAAATAATATTTGTGGTGAAAAAATGTCAAAACTTGTTTTGGGAAATTTTTAAAATTTCATCAGTTGAATAATCTTTTCGTGATTTCCACGTGGATTTTTTGTAGCTAGAATTTTGGGGAGAAAAAACTTTGTCTGAAAATAATTTTTGACAAAATAAACCTCGAGATGTGATTTTCCACGTGGATTTTTTGCAGCCAAAAATTGAGAAAAATGTGAGAAAAGGCATTTTTGCCTGAATTTCGTCATAAAAATGCGCTCTGATATTTTTTCCACCTGGATTTTTTTTCCAACTAAAACTTTGAAAAATAGAATCTGATGTGAGTCAAACCAATAAAGAATTCTCTGAAATTCAAAAAAAAAAGGAGAATTTTCAGTGGTGATTCAGGTGATTTTTGAGAAATTCCAGTTGGAAAAAATCCACGTGGCAAATCTTAATTCAAGGGTTTAAAAATTGTTTAAAAAAATGAAAATTCTGATTTGCCACGTGAATGATTTTTAAGTTTCATGAATTTCTGAAGAAAAAAAAAACATTCTAATTCTAATTTGCCACGTGGAGCTCAAAATTTTGAAAAACCCAAAGATTTTGTCTGAATTTCGGGATAAAAGCTTTGATTATGATTTGCCACGTGGATTTTTTGTAGCTAAAAATTTTGTCCTAACTTTTTAAATAAAAATTTGTTCTGTTGCCACGTGGCTATTTTCCAACTAATTTAATTTCATTTTTTTCGGATAGTTTGATTTTTCGCGTGGGAACTTATTTCAAAAAAAAATTCCGATGAAAGTTTGAATTCCAGTTCTTTTAGAACTGTCTAGAATTGAAATTTTCCAATTTTTCTCATCCTCAAAAAAATCTCTGAAAATTCTAGAATTTCTGAGAAAAAGGCTTAAAATCTGATTTTATCAAAGTAAGTATAAAAGCTTTGATTCTGATTTGCCACGTGGAAATTTGTCATCATAAAAATTCTCTGAAAATTCTGGAACTAATTTTTTTCTGAAAATTTGATTCTACGCGTGGATTTTTATTTTAAAAAAAATTTCCCAATATTTCTCACCCTAGAAAATTCCCTAAAACTTCTGAAACTTTTGAAAAAAAACCTAATTTTCTAAATTGCGAAGTGGAAAACTTTTCAAAAAAAATTTCGATGAAAATTTGAAATTTAGGTTTTTCAGTTTTCAGTGCCTAGAATTGAAATTTCCCAATTTTTCTCATCATGAAAATTCCCTAAAATTTCTATGCAAAAAAACTATTCTCTGATAGATTTTTTGCAGCTCAAAACTGTGAAATTCATAATTTTCACCCAAAAAAAAGCGAAACCAACATGATTAACAACAGCCAATCGAACCAAATACTGTGTATTGCTCTCCAAATTGCCCATCGTATATTCTCTCGCCGACGCGTCAATCACAAACGTATTTCCTTTGCTTCCCCGCGCCTTCGTCTTATACTTCAATCGATATCCCGTGATTTCGCCATTCACCGAATCCCCATCCGGTTCTTCCCAACTCACTCGAACACTTGTCGACGAATCCGCTTCCGCTTGTATATTTTGTGGCGGCGCTGATGGTTCATCAGACAATGTTCGCACTTTCACAACATCACTTGACAATCCACTTCCATTTCCGCCTTCGGCCTCAACTCGAATCTGATAATCCGTATATTTTCCCATTCCGTGGAGAGTGTATGTGGTGAAAGAAGTTGTGATAAGTGTCTCCTTTTCATTCTTTTCCGGTGGATCTTTGGAATAATATATTTTATAGCGAAGTGCAGGTTGTCCGCCAGTTGGTGGGCTCCATTTTATTTCAATTGTTTCGGCGCCAGTTGCGATTGCACTCAATGACGATATTTTTCCAGGTACAGCTTCTATAATTAGGAAATCCATTAGGCTAGGGAAAATTTAAACCAAAATTAAAGGTAAAAATTTATGCGACCATTTTTTTACCTGAAATTCTAGCTTTCAAAGCTTCTTATTTGAAAAAATGCCACAATTTTTAAAAAATGAATCTGGGGAATTTTTTTATGAATTCAGAAATTTAATTTCAGATAAAAAATTTGTTTCAAATTTTCTAGCTGCAAAAAATCCACGTGGCAACTCAGAATTCAGGTTTTTCAAAAAATGAATCCATAATTTCTAAATTCAAATTTCAGGGGGAAAATATACATTTCAATTTTATATTTAAAAAAATGCTAAGTTGAAAAAAATCCAATTTTAAAGTCTGAAATTAGTTGGAAAAAATCCACGTGGCATATCAGAATTAAAGCCTTTTTCTCGAAAATTTGAGAATTTTCAGTGAATTTTTCTAATCCACGGATTTTTTCCAACTGAAAGTTTTGAAAAATAGAATCTGAAACCACCGCTAAAAAACTCCCTGAAAATTCTGAGAAACCTCCAAATTTTTTCTAAAAAATTTCATCACGAGACAAAGTTTTTTTCTAAATTTTCAGTTGCAAAAATCCACGTGGAAAATCAGGATTAAATTTTTTTTTGCTCAAAAATTTGAGAATTTTCAGTGAATTTTTTTAATCCACGGATTTTTTCCAACTGATATTTTTGAAAAATAATCTGAGTCACCGCTAAAAAATTCTCTGAAAATTCTGGAATTTTTGAGCAAAAAAAAACTGTTTTCTGATTTTACACGTGGATTTTTCAGCATATTTTTGAGTGGAAGTTTGAGTCGAATTTCTAGATTCTTTCACCCCTCATCCTTCAAAAAAACTCACGCTCTTTACTAGTCGAAACCTTCAAATTATCACTCGTCTTGCCCATTCCAGCCTCATTTTCAGCCGCAACTCGAATCAAATACAACGTCGATGGTTGAAGTGATGAAAGTGTTGTTGAAGTTGTCGACGAGTTGATCATTCGTTCTCGATCACTTCCAGATTCTTTATAGAATACATGATATCTCATTATATTTCCATTTGACTGAACTGGTCGATCCCATTCAATGTTGATAAATCGACTTCCAACTGTTGAAATTCGAAGGCCAAGTGGAGAAGATGCAACCATTGGTTGACCAGAAGATGCAGCAACTGCTGACGAATCTGGAATTTTTTAAAATTTAATTTAATTTTGGAATGTGAGTGCTGGAAGTTATTCAATCAAAATCAGTTTCAAATTCACACAAGTTATAATCAGATTTTCGTTTCAAATCAAAAAATTCACACAAAAAATCAATTACCATCAGACAATTTCGCGTCTTCTCTTCGGGGTAAAAGCCCTCTACTCGCCAAAAATGTGGGTCCTAGAATAGGGGCTCTTTTTATTATAGGAGCACAAAATCCTGATTTTCACGGCTTTTCAAGGTTCCCAGATAAATTTCTATTGAAAAATCGAATTTTCCACGTAAAAATGATATCGGAGCTTTAAAATACCGTGAAACTCAATAGTTTATCATTAGAGCGCACTTGCTTTTTTCTGTAAAATTTTAAAACCTCAAAACTCGCTCCAAATTGATTTTCAAGAGCTTTCAAGGTTCCCAGATAAATTTTCTGTTGAAAAATCGAATTTTCCACGTTAAAATTATCTAGACGCTTTAAAATACCGTGAAATTTGAGAGTTTATCATTAGAGCGCGCTTGCTTTTTTTCTTTAAAATTTCAGAAATTTCAAAAAATAATAGTTTTTGTTAAAATTTAGATTTTTTTTTTGGAAATCGTTAATTTTAAGAGATTTGGCGCCAGAAAATAGCAAATGCGCTCCAATGACAAAATCCTGATTTTCACAAGTTTTTGAAATTTTTTTCATCCTGGCACAGTTTCTTTTCAAAATTTGGAGATTCTGCAATTCTGGCACAGTTTTTGAGCAATTTTTTGGCACGAATTTCAAGCCTAGGCTCATTTGGTTTCAAATTTACGCAAATTTTCAGCCAAATCTACTAACCTGGCGCATCAACAAGTAATTGTGCACTCGCTTGCTCACTTCCAACCGCATTTTCAGCCAAACATTGATAAACTCCTTGATCAGTTCGTACAACTCCAAGAATTCGCAGTCGATTTGGTTCAATCACAAAATATTCGCTCGCAATTATCGCTTCCCCATTTTTGAACCACGAAATCGTGGTTTCCGGTCTTCCAGCCGCCACACATTCCAAATCAACATCCGCTGTTTCAACCGCGATTTTTGTCATCGGCAAAGTCGTGATCTTTGGTGGTGTTCGAACTTCGACTGAAACCGCGCGATCAATACTATCATCATTATTCGATGCGCGGCAAGTATACAATCCGGTATCATCGGGAATTGCTTTTGAGATGAGAATTGAGGAGACACCGACACGTCGAACACGTGTGCCATCAACAATTATTTGACGGGAATCTTTGAGCCATCGAACTTGTGGGCGGGTTTTTGAGGAGACAAGGCATTCGAGAAGAATATCATCGTTTAATTCAACTACTTGAAGTCGTGGAGATGAAATGAAGACCAGGTCATTTGAAACTTCTCCTGGAAACAAATTAGGGTTGAAAAATTCCAAAAATATTTTCTGGTCCAAAATTCAAATATTTTTCGAATAAAATGAAATTTCTACAATCCTGGCACGGTTTTTTTTGGGGGGAAAATCTTTTTTTTTTGCAAATTTTTGCGCGAAAAATTGTTTTTCTTCTGGAAAAAATTAGGGTTGAAAATTTCAGATCTCTAATATTTTTTCGCCCAAAATTCAAATATTTTTGGGAAAAACTGAATTTCTGCAATTCTGGCACGGTTTTTTTGTTGAAAAAATCGATTTTTTTTAATTTAAAACCTTATAAAATGGGCGGAGCCTGAACTCTGCAATTCTGGCACAGTTTTTGAGCAAAAAAATCGATTTTTCTTCGGAAAATAGGCGGAGCCTAAATTCTGCAAGCCTGGCACAGTTTTTGAGCAAAAAATCGTGCCTAGAATTATTCGGTGTCAACTTGACGCGATTTTTTTCACTTTTTTCAAATTTCAAAAGTTTTAAACTGTGCGAAGCCCAGTTTCTGCAAGTCTCCAACAAAATTTAAGCAAAAACTAGAAAATACATATTCTTCTTTTTCCCCCCGCTTTTCCAGTATCTTTTGCAAGTCTCGTAAATTTTAATGATTTATAAATAATCCTATATCAGATTACTCCCTTCCCCCTCAAAAAAACCACAAACCAGTTGAAATGCTAAGTCTTCCAGTCTGACTACTTCTTCTCTTCCCAGCTCCCTCAATTGCACATCGATATGTTCCCTCGTGTCGAGTTTGTGTCGAACTAATCTCCAAAGTATTCGAAAGCGGCAAAATGTGATATTCGCCTCCGTCTAGAATAAAACAAGATTGAATCAGTTTGAAAGTGGTCTCAGGGGGAATCTCTATTTTCCTGCTCTGCTTGAGCTTACAAGGATTCACAAAATACACATTTTCTGTAATTTTGGGAGTTTCTAAGATATAATAACTCCAAAAAGCATAGTTATGACGTGGCAAAACTGTCAGATTTTTTGGGTGCTGTATTTCATTTCAGAGACAAAATTTTTGAATTTTTGGGCAAATTCGTAAAAGATTTTGGTATTCCACTTTTATGACCAGAAATTAAAAATATTGCCTGTGAAATGAGGTACAGTACCCAAAAATCCGACAAGTTTGCCACGTCATAACTATATTTTCAACGAGTTGTGTACTCTATTATTTTTGGAGTTCTTAGCTCTTGGGATGTTAGTTGAACTGCCATAGAGATATGATAACTCCAAAAATTAAAGGGTACAAAACTCGCCAAAAACATAGTTATGACGTGGCAAAACTGTCAGATTTTTTGGGTACTGTATTTAATTTCAGAGAAAATTTGAATTCTGGTGTCAAACTCATAAAAGTGGTACTCCAAAAATTAATTTAGAAAAATTAGGTTCAGCAATTTTTGGACCACATCTCGGCCAATCCGTGGCTGGCCAGACAACAATTAAAAAAAAATTTAAATGTTTTTTCGTGTACCACTTTTATGAGTTTGACCCCAGAATTCAAAAATATTTAATTTCAGTAGAAAAATACACGATTTTTTGTCACGTCATAACTATATTTTAGCGACCTTTGAAATATAGTTGAACAGCCAAATTTACAGAAAGTGAGCTTCCTTTGCTCAAAAATCCCAAACCAACCTTTATTCTCAATCAATTTATCATTATGATACCAAGAAACACTCGGAGAAGGTTTCGAAGCTGAAGTCAAACAATGAAAAGCAGTCGGTTGACCTTTTGCAATATTTCGATCAATTGGCTGAGTATCGAATTTCGCCAAATCCGCCATTTTCAACAGAGCTTTTCTACTCAAAAATGTCCAGGTTTCAGTTTGTCCTTCTCGCGTTGTTGTAACATGAACAGCACATTGATAGGTTCCCTCTTCGGAATTCGACATATTTTCGATCCATAGTGAGCCATTTACCGAGATTTTTCTGGAAAAAAAATTTAATTTTGTGCTTTTTTTTAAAAGAAAATAAAATCTATGCTTCTATCTGTGTATATTTTTGTAATTTTTTTTTACTTTCTTTTTTTCCCCAGCGACCACCCAGCAGGTTGTCTCTCTTTGTCCACTTGAATTATGACAGATGGTGTTAGAACATTAAAAAACGAAAGAAAAACGAAATGGTGGGAAAATGAGAAAAATATGTGCCTCTTTTCTTGAAAACTCATTACAACTTTATTTTCTTTTATTAATGTTTGTTTTTCCTCAAAAACTATTATTATTATTATTATTATTATTATTATTATATAGTTTTTGATGATTCAACCATTCACCATATGTATAGTTTCCAGATGTTCTGAGGTCAAGTAGACAAAAAAATCAGAGTTGCACTAAATCAACTTGTTTCTTCAGGGCTAACCTTGAAATGTCAATCGATATTTACATTTCTATTCTATTCAAACTGACATGAATACACATATCACCTTTCAAATTTTGTTTTGACTAAGCTAAGCTAAAAAAGGGAAATAAGAAGGAAGGAAGGAAGTATACCGAGCGAACGAGTAAATAACAAAGATTTCTACAAAAAAAATAACAACACCTTCTCTGTTAACCCAAAAATTGAAATTTCAAAAATTTATATGCCACATGGATTTTTGAAATACTAAAATTTGTGCCACGTGGATTTTCAGGGCTCGAAATTCGAAATTCCAAAAATTTACGCCACGTGGATTTTTTTTCTCAAAAAGTTGAAATTTCAAAAATTATGTCAAGTGGATTTTTAGAGCTCGAAATTCGAAATTTCAAAAATTCAATGTCACGTGGATTTTTGACTCAAAAATTCATGCCACGTGGATTTTTCTTCTCAAAAATGTATGCCACGTGGATTTTTAGCACTCAAAATTGGAAATTTCAAAATTCATTTCACGTGGATTTTTAGGGCTTGACATTTGAAGATTTGTGCCACGTGGATTTTTTACTCAAACAATTTAAAAATAACGCCACGTGGAAATTTGGCTGCTGAAATTTAATATTTATGCCACGTGGATTATTAGCTCCTGGAATTTGAAGATTTGTACCACGTGGATTTTTTACTCAAATTTTTTTTTTCAATTAAAAATTCAAGCCACTTGGATTTTTTCCACCCAAAATTTAGAAAATTAAAAATTCATGCCACGTGGATTATAATTTAAACCCTGCAAATTCCGAAGAAAGGTCCTTGTACAATCCATAAATCTTTCAACTTCCAATTGAAAGAAAACCCGGAGATCAATTATTTCATCAACAATGTCTAATAAAAATCTTCGTTTCCTACAGTACTCCTTTCCATATTTTTTGTTCCTCAAAATCCCTCACGCAACAATTGTCTCAAGTGTACTCTTTTTTTGTTAAGATTATGACTATTTCATAACTTTTTCTATTCCTCCTTTTTTTTCTCCACAGCACCAAAAAATGCATTTCGAAATGGAGTGTGGACCAAAACAATTACAACCGCTTGTTTGTTTCCATAAATAAAAAGAAGGCCAAAAAGTTGAAGTTGAGTTGTTGCAAAATGTATATATGCATGAATGAATAGGGGATTAAGAGAGACAAATTCTGATGGAGTAAAAAGAGGGGGAGAGAAAGCAAAAAGTTGTAGATATATGTATAAGATTAACAGGAAAAGGAAGAAGAAGAAGAAAGGATTAGAGCTATTTTTACTCTTTCTGGAGTGTTTATGAAATTTCAAACACTTGAGAATATTTTTTAAAATAAAATATGCGTTTTCTGGTAGTTTCAGACACGCTGATCACGTTCTAGTTGTCTGAAATTGCAGATCTCAACTCCCAATATGAGTTATGACGTGGCAAAGTTGGAAAATTGCGGCTTCGGCAGATCAAAACTCGCTTTTAAAATGGTTTTGATGAAAAAATTTTTGAAAAATCTTCAAAATTGATTCTCCTGAACAACTATGTGCTATCAGCTTTGAATGAAAATCATTTTTGAAGCCAGTTTTCAGCTTTCAAAATTTTTGCCACGTCATAACTCATATTAAGAGTTGAGATCTGCAATTTCAGACAACTAGAAAACATATTTTTATTGAAAATCTATAGGCAGTTCCCCTCTTGTAACATAAATAATCTCAAATATCCGGATGAGGAAAATTAAAATAAAAATAATCAGAGAAAGCTCTGGAGAAACCCAAAGAGGACAAATTTTCTGCTGAAAATCACAAAATCGCATCAGAGCACTAAATTCTCATCAAAATCTCTAGAGGAGCTCTGAAGCTACCCATATTACCGTAAAAATAATCTCGCAAGGTTTGAGAATCACCCTGTGGTATTTCGAGAATATTTTTGGGGTAAAATGGGTAGTTTCAGAGCTCCTCTAGAGATTTTGGTGAAAATTTGAATTATTTTGCGATTTTTGTGCTTCTCCGGAGGTTTCTCTGATTATTTTTGCAGTAAATATGTGCGTTTTTCACAAATTTTACGGTTTTTTGATCATCAAAACTCACATTCGCGAATTCGCCTTCTCATTCACCAACACGCCATCTCGTCGCCATTCAACTCGAACCGCTTGCACTTCGCTCTTCTCATGTGCCAAAATATAGGAGCATTCGAGTAGTTGCGGTCCGAAACTGGTTGTGTTTCTGGTTGGCTGGTTCTCGAAGGAGAATCCGATGCTTCGAGGATCTGGAAAAAAATCACCAATAGTTTAGGTAACAAATTTTCGAAATGAATTATTTTTAGAAATGACTGGGATAAATTTTTATATGTCACGTAAATTTTCAAAAAAATATTTCATTTTTAAAAATAGAGATATTCTAATTAGAGACAACGTGAAATTGAGAGAACCTAGAGAAAAATTAGAACTCTTTTTTCTCTAGACTCTCTCAATTTCACATTGTCTCTCTCTAATCACAATAATATTCTAGAGACAACGTGAAATTAAGACAGAGCCTAGAGAAAAATTAGGAATCTTTTTTCTCTAGGCTCTCTCAATTTTACGTTGTCTCTAATCTGTATATTTTTCCCCTTTTTCCAGAAAAATTCCAGGTTTTCCATAAATAGTCTATCCTTTTGTTTTAGAAAGCTTTTCTCATGCCAAACCATTAAAAAACCCATTGGTCAATTATTTGTTGTTCTGGCATCTGCTGTTCTTTTCTTTCTTTTCTTTTCGTTTTTTCAATTTCTTTTCTATCCATTATGCAATCAAGAAAAGAGGGTCCAATGGAAGGAGAAAAAGAGAAGAAATTTTCAATCCATCATGTTTGTGACACTGATTTTAACATAGAAATGTGGAAATGTGGAAATGTATTCGAAAAATAGAGGAAAAGGGGGGATAAAATTGCGTAATTTATTTGTTCTATATCTGATTAGAATCTAGGCTCGCTTTTGATGGATGAGATTTTGAAATGAGCGGAAATTTGGAATAAAAATAATTTCGCCCCAACAATTAAATGTTGTTTACCACAGGTGAATATTTAAATTAGCAGTTATTAATAATTATTAGGACAATCTGTCTCTTGACAAGAAAAAAGAAAAAGAAGAACCACTAAATTATATGATCCTATAATAGTCCTTAGTGTCATTTTCACCAGCTGCTCTTCTACTTACAACAAGAATTTTTTTTTCAAAAAAAAAAAAAAAGATATTTACTACAATAGTTTCTTACACTTTCACATGGCTGTGAATCACCCTTGCACTTTACACTTTTGTTAGGTAACATTGTATAGTTGCGCAAGTGTGTTCTTTTAACTATTCCCGGCTTGACAGGGACAAGCTTACGAGGGAAATATGTTAAACATACACCTTTTTGCACAGTTTTTGCTGCGCGACTTTCTGACGAGCAAAAAAAATGAGCCAAAAATCTAGAATTTTCTGAAAATCGCGGTTTTAAGAGGCTATAATTCATGTTAGAGAAGATTTTAAATCAAAATAGTTTTTGATTTAAAATTTTCTCTAACATGAATTATAGGCGCGATTTTCAGAAAATTCTAGATTTTCAGCTCATTTTTGTGCTCTTCAGAGAGTCGCGCAGCAAAAATTGAAAACTTTTTTTGTTCATGAAATACTATGTCATGGGTAAATACAGCAAAAAAAAAATAAATCAAAAGCAGGTGGTCATGAATTTTTCAAAGGATTTTTCAAAAAACTAACCATTTTCCAACGATCTTTTGTGATGTTTTCGAATATGAGCAAAACTTGAGTTTAACAATAATAAAAGGAATAATGGTATACCTGTAAAGATTATGCAAATTTAAAAATTAAAAAAAATAAATAATTTAAAAAAAACCTACCAAAAATAGTGATTTGCATAGCTATGAATTTGAAAATTGCATGATATTCTATCAATTTATTTATTTAAATTATTAAAATGAAGCTTTTTCCACCTTCTCCCTGGCAAAATGGTGAATTTCTTGGTGAAAACGGCACGAAAAATGCGAAAAAGTGGGCGGAGCCTCGTGCAGGACACTCTGCTCTCTCTGCGTCTCTGCACACATGCCATACTGGCCGTCTGCCAATAATGGGTTTCGTCGAGAGCGTCGCGGTTGTGCGTTGCGTCTACGCTCGAAAAATTTTTTTCATTTTTTCGCGCTAGTCCCTGCTTTATTTACTTTCGCTTTTTTTGAAGTTTTTTCGCAAAATTGTTGAAATTTTGAGATTTCGAAAGATTTTAGAGAGGTTTAGCGAAGTTTCGATGGATTTTTACATGGAAAATTATTGCGGAGAAATGATATTTAGGCCAAATTTCGAAATAATCAAATAATCACTTTTTTCATAGAAATTTGAATTTTTAATCAGTTTTACGTGTTCTAGTCTACTTATTTTAATCGTTCTCGAATCTTTTTCATCGTTCATTTCTTGTTATTTCCAGATAATAATGTCGGATAGAAGTTCCGGCTTTTTCTCATCAGTTGGGCGTTTTTTCACTGGTGGATCAACATCAGCCCAAAAGTCACCTACAAAGTCTTCATCAAATGATATTCCACCATCCTCTTCGTCATCGCCTCGTTCATCAAATTCGAATACATCGTTTCTCAAAGATGTGATGACGTTAACAACAGAAGTTTCGCCAAATAAGCGAAGTGTCAAGTATTTGAGCCCTTCCGCATTGGATTCTTCTTTTCAAAAGAGAAATCGGACTCTGAATGGTCTTGAAATTGAAGTAGATCCAGTTGCTGATATTTTCAGTTCACCGTCGTTGAATTCAGTAAGTTTATTGTATTTATATTAAAAACTTGAACATTGTTTTTGTTTTTCAGCAAAGTCGAAAGCGGCAGTTAACTGAAGTTGATAGGTCATTGATTTCTCCATCGTTCAGAAGTGAAAGCGCAAAACGAAAACAAGATTTTGGCAACAGAAGTTTGTTTGAGCCTGCACCCAAGACTGGAGCATCTAGACTTGATTCAACTTGGTGTGGTCAATTCTCAGCGTCTCATTCGCCAGCCTCCTCTGTCACCAATTTCTCGCTCATCAGTCGAAATACCGCCACCACAAATGGCTCCTCCACTTTGAGCTCAAGCACAAAACATTTGCTGCGAAAATTGGAGAGTGCAAGTACACCAGCGAGAGATGTTCAAAGAATGACAATGATTCGAGCCGGGTACACGAGACCCGAGAAATGGGCGACGTCAAGTGTTTCGTCTGGAGGAGGAGTATCGGATGGAGCTCCGCCACTCAAAAAGTCTACGGATAATTGTCAATCGCGTATTCAATTGCTATCCAAAACTATGTCAGCACATAAACACAACTATTGGTATGTTCTTATAAAATAATTAATTGTCTCAATAAAAAGCAGTTTTCAATAGATCAAAATCTAAGATAAACTGACAACGAAGGTCGATTCAACTTTTTTTGAATTACGGGGGAATTACATGATAACGGCTTTTGTTAAATCAAAAATAGTGGATTATAGAACTGGACATGTCGATGACGATGCTACAAAAATTAGCTGCTGAGCTCCACGCGGAGCTAAGAAAATGAGCTCTGAAAATTGACATGAAACCAGTTCTATTGAAAAAAGTTCTAACACAAAAAAAATCGATCCCGAAACCCAAAAATTAAATATGTAGACGCTACACGCCTACTCGTTTTGGTCACATTATACAAAGGCTAATTTTCAATAGAACTGGTTTCGTGTCAATTTTCAGAGCTCATTTTCTTTGCTCCACGTCGAGTTCAACAGCTAATTTTCGTAGCATCCGCATCGGCGTGTCCAGTTCTATAATACACTATTTTTGACTTTACTAAAGCCGTTATCACGCTGATGTAATTCTCTTGTAATTCAAAAAAAAAAAGTTGAATCGACCTGCGTTGTCAATTTATCTTAGATTTTGATCTATGAAAAACTGTTAGTTTTATCGGAGATATTTATATTTGAATATCAAAGTTTTATTTTCAGGCGTGATTTGACTCGTCGTCGAAGTGATCCAAAAAGGAACGATTCAGATGTTTCGATCATCTCAACAAAGACAAATGGAAGTGCTAAATCGAATGAATTGAGCTCTCTTTTCGCTGTTGAAAAACCATCGCAATACTCCAGAAATTCCGAAGTTCCTGCCAAAAAACATCAACCAGTATTGAAAGGTTCTGATGGAAAATCTATCGGCAAGAATACTTTCAAATTCAATGAGGAGGATGATTTGAATTCCACTGTGACAGAGGTGATTTTTAAAAGTTTTTTGAAAAAAATTTATGATAAATTTTTAGACATGGCTCAAAACCAGCGAACCATTGAAATTGGATGCTGCTCCAGCGAAAGGATTTTTGGGTAGCTTAACATTCACCTTCAGCACTCCAGTTGATGTCATCAGTTCCGCCGCAAGTACCACCAAAAAATCAGAAGTTGTCCCAGAAGTTGTTGAATCCGAAAAATCCGATGCTGATGAGACGGATAGTGTGAAATCAGGAGCAAGTGACAATGAAAGCGAAAGTGATTCGGAGAATTCGCAATCGTCTTCCGCAGAATCGAGCGAAGAATCGGATGCGCAGATTGAAAATGAGAAGCCAAAAGAAAAAGAAGATTCGAGACCACAAACTTCAACTGACACAATTTCGCCAGCTGTTTCGTTGTTATCATCGAAAAATAGCTCGCCAAAAACCAATGTTGTTGCACCGCTTCCAACTGCTGCACCGGAAAAGAAAACGACAACTCCGGCTGCTAGTTCGACATGGAGTTGTGATGGATGTTTCACTTCATGGCCAGAATCGGTAAGTTCTGAATCTAATGAAATGTAGGTTGTAGTTTTCGACCCGCTTTTCCCCGATAAAATTGCAAAGCTCAACTTCTAACATACGTTATGACGTGGCGGAGTTCAAAAATTGCGACTTTGGCAGGTCAGAACTCGCTTTTAAAATGGTTTCGATGAAAATCTGATAGCATAGCATTGTTCAGGAGGCTCGATTATATAAGTAAACTTCATGTTTTCATTTTGTGATCAGTTTTGAATAATTATTTTTGTTCAGTGAAAAAAGTTGATTTAGGTTTCTGAATTTTTGTATGAACTTTCTAAACTTATCATAAGATTAGAATGTTCATACAAAAATTCAGAAACCTAAATTAACTTTTTTCACTGAACAAAAATAATTTTTCAAAATTGATCACAAAATGAAAACATGAAGTTTACTTATGTAATCGAGCCTTCTGAACAACCCTTTGCTATCAGATTTTCATCAAAACCATTTTAAAATCGAGTTTTGATCTGCCAAAGCCGCAATTTTCCAACTTTGCCACGTCATAATTCATGTTAGAAGTTGAGCTTTACAATTTTATCGGGAAAAACGAGTCGAAAACTACCTACATTTCATTAAAAATCTCGATTGCAAGTTGAAAAAAAAATATATTTATCTGAAAATTTCAGACCAATGAATGTGGATGTTGTGGATCGAAGAAAGGAGGAGCTGCAGCAAATGAAGCACCGGCGCAGAAAACACTTGTATCGAACATTGCAACATTCGCAACAACTTCAAAACCATCAGGTGTTAGCTTTGGATTTGGTGCTGGATCTTCTTCTACTGCAACTTCGACAGCTCCAGCGGTTTCATTTGGAACGTCATCTGGTTCTTTGTTCGGATCTTCTTCTACTGGATCTTCAACAGCTCCAGCTGTTTCATTTGGAACGTCATCTACAACAGGTTCTTTGTTCGGAACTTCTACTTCAAAACCAGCAGTTCCAAATGATCCTCCGGCAGTTGTTCCAACTCTTCCAATAGCTCCAGCAGTTCCAAAGCCACCTGCAACTTCTTCTTCTGCTTCATCAGATCGCGTTGCCTGGGATTGTCCTGATTGTATGGTTAGCAACAAATCAACCGATGATAAATGTCCCTGCTGTGGTCATATCAAATATAAATCAGCTGGCGATTCGGGAAATTCGAATGTTTTTGGAGATCGCGCATTCAAACCATCAGCTCCAGCCAGTGGTGGATTCTCATTTGGAATTGGGTCTTCTACGGGAACTACACCGTCTTTTGGTTTATCAGCAAAACCAGCGGAACCAGTTGCTGCTGCACCAGCTGCACCTGCTCCAACAGCAGCTCCACGTAAGTTTTTTTCTTATTTTTAAAAAAATATTCAAAAGTTGATGAATTGCGCTCAAAATGCAATTGAAGTGAATTTCAGATAAATTTTAAAATTTCAAAAAAATAGAAAAATCTCTGGAATTCGGGCCAAAACAACAAACTGGCTCTAATTTTGCGAGAATCCTTATTGTTGGAGCGAGTTTGTTGTTTTGGTCGAATTCCAGACATTTCTCGGCCACCAAAAAAGTTTGGTGACATAAATTTTATTTTAGTCATTATTTAAAATTTATCTGAAATTCACTTCTGACTTCAATTTTTGTGAAGTAAATGCATTTTGAGTTTCATTCATCAAAATTTGAATATTTTTAGAAATGCTCATAATCTCCGTTGCCGGATTCATATTTTTGAATAATTTAATTTTTCAGTTTTCGGAACATCAACAATCGCTCCACCTGCTGCTCCTCTCGCTAATTTGGCTCCATCCACTCTCGCTCCAGCACCTATCGATCCCCCAAAAACTGATTCAATTCCATCGACAACAACATCTTCGCAACCATCATTGTTCGGATCGACTTCAGGATTATCCATGTTTGGAACATCGAAACCGGCAGATCCAAAACCACTTCCAACATCATTCAATCCGATTCCGGTTTCACAAACACCATTGGTTTCAACAACAACTACTGAAGTTCCAAAAACAGTGGGCAACATTTTTGGAAACTTGTCTGTGCCAACTTCTGAGCCAGCGAAGCCAGGTATGTTTGGAGCTCCAACTGGAAATCTTTTTGGCTCAACAATTGCGACTCCAGCTGTTCCTGAACCACCAAAACCATCGATTTTCGGAACTTCAACAACTCCAAGTATGTTTGGTGCTCCATCTCTTCCAGAAGCACCGAAATTGAATACTTTTGGAAGTTCATCAGTAGAAGTCCCAAAATTTGGTGCTCCATCAGCTGCTGCTCCACCACTAACATTCGGAATTCCTGCCGCACCAACACAAAATGCTCCAGCTCCAGCTCAAAATCTCTTCGGAAGCGCCACAACTTCATTATTCGGTCAACAAACGTCTTCAAATATGTTTGGCTCCGGAAAAGTTGGAACTGATTCAACCGATGGTGGACCATCTGCAAAAAGAGGAAATCTATTCTCTGCGCCAGCTGATTCGACAACAAAACCATTTGGAACTTTTGGAAATTCTTCAACAACATCAGCTGCTGCACCAGCACCATTTGGTGGAGCATTTGGTGGAAACTCTTTCGGATCTTTTGGATCGCAACCATCTGTTGCACCAACATTGTCCAATAGTTCATCAACAAGTTCGTTATTCAATTCAGCTCCTGTGCAATCGAATGAATCCAGGTAATTTTTTCAAATTTAAAAACTTATAAGAAGTTTAAAAAACACACCTCGGCCAATCCGTGGCTGGCCAGAATAAAATTTTTCAAAAATTCTGAATTTCAGTTTTTAGAGGTCAAAAACTGAGAAAATCACAAATTTTAGATGACAAAAACTGAAAAATTCAAAATTTTCATATTGTAATAATGGGCCTATGCAGAATAATATTTTGTAATAAAAAAACATTTTTTTCCTATGCAGAAAAACGTCGAAAAAACAAAATATACAGTTTATTATTTTGAGTAGAGACAACGTGAAATTGAGAGAGTGCAGACAAAAAAACCCATTTTATGTCTGCGCTCTCTCAATTTCACGTTGTCTTTATTTTGTTTTTTCGACGTTTTTCTGCATAGGAAAAAATGTTTTTTAATGTTTTTTTATTACAAAATATTATTCTGCATAGGCCCATAAGTTATCGTACAATTTTTTATTTTGGGAACCAATATTTTGGCCGTGCTGTGAACTTATTGAAAAAAAAACATGATTTCCAGCATGTTCTCCACAACCGCTGTGCCAAATTCATTCAACTTTGGAAGTTCAACGAACTCGTCAAACGGTGTGTTTATGTTTGGAGGAAATAATGCAGCTCCGATTCCGCCACCAGTTCCAAACAGCCAACCACCTGCATTTGCACCATTCCAATCAGCAGCTCCAATTGGTGGAGAAAATGCGTTTGCTTATCAGTGAGTTGTTTGGAAATTTGGAAAAAAGAGGAATTTTTCTTTTTTTTTAATTCAAAATAGTGAAAATTCAGAATCTGAAACTCTTGAAAAATTTTTCAAAAAATTTCAGAGTGAATTTTTCTGTAAAAGATTGTGAGCGATATCTGGAATTTTCTAATAATCATTTTTTTTCAAATTTCGCTCTGAAACAGGCCTGTGCCGGAAAATCAAAACCCGGAAAACGGAAATTCGGAAAAGTTCCGAATTTTTTGAACCGGAAAACTCGGAAAAATTTTCAAGGTCTGAAATTCGCGATTTTCCGCCTTAAAGGGTTGGTGCTCCGCCAGGGAATCTCGCTTGGTTTAGACAGGAATAAGGTGCTCCTGTAAGGTTCCAGTTTTAGAAAAAATTCTAGTAGAAATTCAGCCCATGTTTTTCCTCAAAAACACAAGCGAGTTAAACCTACGAAATAAAACAAGTAAATGCGCTCTAGTGCACAACTTGTTTTTGAATTTTCGTGCGTGTGTTTGCACACAACTTTGAACACAACACGGTGACGCCTTTTTGCAGACGATTTTTTCACCAGGAAAACACCAACCCTTTAAGTTCACTAAAACTTATTTTATCTACAATTAAAAAATTCGGAAAATTTGAAAAATTGAAAAAAAAGTTCTAAAAATGTTATTTTTTTAATCATAAACTGAGAAAATTTCCCAAAATTTAGGCAATATTGAAAATATTACTATTAAAAATCATTTTCCGGATTTTCCAAGCACATTTTCCGGAAAATCGGAATTGATTTTTCCTTGAAAAAATCGGAAAATTTCCGGCAAACCTGCTCTGAAAATTGGCTTGCGGAAAAATTTCGATCTGAAATTTCAGATTTCTGAATTTTTTAAAAGTTTTGTTCCTCCACACAAATTTTCATATTCATTTTTTTGCAGAGCTCCAAATGGCGCAAGAAAAATGGCAATGGCTCGACGCCGGAATCCAAATAGAAAATAAGTTTTGTACTATGATCATGATTCTTCCTTCCTTGCTCTCCCTATTCTCTCTCTCTCTCTCTCTTCAAATATCTCTCCCAATTTTTATAATCTATTTCTTTCGTCGTTTAGAATCTCGAAAATCTCTCAGTTTTTTTGTTGCAATTTTTGTTGTTATCGCCCCTTCTTTTCCTCTCCTAAATTAACACTTCTTTTCTTCTTTTTCTTCCTAAATTCCTCCCGCCAGAAAAGCTAGTTTTAAAACGATGAGCAAATTTCAGTTTAAAATTTTAAAAAATCCAATTTCATATATTAATCAACACAAAAAAGTTCATCATTTCAAAACTAGCTTTTCTGAATTTTTCCCGGTTTTAAAAAAATTTATTAACAATTTCTTCTTTTTCTTTTTGCGCGGGTTACCCTAAATTTTACTGTGAGTATAAATTGTTCCCCTTTTCTTTTTGTTCTAGGCTTTTTTTCTATTCGAGGGCTCTTTTTTTATAAAACATATCATGGGGCAAACTATTATATTCTAAATGTATTTTGAGATTAATTATCAATAATAATTTTCTAAATATTATTTTTGAATCCCCCCATTTTATGTGTCCCGCTAAATGTTCCTTTTTTTGTTTGTTTGTTAAAATGTATTCCGATAGAATGAAAAGGTATTAAATTTATTATCTAAGAATAATACATTTCCAAATCACATCCATTAATTTGCCACACAAAATCTGTGTATTTTTCCAAAAATTGATCCCATTTCAATTCTCCACAATTATCGATTATCATTTCTCGCGCACAATGTTTTTTGTCCAGAATTGCTTCGCATTTTTCATCATTTGTTGTTTTCAGTGTGTATGGAACTTGGATATTTTTTCGAGTTTTGGCACAACCTTTTCGAATCACCGTATTGTACAATAACTGAAAAATATTTGGGTTTCTTATCATTTCTCTGAATTGTCAGTGTTCGGGGGAAAATTGAAAATGATAACATTCTTTCGAAAAAGGTCACGGCTGGAAAAATGTTCTATCTTTTTTTAGGATATTTCTAAATTTTTCTATAAATGTATAGAAAAGTTCTCAAGTTTTCTAAATAAAAAAAAATTTAAGATACATTTTCTTCAAAATTTGAAAGCTTTAAAAATGTGCGCAAAATTCTGGTTTGTTTGAAAATTTCTTTAGAGGTGAAAGCTTTTTCAGCTATTTTCTGAAAAATTTAAACTTTTCGCTATAAAATTGAACACACTTGATTTAAAAAAAATAGTTCGCGGTGGGGTTCGAACCCACCAAAACGACCACCCTCATGGATTAATAGACTATCACCTACCCGCCAGCGCTAAGGATGCATACGAGAATTAATTTGAGAGCGCATTTTCGAGATATGAATGGACAAAAAATAGGTCTATTTTGAATTTGCCACGTCATAACTTTTATCTCATGAGCAAAAAACCCAAAAACTCACCGCAATAGTGCAATCCTTGAATGCAACATTATTGAAAATCAACAAATCGCAATAATTTTTCACAATATTCGACACAAGTTTTCCCTTATTTCGATAGCAATTTGTTTCTGTATAACAATATTTCAAATTATAACAATTTTCAGTTTCTTCATTCAAATTGCCAGCAAATTCGACTTGTTCCATTATTCGAGCAAATCCCATTAATTTCTGAAGAATTTGAGATAAAAATTGAGAATTTCAAAAATATTACCTTGTCACATGTTTTCAGAATTAAAGAATCCGAATTCGAACAGGTTTCATTGCTAAAATTGATTGAAAAAGTGGAAATTATTGGGAATAGCAAAATCAAATATCTAGACATTTTTTGTTTTATCAATGAAAATGATCAGAAACCGCGCATTTTATAGTTATCAAGAAATAAAGAACACAAGACAGATTGATTGGGGTTCAAAAATAGTTGTTTCTCCAAAGATCAGGTTCAAACAACAAATTGTTTTCGAAATTCTTCAATTTTTGACAGATTTTATCAAATTACAAACTTTTGAATGAACTCTGCCTGCAAAAATAAGAACAACAAAATATATTCCAATCAAACTTTATTAGCAACTAATTGCATTTTGAGAACACAAGAATTGCGGTATGCAAAACCGGAAATAAGAGATTTCGGGAGAGAAAAACGACTTATTACAAATGTTTACATTTTTCATCACAATATGAGAAGATGGAAATGTTCAAAGAGAGGGGCGAAAAGTATTTTTGGTGGGGGCGGGAAGTGTTTGAAGGATGAATAGCACCCAACAAAACAATTTTAACAAACTTACAAAAACGGACATGCTCTAGAAAAATTCACAAGATGAGGGGCAATTAGAAAGCGGTTGGTTGGTTGGTGTAGGGGGGAGAAATATGCAATAATTTTTAAACAATAATAAATAGCCCGCATTTAGGATCTATGGAGAACATAAACACGCCGTTTAGGGGAAAGAGATTGAGGGAATAAATGGATTTTGAACTTACATATATAATAAATTAACAAAAAACCGATTAACGAATACAACGTAGACGGCTACAGGTTATTCCCGAGGAATTACTGCTCAGCAGTTGCGACCGATTGTGGTTGTTGTTGTGTTTGGTTATCACGGTTGTTTTGGTAACCTCCTCGACGGTTGTTCTGTCGGTAACCATTGTAATTTTGGTTGTAGTTTCCTCCACGGTTGAAGTTGTTATAACCTGAAAAATTTCTCGTAATTATTATATTTTACAAACCAAAGAAATTACCTCCAAAACCACGGTTTCCACCACGTCCACGACCTCCATAACCACGACGGTAGTTCAAAGAACGTACGGCGTTGTGGCCGAAAGTCTCTTGATTTGTTTCTCGTTCTTTCTTCCAGTCTGGACGTCCAGTTTTGCCTTCAGCCTTTTCCAAAGATTCGCAACTAATTTTGTCGAAGAACGATGTCTTCTTGTCGTAGTAAGCGGCATCTTGCTTCTCCTCGGCGATTTCTGGTTGTTGTTCGATCTGCTCCTCTTTGGTTTCTTCGGAATCTTCGATCTTGAGTTTTTCCAAGTTGTCCGACAAAACTTCTTGGAATTTCTCGTTGGCCTTCTCGAAATCGAAGTCAGATTCGAACTTCAGCTTCTCACGATGGTTGACACGTGGCACTCCGAAGTTATTTCGTCCGCGTTGATTGTAGCCGAATCCACCTCTTTGATAGCTATTGTATCCACGATTTCCCCCTTGATGTTCACGAGTGAATCCACCACGTCCAGCCCCTGGTGCGCGATTGTTGGCGATGTTGATCAATGGGCTTTGCCGAGATGGAGTTCCAGCACGAGAAGAACCAGCCGACGCTGCTGGACCACCTTCGCTACCCGAAGCAGGAGCGGTACGTGATGAAACAGAGATAATGGCTGGATCATACGGAAGCCCGTTACCGCTGATGGCTGCCATCTAAACGAATACAATTTATAATTTGCATGAATTGATAGAAACAAACCTTTGGAGTATCGCAGACGATCAAATCTTTGATATCGCTAGCCTTGAAGATGATGTATTCGTAGACATCGTCACGAGCAGCCACCGGGTTTTGAGTTGGTCGTTTTTCAGTACCAAACGATCTTACTGAAAAAACAGTTTGTTTGAAATGATAACAACTTCGTTACCTTACCTTTCGCCAAAGCAATGGTTGAATCGTTGGTATCAACCGTATAAAGTATTCCTTCATAACGGATGTCCAATTTCGAGATGAGGCTGATTTTGCTTCCAATGTATGGTGTTTGATTTGCCATAATTACCACTGAAAAAAGCGAAAATAGATGAAACGAAACATGTAAAATTTTCAATTATCAAGTTCAGTGGCAAAGGCTTGTGGTCTCAAGGTAGGTGAAAAGAAAGGTACACTCAAAGATTCAACAAATTTTTTCGATAAAAATCAATACAAAGCCGAATGAATTCATCAAAGGCAACACGTTCCCGTTCAAACTGAGAACTGATGACACTCCTCCCCTTTTTTCCGATTAAAGGCACACAAAATGATATAGGCGGTGTGTGGTCTTGTCGCGATGCGCCGTTTTCGCCCGCTTGGCAGGCGGCCAACCTTGTAAATGCACACACATTTTTTTTCGTTTTTTTTTTTCGAAAACTCCCTGAAATTCGTTATTTAAGCTCTTTAAAAATGGCTGGAATCACTGCACATTCTCAAACTTTGCAATACGAAGATGACGAAATCAATGAGATGAAAAAGACTGGCATTTCTTGTGATCGTTTACGTCAAGCACTCAAAAAATGCATCAAAAATTCGCACTGCGTTCAAGTCGACGCTCGTTCGGCAAAAGATTGTATTGATGCACATGATGGTACGGTACCCGACAAATGTTTTGCGATTCTTCAAAATTTCACCGATTGTAAAAGAAGTCTTGTCGATATGCGATCAAGGTTCCGCGGAAGAAAAGGTGATATTTAATCGAATCAAATCTAGGGTCTTCTCAATTTTTGTAAATATTTCGATTTAGTTTAATAAAAATATTCATTCAAATATAAAAAACCTCGGTATTAAGCTTCCACTCGGTTTTTTGTTGTTTCACAAAACGAAATAATTGCACCCAGAAAAAAATCACAGGAAAGTTTAGCAAATAAATAAATCAAATAATACTTGTCTCACATATGTACAATTTACAGAAAAAAAAATAATATTAAAGCTTAAAGTTGCAAATGTTCCGAAAAATCGACATAAAGAGAATTCTCGAGTCGAGAGACAGCATTTTTGTATGTCATAGTACCAGTGAGCGCGTTTGAATCTCGTAAAATGTTCGTTGATCCGCCAGGCAGCGATTTATTCAAATTCGCCAATGTGTAGAAGAATGGGCGAAGTTCTTCGAAAGATGTTAAAAGTTTGATACTTCCCAGGGAGGCTGTTTGTCCATTCATTGTTCCAGAATTCAATTCACCATACTATAAAAAAAATAATGAAAAAGATGAAAATAAATAATCACATTTTTAAATAGGGCTGATTAACGAACGAAAAAAATGTTTTAAAATATTTTTTTAACATTGAAAGATCAATTAACGAAAAGCCAAAAAATGTCGAAAAAACATTGTAGGTCAAAATTAGTTTTTCGAATTTTTCAGAAAAAATGATGACAAATCGCTATTTTTTAAGCTTCTGGAGTAATTTCTGATTAAAATTGACCTTGGAAGTCACTTTTCAGAAGTTTTTGCTGATTTTTCGAAATTCATCAAAATTTAAATATTTTTTTATTTCACGAAAAATCAGCAAAACTTTCTGGAAAGTGAATTCCAAGGTCGATTTTCATCATAAATTACTCCAGAAGCTTCAAAAATCTCGATTTGTCATCATTTTTGGCTGAAAAACTAATTTTGACCTACAATGTTTTTTCGACTTTTCGTGAATTGATCTTTCAATGTTAAAAAAAATTTTTAAACATTATTTTTCTTTCGTGAATCAGCCCTAATACAAACCTTCTTAATCAATAACTCATTAATTCGTTCCGCAAACGGTTTGAACAAATCACTTTTATCATTTGATACACAAGTAACAAATGCCCAATGAAACATTTGAAAATGTGATAAATATCCAGCTGGCAAAGTACAAAGCGTTTCAAGCATTTTACAAGCCGCCAAATATAATTGCATCCATTGATCATCTTTCGAACTCGATATTTCTTCACTTCCGCCTCCGAGTTGTTGTTCGAGTTGGGATAACGCGTAAACCAATTCAGTCACCATTATCGGCCAAACTCCAATCAAACTTTGTGGTCGCAAACGAATCAATAAAACTCGAATACATAGGAAAACAGCAGTTCGAATGACAGGACTTTGTGAAACTCGCAAATTATCCGATAATCTTTCTTGTATATCTTTCATATGTCCATCATATTGATCAATTTGTGAACCAAATACAACAAATGTTAATCTTTTCAAAGACTGTGCTCTCGCTTCGTATTCTTGTTCTTTCGAAGACATTATACTGAATGATGTGTTTGGAGAATATGATATACTTTCTGTAAAAATTTGATTTTTTTTTAATTTTTATTTCAAAATAGTTTTGATGTCTAAAATTGCACTCCTAATATGAGTTGTGACGTGGCGAGCTAACTAGATTCAAAAATGATTGCAAATCTAATATCATAGCGTGGTTCAGGAAGATCGATAACAACTTGCCAAAAGTTTAAAAAAAACTGTCCAAAGCTACAAGTTTTGGACCGGTTTTTGCTCAGAAACAGAAAACACAGTTTTTGCTGAGAAACAGAACAGTTTTTGCTCAGAAACAGAAAGGTCAGAACCAGTTTTCGAGTTAAACACCGGTCCGAAAATTGTAGGTTTCGGACAATTTTTTTGAAACTTTTGGCAAGTATCCAGCCTGTGTGTCATACATGGCATCTTCGCCTAGCAGACCCCGCATGTAATGATCTCCCCCCCAACCCAAAATTTTGAAATTTCATGATCCCCCTCAATTGTTTTTGTTAAAAATTTCCAAAAGATAAATGGTGAACAAATGAAAAATATCCAAGAAAGGGGAGGGGGAGTTTTTTGATGCGGGCGTAAAATTTTTGAAAAAAAATTTCCAAAAAAAAATTTTTTTTTCAATAATTCTTTCCCGCCCAAATCAAAATTTTGATTCGGGCGTGAATTCAAAATTTCCAAAATGATCCCCCCTCTAAAATTTTTTCCAAATGTCATGATCTCCCCCTCACAGTTTTAGGAGAAGTGCCATGTATGATGTGTGTCATCGCTGAACAATCCTATTCTATTAGATTCGCGATCATTTTTGAAGCTACTTAGCTCGCCACGTCATAACTCATATTAGGAGTTGAGTTTTGCAATTTTAAACGGCGGAATCTTGATCAGCTGGTCGAAAACCACTAGAAACCATAAATTCCAGGCCTGTGCCGGAAAATTTCCGGATTTTTTGAACCGGAAATTTTTTCAAGTTCTGAAAATTCGATTTTCAGCCTAAAGTTGGCACTAAACCTTATTTTTATCCAACTATTTGAGACGTTTTACGTTCAAAAAATCTAAAAATTTCATTTTTTCTATCATAAACTGAGAAAATTTCCCAAAATTTAGGCAATAAATATTACTACCAAAGATCATTTTCCGAGCGCATTTTCCGGAAAATTCCCGGCACATGCCTGTTAAATTCCCCCAGAAAACCCACTCAAAAGCTCCTTGAACGATGTTCTATCATGTGTCATCAAATGATCAGTCACAATAAGCCACTGTTTCAAAGCTTGATGATCCATTTTGAAAAATGCTGGAAAATTTCAAAATCTAAAATTTGAGCGAAGTATAATGGCTTACATGAATCAAGAAGTAGATCAAGTGTTGTCTTTTTCCAAACAGGTCTCATATAACTATAAGAGCTCATACTTGCCAATAATTGAGATGATGCGAGGAAAAATCGAGCATTTCTAGCGCTGAAAATCCAGATTTAAATTATTATTTTTCTTAAAAAATCAACTCACTTTTTCGCTTTCAAATACGGCACAACATTTGCCCAAACCGCATTCAAAATCGGCAAAACTTTGTCTTTCTCGTCGCTTTTACTAACCGAGTCTAGTAAATCGGTCAATCTTTCGGATAACAAGAAAAGAGCTTGTGTACTATGAGCTGGATCTCGTTTGTTGTTATTTGTGTCTTTTATCGATGCTCGCAAATTTGACGCCGATTTTTTGTCTTGTTGTGATGTGGTTAATGTGGAAGAAGTTGAGATCGTATCAAGGGAAGAGGGTCTGCAAAAATAATGAATTTTTGAGAAAAAATGGAATTTTTTATTCGATAAAAAATTGTACCAGAAACTTTACAGCTCATAGGATTTTCCTAGCTTTTTAGAGATTCAAAAAAAAAATTAAAATTACAATTTTGAAACAATAAAAATCGTGATACCTTTTTTGTTCTGAAAATTTGATTTCTGGCCAATTTTATGCCGAAATTCGGATTTTTTTTAGTGAAAAATCACTTTAAAAATTGTCGACCGAAAAATTGCAGTTTTCTGGCTCACAAAGCTTTTTTAGTTGGAAAATTATAATTTGAAATTATGTAATTTTGAAATAGTGAAAATCGTGGAACCTTTTTTGTTCAGAAAATTTGATTTCAGGTCAATTTTATCCCGAAATTTGGATTTATCTGAAAATTTCGGTCATTTTAAGCCTTAACTTCTGAATTTTGATTAAAAATTGGAGTTTTTGTTGAGAATTGTTGAATTTTGAGGCTAACATGAGCAATAATTCAGCTTTGTAGCATTATTGCTCATGTTAGCGTCAAAATTCAACAGAAACTCCAATTTTCATCATATTTCAGAAGTTTGTTCAAAATTATAATTTTCCAACTAAAAAAGCTTTGTGAGCCAACTCTCAAAGAACAAAATTGTGATTTTCCACGTGAGTTTCTAACATTTCGGAAATCTTTTTAATAAAAATTTTCCAACACTCACTTCATCAAAGATAGTGTAGAATTTCGATTCGATTGCAATTGATTTTGTTGATTTTGCAGTTCAGCAGAAACTGATTGATTCGATGTAATTGACACGTTACAAGCGACATTTTCAACAATCGGACTTTGATCAACAGATCGAATTGTTACTGAAAAAATAACTTATTTTTCGAAATAAAAAAACAAATCTGAATTACAAGTTGATGCATGATCCTGTTTCACAACCAAAGTTCTTTTGAGCCACGTTGTTGTTTCCAATTGCCAGCCAACAATTGAGTTGACACTTTCAGCCAATTTTGAGCAAACATCTTGAACATTTCGATACATTGTTTTATCTTCGACGATATATGGGCCACCGACTGCTTTTACGAAATCACTCAATATTCTGCGAAAAAAAAAATAATAAAAATATTTTTTTTAAATACAAAAAAATTCGATTCATGTGGCTATTCAAGGAAAAAAATTATGTTTTCTCAACGTTTAGAAAACGGGAGAAAATCGAAGAAAACCTATTCAAGTCGGTTAAGAAAACATAAAAATAAAAGACCTTCAACACACGAATTGCGACGAGACCCAACGAAAAACAACATCCCCCTTTAAGATACTGTAGAATTTCGCAACGGGACCAATATACAGTAATGCAAAAGGTCAAAGGAACATGTTGTTTTTCGTTGGGTCTCGTCGCAATTTGTGTGTTGAACGTGTTTGATTTTTATGTTTTCTTAACCGACCTGAATAGGTTTTCTTCGTTTTTCTCCCGTTTTCTTAACGCTCAGAAAACATGATTTTTTTTCCTTGAATAGCCCCATAAACAACAGAATTCATTCTATTTGTATTCAAAAAGGCAGCTTGTTTTTCAGTTTTTTTTGAGACAAAAATTATCATTGATGTAACATCAAAAAAAATAATGTGTAACAAAAAGGAAATTTTACGTTTCAAAATTGTTCAAATTTTTCTGCAAATTGCAGACTGCAATTCTTCTTTCTGTAGTCCAATCAGATGCATACTTTTTATTTATGAAATGTCAAAAAACTATATTTTTTCCTATTTTTCGACATTTTTCCACACAAAAATTAAAAAAAATGTCGAAAAATAGGAAAAAATATAGTTTTTTGACATTTGCCGAATCGAAATTTTTTTTTTCAAATTGAATCCCCCCCCTGCTTGAAAATCCATACTCACACAAATAAAAGGAATACAGCTCGTGGACTTAATGAAGAGAGCGGAGCTTCTGAGAATAAACAAAGAAGACTTGTCCAACACATTCGAAGTTGATTTTGAGGAACAGCCGAAATACAAGAATGCACCAATTCCAAAAGCGGCTCTTCTGTGGGAAAATTCGCCTTATCAATCGTTATTCCAACTTTGTTCGCTTTGAAAAGCGCTTCTCGAAGTGTCGAATTAACTGATGAGATCAATTCTTCAATCGGAATCACTTTCAAACTCAGGAGAAGATTTGATATATCGAGTTGAGCTGGCGAATATTCGAAAGTCGCCTTGTCTGGATCATATTTTCGTAATGCACTTGGTTTGACATTCGATCGAGTTAGCCAAACTAAAGCCAATGATGATAAAAAGGCATGTTCATGATTTTGAGCGATTGGGGATAAGAGTTGAAGAACAAGTCGACGAAGTTGCTAAAATATTCGGGGGATGAGATTTAAAAAAAATGAGGAACAGCCCTGTGCCGGAAAATTTCCGGAAAGTGTGGTCGGAAAATCCGGAATGTGATTTTTAATTGTAATATCTTGAGAATCACTCAATTTTCTTAATTGTAAAACGATGAAATTCAAAAATATAAGATGTTTTAATTTTCTGAATTTTCTAGTTAAAAAAATCCGGAAATTTTTCGTTTTCCGAGTTTCATCTTTCCGGTATAATTTAAGGAACTCGCAAAAAATCGTACCGTAGTCGTTCCAATCGGTAAAATGGGTGTTTGTTGCGTTTTGACAAGCGACCAAACATTACAAACAGTCGCCAATGAGTGCGGAAGCGAGCTAAGCATATCAGATTGCGCCTGTCTCCATCCATTTCCATGTTGTCGAGAATTATCCAATTTCGTGATTCCAACAGTCTAAAAATATCGGGTTATATGAAAAACGTTGAAAAAAAAAACCATGCTCACATTATCCCCACTCATCGAAAAAACTTTTCCAAGTTGTGAGAATAGTTCAGTCGCCACTTTTGATCCCGGAATCACGGACATCGCCTGGAATGTTTGATTTTTGAGTTTTTTATTTGAAGAAAAAAAAGAAAAGCTTACATGTCCAACCATACTAGATGTTGATGTGCTAACTGGAGTTGTAACAACATTGCTCAGATTGGAAGTTGTGGCTGCTGTCACATTATCGATTACACAGAAGTGAACCAATGTTGTGAGCGATTCGAGAGTCTGAAAATTGATGATTTTTCAGAAAAAAAAACTCTGGTTTGCATAGAAGATTTCTCAATCTTTCTAATTATTCAAAAAATATGGCTTCCGTAAAAAATAAACCAGTGCAGAATTGAATGAATTTAAAAAACATTACTTCTTCAGTCGCGTGCGGCTCTACGTTGCGGCCGGGAAACAAAGGTGAAAATCAATTATTGATTGTTTCCCGACCGCGACGCACAGCCGCACGCGACTGAAGAAATAATGTTTTTTTCATTCATACAATTCCGCACTGATTTTTTTACGGTTGCCGCATTTTTCAACTTCGCTAATAGAAAAACCTAACCATAGCCAAATAATTCGCCGGATAAGATTCCGGATCTTCTTGATTCTCATTCGGCGAATTTGTCGAAACATCACAAGTATTCGGCGATTCAAAAGCCACATTAATTGCCATTTCCATATTTTTACAAAGTTGCTCGACAACTCGACAAACAATTGTGGCAAGAGATCTGAAATTTTTTTTATTTGATCCAGGAAGTTTCCCAAGCCTACCTTTCCATCCACGGCAAAATCTGAATCACAAACTGCAGCCACATTTCGTGTCTTTGCGGTTGTTTTTTGAGAGCTCCGAGGAGAATCAGTAGAAATGCTCGAAGTTCAACGAGGCTTGCGTGGGGTTCTCGAGTTGATGCGCGGCTAAATGATTGATTGTAGAGATTTTGATTGAGAAGTGATAAACGGCCGGATGTGATCTGAAATAATTCGGTTTCAAAAATTGATGTTTCTGTACAATTTTTAAAACCAAAGAAAATTTGGCCACTTTTTGATCAAAATTTGGTTTTAAAAAATTCGCCAGAAACATTTCACGCTCAGAAATCTGCCACTGAAAAATTTCAACCTGAAATCGCCTGAAAATCGTTATTTTTGATACATTTCGCTCTGAAAATTGGCTGGAATTTCAGATTCTGAATAAGATTATACCAAATTCAAAACTTGAACAAATTTTATGCACGGGCCATTTTTTAGAGCGAAAATTTACAAAATTTCAAATTTTCGTAAATTTCAAGTGAATGAAATTCCGCTCTTAAGTTTCAGGTTCTGAATTTAAACGCAAGCGTACCAAATTCAGAACCTGAATTTTCAGGATGAAATTTTATCCACAAGCCAAATTTGAAAGAAATTTTTTCAGAAGATTTCTGGGGCCCAAATTTTTGAATCAAAAATTTCTAATCGTGGTATTGTGAATCCCAACCAAATTTTGATTCAAAAAAAATCTCACATCATTAAAAACCGCAAATCCATTTTTAATATCCGATTCAAGTCGAATAGCATACGCAGTCAATGAAAGAAGACTTCGATGATAAGCCGAAAGCAACGGCGACAATCTCGAACCATTCTTCCCAATCAAACCCTCATTGAATTCGCTGATCGAAATACTCAACGATCCTCCAGCTCCAGCTGCTTTCGATCCTTTATTTGGCTCATGATCAACAGCGGTTAGAAGCAGATGAAGAAGGCATTTTTGAAGTTTTGATCGTGTTAAAATCGATTGAACAAATATCACAAATTGTTTCGATTCTTGTTCATTTACCATTGCGGATAATTCGCGAATTAGTTCACTCAAAAATTCGAGAGCCGAGATTTTACATTTCCAGAGGGATGCAAGATCAGCTTCGGAGACTGGTGAAATTGGAGAATTTAGAAAATATGAACGAAGATAATGTAGAGATATCTGAAAAATATCAATTTGGGAATTTTCAATAAAAGTTTTCCAATAGTTTTCGACCCTCTGATCACTATTCCGTTGTCTGAAATTGCAGAACTCAAATCTTTTAAAGTTCGGAGCTGAAAACTAGCTACAAAATGATTTTCGTGTCAAATTAGCATAAAAATCATTTTTGAACCAAGTTTTCACTTCCTTTTTCCCTCTCCGAAACTCTACGTTTCAAATTTTTGATAATTTTTTTTTCATCAAAAATTACATTCTCTAAAACTCCTCATTTTCAAAAATTTCACCAAAAATCAGAAAATTTCCGGAAAAATATATGGGAGTTTTGACAATCAGAATTGTTCTTTGTTCTTTTGAATCGCCTAAAAATCAATAAAAATTTTCAAAAGAAAAATTCAGAAATTCCAAATTTCCCGCCCAGGAATTGTACGTTTCAATTCTAATTTTCAGCAAAAATTCGAATTTCTCTATTTGTTCCTATATTTTCTCCATCAAAAATTACCGGAAAGTTCTGGAACTTGAAAAATCCTAGTTTTCAAAATAATTTTCATGAGATCGACTTTTCTAAAATCCCGAATTTTAAAAATTAAATTTTGCCACGTCATAACTCATGTTAGAACTTGAGTTCTGCAATTTTAGGGTGCGAAAACCACTAAAAAAACCTACAGTAATCAATAATTCAAGAAGTGTAATATGTTTATGTTTCATATCATCTTCCGGACTTGGTGGCGACCAAAAATGCTGTCCCAAAATCGCTCGAACATGTCGTGTCATCAATTCAACCAAAGATGCTTCTTCAGGCGAAGCACTTGTATTTGCAACAGTTCCCGACGAAACCAAACAACTCAACAACAATCGATTCGATGCTCCTCTTGGCGCCAAAAGTGCCGACAAAATACGAAAAGCTGTTTCAGCTCTGGCCAAATCAACAACTTTTCCACTTTCACCATACAATAACATATGAATATGCAATTCTTCGAATAACGGACCAGATGATCCATTTGTTGAAGATGTTGATGAGACAGTTCCACCTCCATTTTTCACCGAATCCACTGATGGTCGAAGAATTTCGGATGTCTCAAAAGCACTCAAATCCTTATCCGTCATATTGAAAATACTCTCCTGAAGTGAATCTTGTCTTCGATGTCCTTTTTTGACCCGCTGAACTGGTCCGGGTACATCTTCCAAGGTGAAAGTTGTTCCGGTTGGCTCAATATTTGTATTTGCAATCACTTCATTCAACCGTTTCACCTCGTTTTCTGATTCTTCATCTTCACAAATCTGATCAATCATTGATTGAAGAGTTTCATAAACTGCAGCATCAATTGATTCGGGATTCAAAGACATTGTATCAACAGAATCCTGGAATTTTGGTGGTGAATAACATATTTTTGAGAAAAGAGAAAAATTACCGTATCATCATCGAAATTTGGCATATCAACAACTGGAATTGGACTAACATGTCTTTGATTATCAGTCGATTGAATATCATCAGATGAAGAGAGAAGAAGACGATTGCGAACATCGGTAATCCATGAGGAACTAAAATATATTCAAAATTTTAACTCAACAAAAAAGAGGATTTCCAGATTAAAGGAACACACAACGAACAACCTGCGTATCTAACTCGTTCCAAATTTTTCTCAGAAATCGAGTTTGATCTGCAAATTCTATCCTATTCCAGCATGCGTCTTTAATCTGAAGGGTTTTTTCAGGAAAATTTCTATTTCTTCATTTTCGGGGAAACTGAAGTCGGAAAATTTATTGTTTTTTTTACAAAAAAATTCAATTCTCAATGAATTTTCTTAAAAATTGGAGTATTGCTCAGGTTAAACGTTTTATTTTGAATTTTTTAATATGAGCAAAACTTTTCAAATTTTTACAGCATTGCTCATATTAAACAAAAAAAATCAGTTGTAAATTCGAAAAAGGCCAGGAAAATTTATATTTTTTCGTACGAAAATGTGAGATTGCTCAGGTTAATAAGTATTTCAAAAATTTCTGGAGCTGGAAAAACCAAATTTTGATTTTCTCAGAGTATATTGCTCAGTATAAACATTTATTTTTGAAATTTTAATATGAGCAATACTAAACTTTTAGCATTTTTGCAGAATTGCTCATATCAAACAAAAAAAAAAAAACCAACCTTTCCATACAACTTGGACCATTCAAATGATACAATCTCTGTTTTCCATCAGTTGTCAAAAGTGTCACAGCCGACATATCCGCTGGTAGCGAAGAACAAGTCTCAGGTGTCAATTTCGCCTCCTGTCTCAAATATTGAATCGAAATTCTCGCCGTCACCGGATTCATCAACATTGTCGATAACATTTGCACAATTCTCGGTAGATCATTATGTTTTGCACAATCAGCAAACCATGCAGCTGAGGCGGCTTTCAATTCGGTTCGAGTTCGCGAAACACTTTCATCAGCCAAAACGCCGAGAAGAATCATAACAGCGCGGTTGAATGGTTTTCGATAGGTTGGGCGGGGCGATTCTTCGAGTTGATTTCGTGTCAAAACCCAGACTCGGTGGAATGTTTTGGCAGCTTCAGTGCAAATATACTGGAAAAATAGTGGGGATCAGGATTTTGATGATAAATTCTCAAAAAAAAAAATCAAAATTTCTGGGATTTTTGGACAATTTTCAGCCAATTTCTGACCAAATTTTTAGCAAAAAAAAAATCAAAATTTCACTCGTTTTTTTTGTCGAAAATTGTTTTGGACTATTTTTTAAACCAAATTTTCAGCCGAATTTCGATAAAAAGAATGCGATTCGGATTTATTTTTTGAAAATTTTACAGCTAAAAAAAATTTTTTTTGTTGTTGTTTTCATTGATTTTCAGCGGATTTTTATGGTAAAAATTGTTTTGACAATTTTTAAAACCAAATTTTCAGCAAAAATTGGCTGAAAATGGCCGAATTTCGACTGTTTCTGGTCAAAAATGCGATTTTCACAGCCAAAAAATTGTTTTGGACAATTTTTTAAACCAAATTTTCAGCAAACGTTGGCTGATACTGTGAATTGATCAGAAATTGGCTAAAAATGGCCAAATTTCGACAAAAAGCCATTTTTTTTTGTTTTTGCCAATTTTTAAAACCAAATTTTCAGCGGATTTTGATGGGATTTTTGGACAATTTTCGGCCAATTTATTTTTTTTGAAAATTTTACAAAAAAACCCACATCATCATTTGAAGTCAAAGCTTTCACAATAATATTCTCAACATCACTACTCGGCTCATTTTGTTTCCTCGAATGCAATTCAATCAATAATTCCGATAATCTTTGTTGTTCTTTACAACATTTCTTACTTCCAACTCCAATCCAAACAGCTTCTGCGCACGTCTGAAAAAAGAGTCAGTTTTTTCAGAATTTTTCAGCTAGGCCTATATTTGGACATCGTCTAAATGACCTTTTCATGTTTTTTCAGCAAGTGAGTTGAGATATTCGATTTTAATCGCATTCCTAAGTTAAATAGACAGGTCTAAGACAATTCGAATGATACAAATTTTAAGAGTTTACCTTATCCATAAGTGATTTAGCAATATTTGGTCGATCCTCGCTAAATCGATAAGGTAAACTCCTAAAATTTATATTTTCTATCCTATGCCTATGACTACGATTAAAATCCAATATTTCAATTCACTTTCTAAAAAACATAAAATTGCCGTTTAGTCAATGTCCAACAATAGGCTTTACGTATGAAAAAGTAAATTAACTCACACTGAAAACCTTCATCTTCTCCAAATATTCCAAATCCTTCCTCGTTAATAATGGTTTCAATAAAACCGTCATCATACAATCCTCCTCATTTGCATCATTTGATTGTCGACTAATCGCTTCGTCATGTTGTGAAAGAACTTGTGCAGATTTCGAATATACTTTACACAATAATTCGAGTAATGATGATCTTGCTGATATATCCATACATTTCTCATTTTTCATTTCTTTCAACCATCCGAGTCCATCAATCACTTTTAGCATATTATCAAGCCATTCTGGTACTTCTAAACGTTCTTCGTCAAAATTCTCAAATCCGATGTGATAAATTGGAACAGCTAGGAAATCATGGAGAAGTGTTGTTGAAGCATCAATTAATGGGAGATGAGTTGGTGAACGATCTTCGGTATAACATTCGAATATTGCTGATAAAGCACAAACACATTGAGTTAGACACGCATCGATTTGACTTCCTTCTGAAATTTATTATAGGAGGATTTTATTTAGAATAAAATTAGTGAAATTAGGGTTTCTAGTAGTTTTCGACACGTTGATCTCAACTTTCTGATAAGTTATGACGTGGCAAAGTTTGAAACTTACAAAGAAAGTATATCAAAGTTCCCGCTGGGAAAATCTTGCGGAAATTGTAGTGGGGTAGAGAAACACCGGGGAAAATTCTTTAGCAAAAATTTATTTCTTGAGTTCCGGTAACTTTCGATTGAAAAGTAACACGTGATTTTCAAAAAATCGGTATTCATCTCAAAGTTGCCGAAAATATTCGATCAAAAATTGATTTCGCTGCTAGAAACTTCAATTTTTTAATAAAATTGATTTTCCTTGTCCATCAATCACATTCAACATATAACATTGATTTTTTTATAAAATTGAAGTTTTAGCAACAAAATCATTTTTCGATCGAATATTTTCGTCAACTTCGAGATGAACGCCGATTTTTTTTGAAAATTACGTTTTTTTTCAATCGAAAAGTTACCGTAACTCAAGAAATAAATTTTTACTCACGAATTTTCCGCGGTGTTTTTCTACCCCACTACAATTTCTGCAAAACTGATAAACTTTCTTTCTAAAGTTCAAACTTTGACACGTCATAACTTATCGTGGAGTTGAGATCACCGGATCAAAACCTACTAGAAAACATATATTCTATTGTCAAACTCAAATTCAAATAAAAACTAACCATGCTCAATAGCAGTTATTTCATTTGTTTGATTCATTGATAATGTATCTTCAGCCATTTCAACAACTAAAAAAAGTTAATTAGTGTTAATTTGTTATTTTCATTCCAACAAAAAAAAAAGAACCAACCTTCAATTGGACTTGGTGGATTCGATGTTATAATTTTCAAAAGCTTCTGACAAACTGAATAAAGCGATAGAAGATCTTCTTGATTACACGACAATAAAAGTGTCTTGTTAGAAAGTCCTCGAAGAATGCATTCTAATAATTTCGGCAGATGTTTTGCTCGAATCGTCGCATCACTTTCCACATTACACATCTCCAAACAAACACTAACAACTTTTGAAATATCATGAATCTCCTCTTTATTCTCCACCTTTTTCTCATACCAATTCGCTAAATAATTCCACAAAAATCCAGTTTCCAGGGAATTCAAAAGCATGTTGAAAGTTTTGGAAAGCTCGTCAATTCTTCGATTTTTAATTAAATCTCCACCAGAACTTTCGGAAGATCCATCAGAATTCGAACTTGTGTTCAATTGAAGTGTCAGAGTTTCTCTATCTCCAAATTCTCGCTTTTCCTCAACAATTTTCTTGGATTCGTGATAATAAGCTGATTTTTTGAGGAAATTCGCGAACACCGTGTCAAGAATTAATTTTCCAATATCAGCTCGATCTTGCAGATACAATAATAATCGACAAACTCGAACCTCAGCGAATTGTATTTGTTCTCCCTCTTTTCTTTCTCCCCATAATTGATTATTCACCGGCACTTCAATTGTATCCAAATTTAAATAATCATCAATTGCACAGCTGATTATTGGCAACACTTTTTCAGTGAAAAATGACATGTCAACAGCATCTGATCCAAGGGTGATTCCAGAAACGCCTGGCCGATTTATAAGCCATGTATATAATCGGCGATTTAGGGACATGTCTCTGCGAAGTACGACGAATAAACATCGACGAAGAAGTTGAACAAAATCGGATTTTGTTAAATAAGTGCTATCCAGTGGAAAAGCAGCGACAAGGAAGTCTAATAAATGTCGTTGAACAAGTGGAGAACCAATATCATCTGCTGTTGAACAAAGAGCTGCGATCATATGATTTACATGATCGCCAACAATATGTATTTGATCATCTAAACTTTTTGATCGATCAAATTTCGCATTCACATAAATCATTGCTGGAAGTCGAACTGGCGGTGAGCCTAGAACAGCTTGCCAAACACACGCATAAAATGCTCGCGGTCCAACTTTCTCGCATACTTTATCCAATAATGTCACACTTCGATCGTAGAACTCCGTGCCTTCTTCGAGGGCTAATAAAACTCCTCCCAAGAATCCAGGCAACGCTGGTCGGAGATTTGTTCCAAGGGGCACTAAATATGCTTCGAAGATTGAAAAGAGTTCGGATTTGACTTTGATTTGACAATGATCCATGAGAGGAAACAAGCCAACGGCAAATAAATAGAGAACTTCGGGAAGTTTTGATGGTCCGAGAATCTCAAAGATTTGTCGATAGGTTTCGAGAGCTTTTAAATGGACACCAGGTGGAAGTGCTGGATGCAAACATTGTGAAAGACGTTTTGCAACTGTTACGCGATTTGGAATCGCGGCGAATTTTGCATTCGATTGGAAGACCTGCAAAATAATTATATAAAAATATTATAGTAGATTATTCATTCACCTTGGATAATTTTCCAAGCGCCGAAATCAAATCAGCCCATTCATTCGAGTTCTCAAAAGTCTTCAATGCTCTATCAACAGCCTGGGCATAAGCCTTATATTTGCTATCTTTTCCTATATCTCCAGAAGACGAAGCCGACATTTTACCTGGAAATCAATCAATAACTATGTTTCAGCAGCATGGATTTCACTTCAATTTCAACAAAAAAAGAAAAAGGCAGCGAGAGAAACACGAAAAAAGAAGTGTTGGACAGATGAAAAAAAGAAAAAAGAAAGAGTGAGAGACGAAAAAGAGAAAAAGGGCCTATAGGAGAGGAGACAAGTGTATATACATATTTATAAATAATATGGGTGAGTGTGAGTGTGGAGAATGACTATTTCAACCGGATGGAAAAATCGGAATATATATTTATTTTTTTATTTATATGGGGTATTTATTCAGGAGAGAAGAGGTTTCTCTCAAGTGTGAATAAATACCAATCGATTCTTGTCTAGAACATTGTCAGACATGAATTCACACGCCAATTTTTGCCTGAAAATCAGAAATTTCCAACGCGAAAAATAAAAAAAAATTCGCAAGATTTCACTACGGTACGCTAGTTGTGCATTTGTGCGTCGCGGTGTTTACACACTAGATAGTTAACTAAACTAGTTTCAGCGCATTTTCAGCATGTTGGAGGTGTTTTCAGGAAAATCTGGATATACCATCTGATTCGTCTCGTCGAGATGAATCAGGAAAACTATTTACTTGTTTCTGAAACGCATTCTAGAGACCATTAGAGGCTGAAAATCAAAATTTTCGAAAGGTCTCGCAGCAATTTCAGACATATTCCTGTTTTTAAATTTTACCTGGCAAATTCACAAAGTTATCATATCCCTGCCTTTTCCAAATGAACACGAAAAAGAAATGATTTAAAAATTTCAAATTCCAATTTTTCTGAATAAAGATCACGTGAAAAATCCGAAATTTCTACTTTTTTTTTGAAAAATCCAAAAAATGTAGGAAATTTGTTTAGTTTTTCCAAAATTCTTAGCATATTTGTTTCCCAAACACATGTTGCTAATAGAAACGCCGCTTAAATTATACAAAAAAACATTGTCAAACAATTTATTAAAAATAAATACAAACAATGATAACAAAAAAGTTCTTCTTAACAAAAAAAATATTGAATTCATTTGATTTTGAGGGAGCACGGTACAACAAATAACAAACCAGCTTCACCGCCACAGAAAACTGTTGGTCTGAAAATAGTATTTTTTGAGAATATTCTAGAATGTAAGTAGGGGAAATGTTACCTTTCAAAATCATTGTTTGTCTCGACAACATTCAAACTTTCAATTCTTTGATCTCGACACGATAATTGTGGCGCTTTATGAAGTTCTTTCTGAAAAATAGTTATTTTTTGGAAAAACTGTAATTTTTCACGAGGAAACTGTTCATTCTAGATTTTGATCACGATACCGTTGTCTGAAGTTGCAAAACTCAATTCCTAACATGAGTTATGATCTTTTGAGCTTCCTGAAGCCAAAATTCATGAATTTTGAATAGTTTTAACGTATTTTAGGTCAAAAATTGAGATTTTTTGTCAACTTCAGCTCTAGAGCCCGAATTTCATCAATTTTCACCCAGAAAATTGCATTTTTTCAAATGAATTTTGGGATTTCGAGGTAAATTTCATAAAATGATTTTTAGGAGCCACGTGGCAAAGTTCGAAATTTTTGAAAAATCGGGATTTCAAAAAATGAAGCTAATTTTCAGCCTCTCAAATCCCCATTTTTCGAAATTTACAAACTTTGCTACGTCCACAATCGTGGCGCCTTTTCTCAATGTAAAAATCCATATTCTCAGTTTTTGCACCTCTTAACTACATATTTCCCAAAATTCATGAAAAATGCGATTTTCTGGGAGAAAATCGATGAAATTTGGGCTCTAGAGCTGAAATTGACGAAAAATCTCAATTTTTGACCTAAAATACGGTACAACTTTTCAAAATTCATGAAATTTGGCTCCAGGAGCTCAAAATATCATAACTCATGTTAGGAATTGAGTTTTGCAATTTCAGACAACAGAATCGTGATCAGCAAATCGACTAGAAAAAATATATTTAGAGTAAAAACCAACTTGATCAAATTCCATTTCAATCCACATATTTTCACAAACATTTTCATGTTCAAAACAAGTCGGTTCAACTTTTTTCTCATCCGTTTCTTCTTTTTCTTTCTCAACTTTTCTTCTTGTTAACAATAACAAATCTCTCGATGCAGAATACGGTGTCAAACTTTGATTCGCATTTGTGATTTTACCATTCGCTGATGCACACAATCTTCCATCAATTCCACAAGAAACAACGATTCCACGTGTTGGTTGAATGGCAACTTGACTTGTCATTAATTGATGTCTAAATATTTTTTAAATTAAAAAATTTCTTTAAAATTTTCATAAAAATCTTACAAATTAAATAGCGGAACAACTGTAAACGAAGGATTCGCTCCATGATCAATCGAGAAATATCCGATGCCAGTTCCATAACTTTTTTCAGTGCTGTTATATTCAGCTTGGTACGAGAAGAAGCTATCGAAAACTCGAGCATCCGCCAAAACTTTTTGCCCGGCCATTTTTGCAGAATTATCGTGTAAATATGCTTGGCTCATGTTATCGAGTTTGAAAACTCGAATCAATCGCTCGCGGAATCCAACAACAACTGAAAAAATGGGGTTAGGAAATTTTGAAAAACTAATTTTTTGAAAGATTTTGGTGTCGAAAAACGTTGAAAAAAAATAGTGACTAAACTGAGCAATGCTATCATTAAAATGCAATTTCGAGAGCCTCATATGAGCAATGCTCAAGAATTACCAGAAAACGAGAAGTTGAACTTGGAATTTTTGGATTTTCATGATTTTTGAAGCTAACATGAGTAATACTTCAAATGCAATTTCGAGTCTAATATGAGCAATGATCAAAATTTACCAAAAACCATTTCTTTACTTAGAAATTATGTTTTTTTTGTGGTTCGGGCCGAAATAATTTATTTTTTGGGGTGATTCAAATCCCCGGAAAAGCTAAATTTTTTTTTTGACTTTCTGAAAACTTTAGGAATATTGCTCAGGTTAAACAATTAAAATAGGAAAAAACACATTTTTTGGTAAATTTTGAGCATTGCTCATATTAGACATTCGAAATTGCATTGCATTGCTCATTTTAGTCATAATTTGTGACCTAAAACTATTTTTAATAAAAATTTCGAAGCATTGCTCATGTTAGCTTCAAAAATCATGAAAATCCACAAATTCCAAGTTCAAATTCTCATTTTTTGGTAAATTTTAAGCATTGCTCATATTAGACTCTCGAAAATGAGATTTAATGATAGAATTGCTCATGTTAGTGTGAAATTTTTGGCCTAAAAATCGATTTTTAATAAAAAATTTTGGAGCATTACTCATGTTATCTTCAAAAATCATGCAAATCCACAAATTCTAAGTTTTCTGGTAATTTTCAAGCATTGCTCATTTTAGTCATAATTTGTGAGCTAAAAATCGAATTTAAATAAAAAAAAATTTGAAGCATTGATCATATTAGTGTGAAATTTTCGAAATTTTTGACGTAAAATTAGATTTTATTTTGAATTTTAAAGATATTTTTGAGGAAAAATCCCACGTTCTTCACATTTATTCAATTTTTTTCCAATAAAAAAAAACCCACGAAGATTCTCATTCAAAAATGCCACGTCAGTCGCTGGCGAAGCCCAAGTTGGATCTCGAAAAACTTTCGGATTTTTCAAATCCTCCTCAAGATTCCAAATAATCAAATTTCCAGCCGCATTGATCGCCGCCAAAATTTCTCCACCATTTTGCCATAGCCAAGAGATTCTAGTAATTGGGGGCATCACATCTCGAACCTTTTGCGAATCTGGTTGTTGAAGGATTAATCCAGCTTCAGATTCGAGGATTGGAACTGGATCAGAATCATCTATGACCGCATCTACATTGATATTATAGATCAGAATTTCACCATTGGACATTGAAAATGCAGCATAATTCGAGTCATTTCGTGAAAGAAGCCATTCCATTGAAAGAACAACACCTCTTTTAGGCAAACTTAGAAGAAAATATGGGGATAATTGAGAATTTTGGGAATATTTCCAAAATTGAACAAGACTCGAGTCTCCTTCAAAATCCATTTCATTTGGAAAAGTGCAAACACATATCAAATCTTCTTCAGATTCCAATTGATTTGGTGCGATTTTGATCGAATTAATCGGAACTCCACAATAACCAACAATAATCTTCTCATTCCTTTTTGGCACTTCAAATTCAACACTTTTCAAACAATCAATTCGAATTCCATTTTCGGGGATTTCAGTTTGTGTTCCAATTGTATATCCACTTTTTTATTGTCACCGATTTTCGATCCAAATTTTGATGAAGTGGATATGTCTCATCTTTTTCGATTGTTGTCCAATTTGGAATCTCGATTTGTTGAATTCTTGGGCATGGTTCGATTATACGATTTTGATATTCCTCGAATTTTTTTCTACAACTACTTTCGTAGTTCATTTGAATTCTAGCATATGCACCCGAATTATTTGCTGAAAAAATAAAATTTTTAAAGGAAATTTGTGAGAATTAAGGGGTTGTAAAATTTCGAGAAAAAAATCCAAATTGTATTTTTTAGAGCTCAGATATTCTAAAGGCGCGGCTCCTTGTTATATTGCTGATCCATATGTGGTCGCTAGACTCCTTGTCAGAGTGAAAATGTAGATCTGGATCCTAGGCAATTAGGTTCTTAAGGCGCGGCTACTTGAGAACAAGGCTTTCAAGGCTTGGCTGCTTGATTTAGGTGTTTTCAAGGCGCGGCTCTTTGTCAGAGTGAAAATGTATCAGGGCGCGAACTTTCAAAGCTATTCTCAATTTTCGGAAACCACAAACTCATGTGTGTCACATCAAAGCTTATCCCTCACCTTTAAAAATTTCCGACTTCCTGAATCGATACTTCACACATCCCTGATCCTCTTTATCTCCATCTCTAATAACTCTTCTCTTATTTCCTCCTCTAACTGCTTGTTTCCTATTCGTCCCCTCATTTTCATCCTCGTCTTCCGAACCATGTGCATCTCCAACTTCTTCTTCCATCTCAGATTCTTCCGATGCTCCACTTGTCATCACAAAATCCGGATCAATTTTCATTATCATATTTCTGGATCTTCTTCCAGCTTTCGTCTCTTCCGGACTGAAAAAAATCAATAAATTTAGGAAAAAGATTTCGTATAGAAATTGTTTCCTCGTAACTTGTTCCCGCTTATCACTATTCCGCTGTCAATATTGCAGAACTCAAGAATTATGACGTGGCAGTTTGATAATGATTTTAGGAGCTGAAAACTAGCTCAAAACATTAATTTCTCGCAAATCTGATAAGATAGCGTTATGCTTTGAATTTAACTGCTTCCAAAATTTGAAAAATCCAGAGAAGTCAGAAATTCAAAATTTCGCTCCCAGAAATTGTACGTTTCACATTTTTGATAAATTTTTTTGGATTTTCCGAATTTTGATTCCAACGAATATGATTATTCGTATCTTGGAAAGAAATTCGAATTTCTCTTAAAAATCGATTTCTTGTTCAAATGTAGATGAGAAAACTTGAGACCATTTTTCCCATCAAAAATTATAATAAAAAATAAATCGTGGTGAAAAAAGAAAGAATTGCGATTTTAGAAGGGTTAGTTATATTTAACAAGTTTTCAGAATGATTCGACTCTTCTGAGCAATGCTATGCAGCTTCTAAAATCCCGATTTTCGAAATTTGCCACGTCACACCAGAATTCTCACACCAGAATTCGAGTTCTGCAATTTCAGACATCAGATTCATGATCAGCGGGGGGAACATTTCGGAAAACCACGTTTTTCTGAATCCATCAGGTCGGAACAAATTTTCCGAAGTTATTTTTCCAAGTTTTATTTTCGGAAAAAAGTTTTCCGATTGGTATTTTCGACTTGATTTTTCGGGAAATCGGAAAATTTCGGGGGTTTTTGAAAATTTTTGGAGTAGTTTCAACAAACTTTGCAGTTTTCGTGATATTTAGCCATTTTTGTTAAATTTTACTAACAACTTTCCATGTTTTTCAGAAATACCAAAATAATTTTGTGATGAAATTAGCAAAAAATGTTATTTTTTCACATTTTCGGAAAATTATTGGCCCCGGAAAAGTTTGGGAAAAAATTATTTTCCGAAAATATCCGTCGGAAAAGGTTGCAACTCGTATTTTTCCCGAAATTTTCCCAAAAAGTCGGAAATATATTCTATTTTAAAAATCCTAGAGTGAAAGTTCTCTTGTAAACCTACAGTATAACATTTAGTTGACATTTCTCAGCATGATCATTTTTCTGGAACAATTTTCCTTTATAATGACATTTTTCACAAATCCACATTTCATCCAAATTACATCGATCCAAATGATAAGTAAGTCCACCAATATTTTTAAATGTTTTATCACATCCAACACATTTGATTCGTCCATCTGCACTTGTTTGCAGTGCTTCTCTCACAATTTTCGACCTCATTTTTGCATCCAAATTTCGAATTCCCTCCAAATTATCCATAAAACTTGCATAACTTGGTTGAACACATGAATTCAAATGTTTGATTAATAAATCAGCATTTCGAAAAACTTGTGAACAATTATCTCCAAAACATCGATAATTCCCTTTGGAAATCATATTTATAACATCTTTTTTTCGTTGCTCATCAACTTTTAGCCAAATTGTTGGAACAAGTTTGAATTGTACATAAGTTGAACCATCCCATTCATCTTTTTCTTCTTCTTCTTCCTCTTGATTTTCCTCTACTTTCAATTCTTGACATTTTCGAATATGTTGAAGGAATCCAGAAGATGATGCAAATGTTTTATCGCATTCGATACATTTGATTTTATTCGATCTTTGAGATTTGATGGCTTCTGAAATTAAAAAAAATGAAAAATGCAGTTTAGGTGCTAAAAATCCATCAAAAGGAACTTTTACGGAAATTTTCAAGATAAATGCTGAATTTTGGGATTTTAGAAAAATTTTCGGGGAATTGAAAAAAAATCTTGAGTTCCCCGTTCCATTTTTGAAAACTAGTTATAACCTTCTAAAATCGCAATTTTTCAATTTCTTTAAATTTCATGAATATCAATGAGAGGATCACAAATTTGGACAATCCGAAAAAAACTTATCAAAAAAACTTGAAACGTACACGTTCAAGGGGGATTTTTAATTTCAAATTTTGGAAATTGCTATTGTTTTTTGGGCGATTCAAAAGAGAAAAGAAAATATATGACTGTGAAAAATCCATAAACTTTTCCGAAAATTTGCTGATTTTCGGTAAAATTTTCGAAAATGAGGAGTTTGAGAGAATTTGATAGCTCGCATTTTTTTTCTGAAAGAAAAAAACAGAATGGACTTGAATTCCTGAATTTTCCGAAATCGTGTAGATTTAATGATAATAAAATTCCCCAAAATTTTTTTTTAGTTTTCCAAATTCACAAGGGACTTACATTAGTGTAATAACGGGTTTTGAAATAAGGTAAGTGCAGTTTTAGGTAACTCGACGTGCTGATCACGATACCGCAAAAATTAGCTGCTGAGCTCCAGTCTTAGCCGCGCGAATGAGTTCCAAAGTTTGCTCAGAAAATTCCAATTTTCATCCAAAATAAATGAGTTATGAGCAGATGAGAAGTACCATAGGGTTATTTGGGTCGAAACGAATGAAAATTTTAGATGAAAATTGGAATTTTCTGAGCAAACTTTGGAACTCATTCCCGCGGCTCAGACTGGAGCTCAGCAGCTAATTTTTGCGGCATCGTGATCAGCGCGTCGAGTTACCTAACAAGGGAAGTGCATGAGGTCAAGTTCTGAAATTTTGATGAAACATATCGAAATATACCAAATCGACCATGCTGATCACGAATCCGAAGTCAAAAATTGCCACAAATGCCTGTGAGCATTTTTCTGGAGCTCCAAAGTTTGAATTGAGTTTTGGTTTTTGTCCATTTTCACCATGTTCCTGGGTGAAAAATCAACTTTTAGAATAAGATTGTTCACCACATTCGAAAACCTATAAGGATTTTAGTTTTTGAAAAAATATCAAAAACCAGCTGAGAACTGCGATTTTCAAAAAGTCCTGAAAATACACACAAAAACACGTAAATACACACGTTTTTTAAAGTTTTTTGTGCATTTTTGAAAATCGCAGTTTTCAGCTGGTTTTTGATATTTTTTCAAAAACTAAAATCCTTATAGGTTTTCGAATGTGGTCAACAATCTTATCCAAGTTATAAAAGTTGATTTTTCACCCAGGAACATGTTGAAAATGGACAAAAACCAAAACTCAATTCAAACTTTGGAGCTCCAGAAAAGTGCTCACAGGCATTTGTGGCAATTTTTGACTTCGGATTCGTGATCAGCATGGTCGATTTGGTATATTTCGATATGTTTCATCAAAATTTCAGAACTTGACCTCATGCACTTCCCTTGTAAGACTGCACCTACCTTATTTCAAAACCCGTTATCACTCTAATGTAAATCTCTTGTCAGAATCAAATCCTCAAAATCCTCACTGGTCACGTATCTCGAATAATCCTCTTCCGGAATTTCCTCCAAAAATTCCGCAATCGTCTGAAATCCCCGAATCTTTTCGAAACACGTCTTCCCATCCAATTCTTCTTCATCATCTGCTGGTTTTGTGCGCTTTCTTTTCGGTGGCATTAGGGTTGGAAAAAAATACACGAATACACGCGCTCGATACACGGTACACGAATACACTCAGTACACGAATACACGGTACACGAATACACGCAGTACACGAATACACGAATACACGAATACACGGATACACGAATACACGAATACACGAATACACGCTTTTTTATAAACTGCTTCAGAAGAGAAGAAAACCGTGTATTCGTGTACAGTGTATTCGTGTATTGCGTGTATTCGTGTATTCGTGTATTCGTGTATCGCGTGTATTCGTGTACCGTGTATTCGTGTATTTGGCTGCGCATGTATCCGTGTACGCAAATACACTGTTTTTCCAACCCTAGGTGGCATCCTTTTTTTGCTATTTATATTTTTCAGATAATTTTACTGAAAATTAGGCTTACAAAAAAATAATTAGGTAAAGTTAGTAAACTTTTGAAAAATTCGATGAATAATATATTTATGATGAATAAATAACATAATTTATTTTGATTCAAAATTTTTTGAAAAAAAATGGCAAGAAAAAGAAGGTATATAGAAGAGTTTGAAAATAGAACATAGAAAAAAAAAGAGTTGCGTGTTTTTCGTGAAAAAATAAATATATAGAATATTATGGGTAGGGTCAGGTCATGCCGTATTATGAGGAAGGAATAGTATTTGAAGTGAACAGAAGTGAAGTGAATTCAATGAACATTAACATCTGGTGCAAGTCCTTTATTTCGAATATCAGTCAAAACTCGATCGGGAATTGTGTGAGTTTTGGTTGGCGATTGGAGAGTTTCTCGTTGATTTGTGAATAAATTCAATTGTTCCTGTAGAAAATTTTTTTTTTAGATTTCTAGAACTTTTCCAGGTATAAATTCAGATTTCTAAATAACATTTTCATATTTTTTGAGCGAGCGAGTTGAAATTCTGGGGTTTTATCTTATGCATCGTGCAACGTGAAAAAATGCGAAAATCAAAAAATTAACGTGCAAACAGACGCAATTTTTTTCGCAGAAATCGCATTTTTTCAAGCACTTTTTTCGCGTTTTCTGGTGTTTTTCGAGCCAAAATGGACAGAAATTGAAAAGATTTGTCTGAAATGGTGTTTTTATTGATAATGGAAGAAAAATCAATGATGAAACAAGAAAAATGAGTTTGTCGAAAAAATATCGAAAAGGTCGAAAAAATTTGAAATTTTCAAAATCGTTTTTTTCTTGTTTCATCATTGATTTTTCCTCCACTATCAATAAAAACACCATTTCAGACAAATCCTCTCAATTTCAGTCCATTTTGGCTCGAAAAACACAAGAAAACGCGAAAAAATGCGATTTCTGCGAAAAAAATGCGTCTGTTTGCACGTTATTTTTTTTTTTTGATTATAGCAAATTTTATGACTTTACCTTACCCTTCAGTGATTCAGCAACTTTTAGGCGATAATGTCGCTAAATCGCTTATGGCTAACATAATATCATTAAAATTGATATCATTCGAAATGTCTTAGCCCTCTCTATCCTATGAATAAAATAAAATCCCAGAATTTCAACTCGCTTGCTCAAAAAATATGAAAGTGTCACTCATATACCAAAACCCACCTTATAATGATGAATAATATCCTGATCAGCTGGACAACTTTCAATAAAAGCAGCTGTTCGATAAGCCGTCATAACATAATTCCACAAAAATGTGAAATTGTGTGGAATATCGAATCTGAAATTAATTTTCTATTAAAGGTGGAGTCCGAGCAAAAATAAGTTATGCTAATTTGAGAGAGCATGTTCTAGTTAGTAAATTCCCACGAAGGATTTTTCATAAAAATCTGTATTGAACAAGGAACACTGCGCCAAACTACTTGAAAATTTGGATTTTTGCATTTTCTCAAGCCATTTTACACGGTGTTTCACTGTTTTTATGAACTTTGAACTTGTTTTATCAATGTTTGAAAAGTTTTCATTAAAAATTCTCCGAGGAATGTACTAATTAGAACATGCTCTTTCAAATGAGCACAACTTATTTTTTGCTCGGACTCCACCTTTAATTAAAGTCCTAAAATCAAAAAAAAAAATTAAAAACATACCCAAGGAGTGATTGTCCAATAATTCGAATATGATGTAATCTGGGCATTAATTCACAATCATATTCAGTCATACTATCACCAAGAAGATAGCGAGAATTTCGTTCGCCGAGTAACTGAAAACATGTGCATTTTTATCTAAATGCATAGGCTATTTTTCAATAAATATATTTCTGCAGTTGCACAACATACACAATGACGCAAAAATGCACACAAACCTGGTCAATATTGGACAATTGCTCACAAACTCGATTATAATGAACTTTAATATTTGCTGGCATTTCATCAATTGTTGATGGAATCTTCTTTCCTTTATCGAAATCAACTTTGGCGCGCAAAAACAGTTTGAAATTCTGCAAGAACAAGAATAAATAATTTTTGTTGAAAGTATCTAATAAGGGATATCTAGATTTTTTATAAAATAAATGTTTTCTAGTAATTTTCGACCCGCTGATTAAGATTCCGTTGTCTGAAATTGCATAAAACAACTCCTAACATTAGTTATGACGTGGCAAAGTTCGAAAATTTCGAAAAAACGGGACTTAGGAAGTGAAAACTAGGTTCAAAAATGATTTTCATGCTGATTTACGGTTGTTCAGGAGGCTCGAAAACATGAGGATTTTTTTCAATTTATGTAATCGACCTTTCTGGACAACGCTATGATATCAGATTTGGATGAAAATCGTTTTTAAATCTAGTTTTCACCACCTAAAATCTCGAATTTTTGAAATTTCCAAACTTAGCCACGTCATAACTCATGTTAGGAGTTGAGTTTTGCAATTTAAGACAAAAGAATCGTGATCAGTGGGACGAAAACAACGAGAAAATATATATTTTAATAAAAATCGAGTTAAAACAGCTTCCTAGTGAAATTCTTACCCGATACAAATTCTCAATTCGTTTCTCAACCGATGGATCTTTTTCGAATAGCGGAACGTTGTATTCTTTCGCCAAATGGAAGATTCGCCCCTCGATTTCACGATTATCCGTATAAGTTGCCTCTCTGAAAATATTTCTAATTGTTTTTCTCCAAGAAAACAAAAAAAAACCAACTTTTCCTCTTCAATCATAATTGGCGGCTGTGCTCCAAGGAAATTCTTCTTGAAAGCCTCTGAATTGACATTCACAGTTTTGACCTCAACACGAGCTACTCCGATTTCATAAAGAGCGTAGAGTTCCATCCAGAATTCTTGGCAGAAAAGATCAGCGCCAATTCGACGAGCATCGATTCCAGATGCCTGCAAAATTATTGATTTTTTTATTGAAAAATGAAAAAGCTGTGCAAATTCGACTTTTATGCTTTGAAATGTTCCTTTTCAAACAACATTCAAAAAAAGTTCAAGAACCATTCAGAATTAAAACATAGAAAAACCAGTTTAGTTTCAAAATCCTTCTTGTTTTCGAAAAAAAAACTTTTCAAATGTTTTTCCCTCTCCAAATAAATCCCACCTTCACATAAAGTTCTAACAATGGTTTTGGAGTTTCGGTAACTGTACCATTTCCATTTATCGGCTGCACCTGATAATCATCAGCCATCTGAACAAATCTGCAAAAAAAATTCTAGGAAAAAGTTTGAATCGATCGATTGATGGAAAAAGAGAAAAGGAGGAATCAGATAAAAAAAGCAACAAAATGCGCGGGAAACGACGACATTTTCAAAAATTAATGGCAACAACCTCAAACAAAACAGACACTATTACGCAAATATGCACACTTTGTGGAAAAAAGAAGGAAAGCAGCAGGTGGTTATAATAGATTGTGAACCAATTGAAAAATCAAAAATTTTTGATAGTAAGTATACTACTCTTATAAGAAAACTTGACAAAAAAGGCAAAATTAATTTTCAACCTTGGCGCGCATCCAAAACAGAAAAATCAATATTATTTTGAACGAATCTTTTGATAAAACTAATCGGAGATTCTTCAACTTATAATTTTATTTACCGTGCGACCAGAAAAGAAGAACAAAACTATGCGTAATCGGAAACAAATCATACATACATACATATAATTCGACCCTCTTCTTCTTCTTTTTCTTCCAAACGGTTTACGATTCTATTTTTCACTTTTTTCTATCGTCGAGACGCAGACAAAACTGGAATTCATCTTCAGAAGAGACAAAAAGAAGAGAGAGAGAGACAAGTGTACCTTCCCGAAAGTCATTTTATTTCGCGCATTGGAATTTGTGACACTTTCTTTCTTATCACATCGAGGATTTTCGGGATTTGGTTAAACTTTTATTAATTCAGCAAAAAACGAATGTAATTATTGTTTCCCAAGAAAACAGGATTTTGTAATAGCAATAATTTCTAGTTGAAATGAAAAAAGAAAGTTGTTTTCTCTGTAATTGAATTCATTTATTATTAAACAAAGCGTAAGATCTTTCCGGTAATTATAAATACAACCCTGTAAATATCTAATTTCGCATGGGGGGAAACATGATATTTATCCGAAAGGGATGGAAAAGTATTAGAGAGGTGTAGTACCTGGGTTTCTAAAATAGCACTCGTAAATGGTCTTAATATTTTCCACAAACACTGGAGAAAGATTAGGGTTGAACACGACTTTTACGATGACGATTAAAGGAAAAAAGGTGCGTTTCTTGAGGAATGATTATCAAATCACTATTTTCTTCCGGAAAAACACGGTCTTTTGAAAATTGCAATTTGAGAGACGCAGAGAAACACAAAACCTTTTTGCAAACCTCTTCGTTTTGAGACCAATATTATTTTCAAATTTTTTCGAGTAACTCGAAACGAGTTCAAAAACTATTCCCGCGCTTGGTCTCGAAACGAAGAGGCCGGACTGCAAGTGGGTGTTTTGTATTTCCCTTGGAGGGTTTTGTGTCCCTCTCTCGATTTACCTTGCAAAACGACGTGAAAAATTAGAAATGCGAAAAAAACAAAAAAAATATTTCGAAAAACGCGCTCGCCAACCACAAACACGTCAATCCACGACTGACGCATTTCGTGTTTTTTGCGGAGGCAAATTCAAAAAAATGATTTTTGTGGAAAAAACTTGCCCCAAAAACTGTGTCAAAAGACGAAAACTATCAGCGCAAAAAATCTAAAGAGAAACGATAACATCAAAAACGGTTTTGGTTTTGTTCCGGTTATGGTAATATAAAATAATGCATATAATAAATATATAACAACACAAAAAAATGTGTGACTAACTGAATAACATTTTTTCAATGTTGAATATGAAAATAAATAAATAAAAACGATTATTGAACAGAAAAAAAATAATAGAAAAATTTTACTTTCTCAATTGTTCTATCTACATGAACTGAAAAAAAGTACAAAACTGGTTCATTTTATAACATTTTTATGTGAAAATGTTGGTTTATCGATTTGAATGAAAAAATGCAGAATTTTTTTTTTGAGTGGGAATATGGCATTTTCGAAAAAAAATTCCATTTTTATCAACCAAAAACTAACATGAGTCACAAGTTTATTTTTCTTGAAGTGCGAAAAAACATCAAATAAAACTAACCGCTGAAAATATTTGATAATCGAAAGTGAGAAAAAACTAAGTTAGCACATATTTTTGTATTATTTGCATGCAAAAATCAATAGGTGCAAAAAGTTGTAATAAAACCCGTTAGAAAAAGCGCGCGAAAAGAAAAAAAGAGGAGAAAAAGGAAGAGGGGATGACATGGTTGAAATGAAGCGCAAGAGAGAAGAATTGCTCAAACAATACAAAAATTTGTGGCTCTTTTATGTTTACTTTGTTCGATCGAGAAAAAAATAACACGGTAAAATTTGAAACTAGTTTAGCTTTTTTATTTAATAATAAATGAAAAATTGAGATGTTGCATGTATTTTTTGGATCGATGATGAGATTCAGAAAAATCATGAAGAAAAGTTTTTATTTGGTGTCATCAAGAAAAACATGTAAAAGAAACTTATATTATTTTTCCCCGGTGCACCTTTTGCGACCAAGAATGAGGCAATTCCGAGATGAGCTCTTCAAAATTTGCCAAAAAACAGGCACTCTCACGTTTTATTTCTCAAATAACACGTAAAACAGTCTAGTTTTTTGTTTCCACCTGGTATGGGCCAATTAGAACACTATTCTGTCAATAAAAATTGATCAGAATGTCGAAAACATACAAAACTCTGAATATCAGACAATTCGAAAGCAAAATAAAAAATTACGCAGGAGACGGGGGTTGATCTAGGACCTTCTGAACACGGGCGCGCCTAACCGACTGAGCTACCACACACAAACGTGAAGTGGGTGTGATTGCCAAGATATATTTAATTTTTTCCTGCATTTTTTGGCGCTGTACTAGCTTCAAGTGAAAAAATTTTTTTTTTGAAAAAAATTATTGGCGCCTATGCTTCACCCTGGGCTTGGTTTGTGATCAGCATGGTCGATTTAGTATATTTTGATAAGTTTCATCAAAAATTCAACAGCTGACCTTATGCACTTCCCTTGTAAGTGGAATTGCCACCTAAAAATGCACAAAAAAGGAACAACGAGTTTCAATAAATAATTTATTGAATTTTGACAAAATAACAACATTTACTGAATAAAATAAATGGTTTACTTAAATTGGTTAGACTTTGAGTTCTGATTGAATATTTTACAGTGTATTTATTCACAAGATTTTTCTAAATTAATATATTTCAATTTGTTGAACTGTCTTCCCATGTGATTGTTGTGTTAGAGAATCCAGAGTTGTCATAGCATAACACCTATGGATCAATTCATCTGACGAAAAAATGAATTTCGCGACATTTTTTGTCGCGAAATTGCAATTCGCGAAACGACACGAAATTAATAAAATTAAAGAGAAAATTCTTTTTTCGTGTGTTGGGTCTCGCAGCGATTACGTGTCCCTTTAATATTTCTCCTTTATTTTTGTGTTTATTTAGTGTCGTTTCACGAATTGCAATTTCGCGACAAAAAATGTCGCGAAATTCATTTTTTCTTCAAATGAATTGATCCACTATAAAAAACATTATCAAAAAAAGTTTGAAAAAAAAACTTACGGTGAAATAGTATTTTCTTCCATCTCTTTCAGCTAATCTCGCCGATAGTCGGGTGGCCTCGAGTAGATCTTCATTCACAGAATTTATTATTTCAACATATCGTTTTTGCTGGTTCTCCAAGATTACCATGACTTCAGAGAGTGGCAAAGATATCTCAACAATTGGCGGTGTTGCCGCCGAGTGGAACAAATGAATTGAACCGGAAACAATCTGTAAATAAAAAAAAATGAAAAGGCAAGTCCATCCAGTTTTTGATTTTGCCCTCGACCCACTAATGAACAAACTGCTCCAATGGGTGTGAGACAGAATTCAATTCATCAAAATGCAAAACAACACGAATTCGGGCAATTATTTCAAGAATACGTCGGAAATGTTCCTTAAAAAATGAGGAACAGTTCGCATGGTGAAAAAAGTTTCCCCGGTCATTCTTATTGGGTTTTTATACATGATATTGAATTTAGATCTTTATTTTGATAATAGAAGACTGCATTCTTTTCATTTAAATTCAAATTTGAACAAAAATACTTCAGTATTAATGGGCCTATGCAGAATAATATTTTGTAATAAAAAAACATTTTTTGCCTATGCAGAAAAACGTCGAAAAAACAAAATAAAGACAACGTGAAATTGAGAGAGCGCAGACATAAAATGGGTTTTTTGTCTGCACTCTCTCAACTTCACGTTGTCTCTACTCTAAATAATAAACTGTATATTTTGTTTTTTCGACGTTTTTCTGCATAGAAAAAAAAGTTTTTTATTACAAAATATTATTCTGCATGGGCCCATAACAGAAATTCGACAGTTTGGTTTTTGGATGTCCCGTTTGGAGAAAAACTTAAAATTAGACTTACTGAAAGGACGGTTGATCCTTTGCGATATGCGATTGAATTTATAAGCTCCTCCAATGATAAAAACCCTTCATATTCAAATTCCAAACATTGCTCCTTAGGAGACACCATTGCTAAATCTTCGGATCTTGTTGACGATGGAGTTTCACAATGAATGCTCATATCGTTCTCATCCATTATCTGAAACGTAGAATATGAGCACTTTTAAAAATGTTAGAATGTCGAATGAAACTAAAAACCCATTTTCTTCACAAAAAATTGAAGTTGAACGTATATTTCAAAAAAATTTTTCAAAAAAATTCAATGATAAATGTGGCCGAACTATTTTGGTGGTCGAGCAATGTCGGGAATTCGGCCAAAGCAACAAACGCCCTCTAATTATAGTTGGACAACGACTCGACTTGAGTCGACTCGAGTCGTTTGGAAAATAATGTTTATTTTTTTTTGCTGTGCTTTTTAAATAACGATGATTACACGTTTTTACTCACACAAAAAAAACAAGGTTGTTTTCAAAAATTTGTGAAAAAATCTCTCAAAACAGAATGTGCGCTCTAAAGCACACGTGGCCGAACTTTGTTTGCAAAAAAAAACCGTTCGGCCAAATTTTACGAGATGAGCGCCGTGGCGTATTTGCGCCAGCACTCCACACTCCATACATTCTCGCTTTCTCTCTATCTCTCATCGATCTCTTCAGCAAATCGCACTCTTTCTATAGTTGGACAACGACTCGATTTCAAGTCGACTCGAGTCGATTCCGCAGTCAAAATCGCCACAAATTCCTGTGAGCACTTTCCTGGAGCTCCAAAGTTAGAATCGAGTTTTGGCATTGGCGAAAACCGCAACTCAATTCAAATTTTGGAGCACCAAAAAAGCGCCCACAGGGATTTGTGGCAATTTTCAACTTCGGAATCGTGATCAGCATGGTCGATCGCGATTTTGTATATTTCGATATGTTTCATCAAAAATTTATCTGGTGACCTTATGCACCCTTGTAAGAACTCACACTAAAAAACAAACTAATCGCTTCATCATGTTTTGAAAGAACTTGCGCAGATTTTGAATATACTTTACACAATAATTCAAGTAATGACGATCTTGCTGATATATCCATACATTTCTCATTTTTCATTTCTTCCAACCATCAATCACTTTTAGCATATTATCAAGCCATTCTGGTACTTCCAAACGTTCTTCGTCATAATGATCAAATCCGATGTGATAAATTGGAACAGCTAGGAAATCATGGAGAAGTGTAGTTGAAGCATCGATTAAAGGGAGATGAGTTGGTGAACGATCTTCGGTATAACATTCGAATATTGCTGATAAAGCACAAACACATTGAGTTAAACAAGCATCAATTTGACTTTTTTCTGAAATTTTATTATGGTTGGGAAAACTAAATTTGAATAATAATATTAAGAGGTGCTAATTTAGATGGATACTGTTTCCACTTTTATTTTTAATAAAATGTATGTTTTCTAGTGGTTTTTGATCTAAAATTGCAGAACTCAACTCTTAATATGAGTTATGACGTGGAATTTGGAAAAATTTGGGCTTAGACTAGCTCCAAAAATTATTCTTATGCAAATCTAACGTCGTTCAGGAGGGTGGATTACATAAATACAATTACTGTTTTCAACACAGCATCAATTTAAAAATTTTATTTTTGTAGATTTCCTATTTTTCTGAAAAATCATCAGGGTGTCCCATCAAAATCCAAAAGATTTTTCAAAAAAGTTTGGAATCTACAAAAAATAAATTTTCAAAATTGATTCTATGTTGAGAACAGTAATTGATTTATGTAATCTACCTTCCTGAATGAGGTTATTCTTTAGATTTGCATTAAAATAATTTTTGAAGCTACATAGATCCACCTCCAGAAGTTCCGATTTTTCAAAAAATTCCACGTCATAACTCATCTTAAGAGTTGAGTTCTGCAATTTTTCGTGGTCGAAAACGAAAGTTGAAACAGTTCCTTGGCAACCTAAAAAACTAACCATGCTCAATAGCAGTGATTTCATTTGTTTGATTCATTGATAATGTATCTTTAGCCATTTCAACAATTAAAAAAAGTTAATTAGTGTTAATTTGTTATTTTCATTCCAACAAAAATAGAACAAACCTTCAATTGGACTTGGTGGATTCGATGTAATAATTTTCAAAAGCTTCTGACAATCTGAATAAAGCGATAGAAGATCTTCTTGATTACACGACAATAAAAGTGTCTTGTTTGAAAGTCCTCGAAGAATGCATTCCAATAATTTTGGCAGATGTTTTGCTCGAATCGTGGCATCACTTTCCACATTACACATTTCCAAACAAACACTAACAACTTTTGAAATATCATGAATCTCCTCTTTATTCTCCACTTTTTTCTCATACCAATTCGCTAAATAATTCCACAAAAATCCAGTTTCCAGGGAATTCAAGAGCATGTTAAATGTTTTCGAAAGCTCGTCAATTCTTCGATTTTTGATCATATCAACACCAGAACCTTCGGAAGATCCATCCGAATTCGAACTTGTGTTCAATTGAAGTATCAGAGTTTCTCTATCTCCAAATTCTCTTTTTTCTTTCTCCTCAACATTTTTCGATTCGTGATAATAAGCAGATTTTTTGAGGAAATTCGCGAATACCGTATCAAGAATTAATTTGCCAATATCAGCCCGATCTTGCAGATATAACAATAATCGACAAACTCGAACTTCGGCAAATTGTATTTGTTCCCCCTCTTTCCTTTCTCCCCATAATTGATTATTCACCGGCACTTCAATTGTATCCAAATTCAAATAATCATCAATTGCACAACTAATTATTGGCAAAACTTTTTCGGTGAAAAATGACATATCAACAGCATCTTCTGGAGATCCAAGGGTGATTCCAGAGACACCTGGTCGATTTATAAGCCATGTCGACGATTTAGGGACATATCTCTGCGAAGTACGACGAATAAACATCGACGAAGTAATTGGACAAAATCGGATTTTGTTAAATAAGTACTATCCAATGGAAAAGCAGCGACTAGAAAATCTAATAAATGTCGTTGAACAAGTGGTGAGCCAATATCATCTGCTGTTGAATAAAGAGCTGCGATCATATGATTTACATGATCGCCAACAATATGTATTTGATCATCTAAACTTTTTGATCGATCAAATTTCGCATTCACATAAATCATTGCTGGAAGTCGAACTGGCGGTGAGCCTAAAACTGCTTGCCAAACACACGCATAAAATGCTCGAGGTCCAACTTTTTCGCATACTTTATCCAATAATGTCACACTTCGATCGTAGAATTCAGTGCCTTCTTCGAGAGCTAATAATACTCCGCCCAAGAATCCAGGAAGCGCTGGTCGTAGATTTGTTCCAAGGGGTACCAAATATGCTTCAAATATTGAAAATAGCTCGGATTTCACTTTTATTTGACAATGATCCATGAGAGGAAACAAGCCGACGGCAAATAAATAAAGAACTTCAGGAAGTTTTGATGGTCCAAGAATCTCAAAAATTTGTCGATAAGTTTCGAGAGCTTTCAAATGAACACCAGGTGGAAGTGCTGGATGCAAACATTGTGAAAGACGTTTTGCAACTGTTACGCGATTTGGAATTGCTGCGAATTTCGCATTTGATTGGAAGACCTGCGAAATACTTTTATTTATAACAAAAAATAACATTAAATTACCTTGGATAATTTTCCAAGCGCCGAAATCAAGTCAGCCCATTCATTCGAGTTTTCAAAAGTCTTCAATGCTCTATCAACAGCTTGAGCATAAGCCTTATATTTGCTATCTTTTCCTATGTCTCCAGAAGACGAAGCCGACATTTTACCTGTAAAAATCAATCAATAATCATGTTTCAGCATGGATTTCAATTTCAACAAAGAAGAAAAACACTGAGACAGCGAGAGAAACACAAAAAAGTGTTGGACAGATGAAGGAAAGAAAGGAATGAGAGAGACGACAAAGAGAAAAAGGGCCTATAGAGAGACGCGTGTATAAATATATAAATAATATGGGTGTGAGTGAGTGTGAGTGTGAACGAAAAAAACGAAAATGACTATTTCAACCGGATGGAAAAATCGGAATATATATTTATTTATGTTTATATGAGGTATTTATTCAAGAAAGAAGAGTTTCTCTCAAGTGTGAATAAATACTAATCGATTCTTGTTTAGAATTATTACCAGAAGGGCTCCGCCGGCTCCTCCTTCTGGATTGTCCTCACAGGGTGTAATTTACTACCTCAAATCGCTAGACATCAAAGTTTTCATTACTTCTACGTTTCATTCGAAATTATCAGAGCTGTGGAAGATAAAACCAAAATACAGTAAACTTCGCAAGCCCTTTATTATTTTTATTGAAAAAGAAAAATATTGGTTTTCTCGGCCATATAGGTTATATTCCAAAACTCACAAAATTTCGAATTGACAATAATTGTTAGGGCTTAATTGATTGAATTGATTGAAAAAGAGGATTTCCAAACACATCAAAACTCACTAACAAAATTCACATCAAATTATTTGTTTTTCTTCTTGTAAATAAGATCTTTAAATATCTGAAAGTTCGAACAAATTATGCTTTTATCTACAGTAATCTGACTCACTTGTTTTCCATTTATTTTTCAAACCGATTAGGAGTAGAATAACAACGAGAAATAATTAAAAATATCCCGCTTTGAATGAAATGGAAAGATCAGATGAGGACGTGACCTAGCCATTTTTTCCGATTAAAAACGTGTTCATTATTTTCTACACGGAAAAAGTTTTGATTTTTCACATGAAAACTTGCGCACTTTTGAAAGATTTCGAATATCGTGCATCATCTACAAAGAATTTGGAACACGTTGGTCCAAGTCTCATTCAAAACGGTTGTCTAGAAATTGAGGGTTGTATCCTAGTATCGCGGTCCCAGAATAATATATTGGTCCCAAAATAATATATTGGTCCGAGAATAATATATGGACCACCACAATTCAAAAATTGTTATTTTTCACATCAAATTCGAGACAAATTTAAGCATAGTTTAACGTCGTTTTTTCCAGTGTGCCAGATATAATCCAACGTTACGACAAAAATTTCTAGAACTAATTTTCATATCAAATTTAAAGTATTGGGATTTCAAAAATTAAAAAATTTGTGTCAAAAACAATTTATTTTTTCATTAAAAAAGTTAAAAAACTGGGAAAATTTCGAATTTCCATGAAGTTGATGATGTTTGTGTGTGCAAAACTTATTGGATTCCACACACTGATGTCGCAATCTGTAAGTGAACGATGATTTAGACATTTCAAATAATTCTTGTTTTAAAAGTTTTTTTTTTCTTTTGTAAAGTTTTTTCAAGATATCAGAATTTTTTGAAACGACAGGCTTCATTTTCCGAACATTATGTAAATTTTCCCCGACTCATAAGGAATCGAAACAATTGGGTCACGTTTTGAAATTTGAATTCATTTCTATTTTTTTTCGAACATTATGTAATTTTTCCCCGAATTTTGATAACAAAATTTTTGATAAGTAGGTCACGTTTAGAATTTCGAGATTTTGTATTATTTTTTCTGACATCATGTAATTTTTCCCCGAATTTCTCGCATTCAATTTTTGATTTTTTTCCTTTCAAACGTTAGAAAACACGGCGCGCTTTCCTTTACGTGAGCACCCGCTGAGAAAAAAAAAGGAAAAAGAAGTAGAAAAAGGTCAGAGACAAAGAGGAAACAAGTGAAAAAATGATGACGCAATGAGAAAATTGTGTGCGATAGAGCGCGCTTTTTCTCCTCTCCTAAACATTTCTCGACGGGTCGTTTCTTCAGGCGACGTAAAGAAAATCGCACCGTGAAAAATTGAAAGGAGCCTGTTTTGGAAGGCACAAACCGAAATACGCTGAATTAGGAAAAGCTAAGCCATTACAAAATGGTTACTGTATTCTCACTAACTAATTACTAATTCTAAGTTTTCTCCAAAAATCCTTGTGAAATAAAAAAGTTACAGAATAAATTTTCGAGAATCTTCCGATTGAAAACATTTTTTTGAAAAAAAAATAATCAGAAATGATGCGTTGTCATGAGTGTCACGTGATTTCTCGACACGTATTTTTCAATCATTTCTGGTTTTTAAAATAAAACATTATCATTCTCTCGAATTATTCCGGAAATATTTCTACTGAATTTTATGAAGTGAGTGTAATAGGGTTGAAAACACTTTATCAGAACACATCTGCAATACTCCAATCGAATTTCCGATAATTCCAGGGACTCTCGATAGATTTTTGTTTAAAATTAGGGCCGTGTTTTAGTAATTTGAACAAAATCCTATGAATAAACCTGATTTGAATCATTCGTAATCCGAAACAGCTTCCTTTCAGGTTTTCTAACGTTTGAAGGGGGAAAAAATCAAAAATTGAATGCGAGAAATTCGGGGAAAAATTACATGATGTTAGAAAAAATAATAAAAAATCTCGAAATTCTAAACGTGACCTACTTATCGAAAATTTTGTCATCAAAATTCGGGGAAAAATTACATATTGTTCGAAAAAAAAACAGAAATGAATTCAAATTTCAAAACGTGACCCAATTGTTTCGATTCCTTATGAGTCGGGGAAAATTTACATAATGTTCGGAAAATGAAGCCTGTCGTTTCAAAAAATTCTGATATCTTGAAAAAACTTTACAAAAGAAAAAAAAACACAAAAACTTTTAAAACAAGAATTATTTGAAATGTCTAAATCATCGTTCACTTACAGATTGCGACATCAGTGTTTGGAATCCAATAAGTTTTGCACACACAAACATCATCAACTTCATGGAAATTCGAAATTTTCCCAGTTTTTTAACTTTTTTAATGAAAAAATAAATTGTTTTTGACACAAATTTTTTAATTTTTGAAATCCCAATACTATAAATTTGATATGAAAATTAGTTCTAGAAATTTTTGTCGCAACGTTGGATTATATCTGGCACACTGGAAAAAACGACGTTAAACTATGCTTAAATTTGTCTCGAATTTGATGCATACATGTTTTTCTATCCGGAGGACCCTTCGGGTTAAAGACCCCTTTTTGTCAAAAATGAAAAAGTTAAAGACCATTCCTCCAAATAAAAAGAGCCGCACTATGTCAAAAAGCGATGCACAGGGTGTAATTCACTACCTCAAATCGCTAGACCTCAAATTTTTCATTAATTTTTGGGTAGATCAAAATTAATTTTTCTCTAAATCTCTCGTTTTTGCGTTGAATTTCGTCGATTTTAGTCCCACCCCTAAGATCGTGTCAGGTCTCAAAAAATGCGCGAAATTTTTCGGGTAGTAAATTACACTCTGTGCGATGGAAAAAAACAATGATAATCAATGTGTTGTAAGTAAACGAAAAAAACATCATCATTTGAACAAAAAATAGTCCCAGTGGGGAACCGAACCACCAATGCTAGATTAGAAGGCGACGCTACCCGCCTGCTCTATGAACTCATCTTTCTCCACACTCTTATTTTTCATTCTTATGCAACACACGCACTCGTCCTTTTTCTTTTTTTCGTTGTTTTTTCAGAGACAATTGAAATCAAAAGCGAAACTTACTAACTTAAAGCCAACCAAATGAGCTGAAAATTTTCACAGATATGCTTCGAGGTATTTCGCAGGGTTCGAAGACATAAAAGTCCTAAACGAAGACCGTCTACAATGAAATAAAGACATGTCCGGAAAAGTATAGGATGACACCATATTTCTCCGGACATGTCTTTATTTCATTTTAGACGGTCTTCGTTTAGGACTTGTATGTCTTCGAACCCTGCGAAATACCTCGAAGCATAGCTGTGAAAATTTTCAGCTCATTTGGTTGGCTTTGAGTTATTAAGTTTTGCTTTTGATTTGAATTTTCCGCGAAAAAAAAAGAAAAGAAAAAGAAAAGAAATGTGGGCGGAGCCAGATGCAATGAGAGATATGGCGTGTGGCGCTAGTAGCGAAGTGTCGGCGACGAGAGATGTTGAAATATTTCGCGTGATGCAGAACGCAGCAAGTTTTGAACTTGTTATTGAAGCTCTGCGCGTCTTTGAAAAAAGAAGTTGATGCAGAGATAATTTTATGAATTGAAAAAATTGATAAGAATTTTATCCATAAAAGTTAAGGACCTATTTTTCGGAAAAAATTGAAAGGTTAACGACCCTATTCTATACTTTTCCGGACCAAAAACATGTATGCATCAAATCATACATGTTTTTGGTCCGGAAAAGTATAGAATAGGGTCGTTAACCTTTCAGTTTTTTCCGAAAAAAAAGGTCCTTAACTTTTATGGATAAAATTCTTATCAGTTTTTTCAATTCATAAAAGTTTTTTCAATTCAATTCAAACATCATCAGTTTTTTCAATTCAAAATTTAAAGAAAAATTCCATAGAATTGTGAATTTCAGATTTCTATAGCTGAAAATGAAAAAAATGAAAGGGAGGGGGGTTATCCCTTTCGTCAAAAATTATCAAAAATAGGGGTATGCACTGGCGGATTTGAAACGGGGGTATGCGACGTATGGGATGGAAACAAGTTAAGTACTAAAAATAAAATAGTAACTAATAAGTTTTGCAATAATAATTAACTTGTAGGGTTAATTTCTCAACATAACAAGCTAATTACAAGCAAGAAAACGAAAGAACGAAAAAAAAACAGAACAAACGTGTTACAATCGAAAAACTTCTCAGGAAATTCACTACACCCGTGCGGTGCCGTATCCGACTAGGGTGGTGACTCTCCAGTCGCACCCGGGTCAGGAAGGTGACGCACGCGTGCTTGATGACGGGAAAAGAGCCGCACGGTGGTCAGATACGGGAATCACCCGTGACAAAAGAGAAACGCACCCGTGTTCATTAAAAAACTCTCAGGCACGGGTGCGTCCCCACCCACCGATCGAGCGAAAAGCGTCGCACGGTAGTCAGAAAAGTGCGGCACTCGTGAAAAACACAGATATCGGGCTGCACGGGTGTAGAGAATTTCCTGAGTTATTAGTTACTACGTGTACACGCTGTCCACAAATGAAAATACGCTGTCCTGTCTGCACTCTAGCACACGGCTGTGTGTGTCTGTCCGCTCTCTCCGATCGCAACACTCTCTCGTCATTTTTTCTCTCGATCTCTTCAGCGGGAGGCGCTCTCTCGCTTTTTTTCTTTTGAAAAAAAATTCAGCATCTTTTCAATAAATGCTCTGAAAATCGAGGATTTCATCAAAGGAATTGTATATGAGAGGAAAGAGGAGCATCTAACGAAAGCAGAGAAATACAATTTGAGAAACATTGACTAAGTTCTCAATTAGAAAATCGACAAACAAAATCAATGACTGTTTTGACACTGATTCTGAGCTTCTCAGGCAAATCGTCCCACCGGCGCAACACCAAATAGAAAAAACACTGGTGTTCCACTCAACTAACACTGATTAAACACCGTTCTAACACCAGCGCAACACCACTTCCCACCGGATTAACACCACTTAATTTTTCTTCCCAAAATTTTTAATCCCACCAGTGGAACACTTAATCAGCACCGTTTTCCCACTTAATCAACACCGGATGTTCACCTTTAAAGGTGGACAAAAGGTGGACAGCTTTCATTTGGTGTTCCACCGGTGTTGAAAAAATAGAAGACAAGCGTTGAAAATGCCCTATTAAAAACATAGCGGCGCGCGCCTCTCGAATTCCCTCGAATTTCAACTTCAAAACGGTGTTGAGTGAGTGGAGATTTGGTGTTGCGCCGGTGGGATGATTTGCCTGAGTTTCTCTTCGGGAAAATTGAAAAAAATACATTTAATTCATTTTTTTTTTAGGTTTTCTGCTATTCTAACAGACATTTTTCCGTGATTAGTTTCAAGATATCAACTCGAATTTATGAAACAACATTTATTCTGATTCAAAATCGCTCAAAATTCGATTAAAATTCAAGGAGAATTATAAAATTATTTCGACCCAGGTGAATCTATACGAAGCATTCCAATCCCAGAGTATAATAGCGAATATTCGAGTTGGTAGAGGACCTGGAAAATATAAACTAGACAATTGAGACAAAGTTTTAAAAGTAGCTGTGAAAACGAGTTTTCATGAACTTGAAACGAGACAGAATGTAATAAAAAACGAACCAATTCACTAGATAGTGCTCTTTAGAGTTTGAATAACGTTCATAAGCAATAATCTATGGCTCAGAAGTTTGAAAATTTCACCACTGTTGTCTCCCTCTCTCCCAGAATCATAGAATATTGACACCAAACTCGATCCAATCTTCGATTTTCTTTTTTTTTCAATCTACAATTTTTCATTTGGCAAAGAAAAGGCTCTTGTTGTTGATTGTATTTATGGTGGTCCCATGTAGCAAGATTGATCGGTACGAGCCTTGAAAACTTGAGCTCCTGAATTGGTGTTTCCTCCAGATGTTTGTCCTCGTCCACTGCTTCCTCCTTGAGCATAATCTTCACGAGCATAACCGAATGACGAAGCATTGGCTCCCATATATCCTGACGAATATCCTCCAGCTCCCATATAGGCCGATTTGTCTCCCATTATTTCTGTTCAGAGAAGGCTCGTCTTTTGTTTAACTAAATAACAGTTTTCTTCATGATTCGCATTTATCTGACATCCTCTCACAATTCTTTGCACCAACTATTTAGATATTTGTCGTTCAGTTTTGGTGGAGGCATCGATTTCAAGATGAAAATTTCATATGTTGGGACAACGAGAAGAGCTGTATTCTGGAGTTTTTTGATCGTTCAACACTTCTTCTTCCCAGCCTGTGCTTCTGCAGAAGTCCCATAACCTGTAAAACTGTTTTTCTTGCTCAAAAATTCGAAGTAAAAAACTTGAAAAACACTCACTTTTCCGCTCGAATGTTCTCCTTGAATTTCAACTCCAAATGAGATGTTTTATATATCTCTGCCTTCCAAATCTCTTCTACTTCGATGTTTAGCTTCGTTTCAGCACAGAGAAAATTTGTGGCGACCAAAAAACACGAACAAATAAAAAAAAGTTTTTTTTTCAATGGAAAAAAGTGAGTACAGCAAACGCGCTCCATCTCACTCAGCGAACGACGAGAGAGTGAGACGCAGACTTCACACAGATGTGGGGGCTGTGGAGATCGAAAAAAATTCGAACGAAAAACAGGGGTTTTTTCACTACCGAAAATTAATCACGTACCAAACATTTAACCTCACGAACAAGTGTCGTCAAACGTTTGGTGTTTGCACACATTATAGGCGGTTGGTCGGATTTTTATTTTTTCAATTTCTGTTTTTTGTGTTGCGCTCTTCTCGCAACAGTTTCCTTGTTTTTCAGCATTTTGTGTTATTCTATTTGTTATGCTAACAATAGTTTTTGTTTTCAGATGTTGATTTGGGTGGTGTGCAAAGAAATATCGACCAATTTGCTGAAATGAGAATGATGTGAAATTTTTCAAGTTTTCGATTTGTAACATTGAATCAAACAACCGGAGAAGCTCGAGAAGAATCCTGGCACATCTTCAACAAGGACAGAAGCTGCCGCACCAAACACAACCAATAATATTGCTCAAAATGCGCTACAAAAAACGTTGTTGTTGCCACTGGAACTGTGCCAGCCGCCACCCAGCAATCCGGCAGCATTATCAGCTGGAGCAGCACCGAAAAGAGGAAATAGTGAGACGCCACCAAAAGCGGAACCACAAGCAAAATGCACAAAAATTGGGGATGATATGTATCGATGTATTGGAATTGCAAAACCAAAAAGTGCGCAACACAAAGAAATCGGAATCTATTCGAGGTTTGCTTGTATATTTATATTCTCTAACAAAACTCATTTTTCAGATTTTGTGATTATGAAAGATTTTCGATTTTCATCGGCTTTCGACTCAAGAAAAATAATTGAAATCTTCCGATCAAACCAGTGAATGTGCTCCAGGTGCTGCCAAACCAACAGATGACGGAAATTATGAAAAATTGGCAGTTAAACAATAGTTTTTATGGGAATAAACTCCGAACTGAAAGATCGGATTCCAGAAACTTCAAACATTGAGGCGGATTTATAATTGTGTCCATTTTTCACTGGTCACACTGATTTTGGTTTTAATGAAATATTTTTGTTGGTCCTAAAATAATTTTCAGGGAAATTTGCAGATTTATATTTAATTGTTTTGTTGATTCTATGTAATTTTCACTATCTATTATCTTTCAGCGAAAAAATCATAAAAAACGGCCAAAAATGGGAAAATTTGAAACGTGTGCCGCAAACCTGCAAAAATAGCTCCGCCCCCATGTTTATGCATTTCGCAAGGGGCGGAGCTTATTCACTCGATTACAAATTTGTGTTGTTTCGGTAGTGAAAAAACCCCTGTGAAAATGTGTGCGGAGTGTTGCAATTTTTCAAAAACCGCAATTTTAAAGCGTATCATTGGAGCGCGCTTGCCTGTCTTCGTTTCGAAACGTTTCCTTTATTTTTCGAAAACCAATTTTCGAAAACCAATAAACGCCCTGAAAATGGGTGAAAACATGGATATCGAAGATAATGAAAGCATCAATGGTGCAATTGCTACTACTAAAATTGCGACACTTCCCATGCCGCTTCTACAACAACATGGAGAGGTATTTGTTGGTCCAGGTGCAAAAAAAGACGCGCAAAGAGTTGGTTTAGGGCTTTCCAAATTATCGTCAAAACGAAAAGATGATTTGCATAATGCGAAACGATATGCGATGGATATTTCGATCAAACAGATTATCCTGCGACAACAAAAGCAACAGCAAGAAAATGTGGCAAATACCGAATGGGTTCGCAAAATGCCTCCGCGAAATGACTTCGCGCTGCCGAATCAAAAAGCCTTCGCAAATTCCAAATGACTCCGCGTCCGATATTTCAAAAATGTCGAAATGCCTCCGGGGCTTCAAAATGACTTCGCGCTATCAAATCAAATACGGTATGATCATGGGTTAATCGAAAAACATGGGTTAAATTTGAACATGGGATAAATCAACATGGGAAAATTTTTTCGACATGGGTTAAATCGAATGGGATAAACTTTTGCCCACCTTTCTGGGCGTTTAACTAAGCCTAAGCCTAATATCCGAACTTGTACAACCAAACTGTCGTCTCAGTTTATAGGCTTAGGCTTACAATTAGTGAACACCTTGAAAATAATAATTCTTATTGAAAATTAATTATGTGGCAAAAAATGTGTTGAAGAGTACACCTTGTTCGCGGAGTCATTTTGACATTCTCAAGAGTTTTACCGCGAAGTCATTTAGAATTCGCTGAGGCTTTTTGATTCGGCAGCGCGAAGTCATTCTGCGGAGGCATTCGACAATGCCTCTGGAGGCATTTCGCGAACCCATTCGGTATTTGCCGAAAATGTGAGTCTGAAAAAATGATGAATATAATAACGTGAAATTTTTCCAGGCACAAAAACAACAAATGTATGCACAAGCTTTGTCCATAATGTCAAGAATTTATGTTGGTTCGATATCGTTTGAAGTTAGAGAAGAGATGCTTCGTAAAGCTTTTGATCCATTCGGCCCAATTAAAAGTATAAATATGAGTTGGGATCCAACAACTGGACATCACAAAACTTTTGCGTTTGTCGAATATGAAATTCCAGAAGCAGCTTTACTTGCCCAAGAATCAATGAATGGTCAAATGTTAGCTGGCCGAAACTTGAAATGTAATTCAATGGTACGTTTCTGCTAAGATTATTTGTACTTAAATATTAAAAAAAAATTTTTCAGATGTTCCAAGAGGCTCCCAACAAATATGCCACAAGCCCAACCAATCATTGATATGGTTCAAAAAGACGCCAAAAAATATTTCCGTGTTTATGTCGCATCAGTTCATCCAGATTTATCAGAAAGTGACTTGAAAAGTGTTTTCGAAGCGTTTGTTGAAGTTGTAAAATGTCAATTGGCAAGAACACCAAATGGAAGAGGACATCGGGGATTCGGTTATATCGAATTCAATAATATTACTTCGCAAAATGAGGCAATTTCGGGCATGAATATGTTCGATTTGGGTGGACAATTTTTAAGGGTAAGCTAGCTATGTATTATTGTCGAAGTTGAAGAACAATGCGAAGGGCCATCGCAACCTCAACAACAACGTGTAAAAATCTCAACTTCGCAACGAAAAAAGCTGAAAAAAGAGGCGCTCAACAAATTGACATTTGAGGAAAAGGTGAGAGTTTTTTTTGGAATGGGATTTTGGAAACAAAAAGAAGGATTTTTGTGAAAACTTAAGGGAACCTTAATTTAAACAAATTTGGATGGAAACCTAACTAAATTAAGGGAGCCGAAAACCGAGCTAAAGAAAAATGAAGTATTTTCCAAGAATAATTTTTAGTTTTATTTTGTTAATTGTAAGGTCTAGGCTTACAATTAGGCTTAGAGCTTGAAATCAGAGGAATTTTTCAAAAATTGAGAAATTTTGTGAAAACTGAATTAGAGGAAGCCTAAAAGCTTGAGAAAAATTAAATAACCAATTTTTAGTTCCCAAGTTTTATGGCCTAAATCTAGGCTCTGAACTTGGCCTCTAATTTCTGAGCCTAACAAGGGAAGTGCATGAGGTCAAGTTCTGAAATTTTGATGAAATATATCGAAATATACCAAATCGACCATGCTGATCACGAATCCGAAGTCAAAAATTGCCACAAATGCCTGTGAACACTTTTCTGAAGCTCCAAAGTTAGAATTGAGTTCTGGTTTTTGTCCATTTTCACCATGTTCCTGGGTGGAAAATGAACTTTCATATTTCAAATAAGGTTGTTCACCACATTCGAAAACGTATTCCCTTTTTAGTTTGTCAAAAAATATCAAAAACGAGCTGAAAACTGCAATTTTCAGAAAAGTCCTGAAAATACACACAAACACACGTAAACACACACGTTTTGTAAAGTTTTTTGTGCATTTTTGAAAATTACAGTTTTCAGCTGGTTTTTGATATTTTTTGACAAACTAAAAAGGGAATACGTTTTCGAATGTGGCGAACAACCTTATTCGATTTATAAACGTTGATTTTCCACCCAGGAAGAAGGTGAAAATTGGCGAAAAAAAAACTCAATTTCAACTTTGGAGCTCCAGAAAAGTGCTCACATGCATTTGTGGCAATTTTTGACTTCGGATTCGTGATCAGCATGGTCGATTTGGTATATTTAGATATATTTCATCAAAATTTCAGAACTTGACCTCATGCACTTCCCTTGTAAGCCTCAATATTAATATATGTTTTTTTCTGGAAAATTTTTTTTTTCCATCAAACATAAGCCCAAATAGGCGCAGGCTCGAAGCCTGCGCCTAACTTTTAAAAAAAGTTTCTTTTTTTTGGGAAAACTGAATTTGGATTAAAAACTTTTGCTTCCAAAAATAAGCTTGGGAAAATAATTTGGAATTTTTGAAAATTTCAAAATCCGAATTCTAAAGTTCCCAAGTCCCCCCGCTCCCTAAGTATCAAGTTTCTGAGTTCGCCAATTTTCTAGTTTCCGAGTTCCCAAGTTTCCTAGGTCCCTCAGCTCCCTAGTCCTGAGTACGAGCTCCATAGTGCCCAAGTTCACGAGTTCCCGATCTCCCGAGTCAAAAATTTCCCAAGTTTCCTCGGTCACACGTTCCAAAGCTCTCAGCCCCCGAGTTCTTGAGCTCCTACGTTCCCAATAAAGGCTAGCTAGCTCTCAAACTCTCTAGCTCCCTAGTTTCCAAGTTCCCGAGTTCCCCAGGTCCTGATCTTGATTTCCTGATTTCTCAAGTCCCGTAGTTCCGTCTCGATATCACTAGTTCCCAAGTACTAGCTTCGAAGTTTCCTAGATCCCGGAAAAATAAGTTCCTGAATTCCCAAGTCCCCCATATAGCTCTAGTTCCAAAAAAATTATCCAACCTCAATATTACATTTTTCAGATGGCTCAAGTCTTAAATCAACAAAAAGCAGCGCAAAACGAAAGAATGGCAGATCCCGTAACATTTGGAGCACTCGATGAACATGTCGCCTGGAAAGATCCAACAGCTGAAGAGCAAACTGAAGCAGAAATGCTCGCAATCATGGGACCAGGAAGAGGTGGAGATAATGTGCAAAGTATGGCATTAGCTCTAATTGATGGAGGTGGCGCATTAATGTTGGCAAATAAAAAGAAAGCCGAAGCTGCTGCAGCCGCAATCAATGAAACCAAGCAAAAGAAGCCGCGCAGACAAAAAGAGGCGAAGAAAATCCAGCCAAAACTCAACTCCGCTGGTGCACTTGCGGCTGCCGCAAAAGCTGGAGAAATGTCGGATGCGTTGAAAAATGAGGTGATGAATAGTGAAGATGCGTCACTTGCGTCGCAAGAAGGTTTGGAAATTCGAGGAAATGATGCGAGACATTTGTTGATGACGAAATTGATGAGAACTAATCGATCGTGTGTTTTGATTTTTGAGAAATATGGTTGGACCGGAGGATTTGGATGAATATTTGGAAGGGGAAATTCGAGAAGAATGTGAGAAATATGGAATTGTGAATGATGTGAGTTACTAGAGAAGATTTAAGAAAAATGTTTTTTCCCGAAATGTCAAAAAATGTTGAGAAAATATCTCAAAAAATGTTTTTCTAACATCGAAAATTACGGAAAAGCATGTTTGAATGATGCATTGCATATTAAGAGAAGTGTTAATAATTTGGCTCAAAAGCATTTCATTGCTCATATTAGTGAATTCACGAAAAGTTGAAAAATGTCGAGAAAACTTGGTAGTCCAAAATTAGTTTTTCCAGTTTCACAGTCAAAAATGATGACAAATCGAGGTTTTTAAATCTTCTACGGTGATATTTGAGCCTGGAATCCACTTTTCAGATGTTTTTGCTGATTCGTCGACACAAACATCTAAAAAGTGGATTACAAGCTCAAATATCACCGTAGAAGCTTCAAAAACCTCGATTTTCATCATTTTTAACTGAAAAACTCGAAAGACTAATTTTGGCCTACCATATTTTCTGAACATTTTTTTTACTTTTCGTGAATTCACTAATATGAGCAATGCAATGCTTTTTGAGCCAAACTATTATGTCTCTTAATATAAGCAATTCATCATTCAAACATGCTTTCCGGTAACTTTAAACTTTCGATGTTAAAAAAATTTTTTTAAGTAAATCAAACCTACTCACTTTTTCTCAAAGCTAATAATTACCCTAATTCCAGGTTGTCATCGCAAATTTCGCTCATATGGGAATTGTCAAGATCTTCGTCCGATTCGCTGACCCATCACAAGTCGATAAGGCAAAAATCGCTTTAGATAATCGATTTTTCGGTGGAAAAACAGTCAAAGCCGAAGCTTATGATCAAATTCTTTTCGAACACGAAGATTATTCTGGATAGTTTGCGTTTGTTTGTTTGTTTTAAAATATATTTCCTTGTAAATCTTGATAAAATTTAAATATTTAATAATTTCCATTTGAAGTGTAAAAAACAAGATATACATTTAATAAATACAAGAATATCAGTAGTCATTCTTCGGCTTCCAAAATATCGGCCATCGTTTTCTTTGTGCGCCCTGGAAAAATTAGAATTGGGAAACTAGACACACCCGTTCAAACAATGCAAAATTTAGAAATTTCGTTTTTCACACGGCGCCACAATTTGCCAGAGAACTAGTTCACTATAAAATAATCTGAATATACCATTAGAATCAGCGCCTCGAGATCTAGCTGAAACTACTTTGAGCGAAATTTGTAGGTTCCTGCGAAGAAAGTTAGGATTTGCGTCGAGACCCGACGTTGCAAAACACGCATGCGCCTTTAAATACCGTAGTAGAAAATCACGTTTTTTATAAGATAACTCGGCGTTTTCGGTACGAAATTGCTAGATTCAAGTCTAGAAGTAATCTACGTTCAATTATCTATCGATTGATATCCTGAAACCTAATTTTAAGTTTCTTGCTGAAATTTCGAAATTTTGAGGTCGTCTGAAAATCGATGAAAAAAAATGGCGCCACAATTTGCGAGAGAACTAGGCCATTGCATGAAAAACTAAAAATACCAGCGTGTTCAGCGTGATGAGATCTAGCTGAAACTACATAACTTGCGACATGTAGACGCCTAGGAAAGGCGGCTTTTCGAGACCCAATAAATTTAGAAATGTCTGTCCCTTTGAACGAACGAGACAGTGTGAAAATTTGAGAGACGCAGAGTCGCGGTGTTTGCGGACTTTTGCTACAGTAGAAAAAACTCTTTGCGTGTTTCAAACGGGTGTGTAGAAACATTGAGAAAAAAACATACTTCTTCTTGTCGCCGCATCCTTTCCAATTGCCGAAAGATTCAAATCGAATGTAACCTGAAAATTGAGAAAACATGATTACTGTAGATTTTTGCCGCTAAAAATCAGAATATTTTGACACCAAAAGAGCATAGGATTACTGTAGGTTTTTGGCGCGAAATTTTGATCTACAATAACTCAACTTTGGAGTTTATATTGCAGATAAATCATTCGGAGATTGTCTCAATGGTGGAGGTTTTGAAGAAAGTGAAGGGGGTTTTCGTTTTGGCAAATTCTCGAAATTTTCAAAAGAATATGGGCGTTTTTGAATTCTTGATGTTGATGGGATATATGTGCAATCATCATCATCATCATTTTGACTCTCGGTTTCGAAAATATCATCGGACAGCTAAAAAATGTTTGAAGATATATATTATTTGGTGAAAAATTATGAATCAATTTAAACATGAGAAATCTGTATGCATTTTTTATAACATGAAAAAACTTCTAGAGTTTTAGATCTTCAAAATTAGCCCATAAAACATTTGCGTAAATTCCTGATCTCTGAGGATTTTCATAAATTAAATCTCAACTTTAACATGAGTAATATCTTCAATGAATATAAAATTGAAAACTTCAGAAATCAATGATTTCTTGTTCATTAAAAATCAATAAAAAATATTCTGAAAATTTTCTAGAGGTTTGGAGCTTCAAAGGTTCAATTGAAAAAAAAATCAAAGTGATTTCTGAAATTTGCAGAAATTATTTTTATTGAATAAAAACAATTGCTCATGTTAAAATTTAGCTATTAACTTAGAAACTGGCTCATGAGACCATTTTGATCCTATAATTTTTGGGGTAATGTCGGATAAAATTTTCAACCTATTCTTAAATTCATATAATTTACTTAAAATCTGAATTATGACATGAGTAATCTCCTTAAAGAAGAATACATTTGAAATTTTCATGAATAAATTTTTGGGAAAAATAGCTTGCGAAAATATTTCATAAATTCTCAACCTTACCTTTACATGTGATGAACTTCTTCTCGAACTTGGATCCATTGGAAGTAACGAGATATTTCGTTGTATCATCTCATTTTTAAGATATTCTTTGAACTCCAATCCGTCATCATCACAACCTTTATCCTTTATAAAATTCCTACAAAATAATTTTTGTTTCTTTTTCTAGAAATACAAAATATCAAACTAACTCCAAATGATTATAAGCTGTCCATCCAATACTATCAATCATTCTCAAATCAGCATTATTATCCATCAAAACCTTCGCAATTTCATAAAATCCATTCATTACAGCATCCATCAAAGGCGTTATTCGATAATGACGGGTGGGGAAAATGTCCTGGCCTCATGCTGTCCGGTCCTTGTAACCTGTCCTGGCTCGAACATGGCTTGAACATGGCCGAAAGCCATATAACCTGTCCGGTCCTCGCGTGAACAAAAATTAACAGAGAAATTCTTTTTTTCTGCACAAAAAAAAATAAAAATGCGATCTCCTCTTTTTTCGGCATGTTTTTTCTCAACTAAAAAATGAGGCTGTCCAGGACAGGACAGGTAGCCAGGTTAGGCACGCGAACCTGTCATGGCTTATATCCTTACCACCAAAGCCAACATGAGGCCAACATGAGGCCAGGTTCCCCACCCCTGGATAATGACAACCATTCCGGTTATTTCGAGAATCTGAGAGATTTTCCACGTTTTCTCTGCTGACACAATTCACATTGGCTCCATATTTCAATAGAATTTTGACATTTTCCAATTGAGCATAATCAACAGCTTCTGCGAGAGGTGTCCAACCACCGTAACCTTCAGCATTAACATCATATCCCTGAAAAAAATTTTTTGAATTATTTTAGAATAGGAAATGATTTTTAAAAATGAAATTTGATCCGATTATTTACGAGGGAACTTTTAGTCTTGATTTCTGATCAAATATATTTTTTCTAGTAGTTTTCGAGTTGCTGATTATGATCTCATCGTCTAAAATTGGAGAACTCAACTCCTAATATGAGTTATGATGTGGCGGGATTTTAGGAGCTGAAAACTAGATCAAAAATGATTTTCACACAAATCTAACTGCACAGGAGTTCACAAAGTACATTCAAAAACGCCAAAAAATGTTAAGAAAAGTTTGGCTTATCTTATCAAGCCTCCTGTACAATCATATGCTATTCGATTTGCATAAAAATCATTTTTAAAGCTAGTTTTCAGCTCCTAAAACCCCATTTTTGCTAGAAAAATTAAAATTTAAAAAAAATCTGAAACATTTTAGATTTTTCAAGAAATTAGGGCCTGAACAACTTGAGATTTTTCATAAATTTCAGGTTTCAAAGAATCTGAGATTTTTCTTCAACTTCGGGTTTTTTTTTCGAAAAATTCCAAGTTCTAGCTTTTATTACAAATTTTGTCACGCCATAACTCATAATAGGAGTTGAAATCTGCAATTTTAGACGGAAAGATCGTGATTAGCTAGTCGAAAACTACTAGAAAAAATATATTCTAGTGAAATTTCATCCAAAGTTTCAGAATTCAATTTCCAAAAAAATGACCCACATTTCTACACATGAATTCAACTTTTTCCGAATCTGAACATTTTGCAGCTTCATGTAACAGTGTCTCTCCATTTTTATTTGTCCTCTCCTTGTTCACCAAGATTTTTTCATATTCACGATTTTTCGCGTGTCTCTCTTTGCAAATATCCAAAATTTGTTCAGTATACTGAACAAGGGCTCTTAGAAATCAGAAATATTGGGGTCAGGGGCAATAATTTCCATTCTTTTTTGGGAGAATATTGTTGTGATAGACATCAGCTTCGAAAAAAATAACACCAGTGGGCCAAAAATTACGAATTTTTCCCAAAAACATAAACTCAAAAACTTCCACAGATAGAGATGATTTTTATATCATTTTACTCAGCGTGAAATTCTGAATCGAATGGTGCAAACTATTTATCACCAAACACTACTAATTGGTGCGCAAAAACAATAGATTAAAGGTACACACATTTATGCAATGTGGTCCTGCGGCGAAATGTGTGTGTGTGTACTTCTCTTGGACGAAATGCACGCCACAAATTTTTTTCTTTTTTTTTCGTTTTTTCTTGTGTGTTGGACGTTTTATAGAGAAATTAATTGTTTACGACTTCTAAAAAGATAAAAACCATGTTCCCCGACTAGGATCTAGCAGCAAGTTTTACCAGAACTTTGAAATTCACATATTAAACTTGAATTTAGGCCAAAAACTAAAAAAGTTGGTTTTCTTTGAGTTTTTTGTTAGATTCTTTTAATCAAAACGGGGCTGTTTCTCAGTTTTACACATTTCCAGTAACATTTGCATGAGTTTCTATGTTACAATCAGAAATGTCTCAACAACCGTTAGATGACCGTCGGGGTTTTAAAATCCGATTCTCATCGATCTTATTTCGCAATATTGATATTTGTTCTGTTTTCAGAAACACCAACCAAGAAAGAATGACAGCTGCTCTTGTTGACACTACCAACACAATGCCCGGAGAAACAACTGTTCCAGTTGAAAATATCAAGACCACCACTACTGAAGAAGCAACTCCAACTACCGCTGAAACTTCCACCGCTGCCACCACAGAGCTCACTGCCGAGGAAAAGTCAGTTTTTTTTCTTCTGAAGAATTTTAATCAAAGTTGGTTCTTATTCCCAGGGCTACACAATTGAAGAACAACTTGACATCTGGAAAGTGTCTTTTGTTGACACGCGAATTCAGCAAGGCTGCTGATCTCTTGAGTTTCGCTTCTCAACTTGCGTAAGTTTTGAAATGTTCATACATTTTCTATTTCTATGAATTTTAGTGGTGAACTCTTCGGAGACGACAGCGAACAATCATTTGATCCTTACTTCTACTATGGACAAGCCCTTTTGGAACTCAATAACTTGAAGATCAAGTTTTCTCAAATGCTGTGACTAACATGCCAACCGTAGAAGAAGGTGATTCCAACAACGATTCAATCGACGAGGAACAATATGATAGTCCGGATAAATTGTCAGAAGAATAACATGAGCAAATCAAGGAACAAGTTGACACTGCTCTTTCTGCTGGTGCAGAGAAACAGAAGGATTAGTCGAACCTGATGTAATTTTTATTGTTTGTAGGGTTCACAAACTGTTAGGAGTCTACGAATGCTCTAAGATTAACTTTCTTAGGGCAAAATTTACATTTTTCCGAGCACAGGAGTTTCAATGAAAATTGAAGTTCATAATATGAGATAGATTCCTAACAGTTATAACCATTTTTTGTTTATATTTGTTTTTTTCAATACATTTTTCTGAAAAAAATGTGTTTTTGATTTGAAAAAAAGTCGGGAAAATGATGAAAAAAAGGTGAAAAATTGGTGGGAAAAGTTGAAATTTTGACCAAAAAAAGGTCAACATTTTTTTGGTGCAGTCATACCACGCCCAGCTCCGTGCAAATGAAAAATAAAAATTGGCGTGGTGGTTTCTGAAGAAATTATTGGCGGGGTGGAAACAAGGTGTTTTTTGAAAAATTCTCAAAAAGCAACCGAAAATTTATTTGAGCAGATTGGCGCGGTGAAAACAAGCTTATTTAGACCCAAAACATCAAAAGGACCAATTTGATAGGTGGAAATTACTGACAATTTTTTATATTTCCCAGGAAGATCATGGAAAAACTCGATTCAGAATTTATTAATTTTGTTTATGGAATGATTTTTGTATTCTATTGTATTGTTTGCATGCTTTTATTTGTGATATTTTGTCGTTTCAAATGCACGATTTCGTTTTTGTCTTTATTTTGCTTATTGTATATCTACTTTCAACATCTTTCTGCAATCAATCACCGGTCCATACATTCACGCTCATTTCTGGATGTCTTTATTTCACCGATTATTACAAAGTTAGCAAAATCTTCATATTAAAATGCATGTTCCCCTATTTTAAAAATCCAAAACAAAATTTAAAAAAAAACAAAAAATTTCGCTAGAAGACGAACACAGGTGTTTAGCGAAGTGCCACTAAAGGGGTATTTTACCACTTTTTTTAAAAGTGGTGGTATGGGTACACTTTTAGTGCCACTCTTTTTTTCGAATTTAGTGGTGCGAAATGGGTACTTTAGTAGTGGATATTTTACGACATGAGCAGAAAAAAACGAATTATTGGTGACAATTTTATTTAGAACAAAAAATAAACAAACAAACGAACAATTTAACAATTAACATGCAAACCATGCTTAGAAAGGAATTCATTCATTCCACTTGATAATTTTTGATCGCTTCGTGAGCTTCAGCCACCATTTTATTCAATTCATCGTCGGTCAACTTTCTTTTGGTGCGAAGGTTTTCGCTGCAAAAAATACAATACACCTTACTTAATTGCATGACAAACTTACAAACATCGGAACATCGAGGTGTCGACTATGTCGGCTGCCGCACTCATGAACTCGGCTCTTTCATGCTCCGACAATGCGAGGCCGATTTTGATAGATTCTGAATAATCATATTTTTAAGGGCTTCAAAAAAGTTACGACTCACCTAAAAGGCGGAGACCGAATTTTTTGGAAAAGCAAAAATATGTGCAATTATCCGAAGAAGATATCCAAGTGTAAACAGGAGCGAATCGGTCTTTTCGAATCTGGAAAATGACTTTTTACATTTAAGTCTGATGCTCAAAAAAACTAACCGTTTTACGAATACCATTTAAATAAACACGCACCATTTTGTTGAAGCTTGTGCTAGCTTTGTATTGAACAGCATATTCTTCCATAATAGCGGTAAAGTTGATTGGAAATCCAGCAGGGGTGTATTCGATCCACGAACCGATAAGTCTTGATGAATCAAACATCGCTGATCTTGATTGAAGATTATTGAAAGAATCAGTAGTTGGATTGACAAGTGGAAGCTGCTTGGCAGAATTGTGAAGCTGTAATTACAGAGTTTTATTTCGAAACTTAGTGATGTGTTTATTATCAGAAAAGTTTCAAAAAAAAAACAATGCTTCTAAAAATCGATGCGCCTTGAATTTACAACAAAAATGTGGCGAAAATAAAGGAGAGAATCAAACTAGCAGACACCAATTTCGCGCTCAATTTTTAAGAAAAATGCCATATAAAAACTCACTTTGAAGTAACCGGCCCACCATAACAGCATGTCCTGTTCAGAACCTGGTTTCAAAGTCGATGCAGTATCCAAAAAATAGTCTGAATCAATCTCCCTTCTAACACGATTTAATTTGACTGAATTAATCTGAAACATATGCCACGTTTCAGATTTGAGTACATGATAAATTCTAAAAAATATAATTCTTGCCTCTTGAATATCTTTTGATAGTGGCGCATTTGCGTTGACATCCCAAAGTAGTGCTTTTGTTACCCCCAATGGTAACCATTTTCCATCTTTTGTCATGTTCATCTGAAGCTTATTTTGTATCTAATAAATTGAAACTAGAAACCTACTTTCTCGTCCTCTTTATCCTCAGCAGTTTCCGCAGGCTTCTCCTTATTCGTTTGTCGTCTTTTCCCTTTACCAAAATGCTTCGTTTTCTTGTTTGACTTGCTTCTTGTTCCAGCATTCGATGATTTTGGAACATCATACTGAAAAATATAACTATTCCCTGAACTAAACAAAATACACTTACAGTTATATCCTTATCCGAATCATCTGAATCATCCGAACTTGAACTGCTACTGATCTCGATCTCATTGCTATTTGCGATAGTTGAGGAACGAATCTGAATAAAAGTGGATTGATAACTCGAACATAATTCATTTCTAGGCAAAATTTTTCTCCAAAGCCATAAACTCGAAATTCAATTATTACAATCTATTCAAAATTATATTTAAAAAATTATTTTTTAGAAAACTTTATCAAAACTTGAAATTCACACCTCGGCCAAGCCGTGGCTGGCCAGAGTACAATTTTTTGAAAAATCTTAATTTCAGTTTTTAGAGATCAAAAATTGAAAAATCACAATTTTTAGAGGACAAAAACTGAAAATTAACAATTTTTGTACTGTAAAAAGTTAGCGTACAATTTTTTATTGTGGAAACCACGATTTTGGCCGAGGTGTGTTGAAATTACGAAATTTTTGTTAAATATAGCTTCAAAAGTTTTTTTTCCAATTTTTGGCTCAAGAAGCATTTTTCTTTTATAAAAATTGTGTTCAATTTAGCGTCTTTTTGTTAACCACCTTATTTCGATGTTGACGACGTTCATCTGCATCAACAGAGTTTCCAATCGATTCAACTTCAGCGATTACCATAGCTTCTCCTGGTTTTTGAACAATCCCATCAGAAGTTCCAATCGATACAGCTTCAGCGATTACCATAGATTCTTCTGGTTTTTGAACAATCCCATCAGAAGTTCCAATCGATACAGCTTCAGCGATTATCATAGATTCTTCTGGTTTTTGAACAATTCCATCAGAATCGATTTGTGTTATTTCAGCAGCAGGTGAAACCGATTGTTCTTGATCTTCCAGAACTTCTCCGGTTGTATCAACATCAATTAATTCACCATATGGTGAGTTTTTACTCTTCTTTGCAAGAGTTTCTCTTAGATGTCGGATTGCTCGCAACCGCTTGTTTCGAACTTGTTCCTGTAATAATTTTTATGGTTATGCGAATTTCAAATTAATAGTTACCAGATAGCCCTTGGTTTCAGTGGTCTCTTGAAGATTTTGAAGTGATTTGCCGTCGGCCTGCAATAAAAACATTCTCAGAGTTCCATAAATAATAACTCCCTCCACAATTTACTAATTCAAAATGTTGTTTCATTCAAGATCAACTTGGTAAATTTTTTTCACTAGAGAATTTGCTAAAATTTTCAAAGGATTTTTTAGGCTTAAACTTTTTACGACGGTTTGACTTTCAAATCTTAAAATCAACATACCAATGAATACTTTGCCAGCGAGCTCATATCGAACAGCTTCTATAAAAAAAAGTTGATTTAATGAACGATTTGAAAAGTATGAAACCGCAAACAACGGATGACCATTTTTACAAAAATAAACGTAGGAAAAAAGACATATTTTATTGAATTTAACATTTAAACATGAATCGCAGCTCCACTTAGCTGGACAGCGGTGGTTATTTTTGATGCGGTGATTGCACATCCAATTCCTCGAATGTCGTTCAATTCTTAAATTTAAAAAAATAGGTTCAACTATTGGATTCTAATAATATCACTTACCGATTTCGATTTGTCTTCCTTTAAACCTTCCTTGACAAATGAATCGAGAGGTTTTTAATAAATCGATCAATTTCTTGGCATTTTCCGCATCTCTTCCGTTCATCGAATTAGCACATTTTGTCAATTTTTTAAAACTTGATCGATTAGATTCTTCTAAAACTTCGACAACTATTTTCTTTACATCTTTTGATTGTTTTCCATGAATGAATAAACCACATTTATACAAATCGTGATCGAAAAACACGATGTCGTCTTTTGTATCTTCTGATACACATGGTCCCTTGAAATGTCCAAACTTCGTGCGAAGTAGTCCAAAATATGAAACTTCACGATCCGTTGAACAATCAAGAGGTTGGCCAAACACATTTTTTGACGTTTTTTCGAATTTGCGACTATCCTTCACGAAGTTTTCAGTTTTTTCTGTGCAGACTCGCGTTCTCAGTCTTTCTTCGATTTCTCGATGGACAATGACTTCAGTTATATATCTGGAATATACATTTCTCATTTTTTCCCAAAAAGAACCAGAAAATGTTACCTTTGGGCAGCGTAGTCAACAAAATTCACAACCATTGCAGCTTTAACATCCGACAATAATACTCGATAATACGTCTCGAACATGCTGGTCGACAACGAAGCCACATTACCGAATTTTCGGCAGCATTCGGCAAGATGTAGAAGTGTTTCCTGAAGTAAAATTTTTTAGACCAGCTTTTATGTTGAATGGACTAGATCACGTTAAATTATTGTTATTTCTAAATTTTACTAAATTATTTAAATTATTTCGGAAATTTAAATCGTGTCTATTTCTAATTTTAAACCACATTTATTCTCTTTCACACCCTATTCGTTGGCCCAATTTCAACATACGTGAAGTTTAACAACATAATACGATTTATAATCGTATTTCATGAATTCGTGAACGCTTTCACAAACAATATTCAACGATTCTTGACAAAAATTTTGATTCGTTGCTAGTATATTACACAGCGTTCCGAGACCAATAATTATGAACCGAGCTTCGGAACAAAATGCCGGAGAAATCAAGGCAGTGATGAAATACCTGATTCTGAAATCCTGTAAAGTAAAGCGTCGTAGATAAGTGAGTTATCAAACAAAGAACTCACATCGAATTTAGCGTTACCATTTCTATGCTCGTGTGACTTTGCATACTTTGATGGAATTTTTAGACCAATTATTACAGCATCGAAAACTGAATTGTCGCGTATAAAGAGATCTGACTTTCGGTCTTCGCAATCTGTCGATTCTGAAAATGGAATATAACATTTTCAAATTTCTTTAGATTACAACTTACCGGTCATTATGGTGACAAGAACACCTTCACAAAGGTTGTGAAATATATCGACAATTGTGTTGAAAGTTAATATCTTCTTTATCACTTCTGCATAGCAACAGAATCCAAGTTTACAATTTTCGCTTGCATTGATCGTTGCATCGTCCCCATGTTTTTCTCGTTCTGAAAATGAATTACATGAATGGATTTCGGGGAAAACAAACTATATACCTTCTCCCAAATCAAATTTATATCGGGCATTTTTGGAAGTGCAATAAAAACAGGTTTCTCTACTGTTGTAGTGGCCCATTCCAAAGAAAGACCTTTTTGCCTAAAATCGTTTCATAAATTAACAGTGGCGAATGTGACTTTAAGAACTGACTGGTTGATCTCCAACAATAGTTGCAACTTCAAATACTATTGTATGATTTTGGTGGTTGAACTGCATTCGTTCAATAGAAGAATTGACACATGACCAGACCGAATTCCACACTTTAGTTGATGGGTCTTTCGAACAGAGAATAATACCGCATAGTACAATATTCTTGCTTTTCAACATCTCATGAGTCGGCAGATCAACAATCGCGCATGATACAGGCCATATTTTCTTTCTAAAAAATGTTCTTATTTTATAGGTAATTTAAAGTTCAAAACTTACTTTGTTTTTCCAACAACCTGCACACCATCAATTGACATCAACAAAGACAACTTTATTTTGTCAATATCTTCTTTTTCGATATCTGATTTGAATCGAGCGCCGTTGAGATTATGATGAACATCCGATCCATTTTTGACCGATTCTCTAACCTTCAAAATATCGGTGTAATGAGCAGTTATAATATCGTCCAATTGATCAATAATCGGCACACGTAAAACTTCGGCGATAACTCCATTACAGCTGTAAAATTATGTTTTTTGCAAACCCCTCATAGTTGTCAAATGGATTGAATCTACTAGAAATGAAAATATGTCATTAATTGAGAATCCATTTTCATGTCAAAACCATAAATATTTCAATTTGAATCAGACCATTAAAAAATCGCTTACCAGCTTTGATGTTTCAATTTTCTTGCACCACAATCGTTACATAAATACATTTTTGAAAACTTTCTCCTCACGTGCTGATACAACATTTTTGCTTGTTGTTTGTGATTTTCGTCCAAACAATCTATCCGCAAAACGAAATCTAAATATAAATATATTTAATCGTTATGATTTACACAAATCACCGCTATATGTTTCTCGAGAAACAAGAGACGCCATCACAGTGAGCAAAGCAACTTCTGTGGATCTTCGAGCCACATTCCGAAGACTTTCATAATCATCTGAAAAATTCAAAGTGTCATAAAAATATGATTATTGTGCTTGTAATTACCAACTGTTTCATATGATGTGGAATCAGTGAAATCTTCACATTGGATGTTCTCTTGATTGTTATCACAAGTGTCTGTTGAGACATCTGGCGTATTGGTTTCATCCTCGGAGTCAGTATCATCAGCCGATCCATCATCGGCAAGAATTATACGAAAATTACATGGTTCTTCTTCTTCGTCTTGATTCTCTTTCATATCATCAACACCGGAAGAATTTGCGCCAATATTTTCATCTTGTTGTCGTCCGACATCATATAAATCCTTGCAACCAGTAGAAACTTGACTTTCGCAGTTCTCATCACCATTCATCAAAGTCGCCCGTTTTCGTGACCCGTAATTTGGCAAGAAGTGTTGATCGTCGTAAGGATCTGAAATTTATTTGGATTTGTTAAAATGAACACTTATTAACTTCGAAAAACCCATGTCTGAAAGCATAAAATCATAACGAACATCCAATGATGAGAAATGTAGAAAAATTCAACAAAACTGGGTGTCTCGGCTTTTTACACTGCGAAATGTGTGAACTGAGTTTCGTTTCTGCATGTACACATTTTGCGACAGTGATATTTTCCAACTGAATAACCCATTCACTTACGAAACAGCAAATTCTGGCGACCAGGTCGACGAGGAGTTCGAACCATACCTGAAATCAATAAACTTCCTAATTAACGTAACTATGTTTAAAAATTGTTTACAAAGCAGGCGAACAAATTTCAAACTAAAATTCGAAAATAACTGAAAATCCTAAAATTTTGAAAGTTTTCCATAATTTTTAGGAGTTTCCCGTTATTTCTCACATTCTGGTGGTTGATAGAAACATTAAACAGTCTGTTAACACAAAATTACGTGTAATTTGATCGATTTATCACACGGTAAACTTGGGAAAACTCGAAAACAAGAAAAGAAACGAAAAAAAAAACGAAAATTCGTCGAGTGCGGTCACTGCACACAATGCACACAAGGTGACGCGCAAACACAGACTTTTTTCACCCCTTTTTTATTTTTATTTTTTCAGTTTGTTTGGGACACATTTTGGTGCAAAACTAGTGAAATATTCGAAATCTAGATGAAAAAAGGAACAAACACATATATTCTACTCCTCTAAACGTTGATTTTCAGTTTTCGGTGAAAATACATTTTCGAAACCACTAAAACCACTAAAGACCACTAAAGTACCACTTTTTTATGGGACAGTTTTTTTTTTCAATTTTTGAAGATTTGAGGTTGAAAATTTACAAGATATTTATGGAATAGTCATATTTCGTACTTCTTAGTAACGTCTTACTCTTGGTTATCCTGAAATCACACAATTTTTACTACCACTAAAGTACCCCTTTTTTGGTGAAATGAAAAAATGAAGTTTTTAGTGGAAATTTTTCAAATAGTTTGACAAAAATTATGGGAGAACAATAATTCAACTCACTCTTGTTGGTGAAACTCTTCATTTTGTCCAATTTTAAACTACTAACTCACCCCTTTTTGGCCACTCTCGAAAAGTGGTACAAAAGTAGTGGTGAAGTGGTGAAAAATACCACTAAATCAGGAATATACCACTAAAGTGGTATTTCAGTACCACTTCGCTAAAAACCTGTGGAACTCGAACTTTGGTTGCCAGACTGAAAGTCAAAACATTATCCACTAGGCCACACACACACCTGTTAACCGGCTTGTTTGTTTGCCTTGATAACTTCGATGTTTTTGTGTGTGCAACAGCGACGTTGTTGTTGCGTGTGATAGCAGTTTTTGGAGAATAACTTCAGAATCAAAGGTCCAATCCAATTACATGTTGTTGATGATGATCCTCCAGTGCCATACCCAGGTGGAAACATCAGGAAATGAATGAAATAAGTACAACAATTCATTTCAAATCAAATTTCAATGATTTTTTTTTCAAAACTGAATAGAAAATGTTATACGACATTAAATCTTTAGTTTCAACAATGGAGACACATCAGAAAGAGCAGGGCTTTCAAATTGACCGAAAGTTTCAAACGGAAACTTTCTCTAACTCAAATTATCCTCGACCGTGCAAATCGCGATTTCTCCAAAATCAATTTTCGACCATAAAAACCTTATTTTGGCTCGAAGAGTGAAAGTTAAAAAAAGGAATCATATTATTTTTCGCTCGTGCACACTTTGCGACCAAGAACCGAAGCGATTGGTGCAGTCTAAAACGAGTTTCAAAAAATCTACGAAAAAACGTGCACGGTCGGGGTTTATTCTTCAATGTGCACATAAAACTGTCCAGTTTTTTGTTTCCACCTGGTATAGGCCATTTAGAACCTTATCTCATTCAAAAAAATCAATCAGATTGTCGAAAATAGACAAAACTTTCAATTTCAGATAATTCGAGTGCAAAATAAAAAATTAGGAAGGAGACGGGGGTTGATCCGGGACCTTCTGAACACGGGCGCGCCTAACCGACTGAGCTACCACACACAATGTGGAAGCGGGTGTGATTGCCAAGAAATAGTTTATGTTTTCTGCACTGTAGAAAACAGAGGATGGCTTTGAGCTTGATAACAAATGTCTTGAAAATAGTTTGTTTCCGTATTCTGAAATTTTTCAAAGAAAAAAGACAATAATTGAACAATTTTTTCAAATGTATAAGTTTTATTAGTGGTATGAATATTGAAATATATAAATAAATAAGAATTTTTGATCCATTCGAGCTTGGAACTTGAAGTTGAAATGAGCCGTAGTCGTTTTAGTGATTGAATCTGTAAAAAAAATTATTCTGAAGCCAATGAAAAAAAAATCCCCTCACTTAGCAAAGATTTTGGCGTCGTGGATTTCATTAAAATTTTGAAAAATATTGGCGCCGTGCATTTGTTAACCCCTGGGCGTGGTATGGGTGCAGTTTTGACCAAATTTTGTTCAAAATTTTTTTGGTCAAAATTTGGTCAAATTTTGGCCGAGCTCCCACCACCAGTGCGTATTCATCGCTAAATCGTTAGTACGCACACTGGAGAGAGCTGCCAAACGTCGCACAACGAGAGAAGAAATTATAGGTACAGCGTATGTCCGCTGTAGCTACAGAATCTACAGACGGGAATAAAATGGCCATTCTCTATTATTTTGAATCCGTAGCTACGCCGTTGTTATTATGTAGCTACTTTGTAGCTAAACGGATGATTCGGATGTGCAATGTTCATCCTCCCGTTTTTGTTCAATGTACTAACGTAATTTGTACAGTCAGGCTACAGCGCTCATCGCTGAGAAAATTGATCACCGATCTGGGTCACGCGATTAATTTTGAATTTTGAAATTTTTGTTGGGCTTTTCAGAAATGCTCGTCGAATTTTGACGTTTTAAAAATTATCAAGAAATGGAGAAAAACCTATTTTTAATCGAGTGCCGTTAAATTGAATACGGCGGTGATTTTCGGTTCCAAAAATAGAAGAAATGACAAAAAACTGAAACTTCAGAAACAAACAACATTTTTTCTGACAATGCCGCATGCAGAAGCTGAATTTCGAAGGCGATATTTTTTTTTGCTAATTTTCCAAGCGCAATTTTGCAAAAAAAAATGACATTATTACGTCGTGTTTTAGTTCATTTCAGATTGATATTTTTCTATCACAGAATTCTAAAAGGTTTCGACTAAAATTTGGGCGTAGCGGCACCATCTGAATTTTAAGTTGAATTTCAACACAAAAATTGAAAATTTTATTATTTAAGAGATTGTTAAACGGTCCACTCCAACTTTCCACATGATCAAAATAAAAATCCATCTGAATGTTAGCAGAAATCGAATATTAAGAACAGAACTTTTCGAACCGGCATTTCGTATTTTTAGTAAAATAGAGAATGATCTCAATTGAGTGCCCGCTTCATTCAAAATAAATAGGTCACGTTTAAAATAAAATAAATCACATCTTGATTTGATGAGCCTTTTTAGAAATCCAAAATAAAAATTGATCGCGTGACCCAATTAAGTGATCAATTTTGTATGTAGATATACTGGACTATTTAGATTAGTTTCTCCCCCGGGAGAAATGGGGAGAAAGAGGAGAAAAGTGGTGCAGAAACGCGGGGAGAAAGAGGTGTTCCTGCCTTTCTCCCAAAACGTAGCGTGGCGAGACCATTCCTGGAAAATCTCTGCGCCTTTAACCGAATCGAAATACGGATATTCGATAAATGGGTCTCGACACGATGAGTCAGATACTGTAGGAGGAGAAAGGGCAGAAACTCCTCTTTCTCCCCGCGTTTCTGCACCACTTTTCTCCTCTTTCTCCCCATTTCTCCCGGGGGAGAAACTAATCTGCAACAGCGCCTTAGATCAGCTAGAAGAATTACAGGGTGGTCGCGAATTACCCGTACAAATTCAATTTGTAGTCATATTTGAACAGGGAATGTAGACATGATTTTTGGTTTTAAAAAGCCTTCCCAGATATTATCTTCATCATTTTGACATAGATACTTCTGATATAATTCAGTCATGTGGTAGCTGAACTATCGAGAATGAGTTTCAAAAATTCACTTCAGGCACGCAGCTTTTTTCAAAAAGATCATGATTTTTCTATACATGTGGGGTTTGAAGTTATATGTTTCTAGAATAGAATTCGAAGATTATCCCTAGATGTGTTTGATTTCTGAAGGGCATGTCCAGAAATGTTCTCTAACAAGAATAGGAAACAGTAAGCTGGACCCCTCAAAACCGAATTTTCAACTCAAAAACACGATTTTTATGATTTTTCTTGTCAACTATCAGGGTGTGTAACAAATTTTTGGTATTTTTTGTGCAAAATGTCCCTAGTAGACCTGTTTTCACTATTTGGCTCTGATATCTCATATGCTTCACAACATTTCTGATTTTGGCACCACTTATCAAATTTGTTGTGAAAAACAGTGGATATTCAAAACAAGCCTAGAAATGATCTCATAAAATTTTCAAGAGGGTTTTATCTTGTGGAACTAGGGGCGGTGCCCCTAGGCGAAACAGTTGTATAAATCCTCAAAAATTCAAAATTTCAAAGAAAAATCATTTTTTCCCTTTTCTAAAATGATCATTTATAAATTAAAGAATTAAACAGGCTTTCACGTAGGCATTCATGGTCAAGTGGTACGTGACTTTGCCTTGTGATCAGAGCATTTTTGACGGGTTCGATTCCCGGTCGAAGCATTTTCCTATATCCGCTAGGTATGATTTTTAAAATTTCTGAAGAAATGTGAAAAAAATGGTGAAAAAATGTGCGAATAAATTTATAATCAGAATGCATACCTACGGGATTTTATAAAGAGGGTAATACCCTTTTTCAAACCCAAAAAACACTTGGAAATTCAGCTATGCTTCTGAAATGCCCATATTGTTTCAATTTCAGGAGCCAAAGTAGAAAAATTAATAGAAAAAAAAAGTGCGTACAAAAAATCGTGTTTTTTTGTTTTGTATCGTCCCGGCCAACCTCTCTAACTTGGCCCAAACAAGAAGAATCTCTATGAGTCTTGGAATATTATCGTTAAAATATGTAAAACTTGATAATTAGTGCCACCGAAACAAGATAGGAAGTTTTTGAAATAAAATTTGAGCGGGTAATAGAAAAAATTGGTTTGTACGGGTAATTCGCGACCACCCTGTAATTATTTACCGTAGTTCCAGTTGAGGCGAAACATCTGTTGTAGGCTTACTGTAGAAAAGAAATCTGAAAACAATACCGTTTTTTGAATTCTTATTTTGTTAACTCACCATTTTCCGAACGCGAATAATTATCAATGACTCGTCAAAAACGAGAAAAACAAGAGAAAAGGCCGCAACGTATCGCCACGTACGTATTATTTTGCAAGCGATATTGTTCATCCTGCTGAATTGATCAGCGGCGAGTGAGGAGAAAATTTTTTTTTCGAAAAAAACACATTTCAAAAGCTGACGGTCATCAAAGATCAGAGAGATTGTACGCTCTAGTGATAATTTTTTATAATTTTTTATCACTAGAGCGTACAATCTCTCTGATCTTTGATGACCGCCAGCTTTTGAAATGTGTTTTTTTCGAAAAAAAAATTTTCTCCTCATTCGCCGCTGATCAATTCAGCAGGATGGACAATACGTGGCAAGATTTTTTATCTGGTTGAAAAAAAAAACAAAAATGAAAAATCGAAAAAAAAACATTTTTTTTCGCGTGATCCAAAATTTTTTTGGTGGGAACAAAAAAAATCATCAAATTTGGTTGTTTATGAGAGTAATACCACGACCACACACTATCTCTCTCATTACACTGGCTCCGCCCACTTCGTTTTTTCTTTTCTTTTTCGTGTTTTTTTCACAGGCCATTCAAATCAAAAGAAAAACTTAATAAGAACTTCAAACAAGCGGTCAAATAATTTAAATTTCATATCGAAATTCCTCTATTTTGAATGCAATGAGTTGCAAAAAAAAGATGAAATAAATTTATAAAAACGTGAAATTTATTGCATCACATGAATCGCAATTCGTGTCAATTTATTACAAAAAAATCGCCGTGAATCACTCCATAATAACATTGTTCAATATATTTTTTGAGCTTCTCTCAATTTTCTGTTTTCTTCCATTTGATTCCTTTCACGTCTGAAATATTTCGATATGAATTTTCGATTTTATTTAATTGTAAATGAAATTCACCTTTTCAACTCAATAACCTCATGCTGTAAAGCTGCTCTTCTAGTTTCACAATCACCGCATTTTTTATACTTCGATTCATAAAATTCCTCCACAGCTTTATAAACTAGATTCGCTTCGTGATTCTTTTTATATTTCCCTTGATTCTCTTTCAATCTTGCAAAACTTGGACACAGCTTTAAAATATTTCTCAAAATAACCTGATAATATAAGTCGTTTAGTTGTTTATAATTAAGATGTGGAATGACTTCGAACACTTTATCGATAATTCCGTCGATTTCTTCCTCTTCGATGCAATGATTTTCCACTAATTTTTTGATGATTTCCATCACTTCGGTTTTCGTATGTTCTTTTTCGAATGGTATCAGTGGACTTTCCGAAATTCCTAATTTGAAACCCGGTGTGCTACACCTCTGAAAATTTGAATATTATTGAATTAAAAACACGTGAGAAATGAAAAAAGTAGGTCAAGTTACGTGGATTTAGAAACAGTATAGGTAGCCATGTCGTCAGTTGCGATGCGGTTCTGTGTTGCGTGTTGACCTCGATATTTTTCATTGGATTTTTCAAATTTTCATTTCTAAAAACGTGTCGCTCACACGCATCGCAACTGACGACATGGCTAGCTATACTGTTTTTAAACCCACATCACTTGACCTACTTTTTTTATTTCTCACGTGTTTTTAATTCAATAATATAAAGAAGGAAAACTCCCGCGTAAAAATCTCATACCTTTAAATACATCGTCGGTTTCCGGCTGTAACAACTTGTACTTTCGACGTGATCGTATATATTATGTGATTGACAATATTTTTGAATAACAATTTTTTTATACAAATGATCTTCAATTTCTTCCCAAACTGGACGGCAATGAGTTCCTCTTGAATTATAAATCGGATAAATATTGTTTCGAGAATTTGTTTCAATCGGAATTTCGACAATTATAACACTGTTTGCACCATGTTTTGAAAGAATTCCATCAAATGTCAGCTGATCAACGGTCAAATATTTTCCATCTTGTTTCTCTTTTGAAATAATGTTTCCTTCTGGAAATGCATCGCTTACTTCTGTAGCCAGATAGAATTCATAGCCTGCTCCCTTGAAGCGACGAATTATTGGTTTGAAATCAGGTGAAGCCTGAATAAAGATCTTTTTTGTACATATCAAATTAGAAGCGCATCTAAACCTTTTTAGGTCTCACAAGAAACAACAGTTCGTCGAGAAGTGGATTATGAATCGAAAAAATGTTGTTTCGAGTATTTGTTTCAATCGGAGTTTCGACTATTATAACATTGCTCGCATCATATTTTGCAAGAATTGCATCAAATGTCGACGGATCAATGGTCAAATGTTTTCCACCTTGTTCCTTTTTTTGAATAATGTTTTCTTTTGGAAATGCAGCCATAACGTCTAATGCTCCATAGAACTCACAGCCTGCTCCCTTGAATCGACGAATGATTGGTTTGTAATCGGATGCAGCCTGAATAAAGATTTTTTTATACATATCAAATTAGAAGCAAATTCAAACCCTTTGAGGTGTTTCATATAGCATCGGTTCGTTGAGAATTGGATTGATTGCTTTATGAAAATATGTAAGAACAGCATAGATTTTTTTCATATTCGGATTTTTCAGCATGGAGAGATCATGGCCAAGATCATTTACATTGCTTCCAATCATCTTGAATACCATCATAGATTTGTATAAAGCTTCTATATCTCGATCCTCTTCGACATATTCAAAATTCCTAATATCGCACAAATAGAACAATTTTTGATATACACTTTTCCACGAATCATCAGTTATCATTTTATAATATGTAGATAGACTTCGTAGACGAGCGATGCTCCAGATATAAAGAGGGAAAGAGGATTTGCATGATCCAGTGCTGTCGAAAAAATTGGAAAAGTCGTGCAGTTTCTCTACCAATTCCGATTGTATATATTTGATAACATCCAAATTCGAAACACAAGTAATATTACCAGAGACATCCGTGTATTTTGGATATGTGAAAGGAACACTGCAAAAATGTATATACCTATTTCATCTCAACTGATTGTGAGATGAACAATCCCCTGAAACATATTGACAATCTGAAATTAGAAGATGCCCTGTTAGACACCACAGGCTGCGCCTATTTGGGCCTGGGTTGATTTTTCGAAAATGTTGTTTGAGTCAACACTTTTTTGAATTGGCGCTCACGTACAGTAGACTAAAAATGACGTCACATATGCACATCAAACTGGTTGGAAAATAGCCAGCGTGTAAATTTCGAATTGTATTTTTCAAATAGAATCCAAAATTTCGCGAAGTCTACTGTAGCCTTGGTTTTCTAAGAGACTTACCGATTTTGTGACGGTAAAAAGTTGGCTTTACCGTGTTCAATTCTATCAATCCGTTTAAAATATTCGAACAATTCTTCAACAGTCCCATAAACTTGCAATCGTTCCTTACATATGTCGAATAACACTTTCAATTGTTCAATGGCTTGTTCATCACTATTTATTTCTATTTCTGGGAATATTACCGAATCATCAATTTCTTTCGAACTCGAATCCTCGATTTTCAGTTTTTTCCTTGGGCCCGATATATATTCGATTTGTATCTGGAAAATTGTTTGTTTTTTTCTGTAATCTTAAAAGTTGAAAAACTGAATTTTGTGAAGACTAGAATTTCAGGAATTGAAAAAAATGTTGGGAATTATTTTAGTCTCTTCCAGTCATATTTGCCACGTCATAACTATGTTCATCTGTTCCTCTTACCTTCAAGTTAGTTTCGTATTCCAAGAAATACATGAATTTATCAAATGTCCATGCCGTCATTTTGAAGTGAAGTCTCCTGGAAAATTTTTTAATAAACATATATAATTGTAATGGGCCTATGCAGAATAATATTTTGTAATAAAAAACATTAAAAAACATTTTTTACCTATGCAGAAAAACGTCGAGAAAACAAAATAGACAGTTTATTATTTTGAGGAGAGACAACGTGAAATTGAGAGAGTGCAGAGAAAATAATCAATTTTTCGAACAAAAAATACAATAAACTATTTTGTTCGAAAAATTGATTATTTTCTCTGCACTCTCTCAATTTCACGTTGTCTCTCCTCAAAATAATAAACTGTATATTTTGTTTTCTCGACGTTTTTCTGCATAGGTAAAAAATGTTTTTTAATGTTTTTTTATTACAAAATATTATTCTGCATAGGCCCATAAGAAAAATTGCAACAAACAAACAAATTATTAGAAAAATGATATATGTAAGTATACTAGAAATAGTGAGAGATTTAGAGAAAAAAGAAAACAACTTTTATTGTCTCACTAGTACAGCTGTTCATCATTATGCGCAAATAGATGAATAGCGTTAGGTCATTGATTGCGCTGCGTGTGGGCGTCGCGGTTGCAAAAAAGAGCCGGCGTTAGCCGGCGGAGCCCTTCTGGTACTATCTTATTCAAAAAAATTATCCACATTAAAATTAAAAAGGTTTTTATTTTCATAATAAAATTGTTCAATTTCCATGCAAAATGGAATGTTTTTCATATGAATTACAATAAACAATAAAACTTTGTAAAAAATCTGAAAGAATGAATGATTCGTTAATACAAATAATAGTAATGTGTCCAGTGAGATCAACTGCATCCTCCGCAACCTCGCAACCACTTGCAAAAACGAGTCTTGTTTGATATAAAAATTGGGGGAAACAGCTGCAAAATGTTATTGTTTTTGTACACTATTAAAATGAAAGTACTTTGGTTTTCTGATTGTGGAAAAATGGGCTCTGAACGGAAAAAGAGGGGTTTAGGAACATACATGTTTTTCTCACCGGATGACCCTTCGGGTGAAAGACCCCTTTTTGTCAAAAATGAAAAAGTGAAAGACCCTCCACCAGAAAAAATGAAGAGCTGAAAAAATGTCAAAAATCGAAAAAAAAATGAAGTTCCAGCAGGGAACAGAACTTTCATTGCTGGCCCCAAAACATCTTTCATTGCTGGCCCCAAAAACGGCGGTTAGCTTCGCGTGTCACGCGAAGCTCTATCCACTCGTTGTTTTTCCCATGTTTGTTTTTCCTTGTTATGCAGCACACACTCATCTTTTTTCTTTTCTTTTTCGTGTTTTTTCACAGGCCATTCAAATCAAAAGCAAAACTTAATAACTTATAGCCAACCAAATGAAACGAAATTTTTGACAGACATACTTCAAGGTATTTGCCATGGACAGATGACGTGCTTGCTCATTTTTAAGAGCATTTGAAGATTTAGACGACGGTAAAGGAAAAAACCAGCGTGACACTGGTTTTTTCCTTTACCGTCGTCTAAATCTTCAAATGCTCTTAAAGGGGGGGGTAAGACGACAAAATTTTATTTGCTCAACGAATCGGGCTCCCTTTGAATAGTAGAAGCCCCAGGGGATTTTTTCTCGAAAGACCTAAAAAGGTCTGAAAAAATATTCCATGAACTTTTTTCAACGTATACGTTGTCCGATAGTTTATGGAATAAATTCAAATACGTGGTACCTAGTTTATGGAACATTTTTTCTGGACGTTTCCAGAAAAAATCCCTTGGAGGTTTTACTACTTTTGGGGAGTCTTTAACTTTGCGACAAAAAAATTTTGTCGTCTTACCCCCCCTTTAAATATAGTTTGGATACACGTCACTCCTAGAACAAAATGCGATAAGATTTATTGAGTAATTTCAAAGCTCCTAACATTCTCCAGTGCTCTGACAAAGTGTTTTCAGGCCATAGTGCTTGACTTCAAGATTTGAGCTCAATATATGGAGTAGATTTACTCTTCCTAATAAACATATGACAAATTCATCTTGCGAAAATTTTCAAATTGAGATTATGGAGGTTTTCGACTACGATATTTCAACTAAACAATCTGCAAACTCGAAAAACGAAATTCTGATAGAATTGAATACAAGATTTGACTCGGTCTTATTCCAACATTGAGCATTTTTTATGTTTCAAATATCGGACTCTTTTACAATTTTCTTATCATATAAATTTGCGGAATTGATAAAAATTCTATTTTCGAAAATTATGTGCATAGGAAGTGACTCGTCCGCTTATTTTCATGTCTCCAGCAATAATGGATAAGATTTGAGTATTTTTCCTGCGGACCGGCTTGGCCCTAGGAATATTTCTTTTAACAAACTGAGAAAATGAATTAAAAAACAAAATCTAGATACTTTTGAGAGAAAAAAATTTTCAAAAGTCTCCAAAAACAAAGGTTTTATCGGAATTAATAAATGCTTTACTAGGACATTGTAATACATCTAAATTTTTGCTAAAATATTGCATTTTTCTTTATTTTTACTTAAATGATAGAAAAAAGAAAAATTACAGAAACCGTGTGTGTTTCAAGCGTCTATGCACACAACACACATGTGTGCAGCTATTGAATGTGTGTTGCGCGCATGAGTAGAAATCAAAAATTAAAGGGTTGTTGCTCCGCCAGGGAATCTTGCTTGGTATTGATAGGAATAAGGTGCTCCTGGAAGGTTCCAGTTTCAGAAAAAATTCCAGTAGCAACTCAGCTCATGTTTTTCCTCAAAAACACAAGCCAGTTAGGATCCAGCCTTTAAAACAAGAAAGTGCGCTCTAACGCACAACGCGTTTTTTGAATTTTGTGTGTGTGTGTTTGCAGACAATTTTGTCAACAACACCGTGACGCCTTTTTGCAGACGATTTTTTCACCAGGAGAGCACCAACCCTTTAATATAAAACTTTTCCGGGGGGTCCCCCTTTTTTCGATTTGTTTCGACTAATCCGACGTAAAATTGCAAGAGGAACGCAATGGATCGAGTGAGTAATCGCGGAAATTGCGTTTTAGAGGTGAAAATGAGGGTCAAAATTTTTTCTTCAATTCCAAAAATTTATTTGTGGAATTCGACAATTCTATTAAATTCAGGAATATAGAGCATCTCAAGAGCTACAAAATCCTTTTTTGATCATCAAAAACTATGCATTTTAAGCTGATTTATGATTTTTTGAAAAAGTACCATTTTTCGTGTTCACCCCCCTCCACCAACATGGTGCAATGTTTTTATGAAAAATTATATGGTGGAAAATTTTCACCACCCATCCATAGATCAAGAAAAAAATTTTGAGCCGATTCTAAAATTACGCCCTTTTTTGTTGTACGACCCTATTTGTCTTTTTGCAAAAAACGTCTCTTAAATGATTCTGGTCCTATTGACCCGAACAAATTGGCTAAGAACATGGTAATTCAAAAATGTATTCGCAAAAACTATGCTAAATACATTCGTAAAAAGGAAAATAAAATTGTAGGTAATAAAAGTTACACAGGTAAAGCGCAATAGATCTGAAATAGATCTCATAAGTCTCTCGCATCGCGCCCATAATAGGCCCATTACAGACCAATCGTTCGATAGGTCTAAAATGGGTCTGAAATAAGTCGAAATTTTCCTACATGAAAATCAGCAAAAGCTGAATCTCCATCCTATCAAGTTCAAATAACTCCCATTGATATCTTACTGACTCTTAGGCGATGTTGCAGGTTAGTTTCTCCTCGGGGCTAATTGAGGAGAAAGAGGAGAAAGGTGTTGCACGCGGAGGCGAAACAGTGCATTTGTTGAATTTCTCCCCATTTCTCCTCATTTCTCCTCGGAGGAGAAACTCAGCTGCAACATCGCCTAAACAAAGTTTTTGCTGGGCTCTAGGAAACTTTTTCTGCAGTAATTTAGGCGATGATGCAGATTAGTTTCTCCCCCGAGCTAATTGAGGAGAAAGAGGAGAAACGTGTTGCAGGTGGAGGCGAAACAATGTATTTTTCGAATTTCGCCCCATTTCTCCTCATTTCTCCTCGGAGGAGAAACTCATCTGCAACATCGCCTTAAATAGTACACAGTTTAAATAAGAAGTTTTTATCAATTCAAAAACACTTCCAATTTATTTAAGTCGAGCCTTGGATGGCGATCCTACGAGAATTCCGAGTGCTCTGGCTGAGCCGACTGTTCCGTTGGTACCTGTAAGATTCAAAATTAATTTGAGAACACATGTTCTGATTGAATCAAGAATTTTTGAGATTTGTAATTTGAAATCTGACAGAAATCTAAATTTATAGAAGATAAAGCTTTGGAAATTTCGAAAATTCAGAAAATTTTATGAAAATATCCGCAGTTTTCATTGAAAATGCCACGTGTTTACTGTCTGCAGAACCATGGCTAGGAAATCAGATTAATGTTTTTTTTTGCATCTTTATTAGCAGAAATGCCACTTCGAAGATATACGAGATCAATATTTCGTAGGTGTAATGTTACCTTCAGTTCATACGAAGATAGATTACACCAGCTAGAGTATTGTAGCGCGGAAAGGAGGAGTTTGAATTCGGGGCTTTTCACTTTTCTCGGGCTCTTGGAGGGTACCACTTACTTTCCCGAAATTGATAATCTAGTTTGCAGAAAAAATTCCCCACGATATCCTCTGCAGCGCAGTCTCACACAACAGTGTCCGCTTCAAAGCTTCTTCGGAAAAATCATACCAGTTTGGAACGAAATTGTAAAACATATCGATCCATCCACCAGCACAATGAAACTACGCAACTTGATTTCTTCTTTATCGGATTCACAACTAGTTGGAACTTCCCAAAATCCTTGGCTCACTTATTCTCTTGTAAGGAATTAGGAGCCACTGTATTATTATTCTATAATCATTTTATTTTTCTCATCTCTTGTGTCATAATTTTTTCGTTTCTTTAACTTGTCATATTATGTATATATTCATTCTCGGGTACGAGCTCGGGTCAAATAACTATGTTTATGAATAAATATATTAACAGAATGTTTTGAAAAATTGGCAGTTTTCCAAGAAATTGAAGTGGAACTTTTTGATTTCAGAAGTGACACCTAAATTCTTCGACAATTTGAGTATTTCGCATAGCTAACTTACAAGGGACTTACATTAGGCGATGTTGCAGCTGAGTTTCTCCTCCGAGGAGAAATGAGGAGAAATGGGGAGTAATTCAACAAATACACTGTTTCGCCTCCGCGTGCAACACGTTTCTCCTCTTTCTCCTCAATTAGCCCCGAGGAGAAACTAACCTGCAACATCGCCTTAGGGTGATAACGGGTTTTGAAATAAGGCAAGTACAGTCTAATGTAACTCGATGCGCTGATCATGATGCCGCAAAAGTTAGCTGCTGAGCTCCAGTCTGAGCCGCGCAAATAAGCTCCGAAGCAAATTTTCATACAAAAAAATTATGAAATTTTTGACTCAAATTTTGTTGGTGTCAACTTTTCGATGGTTCTAAAATCGACTTCAAACAGCAATTTTCGACAAAAATAAATATTCGCAATGTTTAATTTGGCCCAAATAACCTTAGGGTACTTCTATTCTACCCAAAACTTACTTATTTCATATGAAAATTAATATTTTCTGAGCAAACTTCGGAGCTCATTTGCGCGGCTTAGACTGGAGCTCAGCAGCTAATTTTTGCGGGATCGTGATCAGCTCGTCGGGTTACATAAGACTGCGCTTACCTCATTTCAAAACCCGTTATCGCTCTAATGTAAGTCCCTTGTTAGAGATTCATCCAGAGAAAAAAAAGATGAATAATTATTCTAATTACTATCGGAATCTCATTCAATACAAAACTTCTCATTGTATAAGTTAACATGAAGCGGTGATGATAAGCGATAATCAATGTCATAACTATATTTTGGACGAGTATTTAAAGGGGGGGGGGTAAGACGACAAAATTTTATTTGCTCAATGAATCGGGCTCCCTTTGAATAGTAAAAGCCCCAGGGGATTTTTTCTCGAAAGGCCTAAAAAGGTCCGAAAAAAATATTCCATGAACTTTTTTCAACGTATACGTTGTCCGAAAGTTTATGGAATAAATTCAACGTATACGTGGTACCTAGTTTATGGAACATTTTTTCTGGACGTTTCCAGAAAAAATCCCTTGGAGGTTTTACTACTTTTGGGGAGCCTTTAACTTTGCGACAAAAAAATTTTGTCGTCTTACCCCCCCCTTTAAAAGGAATTTTTGAAGAATCATTCTTTGAGGTGTTCTCTCAACGAAATTTAGTCTTTTTAGAACGAAAAAATTTGAAACTTTATGTTTTTTGAGATTAAAGGGGTTGTCCTGCTACAGGGAAACTTAGGTTCAATCGATAGAGCTAAGGTGCTCCTGAAACATTCCATATTTCATTTCGATTTTAGAGCGAGTTTTCACCATTTTATTCATGTTTTTCTTAGGTTTAAGGTTTTAGTGCATATAAAAAACATGTGTGCTCCAGGCTTGTGCGGAAAATAGGTTTTCGGAAAATTTCGGAAAACAGTGTTTTTCCGAATCCATCAGGTCGGAAAAAATTTTCCGAAGTTTTTTTCCGAATTTTATTTTCGGAAAAAAAGTTTTCCGAGATGTTTTTCCGACTTAATTTTTCGGAAAAACGGAAAATTTCGGAAAAGTTTTTAACGAAGAAACAATAGGCTGATCTGTTGGTTTTTGAAAATTTTTGGAATAGTTACCACAAAATTAGCAGTTTTCATGATATTTCGGCAATTTTTTTGAATATCATTAACAACTTTCTATATTTTTCAGAAATCCCAAAATTATTTTGTGATAAAATCAGCAAAAAATCCTGAAAACGCCTATTTTTCTCACTTTTTCGGAAAATTATTGGTCTCGGAAAATTTTCGGAAAAAATTATTTTCCGAAATTATCCATCGGAAAAATTTTCCGGCCAGAAGTTTTTCGAATTTTTCGTCCGGAAAATTTTCCGACTCGTAATTTTTCCAAAATTTTCCCAAAAAGTCGGAAAATCGGAAAACCCATTTTCATTTTCCGCACAAGCCTGCCACCAACCCTTTAAACAAAAGAAGTTGTAAGTAATCGCTTATTAATTTGCTTACCAAAATTAGCAAAAATAATCACGACAAGAAACATACAGACGTAATTTTTGGCTCTCACCAATACCTCACCCAATACCTGGAATTCCAGGTGGGCAATTTTTTTCGAAAACCTAGGTGGGCAAAAAATTTTATACGGCGTCCAAGTAAAAAAAAGCGTACGCGAAAACGCGTAGAATCGCGTAGATATTTTGTCCAAACTCACACTTTGGACAAAAAAAGCGCGTAAATCTACGCGATTCTACGCGTTTTCGCGTACGCTTCTTTTTCACTTGGACGCCGTATTAGGGCTTTCAAGGCCAGCCTCAGCTGGGGCGAAAAATTTTAGGGCTTTCAAGGCCAGCCTCAGCTGGGCCGAAAAATTTTCACTAGGTGGGCAATTTTGAAAAATGAACCCAGGTGGGCTAATTTTCAGCCACTACTCCAGGTTCTTGGGTGAGGTTTGCTCTAACAAATTAACATCAAATTAAAATCAATACTTCACAATGCGTTTACTTAACTCGTTCCCTCTTCAATTTTTATGTGAAAATGTTGGTATTTAACGATTGCAGAAAATTTTTTGAGTGGGAATATGGTATTTTCGAATTCCATTTTTATCAACCAAAAACTGACATGAGTCACAATTGTGACACAGCGTGTAATTTACTACCCAAAAATTTTCGCGCTTTTTTCGAGATCTGACACGATCTTAGGGGCGGGACTAAAAACGACGAAATTCAACAAAAAAGGTGAGAGATTTAGAGAAAAATATTTTTGACCAACCATAAAAACTTTTGAAAATTTTGAAGCCTAGAGATTTTTGGTAGTAAATTACACACTGTGCACAAGTTTATTTTTTTTGAAGTGAGAAAAAACATCAAATAAAACTAACCGCTGAAAATATTTGATAATCGAAAGTGAGAAAAAACTAAGTTAGCACATATTTTTGTATTATTTGCATGCAAAAATCAATAGGTGCAAAAAGTTGTAATAAAACCCGTTAGAAAAAGCGCGCGAAAAGAAAAAAAGAGGAGAAAAAGGAAGAGGGGATGACATGGTTGAAATGAAGCGCAAGAGAGAAGAATTGCTCAAACAATACAAAAATTTGTGGCTCTTTTATGTTTACTTTGTTCGATCGAGAAAAAAATAACACGGTAAAATTTGAAACTAGTTTAGCTTTTTTATTTAATAATAAATGAAAAATTGAGATGTTGCATGTATTTTTTGGATCGATGATGAGATTCAGAAAAATCTGGCAAAACCCTGAGTTTTATGACCAAAAGGACATTCAAAACCCGAATTTTCGAACGAAAATTTCCAAATTTCGACGGAATCAATGAATTTCGCGAGAAGTACACACAAAAAACATATGTGTGCGATAGAGCAAACCTGGCTATTCATGTGCTACGTTTTTGTTTTAGAAGAAAAATCACAGCTAAAAAAAAGAAGACAATACATTAAACACTTTATGGGCCTATGCAGAATAATATTTTGTAATAAAAAAACATTAAAAAACATTTTTTACCTATGCAGAAAAACGTCGAGAAAACAAAATATACAGTTTATTATTTTGAGGAGAGACAACGTGAAATTGAGAGAGTGCAGACAGAAAAATAGTTTATTGTATTTTTTGTTCGAAAAATTGATTATTTTCTCTGCACTCTCTCAATTTCACGTTGTCTCTCCTCAAAATAATAAACTGTATATTTTGTTTTCTCGACGTTTTTCTGCATAAGTAAAAAATGTTTTTTAATGTTTTTTTATTACAAAATATTATTCTGCATAGGCCCATTAGTTACGGAAAAAAAAAGAAAAAAGTGGGCGGTGCCGCTTGTCGTTTGTGCGGCGCGTGTTTTTTTTGTTACCGCACAGTTTTTTGTATGTTTTTTTTTGTTCGAAACAGCCAAGGTCTCTCTTGTCTGCAAACACCGATGCATACCGTATCAAGGTAACAAAAAAAAATATTTTTTTTTAGCTGTGTAAAAATGGTGATCTGGATTTCCAGAGAATCTTATTAAAGGGGGGGGTAAGACGACAAAATTTTTTTGTCGCAAAGTTAAAGGCTCCCCAAAAGTAGTAAAACCTCCAAGGGATTTTTTCTGGAAACGTCCAGAAAAAATGTTCCATAAACTAGGTACCACGTATACGTTGAATTTATTCCATAAACTTTCGGACAACGTATACGTTGAAAAAAAGTTCATGGAATATTTTTTCGGACCTTTTTAGGCCTTTCGAGAAAAAATCCCCTGGGGCTTTTACTATTCAAAGGGAGCCCGATTCATTGAGCAAATAAAATTTTGTCGTGCCCCCTTTTGTGTTGCCCCCTTTAACATTTGCCACAAGTTTCTTCGAAGAAGCTCAAAATCTTTTGAATCATCACTTGAGTAGGAAAAACATTTTTTCATAACACTTTCCCATAGGCTTTTTTCCCAATTGCTCCCCGAAGAACCAAATTTACACAATTTCAAAAAAGAATATTTTATTATGCCATGAAAACAGCAATCAAAATGGTAGTGATTGATGCGAAGTTAGTTGTCATTCCAGAAGAAGTTGGCGCTTCATGATCTCCACTTTTCGCAATTGTTCTTGGTGTTTCTTCTTGCGCTGGTTCTTCAGATGCTGTGTTGATTTGTGTTGTTTCGATGATTTCAGTTGTGGCAGCGGCAGCATCAGTAGCAGCAGCAATTGTGATGTTGTCGTTGATAGTTTCAGTTGTGTCTTGATTCGTGGCAGCTTGTGTGGTTGGGTTGTTGACAGCTTCAGTTGCAATTTCAGCTTCAGTTGTGTTCGAAACTTCAGTCTTGTTGACTTCAACTTCGATTGTTGTTTCTGTTGTCAATTCGATGTTTGTGGCATTGTTCGATTCAGCGGCAATCTCAACAGGACGGCTTGATGTTTGAGCATTTGTGAAGACAGCGAACAAGGCAATGAGAAGGATAAGTGAGTTGAATGACATTGTTATTAGCCAGAATATATTAGTAGTCGAATAGCAGAGCGAGTAGTGGGTATGAGTTCGACTGAATCCACCCAGCTCTTTTATAGAGCGCTTATCTTGATCAAATGACACGTTGCAAAACGTGTCAACACGTATTTAATAATTGAAGAAAAGTAGGGCATTTGCAATTTATCTTTTTTTGAGAAGTAATAATAACAAAACGAAAAATGAGCAAAGCGCCAAGAAGTAGAACTCAAAGAAAACTTACGGAAACAACGAAGAGAAGAAAGTGTTACGAATTCGGTGAGTCAAGGGTACTGCTAGTTACGCGGTTTGTGCATTTGTGCGTCACAATGTTTGCAGAATTTTTCGCTTATTTTCGCGTGGCTAGAGTCTAGTTTCATAGCTTAAAATCCTTTGAAAATGAGAAAAATCCCAAAAAAAAACGGGAAAAAATAAAAGTAAAACAACGACACTCCGCTTGCCAGTTGTTTAATTTTCATTGAACGAGCGGAGTGTCGTTGTTTTATTTTTCCAGTTTTTTCCCATGAACTGAAACATGTTTTGCAGGTTCAAGATGGTGAAACACTCGAAGATGTTATTCATCATTTGAATGGTCTTCCAAAACCACCCAAAAATATGTATGACGCTGTAACTGGACATGCTCGAATTACAGCTGATGGATTTATCAAAAACCTCGACAAAAACATTCGATTACCAATTCCAATTCATGAAAAACCTCGAGTTAAATTGGAAAAAGATGAAGATTATGTGGCAGCACAATATTTGAAATTAGAAAATTCGGTATATGTGATTGCACAAGCACCAAATAAATAAAATTATGCGGATATTTGGCGAATTGTTTGGCAAGATCAAAGAAATGGCATGTTTATCACATGATGATCAAATTGGAGAAGACGATAAGAAGTGTTATCCATATTTTCAAATTGAAAGCGGAAAATCGAAAGAAATCGAATTGAAAAAGGGCAAATTTGTGATTAATTGTAAAACAAAAGGCTTTAAGTATGGGAGTAATAAAATATGAATTCGAAATGATATCAATTGATATAGATGAAGAAAAAGCTGGGAAAAGAAGATGATCCAACTGCGGTTGGAAAAATATTGCCAATCACATTGTTTCATATGAATTCATGGACTGGTACGAAATCTGGCAAGGAACCATTTGAAATGACACAAAATGTTGGATTGTTATGCAAAGAAATATTTAAAATGGAAGTTGCTGTAAGTTTTGGAAATGTTTTTTTAATTGCGAATCTAAAATGATTGCAAGACTTGGCGAATTAACAAAAGGTTTTAATGATAGAAAATTGAATGATCAAGGTGTTCCGATTTAATTTTTGTGAAAAATAAAGTTTTTTCACTTATATTTTCGATCTGTTCCTGATTTATTTGTCGATTGAATTTTCATCATTTTGGAATCTCCCAAGTTTTGAGATTTTATTCTAATTCGATCTTTCCAGTATCACCTTCCGATGTTCTTCTGAAGGTCCCACTGAAGCTCGGTTTTGTTTTGTTTTTTGAAAGAAGTTTTTCACTCGAGTGAGAGAAACTCGAAAATTTCAACTTGTCTGGAATGATTTTTGTCAGCTCGAAGATTCTTTGTAATGGGGTGAGTCAATCGAATTAATCGACGTGTTTTTTGCGATTAATTGACAAAAAAGTGAGTCTTTTAGGGCGATTAATTTCACGTTTTTGTCAATTCATCGCTTTCATTTCTTGGCAAAAAATGCAATTAATTGCATAAAAAATAGAATTTATTTGACCTATATTTTAAAACGTGACCTATATGAGTTGGAATTATCAACAAAAAAATCATCTTCCTTCAATTTTCTTTCATTTCGAAATGAATCCAAAAAATAAGCAGTGAATTTGGGACACGTTTCAAAAATGAGGTCAAATAAATTCTATTTCGTATTGAAATTCCTCATTTTTGAATGCGATTAATTGCAAAAAAAGATGGAATTAATCGACAAAAACGTGAAAAAATCGCACAAAAATGACTCACATTTTGTGTCAATTAATTGACAAAAAATAAAATTGACTCACCCCATAAGAAATCCTATAAAAATTTATTTTCCTGGAATAAGAACCTCCCATTGTTTTTCGTATCAGTGAAAACAAAATTCATTCTATTTGTATTCAAAAAGACAGTTTGTTTTCAGTTTTTGTGAGACAAAAATTATCATTTATGTAATATCAAAAAAAGTTATGAGTAACAAAAAGGAAATTTTACGTTTCAAAATTGTTTAATATTTCTGCAATCCCCAACAATTTCGTTTAGAACTGGTAAATTTGCAGCCGAAAATAATTGATAGTATAAAGTCTGAAAAAATGATATAATTAAAGACGAACTTAATCTCCCTATCCTTCTTGAAATTTGATGAATTTTCAAATAACTCACTTCATAAGAATTTTTGATCGGTGTGAAATTTTTTCCGTCAAATCAATCAAAAAATCAAAACAAATTATGTGTAACAAAAAGGAAATTTTACGTTTCAATTTTTTTTTATATTTTGACATCGGATTCGCAAAAATTGTTTAAATTTTGGAAGTTCATAGTTCGTTGGTTTTAAAATCTGATGAATATAAAATGATTAATCCTTTTCAATCTATACATTTTATATCGATTTTAATCTTGATTTAAAAAAAAGGTCATGTACGAATTGCAAAAAATACACATTTTTTTAAGGAGGGGTAGGGGGAAAGAGAAAGAGTAACAGCATCTGAAACTCAAAATTTCAGCATTTTCAGCCTAGGAGAAGCTGAAAACAGGCTGAAAATCGAAAATTTTTATATGTGGCTCAAATTTTCATATTTTCATCATAATCAATTTCTAACTTTTTTCCAAAAATTATTTTAAACCGGGCTTTCTTATGGCCATATTAGAATGTATTTGAGCTTGGAGACATTTTATAACCTGAACTCTAGACGAGAATAGAAATTCCAAGCTTGTAGCCCGGTCTAAAATAATTTTTGGAAAAAAGTTAGAAATTGATTAGGATGAAAAAATTGAAAGATCAGTATTATAATGATTTTTGTCAGATCAAAAATTTTTTGTAAGAAATCCTATAAAAACGTATTTTCCTGGAAGAAGAACCTCTAATTATTTTTTGTATCAGTGAATCAAACAACAAAATTCATTCTATTTGTATTCAAAAAGGCAGCTTGTTTTTCAGTTTTTTTTTGAGACAAAAATTATCATTGATGTAATATCAAAAAAAAATTATGTGTAAAAAAAAAAGGAAATTTTACGTTTCAAAATTGTTTCAATTTCAAGAAATTTTATTATTTCTCGATCTTTCATATTAATAAAACAATCAGTATCATTCATGCATTTTGAGTATAAAAATTGAGATAACTGAATCTAAAAAATATTGGGAATGATTCTCTCGAAAAGTACATGACTTACTTTTGCTTGCAATGTTGGTTTTTTAGATTCACGTTTCAAATCATTGTAGATTTTGGCATCGGATTTGCACAAATTGTTTAGTGATTGAAAATTCATTATTGTAGTTTTATATCGTTTACAAAATTCTCTCTTCGCGTGTTACTGAAAAATATTTAGTAGGTGGGATAAAGTATATTGGAGCGTCCAAAAATCAAAAAATGAAAATTTCACACCTGTCCAACTAAAATTTTTTATTCAAAGTTGTATTATAATGATCAGAATTCAGTTAGCTACATTAGAACTTCCGAAATTCCGAGAAAAAATCTCGGGATCCCGAACTATCGAAAAATTATTCGGAATAAAAAGTCGAAATCCCGAAATTCCGAAAATAAAATCGGAAGTGAAAATGGGACTTCCGAAATTGCGAATAGTAAATTCCGACCAGCTCTGAATCGAACTAGTGAACTTCTGAGCCAAACTCCTAATTGGGTCTTGTAGAGAATCGCACATTTTGAAACCCAAAAAATAAAATTTTGAAAATATTTTCTATAAAACATTCATTCATAAGCATTGTACAAATCTTCCATTTTTTTTCGCCGCCGCCTTTTTGAATACATCTCGACTTGTGGCACTGAAAAATATTGAGTACGTGGGGGATAAAGTATATGTATTTAAAGTTGTACTCACTCAATCATCCGGCGCAATTTTTCCAATCCTTGACCTTCTGATGCATAAATAAGTGTACAGGCCAATACCTGTTTTCTTATTTTCTTCTTCATCCCAAGTGTTATGATTTGATGATCTTCAATGTTGATGAAATACCTTCTTTCTGTTGACCAATTCGCTGCATTTTGGTTTTTTATCAGAACTCGCATCCTTTGGACAACTTGCACCGAATTTCGATTGAAAGCCGGTCCGAGAGCTTCAATTAGTTCTTTCTTTACTTCTTTGTGTTTTTTTACCAGTTTTAAGCATAAATTGCTTAGAACTGGTAAATTAGCAGCCACAAATATTGCATAGTTCAAGCTCTGAAAAAATGATATAATTAAAGATGAACTTGATCTCCCTATCCCTCTTGAAATTTGATGAATTTTAAAATAACTCACTTCGAAATCATTTTTGATCAGTGAGAATTCACTCTCTTTCATATTAATCAGACAATCCTTATCATTCATGCAATTCGAATACAAAAATTGTGATAACTCGATCTAAAAAAAATTATTGGGAATTTTACGTTTCAATATTGTTCAAATGACTTACTGAATTGTTGGTTTTTCCGATGTTTTGATTGTGGGTTTTTTCGATTCCAATTTCAGATCACTAAAAATTTTAGCATCAGTTTCGCAAAGCATGTTGAGATTTTGGAAGTTCATAATTTGTTGGTTTTTAAAAACTGATGAATATAAAATGATGATTAATCCTTTTCAATTTACAACTTTTCCTGACGGCTCCGCCCCTGCCACGATTACACGTTTCACGTTTTTAAAATAATTTTTTTGTTTTCATTTTTTTTTCTCCACTAATGATGAACTCAATTGTGAGTCAATTTTCAACATAAAATTGAAAATAATCACAGAAAAAAGTGAAACTGAAATAAATGAGAAGACTGTTACGCCTGGGGGCTAACAGCCCCTAGTCTTACGAAATGCAAAAAAAAAAGGGTAGGGGGAAAGAGTTTTTTCAGAGCTTGAACTATGCAATATTTGTGGCTTCTGATTTACCAGTTCTAAGCAATTTATGCTTAGAACTGGTAACAAAACACAAAGAAGTAAAGCAAGAACTCATTGAAGCTCTCGGACCGGCCTTCAATAGGAATCCTGTGCAAGTTGTCCAAAGGATGCGAGTTCTGATAAAAAACCAAAATGCAGCAAATTGGTCAACAGAACGAAGGTATTTCATCAACATTGAAGATCATCAAATCATAACACTTGGGATGAAGAAGAAAATAAGAAAACAGGTATTGGCCTGTACACTTATTTATGCATCAGAAGGTCAAGGCTTGGAAAAATTGCGCCGGATGATTGAGTGAGTACAACTTTAAATACATATACTTTATCCCCCACGTACTCAATATTTTTCAGTGCCGCAAGTAGAGATACATTCAAAAAGGCGACGGCAAAAAATGGAAGATTTGTACAATGCTTATGAATGAATGTTTTATAGAAAATATTTTCAAAATTTTATTTTTTGGGTTTAAAAATGTGCGATTCTCTACAAGACCCAATTAGGAGTTTGGCCCAGAAGTTCACTGGTTCGATTCAGAGCTGGTTGGAATTGAATATTCGCAATTTCGGAAGTCTCATTTTCACTTCCGATTTTATTTTCGGAATTTCGGGATTTCGACTTTTTATTCCGAATAATTTTTCGATAGTTCGGGATCCCGATTTTTTCTCGGAATTTCGGAAGTGTTGTAGCTAACTGTTGTAACTAATCTAATGTAGCTAACTGAATTCTGATCATTGTAATACAACTTTGAATAAAAAATTTTAGTTGGACAGGTGTGAAACTTTCATTTTTTGATTTTTGGACGCCCCAAAATACTTTATCCCACCTACTAAATATTTTTCAGTAACACGCGAAGAGAGAATTTTGTAAACGATATAAAACTACAATAATGAATTTTCAATCACTAAACAATTTGTGCGAATCCGAAAAAAATCTACAATGATTTGAAGCTTGAATCTAAAAAAGCAACATTGCAAGCAAAAGTAAGTCGTGTACTTTTCGAGAGAATCATTCCCAATATTTTTTTTAGATCGAGTTAGCACAATTTGTCTATTCAAAGTGTATAAATGAGAAATAATAAAATTTCTTGAAATTGAAACAATTTTGAAACGTAAAATTTTCTTTTTTTACACATAATTTTTTTGATATTACATAAATGATAATTTTTGTCTCAAAAAAAAAACTGAAAAACAAGATGAATCCGAATAGTTCTACAGTACTTTTCACAGATTTTGAGCCAGAAAAAAAATTGGCAAATTAAAATTTGTTTGAATTTCGAAAAACAATTCAAAGTTTTAGCTTCCGCATTCCACCTGAAATTCCAATAAAATCAATAATTTTTCAGTTTTTTTTTTCATCAAAACGAGTGTACTGTAGCTATTATTGTGTGCAATTTCTGCAAACACCACAGGTTACTGTAGACAATGCACACAATTTGACGCCAATATATTTTCATTTTTCACGCAAAATTTCGCGCGCCTTTTGAGGAGGACGGAATTGCTGTCCTACTTGTCCTACCCGATGTTTTTAAACGGAAGTTTGATGAGTTCATTTAGCTTGATTCCCTCTTAAAAATCAATAATGTGATACCCGACAACAAAGAAAAAGTAGAAAAACTGAAAAAACTTAAAAATGAGCAATATAGAAAAACAGGCATTTCAGTTTTTCTTCAGCGGGTAGGACAAGTAGGACAGCAATTCCGTCCTCCTCGCCTTTTGTTTGTTTGCGAACACATTTTCAGAAATGACAGAGTTTTGTAAAAGTTATATACAAGTGAACATATTCGGTAAAACTCTCCAACAGTTGCGTGACAACAACACGGATTTGCACAAAATATTGGTGAGTTTTGAAAAAACCCCCCAATTTGTGTCGCATTTTTCGAGAAATCAGGCTGCTTCCAGATGAATATTGGCTGTGATCAAATATGGTTGGGTGATATGCCGTTGTATTTACAAAGTTCTGGAAAAACTTATGGAGATGTGACCTCTATTCTAAATACATCTTTGTCTGATGATAGTTCACCTAAACATTCGACTCCACAAACATCGAGAGTTCCACCACCAAATTTATCTTCTATTATCACCAAAATACTATCAAAAATAGGTCATAGTAGTGATGATCTGGATATTCAACCCAAGGTTTTTAAACTTGTCGCAAATCTTCTCAAATCGGTTGTTGATATCATTTGTGAAACTGAAACTCAAGCGATTTTTGATTCTTTCCAATCCGCTTCTTCCAGTGAACAAATGTAAGATTTGGAGTCTAAATATAGTCATAAATTTATTCTATTTATTTCCAGATGTTCCAATAATATCACACAAATCAACATCGAGAAGGATTTCGAACTGGATACTCTAATTCTAAGTACAACAATAAATCAAGATCAGAAATTTCCAAGATGCTCGACACCACGAGATTCGAGAATTGGAAGAATTTTAACACTTGGAGCATCGCTGTCGAAAATTGCATCGGAAACTTCGACTGAAGAATTTCTTGAAATAACTGGATCAATAAACCAATCAATGGAAATAATAATGGAAAATAATGAGGAGACTGAAGTTATGCCAATTTCTGATAGTTTTGATATTCAAAACAAGGATATTGATGTTGTATCAGATGGAATTGAGAATGATTTATCGAATTTCGAAGATTGTGGAAATGCTTCATTCCAAGTTGCTTCTTCCAATCAACAAGATTTAGAATGTATATCAAATCTTCTCAAATCTGTTGTTGATATTATTTGTGAAACTGAAACCGAGTGTGATTTTTCGATTCTTGAAGATTGTCAGAATCTTACATTTGCTTCTGTTTCTTCTGATTTCAATTCGTGAGTTTTTTTATACTCAATTTTTAGTAATTTAAAAATTTACAGCAATGCTAAATCTTCTGAAGAACTTCCAATGTTTTATGGACCACATCCTGCTATTAGACATTCTGAAATTGAAACAAAACCAACAGGAAATATAGTTGAGACAAAACCAAGAATTTTGACGAATCAAAGTGTTCAAAATTTGAAAATTCCGGAAAAATCAATTGAAAATGAAAATGAAAAAGAAAGAAAACCATTGAAAAGAACAATATCTGAAATTCGAAGAAATCGAAGAAAAGCAATGAAATTATTGAGAAATAATACTGTTGTTCCAAATTTTGATGAACGACAATATTCAAATCAATTTGAGAGCAAAATCTCAATTCCACGTGTAAAATCTAGAATTTCTGAAATGGATTATGATAATTTATCATATCAAAGTATTCCCGAACAGATTGAAAATCAAAATTCAACACAATTTCCGATATTTGATGATTCTGAACGAGTTTTCACAGATTTGACACCATTTACATCGGATGGAGAACAATATTGTGAAATTGAACAAGATTTCTTTGAAATGGCTGAAAATCGATTGAATTCTGAAAGAACAAATCAAAATGAGGATAGTTTGATGTATAATAATAATAATAATGAAGATGAAGATGGAAATGAACAAGAAAGTTGGGTTGATCAAAATATTGAATTAGATTTGGATGAAGAAGAAGAAGAAGACGACAGAGGTGGAAATGAGGAAGAAGATGGTCAAAATGACAGTCTTCTCAGTGCGGCTGTCAATGATTTATCTGAAAATGAAGAGGAAGAGGAAGAGCAAAAAGTTAAAACATCAAGAAAAAAAGATCTGTCAAAGTTCACTTCATCTCATAAAATGCGAATTTGAGGTAACTATTAGAGATGTCCATCTTTTATGAAATCATTTTGTTGTTTTTTAGGGTTGCAAAGCAAAATACAAATGGAGACCGAAATATGGAAAATTACGCCTGTTGGATCATTCAATCAAACATTGTCCAACAGATGAATATGATTGTAATTTTTGTGATTTCAAATCTGATTCAATTCGAGCAATTCGAGCTCATGAAAATGTGAAACATGTTGATAAAGGAAAAATGAATGTGAAAGAGGTTCTCAAGTCAAAAATCAGTCACGAAGAGTTGAAAATCATTTGGGAAAAATGTTATAAAGGTATCAATAATTCGTTTTCCCATTTTCCATTAGCAAATTTATTTTTTTTTCCAGAAAATCTTCATCTTGTTGGAAAACCTAATAATTATTCTTGTTAATAGAAAATCTTGTAAATTTTTGTTATTCTCTTTCAACATTTCGAAATATTTCTGTCAATATGTGTGGATTTTTTTCTCACGAAAATATATTTGAATTTCTCTTTTTTCAAAAAAAAAATAAAAAGTAGCAAAAAGCATGGCGAAGAAGAGTTATATAGAAGTCAAAATATTTGGAAAATCTTTGGCTGAATTGGAAGAGGATGGTTATGATTTGGAGAGAATTTTGGTGAATTTGGGATGCCGAAATGTATTGATATCTGAAGTCGCTTATGATTCCGATTCCGATTCGAATGAGATATTGGATGAAACAATGCTAATTGAGACAAGTATGCCACGTCATCAATCGTCTGAAAATCAATCTGGAAGTTCGGAACAACAACAATCTGAAAATAGTTTCTCGGAAAACTCTTCCAGTTTATCATGTGAGAGAATACCAAGGTGTTCAACTCCTCGAATTTCTGGATTTGTTCCAAGTTTGTGGCTATCAAATGTAATATCACGGATAAACTCGAGGGAAAATGAGAAAGATGATCAAATTGGAAATTTGCTTGAGTGTTTAATTAATATTGTTGTTGAAACTGAAATTGAAAAGTAAGTTGGTTCATTTTTTATTTAAAAAAATTAGCTATTTCAGCACAATTTTGAATAATGATAGACTTCTGGAAACTTCGAGTCAAATATTCGCCGAGCTGGAACCGGTTTTCTTCCAACATCTAGAAATGGCAAATTTGCGTGAAAAAGAAGAAAACTTTGAAAGAAATAAGGAAGAAGAAGACATTTGGCAGGATATTCAACAAGAATTTGAATTGGAAGTGGATTCTGAAAATAATATTCAAAATCTAGTTGAGAACAATTTCGAAAGAAATGAGGAGGACGAAGAAAGCCGACAAGAATTTGAATTGGAAGAGAATTATGATTCAGAAAATAATATTCAACCCCAAGTTTCAATTCAAAAATCAATTGAAGAAAATGAGGAAGAAGAAGTCTGGCAAGATGTTGGACAAGAATTGGAAGAAAATATTCAACCCCAAGTTTTAATTCAAAAATCAATTTCAAAAAATTTATTTGCTCAAACCGCAGTTTACTATACTATCAAATGTGAATTTGAGGTTTGAAAAGAAACAAATCTAAAGCTAATCAAAAATTTTCTAAAGAATTGCGAGAAAAAATACAATTGGCGACCAAAATTTGGGAAATTACGATTATTCGATCACGCAATGACACATTTAGGAAATGGTAAAATATCGTGTAATTTGTGTGAATATAAAGGATATTTACGTGCACTTCGAGTTCATATTCATTCGAAACATTCAGATGAAAATGATGAAAATATATCGATTCAAGAGTGAGGTTTTATTTTGGATATTTATCAATAGCTTTTTCTTTTTTTTTTTGCAGAATATTTTTGAGAAATGAGATGAAAAAAATATGGGAGAAATGTTTCTTGAAAAGTCTCGACCTTGTTGGAAAACCTTATGTATTGGCTAACGGAAAATTGAGATTTAGAAGAAAATAGAATCATTTTATGCACTGAACCTAATATAGAATTTTTATGTTGCAATTGAAGAAATCATGTGAATAATGTAGTTTTGTTTTATTTTTTTTTGATTTATTCAATGATCAAATAGTCATTGGCTATTTATTATATCTCATCTCATTGAAAATAGATTTTTTTTTTGATAATTAATTAATTATTTTTAATTAGATGGATAACTGGTTGAATTATATTCAAATAAATGTATATGGAAAACGAATGGAAGAATTGAATGGAATTTACAGTTTCTTGGTGAGATATTCAGATACATTTTTGTGAAAAATTATGTTTTTTTCAGAATACAATTGGATGTGACAAATTTTGGATGGGAGAAGTTCCGATGTATCGAGGAGATTCGGATTCTGGAGTTGATAGTAGTTTCGAAGATACTGAAATTCTCAATAAAACTAAAAATCAAGCGATTCAGAAATTTCCAAGATGTTCGACTCCACGAGATTCTAGAATTGGAAGAACTTTTACACTTGGAGCATCGCAATTATTGTCGAAAATTGCATCGGAAACTTCGACTGAAGAATTTCTTGAAATTAGTGGATCGATAAATCAATCAATGGAAATAATAATGGAAAATAATGAGGAGACTGAAGTTATGCCAATTTCTGATAGTTTTGATATTCAACACAAGGATATTGATGTTGTTTCAAAACCTGGATTTGAAAATGATTTATCGAATTTCGAAGATTGTAATCAATTGGAAATCGATGAAGAAATTGAAAATAGAGAAGTTGTTGATGATTTTGGTGTCCAAGAACAAGATTTAGAAAGTATCTCGAATCTTCTTAAATCTGTTGTTGAAATTATTTGTGAAACTGAAACCGAGTGTGATTCATCGATTTTTGAAGATTGTCAGAATCTTACATTTGCTTCTGTTTCTTCTGATTTCAATTCGTGAGTTTTTTATATTCAATAATTAGTAACTTTAAAATTTACAGAATTGCTAAATCTTCTGGGGAACTTCCAACATTCTATGGACCACATCCAGCTGTGAGACATTCTGAAATTGAAACAAAACCGACAGGAAATATAATAGAGACGAAACCAAGAATTCTGACAAATCGAAGAGTTCAAAATTTGAAAATTCCGGAAAAATCAATTGAAAATGAAAATGAAAAAGAAAGAAAACCATTGAAAAGAACAACATCTGAAATTCGAAGAAATCGAAGAAAAGCAATGAAATTATTGAGAAATAATACTGTTGTTCCGAATTTTGATCAACCACAGTCATCAAATCAATTTGAGACCAAAATCTCAATTCCACGAGTAAAATCTCGAATTTCTGAAATGGATTACGATAATCTATCATATCAAAGTATTCCGGAACAATTTGAGAATCAAAATTCAACACATTTTCCAATCTCTGATGATTCTGAACGAGTTTTCACAGATTTGACACCATTTACATCGGATGGTGAACAATATTGTGAAATTGAACAAGATTTCTTTGAAATGGTTGAAAATCGATTGAATTCTGGAAGAACAAATCAAAATGAGGATAGTTTGATGTATAATAATAGTGAAGAAGGTGGAAATGAACAAGAAAGTTGGGTTGATCAAGATATTGAATTAGATTTGGATGAAGAAGATATAGGTGGAATTGAAGAAGTTATTAAAGATGAGGAGGAAGAAGAAGAGAAAATTAGAAGTGGAAGTTCGAGAAAAGAATCGGAAGATGATCAAAATGATAGTCTTCTCAGTGCGGCTGTCAATGATTTATCTGAAAATGAAAATGAAGAGGAAGAACCCGAAATTCCCAAAAAACGAACGGTGAGGAACTAAGGGAATAATTTAAAAATTATAGAGTATTTTCAGAGAAAGGCAAAATATACGGATGAAGAAAATTCTGCACGACATGCTGTTCATAATATTAAATGTGAATTTGAGGTATGTACAGATAACAAAAATATTATAATAAATATATTAATTTATTAATTTTCAGGATTGTGAAATGGAATACAAATGGAAATTGAAATATGGTAAAATTCGGTTGATTGATCATTCGATGAAACATTGTCAAACTAGGAAATATTGCTGTAATTTTTGCGATCTCAAATTTGATACATTACGAATTATTAGGAGACATGAAATTCGAGAACATCCCGATCAGCAAAATGGTCAATTTAAAGTCAAAGAGTAAGATTTTTTGAATTATTTATCTGAAATGAGAGAAAACTTGTGTTTTTCAGAGTTTTGAAAACAAAAATCGACCATTTAGAATTGAAAAATATTTGGGAGAAATGTTACAAATGTGAGTGATTTTTAAAAACAAATAATTAAAATTGAATTTAAAAATATCAGACCTTCTTTCAGCGAATCTCAAAATTGTCGGTTTTCCCAGAAAATAATCATGTGAATAATTTATCTGTAAATTTTTGTTAATGAATGTTTTTTTTTTCAAATTTTTTATATTATAATTTTAATAGTTGTTGACTATTTTCTAATATCTTTGGGCAGATTTTTGATAATTAATTAATTATTTTTAATTAGATGGATAACTGGTTGAATTATGTTCAAATCAATTTATATGGAAAGCGAGTGGAAGAATTGAACATCGATGGAATTCGCGAATTTTTGGTGAGATATTCAGATACATTTTTGATTTAAAAAAAATTATCGAATTCTTATGTTCTTTCAGAATACCATTGGATGTGATAAATTTTGGATGGGAGAAGTTCCGATGTATCGAGGAGATTCTGATTCTGGAGTTGATAGTAGTTTTGAAGATACTGTGATTCTGAATACATCAAAAAATCTAGAAGATCAGAAATATCCGAGATGTTCGACACCAAGAATTTCAAAAATTGGAAGAACTTTTACACTTGGAGCATCGCAATTGTTGTCGAAAATTGCATCGGAAACTTCGACTGAAGAATTTCTTGAAATTAGTGGATCAATAAATCAATCAATGGAAATAATAATGGAAAATAATGAGGAGACTGAAGTTATGCCAATTTCTGATAGTTTTGATATTCAAAACAAGGATATTGATGTTGTATCAAAACCTTTATCGAATTTTGAAGATTGTAATCAATTGGAAATCGATGAAAATAGAGAAGTTGTGGATGATTTTGCGGTCGAAGAAAACGATTTAGAAAGCATCTCAAATCTTCTGAAATCTGTTGTTGATATTATATGTGAAACTGAAACCGAGTGTGATTTTTCGATTTTTGAAGATTGTGGAAATGCTTCATTCCAAAATGTTGCTTCCAATCAACAATTGTGAGTTCTGAAATTTCCGGATCATATAAGATCAACGGAAATGAATCGCAGAATAGGCCCCCACCAATAAGTAAAACTCTTCACCGAGTCCCCACTCAATGGAAGTGGGGACCTAAAATGATTATGTGGGGACTCATTTCTGGATGGGGACCTATATTGGGGTGGGCTTATATTTGTATGTAATTTTAATAGAGTTGTGAGCTTTTATTTCGATCATAGGGTATTTCGGAAAAAAGGTCCCCACCACTATCATTTTGAGCCCCCACCAACGAGATTTCTGACCATAAAAAGGTGGAGTGGGGACCTAAAATGACATTGGTGGGGAACTGTTCTACGATTCACTAAAATCAACTAATTTTATTTACTTCTAGATCTCCGAAAATCACACAAATCAACATTGAACCGAAAGTTTTTATGAATCAATTGGAAGTTGTTGATGATTCGGGTGATCAAGATCAAGATTTAGAAAGTATCTCGAATCTTCTCAAATCTGTTGTTGATATTATTTGTGAAACTGAAACCGAGTGTGATTTATCGATTTTTGAAGATTGTCAGAATTTATCATTTTCTGCGGATATTTCGGATTTCAATGCGTTAGTTCTTTTTTTGAAAATGTTTATTTTTTTGTACAATGAATTCGGGATTTTTTATAGTAATTTGAAAATTTACAGGGATCTTCCAACATTCTATGGACCACATCCAGCTGTAAGACATTCTGAAATTGAAACAAAACCAACAGGAAATATAATTGAAACAAAACCAAGAATTTTGACGAATCAAAGTGTTCAAAATTTGAAAATTCCGAAAAAATCAATTGAAAATGAAAAAGAAAGAAAACCATTGAAAAGAACAACATCTGAAATTCGAAGAAATCGAAGAAAAGCAATGAAATTATTGAGAAATAATACTGTTGTTCCAAATTTTGATCAACCACAATATTCAAATCAATTTGAGAGTAAAGTCTCAATTCCACGAGTAAAATCTCGAATTTCTGAAATGGATTATGATAATTTATCATATCAAAGTATTCCCGAACAATTTGAAAATCAAAATTCAACACAATTTCCATTGTTTGATGATTCTGAACGAGTTTACACTGATTTGACACCATTTACATCGGATGGAGAACAATATTGTGAAATTGAACAAGATTTCTTTGAAATGGCTGAAAATCGATTGAATTCTGGAAAAACAAATCAAAATGAGGATAGTTTGATGTATAATAATAGTGAAGAAGGTGGAAATGAACAAGAAAGTTGGGTTGATCAAGATATTGAATTGGATTTAGATGAAGAAGAAGACAGAGCTGGAAATGAGGAAGAAGAAGAAAACATCGGAGGTGAAAGTTCGAGAAAAGAATCGGAAGATGATCAAAATGATAGTCTTCTTAGTGCGGCTTTGGATGATTTGTCTGAAAATGAAGAGGAAGAGGAAGATGAGGAAAAAGTTGGAATTCAAGTGAACAGAAGACAAAAAAGATGTAATATTGGGAAGGTGAGGTTGATTTTTTGTTTGAAAATCAGAAAAATAATATTGTAATTTTCAGGCTGAGGCGAATAAACAATACCACATAAATTGCCAATTTAAAGTAAGTTTTTTGAAAAAAAGAGCATGCGAGGGAAATTTTATTTTATTTAATTTTCAGTTTTTTCATTGTTTTCATATATTTTTTTTGAAAATTATATTATTTAAATTTCTGACTCTCCAATTGAAATGAGGATATACAAATTTCTTCAAAAATTCGAATTTTCTGTAAGTTTTCTATAATGTAAATGTTTTATTTCCAGATTTTTACAAACTTCTTTTCTTCCGATATATTCAGGATCTTACCCTATAAATTCAAAATGTTGACTATAAAGTTTTTTTTGAGTTCTAGAATACATTTTTGATTTCTTAAAAAATTTTGGAATATTTTTGTCAAACTGAAAATCACTAAATTAAAAGCTCACAAACATTAAAAATAAAGAAAACTTCAGATGCCACGTGGATTTTTAACTAGGAATGACAGTTTTTAATTTTTCAGCCAAAAGTTGGTCCTGAAACGAAGATATTGAGTCATGTACCTTTAAATTGAGCTCTTAGGGTCCCACCACGAAAAAATCCAAGTTTTCTGTGGAAAATGGTATGGGATTGTACATTTTCCGGGCAAGATTTGGTCCTGAAACGAAGATTTGTGGTTCACACTGGATTTGAAGACTTTCATCTTGAAAAAGTTTGTGAGCTTTTGATTCAGATTTTCCTCTGATGGTTTTCATTTTTTTTAGAACTCAAAAACTGTCATTTTCTATTTCAAATGACCCCCAAAATAAATCATTTTCAGGATTGTCAATATTCCATCAAATGGCGTCCAAAATTCGGAAAACTCCGCCTCCTCGACCACGTTCTCACGCATTTGCCACAAAAACTCATTCGATGCCACAATTGCGATTTCACATGCCAAACTTCTCGACAAATTCGATATCATTATAAGAAACAACATCAAATGAAGAACAAAGTGAATGGATATGGAATTTATGAGTGAGTTTTTTGCCTAGATTTTGATAAGAATCAAACAGAATCGAAATTTAATTTAAGAATGTTCAGTTTACGAGTGGAAAATGATAAAACAATCAGCCAATGTTGGGAATCTTGCTTTAAAGGTGATTTGATTTGATTTTAAAAAAACAGAAAAAAATTTATTGATTTTTTCCAGATAAACTGGATATTATTGGAAAAGCTGTTTTGAAAGCCGCTCGACGTCGATCTTAAATCTTGTTAAATGATAATCTTGTAAAATAAAACTGTTTTTTTAAATTAATTTTCGAATTTGTATATCTGAGAATTAAAATAAAAATGCATTTAGTTGATGGGATATTTTTGAATCAATAAATGAATATTTTTTAGGATTGCAAATATCGAACAATCTGGAGAGCTAAACATGGAACAATTCGATTATTGGACCACATTTTCCAACATTTCCCCGAAAAATTGTTGAAATGTGAGAAATGCGGGATTTGGAAGAGGAATTCGAGACAAATCAAATATCATAATAGGGTTTATCATAAAGAGAATAAAATGAAGAAGTTTTCGACGAAAAGGTGAGTTTTTTGGTTTCACGGCCTTTTGACAGGGGGAGAGAGAGACGCAGAAAAAACGAGAAATAAATTCAAAATCAAGCGCGGGAACATTTTTGAATTCAAAAAAAATTTTAAAATTTTTCCCGCGCTTGGTCTCGAAGCGAGGAACAACTTTTGTATTTCTCTCGGAGGATTTTGTGTTTCACCCTCTGCATCTGTGAGAAATCGTAATAATTTTTAATTTTTTTCAGAATTCTCAATGAAAACTTGGAATTGAGAAACTTGTGGAAAACTTGCTTTTCAGGTGAGTTTCAGTTTTTTTTTTCATTGTTGATTTTTAAAATTAAAAATTATGAAAATTTTTCAGATGTTGTTGTAACTTTCGTCAAACATCATCCGAAATGAATCAAAAATCATGTGCCATAATTTTAATCTGTCAAATATTTATCAAAGAATGCCCATAAAGTTTATCAAATTTTCAAGCGACATATCTGATTGTGCGCTGGTATTGCTGTAAATCCAGCCAGCATAATTCCAATCGTATCAGATATCGAAACAAAACCCATTGACCATTCACGATATGTTGAAGGAATCTGCAATTGGAATTTTTTTTAAATTTAAATTCAAAAAAGAAAAAAGGTCCACTAACCTGTTTATGTACATTTCTAAATATGCAAATATATGCAGCTCCACCTAACAATCCTTCAAAAAGGACTAATCCGAAAAGAATTGATATATGTGGAAGAATGAGCATTGAAATGGCACAAATTGTGAAAAATATTGCGTTTGAGACCTGGAAAATTCTAGATTTTTGGCTGAAAAAAATTCTAGATTTTTAGCTGAAAAAATATCGCCCAAAAATTGGGGGGTATTTCTAAAAAAAATTGAAAACTTTTCAGGTTTAGGCTAATATGAGCAATCCTTCAAAATTATCACTAAAAGGGCTTGAAACTTCTATAAAATTTGAAGCTAATATGAGCAATGCTTTAAAATTCACAAGAAAATCTAATTTTTCGGTAAAAAATTTCGAAAACTTCACACTAACCTGAGCAATGCTTCAAAATTATCATTGAAAAGCGATTTTTGTAGTCTAATATGAGCAATACTCCAAAATTATTATTAAAATGCAATTTTTGCTTGAAAATTCTGTGAAATTTGAAGCTAACATGAGCAATGCTTTAAAATTATCATTGAAAAGCGATTTTTGTAGTCTAATATGAGCAATGCTCCAAAATTATCATTGAAAATCGATATTTTTCTTTCAAACAAATTTTTCCCCATCAAAAATTTTTGCTGGAAAAGTTCCTAACCTGTAAAAATGCCAAAATAAATGGCGAAACTGTTATCAAATCACTGGATGATCTCGATATAAACACTCCGATCTGATATGTTACTTGATACCATCGATATTGAGCATCCGCGGATAATTCGAAGCCATGAGCACAATCGAATTCGAAAAGTTCGAGCTGAAAAACAAAAAATTGTTTTTTTTAAGTCGCAAAATATTTTCCCACCAATCCTTGATTAATAAAATATTCGGCAAAATAGACAAGAATCAGTGGAAGCATGAATTTCACAAATAATTCCTGTTTTCTGAATGGAGTTTGGCTAACTTCCACTTCTTCTTCTTCATTTTCATTTTCTTCCTCCAAAAGGCTTTCATTTTCCCTCTCATTCTCCTCCCAAATCCACCAAGTTCGCGGCTCACAAAATCGAACTCTTTGCACAGTGTGTGGAATTCTCAAAACACCCCAATAGGTTATCGAAAATACGGGCGGAATTGTGAAGAACATGAGGAGGATTGCGGATTTTGGAGAGAATGCGAGAAATTGACGATCGGTGAGGAAGGCGTAGGAGAATGCTCCGATTAGGCCAGCTCCGCCAGTTCCAGATGACCAATAGGATACTGAGTTGCTGGAAAAATATGGATTCTAACTAACATGAGCAATGCTTTAAAATTCACAAGAAAATCTAATTTTTCGGTGAAAAAATTCGAAAACTTCACACTAACATGAGCAACGCTTCAAAATTATCATTGAAAATGATATTTTTTGTAGTCTAATATGAGCAATGCTCTAAAATTATCATTGAAAATCGATTTTTGTAGTCTAATATGAGCAATGTTTCGAAATTCACAAGAGCATCTAATTTTTAGGTAAAAAGTTTTGAAAACTTCACACTAACATGAGCAATGCTGCAAATTTATCATTGAAAATCGATTTTTTTAGTCTAATATGAGCAATGTTTCGAAATTCACAAGAGCATCCAATTTTTCGGTTAAAAAATTCGAAAACTTCACACTAACATGAGCAATGCTTCAAAATTATTATTAAATTTTTTTTTTCATTTTTCAGGTCTAAATTATGACAAAAATGAGCAATTCTTAAGAAAAAGCATTTATTTTGAAGCTAACATGAGCAATGCTTTTAACTAATATTAAAAAGAACCCAAATTTTTCGGATTTTCCAAATTTTTTATTAAACTTTGAAAATTTTCAATTTCAAATATCAAAATAAAAAATTCACCTTTCATAATTTGCACTCAATGCAAGATATGAAATCTCACCAAGTCCACTTCCAAAACTCGCCAAAATCACACCAAACAATGCGACTACCGTACTCTGACTCGTTGAGACCAATAAAAAACTGGCAGCTTGAAGGAGAACAACAATGAAGTGGCGAATTCTAGAAAAATGCATTGTTCTGAGATTTTTGAGTTATTTCAGGCCTAGAGATCAAGATTCAGGCTTATCCAGATTCCCCGAGCATTTTGAGCCCAAAAATCATTATTTTCAGACTATTTTAGGCACAGGGTGTGCGATAGAGCGCACATGCTGTTTTCCTCTTTGAAAAATAGTTTGAAACCCACCCAAAAGGTATTTTATGCACATAAATTGGCGCGGTTAATTTGATAATTAAAGCCGGAATAATATCAGCCAATAAAACACTTCCAGTTGATATAAATTGACAATCACGCGATGAAATTTGAGGCTGAAAATTGTTAGGGTTACTGTAGGGAAAATTCTCAGGTTTCTCCGGAATTTCTTGGATTTTTCTTCAGAATTTAACAGAAAATCAGAATTTTAGAAAAACTTTCAGAATTTTTCTTTTTTCTAAAAATTTCTGAGATGAAAAATCGATTTTTGTAGTCTAATATGAGCAATGCTCAACATTTTTTCATGAATTTTGAAGCTATCATGAGCAATGCTCCAAAATTGTCTCATGATGGCCTAGAAATCGTGGAATTTTAATTTCTAGGCCATATTCAGTATCTCAATGATGAGGATGGCCTAGAAATCGTGGAATTAAATTTTCTAGGCCATATTCTGTATAAATTGGATTTCTAGGCCATATTTAGTATCAAAATGATCAGGATGACCTATAAATCGTAAAATTTTATTTTTAAAAAATTTGAAAACTTCACACTAACATGAGCAACGCTCAAAATTTCCATAAAAATCGATTTTTAGGTCAAAACTGATGACTAAAATGAGCAACGCTCCAAAATCTTCTCTCTCTCACCCTACAACTTTTCTCCTGATGACTTTCCGGATCTAGAATATCTTTCGCCGCGCTGAGCATAATTACATAAGCGAAATTATTGCACAATCCAAGGAGCCTGAAAAATTATTGAATTTTTAAAACTAAAAAAAAATAATAAAAATAAAAACTCACCAAAACCCAACGCCATTTCTAGACATCTAAAAGCTTAAAATTTTCATGATTGATTTTTTCCAACACAAAAAAAGCAAAAAAAAAGAATTTCAGCGTAATAAAATCGCAAAATTACAAAAAATTACCAAAAAAAATTATTTAGATAAATAAGTATTTACTCGTCATTTCTGTGCACAGGTTATTTAAATAAAAATTAATGCAATAAAAAAATGGATTATTGATCTCCATGGCAATTTTCATCGAATCCAATCAATGATTCGTTCAATTTGTCTCGAATAGTGTAGACTGTTCCTTTTTGGGATTCGGTTAAATTGGGGTTTCGTTTGAAAATCGCGTCTTCGATGTGCATTAGAGTTGCCCATAATTGACGGATTGATGTCTGGAATTTGGGGATTTTCGAAAAATAGAAAAACATTTATTTTGAAAACTGGGATTCGGAATCCCAGTTTTTTTTTTTCAAAAATAGGGGTATGCACTGGCGGATTTGAAACAGGGGTATGCGACGTATGGGGATTCCGAAACTGTTGAAAAATGCTTTTCAAAAAAATTTTCGATTCAGAAAATGTCAAAAAATAGGGAGAAAATACAGTGATTTTTTTCGACCTAATAAAAAACTCGGATTCCGGAAAAATGTTATTCAAAAAAAAAAATTTATTGAAAATTTTATATTTTCAAAGTGCATACTTTTTGCTATTCACAAAAATTGTAAAACTAGATCAAATTTATTTAACCTGAGCAATGCTAGACAAAAATTCAGGAGTTGTTTTTCGAAAGAATTTGATTAAATTTTTCTTTAAAAAATTTTTTTGAATAACTTTTTTCCTGAACTTCAAAAAAAATTATTTTTGAAAATTTGATATTTTCAAAGTTCGTTGCTCAGATTATACTTTTGCAATTCACAAAAAAATCGAATTTTTTTAACCTGAGCAATGAGCAAAATTCAGAAATTTTGAATTTTCCTCAATTTTTATTCCAGAAAAATTTGGATCTACTTGATTTTTTGAATAAAAACAGGAAATTTTCAAAAAAAATCTCCAGAATTTTTCCCAAATTTTTTTTACCCAAAAAACTCCCCCAAAACCCCTTACCGTATTAACCATTTGATTATAATTCTCCTCTTTTTTATCATAATACAACCCGCCATTTTTCAATTGTTCAGCCGAAGTTTCACTCAAATACACAATCGTCTCAATTCCCTGATCCAAATTTTTGGCAATCAGCCAAATGAGCGGATAGGCCAAAGCGCGGAGAAGCCAATGAGTTTCGCGGCCAAGTTCGGTGCCATTTACAAAACCGGGTCGAACACAATAAATATCAATGTCATATTGTTCGAGCATCCTGTGAGAAAAATGGTTATGACGTGGCAAATTTCTGCATTTTTTCAAATAATCAAAATCCCAAAAATTTTAGAATTTTAGAAAAAAATATATTTTTGTTCAAAAATTTAGTAATAATTTCTATAGAAAACTGAAAGTTTCTATTTTTTCTAATTTTTTTAGGTTACTCTGAATTTTTTAACTGAAAGTTTTTTGGCTGAAATTTTGAACTCTTCTCTTGAAAATTTCGAAATTTCAAGCTGAAAATCTGGAATTTTTTTTATAGCTTTAATTCAAATTCTGAAATTTTTGATCCAAATTCAAAAGCTTTAGAATTTTTGAAAAAATTCTTGAGATTCTTAAAAATTTAGAATTTAGACACTTACTTTGCCATCGCCACAGTATACAAACAATTTCCCAATTTACTAATTGCATAAGCCTGTTTCGCATTATAATCCCAACCTTCTTCGCCCAACAATTTTTGAATCGCTGGCATTGAATGAGCCTGAAAAGTTTCAGACTCGCTGATCACTATTCCGTTGTCTGAAATTGCAGAGCTCAACTCCTAATATGAGTTATGACGTGGCAAATTTAGTAAAATCAGGATTTTATGAGCTTGAAAAAAGATTATCGTCCAAATCTGATATAAATTAGTTTCCAGCTCATAAAATACCGGATTTTCCGGTTTTTTCACGGAAAAATCAATTTTCCGGTTTTCCGGATAATGTACTCGGAAAATCCGGAAAACGATCTTTAGTAATATTTACAATTTTGCCTAAATTTTGAGAAATTTTCTCAGTTTATGATAGAAAAAATGAAATTTTTTTTCAATTTTTTTTTCAATTTTTCAAATTTTACTATGTTTTGAACGTAAAACGTCTCAAATAGTTACTAAATCACCGGTGAATAGAAAAATTGTAGATAAAAATAAGTTTTAGTGCCAACTTAAGGCTGAAAATCGAAATTTCCGACTTTGAAAAATTTTCCGGTTCAAAAAATCCGGAAATTTTCCGACTTTCCGTTTTCCGGGTTTTGATTTTCCAGCATAGGCCTGATTTTTATTAAAAGTGAAAGTTGAGAAGACATCTTACATTTTTATACAATCCACTTCCAATCACAATAATCCTCGATTTGAAATCCTCTCGATCGGAATGCATTAAAAGTGGAAGAAGTCGTTCGCAAACTGCAAAATGGCCAAAAACATTGGTGGCGAAGTGCATTTCGATTCCATCAACTGATAGCTGCAAATTCGAATTTTCCTCTGGTTTTTTGGCGCCAAAATAAATTTTGGCAGAAATTTTTAATTGGTTACATACTTCTGAAACTAATTTTGAAAATTTTCTAACCTCAAACGGCCATCCCATAATTCCGGCATTATTTATAATAACATGCAATTTATTGAAATCCTTGTAAATTTCATCGCAAAACGCGACAATCGAATTATAGTTAGTTATATCGAGCTGAAAAATGTTTTGAAATTTATTTTATTTTTTTTTAATTAAAAAAACCAACAGTATATAAATGCAATCTTTGGTTTTCATTTTGTTGCTCTTTTTGCTCGGCTGTATTTTGACTCGCAATTTCCTCAACCGCTTTTCGTCCTTTCACCTCATCTCGACAGGTTATAATAATGTTTGCTCCTTTTCGATACAACGCTTTTGCCGTGTGCAGACCTGGAAAATGTCGATTTTTCAGAATTAAAGCTGAATTTTGCCACGTAGAATTTTAGGTCTAAATTTTGGAGATAAAAAAATTTGATGCTGAATTTTGCCACGTGGAATTCTTGGCTGAGAAATTTCAGAATCCTGATTTTTTTATCTGAATTTCGCCACGTGGATTCTTGGCTGAAAAATTCAGAATTCTGATTATTTAATCTGAATTTTGCCACGTGGAATTCTTGGCTGAAAAAATCAGAATCCTGAATTTTTATCTGAATTTTGTCACGTGGAATTTTCGGCCCAAAATAAAATTTAGTTGTTGGTTTTTTTTTTGAAAACTTGAGCTCAGATTTGAATAGAAAAATCCAACTAGCATTGCTCAGGTGAAAGAAACTCGATTAGATTCTGCAAATTTTCTGAATAATTTGCAAAAAGTATAATCTGAGCAACAAGGTTTCAAAACGCATTTATTATTTTCTGAAGCAAAAAAAACTAGTTTTTAACATCTAAAATTGAAATTTTCGTTGCTCAGCTTATAAATTGTGTTTTCAAAATTCTATAATCTGAGCAATTGAAAATTCAGAAGTTTTAATTTTTGGAAAAAAAATTATGAGAATTTTTAGGCCATTCTAATGGATTTCTACAAAATTCTAGACAAATTTTCAATTTTTCTAAAAAAAAAAAACTAACCTAATCCAGTTGTCGATCCAGTTATCAGAACATTCAAACCATCCATCTGAAAATGTTTCAGAAATTTTCTGAATGAAAAATAAAATAAAATCAATATAATATCGGTCAGAAACCGTATTTTCAACTTAATTAATTATTTCCGAATCTCAAATCTTCATTTAAAAATTTATTTTGAACCTACACAGTACCCGCCCATTCAAAAATCGACTAAATTTCTACATTTCTATAAAAATCTACAAAAATATTCCATCTATTCATTCCTCCACTTATTTCGTTCCTCAATTTTTCTTTCCATTCGTTTTTCCTTCAAACTTCGAATATGATCGGCGTCTTGAAGTGCACGAAACCATCGATATTCTTCGCGAATTTCGTCGGGATTTTTCTCCTGTTCACATCGCATTTTCCAGGCTTCATCGATGTCGGCTTTCAGAATTCGACCCAGTGAAGAGACCTGGGAAAAAATTAGAATTGATGGAAGTTTTGGAGCTGGTGGAGAGTTCAAATTTTGAAGAAACTTGAGCTAAATTTTGAGGAAAATTAGAAGCTCTGAGAATCAAAAAATCTGGTGAATTTTTCAAGCTAGCATTGCTCAGGTTTAAAATAATTTTGAAATAATTTAAATTTTGAGAATTTTGTCAATATAAAAAAGTATGAACTGAGCAATGAGCATTCATTTTAATCCCTAATTTTTTGCTTGCTCAGGTCAAAATTAATCAATTTTCTTTAACCTGAATGTTATTTGAAAATTCCGATTTTTTGATTTCCAGAGTTTCTAATTTTTATTCAAATTTTAGCCCAAGTTTTCAGGAAAAAAACCCAAAAACTAAACTTTATTTTGAGCCAAGAATTCCACGTGGAAAAATTCAGCTTCAAAATTGTTTATCTCCAAAATTTAGACCTGAAATTCCACGTGGCAAAATTCAGATTGAAAATCTATTTAGATTTCAAGATTTGAGTCAAGAATCCACGTGGAACCCAAGCTTCACTCAATTTTTCAACATTTTCAAAAAAAAATTTCAAGAAATTGCTTGCTCAGGTTAAAAAGCATTGCTCAGGTTAAAGAAAATTGATTAATTTTGTTTTTTCTCAGATCAGATTTTTTTGGTTGAGTGGGTGAATTTTTTTTCTAGAAAATTTTTTTTTTAATTTTTTTGTGGGCTCCCAACGCTCCTTCGAAATCTTTCCAAACCACTCACATCATGTTCACCATCTCTCACTTCCCGCTGCCTCAAAAAACATTTCGCGATCTCATCCTCATCCACAAGTTTGTCCAATTGTTTTTGATTCCAACTCAGCATATATCTGAAAATTCTCTTTTTTTTCTTGAAAATCCAAAAAAAAATTATCTGCTCACACATATCCACCATTATAAAGAACAACGATGGCGAGTCCAATTCCGGTCCATTTTAAAATCGATTTCATGAAATCCTTCGATGATTTGTCGCGTTCTTCTCGTGTTTTTCGCGCAGAATCATTTGAGGCCCATTCAGCTGACCAACCTCTGAAAGAATATTGGGATGATGAGCTATGACGTGGAAAAGTTTGCAAACCTCGAAAAATCATATTGTGGATGTGCGGAATTATACGCATTTCCACCGCCTCTCCCAGCTCCAGGTCTAATTCCATTCTTCAATTCATAATCATATAATCGTCTATCAGCTGGTCGCCTCAAAATATCATAGGCGGTTTTGAGTTCGACAAATTGGCTCGTCGATTTTTTGCCATCTTTTTGATTGTCCGGGTGAAGCTGAAAATGGAAAATATTAGTTTTTCTTCAAAAAATTGAACAAAAATATTGAACACACATTTTTTTCTTATCATTTTGAATTGAAAAATGTGACAATGATGATGAAATATGATTTTTTTCGGATGGAAAAATAAAAAAAAACTCATGAAACTTTCGAAAACTGTCTGAAGCTTATATAGACAAAGTGAAAATCCAATATTTCCTTCAAAAAACAACCAACTTTTTTCGATTTCTCATAAAACGCCGATTTTATTTGATCAATCGATGCATTTTGAGGAACTCCGAGTATTTCATAATGATTTGGGCGAGTAGAAAATGAAGAATAACTAGTTGAAGTTCTGCCAACTCATAAAAATCAATATTTTCCAGTTTCATCAAATGTTTGCCTACCTGTTAATACATAGACATTTTGTGCGAGTTCCCCGTAACATCTAATCTTTAAAAATTTTGATGAATCAAGGAACTTACTTGACAAAAAATCGAAGTTGAACGTTAAAAAATTGAAAAAAAATACGTGGCCGATAAATGTCGGAAACTCGGCCATTGCAACAAACGCGCTCCAACTTCAATTTTTTCGCAAAAAATATTCCGAAAATTGTAAAATTCCACAAAATCCCTCCAAAACCTCACACAAAACCATAATAAAATATTCATTTTCAACGCAAAAAAAAGGGTCAGAGAGAGAGAGAGAGAGTTCGGATAATTTAAGGCATACCGAGATATTGGGAAGAGGTTGATGAGGCACTTGAAAAATAAGAAGAAAAAATGAAAAAAAAAACGAAGGGGGCGTGGCGGAATAATAATTAAGTGAAGAATGATAAATAAACACCTAAAAAAGGAAAAAAGAAGTCATTTTGGAGCAAAGTTTGTTAAATAAAATAAAAAATAATAAAAAAAATAATAATATAATCCGAGAGAAAGAAAGAAAGTTACATATTTTCATATTGATCAATTCGTCGTTTAGTATTTCCTCCGCGAATTTGACGCAAAGTCTTGTACTTATCACGTCCAGCCTTTTTGTTTTCCATGTGCAAAACATCATAGTCAGTGACCGCCGCTTGATCTTTAACACTGTCCAATTCTCTGGTCAACATATCCAATTTGTTCTTGATGTGGATGTTTTTCTCGGCTGCTGTGACACGTTCCAATTCGTGTTGTGGCACGTGTTGATCAGCGTCGTTGGTCAATTCTGAAAAATTGAAATTTGAAAGAAACGAAAAATTTTTTAAAAATGTTTTTTAACTTTGAAAGATCAATTCACGAAAAGAAAAATTAGTTTTTCTAGTTTTTCAGCCAAAAATGATGACAAATTGAGAATTTTGAAGCTTCTGGAGTAATTTCTGATGAAAATTGACCTTGCTGATTTTTCGTAAAATAAAAAATTTCAATTTTTGGTTAATTTCGAAAAAATTAAAAAAATAAGGCAAAATTGGGTTCTCGAAGCTAATTCTCATCAGAAATCACTCCAGAAGCTTGAAAAATCTCGATTTGTCATCATTTTCGGCTGAAAAACTCGAAAAACTAACATTTTTAAACATTTTTTTTTCGTTCCTGAATCAGTCCTAACAAAAATTTTGGAGCCCAGACATAATTGGAGCATTTCTCTGGGGAAAAATTCAAAAATATAGTTTTTTGTGAAAAAATTGCATTCATAGAAACAATTTTTATCAAATTTTTCAGTCCAAAAATTCGATAAATCAAGCCTACTCCAAAATGTTCCAAAAAACTCACCAGTCACACCATTTTCCTCGTCATCTGTCGCAGTTTCATCGTGATTATGATGATGATGATGATGATGATGATTGTTAGTTTCGACCTGAAAAAAACAACTTTTACACAATTTTTCACAGGCCCAAATAAGCTTGAAGCAGGCCTGTGCCGGAAAATCCGGAAAATTTTTCAAAGTCTGAAATTTCCGGATTTTCAGCCTTAAGTTGACACTAAAACCTATTTAGTAACTATTTGAGACGTTTTATGTTCAAAATTTTGAAAATTTCCCAAAATTTAGGCAATTTTGAAAATATTACTACTAAAGAAAACCGGAAAATCGGGAAATTCGGAAAATTTCCGTCACAGGCCTGGCTTGAAGCCTAATAAATTCTGGCCTTGAGAAAAGCCTAGGCCACAATTCAGATTCAGAAAACCTTACCTGTGTTTGCAATTGTCTTGTAACAGTAGTTTGTCGTTCAACTTCTTGTCTCATTGTATAAACCTCTCGTTCTCTCGTCTCAACTTGATCTCTCAATCTTCTTCTCTCATCATCCGACATTTGTTTCTCACTTTGCAATTGCAATGTCAACTCGCGCAACTCCAATTCTTTGTGCTCCAACGCTTCTTTGGCCAACTGAAGTTGTCTCAATTGCGCTTCTAATCCATGAATTGTATTGTGCGCCTCTTCCAATTCTCTCTTCGCTCTCTCAATATCCGCCACCATTTTCGCCATTCGCAATTCGGCTTCTCGTTGTCGCGATTCGGCCTCTTCGCGAGCACACATCTCGCGATTCAATTTCTCTTGTTCCGCAATTTTGAAGGCACGTTCTTCGCGTGCTTGTTGCTTCATTTGTTGAACTTCAATTGTGTCCGGCTTTCTGCGTCTCATGTACAATTCATGATTTCCCATACAAAGTGCAAGGATTCGTTTGTTGATACGAAGGCGGGGAGCGTAGAAGACAAAGTCCTGCAAAAATTGAGCTGAGAAAATAGATTTTATTTATTTTTAAATAGTTTTTGACCTTCTGATCACGATAAAATTTCAAAACTCAACTTCTAATATGAGTTATGACGTGGCAGGACTTCAAGAGCTGAAAACCAACTTCAGAAATGATTTGTCAAAATCTGATATCATAGGATTGTTCAGGAGAATAGACAAGATTTGCAGGAAAATAATTTTGAAAATATTTTTCAAGCTCCTAAAGTCCAAAAGTTTTTTTAATTCGGACTTTAGGAGCTGAAAACTATTTTCAAACATTATTTCTCCTGAACAATCCTATGCTATCCGATTTGCATGATAAGCAATTTTAAAGCTAGGTTTCAGCACTTAAAATCTTGCCACGTCATAACTCATATTAGCAGTTGAGTTCTGCAATTTTAGGTTCAAAACTATTAAAAAACTTTAGAAACTTACATGTGCTTTCTTATCGATTGGTTTAATCACGAATTTCTTGTCATTGAAAGAAATATTGCGAATTTCGGACCATGGGAATCCAACTTTCGGCGACAAACGGTCAGATTTGTCATAAATATTCAAACCAAGTGCGTCTACTCCCAAATACAAATCGGTTCCTTTTTTATTACGAATTTCAAAGTACTGGAAACAAATATTTTTTTATTTTATTTATTTAAATGTTCAAAACTTGGATGAGAAAAGAAAACTCACATTAACACCGTACATTTCCAAATCTTGAGCAATTTTCAAATATTCCAACATCGCCTGATGTTGGGCAGTTCCCTTATGATCCGCCCACCACGTCATAATTCGTCGCTCCCACTCGTCGCTGTTCAATTTGAATTGACCCAAAACTCTTTGGGGCAAAAGTCGATCGGCTGTCAAACTTCCAGCAATGTGTGTTTCGGGAGAATAGTCGCCGTATTTGGCTTGCATCGCATAGGAAGCGAGAAGAACTGATGATTCTGGAGGACAATAGATCTCGTCGGACAGAATGCCATCTTTGACTTGAAGGTAGAATAGCCTCTGGAAAAGAAAATATTGAATGAAGGGGTTTTGAAAATTTTCCAAATTTTCAAGGGTTCAGGGCTGATTCACCAATCAAAAAAATGTTTTTTAACATCGAAAGATCAATTCACGAAAAGTCGAAAAAATATTGTAGGTCAAAATTAGTTTTTCGAGTTTTTCAGCCAAAAATGATGACAAATCGATATTTTTCAAGCTTCTGGAGTAATTTCTGATTAAAATTAACCTTGAAATTCACTTTGCTGGTTTTGCTGATTTTTCGTAAAATAAAAATTTGAAACTTTGATGAATTTCGAAAAAAGCAATTAATAGGGTTCTCGAAGCTTATTTTAATCAGAAATTACTCCAGAAGCTTCAAAAATATCGATTTGTCATCATTTTTGACTGAAAAACTCGAAAAACTAATTTTGACCTACAATTGTTTTCGACATTTTTTGACTTTTCGTGAATTGATCTTTCAATGTTAAAAAAAACATTTCAAAACATTTTTTTCGTTTGTGAATCAGCCCTAATGTTTGGAATCTGAACTTTCGGATGATTCATCATATTTGATTTAAAGCAGTGAAAAAAGTTATGACTGTTTAAAAATGGGGAAAAACAGGAAGCAGTGAAAAAGGGAAAAGTTTTGAATAAAAAAGATAGAAGAACTTTTTCCAAGCTTCAAAATCTTGAAAAAAATATAGTTAAATATGGGCTTAAAGTTATTTTTCTTGAGAATTCTAGAACCGAAATTTCAGATTCTTCAGAAAACTTCTAGAAAATAGAATTATCTTGAGAAGTCGAGGATCAATCTATTCTATTTTCTAGAAGTTTTCTGAAGAATCTGAAATTTCGGTTCTAGAATTCTCAAGAAAAATAACTTTGTGCCGAGATTCTAGATCTTTGAAGCTTGGAAAAAATATTTCTTCAATTTTTTAAATTCAAAACTTTTCCGCTTCCTGTTTCTCCCATTTTTATGTGCCATTTTTAAACAGTCATAACTTTTTTTCTCTACTTCAAATCAAATATGATGAATCATCCGAAAAAACACACTGTGATCGTTTTTTGTTCTTTAATAACAATGTGATGTTTTGTCGAACCAACTTAAAACAATAAAACAAGGAAACCCAATCCTCTTTTGCTTTTCGTTTGCCAACATTATTTACCCAACCAAATATAAGCTGGCATTTCCATGTACATTTCCAGTCTTATCAATAAAACACACTCTGTCCTTCTCGAAAAAAATTGGACAAAAAAAAATTTATCAGCCAACCACGTATGGACAAAAAAGGGGAGAGATCGATGGCTGGTCTTTTGCATAAATTATCGACTAACTTTGCAGAAATATTATGAAACACCGTGAAAACGAAATGAAATAAAACTAACCAAAGTGACATCTTGTATAATCTCTTCAGCCACATCTTCCGGATAGAATTTGGCGCGGAATTTGAACACCAAAGTCGGATCCTTTTTCACGTCTTGTGAAAGAACTTTTTTGTTCAATTTCAACCAAGTTGGAAATCCCTTATTGTCAACATATTGAAGACCATAATACCAAATTTCACGAAGACCAATGGTTTTAACCACCTAAAATCATATTTATTTGAAATTGGCGGGGGAAAATAAAGAAAAAATAAGGGAAAATACCTGATCAAAGAGTTGTTTTCCAGTTGTGCTTGATTGTATTGCAAACTCCAACTCGGAGTCCATCGATGTTACACGGACATTTATCTGAAAACGATAAAATTTCCTAAATTCTCCCCTAGTTTTAGGGAACTTACATCACCGGAAACAACCATTTTCAAGTTCTTTTTTCTGGGGGAAAAAGTTGAGAACGATTATTATTAAAAAGAAAACAGAAAAACGGAGCAAAAATGAAAATTGCACGGTTTGTGCTTGCTCTCCGCCCACTTTTTCCACACAATTTTTATCAGTTTTTGTGTCGATAACTTGACATTCTCTCCGGTGATGTATTAAAACACTATTTTGAGTGTGAATTACGATTTTTCGTAAGAAAAATGATGATAAAATAGGTAAACTCACAGCTTTTTTCGACATCTTTTGTGTTCCTCAAAATAAATTGGAGCTTTTCTTTCCGCTAGTTTTCTCAGTGTTTCACCACTTTTTGGGGCAATTTCGACCTTCGATCAATCTATCGTTTTGTCCAATTTCTACAAAAAGTATGAATCATATAAAAAGGAAAAAACAAGCAAATTTAAATATTGAGAAAGCAGGCGAGAGAGAAAAAGAAAATATTTAATATGAGTCATATAACAATGTGTATAGGTGTCAAAATTCAAATTGCGCTGATAATGCATGAATATAACAAAGTGTGAATAATGCAGTACTATGCAAATATCAAGTGTGTTGTATCAGTCAGTTTGCACTTGAAATATTTCGCTTGCAAAGGAGAGAAAGCGGGAAAAAAGTGGGGTGAAAAATTCGAAATGAATGTTTCGCGGGTTGTGCATTGACACACAATCTGACGCGCAAATGCACAAAAAAATTTGAAAAGTTTTTTTTTTGCTTTTTTTCTTTTTCAAGCTTTCCTTGGCAAATTACTACATGTTCTAGATTCCTAACAACACAACAATCTGGTCAGGAACATGGTAAGGTTTCTCTCTAAAAATTTTGATTTGAAAAAATCTAAAAACCCCTGAACTTACGTTAAAAGAAATTAGAAATGACCGAGCTCAAAAATTTTTAGAAAAAAAATACATTTTTCAGCGTGAACTAGAAAAATTTCTTATCACCATTAAATACTACATTTTTTGCATTCCTAACATTTAATAAAATAATCTGACTTTTCGAAAAAGTCATAATTTTGTTTCGAAAAAATACGCTAATCTTCAATGTCACAAAAACATCTGCTAAAATCAATATGGTAAAATCAAATCAAAATGATGATTTCGAAATGTTCTCTCGCTGGCCGGAAAAATACAATTGGCCAAAATAAATAAACATAGAAAGCGAGAAAAAAACAAGTAAACCTATCAGATTACCAAAAATGGAACACATTTACTTTTTATCATCCGCAAATCAATCGATAAAAAATCGACGCGTGTTCAATGTATTTTCCAAAACGATTTCATTATTACATAAATTTATTTATGCGAAAGAAAGAAAATCCGGAAAACGAAAGGAAAGGAACAAGATAAATTGGAAGGGAACGCGAAAAAAAACACAAGCAAGCATGTCATGGTGGTTTCCACAAAAAACACAAGACGCAGACATACAGTGCCCGCGCGCGTCTCAACAAAAAAAAGAAGGAAAAAGAAGTGAGGATGTTTGCGTTTGACATGTACGTCGAAAGAAGGAAAATGAAGGGAGGACAGGAGGGAAAAAAAGGAGAAGAAGAAGAAACAAAAAACAATAAAAAAGTATGTGTTAGATAGATAGATAGATTTAGTGTAAACACAACTTTTCATTATTATTATTATTGTTGTTGTTTTTATGATGAGCAAACAAAAACATGATAAAACGACATTTAAAACTCCGTACAGGTAATCAAGTTTGCTCTATCGCACACTTTGTGTGTACTTCTCTCGGAATTCAACAGCTTTTGGTTCGCTACGCACAATTGCGGACTTGCTTTTTCACAAGGGAACACCAAAGATTGTTATGAATTCCGAGAGAAGTACACACAAATAAATTATGTGTGCGATAGAGCAAACTTGATTACATGTGTGGTGTTTTAGAGGAAAAAGCGGTAAAATAGTGAATCAGAAATTTTTCCCTGGGAAAAATCTTCGACATGTAAACCAAAAAAAAATGAAAATGAAATAGAACCTAGAGCTAAAACAAACAATTTCAGATCGATAAATTTCTCATATCCAATTATTTTTTCTTTTTTTTTCTCTATCTCTTCTAAACGAACAGCGAAGAATTAAAAACTAGCTAGAAAACCTCAAAATTCCGTCCGGAAAAAGGCGAGCAGGTCTCAGCAAAAATGGTTCAGAACTGAACAAGCTAGGCAACGAGAAGAAAAGTGTGCATTTGTGATAATCCCGAATCGGCAACTGTCCCCGCCATACAACAACCAACCCCAAAAAAAGTGTACTATATTATATGTATAGAAACAGAGAGAGAGAGAGAGAGAGAGAGAAAAGAAGGAATAGATTATTATTATTATTATTTATATTTATTATTATTGATATATGCAAGTTGACACCGATACAAATACAGAAACAGAAAGATAGAAGAAAATAGATAGATGGAATTAGATGGCAAATTGAGATAATGTGTCGAATAACAATAATATGAATACCTTTTTTATACAAATCGCCCGAATTTATTCTAGTAAGCGACCGGTTTTGGTCAGATATGATGATTGGAATGTCCGAAATTATTCATAAACTTTTTTCAGTTGGTCAAAAAGTGTTTCGATTCTTTAATCCTAATTTATGCTAAATACAGAAAGTTTGGGCTAGCGAGGGAGAGGCGAAATTTGCTATCTAGAAGTGAAAAAATAAATTGTTGAAATCGCTCAGCCGAGTGTTTGCACACAAAAGAAAATGGGTGTGCGATAGAGCACACATGCTCGCTGTTTTGTGATTTGAAAAAAGTTTTAGTTTTCGTAGTTGTTATTGTGTCATTAAGGTTACCCCAGAATAGTAAAAGCACTAATAAATTGCTGAAAAATATTTTTCTTATGATTTTTCGAAAATAAAATTTCATGCACTTTCAGAACTCGACTCAACGTTAAACTCTACTGAACCGACATCAGCCTGATTTAGAGAACTCATTGAGAAAATTCTGGCTATCAATATGAACTTCTACAGAACATCGCAGAGCTTTCAAGAAATGTCTAGCTTTGAACATCACAAAAAGGACACACATACTCAAAAACAATGTTGAAAACATCGCTGAAGATTTGGAAAATGTGTCACAAGTTTTTGTTCGCTTCAGATGAACCGACTAGATTAGATAGATATGCACTTTTTCAAAACAATAAGAATAAATTTCTAAATATTTTCTCATACTAGACCTTCACAGAACTGAAAGCTTACTAATTTGCTAATATGTGGAATTATAGTGCACTTCAAGGCAAAAAGTGAGCTCTGATAGGAAGTTCAAAGAAAAGATATATGTCCAATACAAAACGAAAAAGAAAAAAGATTCCAATCATAAAATCTCGGCCGACGGTTGTCGGCTTTTTGCAAAAAAAAAGAAGAGGGAAAAGACGAAAGAAGGTTATATAATTGTACATTTATTGGATTGACTAAGAGGACATATATGACCTTCAAATACATATCTACATATGGTTTCAAAAGAATATTCCTTGTCTTGTTCAGCCAGAGAGAAAAAACAATTTATTATACTTTTAAAAATCCCGTATTCAGAAGTGTTTAGCACAGAAAGAAGCATTGGACAAACATAAAAATATGAGAATTTAGACGAATTCTGGTTGCACATTTGGTTCGATGTTTTGATAGCCAACTACGGTTTTTGAATAATATGATGACATTCTTTGACGATAATTTCGATAGAGGTATAAGATTGCGGCAGCTATTAAAGCGAGAATCAGGAAATTGAAGAATGAATAGCCTTTTGATGATTTTGATGATTTGCAGAAATCGTTGGGAAGCTCGAATACGTTTTTTCCTTTTAATTCTGGCGGTGATGCGCAGAATGTGTTTCCCTGGAAAAATATGAATGAAGATTTTTTGAATGTGATTTTTGAAGGTTTCATAAATTCTACAACTTGTTTATTATCGAAAATACCACGCGCTCCACCGAAATAAACACGCAACGCAGACCGCGTCGCACCACAACACCCACAAATAAAGGAGGGAATTTGAATCGTTCCTTTATTTGTGGGTGTTGTGGCGCGACGCGGTCTGCGTTGCGTGTTTATTTTGGTGGGACGCGTCGTACCGATGAGATTTTCGATAATACCTCAGGAACACAGGCTCCTTGAAAAACGCACGGAACAAAACAAGAAAATTCGCTCTAGTGCACAATTTCTTGCAGAACTTTGGAAGGTTGGTGTTCTTTTGGAAAAATAAGTCTGCAAATAGTCGTCACCGAAAACGCACACACAAAAGTTGTGCATTAGAGCGCATTTGCTTGTTTTATTGTGTTTTTAAGGAAAAACACGGGCTAGATTTTTTCTAAAACTGAAATTTTCCAGGAAAATTGTAGGCCTGTCAAGGTTTTTCGAAGAAACGCCAACCCTCTGCGCACAGAACCCTCACCTGATTGATGAAGCTAACATCATCCGCTTTGAGAAGCTCCACAATTGCACAATCACAATGAATCGGATTATTTGAAATATCAAAAGAGGATAGAGATGGCATAAAATCCCAAATATCTTGAGGAATTGTGCTAATATTATTGGCAGCCATGAATAAACCTTTGAGATCTTTAAAACATCTTCTGGCAAAGTCCAAGTTTTCCAAATTATTTTGCGATAATTCGAGACGCGTTAATCCCTTTACCTGCAAAATTTGGGAATTGGGAATTCTTTTCTATAAAATTTAAGAACTCACTCCACAGAAAGTCTTTGGATGTAAACTCTTGATTCTATTCGAGTTCAATTGAATTTCCGACAAATCCGCAAAATCATTATTCGAATGGAACAAATTGCGAAGCAAAGCCTCATTTTCCTCAAAATCTCCACCAAGTGCATTATTCATTTCAAGTCTTTTCAATCTTCCAAGTGACATAAATGGATCAGGTTGCGATTGTTTAATCGAATTATTCGATAAATATAAAAATTCAACATTTTGTGTTTTATCGAATCCACGTCGACCGATTCGTTGAATTTTATTTCCCGAAAGATCCAGAAGACTCACAGATGACAGTTTTTGATCTGAAAATTCCGGAGATTGGGAAAAGAAGTGAATTAGGGAAATTATTTGACTAACCATTATTGAATAAATCATCTGTGAGATCGATTTTTGCATTGTGAACAATTATAGTGTCCAAAGTTTTAGGCGCAGGGATCTGAAAATCGACCTATGAGAGAATTTTCTCGAGATCCAGATAAAATCAGGAAATTTAGAACTCTAAGGTTTTTTTTTGAGAAAATCATTAATTTCAGATTGGAATCTTAGAGCTTCTCAATAAAAAATATCAGATCTGCTACAGTAATCCTTGAGAAATTCAATATTTTTGGAATTTCAACTTAAAATCACAGTGAAAAAGTTTTTGAAAACGTTTTCTTGTAGATCAAAAATATTTTTCTCTAAACCTCACACTTTTCTCTGGTTACAGAACAAACTCTCTGTAATTTTTTGGAGGTTCAAAAAATATTAGAAAAACTTTTTTGGTTATAAAAAATCTAAAGAGAAACTGTCAAATTTTGGGAATTAAAATTCCGGAGTTCAAAAAAAATATTTTCAAAATTACTGTATGTCTTTTCCAGTCTCATTATTTTCATTTAAAAATTCTCACCTTTTTCAGTGGATCCTCAGATGTTTTTTCAGTGCACACAACATTTGTTTGATTCCATTGACAATCTGAAATTGATTTCATTGTCAGAATTTGATTTGATCTTGATCATTTCATCTCTCTCCCAATTTCTCCCCAGATCCACCCAATTTTTGCTTCCTCAAAAAATCTGACACAAAGGTGCCAAAGCATGAGGTCGTCATAAAATGTGTAATGCTCATCGTCTGCACTCTCCTCATATCCCACACTATCTCTCACAATCAGAGCAAAATAAATGATTGATCGATGACTATATAGTTAAGCGGGGTAAAAATGAACGGGTGGTGGACAATTTGAAAACATAGATACAACAAAAAACATTTGATTAATTGTTTGTGTGCATTAAAAAATTGTACTAAAATTGTTTTGAGAGCGAGCGAGAGAGTGTGAAGAAATGGAGACGCAGAGAAGGATCTGTTATTTTTTCGAGTGATTTATAGAGGAACAAAAAATGTTGAAGCTTTTTGGAAATTCGTAGATCATTTGAGAAAGAGCACGGACTTTTAAAAATCAGAAAAATTGCAATTTGAGAGAGAGAGAGAGAGAGAGAGAGAGAGAGAGAGAGAGGCAAAATCCTCCAAGAGAATTACAAAACACCGAATGCAGTCTTCGTTTCGAGACCAAGCGCGGGAAAAGTTTTTAAATTCGGAAAACATTTGATTGGTCTCGAAACGAAGACTGCAAAAGGAATTGGGTGTTTTGTATTTCTCTTGGAGAATTTTTTTCTCAGAAAGTTTTTTGGTTCAATTTTTTTGTTGGATGAAAAATGATCCAGGAAAATATTTGAAAAATTAAAATTCCCCTGGCCCGACTTTTCGAAGCCCGTGAACTGCCAGATGCCCTAACCAGGCCTGATTCAAGATCTCCCCCTCCCCAAACCCGACTCACCTGCATTGGTCACTCCAAAACTACCAAATAAAATCAGAGCCAAGAAGAAGAAGAAGCAGGCAAATTTTGCGGTGAGCATAACTTGCACCTTTTCGATCATTGTATGTGTTTGTCAGTCAGTCAGTCAAACACTCCCACCACAAAGAAAGAAAGAAGAAGAAAAGAGAAATGAAAGAAGAAAATACGTTCTCTTTTTCTCTCTGTCCGATCTCTCGATTTACTTTACACACTTCGTCATTCTCCTGCCTGCAAATCGAATCGTATATAAGTATAAATATATATATATAGTACCAATACGGTGACTTTTATGAAGAAATGCGCGGAAAAAATGGGATAGGATAGGTGATAATAACATATTGATTTATCTCCCAAAGAAATCGGAAAAGACCTGACAGTTCAGAATATTTTAGAATCTGAAAATTTTCAGCAACAAGATTTTGAATTTCAATTTTTGAAAAATATTTTTGGATTTTTTCGAAATCCAAAATTGTTCATGATTTTCCAAATCGACTACGGTAATAATTTTCAGATCCTATTTTAGCCTAGAAATTTGATCCTAGAGTCTTCCATAGCCGCTAGAGTCTAGGCTAGAGTCTAGCCTCTAGCGTATATAGAATTCTTGAGCTTCACAAACGCTCTCAGAGTTCACAGACAGCTTAATCTAACTTAACAAAAAAATCACGGCCTTTCAGAAATAGGGAAAATTGCAATTTGATAGAGAGACGCAGAGAGAGAAACACACATTTCTTCAAATTCAAAAACTTTTCCCGCGCTGGGTCTCGAAACGATAGATCAAATTGTTAAGATTTTTGTCTCGTTTTCTCTGCGTCTCTCTCTCTCTCTCTCGATTTACCCTGTAAAAGGCCGTGAAATTTGGTAGATCAAAAATAGGCAATTTGGGAGTAGTACTGTAGTTTCGGGGGTACTGTAATTTGAATATATTACTGTAGATCAGCTCCAGAATCTTCAACGATTCAAATAATCAATTTTCGATCCACGTAGAATTCGAGCTACAGTAATCTAGGTTACTGTATCTCTGAAATTGATCGCTTTAAAAAATCTTCGATGTCTCGAAATTCAATCCTTGGAAGAATTTTTATCCCAAACTAATTGATCTTGATCCACAGTAACCCACCATTTTTGATCTACGAAAATTTGAAAACAAGTGGCTTGGGATAAAAATTGTATCTCAAAAATTCGAAAAAAAAGTTCCAAAATTTTCTCTAGAATCTCAACACACAATATATCTTGTGACAAAGGTGTCATTTTCAAGTTTTGTTCAAACATATGTTGTGGTCATTAATAACACGACCTGATTTTCAAGCTGTTTGAAAACTTTTTTCTTTCACAGGAAAAAAAAATCGTTTTTATTTATTATGGCATAGGAAAAGTCTATGATTGTAAAAAAGTAAAAAAAAAAAGAAAGCGGCGATTTGTAGTAGATTTATGTGGATTTTCCGAGTCTTCTGTATGTTCCGATCCAGGCTTTGCATGATGGACAATAGTGTTCAACATCTTTGAATGTTTCGACGCAAAATGGAACCCAGAGGAAGAAGAGTGGAAGGATGAAGATGCCGGCGATGAGAATGACGAGGAATGAGACGTAGGTGAAGAAACCGTTGACGAATCGGAGCTCGGTTTCACCGTGAATCTGGAAAATTTGGACACATTGAATTTGTTTGAAATTGAGAGAGAGAGAGAGAGAGAGAGTGAAATGTGCCCTTTTCAATTTAATTTTTGAAGCTCTTTTTGGCAAATTGGAGCTAGATTAAAAAGGTCTGAAAATTCTACAGTAGAAAAAAACAGGCCTGTAGAAGGTTTTTGACAAAGTTAAAGCTACAGTAACCTTGCAGTACCCCACTAAAGTTCTCTGGGATTCTGATCTACAAAACTTTAGCACAACAATTTTTTGAGTTCTCACAGAAGTAGCTGAGGTCTACAGTATCCCAGAAATTTCGAGAAAAAATCGGAAATAAACTACAGTAACCCAGAGCCTCATTTTTCTAAATTTTTAAAGGTTCATGTGGTTTAAATTTTAATTGCAGAAAAAAATCCAAAAAAATTGGTTCCAGAAATTTTGAAGTTCAGATTTTTTTATTTCAAGAACTTTTTTTGAAAATCAATTTCCAGTGATTTCAGAAGCACATTTCTTATCAGAATTAAAAAAAAATTTCATGAACTTTCTTTGAATTTTCTTTCTAAAAAATTTTGAAAATAAAATTTAGAGTTTCTGAAATTCTGGACTTTTTGAGAAGTAACAGAATTTTGAAGTCAGATCTGTATTTGGAATTTTCAACTTCTGAACCTCTCCATTTTCATCCAGTTTTTGAATTATTCAAGCTTCAAATTTTTCTTGATTAAAAATTCAGTTCTTTTCTGGAAATTTTATAAATTTTGAAATTTATGAATATTTTTGAGTTCTAAACATTTTATTTATAAATAATTCAATTTCAGGTTTTTCTTGAACTTGATTTTCTCATCAATTTTAAATTTTTGAATTTCGAAAGGTCCCCCTAAAGCTCAAAAATCAATAAATTCTTGACCTATCAAAAATAAAGATCAACTACCTAACCACAATTCCATAATTCGAATGACGCACTAAATAGAAATGGCTAAACAAACATCTTCAAAGATACTTAGACAGATAAAGGTGTTTGCAAAAAAAATGATGTTTAGGAGAAAAAATGAAGATGAAAAAAGTGTACAATCACTTGACTCCTCTTTTTAACAAGTACTTCATACTTCTGAGCAAATGCTCACTTAGTATTGCCCAAAATCTTAACGCGCTCCACCGAAATGAACACGCAACGCAGACCGCGCCGCGGCAAAAATTGAATATTTTTTTGTGTGCAGTAGAGCGCGGATTCGGTTTTAAAATTAACTAAACTAAACCTACTTTGCATCTTGGACAATCCAATAATTGTGGTCGATCGGACAAATATTTTTTCGCATTCACAAGCATCGATGGAGTATGGGATGCTGATCTGAAAAATTTTTCTCTAAATTTTCAACAAAAAAAAATTTTTTTTGATAAAAAGTGATAGAAAAACTCACACATACCCCATTTTCTTGGCTTTTTGATACAATGAAAAGCCGTTTCACAGATTTCTATCAATCTCAAGTACCATTATCTTATACTCCTCCCTATTTCCCGTTTTTTTCGCCCAATAATTTTCATTAAAGAAAAATTTTTATATTTGATGAGGAATTATCAATTTTGTTTGGTTTTTGAAGGTAAATATTTGCAATTTGATCTGATATTGTAGTATTTTTCATTGAAAACATGTGTTTTTTTGAAAAAAAATGGAATTTTTGAGAAGTTCAGAACTCTTTTTAGAAAAAATTAATGCAAAAAAATGAAGTGCATATATATTCGAGATTTTTGACATTGAAGCAAAACAGCCGCGTAGCCGAGTGGTGAACACTTTTTTCAAAATGTGTTTGTGTTTCAAATTTGATATTCTAAAATATTCAAATTTGGGATTTTTTTTCTGAAAAATTTGAATTTTTTATGGAAAAATGGTGGAACTTCAATTTTCGATAATTCCTTCAACTGAAATTTGGCCCAAAAATCCCTCAAATTTTATGAAAAAAATTGGAATTCAAGAATTAAAATTAAATTTGAATTTTTTGATTGAAAAATGTTGGAACTTCAATTTTTTGAATTCCAAATTCCGGAAATTTTGAAAATAATTCAGATTTATGTAAATTTCAAGCCAAATAGTCCACAAAAACATAGCCCAAAAATTCCCCGAACAAACCTGTGAATTGGAATCGGATGCGATCGATTTGGTGCCATTTTTTTCGCAACAACTATGAACTAAATAGAAATAGATAGAACACAAAAACAAGGGAAAAAAGGGAAAAGAGAAGCCTAAAACAAGAGTAGATCGAGAAGAAGAAGCAGGGAATATTTGTTCTACAGTCTTGTCTCCTCCCCGCCTTCACTTGTGGGCAGCTCAAACTACTTGAGATTTGTGAGCACTTGTATGAGAAAAATTTGTTACTTATTCTTTTTGTATTATTTATTGTTACTATACAGAGAAAGGGAAAAAAGATTGATTTTCGCGTTGAACAAAAAAATGATGCGAAACTTTCGGTAATCGGATAAAAGTGAATAAATGGTATACAAGAATAAATAATCAATAATATTTTCTAAACAGCCGTTCCATTTTCAACTGGATTTCCATCTTCATCAAGTTCCACTTTAACTACTTTCCCGCCCTTCTTTTTCAGCAATATTTTTTGAACTGTTTCAGCGAGAGCGCGAGAATCCGGCGATTGCTCATTTATATTGTGCAAAACTTGTCTGATCTTCTCCACATCCGCATCTTTGTTGGGTTGTTGAATGACCATTGGAGAACCGCGGATTGAGAATGCTATTTCTTCATCGGCGTGCGGTTTTCGATACAAATTATCTCTGAAAACACAAAATTCCATGATCCACGCGCTCCACCGAAATAAATACGCAACGCAGACCGCGCCGCGCCACAGCACACACAAATGAGAGAACGATTCAAATTCCCTCTCTTTTTTTGTGTGTTGTGGCGCGGCGCGGTCTGCGTTGCGTGTTAAAAAAAAACTAACTGATCATCATCAAGTTTGACTCGAAGAACAGCTGGAACTGGCAAAGCCACGCCTAAAGGTGTTTGAAGAATACGACTTCCTCCACGGCACACTCGATCTCTTTAATAAAAAAAAAGTTTTATTTTTCGTTTTCAAAGGTCTGAAACTTACGGTGTTACTACGTCACTAGTTGTTGGAATATCAGTATCTTTTGATAATGCACTACATCTTCCTTCATCCATTTCTTCCTCCTCCTCTTCTTCTTCTTCAATATTTTCAACAGGTTCAGCGAAAAATTCCGAGTAATCATCTCTTTTCAAAAAATCGACTATATTCATTCGCAGGAGTTCTTGAGGAATATCGAGTTGTTCTGTCATTGCCACATTCAACATTTCATCGCGAAGTTGCAGTAATTTATCCTTTGCACACTCGATTTTCTCGCTTACTGCAAAAAACAATTGTTTTTTTTAAACAAAGAAATTTTAGAAAAATAATCAAAACCTACTTCCAATCTCTACAACTTCTTTCATAGCATCGATTTGATGTTGTCGCTTTTTGGTTGTTTTTGGTGGCATTTTGAGAAATGGCTGAAACGGGAACCCGGGTTCGTGAAGAAAAAAAATCAAGAAATGAATGCAGTGTTTGAATGTCGCGCGTCGTTGTTCGCTAGAGCGCACATGTGTGTTTGAAGTATTTCCCAATTTTATTTTTTTTCGTTGCTCAAAAAATGCTCAAAAACTATGTAACTGCTCCTATTTTCTATGCAAATGCAGGTGAGAAAAATTCAAAATTTTGGCTAATTTGAAAAAAAATTTCAGAACCACACATTGGGCATGCTTACACCGCTATTTTATGTGACGCGGCCCATAGATGGAATTTGTTGAGGAACCCAAAGAAATCCGCGATTTTTTCCATAGGAACTGATGAACATGGAAGTAAGGTAATTCAAAGTGTTTAGCAAAATATATATTCGAGAATTTTCTAGATTTTCCGAGCCGCGCAAAATGCGAAAAAGGATCCGCAGGAGTTTTGTGATGAAGTATCCTCAAAATTTTCAAGATTATTTGAAAAGTTGGGAATATCAAATACACATTTCATTCGAACAACGAATTCCGAACACAAAAAAGCTGTTCAAAAATTCTGGGAAACTTTGGATAATAAAGGATTGATTTATAAAAGTAAATATTCTGGATATTATAGCATTGTTGACGAATGTTTCTTCCCTGAAAATGAAGTTGAACAAAAAGGAGAATCCAAGGTCGTCAAAAACACATCAACAATAGTTGAATGGATCGAAGAGGAAAATTATATGTTCAAATTATCCCAATTCCGTGATCCGGTCAGAGAATGGATCAATAAAACCGCACCAATTTTCCCAAGAAAATACGAAAATCTTGCGTTAGACAGTTTGGAAATGTCTGAAGATCTCTCGATTTCTCGCTCAAAAAATCGATTGAGTTGGGGAATTCCGGTGCCAAATGATGAGAGTCAGACAATTTATGTTTGGCTGGATGCATTGGTGAATTATTTGACTGTGGCTGGATATCCGAATGATAAATGGGAAGAGAATTGGAGTCCGAGTTGTCAAGTTATTGGAAAAGATATTGTCAAGTAAGTTTTTTTTAGAAATGATAATAAAAATGAGCAGAAGACGTCACGTCATCATAAAAAAGGTCACGTCAAAAATAGATTTTTCTGTCATTTTTTGCTATTTCAGATTTCATTGCTTCTATTGGCCAGCTTTCCTTTTGGCTGCAAACATTCCCCTTCCTTCTCGATTCTTCGTCCACGGTCATTGGCTAGTTGACAATGTGAAAATGTCAAAAAGTCTTGGAAATGTTATCGATCCGAATTGGGCTTGTCAAAAATACACATCCGAAGGACTTCGCTATTTTTTGCTCAAAAATGGCAATCCAAATGATGACTCAAGTTTTAACACGACGAGTTGTCTGGAAACAATCAATAGTGATATAGTGAATAATATTGGAAATTTGTTGAATCGAAGTACGGTGGATAAAATGAATCCTGGTGGAAAATATCCGAGGATTACTGTAGATGAAATGGATGTTAATGTTAGAAAAAGTTATGAAGGTTTGATTGCAATGTTGGATGAAGTTACAGGTAATTTCCGGTTGGAAAATGGAATTTTTTATCTTTTTTTTTGTCTAGGAAAAGTGATTGAATATTATGATGAGATGTTGTATTATAAGGCAATTGAATTGTTAATGGGATGTATGAAAGAGTCAAATCGGGTATTTCAATTGAATCAACCATGGAAACAAAAAGACGAACATGTGGTAAGAAAATTTAAATCGTTTTTTTAAAGAAAATTTGAATTTTTGCAGCTGGCGAGTATTTATTTACCAACTTATGAGAGTCTTCGAATCATTTCAATTCTTCTTCAACCAATTATCCCAAAATTCGCGGAATTCTCGCTGAATCGGTGGGTTTTACTAGAAAAGGTATTTTTATGATCTAACTCGCCATGAAATTGCAGAAATCAGCTCATGTACGAGTTAGATACGCAGGTGGTACGGTACTGTCTAAATCAGCCCATAACACGTATTTTGTTGCTGAACAAAAAATCTCGGTTCGCTGTTTAAAGGGACATGCTTTAATTTTCCACCAAAATCTCAAGAACGGCTGCACCAAATGAAAATCTGAGTACACCATCTTTATCGCCGTGAAAAACTGCATGGAAATAAGCTTTGGTGGAGCGAACGGGTGCCGTTTTAGCGTTTCGGGGTTCGTGGCGAGACCAATTTCGAAAAATAGCGCGCAAAATGGAGAGACGCGAGACATTTTTGTGCATTTGTGCGTCACTGTGTTTGCACAAGTCAATACAGTATACCAACCGCGAACCGAGGGCCAAAAAAAATACGTGATAAATTTCATATTTTCAGACTTGGAGTTGCTGAAAATGAACGATCTTTGGAGCATGCGAAATTTGGAAAATGTTCAAATTCGAATCTTGGACCAAACAACGGAATTTTCATTGAGAGATTGCAGAAATAGATTAGGATAGAATAGGCTAGACTAGAGTGTAGTTTTGACGGGTTCATTTGATAAAAAACCTTTTTTTTTAAATTAATTTTTGAAGAATTTAAACGTTTTTAACGTGGATTTTATTTTATTTCTCAAAATTTTCTGAAAATTGAAAAAAAACAAAAGTTTTCCTAGCGAAGACTATAGTTTTGACTAGACTATAGTTTTAGCGGGTTAATTTCATTTTTGAAATAACAAACCATTTTTCAACGTTTTTAACGTGAAGTTTATCTTATTTCTTAAAATTTTTCTGAGAATTAAAAAAAAAACAAAAGTTTTTCTAGTTTCGACTAGACTATAGTTTTAACGGGTTCATTACATTTTTGAAATAAAAATTTTCCCTCATTTTTAAAATTAATTTTTGAAGAATTTCAACGTTTTTAACGTGAAGATTATCTTGTTCTTTAAAATTAAAAAAAAAAAAAACAAAAAAAATTTTTTTCCAGCGAACGATGAGTGAAGAATTGTCCCCCGAAGTAATTCAACGAAGAGATTTGATTCTGCGAAATCTTCAAGAATCCCTTGGCGTCGATAAATTATCGAAACAATTGGCAACCGATGGAAAAGTTCCGCATTTGTATTGGGGAACGGCAACGACTGGAAAACCGCATGTCGGATATTTGGTGCCAATGAGAAAGATTGCCGATTTTCTCCAAGCTGGCTTGAATGTCACCATCCTTTTCGCTGATTTGCACGCGTTTTTGGATAATATGAAAAGTACTTGGGAATTGTTGGAAAATCGAGTTGTTTATTATCAGAATGTTATTAAAGCGTTGCTTCAGAGTTTGGATGTTCCGATTGATCGATTGCATTTTGTTAAAGGGACTACTTATCAATTGTCGAGGTTGGCTTCTTTTTTTTTTTTGATTTAAAAAAAATAACTCGGTTGAGAAATTACCTGAATTTTGTCAATTTTGAATTGAAATTCTTCAGAAATGTAGATTTTCATAAGATGTTCAGTTATTTCACAGAAAATATCCCTTATCCCATTCCAGACGAATTTTTAAGCCTGAAAATTGAGCTGAAAAGGATTTCAGACATTATTCTAGAAATTTTTAAACTTTTCAGATTAAAAATATCAATTTGAGACGAAAATTTTGAATTTCAGCTGAAAATCGACCTGAAAATTGAGCTGAAAAGGATTTTAGTCAAAATTTAGGCTCTTCAGGCTCTCAAAAGCTCGATTTTTCAAAATTTCACAATTTTTGGCTCATTTTATGCTCTTCATAAAACACATTTCCCTGGTCAGCAAAAAAAGTGCATCAAAATATTTTGTTCCAGAGAATACACCAACGATGTTCTTCGATTGAGCGCCCAAGTTTCTCAAAGAGACGCCTTAAAAGCTGGAGCTGAAGTTGTAAAGCAAGTATCATCTCCTCTTTTATCCGGTCTTCTTTATCCACTTCTTCAAGCTCTTGATGAACAATATTTGAAGGTCAGTGATTTTCTAGAGTTCCCTTCTCACCAATTTTTTCCCCTAGGTTGATGGTCAATTCGGAGGTGTAGATCAGCGAAAAATCTTCATTCTCGCTGAAGAACAACTTCCAAAATTGAAACTTGGAAAACGTTGGCATTTAATGAATCCTATGGTTCCTGGCTTGACTGGAACAAAAATGAGCAGTTCAGAAGAGGATTCGAAGATTGATGTGTTGGATGAAGCTGAGAAAGTGAGAGCAAAAATATTGGGAGCCGCTTGTTCGAGAGATCAACCGGATAATGGAGTATTGTCGTTTTATAATTTTGTGCTCTTCCCAATTGTTTCGCCGAAAGCGATTCAAGTTGAAAATCACGAATTTTTCGATTTCGAATCGTTGAAAACCGCATATTTGAGCGGGAAATTATCGGAAGAATCGCTGAAAAATTATCTTGCCGAATTTCTTGTTCAACTTCTAGCCAAAGTTTCCGAAAAATGTGATAATGACGAGGTTCGAAATGCGAAAGAGAAAGGTTATCAGAATATTGAAGTGAAGAATGAGAAGATTGAGGAAAAGCCTGTGGAATTGGATGCGAATCAGAAGAATTGGGCGGAGATTTTGTTGCGAAATGAGATTTTGAATAGGGAATCATTGGAAGCGACAATATCGAAAATTAGTCAAGAAAGACCGCTGAAATTAGTTTTTGTTGTGCATGGAAGAGGAAAATTCCATCTTGGATTTATTGGACAAATTTTGAAGATCAAGGTAATATTTACATGAGTTATGACGTGGAAAATTTGGAATATTTTTTTGGAAAAACGATTTTTTTCCCAAGATTTTAGTTTTGAGAATGAAATTTCGAAGAAAATTCACAAATTTCAAGATGAAAATAATTTTTGAAGCCTGAATTTTCAAATTTTGCCACGTCATAGCTCATATTAGGAACCCCTCATTTTTAATCCTAATGAAAAAATTAAAAATAGGTCAAATCTCAACTCCTAACATGAGTTATGACTTAGAAAATCAGTATGAAATTTGTGCCAAAAAATCAAAATTTTGATTATTTTTTGAAAATATTGAAAGAAAATTACAAAATTTTCCAAAAAAACTATTTTTTCCCCAAGATTTTAGTTTTGAGAATGAAATTCTGGAAAAATTGTTTTTGAGAGTAGAAAATTCACAAAATCAAGAAATCCAGAATTTTCGAATTTTGCCACGTTTTTGCTCAAAAATTTTTAAAAAACTTTAAAAAGAAATAATAAAAAAAAATTTTTTAATTAAAAAAAAGTCATAGCTCAGATTAGAAATTGAGGAAAGTTAGAAAACTGGGAATTTTTTTTGAAAAATGTTCAATATTTCTCAATTTAAATCCTGAATTTTCGATCTTTGCCACGTCATAACTCATATTAGAAGTTGAGCTTTGCAATTTCAGACAACGGAATCGTGATTTTTTTTCTGGAAAATTCAGTTTCAAACTTTTTCTCTAATCATAATTTTCAGGAACTCCATGACGCTGGAATCCCAATTTCCGCAACAATTCTAGTATCCGATATCGAAGCATATTTGGATAATGAAAAAGTTTCATGGGGAGCAATCGATGCGCGAGCGATTTATTATCGAGAAATGCTGATCTCTCTTGTCAAACATCTCAATTTGCAAGATTTGGTCAAAATTCAAATTGCTTCTGAGATTGAGGGATATTTTAGCAGTGACTATGTTTTGGATTTTTATAAAATGGCGTCTGCTGTGACAAGAGATGAATCAACAATTTGCGAAGGAACAAGTCTTTCGGGAAATTTGGTATCATTGATGTATACATTGAATGCAAGACTTGTGCAACCCGATGTTTTGTTGATTGGAAAGGATTCGGCGAATTTGGCGGAATTGTCGGCAAAGGTAGATTTTTATTGGAAAAAAAATTAAAATTAGGATAGTTTTAAAAAATTATCCCAAAGTTTTTTTGAGATATAGAAAATCTGCTCAATTTTTGAAAAAAAATGAAAATTTTTGCACAAAAGGTTTCTGAAAAACTCAAAATTTTAAATTTTTATCGAAATAAATAAATTTTAATTTTTTCCAACTTTGTTTCCCAAGAAAATGGCCCAAATTTTGATTTTTGTACAAATTTCATTATGAAAAATGAACACAATTTTTTTTTATTTGAATTTTTTTTTGAAATTATCCATCTGTAAAAACGATTTTTCCGAATTTTCTCAGAAACTGAAATTTTGGAAACAAATCTTTGAAAATCGAAATTTTTTTATTTTTTTCTGTCAGATTTTGATAAAACAATTTTTATGAAAATTGTGATTTTCTTTATTTTCAAAAAATTTAAAAATATTCCAAATTTTAAAATTTTTGCACAATTTTCATTATGAAAAAAAAACCTGATTCTGAAAAAATTCATTTTTTTTTTTGAAAAATGTTATCTTCGAAATTTTCCATCTGTAAAAACAATTTTTTCTCAGAAACTGAAATTTTAGAAAATCTGAAATTCTCTTTGGAAATCGAAAAAAATGTTTTTTTTGTCAAATTTTGAAAAAAATTTTCAGAATTTAAAATTTTTTGTACAATTTTCATTATGAAAAACATAATTTTCAAAAAATTCTTCGAAATTTTGTAAATTTTGAAAAACCAAATTTTTTGTAATATCTAAAAATCTGTTTTTTTTTTTCAAAAAAAAATTCAATTTTTCCCCAATCCCAAAATCTTTCAGCTTCTCCGCTTCATCGGTCAAACTCCAGTCGTCCATTTAGCCACTGATGAAATCGTTGGCTGCGATGGCAAAAAAATGAGTTGCTCAAACGTCGATCAACTTTTGGATCCACTCGACACCCCAAAACAGACAAAAACCAAAATCGCTCGTTCATTCTGCGAACCTGGAAATTTGTCTGGAAATGTTGCGATGCAACTCGCACAACAAATTGTTTTCCGCGTTTTGGCGTTGAAAAACGAAAAAGTTGAGTTGAGAATTTCGAGAAGTGCTGAAAATGGCGGAGATGTTGTGATTCGTGATTATGAGGGTTTGGAAAACGAGTTTGTCACTGGAAGCAATCCCGAATTCCCGCTACACCCGGCTGATTTGAAAAATGCTGTTGTTGGAGTTATCAATCAGTTAGTCTCATTTTTTTTTGTGAAAATCTATATAATTTCTGATAAATTTCCAGACTTTTCGATGGAATCCGCGCTGATTTTGCTGAAAAGCCACGTCAAAAACTGGTCACTGACGCATTTACAGTTTCCAAGGGAAAGAAGAAATAATCTGTTATTCTAAAGTGATATTGATTTAATAATTCCTTATTTATTGCCTTATGTGAGTGAAAATTTACCAGAGATCGAAAAAAATACAAAAAAAATTTAAAAAAGTTATTTCTTCATACTAAACAACAAACCACTCGAATTATTTGTAACAGTTGAAGTTGCAGTCGGTTTTGCACCGAATAATGATGCTCCAGTTGTAGCTGGTGCAGTTGTAGAAGTCGCTGATGTTGTCAAATTTCCGAATAAAGATCCACCAGTTGTTCCAGCACTACTAGTCGCACCAAACAATGGTTTAGTGGCTGTATTTGCTGTAGTCGAACCGAAAAGCGATGTTCCTCCGCCAGTGCTACCAAATAATCCACCAGTTGTTCCAAGTCCTAAACCAGTTGTGATTGGTGCAGTTGTTTGTGGAGCAGCACGCAATGAGCTTCCGATGACTGCTAAACTTGATTGAGATGGGAAGAATTCGGCGCCTTCGTTGGTTGAAGAATTTGTAATGTTTGAGAATGGTTGTTGATAGGATTTTCGCAAATGTGTATAGCCTTGTTCTATTAGAACGTTTTTGAGCGCCTGGAAAAAGGGGCTTTCGTGAAAAATAGAAAGAGTGGAACTTTTAGGTTTTTTTTGAGTTAAACATGAAGTGGCATTACAAAACAGTTAAAATTTTCATTGATTTTTAAGGTTTCTATTTTTTGCCACGTCATAGATTTTTTTCTCAGATTTCAAAAAAAAATTGGCTGAACTTTTTTCTTTAAACATTAGTGGCATTATCTTGGCAATATTCTATTTTATGAAAAAAAAAATTGAAATAATTTTGGATGTTAGGAAAAGTACTTTAAATGTTTAGGTTTTTGTGAATTTCTAAAATTTGCCACGTCATAACTCATTTTTAGATGTTTTCTAGAGTTCAAAAATACCTCAATTTCTCAATTTAAAAAAGTTATGACGTGGAATTTCAGCTTAACAACAGTCAAAATTTTCATTAATTTTTAAGGCTTCTAATTTGTGCCTCATTAGTTATGACGTGGCATTATCTTAACAATTTTGGAAGGTTAAAAACATATTTCGGGTTTTTTATTCCGTTTTGCCAAGATTTTTGTCTAGATTCCAAAAAATACCTCAATTTCCCTTCCAGTTTCGTGTATATGATATTGAGCAGTCGCATATGATTTATCGCATCTTTTGAACATTTCATCCAATTCGCTCATTGTCAATGCCGATTCTCCATTTAATAATCGCTCGAATTTCGAATGAATTCCCTCAACTCGTTTTTGCATTTGCAACATTTGCGCATCATAATTATTTGTTAACTCGAAAAGATGACTGAAACATGAATATTGATTGTGAGATGGAATATTTCACTTAAAAGTGGGGTTTGAAAAGAAAATAAGCTGTGCTCATTTGAAAAGGCATGTTCTAATTAGTAGAATCTTCGAAAGATGTTTTCTGGAAGCTTCTCAAATTAAAAAAAAATTGAGAAAGCTAAAAACTGATTTTTTAACATCGAAAGATCAATTCACAAAAAGTCAAAAAATGTCGAAAAAACATTGTAGGTCAAAATTAGTTTTTCGAGTTTTTCAGCCAAAAAATGTTGACAAATCAATGTTTTTAAAAGCTTCTGGAGTGATTTCTGATGAAAATTGACCTTGGAATTCACTTTCCAGAAGGTTTTGCTGATTTTTCGTAGAATAAAAAATTTTTAAATTTTGATGAACTTCGAAGAAATTAATAAAATGAGGTAAAATACAGTTCTAGAAGCTTATTTTCATCAGAAATTACTCCAGAAGCTTCGAAAATCTCGATTTGTCATCATTTTTGGCTGAAAAACTCGAAAAACTAATTTTGACTCACAATGTTTTTCGACATTTTTTGACTTTTCGTTAATTGATCTTTCAATGATAAAAAAAACATTTTAAAACATTTTTTTCGTTCCTGAATCGCCCCTGATATTTTACACGGTCTCAGAGATTCGCTGGCCAGCTGGTCACTAGGTGGGGTCGACTGCCCATCTGAAATTGACACGGACAACCACATCGCCCGTATTTTTTGCGAGACGACCTGGTCGCGAGGTGGTTCAGTTAATGCAGACCACCTCGCCCAGGTTGTCCAGCTCGACCCGACCTCGCGTCCAGATCGTCTCGCTTAAGAGAAAAAAGTCCAAAAAACTTCTGAATCCGAGCATTTTCGAAGAAATTGGCTCATTTTCTGTTTTTTCGGAGTACTAGAAACCTTAGGAAGTGAAAAAAAAACAGTTAAAAATGCACTATTTTGAGTAAAAACCACCGTCTTGCTAGCTTTCCAGGATTTCAAACACACAGGCCACGTGGCCGGAAAACTCAAGGCGACCTGGTGGCCGAATCAAATTCAGCTCGTTTTGAACTTTCCGGCCACCTGGTCCTGATCTAGTGGCGAGCTGGCCAGCGAATCTCTGAGGTGTTTCACTCGAACTTTGAAATTTTTCAAAAATAATACTTGAGAAGCCTCCAGAAAAATGCTCTTTCTAATGAGCACAACTTATTTACTGCTCAAAACCCCTTCAAATATAAAAATTCGCCAACCTCTTAATTGTATTACAAAGTGTTGTCTGATTACTTGTAGTCGAAGCATCCTGTAGTTTTTTAGCAGTGTCCAAAAATTGTTTATCGTCTGAAACCAAAGTGGCAACATATGTTGCCATATCCGAAGCTTCTCGAATATTCCGGCGACTTTCATTGATCCATGTTCGAGTCTATAAAAAAATCCTTGAATTTTCTATTTTTTTTTTTCAGATTTTTTTAAAATCACCTTATCAATCATTTCATCAATCGATATTGGGCTCGTGTCAATTGTCGTATTTTCAACATCTTCCATTATTTCTCGATTTTTCTTCAAGCTCGCTCTGAAATTTTTCAAAAAGATTTTCAGGAAAGAAAAATCATGACTCACTCAATCAACGGCAATAATTCTCGAATTTGTGCAGCTCCGGCGATTTCGCCATCCTTCACCGCCTCCTTTTCGCCGCCGGCTGTGAGAGTTGTGGATGTGGCGCCGATTGTGCCGGTCGCCAATTTTTGTTGAGTTCCGCCAAGTCCCACTGGAAAACAATTTTGTTATAGAAATCTAGGCTTAAAATTCGTGGAAAAAATTTGAATTTGGAGCGAAATAAAACCACGTGGCAAAAAAAGCGTGAAATTCAAAATTTTTAAAAACTTAGACTTCTGGGGTTTCATTCGAAGCCGAATTTCATGAAAAATTTGGAGCGAAAAAAATCCACGTGGCAAAAATTGACGCGAAATTCAGATATTTTCAAAACCTAGGCTTATGGGGTTTCATTCGAAGCCGAATTTCATGAAAAAGTTCGAGCGAAATAAATCCACGTGGCAAAAAAAGCGCGAAATTCAAATTTTTCAAAAATTAGGCTTATGGGGTGTCATTCGAAACCTAAAATCATGAAAAAATTGGAGCGAAATAAATCCACGTGGCAAAAAAGGCGCGAAATTCAAATTTCTCAAAACTTAGACTTCTGGGGTGTCTTTCGAAGCCAAAAATCATTGAAAATTTGAATTTTTCACGAGATTTTTCAATGAAAAATATGTTTTCTAGTATTTCTGATCTTCTGATCACAATCTTTGGGTCATAAACTTAAACTTACAAGTAACATTTGCTGTAGAAGTGGTTGGTGTTCCGAAAAGACTAACACCAGTTGAAGCAGCTGCAGGTGCGGCTGCAGTTGCACCAAATAATCCACCAGCAGGTTTGGCGGCACCAAATAATGAACCACCAGTTGTTGTCGTGGCTGCTGCAGCTGGCGCTGCTCCAAATAAACTTGGTGTAGCTGCTGGTGCAGCACTTCCAAAAAGTCCTCCAGTAGTTGGTGCAGCTGTTGTTGTTGTGGCTGTAGTTCCGAAAAGACTTCCAGTCGCAGCTGGAGCCGCTGTAGATGTTGCTGGAGCTGCAGTGGAGCCAAAAAGACCTCCAGCAGGTGCTGCTGTGGTTGAAGTTGTGCCAAATAATCCACCAGTTGTGGCGGCGGATGTTGTAGTTGTTGTTGCTCCGAAAAGTGGAGCACTTGCAGTAGTGGTGGTAGAAGTTCCGAAAAGTCCTCCTGGTTTAGCGGATGTTCCGCTCAAAATTGATCCTCCTGCTCCGGATGCTGATGAGCCAAACAGGGACATCTAAATATATGGGAAATGTGTTATGAGTCCCCGGAGATTTTTAATGAGACATAGAAGTTTCTGTACAGTTTTTCACAAAGATCCCGTTTTCAGTTTTTGCTGAACGACTCTCTGAAGAGCCTAAAAATCAGCCGAAAGTTGAAAATTTTCGTAATTTCGTGATTTTGAGAGCCCATAACTTATGTTAGAGATGATTTTTATGAAAAACTGAATGCATCACGTTGTTCAGGAGGTGACTTTGGTAAATTGACCTCTGTGAACAACGTGATGCATTTAGTTTTTCATAAAAATCATCTCTAACATGAGTTATGGGCTCTCAAAACCACGAAAATTCTCAACTTTTGGCTTATTTTTGGGCTCTTCCAGATAGTCCTTTGAGCAAAATAATTAGAAAATGCTCTTTCAAATGAGCGTGAAAAACTGTAGAGAAACTTCTATGTTAGTTTGAAAAAATTAGAGCATAAGATATTATAGAGGAATTCAAACCTCGTGATCACAAACAACAATTAAATAACGCTTTAAAATGAAAAATGTATCAAAATCGCAAAATCAAAAACAGATGATAACCGGAACAAATGGGGAAATAACAAAACAAAAATGTGCACAGGAGAGATTCTATAGAGATTCAAGGGAATTGTAGTGATCAATGTATTGTTGTTTGACATTCTCATTGATTCCTTCAACATTTCTCGACATCTCAATCGCAAGATAAATGATTCTTGGAACAACAACTGTATTATCAGGACTGTATGCCTTGTTAGCCTCAATTCTCATCAAAGTTCCCATTGAATAGTCTTCCACACTTTCCTTGAACAATTCGCAGAATTCTCGCCATTTCTCTTTCATTCCTCCGTCTTTCAATTCGGCTGTGGTGACTTTTTCCACATTCATATCTGGGAAAATTTCACGGAAAGCTTTCAAAATCTCGGGTTGCATTTTGTTCAATCGCAAGACTCGTGTATCGCATCGCATTATCAAATTCATATGAACATTCGATCGCTCACCAGCCTGAAAATATAGGAAAATTTAAAAAAAAACTTTAAAACTTCAAAATTACCTTCATTGCCCAAGCAATCTCAATCGATTCGTCATTCACATATCTTTCCGCATCTCCATAATCAACTTCTTCCATTTTGAATTTTTCCAAGCTGGCTTGCACGCTAAAAACCAAGAAATTAGGTTTTTTGTACGCGAAAAACGAAAAAATAAACGCTGACTCCGCCCACTGCAAAAACGCCGCACGCTTTTCAAATTCTCGGTTTCTTTTTTTGTGGAAGTTATGGAAGTTATTCAAAGTCTCTGGATTACTGTATGGGAATTGAGATAACTTGGAAAATTATAGTTAGCATTTAAAAACAATAAATGTTTATGGTTATTACTACTTAAGGAGAACTTTCACTTTAATTAACTGAAAACAAGAAAAATTATCATTTTGTTTTCTTTTAATGATTGTTAGATAATTTCATTTTCTTCAGATTCTTATTCCGCAAATTTCTAATGACGTAGTGCAAAAAATAAACAACACAAGCCTAGTCGAAATGTCATAATTTTCTGACAGATTTGTTCATGCAGCGGGATAGAGATAAATATTATAATTTTTGTAATCACAAAAAAAACCCGTTTCGTCATATTCCTGGCTGGATTTTTCGAGACTTAACAATCATAATAAAATATTGATTACGTACGTATACAACTTTTCCCTCGCTTATCACTTTTTTTCGCCTTTTTATTATTTGTTCGGTGCTTTTATAGTGTTTTCATTTCAAATCGAAATGTTTTTTCATAAATACTATTTTTATTTGGAAAATGAAATGTTAAGTACCATTTAAACTTTAAAAATATGATTTCTGAGCCCTGTTTCGTCTCAAAATTACAAAATTTTTCATCTGATAAGTAAAAATAGAAATAGAAATTTTTCACTTATCAAACAAATTCTTTTCTCGAGTCTCTAATACTTTTTCCTTTTTTCTCCCATTCAGGTTTGTGAATCACCACATTTCCTTTTTTTTTGTTTTCTAGATAAATACAAACCTGAAATATATATTGATTTTTTTGAACATTTCTGATTTTGCAGTAGTTGTTCGCTGGAGCGCATTTGATTTTGAATTTATAGGAAATGAAAATTAAATTTTTAATTTTCCAATTTTAAACGTGAACTTATAGCAAAAAAATCTCTCCAAAAAATCTCAACATTTTTTTCAGAACTGGTTTTCAGAGATGTCTGAAACGCCGCCTCCACCACGACATCCACCACCCGACGAATCACCAATTCAATCACCAAGAACTGTCACATTTCAATTGAATAATAGCACGTAAGTCAAAAAGGAACACGCGAAAAAAAGTGAGAAAAACCGGACGGAAAAGCGAAAAGTTAGTTCAAATAATCGGTGAATAAACAAAAAGTTGTGAGAATTTTTGGGAGAAAAGTTAGTTAGCTTGTTTTTCTTGTTTTGTAGTTAGTGAAGTGAATAACATGGTATTTACAGTAGTTTTTGGATTCTTATAGATTTCTGGAGCTGATTTTTATTGTTTATGAATTTCTGAAAATTTTTCTGGTTCGTTTTTTTTCAGAATGAAATTTGGGATTTTTTTATTGGAAGAATAATTTTGGATAAAAAATTTGCCTCATTTTTTAAGAGCCTAATAAAATTCCAATAAAAAATAATATTTTTAATTTAAAAAATTTTCCAAAGCTAGATTTTTTCCAAAAATTTTCAAATTTCCCCAAAATTCAGCAAAATTCCTTTTCTCTGATATTTTTTTAGTTTAGAAAATAGTTTCAAAAAAAATAATTTTCTTGGGAAAATGCTCATTTTATGATCCAAATTTTAAATTTTTTCCCGAACTTTTTTTTTTCAAAAAAAATCATGATTTTTCTTTGAAAACTTTCAAATTTTGTTTTTTCTGATATTTTTCCCACTTTCACTTTTAAAAAAGTAAAATTCAGAATAATTTTCTTGGGAAAATAATTCTGGATATATAGTTTTAGCCTCACTTTTTTTCAAATTCTATTTTTTTCTAAAAAATTTTCAAATTTTCAAAAACATTTTCAATAATTTTTCCATAGCCTCTAAAAGCCTCCCCTTTCCCCCAAAACCCAACTTCATTAAAAATCGATAATGATCGACAAGTAAATGTTCTGTCTGTTGTGCATATGTAAATACCATGATGAGCCCATCTCCTCTTCTCCTTGCACATTATTTCCTATGTCTGCACCCTCTCACATTCCAATACTTTTCATTCGGGTTTCTTCGCGTTCCTTTCTTCTTCTGTTGTTTTACTTTTGTACATATAGATATTAATAATTTGTGACCTAATTTGTGTGATTTTTCTTAACAAAAGTTATTTGGGAATTTTTGGTTTTAGGAAGTTACGGTTTTAGTTCCGCCACGTCATAACTCATATTAGAAGTGGAGTTCTGAAATTTTATCGGGATAAGCGGGTAGAAAACTACCTTCTAAAATTTCCTATCCACCAAAAATCCCAAAAATATTCCCACGACGCGTTTTTTCTCATTGGATACTAGGTATAAATACATTTCAATGACCTTCAATGTTTTTTATTCCATTCTTTTTTCATTCTTTCAATACATATCTAATTAAGATCTCACCTGCTTGCCCTACAAAGTATTTAGCACCCAAAAAAATCGGCGTCTTTCAAATATTTCACCAAAATTTGATATCTTTCTCATTTTCCGAGAGAATTTCACTTTTTATTTTCTTTGTTTAGATATAGCGGCTAAAATAATCAGGTTAAAGTTCATTTCAACTTGATAATTTTCTCAAGGATCTCATGTTACAATAAAATGAAAATATCACATGTTCCGGGAGATTTTCAGATTCTTTTTTTTCAGATTCTTTTTTTCAAAAAAAAAGAACACCTTTCGACAAGATTTCACTAACTCATTCATTCATTCTCTCTATCTTTTTTCTCTCCGAATATCTTTATCTTCTCCGCTTTTTTTCCGAAATAAAAAACAATAGAAAGTATTGTTCTTATCTTCTCTTTTTTGCTGTTCCACCAATTGATTTTTTGTTTTGCAGATCATTCTTTGACGAATTTGCAATTACTCAGGAGACATTTCGCCAGGAAATTGAAGGTTTGTGACACTGAACATGCTGAAAATCTTCTGAATTTTATGTGGCGTGGCCGAACTTTCGCATGGCCTAGACGCCGACAAATTTTGCGCAGTTCTTGCGCGAAAATTTGAAATTGTGTTTTTTCTCCCAAAAAACAAGAAGACGAAACATTTCGAAAACATGGTTTTTCCAGGGTTTAAATCTGGTGACGTTTCGACACCAACATTCTCCACCACCTGTCAATTTCGATTTGATTCACCGGGAATTTCATTGACTCCAGCTGAAAGAGAAAAAGAACATTTCGATTTGATAGGTAAATGAATAAATAAATACGATCCTCATTACACATTTCCATTCCCCAATAATTCCAATAAGACATAAACATAATCAAATTATAGGCGACGATAGAGAAAGTAGAATGATAATTGAAGAGGTTGTTTCATCAGCGGCTGCCGCAAAAATCGCATCAACTTCCAATAATTCACTCGATTCGCTGTCTGAATGTGGACAAGCACATTCAACACAACCTCCCATTATCAACCACAACAATAATAATAATGATAGGAGTCAATCATTAGGTAAGCTAGTTTATTTATTTTTCAAATGTTTATATTTTGTTCAATCAATAATTATTTTTCAGGAGATCTTCTAATTGCTTCACAACAACAACAACTTGAAGAATCGAATAGAAACGGCAGTTTTGATACGCTGGTTTGTTTTTGTTTTTTAAAGAGGTTATAATTGAAAACATATGGGAACTTGCAGATGTCAAAAGGTCTAAGTGATAGTGGAATTGGCGCATTTCCAAGAGATGACAATTTATCGCCATCAACAAACACTGGAATAATGGTAGGGTTTTTCTGTGCTTTCTAGTCAAATGTGATGCAAAGTATCGCACAAATTTCCATTTTGATAAGAAAATGATGATCACAAATTAGATGATTAAATTTTATTAATACAACATTTCCAGGATTATATTTCGTCACCAGATTCGATATCAAGCATGTCATTCGGGTATTTTGATCCGTCTAGCTTTTCAAACGGTGAGTTGGCAAAGTTGAAAAGTTTAATGACATTTCTATGAAGATCCTCCTGAAGAAAGAGTTATGATAACTCTGAATCAACAAGGGGTAGTTTTGGACACGCGATCTTCTCGTTATAAATTGCAGAACACATCTTGTAATATTAGTTATGACGTGGAAAAAATAGGATTTTACAAGGCTTTAACTAACGATTTTTTAATTAAAATCTTATAAAGTTAGCTATAGCCTTTTAAAAGCCAATGTTTTCCACGTCATAACTCATATTACAAGCTGAGTTCTGCAATTTATAACGATGAGATCATGAGCAGCTTGTCCAAAACTACATCCTGTTGGTTCGGAGTTATCAGAACTCTTCAGGAGGATCTTCATAAAAATTTTAAAAAGAAAATCTTTCCTAGCCGTCTTTCGGATAGAAAATTTTCAGATTTTCATTAAAATTTTTACAAACAAAAAAATTAGTATACAAAATCTAACCTTGTTTCTTTCCACATTATTATAATAATACACAATTCCCACAGTTTCTTATAAAAATTTGCATTCTATTTTTCTTCTGCCTATTGTGCTTCTTCTTCGCTTTTTCTCTGACTCATTTTGCCGTGCACCTGTGTTATTTTTTATGATTCTTTTTTTCTCCACATTTGATTATTGATTGTGTAGTTATGAAATTTATTATTAGTTGTTTCACAAAGGTTTAGATTTTATTGCGTAATGACCATTTTCGTATGTGAGAAAATTGGGCGAAAATCCGACGAATGGGTCATTTAACTAACAATTTCGATTACTTTTTTCCCTTGATTTTCACACATTTTCTCATGTTTACCCAAAAAAGTTTATATGATAAAAGAAGTGAAAAGTAAACATTCGAGTTTCGAAAAATGGAAAAATCCGGATTTTTCCAACTCATTTCTCACCACTTTTCCTTCCGGTCCCCCGTCCAAATTAATGGGTGTTTTGTCCACGAAAAAAGTGGAAATTAATCAATGTGTCGTGTAGGAAACACGAAACATGTACATTCCTTTCGCGAAAAAAAAACACAATACGAGTTTTTTGATGATGGTATTGTTTTAGGCTTTTGTGTTTTGACAAGTTTTTTTTTCTGCAATTCTTTTGATGTAAATAATTAGGGTTTTATTACATTCAAAAATAGCCAATTTTAAAAATGTTTTCTCTGAAAATCGGCGAAAATTTCGCCCTGTATTTCCAGGTTCTGAAATCGCTATGCTACGTAATCAAAGATTTTTCGAGAATTTTTAAAAGTTAATGTAAGTATGTTTTGGTTGGATTCATAAAAGTGGAAGAAAATTTAGTGTACGAAAAATTGATGAACAAAAATTTTTGGTACACTAAATTTTTCAATAGTTTTTTATACCACTTTTATGAATTCGGGCAAAACATATTTACATTAACTTTTAAAAATTCTCGAAAAATCTTTGATTTACAGTGATTACGTAGCATACCAAATTCAGAACCTGAAAATACAGGGCGAAATTATCCTCACAAGGCTATTTTCAGAGAAAAAATTAGTTTCGAAATTCCTATTCCCTTGAAACTCTTATTTATTTTTATTTTTTCAAAAAAAAGACCGAAGATTTGAATATTATGACAAACAATTTGAAAAATGTGAAATGTCATAAAATTTGTGACAGTTTCTATTTGCTTGTTTTTTTTATCATTGAGACAGTTTTAATTGTTGGATGGTTTTATAACCTTGAAATTTCAAAAAAAAAGAAAATTTTATTTTTTGTAGAAAACGCGAATCCATTGGATGGTTGCAATAGTCGTACATCGCATTACGACGAAAGAAAACCACAGCCAGAACTTGCTGCAATATCCGAAGAATCTGAACACGAAACAACATCGAATTATCATTATCCAGCTCCAACAACAACTTCGAACTATCATTCAGCATCGGTTGATAAAGATCGAGATATAATTGAGCATTCGTATCCGATGACACATTGTAGTAGTGCACCAACGAATACTGCATTTTCATCGCCAACTTCATCGTCTGCTGATAAACAACAGAGTTATTTTAATAATAATATTGCGCACAGGTAAGGGGGAAGTGGATTTTGGGCTCCAAATTCAAAAAATTGAAACTTTTCATAAAATTTGGCTTCGAAAAACATCCAATAAGCTTAGCGAAAATTTTTGCCACGTTGATTTTTAGCGCTGAGTTCAATTTTTCATAAAATTTGGCTTCGAAAAACACCCATTAGCTTAGTTTTCCAAAATACTGAATTTTTGCTCCAAATTTTTTTGCCACGTGGATATTAAACTATTTCAAAATTCTGGAATTTCTACAGTAACCGCATAGTTTTTGAACCACAGTAATCCAAGCTGCAAATTTTCTAAAGATCAAAAAGTTTGGAACAGTTTTTAATTCAAAAATTCTACAAGCCACAATTTTTTTGCCACGTGGATTTTGTGCTTGAAATTCAAAAAAAATGAATTTTTCATCGAATTTGGCACTGAAAAACACCCAATAAGCGTAGCTTTTGGAAAAATTGAATTTGAAGCAAATTTTTTGCCACGTGGATTTGTGTCTTATGTCTTTTGAATTGGAATTTAGTGAAACATTTGAATTTTTAATTTTTTGGGCTAACAAAATCCACGTGGCAAAAAAATTAAAAAACTAAACTTTAATTTCAAAATTCTGGAATTTCAGAAATTATTTTTCAAAAATCACTCAAAAATTCACGCAGAAACAACATTTTGCGTGACCTTTCAATGACGTGGCAATTTTCTCCAAATTGCCACGTCATTCAAAAAAATCCTATCAAATTTCTATGAATTTTCAGACGTGTTGTCAGTGACGAAGTAACCGATACAACAACACTAAAAAGAAGTAAAGAAATGGAAAATGTTGATAAAATTGGGAGTTATGAATATGAAGTAAAAGCAAATCAAAATCTGAAAAAGAAGGGAAGATGCAAAAGTTTGATGTTTATTGTGCAAGGAAGTGGAGATGAATTAACGAGTGAAGATGAGAATCAGATTGAAGAAGGTGAAAATGAGGAGGAAGAAGATGATATTGATGGAGGTGGAAGAATTGGAAATGTTGCTGATACAAGGGATAATGATTTGTTGATTTATAATCGGAATATTGAATCGAGCCCACGGAGAAATCTCTATGAGAAAAGTAAGGTTTTGGGCGAAACAGGGGAATCGGACCAGAGGAATCTAGCCAGGCCCGATTCAAAAACAGGCCAAGATTCTGATCAAAAATATAATCAAAATAGTGTCTTCCTAGTTTTTCAATAATAATAATAATGTGATTCATTTTATTATTGTTGCTATTTGCGAAGTGTGTATTTTTGTGTGCTGTACTACTTTTTGATATTGTTTTGTTTTGAGAAAATAAGGATTTGCGAGAAACTACCTTTTGTTTGTTTTGAATATACACATACTTCTATATAATTTTTTCATTGCAGACCCATCGATGCCATGTTCGAACGAGCCTCCGCCAGTACGTCTCTCGAGAAAAGTGTCGGCTTCATCGACTCGCTCAACACCAATCAAAACGGCGACTGATCAATCGTGGAAAGATAAAATGCCGCCGTTTAGTATGTCTGGACATAATGTGAGTATTTTCTTAGTTCTCAAGTAGTCGAGCCTAGAAATCGTAGTTCTCAAGCAACGGGGCCTAGAGAGCATAGTTCTCAAGTAGCCGAGTGTAGAAATTACAGTTGTCAAGCAACGGTGCCTAAAGATCCTAGCTCTCAAGCATCCAAGCCTAGGAAATTACATTCGCAAGGATTTGCTTCTAGAGAGTCTGGTTCTCAAGCAGCCCAGCCTGAAAATCATAGTTGTCAAGTAGCCGAGCCTATTAAATTCAATTGTCAAGGATCAGCGCCTAGAGATTCATTTTGAATTTAAAATAATTTTTTGAGATGCGCCCTGAAAAAATTGAAATTTAATTTTTTTTTTAATTCAAAAATTTTAAAGAAGTTTTCAGAGTTCCCATGAAAATATTTTGAACAATTTAGAAAAATTCGATTTTTCAGCTAAACAAAATTTTTAAAAGGGTTTTTTTTTAAATTGATAACCTTCTCAAAAAACCCATTTTTCGGCTGAAATTTCAGATTTCAACATTTTTCTGAAAATTTGGGATATTCTATCCCAAATTCTGTTTTTCCTACACTTTACAAATTTTTTTTGAAAACTTTATTTTAGAATCGCAATTTTTCCCCAAACAGTAAGTTTTGAGATGTTGTAATGTATTTCCAGATTTTTCTCAACTTCTCCACAATCCCAATTTTTTTCAGATGTATTCACCGCAATCTCTTCCTTCGCGTGACGCAATTCCAAGATCGCCATTTGATGGAAGTGGAACTTTTACAAGCAGGTTGGTTTTTTCCTCCTCGAATTTATATTTTTGGAATGCTTTTGTGTGCTTTTTGGGTTTAATTAAAACTCTAAACTTTGTTTGTTTATGTTGATTTCATTTCATTTCATTTCATTTTTGTCTCACTCCTTTGTTTCTTCACACCATTTCAGGCTACCGTATACACCATTACCAAATCTGATTATTGATGATATCGACACTTGCTCTGATGGAAAATTGATTATGTCGGAATTGTCTGATGATCTTCCACCATTATCCTCGATTTATCGACCAAGAACACCGTCTTTGTCATCAACTGCAACTGATTGTATGAATCGATCACCTGAACCGAATAACAATTTGAATGAGGGTTCACCGAGTTCACAAACGTCATTTGTTCGGCGAGGATTGAGAAAAATAATGAAACGAAGTTCGGCGAGTGCTGGAGCATTAATTGATATGGATGGGCCACGTGGTGTTGGGATTATTAATCAGCCGGGTTCCACTAATTCGCTAAAACGACGCGCGTCTGCTGCTTCTTCGTCGCTTATCGCGTCCGCTTCTGCGCATTTGAAACCCAGAGCGAAGAGTTTGAAGAAGCAGAGGTTTGTGGTTTGGTTTGAAGTTGTGAGCATGAAATTTGAAAGTGAAATTGCACGAAAAATGTCACAAATGCATATTTTTAAGGTTTATTGAAAATGATTTTTTAAATGAGCTAGAAATGCTCTTTTTGGTGCAAAAATCATGAAAGCTCGACCAAGAGACGTATTTTTGAAGATTTTAGATCGAAAATAACAATTTTGACCCAGATTTCATGATTTTTGGGTCAAAAAGAGCATTTCTAGCTCATTTTTGACGAAAAATCATCAAATTTTGATCAGGAAAAAAACGTCTAAAACCAAAATGTACAGAATATTTTTGATCAGAGACAATGTATAATTGAGAGAGCGCAGACAAGGTTTTTTGTAGTTTTAATTTTTAAAAAAACTAATTTTCTGTCTGAACTCTCTCAATTTTACATTGTCCCTAATCATTCTGTATATTTTTGACATTTTTCTATGTTTTTCTTTTCACAAAATATCAATTTCCATAAGTTCATTACCGTAGACAGATTCCAAATACATTTCAAAAGTTTAAAACTACAAATTTCTCCCAGAAAAAAAATAAGTAGTAATCTCGAGAGCACGAAAAAAATTATTATTTACTATACGATGTGTATTTCATCGACATCTTTGGACGATGAAAATACAGTGTATTATCCACGTGGCTGCTCACCAATTGCACCACAACAGCAGCAAAATAATACGCTGATAATATCGCCGTCCCCTTCTAGACATCGTACATTATCACAGTCTTCGTGAGTAGCATGTTCTTTCTGTTTGGCTTTTTTTGTTGTGTGCATGCTTTCCCTGAGTTTTTGGCTTTGACGTGGCAAAAATCTGTGAATTTGCCACGTCATAGCTCGATGTAGACCAAAGCTCGCTGTAGACCAAAATCAGGCTATCCCAAAAAATAAAAAATAATTTTCAGACTCGGAAAGCCCAACAAGAAAGAGAAGTCTGGATCCGACACCTTCACATTCAACTTTTTCAGAAGAAAGGTGAGCCGCAACTTTTTCAGCAATGGAAAAAATCCCAATTTTTTCCAGCAACAAGCTGCTCGACCAAATTTGACTGATATTATTTCGGATCTTGATCAAAGATCAACATCGACACGCAATTTGACGGCAACAACTCCGACTGATTTGAGAGCGGCTGGAAATTTGGCGGCGAGTAATGTGGGTTTTTTTCTTTTCTTTTTTTTTTGGGATGGAAAAAATGTTATAGGGTCGGTTGAACATCTGTTCCCGGCCGACCGCCACGTTTCCGTTTCCGGTTCATTTTTAGAATACAAAAATCCTCCTCATTGCGAGATTTTTGTTTTGAGAAGAATTTTTGTTTTTGTTTCCCATTTCTCATGATCCAACATCCCCCGTTGTTATCATTTTCATTTTTTGTCCTCCTGGATTTCTCTGTTATCCTATTTCCGCTCCTATGGATAACACAACACCTTGTTCCTATCCACCGAAAACTAGAAATGTGGTGTATAAATCGTCGTTTTTTGGGCTAAGGGTGAATTTTTTGAATCACAGAGGGTTTCACTGAAAATTTATTGATGTCATAGAAAAGTTCCTAATAAAAACTTTGGTACGCCAAAATTCGGCGCCTGGTGTGATTAGGAGTTTTGAAATGTGCAAAAATCTCTACTCAAGTCGTTATATTTTCAGAGAAGAAGCACTTCTGCCTCGATTTTGCCAATGTCTGATGGAGGAACTGGATTTGATGCGAATTCTTTTGATGGTTAGTTGCTTCTTTTTTTTTTGGGTAAACGTGTTGTCGGTGGAATCGAAAAAGTCTCTGGACTAAAATTGAACTAAACAAGATTGTACCAACCGTTGGACGTGAAATTTTGAAAACAAAAGCTTTTTTACTGCACGTGAGAACAAAAGAGTTTACCAATAACGTCATTATGAAGCAATGTTTTGATTGTTGCAATTGTTTTGTTTTGTTATTATTCGTTCAGAAGGCAAAATTTCTGTCTTTTTTCCCCTCCCGCCGCCGAATTTCGATCGCTTTTTCATTCATTCTCACTAAAAATGACTGGTCGAAGAAATGTTCGAAAACGATTTTCGACGGATGTTAGCTCGACGGGATTCGGTCCTACGCTATTTCGAACTCAAACTTTTTATCAGAATATTGCGACGCCGAGTTTTGCGATTTATGCGAGTGATAGGAGGAAAAGTGAGTTTGAGTTGGTTGAAAACCTGAAGTGAAGGTCTGAAAATTTTGGAACCACAAAACAGCTTGGCTAGGATTGTGATTCGCAGGAGCCAATTTTTTGGGGGGTCAAAATTGGTCTAGACACTTCTAGTCCCGAAATGTTCCAGGAAATCTCGAAAGCTTTTCGTCTCCTGATTTTTTCCCAACATTCTTGGCTGAAAATTTCTTTGAAGCACCTGAACTTTTTTCCTTTGAAAACTATTTCGACACTTTTGGGTTATGAAACTCTAGGGTTATGACTGTATGCTCTCGCTTTCCGTTTTTTTTCTTCAAAAAAGGGTGTTTGATATGATTCAAGTACCTCCTGTGTTTTGTTTGTTTACAGATATTTGATTTGAAAAGTGACTAATTCGCTTTTTGTTCTTCTTCCTTCTTCTTAACATTCTTCTGTCCCCTGAGAAACCACCAAATTTGATATTATTTAATTTCCTCTGCACTATTTTTCTCTCTCTCTTTCAATTTCCTAGAAAAAACCTTGTTTATGCTTTTTTTACTCTCATCTAAATAGAATACAAATTAATACCACCACGCACATTGATTTTGTGTGTTTTTTCATCTTCCGCCAAAATTTCCCCGACTGCTGTCATAATAATATCCACAAAAAATGTGCCGACTGACCCATTAATATTTTTCTCGCTCGCCGGGAGCTTTTTTGTGTTGTTGCTGTTGTTTCGGGGCTCATTTGTGCTCACCTCATAACTTTTGAACCAATGTGTTTTTTCCTCCGCTCTTTTTGTTGTGTTCGGGGTTTTTCGTATTCTCAAAAGATTTTGAACAAAAATTCGAAATTTTTGGTTTTTTTTTTAAATTTTCTTCCAACCTAGCTTCATACTCAATGTTCATCGTCACAAGACCTGATTAGTAAATGTGCTGTACCCTTTAAGTAAAAATATATTTTTGAATTGGTTTCGGCGCGATTGATACTGTAGCCTGAAGGCGCATAAATTTTTTAACGCTGGGGGAGGGGGTACAAAATTTATGACAAATTCCCCTCGGGGGAATCCCCCGGAGCAAAAATCAGTGATCCTTCAAGCTACAGTATCAATCGCGCCGAGACCAATTCCGAAATAAAGTCGAATTTAAAGGCGCAGCAAATTTACTGGTATGGTCTCGTGACGATGTATGAAATTGTACGTGAAATTTTGGTACCACGTCTATGTATTCGGCTCCTTGGGCCCGGGCTTCGTCTAGATCCTATTTTCAAAAAAATCTGGAATTCCAGAATCTGACTTATTTGCATAGATAAAGCTATCTCCCCCTTGCCCATAATTGTTTTTCATTATAATTTGATACGTTGAACAAGCCAATTAGTGCATTAGCAGTAAATAAATTGTTTTCGTATTCAGAGGAACTTGAGAGGAGATTGGAATTCGCCTTGTATTTTTTCATTTCTCTCAAAATACTTTTTTTTATTCAAACCAAAGTTCCTCCATCAATTTTTTGATCCAAAAATACTTACACATGATCAGATTAGGGCAGAAATATGGAAATTTCTTTCATTCTTTTTTTTTGACAAAAAATAACAAACACACTGAAAAACATAATAAATAGACTAAAATAAACACTTTTGGCTGTTTTTTCCTTTACGATTTTTTTTCTTCTAGACTATTAGATAGTAGTTTTATGACCCTTTTCTCATTTCAAAAATGATTTTTTTTGTTTCCTCAACTCTTTCGGATGTTCGTGCTTTTTCCAACAAAAATCTAATAATCGTTGTTTTCGTCCATTTTTTCTGTTAAAGTACAGCCAAAAGAAGCCTCTATATATTTTGTTTTTCTTTTTTTTTGCTTAAAACTTTGTCATACATTTTTGAGTTTGCGAAAGTGTGAAAATATCTGATCTGCTCTTCTCGTGTCTTTTTGTTTTTGTTTTTATCACCCCGTGGGTCGAGAGAATGACCTTTTTCAAGAGGATTGGCGGCTAATTTTAGATTTTTTTTTCTGTTTTCTCGAAAAAATATCCTGGAAAATTTGGCCTACCAAAAAAATTTTGTTCAGTAATTTTTGGTATACCACTTTTACGAATATATCCAAAAATTCAGTAGTAAGGATTTTTTCTCGAAGCATAGTTTTTTCGTGACACTTTCGGACTTTTGAGGTAAAAATCCTCAAATCTCTACTGTAGGCCTTGGTTTTCTAGGCCATTTCGGTTCTCTTCCAAGGTTCTTATTTTTCGGTATAACCCTCCCCCTTTGAAAATTTGTATTTCGAATTATCTACGTCACAGGAATATATTATACTTCATGAATGAATGAACTATCTAAAAGGGGTTCAAAATTTCTACCGGACAAAAAAATTAACATAGAAATTGTGTTCTTCATTTCGTCATTTTTTGTCTCTACTCGTGATTTTGATCTTTTTGTTTTGTTCGAATTGTTTTCATTTTCTTCGCTCTCATATTTCGACTTGTTACAGTCAGTCGTCCTGAAATTGGTCACATAGAATGACTGTTGTCCCTCGTTGACAATACGAAATAGAAAAAACAATAATTGTTTGTTATTCTCTTGAAAAACTAAAAAGCGAGAGAAGAAAGAAGGAAGGCGATTATCATGGGGTTGAACGAAAAATGGACAAAAATACTGGAGAGAAGACGACAAAGTTGTGCGGTTGTTGTAGCATCGACACAGAATGCAAATTCGATGATTGTTGGAGGTGGAGTGAGGGAAATTGGAGGCGGAGGAGGATCGTGTGCAACACTGTCTGTTGTATCATCATCTAGTTCCTCAACAAATACTCATCGAAGAGTTTCGTTTCCGAGTTTTTCAACAATGCCGATTGGATCGTCTGCTGATGATGTGTCGATTTCACCAACTAGACCGAAATCATCGGATATATCGAGTTGGTTTACCAAAAAGATCAATGAGATTATTGCGACTGGTGAGAATATGAAAGTGACGTCGATTCTAACAAGAACGCTATCGAAAGCAACTGCAAGACGTAAACGTAGAAGTACAACACAATCCACAAATTCATTTCCGATTATTGTCATTGAGAAACCGCGATTCTATTCGGAATCGAATTTATCGACAACATCAAGTTCACTTGATACCGCATATCATCAAGAATGTCGAATGATAATTGATAAATATGGATTATTTGTGGATATAACGGATGAAGAAGTGTTGCAAAGAATTGTTGAAGGTGTACAACAACAGGATGAATTTGGGGTTTTGCCGCAAAGTTTGATTTGGGGTCCAATTGATTTTATCGATTCGGAAGGGACAGGTATCATTGTTGGAATGCACGGGGACATTCTGAATTCGTTTTTGTTTAAAAAATTTTATTTTCAAACTTGGGATCGGCGTTTTGAAGTCTAAAATTTATTTTTCGAATCATAAAACACACTTGGAAACAAAAACCATGAAAAATTCGAAATTTTCGACCCAAAATCATCTATAAATCCTTCCAAAACAGGTTCTGAAACTTATCGGCTTTCAGAATTCGCGTAAATAATTTTCCCCACAAATTTTTATAGCCAAAATTTCCTCCGTGTATTTTTAACAAAAAAAAACACTATAGCCTATGTCAGTTCAAAAAATTTGTATAAAATATGCAAATCTGTGAACTTTGAATTATAGATCAATATTTTTTTGTTGAAACTATCAGTGAACTAAAAAGTTTCGATTCCACCGACAAAAAAAAGAAAAGGGAATGATAGAAAATCAATAACAAACCCAATAGTTTAACATTTTTTTCAGGTCTTCCTGATCACATTTCTCGAATGGTATCACCGAATGAAGATCCGGCATTTGTTGATATTCCGAGTAGTAGTTCAGTGCAATCGCAATTGTGAGTTTATTTTTGAAATTTCGAAAAATTTGATCCTAAAAAGATATTTTTAGGGATCGCCTGTGGGGAAAGTATGATCTTTTCGCAAAAGAGGAATATCAATCTTGGCATGAAAAATATCGACATAATACGTTGAGTCAGAAACAGGTCAAAAAACAGGATGCGATTTATGGTTGGTTTTTAAATCGAGCGCTCCTGGCGCGAATGTAGACCGCAAGCTTCCGCGTAGCGGCACAATCTTCCGCGAAGCGGCTAGGTCTAGGTATCATTCTCAGGCAGGGGCTGCCTTTCGAGCGCCCCAAGCGCGAGTGTAAACCGCAAGTTTCCGCAACTTGCTTTACTTTAATATTTTTGTGGTCCCACCCTTCCTTAAAGTAAAATCCCACCCAAAATTCCAAAATTTCAGAGCTCTATTTGATGGAAAAACGACATTGTGCAAATATCGCATTTTTGTTGCAAGGATATCGAAGAAGAATGCTTGAAGATAATATTGTTTCGAAACATGATATGGATATTTTGATCCCGGATGTTTTAGATTCTCTCCTCATCTTCCATTTAAATGTTCTTGAAAAAATTACTGAAAGAATATCGCAAAATCATGAGGTTTCAACGATTTCCGATATAATTCACGAACATTTGAATATTGAAGGAGGACCGCATACTGAATTGTGTTGCAAAGCTTATACTGATTTTGGATTGGCGAAGGAGAAATCGGATGTTTTGTATTATCATTTGATGAGTAAGACCAACAAATTCTCGGAGTTTTTTAAACGGATTTATGTGGAAGAGCCGATTTATAAACAATATGATTTTCGACCGCTGATCACTAAAATCATCGGAAGAGCTACCAAATATTCGCTACTTCTTGAGACGATTTTGAAAAATGAGACACCATTTAGTCATGAATTTGATATGACAACGAAAGCGTTGGAGACGGCGAGAAAGTTTGCGCATAAAATTGATGAGAATTTGTCGATTGCGCATATGTCGAGAAAATGGGATGAGATTAAGGCGATGATTGAGCCATCGACGACGACTGGATTGTTTGTGGCTGATCCGGTTATGCAACAGGAATTGATTCGACATCATTTTGATGTGAGTTTGGACGGGGTGTTAAAATTAAAAAAAAAACATTTTATTTCTTGCAATTGTCAAAAAACTATATTTTTCCTATTGTTTTCAATTTTAACAATTCATTTTATGGGGGAAAAAAAAGTTTTTTGACAAAAAATTATTTTACCCCTACTTTTGTGTATTTTGCATTAGTATTGCTCATATTAAAAATTCAAAAGTAATTGTTTAACCTGAGTAATGCCACAATTTTACAGTACTTGGATTTTTTCGTTTCCAAGCCCAGAATTTTTAAGAATACTTTTTAACCTGAGCAATGCTACAATTTTTCTATATTTTGCATTTTTTCCACTTAAAAATGTAATATCTTCTAAAAAATTTCACCCCCTCCCCCCAGATCCCCCTCTACAAATACATGTTCTTCCAGCTTGAATCTCTGAACTCAAATCCTGATCGAAAACTGGTTCATATTGGAGAAGCCTACATCAAAGTGGCGAATGCTCCAACTGGCGGCGGATATTCAACATCGTCCTCCAACTCTGGAAAATCTGAAAAGAATCCCGGATATCTTGTGCTCTTCGACGACATCATTGTTTTGTTGCAGAAAAAGGGAACTCGCTTCCATTTTATGCAAGATCAAGGAGCGATTCCTGTCAAAACTCTATTGACTCGAACATCGGCGCGTGGGCAATCGATTATGTTGATTTCGGGAGGAAAACCGATTCTTTTTGAAATATCGTTCAACACATCGGCTGATCGTAAGAAATGGGTTTCGTATTTGGAAGCGGCGCCGAAGAATGTGCCGATTGAAGGGGTTCGATTGTCGCAGAGTAATGAAGAGGAAATGTTGAGGAAGAGAGCGATTCGACAAGAGGAAATGGAAAATCAATGGCTTGATAGGTTGAATGCTATTTATCGTGAGTTTTTTTTTGTTGTTTTGGACAATTTTATGAGGTCAAAATATTTTTTTTTGATCTTGGGCCGCTCAAAAATCAAAAATTCACCCCTTGCTCATATTAAAAGTTAAAAAATAATTATTTAACATGAGCAATACTCCAAAACTTTTGAGAAAATCAAAAATTAACATAACCTGAGCAATCTTTTTTGAATTAGTATTGCTCATATTAAACTTCAAAACTTTTAAGAAAATCAAAGATTTGGTTTAACATGAGCAATACCTTCGTTTCCAGCCCATAATGTTTTTTGATTACTTGACCTGAGCAATGCCACATTTTTTCTTTTTTTTTGCAAACGGAAATTTTTCCTAACATGAGCGATGTGTATTGATTTAGTATTGCTCATATTAAAGTCCAAAATTTTTGAGAAAACGAAAAATTTGGTTTAACATGAGCAATACTTTTTTAATTAAATGAAAAAAATTGGAAAAATATGGTAATTGAATTTTTTTGTCAAAAAACTGTAAGTTTTTGAACCCCCTTTATATATAATTTTCCAGAAACTCGATTTTCCGAAGAAGACAAACTCAGCCGATATCTCGAATCTCGCCTCGAATTCTTCGATCTTGTTCGTGCTCATATGTCGAATATGCCATTCAAATCTCGTCATGATATTTCGGATCGAATTCGAGAAGCTGTACGTGGAAATTTCAAAGAACTCAAAAGATCTCGAACAATTCCATTGAATCGATGTAAGACCCCTTTTTTTCAGAATTTGTTTCATTAAATTTTAATATTTTCAGTGGTTGATATGATGTCTGATTCAAGAGACTCGGATTTGTACTCGTTTTTCGATGAAAAAGCGGATTCGGCTGATTTTGCTGACAAATCGACGGATTTGTCGGATTCTGGAGATTCGAGTTCGGGCGGAGAATCGTCGTCGACGGGAAGAACGAAGCCGAGACGAATTCAGACATTCCACGGAACATCGCAACCTGGAGCACCAAGTTCATCAAGTGCTATTGATAGTGAGTTTTTGGTTCCCAAAATATCTAGATCCCAAAAGTTTTGGGGTCTAGATTGGAACTGAAATTGATCAGGAAAAAAATAACTGAAAATTTTTTTACCCAAATTTTTGGTCAGTTCCAATTTTTGTTCCAGAAAAAAAAATTAGTTCTTAAACTCTACAATCTGGAGGATTTTTCAATTTTATCTCGAAAATTACAGAATTTTTTGAGTATAAAAAAGCACTGGGAATCGTTTTCTGTACAAAAATTGATTTGCAATTTCAAAGAAGCAAAGTTGCTCTAACTCAAATGTTCTTTTGTGTGTGTTTATATTTTCATGATGCAATTTTAATTTGTTTTTGACACAAAAAAAACAAATTTTGATCCAGAAAATGTGAAAAAAGTTGTTTTTATTTTTTTTTTGCTTCAGAAAAAATTTTGGTTCAAAATTCTACAATATGGAGGATTTTTCAATTTTATCTCAAAAATTACAGAATTTTTTTTTGAGTATAAAAAAACACTGGGAATTTTTTCTGTACAAAAATTCGGGTTGCAATTTCAAAGAAGCAACGTTGCTCTAACTCAAATTCATTTTTTTTGTGTGGACTTTTCTCCTCACTTGTTTTCATGATGCAATAAAAAAATCTTTTTTTTTTTGAAAAACAAAATTTGATCCAGAAAATCTCAAAAAAACTATATTTTCCAATTTTTGCTATTTTTCCACAAAAAAAGTTTTAATTGCAAAAAATCGAAATTTTTTCAGAAAATGGAATTCGTCGACATACAACAGTTCCACGAATGAATAGCGATGCAAATAGCAAAAGCGGAGAACGTGGTCAAATTGATGAAGAACAAGAGATTGAAGGATCGAGAGCAAGAGGAGATTCATTAAATGATCGAAAACAATATGAAGAAATGATGGCGAAATTGCCATTGAGACAGAGTTTGAAAGCGAGAAGAGCATCGACGAGATTGATTAAAGAAGTGATTTTATTGCGAAAAGATAATCATTTGTTGAGAAATGAGAATGCTTTGTGAGTTTTTTTTCTGGAAATCATAATTGAAAACCTAAACTGTCCCATTTTCAGAACAAAATCTCGATGTGCACTTCTTGAAAAATGTCGTGGAACTGGATCATTGACCAATTCAACCGCATCTGCCATCGATGAATCGATGGAAAAATTGCGAAAAAAGGAGAAGGAGCTGCGAGAGTTGCGAAAAGAATTGAGCGCACAAAAAGAGGAGTTGGATGAGAAGCAAAAATCGATTGAATCGCAAGAGATTGAGATACAAACCAAATGGAATGCGCTGCAATTGAGATCGTCTGAACCGCCGACACCGCAACACGTCAGATCCGGATCTGCACATTCGACTATTTCATCGCCGACATCGTATTCGAGATCGTGAGTTTTCTTGGGGACTCTTTTAGATTAGGGAATTTCAGAACCCATGGAAATTCTTGAATTTTGACGCCAAAAACCCACGTGGCAAATTTAAAAATTCTGAACTTCCTGAAATTAATTAAAAATTTACTAGATCAAAATTTCATCAGAAATCCAAAAAAAAAATCAAATCCAGACTTATGGGATATCAAAATGCCCCGAATTTCATGAAAAATTTGAAATTTAACATGAGCAATGCTCTAAATTTGAGGCTAAAATTCAATTTTTCAACAAAAAAATTGGGGGATTTTTTGGAAAATTGAGTTTTGAGAATTGTTCTGTAACTTTCAAATTTCAAACAAAAATGTAAACTTTCAAACTCATGGAAATTTGAAAAGTCTGAAATTAATTAAAATTTTACTAGATCAAAATTTCATCAGAAATCGAAAACTAACATGAGCAATGCTCAAAAATCAATAAAGCGCTGAAATTCTATCAAATCCAGGCTTATGGCATATCAAAATGCCCCGAATTTCATGTAAAATTTGAAAATTTTGAGCAATGCTCAAAATTTGAGACTAAAATTCAATTTTTCAACAAAAAAATTGGGGGATTTTTGGAAAATTGAGTTTTGAGAATTGTTCTGTAAACTTTTCAAAATTTAGGATGAAACAAAATTACACGATATTTTAATTTGTAATTTTTTCCGCTCAATTTTTTCAAAAATAAAAAAGCCCTAAATTCCTGAACTTGAAAATTTTAAGAAAAATCGAAGCTGATGTGACATTTGTGGTAGGTTTTATGAAAAATAAATGTTGATACTCACAAAGTTTCGAGTTACTAAAAATTTATGTTCATTTTTATATGTTGCTTTTCACATTTGTCTACGCCTAAAATCTAAAAAATTGTATGTGCTCACAATAATCATTTTTTAACCTAAAAAAGTCAATCCGAAAAATAGGAACCTTGGAAGAGAAGGCCTAGAAATCCAAAGATTTTCTCTTCCACGGCTCGTATATTTTTGGATTGACACTAAAATGTCCCTGTTTAAAAAATATATTATTGCAGAACTCTTCTTCCAACAACTCCGACAAACAATTGCACTAATCAAAATATTGAATGGTCGCCGGTTTTAACCAGTCTTGCCACGAAAATTGAATCGAAAAAAGTTGGCGCGAAAAAGACTTAGATTACTGTATCATCTTGATTTCTTTTTTTTTCTCTTATTTTTTTTTCATTCCCCCCGTCAAAATATGGGTTTTTCTTTTTCTTCTTCTTGTACATTGCTGTTTTGTTCTACTAGAGGTTTATTGTGCCTTTCTTTTTTTTTCATATTTTTTTATAAAACTTTCCCGGTATCAATATTTTTTGTTTCAATTTTCTATTTATTTTTGTCCAGATTTTGTATAGATATCATGTCCCTTTCTTTTTTTTATTATTATATTCATTATTGCCAATAATAAGAATTTTAATTTTGAAATTTTTGAAGATTTGGAGAATGTTAGATTCAGAAGGTTATATTTTTTGGTAGAATTTCAGGCAAAAAAAGAAAAAGGGAATTTTTAGATGAGAAGAAGTGTTGGGAAGAATCATTGGAGGATTTTGGCGGCGAATAGGAATTGTAGGTTGAACTTGGAATTTTGGAGCTAAAATTTGAAAATTCTGAAATTTTAGCACCAAAAAAATACGTGGAAAATTTACTTGGAAAATAATTTTTAACTTAAAAATTTAGAAAATTCTGAAATTTAGTTTTGAAATTTCACAAATTTTTTAGCCTAAAAGTTAGAAGAAAGTTTAAAAATTTTTGTGCTAAAAAACCACGTGGAAAATTTCGAAATTCTGAAATTTTAGCACTAAAAACGTGGAAAATTTACTTGGAAAATAATTTTCAATTAAAAATTCAGATTCTTCCGCTGTTCTTCCATCAACATCTACATCTACATCCACTCCAACCTCCGAACCCAAGCCGAAAAAATCAGCAGATTCCACAACAGATTGGAAATTGAGTATTCTTCGAATTCTCGACCAAGAATTCAAATGGCAAAATCAGACGAATAAACAAATTGAGGCAAGAAGGCAGGCATTGGGAAATGTGATGAGATTCTCGCTGAAACAAGATATGCAATCGATTTTGAGATTGGCTGAAAATCAGACGAGGAGAAGGGAAATTGATGATGTGAGGGTTTGGAGGGGAAAAATAAATTGAAAAACTTTGGAAAAAAAACGATTTGGTTTTAATATGAGCAATGCACTGATTTTTAGAATCGAAAAAACTCTATTTTCTAGGTTTTGAACTAGAGAATCTAGAGAAAAATAGAAGATTTTTTATTAAAAAGGTAGAAAAATCAATATTTTCATGGTTTTAGATAGCTTATTTCATTTAAACCCCTAATTTCAGGGTTTTTAATTAGACATTCAAAAAATGTATATCTGGATGAGTTATGACGTGGCAAGATTAATTTCAGATTTTTCAGGTTCTTCCAATGTGTCTTCTCGTCATCAACAAACAATTCGAGCAAATTCTGAAAACCGTTGAAAATATCAAATCGCAAGAATCACTCGCCCTATTCTTGAATATCTCAAATTTGTGGAAATCCATCAAGCCCAACAACCCAGATAACACTTTAAATCTGATGTGTTTGTTGGTTTTGGGAAAACTTCGAGAATGGAAAGATCAGCGAGATTTTGATGAGAAAAGCGGGCAAATTGATCGGATTTTTGAGGAGATTGAGAAGAAGACTGAGAAAATTGTGAGTTGCTTTAGGGAAATTCTATTGCTCATGTTAACCTAGAGCATTGCTCATATTATTAACATAGAGCATTGCTCATGTCAACATAGAGCATTTCTCATGTTAATCTAGAGCATTGCTCAGGCTAACATAGGGCATTGCTCATATTAACCTAGGGAATTGCTCGTATGAACTTAGGACATTGCTCATGTTAACCTAGAGCATTTCTCATGTTAGAATAGGGCATTGCTTATATTAGCATAGGGCATTGCTCATATGAATTTAGGGCATTGCTCAGATTAGCATAGGGAAATCACCCGCCATTTTCTAAGTTTTCATTTCAAAAAATTTTAAAATCTGAAAATTTCTTCAAATTTTTGCTAGAATTTCAGTGGAGCTATGCTGAATTTTTTGAAAAAAAACCTTTTTTTTTTCGGCCCCATTTTGCATTTTCCATCAGTTTTTATTCAAAAAAAAATTCAAATATTAATTTCAGGTTCGATTTGCTACGCCGGATGATTTGCGGATATTTTTAGCCCCCAAAGATTTGAATAGCATAAAACTGGAGTTTGATAGAATTCATAAGTTTTATATTCCAAAACCGAAATTCGTGGATAAATCGAAATACTTGGCGGATTCCGAACTTCTTCAACCATTTCAAAATATTTGTTCGAAAGAAAATTATAATGGAAATCCATTTAAAATCGATAATGGGGAAAATCAGAAATTTGAAGAGTTATTTGAGAAACATATGGAATTAGAAGCATCGATGTGGATTCAGGTGAAGAATACTGTAGCGAAAAAAGAGGAAGTGAAAGAATATGGAGAGGATTTGATATATCAATGGAAATGGAAGATGAATATTGAAAAAGAATTGGGAAAATTGGAAAATGAAGAGAATATTCATCCATTAGTTGCGAGTTGTATTGAAATTATTCCCCGCGAAAAACTGGTGGAACTTTTACATTTTTCCGCATTATCTGCTTGTTCACAAGGTCAAGATCTATTATCAGCAACACAATTCCAATATGATTTGATTAGTCCAATTATTAAAGAAATGTGTAATATATTCAAAATCAGAATGGGATATCCGGAAAAAGAAGTTTGGAAAAATGTGTTTAAAATGTATTCGGAATATTTTTCATCGGAAGATTTGTCGAGGAAAAATACGTTGAGAGAATGGTGGAATGAAAGTTGTATGAAAAATGGGATCAAAGCGGATTATCAATTTGAGATGGGAAATTTGGACCTGAAATCGAAAATGGAGGCCGGAAATGTGTTTTTTGAGGTTTTGCAGAAGAGTTGTGTATTTCCAGTTGAAAGTAAAGCGACCAATAAAAGTGAGTTTTTTTCTGAGCTTCTGAATATTTCAAAAAACTCATTTTTAATTTGAAAATTCTGGGAATTTTTTTAATATCTACAGATTTCGCCCTGAAATTCCATACAGTAAAAATCAAAAATTCTGGAAATTTTTTTTAGAATTTTTGTGCAAAAATCGATTTTGTCAGAAAATGTTCAAAAAAAATTTTTTAGAAAAAAATTTATTTCTGAGCTTTTGATTAAATATTTCTGAAATATTATCAAAAAAATCATTTTTGATTTGAAAATTTAAATTTTTAATCGGTTGATTTCTGGAAAATCAGTTTTGTTTTTGGTCGAAAAGTGAACAAAATTTGGCCAACCTCAGATTATTAGTCAATTTTTGAACAAAATTCGCCCGAAAAATTGGACCCTTGAGCCAAGTTGCAGGGTTCCAAATTTCGAAAAATTTACAGATTTTGCCCAAAGCTACAGAAAATGTTCAAAAAAACCCAATTTTGCAGTTTCTTGGCACAAAGCCTTCTCATTCCGCTCAATTTCAACCGAAGAAGAATCTCGAATAAATCCAGATGGTCGACAATCTCTTTCAAAAATGCTATCAATCGATCGAAGACTATCAAAAATATTCAATAATTCACATCCCTTTGAGTTTATCATATTTTCAACATCAAATCTTCCAATGACAATTCCACCTCGACCTTGGATTGATTATGGAATTGGTGGACCACTTTATACATCAAATATTCCAATTATTCGAAATATGTTTGAGTTTAAAAATGTTGATATGAATTTGGAAGTGAGGAAGAGAATTTCGAGCAGGTTTGAAGCTTCTGAAATTAATTTTTGAAATAGAATTCATTTATTTTGCAGACAACAAGCTCGGCCGGTTTTCGACGCTCTTAATCAACTTGGCTCAACTCCTTGGGTTATCAATGAGAAAATGTTGGAAGTTTTGAAAGAGGTTTTTGGAAAATCGGGAGATTTTGAGGCGAAACAACTTTTGGATAAATTAGGAATTCCAATGAGAAAAGACACTGTTGAAATACCAATGTTTGAGAAAGAATTTGGAATTGGAATTAAGAAGGAGGATATTGATAAGGAGAAATTTAGAGAGTATGCGAAACGAAAATCGGAAGCGATAAAAATGAAAAATGAGAGTAATTCATTGTGGTGTTGGATGTTATACCGTGTTGTACTTGCCGATCATTTTCGAGGAAAAACCCTCTATTTTCCACATAATATGGATTTTCGAGGCCGTGTTTATCCACTTTCGCCATATTTATCACACATGGGTGACGATGTGAATCGATGTATTTTGAAATTTGCCAAATCCAAAAAATTGGGAAATGATGGATTCGAATGGTTGAAGTTGCATTGTATCAATTTGACGGGGACTATGAAGAGAGCGAGTGTTGAGGAGAGATTGAAAACGGCTCAGGAGCTTTTGCCGACGATTTTGGATTCGGCGAGGAATCCGTTTGGTGGTGAGGGGTTTTGGGGGAATTTAGGAAATTTTAAATATTTAATTTTTTCTTCAAAATAATTCTGAATCAAAGTGTGCGAAGGGAAAACATACATGGCACTGCGCTCAAAATTGTGAGGGGGAGATCATGACATTTGGAAAAAATTTTCGAGGGGGGGATCATGACATTACGTACAAAAAATCTAAATTTTTTTCAAAGTGAAATCGGTACGCTAGAAAAAATTGGGTTTTTGCATGTGGTCATTTTTGACATATTTTTTCAGGTTCGATAATTGGAAACTAGTTCTTTAGGAATATCGAATGTAGAGAACGAGCGAAGAATTCGACGGATATCATTCATTGGCTAATTATTCTTATTTCTCATTTTATTTCTAAAATTCTCAATTATATTTTTCTATATCCTTCTAAAATAAAAAATGAGTTTATTGTAGTAAGTTCCTTTCAGAAATCTTCATGCAATTATCATGCTCAACCCTTCTGAACAATTCCTTATAAATTATAGACAATGCGTTATTTATATGATAATCAAATTGAAATCCAAAAATATTGAATTACAAAACAAAAGAAAAACAAATGGATTCCACCGAGAATTCGATCCAAAAACCCTCTGATTATCACGCGCGATCTCTACCGACTTGACCACGAGGCTACTTATTTCACATGCTTATTTTTAAGTGATAAAAAAGGGATAGAAGGGGAGAGAAAATGAAAAAGAGAAGGAGAAGCGGAAAAAAATCATGAAATTTTTGAAAAATTACCATTTTTTATCGAATTTCGCCGATTTTGTTATATGTTTCGACTGTATAAGTAACTTAAGGATGGTAGAAAGGAATGTCTGTCGAAATTATCTTAAAAGAAGGTTTATTTCTTGAGATATGATCCCCCCAAAATCGAAGCCGTTTTGCTATGTCATTTTGGGGGGATCATATCTCAAGAAATAAGCCTTCCTTCTAGATAATTTCGACAGACATTCCTTTCTACCATCCTTAAGTTACTTATACAGTCGAAACATATAACAAAATCGGCGAAATTCGATAAAAAATGGTAATTTTTCAAAAATTTCATGATTTTTTTCCGCTTCTCCTTCTCTTTTTCATTTTCTCTCCCCTTCTATCCCTTTTTTATCACTTAAAAATAAGCATGTGAAATAAGTAGCCTCGTGGTCAAGTCGGTAGAGATCGCGCGTGATAATCAGAGGGTTTTTGGATCGAATTCTCGGTGGAATCCATTTTTTTTTCTTTTGTTTTGTAATTCAATATTTTTGGATTTCAATTTGATTATCATATAAATAGCGCATTGTCTATAATTTATAAGGAATTGTTCAGAAGGGTTGAGCATGATAATTGCATGAAGATTTCTGAAAGGAACTTACTACAATAAACTCATTTTTTATTTTAGAAGGATATAGAAAAATATAATTGAGAATTTTAGAAATAAAAATGAGAAATAAGAATAATTAGCCAATGAATGATATCCGTCGAATTCTTCGCTCGTTCTCTACATCCGATATTCCTAAAGAACTAGTTTCCAATTATCGAACCTGAAAAAATATGTCAAAAATGAAACCCCTCTCTCTTTGATATTTTTCATTTTTTTCACCATTTATTTTTTCAAATTTTTGACAAAAAAATTGAGGGGGGGATCATGACATTTCAAAATTTTGGGGAGAGGGGGGATCATTACATGGAGGGTCCGTTGGGCAAAGATGCCATGTATGAGGGAAAAAATACCAACTCAGGGAAATGAATACTCCGGAGAAACACATAAACAGCTCTGGAGAAAGCCGAAAATTACTCCGGTGCTAGCACTCGTTTTTCTCCTGAAAAGTTTTTGGGTAGTTTGGTGCGCTCTGGTGCTCCTCCGGAGAAAAACGGTCGCTTCGGCGCTCCTCTGGAGCGTTTTCGGTTGAGGTTTGGGGGAATTTCGGTGCGATTTAGAGAAGTTTTGCGCGAATTGGGTAAATTTCTATGTATTTTCAGTGCGTTTCAGAAGATTCCCAGCTGGCTTTTTGATTCGCTTGATCAAAAACACGTTGTATAGTTCACCTTTTATTGAATAATTAAAATGATTATAATTACTAAGGCTCGATTTAGTACACAAATATGGTCGCTTCGGTAACCAAATAGCCAAATCCTTCTTCGTAGATCGATATTTCGTTGATAACTATTGCCAAGTAACATCAAGTTTTTTGATTGTCGCTTTTATGATCTGAAAATGAAACATATACTTAAAATTGCACATTTTTAGAATTAGAGAGAGAAATTCAAGATGGAATCGTAGCGATTTCCCATCTTAGATAAATAACCAACTTTTGAGATTATTTTCGTGAAATGTAATGGGCCTATGCAGAATAATATTTTGTAATAAAAAAACATAAAAAAACATTTTTTTCCTATGCAGAAAAACGTCGAAAAAACAAAATAAAGACAACGTGAAATTGAGAGAGCGCAGACATAAAATGGGTTTTTTTTTCTGCACTCTCTCAATTTCACGTTGTCTCTACTCAAAATGATAAACTGTATATTTTGTTTTTTCGACGTTTTTCTGCATAGGAAAAAAATGTTTTTTTATTACAAAATATCATTCTGCATAGGCCCATAAGATGTCATGGTTTTTAGGAAGTGAAAAGAAACTCACATTATACACTTTTGAATTGCATTTGGTCGGTGGTCCATATTGCGACATCAATTTGATGCATAATATGAATTGTTTTCCAGTTGTCGACTGTAAAAATCACTTTATGTAAATACGGAGATTGATTAAAAACATACCTTAACACTTAAATATCCCATGAACAAATCTTGCTTCCTCGAAAAAAATTCATTCGAATCGTAGTTCCTTCCAGCGCGCCCATTTTGACTGAAAAATATGAAAAAGATAGTAATTTTAATAAAAAAAAGCTTTAAGTATGCGAAGTAAACATGTGAAACATAAATGTACAAAAAAACGTATGGGTTCTGAGAAAAATAACTCAAAATAGAAAAGAAAAACGAAAAATGAAATCGAATGCAAAAAATCAATAGTTGACCGCGACGCAGCGCAGCGCATCCAAAAGTTTGAAATTTTGATCGCACCGGAGCTCCCCTTTTCTATCAAGAGAAACACCAGAGTTACTCCGGAGTAAAAAGGGGGAAATCGACGAGCGCTGAAAATCACGGCTCTTTCGTGTTTCTCCGGAGTAAATTCGGGAAGTTTGGTGAGAATTAGTGCATTCTTGGGTAGCACTGGAGAAAATAGCCCCTTTCGTGTTTCTCCGGAGTAGTCATTTTCCTGAGAAAATTCAATTTTTTTTGTTTTTCGAGCATTAAAAAACCAAGATTTGAATTTTGAAAGAAAGTTTTCCGAAACTTCAAAAATTGGACCTAGAAAAAATGCTGTGTTAAAGTAATTTTCAGATTTCAATTTAAGAAATTCCAGATTTTAATGTTAAAAATCTTAAAAATTTACTAGAGACTTTTAAGAAAATGTTTCAATTAATTAATTCTCGAAAAATTTAAATTCATTAAAATTGAAATTAATTCTATGAGAATTTTTTTTACCCTCAGATTTCTAATTATGGAACTTTCCAGAAAAAATATCAAAATGTATAAATTTACCGTATTTTTAAAGTTTTAAAATTATTTTCCAATTTAATTAGTTCAAGAGGTTCTTAAGCTCTTCAGAATACTCTGAAAAATGTTCTAGCCCAGTTTTAAAGCAGATTTTTGGCATTAATTTGAACCTAAGCTTTAACATTAAAATTTTAATTTTCAGTCTGAAGTTTTGAGGTAGAAATCCTCGATTTTCAGCTAACAATTTTTCAGAATCTTCAGAAGAATCAAAGGAAAAATTTGGATTTTCATAGTAAATAAATTTTTCATTAGGATTTAAATTTTGGAAATCTCGGAAAATTTGAAAAAATAGAAATTTCCAGGTGAACGCTGGTGGATGGAATCAGATGAACCCTGGCAAACACTAGCTGCTTGTAACGAAATATCAGATGCCTTTGAATACGGCTCAAATACAGCTGAATTCGAAAGTCAACTACCAATTCATCAAGATGGAAGTTGTAATGGACTACAACATTATGCGGCATTAGGACGAGATAATGAGGGAGGACATCAAGTTAATCTAACTAAATCTGAATTACCAAATGATGTTTATTCGGATGTTGCACAAAGAGTTGAACAAAAACGAATTGAAGATGAAAATAATAATGGAGGTGAAGATTGTGAGATTGCTAGAAGATTGAGACAATCATTACCACAAAATGTGCCAAGGAAAGTGATTAAACAAACAGTTATGACAACTGTTTATGGTGTGACAATGTATGGAGCTGTATTACAAATTAAGAGGCAATTAAGAGCAATGGATATTGGAAATGATGAGAGTGCGGAATTTGCAAGATATTTAGCGAGAAAAACATTTGCTAGTTTAAATGATGCGTTTACAAGTTCGATGGCTTTGAAAGATTGGTTTAGATTGTGTGCAAAAGGAACGAGTGAATTAATGAGAACTGTTGAATGGATTACACCATTGGGTCTACCGGTTATTCAACCGTATTTGAAAGCGGTAGATCGAAAAGGGAAGTTGGTTTTGATGCCGATTCCGATGAAACAAGTTGATGCGTTTCCACCGAATTTTGTGCATTCTTTGGATTCGACGCATATGATGTTGACGTCGTTGAATTGCGCGAGGAATGGCATTACTTTTGCGGCGGTTCATGATTGTTTTTGGACGCATGCGAATTCAGTGGATGAGATGAATCGGATTTGTAGGCAGCAATTTGTTGCGCTACATTCACAGCCTATTGTGACACAGTGGGTTTTTTTTTGTTGAAAAATTTGGATCTTACTGTAGCTTCAGCTGAAAATTCTAGAAAAAAATTTTGAAATTTTGAAGATTTTCTCAGCTTGTGGTGGTATTTTTGACACTAACAGTTTTGAGGAAAATTTTGAGGAAAGTTTTGAGGAAAATAAAAAAATCTAGCAATTCTTAAATAATTTTCTTTTTCAAAATTAAATTTCCAGAAAATCGAAAAATTTTATGAAAATCTGAAAGAAGGTAGAAATTTCAAAAAAAAACTTTTTTGAATTTTTTGATTTGGCGCTTATTATTTTCAGAGCGTTTTTTTTCAAATTTTCAGCTGAAAATTCCAGTCTGAAATAGGAACTGAAAAAAAATCTGAATAAAACGTTCAACATTTCAGGTCCAAACTATAGTGTAGTCTAGGGGCTTCAAAAAATTCAGAGAATTTTTCAAGAAATTTAGCTTTTCATATAGTTTTTGAAAAAAATTAAAAATCCCAGTTTCAGAATTTTTTACCGCAATGAAAATCTGAAAAAAGGTGCTGAATTTCAAATCCACAAAAAGTTCCCTTAAGGTTATTCTAACTCTCAAAATTTTCCGATGAAAATCCCCCAATTTCCAAAAATTTGCAGATGTTCTGATTGGTTCAAATCAACATATTTAACACCGAAAGTCGCCAAAATTCTTCCACCCGAATTATTATCAAAATATCAAGATATGTTTACTGCAAAAGTTGAACCTGGTGAATTGGACATCGAACAAGTCAAAAAATCGGTTTATTTCTTTAGTTAGACTATAGTATAGTTTAGAGCATAATTAATTAATTGTTATTTTTCTTGTTGAATATTTATTAAAGTTGTTATTGATTTTTTGCGTGACCTGATTTTTTTTTGGTATTCTTGTCAGAAAAAAAAATAAATCAGTTTTTATTTTTATTTTTTAGCAATAATGAATCCAGTGTAAGTTTTTCTCAATAAAAAATAACCCAGATCCTAATTTTCAGACAAAATGAAAAGAAATTAATATTAAACAGTGATGAGAGATTGAAAAAAGCGAAAAATCAATCAATAACGAGGAAAAAGCGAGGATCGAAAAAATTGAGTGCGCATCGATCTTCTTCGAAAGCAAATGTACAACAAGGTATCAAAAAATCGATATCGAATGAGAATCAAGATCGAACTTTGAAAAAACAGAAAAGTTTAAGAGTTCCTAAAAATAAAAAAGACGAAAAATGATCCTGATGAATTGACAAAGAAACGATCGAAAAATACGAAAAGATCGCATACAAAATCGATTAGTAAAGAGAATTTGGTGGTGAAAAAGAAACAGGGAAGTGTTGTGGAGGATAAAATGCCGGAAGCTTTGAAAATTGTTAAATTGGATGTGGAGGAAAGAACTTGTGCGAGAACGAAGAAGAAGAAGAATGAGGTTGTTATTCGATATATGGAAGAGAGCACGGTGAGTTGGGAACATTCATACATACGTAATTTCATCTCTTCTCTTCGAATAAGTATAGTAGAAGCCTTGAAAATGACGTTTTCACGTAGAAAAACTGAAATTGCTGCGAGACCTCACTGTTTCGAAAAATGTGTGCGCCTTTGATTTGATTTTCAGCCCATAACTTTTTTGAGAATGCGTTTCAGAAACAAGTAAATAGTTTTTCTGCCTCATCTCACATCATGTCAGCCCAATGAAAATTGGCAATCGGTGAGAGTGAAGGAGACTTAGAAAAATAGATCAAAGGTACATTAAAAATTTGTGGGTCTGAAAATCCATAAATTTTGAAATTGCGGTTGCTAAACATATTTTGTTTCGAAAAAAATTGAGGATGACTTTTAGTCGCTTGGCACACTGAAAGTTCAAAAATGAATTCTCAAAAGTCAAGCTGAAGCCTATTTCTAAATTTCACAAATCCCAGACCCGCAAATGTAAATCGCTGTAGATCACGCGCGATTTCAATATCTTTTCGTCTCTTTCACTCTCACCGATTGCTGTTTGACATGTTGTGATCTCGACGAGACGAATCAGATGGTATATTCAGCGTTTTCTGAAATGTCCTCTAACATGCTGAAAATGCGCTGAAACTAGTTTAGTTAACTATGTAGTGTGTAAACACCGCGACGCACAAATGCACAAATCAAGTACCGTAGTGAAACACTTTTTTCAAATAAAAAAATCTGGAAACGTATGATTTTTTCCTCATTTTCAGCAAAAAGCCGAATCAGATGACGATTTCATAAATAATGAAAATAACGGGAAACTTTTCGACAAACACAATAATCCATTTTGGACATTGGTTCTGTTTGACGCGGAAGAAGCGGAAAAAGAAGGAATTGAAGTGGAGGGAAGAATCACAGCTGAACATGTTCTCAAATTTTTGGAAGGCACTTTGGCACCTGTTCCACCGGCTGATATTAAATATACCTTTGATTGCACAAAAGATGTTGAAGAGATGAGAGAAGTTGATGATGCGTTTTTCAGCGAAGATGCGGTTATGTATCATACTTTGAGGAATATTATGAGTAGTGAACGTAAGGTTTTAGATTTGAGAGCTATATTTTTAATTCAACAATTTTTTTGCAGGTGCTATGAAAAGATGTACTTTGAATGATGAAGCGAGTCGACATCAGAAGAAAATACCAGTTGTCCAAACCAAAGGTTTTGCACAAATCGAGAATTTGCACAAAACGATTCGATTTATCAAGCCGGATGTTGAACGATTTACGTATAGTCGAGACAAACCGATTGAATCGATTCGAAAATGTCGAGAGAATTTGAAAAAATGGGATGCGATTTGATTTTTTGAAAATTGGAATGAAGTTTTTATTATTACACCTTCTTCCAGAAAACTACAGTTAAATCCAAGTGTAGTTCGCAAAAATTTGAAATTTAGGGAATTGAGTTACTGTACTTTCTGGATCAATCAAGATTTTCTACAGTACTTCATTCACAAAACTGATTACTGTAGTTCTGCATTTGAGACAGCACTCCAGATTCACTCCTTACGTAATACGTTCCACGAGTTACTGTAATTGAACAGTACCCCAGTGTAGTAAAAAGCAGTACAGTTATCTTGTTTGGATTTATAAAAATTACAGCACTTTTTTTCGATTTTTAAATATTGTCAATCCGAAAATAAAAGAACCCCCGTTTGAATTGGCGCTCACGTACAATGACGTGACACATGCACATCAAACTGGTTGGCAAATAGCCAGCGTGTAAATTTCGCATTTTATTTTTCAAAAAAGACTCCAAAAATCAAAAATTCAACAAAAGAACCGCCCCTTGGGGGGAGCGAGCTCGAAAAATAAGAAGATTGGAGCATGCGATGAATCCATTCATCGAGCGTGAGCAAAACTGGATGGAAGTAAGTAATTACAAGATTTTTCCGTTTACTTTTGTGAAAAAAAGAATATCGTTAAAGATCTAGGAAATTCGGAATTAATTTTGAATAAAAATGGGCTAGAAATCTGGAAAAACGAGAAATATTCATAAATTTGCATACAATTTTAGAAAATTTGACTGCAAAGCTCGAAAAAAATTCTGACCGCCGCCTGGAGGAGCCTGTGGTCGGCACAAAACAAAAAGCAATAACCGTAGTTTTCTACATTATTCAATTTTTCAGCAATTGAAAATGAATCGACGATTCAACAAACGATCCGCCTCTTGGGGCGACGACAATTTGAGAGCTCGAAAAATAAGGAGACTGGAAAATGCGATGAATCCATTCATCGAGCGTGAGCAAAACTGGATGGAGGTAAGGATTTTTCCGCAAAAATAATAACGTTAAAGATGTAGGAAACTCGAAATTAATTAAATAAACGAGAAATATCCATAAATTTTCCTTACGAGAATCATCGGACTGCAAAAAAATGGAAAAATCATAGATGAAAAGAAGAAAAATTACTGTTTTTCATATATCAAGAAATTTCAGATCGAACAATGATCGAACAATGAAATTTCAGATCGAACAACACCACCTGCAGTTCCAATTGTTGCTGTTCCTCTTGTCATTGCTCAACCACCACAACCTCAACCTCCAATTGTTGCTCTCCCAGTCGCACCACCACCACCACCATTCTCACCACCTCCTTCTCCACCAAACGATGATTGGATAAAATGGTGTGAGGATGATGAAAAGTGCGATGAAAGCGGTGATAAATAAATGTTTTTCGAGGAAAGAAAACATTCAAGAAAAATAAAAACAAAAATTATCGCGGGCGCGACGAGACCAAACACCCACATCTTGTGTTCCTTTAATTGAAGTACGGTTTATTGAATGAATTATATTTTTTTGTTTTTTTTCATTTTTTTTTTTCAAGCTTCGCGTTTCGTGATTCAAGTTTCGTATTCATTTTCAGGTTTCAGTGTTCTTTTTCTATCAACTTTTGTTGGGGATTTACAATTCTCCATATAAATTTAAAATACTCAATTTTCTTGAATTTCAAAGAAATGACACATTTTATGAAAATTTAACCCGTTCTTTGATTTTTCCATTTTCCCATTTTTCCTTCTCCTTTTTCTATCCCTTTTCTCGTGGCCGTGGCAGAGAAAACCAAAAGTTTGTTTTGTGTCGCACTTTTCTTCACGTTGTTGTTTTTTTCCAAAAAAAAAACATTTTTCCATTTTTAATTTCATTTCCAGAAACCTCAATTATTTCAGACATGGGTTTCTTGTGGAAGACAGCAAAATTAGGAATCAAAGTTGGATTGGTGGCCGGCGCTGTCAAATTATCAATCGATAATGATATTTGGTCGACAAACAATGTGAAAGGATCGGAATTGTATCAAAAATTGAAAAAGTATATCGTTCCAGGAACTCTCGTTTTCCCAGAACAGGTTAGTTGAAGGAATGTGAAGGAATTGTTTGAAAGTTTATTTGATATTATTTTTAGCTTCCATCAAAACAAGAAGTTCAATTGGAAGTTGGAGGGCGATGGAATAATGCTGTTGATACTGTGAGTTTTAAAATTTCCTCTAAAAAATAGAATTTAGTAATGTTTATTTTTAAAATGAAAACCAAATTTAAATACAAGTTCACGTTAAAATTTTCGACGATTTTTTGAGAAAAAATCAAATAAATTTTTTTTTCTTCCCAAAACAATCAAATATTTTTCCAGGTTTTCACATCAATCGAAAATGTTCCATCAAGCCTAAACACAGCCGCCAATCGAATCATCAACAACAAATAAATCCCATTAGTTCCCCAGTGTGAATAGTTTCGTTTTTGTGTCTTACATTTCATTTTTCAAAACCGAAAAATAAAGAAAAAGTCCATCTACTGATAGCCCGTTGCTCCTTCTTATCAGCATACAAATTTATTCGACATCTTCTTCGCCCGTTTTTTTTCCCTAATCACTCCCTACCAACCTTTTTTTGTTCGTGGGACTTGATAATTTCCAATATTTAATTTTTTTATAATTTAGTTTTAATGAGTTCGGCGGTCGCATCCCGCCTTTCTTGGGGACTTATTCTATCAACTCTCGATTTTTTGGCCTGTTTGTTGTTCGCATTTTTGCACGATGGTACTTTTTCTGTGAACAATTTTACTAGTCAATTCACAAACTTTTCCTTTTTCACTTGGTAAGTTGGGAATTTCGTCTGCAAAAAGTCGTGTTGTGCGTAGAATCCGCAAACACGCACTGTGCATTAGAGCGCACTTTCTTATTTTTGTGTTTTTGAAGTAAAACATGGGCTAGAATCTCACCTTGTAAGATTCTGGTATTATCGAAAATCCCATCGGTACCACGCGCTCCACCGAAATGAACACGCAACGCAGACCGCGCCGCGCCATAACACACAAAAAAAAGAGAGAATTTGAATCGTTCTCTTATTTGTGTGTGTTGTCGCGCGACGCGGTCTGCGTTGCGTGTTTATTTCGGTGGAGCGCGTGGTACCAATGAGATTTTCGATAATATCAACTCAAAAACACACAAAAAAGAAAAATGCGCTCTAATGCACGCGTGTTTGCAGAATTCACGCGCAACACTCTGACGAACTTTCACAGACCACCATTTTTTTTTCAAAAATTTCCAGTACAATCGATCTATTCCTCCTCCAATTCATCCGCTCAGCCCTTTGGTTTGTCCCCGCAATTATTCACATAATCAACAAACCCGACACTCTTTCTTCATGGAAAGAGCCAATATTCTGCGCAAGTCTTTTGATCTGCGCAGCTTCCCCAACCAAACTTCTCCTCCTCACCGAACGCCTCAAACCCGACGAGTTTTTGACATTCGGCGACACCGCATTTTTGATCTGGAACTTTTTGGCCGCCATCATTTTGGACTCCTCTTGGAACCGCTATTTCAGTCGAACACCATCTTCGTACATCATTTTGGATGAAGATAATGAAGATTTAGAGCATCGACCAAAAGAGACATTCGAACTGATTTTCAGACTTTTGCAATATTGTAAAAGAGAATGGTTGTGGCATATTTCAGGATTCTCATGGCTTTTCATCTATTCAGTCAGTGAGTATCTAGAACTTCTCTGAAATAATAGAAAGAATAATTGGACAAACTTTCAGCAAGAATCTTTGTTCCATATTATACGGGTCAAGTTATCGCAACTGTCGTTGCCACAAAATCCTATCCAGCTTTGTCAAATGCAGTGTATATTATGACTTTCATCTCACTTGTTAGGTTTGTGAATTTTTCGAAATGAATTTCAAAAAAAAAGAAAGAGGATGCGATTATTTGGAACACGTTTGTAAATAAAAAAAATAAATTCAGTTTCTTTTTTCCCCTCATTTTGAAATGCAAGAGACAGCGCCTCCCTTTAAATGGGTCTCGACGCGATGTGTTTATTTTTGCAGTGCTGTAGCTGCTGGTTTCCGTGGTGGATCTTTCGAATACGCGTATGCCAGAATTCAAAGATCAATCAGATATGATTTATTCTCCGGTTTAGTTCGTCAAGATGTTGCTTTCTACGATGCACATAAAACTGGTTTGAAAAAATGCTGCTCCCAAATTCATCTCATATTATTTTCCTTCCTCCAGGTGAAATCACATCTCGTCTGGCAGCCGATTGTCAAACAATGTCCGACACCGTCGCGTTGAATGTCAACGTTTTTCTTCGAAATTGTGTGATGCTTTTGGGCTCGATGATTTTTATGATGAAATTATCGTGGCGATTGTCACTTGTCACTTTCATTTTGGTACCAATTATTTTTGTGGCCTCGAAAATTTTCGGAACTTATTATGATGTTAGTTGAAAAACGTGGCAGTGCAGTCATTCGCGTGCGGCTGTGCGTCGCGGTCGGGAAACAAACCGCGACGCACAGCCGCACGCGTCACATTTTCAACTTCGCCAATATATATATTTTTGCAGCTTCTTTCTGAACGAACTCAAGACGCTGTTGCTGAATCAAACGATGTTGCTGAAGAAGTTTTATCAACAATGAGAACAGTTCGATCATTTGCATGTGAAAAAGTTGAAGCTGATAGATTTTACGATAAACTTACCGTAACTCTCAATGTCACACGTACCAAAGCAATCGCATATGTCGGATTCCTTTGGGTCTCCGAACTTTTCCAATCATTCATCATTGTCGCCGTTCTCTGGTACGGTGGACATTTGGTCTTGACCGGCAAAATGAAGGCCGATTTATTGGTCTCATTTTTATTGTATCAAATGCAACTTGGTGACAATTTGCGACAAATGGGCGAAGTTTGGACGGGATTGATGCAATCTGTTGGAGCGAGTCGGAAAGTTTTCGAATATATTGATCGAGAACCGCAAATTCAACATCACGGGGAATATCAACCAGAAAATGTTGTTGGTAAAATTGAATTCAGAAATGTGCATTTCAGTTATCCAACTAGAAGTGATCAACCGATTTTGAGAGATCTATCATTCACTGTTGAACCTGGAGAGACAGTAGCCCTTGTTGGACCATCAGGTTCCGGAAAATCATCATGTATCGCACTTCTCGAAAATTTCTATCTACCAAATGCCGGGCAAGTTTTAGTAGATGGTGTTCCACTCGAAGAATATGAACATCACTATATTCACAAGAAAATCGCATTAGTCGGACAGGAACCAGTTCTATTTGCAAGATCTGTTATGGAAAATGTTCGATATGGAGTTGATGTACAGGATACGGTATGTTATCCTAGCTCATCTAGTAAAAATAACTTGTAAAAACTTATTTAGGAAGTCATAAAATCATGTGAAATGGCGAATGCTCACGGTTTTATAATGCAAACCACTTTGAAATACGAGACAAATGTTGGAGAAAAAGGTACACAAATGTCAGGAGGGCAAAAACAAAGAATTGCGATTGCTCGAGCATTAGTTCGAGAACCCGCGATTTTATTGCTCGATGAAGCAACTTCGGCATTAGATACTGAATCGGAACATGTTGTTCAAGAGGCTATTTATAAAAATTTGGGTGGTAAAAGTGTTATTTTGATCGCACATCGATTGTCGACTGTTGAAAAGGCTGATAAGATTGTTGTTATTAGTAAAGTGAGTGATCAAGTCGTTTTCTCAAAAACACAGGCGCCTCAAAACAAATTTAAAAAAAAACAAAAAAAGAAAGTGCGCTCTAATGCACAAATTTTGTGTCTGCGTGTTTGCAGAAAAAACGGTGACGACTATTTGCAGACCACCTAAATGGGTAATTTTGAATTTACTTCAAATTTCCGATTTTTCAAATAGCCTTATTTTTGAATTTTAAAAAATCTAGCCTAATTTTTATCCAAAAATAGGATTTGAAAAATCGGAAACTTGGAGTAACTTCAAAATTACCCATTCAGGTGTCCTGCAAATAATGGTCACCGTGTTTTCTGTAAACATGTACACACAGAATTTGTGCATGCATTAGAGCGCATTTTCCTTTTTTGTTTCGTTTCGTATGTTTTCAGGCACCCGAGTTTTAAGGTAAACAAGTTGATACTAGAAGTTTTGGAACCTTATTCCAAAATAGCGAATCAAAATCTGATTAATTTAGGGAAAAGTCGAGCAAATTGGCTCACATGAGCAATTATTGGCTGACAAAGAAGGAACTTATGCTAAACTTGTTCAACGTCAAATGATGGGCGAACAAAAACCCAAGAAAAATAATGGTGCAAATTCGAAACGGTGAGATTTTTTTGTTGAATTTTGTTTTTCAAATACAACAATCAATATTTTGTCAGACCAGCTAATTCAATAAATGTTGGTGGAACATCGCAAGGAAATGCAATGTCTCTACTCTCAACATCTTTCAGTCAATCAGCAAGCAGTGTAACTTCTCATTAGAATCAAAAAAAATCTGTTGAAATTAACCTTATTATAAATTTGTTTTGTGCTCTCAAATCAATTCCAAATAATCATTCTCTTCCGCATTCGCTTGGCTCTGAAATTAGGGAAAAATTATAGAATATAAAATAAATATCTTGAATTTTGAATCTTACCCTAGGATTTGATCTAACATGCGAATAACTGGTTGTATCACTTGCATGTCCATGCCAACTACCGTATCCATACATTGATTCGCGAATTGATGGAGCTGGCACAATTGTAGATGCTTGGCGAGAGCAAAATGACTGAAACTCGATTTTTTTCCCAGAAAAAATTGAAGAAGAACTCTCACCTCATTGAGATTTTTGGGGCGATTCTGCTGATTTTTCTTATAATTTCTGAAGGAATATGTTGAATTACTTCTGCTTGGAGAATATCCACAATCCTCATTGATAACAATATAATATAGAGTGGCAAAATGAATGACAAGCTTAAGAGAAATATAATATTTTTATCCGAAAAGTATCTATATATTTCAAAGAAACTCACAGAGATGGCGTAAAACGTGGCGACAATAAAGGCGAAAATTATGAAGGCTGATGAAAAAGCATCCGGATTTTGAGGGGCGACAATTGAATAATCGAACAGCGAGACAATCATTGAATAGAATGAGAGGAATGTGAACAGGAACTGGAATTGGGGAATTTTTTTTGTTTGAAAAATGTTTCTGTGTTGGAAAATTTCCGGATTTTCTAGAAAATGTGCTCGGAAAAACCAGAAAGTGATAACTTCAAGATCGCCCAATTTTCAAGAAATTTTCTCAGTGTCTAACAAAAAATAAAAATTTTGGATGAAAATTTTCTGAATTTTTTTTGAATTTTCTCAAAACGGAAAAAAACACGTGTAAAATCTGTAGTTACTGAAAAATCTGTAATTGCACGAATTCCAGATTAAAATTTTTAGGACTCAAAACAGACTCGGAAAGAAGAAAATCTGGAATTCGTGCAATTACAGGTTTTTCAGTAACTACACATTTGACACGTGTTTTTTTTTCTATTTCACAAAATTCAAAAAAAAATTAAGAAAATTTTCATTTTTTGTTGGACACTGAGAAAATTTCTTGAAATTGGGCGATCTTTGAAGTATTACTATTAAAAATCACTATTATTGAATTTCAGCACTAAATTGGTAGTAAAACCTATTTTCAACTGGAATTCCATCTATGATTTTTTATGCTAAATCAGAAAATTAAGGGGGGAAAAATCACTCATTTTCCACCAAAACCCTCTTTCATATCCAACTCCTTACCTCAAAAACCAAACTAGGAACAACAAGAATAGTTCGATATCTGGTTCGAATTTCCTTGTCATACTTTTTCAAATAAATTGCATATAGAAACAATAAACAGCTTGCGAATACAACAATCAAAAGATAGGCGCAATGTTCGACGAAAAAATGGGGAGTGAAGAATCTTGGGAGGGCTAAGAGTATACGATTCATCCAGAGACATGTCGAAGTGCTGGAAAACTGGAGGATTTGCCACGTCACAGTATACCAGCTTCTTACCTGCACTTCGAAGTTCGACAAATCGTTGGAACTGCTAGAAGTTCTTGCATTGATCTCAGACAATAAAAGAATATCAAAGCATATTTGAGAAGTGAGACATTTTTGCAAATTTTTAAAATTGGTAAATAAACTTGATGAAAAGTATTGTCATCGGTCAGCATTTCTCGTTTTCTGCAAAAACTTTTTCTTTGATTTTTCCCACAAATAAGATAATTTTTAGGTCTTTCGAGAACCAAAATAAGCAAAGAAAAATATAATTATTTAAAACTAAAATTTTATAAAAAAAAGGGATAAAAATATATTTGAAATCAATCGGATTCTTCATTAACAGTCTCCAAATATCGACTATGATTCATTGAAACATTTGATTTTGGAACAGGTGAGGAGGAGCTAAAAGTATCAGATTATAAATTATTTATAGACATGACATTCTGCTTCTCAAACTCACTAATATGGCGCAGGACGTAGATTTTCGTGTTGAGCTGTAAAAATAATTCGAAAATTGCTCGTATCCGGGAAATGGGGGACTATTATGAATAAATTTACCTTCTTTTTTGTTCCGCGGACTTGGAGAAACTGTATTTTGTTGAAGAACTTGAACTTTGTTTCCTTTTGGAGTTAGGTTCTTAAAAATATTCTGTGACCTTAGCGCGCATCTTCGATAATGATAAGAATAGCCGAGAAAATATCCATAAAGTGTGTAGAAATACAGTGTCCAGAAAATGAATATTGGCACCAAACTGAATCGAATACAATCGAGAATTGTGATGATGGAGAATTGAGTATTTGTTTCGTCAATGATTGATTTTATGGTGCGAAGTGTTGAGAGAATTAGAGGAAATGAAATTGTTAGCTGCAAAATTTTCAAATTTTTTTGAAAATATTTTTGAAAAATTTGAAACAAACCAAAGATAATGCTGATGGTAAAAGATAAATCGCCGAATTCTTCAATCTCAATAAGTTTGGCATTATTTTTTCACAATGTTGAATGCCATAAAATCCAGATAGAGAGCTAAAACATGATTATTTATTAATAAACTTGAAATTTAAGTTTTTACTTTCTAACCTTAAAAAATAAAGATATGAAAGTGTGCTTAATAAACTTTTGGATAATGATTCGTTTGGTTTATAATCGACGTCGTGAATTGATAGAAAATTGAGACCATCGAAACCAGGAATTCGGATGGATTCATATTGTTCGGGGATTATTGGAAGAAATAAACCTATTAATCCAATTACAAATAGATATGATTGAATGTTGAATACGAGATTCTGCAATGGAAACTTTTTCAATTCGTCATTGAGTAAAAAAAACTAACTTTTACGTGTAATTGATCGAAAAGCCATCGAGAATTCCCATTTTTCCGTAGTCTTCCTGATTCTGGCCTCAAATATCGTGAAAAACTTGCATTCAATGACCGCAACGTGTTATCTGCCATCGTAGATTTCATCCGAAACTTGTTTGAGCCAAAAAATAAAATAAAAAATCTTTTGAACTGTGTGTGTGCGCGCGGTGTGGTCTTACAACGAAATGAATACAGTATACCTGTTTGAAAAATTTTAATTTCGAAAATTTTAGGCCGAATTTTATTTTTTCACGCGAAAGTCGCTTCAAAGTTTTGAATTTTTGAATCGAATCATAGCAGATTTGGGGGAAAATGCTCTTTTTTTGAAAATGAAGAAAATATTATCGGCGTGGCCTAATTATAATTTCGAAAAAAAAGCATTCTCCCCTCATTTCATGTTTATTCCAACTATTAAATTTGTACTAAATTCACAGGGTTAATAATGTACACGGGCTCCGAATTTCAAGACGAAGACATCGGCCCATATGAGTTTGAAGGTCTTGTTATAACTGGAGTTCAGAAGTTCGATGAGGGAATTACAAATTTTGTTTTGTTGATGAGTAGCCCAGAGGTTTGTTGATTCTTATTTCAAATTGCGAAGGTTATAAATACTTATTTTCAGACCAAGGATTGTCATAAATTCGAGATTTTCGGGGTTCACGAATCGGCATTCACATTCACCATCAAAGAAGACATCGAGAAATATGTTGCTTTCAAGAATGTTGTGTAAGATAAATAATTTTTGAAATAAAAACCTCTTTTTCAATAGAATATTATTTACAGACGAAGAACATCCGAACCTCTTCGTTTTGGCGCTATTGTAAAGTGGAACACAAAAACTTGTGATTTGGAAAAACGAATTATTCACAAGTTCGCGCGGGAGAAAAGTATTTTTGCCGTGAGATCGTCAGGCATTTGCAACGAACTCAGAATTGGAGGTGTTATGAATCCTGATCAATCACAATTTTGGAATACATTTTGTCCAGTTAACATTCGTGAGTAAATATTTATAAATTTTACTTTTATCATTGAAATATTACAGCTAGAATGGAAGCGTTGAAAGCAGAACCAAATGTTTGGCTTCAAAGTTGGGTTGGAATACATGTCAACGGTACAAATGTGAGAAAATTTGTTTTTTTTTGTTTACTCTGATGAAAAAAAATTGTTTTTCAGACACAAAACGTGAATATCAATTTCGAATTTGCGGAATTTGACGATTTTGACAACACTGAACAACATCGAATTCTGTCAGCGGTAAACAATATTTTATTGTTAGTTAAATATGTTCTCAATACAACATTTATTTTCAGCCATGGAATCGTGCCAACGGAAAACGTCAAATGTTGTTAAAACCAGATCCAACTCCAACTGACGATGATGATGACATTCTGCTCGAAAGATCAATCAGCAATGTGCGAGCTCAAAACGAATGGAGAGAGGATATTTATTATCAACGCGGGCTCTTCGTTGGAAATCATCTGATCATTTCGCGAGATATGCCACAATATGATTTCATTCATCCGATCAGACATCCATACAATCATAAATTTCTAAATGGAAGAGTTCCAACATATCCAGTGGCTGGAGAATATCTCCGATTTTGCGCGTCTTGGTCAACACTTCATCACGCGTTTATGGTGCTTGAGATTGATCGAGAACATGAGTTCAAAAATCACCGACAATCTTCATCGGGAAATGTGAGTTTGGAAAATTGAATTCTTTAAAAAAATCATGATTTTTAGCTCAAGATTGGTGTCAAAGTTTCACCCGAACATCCATATCTTTTCATTGATTCCACCGACACTCTTGGATTAATCGACGATCCTGGATATCATTTGGCTCTCTGGACATATTACGTCGCATATCATCCAAATTTGGAGGCAAAAGTCGAAATCACACCAGTTCGTGCCACACATAATAAATCTGTCAGATATCGTATCGTCAAAAGAATCTCTAGCGACGCCACGATGAGCTGTTTCGAAAGTTGGCTCCAAACCGCCGAATTCTCTGTCGAAAATGTGATTGGAACCGCGATTTCGGACGACACGCTGATTTCACCGCAATATCCGAATATTTTGTTCAAATGGGTCTCGCTTGGCGAAATAAAGGCTGGAATGACTTTCCGATTCAGCGCCATCTATCGAGCTGGTCACGGAAACGAATTTCTGATTGTCAACCCAATTTCGTGTCCAGGAAGTGCATCGATTTTGACCTGCTCGAAAGTTTTCACACACGAATATGCTCTCGCGAAAAGTGTAAGTTCAAAATCACAAAACATTTCATGTTTAATTCTATTTTTGCAGTCAGTTATTCGCGTGAAAATGGTCAAGGACAAAAGATTCGAGCAAATCGCACATTCGGACGTATTTGGACCAATCGACACGCGTCAAAAACATATTGATGGAGATGAGTAAGTTTTTTTCTCGAAATTTTTTATCCCCCTTAAATATAAAATAGCAATTTTTAACCCGCTTGTTTCCAGATTCATTGCATGGGTCACCGAATCGCCGAAAGTCAAAGGAACACGACAAGCGTGCACAATTTTGGAGATTTTCTCAACCGAAATTGGAATTCCGGTCGGCTTCCCGGAAGCGAGCAGGAATAAAGATAATGTTTTTTATCAAAGCGGATCGGCTGGATCTGCTGCATCTTCTACAGTTTCTTCAAGCAAACGAGTAAGTTTTGATTTCAAGAAAAAATTGAGAAACAACTGTTTTTTCCAGAACTTCGACGGTCCAACAATTCGAAAACTCAACAGTCGAACTGCCGCAAACACTTCTGCTTCAAATGCATAAATTTGTATGTTTCTTTTTTTCTTGTATTTTAAATTTTCTATTTGCTTCTTCTTTTTTTTAATATGAACCTATTTTACAAAAATCTATTTATTGATCTCTGATAAAAAAATCACAGTAAATGCCGGTTTTTGGATAAAAAAGATAGGAAGAAATGTGTGTAAATTATTACAAAACAATCAATATATATATGTGGGAGAGAGAGAGAACCGGAAAGTAAATATACATGGAAAAATGAATGGTGAGCGATATCTAAAATCTAAGCATCAAATAACCCGTGTTTAAAAGTTAAGCGAATCGTTCAATTGAACGGTTTTTGGGAGAAAATGTGGATAGAAGGGAAAGGGCAAGAAGATCTATGGAAGTTTCGAGTACATTTCATCGAGTTGTTGTTTGAAATGCGCTTTGAGTTGTGGTCTTTTTGATTTTAGTGTTGGTGTGAGGAGTTCATTTTCAATTGAGAATAGTTCCGAGCAAAGATGAATGTCACGAACCTGCAAAAATTTGATTTTTTTTTAAATCTTGCAAATCAGGCCTGTGCTGGACATTTATCGGTTTTTTCAAGGAAAAATCAATTTTCCGGATTTTCGGTGTAATATTTTCAATATTTCCTAAATTTTGGGAAATTGTCTCAGTTTATGATAGAAAAAATGAAATTTTTGGTATTTTTTTTTCAATTTTCAAATTTTACGATTTTTTGAACGTAAAACGTCACAAATTCGACAATATTTCAAAAAAGTCAAAATCACCTGTTCAAAAGAGAACAATCCAGCCTTCTTGCCAACCGCCAACATATCTTCCAACACCAATTTTTTCACCTCCTCATTCCGACACAATTCCTCAAATGTTCCTTTGATTCCATTGTCAGCCATTGCTGGTCCCAATGTTTCCACGTCAGGCACAACAATTGCAATCAAACAAGTTTTGAGCGATTCGCCGTAGACAAAACTTTGTGCAACATATTTCGATCGAACATAGATATTCTCAATTTTCTCCGGTGCCACATATTCGCCTTGCGACAATTTGAAAATATGCTTCTTTCTGTCTACAATCTTCAATGTTCCTTCTGGTGTCCATTTTCCAATATCTCCAGTATGCAACCAACCATCCGAATCAATTGTTTCTCTCGTTTGTTGCTCATTCTTATAATACCCTTTGAATACAATATGTCCACGAACACAAACTTCACCCGCATTATCTTTTGCATAATAATTGAGTTCGGGAACATCGACCAATTTGATTTGTGCCGATGGGATAATCATTCCAACATGTCCAGCTAATGAATCACCTTCCATTGAGACAGTACAAGCGGCAACACATTCAGTTTGACCATATCCTTCGACAACAACACAACCCATTGCGGCTCGAACAAAAGTCAAGACATTTGTGGAGAGTGGAGCGGATCCGGTGATCATTAGACGAACACGGCCACCCATTCCATCGCGAATCTTTTTGAAGACTAAGTTGTCGAAAAATCCGTCGTTTCGAATGTTGAAGCTGGAAAAAAGACGGTTTGTAGAAACATGTATCATTTTGTACTGTTTTTTCACACCTCGGCCAATCCGTGGCTGGCCAGAGTACCATTTTTGGAAGAATCTGAATTTCAGTTTTCAGAAGTCAAAAACTGGAAAAATCACAGCTGTTAGATGATAAAAATTCCCAAAATTCACAGATTTCATACTATAAAAAGTTAGCGTACAATTTTTAATTTTGAAAACCACGATTTTGATCGAGGTGTGAGTTTTTCAAGTTTTTTCTCTGCGAGAATCTCTGAAAAGCACAAGATGAGCCAAAAAATTGAGAATTTTCTGGAAATCGCGGTTTTCAGAGCCTATTAATCATGTTGGAGAAAATGTTATCAAAAATTGAATACACACGATTTTTGACTTTGATAAAATCTTCTCTAACATGAGCAATAAGCTCTCAAAACCAGAATTTTTGGCTAATTTTAGTGCTCTTCGATGAGTCGCACAGCAAAAACAAAAAACTGGATTTTTCAACTTTGCGGTTTTCAGAGCCTATAAATCATGTTAGAGATAATTTTATCGAAAATTGAATACAGCATGACTTTGGTAAATCGACCTGTATTCAGTTTTTGATAAAATCATCTCTAACATGAGCAATAAGCTCTCAAAACCGCGAATTCCAGAAAATTCCCGAAAAAGTTTTGAATTTTTGCCAACTCACTTCGCCATATCTCTCGCCTTATAGCTAATCGCCAAATCAAACAACAATTTTTTGAATGTCGATTTATTGACTTCCGACATAACTTTATCATACAATCGATTCAAAACTCTCGGAACAACCGGAACAACAGTTGGCCGCAATTCTTTGATGTCTTCAGCAAGAACTCGAATATCACCACGATAGAAACCAACGCGTGCGCCAACCATAAAACAAACACTTTCGATAACTCGCTCGAGCATATGAGCCAACGGAAGAAAACTGATCATGAGATCCTGAAAAACAACGATTAAATGACCTAGAAAATTTAGAAAAAAAGGCATACGGTAGCACGAATTCCGGTATGTTTGAAGAAATCCATACAAGTTCCATCGGCAATCACATTTGCATGAGTTAGCATAACTCCTTTTGGTGTTCCAGTTGTTCCAGATGTATAACAAATTGTCGCCAAATCTTCAGGTTTCGGCTCTTGATGTTTGTATTTTCCCTCAGATTTTTGTCCGAGTTCTTCGAGTTCTTTGAACGACAGAATTTGCACTTGATGTTGGCTCGCCGAATTCTTCAACTCTTCCGTAATCTCATCCATAACAACCAAATATTTGAGACTCGCGCACTTCTCTTTGAATTTCAATAATCCAACAGCTTTCGCCGAATCGTCACAAACAACAATTTTGATTTCGGCTTGATTCAGAATGAAGATTGAGGCTTCTGATCCGAGTGTCTCGTAAATTGGAACAATAACGTTGGCGAAATTGTAGGTGGCGAGTTCGGTGACAATCCATTCTGGACGATTTTTCGAATAAATTCCAATATTTTCATCGTTTCCAGCTGGAATGTCAAGCTCACGGAAAGCGTTTGAGACATTGTCAGCTCGCTTGAGAATCTGGAAAAATTGGAATTCTTTTTTGGAAAAAAGCTGGGGGGGGGGGGGGGACTAGGAAAACATGGCCTTGGGGACTAGAAATTTCCTAGTCCCTCCATTTTTCTTCGGCTCCAAATAGCTCACCTCATTATAAGTCTCCCAAACAAATGGCATCGATCCATCGGGTTTCTTCTCACGATGTCCCAACATTGCACCATTGTTGGAAAGACGAGCACCGCGGCGAACACCCTGAAAATATCCATTTTCAAATTACTTCCTCCTTAAACCAAAATATTAACCTGATAAAGAGTTTGCGCGTCTTCAAACAAATACGATTGAAGATTGTCATCCTTCAAATACGCGCTGATTCTCGAACCATCCTCCAGAATTCGGCTCTGATTCATCGGATCCACCAACGGCTTCACATTTCCCGTATAAGTGACACCGTTGAAAGTATAGCTTCCGGTGGAGGATCCTTTTGTCAAATAATATCCGAGACCCATTGTGACAGCGGCGGCGGCACCAAACGATAAAATATTAGGTTGAAGAAGAATTGGTGAATGTGTTGAAGATGGTGAAATGAAGTCAACAATACTTCTGGAAATGAAAAAGAATTAAGAAAAAAATGACTAATTTTTTTGAATCATTCCTATACATTTCAACAATGAAAATCGATGATTTTTATTGTTGTTTCGGGGGGAAAATTGGTTTTATTTTAGTGGGAGAAAACAACTATGCAAGTATTTTTCGGTTCCAAAATGAATTAATCTTATGATTTAATTAACCTCAAATGAAAAAACACCATTACATCAAATTAAGTAATCCTGTTACTTAAAACTTTCAGACTGATAAAACAAATCAAATTTTGAAACTTTAAAACAGTCTGGTGTGCTCTTATCAAAAACAAGCCAAAACAAAACAACATCAACATCAAAAAATAAACAAACCTCGATTGTGATTGTACCCAATCTGCTGTATCTTTGATAACCATAGTAGTACTAATATTTAAAGTCTGTTTTCCCCTGTTTTCGTCTAAAAATACAAAGATTTGGCAAAACGATAATAATTGAGGAGAAAAACGAAACGAGTTTGTTCAGCAGCAACAAAAACGAACAAGGTAAAGTATGCTAATCGAAAAAAAGTTGAGTGGATGGATGAAGAAAACTTTTGCGAAAGTGTACTTTTTTGGAACCAAACAAAGTCAAAATAGATATTTTTTATCATCAAAAAATGTTCCTTTGACCTCCGTAAAACTTTGTACGCTTCATAAATTCTGCGATCGGCCAACTTTGACCGGCGGCCACTAAAATCACACCATTTTTACAAACACAAATGGGTTCTTCTTATCAATTTAGTGTGTGTGGGAGTGTAAAAAAAATACATTCAAAAATCATTTTAGCGCCTTGTAAGGCGGCACAACAAAACTTCTTTTATCAAAAAGAACAAATAATTGGACGAAAATTTGATGAAAGTGCGAAATTGAGCAAATTTTTAGGAAACTTTCGAGATTTTTAATAAAATGCTGAATGTTTTGAGGAAAATGGAATTGAAACCATGGAGAATTTAACGACTTTTTCTCTTCTGCTTATTTTCGTGCACTTTCAGCAGATGTATTTATTCCAGTTTATGTTTTCTAGTAGTTTTCGATCCGCTGATCATTATTCCGTTGTCTAAAATTGCAAAGCTCAGCTTCTAACATGAGTTGTGACGTGGCAAAATTCGAAAACTCGCTTTCAACATGATCACAACTTCGAAATTTGCCAATCATGTCAGAAGTTGAGCTTTGCAATTTCAGAAAACGGAATAGTGAACAGCGGGTCAAAAACTACTAGAAAACATACAAATACAGCTGCTGAAAGTGCACAAAAATAAGCAGAAGAGAAAAAGTCGTTAAATTCTCCATGGTTTCAATTTTCCTCAAGCCGTAGGCAAGCAATTTATGAAAACTACAAACTTTTCATCACAAACTGGCACAGAAAATCATCAAATTGATAAAGAAGAAGAACGGAAAAGGAAAAATATTTACACCACGTGTTGTGTTGCAAAAAAATGATAAATATAACTATTTTTCATAACTGCCAAATATTTGTCGAAAAGAATAAAAAATAAAAAACATTGGTGGTCTCTTCGCTGTCAGCAAAAATCAATAATTCTTTTTTTATTATGCGATATATGTAAAAGGGAACGGTTGGCGAGCTTTTAACTAACCAACCAAGACAAGCTAGAAAACCAATGAATAACAACGCCAGTGCAACAGGGCGACATTGAAATGGCATGCAAAAGAGAAAAAGGGTGGGAAAGGGAGAAATAGACGAAATGAGGAGAGAGGAAGAAAGAGTGCGCGGAGGGACGAAATATGAAGAAGAAGAAGAAGAGGCACAAACAATCATTGTACTACAACTATTTGCGACAGAAAATGAAATGTCAAAATAAACATGAGTGAATTTACATTTGCTCTTTTGTATTAGCCAAAAATACACTTGTTATTTTGGTTTTTGTTATGAAAGGGACTCTTGAATCACTTCACGTTGGGAATCGACAAAAAATGCTAAAAAATTACATTTTAATCCTATTCATAGCATAGAGAGGTCTAAGACAATTCGAATGATATAAAGTTTTATGACTTTACGTTAACCATAAGTGATTTAGCGATGTTAGCGTCGCTAAATCACTTATGGTTAACGTAAAGTCATAAAATTGATATATGCAATATTTCAACTCACTTGCTCGAAAAATATGAAAATGTCACTTACTACAATTTTCAGGGTGAAAAAACTTGGGATTTATTTTTAGCTTTTTTAGCCATCATCTACTATACGAATTCATTATGCCCTTTTGCAATTTAATTTTAAATCTCGCCTTTTGTCTCTTTCTTTTCAGAATTAGATAATTTCGTAATAAAAACAGGTGAGTCACATAAACTTTTTTTCCGCAGAAAAATAAACAAACGTATTTAGCGAATGTTTCGAAATATTAACCAAAGCAAAGCAAAGCAAAATTACCTTATTATTGTTGAAATTATTGCAAAATAGTAGTGTTAACAGTGAGATGTGGTGTTAGAAATATGTGAATATATATCGACCCAAAGTTTTGTCTGCAAATAAAACAACATTGAAAAACATGCTATGCGATGCAACCAGGCGAAACCCTAACCCCTAAAACTCGAGCGACAACTGAAAACCGATGGAACTGGAACAAACTATAGTCTAGTACAAGAAAAGTTGAAAAAACGCGGTTGCGCGAAAAACAAAAAAAATTATTTTTGCGCGGGGAGTACTGTAGGCAAAAGTGTTTGCACAATTTCAAAAATTTTCTTTTTTTTTTTGAAAAAAAACTGAAATTTTTTTTATTTGACCCGAATTCAGGCTCTCTTTCAAGTAAGTGCAGTCACAAATAAATAAACTTAGGCCTAAATTTTGACCCGCTAGTTATTTAGTACAAAAATCTGAAGAAATATATATTGGAGAAGAACAAAAATGCGATTATTTTCGGAGAAGCTTCGTGTTATCGAATTATAAAATTTCGTGAGAAAATGCAGGATGGAAAAAAACTGACCTGAAGAATCCGCTTTTTTGAGAAGAGGTAGGCATTTTTACACGAGTTTAAATTTAGAAATGGCGAGTTGAAGAATTTTTCAAAGATTTTTTTACTAGATGGGTCACGTGAAATTTTTAAAGAACACGCTGAAATTCCAGCAAAATCTCTGTAAATTCGAAAAAAAGAGCAAATCTGTATTGTTTATTATTTGACATCAAATAAATGTTCGGGAATAAAAAGGTAATCAAACAAGAGAGAAGGCAAAATTTGTCCAATTATTAAAAATAAAAACGAGGGGGCCCATACTTAAGAAAAGCCCGATTATTATTGCCATCAAATCGTTACATATAAAATAATAGAAAAATGAAAATGAAAATGCACAAAGAAAACAGTGGGAGACTTGTATTATTTGAGTGGTAGTTTATCAGAGGGTGTAAAAGTGAACTTAATTGGTTAAATGCAACAAAAGGAAAATTGCGTACATAAAAAAACGAAAAAAAATGACGGGTACATATATTTGGTGTAGGGTATTTAATTAAAGAATAAGAAAAAAACAAACATTGGTTTGAGGTATCAAAAAAACAATGATAATAAAACTTATCTCAAATAAATAATTGGAAAATTGGGGGATAATATTATCAACTGGTGAAATATAGCAATTGCACAAACTCATTTAACAAAAAAAATAAAAGAAATTAGGTTCCTAATAGAGAAAATTGTGGGTTCGCTGTAATTTGAACAGATTCATTCGATGTTGATTTTTGGGGTGAAGTTGAATTCTCATTGGCCAATGTTGATAATAGCAAAGCTGACAAATCAGTTGAAGAATCAACATTTGGAAGTAAACCAGGTAGGAAGAGTGCGGATAGATCTGGTTGAATCTCTGAAGCTGGAGCTGAAGATGTTGCTGCTGCAGTTGGAGACGATTTGGAGATTGGTGTATTTGGTGTTGATTGAGCTGCAGATTGATTGAGCAGCTCATTGGCCAATTCCATGCAAGCTGGATTTCTTTGTCTATGCAATCTGAGCCCGTTTTGTGTTGTGTAATTTGTTCCACATCCTCTACATTGATAGGCATCGGGATTGGCGTGGATTTTTTGGTGGAGCATCAGAGCATGCTTTTGTGTGTAGCTTGCTTTACATTGGTCGCACTGGAAAACGTGGATTTTTGTGGGAAATTTGGATTTCGGTAAATTTTTTTCGCAAGAAATTCTGTGAAAAGTTATTGAAAAAAAGAAAAATCACCGCAATTTCAGGTTTTTCAAGAAATCTTCTATTTTTCTCATGCATTTTCAGTTTTTGAGAAAAATTAATTTTTTTTCGAATTTTCAAAAAATTTCTCGGAGCTCAAAATTCTTGGGATGAAAATCTAAAGCCAGAGTTATAGTTTTCATATGAAATTTTCTTTTTCTTCGCAAGAAATTTGGTGAAAAATCATTGAAAAAAACCAAAATTCGGGAAAATGTCGTAACTTTCAGAAAAATCACCACAATTTCAGTTTTTTCAGCTTTTGCAGAAATAAAATCGGAAAATTCATTTTTGGATTTTTTTTTGAATTTTCGAAAAATTATTTTTTTCACAAGAATTTTCCTATATTTTTTTGATGAAATAAATATTTAGTTGAGACAAAATTTTTTTAAATGATATTTAAAAATTTGGGATATTTTTCAAAATTCTGGAAAAATTACAAAATCAATAGCAAACTTTTGAGGAAATAAAATCGGAAAATTCATTTTTGGATTTTTTTAATTTTCAAAAAATTGCTTTGAGTTCAAAATTCTTGGGATAAAAAATATTTTCACATAAAATTTTCATTTTTCGAGGAAACTTTTGATGAAATTTTTGATTAAAAAAAATGCTATATTTTTTGATGAAATAAATACGGAAATTTTAGGTGAGACAAAATTTTTTGAATGATAAAAATTTGGGATTTTTTCAAAATTCTGGAAAAATTACAAAATCAACAGCAAAAGTTATCAATTTCAGTATTTATTAGAATTTTTTTATTTTTCTCATGAAATAAAATCGGAAAACTCATTTTAGGATTTTTGAAAAAATGCTTGGAGTTTAAAATTCTAATCTCTAGCACAAAACTTTTTGAGATTTAAAGCTGGCGTCTGAGCAAAAAATAAGTTGTGCTCATTTGTAAGAGCATGTACTAATTAGTACAGGATTTTGTCTAGAATCTTCTCAAAAATTAAAAAAAAACTGTGAAACACCGTGGCTTTTTTAAACCAGGAGCTTAACTTTTGAATTGAAATTGATTAAAATCGATTTTTTTAAAGGTTTCCCCTAATTCCACCCAAAACTCACATTAAATCTCATTCCAATATGTGTGACAAAATGTCGATGAACCGATCCTTTTTCCTTGAATATTTTATTACAACCCTCCATCGGACATACATAACCAGCTCCCTCAACTTTCGACGCTTTCAGCGGTGTGCTCTTCCGTTTTTTCGTTTGTTTCACTTCACTCGTCGATGGTTCGAATCCATTCATCGAATCGTTAAACAACGCTTCAAGCGCTCCAAATGAATCAAAAGTTGTTTCATTGGGCGAACTATTTTCAACCGCTTTTTTCTGTGCAACTTGTGGTGCCGCGGGTGGTTTCTGATTAATTATCGGTGGAATTTGAGTGCCAAAAATTTTCTCCAAAATACTTGTGATAACTGTCGTATCTTCAATTGGTTGCTCCTCTTTTTTCATCTGATTTTGAATCTGTTGTTGCAAAATATGTTGCTGCTGTTGCGCTTGTTGAAGTTCCAAAGTTTTGAACAAAGAATGTTGGAGGAACGAGTCAATCTGAAAGAGAGAATTTTTTGAATTTTTCCCCTTCGAAAAATCAAGGAAACGCTTACCACACTTGTATCAGTGGGTTGTTCAGTGATCGTCGAATCCAATATCGATTTCATCACAATTTCCTCTTCCCGCAAAGTCGGTTGTTCTTCTTCCTCAGGTTGTGCACTTGCAGATGAACTCACTGATTTTATTGATTGTTCAAAGATCTGAAGAAAACTTCTATGAAAGAGAAAGAGAAAAAGGAAAAGGATTTAGGATAACTCACAGATTGCTCAACTGAATCAACTGATGCGATTCGTGAAACAATTGACATCACATCATCCTCTTCTTCCGACACTTTTCTGCGTTCTTCGGATGCTCTTCCACTTTCACTTTCAGCTCCAGAAGAAGCGGAGCCATTGGCTGATAGACCAACTGCGCAAGCACCGCAGGCACCGCATTTCTGGAAAAAATTAGGTTTGAAAAACTGTGCAATTTTTCGGTGAAAAACTTTTTTTTTTGAATCTGAAAAATATGTAATTCGAGATTCTTTTGAAATTTTTGTTTAAAAAAATTGTTAAAAAATTTTGTAGAAAAAAGCGATGAAAAATTGATAAAAATTATCAATTTTTTGCTTTTCGAAAATTGTATTTGACAAAATTTTTCCTTTTTTTTCTGAAAAAAATTTATGACGTGTCACACAAAATTTGAGAGATTTTTTGAATCTAAAAAATTGTAATTTTTTAGAAGCAAGTTCTTTTTCTGGAAAAATTTTGAAATTCGAGATTCTTTTGAAAATTTGAAAATTTGAAATTTTTCACAAAAAAAAAAGAAAAATTGATAAAAACTTTTTAAATTATCAATTTTTCAATTGTATTTTTTTGCTTTTCAAAAACTGCATTTGACAAAATTTTTCTGAAAAATTCTAGATTTTTCTTTTTTTTTCAAAAAAAGTGAATCTGGAAAAAAACTGTAATTTTTCAGAAGCAAGTTCTTTTTCTGGAAAAATTTTGAAATTCGAAATGGAATTTTTAAGCTCTCTTGAAAATTTTAGATTTTTGACCGAAAAAAAACTTTTGTAGAAAAATGTAGTGAAAAATTGATAAAAATTTCAAAATTATCAATTTTCCAATTGCATTTTTTTTGCTTTTCAAAAATTGCACTTGAAAAAAAACTTGCTTCAGAAAAATTCTAGATTTTTCTTTTTTTTTCTAAAAAACGTGTCACCCCTTCCCAAATGCTTACCATAGTCCCAGTCAGCACTTCATTCACACACTTCTGACTTTCCATAAATTTCTCCAAAGTCATTGTGATCTTCGACAATTCATCAATCACCTCATTTTCTGTCGTCGATGCTGTTTCTTGTTGTTGTTGTTCAATTTCTGGTTTGATTTCCTCGCCGCAAATCTGATGATGTCGAGGCGAACTTCGCAACTCGTTCAGAAACTGCTGAATACAACTTGTCGCCTGTTTCAGATAGTCGAAATTTGCCACACTCTCTGGTCCCATTTTATTATCTACTTCTACCTGGAAAATATGAAGATATCGAGGGAATTTAGAAATTTTTGAGGAAAGAAAAAATTGAGATAGGTTAAGAAGGAGAAAAAAGAGAAAAAAAATGAAAAAAAAAATTCACAATTGATTTAAGGCTCAAAACTAGACTCTAGTGAATATACTTAAAATTTCACCAACTCTCAAAACTTCCAGAAAATTCCAAATTCTGAAATTTTTGAATTTCAAAAAAAAATCAAAAATCTCGCGCCACGTGGATTTTTTAGCGCTAAACCCGAAAAAATCTGAAAAAATATAAAATATAAAATACTGTGAAAAAATCGATAATCTCCGAATTTTCAAGGCTCAAAACTAGAAGACTATAGGAAATATTCTCAAAATGTCATCAACTCTCAAAACTAACAGAAAATTCAGATTTCGAATTTTAAAAAATATCAGAAAATTATCAGCGTACAAGATTTACCAAATGTCCAGAAACTCTGAAATTCCGAGTTTTTCCCAATTTAAGAAAAGTATAATTTATGCACAAAATGTAGAAACTCTAACATGTGATAAAAATGTTTGAAATTTTAGTAAATCGATTTTTCTTTCTGATTTTTGCAAGGCTCAAAACTGGACTTCAGGAAATATTCTCAAAACTAGCACAAAACTACCAAATTCAAATTAAAACCCAATAAAAAAGCGCGCGTTTCCCATAAAATTTCAGAAAGAAAGAGAAAATAAAGCAAGCAGAAGGTTTGGTGCGCGAGTCGGACTCATTAATCTACAAGAATACACACAACAGATGTTCACATCTTCTCTCCTCCTTCTCCCAAATTTTATTTAGCGCACTTATTCTTCTGCCTTCTTAAGAGGATTCAAGGTCTTTTTCCAGCCAGCCAGTCAGCCATAATAATTATCGGACCACAAAACATGAGGAGATTATTCATTTAACACAGAGCGGAGGATGACCCAAGTTAATTCGCTTGAAAAATATAGAAAAATAAAAATGGGGGGAGGCGGAGACTAATTGAGTATTTATGTAATAATTTGTGAGGATGAATGGATTAGGGTGTGAAATATATAAGTAGATAGCTATATTTGAAGAATTGGGAAGAAAAAAAAAAAAGAAAAAGGGTTACTTTGCAAAAACTAAATAAATAAACTGATAAAGAACAAGGAAGTCGAAAAAATTACAGTTTTTCAGACAAATTTTGAAATGTTTTTCGGGGGAAAACATATTTTACGATGTTTTGAAGATTGTTTCAAAAACCAAAATTTTTTATGGAAAATAGGGTTCTCCGGGTTTCGATAAATATTTTGGAATTTTGAAAAATACGGTTTCAAAAATTATAGCTGGAAAAAAATCTGAAAATTTAGATCTTCACAAGATGAAGCCTAAAAGCCAGAAAACTTCAAAACTAGAAAAAAATAGCTGAAAATCAGATTCATCTCGAAATCTTCCAAGTTCGAAAAGAAATCATCCCGAAAAATCAGATTTCCTCAAAATTTCAAGATGTGTTAAGTTCCGGAGTAATTTTCAGAAAAAAAATTAGAATTCAAAAAAAAACTATTAAAAAAAGCCACGTCAAAAACTAAACAAACAAAAATTATCTCTAATTTTTTTGAGATTATTTTTAACTGCAATTTAAGAAGTCTAGAAAAATCCAAAAAATCACATTTTCTCGAAAGTATTTTTTCAGAAAAAAAATTAATTAAAAAATTAGGCAGCTTTCAAAGTTCTCATGGATCAAAAAATTTTCAGCCAAAAATTTTGGAATCCTGAAAAATCAGATTTTTTCAGATCTTCTTCAAAATTTCATCCTGGCCTAGAAAACCAAAAGATCAAAGAAAAGCCTACAAGGTTTACTGTAGCGAACAATTTTGGCGCGAATTCTTGAATTCAAATTTTTCACCATAAAAATGTTGCGTTCTAGACTCTATAAAAAACAGTCCACTTTAAAATTTCGAAAAAAAAAAGTGCGCGTTTTTCCAGCGCGCCGTCAGCCTGCCCTCTATATTTACCCATCTCCTCCTTTTTTCCCCGTCGCCGAAAAAAAAAACCATCATAGTTAAAGTTTCGTAAAATCAATAAAAAATCAGAGCGATGTGTGTGTGTGTGTATCTGTGAGTGACAGAGCGACGGTGGGGGGAGAGGGCAAAATGGGAGGGACGGGTCTCTCCCTCAATTCGCTCTCTCTCTATAATAATAATCATAAAAAAAGTAAACGAATTGGAATTGGTTGGTTGGTTGGAAAAAAACGGGGGGACACAGCCAAAAAAATATGTGTGTGTGTGAGGGGAGAGGAAAAGGACAGGTGCACGGGCGGGGGAAAAAGCAAGAAGCGAAAAAGCAAAAAGCAAAATCGAGGATGAAGAAGATGAGGTTGAAAACATTGAACAGAAGGAGGATGAGATGAATGGGAGGTCGCGCGCGAGCGACCCAAGGAGGAGTAGGGCCAGCGCGCAAAAAACACATGTTTCTGGAAAGACATGGCGGAAAAGTGAGCAGACTTTTGAAAATCGGAAGAAAAATCGGAAAGGAGGGGGTTTGAGGCCAGGCTTCCAAATCAGGTTGGTTTTTGAGTCTTCTCTGAACCAGAAGAGAAAATGTTGGTCCTTAAAAACTAACATGAACCAATCTTTTGTAGTCAGAAATCTTTTGAAGCTCCGAAGTTTCTCGATTTTGAAACTTTAAGAAATCTACATAGTTCCAGAACCACTTTTTTGGATTTTTAATTTTACAAATCAGGTCTGATTCGGAAATAGGGTTGGTTCTGAATTTTTCGGAATCCGTAAATTTTAGAACCGCTTTAGAACCTTATTTCTGAATCAGACCTAAATTTAAAAAATAAATTGGATCTCCGAAGTTTCTCGATTTTTTGAATTTTAAAAAATCTAGTTCCACGATTTTTAATTTTACAAATCAGGTCTGAATTTTCCGGATTTGGGAAGGCTCTTTCAAGTAAACCTCATCCAAACTTTGAAATTTCAGAAGCAGACTAAAATTTTCAAAAATCGAAATCCTGAAGTTCTCCAGGGGCTAGAGCTAGAATCTTTGATTTTGGAACTTCTAGAAACTCTTGACTAGAAAATCTTGCCCCTAAAGTTTCCAGAAAAAAATTTAAAATATTTTTTTGGATTTTTTGGACACCAAAAATAAATTCAAATTTTTTTTTGATAAAAAAATTCCGAAGACAAAAAAATTTGTGTTTGAAAATTGGCTCCGATTCAAAAACCGCCAAAAAATCTTTTTTCTAAATTCTCTCAACCACATAAAAATGTCTGGAAATTTCAGGCATCATTTATTTTTTCTCTCTGAAAAAATACGAATTTCATTTTCAGATATAGATTTTCAGCTGTTCAAAATTGAAATACGTCAATCGAAAAAATGAGAAATTTTCAACAAAAAAACCAAAGTCAAGGTCTCTCAGTCCCAGAACTCAAAGAGATCAAAAAAAGTGTTGCACTTTAAGAGAAGGTGACCAAATGTTGTTGTAAAAACTCGTTTTTTTTGAAAAAACATGTGACTGAAAAAAAGTTCCGGAAGGAATTAAAGTTTCAACAAAATTCATCGCCGCGCGCAAAAAAAAACTTTTGAGAAAAAAACGACGAATAATAGACTGTAAAAAGTGGGTCAAGGTGTTTGTGTGTGAAATCTCAAATTTCGAAAAATCTGGTTCTGTTTCTAGAACACACACAAACACACCTGAAAATCGATAGAAGAAGAAAAATTCAAATAAAATCAATTATCATATATAAATACGGGGAAGAGCGAGAAAACAATAAAAAATCTGGAAAAAAATTATAAAATTAGGGGGATACTGTATTTAACAACTATAAATAAATTGAGAAGAAATGAAAAAATTATGGAAGAATTAGCATGATAATGCGAAAAATGTGTAGGGGAGAAACTATGATTTGAAACGTATATTTGGTGGGAATACTTGAAGAAGGGTAGAATTTGGAGAATTTTCAGTGGAACTAGAAAAAAACATGACTCAACAAGAAAAATCTGATTCAGAGTAATCTGAGTCACATTTCTCACTGATTCATCGAGGTCAAGAAAATATACAAAAAAGTTTGTATGGAAGAAAAAAGCTTATAAGCGAGGTTTTGAGAATCAAGCTAAAAGCCTAGATTCAAATTTTGCAGGTAAAAAAATTTCTGAAAATCAGAATGTTTTAAATATGATTTTTAAAAATCTTGCAAAAATCACAAACTTTCAGAAATCATAGCAAAGAAATTCAATAAATATATAAATAAGATCTATTTTTTAGGATCAAAAAATGACCGAGATGATTTATAGAAATTGAATTTTGGTTAAATAATTTTTTTCAAAGGGTTCTGTAGGCTTCTAGTGAACACTGAAATTAGGCAAGAAAAAACAACTTTAGAAAAACACCCCGGGATGAAAAATAGCCACATTTTTAGAGATTTTCACAAATTCTAGATCAAGAGCTTCTGAGTTTCAGAAAATCAAGAATCCAGCTCACAATCTTTCAGAGAAGTTGATAAAAAAATTTCTGATACTTATGCAAATTTTCCAGAATTTAAATCAAGAGCTTCTAAGTTTCAGAAAATTGAGCTAGGAATATTTTTCAAAATATCGAAAGCTCTTCAGATTCAGAATCCGAAGCTTGAAAAGCTCTAGGGTTCCGAAATGCTGAAAAAAACAGAATTCAGAACTTGGTTAGTATTGATTGAAAAAGGGCTGAATCCCAAATTTTCAGAACAAAAATTACTAGAATTTCAATTTCAGCTACTAATTCTGATAGATTTTTTGTTTTTCAGAAAATCTGAATTTCTCAAAACTTTCCAAAGTTCTCCCACACCCCAATAAAAAAAAGAGTCAGAGCCTCCACCAAACACCAAAGCCGACACACACAAAAAATCAATCGATTAATATATATATACAGAATCTATAGAATATATATATATAAATATATACAATTGCATTGCGCACGCTCTCCCTCGCCGCGCTCTTTTTTCTCTCTCTCTCTCCACTTTTTTCCCCCACTCTTCTCTTTTTTGCTGTGTCCATTTTTACCACCCGGGCGGTCGTCGGGGTCACCATCTCCTCATCTCTTTTTCTCTCTGTGTCTCTCTCTCTCTCTGTACACTGTCCGTGCGCGCGCTCGCTCGCTCGCTCTTTTTGCAAACAAATTCAGCCACTCTTTCTATCTATCTATAATATAAAATAATAATAATAGGTGAAGGGGCTTAAAATATCGTGTTGAAGGTCATTGTGGGCGTGGCCTTTTTTTTGACGCTGAAAACTAGTGGAAAAGAGAAAAACTACGGTCATTTTTGGAGAATGACCTTCAGAATTAACAGGAAGTTGTGTGTGTTCGGGGTGGAGGAGAAAATTGTTTTAGAAAAAAAACAGAAGAGACAGTTAGGTATAACAAATTATATACTTTGGTTTTTTTGTGTGGGAGAAGATGGGTGGAATCGATTTTCAAAAATTTTCAGATCGTTTCTGGATGACTTCTAGATTTTTTGAGTTCGAACTTGAAGCTTCGGGTACTGAAATTTTCTGAAGCTTCAGATATCAATTACAGACTTCTGGAAGCCTAAGCGCAGGTTTAAAATATTTAGACGGGTGAGCTTCCGATTAGATTAGTTCTGAATTTTGAAATTTTTGAGAAAGATCCAGATTTCCAGAAGCCATTGAGAACTCCAAGCTGAAATCAGAAGTTTCAGAAATCTTGGGTAGAATTCGGTTGAAAATAATTTTGGACTAGAATGAAATCTCAGATGTTTCGGGAATTTTAGAGCTTCTTAAGCTTCAAATTCTCATTACCAAGAGCTTTTCAGAAATTCAGAATTTCAGTCAAAATAATTTTCAGACTTCTGAAAAGCTCTTCGCCCAGGTTAGAAGCTAGAGGAGCTCGAAAATTCTGAAACATCTGATTTTCAGCCAAATCCTAACCAAGTTTACACGAACCTCTGATTTCAGCTTGAAGTTCTCAAGGGCTTCTGGATTCTCTTCAAAAATTCAGAGCTCCAGCTTCAACAAATGACAAATGAAAGCTGAATCCCAAAATTTAGAACAATAACTACTACAATTTCTATGTCAGCTACAAATTTTGTACAGGGTGACCCATAATTATTGTCGCGTGAGTTGAACTCGTTAACCTGAGTTCTACATTTCCAAAACGAAATTAGATAAAGTTTGATTTTGATAAATTTAATCTTAAAGGTTATGTAATTAAACTTTTGTATTCTATTTTGATCATACTAGCTCCGCTGGATTATAGTAACAGCGGTGAAGTAGAGATAGATTTCCAAAAATAATTTTTCAGAAGAAAATTCGTTTTTGGGACTTTAGGTGTAAATTTTATGAGAATGGTGAATACTGACTATGCCCAAAAGTGTTTATATCCTAAATTCGGTCCCTGAAATGGATTTTTGCACAATACCAAAGCTGGAAATTATCAGAAAAACATAGGGACCTTCATTGTAGAAAACGCTCAAAATTCATGGTTTTGGGAGTTTTGCTAACTCCAAGTCAGATTTGAGCTAGGTTTCAGATCCCAAAATACTTTGTTTTAGTGCATAGAATAGACTTGTTCACAAAAAGTTCCACTCAAAAACTCATACTAGATCTCAGAATGGATTTTGCTCTTTTTCTTGATTTTTCTCGATTTTTTTTTTGAAATTTCGGAAAAGACGCTTGACTTTGGAGCCCTGAAACAAGTGAGAAGCGGTAAACTCTTGCAAGATATGCTATTATATCTTGTTCAGGACATCAAAAAATGTATTAAAACATAATTTCCAAATACATATGTTCAGTCTGATAAATTTCTGGAACTTGGAAAGAGAAAAAATAGGCTTAAAATCGCAAAATTCAAAGTTTTTGGGGTTGGTGAAGGTGGTGGGTGGGTAAAAAATTGTGTTGTCAGTATAGTTTTGAAAATCTGTCAGTAATCATGTTTTCTAAAGTTTCCGACCTTAACATTGTTAAAATTCGAAATCTTGCCCTACCTACAGAGGTTCAAAGTGGCGACAATAATTATGTGTCACCCTGTAGTCTGATTTTTGAACCTACACTAGAATTTTCTAGAAAAAATTGATTTTTCTGGAGAACACGGAATTTCAGGCCTCAAAATTCAGCTTCCCATCAATTTTCAGCTGAAACCAGGAAAGCGCGTCTTTCAAAAATTCTAAATTTTCAGACTGCAACTTCAGCTACAAATTCTGATGTCTGATTTTTGAACTTTCTGGAAAAATTGTTGGGAGACCAAGAATTTCAGACCTCAAATTTCTAGATTCTAAATAAAATCACCGCCCCACCAGCCCAACAAAAAAAAAGAGCCACCCAGAAGCTCGAAACATTCTCTCTATGTATTCGTTATCACATTTCACCATCTCTTCTCCGCTTTTTTCGAGAACATATGCCAATATTTTCATTTTGGGTGGGTGAATAAGATATATTATAATCCATTTCACCCAACCAACCAATCTGACTGGAATATGCTAATTTGGCGAAAAAAAAGAAGAAGAGAAAGACATGGGAGAGAACAAGGAAAGAAGGTTAAATACACCTTTATGGATGGATTTGAGGCGAAAAAATAGAAGACAAAGGAATTGGAAATGAGAAGGAAAGGAAAAAGTGGGAAAAACATTGAATATTTAAATACAAGTTGAGTTGGATGATTAAATGGGAAAATAATGCAGAAATAATCATTTCTGGGTGCGAATTCATAAAATGGTATACAAAAATTATTGCTAAAAATGGCAAGTGCGCTCCACAGCAATTTTCGCAATTTTTATCGAAATTCAAATTTTCAATGAAGAGAGAAGACGCTTTTCACAATTTTCGACCTTGGGACCATGAAAACCATTATTTAAACATTTTTGGTGTAACAAATTTATGAATTCGTCCTCAGAACATACTACTTTAAACCTTCAAAGGTTACAAAAATGCTCCGCGAGCCCAAGAATTCCGCCCAGCAGGTTTAGTTTTTTATTCTGTTTCCTTGGGCTCACGGAGCATTTTTTTGAGTTTTGAAAATCAAACTTAATTTTTTTCAGAAAATGAAGATTTCTGTATAAATTCAGTCATTTCATTTCTCAAAGAGTGCGCTCAAAATAATAGCAAATAATAGCACGACGACGTTTTTCAACCAACCAAGAAAAACACAGAGAGAGAATGCAAATAAATCGAGACCGTGTGTACCTGTGCGCGAGCGAGCGGTCGCGCAGTCAGTCAGCCACTAACTGACCATACAGACAAACACACACACACGTTTTAAGACCATCTCTCTCATGTCTGTCTAGAAGGAAGGTCATTTTCTAGCAAAAAATGAGACGAAGGAAAAAAGGGGAGATTGTGGGGGGAGGGGGATTTTACAGTGGATAATTTTTGGTATTAAAGAAATGTGTTGAAACTAGGTTAGTTGGGAAATTCGAGTGGAGGTTTCAAAAGTCTGAATTCTGGATCTTGTTCAAGATTTGGTTCCAGAACTATCATGGTTTCTAATTCAGTGACAAGACAAGAAAATCCGACCTCTCAATCTACAATTTTTTTTTGATTTTTCAGAGCTGTTTGAAAAATCTGTGATATCTAAAATTCGAGCGAAACCAAATCTAGAAACCTCTGGATTTTTGTGAAGGACTAGACTATCGTAAGGGACTAGTGGCACCTTCTTGAAGTCCAGGCTCCTTAGACGCCGATCCTTGAAGTCCAGGCTCTCTAGGCTCGGCTACTTGACAACCAAGCTTTCTAGGCGCAGCTCCTTCAAAACTAGGTTGTCTAGGCGCTGATCCTTGACAATTAGGCTCTCTAGGCCCGGCTGCTTCAGAACTAGGTTCTCTAGACGCACCTACTAGAGGACAAGGGTCTATAGGCGCAACTACTTCAGAACTCGGATTTCTAGGCGCGGCTGCTTCAGAACTAGGTTCTCTAAGCTGACCTTCTTGAGATCTATGCTCTCTAGGCGCTGAATCTTGACCATTAGGCTTTCTAGACTCGGCTCCTTGACCATTGTACTCTAGGAGCGAATCCTTGACAATTAGGCTCACTAGGCTCGGCTACTTGAAAACTAGGTTCTATAGGCTCGACTACTTGAAAACTAGGCTATCTAGACGCTGATCCTTGAAGTCCAGGCTTTATAGGCTCGGCTACTTGACAACTAGCCTCTCTAGGTGCTGATCCTTGACCATTAGATTCTCCAGGCCCGGATCCTTCAGAACTAGGTTCTCTAGAGACTTAAAAACTATGCTCTCTAGGCTAACCCGCCCAGAAATTCCACAAAAATTCCAAATTTCATAGAAAATCTCCGCAATTATTCAGAAACACCATAATTGAAACTCATAACCATAACGAATTTGCCCATTTTCATTCGCAAAATACTGGTTGAAATAAATAGTAAATATAGTCATAGTAATAATAATAGAGGCAGCGAATACAATATCTGTTTTTGGTGTCTATTATTTGACCTAGAAAACTAGAGTATATGCGGGATAGTCGACCAAAAACACACACGCTGTGTTGTTTTCAACACAAATCTCTGACTGAAAAACATCACCAGATGTTTCAGATGAAAAATAAAAAACGAGGGAAAAGCTGGGGGTGAAAGAAGAAAAAGAAGAAAACGGCGAAAACAACATGAAATTTGATTTTCAGTGGACGAAAAGCTTGGAAAGTGCAATTATACCGTAATCTTCTTGGGGCTGCTTGGAAATGTTAGATTTTTGATTAAACGGATGAGAATTATTAATTAATTAAATAATTAATTTGGGGTACAGTAAGAAAGGGGCGGAGTCAACACGAAATGATGTGAAATTGGAAATGGAAACATGGGAATAATAATGAATAACTTACAGTATTCAGAAGGGAAAATTGTAGATTTTCAGATTTTCTGAATTTTTGAGCTTTCGAAAAAACTTTCTGCTGAAAAAATCCATGATCCAAATTTTTGGATTCCAAAATGAAAACAAACCAAAAAAAAATCGAGGACTGAAAAATTATAAACAAATAAAGCAGCAGGAGTCAGGAGCCACAGCAAAAAAATTGAAGAAATCGAGAAACTTCAAGGGTTCCCCAGCTCAGAAAGGTTATTTTGGGGTTCGAAAAATTTTCAGAAGTTGAAAAATACAATCTTCACATTTAAAAATCCAGCAGCTTTTGTGGGACTTCGATTTTGAGGAACTTCCGGAAAATCTAGAATTTTCAGAGGAACCTGAAGCTTTTAGAGAACTTCAAGAAAAACTTGTAGATGTTTCAGAGTAGCTTTTAGAGAAGCTTAAAGCTTTCAGAGAAGCTTAAGGCTTTCAGAGAAGCTTAAGGCTTTTAGAGAAACCTAAGGCTTTAAGAGAACTTTCAGAGAAACCTAAAAATTTCAGACAACTTTCTGAGAAGCTTAAGGCTATCAGAGAAACCTAGAAATTTCAGAAAACTTTCAGAGAACTCTCCAAGCTTTCAGAGAAACCAAAAACTTCCATAGACGTCTTAATATTTCAGAAAACCCTATAGATTAAAACCTCTAGGACTTCAGATCGCGAACCTACTTAAAAAATGAAAATCTCACCTAAACTACCCAAAATTTAGGGTTCTGAAAATTTTCAGAAACTTCAGGGATCTCCAACGTGTAAGAATTCTCATATATTTTCAGATAAATCTAGAAATCAGAAAAGCTTAAGGCTTTCATAGAAACCCAGAGATTTCAGAGAACTTTCAGAGAAACATAAGGCTTTCAGAGGAACCTAAAACTTTTAGAGAAGCTTAAGGCTTTCGAAAAAGCTTAAGGCTTTTAGAGAACTTCCAGAGAAACCTAAGGCTTTTAAAGAAGCTTAAGGCTTTCGAAGAAACCTAAGGCTTTTAGAGAAGCTTAAGGATTCCAGAGAAATTTAGAGCCTTTAGAGAACTTTAAAAGAAACCTAAGGCTTTCAGAGAAATTCCAAAGAAGCCTAGAATTTTCAGAGAAACCTATCTACGGTACGATTCTAGAACTACAAATTCCGTCGCTTTTTTCCAAAAACCCTACAGTACCCCACCAACCAAGCCAAGCAAAAATTATGATTTCAGAGAGAATGAACACTCCCAAAAAACTGTCTTCCCGAAATATAAAACGAGAAAAAAGAGTAGTGTGTGTATGTCTCTCGTTTTTTCTTTTCGCTTTCTTTTTCATTCTTGCCCCTCTGACACAGGCGAAAAGATAAAAAACGACGGCGAATCGTAGGACAGCTATCTTTTTTTTTCTCGATTCGCCTCCCTCCCATGACCGACTGGGGGTGACTGACTGACTGAAAATGTATGTCAGCAAGCAAGCATCGCACACACAAATGAAAGAAGAAGAGAAAAACCCCAACTTTTATTATAGATAAGAAGAGATGCGACACTGACTGGGGGTAAAAAGCAGAAAAGAAGAAGACGAAACGAAAAAAAAAAACGAGATTTTCTCGGGAACACACACAAAAAACGCTCGTCTTCAGCCAGGGTGGTCTGGTCACAATTTATCGTAGAATTTTATTGGTTCTTTTTTTCGAGATGAGAAAAAAATACTAATGGATGGATGGGCAGAAGAATTATTGGTTTGAACTTTTTTTTTCGCGAAAAAATGATGATCTGGGGGAAGGGAAAGTATTGGGTCTTCTGAATTCAGACTTTGGCTCATTGGAACTCTGCCACGTCATAACATTTTCCCAACTTCATCATGGGCCGAATTCAAAAAAACCCAAAATTAATGAAGAAAAATTAAGCGTACCAAAAAAAATTTTCCAGCAATTTTTGGTATACCACTTTTATGAATTTGGCCCCAGCTTACCTAAAAATGATAAAGTTTGGAAATTGCTATGACGTGGCAGAGTTGCAATAATCCAAAGCCTAAGAACAGATTTGAGAATGTTCACTCGCCTAGACTATAGTTATGACGTGGCAAAGCTTCTCGAAACCTCACTTTGAATTTGATTCACATGTTTCTCCAAAAATTCTGAATTTCGTTTCAGGCTTCAGAAAAATTCTATGACGTGGCAGAGTTGCAAACAACCTAAGCCTAAGCACAAAAAATTCAGAATTTTCGGGATTCCCAAAACCTGTGAATCAAATTCAAAGGGAGGTTGCGGGAAACTTTGCCACGTCATAACTAAATTCTAGGGGAGTCTGAACTCTCCAAAAATAAATATTTTGAAAAAATCCTAGAATCGCGCAATAGAGAGTTATGACGTGGCAAACTTTTCATTCTTGATGAAAACTAGACTTTTTAAGAACCGCAATAGCTTATATACTCAAATAGTCTAGTTCTCATCAAGAATGAAAAGGTTGCCACGTCATAACTAGGCTAGGTTATGACGTGGAAAAGTTTCTGGAACCCACAGTACTCCAAAAAGTTTGCTAAATTTTGGGTAACTCTATTAGTTCTCAAAATTAGAATTTTAGAAAAAAATTTAGAACTACAAATCTATAAATCATATGTTAATGTTCTCGCTACAAATTACCAATTCCTGAACTCATTTCCCCAAATAAATAATTCATAATTGCCTTCTTCTTCTTCGTCTATTTTTGGCAATGAATTCAGATAGAAAAAGGAGCGGAGAAAATGTTGCGATTTTGCTATCTGCAAATGACAACCAGGAAAACTAAACATCATAGGAGCGAAAAAATTTTCAGCGACCGGGGCCTAGAACTAACCAAAAAGGCAACATTATTTTATAGATAAAACGTCGCGGCGTCTCTGATTGACAAATATACATTTATTCGGTGATAAGGAGAATTAAACAAGTCAATGTTTTGAAGAACTGAAAATTATTATTATTATTATTTTTATTATAATTTTCAAGGAACACTTAGTTTTGATTGGTTGGTTATTGGAAAAAAAAACACCAGAAAATCACCGCCCTTGAAATACGGTAATAAATTTAAAATCAAATTTAGGAAAGCAACATTAACAAGGTCGAATTTTGGAATTTATGACTTGTGGAAACAAATTCGTGGAAAAGAGAAGAAAAAGTGTCAAATTTCATAAGGATTTTCAGATGGGAATATTTTCTTCTTTTTCAAAAAAAAAATAAGGTTTCAAAAAACCGTACCACCTGCGTATCTAACTAATCGAGTTAGATCTGCAGGTTCTACCGTACTAGGGTTTTTGGACGCCGAATTTGAAAAAAAAAATATACATACAAAAACAGTTTTAAAGGAACACACTGAAAAAAACAAACAACCGTACCACCTGCGTATCTAACTCGGTTTTCTGTCCAATTTCTCATCAGAAATCGAGTTAGATGTGCAGGTTTTACCGTACTTCAGAATGTGCCTTTAAGGGCTGTTTTTTGGAGGGATATTTAAAGGATTACAGATTAAAGGAACACACTGCAAACAACCCTACCACCTGCGTATCTAACTCGTGAAAATTGAAAAAATTTCAGGAATCGAGTTAGATGTGCAGGTTGTACCGTACTTTAGTATGTGCCTTTAATCTGAAGGGTTTTTGGACGCCGAATTTGAAAACATATACATATTTTTGGCCAAAAACACAGGTTTAAAGGAACACACTGGGAACAACCGTACCACCTGCGTATCTAACTCTACAGGAATCGAGTTAGATGTGCAGGTTGTACCGTACTTCAGCATGCGCCTTCAAGGGCTGTTTTTTTCCGGTTTCTGGACAGGGAATTAAAAAAAAATATCATAAAATCATTCCTTATGAACCAATTAATTAAAATGTCTAGCGGAAACCCAGAAAATTTCCAGATTGAAATTCTCACGAACGAAAAAATCGAAGTGCGCAACAACTTCAGAGAGGTCAATAATAGTGGCAACATAACGAAAAAAAGACGAAAATTTCCAGAGTGAAACATTTTCGGGAGGGGCACAACACTTTCTAGCCACACAAAAAAAACGGCGCCTTCTTTTTTCTCAACAAAAAAAAACGAGGCAAAAAAAGCGAAGGGAGGGAGGGGCTGAAATTGGTTGGTTGTGGACTCTCTAAAACTGAAAAAAGGGCATGCAGCGTGCAAAAAGTTGAGACCGCCGACATTGTCTGCGCACTCTGCAATTTCATATGCTATTTTTTGTTCGAGGCGGTCGCTCGAATGTGCCTCTCCCAGGGCTCCGAAAAAAAAGGGAGAGGAGAAGAAGAAGAAGAAGGAAAAAAGAAGGAAGGACAATCGAGTTCAGATAGATAGAGATTCTTCTTCTTCTTCTTCTTCTTCTTCTTCTTCTTCTTCTTTTTTGTTGTTCTTTCGGGTTTTTGGACCCCCAGACAATTTATGATGAGAAGAAGAAGAAGAAAAAAGAAAACGAAAATGCATGGAGGAAGAATTGAAAAAAGGATTACTACCAACCAAGACTTTTATGGGAATTCTAGAGAATCTTGAAGATTTCGAAATTTTGCCATGAAGTTGCTATAACTCGGATCAGAGGTGCATTTTTCAAATTCTCGGGGAACATTCAGACAAAAATCTCAAATTTCTCTGGATTTTCAATAAAATATTTGTTTTCTAGTAGTTTTCGACCCGCTTATCACTATTTCACTTTCTAAAATTGCAAATCCCAACTCCTAATATTATTTATGACGTGGCAAAGTTGGAAAATTACGATTTTGGGAAGTCAAAACTCGTTTTCAAAATGGTTTTTTTTTTTAATGAAAATCTGATAGCATAGCGTTGTTCAGGAGGTTCTATTACTTTTCTGAAATTTTTTCGGATTTCAGAAAGAGCTTCCTGAACAATGCTATGCTATCAGATTTTCAAAAAAAACCATTTTAAAAGCGAGTTTTGACATTCCAACGTCGCAATTTTCCAACTTTGCCACGTCATAACTCATGTTAGGAGGTGAGCTTTGCAATTTTATCGGGAAAAGCGGGTCGAAAACTACTAGAATTCTCGATTGCATGTTGAAACAGTTACCCCATGGGTTCACATTTAAAAATCTGGGGTTCCTTTTCCCTAGTTAGCTTTCTGGAGTTTCTATAACTCGGGTCAAAAGTTCATTTTTAAAATTTTCAAGGAACCTCTCTTTCCAGCATAATTTTCTACTTAGTTTTGCAGATTGATTTCGAAAGAGAAAATTATGCTGGGAAGAGAGGTTCTTTGAAAATTAGACCTTTGACCTGAGTTATAGAAACTCCAGAAAGCTAACTTGGGAAAAGGAACCCACACCTCGGCCAAAATCGTGGTTTCCACAATAAAAAATGGTACGCTAACATTTTACAGTACGAAAATTGTGAATTTTCCAGTTTTTGTCCTCTAAAAATTGTTATTTTTCAATTTTTGACCTCTAAAAACTGAAAATCAGATTTTTTAAAAATTGTACTCTGGCTAGCCACGCCTTGGCCGAGGTGTGAAGGAACCCTGAAAATCTCGAAAACATCACTTTGAGGCGCAGAATAGTCACGAAATTTCGGGAATTTTCGATTTTTTATTCGAAGTTTCTAAGTCAATTTTAACTGGCTTCGGGAAATTGTTCAAATCCCCCCCAACTCACATTTTTTCCCGGTTTCAAAATACATTAGGTAGGTTTTCAATTTTTTAAAATCTTAAAAATGACAATTCCCCCCCCCCCCAAAATTTCGGCGTTACTTAATCAGTTCACGTTTTTTCCTCATTCCAAGATATTTTTTATTTAGTCGAGTTGTGTGGGGGGAAGATTGAAAATAATTACATTAAAACGGATCCCGTGAGTCAGCAGAGCTTAGTTCAACTTAACAAATGTTCAAAAAAAATTTTTTAGTCGTAAATAACTATCAAAAGTGCATATCTCTTTCTGGAATTTCAATTTTCAGGGAGCGATGAAATTCGAATCCTTTTTTCTCGTCTGGAAATGCGCACGCACTTTACACGAAACTCAATTCTGAAACATACTCGAAATTTCTTCTTTTTTCTTCTTTCTTTCACTTCAGATCAATTTTCCTTCGTTTTTTTTTTCGAAAAAAAAAGAAGAAAATGTCCGTGTGGTGAAAAGAAGAAGAAGAAAAAAGTTTTGATTTAGCAAGAAAAAAATTTCCAGAGAAGATAGAGTTCGGCCTTGGCCTTTTCTTAAAAATTCTCTCTCAGATGTGAAGAGATTATAAAATAATGAGAGACGATGATTTCTGCCTGTGTGGCTAGAAAAAAAACGACGAAAAAAAAATCGGAAATTTTTCCGGGGGTCGGGAGGTGTTTCGTAATTTTTGTTTGCTAAGAGAAAAATATTCAAAGTTTCAGACATCGCAAAGATTTTCGATTTGATAAAAGTGAAAACTTTCGGCAAATATTTTGGAAGAGTCTGGAAAACACTTGAAAAGTGCATTTAAGCTCGGACTACTACTTGAGTCAGCCGCAAAAATAAACAAAAAACAAGAAAAAGAAGAAAAAGGGAGAGTTTTTTAGAGAAATTCGGCTGGAAATTTATGATGTTTTCTTTTTCTTCAAAGAAAAATGAATAGGGAATATTTACATTTAAATATCAAAATTTAAATACTCACCGAATTTTTCTGATCGAGGTTCCAATGTCTCTAGTTTAAGTTTTGGAATAATAGGGCTATTGAAGCTTCGCAAAATTTTCGAAAAAAAATAATTGTTTAACAGTAATCGAGATAAAGGCGCATTGTGTGCATTGCAATGGTCTTGTCGCGCCAAGATATTCAAACACAGTCGAGAAATTGATACCGTAGTATAGGTTCCCATTTTTTTTTTTGAAAAAAAGTAATTTTAAATATTCCACGTTTTTCTGGATTCTGGAGTACGAATCGAGTTCCGAACAAACAATGTCGCTTCCCGCATATTCGATTCGCCAAAATGAATCAAATCCAACGATTTTGAAAACTCTTCAGGTAAAAAGAATCACGATTTTTGATGTATTTTCAAATTTTACCTATTTAGTTTCTCGATCAAGCCAATGTTCTATTGAAAAAAGATATATTGACCGGAGAACAAAAGAAAATACTTTTGAAGAAAGTTGGAGAATTGATTGGAGAATGTGAGTTATCTAATTTATTTCTGATATTTGTTGAATTTTTCAGTGAACCGAAGATATAAATTGGATGAAGATGCGATTTCTGAAAATAGTGATGCGAAGCGAATGGAATCACTAAAAATGGTATTTCAACAATCTTTGGAATTCGCTGAAAATCGAAAAATCTTGGATGACTTGTCGAAAGAAATTTTGGAAGTGAAATTCGATATTCAAAAAACCGAAAATGATATAAGAAGTCTGAGTAGCAGCGTTGCAAAAGTAAAAAATCAAATCGAAGTCGTAAATAAAAAACAGGAAAAACGAAAGATATCTGCAATCAATGCAAATTTCGAATTGGAACAACAAGCAGAGATAATTCGAAAGAATTTGGAAAATTCGACTGAAGTTGGACAATTGCGACATTTGGAGGAAGAACAACGTTCGATTGAGAAAGATGTCGAAAATCTGAAAATTGCTGATAAGCAAACTCTTGAAAATATCAGAGTAATGAAAGCAACATGTAAGTTTTGTAGTGAATTTATTTAAAACATTTGCATATTAACGTATTACAGTGAAAGCTGAAACCAAAAAACCATTTGTCAAGTTGGTTGTTGAAATTGCAAAACAACATCGTCTTTATAATGTGCTTATGCCAAAGTTGGAAAAATCACGAGCAAATGTGGAAAAATTGAAAGAAGAAGAGGCTAAAAGAAGAGCATCTGGTAATTTGGATGACACTATTCTTTTCGATGATTCATTTGTCAAAGCTTCGGTATGTTTATATTTCAAAGTTTCAAAATTATGTCGAATTTTTAGCAAGAAGCTCAAAATCAAGTGTCAAATGTTTCAAATGATGTTCAACCAGCGAAAAAATCAGTGATTCCACAAGTTCGACCAATGACAACAAGTCAATCAACAGAACAAATCAATACTTCGATGAGAAGTATTAATTCGATGCAAAGTGAAACGAGAGTTTTGCCGCCAGCTGAATCAGTTCAAGAAAAAGTTGTTGAACAAGATGAAGAAGAACCAATGGATCAGACAACTCACGATATTGATGAAGAAAAAAATGAACAGCGAGAATACTGTAAGACATTTTTGAATTACCCGGGAAAAATATTGTTTTTTAGACACTCGAACAAGATGCTGATCAACAAGTTCAAGAAGAAGAGGAAGAGCGAGAAATCGAATTCGATAATAATATGGAAGAAGAAGTTGTTATGGAAGAAGAGGAGGAAGAAGAGAGAGAAAATCCAATTGTAGAGGAAACACAGAAAGAAGCTGAACTCAATGTTTCGAAATCTGGCAACAATTCCAAAAACAATAGTGGATTTTTCAATGATTTATTGGCTAAAAAAGGCGATGGAACAAACAACCGGGAAAATGATTCTGTTTTGAATGTGAGCAGTGGAGATGAAAATGGCGATTTTTTGAACGGTTTGAGAGATGATGAAGGGCAAAGCCAAGCTTCTGAGAATTTCTCGTTTAATCTTTTTGGCTCCAGTGGCGCTGCAAATGGAGAAAACAATGATTTAGGTTAGGATTTAAATAACACAATTTTTTATTTTCTAATTTTCAAAATAAAATTGCAGACTTTGATTTCAATTTCGGCGGTGGCGGCAGCGGTTCAGACAATGATGACAATTTCAATCTTTTCGGCGCCGGCGATTCACCAAACAAATCTGCCACTGGAGATGGAGGAGCAAAAGCGTCGTCTTCAGATCCATTTGGTTTTGGAAAATCAGCAGAGAATACTGGTTTCAGTTTCAATTTTGATGATGCTGGAAGTTCGGGAAATGATGGCGGAAATTCATCGTTTTTCAATTTTTAACGTTTGTTTTTTTTTTGCATGTAAAATAGAGAATCTTGTAAATGTTCAAATTTTTTCATAGTGGGGATTTTTATTTATTTTTTTTAACTTTTGTAATGAATTTCAAATTTATTTTTGTGTGTCAAAAAATTATCGGATTGAGAGGAGAACGAGGAGAAACAGGGAAATAATTGTGTAATTTTTCAAAATTTCAAGAAATCTGAAAGAACCCCTATAAAATTCCGAACAATTTTATTTGTAGAAAAATCACGAGAAGAAAATTATCTACATCAAAGAGAAAAAATACAAAAATAAAATTAAAACTTATCGAACACGTGCAGGAAATTGAGATTCTCGAAAAAACATGAAATCACTTGGGGCAAGAAATTGAACAATTAGATTGAAGTCGGAGCAGGTCGAATATCAACATAAGTATTTGTTATTTTATTTGGTTCTCTATACATACTTTCGCTTGATTCACTTCTTTTTACATTTTCTCCGTTCGTTTCGATTTTCTGTGAGAATCGACCATCTTCTTGACGAACACGATTTAGAGCGTGGCGATGACGAGATTCGTGGAGATATTTCTGGAAAAAAATATATTGGACTTGGGAAAATTTGATTTTTTTTGTTTTCCGTATTTATCAAAAAAAAAAAAGAAATAAAAATCTCAAGTTTTCAGACCTCAAAAAATCTCGATTTTTATTTTTTTGCCAGGAAGTTTTCTATCTTTTCCAGAATTCTAAAAATTTCAAAATTTATACAAAAAGGTCTGAAATTGTTTTTTTCTAAAATTCTAAATTTTCGAATTACAAAAATTTTAGGGAGCAAAATATCCCCAGTTTTTTGTGAGGAGAATTCGAAAAAAAAATCAGAAATTGACATTTTTTTGATTTATCAAAACTCTAAAAATTTGCAAAATCCATACAAAAAGGACTGAATTGTTTTTTTTCAATGAAATTCTAAATTTTTGAATTACAAAAATTTTCAATGAGGAGAATTCGAAAAAAAAATCAGAAATTGAAAATTTTTTTGATTTTTCAAAATTCTAAAAATTTCAAAATTTATACAAAAAGGTCTGAATAAAACTGTGCGCATAAAAATTGACGATCAAAAAAAGAAAAAGTTTCTAAATGGTGGCACAATGATGCGCGTTTCAAAAATTCTCCCTCAAAATGTATGTGAGTGCGCGGAGAGTGAAAAGTTTGTAAACTCCAATGTATTTTTCAATTTTAAAATGTGTCGCTAGTCTTTTCTCAATTTCCAGAAGACCATTATTGATGGGACCTCCACTATTCTATCATAAATTATTTACCATCGATGCGCTAATATTCAATTTTTCAAAAAATGCGCGAGTTTTCACGTGAAAAATCAAAACTTTTTTTTTATGTAAAAAAGAATGATCACGTTTCTATTCGAAAAAATATTAGGACACGTTTCTTATCTGATCGTTCTATTCTCTGAAAAAGTCAACAATTTCTGGGCATTTCTCAATGTTTCTCTTTTCCTAACCGGAAAATTAATCAGAAAAGTAAGTCAAACTACTGTAGATGGCGTTGGCCAGCGAAGCCCTTCTAGTTATTTTTTAAAATGAAATTCTAAAAAAAAAGATGAAGCACAAAAAGCTTCTATGAGGAAAAGATCGAAAAATCAGAAGTTGACCATTTTTCTAAATTTTCCAATACAAAAAATTGTTCAAATTTTTTTTCTTTTTTTCAGGTGTCATATTTCCCTCCCAGTTCATCTTTCCCTAACCTGTCTCGAAATTGGCATTCTTCCAGCTTCAATCAATTTCTGTCGATCCATTCTCCTTTTCATAATTCGATGATATTGCTTCGGATTCACATAAAATGCCCCATTTTCATCTTCCGCCACTTGACTATTTTCTTCAGGTTTCTTCACTTCCTCTTTTTTATTTTGCTCTTTCTTCTGCTTCTCCTCTTCTTCTCGAATAAAAGCAGTCGCCAATTCACTAAATTGTTCAGGCAACGAATTCCGAACATCTTCAATCGTCGATCCATCTGGCATCGGAACAACAAATGTTAGCGTTCGACCATTGAATTCAAGAAGAATTTGGAAGAGTTTCAGGTCTGGAGGCAACTCAATTTTTGTGGAAGATGAAGTAGTTTCGCCATTTTTTCCAATACTTATCGAATCTGGTTTGTCTTGATACAAAGATATTTGAATTGTTGGTTGATTTTGAGCAGGTTTTTGAGCTTGAGAAGAACTTGGAGTTGGAGGAACTTGAGGTGGAATCTGTTTGGGAAGTGGCGCTTTAAAAGTTCCCGGTTGATTTTCGACTATAGTCTTGGGTTTTTTCGCAGCAAGTGTCGGATTCCCCGTCGGTCGTTTACGCTCATAATAATTTGACATCACTTTATTTGTCTGAAAAATACTTGTTTTTTTTTGTTGATAAAGATAAAGCTCTGAAAAACTCAACTCACCAAAGGATCCTTCAATGGTCCAGGCTCATAGGATTTTAGCTGAAAAAATAATATATTGCGACAAAATTTGTATTTAGTACTGAAAAATAATTTTTTGGGAACTTTACGAAAAGCTTCAAGAAAATACTTTTGTTCGTTAGAGCAGGTTTGACTTCCCGAAAGTTCCTTCCCCCTCAAAAAATAGGATTTTTTTTCTTAATACAAATAAATCCTGGTTGCCAGGGCAATGTATCTTCCTCACGTCGACCCACTAAAGAACAAACTGCTGCAATGGGTGTGAGACTGAATGCATCAAAATGCAAGAAAACTACTGAACAATTTTGAAAACTGATTACATATTCATGATCAGCGTGTTCAAATCTATGGAAATAAGGAGTTTCATGAATTCTAGTCGATGTTTTCTCTCGTAGCACTCCGTGGAAAACTTGAAAAACCGTACACCCGTTGCAGCAGTTGGGTCGACGTGTCCTTAAAATGTATTTTTTCCAATAAAAAATCTCACCGTGGAAGATGAAGCTGGCATAAAACGAAACATTGGTGGAGGAAGGCCCCGATCATGTTTATCTTTACTCCTGTAAAAAAAACAAAAAATACTTTTTGAATTCAAAACTTTCGCCAAAAAACTCACATGAGAAAGAAAGGACGCGCGTTGATTGGTTGAGAAATAAGACCACACAAGATGGAAAACGGGTGGAGTCTGGAATGGTTAGAGACGCAGAGAAACTACAATAAATAAAGTATTCTAGATAATCGAAGTTCCGATTTTGAAGCAGAAATTGAAAATTATTTAATTAAAACTTGATTTATTTACAAGAAATGAGAGAGAAATAGCAAAATATATTTAAAATAAAAATTATTTTTTGATGGAATCGTAGTATTTTTTACAATCTTCAGATCGTTTGATGTGACGTTGAAGAGTATCAGGACTTTGATAGCAATAACAGCAGAATTCGCACTTGAAAGCTTCTCGATTTTCATGAAATTGTTCGTGATGACGAAGTCTTTTCATTGTTGTGTAGGCTTTTGGACAAATTGAACATTGAAATAGAAATGACGAGGAGTTTTGTTGAACTTCGATTTCTTCATAATAAACTGCTGGTTGGTATGATACATTGGGCATATTTTGTTGATATTGTCGTAGTTCTTCTGCCATTTGTTCTTCTGTTATTTCGACATATTCGACATAGGTTTCGTGAGAAGCCATTTATTTGACGTTGAAAAATATTTTTTTCGATCGAATAAAAAAAATGACCCTGTTACGGTATTTTTCAAGGAACATGATATGATTTGAATATACGGTTTCAACGCGATTCTTGTGTCCTCACACGAAATGGCTGGAAAATTTGAATGTGTGGCCTAGAAATTCACAATATTTGTCAATGGAGCGCGCTTTCTCTCATCGATTATTTTTTTTTGTTGTTTGACACTTTTCCACATTGTATCTAAAAAAAACTCAGAAAATGGATCAGTGGGAGAGATACCATCAATCTCAACCTGCTGAAAATGGTAAGCACGGTGTATCGTCCTTCGTTCATTCACAAAATTTCAGTTGATTGGGCACATTTGGCTCAACAATGGGTGGCAAACAAAGAGCAACAAGAGCAAGGTTATCAGGGAAATTGGAATGTTCCACAGCAAAATTTCAACGAAGGATGGGGTGATTCTCCTTGGACAAATCATCAAGGTTTTCAACTAGTTCTCTGAAAAAACTTTATATTAAAAAAAATAATTTCAGATCAATGGGATCCGCCTCAACGACATCACCAACATCATGCGCCGCCGCCTCCTCAACAAATGCAAATGCACCAAATGTATCCGGGTAACTATAGAAATTCTTCGAATTATGGTGTGTTATCTCTCTAAAAGTCGAAACTTCTTTGACAAAAATACGAATAAACTGAAATCAGGTCCCTCATATGCTCCACCACCACCACCTCCTTCTAATACATGGCGTGGTCCACCTCAACCAATGTTCCCAGCTGGTGAAGCACCGGCTCCTGTTCCAGCTCCGCGAAAACCGGCGCCAAGTTTATTTGCGGCTCACGCGGATGATTATCCACAAAAATGTAAATGAAATTTGAAAATGATTCTAAATAGAAATAATTTTTCCAGCAACAACATATTTCGGAGGTCCACCAAAAACTTCACGGCAACCAGTTCCACCTCCGCCAAAATCTACAAATCCATATTCAGCAAATCTAACACCTCTTGGCCCTCCACCTTCATCATCTGGTCTATTTTTCAACAATGAACCAGCTCCTCCAGCTTCAAAACTTCCAAGTCTAATGGCAAAACCAGTTGCACCACCGCCGCCAAAAATGCTCAACGAAGAGCAACATGAATTCTATAACACCGGGTTCAGTCAAATGGATGCGGCGACTCGGAAAAGACTTCCAGCGTGGATATTGGAGGGGCTGGAAAAAGCTGAGAAAGAGAAGATGAAAGAGCGGGAGAAGGAGGAGAAATTGAAGCGGGCTGAGGAGGAGCGAGCTAAGCGACGGGCTGAATCTGGGAAGAGCAAATTTGTGAGTTTTACTTGATTTCAAGGGATTTGAGTATAAAAATTGATATTATTTAGGATAGTTCAAGTGACGAAGATGAGGATCATCCGGAAGCTCCGAAAAAATCGTGGCAAAATGACGGGGATCCGGTATTTTCAAGGAATCAACGTGATGAAGAAGACACCGATGATGAAGAAGAACGAAGAGAAGCTTTTGTGAGTTTTTTATTTTGAAAAAAAACAGGCGGTCTGCAAATATTCGTCACCGTGTTGTGCGTAAAGTCTAAATTTGTGCATAACAAGGGACTTACATTAGGGTGATAACGGGTTTTGAAATAAGGCAAGCACAGTCTTATGTAACTCGCCTCGCTGCTGCAAAAATTAGCTGCTGAGCTCCAGTCTGAGCCGCGCAAATGAGCTCCGAAGCGAATTTTGTAACAAAAAAATACGAAATGTTTGAATTAAAAAGATTCACGTTTCTTTGGAAATTGAAGCAATTTTTCACGTGAACATTTTTTATTCAAATTTTTTTGGTGTCAACTTTTCGATGGTCCCAAAATCGTCTTCAAACACCAATTTTCGACAAAAATAAATATTCGCAACGTTCAATTCGGCCCAAATAACCCTAGAGTACTTCTATTCTATTTCATATGAAAATTGAGATTTTCTGAGAAAACTTTGGAGCTCACAATCAGCAGCTAATTTTTGCGCGATAATGATCAGCGCGTCGAGTTACCTAATACGTATAACTAATTTCAAAACCCGTTATCACCCTAATGTAAGTCTCTTGTAAAGCATAGACACTTTAAAACAAGAAAATGCGCTTTACTGCACAATTTTTGCGTGCAAAACTTTAATTCCAGATGAAGTGCGTGAAAACATTGATGATGAATTCGCTTCTCGAATCAAGCAATGAAGCGATTATGAAAATTGTGTTGGAATGTGTGAAGGAAAATGAAATTGAGCGAAAAAATCGATTGTCAAATGGTATTCCCTTATTTTATTCTTGAATTAATTAATTTAAATTTTTTTAAATTTTTCCAGCTGCTCCACAAATCGTATCAAAGAGCAATGCATTGGCAGCACTTGCAGCATTCGGTAATTTTTTTTCGAATTCAGGATTCAGGATGAATTTCCAAACCGTGTTTCAGGAGATGACGATGATAGCGATAGCGAAAATGATCAGCGAAGTGGCAGCGATTCACCAATGGATGGAGATTCTTTTAAAACACCCGTGGGTATTCCAATTCGAAAAATAAGTTCAAACAGGTTGTCCTCTTCTTCTTCTCCTTCAAATCTTGAAAAGAGATCAAGTGAAGAACTTGAGGAAAAGGAAAAAGTAATGGTAAACCAAGGTATGTATTTAATATTTATAATTTTATTTAAAAATAAAAACTTAAGGGGAAATTGGGGCCCAGGGGAATTTCAAAAATACTCCCTATTTTTTTCAGATTCTTCTTCTTCTTCCGTTGAAAAACACATTGATGAAAAAGAGATAAAAGGTGAGCAAAAAAAGTTTTGAAACAAAAACCAACAAAAAAAAGTTTTTGTTTTCAGAAAGTTCACATAAAAAGTCGAGCAAAAAGGAGAAGAAGAATAAAAGAAGTCGATCAAGAGATCGTGAATATTCTTCGCGAAGTCGTCGAAGTCGTAGTCGAAGTTCGGAACGTCGACGCAAACGATCTCGAAGCTCTGAAAGATCGAAGAGATCTAGATCTAGATCTAGAGAAAGAGATCGTAAACGAGATCGAGATCGACGTTAATTAATTTCTTTTTCTCAAGATTCCCCATATTTTTATTTCATTTCATTTTTCACAAATAAAAAAAAATAAAAATAAGCAATTTATCTGGAACGATTCATTCATTCATTCATTTAATAAAATTGCATTATTTTCCTATTTTTCATCTATTTTTTTCTTCGCGTCGAGCATGTGTTTATCTGCCTTTTTTCGCGCGCGCGCCAAAATGACACATATTTTAGATATTCTGAAATATCTATGTCAATTTTCTCTGCTTTTTGAAACAAAAATATAGGTTTTTGGGGGTTTTTTGGGAAGCGCTATTATTTTTTGTTGTGATTTCTTTTTTTCGAATTCTGAAAAAAACGTTAGAAATTGCAAACGCGCTCCATCGAATAAACTCATTTTCAGAGCTGATTCGGTAGAGCGCGTTTGCGATTTCTAGTCCTTCGGATCCCAAACAAAGAAAGAAAAAATAAGAGTGTGTGCCAACACCAACTGCCCGCAAACACCAAATCCTACGCGCAAATAAAATAACGACACTCCGCTCAAACAGTGTGTGGCAATTAAACAACAGGCAAGCCGAGTGTCGTTGTTTTACTTTTATTTTTTCCTTTTTTTTCTTTTGGAAGTAACTATAGTTCTGAAAAAAAATTGAGAAATTCGGTTAGAAATTGCAAACGCGCTCTACCGAACAAACTCATTTTCAGATTCGGTTGAGCGCGTTTGCGATTTCTAGTCCCCCAGCCACGTTGTGAAAGCGAGCGCGGGAAATTTTTTCGAATTCAAAAAATTTTCCCGCCATTTTTTGCCGTGAAAATTTGAAAGCTTCAAATTTCGTGACGTCACAATACTGCTTCTATTCATTTTTCAAACGGTATTCCCTTTTTTCTTCTCCTCCTCAAAAAAAGAATGAAAAAGATGTCCAAAAACTCGACTCATACATTTTTTAGCACCCAAAACAAAAGAGGCATTCGACTGCATCTAATTCCATTTTTTCGTTGTGTCCGAAAAAAGATCAAAAATTATCTAATAGTGAAATAGTATTTGTTATAAGACCTACTCAACTCCGCTCATAAATAATTCCCAAGTCAAGAATATTCTGAATAATTGAGCACAAATTTTTCGTTCGCTTCTTGTGTTTGGCTCGGAAAAAACACGGGACAAAATAAAATAATGAAATGAAAAATAGTGTTTATTTACATTCGATTATTTTTCATTTGTCTATTTTTCCTGGTGTTTTTGTTGTTTTTTCTCTATCTTTTGGTATATTATAAAAACTACACAAGATTATCACTCCGATGGGAATTTATTTCCAAACTTAGCCTATGTTTGTGAAGCTTTTTATATCATAGCGAAAAAAATTTTATTTTTTTTCGAAAATTTCCTATGTGTGTGCAAACACTTTCTGTTTTGCGCACCGTATCACAAAAGTATTTTTTTTTTCGTTTTTGAAGCTTTTTTCAACATTTTATTTATTTAAAAAATCGAAGCCCTAAAAGGTTAAGTCGAAATGAAGGAAAGCCTGAATAAGCGTAAGCCTAAGCCTAAGAAACCTTAGCCCAAGAAGCTTAAGCCTAAGAAGCGTAAGCCTAAGAAGCGTAAGCCTAAGAAACCTAAGTCTAACAACTTTGAGCCTAAAAACCTAAGCGCTTCAAAAAGTCAAAGTTTTTTGTTCAAAAATTCTCTCAACTTTCAATTTAATCCAAAAAGTATCAAATTTCAACGAAAAAAACACTTTTTGTTCGTGCAATTGACATTTTATGGTTTTGACATTTACAAAGAATTGGATATAAAAATGTTTCAAAATGGATTACTGTAGCATTGGCGCTTGAGAAAAAGGCAATTTTTTCTAGTTTAGCTCATGAGAAAATTCAGATGCACACAAGTACACTTCTCTGACTTCCGCTTCACAATCCCTAATTATTCTATTTCTTTTTTCTCGATTTTTTATTTGGCTAGGTTTTTTCAAGTTTTTTATTTATAGTAAAAAAAATTAGGAAATTAAATAATTGTTATTCCAAACGTGACCGAAATTTGAAAAAAAAATCTATTTCTAAAAATAAAAAATATTTAGTTCTTGTTATTCTAATTGTGATATCTGGTGGGCAAAAGTAAGTTAGACATTCTGGAACTTGAAATTGTAAATTTTCCCTTTAATTTTTGAATACAGATTCATTTACCTGATTCCTATGAACCAAACCAAACTTTCCTATATTTCTTCAGAAAACTGCATTTCAAGATAAAACTTTGAGCTTCTGTATTTGATTTTTCACGGCTTACTGTAGATTTTCTCAAGTATTGCTCATCTTAAAAATTCTCAGGTCTCTCTGAAAAATCAGAAGTAAGAAATTCTACTTTTCAATAAAAATCTTTGATTTTCCAAATTATTTTTCCAAGCATTGCTCATGTCATCTCATTTTTTCTAGACAAAGTAAACAAAGTATTTTCTGCAAATTCTGAAATTTCAAATTTTCCAAAAAGTTACCAAATTTTTTTCAAAGAGATTTCTATCCTCAAATTTTCCCACCAAAACTAGTTTTTCCAAAAGTTCATCAAGAAATATTATTTTTCAAATATTTTCTCACACCTCGATAATTTTTATTTTTTTTTTTTCTTAAAAATTCCAGTGTTCTTCTTCACTTCACGAATCAAAAAGCACAACCTTCTTTTCATTTTCATTTTCTATGTGACAACCTCGATTAACTTTTTCTTTCTTTCTTCTTCTTCTTTTTTTGTGCTGCTTCTGCCCTTTTTCTAGTCTAATTATTCTTGGCCCATGTCTCTTTTGCCTTCTTTACACGGTGTTTTTTCATTAATTTTTGCTGGATCTTGCGAAAATTCTCGCAACTTTTTTTTGAAAATTAAAAAATTCTGACAAGAAAGGCGCGCATTTTTATTCGAAATTTTTGATAAGAATGAAAAACACCGCATGGCCGATTGGTATACACTTATGCCGAACTTTTGAAAGACCTGGGTTCGATCCCCACCTGCCGCTCAACTTTTTTTTTCTTGGAAATATTTTCTGAATTTTTCTTCCGGAGGAAATAAGAAGCCTTTGATAAATGAAGATTAATTTTTCAAATTAATTTTAAAAATTAATTATTTCAGATAAATCAACTCAAATCAAAAAATGAGCCTCCACAGACATCGTCGAATGTTACCAGAGACTCCCGAAATGTCTCCAGTTATAATAGCTCGTCGATGTCATCAAAGAGTTCACGAGGTGCGAAGTTTCGATCCGAATTTGATACAAAATCGAGCTGCTAATTATACGTAAGTTCTATTTTTGCTTTTTCCCGAAATCCAAAATCCAAAATCTAGAATTGGCTAAATTTCTAGATTGAACCAATTATTTTCTTTCGTTTTTCTCTCTGTTTATTTATTTTGACATTTCAAGTTTTTTTCCCGATTACACACTAGAGAATAGTTTTTCGCTTTCAAGTTTTGTTTGTTCAACTTTTCCAGTCTGAAAGGAAATTGAAAAATTTAGTTAAAGTTCATTTGATATATGAAAAATAATTTGGTAATTTTTTAGGCACCTGAATTTAAAGTAATTTTTTTGAAATTTAAAAATTCTCTATTTAACATGAGCAATGCTTGAGAGAATTTACAGTAAGCTTTGAAAGATTTGAAAAAAACAGTTTTTAATCAAAATTTCTTTCTTTCTTGAGTTTAAGATCTTCCCTGGTTTAAATTTTTTTAATTTACAAATTTGAAAAAAAAATTTCTCTTGTCAATTCTAACATGAGCAATGCCTGAGAGAATCTACAGTAATCCTTGAGAAATCTGAAATTTCAGAATTTAAGAAAATACGTGGTTTATTTTTGTCTAGAAAAAATGAGGATCACTAACTTGAGCAATCAAAGTTTTTTTTTCAAAAATTAGAATTTTCTGATTTCAAAATTATTCATTTTTTGTTCAGAAAAAATGAGATGATTATGAATCTGAGCAATGCTTGAAAAAAAAACAATTTTTAAAATGATCCAAGAAATTTTTCATTCAAAAAATAGACTATTTTTGCGTTTAATAGGTATCTTAACATGAGCAATCAAAGTTTTTTTTTCAAAAATTAGAATTATCTGATCTTTAATAATAATAAGTTTATTTACATGAAATCAAAATCAAACTCGTAATGTGGACCGGTAAATATGAAATTATATCTTGTTTTCCACAATCCTTTCTTCATTCTCAAAAAACTTTAAGTAAAATCGAAAGTTCATCCGAACTCCTCCTTCATTCCTGATCTTTTTTATGAGTGTTTACCAATGTTCACAATTTCCTGTGATAACAAATGTTAAGTACTTCAGTTTTTGAGCGCCAAAAATCCAAGATTTTTTCGTATCATCATCATTTAGAGCAAAGAAAAAATGAAAATAAATATACATTTTTTTCATTTCCCACATGTTTTTTTTTTGTTCTCCTTTGAAAGTGGAAACCTTTTCGGTTCCTTTTCGTATATTATCTCTTTATTTCTTCTCAAAAAGTGTTCGTAGTTCATAACAATATCTCATTTTTCATCGCTTTACTATTACACCAGCTGACCAGATGTATAAATCTCCTACGTTTTCATGATATCTCGCTGTGTAGATAATTTGCTTTTCGGTAAAAATAGGCGGAACTTTTTTTTTGAAAGTATGTTTCGAACTTTCTTTTTCATTTTTGTTCGAAATACTAGCTCAGAAAAAATAGTATAGCAGATTGAGGGACTTAGATACTGTTTGAGTTTTCATCCACGCGAAATGTCAAGGAGCTACAGAAAAAAAAGAAGAGCGAGAGAGAGTTGATCTTGTTGGATAGGCTCACATGTTTTTTGCGCACAGTCCATCGTTTTCTTGGTTTTGGAATTTTTTTTGGGATTTTTCTTGTGCACTTTTGTTATTTGTAGTTAGCTATTTTTTATTTCATGGAATTTTTTGGGTTCTAAATATTTTTTATCTCCGGAAAAATCTTGAAATTTGGAAACCTTTTTTCAAAAATTTTCTAGATTTTGTGGATCCAATTTTTCAGAATCTGAAAAATTCGCTAGAATCACAATTTTTGAGAAAATTTCAAAAATTACTATTTCCTCAACTTTGAATTACTGTAGAAGTCGATCATATTCTAGAACAGGAAAATTATATTTTTGATCCTTCATTTAAGATTTTGAATTTTTTTACAAATTTTTTTTGAGTTTTGAAAATATTTTGTTAGGTTAGGTAGATCATAAGGTTTTTTAGATTCTGAAAAATTGAATTGATGAGATTTTGATATTCATCATTCAGAGTTCTGTAGATCACAATTTTGAATTAAAATTTTTACTGTACTTTTTTCCTACTGTAGATGTCACTCATTTTCAAGAATATAAAATTTTTTTGGATTTATGAACAATTTTGAATTTTTCACAAAACATTTTAAATTTTGAAAATTCTGAACTGTAGATTGTCATTTCAACTGAAAATCCGAAACAATTTTTTGAAAAATTATTCCTTCAGCCAAATTTTCAGCAAAACCTCTCAGCTCATTAAAATTTGCTAATTAAAACTTTTTTGAAATTTTTTGAATCTGAGCTTGCGATAAATTCAATATTTTTTGAAATTGTCTAATTTTCCCAATTTCAGTGAATTTTTCCATCCATTTAAAAATCCTGTGGAAAAATTTTTCAAGAAAAAATCCAGGATTTGTTATGTTTCAAAAATTTGATATGAAAAAAATGGAGAAATTGGAGGCTAATACTAAAAAGAACTATAAACAAAAAATATATGTGTTTTTCAATTTTGCAAATGACTCATCTTTCTTTTTGTTTTATCTGTTTAGTCCACTTCGCTCTATCCAAACATAAATAAATATTTCTTTTTGGGCGGTTCAAGGCGCCAATTAGTCGATCGAAAATATCAATTTGAGTGGTGTGGGTGTAAAGTATTTAAAAATCTTCAATTTCTTACTCATCTTATTCATTTCCCCCCATTTTCTTTCTTTCTCCCAAGGCAGTTCCATTTTATTTTATTTATGTTTTTCCTTCCATTAAACTCTGCATATATTTATTTATTTATTCACTTTTATTGGCTGATTAAATGAGAAACGAAAGAAAGAAAAGAATATATTTTATTTTTTCTAAAAAAGATTCATAAATATTCCCTTTTGTGTCTGTGAAATTTATGAAATTCTGGAAAAAAAAGTATGCTTTGTTCGGTTTGTTCAGCTGGTATTTTTTATTTTTAATTTTCACACGGCCAGCAAAAATATTTGAAAAATCCTAGGTCTTTAAAAACCGAAGCCTAAGAAGCCTAAGCCTAAGAAGCCAAAGCCTAAAACGTTCCAATTTTCAAAAAAATTTAAATCCAGTTTCCACCGCCACGCAAGCAAGTTTGCTCTATCGCACACATTTTTTTTCGAAGAAATTATTTGGTTTTCTAGGCCATATCATTACTCTTCCAAGGTTTTGAAGAATAAATAAATAATTTATGAACTCCGAGAGAAGTACACACAGATAAATTATGTGTGCGATGGAGCGAACTTGATTGCTTTGTGATAAACCTCAAGTTTTTCCCCCGAAGAAACATAATTATTCCCTGTTTTTGCAAAAAAGAGAAAATTACAGGAAGTTTCTAGATACCTATGGCAAAAAAAAAAGATTTTCTTCTCGCAATATTCATTCTCATTTTTCATTTTCGCTCTCTTCTTCTTCCATCTTCCACCATCCACCAAATGGTGAAAGAAGAAAGAGAAGAATATGAATAGGCGGCGAAATAGTGTTGAAATATGAGAGAGTTTTGAGAAAATGACCAGTGGCGCAAGCAAAAAAAGAGCCCTTCCCGATTTTAAACAAAACTACTACTATTCAACATTTGTTTTTATTTTTTTAGTGGCTTTTTTTGCTGTTGCAAATAATATGACGCGTTTTTCTTACGAAGGAACTTAATAACGTTAGGTTTTGAACTTTTAATGCCATTTGGTAGAGATTTGCCATAAGTGAAGTAGTTTAGCGCCCTTGCTTCATATGTCAAACATTTACTGTAGCAGGAAAAAAGGCTAGGTGGCCGAATGGTTAGCGCTTTTGCTCCATAATTTTTAGGTGAGGAGTTCGATTCCTCTCCGAGGCAAACTTTTTTTTTAAATTAAAAAAAAAAATAAAAACACCTCCCAACTCCACAGTAGTCTTGTTTCGATCTTTAAAAAAGTATATCAAATTTTGTCTGAAAATAAGTCGGCCTATAAAAAAGACCAAATGCAATTTGATATGTTCCGAAAGGAAATAAACTCAATTTTCTTTGACAAAATTTCAATAATTTTTATTTGCATTGAGTGCTTTTAGTTTTTTTTTCTTCTTAAAATACCAACCTTTTTTTATTAGTTGATTTTTTTGCGAAAAAAACAACAAAAAAAACAACAACAGTTGTTTGACGAATCAAAAATCTTTTTTATTTATTTTTTTGCAGAAGTAGTACACAAAACGTGCTGAAAATCGGAGAAGACTTCAATTTAGAAGAAATGCGGCAACAACCTTTGAGATCGCAAAGTTTTAAACATCGCGCGAAACCGCAAGTTGAGGTTAGTTTTGTTATTTTTCTGATCTGCAGAAAAATATTAAGTGCTTGAGTAAATATAATTTGATAGTTAGGGAAACTCGATAATGTATATACTATGGTTTAGTTAAGCTAAGTTATTCAAAAAAATTATCAAATAAAATTTTCTTGGAAAATATATTTGAGAAAAAATTTTGGTGAATTTTTCAATTAAAAAAACACAAAATAAAAAATACGTGGAATTTTTTCGAAAAAAAACCAGGATTTTTTATGTTTCAAAAATTTGGTATGAGAAAATTCAGAAATTGAACGCTAATCAGAAAACTCTTCTCGGTGAAAATTAATTAGTAAGATGTTTTCACTGCGAAGATGTTTACCCTTGAAAAATTTAGATATGGCCTAGAAAACCAAAGATTTCCTCTTCCACGGCTCGAATAATTCAATTTCAAATTTTTCGAGAATTCATCTGACTCAGAGATTCGCTGGCCAGCTCGCCACTAGATCAGGACCAGGTGGCCGGAAAGTTCAAAACGAGCTGAATTTGACTCGGCCACCAGGTCGCCTTGACTTTTCCGGCCACGTGGCCTGTGTGTTTGACATCCTGGAAAGCCAGCAAGACGGTGGTTTGTACTCAAAATAGTGCATTTTTTACTGTTTTTTTCACTTCCTAAGGTTTCTAGTACTCCGAAAAAACAGAAAATGAGCCAATTTCTTCTAGAATGCTCGGATTCACAAGTTTTTTGGACTTTTTTCTCTTAAGCGAGACGATCTGGGCGCGAGGTCGAGTCGAGCTGGACAACCTGGGCGAGGTGGTCTGCATGAACTGAACCACCTCGCGACCAGGTCGTCTGGCAAAAAATACGGGCGATGTGGTTGTCCGTGTCAATTTCAGATGGGCAGTCGACCCCACCTAGTGACCAGCTGGCCAGCGAATCTCTGAGGACTTGAAATCAGGCCAGATAGCCATAAGTTCGTAAATTACTAACTAAAATATCTAGATGAACTTTCTCAAAATTCAATCTCACGATCTTTTTCAGTGTTTTCCTCTGACAAATCTCGAATATTTTTTAAAACCATTGAAACAAGTGGGTCAAACAAGGACCATCACATGATGAAATCATTTCAACACTCGAAAAAAACCCCAGAAGAACGAATCAAATTGTTTTTCAGATTCGTCGAATGGCAGTTGATGATGTTGGAACAACAACAGCTCCAAATGAGAGGCGTCGATCAACACCAACAGTTTCGCGAAGACCAAGTTTGTCAAGGTAAGCGATGGCATATGTTTGTCAGATGTGTTGGAAGAATTAGTTTATAAAATTTATTACATGTGTTGAATGAATGTGTTGTGTTTACCAAAAACGAAACGAAATGAAGAAGGCGGGTTCCAGATAAAGCAAACAAATGCCAGATGTGTGCAAAAATCTTGGAATTTTCTTATTCTCATTTTGTTTCAGACAACGAATCATGGAGCCAAGAACTGATGTGTGGCCAGAAGCAAAGTCGAATAATGTTGTGGAGGAGAGATTTTTGAAGTTGCCCGATTCGGATGATTATACAAGGTGAGATTGAATTGGGAATTCAAATCTATTGATTTCTAGGGGCGTCTACTTGGCATAGACGCTCTCAAGGGACGACTTCTTGTCAGCGTCGATCTCTAGGCGCCGCTTCCAGAAACTTAGGTTCCTTAGAGGTGGCTACTAGAGAACTAGGATATCTAGATCTTCTCAAGATAAAAGTTTTACCCTAGACCATGAAATTGGAGAAAATCTGAATTTCTTCCCCCAAAAACTCGCTAATTTCCAGAGTTCGTCAATTCAAAATCGATGAAAAAGGCGCAGTTGTGTCACGTGGCGATAGTTTCCGACGAAAACGTACCACCACCAACAAATCCGACAAATCACCATCGCCATTCCCCGTCTCTGTCTCAACCGATTCAGCAAGAGGTTCACGAAGTGAATCCGAAGCCAGTGATCCACTCGCTGATGATATCTCGAAACTAACTGTCAATGATTTGCCCAACACTTCGAATAGTCATAAAACGTATAAAATATTTGTTATCGGCGATACTGGAACCGGCAAAAGTTCGCTTATTTCTCAACTTATCACGTCGGAGTATAAAAATGCGTTTGCTGATGAAATTCGTAAGTTTTTATATGGAATTTTGAAAATGTTCACAAAAATTGAAAAAAAGATTTTTTAAAGAGCAAAAATAAATCCCCTGATTTTGCAGAAGATTATGAGAACACCGTATCAATTTGTATTGGAGGAGTTGAATGTGATTTGGTATTCTTCGAAAGTGATTTAGCTGATGATCATTGGTTGACAAATGAAGTGCACGCATTTGTTGTTGTTTATAGTATTGATTCGAAATCGAGTTGGAAATTGGCACATAATGCGTTGGAAATGATTCGTGGATCGAATGATTGTAAGAATACACCAATTATTGTGGCTGGCAATAAAATTGATTTGGAAAGGAAGAGAACTGTGACTAAACAAGGTGAGAATATTATGGTTAGAGACTTGGCTGAGTATCTAATGTGATTTGAGAATAACACAGGATCAAAATTAGGCCACGTGGAACTTTGGAAAACGTTAAATACGCAGTAAAAATTCGAAAATTTTTAGACTAATTTTGCTGCGTATTCGACTGAGTATCTATCGATACCAAACAAGATTCCTTTTTACAGAAGTTCGTATTGCTAAGGCTTCCATGGGTTTTGAAAATTTCGAAATCTCAGTTGCTCTCGATCACGATGTTGATGATCTTTTGATCGGATTAGTCGCAGAAATTCAAGAAGCTTTTGCACCAGAATCTATTCTTCAAAAGGTATTTGAATCTTTTTCCAAATTATATTTCATTCAAAACCTTTCCAGCCTTCACCACGTCATAACGTTGTCGATGACTTCCATAGTGCAATTCGACGATATTCACAAAGAAAAAAGAAGGCATTACCAAATGATATGGAAGGTGGAAAATGTTCGGTTCTCTCACCAACCAATTTATTCGCCAAATTTCGAAATTGGCGACGTGGAAGTTCGCCAAGGATAGAAACTAACTAAACGAAAAGCGGTTAAATATCAAAATAAATTACAATATACATTACAATACAAAATACATTGCATTTCTTGCTATTCTCTTTTTTTTGTCTCTGAAAAACTAATAAAGAATTTAATTGTTAAAAATTGAGATCCGATTTTCTCCAGAAACAAAAAAGCGTTAAAAAAAATCAGAAATGAGCAAAATTATTCACGTCAAATTATTTTAATTTAAATCTAGGACACAAAAGTAGGTCGAGTGGACAGCACCGTTTAATAAGATGAAAAGATGAAAAGAATAAAATTATATATGAACGTGTGACGTGGCAATGGTGGTATCCAACAGACAGCAAATCTTTCTCATTTTAGATTTTACGAATTAACGAAACTCGAGGCATCAAAATGAGAATTGGTTAGTTTGAGCTTAAAAAATCAAATATCTCGGAATAAATTGATTTCTCAGGGGAATGTTTGAATTAGATAGCGATCAATTGAAATGCATCAAAACAGGATTCGATCATAAATTTTTTGATGTTTGCTCAACTGATGCAAATGATGATTTGGGTAATAATTGAAAAAGCTATAAATCATGAATCAAAATATTGTTTATAAGCCCCGATTACCAGTTCAAGGCTAAAGCTTTGAGACAAAATCTGGAAAAACGATTGTTTTACAACAAAAAATCGGATATGGTGCGATGGGGAATGTTTTTCTGACGACAATCGATGGAAGGTACAGTAATAATCTACAGTACTTTTTTAAATATTTTTTTTCAGAGCAATGGCCGTCAAAACTGAGAAACATTCCACTGGCATGTTACCACTGGAAATAAAAATATTGATGACAATGAATCGCAAGAACTACAGAAATTTTTGTTCTGTAGCACACTACGTTAGTATATTTTTCTGTGCTGATCCATCATAACAACAATTATTCCAGGGAACTGTTCGTCGCGAATATAACTACATATGATTATCGATTTATTGGACATGGATTTGCATAAAATTCGAAATGAACTGCCAACAAAAACGTTCTCTATTAGTTCCACATGTAAAATTGCTCTTGAAACTTTGGAATCAATAGAGAAACTACATCAAATTGGCTACAGGGTGCGTAAAAATTACGTAGACAAACATTTTTCGCTGGTATAAACTGAAATTCGTGCACTTCTAGAGAATTATAAGTTTTTATATGTTTTATTATGATATTTTGAACATGTGTGCAAAGTTACATGTCAATCCGTCATTTTAGGGGCCAGTGACACCTTCTAATAAACTGCGCAATAAACGTTCGTTGGCACGCGACACAATGAAAATTTTTAGATGTGTTCTCCCATGGATTTAGAAGTTGTTTTCATATTGTATTATGACTGATAGGTTTTCTTAGCGTCCCAAAATGTCAACCAAAAAGATAGAATTGCTTTTAATGTTTCACACCATGTTTGGGTGGGGGTTATGAGAAATGCCTGCTTGGCTGACAAAATTCCATAATTTCCGCTGTTTTCGGGGTCTAAATCAAAAAGAAAGTCCGAAAAAACATAATTCTAGATTAATTTACATCAGGCCTGTGTCGGAAAATCAAAACCCGGAAAACGGAAAGTCGGAAAATTTCCGGATTTTTTGAACCGGAAATCCGGAAAATTCGGAAAATTTTTCAAAGTCTGAAATTTCGATTTCCAGCCTTAAGTTGGCACTAAAACTTATTTTTATCTACAATTCTTCTATTCACAGGTAATTTAGTAACTATTTGAGACGTCTTACGTTCAAAAAATAGTAAAATTTGAAAAATTGAAAAAAAAATTTCCAAAAATTTCATTTTTTCTATCATAAACTGAGAAAATTTTCCAAAATTTAAGCAATTTTGAAAATATTACTAATAAGATCGTTTCCGGATTTTCCGAGCACATTTTCCGGAAACCCGGAAAATTGATTTTTCCGTGAAAAAACCGGAAAATCCGGAAATTCGGAAAATTCGGAAAATTTCCGGCACAGGCCTGATTTACATTATCTTGGATAATATCCAACTTTGGGAATAAATATAAAGTACTCCAGCAAGCTATTGTTTCATTTCACAGACCAAAGTTGACTCAACAGCTGTTGAAAAATGATTTTTTCGATTTGAGCAACGTTTTAGTTTGGATCCGTTTTTGTCGGATCTGAACCCAATGTATTATTCCATCAAGGAACGTTATTAGAAAGGGTCTGGGTAAACCCTTAATCAAGTATCCGAGTCATACGGTATCTCATTTTTGAATATTGGGGCACTTTGTCCGACAAATGACCCCGTGCCGAAGTGGATGTTTGCCGAGAACGTTTTTCCGAATTCATACATCGGAAAATTAATCAAATCAAATGGTCTCCTTGATTTTCTCACTCTCACGTTTTGCAACACCGGTTTCTCTGTTTCATTTTCCAAGGGTTTCGCTGTGGATTGCAACTTAATTGAAAAAATCGGCCCGAGTTTTTATGTTGAAATTGAAAAACTCGGCCCGAGATGAGAAAAAAACCGATTTTTCTTTCACCAAATCAATTAAAACCTTGCGCACATTTTTTTCTATCTACAAATAAACTCGGCCCAATTTTTTCCAATAACAAAAAAGGGCCGATTTTTATAAAATCCTGTAAATTTTACGAAAAATATGTAGAAAAATCTAAAAAACAAAAGAAATAAAAAAGATTAAAATTAAATATTAATTTATTTGAGGTGAACGTGTGACGGGTCAATGATTGCAACCGACAGAAATCAAATCTTTCTTATTTTCGAATTATAAGAATTCACGAAATTGAAGGTTTTTTTGTTGAAAAAATATGGATAAAATCGATCAAGAAGAATTCGAAAATTATTGCGAATTAGTGTATAAAAATGAATGCTGGTTAGTTTAAGCTAAAATAATCAAATATCTCGGAATAAATCGATTTTTCAGGGGAATGTTCGGATTAGATGACAATACATTCAAATGCATCAAAATTGGATTTGATAATAAAATATTTGATGCTTGCTCAGATGATTCGTTATTATTTATTATAATCAAAGAAACAACAAATGATAAAGAAAATCTGTTAATGATAATTTGGGTAAGTATCAAGAAATATAGTTATATATAGATTCAAAAACAATATTTAGTTAGGAACATCGCTTGGATTCGAAAATCAGTCAATGTTTTGTCGATCTTGTCAATTAATTGCACTTCATTACAATATTAGAAGTGAAATTCATCAAAATCTCTCATCATTTTCCAATTCCATGCAGACACTCAACTCGACATTAATGAGCGAAGGCCCTCAATCAGTAAGTTTTATATTCATATGAATTTAACTAAATTCTCGGTAGTTTGTAGTTTTGATTGCAACTTTTATCAAAATTCTGTATTTTTCAACGAAAAATAATTTAATTCAGTGATGCACATAATCATCATTAATTTTTCAGATGCAAGAAAACATTGAGCCATCAGAAAGAGGAAGCCGGAGCTCAAGTGTCTCAACAATCTGTGAAGGAATGGAAATTTTGGATCAGCAAGATTTGGGCGTGGAAGTAATTGAATTAATCGAAATAATTGATGAATTGGATATCACTCAAAATTCGACAATCGATGAACGAATTGGACAATTGCAACATGAGGATAATTATCTCCAGATGCTCTTATCTAATAATCAATCATTGCAAGAAGCATTTCAAGAATTGAAAACCGATGTGCCAACAAATACCATCGAAAAACTATTGTCGAAAAAAACCGTTACAGTTGAAGAAAAGGTTAGTTAATAAAATGGGTCACTAGAATCGGGGTGAGATGCTTAACTTTTTGAAAAATCTGAAGGGAATGGTGCCTAACTTGGCCACTGTTCTGTTGATAATTCACCAAAATTCCCCTAATTTTTCAAAAATAGTTTCAAAATTTCAGCTCAAACTAATCTAGCAACTGAAAAAATCGAATGATGAGCTTAACTCGATCAAAAACAACGCATATGGTCAATTGAAGAAATTGCGATTGATATTGAGCGACAAGTTATACGATGTAAGTTCTTTGCTTCATTCCACTATTTCGATATATTTTCCATTTACTTTTCAGAACTTGAGACCACTGTGGTTGATCGAAGAGGATACCGGTCTGAAGGATGATATCATCGCGATTTCCAAAGATAACTTGATAAGTGTCGACCTTCTGCGAGCAAACGGCGGAATATTCGACAAAAATGGAAAAGATGAAGTTTTAAAATATTTGAAAAGATTGGATGGTAATAGAAAGAGTGCTGATATCTGTAAGGTGATTTGATGAAGCATCATTTAATTTTTTCATCTTGATAATATTTCAGGAGATTCAAAAGAAGAAAAAAGATAAGTGATGTGGGATTGGCTCGGACCGATTTTTTTCATTTAACATCAAATCGAATTGTTGAACTTTGAACATCGAGATATAGAACAAAATCAATTGGAAGTGCAGCCGTATCAATTGCAACAATATTATGAACATCATTATTATATTTGCTGGAAAAATTCATCAATTATTTGCTGGAAAAATTCATCAAAATTTATATCATTCTGTTCGTCTTAGACCAATATATCATATGAATAAAATTAGAACCCAATATTTCAACTAACTAGCTTAAAAAACATGAAAATGTCATTCACAAATTAGTCGATTTAGTCGATTTCCAACTATATTACTAACCTATTATGTTAGAAGTAGGGTTGCCTCACTGGCTAATGATTGTGTCTTCACTTCCTATGAGTTCTACAATAAATCAATAACGTAAATAAAATTGTTTTTTCCCGAAGAACAACGATTTTCGAAGGGAAAAAAATTGCGAAAAAAATTCGCCTCCCCCATTTGTGCATTTTCTCGTCACCGTGTTCGCACACATTTTTGGCACGAATGTTCATTTCAAATATTTGTTTTCTTTTTTTTTTGTTCCGTTTTCTAAAAAAGCTGTAAATTTCTTAATTTCAGCAAAAAAATGACAGAACTAGAGAATGGAGGGATTGTCGACAAGGTTCTTCAATTAGTTCTCGAGTTAAAAGAGAATCCCGATATTCTTCCGACATATGATGTGAGTTTTGAATTTTTTATCAAACAATTAGAAAAAAAAACTTATTTTTAGGCAGAACTCGTTCAAAGCTGCGTTCTCGAAATCAACGAATTGTACAAATTGAATGCCGACATTGTGTAAGTATCGAAAAATGTTTGAAATAAACGAAAGTTTCATCTTTTTCAGAGCTGAAATTTCAAATTTCATGAAATGAGTGAAGGTGATCCAATCGATCACACATTATTACAACCAAGAATTGCAGCTATGAATTATATTGAAGTAAGTTTAAACTAAAGTTTTTTGAATTTAATTTGATCATGATATTTTACAGAATTTTTTATGTGATTATTTAAATGCGAGAAAATATCGGATTCGAAGTTTTCGATTGATATATGGAGAAGATCTTCCATCATCAATTAGGGTTAGTTTTTCACATCTTTTTTTTCGAAAAAAAATTATTTCAAATGTTTAGAATGCCCTTTGTGAAGCTGAAACATTCTTCAATCAATATTCTAGTGCATTAGCAACTCTTCAAGGAAATCTTGGTTCTAATTGTGTTAATTTCCTATTGCTCGTGGAACCACCAAAATCATCATTTGTTCATGTTCGACTATTGGAAAATTATGGAGATTTCGAAATTCCTGATGGAACTTTGGTTGTGTCAATGAATTATATTTCGGTGAGTGATTTTTTAAAACAGATAATTTTTTCAAATAAGTCGTAAAACAAATATTTTCCTAATGGGGTGAGTCAATTTTATTCTTTGACGATTAAAGGGGTTGTCCTGCTACAGGGAAACTTAGGTTCATTCGATAGAGCTAAGGTACTCCTGAAACATTCCATATTTTATTTTGATTTTAGAGCGAGTTTTCACCATTGTATTCATGTTTTTGTTAGGTTTTAAGGTTTTAGTGCATATAAAAAACATGTGTGCTCTTCACACACATAATTTATTTAAAAAAACCCCAGATAAACGGAACAAAATCAACTTATTTTCAGTTTTTTTTCGGTTTTTTAGCGCATCACTTTGACCGAGATAGTTTATTCCTAAAATGCGTAATGAGTTTCCTTTAATTGTAACAAAAATTGATTTTCAGGGAGTTATGTCATCTCGCGAAATCAATAATGGTTGTGATAGAAAAAGACGCATTCATTCATATGGAGAGAAAGAAAATTGTGAAGAAGAAGAGGAAACTCTAAAAACAAGCCAGAAAGAAGTGAAAAGTGCAAAAATAAGGAAAATGTTTGAGTCAGAAGAAGAAGTTGGAGAATCTTTTGAAAATGATTTCGAATCACAGAGAAATGATGGAGCTATTTATGACGATATTGATGATGTGGATACGGTTGGTAAATTGGAGAATGTGCGAATTGATATGATGGAAGACATCGAGGTTGATATGATGGAACAGAATGAGACTGTTGATTTGATGGAGCATGATGAAAAATTTCCAGTAAGTTTTTTTGGGAGAAAGGTGGAAAACATACTAAAAATAGAACATTTGAATTTTTGAATATGGCCAGAAATGTGTCAAAATTGTGAATTTTTCTTTCTTGTAGATATCAAATTTTTCCGAATCCGAAAATTTCTTTTTTTTCTTGAAAATTATAAAAAGTTTATAGAAAATGTGATATTTTTAATATGGCCAGAAATGTGTCAAAATTCAGAATTTTTCTTGACACGTGGAATTTCTTTTTTTTTTTAGGTCACGCATTTTTTCTCAAAAATTATTCCGATAAATTTTTTTTGAAATTCGATAAATTTTGATTTTTTAATGCAAATTTCCGGATTTTCAAGACCAGAAAATCCGGTAAACTTCTTCAATTTCGAATTTCAGCACTAAATTGGCTGTAGAACTTTCTTTATCTGGAATTCGTCCATTTACAGATGATTTAGTAATTGTTTGAGACGTTTTCAGCTCCGGAAATCTAACAATTTTGAAAAAAATTCTTTACTATAAAAAATGAAAAGATTTTTATAATACAAATCATTTTCCGTTTTTGGAGGGTTCTGGAAAGTCTAGACTTATGCTGAATACATATATTATTGGAATATTTTCTGCTTAAAAATATTGAAAACTTCGAAAATTGGCAATTAGAAAATTAAAAAATGTTCGGAATTTCTGAAATTCAGATTCAATTTTTTAATAATTTTTTAAAAAATCTTGAAATTTAGGCAAAACATTTAAAGGGGGGGGGGGGTAAGACGACAAAATTTTATTTGCTCAACGAATCGGGCTCCCTTTGAATAGTAAACCCACACCGCCAATTTTTAAAGTTAATTTGCACGAAGCTGGGCGTGGTATGTCTGGGCGTTTCTAGAAAAAATCCCTTGGAGGTTTTACTACTTTTGGGGAGCCTTTAACTTTGCGACAAAAAAATTTGTCGTCTTACCCCCTCCCCTTTAATAACTAAAATAATAATTATAATTAAATTATAGAAAATCGATAAAATTAGGGAAACTTTTGTGAAAAGATCTTTACTGAGCACAAATAATTCAGAGCCAAAACCTCTTTCAATATGTTTTCAATTCCCCCAATTGAGTTTCTGGGTATATTTTTTTATTGAAAATCTTGAAAATTTCCAAAGTTTTCAGCTTTAAAATTCCGAAAATAAGAGTATTTCAATATTTTAGCTCAAAAAATACAGAAAATAACAAATTGTAAGTTTTATATTCATATGAATTTAACTAAATTCTCGGTAGTTTGTAGTTTTGATTGCAACTTTTATCAAAATTCTGTTTTTTTCAACGAAAAATAATTTAATTCAGTAATGCACGTAATCATCATTAATTTTTCAGATGAATGAAATCATTGAGCAATCAAAAAGATCAAATGTACCAAAAATTGGCGAAAAAAATACAAATTTGGACCATGATGATAATTATCTCCAGATGCTTTTATCGAATGATCAATCACTAGAAGAAGCATTTCAAGATTTTAAAACAAATGCACCAACAAATACCATCGAAAAACTTTTGTCGACAAAAACAGTTTCAGTTGAAGAAAAGGTTAGTTAATAAAATGGGTCCCTAGAATCGGGGTGAGATGCTTAACTTTTTGAAAAATCTGAAGGGAAGGGTGCCTAACTTGGCCACTGTTCTGTTGATAATTCACCAAAATTCCCCCTAATTTTTCAATAATAGTTTCAAAATTTCAGCTAAAACTAATCGAGCAACTGAAAAAATCGAATGATGAGCTCAACTCGATCAAAAACAAAGCATATGGTGAACTGAAGAAATTGAGATTGATATTGAGCGACAAGTTATACGATGTAAGTTCTTCGCTTCATTCCACTATTTCGATATATTTTCCATTTATTTTTCAGAATTTGCGACCCCTCTGGTTGATCGAAGAGGATACAGGTCTGAAGGATATTATTGTCGCGATTTCCAAAGATTTTTTGATAAGTGTCGACCTTCTGCGAGCAATCGGCGGAATTTTCGACAAAAATGGAAAAGATGAAGTTTTAAAATATTTGAAAAGATTGGATGGTAACAGAAAGAGTGCTGATAACTATAAGGTGATTTGATGCAGCATCATTTAATTTTTTCATCTTGGTAATATTTCAGGAGATTCAAAAGAAGAAAAAGGAAGAAAAAGGAAAAAAAGATAAGTGATGTGGGATTGGGCAAAGTTTTGAATATTTTTCTTCATTTTTTTTGTTCATCACTTATTTTTTAAATGTCATGTATATTAAATTTTTATTGCATTCACCCTATTTATTAAATTCACCCGAAATTTGTGTTTTAACTTTTATTTATTCATTTTATTTTTCTTTTTTTGTCGATGACTTTTTTTTACTAAAAAATCAAATAAAACTTACCAAATCATCCAAACTCTTATCTTTCTGATGCTGACATAATCTATACTCCGAGAATTTTCCAGAATATAAATGTTCATCTATCAAAAAAAAAACATAAAACATCACAGTTGCTTAAAGCTATCCTTGGGAAATTTGCACACCATCACTCGATAATCCTAATGATCTGAAAAAAAGCGCAGTGTGTTTTCGCGATGAAATTTCTGGGGATTTTTAAAAATTGGGAACCCCCCTCCCAGATTTTAGAAATGGACACGTTTAAAGTATAACACGTGGGAACCCTGAGAATCTCTCCAATGTCGCTTTTCCCTTCTCAGAGGCCCCTTGAAGTGCCCCGAGAGCTGGTCCTAAGGGCAACACTAGTTGAATTGTTAAAAATTGAGATCCGATTTTTCCAGAAACAAAAACGCGTTTTGAAAAATCAGAAATGAGCAAAATGATTCACGTCAAATTATTTAAATTCAAATCTAGGACACAAAAGTAGGTTAATAAGATAAAAAGATGAAAAGAATGAAATTATATATGAACGTGTGACGTGGCAATGGTGGCATCCAACAGACAGCAAATCTTTCTCATTTTAGATCTTACGAATTAACGAAACTCGAGGCATCAAAATGAGAGTTGGTTAGTTTAAGCTAAAATAATCAAATATCTCGGAATAAATTGATTTCTCAGAGGAATGTTTGGATTAGATGGCGATCAATTCAAATGCATCAAAACAGGATTCGATCATAAATTGTTTGATGTTTGCTCAACTGATGCAAATGATGATTTGGGTAAGTGTCAAGTAATGTAGTTATACATAGATATTCAAAAACACTATTTCAGCTAGGAACGGTTTTGTGGAGCTTGTGAACTAATTGCACTTCATTACAATATAAGAAGTGAAGTTCATCAAAATCTCTCATCAATATCCAGGTCCATGCAGACACTCAACTCGACATTAATGAGCGAAGGCCCTCAATCAGTAAGTTTTATATTCATATGAATTTAACTAAATTTTCGGCACGGCGAGAAAAATACAACTTTTTGTTCTTCTTCCCCCTCCCGCAGAAAATAGAGAGGAGTAGAGAATGTGCGCTAATGATAATGTATGCGAGAGGAAATTTTTAGGATTTTCAATTTTCTGCAGTCATTTTCTCGCCTCTACTCTTTTTCTTTTCCCGCTCTCCCCGATTTTCTCACTCTCACGTTTTGCAACACCGGTTTCTCTGTTTCATTTTCCAAGGGTGGGGGAGGTTTAAAATTCTCGCCGTGTCGGAAGTTTGAAGTTTTGATTGCAACTTAATTCAGTGCACATAATCATCATTAATTTTTCAGATGCAAGAAAACATTGAGCCATCAGAAAGAGGAAGCCGGAGCTCAAGTGTCTCAACAATCTGTGAAGGAATGGAAATTTTGGATCAGCAAGATTTGGGCGTGGAAGTAATTGAATTAATCGAAATAATTGATGAATTGGATATCACTCAAAATTCGACAATCGATGAACGAATTGGACAATTGCAACATGAGGATAATTATCTCCAGATGCTCTTATCTAATAATCAATCATTGCAAGAAGCATTTCAAGAATTGAAAACCGATGTGCCAACAAATACCATCGAAAAACTATTGTCGAAAAAAACCGTTACAGTTGAAGAAAAGGTTAGTTAATAAAATGGGTCCCTAGAATCGGGGTGAGATGCTTAACTTTTTGAAAAATCTGAAGGGAAGGGTGCCTAACTTGGCCAATGTTCTGTTGATAATTCACCAAAATTCCCCTTAATTTTTCAATAATAGTTTCAAAATTTCAGCTCAAACTAATCGAGCAACTGAAAAAATCGAATGATGAGCTTAACTCGATCAAAAGCAACACACATGGTGAACTGAAGAAATTGCGATTGATATTGAGCGACAAGTTATACGATGTAAGTTCTTTGCTTCATTCCACTATTTCGATATATTTTCCATTTACTTTTCAGAACTTGAGACCACTGTGGTTGATCGAAGAGGATACCGGTCTGAAGGATGATATCATCGCGATTTCCAAAGATAACTTGATAAGTGTCGACCTTCTGCGAGCAATCGGCGGAATTTTCGACAAAAATGGAAAAGGTGAAGTTTTAAAATATTTGAAAAGATTGGATGGTAACAGAAAGAGTGCTGATAACAATAAGGTGATTTGATGAAGCATCATTTAATTTTTTCATCTTGGTAATATTTCAGGAGATTCAAAAGAAGAAAAAAGAAGAAAAAGGAAAAAAAGATAAGTGATGTGGGATTGGGCAAAGTTTTGAATATTTTTCTTCATTTTTTTGTTCATCACTTATTTTTTAAATGTCATGTATATTAAATTTTTATTGCATGCACCCTATTTATTAAATTGACCTGAAATTTGTGTTTTAACTTTTATTTATCATATTATTTTTCTTTTTTTTATTGAAAATTCAAATGAAACTTACCAAATCATCCAAACTCTTATCTTTCTGATTCCAACATAATCTTTTCTCCGAGAATTTTCCAAACATAAAACATCACAGTTACTTAAAGCTATCCTTGGGAAATTTGCACATCATCACTCGATAATCCTAATTCCTCTAATGATCTGAAAAAAACCCTATTTATTTTTAAATATCATATTGAACTCACTCTTTTGCAGTTATGATAAATCCATCAGGTCCACAAATAAACTGCAAAAGGTGAATTTGAAGCCGGAACTTTCTTGTCATCTGATGTTGTTTGTGGCAAATATGGTTTCACTGAACACAATAATTTTTTAAAAATCTTTTTCATCATAGGTTTCTTACATTTACTCAAATCTCCTTTAAATGGTCCAACAATGCAAGCTTTCAGCATACTTTCATAATTAACCCAAGCGTGATATTGATTGATATTGATCCCATATTCACTTCGACCGATTGCCGGTTTCTAAAATTTTTCCAACAAATAACTATAATTTTAAAAAGTAGTAATTCTAAAATGTCCTATTTCCAGCGAAAAAAGAAAAAACCAAGAATTGAAAAAAAAAATGGAAATGAGAGAGAGAAAGTGCGCTCCAATGCACACAATTTTGTGCGCAGAAAATTTGAATTTTTTCTGGAACTTTTTTACTAGGCCTGAAGCTGCAGCTCAGCGCTGAAATATGAAAAATCTTGAAAAGAAAAGCTTATTTGTTATCGAAAAAAATCGGCCCGAGTTTTTTTATTTGGCGAATTGTAGAAATACATATCGTGTGTGAAAAAGTTTGAAACAATTTTATGGTCTAATCGAAAAAAATACATGTGCCAAAGATAGAATAAGTAAAAGTGGCTGAACTGCAATAACCACAATTACACCATTATCGAAATTATCATCCAAAGCAGCAATTGTGATATTTGCACAAGTTAGAAATGCTCTCAATAAATGGCTCATACACATCCAATATTTATATTCATATGGAATTCGAAATCGATAATCTCCTTGATCATTCAATTCTTCTTTTTTCACATGCATTCGAGTCGTTTCCAATGCGAGAAGGATTAGAATTGCAAGAATTGCGATTATCAAATTTGCACAACAAATTGTGATTGGAATTGTTTCATTTTGATTGAGATGACCAAACCAGCAAATCATTACAGCTATTGTTATTAACTGAAAAAAATGTGAAGATTTTTTGAGATTGAAATAAACTTATGACGTGGCATTTAGCCGAGAATTGAAAATTCAGAATTGTAATTTTTTGGAAAAAATTAAAAACTTCAGAAATTTTCCTCCGAGATCTCGAAAATTTTCAAATTTCAATAGATCTTTAAACTTTCCGCATAAATTCTCCCAAAATCTCTAAAGATTCTGAAAATCTTTCTTGAAATTTTCCAAATCCTCTCAAAAAAAAACGAAGTTAGAGTTATGACGTGGCATTTTGTCTAGAATTGAAATTTCAAATTTTTTCATTTTGGAAGAATTTTAAAAATACTGAAATTTTGAAAACCAGATTTCGCCACGTCATAAATTTTTTCTAAGAATTTCCTGATTTTTTTTCGAATTTACTGAAAAAATTCACTTTTTCCACGTCATTTTTTCAAAATTGAAATTTCCTAGACCACTGAAATTCACCCAAAACCCCAAAAAACTTACAATTTCCAAAATGAGCAACGCAATCGTGACAAAAGGAATCTTTTTGAGTTGTTCTCCTCGAACCAACATAATTTGTCGTTTTTCGGCCAAAAGCGGCGTCGATTCGCCGACTTTTTCATTTTCGCGTTGAATTATATCCGGATCTGTTGTGATGATTCCTTTTGATTCGTCTTTGAAGCGAGAATATTCCCATTGGGTTTTATCGATGTCATTCTGTAAAATTTGAAGATTTTTTTCCTTTCAAAAAGTTTGTGGCCAAAAATCTCAAGCCATTTAAAAATTTCAAAAGCTATAAAACACACAATTCTCCGAGAGAAATACAAAACTTACGTTTCGAGACCAAACGCGGAAAAAATATTTTTTAAAGTTTTTCTTGGTCTCGAAACTGCGTCTCTCTCTCCCTCGCTCGATTCACCCTCCAAAAGGCTGTGAACTTACATCTCCAGTCGTAACATCTTCAGTTTTCGATTTCCTCATCTCTTTTTCAGGTCTCATTTCACTTTCTTTCGGCGGACTCAATCCACTTTGTTTGCTCATCACACTTTTACTTTTGCTCTTGCTTTTATCTTTTGCCATGTTTTTTTTTTTGCTTGTTTCCGATATTATTTTTTACTTTTTTGTGCTCACTGTTTCAAAAAATAATTATTATTTTTCAAATTATTTTTGATTTTTTACTCACTAAAATTCCAGTATCTATCGAGTTTCTAGTAGCGAATTTATCAAAAATGACAAGAAAAAAGAATTTTTTTTGAATTTTCCCCCATTTTTTCGAGAGTTCACGAGACGCAGAGATGAAAAGAGAGGACTGATTTTCAAATTTTTTAGGCCATTTTATTATTTTTTTTTTGCAACCTATTTTCCGGATTCCACGCTTTTCAGTTGAATTTTAAGAATTCAAAAAATAATTTTTTTGAAACTACAGTAGTTTGAAAGACACACAATTATTATTTTTCAAGATATCTCGAAGCGAACATGTGTTCCTTGAACGCGCGAAGTCGATTTCGCACGTTTTCATTTCGCAAAAAAACTTCAAAATGCTTTGCCTGTTTTTCGAGGAACTTCCGCCGTCCCCGGTCTTCGAATTATTCTCAAAATATGCATACAATGTGGAATTCGAGAATGGAAGACCAACAATCTCAATATATTTCTCGAATGTGCCTGAAATTCTGGAAGGATTGGTAAGTTGAGCATTTTTTCAAAAACCGAACAATTTCGTTTATTTCAGAAAAAGTTTGATCCGAATTTGGTATTCCGACATGAAATCAAAAAGGATGTTCCAATTTTTCTTTGGGGAAAAGATGACAATTCGAATCAAAGTAAAATGCGAGACTTTGAGTATGAAAGAAGTTCATGTTCGGTGAGAAAAGATGAGTTTTCTCAAGAAGCATTTGAATTCCAGTATTTCCCGGAGATGCCAATGGTCGAACAAAAACCAATTCTCTCACAACAATCTCCACCACAAATTCCAACCGAAGAATTGGAGAAGAAATTGAACTCCACAATAAAAACAACAGTGGAAGAAGTGCTCGCCAAGTTCAGCACGAGTTTGCAGCGCGATATGCAAAAGCAATTCAAATCATTGTCTGCAAATTCAACACCAGTTCGAGTTCCACACACTTTACCGCCTCCACCACTTCCAACACAAACTCCACAACGTGCCGCACCTTCAAATCAACCAAATTCAGCGCCAGCCAACCGAAATCCCCAACAATATCGATTTGCTCCACCACAAATACCATCTCAACAAGCTGCACGCCCTTCTGCACCAACAGTTCTCCCAAAAGAGGAGATTATTGCAAATGGTATTAATTGTGCAAAATGCTCGCGAACACTAAAAGCAGGAGATATAACAACATTAGTGGATACTCTTCGAACTCACAGTTTGGAGCATTTTGAGCAAAAATGCAAACATTTCAAGCGATTCAAATGTCTTGAATGTCCACATATTCAAACGAATTTTGTGAAAGAAATGGAGGATCATTTGAAGAAGCACGGATGTTTGGAAAGAGTTCCAGATAAAAGAGCAAGACTTGTCCAACAAATTATGTGAGTTTCCTTTTTCTTTTATATATATCGGGAGGGGAGGTAATAAATAACAATGAAAATTTTGCAGGTCCCAAGACTACTTGGATTATTTGGCCGAAACTGCAAATGAGTGTTTTCCAGATGTTTTCGAATCAAATCCTCAACCACACTCTAGTATTGTGAGTTTTATTTCAAGTATTTTTTTCAATTTTTTTTTCAACATAAATTTTGCAGGGACCACATTTGACTCCACAACCATCATTCCGAAATGTTTTCCCGCATCTTCATAGAGACTTCTGCTCCAGATATGGTATCCGTGACACCAGAATGGTCACCAGACGAAACTCCAACCCAGCACAAGTAATCAATATTGACTGACTGGTTTTTTCTTTTTCATTAATAAAATTGTACTTTTCTTTCAAAGCTTTATTTTTATATATATTCAAATTTTGGGTTGAAAATCATTTACCATTCATATTTGACCTCAAAAAGTTTTCTAACAATTTAATTTTAGATGGAGTTTATGGCGAATAGTTTTAGACGAGCTGAATGGAGAATTCGGAAGATGCTGAATCTGAAAAGACAAACAATAGTTCCTGTGGTTTGGAATGAGCAATTATTTCGCAATTCGCATTTTCCAAGTAAAGAATTTCAAAGAACTCTAGATTCCGAAGCGAAAACGAAACTATCCCGAATCATCAAAGAATTCCAAATCATTTCAAGATTATCGATTAGATTTCCAAAACAAATTGATGACAAAGAATGGAAAATAATATTAGAATGTCAGACGAGGAAGCAAAGATTCGATCAAGTTCTATTTTTATATCAAGTTGAAAATTTGCGTGAAAAAGAGCGAGCGAAAAAGTCGGAAATGAGGGAAATCAACATCAACAAAACGAAAATGAATTATCCATATTCATTAGTTTATCGAAGTGTTTGGAATCAAAAGATTTATGAAGAATTGAAAAGTTTGAATACATATCGATTGAATAATAAACCAACAATCGCAATTGATTGCCAATTTCTAGCGAAATTATCACCAAGAGGACAACAATTAACAGCTTCGCAGCTACAATATCTTATCAAGGAGAATCGCGAGCTTCCAGAGCCATTGAAGTTATATTTTGTGAATTATTATGATTATCCGGAAGATCTTGAAAAGAAAAAATTGAGTGGGATAAATTCTTTGGAAAAAGTTAACCCGATAATATCATCAGATTCGTTTTCGAAGATTTTTCCGCTGGAGAAAATAGTTTATCTAAGTCCAGATGGAGAGGAAACATTGGAAAATGTGGAAGATGACAAGGTTTATATAATTGGTGGAATTGTTGATCGAGTATTTGAGAAAGGGATTGGGAAAACTGCATCGAAAGATGCGGCGATTCGAGAAAATGTGAAATATGCAAAATTGCCCATCGATAAATATATCGATTTCAAAAGTGGAAGCAAATTCTTAACGATTTTGGCTGTTGTGAATATTTTGAATGATGTGAATTGTCATGGTGATTGGGAAAAAGCTTTGCGAAAATGGATACCTGTTAGAAATGTGAAAAGTGTTGAGGAGAAGAATCGAAATGTATTGGAGAAATATCGAAGAATCAGGGAATTTAATCGACAAATTCTAGATATTGTTGATAGGAAAATCGGGAGAGATTGAAGTTTCAGGTGAATTTTAAAAATTTGAACACTTTTTTTTTGCAACAAAATGATAATTTTCAGATCTCACCTGCCTTCAAAATAGGATAAATTTAGATTTTTTTTAATTAATAAAGTTTTTTTTTTTTTGAAAAATATTGGGATTTTTGTTGAAATAGTTAGCCTGTTGTGATGCTCAGGTCGTATTTTAATTAATTTTTGAATTTTAGTTCTTACCCCGAGCCCCAAAGTTCGAAAAATCGAGAATATTTTGAATTTCAAAAAGTTAGCTCAAATTGAGCTTTTTTGAAAGCCCAATTAGGCCCTAAATGAATAAAAGCCTAATTAGGCCTAGATTTTCAAATGCTAAACCTAATACTGAATTTCTCGATGAGTCCATGAGTTTTTTCCAAGCCCGAGCCTCAAAAAAATTCACGATTTTTTCGAAATTCAGAGCTTTATCTTGGCTCACACACAGAGTGTAATATACTACCCGAAAAATTTCGCGCATTTTTTGAGACCTGACACGATATTAGGGGTGGGACTAAAATCGACGAAATTCAACGCAAAACGGAGAGATTTAGAGAAAAATTATTTTTGATCTACCCAAAAATTAATGAAAAATTTGAGGTCTAGCGATTTGAGGTAGTGAATTACACCCTGTGTCACACGCTTCAAAAGTTTATTAAATAAAATAATTTTCCAACAGATGATAGACGAAGAAGAACTCGAAAGAATTCTAATCTCTCAAAACTATTTGGTGAAGAAAAAATGGTTGAAAACATGTATCAAATATCTGCAATCATCGCTCACTATTCCAAAAAACCCCACAACTTTGCTGAATCTCATAATTCAACAATTTCTAAATTCCGACATTGGAGACGCCTATGAAGTTGCGATGAAAATACCGACACATGCCACAAAATTAATGTTGACGAGGAAGATGATTTTTCAAGTTTTGTCACATGTTCAAGTGTCGAATTCGATTTATGAACAATTTTCGGATGCGACGAGAGGAGAACGAGATTTGGCATGGTTTCATGGGCAAGAAGAGGTGCTAGAAAATGAGGTAAGACAGAAAATTGAAAAAAAAAATTCCACAAAAATCATTTATGATACAAAAATATTCCGAGTTTCTCGCTCATTTGGTAATTTGCGACATTTGCGAAGCACCCTCAAACTTCTCGCGGAATTTCTTCAACCCATTCTTCATCTCCTCGTTCTGCCCACTCGATTTCGCCTTGACCAACCAACACGAAGCCAAATAGATTGAATTGTATTGGGTGCGGCTGTCGACAGCCATTGGGCGTTGTTCGCGAATTGTTCGCACAATATCCTTGATGTTTGGAGTGATGCCTTTCAAGAATTGCGAGACAACAACGGCGGTGGTGAGAAGAGAAGAGTTGCGGCCAGATCCGCGAAAACTGACAATCGCTATTGCCTGCAACAATTTTTCTTCTTCTCACAAATTTCCAAATGTGAAAAAATCTTACACTTTTGTCCACATCAGTTTTCGCCATCGCAGTCGCCGCTTTAATCGGCGCATAAAACTTCTCAGGTCCTCCCTGTGCTTTCCAATAAGCATGCACATAGACAGTGCAAATCACCGAATTTGAGCAACCCTGTGGCAATAATTCAATGACATACGTGTCCATTTTTTCCTCCCCATTTTTGTCCGCTTTCCGTGTGTTGACAAAAAAGTCATTGGCGTAGAAATATCCATTGGCTTCTTGCGAAAACAATTTGGTGAAACCGCCACCTTCAATCTCTTTTGGCTGTGCAATCAGATGAACTTGTGAGCACTGTTCATTGAACACCATACGCCAGAAATTTTCAACACAATCAATTTGGTCGACTAACGGCATTTGGACAAGAAGGGCAGTGCGATCGAACTGAAAATATTCGGTTCTGTTTCTAGATTTTGAAGGAAATGAAGGTTTTCTAGTAGTTTTCGACCCGGTCTATAGTTGGACATCGACTAAATGACATTTTCATGTTTTTTAAGCAAATGAGTTGAAATATTGGGTTCTAATTTTATTCATATGATAGAATGGTCTAAGACGAACAGAATGATACAAATTTTGATGACTTTAGGTTACTCATAAGTGATTTAGCGACGTTTAGTCGATTACCTCGGCTTATCATTAGTTATGACGTGGCAAAGTTTGACTTCAGATTTTCATGAAAGTCCTTTTGAATACGAATTCTGACCCTCCTCCAACTTTGCCACGTCATAGCTCATGTTAGAAGTTGAGATTTGAAATTTTAGACTTTGCAATAGAAAACAGTTTCCTTGTGACACAATTGCGGGGAGCCTGACCAATATTTGGTCATTTTTTGACCAAAACACGAATTGGTGCATTTTTAGTCAATTGTGTTATCCAAACTCACATTCGGCACAGTAACCCGCGACGCGTTGATATAATCCGATTTGCCCAAATGAACAACAATTCGATTACCATCTAGACATCGATAATCCGGATATGGGCGGTTTCGTGTGGCATTCGCTTGCCATATTTTACTCTGATCAAACGGAGTCACAATTTTGCGAATCTCCTCATATTCCGCTGTCAAATTGGCCGTCTCCAGCCCTCGCGTCCAAATCTTCGCCGCCTCTTCTCCAGCCCATTTTCCCTTCTTGCTCCCCTTTCCTTTGTTGGATCCAACCGTATTGTTGTTCATCACCGATGTTTCTTGTTTGGTGTGCTCGATGGATGTGTTGGATGTTTTGTTGGACATCTGACTCTTGGTATTGTTGGCCGCCGATGATTTCTTTTTGGTCTTCTTGATCGATCCTTGCGTCTTTGATGCCTTCTTTTGCACCTTCTTCGAACCCACTCGCGACTTCTCCTCCTTTTTCTTCGATGAACGCGTATTTTTTCTGGAAACAGAAAGGAGATGCTGGATTTGTCCTTCCCGGTGCAAACTTACTTCATGTTTCAAAATTCAGAGATAATCCCTAGTTTTATCACTATTCAAACTGAAGAAACTGGCGTCGAGCAGTATTTTTATACCCATTTTTGTAGCGTTGGAAAAAAAATAGAAAAAATAGGGACACGCGGAAAAAAAAATTTCAAATTTTATTTTATTTTTGCAGAGAGAAGATGAACCCGAACCAAAAACGAGAAAACGTGGAATGATAAAAGTGGAATTGAGCGATGGTATCAATCATATTCATGCGATTGAAATTTGTGAGCCAATCTTCGACCTCGAATCAATTGTTCCCGGAATGAAGATAATTCTCATCGACAAAGTTCGATGTAGACGAGGAATTCTTTTACTAGACTCTAGTAATTGTCAGATTCTTGGCGGACAAGTTGAACAACACAATTATTTGCCGGTGGAAAAAATGGCGAAAATGTTGAAGATTGATTTGGATGCGGAGACGAAGAGGAAAACGTATGAACCAATTTTTTCCCCCAAGAAAAATTTATATTTTCGCCCCCTAATTTCAGATTGGCCAACGAAAAAGCGGCTGAAATTCGGAAAACTAGAAAAGTGAAACAAGTTTTGACACAATCTACAATCTCACCATTTTTGGTCAAAAAGAATCGGAAAGAACCCGAAACGGATGATTTTGATTTGGTTGGTGTTACTCCGATGGAAGTTTCGAATATCACATTGGCAGCTGAAAAGGAGGAGGGTGATGATGTTATTTTCACACCACTTCCTGTTGAGAAATTGCCAACTAATACTATGCAAAGGAAAGGTGAGACAGGTAATTTTCAGCCATTTTTCATGAATTTGGAATCGAAATTTCATGATTTTCAGCCCGAAATTCATAATTTTCAGCCTGAAATTCATTTTAGCTGGAAATTCACATTTTTCAGCTTAAAATTGATGATTTTCAGCCATTTATATTACAAATATTTTTTTCCAGAACCCGAATCGATAAAAAACAATAATTTCGATGATGTTATTTTCACACCACTTCCTGTTGAGAAATTGCCAACTAAGACTATGCAAAGGAAAGGTGAGACTGGCAATTTTCAGCAATTTTTCACGAATTTGGAATCGAAATTATCGAAATTTAATGATTTTCAGCCTGAAATTCATAATTTTAGCTGGAAATTCATAATTTTCAGCTTAAAATTTGTGATTTTCAGCCTGAAAACTCATGATTTTCAGCCATTTATATTACAAATAATTTTTTCAGAACCCGAATCTATAAAAAACAATAATTCCGATGTTATTTTCACACCGCTTCCTGTTCAGAAATTGCCGACTAAGAATTTGCAAAGGAAAGGTGAGACTGGCAATTTTTAGGCTGAAATTCATAATGTTCACCTGAAAATCCATGATTTTCAGTCATTTATACTTCAAATAATTTTTTCAGAACCCGAATCGATAAAAAACAACTTTGATGATGTTATTTTCACTCCACTTCAAGTCGAAAAAAATCCGCAAAAAGGTAAAATAAAGATTTCACGTGAAAACGTGTATTTAAATTGTTTTTCATTTCTAATTTTTATTTTTAGATTCAAGACCTCAAAATGACTTGAATTTCAATGTTTTCTCAAAACCACCTAGAATTCAAGAAGAGCCAATTCCTAAACGACCTCCGATGACAACAAATGTATCGATTGCTGAAATCAATGAGAAAAAAACCGATTTTTCCAAACTAGATTTCAGAAAATCGGAAGATTTCAACGTTTTTCCGAATCGAAAACCAAAAATGCTGACTCGACAATTATTGGAGGATTCTGAGCCACGCCTTAAACCTCCACAAAAAGAGCCGGAAATTGAGATTTATGAGCCGGGAAAATTGCGAAATCTATTGCCGAATGATCGAATTTCGTGGCAGCCGGAGAGTGTGAAAAATGAATTTGAGGATTATGAATCGAGAATTTTACCGCCTGGATTTGAGAAAGCTGTGAGTTAGAGGGTTTTCAATATGTGAAATGTTATAAAAAATTTTTAGTCGACGCTGAATCGAACAAAGAATGGAGGAGGAGGAGGGGAATTCGAGGATACGCGAAGGAAAATTGTAGACAAGTTTTCGAGAAATATTCATGGACCTAGAAATGCGGCGACAAAACGGGTTTTGTTAGTTTTCAAATTTTAAATTTTCAGAAATTCTGAATCAGAATCAAATTAAATTCAAAAAAAATACTCAAAAACCAACCCTCTAGAAATTCCACAAATTCTGTTTTTTTTCCAGACCTCAAAAAAGACAATTCAAAAATCGTCACCGAATTTTTCAAATCCGTCAAACATTTGAAACAATCGGAAGAGGAATTCAATAATAAATCGAGAAAAATTGAAATTGTTGCTCCAACTCAAATCACACTTCAAAATCAAGATGATCAAATTATCGAAGATGAAGAAGAAGAGGAGGAAATTCAAGAGGAACCAATTATTGATCGAAGAAATTTGGGGAACCCGATGAATAATACAATTGAATTGGATGGAATGAAAGAATGTCGAAGATGGAAAATCGGAGGATATGAGAGTCCTGCACAAAACATCGAGACAAATGATATTCTACCAACTTGGAACCCGGATGTTTTGACATATAAATTCACGGAATATCAACCGAGTTCTTCTAACCAACCAGTGAAAATTGAGCCATCATTTACAGCTCCAAAGAAAAATAAGAAGAATAATTTGGTGCACAAACCGATTGCTCGATTGTCGGAAAATGTTCAAATCTATCGAACACCGTTGGTTAAACGAGTTCCGAGTGCCGAGAATTCGGCAATATATACGGAGGAATTGTGTAAAAGATTGGCGAATTTGAATATTGTGCCGTTGCGAGATGCGTTGGAAACTAGAAAATATTGGATGATGTCGAAAATTGTTGTGATTATGGTGAGGATTTTTTTGACATATTGAAATTCTTTGGCAAAAATCGAAAAATTTTGAACTTAGCTTAACTCAAATTTAAATGGGACAAATCAGATACAGATTTTCCTGGCTAATTTTCGAAACATTTTGAACTTAGTCTAATTCTGATTCAAATTTGGTAAAGATACAGATTTTCCTTGTTTTTCTAACTTTCAAATATATATGAGTTTTCTAATAAACACTGTACACAACTCAAATTTCAATCTATGGTCACGTGCCCGGAAAAAATTTCAGAAATCGGAGAACCGGTTTTTTGAAATAAAAGTAAAGACTACAAATTTATACGATTTTGTTAGTCCGAGAAAATGTTTACTTTACGAAAAAATCAGTATTTCTTCAATCAATCATGCCAGTCGCTGAATACATCAGCAATTGCTTGATTATTGGCATCGAATGAAACATGAGTCTGATAATATTTGACGAGTTGATTCAATGACCAATGTTTGCGAACATTTGCTCTTCCATAATCGACAAAATATTGCACTTCTCCACCGCTCGAAGAATTTGTTCGAATTGGATAATGCTTGAATTGATTCGCTGATGTTCTATAAACCAATATCAAAGGCAATGCATCAGAAATAGTTGCCAATTTGGCGGTTTTCGAGAAATGATGATAAATAGCAAATTCAGTGATATTGGCAACTTGTTGCTCGGCTTGTGAACGTGTCATTACACCGAGATAAACGCTTGCTGCACATGATTTGAAATTGGAATCATCGGTGACTTTCGAAAATGTCGTTGTTTGATCTTTTTCAGTTCCAAGCATGATATGATCTGTTGGATTAATGTACGGTTTCCGATATTGAGGCTGAGCCGGAGGCGGTGGCAATTGTTGAAGCGATTCAAGACTGACAGCTTCACATTTTCTTGATGCTCTTTCATCAGCTGCCAACTTATGCAATTTTTTGGTCAATTGTGATACCATTTTAGATTCAGCGGTTGGTGCCATCAAATTCACATATTGCTCATCTTCCTGTTTTTCAGTTGCAGCTGCTGCATCAGCTAAATTCGCTTTACCCATGACACACTGAACTCCATGAAGACAACAACAGAGTTCATCGGCTTTGGGTGCATTTTTCTGAAATACAAGAGTTCTATATCAGTTTGAATCTGATGAACTCACCGTAATCGGTTCATAGATACTATTGTATGGAGTTTTAGTTGAACGCGAGTTCATTCTTCCCAAAACCGTTCGATTATCTCAAAAAATATGAGCGAAACTCGCGGAAAACCCCAATTTATAGGCAAAATCTGGGGGTCACCTGGATTACGTGGATTTTTCACGTCGAGAAATTTTTGTGCCTGTGTTTTTTTTTTGTAGATAGAGAATCCCGAATCGGGATGACCTGATTTCTCTTATAACGTTAGAGCATTTTGGGTGATTTCACACTTCAAACACTTTTTGAGCTTTCAGAGTGATTTTGAGCAAAAAGTTTGTTTTGGGAAAATAATACACAAAATGAATTTAAATTCTGAAAATTTTAAAGAACATAATTGGAAGTAACATATTCTAACCCACAAGAGAAAATTATAAAAATCAGTGAAATTTTTTCGATGAAAGATTCGAAAAAAAACCTTCAATTAAAAAAAAATTTACCCACCTACAAAATTTTTTTCAGCCAACATTTTGTCGACAAATGTATGAATTGCAATCGGATGGAGTTGACTGGAATTTAAAGGTAACTTTTTGATCTCAGGTATCTCTTCCAAACTCATGTGCTCACTTTCAGATGCAAGTCAGTGATACATCAGTGAGCAATGTAATTTGCTTGGTTTCAACTGATCTTCTTGATCGAATCTTTGGTTTCACAGTTTCTCAATGCAAAAAACTTTTTGATGAATCGAAGATTGAAATTTTGCGACAAAAGAAAATGGAGGCGGAACGGAAATTGGCCGGATTTCGACGACTCGATCTAATAATGTCTATTGAAATATCACCACAAAATGATAAAATTCCGCTGATTATTGATGTCAAAACGATTTCAGATGCTTTAAATGTCTTGTAAATTTTCTTTTTTTTTCTTGATTTCTCCTGTATTTCAAATCTCTCATGTGAATATTGTATTGCTTGTTTGTTTGTTTTTAATAAATAAAAATAATTTATTTTTATCCTTAACCTTTTAATTGTTTCAATTGATCAATGCATTTATTTTCTTGGCAAATGAATTGTTCGCCGCAATCGCGAATCGCTAAAGTGCAGAATCTTTCGGCGACTCGCACGCAGTTTCCACCTTCGCATGATTCGCCAAGTTGGCAGATTTTGCGCGAACAGTCTGGAAATTTGAAATTAGCTCAGATTTTTCTGGCTAAAATTCGAAAAAATTCAAACTTAGCCTGATTCGAAATTTAATTTCATAAAGATACAAATTTTTCTGATTTTTAAAAAATTTCTTTGAAATTTTTCGACAAAAAATTTAAAATTTTGAAATTAGCTCAGATTTTTCTGGCTAAAATTCGAAAAATTCAAACTTAGCCTATTTCAAATTTAAATTTTATATAAAGATACAGATTTTTCTGATTTTCAAAAAAAATTTAATAAAAATTCAGAAGATTACGAAATACTGAAATTTTCTGGAAAAAAAATTTAAAAATTTTAAACTTACCAGAAGGGCTCCGCCGGCTAACGCCGGCTCCTCCTTCTGGATTGTCCCGGCTTCGCGCGTAGTTTTCTTTAGGTGTAAACAGAAACATGTTTCGTCTTAAAATACGACAGAGTTGTAGTTTTTGAAAAGTTGGAAAAGATTCTCTCAACAAAAACCGAAATTTTGATTTTCGTTGAATTCTTTCTCCGCTAGGTATGACTTTTAAAATTTCTGAAGAAAATTGACAACAATGGTTTTAAAAAATGTGCGAAATAATTTCTTGATTTTATAAAGAGGTTAATCCAAATTTTCTACGTCTCAAAAACTAAAGGACAATTAGTTTTTGAGACGTAGAATTTTTTTGAAAAAACTCGGGCCGATTTTTTTTTGAAAAAAACTCGGGCCGATTTTTTTTGAAAAAACTCGGGCCGATTTTTTGAAAAAACTCGGGCCGATTTTTTTTGAAAAAAACTCGGGCCGATTTTTCTTTCATCCAACGAAAAAACTCGGGCCGATTTTTTTTTGCCACGAGTCTATTTTTGATCAAAAAAGAAATTTTGAATGAATTCGATTTCCACAGAAAATTGAAAATAATCATAGAAAAAAACGGAACTGAAATAAATAAGAAGACTGTTACGCCTGGGGGCTAACAGCCCCTAGTTCCATCTGAAATTTTCAGAGCCGTGGAAGATAAAACCAAAGTACAGTAACCTCCGGTGCCCTGTGATTATTTTCATTGAAAAAGGAAACGCTTGATTTTCTCGGTCATATCGATTCTCTTCCAAGGCTCACAAAATTTTGGATTGATAATAATTGTTTGGGCTTAACTATATTGGGATTCCCAAACATATCAAAACTCACTATCAAACATTCACATTAAAGTATTTGTTTTTCTTCTTGTAAAAGAAATTATCCAATATCTGAAAGTTCGAACAAATTATAAATTTTTCTAACTCACTGTTTCTCTATTTATTTTTCAAACCGATTAGGAGTAGAGTAATAGCGAGAAATGATTAAAAATGTCCCGCTATGACTGAGCAATAAAAAGATCAGATAAGAGACGTGACCTAGCCATTTTTTCTGATTAAAAACGTGCTCATTCTTTTTAGCATGAAAAAAGTTTTGATTTTTCACGTGAAAACTCGCGCAGTTCTTGAAAAACCGAATATTAGCGCCTCGATGGGAAAGAATTTGGGATAGAATGGTGAAGGTCCCATCAAAAATGGCCTTCTGAAAGTTGAGAAAAGTCTTGCGACACATTTTTAAATCGAAAAATACATTGGAGTTTTCAAACTTTTTGTGCTCCGCGCACCCCGAGCAAAGTTAATCAAAAACAGATGGTGTGTGCACCAAGGTGCCAAAATTTGCAAACTTTTCATTTTTTGATCATCAATTTTCATGAACGTTGAAGACCTGAACGGGGCCTGGACAAACTATTCAGTTTCCAATTAGTATATAGTAGAAGTAGAGGTATATAGTAGATAATATTGTCAATTCGAAAATCCAAAAGTCGTAGAAGAGAAAATAAAATATACAGTAGACTTCGCGGTTGTTTTTTGATTTTTTGTGATTTCGAATTAGAAAAATTAATTTTTATTTTATCTTCTCAGTTTTTAAACCGAAACAATTTTTTTATAAATTGTTACCATTTTTTAAAATGAAAAATTTTCCCGCATACTTTTTGGTCTCTTAAAATTAAAATTCAATTTTTTAGGAAGTTGTCATTTCTGATGCTAATGTAGAAGAGCTTCGCTGGCTAACGCCATCTACAGTAGTTTGACTTACTTTCGATTTATTTTCCGGTTAGGTAAAGAGAAACATTGAGAAATGCCCAGAAATTGTTCGCTTTTTTCAGAAAACAGAAAGATCAGATAAGAAACGTGTCCTTTAATTTTTTTGGAATAAAAACGTGATCATTCTTTTTTACATGAAAAAAGTTTTGATTTTTTACGTGAAAACTCGCGCATTTTTTGAAAACTCGAATATTAGCGCCTCGATAGGAAAGAATTTGGGATAGAATGGTGAAGGTCCCATCAAAAATGGTCTTCTGGAAATTGAGAAAAGTCGAGCGACACATTTTAAAATCGAAAAATACATTGGAGTTTTCAAACTTTTGATTCTCCGCGCACTCACAGACATTTTGAGAAAGAATGAATAGGAAGCGCATCGAGCTGCCAACATTTAGAAACTTTTTCTTTTTTTGATCATCATTTTTTATGCGCACAGTTTTGAGAACGGGATCCGGACACACTATTGCCGAAAAAAATTTTCCCAATTAGTATATTTTATTAAACTTATGGGCCTATGCAGAATAATATTTTGTAATAAAAAAACATTTTTTTCCTATGCAGAAAAACGTCGAAAAAACAAAATATACAGTTTATTATTTTGAGTAGAGACAACGTGAAATTGAGAGAGTGCAGACAAAAAACCCATTTTATGTCTGCGCTCTCTCAATTTCACGTTGTCTTTATTTTGTTTTTTCGACGTTTTTCTGCATAGGAAAAAAATGTTTTTAAATGTTTTTTTATTACAAAATATTATTCTGCATAGGCCCATTAGCCTAATTCGAATTTGAACTTCATAAAGATTTTCCTGGTTTTCAAAATCAAAAATGTTTTCTATAGTTTTTTTTAGCTCAAAAATCCTGATCAATTTTTGATAAAAATTCAGAAGATTACATAATACTGAAATTTTCTGACATAAAATTTTAAAAATTTAAACTTAGCTTAACTCAAATTTAAATGGGACGAAGACAGATTTTTCTGGCTAAAATTCGAAAAAATTTTGAACTTAGCCTAATTCCAAATTAAATTTTTTAAAGAAAGATTTTCCTGGTTTTCAAAGTCAAAAAAATTCGATTTTTTTAGCTCAAAAAATCCTGCAATTTTCGATAAAAATTCAGAAGATTTGGACACATTTAAATTTTCCTGAAAATGTTTGAACTTTGTCTAACTAAAGTACAAAATTGATGATTTTTCCAACTCAAATTAAACCCCAAATTTCACTCACCATTCCTTCTACATCTTCCATCAACACATTCAAATGGATGTCGACATTCTCCAACACACGGCAATCCTTCCATAATTCGACATTCACCCAAACGACAATCTTGATCATGTGGACATCTTCCGGGACACGCATTCGCTACACAAAAACCATTTACACAAACCGTTCCACCGTGACACGTGTCATCTTGACATTGTTTTCCAATTGCACTCAGACATTGTCCCTCGACGCAATACGTTCCAGGTTCGCAATAAATTGAGGTGCATTCTGAAAACATTCTGAAGGAAAATGCCACGTCATAGCTCAAAACCCACGTGTATTCGGATAGCATTGACCGTGATGGCAAATCTCGTGTGGTTGACAATTACAAATTGGCTCCTGCGCTTTTTGTTGACATTTATTCGCCTGACAAATCATTGCGGGTCCACAATCCGCGTGGCCAATGCAAAATGTATCGAGAATTTTTTCGCATTTACCATCGCGACAAATCGAACCGTCTTCGCAAGAAATTCCATAACATCCTGATTTAAAATATGGGTTTTTTTCGAATTTCTTTCAAAAAACCCACTGTCTAAAACACATTGCCCATTAACACATTTTCCTTTCTTTCCACAATCCGAAACAATACTCCGTGCATTTTCGGGACTTACAAGAACATGTCGATTACATTTCACTATATTTATCGGATAACATTTGCCTTCCGAACAAACATGACCTTCTGAACATTCGATTTCGAATGAGCAAGACGTTGATGGCGATTTATTCCGTCCTATACATTGTTTATCTTCGCATGAATAACCGACGGGACATTCAAATTCTCCGAAAACTGGTGGACATCTAAATAACATTTGAAAACGTGCAAATATTACAAGGAAATTGGATACCTTTCACAATTAACTGAAAATACCGTGACAATAAAAATCAAAATCAAAACGCGCATATTCATCAAGCTAGTACTATCTTTATCTTTTGATTTGACCTCTTTTATTCTTTATCATTATGATTCATAAACCGGTTGCTTTGTATTCAAAAAACTTTGAAAAAACTATGAAATTTAAATATTATTATTATTATATATTTTTCGCGAACAAAACACTATCTACACCTTGTTGGTCAGTGCAAATAAAAATATTATTTGCTTTCTAAATGTACGTTTTGCCATTTTTCCGCGGTTTCTTCTCATGAATTTTTATTTTGATTTGAAAAATTCCAAAAAAATAAAAATAAAAATTAGAGAGTATTAGGAAATAGGAGGGTGCAGCATGCAAATTATCCATGGAGCGCGTTTGGCGCGCGCGCCAAACTTACCCATTCAAAAATGTACTTTCATTTTATTTTTTTTTCATTTTTGAAAAAAAAACTGTTTTTTTGCAGGTTCTACTTGTATTAACTAACAAATTCTACTCGAATGCTTTATGAATATAATTCAGTGTATGAAGGTTGGTTTTTTCTCAAAACATTTTTGCTTGTTCGGTTCGCAAACAGAACAGAGCCATTTCCTTTTTGCCCCAGCCGACACAATGAGAAAAAAATCTGGTCTTAGACCATCTCGCATTGTTTTTTTCTATATTTTCCCGGATTCTTTCAAAACTACTTCATATTATTATTATTATTATGAATTGAGTTATTTAAACAAGTGTTTTTGTTTTTTGATGACATAAAAATGTATTTGTTCTTTTTTCTTACATAAACATTTTGAGAAGAATGAATGTTTACTAAAAATAACCAAGTGAAAGTTTCGGGTTTGAATTTGAATTTGAATTTAAATTTAGGATATGGCCGGCGGGCGGAAAATTTCGCTTTTATGGATTATCTCCGGCCATCCGTTTCCTTTCTTCTTCTCAATTTAACCTCATTTTTGCAACAACTTTTATCTTGATAGGCTATTTTGATCAAAGCATTTGATGAATTTTCCATAAAATAATTTAATTTTGTTCAAAAATCTGCTGTCCTTGAAAACCCATTTTCTCTTCTTTTTCTCCCTCTTTTTTTCCTTTTTTCCTTTTTTTCATTGTTGAAAATTTGAAATTCCTCCAAATTTCAATAAGTATCCCACAGAGTTCTTCTCCTGCTCTTTGTGTCATTTTTATGAATAAAACATTGAAAAAGTATTGTTTTCAATGGATATTTGTTCAGGTGACTTTAGATATGGGCAAAATTGGATTTTTCCTTCTGGAGTCTGGAGAAATTGCGAAATTCTCGCGCATCAAAAAAAAATCTATTTTTGTTTTCCTTGCCATTGACTCATTTTTTGTTCTAAAGAATGTTTTTTTTCTGAAACAAGAACAAAAATAAAAGAAAATTTGTCATTTTTTTTTGTTGAAAAGAATTCCGCCTAACCAATAAAATTATCAATAAATCCAAATCTATATTATATATCAATTAAAAAATGTGTCAATTATTACAACAACAAAAACTGTTTTCTTTTCCTTTTTCCCTTTTTTCTCCCCCCGCGCCCAAATAAAAATATTTTCCCTTTTTTCATCATTAGAAACATCGTTCATTCATTTTTCTACAGATCATTTGATGATCGCACAACTCAAAAAGAGTTTACAACAAAATGGACAATTTGAGAAGAAGAATGTGGAAAAGGCGCATGCTGAAACATCGTTGAAAGATCGATTGAAGTTGTTGAGTGATGTGGGTTGTTTTTTGAGTCTTGAAAATTTGAAATTAGGATTTTTGGCGCGCTAAACTCGAGGCCTTTTTAAAAGGTACTAATTTTTTCAACAAAAAATTTTCACCCCGAAAATTATTATATTTTTGAGAGAAAACTCTGAATCCAAACATTATTACTGTGGATTTTTTAGCACCAAGTTTTGTAAATTCCGCAATTTATAATGCATCGTCCAAAGTGAAAAAAAAATGCGAAAAATCAAAAAAAAACGTCCAAACTGACGCATTTTTTTTCGCAGAAATCGCATTTTTTCGAGCACTTTTTTCGCGTTTTCTGGTGTTTTTCGAGCCAAAATGGACAGAAATTGAAATAATTTGTCTCAAATGGTGTTTTTATTGATAATGGAGGAAAAATCAATGGTGAAACATTAAAAAAAACGATTTTGAAAATTTCAAATTTTTTCGACTTTTTCGACATTTTTTCGACAAACTCATTTTTCATGTTTCACCGCTGATTTTTCCTCCATTATCAATAAAAACACCATTTGAGACAAATTCTTTCAATTTCTGTCCATTTTGGCTCGAAAAACACCAGAAAACGCGAAAAAAGTGCTCGAAAAAATGCGATTTCTGCGAAAAAAAATGCGTCAGTTTGGACGTTTTTTTTTTTATTTTTCGCATTTTTTTTCACTTTGGACGATGCATAAAATCAATTTGTTTCCACATCAACTATGACGTGGAAAAATTCCAAAACATTTTCTTTATTTTGAGAAAAATTCTCATAAATTTTTGTTTCCAGAGCGCAAATTTATGGCAACAACGCGCCCCGCCAAAACGATCCACAAAACTACTAACAAATGAACCCACCACAATTCAAGCGAAAATTGAAAGACCTAGGGAGAAATGTGAGTACTTCTTTCTCAATTTTTCCACAATCAAAAAAAAACGTTTCAGCTTGTGATATATCGAATGGTTTGAACAAGTTCTTCGGGCCAACCTCATCAAATCCCTCTTCATCAACAACAATCGCAGCAGATGATATAGATCTTGATGCGATTTTAGTATCAACAGCTCCAAAATTAACAGCTCCGAGAAAAGCGAGAGCTCCGAATAGGAAATCAGCAGCTTCTTCTCAACAAGATGAACGAATTCGACTTGAGACTGTGAAAATTGATGAGGAAAAATTCGGAGAAGATAATGAGGAAGAACCCGAAAAACTGGAGACGCAGGCTCAAGCGATTGCTGCGTTGAAAAATGCCAAACAATTGCTAAAAAGCCCCACAAAAAAATCAATATTCCCTGATGTTATGCTTGTACAAATTAAAGGCGCAAAACATACAGATGTTCGAATTGTTTCGCCTTCAATTCATTCGATTCATGAAAATGCTTGCTTTGTTGTTATAACTCATAGAAGTCTCATAAAATATGAAGGAGCGAATTCGAATATTTTGGAGAAAACCAAAGCTTCACAATTATGTATTGAGATTATTGGAAAAACTGATTTGAATTGCGTTGCGGATAGTTTTTCAACAATTGATCAAGTTCAAAAATCACAATTACTCAAATTCCTTTCAAATACCAGACAACCCGAAGAAAACAACAACAACAATTCGAATTTCGGCGAAGTTTCGAAAGAGTCATTTGAGGTGACGATTTCGGCTAAATTAAATCTGGTGTTTCGAATTGCGGACGATCGAACGGCGCAAACAGTTTCGAGACGTGAAAAGGTTTCTTACTCGATGTTGCAACCTGATGAGACTTTGATTTTTGATTTTGGATCCGAGATTTATGTTTGGTCTGGGAGGAATTCGACGAAAATTGATACGGCCTATGCGGTTGAATATGCTAAACAATTGGTGGGTTGGGGAGAGAAATTGGGATTTCAAAAAAAAATTAAAACTAAATCCTGATCTTGAGCTCAAATCGGCTTATCTTTCACATCACATTCTTAAATCTTTTCAAAATCAATATAATTTTTTCGAAAAAGCAGAAATTGAATGACAAAATCATTACTTCGTGAGTCGCGGTTTTGTTTCCCGGTTTTCATTTTTAAGACAGACACATTTTTCAACTTCAAAAAATCTTATAAATATTGTGAAACGTAGAATTTCCATTTTCGTTGCAGCTCAACAAAAAAGTGAAAAATGGTCGAAATTTGATTGGCGATTTCGAAGAGAGCAACGGAGAAAAACGACCAGATTGGACACTTTTCCGCAAATTGCATCAAGGTGTTTTGGACAGTCTTTTCAAGTCGAAATTCTACGATTGGCCAGATAAAGAGATTATGAACACCTGTCGACCAAAACCATTGTTTGCACCGGTTTGTTGTTGATTTTTTTTGGCGTTGGGAATTATTTTTGTTCAAAATTTAGAGAAAAAACACATTTTTTTCGAAATTCATTAAAAATAGTATATTTATTGGAAATTTTCCAAAAAAAAATTAGGTCTAAAAATAAATTTAAAAAAAATAATTTGAAGTTTCAGTTTTGTTGAAATTTAGGCTCATAAGTTCAAATCAATCACATATTTCTTTTTTTTTTTCCAGAAAAAACCGAATAAATTTGGAGAATATAAAGTGAAAATGAGCGAAGATGAAGAAATTGATGGATTAGTTCAACGAATGATTGAAGAACAACCAATCGAACCAATTTTGATTCTAGAAGATCAAGAAATCGATCGAAAAATGCACGATGTGATAACAGAAGATCTAGATTTATGGATTCTTGGAGGAGAAATCCTGAAAAATATTGAATTTTCGAATGTCTTCGATTCAACTCGTTGTTATGTGCTTCGATGGAAATATCGAATTCAAAAATCGGGAGTGAGAAGAATAAAAACGGGTGTTGAAGAAGAGCGCGAAACTGGAAGATCGAGAATAGCATTTTTTTATTGGTTGGGTGAACGAACAACACCCAAACAACATGGATTGTGTGCATTGAGAATTAAGGATATTGATAAGGATAATAGTCCGAGAATACGTGTTGTTCAGGGAAATGAGCCGGCGCTGTTTTTGGCACTTTTTGATGGCACATTTTTGGTTAGGTGAGGTTTTTGGTGCACAATAATCCACTTATTTTTTGCTTATTATGAGCACTTTTGAAAATATTCAAATATTGATGATTGAAACTCAAGAAAAATGAAGATATATGTGACCGAACTATTTTGGTGGCCGAGAAATGTCGGGAGTTCGGCCACGGCAACATTTATCAATATTTGAAAATTTTTGAAAGTGCTCATAATCTCGGAAACATCCAATTTTTATCTTATGAAAAATCTGAAATTTTCCATGCAAAAAGTTATTATAGCTGATGATATTTCATTTTTACTGATTTTGAGCCTTTTTGATTTTTCCGGAAAACGTTTTTTTTTAGTGTCAAAAGTTCAATTTTCTTGAATACACCTGAAGTTTCAGCTTGAATTTTCCCCTAAAATTCAAAAAATCCCAACAAATATTTTTCAGATGCGATCCTTCAATCCAAAAACCAATTCAAACTTTCGTTGTTACGGGCGCAAATTCGAGTGAAACTAGTCTTCGAGAAATCGACGAATCCGAGCCGAAACTTCGATCACACGCTGCTTATATTCGAAAAACGACGAAAAATGGCGAGATTTCGGTGTTGTGCGGTGCGAATTGCAAAGAAGCACAAGTGAAACTGGTTTTGGCGCATGCCGAACATTTGAAGGTATTGTTTTGCAATTTTAAAATTTTATTGGAAAAACTTATTAAAAAAAATAGCCTGCCAGAATTGTTTTTTTAATGAGAAAAAGCTATGGCGTGGCAATTTTTTGTTGAAAAAAATGAAATAATTTTTTCGCTGATACAAAAGTTATAGGAATTCCTGAAACTACAAAAATAGCCCACCATAATTTTTTAAAAAATTAGAAAAGCTATGACGTGGAAAATTTATATTTTTTCAAAAAATATTGATTAACTTTTTGTATTGTCATTCCGAAAAAATAAGAACCTTGGAAGAGAACCGACATGGCCTAGGAAACCAAGACCACAGTAGACTTCGCAAAATTTTGGAGTCTATTTGACAAATAAAATGCGAAATTTACACGTTGGCTATTTGCCAACCAGTTTGATGTGCATGTGTCACGTCATTTTTAGTCTACTGTACGTGAGCGCCAATTCAAACGGGGGTTCTTTTATTTGCGGAATGACAATAGTTTAAAAATTCATAGGAACAACTACATGACGTGGCGATTTTTTTTGTCGAAAAAAATTAAATAATTTTTTCGCTGATACAAAAGTTATAGGAATGTTCAGAATTACAAAAATAGCCTACCAGAAAATAGAAAAAGCTATGACGTGGCAATTTTTTTGTTCAAATAATATTAATCAATTTTTTCGCTGATACAAAAGTTATAGGAATTCCCAGAATTACAAAAATAGCCTACCATAATTTTTTAAAGAACTAGAAAAGCTATGACGTGGCAATTTTTTTGTTGAAAAAAAGTTAAATTTTTTTTGCTAATACAAAAGTTGTAGGAATTCCTGAAACTACAAAAATAGCCCACCATAATTTTTTAAAAAAATTAGAAAAGCTATGACGTGGCAAGTTTGTTCAAATAAAATTAATCAATTTTTTTCTCTGATACAAAAGTTGTAGGAATTCATAAAACTACAAAAAAGTCTACCAGAAACTAGAAAAATCAATGACGTGGCAAATTTGTTCAAATAATATTAATTAATTTTTTGCTATGATACAAAAGTTATAGGAATTCCTGAAACTACAAAAATAGCCCACCATATTTTTTTAAAAAATTAGAAAAGCTATGACGTGGCTAATTTGTTCAAATAAAATTAATCAATTTTTTTCTCTGATACAAAAGTTATAGGAATTCCTAAAACTACAAAAAAGTCTACCAGAAAAAAGAAAAAGCTATGACGTGGCAAATTTGTTCAAATAATATTAATTAATTTTTTGCTATGATACAAAAGTTATAGGAATTCCTGAAACTACAAAAATAGCCCACCATAATTTTTTAAAAAATTAGAAAAGCTATGACGTGGCTAATTTGTTCAAATAAAATTAATCAATTTTTTTCTCTGATACAAAAGTTATAGGAATTCCTAAAACTACAAAAAAGTCTACCAGAAAAAAGAAAAAGCTATGACGTGGCAATTTTTTTGTTGAAATTTTGTTGAAAATTGAATTTTTTTTTCGCTGATTCAAAATTTTGAAAATAATTGCAGCCCTCCTCATCATTCCAACCAAAAATTGAAATCGAAGGAGATTCGGAAAATCATAAATGGATAAATTCGAAAGGTCGAAAACATGCGATGAAAGTTTGGAGATTATTCGAAAACGAAATCGAACAACTCAATCATTTGGCATATCATCCAGATTGCTCATTCACATTTACCCAGATTATTTTGACGGATACGATTTTGATTGATGTTGGAGAGAAATTGTGGATCTGGTCTGAAGAAGTTGTCACAACGTTTGCATTGAAATTAGCCGATAAATTCTGGAAGTCTCGAAATGGAGAAGCGATTTGTGTTGGTAAAGGAGAAGAGCCGGAAGAATTCAAAGCGCTCTTCTTGAAATGGGATGATTTTGAAGAGGAGGAGAAGACGAGCGAGCCGAGAGTTTTGCAAACGCTTTTGGCTGAAAGATGTCGATCTTTTAGTATCGAAGAATTGAGGGCGAGAGAGAATCTACCGGCGGGTATGGATTTGAGAAGATTGGAGAATTATTTGACGGATGAGGATTTTTTGAAGACTTTTGCTATGAATCGCAAACAGTTTTATGAGCAAAAAGATTGGAAACAAAATGAATCGCGCAAAAAAGTTGGATTATTCTGATTCTCTTTTTTTTCAGTGTATCATGTACTATAATGTGTATGTTTTTGTATAGAAATTGAGAAAAATAAAGCTTGTGTCAAAATTTTGAGAAATTCGAAATTTTCAAAATTTCCAGATTTCTCTAGAAATTCACAAAAAAGTTCAAAAATTGGAAAATTTTCATTCTTTTCACTCGAACATTTGAGAAATTCAGAATTTTTGTGATAATGATGACGTGGCAAAATTATGAAAAATCGAAATTTTTAAAAAATTTCAAGATTTTCCAGATTTTTCTAGAAATTCACAAAAAAAAATTCAAAAATTGGAAAATCCATTGAAAATTTGAGAAATTCAGATTTTTCGGAAAAAATGACGTGGCAAACTCGGGAAAAGAACCGCAATTGTGGCAGCATTTGTCGCAGCGCTGCAGCATTTTTTTTGTTGCAACACATGCGCCGGAGTTGCGACAAAACTCGCAACTGTTGCGTGAACTGTTGCGGAAATGGGCGCAACTCTGGCGCATGTGTTGCAGTGCCGCAGCGCTGCGACAAATTGCCGCAGCGCTGCGCCAAATGCTGCTACAGTTGCAGTAAGTTGCGGTTCTTTTCCCGAGAAATTATGAAAAATTGAAAATTTTCAAAATTTCGAATTAAATGCTCAGAGATTCCAGATTTCTCGAGAAATTTAAGAAAAATTGGCCCAGAAATTCACAAGAAAATTTTCAGTTCCAAACAAAAAATTTGAGAAATCCAGAATTTTCGAAAAATGATGTTGTGGAAAAAATTATGAAAAATTAAAAAGTCGCCTAGAAATTCGCAAAAATTTCAGAAATTCAGAAAATTCGGAATTTTTCTAAAACTAATGACGTGGCAAAAATATTAAAAGTCAAAAGTTTCTAAAATTTCAAGAAAAATTCTCAAACTTCAAAAAATCCCTGAAAAAGTTCAAGTGCTTCATTAAAAACAAAAGGTTCATCTATCAATTTAAGTAGTTGGAGATTTTCGAATTTTCGTATTGGATGTTTGTGGTGTTCTTGTTGCTCTTGTCTCAGTTTTCGCCGTATTTTCTCCTCTTCTCTTCGATTTTCTTCTCGATGTTTTCTCCCTTTTTCGACTATTTCTTCCCGAATCATTTGCTTCATTATAACTAAAAGCCATCGCAATTTCATCTGCTTTATCCGTCTCAATATTCGGCAACTTTTTGCGATTTACCCCATCCAATTTATTGATTTGCATTTTTTTCACATCCGCCATATTTGCGACAACAAGTGCATCAACTAATAGTTCTAATACTTTTTGAAAATCTGCTCGTTCTTCTGGTTTTCGTATCCAAATTGATGATAACACGTGGTTCATTTTTGGTTCTTTCGTTTTTTCTTCGATTAATGGCATTTTTGCGCGTCGAATTGCTTTGACAACAATTCCAGTGTCTTTTTCATCAGCGAACGGTTTTAAACCATTGAAATATACTTCATAAATCAATACACCAAATGCCCAAACATCACTTTTTATTGAAAATTCCGATTCTTTTTGAACACATTCTGGAGCCATCCAACTATAAAAAAATGATTTTAGGAAGGAGTAGTAAATTGTAGAATTTTCGTAAATTTCAGTAATTGTAGAATTTTCGTAAATTTCAAATTCAGTTAAGAGTGTTCAGAAGCTCAGTTCAAAGTTAAGAAGCTAAGTTCAGAGTTCAGGAGCTCAGTTCAAAGCTTAGAAGCTCAGTTCAGCTCAAAATTGAAATTTTCTAACAGAAAATTTTTTGTTAGGAAATCCACGTGGCACTGGAGAAAATCGAGGATTTGTGATATAAAATAAGCATAGCATTCTTTTTTTTTCGAAAAGAAATTTCGAAAATTTTCAAAAACTCACACTAATGGCGCTTCTTTAAGAGCTTCTTTGAAAACAGTTTCATTTGCTCCAAGTGTTTTACTCAATCCAAAATCGGCAATTTTGACAAAACCATCAGATGAAATCAAGCAATTTCTCGACGCCAAATCTCGATGCACACATTTCTGCGCATGCAAATATCTCATTCCCCGTGCCGCATCAATCAATAATGTCTGTCTTTCGAATTCCTCCATCTCATTTCCATACTTCAAAAGTGCACTTTCCAAACTTCCACCAATACAAAATTCCATACAAACCATAAATGGTGGATGATCGCAAGCGATGCCGAATAATTTGATGACATTTGAATGATTATATGTTATCATTATTTTTGCTTCAGCTAATAATGCATTTCTTGTTTCCATCAAAGCTGCCGAATCATTTTCAGTTGTTTTTGACACTTTTATCGCAACATCTTCCTCTTTTGTACTGGATCTTGTTAATTTTCCACGATAAACATGACAAAAATTGCCAGATCCTAGTTTTCCCGCATCTTCATAATTCACTTCCGAATGTCGAAGTTGCCATTTTGGTCGATAAACTGGGCGACACAATCGAATACCTGAAGCCATTCGATGTAATCGAAAATATTTTGCCATTTCATCATAATCTTTAAAGGGAGGTGAGACAACAGTTTTCTTTTCGGCATTTTCATCGACAACTTCTTGATGAATAACAAAATCACTTCCTTTTGATTCAATCAAATAATGATGAGCATTTAGATCTTTGTCGGTTACTTTGACACTTAGAAAAAGCACCAAACGAACTTCGTTTTTGAGAAATGACGAGCGAATCAGATAGTAACCGATTGGAAAATCTTTCAATATTTTTTGAGCGTCTTCTTTTGTTTGAACTCCATGGTAAAATTTTAGTTTTGTCAAATCATTCTTTTCGGTCAACTGAAAATATTTATAAAGCAGATTAAGACTTCTAGTTTATTCAAAACTTACAAATACATTTTCTTGCTTTTCGTTCTTTGATGGAGTCGGTGTCGACGTCATTTTTTAAAATAAAAATCAATAAACTGAATTGCCAGCATGTTTCGTTTTCATCCCTCGTGGCATTTCACGTAAACACGCAAAAAAAACAATGAATTCTTTTTTCGAAAAAAAAGTGAAAATGAAAATGTTGTCTTCCCGCTGTTGTGGTGTTTGCAGTCTTTTGCACACTCGGCATTTAAGTTGACGCACATATATTTTTATTTTTTCAAAAAAACCTTTTCCATCACAAAACAAGCATCTAAATCAATTTTCAGATGAGTTACGAGGTTTCGGGTCCACCACTGGTGTCCCCATGGATGATGTTATCAATGAGCGAAGCGAGAACTGATTTGGATGACGCGAAAATTGTTATTCCTGGACATTCAGTTTCCGATGCTCCACAGCATTTTATGAGAGGACATGGAACATATATTCGAGAAGGAGAGATTGTCTCAACGGTATCTGGAGCTGTGAATCAATTGAATCGACTTCTGATGGTAAAACCGATCAAGCAAAGATATAGTGGGGAAGTTGGTGATGTTGTGGTTGGAAGAGTTGTAGAAGTTCAAGCAAAACGATGGAAAGTTGATGTCAATTCAAGGTTACATAGCAATTTACCATTAGGAAGTGTGTTATTACCAGGAGGTGATTTTCGTCGAAAAGATGTTGAAGATGAGGAGAAAATGAGCGAGTTTTTGAAAAATGGTGAACTTATTTGTGCGGAAGTTCAACAAGTTCAACACGATGGAACTTTAATGATTCACACAAGAAATAATAAATATGGAAAACTTCGACAAGGAATCTTAATAAAGGTAGATTTTTTTCAAGTTTTAGATAGGTTAAGGTGAATAATTCTAGGTTCCTCCACATCTTATCAAAAAATCAAAAGTTCATTTTCACACACTTCCTTATGGAATGGCTATAATTATTGGATGCAATGGATGTGTTTGGGTAACACCAGCTCTACCGGAAACATTTGAAGAAGAACAACATGTACAGATTAGTGATTATCAAAAAGTGTCGCAAGAAGTTCGTTTGGCAATGGTTCGAGTTGCTGCTTGTGTTCGACTTCTCAAAGATTATTCAATTTCAATATATTTGAATTCTCTAACAACTTGTTATGAAATGAGTCAACCTTATGAAATCAAAGAATTGTATGAGCAAGAGACTTCTTCGAGATTAGCTTATTTGATTGCAGCCAAGCTTTTACACGAAATTCAGGAAAATCAATAGTTTTCTTGTTGTTATTTTTGTTTGTTGAATTTGATGAATTGTTATATTTTTGTTGAATGGAAATTCCATAAAATAATCAACCTTTTTCAATTTTTTATTTCACGTGCTCGTGTGTCGTGGAAAATAAACCGCCCATTTTTTGATTTTCCAGGTTTATCGGGTGGGTGCTTTTGCATAACATTTTAAGGCGGGTCAAATTAGGTTCAAGTTATTTTCCTATGTAAGTTTAGCTATATTGTTGTGAATTCTCAATCAAAAACGAAAAAAATTACCGTATATTTAGGAAAGTGTGCGGTGGTTGCAAAAAATGTGTGCGGCATGTTGCCATTTGGCCACGCCGCAATTTTTCCATTTTTTGAATTTCTGTTTCTGCGAACTTGCTTTTGCGTGTGTGTTCTGTGCTCTGTTGCGAAAATTTTTATTTTCTATACATTTTTGACGCAGCGGGTCACGTGTCACTCGCCCGCGAAATCCCTCTTTCCCAAATCTTTTTATTGTTGTTTTAGAATGTTGGAAAGTGAAGAAATATTGCAATTACGAGCTGATTTGGAAAAGATGAGAAGGATGTTGAAAAACAAAGATGATATGATTGAAGAAATGGAACTGGAAATCTCAAATTTGTCAAAGAATTCGAACAATGTGACAAATGATTGTGGAAAAGAGAAAGAATGGAATGAGCAAATCAGAAAATTGCATTTGGAAGTTGAAGATAAAGCCACAATAGTTGCGCAGAAAGATTTGTTGGTTTCGAATTTGGAGAAAGAAGTTGAGCGGTTGGAATGTAGTGTATGTTGTTTTTAAAAGTTATAATTTAACCAAAAAATTGATTTTTTTTGTAGAATCGTGAGCTTGTCAATCGAGATTTGGACGATGAAACTTTTCATACCAACGCCAACATCGAAAACGAGCTTGCGAAAGTTAAAGATGAAAATTCGCAGCTTCATGAAATTTTGGATAAGCTTGTGGAAGAGCATGAAACAACGAAAAAAGATTTGGCACAACTTCGGGAGGAATATGAAGCAGCTTCTGAACATATCAAAACTCTTGAATATGATTTCAATCAATGCCGTGAAGAAAAAGAGCGAATTGAAAGTGAACTTTTCGCATATCAAAATGGAAATATGAAAATGGCGAAGAGAGGAAACTCGATATTCACGGAGGCAATGGATGCTGAAAGACGGCTCGAATCAGAATTGAAAGTTCTGTATGCTGAAAATCAAAAGTTGAAAGCGGCTGTAAAACGATTGGAGGAAGAGAAAGAGGAAGCTGAAATGATGGCGATTGGCGAAATTCGCATTCAATCTCAATTGTGCTCGAGCAATGATTATTATGAATTGGTTCAAATTCGACAAAAGAATGCTGATTATGAATCGGAAAAATTGATTCTTTGGACAAAATTCTTCGAAAAAGCTAAAAATGCTTCAACTAAAGATATCGGATTATTAGTCAAGGGATATATTGATGGTTTCAAGTGTTCTATTGGGAAAATGAAGGAGAATTATCAAGAAACACTAAAAGCTAATCAAGAACTTCACTGTACGATTAGAAATCTGAAAATTGAATTGGAAGCAAAAGAGGTGCATATTCAAAGGCTGAAATCCGAAGCAAATATTGCTAATCGAAAAACATGTATAGGTACGTTTCAAAAGAAGATTTTTATTTCAAAAAAAGTTCTTGTTTTTCCAGAGAATGTATTAAAATCAGCCGATATTCTCAATCGTCGACCAACTGTGAATATATTGAAACACGCAACAAGTTCTGACGAGAAGCCTGGTATCGAAAATGTAGCGGGAAATTCAACCATCCTCAATGATTCCCTTCAACCGGATATTCCAAAAGCTACACCGAAAAAAGATGAGGTGTCTGATTGGGCCAAAAATTTGCTGGCAAAACGAGAGGCCGCGAAAAAAGCGTCGGTGAAAAAGGAGATTAGTTTCGCGAGACCTCAAATGGCTGGTCAGTTTTTTAAAAATATCTACTGATCTTATTGATTATTTTTTTGCAGAATCCAACCCCATTTTCAAATCTTCTCGTCTTGCGCATTTATCGAATGCTGCTGAAAATAAATGAAATAATTTATTCTTGTCAAATAATCAAAATTCTTCTCTTTTTGCTTTTTTTGTACCTGTATAATAGTATAAATTTTTATTGATTCACATGTTTTCTCACATTTTCCGGGTTGATTTTCTCCCACGGACTAGTTTTGATGGACGAAAAAGCCAATATTTTAGGGCGCGAAGAAAATTTGTTTTGAACGTGTGCTATTGATTTTCTCATTTTCATTTTCGAAATATAAAAAAATTACAGAAATGGCTGATGATGAAGTACTAACAAGTATTAGCGAAGTTAGTTTTATTTATTATTCTTAATTAGTCTAATTAATTAAATTTTAGAACATCGAAGCAACAACTCCTCCATCCAAAGGAATTAAAAGAAATGCTGTATCACCGCCTGAAGGAGAAGTTAAGAAACCGAAAGTTGTGAATAGTGATGACGATGAACAAAAAGAAGAATCTGTTGAAGTTATTGAAGAAGTTGCTGGAACTCCGACAGCACCAAAGACACCCAAAACACCAAAAACGACGAAAGAAGAGCGAGAGAAATTGAGACTTCAAAAATTGGAAGAAAAAGAAAAGCAAAGAGCTGAAAGGGAAAAAGCGCTGGAGGAAAAACGATTGGAAAAAGAGAAACAGTTGGAGGAAAAACGGTTGGAAAAGGAGAAGAAAGAAAAGTGAGTTGGAAAGCTCCAGGTGCAAAACTTTTTCAAAAATTAATTTCAGAGAGCGACTAGAGAAGAAGGCGGAAGAAGAACGAAAGAAGGAGGAAAAACGAAAAGAAGTGGAAGAAAAGAAAAAAGAGGAGGAGGAAAAGAAAAGGAAAAAGAAGGAAGAGGAGGAAAAAAGGAAAAAAGAAGAGGATGAAAAGAAGGAGCAAAAGAGAAAAGAGGAAGAAGCGTTGGAAGAGAAAAAGCGGCGAGAATCGGCTAGATTTATGGGATTTTTCAGCAAAGTTGAGAAGAAAAAAGTTGCAACAGAAGAGCAGAAAAATGTGGATAATAATTGGTATCGACCATTTCAATTGAAAGATGGAATGAGTTTGGCGCCGATTTTGGGAAGAGATCCGGTTGTTTGTGATGCGAACGAGATTTTGAATTGCAGTGATGAGGTTGGATATTTTTTTCTAGTAGTTTTGTGACAATTGGCTCAAATTTGAATATGACGTGGAAATTTTACAAAATTTATATATTCCATGTTTTTTAAGCAAATGGGTTGAAATATTGGGTTCTAATGTTATTCATATGATAGAATGGTCTAAGACGAACAGAATGTTATAAATTTTGATGAGTTTAGGTTATCCATAAGTGATTTAGCGACGTTTCGACTAAATATCGACTAAACGTCGCTAAATCACTTATGAATAAGGTAAAATCATCAAAATTTATATCATTCTATTCGTCTTAGACTATATGAATAACATTAGAACCCAATATTTCAACTCACTTGCTTAAAAAACCTGAAAATGTCATTTAGTCGATGTCCAACTAGGTTGTCCTGAAAGAATCATATTCAGAACTGAGTGTAGATTATTTTGACTTCAGGATCTTCATCGTAAAAATCCACATAAATCTGATGCAGATCGGAAACTACCAGATATTTTTTTATAACAAATAATTATTTCTTCCAGGTGACATCAACAACATATCTGGGATCTGGAAATGTCAAAAATCATGCGATGAATCCGCCGAAAAGAGCACAAGCCTGCTATAAACTATTGCAATTCCATGACAATCGACGACCACCGTACTATGGAACATTTCGAAAACGTCCACAAAAAATATCGGGACGCAAACCGTGGTCGCCAATCGAACCTGGAATTGATTATGAGGTGGGTGGTTTTTGAGGTTCGGAAAAAATCATGCTGAAGTTTTTGGGCTTAAACCACACCCCGGCCGAAAAAAAATAAAAATTGTACGCTAACTTTTTACAGTATGAAAAATGTGCATTTTTAAGTTAAACTGAAATTCAGATTTTTTTTGCAAAAGGGCTGATTCACGAACGAAAATTATGTTTTGAATTGTTTTTTAACATTGAAAGATCAATTCACAAAAAGTCAAAAAATGTCAAAAAAACATTGTAGCTCAAAATTAGTTTTTCGAGTTTTTCAGCCAAAAATGATGACAAATCAATATTTTTGAAGCTTCTGGAGTAACTTCTGATGAAAATAAGCTTCGAGAACCCTATTTTGCTTTTTTTTTATGATTTTTTTCGAAATTCATCAACATTTAAAATTTTTTTATTTTACGAAAAATCAGAAAAACCTTCTGGAAAGTGAATTCCAAGGTCAATTTTAATCAGAAATCATTCCAGAAGCTTAAAAAATATCGATTTGTCATCATTTTTGGCTGAAAAACTCGAGAAACTAATTTTGACCTACAATGTGTTCGTGAATTGATCTTTCGATGTTAAAATAATTTTGATCTTTCAATGTTAAAATAATTTTTTTCGTTAGTGAATCAGCCCTAAAATGTTATTCGGGCCAGTCACGGATTGAGTGATCTAAACTTTAATTTTCCAACCAAAAAAAAATTCACACAATTTTGATTTCAGGTAGATTCGGATGATGAATGGGAAGATGAACCATCGGATGGTGAAGAATGTCGATCGGATGATGAAGAAGAAGCTGATGATGATGTTATGTCAGATGATGGATTCTTTGTACCGCCATGTTATTTATCAGATGGTGAAGGTTGGTTTTTATTTTTAATTTTTTTTTTCAAAAAAAAATAAATAAATTGGCCGCCCCTGCACTTTTTTCTCAATCCAATCCACTCAAATCCACAAAAATTATCATATAAGATTAAATGTTAAGACTTTGTTATTTTTCGGTTTTCTCATTCATTCATTCATTTCTTCTTCGTTTTTTTTTCTGCTGCTTCTGCTGCGGATCAATTGAATAGAATAAAAGAGTATATTTGTATTGTGTGTACGTCGCGGGGCGGGGCGACGACAAAAAAAGGGAGGCGAGAATGAAAAAGATGTGAAATATTATAGGAGATGAAGAGGCGAAGTCGAATGAGCCACCACAAAATGGAGGAGAAGAAGAGGAGAAGGAAGAAGAAAAACGAGGAGAAGAAAGCGAAGAGGAGCGAAAGGCTCGACTTGCGTCGCGTGCGAAAGAGTGGTCGCGACGCGTGACGCGCGGCGGACACATTCAACTCGAATCGCGATGTATCGGACCGTTTTATTATTATCAGCGAGAGCTGCAAGAGGCTGGCAGCTCAGCGGCAGCTCTTGAAGAACTCTCCAAACTCATGGCTGTACAATTTTTCTAAGTTTTTTGAAATTTTAAAAAATATTTTTCTTCTTCTTAACTTTATTTATTTTATTTTATTTCTTTTTATTTTTATTTTTTTCAAATTCACATCAGTTTTTTGTTCCTTCAAGATAAATCCTCACACAATTTTTTTTCCTCATCTTTTTATCTCTGCACCCTCCGCGAAGAAATAGTGCGATATTGATTGGACAGCTCTCCCTTTTTCTCTTTTCCCCCCAGCTTCTTCTTCTTCTTCGGCTCTTCTTTTTACTACTACTAAACACGGAGAAGAAGAAGAGCCGACTGCAAATCTATCATCTTTGCTTCAAATTGAGTCATGCCTTTTTTTTTTCGTGTATCGTGTTTTTTTTGTAACTCTTTTCCAGATATTTTTTTTCAAAAATCTGAGTTAGCCGAATATCTAAATTTAGAGAATCTAATTATCGGCGGAGAAAATCGGAAATTGAAAAAGTTACAGTACGCTCAAAATTTCTGGCCTATTTTTGAATATTGAATAGTTGAAAAATAGGAGGCGGTGAAATTTCAGAAAATCTAGAAATTCAGAAACAATTGCCACGTCATAAATATTTCTGGGAAAGTTTTCAGATTTTTTTCGAATTTAAAATTGAAATTCGTTTGTTTTCCAGAATTTTTGGATCTCAGTTGATTTTCAAAAAAAAAAACTTCTAAAATTTAAATTTCTCTTCGAATTTTTTTTGAATTTTTTCTTCGTTTCCCGCCGCGTTTCTCAAAAACCCCATTTTCAAAATTTGTGTTGTTGCAGAGCACTTATACGGTCTCTTTAGTGGTGCGTTTGGAGCACGTTGGTGCACACACGTGGGTGCTGCTTCGCAGAGACACCAACCACCACCACCATCCGCCCCCACATTCATTCATTCCCATTTTTTTGCTGCTGCTGCTCGGAGGAGGAGAAAAATCAAACCACGACGTCTCAATTTTTTGCGCATTTCGACTTTTTTGAACTGGTTTGTTGGGGTTTCTAGGCCACAAAATCTGAAATTTCCAAAACCCTGTGAAAATACGTTTCAAAAATTTTAGATCAAATTCTGGATGTTCGAAAATTTTGATTTTCTTGTTGTTTCAACATTGAATAAATTTTTAAAAAATTTAAGGCGGCGAAGAAAACTTTTATTCAGATTTTTTTCTGGATTTCTAGGCCATCCCTCTTTCGAAATCTGAAATTTTCAAAACCCTGTGAAAAATACGTTTCAAAAATTTTAGATTTCCTTATTCGATCCTCTATAAAATAGTTGAATCTTGAAGATTTTATTTCGAATTCTATTTGGATTCCTAGGCCATCTCATTTCTGGATTTCTAGGCCACACCTTTTTTCGAAATCTGAATTTTTTCTCAAAAAAAATTCCCCTTTTCCCAAAAAAGTATAAAAAAATAAATGCATTTCATTCTTGATTGATTTTTTATGGCCAAAAAAAGCGAAAAAGAAGACACGGTTCATTTCAAATTCAAATTTTTTATGTTGATAATAATTGTATTTTTTTGTTGTTGTCATCGTATATTTATTTTTCCGGCCGCTCTCGCACAAAAATTCTATCTATGAGAAAAAGTACTGTATTTTTTGACGATAAAAACTTTTCTAGGTTTGTGAATTTTCGAAAAAAGGCCGAAATTATGTTTTCAAAATTTGGATTTCCAGAATCCTGTTATTTGACACTTTGAAAATTGTGTTTGGAAAAAATTGGGAACCAAGTTATAATCAAAATTTTTGAACATCCAGAATTAAATCTAAAATTTTTGAAACCTATTTTTCACAGGATTCTCGAATTAGAAAAAACCAGAATTTCCACGGCCCAAATTTTCTACCAGAAAAATTGGGCCACTTTTTCATGTTCCAAATTAATTGATTTTTGTTTTGCAGTTACTAATCGAATCGATAAACGCAGCCGAAGAAGAAGACGAAGAAGAAGAGGGGTCTCGAAAGGAAATCTCGTTTTGTGGTGGGGTGGCCCCCCTCCACCAAACAACAACAACAAATCCCAAAACCGTCGCACTTTTTTCATTGAGTAGTAAGCGGAAAAAGAAAAGTAGGCGAAGAAGAAGGCGGGAGGAAACAGAGCAACAACAACAAGAAACCGCAGACACCGCAACAAAACGGTTTAAGATATCCGCGCGGAATGCGACAGCATTCCATGGCTAATTCAAAGAAAATACAAGAGGTTGGTGGCGGGAAGCGGGAGGATTTTGAATTTTGATTTTAAAAATGTTTTGGAATTTTTTGGACTTTTGATTTTTGAGAAACTGCTCCGAAAATCTTGACGATCAAAACTTGGGCTCATCAAAAAATTAGGATTTTTTAGGTTCAATCTTTGAGTTTTTCAAAATTCCGAAAATCCTGTAGATCAAAATTTGGGCTTATAATTTTTGCACTAAAAATCTTCTTGAAAAATAATTTGGTGGGAGTTTAAAATTTTGATTTAAAAAAATGTTTAAAAAATTTTTTAGACTCATGTCGAAATTGTGTTGATCAAAATTCGGGCTTCTTAAAATCCACATGGCATGTTTCTGGATTCTGAATTTTTGAAAAATTGAATTTTGGAAGGTCGGGCTCAGGCTTAAGATTTGGGTTTTTATTAATATCAAGATTTTTTTGAAACTCCAAAAATCTTGTAGATCAATTTTTGGGCTCAACAGAATCCACATTGCCTGATTCTGGATTCTGAATTTTGGAAAATTGAATTTTTTGTTGAGGCTTGGGATCAGGCTTAGGCTCCAGCTTTGGGTTTTTTTTAAATTCAGGATTTTTTGAAACTCCAAAAATCTTGTAGATCAACTTTTGGGCTCAGCAGAATCCACGTGGCAATTTTGAGTATGTTCCGGGATTCTGAAATTTAAATTTTTGTGGCTCACAGGCTGAAGATTTAGGTTTTTCAAAATTCCAAAAATCCTGTTGATCAATTTTTTTCGAATTTAAATTTTACAAACACGCCCAGGAATCAATTCAAGCTTCTCTGAAAATTTTAAAATTAAACATTTCTCCAAAATATCTACAGTACCTGCCAACAAAAAAAATGAAAAACCACGCAATTTTCATCCAATTTCTCAAGAGATTGTTCAAATATCCCCCCCCCCCCCAGATTTTTATTTTTATATTGCACTTTTTTTCTACAAAAAAGGTGTCAAAAGACGGGTTTTCAAGTGGCTCCCGCGCGGAGCATTTTCTCCATTTTCCATCTACTTTTGCTCTGATGCAAGCCACGAAAATGGTAGGCTCTCGATTTTTCTCCATTCGTTCTTTTTTTGTGTGGGTCGCCCACGCAACAACACAAAAAACGAAGAAGAAGCTTCTGGTTGTCTCGCGCACCCCTCGACCAACCGCATTTATCGATTTCGGCGAGCTCGGAGAGCTCTCTGAAAATCGAGAGAAGCAGAGAAAGAAAAATGTGTGTGTGTGTGCCGCGGCGGTATAATTATGGAGAAAAAAAAGAGAGGGGGGTTCAACATTGGCCTACTCTAACACAAACAAAAAAATACGAGAGAGAGAGAGAGAGACTTTTTTGCTGATAAAGGGATTTGGAAAAATTGGAGCCGGGAACTTTTTGGAAGAAAAATTCAGAATCCAATTTTTTTTCGCAAAAAAATTAGTCTTTACCTAAGTTTTTAGAAGATTTACAAAAAATTACTGGAAAAATGTTATGAATTGGAAAAAATGTGAAGTTTCAAACAGAAATTTTGGAATTTGGAAAAAAAATCCTAGCCTAAATTGCCACGTGGATATCGAGAAGCTCAAATTTTGATCTACGTGGCAAATTGAATCCTAATTTTGTTCAAAAATATCATTTTTTTTTGCAAATTTTCAGCAGCTTGAAAAAAATTTCAGTCAAATTTGGGTAAATACCAAATTGATCCCCAAATTTTGGGGAAGGTTTTTAGAAAATTACGGAAAGAATTTGAATTTTAACTTCCTTCAAGGCACCTAAAATCCAGAATACTTCAAAATGAGCTACGTGGGTTTTGGTGAGCCCAAAGTTTTTTGATCTACAAAAATTTCAGGGGATCAAACTTAATCTGACAAATTTTGAACATACGGGAAAGATTTTATGACGTGGAAAAATCACACGTCACAAAATAATTTTTCAAACCCCATGTGTTTTTAGTTTGAAAAACAATCCCGGGAAAAATAGGTTTCATGGTTTTTACATTTAAATGATTCGAATTCCAAAAATTTTCTGAATTCTTTGAGAAACCACGGCATTTCAGAATGTTACTATACTATATCAGATATCTCATATCAGCCTTTTTTAAAAATTCAATAATTGTTTGCAGCTAGTGCACGAGTGCAATGTGCAACTGGCATTATTTCGTGGAGCAACACAAGGAATCGGAACAGCACAAGATGGAGCATCATTGAGAAGAGAAGTCGAGACGGCTGGAAGAGCTTGTCAAAAAGCCATCGAGGCTGCACATACCACATTATTACCATCGATTAGAGGAGGCGATGGTTCGTTTTTCGAATTTGAATCTTAAATTTTGAAAAAAAATACTTCTCAAAGAGCTTGATTTTTGACTCCCGTAACTTCGGTTTTCAAAAATTTCTGGTTGAAAAATCATTCAATTTTCACCACTTGCAGACGCCGAAATGACTCGACACGGTCCAATTTTCATCGGTTGTGTCGGCGCGTGGCTCAACGAGATGAAACGATGTGTGAAGTTGGAGAAGACATTTCCGGCGCCCATCGAACCATCGATCACTGTGGGACAAGTGGAACGCGTCGAATCGGTTCTTGACACTCTCGAAAATCTCATTACGGTTCATTATTCGACGAATGAGCAACCCGCGTTGGATAAGGTCGGTATTTTTGGGCTCGAAAATTTTTTTTGATTTTGCTAAATTAAATTTTTATCGCGATTTTTAGTCAAAAATTGTAGAAAATTTCACCCGGAAAATATAGGTTTCAAAATTTTCATATATTTTTTCGCGGTTTCATGATTTTCGATACTAATTCGCTCTAATTTTCATAATAAATTCATAAATTAATGGCTTGGTTTCGTGAAATCGGCAAAAGTTTTGCGTTAGAGCGCATTTTCTTGTTTTGTTTTGTAGTGGCTTTGTTTTTGAGGACTTAAAAAAATTAATTTTTTCAGAAATTAAAAAATTTTGAATTCTAGGATTTGAGGGAAACTTCTATAGACAAAATTCTGTTTTTCGGCCCAAAATTTTTTTACATTAAAAAATGAAATGTGAATTTTGAGTCTGAAATTCGAATCCCAATTATTTTCTTTACAGCTGCAAGTGACTCCACGACGGAGGCGTGCAACTTCATGTCGACCTCAATGTGTATGCTCGAAACTGAAAACGAGTTATGCGTGATATTTAGTCTATGTTTGTGTGTGTTTCCACTTCTTCTTCTTCAAAAACCAACCCTTTTTATTTTCAAAAAGGCTCATTTCTATTTTCGAACAATGATAGGATCGATTCGATGCGATTCAATTGTTTTTCATTCTTTCTTTTTAGGTGAGTTATTTTGGGTGGGAATTTGAGGGAAAAAAAAAAACAACGAGACTCCGAGATGACGACAGCGCGCGCGTAGTTTGAAATTATTTTTTCTAAGTCACGGCCTCTTACAGGTTAACTTGAGAGAGACGCAGAGAAAATGAGAAAAAATTGATTTTTGAAACCAATCGCGGGAAAATTTTTTGAATTCGAAAAAATTTGAAAAACATGGCAAATTGAATAAAAATAAAAAGAAAACAACGAGACTCCGCGTTGACGACAGCGCGCGTAGTTTGAAAAATTTTCGGAGAAGAGACGCAGAGAAACCGAGAAAAAATTTTAAAAACATGACAAATTGAACAAAAATTAAAAAAGAAAACAACGAGACTCCGCGTTGACGCCTCACAGTTTTTTAAAATTTTTGAGCGAACGAACTAGAAAACAGGCATTTTTAGATAAAAATTCATAATTTTTTCCCAAAAAAAAAAATTTTTTTTTGCAGGTGCAGGCATTATTTGTTAAATAAAATACATTTTCAACACAACAACAACAACAAAAATATTCATCAGATGCGAGTGATTTCATCATCAAAAACAAAAACACCATTGATTTGGCGCCCAGCCAATAGTTTAGGACCCCTCCCCAATTTTTTTTCTCACATCGACCAAACCCCCACTTTTTCGATGCAGCAAACAAAAAAAACAAATTCAAAAAATGCACTTTTCATTTTTCTTGTCCCCCCCCCCAAATACACTTCTTCTCCTTCAAAAAAAAACAGCTTTTCCCCCACACATCATCAGCTCAATTTTTTTCATTTCATTTGAAAATTGTTTTGTTCTTCTCTCCCCGTTCCCCACCCATAACAAATCTAGGCATAATTTGGATCCCCTTTCTTCTCCTTCTTCATATGATGAATTCATAATCATTTTTCTCCCCTCCCCTTTTTTGAGCTCTATGTGTACATCGTATCAATGTTTAAAGTGTTTTTTCGTCAAATTTTTTTGATCAAAATTTCTTTTGGCTAACCCTTTTTTTCACACCTTTTTTCTTGATAATAAATTTTTTCTTTTTGATATTGCACTTGGGTTACTGTAGCTACCAGACTATATTCTAGTTTGATCCAAAATTGGGCAAAAAGGTTCCAAAAAATAAACATATTTTGACTGTATTCGAACTACAGTCTAGTTTAGGAAAACCTCTTCTTTGGGTTACTGTAATACAGAAAATTTCACTCTAGTTATATCCGAAATTGACAAAAAAAAGTTCGTTTTAATCAATACTAGAAATCCCTGATTTTTCATGATCACTATAGTCTAGTTTAGCAAAAAACCTATTTTTTGGATTACTGTAATTCCTAGACTACAATATAGTTGTCTCCAAAATTGAACAAAAAATTAGAGTTACAGTGACTCCCCGCTACAGTCTAGTTATATCGAAAAATTACAGTTACTGTAAGCAAATCCTTTATTTTTCAAATCATTTTTTCTCCTCTTTCTTTTCCTCTTTCTTCTCATCCTTCTTTTCATCCTTCTTTTTATCATCCGATTTGTCATCCTTTTTCTTTTCCTCTTTCTTTTCATCCTTCTTTTTATCATCCTTTTTCTTATCATCTTTCTCACTCAAAGTCTTATTAAATTCACTATTTTCAATAAGTTTGTTCCAAGTTTTATAATCTCCTTTATTTTCAGCCTTCTTTCCCTTAATCTGAAAGAATAATATTTATTTTCTCAAAAAAAAACCAATTTGCAACAAACCTCATCCTTTCTTTTAGTTTCCTGTGCTCTTGGTTGAAGTTTATCAAAAGTATCCTCCTGTTTTTCATCCTTCGATTTTTCTCTTTCATCTTTCTTTTCCTCTTCTTTCTTCGCTTCCTCTTTTTTCGGTTCCTCAGCTGGTTCAGGCTTTGCTTTTTCCGGTTCTGATGCTGCTGTTGTTGCTGGTTTGACAGATACTGGAGCTGGAGTTGCTACTCCACCTGGAGGCCCTGTTGGTGACGCTGGTTTCGGTTTTCCTTTACATAAAGCTATTGACGATGCAATCAAAAGTGGACTGTAAATTGAATCTTATGATCGTATTGACTCATTGTTAAATTCAACTCACACGCAGACTATGAGAATTTGTATCATTTTCGTTCAACTGTTTCCTAACACTTTTTCTTGGGTAAATGACCGATTTTTCGAATTTTCTCGGCTCATTCATTTGCCACGTCTAGGTCATCTACGTGTCCTAGAAACGAATTTTTGCGGAAAAACACGTATTTCATACGAAAATATCGTTAGGAAACCGTTGAACAAAAATGATACAAGTTCTCTTAGTCTGCGTGTAAGTTTTGAAGCATTGGGCTCAGGCGCAGGCTTAGCCAAGCTATAGACTGCGCCATTTGGGGTTGTTAAGCTTAACCTTAGTAACTCATTGATTTTACAGTTCATTTTTGATATTATCGTCGATTATTCTACAATGTAAAGGAAAATCGAAACCAAAACCTTCAGCTGGAGTTGCAACTCCACTTCCTCCTACATCATCTATAAAACCAGCAGAACCTGAACCGGAAAAAGCGAAGCCTGAACCAGCTGAGGAACCGAAAAAGGAGGAAGCGAAGAAAGAAGAAGAAAAGAAAGATGAGAGAGAAAAATCGAAGGATGAAAAACAGGAGGATACTTTTGATAAACTTCAACCAAGAGCACAGGAAACTAAAAGAAAGGATGAGGTTTGTTGATAACTTTTTGGATTTTTTTGTTGAGAAAATAAATATTATTCTTTCAGATCAAGGGAAAGAAGGCTGAAAATAAAGGAGACTATAAAACTTGGAACAAACTTATTGAAAATAGTGAATTTAATAAGACTTTGAGCGAGAAAGATGATAAGAAAAAGGATGATAAAAAGAAGGATGAAAAGAAAAAGGATGACAAATCGGATGATAAAAAGAAGGATGAAAAAAAGGATGAGAAAGATGAGAAAAAATGATTTGCAAAATGAAGAGTTTCATGTAATTTGTTTAAACAATCAGAAAAACTTCAAAAACTTGAAACATTTTTGTTGGGAACACATTAATTGGCATTTATTCAAAGAATATTTCTTGGTATCGAATTAGAACAAGAAAATGCGCTCTAATGCACAACTATTTGCGTGTACGTGTTTGCAGATTTTACGCGCAACACGGTGATTTTTGCAGACCACCTTTCTTTCAAGAGTTCTCCTAATTTTTCTCAATGTTTTCTTTAATTTTCCTTCTTGTGAAATCCATCCCCCACAAAAACAAAAACCTGAAATCCCAAACTTCATTCATTGCCCAAATCATTTCACTACAATCCTTCCAACGTATCCTCTTTTCCATATTCTTCCGCATCTTTCGACGATTCTCCAGTGTTCCGATCTTCCGTTATAACACTCTCATCAATCTCATTAACCGTATCAGCTCCCTCGCCACGTTCCGCATTATCTCTGTCCGATTTATCATTTCCATTCTCATCCAATGTCGATTTATTCAAATTCCATTCAAATGGATCAGTCCTAAAAAACGAATTTTGAAATGTGAAACTTTGAAGAAGTGCGAAAAAAACCTACATCTTCATTCCTTTCGGCAAATCATTTTTGAGTTTTTCCATATATGATAAATATGGCGGAGTGTCTTGATATTTCAATTTTCGAAGATTGCTAGCAATTTCAAGAAATGATTTTGGACAACCTTTACACAATTGATCATCTTTGGTTTTCTCCTTCATTTTTTGCAGTCTCTTTTTTGGGTTGACCTTTCCAAGGCAAAGTTGCGGTTAGTGTTTCTATCATTGCATAAAGTGCACCATATCTGAAAAAAGATATTCGTTGTAAAAACTACAGAAGTTTCGGTGAAAAATTCTCTCTCGGAAAATAAAAATACGTGCGCGTCAAATAAAATGTGTGTGTGTGCATGTGTGTTTGCACACATTTCAAGCGCACTACAGTAATCAATGCATTTTTTTGTTGTTTTTCAAGCGTAAAATACCGCCAAATTGAAAAAAAAAACTTACAGATCATCATGTCTGCCTTGTTCTTTATGTTGATGCACATTCAAACTACAATATCTAACTGTTCCCCGAAAAACTGATTTTGAACGCGGCTCACGGAGTTTTAATTTGCCACTCGCATCTTGCAACATAATTTGTCGACTCAATCCAAAATCGAAAATATAAACCACTTGCTCGTTTCGCAAACCCAACGCCATGTTGCTCGGTTTCACGTCGCGATGCACAAAACCGGCTTCGTGCATGTCTTGAAGCGCTTTGATGAGTTGAATGAAAATTCGAATAGTTGACGGCGGCGACATTTTTCGACCGGGGAGTCGACGACGAACATCGCCAACTTCTTTTCCGAGTAATGACATCACTAGATAGGTATAAGTGTCGGTTTTGCCTGATCCGAGAAGACGGCAAACGTGTCGCGAGGATTGCAATTTTTTCAACACATACACTTCCATTTTGAGAATTTCGTCCTCTTTGTTTTTCATCAGTGGTTCAACCTTCATTGCTGCACGCCCTTTCTGAAATCAATTAGAATATTTTTGGAAATTTGCATCGCTTCAGGAGACTGAAAGTACTGTAATACTACAGTAACCCAAAAAATTCAAAATTTTTCAAAAAAAAAATCCACGTTCCTTGAAAAATACTTTTATGATCTTCCAAAAGTTCAGAACCTTTTGTCATTCAAATACAGTATTCCTACAGTAACCTAAACTTTTTGAAACAATGATATGTTCCTTGAAAATTACAGTAACCTTTTGATATTCCAAAAATTCAGAACCTTTTGGCATATTTTTCAAAGTTTCCAAAAAAAATTCGAATTTTTGAAATAAATCAATTATTTATTTAGATACAGTAGTCCTACAGTAACCCTAAAATGAAGAAAATCAGTTGCACAATTTTCTTATTACAGTACACCTGATTACAGCAACCTCTGATTCAGAATTTCTTGGCTTTGTTCTGTGAATTTCGCTAGAAGTACAGTACTTCTACAGTAACCCTAATCGATTTTTCTTTTAAAATTATTTTCAGAGAATCCTATTATCCTTGAAGACTACAGTAACCCATATTCGCTTCAAGAATCACAGTACTCCTACAGTACCCCCTACAGTATCTTACCCCTTGTAGCAATTCAACAAGGAAAACTTGACCACACGCGCCTTCACCAAGTTTTTTCTTCACCACGAATTGATCCTTGATTTTATCACCTGCATTGATTTTAACCTGAGCTATTGGAACAGCCATTTTCAACTGCAAAAAACATGGGCGGTTCGAAGGTACTGTAGTTGGGAGGATTACTGTACCGATCCAAATTTGACTCCACGAGAATTCGAGCTTTTCACTAAAAAAGACAAACAAAATGGTGAGAGTGGGAGAGATTTCAGATTTTATAGAGATTTTTTCAAAATTTCTGGGTTACGTTGAAAATTGACGTGGAAATTTTTCTTGTGAAAATCAAATAAGTAACGACACTCCGCTCAAACGGTCGGTGAAAATTAAACAACAGGCAAGCGGAGTGACGACGGCTCTCATACAGTTCTCTCTTTCTCTGCGCTCTCCACACTCTCTCTCTCTCATACATAATTATCCTTGAATATTCCTCTGCGTCTCTCCCATCTTCACACTCTCTCCACTCATAAGCTCCGCCCACTTTTTGAGATGAATAAAAAGAAGGTCAGAAGAAGTGGACGGTATTATTGTTACCTCTTATTCATTTTTTTTTTATTTTTATTCGATATTTGTACTTGTAATAATAATAAAAAAGGACATATGCGATATTCTATTGTATTTTTTCTGGCAATTTTGAAATATGGTGGGTTTTTTTCTGTGATGTTCAGAAGTTATGACTCAATCAAAATTAAATTTTTCAAAATTTGCTAAAAACTTTGAAACCCTGAAAAAACATTTTCCAGGATCCGCCTCGCTGAAAAATGACGACAACATTCCGGTAATTGAAATTCGCGGCGAGGGAGCTCCAATGAGTTCAGCTCAAATCAGACATTTGGAAGAGATGGACAATGGTGGACCGCTTGATGTGAAGGTAACTTTCAATAGGTTTCACAGTGTGTAATTTACTACCTAAAATCGTTGGACCTCACACATTTTCGTGGTAGAAATTTCTTATCGAAAAATTCGGCCACGCAACTATCACATCATGTCAGCCCAATGAAAATTGGCAATCGGTGAGAGTGAAGAAGACTTAGAGAAAAATAGATAAAAGGTACATTAAAAATTTGTGGGTCTGAAAATCCATAATTTTTGAAATTGCGGTTGCTAAACATATTTTGTTTCGAAAAAAATTGAGGATGACTTTTAGTCGCTTGGTACAGTGAAAGTTCAAGAATGAATTCTCAAAAGTCAAGCTGAAGCCTATTTCAAGATTCCACAAATCCTAGACCCACAAATTTGACTCGCTGTAGATCACGCGCGATTTCAATATCTTTTCGTCTCTTTCACTCTCACCGATTGCTGTTTGACATGTTGCTATGTGCGCTCTGTTGCAAACTGCAATAATTTGTGTGGCAGACTACTGTAGTTCGCAATTGTGTGCCAACACGGCCACGCACAAATGCATCCCCATAGCATTTTTTTCGTGGCGCAGCAGAAAGATTACACAGAGTGTTGAACAAAGCGTCTTTTTACAGATCGAAAAAACGTATGTGCCTGCAAAATGTGCGCAACAAGCAAAACGTCTCGATTTCATCACTTTCCATTACAAAGTCTTCACCGAGGATAACAAGAAAGTCTTTCAAACCTATGGAACATCTCCAGTTACAATTCAACTTGGAACCGGTATGATTATACCAGGTCTTGACAAGGTCAGTCACATAGTTAGTTGAAAGAAATTAACCTACTTTTATGATTGATTGCTTTTGCTTCAAGAAAAAAGAAAACAACAATTTTTTTTCAATCCAAAAAAAAAATTTAAAAAATTCAGGGATTGAAAGGAATGTGTGAGGAAGAATTGAGAAAAGTGAGTGTGCCTTATCGATTGAGTCGAAAACCAAAAACTCGAGTCTGGAAATCGATACCAAATGATGAAAATTGGTTGCAATTCAATTTGGAAATGATTAAAATCGAGCCGTATTCGCATGAAAAACAATTTGAAAGTTTGGATTTGAATGGCGATGGAAAATTGAATGAAAATGAATTGGTGGATTATCAAAAGAAAATGAGAAAAGAATATGGAAAATCGTGGAAAAATGAGGATATTGATAATGTCAGTGCAGCCAAGTATTATATCAAGTGAGTTGAAGAAGTTCTTCTAGAATTGTTATAATGTCTCAACAATTTTCAGATACTTCGATGTTGATTCGGATGGTTTGATAACATTCGAAGAATGGAAAAAGATAATGCTTCGAGATGAAACTGAAATCGCATCAAAGAAATCAGTCAAAAAACCGAAGGGAAGAAAACGAGATCCAGGAATTGGTTGGATTCTTGATTTCAATAATGATGGAATTGTGACACCAAAAGAACTCGATGAGGCTTCGGATATTTTCGAAAAATCACCAAAACGTTTGCCGAATGAGGGGAAAAAAGATGAACTTTAGATTATTTTCAATGAAGTTTTGGATTTAAAAAAAAATTTTCAAGTTTTTTGATCTCTAGGAAATTTGCAGTTTGGATACTGTGGTTGAGGAAAAAAATGAGGTTACTGTAGAATTTTTGAATACAAATTTTTCAAATTTTTTTTATCTCTAGAAAATTTCCAGCTTGGATTACTGTGCTTCAAAAACATGAGGTTACTGTAGAATTTTTGGAATAAAAATTGTTCCAAATTTTTTTGATCTTTAGAAAATTTTCAGTTTGGATTACTGTGGTTCAAAAACACAAGGTTACTGTAGAATTTTTGAATTAAAAGTTGTTCAAAATTTATTTATCTTTAGAAAATTTGCAGCTTGGATTACTGTGCTTCAAAAACATGAGGTTACTGTAGAATTTTGGAATAAAATTTTCAGTTTGGATTACTAACTTTCAATGAATGTTTGAAAAAAGACTCGAAAAAGTTCCGAGACAAAAATATTTATTTTCAATCATTTTTTCTCCTCCGGCTTCTTCTCCTCCTTCTTTTCTTCTGGTTTCGGCGGATTCTTGAATTCCTCAATCTCCATTTCCTCCCAATCATATGGAAATTCAGATTTTCCACTAAACAAAATCGCATTGCTCAACCATCCATAAATATCATTGTAGTTGGGTTCAATTTTGAACGATAGTTTATCAATCTGAAAATGAGTCAAGAATAACTGAAATTTCAAAAAAATGTGACTTACAGCGCGCATAATTTCAACAAATTCAGCCGGTAATCCACCAAGTAATTCTCTCATCGGAAGACCATTTCGACAAGCTTTTTGATATTCAAAAACTTCCTTCATATCTTTCAAATGTGCCCACGGCAAACATCCCTTGATTAATTCAACTGTCATATAAAACCACATTTCTAAATCCTCCATTCGACTGAATTCGACATGACTATAAGCAGTTCTTGGCATATGTCTCAAACTTCCAACATATTTCCATGGATTTACGCTTGGCGCTTTCAATTTTCCATCTGGTTTTACGTATTGATGTGCGAAGCCGAAATCCAAAATGTAGACATTTCGAAGTTCTTCCGGATTTTTTCCACTATAATTTCCGATGGCAAATGTCGATGGAGCAATGTTTCGATGAATGAAACCAAGCTGCAAAATGTGAAGAATGCATGTTCGCTCTATTGCTAAATTTTCGCGGTGTCGTCAACGCGGAGTCTCGTTGTTTTATTTTCATTTCTTTTTTGAGAAAAATAACAATTTTCATAAGCAAAACATTTTTTTTCCAGAATTTTTAGAGCTTTTTGATTGATGAGAGCCTAAAGGTTCAACAGTTAGGCTCATTTTTGAATTCAAAATTTCAAGCTGCTCAAAAATCTCCCCGAAAAATCAAAATCTATTCTAGTTTTTCAAAAAACAACGAGACTCCGCGTTGACGAGAGTGCGCGTGGTTTGAATTTTCCAATTTACCCGATGAAGTTCCTCGATTCCTTTCAAACATTGTTGCGCAACACTCAGCCCACAACAAAGCGACAATTTCCCGCCGGGAAGACGTTTTCGAAGTGCGCGAAGATTTTTGCCGCACAAAGTGATTGCGATGAAATTGTACTCGGGCTCCTGCCCTTTTTCATAGACCTTGCAAAACTGTTTGCACTTTTTCTGTTGCTCCACTTTCAGCAAAATGTATAGTTCGAATTTCAGAATCTCAATCGGCTCATTCTTCTTCTCCATCTGTAGAAAAATGAAATTTTTGTAAATTTTGGACCTGAATTCTTGGAAGATACCTTAACCGCCGCCATTTTCTTGCTCTTCAAGTGTTCAGCAATATAAATCGTGTTGAACCCTTTTTCCGCATCGATCGCTCGCACCATCTTCCAATTTTTACCAATGTTCTCTCCCTGAAAATCTGATTTTGAAGATTTTTTGAATTGAGCCAGGATGACCATCGGACAGGCCCGATTAGGCCCGATTAATCTAAGACCCGATTCACGCACCGGTTGAAGAGCTTTCAAATCCTTCGTTGGTTTGACCCGTTCATCATAGTCCACCTGTTTTGGACATTCTCGATCCGCATCAGTAATATTACGATCTTCCATGTCTAGAAGTTATATTTTATCTACAGTACCCTGTCTACAGTACTCCTCAAAACTCACTAGATTTTTGTGTCTGTTCTCACTTGTTCAAAAATTCGAAAAGACCAATTTGCTGGCAAAACGCGACACGTCATTTTTTTTGGAAAATATAGAACACGTGGAAAAATATTGATTGATCTTCATTTCGAAAAATGAATGAATGCGGATATTGTTGTGTGAAAATTGGCGAAGAGCCAGCTCTTTTAGCAAATGGAAAAGTGGGTTGATTTCAAATATTTTCAGAGAAAAAAACGAAGAAGGGTTTTTGTAGATGTGGCATATTCATCATCTGATGTGTGATATTTGCAATTGTCGAATTAATGATGGTGAGAGGTGTGTTCCTCAGAACGGAATAATCCTCTGCCAACAATGCCACATCAAAACCACTCGCCCGGTTTGCAAAGGTTGCGGCGATTTTATCACTTCGAATCTTTGCGAAGCCTTGAATTCCACGTGGCATCCAACATGTTTTCAGTGCTCGGTGTAAGTTTGAATTTAGATTTCGAGATAGATAGATCCAACGAATATTTCAGATGTCAAAAACCGCTGGAGCAAAACTTCTATCAACTTCCGAATAAGATGTGCGTTCATTCGGATTGTTATTGGCAACTTCAACTTCGCATCGTTGTTTGTAAAGATATTATTCCACAATGAAGATTTTTCCAGCTTTTTTTTGGAATAACATTTCTGATCATCAAAAAATTAAGAACCTTTTGGTATATTTTTCAAAGTTTACACAAACATTCGACAATAATTCAATAATTTGGATACAGTAACTCACAAATACAGTACTCCACAATTTAGAAAAAAATCCAATGTTCCTTGAAGACTACGGTTACCTCTGATCTTCCAAAAAATTCAAAAGCTTCTGGCACTATTTTTTGATAGTTTCCTAAAAATTCGAATTTTCTAAAATAAATCAATTATTTAGATACAGTAACCCTACAGTAACTCACAAACACAGTACTCCTACAGTAACTCTACAATTTAGAAAAAAAATCCTATGTTCCTTGAAGACCACAGTAACCCCGTAAAGTTTTTGATCTAGACACTTCAAGACAAATTCTACAGTAACCTCATGTTTTTGGTCCACAGTAATTCAAACTGCAAATTTTCTAAAGATCGAAAAATTTTTAATTCAGAAATTCTACAGTAACCTCATTTTTCCCTCAACCACAGTAATCCAAACTGCAAATTTTCTAGAGATCAAAAAACTTGGAATAATTTTTGAATTCGAAAATTCTACAGTAACCTCATGTTTTTTATACTGAAGCTTCCGGATCTAAGGGGTTTTCGGCCAAGATGGAAATTAAATTTTTTCCGGAAAACCAAGAAAAAATCCGGAAAACTTCCAAAACCAACAAAAAAAACAAGAATTTTTCAATTAATATTCATTGAGATTTAAAAAGAAGAAATAAGACTGTTTCTTTCATTTCCATTCCTTTTTTCGTCTTCTTATGGTGGTCCCATATAACACGATTGATCAGTTCTGGCCTTGAAGACTTGAGCTCCAGGATTGGTGTTGCCACCCGACGTTTGTCCAGCGCCGCTTTGTCCACCTTGCGCATAATCTTCACGAGCATAACCGGATGATGATGCGTTGCTTCCCATATATCCGGATGAGTATCCACCAGCTGACATATATGCAGATTTGTCCGCCATTTTCTTGTTGTTGTTGCTTTGAATAGGAAACTTGTACTGTGTGATGTGCGAGTTTGGGCTCGAGTTTTATAGCCGGATTGATAAGCATCTATCGTGTTGGCATTTTTTGCCACGTATCTAGGACACGTTTCTCAATTTTCCAAAAATAAATACGTCAGAAAAAGAATTTTTCTTTCTGTTTTCGGTGAAAAAAAGTGAAAAAATTTCAGCGTGACCTAAATACAAAAAAAGAAAAAAAGCAAAACGAGAAGCTCAACATTCTCGATTTTTGTATTCATTCAAACCGCCAGAAACATGGTTGATAAAAATATTCACAGCGAATCTTGGTATCATGGACTATTACCACGTGAAGATATTAGAGTGAGTTGTAGCTCCCTCTGCGTTTCTGACCGTCTAGCTTCTCTGCGTCTCTCAAAATCCTATGCACTAAAGATATCTCGCGCGAAGCGCCCCGGTATCTTCCGCGAAGCGGCTCGAGCGGAGCGAGTGTTGCTCTCTCTGCGTCTCTAACCTCTAGCTTCTCTGCGCCTCGAGCGGGTTGAGTGTTGCTCTCTCTGCGTCTCTAACCTCTAGCTTCTCTGCGGCTCGAGCGGAGCGAGTGTAGCTCCCTCTGCGTGTCTAACTATCTAGATTCTCTGCGACTCTCAAAATCCTATTCTCACTCCTACCCCAAGCCGCCCATCTTTTTTTTGCAGTTAATGTTACGAAAAAATGGAGATTTCTTGGTTCGAACCACCGAACCACGAAAAGGCGAACCAAGACAATATGTGTTGTCAGCGATGAAAAGCGAAGAATTGGAAGATAATGGCATCAAACATTTCGTTTTGAAAGAGGGAAAAGGACACATTTTCATCGAGACCAAACCATTTGACACGATTTCTGCACTTGTTGCACATCATATGAGCACAAAAGAGCCCATTAAGGTATGTAGACGTTCTGCAGACGCGACTCCTTACCAGAGTGCATCTCTAGGCGTGGCTCCTAGACAATAAATATCTCTGGGCTCGGACCCTTACCCAAGTTTGCGGTAATTCGAATTCTTTCAGGGAACTGTTCTTCAAAACGCCATTGTAAAACAAGACTGGGAAATTGATCATAGTCAAGTAACATTGACAAAAAAGTTGGGTGAAGGAGCATTTGGTGAAGTTTGGAAAGGAAAAATCAAATTGAAGCGTGGCAAAACTGAAGATGTTGCAGTGAAATCGGCAAAACTTGAGACATTGAACAAGGAGCAAATCAAAGAAATCATGAGAGAAGCTCGTCTCATGAGATTTCTCGACCACCCAAATATTGTTCGTTTTTACGGTGTTGGCGCAGGTCAAGAACCGCTTTATGTTATCATGGAATTGGCGGATTGTGGTGCTCTTGATTCATATCTTCAGAAGAATCAAACACTTCAATTTCCCAAAAAAATTGAGATGATTTATCAAGCGGCGTGTGGAATTGGATATATGCATGACAAGCATTTGCTTCATCGAGACATTGCTGCGAGAAATTGTTTGTATGGTGGAGGACAGGTTAAGATTAGTGATTTTGGTTTGTCGAGAGAGGGAACGTTTTATAAGATGGATATGTCGAAGAAGGTTCCGATTAGATGGTTGGCGCCGGAAACATTGAGAGGTGGAATTTATTCGCCGAAATCTGATGTTTATGCGTTTGGAATTATGAGTTGGGAGATTTGTGAGAATGGAAAAGAGCCGTATGCTGATCAAAGAGTTGCTGATGTGGCGAGAGATGTTTTGACTGGCAAAAGGCTTCCTTTCAAACCAGATATTTGTCCAGAATTTGTCAAATTCATTAATGTGAGTGGTTTTGGTGGAACATGTGCATTTTTTATCAAAAAATTTGAATTTCAGACCTCATGCTGGCCCGAAAATCCAAACGACCGTGCTTGTATGTCAGTGATCATCAAATACTTTCAAACCACTTATAAATTCAAACCAGTTTATGGTAAATTCAACGATGAACTTTCGCAAACCAACACAAAACCAACTGTCAAAACTTTTTTTGGTGGTGTAAGTTGCAATTTTTGGACAACATTTTGAAATATTGTTTTTTTTCAGCTCTTCAACAAACACGAGCCAACTACATGATTCAAATCTGTTTTATAGTTTTTGAATAAAATTTTTCTTTGAGAATCCACTGTTCCAAATTCCGAGTGTTTTGAGACCCAAAAAATTCAAAAAAAAAATCTGTTTACAGTTAGCATATACTGTATAAACAGTTATCCAATCCATTAAAAATTCTTAAATTTCAAAAGAAGTTTATGAGAAAAAAATTACCATTTTACAATTTTTCACATTTCGCCCAATCTGATGAAAATATAAATTATATAACGAATTGAATCATTCGTGGAACTGCACATCGCATTTTACAAAAGCTAAGTTACACGGAACTGCCCTTGGCTGAGCAGTTCATCGAGATTTTTCTTAAGATATTCCGCCATTTCTCGATCAACGGGCAGTTCTTCAGAGACAATTTTTAAAAACCTGAAAATTAATAAATAAAATTAATATCTTTTCATCATAGAACTTACCGATGAATGTGAGGAACACCTTGTCTCACTTCTTCCACTTCTATATCAGTATTATAATCTTGGCATCCCCAATAGCGAAATCTAAATAAACAATAACGGAATTCCAAAAGTGAATAAATGGGCACGGTAGTTTCAAAAAAGTGGGTAGTTATCTAAGAATGGAGATAATATTTACCCTGTATGCAAATATATTCTGACAGTGAGTTTACCACTTTTTTGAAAATACAAATATCTAGTAACTTTCTCATTCAACGATTCAACTGTATAGGCAGGTTTCAAATCGGACATCTGAAATTAGATCAAGAGATTCTGAAAAAGCATTTTTAAATATGAAAAAATTGGCTTACCATCTTGAATTGATTGAATGATGTTGTTAATTGATAATTTCTCAATATAATTCGACAATTTCTATACAAACGAAACATGATTATTTTGTATAAAGTTAGCTGAAATATGGTTAATAATCAGCCATAAATGAGTTTTGGTATAGTGTGATTGTGGATTCCAAATTATCTTTCGGAAATTATGAAAAGGAAAAAATAAGCAAAAAATAGAAAAAAAAATAGTAAACGATAATATAAATAAGAAAAAGAAGAAAAATAAATGAAATTAGAATCGCGGTAAAGCCGTTTCGACCTGAACATCAGACGGCGAAGAGGTAGGTCTCATCAGTGATGCCTCTTTGCTGGACCTTAAGTATTAGTTTTTTTTTTTGTATAAATACGTAAATAGACGCAGCGAAGATTAGAGTGTGTGGAATTGAAAGAGAGACAGAGATGAGGAAGGGAAAGGATAGCATGATGCAAAGCAAAAAAGCACGCAGGCGGTGTCTGAAGTGGACAGACGATTTGGGATTTCGGTCTAGCCCAGACCGTTTGGGAAAGAAGTATTCAGAACTGAGTTACTCACATGTTTTTTATTATGTACGTAGAACAAATGTATTTTTAGAACAAGAAAAAAGGTTCTAATTATAAGAAAAACATTTGAAAGTGTGGCTGAAAAAATGGATAAAAAAAGGGTTTTTCAAAAAGTTAAGTTTTGGAAAAAGCAAAACTTCTACAGAAAATTTGAATTATATAAAAAATTGAATTGGATTAATTTTCAACATTCACCAATCAACCGAGCTTGTTGTTGATTTTCTCGTGGATGGTATCAAATTCAGATGCATCTTGAATGATTTTTTTAATGCGGCAAAAAAACCGAATGTCGAGTTGAGCTCGTTGAAGTTCCAGGGGAAGACATTTTGGGAGAAGTGAAATTTATGATATTTGAAAAATAAATTTTTTGTAGATACCAAATGTTTTTATTGAACTGGTTAGCATTTTTTCGAAAGTCCATAAATTACCTCAATCGCTTCAACTTCTTCAAAACTTCTTGATGATCCTTGAATTAAATTCGATGTCGGAAGATGCTGAAAATTACAGTTTTTAGACAAAAAAGGATATTTCAAATGATTATAAGCTCATAAATTCTTCAAATCCAAGATTTTTTATAGAAGTTTCACAAAATAAAATTCCTTTTTTCTTCAGATTTTTCGAAAGTCTAGAAATTACCTCTTCAATCGCTTCAGCTTCTTGGATTTCAGTTTCCGAACTTTGTGAGACATCAATCGAGCTATCGTTTTTTCTATACGGCTCCGCATTGAATAGCACTCTAACATCATATTCGCGAAACAATTTTATCCAATCCGCGGTTGATTTTGGTGTGTCGTTTGTTGGCAAATTTTTTGAAAGATCATCGATCGAAGTGATAGCCTTGGGTAGGTATTCAAGAATTTTTTGTCGAGCAATAATTGTGTCATTATTCTGGTCATCATTTGTCTCTTCGATACTTATTGCTGTGAATTTCTTATCTGGAACATTCTCATCAAATTCTCCATCATTTTCTCCTTCTTCTTCATTACCAACACATTCCTCAAATCGTATACTACGACGAATTTTCAAGCCGATTGGTTTCGATGTTGATTTGAGAATTGATGATCCTTCGGCGATAAGACAAAAAATTTTCTGGAGTTTGATATGGTCGCAACACATTTTGAATATCAGTTTTATCTGATCCGCCTACTTCCAATTGTAAAACATCTTGACCTTTTCCCTCCCAAATGGCATTTTTCTCGTTTTCCAACAAGTTTTGTATCTTATCCAAATGAATTTCCATCCTTATTTCTTTCATCATAGAATACACCTTTTCAGCCAAATCGATTTCATTGGAGATATTTTGACAAGCTTTCAGCCAATCCAAATAATGATAAATTATAAGTTCTTGTTTTTCTTTTTCGCTTATATCCAAAAAAGGATTGGATCCAATATATTCAAAGGGTCTGGTGGATACCATTTATTACAAGACTTTCCAGCCCCTAATGATGCACCATCTGTGGCCATATTCATACGACCCGTTTGTTTTTTCTTGCTGCTTCAACTTTCATAACATGATATTCTTTCATTTTTTCCATATTTCCATTTTTGGGTGGAACAATTCCATGAGCGACAAATTGACGAACACGCTATATGCTGAAAATGATAAAAATAATTATCTAGCTTTATTTAAAAAAAAATATTTAAAACCATACTTCTATCCACAATAGTTGTCTTTAAATTGAAGCATTCATAATACACCCATTCAGCAATATGTCTTTTCATTTCACTTGTCAAAACTTCACTATCTGCTAGTTTAATCAAAGTGCAATGAAATATTCATCTCGATCCGGCTCATCTTCTGGTTCCACTGTTGCAATTTGTCGGATTGGGCGTTGGAGTGGTAATGATTTTATTGAACTTGATGGGTTCAATGCAACTTTAATAATTCCTCCCATATCAATCCCAACTAATAGTGTTCGGCTTCTTGGCAAAAAACCCAGCGATGTAACACTAACAACTGCAACATCGTAGGTTTTCGAAAAATCTTCTGATGTATAAGTGAATGTTCGGCGAGATTCCGATCGGCTTGGAGCTGAAAATAATTCTTTATCATGTAAAGAAAGAATAATAGAATTAACTCACACAGAACATTGATAATAATTACCGTATTGATGAACAATGATTCCGGATCAAAATCTTCTTGTTGTTGAAGATTACCGATAAAACAACATGAATTTTTCGCGCCAATTGCAACAACATGAGGCCAATTTTCGAAGTTTCGATACAATTTCAATGCCTTTCTCTTTCTGTGCATATCTTCGTTTGTGAAAAGTGTCTTCACAACAGTAATCTGAACATTTTAAAAATAATTCTTATACGCATATGATAAGTTAACAAACCACTTCTGGCACGCCCAAGGTCCAAGCTAATTTGAGATTAACATGTGATCCTAACTGCGATTCCAGGTCAACTAGAAAATTTTGAGCACCTCATGTTGCATTTGCATCGCTTGTGCTAACTAAGATACCGAACAATCCATCTGAAAATGTTCAAAATTTAGATTAACCAATTTATAAATGAAAGAATATAATTTACCTTTGTTTGGACATCAACTATCTTGACTCCATCGGGAAATTCAAATGTATACACTTTTTTATTGCGCTCCAAATGATAAACATGTGTTGTATCCTTGTGTTGGATACGGTGACGAGTCTGACGGCTAAAGCAACGTCAGCTTAGCAATGCCACGAATTGGTACGTGTAGGTCACGTACAATAATAAATAATTATTGCGGATGCAACAACATGCAAAAATTGTGATGATAAATGACGACGAAAGGACATGCTGAACCAAGTGTTGTGGAAAGAAACTTTTTTTGGCCAGTCCATTCAGAACACGTCGTGCCACCACACAAATCCGAGGAGATGCAGAGAAAAAAGACACCGTACTGTCCCCGATCGCCCAGGTGAATCGCTGCAAGACCAATTGGCGAAACCGTACTCTCCCCGGTCGCCCAGGTGAATCGCTGCGAGACCAAGCGTCAAACCGTACTCTCCCCGGTCGCCCAGGTGCATCGCTGCGAGACCACACAAAATGTCTGCGTCTCCACGAAATTATCTTTTCCCATTTGTCTGCCACGACGTGAGAACCAGACAATTGTTTCAGTGGTTTGAAAATAGACGAATCCATCCTGCAAAAATTATCCTTCAATTTTTTTACAGATTTATTCGCAAATTAGGACCAAAACCCCAAAATCTTCCATATAAAAAAACGCTCAAGAAAAATGAATTTAAAAGTCCGCAATGAGAGACCATGACGCAAACTTGCGCACAATTGGTTTGGGCAGCTTGCCAATTAAAGGGAGGACGAGTTGTTGGCTTGACGGGCCTCGTCACGAAGTCGAGATGCACTGCTCGATCGACAAATTCCATTTTTTTCTTTTTTTCTCTTTTTTTCTTGTTTTTTGCGGCGGTTTTCAAAATGGAGGATGCGATTCGTAAGTGAAACTCAACTCTTTCTATTCAACACAACCTACTTATTTCCAGGCAAAATATGTGCGTGTTCAGCACAGTTTTAATCGCTGAAAATGTAGAACTTCAAGAAAATTCGAATTTTTCAAGATTATTCAAAGACTTAAAAGTACCATTCATATAAAATTCATTAAAAATTTCTTACACATCTGAATTATTTGGGGCTGCAGATTCTCCTTCTTGTGATTGTTGTTGTTGTTGCTTCATTTGCACTGAATATCCGCCTTGTTCATTTTGCTTCAATTCAAAACTATCAGTTGAAAGGCCAAATGGTCGAAGACAGAAATCGCCTGAAAAAATTTGAAAAATTTTATTTTAATAGATTCCAACTCAAAAAAAATTTTGTAAATATAAATTTCTTTCATGAGAATCCGGAGGTTGAGATCTTGAACAATTTTCAAAAAAAAATATCCCGTTTTTATTGGAAACTATTCCCTGTTAGTCATAAAACCCTCGAACTTACCAAATCCTTTCAATTTTTCCATAACATCTTTTTTCAGCGCCTCATTTCGCTCGCCAATTTTCAGATTCAAATCCTGTATTTTTCTATCAAACTCGTTTTTTCGTCTCTTCTCACAAATCTCTGCCAATTTTTGATAATCCTCAATTGCCGACTCATATTTTTCCGAAATATTCGAATAAGCAAATGCTCGTCGTTCCAATGCTTTCTCATTTTTCACACCAAGTTCAATTGCATTTGTCGCCGATTCTGCGGCATTTTGCCATTTTTCTAATTTTATTTGAGCGGCTGCAAGATTTGAGAGAAGAATCGCTTTGAGTTCATTCGATGTTTCGGGACACAATTCAAAAGCTTCTTTATAGATTTTTTCAGCTTCTTCATATTTTCCTTCCGCAAATTTCGAATTTCCCTCTTTTTTCAGATTTTCACACTTATCCAAAATATCTTCTTCTCCTTCAACAAACTCTTCAATTATCGCCATTTTCTGAACAATTTTTGAGAAGTTTTTTGAATGTTCAAAAAGATATATAATTTTTCTGGTTAAAAACCAAATAGAAATCTTTCAAACAGAAAAATTGACAAAAATTCATATTGTATAAACAAGAAAAAATAACAGATTTCCTATGGCAAAAACTACGAATAGCGAAAAAAAAATACATGAGATTGATTATTCGAAGAGATTTGTGTATAATTCAGAATAATGCGAGACGAATCGAACATCGATGTCGGTTTTCATGAAATCTGGCAAATCTTCGAAATCTCGTCGATTTTCGGATGGTAGGAAGATACGTTTGGCACCAACTCGGCGAGCCTGAAAAATTGGGAGAACTGACTTTGTTTTCTTCGGAATTTTATTTTTTTCGCAATCAAAAAACTGTGAAATTCTGATAAGCGATTCAGATTTTGAAATTTAAAAAATTCTGAACTTTTTTTGAAGAAAATTAATTTTTTCAGCTCAAAAAAAAATGTAAAATTTTGGATGAATTTCCAGCGATTCAAATTTATTTTCGAAAATTAATTTTTTGGAAATGAAATTCTAATGAAAAATTAGTTTTTCAAATTTAAAAACTTAATTTTCAGAATTTCAAAAATTTTTGCAAAGTGAATTTTAAAATGAAAAAATTAGAACACGTTTTGTAATTTCCCAAAAAAAAATTTGAAAACGACATTTTCATTGAAGTTTTGAATTTTTTACATTTTTTAGAATCAGAACGAGAAAAAATTATAAATTTTAAACCAAAAAATTCCCCAAAAATTCCTCTGATCAGAAAAACTCAAAATTTTATTTTTTGAGCGCAAAAAATTCTGAAAATTCTGAAGATTTTGAATGAAAAAGCGATTCAAATTTTGAAAATTTGAAAAAATCTGATAAATTTGAATGAGAAAATTAATTTTTTGAGTTATTCAAATTTTAAAAAACTTAACGATTTCTGACAAAAATCTGAAATATATTAAATTTTGATTAAATTCAAATTTATTTTCGAAAATTAATTTTTTGGAAATAAAATTCTAATGAAAAATGAGTTTTTCAAATTTAAAAACTTAATTTTCAGAATTTCAAAAATTTTTGCAAAGTGAATTTTAAAAAGAAAAATGAGAAAACGTTTCGTAATTTTCAAAATTACATGAAATTTTGCTCAAAAACTTACAACTTTCAATCAAAAAATTCCCCAAAAATCCCTCTGATCAAAAAAATCTCCAAACTCACCGCAATAACTTTTTCGCGAATTCCTCCAACCGGCAAAACTTTTCCAGTCAACGAAATCTCTCCAGTCATTGCCATATCCTGTACAACCGGTTTATTCAAAGCCAATGACAATAATGACGAAACGAGTGTTACTCCAGCAGATGGACCATCTTTTGGTGTTGCACCTTCAGGAACATGAATATGAATGTGGGCTTTTTCGAGGAAATGATTATCGGGTTGCTCTTTTGATAATATTCCTTTTGCAACAGTTAGCGCAGTTCGAACACTTTCTTTCATAACATCTCCTAAGTTTCCAGTTGTTTCAACACTTCCATCTTTTTCCGATTTTTGATCTACAGCTTTTTTGAGAACTGTTTCAATATATAATGCTGATCCACCCATTGATGTCCATGCTAATCCCATAATAACTCCAGGTGGTGTTGTTTCATACATTCGATCTGATGTGAATTTCGGTTTTCCAACAAATTTTTGAAGATTTTCAGATGTCACTAGAATTTGTTCACAATCTTTTGGCACTACAGTAGTCTCCTGGATTTCTTGAGTATTTTCAGATGATATTGCTGTTGTGGCTGGTTCGTGTTCCGATTGTTGTTCAGCGATTTGAAGTGCAGCTTTTCTGAATATTCGTTCGATATGTTTCTGAAGATTTCGAACACCAGATTCTCTACAATAATGTTTGATGAGTTCTTCGAGTGCCGAATCTTCGATTTTCAAATGATTTTCTGTCAAACTCGTTTCTTTTCTCGTTTGTGGAATGAGATGTTGATGTGCGATTTCGACTTTTTCTTCGGCCAAATATCCGCTGACATCGATCATTTCCATTCGATCTCGAAGTGGTCCGGGGATTTTTCCAATCTCATTTGCAGTGCAGATGAAGAGGACTCTAGAAATTTTAGGATTTTATTTTTGGGAAGAATGAAGCCTTTTCAATTTTAAAAATTACATTTTCTAATTTTTTTTTAAATCAGAACAACGATTTTTTTCAAACTTCACTCCATATTTAAATAAGAATATTAATTTTTGGCAAACTTAATTTTTAAATTCAAAAATTCTGTCATCCAAAAGTTTTATCCAATTTTCTCCGTGAAATTTAGAGATATTCTTAATTCATAAAATTCTATTTCTGGTTTTTTTCTGAACGAATTACAAATTTCAGCAAATTCATGACTTTTAGCTTAGCATTCTAATTTTCCAAGCAATTTTCTGAATTTCCCAATCCGACTCACTTTGACAAATCAACAGGAACATCCAAAAAGTGATCATTAAAATTGGCATTTTGTTCAGGATCCAACAATTCCAAAAGCGCCGACGCTGGATCTCCATGAAAACCAGCTCCTCCAATCTTATCAACTTCATCAATCAAAACAAGCGGATTCTCGGTTCGCACCTTCTTCAAACATTGCACCATTTTTCCAGGCATCGCTCCAACATACGTTCGTCGATGTCCTTTGATTTCAGCAACATCAGTCATTCCACCAACCGAAAATCGAAAATATTGTCGATTCAATGCGGCCGCAATCGATTTTGCGATACTTGTTTTTCCAACACCCGGTGGTCCGTGGAAACACAGAATTTTTCCACCGATATTTTGTCGAAGAATATTTACAGCGATGAATTCAAGAATTCGCTCCTTCACATCTTTCATACCATAATGTCCATCATCTAACGCTTTTTTCGCAGTTCCAAGATGTCGATTCTCTTCCGAAAGAAGTCCCCAGGGAACCGATGTCAACCAATCCAAATAATTCCGAGTTACACTAAATTCACTTGAATGTGGATCCAGAAATTGCAACTTCTGTTTTTCCTCATTGATAACTTTCAATGCGTATTCAGGAACTTTCAAATTCTTAATTCTCTCATCCATTTTCTCAACAATTGTCGATTTTTCATCTTTCTCAATTCCCAATTCTTTTTTAATCACTTTCAATTGCTCATTCAACAAATATTTTCGATGATGATCTTGAACCTTCTTCTCCACATCTTTATTTATATCATGCTTCAATTTCGCAACAGTTTTCTCTTTTTGAATCAATAACAATGCCATTTTCAATCTTTTCGATACATCCGAATCATCCATCACTTCTTGCAAATCTTTCGTTTCAGCAGATTGCACCAATGTTGCCACCAAATCACAAAGATAAACTGGGTTATCAATAACATTTTGAGATGGGTGAAGGAGAAGATTGATTTGTTGTCCGAAAAGTGGATTCAATTGAACAACATCTCTACAAAACATTGATATTTGATTTTAGATTTTACTCAGGTTCGATCCCCGATGCCCGCTACTTCACGAAACCAACCTAATCGTCTGCACAATTGCCATCATCGTCGCTTTTATCTCATCATTTTTACCAACCGGTTCAGTCATAACATTTTCCGTCTTCACCAATACAATTCCCTTTCTCGCAGAATCTGCTGATTCTGGCGTTGAAGGTGGTGGAGGCGGAGGCGGGAACATTCCACGTTTCGCGCGAGATCTTCGACCATTCAAACCTGGCTGAGCTGAAGACACGGCTGATTGTGAAACAACGTGTTGATTCTCATCGACTGGCTCAAGAACTCGAATTCTAAATGAATAAATAAATGTTGATTTTTCTCAAGAGCTAAGTAGATTCAACTAACCTTCTATGCGCACTCAGCACCAATTCCAAAACACTTCCCTGATCTCTAAACTCGATAATTTGTACAAAAGTTCCAGTGTTATAAATTTCCGAAAGACTTGAAATCGTCTCCTCTTTATTTTCCTCATCTTTTTTCACAAACACTCCAGCATATGGTTGTTTCAATTTCAATTGTCGTTTGATCAACGCTTTCAGATTTTCATCTTTAACAATCTGAAAAATCAGGAGGTTTCGAATTTTGTACCCAGACAAAAAAGGACTTACATCAACTTTCTTAATAAATCCGGGGAAGAGTGGATATCGATTGATGGCGATAATTGGAACAATTGGCATTTCTGCTGGCACCGAAATCGGCGACATTCCACCCTGAAAGAACTTTTTGTTTCTGACTTTTTCAATGATAAAGAGGACAAAAACAAAACTATTTTTTTTGAAAATTTTTCAATGAATCATTTTCGTGGCGAGATATTTTGTGCAAAAAAAAACTCACAACATCTTTTGTATAAATTTCCAGCGATGCTTCTTCAGATGGTGTGATATTCGTTGGATCTTCATTATTATTGCTGTTGTTGTTATTATTGTTGGCACTAAAAAATTGAAATGCACACAGTGTACTTTACTACCCAAAAAGTTTTGCGCATTTTTTGAGATCTAAAGATGGGACTCAAAATCGACGAAATTCAACGCGAAAGTAAGAGGTTTAGAGAGAAACTATTTTGATCTACCAGAAAATTCTTGTAAAAAATTGGAGCGATTTAGGGTAGTAAAATAAACCTCCCCAAATTTTTGAAAAAAAAATTTTCTGGCAGATCAAAATAGTTTCTCTAAATCTCTCGTGTCAGATTTCAAAAATGGCGCGAAATTCCCATCAGATTATCCCTCCCTTATAAAAAGAAAGTTAGCCAAACTCACCCACTGGAAAACGCTCGAATTTGAAAATCTTTCTGCCTGTGTACAATCAACAATCCATTTCTCTGCGTATTTCTCAATAAAATTCCAGAACTTGCAGCTTTTCGTGCTCCGCGGAGCGCAAGCCTTAACATTTCTCTAAAAAAAATTTCTCTTTTTTCATCTGAACTTCTACTTGTAAATAAAAAATGATATATATTTGTGAACCGTGAAAAGACGGTGATGTTTTTTTGTTCAATTTTTTAACATCACATTCAATAAATTTATCCAACCAGAAGATATATAAATTAATTAATAAATACATATTAGCGATTTTTTGGTAAAGGAAAGAAGAAATGCGATCCCGAGTTGATAATTTTCCCGATTATTGTGTTTTCTTTGTCTCTTTTTCTTCAGCATTCGGAGTTTGCCACTGAAAAATCGATAATTTGAGTTTGATATTTATTCAATTTATATTCAAACTCACAACAATCGGATTTTTGCGGAAAAGGAACGGCCATGGTGGCAAAATGATCAAAGCGGTGAAAAGCGCTGAAGCCATTATAATATACATTGAATGACTGAGTTGTTGGGTCCAATAACCAACGAAGAATGCAATTATTCCAGAAATCGTCAAGATTACCTGCAAAAATTATAATAATTGCGTCATTTTTGCAAAATCTTTTTACATGATAAGTTGTTTCAGCAACTCGTTGTCCTCTGAAATCCAAATGTGTTGACAATTTTTGAATTGGCGCTGGTAACATCGCAATAATTCCATCCATTTTTCTGAAAACCACAAATTTTTTCAACTGAAAAACACACAGAACGCTATAATTGTGAAACGTCACCAAAAATTAACACACAAAAATAAATATATTGCAATGGAGCGAACATGCGCGATTGAGAAGATATTGCAGAAAAAGGAAAAATTTATGAATAACTATTTAAACTAAAGAAAATACAAAAAAGAAGACCATAGAGCTTTAACCTAATATGATCTAAAAAGAAATACAGAAGAATTAATATGATCGAACTTTTGGTGGAACCCAATCAGTTTCATTTTTGTCAAGAGTTTTGTCGATAACTGGGCGATATGTCAAATCAACTTTTCCAGTTTCAAGATCGATTCCAATAATTGAATGTTTGCGCCAATGATCTTTGAACTCCTTTTTCTTTTGTCCTTCTAATGGTTTACTATAATCAAGTTCATCAATTCGATCTGGGAAGTCGTCACGAGCATGTGCACCGCGGGATTCCTGAAATAAGAATTTAATTTTCATTCCAAAAAAAACTGAAACTTACAGTTCGATTCTCAGCAGCAACAATAGTTTGATTGGCATTGATCAATAAATTTTGCAATTCTAACGTTTCAACCAATTCCGAATTCCAAACTTTTCCTTGATCTCCAATTGCACTCAAATGATGTTGATCTTTGAACAATTTGGACATTTTCTCAACTCCTTCTTTCAAAATATCTCCTCTTCTAAAAACAGCAGCATGTTTTTGCATTGTCATCTGCATTTGTGATCGAAGTTCTCTTGATGAAATATCTCCTTTAGAGTTGAACAATCCATCGATGTTATCGATTGATTTCTCTTCACATTTCTTTGGAAGTTCAGGAATATTGTCTCCAGCTTTGTTTTCTTTCAAAATGCTAGAAAAAAACTAGATTAATTATTTTTCAAAAAAATCTCACTTCAAAGCACACGATCTTCCAAAAATGACAAGATCCAACAAGGAGTTGGCTCCAAGACGATTAGCTCCATGAACTGAATGTGCACCACATTCTCCAGCCGCATACAATCCAGGAACAACTTCATCACCTTTTTCTGGAGTGAACTTCAAAACTTGTCCTTTATAATTGGTTGGAACACCTCCCATATTATAATGCACTGTTGGAATAACTGGAATTGGTTCTTTTGTGACATCAACACCAGCGAAAATTTGAGCAGTTTCTGAGATTCCAGGCAATCTTTGTTGCAATTGTTCTGCTGGTAAATGATGCAATTGTAAGAAAATATGATCTTTATTTTCTCCAACTCCTCGTCCTTCCAAAATCTCCATTGTCATTGCTCGCGAAACAACATCTCTAGATGCCAAATCTTTTGCCACCGGCGCATATCTTTCCATAAAACGTTCACCTTGCGAATTCACCAAAAATCCACCTTCTCCTCTCGAACCTTCAGTGATCAAACAACCAACACCGTAAATACCAGTTGGATGGAATTGGACAAATTCCATATCAGAGTTTTTGATACCTGCACGAGCGGTCAAAGCGGTACCGTCACCAGTGCAAGTGTGAGCAGATGTACATGAGAAATATGCTCTACCATAACCACCAGTAGCTAGAACAGTGTTTTTGGCGCGGAATCGGTGAATTTGACCAGTTTCAATGTCCATGGCAATCACACCAATGCAAACACCCTGAAAACAAAACATGTTTTTAAGTAGTTTAAAAATAAAATTTTGAGTACCTTATCCATAATGAGATCCAATGCGAAATATTCGATGAAATAATTACAATCATATTGGAGAGATGCTCCATAAAGTGTGTGAAGCAATGAATGTCCAGTACGATCAGCAACACAACAAGTTCTATGTGCTTGTCCTCCTCTTCCAAAATCATTCGATTGTCCACCAAAAGCTCTTTGATAGATCTTTCCTTCAGTTGTTCGTGAAAATGGCATTCCATAGTTTTCCAATTCAATAATTGCTCTTTCAGCTTCTCTTGTCATGTAATGAATCGCATCTTGATCTCCTAACCAATCTGATCCTTTGACTGTGTCGTAAAAATGCCATCGCCAGTTATCTGGATTCATATTTCCAAGAGCAGCATTTACACCTCCTTGCGCAGCAACAGTGTGGGATCTTGTTGGAAAAAGCTTGGTGATGACAGCTGTCTTCATACCACCTTCTGATAAACCCATTGCTGCTCGAAGACCAGCTCCACCAGCTCCTACAACAACTGCATCAAAAGTGTGATCAATAACATCGAATGTGTGGTTGCTGGACAAAGGTTTTCTGAAAGTCAATATTTAGAATACCGTGATTTTCAATTGATTTACCAACTTCATATAATTTCTAACAGCACCATTAACACATTTCGCATTTTTTGCAGCGTTTAACATCCTGAAAACCTAGGTTTTGGTTGTTGGCGTAAAAGCTTTTGTCAAGAAAAAACAAACGAAAAACAAAAATTTTGAAATGAAATTTTTGTGTAGCGCGCATCACTACCGTATCAATCCGTTCGAGACCACACATATAAATTTGAAATGTGCGTCTTGAATACAGTAAGAAAAAAAAACAAAAAGGTAGAGTTCACGTGTCTTATTTGTGTTTCGAATAACCTGTCAATTTCGGTATTTTGATAGGAGTGTGAGGGATTCAGCTTTGAAAAAACAAAGGCGTGTTTTGAACTTTTTCAAGCATTTCATTGGAATTGAAAATTCAACTTAATTTTTTAATTTTTCAAACGTTCACTTTACTCTGGAAATTTTAACTTGAACCAGAAAAAAAACTCATGAAACTTTTCTAATTACCTGAAATATTTCTAACAATTTATCTTGAAATAAATGCTCAGAGCGAAGTTAGTAAAAAAAATCATGAATTTATAGGCACTAAATAAAAAAGAAAAATAAAACAAATCTACATTCGTTCAAAAATAGACAATTCAAATCTACCAGAAATATTTGGAAACAGATTTTGGAATCCAGTTATCGTAGAACTTTGGTCCTGCGTATTCCGAATGTTGACGCCACAAATGCTCGCGAGTTTCAACATTTCCCCAAGAATGAGCGAAAACCTGAAAGATAAATTGAAAATTAAGTACAAAAATCGATGAAAAAGAAAACGAACCTCAGTGGCTGATGGATCCCACCATTTTTCACCTAAAGTGAAATACACTGGTTCTCCATACCATGTTCCAACTTTCCATCCTGGAACATCTTTCATAATTTCCTCTTCCAATGCGCGATTTTTTGCCAAAAGTTTGAGCCAGCTAAAATTTAAGAAAACATTTTTACAGATAGGAAAAAAAGAATAAAAACTCACTCTCTATCTCTTTCAGCTACTAAGAATGGTTGCATCGCGTTATTTACATCAACATCTTCGAATTTTTCTGTGCTGCAAAAAAAAACAAAATTTATTATCTTTCAAAAACAAAAGAAACAACTTACATTGCGCTTTTCTTGTTTTCCAACGCGGCATAAACTCCGTAAGCTGTAGCTCCAAAAATTGTGGCAACAACCGCTCCAGCTAAAAAGAATACAAATTCATTTCTGCTGAAAAAACAAACTTTCAAAAAAAAACTCACGACTCCAAACCAATTTTGGGAAAGTTCTATTCCAATTAAATGTTCGATATCCTCCTTTCGGAGGCATATCTTGCCTGAATTCGGCTCCAGTGGCCATTTTACCTGAAATTTTGAAGTTTTTTTTTGAGAAAATGGAGTTTTTCTTGGAAAAAAACAGAATAAAATCGGCAAGGCGGCACACTCCAGCTGGGCGGGGCCAAATGTGCACTTCTGCGGCATGTTTGTTTCAAAACGCGGAAATTTTTATTTTTTGTTCGTTTTTGTTGTTTCGTGTTCACCTCAGAGAAACAGGCTGGAGAACCGGCGGAGAAAACGACATGTCGGCGAACTCTCGGACAACCGGCGGAGTGTCTCACCTACACTATTTCGCCGAAACTTTTGTCCAGCGGTTGTTCGAAAGTTCGCCGACAGGTCGTTTTCTCCGCCGGTTCTCCAGCCCATTTCTCTGAGCACGTTTCATCAAGAAAATCTTTATTTTCAGAAAAAATGTCACAAGAAATAATCAACAAATTACTCGAATCATCAGCCAAACTACACACTATCAAAGGGCTTCAACAACCAGAAGAATTCTTATTGGAAAATCGAAATTTGGAAGAAACAAAACAAGAACTTCTTCGAAAAGTTCTTCAAGCTGAACAAGAAGCAAATGACGGCGAGGAGAAATTCTTGAATCTCAAAAAACATCGAGATGAAATGGGTGAGCTCGATTCATTTTCCGTTGAAGTTGGAATGTCTTTTTTTGCAGAAAAAGTTTCCTCGAAAGATCTCGAAGCCATAAAAAATATGGAAAATCGTCGTGCTCGAGTAATCCAACAAAAAAATGAGTTCGCCAAGACTTTGAATGATTCTAATATGAAATTCGAAGATTATCAACAGGCAACGCAAATTTTGAACAATTTACAATGTTTATGCGACGACAATTGATGTATTTATAAATAATTAAATATTTCTGTCACCCGCCAAAAACTATTTAAGAAATGAAAAAGGATCACAGAAGTTCTCAACAAAACAAGCTAGAAAACAATTTTTAAAAAAGTTATTATAATTCAATGGCTTTCGATAATCCAACAAGAATCGCTCCACAAATAGTTACACTCATAGCGCATCCCAAAATCATGAAATTTCGTTTTCCCTCAATTTCCTTGTAATAGAAAATACTCCAAGCAGCTGCGATGCAACCAGGCATTTGAGATATTATTGGAAATGTGACGGTTTGTGACAAATTCTGATTTGCGATGAAAAACGAGGTTTGTGCGACAGCCCAAAGAAGGCCAGAGGCGATACCAGGAAGACATAATTCAGGAGTCACGTAGGGTTTATTTTTTCTGCAAAAAAAATATCTTTTGGAAGTTTCTCACCTAAAAAACTCACTTGAAAATTGCATAGAAAACAAACAGAATGGTGGATGTTATAAAAATCCCAAAATAATGCGAAAAAACGTAGCTAAAACCATCAGATGGTTGATTCGGAAACTTGACAGGATTGTCAATCATATAAATCACCGGCACAAAATTCATTCCATAAAACACGCCAGCCACCAAAGCCGCCACAACCGCACCAATTCTTCCACCACTCGAAACATCCACTTCGATTGCATTTCCTGATCCTGTTCCAGTTTCAGTTTCAGATAGCATCGCCTCTTTTTCCGGTAAATCATCGAGTTTCAAAGTTGACGATTTCAATTGTTTCGGTGTACTTTTGACACGAGAGAAAAGTGTTCCACCAACAACAACACAAATGAGACCGAGATAATTGAGCATTGGACTTGCTGGAACTGATGGATTCATTCCGAAAAGACCAAATCGTCCGCCAGCCCAACCAGTTATACAATTTGTTGTGTTCCAGATGAGGATTGAAATTGCCATACCAAGTCGAGAAATGATTGGAATTGCGGTCGCATTACCTAGAATTTTTGACTTTTTTAAAGTGCTTTTGAACTATATATTTTTTGAACAAACATCAAAATTTGCATTGATAAACCTTGTCACAAAATATTATTTGATCATCAAAACAGTGTTTGATGTTTGGACACAAAAATAGTGCTGGTTTTTGAAAATTTTTCGAAAAACCCCAATTCTTGGTATTCGCCTAGTTTTATTGTTGTCTAGCGAGAGCCGAAATATGGAAACCCATTGCAAAAAAACACTAATTCAAACCACGCGGGCTGTCGTCAACGCGGAGTCTCGTTGTTTTCTTTTTATTTTTTTGCAAATTTTTGGAAAATGACAATTCTTTTCTATTTTCTAGATATGAAAAAAAAACTAAATTGAATAAGTTTAAAGATTTAATATTTTCAGATGTATTTAAAAAAGTTAACTTCAAGATTGAAATTCAAAAGAAAATCAAAACTCCACTACAAACAATTTTCTAATAATTATTTTCCTCACCCAAACACCACGATGCTCCACCCAACATTGAAAGTGGATAAAAACCCGGAAATCCAGCGTAGCAAAACGCGCCAAATCCAACAAGCAAAATCGAGATCGACATCAGCCACTGGGCGAATATTCCATCTCTTGGATCGACTGTTTTTAAAGGGACAAACATTGAGCCAAAAAATAGGGAAGATACGGCACATGCAGCTAAGCCAATTGCAACTGACATGGTTTTCTGAAATTTTAAAATAAGTTTCAGAATTCAAAAAAAAATCGTACTAAAAAAGTACAAAGAAGAGAACAAAGAAGAGAAAATGTATCAAAAAAAAAAAAATAAGCCCAAGTTTAAATATGGAAATTATTGAGTTCAAAAAAAGGTGTCAATAATCGTTTTTGATAAAATGAAATAAAAATTTTGTCGAAAAATTGACGAGGCGGAGAGGAATCGCAATGTTTATTTATTTAAGTACACTTTGAATCGGAGAGGAGAACAAAAAAGAGTTTGGTGTCAAGTTTCACAAGGTTTTTAGCAGGTTGTACATTGTTTCGAAATTGAGACGATTTTTTTGTTGTGAAAATAGATATAACCAAGGGTTACTGTAGGGAATTGGATAAAAACTCGGGCGGAATTTTGTTTTGAAAAGAAAATTTTGAAAAATAATTTTTTTTTGGAATCGAATTGGTTCACTCAAAAAAAAAAACGATAACTAATTTTAAAAGTTCAGCTAGAATTCAATCGGAAATTCAGAAAAAAAAATCTGAAAATGATTTTTCGAATGAAAATAGGTCACGTTTAATTTTGAAAAAATGTTTCATTTTAAATTTTCCAGAAAATTCTTCCACGTGGAGAAGGCGGAAACAATCAAAAATGTTTCATTTCATTTCAAAAAAAAAAAAGAGACGCAGACAACAAAAACAATGTATCCAAGTAACCGTTCAAACCATGAGCAACCGACAGAAAAAAAATCATAAATAAAAAATGAATTCCTGTCCCTCTTGGTGTCCAGCTTCTCTCTGCTTCTCTGTCGCCCTCTCATCTCCTCACACTCTCTCACAACGAACATCTGGCACAAAGCCAAGAAGGGTCCATTTCTCATTTTTGGCTGGCTGATTTTTTCTCGACAAAATGTCATTTTACTCAATTGTTCATCAAATTTCTTTTTGGATTATTCTAGCATTTATTTCTAGTTTTATCATCAGATTTATGTAAGTTGTAAATTTTTTTAAAAGATTTCCAGAAAATCTGCAATTTTTATTTTCAGACTTTTAATGGATCCGAATAAACGTGTCTATAATCATACTCCTGGACCATGTCGGGTTGTTTCAGAAAAATGTGAGTACTGTAACAGTAACCCGATTTTTTTTTGAAAAAAAGTTTTTCAGATAAGGGAACGGCTGGAATTCATTTGGTAGAATCACAAAATCGTGTATATATTACGTATGGTTACGGTAGAGGTGAGAAGTTTCCAAATAAGCTACAGTATTCCTGGATTACTGTAATTTCTTTTATAATTTTCTTGGGATTGCTCATGCTAAAAAAGTATTGCTCGTTCAAATTTTTTGTTCAAAGATTTTACAGTATTCCTGGATTACTGTATTTCTGAACTCCCGCTTGAATATTGTACGAATTTCTATAATGTTTATAGCATTGCTCATGCTAAAAAAAATAATTAAAATTTTTCTGAAATGATAATTCAAGACTGAATCGTTGCTCATGTTATCAATTTCTTAATTTCCCAACATTGCTCATGTTTAGTGAGAATTTTGAATTTTCTCAGTTTTCAATATGTCAACGCCGGCCGGAATCGCCACCTTCGAAGTTCGCAAAATCGATCCAACCGCTCAAACTCAAAACCCGCATATTTACGATTTGACAGAACTGCGAATACATTGGAATGGTTATAAGAATAAAGTGGGTGTGAGAACGACACTCCGCGTTTACACTAGGAATTTTCTTTCCCATTTTGCAGGTGTAAACGCGGAGTGTTGTAGTTTTTCTCAAAATCAACATTGAATGTACATTTTTCCAGTCAACATTTTCACCATCCGGAATATCTTCCTATTCTTCTGCCGGTCGAACTCTTCTCTACATAATCGATTCGCTCAATTCATGTATTCAATTCTTCCAAGTCATCGACAAAACCACAATTTCGCATCGAAAAGCCATCTGTGATCCGGAACAATTAGCCAATCTTCAAGATATTACTGTCGTTGGCGCTGATCGATTTTATGTCTCTAGTTTGACATTTTTCAATAATCGATATTTGCGAATTTTCGAATTGGCAATGCAAAGCACAATCGGAAAAGTGTATTTATATGATGGGAAAGAATTGGGTGTGGCTATTGATAAATTAGCATCACCTTCAGCTATTAAATATGATTCGAATCGAAATTTGTTGTATGTTTCGAGTTTTCTAAATGAGGTAAGTTCCCAGCTACTGAGCTATTTATTTCAAAAAATTCCATTTCTAGGTTATCCGAGTTTATAAAGTTGGAAAAGATCTCACACTCCAACTAAAAACCGAAATCTCCACATTATCCAGTGTCGTCGGAATCCACATCGACAAAAAAAGCGGTGATCTCTGGGTCGCCTGTCATCCCGTTCTATTCCAAACCATTCTTCACTATTATAATCCGCATGAGAAGAATATTCGAAGTCCCAGTCAAATTCTACGCATTCGAATGCAAGAGGACGGCGTTTCTTGGGTTATAACTGAACCCTATGCGAATGATGGAGCGACGATTTCATCGAGCCATTCTTTGGCATATTTTGAGGAACAATTATTGATTGGTACAACTTTTGGCAGATTATTACATTGTGATGTTTTGAATCCGCAAATCACATAAATTAATTTATTATCGATTATTTTACAGCTGGGGTGAGGGGGCGGGGAAGAAATTAATCGGTATAATCTTCAAAAGCCAAGCATTCATTGTTCGTTATGGAATCGGAAAAATTTTGGGGGTTAAAGTAGATCTGACGCCAAAATTTGGAGAAAAATTAGAAAAGCTAGAAAATTCTAAAGATCTGAAACCATGTCCAAAAATTACTAACATGAGCAATCCTTAATTTTTTGGATTTTAGGTACTCTCAAAAAATAAGTTATCCTAACTTAAAATTCAGGAAGTTTGAATTTTTCATCTAGAATTCTGGAATCTCAATATCCCAACCTTAAGGGCCTTCAAATTAGGATAAACAACAGGCATATGGAGTGTCGTTTTTCACCACCAGTTCGGTAGCGCGCGGATGCTCAACTTCTGGAATTTTCTATCGCGCGCAAAACCACAATTGTATATTTTGACTTTATGCGGCTGATTTTGTTTTTCTGTTTTGAATGCGGCTGATTTTTTTTTCTGTTTTGATTTTTGCGGACGTTTTGAAATAGGACACGACCATTTACTCCAATAGAAAATTGCCCCTCGGGTCAGACGAGAGACGACGAGAGTCTGATGACGTCATCTGAGACAGAGATAGACATCGCTTCTAAATCATCAGTTGTCATAACTTCCTCATCTTCATTCAAAGTATATCTCGGTGGTTTCCAAGAATATCGCTCAACCGAACTCTTTTCCAATATATTCAAAATCCTCATCCCTTTTATATTCCAATAATCTCCGATTCTTCACGAAAAACTTGACAATCCACTGATGAAATAAATCATAGTTTTTTTTTCGGAAAAATGGGCGAATTTTAATTCCAGATTCACTCAAATTATGGCGAATCATTTCACATTCATCCATCACAATTTGAACCAATATTTCGATACTATTCGCCGTATTCATAACAACCACATCTTTTGAAGGCGCTGTCTAGCTAACTCAATCTGAAATTTTGTTATTTTTCGTTTTGAAATACGATGATTAAAAATTGCACTCACATCTTGTAAACTGACCATCTTCTCTTGCCCTTCAACAATTTTTTCATCTTCTTCATAAATTGTTCGTTTTGAATGTGGCCCAGTTACAACAAGTGTTGTTCGACGATTATTTCGCTTCGGTGTATTCGTGGACATTTTTCCGTAATTTTGGAGAAACGTCAAATTTACGTTTTTGAACCAGGCGTAATGGGGCTATTCAGCGATTTTCTCCCAAAACGGGAGGAGAAAACTTCATTTTCTCAACCGTTTTCCTATTTTCTCAGCTGGTGAAAAAATCGTCTGCAAAAAGGCGTAACAGTGTTGTGTTCAAAGTTGTGTGTAAACACACGCACAAAAATTCGAAAACAAGTTGTGCGCTAGAGCGCATTTACTTGCTTTATTTCGTAGGTTTTAACTCGCTTGTGTTTTTGAGGAAAAAACATGGGCTGAATTGATATTAGAATTTTTTCTAAAACTGGAACTTTCCAGGAGCACCTTATTCCTATCTAAACCACGTTTCTTTGAGTTTATCCCAAAATGGAGGAAAACTTTATTTTAAGCGGAATTATAGATTTCAAAATCTTCTTTGTTGTGATGTGAATTATTCTCTGAATCTCGGAAAATTATCAGAATACAACTTTGTAATTGCGCCGCCTTCTTTTTCAGTTTGTGATGAATAAGATTGTTTTCAGCCTCCAACGAGTTTCAAGATTGACATGAGTGTAATCGAAAAACTTAGACGCGAACCGAGTCAAGCGGACCTAACATTAGAACAAACAAGGATGGAGAATAACCCGGTTCTCCGCACTGCGGTTATCCGAGAACTTCCAGCCAATATTACTCAAAGATCAGTTGAGGCAATTGCCGAAGAATTTGGAGATGTTGAAAGGTGTTGGAGAGGTGGTAAATACTGGATGATTCGATACGTAAGTTATTATTACTTGCATTGTTTAGAAATACGAAAAAAACTATTTGTGATTTCTCATTGTAAAATTAGTAATAGTAATGAAATTGAAGAACTCAAAATTTAGGAAATTTTCTGCAACAAAAAAAAAATGAAATTTGAAAAATTTGATTTTCAACATTGAAAGAGTAATCACTGGCAAAATACGGCTTGTGTGCTGCAGGCCTACTGCAGATCTGAAGGAAATGCGTGCCTGCTGCGCGTCTGCTGCAGATCTCAAAAAATTTTGCAGATCTGCAGCAGACGAGCAAAAAAATGTTTTCTGCAGAATTTAAAAAAATTCAAAGTTTTGCGATTGAAATTGAAATCTCGGGAAAAAGCTGAATAGTAAAGAAAAGTCGAAAAAAAAGCTTAACTAATAGAAAATCAAAAATTTCGATTTGATTTCAAATCTTGGAGAAAAAATGAATTTTAAAAAAATTAAAAAACAAATTTTAAAAAAATTTTTCGGCGTGTCTACTGCACGCCTGCTGCAGATTTCAATTACCCTGTGCAGACGTCGTGCAATGCATATCTGCAGTAGGCCTGCAGCACACAAGCCGTATTTTGCCAGTGATGTTAAAAATTACCATTTTAGTCAAATTTCGAAAAACAAGAAATGAGTTTAGAGACGTTTTTCGACAGTTTCACACAGCGAAATTAGTGACGGTTTTTTCTGCTATATAACCTTAAAAAACGTTTTAGAGTTACACCTAAATTTATTTGGAGATTACCTATTTCTAGATCTCCGTTACCACTTATCTAAAATTCTGAACGGAAGTTTTTTTTTAAATTTCGGTCAGTTTTTTCGAGATCTAAAATGCATAAAAAGATATTGTAAATACCCTATAGGCAGCAAACTACTAAAGTGATGAAGAGAGAATTTTTTGTCCTAGAATTCCTTTCTAATTTTTAAACAATATATCACTCCTTTCTAATTTTTAAACAATATATCACTCCTTTCTAATTTTTAAACAATATATATTTACAGAGGGTGGTGTCTAGTGTTCAATTACTAAAAGAAGGAAAGCCTGATCTGATTATCTCACAAAGTGTGTACAAAACTTCGGTAGAAATTCAACCGATTCCAAAATCTTGGACCAACGAGTTTGCTTTATGGAAGTTCAAACAATTGTGTCCCGCGATTCATTCAGCTTGCCACAAAATGAAAAATGGTGCAAAAACGGGAGTTATTATTCTACACATGGAAGACAAGGACGCCGAGGAACTATGTCAACAAATTAATGATAATACAATCTCATTAAAAGTGTAAGTTTTAAGGCCAACCATCGCCGTGGTCCATTCAAATTAAGAATTTTTTGGAATTGAAAATATTTAACGTGAAATATGCTACATCATGCTTAAGCCAAAAATTTCCCGGTATTTTCATTGAAAATTCAATTTTTCGGTTTTCCGGAAAATGAGCTTAGAAAATCGGGAATGAAAAAGTTTAATAGTAATGAGAAATCTTTTAGAGTATGACATAATAAATTGAAATTTTGGAGAATATGCATATGTTCTGATACTTTGAATTTCTGAACGGAAAATGTTTGAAAGAGTTAATGAATTTTGTTTAAAATGCGGAATTGTTGTTTTCCGTGTTTCATCTTTCCGGCACAAAAAATTTAACAACTGAATTTTGACAATGAAAAATTCTAGAGAAACAATTTTGAAATGAAAACAGATAATGTCTCTATCTCCTATCAAAAAACTTCTATTTCAGAACAAGGGAACCACTTCATGCAAAGAAAGTTCAATTCTCGGCAACAGGATTTTTGGAAAGAACAGCTACTGCGGAAGAACGCCGGTAATTATTACATATGTTCTTGTCAAATGATAAAGCAACCAAGCACAAAGCAACAACATTTTCTTTCTTGTCACCTATGGTACTGTATGATCTAGAATCTTCGATTTTCAATTATCCCTGATTAAAAGTCCAGGTTTAAACCCATTAATTCCATCGAATTTTTCGAGATCTGACACATACCACGCTCAGGGTGAGGCATATGCACGGCGCCAATAAAAATTTACGGGAATTCACCTCGCCAATTTGAGATTTTCTTGAAAAACAGCAAATTGTTGCTTATTTTCCCGTTAAAAAGTGGTATTTTTCAGTCGAAAAGGTTGTTTTCACCTCGCCAAAAAATTTCTAAACTCACACCGCCAATTTTCGAAGTTAATTTTCGAAGAAGCACGAAGCTGGGCGTGGTATGAATCCGCATGAGAAAAACGTTCGAAATCCCAGTCAAATTCTACGCATTCGAATGCAAGAAGACGGAGTTTCTTGGGTTATAACTGAACCTTATGCGAATGATGGAGCGACGATTTCATCGAGTCATTCTTTGGCTTATTTTGGGGAACAATTATTGATTGGAACAACTTTTGGCAGATTGTTACATTGTGATGTTTTGAATCCGCAAATCACATAAATTAATTTATTATCGATTATTTTACAGTTGGAGTGAGGGGAAGGAAAAAGAAATTAATTGGTATAATCCTCAATACCCAAGCATTCATTGTTCGTTATGGAATCTGAAAAAATTTGGAGGTTCAAGTAGATCTGGTGCCAAAATTTAGAGAAAAATTAGAATTATAAAGAAGTGAAACCATGTCCAAAAATCACTAACATGAGCAATCCCTAATTTTTTGGATTTTAGGTACTAGTTTTAATTTTTCATCTAGAATTCAGGACTCTTCAGAAATTTCAAGAAAATTCTTTTTAACATGGGAAAAATTCGAAATTTAAATTTTTTCTTTAAAAAAACCTAAATCTAAACCTTACCTATCACAAAAAGCGAGTTTTTTCTGAATGAGCTACAGTATTCCTGGCTTACTGTGTTTTTCAATTCAGATCCTAAAATTTTGGGGAATTCTAGAATTTTCCTGGCATTGCTCATGCTAAAAAATTGTTTTTTTTTTCTGAAATGATAATTCAAGACTGAATTGTGGATTGTACCAAAAATCGTTGCTCATGTTATCAATTTCTGAAGTTTCGGAAGTTTTCCAACATTGCTCATGTTTAGTGAGAATTTTACATTTTCCAGAAAATCGCCTAACTTCATAGAATTTTTTTTTGATAAAATTAAAAGCCAGCTTGACTGGTCTGGTAAAAAATAGAATAGGATTTAATTGGGATAAAGTTTGAAATGTAAATTTTTCCTAAAAACCTTACCTATCACAAAAATCGGGCTGACAACAGGTCTTCTATAATTCTCCGTCTCCTCTTCTTCATCCCGATTGTCCGGCGCAATAACAATTTCCGATTTCTCAACTTTATTCGTGATTTTCCCCCCACATTTTTCAATCATCCAACAAATATCCGCTCGTTTGGGAGCACAATTTCGATGCACAAAAATGGCTCGATAATTCGAAAACGTGATTTTCGAAAACTTTCGTTTCTTCAATAAATCTTTCCATTCTCCATATTCATATTCATCCGCATCCAATAATTTCGAATCCTCTTCCGATTCTTCGAGCCAAATTGGTTTGACAATTGGAATATCCAAACATATCGCTTTTACAACTAAAAGTGTTCGATGTCCATCTCGACTTATTACACATTTCGTTTTCTTTTCATCCAATTCAGTGGATATTTCGAGCTCGAATTCTTGTGCAATTCGTTTCAACTCATCAATATTTTCTTTTCCAAATCCAGTAAAAACAATCGCATTTTTCGCATTTTTTTCCTCTTTTCGAACTTCAGAAATATCCGAAATAAAAATCATTGCTATCAAAAATCATAAGATTATTCATTGTTTTCGATTTCGTCACAACAAGCGGAACATTCTCTGGAAAAATCAATAATTTCCAAACCAAAAAAACAAACAAACTTCTTCTAGAACTCGCTGGTCTTGGCATCTCATCAGGACTCGAATTAATCGTCATTGATCCCAAAGCTTTTTGAATTTCCGGATCATCATTCGGATTTACAGGTCTCCGAATTCGACTCCTAGTTCTACTCATATTTGAAGCAGGTTTTCGAACTCTTGTCAGATTCGCATTATTTCGATAAGTCTCATGGATCACAGGTAATTCAGCAGGAACAGTTTTTCTCATATCATTCACAAGTTTCAAATTTTGTGGAGGATTTATAATAGTTCGAGATTTTTTTCTTGGCTGTTTTTTCAGGTTCCCAAGTTTCACGAACATCTGAAAAAAACCGTTGAAATGAAGTTTCTCAAGAGATAAAAGGTCACCATGATTTGCTTCCTGAAGTCTCAAAATATCCAACATGGCATCATTTCTATGCGCATAAACATAACCACCGAATGATCTTCGTCTTTTGATATCCGATAAATTCGACATCTCCTCGATATTTTTGCGAATTTTCGCAACGTTTTTCAATTTTGCAGCAGCTGGAGGAGCTGGAGAAGGAGTGGGTCGACGGCGGGCTGAAAATTTTCAGATTGTTTAAGATGTTTTTGGCCTAAAAAATCCAACTGAAACTCACTCGGACAATCTGGCGAATGATAAGCGAATCGAATCAACGGATTATCTGAAAATTGAAAATTTCTATCTCAAAAGACACAAAGAACTCACAATTCATAAGCGCGTCCAATCTTTCCGATAAACTTTTAATTTGATCAATAAATTCAACAAGATCCGAAGTCGTCATGTTCAGAAAATCGGATTCATTCTAAATCATAAATTAATCTTACGATAAATCTTACAAAATGAATCTTACATGTTCATCTACAACATGAGAAAGTCGACGACAAGATTGTTTTAAATAATGGCAATCATTCATCGAGTAATCCTTTTCACGGAGTCGCTTTTTCTTATCAACACAGCTAAAAAACAATAGATTCTCTAAATTAATCAAGCAAAACCAAACTCTTGAATCCATTTCACATCAACCATATTCAATAAATCGCCTTTTTCCATCGCTTCCTTGACAATTTCAGCATTTGCATATCTATCAATTACAACATGAGTTGTCTGAAAATCCACATGATTTTGAATTGTGGCGCCCATTTCCTCCAAGTTTTTCAAGAAGTGTCGTTTTATTGGATGACAACATCCAGCTGATAATACAATATAAGTTCCAGTTAGAACTTTTGCATCATCTTCTTCTCCTTGTTCAAATTCATATTGTCTTGAATTCACAGTGGAATCGGGAACAACTTCATCGCTGAAAATAACACTTCAGAGATTCTAAGACAGATTTCAAAGTAACCTGTTGACTTCCGAATGATCCATTTCCATTCTAGAAGCTCCCATCGTTTGATTTTGTTGATTCGAAATCGGCCGACTTCTCTACAAAAATATAATTCAATAATTTTAATAAAACGTAATCTGAGCAACTTACGGGTGTTCCATATGAGCTGAAATGCACACTAAAATCATCGGTGAATTCATCATCGTAAATCGGCGAAACATCGGGCTCGAAATCGTAAGCAATCGACATGTTTTTTCGTGAAAATTAAGTAGAAATGAAACAAAAACACAAATTCAAAAACATGTTTTTTTCGCGGGATGCGGCGTCATCTAGTGGAGTGTTGTTGTTTTTTTTTTGCTGGAAAAACTCAGAAAAATGTTTGCCGTGTATCCGGCTTAGTACTTCAGAACCATCAAAGCCAGATGAGAAATAGATGGAATTTATGAAATGCGCGATCAAATTCCACGTGGTCCAGATTTACACGTTAATGTCTTTATCCCCGGGAGTTTTTTAAGGAGAACCTAGAGATTTTTCTATAAATCCCGTGGGATAATAATTTATAGAAACCCTCCGGGAACCCTGAGAATCTCACACGCTTCACTTTTCGGGCGGAGAATACTATTTTTTTCGATAAAATATTTCAGACTTTTCAGTCAAAATGAATTCAAGTACTGTAGCTCCTATCAATTCTGTGCAAACACACATTTGCCTGCGTACCATGCATTTGATTTGACGAACACGTATTTTTGTTTTTTTTCTCGATTTTAAATTGTGCGCACAAAACAGGGAAAATATGTTTTCCAGTTTGAAAATTAGCAATGTAGTTTGTTACTTTTTTACTTAGGCTTATGGGAACAAAATTTACTCATAGACTTGTTTGGGATTCGGTGGGTTTTTGGGTAGCTGCGGTTGCCGTTCACTTTTTTTTATTTTCAAACTTTTTATTTTTTTTTCTGTTTTTCTTTGCACTCGTGATGGTTGTCATAGTAAAGTTTCTTAGATGCTGATTAATAAGAAAGCTAACTTTTATTAGTACAAATTTTTGAGTTTGGTTTTTTTCGAAATGAATATTAAAGAAAGATTACGAATCTGCAAAGGCAAAAAGAAAGACGTTGATGTTATTATTCTATATCTTAACAATTCAATAACCAAAGGTTCATTTGGTGGATTATTTGCCACTTTCACCAATTTGACTGTAAGTTTTAAAAATATTTTCAAAATTTAGAGGGATATTTCAGACTTTGCATATGGTCAACTGTGGACTTGTTTCATTCGAAAAGTTTCCAAAATTGCCACGTCTTCTTTATCTCGATGTTTCAAACAATCAATTCACAGATTTCTGTCTGCACATCAATATTCTTGTGAAAAACGCGAAGTCTTTAGAACGCTTGATCATTGAGGGCAACAACTTCTCAAATATCAACACATTCTCTCCTTTGAAAAAAGCGACAAACTTGATCGAAATTGATTTGTCGTTTTGTCATGGTTTGGGAGAGTTGAAGGGCTATAGGAAATTTTTGTTTGAGACAATTCCAACTTTGAAAATCTTGAATGGATGTGAATCTCATAGTAATTCTGATGAAGAAGATGAGGATGGCGATTTTTTTGGAATCGAAGACGAACACTGTTATTCAGATACGAATGAAGATTCGATTAGTGATGAAAAAAATGAAGACGAGGAACATGTTGAAACAAAAATGGACGATGAAGACGATGATATTCAAATAATTGCATATATTGAAAGCTCCTAATAATTTTCTGATAACAAATTGTTATATTTTTTCAAAATACACTTTGTATTATCTAATTTGTACTTTGATCACACTTGTAGTTTTATTTCCATTAAAATTTTGTGTTTGGATTTCTCTTCTAAATAGAATAAAAAATAAATGCGCGATCAAATTCCACGTGGCCCAGATTTACACGTTAATGTGTTCATTTCATTTTTTTTCATTTCTATATATCACATCACACTATTTCAAATTTCCCGCAAAAATCGCTCTCCAATTAATTTTCTGCGTCTTTTGCAAACAACAAAATGCGCTCCATCGTACTCTGCAAGAAACAAACATCCAGCTGATGCTTTTTTTGAATGCATATAATTATTAGATTTTTCTCAATTGTTTTCGATTTCAGAAAATGGGAAAATCTGACCCGTTGTTCAAGGCTCGTGGAAGAGGAAGACCAACGTCGAAAATTCGAAAAGATCTTCTGACAGCAAGTCGAACTGGTTTTGAAGGAAATACACAATCACCATGGAGAAAAACTGTTTCGATATTCAAACAACCGGTAACACAAGTTTCAACATCAGAAAGGGATTCGAAGGTGAGTGGAATATGTAGGATTCACTGGAAAACTAAATTATTCTAGGTTTATCTGGAAGATAATGCGGCGATGAAAAAGAAGCCAACAAAGAAAAACGAAACGAAACCATTTCAAGCGATGTGGGCAAAATCGTTGTCTGGTGTTTGTGCGATAATTCCGGTGAAAATGGCGGATAAATCAGAAGAAATGGAGAAAGCCGAGTATTTAGAGGAGACTCTTCATTTAGCTGGACGACTCGAAGCAGCAACATCACAAATGGATGAACAAGCGACTGTTGCAACCATTTGTCATACTCTTAATTTATCAAATAATAATGGTACTTTTGGACAGGTTGCTGAGAAAAATACTCTGGAGCAATGTTTTATCGCAAATACTACCGCAGATCAACCAATGATTCAGGTATTTTAGATAGTATTCTCACTATACTTCGACACTAAATTACATTTTCATATTTTATTGAGCAAGTGAGTTGAAATATTGGGTTTTAATCGTATTCCTACGATAGACAGGGTAAGGCAATTTGAATGATATCAAAATGACATTAGGTTACCCATAAGTGATTTAGCGACTAAATTTCGACTAAACATCGCTAAATCACTTATGGTTAACGTAATGTCATAAAAATTGAAGAATACAACTAAAACCCAATATTTCAACCAACGTGCTCAATAAAATATGGAAATGTCATTTAGTCTATGTCCACATTTTTTATAGTTAGTTCAACCAACAAAATTTTTTCAGCGTGTAAATTTGGCTCAACTCGCAGAAGATATTGCATCACAAGAAAAGCGTGTTTTGGATTGTCGTCGACGACTTCAAGAAGTTATGAAACATTTCGGATGATCTCATGTATTTATTGTTCACTTTTCAATCTTCTAATTTATTATTTACACAAATGTATTTTATCTAAAAAATAATATTGGTTTTTCTTTCAACTTTTTATTTGTGAAATTCATACTCGTTGTTATCGAGTAAATTTATCTGTTTTTTGTAACTATCAAAGCTTTTCATGGTCTAAAATGAAAGATATTCAACTCTAGATTGTCCAAATCTATAAAAAGTTGCGAAAAAGCTTTCTCGATTTTATAGAGCCCGAGGAAAAACCTGGAGGGACTAGGAAAAAATAGCTTATGGACTAGAAATTTCCTAGTCCCTCCGTTTCTCAAAAACGTTTCCTCGGGCTCTATAAAACCGATAAAGCCTTTTCGCAACTTTTTTAATAGATTCGGACAATCTAGAGAAGAAAATATTTTATTTTAGACTTTATTTCTGGGTTGCCGGACCATCAAAAGCTTTGATAGTTTCAAAAATCAATAAATATTTTAGATGAGTCGAAAAAGAAATAGAGGTCAGAATCAACAAAGCGAAAATAGTTTATATCGTGTTGTTCGAACTATTGGATATATGAATAATCATGGCGCGCTTTTCACCGAAGCTGAAATGGGTAAGAAAATTGTCGATCTAATCAGATTCGAAGAGTTCCATTTTGTTAGGTAAACGACAAGGAAACAAACCGGACAATCTTGGCAAATTCAAAAGACGATTGTGTTTTACTGGAATTCCAGCCGCCATTTTGTCGAGTCAAGCTGTTGCGCACACTGTAGCGTGAGTTTTTTCCTGCATTTTTTTCTGCAAGTCCAACGAGCACAAAAAGTTAGTAATTTGCTGGCTCATAAAAAATTGGCTCCATTATTTTTCGCCCTTTTATGGATGGGAGAGGCTCTCTTTTTTTATGACAACTAAAAATCTTCAATTTGTTTGCAGTGCTGCCGATGAAGCGTGTTGTCATGCATTTATTGATAATCTCAAAGTATATTTGCCTCAAAAACTTGTTCGTCCATTATTCACAGCTCGTCCGGATGTAAATTCTCCAGATTTGACAAATGTCAAAGTGTTCTTCGAGGAAATTGAAGAGTTGATGAAAATGCACAGTAGAGAGGTTGGAAGATTGTCGCAATATGAAATGACTGCGGTTGCCAGGGAGATTGGAACTTATATAAGACAAGAGCTGAAGAAAAATTTGATTAATAAACATGGACTTATATCAGGTTAGTTTTTTCGTTTCGTTTTGTGTGAAAACTATTGATTTATTTTCAGATCATCTTGAAAAGAGTTCCAAAAAATCTGAACCAACTTCTCCAATCTCCCAGAAAAATGGATCAAGTTGGTTTTTGTTTTTTTTTTTTGAAAACAATTGATTTATTTAGATCATCTTGAAACAAATTCGAAAAAATCTGGATCCACCACACCAATTTCCCAGAAAAGTTTCGATCAAGAAATAATTGATGTGGAGGATGATAATGATGACGTCATATTTGTCGATAATAATTTAGCTGGACCATCTGAAGAACCTGTCAAAGTGTCTTGTATTGTTGAGAATTTACGAAAAGAGGATCTTGAGCGAAAAGCGCATGTTGAGAAAAATATGGACAATTTCAGAAGGTATAATCAATTTTTGAATATATTTTCAAGATTCAATTACAGAACCGCGATGGACCTCCAATTGAAATCACCTGTTTCGCCCGGATATTATTCGCCACAAAATGCGCTTGTTGATTTCGGAAAAATGAGGGCCAGCAAAAAAGGGCCGCCGGCAATTTGGTCGCAAGCCAGAGAGTCCTCTTCGAGACAAGAATTTGTGGATGACAGCAATTCATCGGATTCGTCGCCAGATGAAGATGTGATTCCAGAGAAGCGCCGGAAATTGGAAAATGATAATGATACGTCACAAATGACATTGAATTTGAATTTATCAGAGGTTTCGAATGGTTCGTGTTTTTTTTTTTGCTCTGGATTTTCAACAAAATCATCCCGTTGTCAAAAACCGCAGAATTCAACTCCTAAAGTTTGTTGTGACGTGGCAAATTTGGAAAAATTGGGACTTTAGAAGCTGAAAATTAGCTTCAAGATGATTTTCATGCAAATATGATAGTATAGGGTTGTTCAGAAGGTTCGATAACATAGGTCAGCTCATAAATCAGAGTATCCGAAGATTTTTAAGCTGACTCATCTTATCGAACCTTCTGAACAACCCTATGATATCATATTTGCATAAAAACCATTTTGAAGCTAGTTTTCAGCTCCTGCCACGTCATAACTCATGTTAGTAGTTGAGTTCTGCAATTTTAGACAGCGGAATTGTGATCAGCGGGTAGAAAATTACTAGAAAAAATATTTTATTAAAAATTTAGTTGAAACAGTTTTTTTTTCAGATTCAGAATATGTTGAAGAAATGAGTTTGATTGATGAATGGAATGAAGATGAAGATGAAGAATCGGAAGAAAGAGCAGGTGGAAATACGGAAGGAGAAGATGAATATTTAGAAGAAGTTGAAGAGGAAAAAGCTGGAGAAGAGCAAGAAGAAGAGTTGAAAGTTAATAATGAAACGAGAAAATCAATATCTGAAGATGAGAAGAAAGTTAAGAAAGATTTTGGAGTTGATTTGAAAAAATTATATGATGGTGAGTAATAGTCTTTCTTTTATTTTATATTTTTTATATACAAACTTGTTTTTTAGGTGAAGAATCATTGGAAGCACTTGAAAAACGTTGGCCGAAAAACTATGAAAGATGTTTGATTGGTGTCGTGTACAATGAGAAATTGGCACGATGTGTTGAAAATATTGTTTGTCAAATTGCCGAAAAATCGGACAAATATGTGAGTCAAATATCGCAAGACACTTGGAAACATTACGAAAGAAACACGCAAAATCGTCAAGTTTATCAGAAGAAAATGGACGCGAGAGGCAAATTGTTTGAGCATATTCAGAAGATTTTTCCCGAAAAACAATTGGCGATGCATGTGACGGGATCGTCGATTAATGGATGTGGAAGTTTCAATTCGGATATCGATTTGTGCTTGTGTTTTCCGACGACTAAACACAAAGGATCGAATTTTGATGATTTTGGGGGATTGAGGACGTGAGTTTTAATGGCATAACATGATTTTTGATCAGAGACAGTGTGAAATTGGCTCTATCGCAATATAAGGGTCCGTAATTTTGTTCATGGTCCCAAAAAAATATAAGGGTCCGTTATTTTAGGACCGTTAAAATCAAAAAAATTTTTTTTTAAAAGTATTTTTTCTAATTTCAATTATTTATTTTTGGTTATTTTTTGTAATTTTTTCACATTTTTTTCAGTATGTTTCTAGGGGGTTTACTAAGCCTAAGCCTAAAAAAAATATTAGAGAAATTTTGGCTTTTCAGCTTTAGAATTAGGCTTAGGCTTAGTAAATCCCCCGAAAATACAAAGAATTGTCAAAAAATCAAGAAACAACTGAAAATTAAAAAAAAAACACACATTTTTTCTCCAAAAATCAAACAAATCACGGACCCCTATTCTTTAGGATCCTTATTTTGAGATAGAGCCGTGAAATTTAGAGAAAATAGTTTTCTGTAAAAAAAATATATAAATATTTTGTCTGCACTCTCTCAATTTCCCGTCATCTCTGATTCAAATCATTTCAGTGAATCATTGAAAGTATTACGACGAATCGAAAGACAAATGCGACGACCACATCCAAAAAGTTTCCACGCAAAACTCGTCAATCGCTGTGAACTCATCTCGGCCAAAGTTCCAATCATCAAAATGTATCTGAAACAACCGTTTGCCGATCTTGATATTGATATTAATGTGAACAATATTGCTGGAATTTATAATTCGCATTTGTTGCATTATTATTCACAGTGAGTTAAATTGTTTTTTTTTTAGATAATTTTTAAAAATTCAAATTTTTCGTCAGAATTGATGGTCGATTTGTTTCAATGGCTTTGCTTATCAAACACTGGGCAATTCGAAACGAAATCAATGATGCAATGAGTGGAACTCTCAATAGTTATTCCCTCATTCTTCTCGTTGTTCATTTCCTTCAATGCGGTGTTCGTCCAGCGGTTCTTCCAAATCTCCAACACCTTTTCCCTGACAAATTCGATGCTCGACTCAGTTTAGATCAATTGAATCTGTTTGGCGAGATTATCGATCGATTGCCAGTTCGCCCGCCGAATCTCTGGTCAGTTGGTGAACTTCTCATCGGATTTTTCAATTATTATGCCAATTTTAATTTTTCGAAAACGGCGATTTCGATTAGAAGTGGACAAGCTTTTGAGAGGTTAGATTTTTTTCTTAATTCTAAAAAAAAGAGAGAAACAAAAGGAAATTTTGCAGATCTACCCTTACTCGTGACACAGATTTTTATCAAATTTTCATTGAAGAACCATTTGATGCTGTAAACACTGCCAGGTTGGTTTTTCGAATTGATTTTGATTTCTAATTTTATTTTCTGAAATTCTCTAGATGTGTCCGCCGAGGTCCGGAATTAAATCGAATCAAAAAAGCGTTCAAAGCAGCCGCGGCGGCTTTTAATAATCCGAAATTTGATTTGAGTGATATTCAAGTTGCTGTCTAATGTTTTGTTTTTCAAAGTTTCTAGGTTTGTTAAAGAAAATTTTTATTTGTTATTGTTGTTTCAATGAATTTCTGTTTAATTTCGGTTTATTGGATTTTTTTTGTCTTGCAAAATGTTTTTTGAACATTTCTATATTTTATTGATTATCCCTTTTAATTTTATTATATCAAATCAAATTTTAGATATGATTCCTGGACTGAATGCTCAAACAGTTAGTCCATTTCCAAATCCACCAGATTATGCATTACAATATACATCGGAAAGAATAAGTCATGGATCGATTTTGGATCCGCCAGCGCCACAAACTGAATTTCGAGTTTTTGGAGAGGATTATAAATTGGATGCTGAAGTTATTCCGTGAGTTTTTTCAGAAGAAGTAGGGAAACATTTTCGTAGAGTTCAGAAATTCCGTGAGGATCAGCAAATTTAAACTTTTGGTTATCAAAACGGTATTTTTCCAGACCTCTAAGCTCATCTGGAATCCGTGAATTATACACCAATAAAAATGATTGGAAAACAGAAATGAAAAAGCTGAATCGAAGTGTAATCGCAGCGTTTCTCGATTTGATTGAAATCCTGATTCGATGTCCCGATCATCCAAGTCGAGATGAAAAAATGAATGATATTCATACGATTTTCATCAATATGCACCATTTGATAAATGAATATCGACCTGTACAAGGAAGAGATACCATTCGATTATTACAACAACAACAATTGGAACAACTTGAGGAAACTGTTAAAAGATTCAGGTTGGTTTGGTTTGGTTTTTTGGGGAAAAAATGTTGTATTTAGTATAGCGCATTTTTTCTCTTTTTCTCCCCGAAAAATTGTAGCTATTTTTTCTGAAAATCGTATAGTCCAGAGTTTTTTGAGAAAATTTCCAGAATTTTCCAAGGATCTCATTTTTTGAATCTTTTTTTAAAAAATACTTTTTACATAGAAAAGAAAATTCTGTTTTAAAAATTAAAGCCAAATTCTCAATTGATTAGGATTTCTGATTTTTTTGCTGAAATTTATTTTTGTGTCGAAAAAAATTAAAAAATTTTCTGCCTTATTGAAAAAAAATTTTTTTTTGACTTTTTCGATTTTGAATCTTTTCAATAGATTCCTATTTTCATAGAATTTTCTACAAGAAAATTTTTTATTCAAAATTAAAGTCAAATTCTCAATTTAACAGGCTTTCTGAGTTTTTTTGCTGAAATTGATTTTTCTGTCGAAAAAAGTTTTTTGTCAAATAAAAATCAAAAAATATCCTGCCACGATTATTTTTGAATGGAAAAAATTATTGAAAAAAATTGATTTTTGATATTGAATTGAAAGTTTGTGTGGAACTTTTTTTCCCGTTTTTTTTTCATCCAATAGAATTTCGATTAAGCAAATGTCAAAAAACAATATTTTTGCTATTTTTGAAATTTTTTTAATTGAAAGATTTTCGTGAGAACATTTTTCATTTTTCTGTGGAAAAAAAACATAAAACAAAAAAATACAATTTTTAAACATTTTCTGAATATTTCCTCAATTTTTCAGAGATTATATGCAACAAGGTCGAAGTGTTCTATGTGCACAATTCGAATCAATCGACACAAATCTTCCACCTCCTCCAAAACCCAATCCAATAACCCGTGTCGAATTATTAGAAACAAATGGAGAAGTTCAATTTTTGGATGAAATTAAAAAAGAGGAAGATGGCGAAAAAATGGATTGTGGAAATAGTATAATTGAAAAAGAATCAGATGAAACAATACAAAGACAACAAGCAAGACCGAATACAAAACATTTGAAATTGAGACAAATTTGTGATTTAGCCAATTTAAAACTTGATTAATTGATCTCATGAAATATTATTTATTTATTTATTATTTATTTTTTTTTGTTTTTTTTTGTTATGCGTTATCAACGCACAATTTGATACCTATTTTGCTTCTTTTTTTTCTCAAAAGGAAAGTATTTTAAAGTTCCCAGGAGAAATTTTCAAGCAAAATTTTATTTCATGAGTTACGGTAACTTTTTTTTTTCAAAAAATCGTTATTCAACTCAAAGTTGACGAAAATACTCGATTAAAAAATGATTTTGTAGCTAAAAACTTTAATTTTCGGAAAAAATTTTGAAACGGAAAAAACGAAAAATGAAAATGTTGCAAAATTTTTTGATCAAGTATTTTCGATTTTTTGAAAATTACGTGCTTTTTTTGGAGAAAAACTACCGTAACAATACATTTTTGCTTACAAATTCCCACCTGGGAACTTTGAAATACTTCAGATGTCGGATGCAAGTAGACGCCGTTTGCTAAAAGAGCTCAATCAATTACAAACCGAATCGCCGCCCGGAATTATCATAGACAAAAATTCGCCAGATTCAGATCTCAAGTAACGATTTTTCTGTTTTGTTTTTTAATTAATTCCAACTTTTATTTTTTGCAGACAATGGAGAATTGGCGTTGTTGGAGCCAAAGGAACATTATACGAAGGAGAAGTTTTCACTCTGCAATTCACTTTTGGTTCACAATATCCTTTCAGTTCGCCAGAGGTTTGTGCGAAAAATAAGGGGGTTTTGGGGAAAAAAATAAGGATTTTTTTCAACATCTGTTTTCAGGTGATGTTCGTTGGTGATACAATTCCTGCCCACCCTCACATTTATTCAAATGGTCATATTTGTCTTTCAATTCTCGCTGATGATTGGACACCAGCTCTCAGTGTGCAATCTGTTTGTCTTTCGATTTTATCCATGTTATCATCGGCTAGAGAAAAGGTATGGGGGAGATTTGGAATTTTGCAAAAGATCTGAGCACCCCAATCAGTTTTGGAAAAAACATGTAGATTTCAGTTTTTCAGAGCTCAAAAAATATAGTTTAGAATGGTGAATTTTTAAGGAACTCTGGAAATTCGAAGACAAAAATAAATCTGAATTTTTTTTTTGAATTTTTTTTAAAAAATACTTTTCAAAATTAAAGTCAAATTCTCAATTTCTGAGTTTTTTTGCTTGATTTTTTTTGCCGAAAAAAGAAAAAAATATCCTTTGAAAAAAAAAATGATTTTTGACATAAATTTTTGATATTGACTCGAAAGTTTGTGTGAAACTTTTTCCCCGTTTTTTTCATTCGAAAAAATTTCAAATGCCAAAAAACCAAGTTTTTTTCCTATTTTTGGAGTTGTTTTAATTGAAAAAAAATAGTTCGAATTTTTTTTGAAAACCTAAAACCCAGAAATTCCTATCCCTCAAAAAATCATCAAAATTTTCCAGAAACATCCAATGGATGATGCGATTTATGTAAGGACGTGCAGTAAGAATCCAAGTAAAACACGATGGTGGTTCCATGGTTTGTCTATTTTTTTCGAATTCAATTTTTAAAATCCGTTTTTTTTCAGACGACAAAGTGTAATTCATCAGCTAATTCTTTCTTCATTGTGTATATTTTTCCTTTTGATTTTGAACATTTATTCATTCATTCATTCATTCACCTATTGTAAATATTTCGAGACCAAAAAACTTTTCTTTTTATTTCAATTTCGATTTCGATTTCAAAAATAACATCTGAATAAACCGGTTTTTTTCTGAAAATCAGCTTTCTATTTTCTGAAAATGAAGAGAAAGGCCAGAAATCAATCGATCAACAAGGAATGCCTTGAATCTCTCAATATTGCGCACTATCTTATCCAACTTTCCATTTTTGTCTTATCAGTCCACACGGTCCAATTTTTCGTGTTTTCGCATTTATTATTGATTTTCCGACGATTTTCACACCATTTGTTTTTGCAGATTTTATTGATTTTTAATATGACGAACGGATGAGTTGAAATTATGTTTGGAAAAATATTTGTGCCTTTTATTCTTCTATTTTTGGGAAATACAGAAACTCGACTCATAAAACAAGATTGTAAAAGTGGAAGTGAGTAATGTACTTTTGTTAGCATAATATTATGTAAAATATAAATATTTTAGTGTTTCTTACGCATATACAAAAAATGTGCGTTAGAGCGCATTTTCTTGTTTTATGTGTTTTTAACGAGATAAAAGTAAGTTAGGATTATTTGAGAGGGAATTTTGCAATTAGTAAATTCCTCGAAGGATTTTTGATGGAAGCTTTTCAAAAAATTAGTAAAACAAGTTCAGAAAAACAATGAAAAACCGTGTAAATGGCTTGAAATTTTGAAAAAATGCATGTTTTGGAGGGTTTTGAGGTGAAAATTTGGAATTTTTAGCTTCAAATTGACCTAGAGGCTTTGGAGTGGAAAATAAATTTGCCTAAAAACCAGAGGATACTTTTTTGACCTGAAATTGAATTCAGGATGAAATTAGGCTGACTTGGGCTGAAAATTGAGATTTTCAGCTTAAATATCTCGCACTCCATCTTTAAATTGCTACTAGAGTTTTGCTATAACTGAAAATTTCGATACAAAGCAAGATTCCTTCAAGAAACACCAACTATCCAACAAATTTTTGAGGAGGAAAAATGCCTTATTTGCAATCAATTTCCAGACTGCTATCATATTTTTCGACTTTCCGATAGACCAGCCGAAGAGAAAAACACAACAACAATGGTAAAAGTTGTCAAAAATACAGAGCACGGACAGAATTACTATGAAATTCAAATTGCGAACGGCACCGATTTGACACCCGAACAATATCGAGAGGTTTTGCAACAATTGCCCAGAAATGCCGAACAGGAATTTTCGGTGAGCGGTTTTTTTCGACGATTTTCAGCATGAAAATAGCTTAAACTTGGACATTACACAACATGTCAGCCCAATGAAAATTGGCAATCGGTGAGAGTGAAGGAGACTTAGAGAAAAATAGATCAAAGGTACATTAAAAATTGTGGGTCTGAAAATCAATAATTTTTGAAAATGCCGTTTGGTGAACATATTTTGTTTCGAAAAAATTGAGAATGACTTTTATTCACTTGGCAAAGTTAAATTTCAAGAATCAATTCTCAGAAATCAAGCTGAAGCCTATTTCTAGATTTAACAAATCCTAGACCTGCAAATACAACTCGCTGTAGATCACGCGGGATTTTAATATATTTTCGTCTCTTTCACTCTCACCGATTGCTTTTTGACAAGCTGTGCATTTGCAACCGCTCTTGCTCTGAAACTCAGAATCTGAATCGAATTTTTTTCGACAAAAGTTCTAGAATCATTTTCAGAAAACCGTCGTCGATGATAAAATAATTCTACGACCAGAACCGAAACATGACGAAGCAAAAAAACCAGAAACCCAAAATGTTGTGAGTTACCCCCGCAATCATTGCTCATGTTAATTAAAACTCAATCCAATTACCATTCCAGAAAACCAAGCCACAAGTGCAACAATCCAATCATCATTTCCCAATAATTCTAGTCGCTCTTCTTCTTTGCATCGGAATTGTTCTCGGCATTCTTTGCACCGGTTTATTCCTCTTCATTGCTCATATTAAGAATCAGCCGACTTTTGATCGAACAAATGTGGTGACTTATCGAAAAATTGAGATAACCAGGAGTAGTGGAACGGGAAGTCGAAGAGAGGAGCAGAATATTCAATTGTTGAGAAGAGATAATTCGATACAGAATTCAAATATTTTACGACAACAAAATAATCATACACCGACTACTGTATCACAAGCATGTAAGGCTTAAAAATTGCTGATTTTTCAGAAACCAGATGAAATTTACCCGAAAAATTTCTAGGAATTTTTGAATTTTCATTTTTGGCGCCATTAATGGTTTCATTTCGAAAATTTAATTTTTAATTCATTTTTCATTATTTTGAAAATTGGAAATTTCCAGCTACAAATTTATTTTTTTAAACCGGCTCAAAAATTGATTATTTTTCATAAACCAGATCAAATTTACCAGGAGAAAGTCCGTGAAAAAACCGGGATTTTCGAATTTCCATTTTTCATCATTTCGAAAATTAAATATTTTTGAATTTAAATTTTTGGCGCCAAAAATTCGGCCGATGAATTTTAATTGAAATTTCTTCTGAAAATTTTTTAAAAATTGGCGCCAAAAATTCGCCACGTGTCATTTTTTTGACGCTAAAACTTGTCAGATTCAAATTTGACGCAATTTTTCATTATTTCAAAAATTGGAAATTTCCAGCTACACTTTCATGCCACGTGGCATTTTGAGCAATTTCGAAAAATCGATTTTGCCACGTGGATTATTTCAGCTCAAAATGCTCCAAATTCCTGGATTCAGGATTCAGAAAATCTGCAGATTTTTGGGCCAAATCTGTAGATTTTTCGAACTTTAGAGCTCTCACAGGTTTCATCAGGTTTCTAAAAATTTTGGGCGGTTCGGAAAAAAAAAAAAGAAAATCTCACAATTTTTTTGTTTAGCGACAAATCGAATGGCTTCGCGTAACAATGGTTTTCGTCAGATCTCATTATGATTTTAATAATAATAATTTTGATAACTTCTAGTCTTTTTGATAATAATATTCATTCAATATTCAATTTTTTCAAATGTCGAATTGTTGGTCTTCCATGTGGACAATTCCAAGGTTGATCAAGTTTTGCCAAATTTCGAACAACCTGTCAAAAAACGGGTGTTAATCAATAAATCAATATATTTTTTGCAAACTTTTCTCATTTCTCGATCATCCAACGCTTTTCCAATCATAATACTTTTTCGACACGCGCGAGACGCAAATATTTTCCGAATTTTCGCTGGGCGATACATTTGATTTGGATATTCGGAGACCATTGCGACGATTTCTTCCAAATCTGAATTTGTTAGATGATGGCTGAGAATTTCGGGGCGAGCTGTCATGTATGTCTTCAGACATCCGTCGATTTCTTTGAAGTTGAATTCAAAACCATTTGAACGGAAAATGTGCAGGTTTTCACGGATTATCATTTCTTGAACTGCGCCAAAATTGAGAGGGGTTGGTCTGCAAAATTTTTTGATAATTTGAGAAAATAATCCTAGGGTAAGTTGTCCTGTAGATCACGCTTTTTAGCATGAAAATTGCTGAAATTCTCAACTAAACTTGGAAATGGTCTGAAAGCATTTTTCTGTTTCAGGTTTCCCAAGAAAATATTTTTCTAAAATTTCGGAATTTTGAAAATCAAATTTCTACGAAAAAATTTGAACAAAACTGTTCTGAAAATTGGGGATCTTGGGTCAGTTTTTTTTCAAATTTTCCAAATTTTCAGAAATTTTTTTGATAATTTGAAAAAAAATTCTCTGATAATTTTTTTTGTGTAGATCACGATTTTCAACATTAAAATTGCTGGAAATTCGAAATCAGCTTGGTTAGAAAAATGGTCTGGAGGCATTTTTTTCTGTTCAAATTTCAGGTTTCCCAAGATAATATTTTTCTGAAATTTCGGAATTTTGAAAATCAAGAGTTTTTCGCTCAAAACTGATTAAGAAAATGTCAGAAAAAATGTCCACTTGAGCCGGTTTTTTCCAAATTTTCAGAAATTTTAAATATTAAATTTAAATTCGAGATGAATTTATGATGTACATAAATTTTGAATTTAAAAAAACCCACGCAAACAACGGCTGCTTCGTAAGTTTCGCAGATTTCTGCAGCTTTTCAAAATTATATTTCTCATCACTAGCATGTTGATCAATAATAAATAAATTATTGCGCAGCTCCGTGATAATAAATCCCTTGTTAAATTGTCCAATGATTCTCATTTTCTCGAAATCCTCTTTTCTCAAACTTCTCGATAATTGTTCTTCTGCTTGATTATTTTCCTCCGGTCGAATTTCTGCGCTAAATTCGAATTCTTTTTGCGAATCTTGATTTTTATCATCAATTTTCAATGTTTTTAGTCGATCTCTCAAATTATTCATATTGAATTTCAAAGTTCCTTTTGGTTTTCTTCGAACAAATGCTGGTTCCTCTTTTGCTATCATAATTATTTCATCATCTTCTTCCTCATTTGATTCAATAATTGTCTCTTTTCTCGGATTCGCGCAAGTTTCAAATGCTCTCGACATATTTTCCAAAATCTTCGGCTCAATTTTACGAATACCCGAATTTTCTTTTTCTTTGGATAAAAATTCGATTTTATAAGTGCTTTGGTTAGTTCTAGATAATTCTTTTGGTACATTTGCAAAAGATGTTTCTTTTTCTTTGGATAAGATTTCAATTTCATAAGATCTATCAACTTCAGGAGTTTCCTTTCGAAAAACAAAATCTGCCATAGTTTTAGATTTTTTCGATTTTGGTTGTTGATTGATCAGATCGGAAATATTCGGAAGAGATCCATTTGGATCAGTGAGAATTGAAGTTGAATCCAGATCCAGATTTGATTCATTCAATGTGCTATTTGCACTTGACTGGGATGAATCTAGAAATTTCTAGAATTGCTTGATTTTATATTGGAATTTTAAAAAAATCAATTAAATCTTCAATAACCTACAAAACGAACAATTTCTTCGATCTTCCACACTACTTCGAATAGTTGAATGTGATCCAAGAATTGGTTGAAAAGTGGCGATAATTGAGCTTCTCAATAAGGCCAGCAAGTGTTTTTCTTTTTCAAACATCACTGTTTTCTTGTCAGGTGTCACATTCACATCAATTTTATCTGAAATTTTGAGAAAACTTTTTACTTCCTGGACATGTGTCAAAAATATTCCAAACCTCCTGGAACTTCGATAAAAAGGATGAAAATTGGATATTGTGATTTATTGAAAGATCGATAGACTTCATTGACAGTTGCACAAACTCTTGAATAATCCACGGGTCGATTATTTATATAAACAAATTGTCGATCTGAAGTACTTCGACCACATCCATGCTCACAATTACTGATAAATCCAGTTATTCTGGAAAAATAGAGGCGGTCTGCAAATATGCGTCACGGTGTTGCGCTGCAAACACACACTTTCTGCGATAGAGCGCATTTTCTTGCTTTTTTTCATGGGAAAACAAGAAAATGCGCTCTAACGCACATTTGTGTGTGTGTGCGTGTTTGCAGACGAGTTCTTTTCACCAAAAAGAAACCATCCCACACGTGGGGCGCACTAACTTGATAAAATCAAAAATATCAATTTCTTTTCTCTGAATTCCATAAATTTCCAGAATCTCCTCATTCGGTGTCTCGGTTTTTATCTCAATCAATTGTGATTTTTCTCCAGAAATTCCGAATAAATTCGAAACAACATCTCGAATTGTCGAATTTCCACCCGGTGTACAAATGATATTCTGCTTTTTATTCCCCATCATATTTGTGCAAAGAAATTTGATATTCGGTCGCATTAAACAAAATGATTGGACTGTTGCCAAAAGTTTGAAAAAATCACGCTTCGCCGATTTTTCGAGTTGTTTTCGACGAACTGGCAGAGTTTCGAAGAGATTTTCGATGAGAATAGTTGTGCCTGTCTGGAAATGATTGAGAATTCCCTGAGGAAAAAAAACAGGAAAAAAACCTCTCTGGCTGCTGATTTTTGTTCGATAATATTACCACGATGATCATATTTGAGACGAGTTCCAATTGAAGCATCACTGCTTTTTGTGAAAATTGTAACTGTACTTAAAGCACATAGCGCATTTAAAGCTTCACCGCGAAAACCAAGAGTTGATAGTTTATCGAAATCAGAAAAATCCGTTAATTTTGAGGTTGAATGAGGTTTGCCTGAAAATTTCAGGCTGAAATGCAAAAAATCTGAACAAATCTAGAAAACTTACACAATGCATCGAAGTTTTTAACTTCAATACCACAACCATTATCTTGAACTTCTAAACTATCAAATCCATTGTTTTTGGCACGAATATCAATAATTGTGGATCCGGCATCGATTGAATTATCAACCAATTGTCGAATTGCACTTGCTAAACTAACAACTACTTGAGCTGTTGTTATTCTTTCAGCAACTTCCTCTGATATTCGCTCGATTTTTCGTTTTTGCGACATTTCTTCGAATATTTTTTTTGAAAATAAAAAAATAAATTTGAATTTTCTTTCTTGTTCGCTGGCGCGCACTTTCCCCAGTTTCATTTTTTCATTTTTATTTTTTTTTGTTCCGCAGCTTCCATGGAAATGAAATGTCAACGTGGAAGCGCGCTTTTTGTTTATTTCAAAATATCGAATTTCATTTCGAAATTATTCCCAAAAATGAATCAAAATGATAAACTATGCAAGAAAAAACGAATAGGAGGTTTGTTTTTGAAAGATTTCAGTTTCATTGATTTTTTTGTTTTCAGACTAGTTTTGGCTGGACAAATCGGCAATCTTTTCTTGGTTTGCTGTTTGTATATTCATGCGACAATTAGAATAAATGTGAGTTTGTGGTCAAATTGATTAAAAAAATCATTTTCAGACCCTAAAAGAAAATCAATTTCAGTGTATTCAATGTGATTTGGAGGAAAAATCGACTACAAATGAAAGAACAAAAAGAGAAACTGGTTCACAATTACCAATTGATCTTGAAGATTATACAATTATAATTGGACAGAATACAATAATTCCACGTCAAGTTCTCGATCGATCTTGCTCCCAAGTCCACGAATTTTGTTCCGAAAAATCTCAAAGACTCACCGGATTCCCTGGTGCTCCAGGTGTACCTGGATTAACTGGACCAATAGGGCCACCAGGTCGACGTGGACCTGTCGGAGTTGTTGGGCCGCAGGGATTGATTGGTGATCATGGTGAAATTGGGGAAACTGGAAGAGCCGGAAAATGCGATTGTTCATTCCCGGATATGTATATCCAAAAGGTTACTGTACCCGGACCACCGGTTATTAAGGTAAATACCTATTTTATCTTATTTTCTCATTATATCTATCATTAATTGATTTTATTCAGATCGAGGAAAAAATGATACCAATTCCAGTTGTAGTTGTGAAAGAGGTCGAAGTCACAAAATTAGTTCCATTCGAACCGCAACCACCTGGTTTTGGACCAGTTGATAATTGGGAACCGGGAATGCCGAAACCGGGAAAAACCAGAAAACTACCGCGATATTCGACAGTTCGACCAAGACCAACGAAAACTCGACCGACATTACCACCACTTCATGTGATTCCCACAGAAACACCGGAATTCAATTTGACTTTTGGCGGAAATTGGACTCTGGATGCGAATTTCACCACACCGGAACCTTATACAGGTCCACCGACCCTTGGCTATAATCGAAAGGAATGTATTTTGGGCGCGGTTGGAATTCCAGTCCTTCACGCTGAAAGTCAATATGGAGATGTTGGTTCGTGGATGAGAGACGCGCATCCACCAACAACAAAAGGAGCTGAGAGAAGATGGGTTACTGATGGATATGTTTCGCCGGTTTTATATGAATATGAAAGTGAGAAAATGTTATCCGACAAAGTTCAAAAAATCAAGTGAGAGAGATTTGCATCATTTTCCCGCCTAATTCGTTAGTTTTCAGATATTATGTGGAACATTTTGCATCCGGAACTGGAAATATAATCTATGATGGTTCATATTATTATCATAAACATGGCTCAAAAGAAATCGCAAGATATCGATTGGATTCGGGAAATGAGACATATATGCTTTTAGATGAAGAGATGGCATTTTCAGATTGTCATCGTCTTCCAAATCATACTTTTCAAGAATGTAACGAGACTGACAGAGATGTTTGGTTATATAACAGACCACATAATTTTGTTGATTTTGCGATTGATGAAAATGGCATTTGGGTTATTTATTCAGATGCAAAAAGTGAAACAATCAAAGTAGCCAAACTCGAGCCTGATCTTTATGTTGTTAATCGATGGGAGCTTAGTATAAACACTACAAATATTGCTGACGCATTTATTATGTGTGGTGTTTTTTATGGGGTTAATAGTTCAACTGATACGCAAACTGATATAAGTAATGCATATGATTTATACAGGTAGAATATCATAAAACATAATTTTTCATGATTAGATCCAACGTAAAACTGAGAGCTTGTTAACAGACAGAAAATTAGTTTTTAGAACAAAAAACTAAACTCGATTTTACGTTGGATCTAATCATGAAAAATTATGTTTTTTATTACAAAATATCCATCTGCATAAGGAAAAACAAGTGTGTTTTTTTTGCAGAAATGATTTCATCCCTGGTCAAGTTCCTTGGTATAATCCATATGGCGGATTGACAATGCTCAATTATAATCCACTCGATCATCGTATTTATTTCTTCGATAGGAAAAAATTGCTATCCGTCAATGTTCGAATCATTGAAGATCTCCCCGAATATGAAGATCCATAAAATATCCATTTCTGATAAATAATAATAAATAAAAATGTTTGTATTTAGTATGATCTTTTCATTTCATTTTTAAATGAACAATCGTTTATTGTTCATTTTTTCTCCAAAAGTTTATTGACTCATCTGGTTGTTTATAGCCCAGTTGGCATACTTTCTGTGAACAAATCTCTTTTTTTTTGAAAATGAGAGAGAAGTGCAAGTTTTTTTCTTTCTGTGGGTTTTTCATTTGTGAAGATGACCTCGCCACATGTTTGCATTTATATAATTGAATATATTGATTTCGATATTCATAAAGTTTTAAAATATTTTTTTTTTCAAAACCTGGTTGATCATATGAAAAGATAACACCTACTTATTTTTTGATAAGAAATTTGTGGTTTTTTTTTGAAAAGCCCCACCCCCAAAAAATTACAATTTCATTTCATTTGAATTCAGTAGATCAAACTTTTCCGGTTTAATTTTGCCGCCAAAAAATCACAAGCCCACAGTATAAAAGACTGCCTAACCGGCCATTTTATCTTCAATCTCATCGGTTTTTTTTCGTGTCCGTATTTTCCTGAACTTCATAAATCGTTATTTGCAGATCGGGTTGGAAATGGAGGCTGCTCAAGTTTTTCGCAAGGTAAGATTCTCGATTGCAAACTTGATAGAAAAATCATGTTTCCACGTGGATTCCTTTTAGTAAATACGTGAAAAACTAAAATCGCTGCGAGACCTCAGCTCTTCAAAAAAGGTGTGCGCCTTTAATTTGTTCAGATTTTGATTCTCAGCCTTTAACTTTTTTGAAAATGCCTTCCAAAAACAATGAAATAGTTTTCCTGATTCATCTTGACGAGACGAATCGGATGGTATATTCAGTTTCTTCTGAAAAATGCCTCTAACATGCTGGAAATGCGCTGAAATCACTATCTAGTGTGTAAACACCGCGACGCACAAATCCACAAATTTCTCAGCAATCCATCCCGTAATTACATTGTAAAAATAGCGTTTCTGTAACGAGACTAGGGTTCCGATGTAATTACAAACAGTGAAAATCAACAGTTTGTAATTACATCGGAACCCTAGTCTCGTTACAGAAACGCTATTTCTACAATGTAATTACGGGACGGATTGCTGAGTTGTGTATACCGTAGTGAAAGAAAAAAGCGTGACGTGCACGTGAGAGAAAAAAGCGTGACATGAATAATCATTTTTGATCATTTCTAATTGCAGGAAATATGTATGAGATCATTGAAAATGTGAAAAATGCCTCTCTAAAAATTTGAACCCGTGTTACCCTAGATCAATGTTTCGTTGCAGGTAGAAAAGATAGTATGCGTTGGTGCTGGTTATGTTGGTGGACCAACTTGTGCAATGATTGCTCACAAATGTCCAAATATCACAGTAACCGTTGTCGATATGAACACCGAAAAAATTGCCGAATGGAATTCGGATAAATTGCCAATCTACGAACCCGGATTGGATGAGATTGTTTTTGCGGCGAGAAACAAGAATCTCTTCTTCTCCTCTGATATTCCAAAAGCGATTCGTGAAGCTGATTTGATTTTTATCTCGGTTAACACACCAACAAAAATGTATGGACGTGGAAAGGGAATGGCTCCTGATCTCAAATACGTTGAATCGGTTTCGAGAACTATTGCTGAACACGCGATTGGACCAAAAATTGTTGTTGAGAAAAGTACTGTACCAGTTCGAGCTGCGGAAAGTATTGGATGTATTTTGAGAGAGGCTCAAAAACATAACCCTGATTTGAAATTCCAGGTAATTATTAATTATTAAACAGAAAATTAAAATAAAGATTATTTTTAAAGGTTCTTTCAAACCCGGAATTCCTTGCCGAAGGAACTGCAATGAGAGATCTTGCCAATCCAGATCGAGTTCTGATCGGAGGAGAAAATTCAGTCGAAGGACTCGAAGCTGTTTCTCAATTAGTTCGAGTTTATGAACATTGGGTTCCAAGAGAACGAATCATCACAACAAATACATGGAGTAGTGAATTATCAAAATTGGTTGCAAATGCATTCCTTGCTCAAAGAATCTCATCAATCAACGCGATTTCTGCGGTTTGCGAAGCAACTGGAGCTGATGTTGGAGAAGTTGCACACGCAGTTGGTTGCGATTCTCGAATCGGCCCGAAATTCTTGCAAGCCTCTGTTGGTTTTGGTGGATCGTGCTTCCAAAAAGATGTTCTTTCATTGGTCTACCTTTGTGAATCATTGAATTTGCCACAAGTTGCCGAATATTGGCAATCGGTTATTGATGTTAATAATTGGCAAAGAAGACGATTTGCAAATAAAATTATTGCCGAATTATTCAACACTGTGACCGACAAGAAAATTGCTATTTTTGGATTTGCATTCAAGAAAAATACCGGTGATACAAGGTTGGTTTTTTGTTTTGTGCTAAAAAAAATGACGTTGTTACTGATAAGAATCATTGGCACACCCCTAAGTATCTAGATCAACATCGGAAATTTTCAATTTTGTTTTTGTAACTCTTCCAGATATGCACGTTTTAATATTATTGGAAAAGGAACAAAGTCCTATTTTGAATCAAAATATTATTTGAGGTGATAAATGAAAGCTTTGGTTCCCTGATTTTAGCTATTCTGTTGCTGGGAAAACGGGAATTTTTCAGAGAATCATCGGCAATTTATGTTGCTCAACATTTGATGGAAGAACACGCGAAACTCTCGATTTATGATCCAAAAGTTTCCAAACAACAAATGTTCAATGATTTGAAGAATGTGACAAGTTCTCAAGATGGTTAGTTTAGATTTTTTGGAATTTTTTACCTCAATCCAAAAATATTCTAGTTGATCGTTTGGTTACTTTTGAAACTGATCCATATGAAGCAGCTCGTGATGCTCATGCAATTGTTATTCTCACCGAATGGGATGAGTTTTTGGTAAGTTAAAATTTATATATTCTTGGATAATTTATATAATTTTTCTTTTTTTTTTGCAGACTTTGGATTATAACCGGATTCATGAGACAATGAAACATCCATCAGCCATTTTCGATGGTCGCCTTATTTTGGATCAAAAACATTTGCAAAACATTGGCTTCCGCACTTTTGCGATTGGAAGTGCTTCCGAACAAGAATACAATCTTTTCGGATCCTCGATTTGAACAAACCCCTAACACTCTTACCAATTTTTCACTTATTTATTTATTGCATGCATATTATTTATATGAATCAAGATTTTATGGGAATAAATCATATACAACGTAAATAAATAGAAGAATACCTGTTTTAGACTAGTTGTTCCGGTTTGACTCCGTGTTTTCTGAGTTTTTCGTGAGCTTGTTTGTGAATTTTTGCGTCATCCGAAGTTATCACAGCCATTTTGAAAGATTTGATATAATTTTCGACGGCTTTCTCTTTTTGACCCAGGCGTTCGTAGACCTCGGCGATGTAATATGTGTTAGTACTGTAGAAGTTTGGCTGAAATTCGAGAATTTTCTTCTTGGGAAACAGAATAGAAAACTAAATACCGAGATTTCTTCAGCTTTCAAAAAATAATGCAACGCTTGTTCATAAGTTGAACTTGGTGGAGTGGCGAAAATTGCTTTTGCAACCATTCTGGTCGCATATCCCATATCAGCAAAACTGAAATGCCAAATTCCGAGAATATGCCAAGTTGTTGCATCTCCATCATAAATCGCAAGTGCTCTCTCTAGATGTTCTCGAACTTCATACGCTTTTTCGATTCGTGATTTGTTTCCTTCAATTTCTCCAACATAATCCAACAAGATTCCATACCATTTATGTGCTCCGAAACAACCTTCAGCCGGTTCATTTGCCAATGCTTTTTTGACAATTTCGAATGCTTCCAACATCAATTGTTTTTTCTCTGCTGGATCTTTGGAAAGTTTTGATTTCTCGCAAACAACTCTCGCTAAACGCCATAATAATTCTGAACAATCGCTTGAACCGAATTTTCGTAAAATATTATAACAATTATCGATCAAATAATTGTCATAGAGTTCATCTGTGTCGTGGACAATTAGATCGAAGTTTCTGGGTTTCGAATTATTTTGATGAATACCATTGGTTTCAGTTGTAGAAGCTGCGAAGAATGAGAGACCAAGTGATGTGCCACCAGCTGCGATTATTTGAGTTCTCTGAAAATTAAGGTATTTTTTAAGTTAACCTAGAAATCTATATCTTAATGAATAGCTTGAAACATAGAGAATGTTTTTAAAACTCACTCTAGCCAATGTGATTCTGAGAACATTTCCAAATACCCGACCAAACATGGTTATTTACGTGATAGTGCATTTCTTCGTCAGCGTGTTATCAAGTCGAAAAATTGTTTGGTGTTTGCGGAGCGGAGTGTCGTTGTGTTTTCCAGTTGTGCACGCGATTTCCGCCGCTTGTTTTTGTCCTTGGCGTACGCCGTGTAGAAAACTTTGTTCAACAAAAAAAAAGACAAATATTCATTTTCCAGCATGGGAACTTTCACCACGACCTATTTCTTGAAAACCGCCTTCTGGGATAAGCGAGGATTGTGGTTGGCCACAATTGGTGTCGCATATTTTGCTCGTTGTTGGGAAAATGCTGGATATCACAAAGTTGAGATGATGAAAGGTCAATCGAAAATGTATGCTGATCGAACCAAACAAGTTCCACAACAAGCCGATCCATGGAAATATTAGAGCAGAATGTATTTTTCTATAGATTTTTTTTGTTTTCCTTTTCAATTTAGAGTAAACTTTTTATCTTAATTTATTATATATTTTGTTGATTTTTCAAAAAGGTTTATTATTCCTTAATTTATCTAGAACTTGTTTTTTTTTTGAATTCTGACAAATGAAATTTTTAGGCAAGGAAGTGGATGCATGGATCAAATATAAGAAAAAGAAAGATAAAACGTGTTCGAAAACGGAGCCATAGAAAAATGGAATCATCTTCAACATCTTTGGGAGATGAAAAAAGTTTGAATAAACGATTGCGAGAACTTTATCCAAGTGTGAAAGAAAGAGAAGGTTATGCGTCATTTCCAAGAAGATGGGATCGAAATCAAGCATCAAATCACCTAGATATTAGTAAAGATGGGTTGAGTGTCACTTTCAAGAAACGTAAGTTTTCGAAATTTGGTGGTACAAAATAAATTAATAATTCAGATGTTAAAGTTCCGAAAGAAGAAAAAGAAACATCAGCGGTAGTTCGAGCAAATGCTGCAATTCCAGCCAGTTGTGGTCTATACTATTTCGAAGTAACCATAGTTCACGGGCAAAAAGGTTGCATGGGAGTTGGATTATCTCGCAAAGGTGGATTGTTGAATCGAATGCCTGGTTGGGATACAGATTGTTATGGTTATCATGGAGATGATGGGAATTTCTTTTCGGCTTGTGGACATGGAGCACCATATGGTCCGAAATTTGGAACTGGAGATGTTGTTGGATGCGGCATTGATACACTTATGCAACATATTTTCTTCACAAAAAATGGACAATTTTTGGGGCTTGTTGTTCAATCAATAACTGTTACAAGAGATTTATATCCGACGGTTGGGCTGAAAACAGCTGGAGAACGTTTGATGGTGAATTTCGGACAACAACCATTTGTTTTTGATATTCATAAACATCAGAAATATTTGATGAAACAAAAAACAATGAAAATCGAAAATCTTGCGATGCCTGAAGAAATGCCGAATATATTAAATCGAATTGTTTCCTCATTTCTTGCCACAAATGGAGCTGTTGAAACATTGAAAATTTTCGAAGATATAACTGATGTTGAGAAACGCGAAGATTATTCATTTATTGCAAAACGAACGGAAATTATGAAAATGATTATGAATGCGGAGAATGGAATCAAGATTCATACAAAAATCAATACATATTTTCCACGAATGTTGGATGCAAATCCGGATGTTCATGTGCTTATTATGTGTCTTAGATTTATCGATCTCGCTTGTTCGATTAAAGTGAGCCCGAGAGAATATCGAGATTATGCTGAACGTGCATCAACTTCCTCATTATCAGCTCCAACAATCAGAAGATCGGGTATTTTTTTGTTTGAATTTTTCTAAAACAATTTTAATTTTCAGATGACAGCGATGAAGATATGGCTGATCCAAAACTTGTAAAAATAGGTATTAATTTTTTTTCAAACAAAAAAATATTTAAAAAATGTTTTTTTCCAGACAAAGATCTTTTCGTATCACGAGAAATGTATGTACAATTGGGAAACACCGACGAAGTGGATAAAATCAAATATTTGATCAATATGGGACGACAAATTATGCGGGCAAGTAATTGTATTAAAGTTTGTGCGAAGTCGAGGGAAATTATCGAATTGTCATTGGCCACGATTTATTCGATGCGGAAAAATAGCGATCCACATCCATTGGTGGAAGAAAATCGACAATTTATTGCGAATCGCGTTTATTCAATGTTAAATGGTGGGTTGGGGGCTATAAATTCACTATGTCAAGGAGCCGAGCTTAGAAATCCTCGTTTTTGAGTAGTTGAGCCTAGAAAGTTCAATTGTGAAGGATCAGTGCCTAGAGAGCATAGATCTTCAGTAGCCGCGCCTAGAGAACCTAATTTTCTAGGACAGACACCTAGATATCCTCTGTGGCTAGCAGCCGCCCCTTGAGAGCTTTTTTTTTTTGAAAGTTAATTCGGCTCCCGATTAAAAATCTTCAATTTTTATAGCCTTTCATAAATATTAGCTGCAACCTTTCTTTTCAGAAACCGGAAAACGCAAGCAATACAGCGAATTGCGTGGGCTGTTCTATGGCTGGGAAGGTTTGCATCGAGATATGACAAGCAAAGATCTACAAGCTGCTTCATATTCAGATGCTAAACATCTGGTAGGTTTACTAATTTTTTCAGAATTTATTTATTATTAACAAAATATTTTGCAGGTAATCGATGACGATGTTGAAACCGACAATTTATCCGAAATGAGTTCTTCGAATAGTCGAAATGATAGTCCAAAAAATGAATTGGACGAAGAAATGCCGAATTTAGCTGAATGTTAATTTATGTATTTTATATACTCACTAAAAACCTCACTCTTTTCCTGTATAATGATATTTGTATGAATTTTGGATTTTACTGTATAAAATATATTATAATATGGTTCCATAAAACCCCCTATCACAAATATTTTATTTAAGTTTTCAAAAAAAAAAAAAGATCTTGAACCGATTTTCAGATGGATTTATATCGTGATAAGATCATATTAGCTCCGATGGTTCGAGCTGGAAGAACTCCACTTCGATTGTTGTCATTGAAATATGGTGCAGATTTATGTTACACTGAAGAAATTGTTGATACGAAACTATTGAATTCGCAGAGAATTGTTAATGGTAAGAGGCTGGTGAAAATATTGATTTTTTTCCACTGAAAATGGATTTTAAGAGGCAGTTGGAACGATAGATTATCGCAATGGGGATGATATAATTCTTCGATTATCGCCAGAAGAAAAAGGAAAATGTGTTTTACAAATTGGAACGAATAATGGAGAATCGGCGGCGAAAATTGCGAAATTAGTGTGGGGATTTTTGAAAATTTCAATTGCATTTACGGCAGAATTTTTTGTTGAAAAAATATTTGTTTATATAAAAATTTTGAAACGTATTTTTTTTTGGTTTTGAAAAATTAGAAATTTTGAGTCAAAATTGAAGAATTTTATGGAAAGATGAAAATTGCTCAAAATTTTCATGAATTCTGATCGAAAAATCGATAATTTCCGAATTTTCATCCAAATTTTTGACTATTAAAAATTTTTCTGTAGACCTTCTGAAAAATCTCAAAATTTTGTAAATTTTTCCAAAATTCATTTTAAAAAATCAGAAAATTGTTGAAAATTTTGCTCAAAAAATTAAATTTCTCCTTTTAAAATTTGGAACAAAATTATAGGTTGAAAAACTTTCTGAAAAATGTTATTCGGTTTCAGAAATCTTCTAGAACTCTGGAAATTTCGTATTTTTTTTTACAAATTTCAAAAATCCTATTTTTCCAGTGGTGATGACGTGGCAGCAATTGATGTGAATATGGGTTGCCCAAAACCATTTTCAATTCATTGCGGAATGGGAGCCGCGTTGCTCAAACAAACCGACAAAATTAAAGAGGTAAATAGGTTTCTTTCATATCTTTTCCATCCAAAACTTCTAAAATTTCTTTCAGATTCTAACCTCCCTCAAATCCGCCGCAATCGTTCCGATTTCTTGTAAAATCCGATGTCTCGACGATCAAAATGACACGCTGAATTTGGTGCGCGAAATCGAGAAATGTGGAGTTTCAGCGCTCGGAGTTCATGGAAGACGAAGAGATGAGAGACAGGGAGATCGATGTAGAATTGAGGAAATTCGAGAAGTTGTGAGATGTGTTGGAGGAGATTTGCCAATTATTGCAAAGTTTGTGCATTTTTTAGAAAAAAATCATTTATTACACAGTTCCTGAGTTATATTAAATTGACTATTGATTTATTGATCGAAAAATTCGATATAGAAATTGCTTGCGAATCGATAGAATTTCTTAACGTAGTAATCTTTGGGCCTGAAAAAATATTTTTTGTTTTTTCAAAAACAACTCATTGCAGTGGCGTTTCTGGTGAAATCAACACATATTCGGACATTTTGAGACAAAAAGCTGAAAGTGGTGCGAGTAGTATTATGATTGCTAGAAAAGCATTGGCGACGCCGTCGATTTTTCGAAAAGATGGCGGGATTTTGTCGAAATATGAGGATATTGGGAATTTTCTGGATTTGGTGAGTGGAATCACGGTTATCGCCAAAAATTTGGTGAATTTTTGAGCCGAAATTCATGAAAAATCGATGATTTTGAGCCTAGAAACATGAAAAATTCAAATTTTTTGAAGTTTGGCGGAAAAATTCAACGTGTAAACGCGGATCATCGTTTGAAACTCAAAATGGGCTGTTTTGAGCGTAGAAACATGAAAAATTGAAATTTGGCGGAAAAAATTCAACGTGTAAACGCGGAGCATCGTTTACAAATCGAACATTGACTATTTTGAGGCTAAAAATTCAAATTTTTGAAATTTTCCGCAAAAAATTCAGCGTGTAAACGCGGAGCATCGTTTACAACTCAACTTCATTTTAGGCAGCTGAATACGACGAGAATTACACAATGACAAAATATGTAATTCAGCGAATATTAGGCAGTGATCAAGAATATGATCCACGTGGAAAAGCGACAGTCGAAGCCGGAAGTGTTCTGGAAATATGTCGAGCATTTCAGAAAGAGGATGTTTATGAGAAATGGCGAAAAGAGCGACAAAGAAAGCAGAGTAAAAGGAAAATTTTCGAGAATCCTGAAGATGGAACACTTCAAATCGATGTTTCGTTTCCACTCAAAAAACTGAAAAACGCTCAAAAAGCCGCGCCAACGCCGAAACAAGTTATCAATAGTTATTGTGATGAGAAGAAATTGGCGAAGCCTGTTTATGAAGTTGTAAGTTTTCTTGTTTGCTAGAAATTGTATAGACTCCATGAAAAAATTTGAAAATGGAGGGACTAGAAATTTCCTAGTCCCTCAATTTTTCGAAAAATTTCCTCGGGCTGATTCACGATCAACTCACGAAAAGTCGAAAAAACATTGTAGGTCAAAATTAGTTTTCGAGTTTTTCAGCCAAAAATGATGACAAATCAAAATTTTTCAAGCTTCTGGGATGATTTCTGATGAAAATAAGCTTCGAGAATCCTATTTCGCTTTTTTTTGAAATTCATCAATATTTAAATTTTTTTTATTTTACGAAAAATCAGGAAAACCTTCTGAAGGTCAATTTTAATCAGAAATCACTCGAGAAGCTTCAAAAATATCAATTTGTCACCATTTTTGGCTGAAAAACTCGAAAAACTAATTTTGACCTACAATGTTTTGACGTTTCGTGAATCAGCCCTAGAGCTATTTGAGATCATATCTACTTCTTGAATGCAATTTGCAGACACGACGAGACGACAAACGTTTTATAGCGACAGTTGAGTTGAACGGCAAAAAATACAAAAGTGGAATTGGTCAAGTGAATGTGAGAATGGCTGAACAAGTTGCTGCATTGGCTGCATTATATGGATTAGAGGAACGATCAAGGTTAAAGGGAGAATGGGAAGAGGAAGATAATGAAGAATAGTTTGTTTATTTTTGTTTACATACATTGTTATTTGTTGAAAACGTGTTTATTGATTGACAAGAAAACTGTACATTCTCACCGTCTTTCTACTCTTTCGTAGTTCACTAATTGTGTTCCCACTAAATACCGGTCATTTTTGATTTTCTCAGCCAATTCGCTCAATTTGATGATTTGCCAGCGGGTGAAAGCGGCAATGAGGAAGATGACAAGGAATGTTGGATAGCTATATCGTATTAGAAGCATTGTACTCACTTTTGACATTCCTGCAAAAAAACTATTTTTTCGGAATATTTGAAATTCTAAAGACATACCAATTAAACCCGAATATGTTTTGATAAGCACAACTGGAGCGGCGATGAATGTTCCCAAATATAAAACAAGTGGCAAAATTAGCCGAACCAAAATCTGAATGGCCGCAAATTGATCCAATCCACGTTGCACAATTTGATCGAGCTCCGTTTTCAGCCACCAATCGGGTCCCATCATTGCGAACACGGCGAAGATTTTCATCTGGAGCACACCCATAGCCCAGTCTTGATATGGGAATGTTATTGCGGTCTGAAACAGGAATGATTGATACAATTTCCGTATGTATGTATTTCAAAAAATTCACCTGATTTGCAGATAATCGAAGAGGTGTTAGTACAACAAGTTGGAAATATAATCCAATCAAAAATGGGAGAACAAAAACAACTGGAATTGCAACAGATAATAATCGGAGAGCCAATGATAAATATTTGAAAATTGTCTCTTTTAGTTGAGCTCCTCCATCTTCTGTCAATTTCAAAATAACACTAATCGCTTTTCCGATACACCAGCAAACATAAAGGCCCAATCCAACTGTGTAAATCTCATGAATATTTGATTGATTTGAAGTGTATTGAATCATTATTCGACCAATTGATGCTGAAAATGTCAATTTTATAGACTAAAATGAGCAATCATGATTTGGAGTCACTTCAAATTTCCGAATTTGAATTTTTAAATATCTAGGAATGCAATTATAAATTTCTCATGAAAATGGGTCTAAATGATTGCATTGCTCCTGTTAAGGCCTTCAAATTCTCAATAGAGCGTGTTTCAGAATTTTCAGGTGGAAAATTAAATTTTCCAACTTCCCGGGACTAATTTGGGCGGGAAATTTGAATTTTTCAATATCTAGGGATGAAATCATGAATTTCTCATGAAAATGGGTCTAAATGATTGCATTGCTCATGTTAAGGCCTTCAAATTCTCAATAGAGCGCGTTTGAGAATTTTCAGGTGTAAATTTGAATTTTCCAACTTCCCAGGACTAATTTTGGCGGGAAATTTGAATTTTTCAATATCTAGGGATGCAATTATCGATTTTTCATGAAAATGGGTAAAAATGATTGCATTGCTCATGTTAAGCCTAAAATTCCTTCAAATTCTCAATAGAGCGCATTAGCAAATTTTTATCCAAAAAAAAACAATTTTTCGGGAAAAAATCCTGAAAAAGAAGAACAAACTAGGGCTGAAAGTCGAAATTTGAAGATTTTTGAGCAAATCATATTTTTTGGAGCTACTCCGAATTTCCGATTTTTTATCTTGATCAATTTAGAGACTAAAATGAGCAATTGTATTTTTTTTTTAGGATTTTCGAAATTTCTAGATAATTTCGAGCCCAGAATTCGGATTTTCATCATGAAATTTGAAGCATTTTGAGCCCTAACTAACCTGGAACAACAAAAAAGAGACAGCTAACAAGAGTTGTTGTCATTGACATCGAAACAAGCAACAATCCAATCCGAACCGCGAAAAATGTCGGTCGTTCATATGGTTCATAGGCTTGCGGTTCTCTTAACAATAACAATGCTTGATGTTCGGCAGCCAATCCACCACCAGCCGCTGGCCGATCATTATTCAATTCATTTTGCACTTCTGACAATAAATAACGATCCAGATCCAATAGTCGCCCGATTGTTTTACACCAATATTTGACGATTACTTTGACAAATGTCCGAGTGTGGGCGTGCTCGAGAATTGCTGGCATCACAACCTGAAAACTTTTTTTTTTTAAGATTTTTTGGAATCGAAGCACTTTTATCCCGTTTCAGGAACCCAAAAATCGACTTTTTTAAAATTAAAAAAAAATACAGTTTTCTAGAGATCCGTTGATCACAATTCCGTTGTCAAAAATTGCAAATCTCATCTTTTAACATGAGTTATGACGTGGCAAAGTTGGAAAATGTTATGCGGCTATATTGTTATCGCTTCACTTATTTGGTGCATTGGATTGTTGGATTTTTCAAAGTTCGACCGTGAGTTTTTTGAAAGTTTTGGGAATGAAAAAATTGGAAATTCTTCAAATTTCGATTTTCAGCCCTAGTTTGTTGTTTTTCAGGATTTTTTTTTACGAAAAAACTGTTTTTTGGCTAAAAATGTGCAAATGCGCTCTATTGAGAATCTGAAGTCATTTTGACCCATTTTTTATGAGAAATTTATAAGTTCATCCCTAGATATTGAAAAATTCAAATTTCCCGCCAAAATTTGAACCCGGGAAGTTGGAAAATTCAAATTTTCACCTGAAAATTCTCAAACGCGCTCTGTTGAGAATTTGAAGGAATTTTAGGCTTAACATGAGCAATGCAATCATTTAGACCCATTTTTCATGAGAATTTTATAATTGCATCCTTAGATATTTAAAAATCCGAATTTCCCGCCAAAATTAGTCCCGGGAAGTTGGAAAATTCAAATGTTCACCTGAAAATTCTCAAACGCGCTCTATCGAAGATTTGAAACATATTTCAAAAGATTTTCCCAAATCGTTAGAACAAACCTGTAAAATCAACAATTCCAGCGATAATTCACTTAATGGAGTATCGGCGCTCATTGAAACATTATACGGTAGAACAGATGGCAATATTTTTTGAATTATATTCAAAGGAATGTAGAAGATGAGCAGGATTGTTGTGAAGAATAATGTCTGCAAAAAAACTTTTTTTTAATTTTAAAATGAAAAAAAAACAAGTAAAACATACTGTAGACACGACCAATCGTCTCAAATGTCTAGTGAATGGTAAATCGATCATTTCCTGAATCGGATTGAAATCCGGATCATTCAAATTGCGCATAAACCAAAGAACGCCGGGTCGAAGAATTTCGCGGAGAAGAATAACAAACGAGGCCGAATAGAAGACATAAACCATTCCAATCATCCAATGTAAAAATATTGACATAAATGGAGACGAACTGAATGTGGCGATTCTTTGTGAGAGTGTTGCTGAGAATAATGGAAGGGTGCAAATATCCATCCAACATCCACACATTACTGGGAAGAAGCCGATTTCCATCAAAACCAACAGGAATACTTTGATGATTAGAAACATGATTCCGAAGAAGCGGTATAATCTGAAAATTTGAAAAATTATCAAGAAACAGTGAGTTGAAGCCGGGTATATCAGGGTTTTTCAAAAATAAAATTAGCATGAGTAATGCTGAAAATTCAAGATTTTTAGCCAATTTTCACAGGATTGCTCAACTGGAAAATTTTTCGAAAAAAATCAAAAATTTCTCAATAGAGCGCGTTTGAAAATTTTCGAGTGTAGATTTGAATTTTTCAACTTCCCGGGTTCAAATTTTGGCAGGAAATTTGAATTTTCGAATATCTAGGGATGAAATTATCGATTTTTTTAAAATGAAAAATGGGTCGAGATGACTTCAGATTCTCAATAGAGCGCATTTGTAAATTTTTAGCCAAAAAAAAAAACAATTTTTTCGGGAAAAAATCGCTGGAAATCGAAATTTGAAAATTTTTACAAAAAATTTCGAATTTTTCTAAATTTTTTTTCATTCCCAAAACTTTCAAAAAACTCACGGTCGAACTTTGAAAAATCCAACAATCCAATGAACCAAATAAGTAAGTGAAGCGATAACAATATAGCCGCATAACATTGAAACAATCGACGGATAATATTGAATTCTTTCTTGAACTCCAGCCAAACTCAACAAATATTGTCCAAATTTATAAGGAATGTATGCTGCAAAATATTCTAGGTTTTTTGGTTGCGTTTTGAAGAAACCTTACCAAAAATAACTGTAAAAAGTGTGTTCAACGAAATGACCCAAAAAACGTGTTCCAAAAATACGATACTTCCATCCAAACCCAATAGTCTTTGCCACGTCAATTCTTCTCCAAATCGATCCCAATCTCTCCAATTATCATCTTGTTGAGCATCGTCGTTTTCTGGAAATGGAATGATTGGAGAAAAGAGGGAGAGGGGAAAATGAAAGAGGACAGAAATCTTACGTCGTGGAGCTCTTTCATCTTCCGGAAGACCAAGGCGACGAAGTGCGCGGCGTTCCTGGAAAAAACCGGGTTTTTTTGGTAAAAAATCGGCTGAAATGTAGTTTTTAGCATGAAGCTGACATTTTTGACTTCAAAATCATAGGACGATTCAAATTTCTCTTTAAAAAACCAGAGAAAATTGAGTACGATTTCTGAAATTCTTTGAATTTTTTGACGCAAAACTTCTCGAAAAATCCAAATTTTCAAGAGTTTCTACTTGAAATGAGAAATTTCCAGGTTTCTCTATCTTTCAAATTCGAAAACCCCGATTTTTCAAAATTTTCTACTTAAGGCGCTTTCAAATTTTAATTTAGGCGAACATTTTTCATGGTTGTCCGGCTCCCAAATTTATGTAGTTTTCTTGTTTTTAATTCATATTTCTAACCTAAAAAATCGTGAGAAAATTGAGTAATTTTCTGAATTTTCTGATCAAAACTTCTTGAAGAAACTACATTTTCAATAGTTTCTGAAAAAAATCCAGGTTTCTCTATTTTTCAAATTCGAAAACCGTGATTTTTCAAAATTTTCGAAAGAAATTTCAAATTTTAATTAAAGCCAACCCTTTTCATGATTTTCCGGAGCCTATGAATCGGCACAATTAATGTTCTTTCTCCGTTTCAAATTTAAATTTCTAATTAAGATTTGGCTAGAATCTATGGCTCGAAAATTCTCGAATATTTCTGGAGTCCCTTCTCAAGCCCCAACCTGTTCTCGTCTCCAATTATCCCTCCTCCGCTCAAAATAATCAATAGCCTCCGGAATTCCTTCAGCAACCGCTTCTCTCAAATGAATCTGTTGTCCATTATTCCAATACAATTCTCCATTATCCATCAAATGATCCGGCTCTTCTTCATCCTCTTCCACAAATTCATCATCATCCTCATCATCATCTTCAGTTTCGGATTCATTATTATTCTCATTTTCATTATTATTATTCTCGTTGTTATTCCTTTCACCTTCCTCTTCATCCTCTTCAATATTTAAGAAATTCTGCGGTCCAGCCAATACAATTTGCTCGCGGAGCCAGACAATCGAAATGAAGGCGCAGACAAATATCAAAAGTAGAATAGCTCCTTTCGCGATATCCTGGGCAATATTTTCGAATTTGAGGAAATGCGAGATTTTTGTGAAGAAATCATTGATCGATAGATAGAAAATACAATTATATACTCTTGCAGCAGTCAAAGGAACAATAAATAACCAAGAAATCATAACAAGTGAATATACCAACCATGTTTTCAGCATACCAAGTAATGATATAACTATTCCTAGAAAAATTGGGGTTGGAGATGAATAAAATATGTCCCCTCAAAGAGTAAAAGTTATGGAAAACTTCACAAATTTGAGTGAATTTTTCAACTGAATTTTCAAACTTCTGTGGAATTTTGAAAATGATCAAAAGCATGTTCAAATTTATTAGAAATATATTAGGGCTGATTCACGAACGAAAAAAATGTTATAAAATGTTTTTTTTACATTGAAAGATCAATTCACGAAAAGTCAAAAAATGTCGAAAAAACATTGTAGGTCAAAATTAGTTTTTCCAGTTTTGCAGCCAAAAATGATGACAAATCGATATTTTTGAAGGAACTGGGGTGATTTCTGATGAAAATAAGCTTCGAGAACCCTATTTTGCTTTATTTTATGAATTTTTGAAATTTGAAATTTTTTATTTTACGAAAAATCAGCAAAAACTTCTGGAAAAGTCAATTTTCATCCGAAATTACTCCAGAAGCTTGAAAAATATCGATTTGTCATCATTTTTGGCTGAAAAAACGCGAAAAACTAATTTTGACCTACAATGTTTTTCGACATTTTTTGAATTTTCGTGAACTGATCTTTCAATGTTAAAAAAATATTTTAAAACATTTTTTTTCGTTCGTGAATCAGCCCTATTGATTTTAGGCTTAAAATGCTTTTAAAAAAATCAATTTTTTGACCGAAATATTCATTTTAAGTATCACCCTCCTTCCTTTAGGCTTAAAAAATTTTACAAACCTTTAACAATATCCTTAACAGGTAAAGCTTTGGGCATATCTTGTCGATAAATTGGTTGAAATGAATATTTATGATTGCACAGCTCACAAACTTCTTTTTTGCTATACTTCAACCATTCCACTAAACATTCTTGATGTACATATTTTATACTTCCCGTGCATAAACATGGATAATATAAATTCCCTTCATTTCCCCGGCAAACTCGGCACATGTCTAAATTTATTCATAAATAAGCTTTTTTCTGGAATTTCACTTACATAAATCATCTGGATCTGATTCTCGTGAATATCCCTGTCCTCCAGTATCCGGCACATTTTCAGGTGGCTCATTCATTTCTGAAATTTCTAAATTGAAAGTATCTCCATTGACAACCGCCAAAATTATATATTATGAAGAAGAAAAAAAAGAAAAATTGTGAAGAGAGTGGCAGAGAAAAAGAGAAAAAGGACATTCTTTTTTTGAGAAAAAAAAAGGGAAAATTGGAAACCAAAAAAATTCTATTTGATTAAAAAAAAGCAAACATTTTTGGAGTTTTGTTTTAATTAAAAAATTTGTGGAAATTGGGAAACGAAAAACAACTATGACGTGGAATTTCAAGATTTTATTTATTTTTTGAAATTGGGCCGAAAATTGAAATTTTAAAAATTCGACTGGAAAACAACTATTTGAATTCAAAATATGTTTACCTTTTCAAGATTCAAGGAATCACATTTTAGAAAATTATCAGCATTTAGTAATTCGACAAAAATTTAAATGAAATTTAATTTTTTAAGAATTTTTACTCAAAAACGTGGGAAAACGTGGCATTCTAATCAAAAAAATATTTAAATATTTTTTATTTTCGACAATTTTTCTCGTGCTAAATAAATTTCAGTATTTTTCTCAAGTCAGGTATTTTTGAATTCGATAAAAACAATTATGGAGAAATCTCTTGGGATCAAAAAAACCTTCATATTCAGAAATTTTAAATTGAGGTAGAGATGGGAATTCATTCATTCATTCAAAAATAAAGAAAATAAGAACAAAATCACTGGTAAAAATAATGGGAGAGGGGGGAGATTCTGTGGTAAACCAAATCCCCACATTGTGGGGAAATGAATTCCAATACAAACATTTAACAGGTTGCAATTATTTTCGTTTTTTACTCGGTGGCCCTCCTTTATGATGATTCGATCTTTTACGATCTCTATCTCGATCTCGATCATCCGATCCGTCCATTTCTCTTCTTTTATCCGCCTTTGCAGCTTCTTCTTCTAAATCCGACCAATCTTTTCCTTCCGATTCATCCGAATCCAATGAACCTTCTTCTGAATCTGATTCAGATTCTTCTCCTTCACTTTCATCTTCATCCGATTCTTCTTCATCATCATCATCGTCATCTGTTGGAGCATAAGCATCGGATTCTTCCGATTCCTCGTCAGCATTTTCATCATCAGATCCAGCATCAAGGAAACCCCAACCACCACCTTCAAAGAATTCTTCCGGATCATCAACAATAGTTTTCATAACTTTTGGCCAATTTAACGATTGGATTCCTTCCGTATATTTAATATCGCATGAATGTAACCATTCTTTTATCATATCAATACTACTCATCGGAATTTGTTGAACCATTTGAACCTTTTTGCCATAATCCTTGAAAATGAATACCATATCAAAGTTTTTCAATTGGAATGAGACACGTTCAAAATGAACTAATTCCACTTCACTCAACGTGACAATAAATGGTGGCTGAAAAAAACATGATTATTTATTTAGAACAAGGAATTGCTCACAAAAACTTACCCATTCAGTCAAATTAACCAAACAAGACGATGTTGGTTTGAGTGTACAAGAAGATCTGTATGGAACTCCGAAGAAGCCGAGATCATTGAACGGTGTGTCGAAATCGAATTGATCGTTGGTGAGGCGCGAAACTTTTTCACAAAAACTATTGAACGCCGAATTCAATTTGCGTCGCATTTCTCTTTCCATTTGTTCACTTTGAACATCATCTCGATCTTGCATATGATGGTATTTTCCCAAATCTGTTGTGATTTCTCCGACTTCGGTGTAGAATTGAACATCTCTGAAAGAACATCATTTTCATCTCAAAAAATTATTGTTGAATCAAACCATACTTGTATTTTTTCTTTCCCCACATCACCGGATTTTTGAGATGAAAATGCAACAGAATAATCATCTCATTGTCGCACGGTTGGAAATATGCGTGTTTGATGTTGTTGTAAAGAACATCGATACGATCACCGCGCAATGATGTATATCGGAAACCATTTGTGTGAGCTTCCAATGATCCAGTTATACGTTTCAAGATTATGTTTGGTCGAATAAGTCTGCAAAAAAAATTATTGATTTTATTGAATCTATTGAAAGCATCCAACTCACAAATCTTTTAATTTCGGGTTCAATTTATTTTGACTTAGAACAAGTTTGTCTTGTTTCACAGCTCCTTCTTTTTCACGTTCTTCAGCTTCTTCAGTTCGGAAACGTTTTTGAATTTCTTTGATGAGTCGGAAGGCTGTGCTCAAATTTCCACTTGGAGCAGCAGTTTCACCGTGTTCTTTAACATTACTGGCTCTATAGGTGAGTTCTTTCATGAAATGAGCCAAAGGATGTGGAAAAGCAGCATTTTCTTTTCCAACTTGAGATCCGGGTGTATTGAAATTGATGCGAAGATATGTGTATTCTCCTTCAACAGATTGTGAACAATTTTTAATCATCGAAATATGAATTGGGACTGGAATTCCAAATATTGGAATAATAACACTATCATGTCTTCGATCAACATAAATCAATAAATTGTTGACTTCATTTTCTTGCGGGAATTTCTCATACGATTTATATGAAGTATTTGATTTCTTCACTTTTTTCTCATCACTTCCACCTCCCTGTTTTGCCAATCGAGCTCTTGCTGCATCATTCAACAGTTTTCCCAACTCTTTTTGTCTTTCTTTCCGTTTTTCCTCATTCGTTGTTTTATTTCTTGTTTGATCATTCAATACAACACTTCTTTGTCCTCTTCCAAGACTTTTACTTGTTCCTTCATTTTCTTTTTCAGCACCGCCACCTTCTTCATCTTCTTTAAAGCGAATCAAATTGGATTTCATGCGCGCTTTCGCTTTTTCCGTCAGAATTTCATTGTCGCCTTCTGCTTTCACAATAATCTGAAAATCATTTGGTTTCGATGAATATTTACACCTTCACTTAATCTTACCGTATCCGAAAGAGCAATAGCAGCTGGTTTTCCTTTTTCTCCTTTGCTTGTCTTATTCGGCAAATTATCAACTCCAATATAAACAATGAAGACCATTCCAGCTTCAACCTTTTCATCACATTTTGGGCTAATCGAAAGTCGACTTTCTCGGAATTCGATACCGGTTGAAAAACCCAATTCTTTCTTATTCAAATTCTCAACAAGTTTCGGGTTTTTCTCTTCAAGTGTTTTCAGTCCAATTTTGTAAACATCTGACAATACGGCGCCTGGTTTAAGAGCAGAAATCACGGCTTGTTCAGTTGCGTAAATCGCTTCATAAGCGGCTTCCATTTCAGTTGATGGGAAAATAATCATAGTCCGGGTAACATTTGTACAATAATCTTCCAATCTTGCACCAAATGACGTGATAATCGTTCCGAATTGTGATGAAAGATGACTTTCTGTACTATCATGATTCCATTTGAAAGAATATGTTCCGCCACTCATAACAATCGGATCATAACTTGTATCAACATTGTATTTTCCACCGGGTAATTTGGTTTGCTTGATAAGTGTTGCGATATCAGAAGATAAAACGGAATGGCGAACTCTCTATAAATTGTTATTTTCAACATATTATTTTCAATTTAACTCACTCTTTCTTGATCGATAATTTCAACATATTTATTTTTGGCAATACTCCAAACACTTGTGGTCGCCAATGCTGATTTTCGAATAAGTGCCAATTCTTTATCATCTTTAATCGCAAAAATGTGGGTAAACGCAATAGATAAATCAACTTTGTTTATACTCTTCTCTTCCAATGCTTTATTCCATAATGAGATGAACTCGGAGTCAAATTTATCTTTGATAAATGCGCCAATCTCCGCTCCTTCGATGAATCCAATGAATTTTTGGAAATTCGCTGCATCTTTATCGGATTTATCACGATGATATGCTTTTACGGGCGGGACTTTTCCATGCGACGACTCTCCGACTACCGGATTGAAAAAATCGGCTTTCCGATTACTTCCAAGAATATGAATTCGCTTTTTAGTGAATAATAAGACTGTGTCAATGATTTCATGACCAAGAAGCCAAGTCTAAAAATATTTTGTTTCGTAATAGTTAGCAAAACCTGCAATAAAACTTACGTGAAATGCACTCGACTTCGTATACGGATTATCATTATTTCCAACAGTCACAACAAACGATTCAACACTATCGAATCCGTGCTCGCCTTTCTCCTACAAAGAAACAAATGAAATATATCATCATCATCATTCCTAAAAAATATAACTTACCCATGCTGAATATATTCTTTCAGCGCGGCTATAGAAGTGCTCCTTGTTTATTGTGACTTTTTTGTCACCCATAATGATCTGAAAGCTTTACTTAAACTGAAATAAAGCAAGAATTGGGTGGAGAGCGTTGGGCGAAACAGTGGGACAAACAAAAATTGCGCGCGAAAGTGTGGTGCAAAAAAAACAAAAGGGCGGGGTTTATTCAAACATCGCTGTTTGTGCGCACACAATTTCTGCAAGTATTTGTTTGCCGCATGGTTTTTTTCCGATTTGTTTTTTTAATGAATTTTTTTGCAAAAAGTCGAAAAAAACAAGGAAATAGAACATCTTTATTTGAGCTGAACCAGTTTTCAAAGGCAAATCACATGGCACAAATTCTATATACAAATTTCAAATATTTAAAAATCTATTCGTCATCAGTATAATCATAGATTGGTTGTTCTAATCGACCTTCCACCACATTTTTGACAATTTTGTTGAATTCGGTTGGATCATCGGCATAAACATGATGACCAGCACCTCGCAAAACTTTTATATCAACATAACCATCACGATATGATTGAATATCCATCGCTGGTCCTGGATCAATCCAACTTTTGCTGCCATAAATGAAAGTGACACCAACACTTGTATGAATACCGCTGAACCTTTTGATCATTGGTCTTTTAGCCCATCCCACAGGAAGTGTCATACTCATAAAAGCAGTTTCACCAGTTGGCTCGGGAAGATTACATAGATACACATACTTATAGATATCATTTGATCGAATACTTTTGAATCTTAATTGAAGATCGGGGCGCAATTTCTGCACAATCGCGGGAGCTGAAAAACAGTTGTAGGGAGGGGATTTTCGAAAGAGAAAAACTTACCAAATGGTCCCATCCATCTCATTGGTGAAAGTGGATTTAAAGAGCCAGCAACTCCTCCAAGAAATGACATCCATTCATACGGTTTTATCTGAAATGCACTTTTTTTTTCAAAATTTCATTTCTAAAGCAAACGTACGAGTTGTTCATTTGCATCAACTTTTTCAGCAAAACCCCATGGATCAACTAAAATCAGATGATTAATTCTTGAACTATGTTCTAGAGCATAAGCAGCTGCAATATATGCACCAAAAGAATGAGCAACGATGTGCATTTTCTCAATTCCCATATTCTTTCTCCAATCTTCAATCGATTCAACCATTTCGAGTTCAGCAATTGAAGGATCTGATGAAAATGTTGGTCTTGATGATCGACCAAATCCAATCATATCGAAAATATAAATTGTATGATTTTCCGATAATTCTTTGAGATTTGCACACCACATTGCTGTTCCAGCTCCGAATCCGGGAATAAAAACGACTGCTTCCGTCGGATTTTTCTCTTTGCCATTATTGATTGTGATTGTGTAAATCTCACTGTTTTTGAAGCGAACCGGGACATATTTTGCAGAATATTCGATGTCGAAATTTTCAAAAAGTCTCGCTTCGACTCTGCTTAATTGCGTATCTGCTTCGTCCGTAAAACTCATCCAATTCGTTCTGCAAAAAATCCCACGTGTTTTTTTTCTAAAATAAAAAAAAACAAACTCACATTTTAGACACCACGGGGTTCGATAAGATCGATAACATCTTCTTCTCTCAAAATATTACTTTGTTTTTCAATAGGTAAACAGGTTGTTTTGAAATACAATAACCTGTATCAAATTAGGTTTAATTTTACAGTATGTATTGTACAAATGACTAGAATGGAGCCTACAGGCGAACAAACGCGGAAAAAATGAAAAATTCCTGAAACCCGCGGACTAACTTTTTCACGACCGCGCATGCTTGTACTTCTCCCGGACAAAAGCAAAATATTTTTCCGAAATTTTCTCCTAAAAACCGTTAATTCCTTCAGAGTTAATAAAATGCCGGCTCTTCCACGTGTTGACAGATTGAAACCAATTTATACAGCTGCAAAAGCGTTGAATTTTGGCTGGAGGTTTTCGGATTTCTTGAAAATTCCCAACTACAATGGGATTTCACGATACACTAATCAACTTCATCGAGTGACTTTTCGTTTTTGTAAGCAAAGTGAAGATAGTGTTGGAGTGAGAAATTTCATTGAAGAAAGATTGGTCGAAATCGGCAAGTTATTTTATTTTATACTTAATTTAATGAAAGCGACTTTTATTGATTTCTAATATTTTAGGTAAACAAAATCCATCAGTTGTAATTTATGCTCAACCAGTTCGAAATACAACTCCAACAATTCGCGCAGAATATGGAAATGGCCGTCAACTTCAAATCAACGCTAAAAATCTATCAATGGACGATATCACAAAAGACGTACATTTATTATTCTCTCGAAGTGGAAATCCAGTAACAAAGCTTGAATCAAGACAATCTGCATTAGTTCCATCAATTCAGGTATTTTTGGAAATTACATATTTTTCTTATTATCGTGGAATGTTCAGGGTCAATGGACACCAATAACTTGGTTGTCTACTGCAATGAATACAGAAAATTTGCCGAACAAAAACTTGTCAACTTTCAAATCTTGCAAAACTTCAGCAACCGAATATCTTCAACAAAAAAATGCAGAATAGACATTGAACAAGTGTACAGTTTTGTTGATTTTTTTTAGAATAAGTATTTATGAGACCATATGTGTTAATAATTACAATTAAAATCCTCCAGAAGTACTAGATCCAGGCGCATCAGCCCATTGTTGCCAAGTATTTCCATTATTAACAGCATATGCCGCTGAATAATCACTTGTATCAAATGGCGCATTATTATTTGGGACTTGTTGTTGTGGTTGTTGAGGTGGAACTGCAGCTGTTGGATTCCATTCTTCGGTTGATGTGACAATTTGATGTGTTGCAACAACGTATTCAAATTGTTCTGAATATGGATTCATAAATTTATAGGCTGAAATTGTGCAAGGCGCATAATCGGTTGCAGTTCTAACACGAATTTGTAATCGCATTGGTTGATCACTGAAAACAAAATATTAAATACATATAATCCCATCTTCAAATTAGCTTACGATAATAAGGCAACAAATGCATCTTGAAGTGTTTTTTCATCTGCTGGATGCGCTAAATTCCACCAATATCTTCCAATAAGTTGATCAACATTCAAACCAATCAAATCCGTCACCTTGCAATCAATAAATGTCATTTTTCCATCTTCCGAAACACGAACAGCAAATTGACTTGTTGAAGTTGGATCAGCACAAATCGGCATCGAAGCAACTTGCAATCTCGCAATCGCAACTAGACAAGAACTCGATGGAGCATCAATTCCTTGCGGTGGAGCATTTTTAATATATCCAGTACAATGCATCACAACATAATTTTGCCCGGCGTGTTGAAAAAGTGGGCGACGATTTCGCAAACGATGTAATGGTTCAAGATTGCCTAATCTCATTCGACAAATAAAACCACGTCGACATGACATGTGAACACGTGATGATGTTCCTTCCCGCTTCACACTTCCCGATTTCAAATCGAGAACTTTGTTCACCGAAACTTCGGAACCGCACAGTTGATCTCGAATTTTCTCCTGATCGTCTGGATGAATCAATTCATTCAAATTACGATGCAACCAATCTTCCTGCTTCAAATTTAAAACAGGAACAATAGAATCGGCAACATATAAAACTCTTCCAGTTTGACAACAAACAACAAAAAGAAAACCATTGGCCGCTTCCAAAATCAAATGTTTCAATTCCTGATCAGAAAGAAATGATGGTTTATAAGATGTTTCATCGTGCACCGCATGTCCACGAATCGCTTTCATATGAGTGACAGCCATTCGAAGAATCGTCAATTTATCCGGTTTTCTTCCAAGCGCAGCGCATTGTGGAACCATTTCAGCCAACTCATTTATATAATGTGTCATTTTGTTTCGCCGACGTCTTTCGATTTCCGAATGATTTTCTCTTGCAAATCGTTCCTTGTTTTCTCCGCCCATCTCATCGTCCATTCGAGCATATTTTCCTGATGGCATTCCCAAATCTTCATCTTCCATACTGAAGCTGAAATATTTTTTGGGGATTATATTTAACACCGAAAAACATGAGTTTTTGAAGAGAAATGGAAAAGTACAGTGTAGTTTGGTTTTTCAGAATTCCAAAAAAAACCTCCGAGAGAAATACAAAACACCAAATCCAGCTGCAGTCCGGCTCCTCGTTTCGAGACCAAGCTTGGTCTCGAAACGAACTGCAAATGGTTTGGTGTTTTGTATTTCCCTTGGAGAATTTGCAATTTTAAAAGACCGTGGGGGTCCCAAAAATTAAATTTCACAACGCTTAGCTCCGCATGAGCTCCACAAATAAAAACTTTTCAGAAAATTCTAGCGTGTTTTGCCGCCATTAAGAATAATGTATTTGTGCCAGGCCAGCTATACTAATATTCTCATTTTGTTTTTTTTTTCTGTTTCAAATCTATATTACCTGGTTGCGGTTTGCCAAGGATCCATGAAAACGTCTTGCGCCATTCTTCTTCTACAATTGAATTAAGCCCAGTCAACAAATACTTTTTCTTTTCTGAAATGAAATGAAATGAAATAAAGATAGAATGAGCCGGGACGAAAAATAACCAAGTTAATTTAACAAATTTGCAATTCCAATGAAAAACTCCAAAAAAATCCAGAAAAATGGGAGAAGGGAAACAGCAAAAAGAGAAAAGAAGACCTTTCTCTCACCACCCTCTCATTTCTTCACACTATTTCGCAATGCCTGAATAAAATATCTGTCTGCGTCTATTTTGAATCGATATCAACAGGCAGGCAGTTTTTCTGCCCTGCTGACATTTTTTCACTTCATAATCAGATAGAGATTGATTATTTTTTGATAACAATTAAAAATTATGGAGAAATTTGGGAAAATTTTGCGTCAAATCGATTTTCAAAATAAGAGTGAGGAAATAACAAACAAAATAAATACTCGATAGGTTTTTCTTTCAAAACAGTTCGAAAATTTATATAGTCAAGAAAGAAAACGGGGAGAGTACTATTTAGTGTTTGTTCAGTACCAGCCAGTGTGCGCGGAAGAGGGAAAAATGGACGAGAGACAGAAGAATTCGAGATTTTTAACAACATATGGTCAACCATATGTTGTTTCGATCCTTTCTTCAACAAGTTATTTTTGAAATCAAAAGAATGTTTTATGAGAGCGCTATAAAAGGCTTGAGGAAATTGCTGAAAATTGATGGAAACGTCCCAGGAGAAGCCCCCACTTTGGACCCACCCAGAGAAAAAACCGTACTCGACAAATGTAAACAATAACTACAGTAATCTTATTGTAGACATGTAATCCCCCTGATTACTACAGTTAGGGACTACTGTACTTCTACAGTAACCAGGAAAAACAAAACTACAAGGCTTTTATGCAATGACTTGTAGAGAAAAAACTACAGTAATCGTATTGTAGACACGCTGACATTTTTTCACTTCATAATCAGATAGAAAAAATGATAGAATTCTAGGAATCAGAAAAAAAGTAAATTTTTTATTCAAAGCAATTTGTCTTACATTGTATTCTTGTATGCAATTCCCAGAGTAAATAATTCATCGACGTCGATTTTCAAGTTAATTTTTTGTGATGTTTTGAAGGTGGTGAGTGTGACAGGATTGATTGAAAATTTTTCCGGTGATCCATTTCGCAAAAATCTTAATACTCCGCAAACTTCCATACTGAACATTTCTCGATCATTTTCTCTCTCGATGTTTAGCAAGAATTCCAGGTTTTGATCATCGCGAATAGCAAATCCCGTTCGCCTGAAAATAAGTTATATTCGTATGGCTAAAATTTATTTGTTATAAAAATTTACCATTTTGTATTCTTGGTCCGGATCGTTTCGAAGAAGTGTTTTTGCGATTTTTTGCTGTGTTGGATCAGCATCATCATCATCCGCACGACGTTTTGATGGTCGATTTGGGTCGCTGGAACCGGAGTTTGGCCGAATCGCTCACGGTTTTCTGTGTTCGTTTACGAAGCTTCATCGGATGTGTTGATGGTGCAGCTGGAGTTCGAGGATTCTTTGAAGCTCTTGGTGTCCGCGGAGCTGGCATAATAACCCGAACACGTCTCGCTCGCTGGTTTTTTCGCAACATTCTGATAAACTTCTCGGAGTTTTCGCTTGGCTGGAGGCGAACGAATTGTTTCTTCTGGCGAATGTTCTCGATGTGCTTGGTTCAAATACCAGGCTTGGAACTCGTAGAAGCTTCTGGTTGTCGAATTGTAGGCTCGTCGACGGGTTGTGGGCTTGTTTGGACGATAACCTCCTGAACAGCCCTCCAATGTTGCCATCGTTTTGATTTTCTGTTGGAATTGACGAGATTCCACCAGATTCATCAATATCCGACTCAAATATCAAAGCTCGATTGCACTTTTTCGATTTTGCCGAGTCTTCCACCACAATAGATTCGTTTGATGAAGAAGTATCGTAAATCGGGGTGAGCGACCGAGCATCTGAATCCGAAGTGATTGCGATGTTCGGAGAGATTCTCATAACTATACTCGTCACTTCGTTCTCTAATTATTGACATTTCATTTGGACTCGGCCCGATAGGAAACTTCTGAAAAATGGAATTATATTCGGATTTGGTAAGTTTTTTTCTCTCAATTTTATTGAAAGTCTTTTCAAAATTTTAAACTCTCAAATTTTCATAGAAAATATAAAAAACTTTATCTTTCTTAAACTTTTATGGATGAACAGAGCGGGTTCGTGAATCTTATGAAAGTTCGAAAAAAGTTTTCGAAAAATAAAGAAATTTTCATAATTTTTCACTGAAAGAAAATTTCATAATATTTTGAGAACATTAAAAAAAACTAACGTTATTCGTTGTGGGTTGCTTCAATGCTTGCCCTGCATCATAGGGGCCCTTATATTCCAAGTATCTTCGGAGGTTTGGTGACGGCGGCGTTTTTGCGGCGATTGATTGCTGACTTTGATCTCCGTCAGATTTCGATTCTTCTTCTGTCACTTCGAGTATTGTTGAAAGTATTGTGGCAACAATTTCGGAATCGTCTTGCTCGAAGTGACGTTGCGTTGCTGGAGCAAGCTCGACAGCAGTTGGGGCACAGGCGTGATCCTGTGCATTCGCTGTGTGATCTGAAAAATGAAATGCATTTATATTTGAGGAAAAACGTTTTAATAAAAAAAACCAACCTCACTCATTTTCGCTAATTTGCGAATTAATAACTACCAAAGTTGATTGCTGAAAATTTTTCTAAATAAAAATTGGAAAGTTGACAAAGTTACGGTATTTATAGAATGCAATATATCAGATTAATAAAAAAATGGTGTATTATCCAAAATATCATCGGTACCACGCGCTCCACCGAAATAAACACGCAACGCAGACCGCGCCGCGCCACAACACACACAAAAAGGGAGGGAATTTGAATCTTTTCTTTTTCAACTTGCTAAATAAAAACTAGGATAAAGCTTTAAAAAATATTTCAGAGGTCACCATTCTGTATGGAAAACATAGAAACAAGATTCTTTTGAATAGACGACATTCGAAAAATAAAAAAAAATCACGTTCAAACAATTTTTTTTCGCGGGCGTGTGTGCGATGGATTACTGTAGATCAAAACTTTTTGCGAAATTATTTTCTGTATTTTTGTATAATTAACTAAATGTAGTCTGAAAAATTGCGAGGAAGATAATTCATTCAATAAAAGTTGAATTCCAAAAAAAAATTTTTTTTTTTGAAAATATCTGACATGAAAAAAATGTTTTTCACTAAATAACAATAAACTACTAATCTCAAAATTTTTATTCACAATCAAAAAAACCCCAAAATTATTCAAACATCAACAAGAATCTCGTCCAAATCCACATCATTTTCTCCAACCGGAACACTCTCAACAATTTGTTGGCTCAACGCCAAACCAACACGTTTCGGCATTTTGCCAAACAATTTCTCATGTTCACTCATCCATCGATCATAGTAACCCTGAAAATTGCTCATATTTCTTGATTTGAACATAAATCGAGATTTCTCACCATTCCATGTCCCAATCGTTTCAAATCCCGTGTAAATGCAACACCAGGAACCAGAACAACATCAAAAGCACCTGAAACGTTTCCAGAATTTTGTTGGGAGGAACAATTTAAGTAATTAAATACCGGAGGTTTGATATTTTTCCCAATTCCACGCTGGATTCGGTTGCCTGATTCCCCAAAGAGTTATCGGAAGTTTTTCGAAGTCATCCAGGCTTGGAATTCGAACCATATCCATTTGGAGATTTCCCTTGGTGAACTTCAATGGAATTTTTTTATTTTTGAATTTGGGAAAAAGGAATTCACAAGAATTTTGTTCTGAATTTCAAGAAACCACTGAAAATTGCTGAAGATTCCATGATTTTCAGCAAAAAATTCTGATTTCAAAAATTATCAGAAAACCCCCAAAAATTCACCATTGGTATAAAAACATGTTTTCCCAACTCCAAAGCCGATCTTATAATCCCATCAGTTTCAACTTCTCCATTTGTGCTCACATAAATCGAAATTCTCCCAGAATTCTGAAACCATTCCGATTTCAGCACAAATTTCGCAACATTTTCCGATTGCTCTCGAATATTCTCAATATTTTTGAGCTTTTCAGTCATTTTCAGTCGCATCTCCTTTTTCAAAATTTGCAAAGAATTCATCTGAAAATTTCATTTATGTTAAAAACCGTGTGGAAAACATGAGATAACTTATGATAAATTACATATTCAAACAAAAATCCGTAGAAAATTAAATAAATAAATTAATAATTAATTAATTATGTACAGGAAGGAAATGGGAATGTTTCCGGGAATGGTGGAATTTCAGGAGGCTGTGAAGTTTCCGAGGATTTCACATTTAATAATCGAACTCGAAGTTCCATTTTGAGTAGTCGATCAACCATTTCATCAGTTCGGCTGGAAATAAATTTTACAAAGATTTCTAGAATTCGAGAAAAAACCCCCAACCTTCTATTATCTTTTTTCGAATTTCCAGTCAATTCTAATAATCCATCAATCCAAATCGTACAAATTTTCTCATCAAAAGTCGACGCATTCAGTGTCTCATTTTTCAGCTCAACTCGTAATCCTCTCGACATAATTCCCGAATTTCCTCCAGACGATGTAAATCGAGACGAACTTGTCTTCCGATCACTTTCATCATTATTTATAACATCTATAATATCTTTCAACCAAATTTGTTTGATTTCTTCCATTTGTCCACTATTTCCTTCCTCGTCGCACATTCTTATTGTTATGAATTTTTCAGATGAATCGAGTTTCCAGAACCAGAACGCTTGTTTGGATTTTCCTTTGGAATTTTTTCGAAAAACGTGACCTTCTTTCATATAATTTCGATTGTTTATTCCGACTATTTCCTCCATTTTTGGTCGCAATTTTTGAGCGAGAATTCTGGAAAAAAATTTTTGTGCTTCTTTTTTAAAATTTAAAATTTTTTTATTTTAGAAAATTGTACTTCAGGAACAATTTTTGAACACCGAAAAATCCTATTGTATTTTAATTTACAAAAAATTTTGGCACATTTTAGAGGATACGGTATGTACCTTTAAACCTGTTGATTTTCAGAATCAGTGCATTTTTAAGCTGAGATTTCCACAGTCAAAAACAAAAATTTGAATTTTTTTGAAGAAACTGAGAGTGTTCAATGGAGCGCATTTGCTTTTTTCATGTTTCTTGAATTCCAGCCAAACAAAATTTCAGCTCAAAAGTTCACCAGAAAAAAAATGAAAATTTGAATTTTTAGGAGAAACTGAGAGTGTTCAATTGAGCGCATTTGTTATTTTTTAAATGTTAATTTTGCGTCAAAAACCATAATTTTTGGCACTTTTTTTAGAGGATACGGTATGTACCTTCAAAATTTGTTGATTTTCAGTCATTTTTCCCGGATTTTCATTTTTCCCGGATTTTTCACATATTGCATTTTTGACTGAAGTTTTGAGCTATTTCAGACTGAAAATTCCAGAGCTAAAAATGTAAAATTTCAGCTAGAAAAAAAAAATGAAAATTTGAATTTTTTTGAGAAACTGAAAGTGTTCAATGGAGCGCATTTGCTATTTTTTGTCAATTTTTCACGTTTCTTGTCTCAAATTTTCCATTAAAAACTAACGTCACACTTTGACTATGCAATTGATCATTCTCCTTCTCTTCCTGCTCATCCTTCCAAATCTCCTGCAAATTCCTATAGGTAAACCTCTCCAACGACTCTTCCAATCCCTCAATATGACTCTGCTCCATTTTCAACACAAATCTCAATTGTTCCATCACAACACTCGCCACTTTTTCGAGTTCCCCATTTTTCGCGTGCATTTCTCGCCAAGTTCGATGAAATAGTTGTAGGATGACCCAAACGATCTCATCGAAAATGTGTTCGGAGGAGAATAGAATGGGAATTAGTCGGGACAATTCATCACGCCCTGGTAAAATGCCAAATAATTCTGCAGCAATTCCAACACATTTTATGGAAAGTGGAATAAATCTCCATTTTCCTCCCTCAATTCTCATTATATTTTCAGACAATATCATCTTCAAATCTTGTTGATGATATTCTGAAATCCTCAAAATCGCACGACATGTCAATTTTCCACATCGATTATTCTGCAACAACCTTCTAAATTCCACATTTTCCTCTTCCTTCTTTAATTCATCATCAAATTGTTCAATCTCCAATATTTTCTGAATATCATTCTCCACCGGTTCACCCAAATCATAAACACTAATCAATTGTTTTTGAACTTGTATTAATTGTTGAAGTGATTGAGAATCGCGTGGTTTTCCAGTTCGAAGAAGTGAAGAATGCACTGCGTTTCGAAATGGTACAACTTCGAGCGCTTTTATCATTTCGACTCGTTTTTCGGGATTCGTGCATTTTTCGATCATTGAATTCATTAGTGAAAGTGCAGAGATTGATATTCTTTCATCTGATTTTTCCACGTGTCGAATGAGTGTTTCAATTGGAACTTCTTCTAGAACCCATTCACGAGTTGTTGAGTCACTGGAAATATTGATTTTTCATTATTTTTTAATTTGAAAAAAGGGGATTGCGATTACTTTTATCCCAGAAAGATTGCTCATATGAATATAAATTTTTGGAAATTTGTTTTTTCAAAACTGGAAATTTTTGGAACAATGAATTTTTTTCGCACGAAATTTTAGCCTTTTAAAATTTTCAATTAAACATTTTTTGAAGAATTTTCAGAACATGTAACTTGGCTCAACTCCAGTCCTAATTTCTAAAATCAAATTTAAAGCAGACAAAAATCATCTACCCAATTTTGAAAATCAAAAATCAAATTTGAACATTTTACATTAGCGCTCAAAACTATGTGCTCTTTTCCACCAAAAATCTCAAATTTTATCGAATTTTTCCTTATTCAAGTCGAAAAAAATAATAAAAAAACATTTTTTGACAAAAAATTTCTATATTTTTTTCCTATTTGTTGTCATTTTTTCATTGGAATCCCTGCGAGATATTTTTCATTTTTGTGTGGAAAAAATTTCAAAAAAATTGTTTTTTTCGATTCGAATCACCCCATTATTTTTCGATCAATGGAAATTTGTTTTTTTTTTAGAATTTTTTTCACAAAAAACCTTTTTTTGCGGGGCCAAATCTGTAGATTTTTGAACCTGTAAGGTCCTAATTTCTAAAATCAATTTTTGAGCAGATAAAAAACTTCTACCCAATTTTTGAGAACATCCAAGCGCTCAAAAAATGTGCAGAATTTCCACAGAATTTGATTTTTTCGCTCACCAATTAACCAATTGTTCAATCATTTGTAATGCAAACAACAAAGCATTCGCCTCTTCTCTTTTCGCTTTTCCAGTCACCATTGATGAAACCGACACAACAACATCCCTGGGAACACATTGCCATCCAACACTATCCACTCCAAGTTCTAACATCTTCGAGAGCGCTCGTAAACATGTGCTGAGCAATGTTGAGCTCCTAAATTCCATCCTTCTCTCAAAAAAAAAAAATAAATAAAAACTCACATACAAACCCGATCATCCCTGACCAAACTATAAAGAAGATCCAGCGATGAGAATTTATAAAACGCTTCAATCAGCGCCAAATCCAACGAGAATTCATCGAGTTTCGCCACAGCCCATTCCATTTTTTTCAAATCATTTCCTTGCGATAAAATCTCATTAATTCTTTGCACATAATGATCGGGTGACGCTGACATTGTTAACATAAAACCATTATTTAGACTATCCAAATTGTAGTCGGTGATAAATCTTTTCGGTTCTTCAGATATCAATCCATATTGCTCATTTGGTGGTAGTTGCAAACCATTTGCGGCGTTTCTCAGAATTTCTCCGATTTTTTGCTCTTGTCGATTGATTTGTAGAAATGTTGATGGTAGACAAGTCGATGAAATTATCGCTTTTTTGTTCCATTCAGTTAGTTGAGGATCCAAAACAACAGCTCCCTTTAAATACAAAGATTACTGTAGTTTGTCTAGACTCTCTCAATTTTACGTTGTCTTTAATTAAAATAATTTTTTTTGCTACAGAAAATGTTTTTCCCATAAAATTCTAATGTTTTGGCAGAGTTCCAGAAAAATTTTGTTTTTCAAATCCTTTTTTTCAGCAACGTGGAACATCGTTGGAAAACTACGATGCTCCGCGTTTACACTCTCAAAATTTTTAAAATCATCATTCTGACCTAGAATTTTATGAAAAATCCAAATTTTTTCACTATAATTTTTTTTTCGAAGGTGTAAACGTGGATCATCGTTGTAAAAATGAAGATTAACTACGATGCTCCACGTTTACACTCTCAAATTGGTTTCTAACCCAGAATTTCATGAAAAACCCAGATTTCCCCCAAATTTTCCACATAAAAACCTACTTTAATACAATATTCAGGCAAAGATGTGTCAACAGGTTGTAATTCTTTGACCGGTGCATGAAAACTCATCTGAAAATTTTCTGAAATCTCAAATTCTCTCTTTTTTTGCCACAGATAGATAGATTCGGAAGAACAACACAACACAATCACAACATTCCACACTCGAAATATTCACAAAAAATTCATTTTCATAGTTATAAAAAGTTCAGAATTCACAAAAAAACGGGGGAGAGGGGAAATCGGGGCATCAAAACAACAGTCAAAAAATTATGGTTGATTTCTTTGGAAACAATAATAATATAAAAATAAAATTATAAAAAATATTCTTTTTTTTGCGGGAAAAAACCAAAAAAGCTGAGAACTGAAATTATATAGATAAATATTTCCAAAAAAAAAAAGAATGCAAAAAATCACAAGTTTTCTCACCACGCTAAACATTTAAATATAAAAATAGATAGAAATAATAATATGAAAGTTGGGGGGATGCGGATGGAATTATAAAAATAAAATAAATATGATACATTTCAGATAAGAGGGGGGGGGGAGTTTCAGCTATTTTGAATTTTGGGGGAAAAAAAGAATATCGCACCAGCAAAAAAACAATTTGGGGTTTTTTCAATTGATTGAAGATGTACTGAAAAATTTCAATTTTAGATATTAAACCTATAAATAAGGTGAAAAATAGGATATTCATCTCTAGATTGTTCCAATCTATTTTAGAAGTTGCCTGATTTTAAAAATCCTGAGGAAAAGCTTTTGAGAGATGGGGGGGGCTAGGAAATTTCTAGTCCCTAGGGCATTTTCTAGTCCCCCTGAGTTTCCGGGCCTTTTTGAATCGGAATTTTTCGAAAATTAGCTTCTGCTATATTTTTTCCAAAAAATAATAAAAATCCTCACCTTGAAGTAACCATCTCCAATTCGACGGGGCGGGTTTCAAAGACACCTAGGAATAAATAAAACATGTGCACATTTTGTGGTTGATTGATAATTGATGAAATGAGCAACTAGAATGAATCGGATATCATCTTAAATAATAATAAATCATAACGATTTCTATTTTTGTGCCACAGCCGATGTTGTGTTCTGCTTCCTTCGGCGACGACGGAAACAACAACACTTCACTTCGCCAGATTGATTGTCGCCGGCAACAGCACGTCCTTCACCATTACGATCTTCTACCGCATCACCCGTATTCGAATTTATCACCTGCAGAAACAAAAAACATTAGAATCAAGTTTCACTATGTATTCAGGCCTGTGCCGGAAATTTTCCAGTTTTTTGAAGGAAAAATCAAATTTCCAGTTTTCCGGAAAATGTGCTCGAAAAATGAATTTTGGTAGTAATATCTTCAATATTGCCTAAATTTTGGGAAATTTTTTCAGTTTATGATAAAAAAAAAATGAAATTTTTGGAATTTTTTTTTTCAATATTTCAAATTTTACTATTTTTTGAACGTAGAACGTTTCCATAAGTTTTAGTGCCAACTTAGGGCTGAAATTCAAAATTTAAGACCTTGAAAAATTTTCCGAATTTTCCGGCACTAGCCTGCTATGCGGCTATGCGTCGTGGTCGGAAAACAAAGTTTGTTGACCGCGATGCAGAGCCGCACGCGACTGACGAAGCCACATTTTCCAAAGACAAACCTGAGTAGAGCCAAATTGAGTATGAGCAGCTGCCTGATTCACTTTCAATTCACCGCGATCAGTTCGTTTAACATCTTTTGATTCGGATGTGTGTAATGACCCAGAAGGTGTTGACTGGAAAAAGTTTTTTAAACAGTTTTTTTCAGTATCAAAAACTCTTACAACATTATTCAATTTTGGCGTCCAATCAAATTCATAATCATAAGTTGCACCTAATCTATCAAGCACTGCTTTGAACAAATTATAACAGAAATCATAATCAGGCGTTTCGAAGAAATCGAGACGTCGCGCATATCTCAGATATTGCGCAAATTCATCAGGAAATCCTTCGCACAACACTTCAACAGCAGTCTGTCGTTTTGTGTCGCCAATCTTTTGATAGCGCTCTTTCAACGTGTCCGCTTTCAATCCTTGCCATGGAAGTGAGCCGCGCAAAAAATACATAAACATATGACCAAGGGCTTCTAAATCGTCTCGACGTGATTGCTCTTTTCCGAGATGTGTATTGATTGACATGTATCTGGCTGTACCCGTCAGCGATTTGTGTTCCCGGTACGCTATATGTTTTCCCGTATCACAATCAATATATTCTTTAGCGAGCCCGAAGTCGATAATATGCAAAACATGTTGTTTTCGTGTCGAATACCGACCGATTAGGAAATTTTCCGGTTTCACGTCACGATATATCAAATGTTTGGTATGAACATATTCTATTCTTCGTATCAATTGCATGGCAACCATAGCAACAGTTTTCAGAGAGAAATGACGATCACATAAATCGAACAAATCTTCTAGAGAATGTCCTAATAATTCCATCACCAATGCATTGTATTTTCCGCAAGGTCCAAAATAATGCACTTGTGGTAAGCCTTCTATAATAAAAATATTTTTCTTCAAAAAAAAACAACAAAACTGACCGGCTTGACCGAGTAATTTATAAAATCGATATTCCAAATGAAGTTGTGGTGCTTTCGATTTCATTGGTTCCAGTTTTATAGCAACATGTTCGTTGTTATACAAATTTTTGCCGAGTCGCAATTCACCGAAATTTCCACAACCAATCTTTTTGCCCACCTTGAAATTTGGTCCGACCATTAAAACGCCTTGCGAGGTGGTGGTACTCGCTGAAGCGGCCGAATTACTTCCGCGTGCGTTTGTCATTGCGGAAGGTGCCCAATGTGAGAGGCCTGATAGGATCGCCTGACGAGGCCGCGTCGATGTCGACACCCGTCTGGAAAAATATTGAAATTGTTGGAAAATGTAACTTTTGTTCACAAATCGATAATATACGCTCACAATTTCCACCGAAAAGCAAACAAAACGCGAAAAAACAAAGATAGTTTTCAATACAGACAATATTAAATTTGTTTTGTTTTTAAAATCTCGCCAAAAAATCGATAGCGAACGAAGAGAAAATTTTTTCACGAAAAAAAAAACAAAAGGGCGGACAACAGTGATTCAAGGTGCAGCACACACATGCCGATGGGTCTCGCAACGATGTTTCTTTTTTTTTAGAATTTTTAGAATTTTTTTTTCAAAAAAAAAAACAAAAGCGTTTTTCAAATGATGAAACCGAGAATTTTCGGACCTATCAGACGATTCTCTTTTGTTGTTATCCATTCTAAGAAGTATCATGATTATTCTCAATGATCGACCATCAGTGAAATCAACCTGCAAATGGGTGTGAAGCGATAGAGAAGAAGGTAGGGTATTGATTTTTTTTTTGGTTTGTTGAAAATTTCATGCAGACGAAAAACAACATAGGAAGGAAGGAAGGAGGAAAAGAAAATGAAATGAAATGAGTCATTTTGTAATATTTACACGAAGAAAAATTGCGGTAGGATGAAAATTGAAGATAAGAGACCGAGAAACTGTCAAATATTTGTACAAAAAAAGAGAAGCGACAAAAAAATGAGGAGAAAACTTTTAACACATATATTTAAACACATGCAATTTTCTCGTGAGGAGCCGGAAATTTTTAGTACAGAAAAACAGAGAAATTTATTTCTCGTTGTGAGAAAAAAATGCTTGGGGAAAAAAATATGACGAAGATGGGCTGGCTGGGCGGAAATCGAAAAATGGGGAGGGGGGAATATTTTCATGCATTATTATCAATTTTGATATCTAAAGTAAATCTTCCTCACTCACTACGTTGTTCAACAACAAAACAAATATTTCGAAACGTGTCTGGCGAATCAATCGAAATTTAATATATTTTTATTTAAAAGCCTGTGATAAGAGCGAAAAAAACAATCAATAGCCTGCCAAATTTAATTAAAACTCGGATTTATTTTTCGAGCGAGAGGGAAAAAACAAAAATTCTCGTCTTTGACAAAAAGAAATGCATCCTAATTAGTTGAAATTGTTGAAGATGCGAGAAGTGCAAAATCTGAACTAATAATAATGTTTTCTTCTTTCGAAAAAAACCAAAAATGCGGTTTTTCTTCGAAAAGTAGGTCAAAATGGAGAATGAAGATCAAAGATTTAGTTAGTTTTTTAACAAAAAAAATCAATGAAATTCATTGAATCCGAAAAAAAAACAATTGTCGTTTTCTCACTTCAGAGAAAACAAAATGTGCATCTGAAAATCTCTTTTTTTTTTGGAAAAAAAGTTTCGGCTGATAATTTTTGTACAAATCAATAGGTTGAAAAGGGTACATTGTTAGATATGAGTATAAGTAGAAATTATGTTTCTATTCAAAAAAAAAAAACAACAACAAGAAACCCAAATCTCATCTCTTTTTCATCACAGAGCGAACGAGAAAATAAGTAGCGAGAGGCGAAAAAAAATAGAGTTGCCATTGAATCGACGGATACGCATCGCGTCCGCTTCGCCCCTACTCTCCTCTCCTACACACTATAAAGTGTCGTGTCTCTGTTTCTCTGACTCTCTCTCTTCTTCTTCTTTTCATTTCAATGTGTTTGTGCTGTGCACTAGTATATAGCTGAACAAGAAGGAAAAGAAGAAGAAAAAGAAGGAAAAACGTCGAGTAGATAGATAGCTTTCTCACTTTCTCTAGCCAGTCAGATATCTGTCTATAAGTATTACTGACAACAATATTTTGGCTGGCAAAAAAAGAGCAATCGGAAGATATTATTCATGGAATATGAGAGGGGGGAATATGAATAAAGTTAATTTCAAAAATGTGTTTTCTACGAAAATTCGTTTTTCTGATCATCATGACCTTCAACTTTTACAAATACTACTGTAAATATTTTGCATGGATTACACAACAGACCTTGAATAACAATTTGTAAAAAAAAATGAGGCAAAATAGTTACGATGAAGCATAGAAGTATTGTCATTCCGAAAATAAAAGAACCCCCGTTTGAATTGGCGCTCACGTACAGTAGACTAAAAATGACGTGACACATGCATATCAAACTGGTTGGCAAATAGCCAGCGTGTAAATTTCGCATTTTATTTTTCAAAAAGACTCCAAAATTTCGCGAAGTCTACTGTAGTTTTGGTTTCCTAGGCCATTTCGGTTCTCTTCCAACGGTCTTTTTTTTTCGGAACGACAATAAAAAGGAAAGGGAAAAATGAATGCTTTTCTGATAAAACTTCGAAGTATAGTTGGGCTAAATGACATTTGCATATTTTTTGAGGTGAAATGTTGGGTTTTAATCTTATTCGTAGGATAGACAGGTCTAAGACAATTCGAATCATGTCAATTTTTATTACATTACCTTAACCATAAGTGATTTAGTGAGGTTTATTCGCTAAATCACTTATGGGTAACCTAATGTCATAAAAATTAATAACATTCTGTTCGTCTTAGACCATTCTATCCTACGAATAAGATTAAAACCCAAAATTTCACCTCAAAAAATATGCAAATGTCATTTAGCCTAACTATACTTCGCAGATATATACTAAAATTGCAACTATCTTGTAAATCGATAAAATAAAAATGCAAGTCTCCGTTTTTTCCATTAATCCTCGCTCTGATAACAAATCTTCTTGGATTAAAGACGGAAAGAAGAGGCGCGGATTATGAAGAGATTAGTTAGGCGAAATCCTTTTTCGATTAAATATATCAATTCTCTGAAATTCAATTTCAAATTTCGTTTTCAACGAAGCGCATGAAAAATAATGCACATAGCTCATTGAAAGTGCAACATTGCAAATGAATGAATCGGAATTCATAAACAGCACAGAAATATATCAAATGACACGTTTTTTTGAGAAAAAAGGAGAAAAAGTGAATTTTGTAGTGTGGGTTTTTGAGTCACAAGGTTAGGTTAGTCAAACAGAAAATTCTGGGAATATGAACATTTATTGGAACTTTGAACTTCGAAGTTCAAAAAATTCTGATACAGGTTGTTTAGGCGCGGCTACTTGACAACCAGGCTTTCTAGTATTGACTACTTGGTGCAGAAGCTTTCAAGTCGTGGCTCCTTGCCAGAGTGAATCTCTACAAGCGGATACAAGACAACTAGGTTCTCTAGCCTTCGCTACTTTAAATATAGGCTTTCTAGGCGCGGCTTTCGGAAATGAAAGACTTTTTATGTGTTTAGTTCACGAAATTTTAAAAATCCAGCTCAATTTTCCCAAGAAAAAGAAAATTTAGATTGAAAATTCCATGGATCTTTGAAAGAACAATGAAAATAAATAAATAAAAAAAAGAAAAGTGACCCTCCGGATATCGGGTTTTCGTCAAAAATGCATCGAAGAAGAAGAAGAAAGAAAAATAAAGCGCGGAGGGTCTTTCTTTTTTTTTGCTCAAAGAGCAACATGATGCGCGAAAATGTCCCACGGGGTTAACATTAACACATACATACATATACTCTCTGACATTTTGCCGCCAATTGTTGTAAAAGGAGAAAAAACGGAGAAGAAAGAATGGTTACTATTTCGAGAAATTGTGTTTTTTTCCTTAAATTGATTATGTTTTTGTTTTTTACTCGGTTTTTTTGCGGTGAAAAACGAGGTCGCGAGGGCGACGAATAATTAATGGACTGGTGAAAAAACCGACGAAAAATGAATGACAAAAAATATGAATACATACAATTTTCAGCCAAATATGAAGAAAAAAACATACACTTGAATTTCCTGATTGATGCAATTCAATAAACAAATTCTAGATAGATTTACAGGATGTGGATTTGTTATTTGCTAGAAATGAGCGAAATGCAAAATCACACTACAAAAACACGTCTGTGATTTTTCACGTGAAAAGAGTTTTTCTTTTTTTTTAACTATTTACGAAACAAAACAATAAAATGCGTTCCAAAAAAAAAAAGAAATCCCAACCTCCGCAAACACGCTGAAAAAACTATCTAAATGCACTAAACAGCAAACACTACGCGCAAACCCTACAGTACTTCCCGGGAAAAGTGTAACGGGAATTTTTTGAAGAGAACCCAGAGGAAAATTAATTGAATTTATAGTTTGACTTTGACAACGACACTCCGCTTGCCCGCTGTTTAGCGCAACACGAGAATATTTTCATTTTTCGTTTTTTTCGCTGCGTTTTCAGGTTTCCGGGGAAAATCAGTGGATTTCAGTCAAAAATTGATTTTTTAGATGTTCTACAACTCTGCATATATCGCTTCCAATAGAAAATTCGAGGATTATTGAGGAAACGTGGGTTTTTTCCAGAGAAACTCTGTTTCGATTGAAAATTTTGAGGAGGATTTTTGTGAGGATTGAGGAGGATTTTTGTGTGATTTGAGAGATAGAAGCGATTGGTGAGTTTTTTGGGGAGGGATTGCGGAAAAATTTGGAAAAAATCGATTAAAATATATGTAAATCATGAAAAAAAAATTGGGAAAAAGTTAGGCTAACTCATCAAAATCTAGGCCCAAAAATCGAGTTTGCGAAAAAATAAAAAGAAAACAACGAGACTCCCCGTTGACGACAGCGCGCGTGGTTTGAATTTATTTTTTCAGCGAATACTTATTGAAATGCTCTGAATTTTTCCACTGAGCTAGACAATAGTGAAACCTAAAATCTGAGAACACTTGGGATATTTCAAGAAGGCAGTGTTTGTAACTATAATTTTTATTTAACAATTTTTAACCCGAATTTCTAAAAAAATATATATATATTGCTGAGAAGTTATAATTACAATCCATCGCAGAATTGATGTCCTGGATAATCAAATGTTTCAAAATCCATCTGAAGTCTTTCCGATCTTTCGTTCCTCAAATATCCCACAGAAAGTGTTGTATTCAATGCTTTTGCAGATTCGTGTCCACAAGTTTTAACAACTTCACTTAACAAGCATAATCGCATTTGTTTAAAAGCCAAACATTTCGAACCTTCTGAATAGTTGATATATTTCATTGTTCCATGGAATACGTGACTTTTTGAAGTGTCGTCTTTGCTGGAAAAAAATTGAGATATTTAGGTTTAGGTTTTGGGCGGAAAAACCAACATGAATTTGACTGTTTCAACTGCAGCATCATAAATTCGTTCAATTTTATCATTTATTTTCTCCCGAATCCTTTGATATTCATCAATCTCCTTTTCACAATTATCAATCCATTTCGAAGATTCTCCAATACACGGATAAACATTTGGAGCAAATGATTCATCTACACATTCCTTCTCAAACATCAACTTATTCGCTCCATCCATTTTCAATTCTTCAATTCGTTTCAGAGTTTCTTTCCGTCCTTCATACTGTAATCCGCATTCCAATTGTTGCTCATGTTTCGCGCAAGCCTGAAAGATCCCTTGAAAAATCAATGTTTTTTTTGTTGGTCACTAAAAATAGTATCAATCACATTTCCGTACATGTGAGAAGAACCAGTTTTTGATGATAAAAATGGTTCGATTGGCCTCCCAAGTTCATTGACCAATACCAAAATTGGTTTCTCCAAAAATAAATTAAAATTTCGGAAATTTTGTTCAGTTTTAGATTAGAATCTTGAAAACCTGACGGTATTTTACTACAGGACTTCTGAAACTCAAATTCAGAATATAAAAATTCGAGTTTCCGCGTCCAATTTTAAGAAAAATTCGAATTTTTAGTCTAAAACATACTGGATTACTGTATCTCCCTTTAAAATGTTTGAAAAATCGCTCTAAGATCCGAAGAAAAAACTTTTTTTTCAAAATTCCCACAAAAACACAAAATTTTCAATATAGCGCATTTGCCAGTTTGTGACGAAAAATTTTGAATTTGTGAGTTTCCGGGCGTAATTTTTGCGGGAAATTTCGAATTTTTAGTGTAAAATTTTCTGGGTTACTGTACCTCCCTTTAAAATTCTAGAAAAATCGCCCCGGGACCCGAAAAATTTTTTTTCTTCAAAAAATAACACAACATTCTCAATAGAGCGCACATGCCAATTTTGTGTAAAAATTTGAATTTTCCAAGTATCCGGGCTTAATTTTTGCGGGAAATTTCGAATTTTACGTATCCTAGAGTATGAAGATTCTGGATTACTGTACCTCCCTTGAAAAATGCTAGAAAAATCGCTCCGAGACCCGATGAAACATCATTTTTCTTTCAATATCCCCCAAAAAACACAACATTCTTCGCGGGAAATTCAAATTTTCGGAATTCGAACTCACAAAATCAACAACTTGTTTAATTTGCAATTTGGGAAGTGTGACAAATTTGGCGAAAAAAGTGGTCAATCCAATTCTCTCCAATTTTTTCGAATCCTCATTTCTGGCCATTTTCTCAATTATCATCTCATTTAGTTCCGCAATTTTTTCATCATCGATTTGATTACATTGTTGTAGTCCATCCAAATAAATTAACTTTCTGAAAATAAGAAATTATTTGTAGTTAGGAAAAGAAGGAAGGAAGGAATCAATTATCAATTACGTCACAAGTTTTCTATCTTATCGAAATCACACTTTTTTTGAAAAAAATACAATTAAAAATAGAAAACTAATTGTAAGACTACAGTAAACATTTCGAATTTATCAGAATAGTTAGATGTGCATGTGGCCACGTCATTTTTAGTTTACTGTACTTTTTGTGTTTTCTAGGGCAAGTGCTTTTTGAATTTAAAAAATCACAGGAAATCGAGGTCTGAAAAATACACCAAAAATTGTACGTTTCAAAAAATACATAAATTTTCATTGCAAATTCTAAAATTGATAGTTCATTGGTTTTATATCCCCAAACAATTAAAAAAAAAACCTATATCTGAAAAATTCCGCGAAACTTTCTCAGAAAGTTCTACGTTTCAAGAAAATCTTCTGGATTTTCCTGAGCATTGCTCATACTAAACTTCTAGCTTTCCAGGTTCCCTAAAGCAAATGAGTATTGAATATGAGCAATTTCAATTTCTGGAGCATTACTCAAAGAAAATTGAATGCTTTTTTACTTCCCAGGGTCTTTCGAAATAATAATTTTTTTTAGTATGAGCAATCCCAATTTTCCAAAAAAAAAAAAAAAAAATCAAACTGACCTATCACGTGCAATCGAAAATGGAGACGATGTCTTTTTGTCGATTTGCAACACATTTTGTCGAGCTGAAAATGAGATGTTTGTGGTTAGAGATTAGATGATTAGAGATATCCATCTCCATATATATGATTATTATTTATATCTACACACATGTGTTAAAAAACTACACATATTTCTTTCTCTTCGTCTTCTTCTGCCTAATTGATTTTTTGTTTGACACAAGAAGAAAAGTGTGCAGAAGAAATCTTATTTTTTTCAAGCTTCTGGCCTCGAAATATTAATTTTCATGTAGAAGATTTTTTTTGGTTGATTAATTTTTGAATATGAAACTTTTTAGCTTGAAAAGTATCAAAAAATCTTTTTTCTAACATTTTTAAAGGGAGGTATAGTAATCCAGACTCTAAGACACTAAAAATTCGAATTTCCCGCAAAAATTTAACTCAAAAAAATTGGCAAATACGCTCTATTGAGAATTTCGAGTTTTTGGGGGGATTTTAAAGAAAAATGATTTTTTTTTCGTTTCTGGCCGATTTTTCAAACATTTTTAAAGGGAAGTACAGTAATCCAGAATTTTTTAGACTGAAAATTCGAATTTTTCCTCAAAACTGAACGCGGAAACTCGAAACAACAAATCAGAAAATGCGCTCTATTGAGAATTTTGTGGTTTTGGCGGGACTTCGAAATTTCTTGAAAGAAAACATTTTTTTTTCGAAATTCAAATTTCCCGCGAAAATTGAACGCGGCAACTCGAAAAATTCAAATTTTTATACGAAAATTGTTTTTCTAAAGTTTCAGAAAACACTTTTGAGATCGAATTCTTCTCATACTGTAATTCTATCAAAAATAATCACTATAGCAACATTTCCTTCCTCTCTTTTTTTTTCAAATATATTTTTTTTTACCCACAAACCTTTCATTCCAATAATTCTCGCATTTTGCAGTTGTTCGTTGGTGGCTTTTCCCCAGCCGACAATTGAAATATCACCAACACCAACACCACAAAATGAATAATTTATCAAAATGATCAGCAAAAATAGTAGTCGAATCACCATTTCTTCTCGACAACAAAAACAAGAAGAAGAATGGTTGAAACGTCGGCGAAAATGCGCAGGAGGCGGGACTTTGAAAAGAGGAGGCGTGTCGGCAATTTGTCCACCTCTTGTTGTTGCCCCGAATTTCGGCACGCTTGAGCTGATTCCGGCTTCTTCGCTTTCAAATTCACATTCAACTGCGACTACATCAACTCAAGATTCGGGTATGGCTTCGATTAATAGTTCGATACATTCTGGAAGTGCCAATACTGATCGATTGTTATCGTTGAGACGAAGACCTGTTCAAATTACGGCTGATCCGAGAGTTTATAAAGGAAGTGTTTATGCGAATCGTAGAACTGCTGCTAATAATGTAGGTTCGAAAAAATTTTATTTTTTTCAAAAAAATAAAAAAGTTGTGCGCCGGCTGGGGGTCGAACCCTGGTCTTGCAAAAGTTGGGCAGTAATGCTAACCACTCGGCCAACTGGTTATTTTTTTCGAATGTCGAAAATCTCGAATATAAAAAGGGTGCAAAAACAATCTATCTACTATATACTAATTGGGAAAATTTTTTTGGCAATAGTGTGTCCGGGTCCCGTTCTCCAAACTGTGTGCATAAAAATTGATGATCAAAAAAAGAAGAAGTTTCTAAATGTTGGCAGCTCGATGCGCTTCCTATTCATTCTTTCTCAAAATTTCTTTGAGTGCGCGGAGAATAAAAAGTTTGAAAATCTCAATGTATTTTTCGGATTTAAAATGTGTCGCTCGACTTTTCTCAATTTCCAGAAGACCATTTTTGATGGGACCTTCCCCATTCTATCCCAAATTCTTCCCTACCGAGGCGCTAATATTCGATTTTTCAAAAAATGCGCGAGTTTTCACGTGAAAAATCGAAACTTTTTTCATGTAAAAAAGAATGATCACGTTTTTATTCGAAAAAAATATTAGGACACGTTTCTTATCTGATCGTTCTATTCTCTGAAAAAGTCAACAATTTTTGGGCATTTCTCAATGTTTCTCTTTCCCTAATCGAAAAATAGATTAATCAGAAAAACGTAAGTCAAACTACTGTAGATGGCGTTAGCCAGCGAAGCCCTTCTAGTTTTTCCCCAAAAATATTCCAAATTCCAGGCAAAACAAGTGGAAAAAGTCGAGAATCGTGAGAAAAGATATCGAGTTGGTGTGATTCGTGATCAACTAACATCGCTACTTCCACGTGTTCCTCTTCAAAAGAAATCAACCACGACAAACCCTAATAACATAATTTCTCGAAGGTCGGAAGTTTACATTTCCTCCCTCTTTCCCTCTCTCTAACATAAATAATTCTTATTTTTAGCCCCAACAATTTTCTACCGGAACTTCGAAGTGGGTCAATCGATAAAAAACAAAAAAGTTTTGCAACAGCTCGATTTGCGCCGATTCGGAATTCAGCTGAAACCCGTAGAAAAATATCAATCGAGAACAATAACATCAACAAATTTCCAGTCAAAGTAATGGTGAATTTCGATAATTTTAATAACAACAACAACAAAGATCGATATGGAGGAGGAATTGGAGGAGGAGGACATCGAATAATATCGTCACAAACAGCGACACCTCCAACTTCATCGAGACCTGTGTATCCTATTGTTAACAGTGGTGTACAAACAGATGATGTATGTCTTTACTATAAAACACTACAAAATAATAATAATTGATTATAGGACTTTGATGAAAAATTTGATGATTTGGTTAAGGAATTGGCTAATTCTGCGATATCGATGGCAGTTTATCAAATTGAGGTAACATTCGAAAAAAAAACTTTGATCTACTGTACCGTTTCGAAACCAAAAAATTTGAAAATAATTTTTTCCCGCTCTTAGTCTCGAAACGAAGATGCCGAACTGCAATTGGATTTTATGTTTTGTATTTCTCGTGGAGGGTGTTCCAAATTTTTAAAATACCGTGAAAAATCCTAATTCTGGATCCCGGCAAGTTTCCAACTAACACAGTGTGTAATTTTCTACTCAAAAAAAAATTCCCGAAATTTTTGAGGCACAAATTTGCGACGAAGTGAGAAGAGCTTCAGAGAAAAATATTTTTGATCTACCAGAAGATCTTTTGAAATTTTGAGGTCCAGCAATTTTCTGAGCTTCGAGAAAAAGTTCAAAATTTTTGAACTTCAAGTTTCCAAAGGTGAATTTCTACCCAAAAGTGTCCTTGCCATTTTTGAGGTCTGGCCAGAAATTCAAATCTCAATTTCTCCAAGTACTGTTTTCCTCTGCGTCACTAACACCGTTTCGAGACCACCCCGTCGGGCAGAGAAACAAAGTCAAAGACGCATATATGGGTCTCGCAGCGACTGGCAGAAACACAGTACTTTTTTAAATCAAATAATAATAACGTGGTTTTTCCAGGGTGAAGATGAGCTTGCGCGATTGCGAACATCCGCCCAAAAAACCCAATCCGAACTCCGTCGAATAACTCAACAACAAAACGAGCAAACACAAAAATATCGAGAAGTGATCATGGAGAAAACATCGCAACTCGAAAATTGGAAACAACACGAAAGCGAGGCTCGCGAGGCGCAGAAAATCGCATTGGAAACATGCCAAGAAGTGACAAGGAAGACGCTGGAGAATTTGAGGATTATTGAGAAGAATTCGAAGAAAAGTGTGGCGACTGATACGAGAGAAATGAATCGATTGGAGGCGAAAATGAATCTTGTGACTGCTGAAATTGAAAAAGACTTTTTACCTTGGATGTTTCAGAGGGCTGAGAGAATGTTCAAAAATCAAATTGTTAAAAATCAATTGGATCATAGTAAGTTTTCTGTTTTCTTTGATGTTTGGAAGGAACTTAGGATAACTTTCAGTTTCAGGTTTTTTGGGCTTTAAAATCAGCTTCAATTTAGGCTCAGGGGTCTGGGCTTCAGATTTTATTTGGTCTTTAAAATTAGGCTTACTTCAGGCTCATAAAGGCTTCGGCTTTAAGGCATTTAGGCTTAGGCTTAGGTTTTTAGGTTTTTTTTATGCTTAGGCTTAGGCTTCTAGGCTTCTAGGTTTTTTATGCTTAGGCTTACAAGGAATGGTTTTCAATGTTCCCCCAAGGAAAAAATCGAGAGTATGTGGAATGTTGAGGGTTCCCGTGGGTAAGAAAAACCCTAACGGGAATAAGGAGAAAAATGCCTTATTCTCGAGAAAAAATGTATTTTAGGTCGATTTTTTCAGCATTTTTTGATTTTTAGAGCATCTATAACTCGATTTTGAAACTATTTCATGAGCTTTTGAGTCGTGGAAGTTGTTCAGAATGGTCGATTACGTGTTTGTGAAACTTTTTATCAAAAAATTAGACATTTTTTGAAATTTGGTTTTTTTAGTCGGGGTTTTTCTGATCAAATGGTCACCAAAAAACACAAAAAATAATTTTTTCCATTTTCAAATGAACGGAACTTGAAAAATTTATGACGGTCAACAGACGTAATTTGGTCCGTAGAATCCGAAAATCATAGTCTCGATTCACACAAACTTCTCCTTCACAACGAAAACGTTGATTTTCTATGATTTTTTCAAACTGGATTTTTGATTTAGTGGACTTTTGGGACCAAAATTATTTTATTCCTAATTTTAGTCGAAGTAATACTAAAGTACGCCGTTTGCCCTACAAATGGATTTTTAGACCGACATTTTTCATCAATTTTGAAAAAAGTTTCGATTTTTCTAAAAAATTTCATCGCAAAAATCAATAACACCAAAATTTTCTAAAACAAGGCATTTTTCTCCTTATTCCCGTTAGGGTTTTTCTTACCCATGGGAACCCTCAACATTCCACATACTCTCGATTTTTTCCTTGGGGGAACATTGAAAACCTTTCCTTGTTAGGCTTCAAGGCATTTTTAGGCTTAGGCTTAGGCTTTTAGGCTTTCAGGCTCAAGCTACTAGGCTTCAAGGCTTTTTTTTAGGCTTAGGCTTAGGCTTCTAGGCTTGGGCAATTTTCTGTGAAAAAAATAAATTCCAAATAAAAAATTTTCGCGCCACTCAAATTCACTTCCGCAAACTCCCCCAAAAGTTCAAAACTATTCATCAATCTAATTTATTTGCAGGCATGTTGAATGAAGTGGAACATCGAAGAGAGCAAGCAAAAAAACGGCTTATTAATATGAATTCGCATTTATTATAACCCCCTTTTTATCTTTCTAGGGAACAAAGAAAAACTTATATATAGGTTTGTCATAAAAATTGTTGCAAAGCTTCAAATTATTTCTTCTTGCCAACTCCAACAAGTCCTTTCAAAACTGACAATCCTCGATCGACCAAAGAGCCGGATTCCTGCAAAAATCACTTGCTTCCTTCCCACCAACATTTTCGCAGTGTGAAAAAGATCTCTAGAGAGATATGGCCGAGATGGTATCATTTTTGACTGCCGTGCATGAGACCACAGTTCGAATCCTATCGCCCGCGAAACTTTTTTTCCTCAAAAAACTCACCGTAATTGCTCCACCATTACATAAATCTTCAGTGTTACAACAACAAAAAGTCACTTTTTGTCCCTGATAACTTTGCTCGAAACATTTATTGGGGTTGAACTGGCAAATCACCGTGTTACAACCGGCTTTTTGAAGTGTGCTGAATGAGGAAACGTCGGCGGTTCCATTATAACAATAATCGGTTTCTTTTTTCGCATTCTTTTGTTTCAGTTCCAACTGTGCTACCTGAAATATACTTGGGTTACTGTAATACCTACAGTAATCTATCAAGAAAGTATTACTGTAATTTATTCTGGATCTTTGTTATCAGCTAGACTTTGAGCTCGAAAACTACAGTAATCTGGGATTTTCGGCGCTAATTTTTTTTTCAAAAGTGTTTTAAAACTACAGTAATCTGGAATTTTGAAAAACTGAGGCGCTAATTTTTGGTCTATTTTTAAAATAATTTTGTAGAGCTAAATTCAAAAATTAAAATTTTCCGAAAAAATTCAAATTTCAATATTTCACGTTTCTTCTAAAGATTACTGTAGATTTTTGGCGCCAGAATTTCGATCTCAGATTTTTAATTCAGAATTCTCAAACCAGTAATGGTTGCCCTTGTCGACTTATTTCAAGTCTCGATAAGGGTCCAGAAAATATAGGAATTCTAAGTGGAATTGCCACTTAAAATGTGCAAAAATGAACAACAAGTTTCAAACAATAATTTATTGAGTGATTTTAAATAAAATAACAATAGCAAAAGGATTCCGATTCCGGAATCAACAATTTACAACGGGGATTATCACCTAATCACAAGTTCACACCGTAGAACTTGTGAAAGAAACAGTAACAAGCTTAAAACTCAGAACTTGTCTGAAAAACAACAAAAAGAACAAACAATGGCTCGTTCCCACGCTCAAACGCGTCAGTCTTCACCTTGAAGGCGCGTTTGGCGTGCAAACAATTCGCGGGGGTTTAAAAGGGAATTACTAACCTTTCATAATTGAATATCCCAAATAACATTTCAAAGATCCAACAAATCCAATAAAACAACAAAGAAACAAAATACTAGGTAATCTGAACATTTTTGTATTGATAATATTTAGAAAAATAAAAGAAAATCGACTGATTGATATCAAAAATTTTGTTTAAAGTAACTAAGTAAAAACTTCCGTTATCAAAAGAATTTGATAAAATAAAAATGACTAACGACTTCGAATATTTATTGTTTTCAAACAAACAAAATCAAATTTATTGGAACCGAAGTTATTGGAAATCAATAAAAAGCAACTAAAAAATGCACGGAAAAAAGAAGGGGGGAAACTTTTTGTTGTTTTGAGAAAAATAGACACTCTTGAATGAGAACGCGACACAAAAAGATTATACTTTTTTGCTGAAAAAAAAACACCTCGTAACAGCGCTACATAAAAAGAAGAAGAAGAACACCATTGAAACCTAACTGGGGAAAAAAGAAGCGAAATGTGCGCGGAGACATCATGAAACAGATATATAAATAAAATAATAATTATAGGGCTAAAATTCACAGGTTCAAAGAAAAAAGGGCGGGAACGTTGGAATACCGTAACATACAAACTTGTTTCGACAAAATCACACTTTAAAAAATAGAATAAAATTGGGTGGAAAAGGAAAAACCTGGGGAAGAAAAATGATATCTAATAGTATTTTGTTGCATAAAAAGTCTAGCTGGCACTGTGGCAAAATATGTGATGATTCTCACAATGAAAAAACCGGGGAAGAACAAAAAGAAAAAAAAACGAACGGGGGGAAGCTAAATAGTCTACCCAAGGAATGAATAATCGTAGAAATCGCAATTGTCGGGAAGTGGCGCATTTTCGAACGTGTCATTTGCGCGATGATGATGCGATTGTGAGTCGACACCGACAACACCGCCGCCGCTCGCTGACGCGGAAGCCGCGACTGAAGAGGAGACTGTTTGCGATGTTGATGTGAGGGCACTTGGTGCGGCGAGTCCGGCGTTGACGAGTGCTTGATTGATTTTTTTCGACAAATCGGTTACTTCGATTTTTGCCGTGACGACGCTGATCATCATTTTGTTGTATTCATTCTGCAAAAATAATATTGATTTTTGGGATGAACTTGAAAAACTAGTAACAATTTTGAAACAGTGAAAATTCTGGGAATGTTCAAAGTTTCGGAAATCAGTATTTCTCATGTTAGAGAATTCTCAAAATAAATTTAATTGGAAATTGAAGAATGTTTTTCCAGATTCTTTTTTCAATTTCAGAAGTTTTGAGCTGAAAATAGGCCTAGCTAGTTTTCTTATCAGCCTAAAATGAATTCTCAAAATTTCGGAAACAAGCTCAAAATTTCGGAAACTCATGTTAGAAATACAAAAAAATTCATTTAAAAAAACACATTTCGAAAATTTAGAAAAAAAAATTTGATTTTCAAAATTTTATAAAGTGAATTTTGTGTTTTCCGGAATTTTTAGACTTTTTTCGAATTTCGAAAGTTTTGAGCTGAAAATAGGCCTAGTTTTTAGATCAGCCTAAAATTAATTCTCAAAGTTTCGGAAATTAACATCGCTCATGTTAGAAATATTTATCGCATTGCTCATGTTGAAGAATTCTCGAAAAATTCAGAAAAAAAATTGATTTTCAAAATTTTATAAAGTGAATTTTGTGTTTTCCGGAATTTTTAGACTTTTTTCGAATTTCGAAAGTTTTGAGCTGAAAATAGGGCTCAGCCTTTAATCTACCCGGAATTTCGAAATGCCTAACGATAAAAATTACTTTTGCCACGTGACATTTTTTGGCGCCAAAAATTCTAGCTATCTATTTCTCATTCAATTTTAGATGCCGTAAACGCGGAGCATCGTTCTAAAACTTACAGTTTGTGTTTCAGTGAGCCACAATTTCGGATCATCAGTCGGTTCAAACTCTGGCGGGCGAGTAGATTGAGCCTGCAAAAATCAAGGAAAATAATTTCATCAGAATTCCTTTCTAAATCTCACCAATGCCGTCAATTCATCTTGGAACGCATCCAAAATCGGAATTTTCGTCAAAATAATCGTCAAAAGATCCAAAACCGTTGGCGGAATGTGCGTCAACGACAACAATCCAATATCCAAATGACCTTTCTCAACAGCATATCTCAAATTTTCGGCAACTTTCATACGATTCTCATCTAATGGTTCTGCTGCGGAGGCTGTAATCGCATCACTTCCATTCGACCAAACACCATCTCCACTTCCAGTCACACTATCAACTGTAAATATTCCACCAGTTTGTTGTTGTTGTTGCATGTGTTGCGCGAAGAATGGATTGCGCGTCTCAAGCGATTGCGATCCCTGACTCGATGGTCCACCGGAACCCGGCAAATTCCACGGCATCTCTCCTTTTGGTCCACCGTCGTCACTCCAGACTTTCGGGTCGAAATCGAGACATTTCTCGGCCATTTCCGGTGGCAAATCTCCCCATCCACACGCGACAATCGGACGCCGCCCCACTTTCATCATCGCGTTTCGCTCCTCGTCGAGTTGTTGCTGGGCTTGTTGCGAGATTTGCACGTTGTCGGAGGCGAGACGTCGTCTCAACGCCTCTTCGTGCACCGTTTTCTTCTTCAAATATTGTGGACATCGCGACATTGCCGTCTCCAAATCTTCGTCTTGTCCTTCGGGAATCAGCCATCTTCGGATCGGTTTTGCGTCTGAAAATAAAATTAAAGAGATGAATTTTCTAGATTTTGAAGAAGAAAAATTGAGCTTACTCGATGTTTCAGCGTCTCCCCAAACATTCAATCCTTTATCTTTCAAAATCTTCTTCTTTTTGGTTTCCTCGTCATTTTCATCGGTCCACATTGAATAATCATCCATTGATCCAGCTGAAAACAAAATTTTTTAATTTGAGTTTAATTAACATGAGCAATGCTCGATTTTTCATAAAAATGAGGGGTTTTTGAGCTCTAATATGAGCAATACATCAAAGTTCGCAAAGTTGAAAGATTTAAAATGAGCAATGCCCAGAATTTCTTGAAAATCAGGTGTTTCAAAATCTAAAATGAGCAATGCCCAGAATTTCTTGAAAATTAGTTTTGTTTTGAGCTCTAAAATGAGCAATGCTCTAAATTTCTTGAAAATTGGGTTTTTTGAGATCTAAAATGAGCTATGCCCAAATTTTCTTGAAAATTAGGGGGTTTTTGAGATTTAAAATGAGCAATATTTCTTAAAAACTATTTTTTTCAGCTCTAAAATGAGCAATGCCCAGAATCTCTTGAAAATCAGGTTTTTGAGCTCTAAAATGAGCAAAATATCACATTTCGCAGAGTTGAGAGAATTAACATGAGCAATGCCCAAATTTTTTTGAAAATTAGGCTTTTTGGGCTCTAAAATGAGCAATTCTCAAATTTCGCAAAGTTGAGAGACTTAACACGAGCAATGCCCATAATTTCATGAAAATTGGGGGTTTTTGAGGTCTAAAATGAGCAATGCTCGATTTTTCATAAAAATGAGGGGTTTTTGAGATCTAAAATGAGCAATATATCAAATTTCGCAAAGTTGAGATAAATTCAGACCTGCTCGTTTTTTGGATACCCCATTCAGAACTTCAAATTTTGAGGAAAATCTGAATTTTTCCACGTGGATTTTCAGATAATTTCAGAGCGAAATTTTTCTGTAAACATATTTCTGAATAGAAGTTTTATGAACAAAAAAAGATTGAAAATCCAACTCACACATCGCAAATCCGCCATGCGATCCACCAACTCCACCCGGTCCACCCATCGGATCCATCGGTCCCATCGGCGGGAAAGGTTGTGAGTTGAATTGTTGTTGCTGTTGTTGTGGCTGATAATATCCACCTTGTGAACCGCCATTTCTTCCTCCACCTTGTGACATCGGCATGATTGGATGTGGCGGGTGTCCGGCCATATTTGGTGGCATTGGTGGCATCGACATTGGAAATGCTCCCGGTTGTTGTGGTGGACGATAACCGCCTTGACGATTTCCACGATTATTATAGCCACCGTTGCGATTGTTACCATACTATAAACAAAATATACATTTTGAGCTAAGAAAATCTTGTGTTTTCAAAATTTCAAATTGTTGTGCAAAGACTGCGAGGCACTTTTTGCGTATAGTGAGATTTTTGTCTAAAAATACTCACCGGTGGTCCACCATTATGTGTTGGCGGTGCTCCAAAAGGCGGTGCGTGATCATACAAATCATCTTGTGGTCCGAATGGCTGTGGTTGTGGCCAACTTGGTTGTGGCGGCATATCACCATACATTCCATTTGTGGGTTGTGGCATTACTTGTGGACCGCCATTCTGAGAGAAAAATTGGTAGGATTCTTGGTCTTAAGAGGAATTTCGGAACAACAAATAGCTCTTTTTAAAAGCTAGAGTATTTCAGAGAGACTGGAAATGACCAACAATCACATAGAATTTGATACTCCTAATTAAAACTGTAAGTTTTAAGATCAGAGCTCTTAAGGTTTACCCTAAGCCTTTCAGAGCACCTGAATTCTAAGGTTCTGTGAAACGTTTTCAGCCATCTAAAGATCTCTTTGAGGGATTTTGAATTATATTTAAAGATTTTTTAAGAGCCTTACAATTAGGGTTAACTTAAAGACCTTTTGACAATTTTTTAAAATTCAAATTCTAAACTAACCAATGATAAATCGCTCATTTGCATAATATTAAGTGCCATCATATCAGGCATATATCCACCACTACCACCTCCACCATTTTGTTGTTGTCGATAATTATTTGGTGCCATCATTCTTTGTTGTTGTTGTGGTGCACCACCTCCACCACCCATTCTTTGATGCATACCTCTTCTTCCTCCACCACCCATATGATGTCCTCCTCCCCGCTGCGGTTGTTGGGCCCCTTGTCCTTGCCAACCGTCCCCGTTCATACCCGGATCGATCTCGTTTGACTGAAAAAAATATAAATAAATAAATTTTCATTCATCCAAGGACGAGATCCAAGGGCGAGTATGTAGCTTTGCCACGTCATATAGCTAGCTTCCGCGAGAGCGGCACTGTCATCCGCTTCAGCGGCCACGTAGATCACTATGACGTTTGCCATATCATAGTAATCCACGTGGCCGCTGCGCGGAAGCTTCCGTTGGATCATAAGGAGGCCACCTTACGAACGAAAAAAAATTTTTTTTAACATTGAAAGATCACTTCACGAAAAAATTAGTTTTTCAGCCAAAAAATGATGACAAATCGGAATTTAAGAAGCTTCTGGTGTGATTTCTGATGAAAATTGACCCTGGAATTCACTTTCCAAATATGTTTGCTGATTTTTCGTAAAATAAAAAATTTCGAATTTCAAAAATTAATAAAATCAGGTAAAACGGTTCTCAAAGCTTATTTTCATCAGAAATCACCCGAGAAGCTTCAAAAATCTCAATTTGTCATCATTTTTGACTGAAAAACTGGAAAAACTAATTTTGATCTAAATAAAATGTTTTTTTCGATTTTTCGTGAATTGATCTTTTAATGTTAAAAAAAACATTTTTTTTGTTCGTGAATCAGCCCTTATGGTCCGACGGAAGCTTCCGCGCAGCGGCACTGTCTTCCGCTTCAGCGGCCACGTATATTACTATGACGTTTGCCATATCCATATCATAGTAATCCACGTGGCCGCTGCGCGGAAGCTTCCATCGGACCATAGAAATTGGAATGAATAAATCTGCTTGTTTGCTGTGGGCGTGGAAGGAAGAGACGCGCGCAAAATTTATGGCGAAAAATAATTGGAGAGTATTCCTACTGTATTTTTATTTATTTTCTAAATATAATAAATAAATACAAGATGTTTTAATTTCGAGAGAAAACATAAATCAAATCCCCCTCTGGAAAAAAAGGTGCACGGGACCTCCAAAAAATCTTGGCAGAGAGTGAGAGAAGAGTGCAAAAAAGGTGCCGCTCTTTCAGACAAAAAAAAAGAAGAAGGACTCTCACTAATGCGACGATTTTAGATGATGTTTTTGGTGGGGCAAAAAAACCTCAACACAGATGTGAGTGTGTGTTGAAATCGCTGTTATACACACACATGTTTGAAAATATCGATTGATTTTCGAAACACACTCACTCAAAAAAAAAACAAAAAGGGCGAAATTGATACTTTAAGAGTACAGTAGTTTTTTCCTTAAATAGAAAAAAACTGCATTAATTATTTTAAATTGGATACTTCCTGTACTTTTTTTTTTGAAATTTTAATTGGGATTTTTTTGAATAAAATACAAAAAGAAGACGATTGGGAGTCTCCATGACGTTGCTAAGTGAAAAAGAGAATTTTTCGTATTATTACGAAGGGGGAAAGAAGAAGTTCACATAGATTACTCAAAAAAAATAATAAAAAATAACTGAAAAAATTATTCGGGTTTTTCTCCTTATGTATGTGACACAGTTAGACGCGCTCAACATAAGAAAGAAAAAAGATGGAGACAACTGGAGAGAGCGGCCAAGAGAAACAGAGACAACATAATCGATTTTCGCACACACACACACACATTTTTTCATAGTATAAATGAACAACCTTTTTTCTATAATACATTACATTACATTACATATGTATGAAAGAGAAAATGCTGTACTTTTAGTAACTCGGAGGATTTTTTATTTGAGGGAAGGGGCAAAAGGGATTTGACCTGGATTATTATTGAACATATGGAGGTGAAAAGGGAAAATTGTCGGGAAGAAGAAGAAGAAGAAGAGACGACAGAAATGAAAAGAAGAAAAAGAAGAACGTTTATATTGTTCTTCTCGCGCAATGTCAAGTTAGGATCGCGGTTTTTCGATCTCGATGAAACAAAAATACATATTTTGGGAATGAGAAGCTAAACGTTCTTACAAGGAAACCTGTTTTACTCAACACTTCAAATCTTGATGAAATTTTGTCGAGCTTTTAGGGTCATAAGAACACCCTAAAAATTTTAGGACCTCTGAGTCAAGTTCTGGGCTCTCAAAAATCATCATAGCTCCATTTCAAAAATTTTTTTGGGAGAAATAAAGTTTCAGATATTGATAAACATTGTCGATTTACTAAAAGTACATCAATAAAAAACATTTTTTCGAAAAATTTTGAAGTTTTTCACTTTTCGGCTGAAAATTCATGAAATTTCATATGTGCCCCTGCTCATTCTTTTTTCCAAAATCAAAAATTTTTCTGACAACGAAATTTTAATTTATTGATGCTTTTTTGGTAAATCGACCACGCTGATCATCACCTGCTATTCAATTTTTCATAAAAACGATCGGAAGTTGAGTTATTCTAACTTTTATGAGCCAATTAAGCCAATTTTTGAACTTTTGAGAGCCCAGAACTTGACTCAGAGGTCCTAAAAATTTTAGGATGTTCTTATGACCCCAAAAGCTGTCTATGGACAAAATTTCATCAAGATTTGAAGTGTTGAGTAAAAAAGGTTTCGTACTTTTTCCAAAAAAAAACTAAAATGCCCTTTTCTCTGAAAATGAGCGTTGTGCAAATAAATGCCTCAATTTCAGTTTATTGAATCTCACAAGGAAAGGTTTTCAATGTTCCCCCAAGGAAAAAACCGAGAGTATGTGGAATGTTGAGGGTTCCCATGGGTAAGAAAACCCTAACGGGAATAAGGAGAAAAATGCCTTGTTTTAGAAAATTTTGGTGTTATTGATTTTTGCCATGAAATTTTTTAGAAAAATCGAAACTTTTTTCAAAATTGGTGAAAAATGTAAATCTAAAAATCCATTTGTAGCGCAAACGGCGTACTTTAGTATTACTTCGACTAAAATTAGGAATAAAATAATTTTGGTCCCAAAAGTCCACTAAATCAAAAATCCAGTTTGAAAAATTCATAGAAAATCAACGTTTTCGTTGTGAAGGAGAAGTTTGTGTGAATCGAGACTATGATTTTTGGATTCTACGGACCAAATTACGTCTGTTGACCGTCATAAATTTTTCAAGTTCCGTTCATTTGAAAATGGAAAAAATTATTTTTTGTGTTTTTTGGTGACCATTTGATCAGAAAAACCCCGACTAAAAAAACCAAATTTCAAAAAATGTTTTATTTTTTGATAAAAAGTTTCACAAACACGTAATCGACCATTCTGAACAACTTCCACGACTCAAAAGTTCATGAAATAGATTCAAAATCGAGTTACAGATGCTCTAAAAATCAAAAAATGGTGTAAAAATCGACCTAAAATACATTTTTTCTCGAGAATAAGGCATTTTTCTCCTTATTCCCGTTAGGGTTTTTCTTACCCACGGGAACCCTCAACATTCCACATACTCTCGGTTTTTTCCTTGGGGGAACATTGAAAACCATTCCTTGTCAGAGGCTTTTTAATGACGAATTTTCTCAAAATAGCCAGTTTCACACAATTATTTGTAATAAATTCACCAACCATTCTTAGAACCACAGGGCAATTAATATTTTTAGATGAATAAAAATAGAAAGTCGTCATTGATATACTTTAGATCTCGATGTAGATGAATATTTTGGTATGCAAAAAATAAAAATAAAAATGTGAAACACCTGGGTTAGTGCATTTTTTCCTTACAAGGCCATTCAAATGTTTTTCTATTTATCAAAACAAAAACTCACTCTAACACTCCATCTTCCAGAATTACTTGGCATCGCTGTTTGTTGATCCATCCAAGGAACTGAAGGCGGTGGAATTGACATTGAACCAGAATTATTGCAATGAACATCGTTACTTCTCCAAGGCGCTGAATGATTTCCTGAAATAAATATGAAAAATTGACTTCCGGGTTTACTTATCACAACATATCAAATCTCTCAACAAAAACAAACCGCCTTTTCATACTGGTTTTTTTTTTCAAATAAGACTTACCATAACTTGAGTAGTTTGATGTTATCCTATCAGGAGAACACACATTTCGTGAGTTGTGCATTGTTTTTTCTGCGGTGAAATCTATGAATTCCGATTCGATTCTTGTTCCCATATACGAAATTCTTCTGTAAATTAACTCAAACTTTTGTTTTCGAAAAAAAAACCAAAAAAATGATGATTTTTCGAAAGCAAACGATTGCTACAGTACTGCTGTTTGTTTCAAAGGCGCAACACACATTTTGCAAGGTCTTGTCACGATTGTAAAATTTTTGGAGTCTGAGAAGTTTTTCCACAGTACCTTTTTTGTGAGATAGTATTTTCCTGTCCACATATTGTTTGTTATAAGAGAAAGAATAGAAAATGAGAAGGAATAGGAAAAAAATTGGTTGCAATTTTTGTCGTGCCAGCTGCGTTTCCTTGGAATAAATAATACCTAATTTTCTTGGATATATAAAGGATTTTCTTCGTTCATTTTTTTGAGGAGATTCTCGGTGTCAATATGGTGCAAATCGCAACTATGGAAAGAGTTGAAGAGTTTTCATCGGCTCATAGACTTCATTCGAATCAATTAACAGATGAGCAAAATGTAGAAGTTTTCGGAAAATGCAATAATTTTCATGGACACGGCCACAATTATGTTTGGAAGGTTGGTTTAGTTTTTTTCTCTAGAAAGAGAGCTGGCAGATGAATCAATAAAAAGTTCCAGGTGAAACTTCGCGGGCCAATTGATCCAATAACTGGAATGGTTTATGATTTAGCCAAACTTGTTAACGAGATGAAAACAATTTTGGCTACTGTAGATCACAAAAACTTGGATAAAGATGTTCCATATTTCGAGGTATCTTTCTTTGTAGTGTATTTTTAATTTGCAATTTTTTCCAGAATCATACAAGCACATGCGAAAATGTGGCAATTTATTTATATAATTCTCTTCAAGCTGTCATGAGCAATCCTTCGGTTCTCTACAAAGTTTCGCTTGCCGAATCTCCAAAAAACATTTTTTCCTACAAAGGACAGCAAGTTTAATCGATATTTGTCTCATTTTTCCCATGAATAAACACACATACTCACTTTTTTTGCTTTGTCATCCAACTTTGCGCACCTCAAACGCGTCAGCATTGAGCCTCGTCATAAATGCGTTTTTTTTTTTGTTCATTTCGTGTTTTTTTCGAGAGACAGAGCTTTTGCAAAAGCCAGGTGGTCATACTACCATATGTTCTTTCTTTCTTTTGGCTACTTTTTAGTTCATGCACAATTGTTGTTTTTCTATGAAAGTGGGTGGATTGTGAAATAAATCGATTTTTCCACGTGTTTTTTCTTTTTTTTTTCTTGTTCATTTTCAAATTTTTCAGTTTTGAAAAATTATTGAATGAACTCGAACAAAGAAAAAGTTGTGACATGTCTTGACAAAAGAACGATTGGAATTATTCTTCTTATTATTGTCAATGTTTTGTGGGTTTTGTCGTCAGAGTTAACAAGGGTGAGTTAGTTTTTAATATTGAAAATCTGAAAAAAAATATTTTATTTTAGTACATTTTCGTTGACGAAAATTTCAAACGGCCATTCTTCACAGTTTATATAAAATCATGTACACTTATAATTTATATGATAAAATATCTGATTTCCGAAGCACACGACGAAAATGCGTATAAAGTTATGGTAAATGATCAAAGCTTGTCGGACACTGAAAGTTATGAATTATCGTGTGAATCGCTGAGTTTGGAAGGTTTTGAAACAGTTGCCGAGGATTCCGATGTTGAATGAATCGTTTCATGAAGGCGAATTTGATGAGAAACGAAGCAAGAAAATACGATTTGCACAAAGGAAAGAGGTAGGAAAATATTGATTTTTTTAAAATGTATTTCTTAAAATTAAAATCTGTTCAGATTCGCCGAATGCCATCTTCCAATGCAGATGATCAACGAAAAGCTAGACTACCTTATAAACATCCTTCAATCGAATGTCAAATTTATCGATTTCCTAGACATATCAAATATACAATTTTCTTTTTTGCCCCTTTGGTTAGTTCTTTTTTTATGGGTCTCTTTTTTGTTGAATAATAACAAATACTTGCAGTGGTTAGTATGTTCATTCACATATCAAGCAGCTCTTGCATTTACATCGGTCTCAAGTCTAAATCTAGTGTCAAGTTCCTCTTCCGTCTTTATTCTAGCGTTTGCTATTTGTTTGCCTAGTTCTAGTAATAAATTTACACTTTATAAGGTGAGAAAAGCTTTCAACTTATTATTTATGATAAAAGTTTTCAGTGTATTTTGGTTGCGATGAATATAGCTGGAGTTCTCATCGTTTCTCATTATATGCCATCTTTTCTTGGCGCGTTTTTCGCTCAAATTTCTGCCGTTGCTTATGCTGTTTATTTATTTGCATTCAATCATTTTGAAGAGAAATATGGAAAATTGAGTATAAATTTGATGTTTGGAACAATTGGAATATTAGCAATTATAGTCGGCACACCAACTTTGAATATATTAGATAAACTTGGAATTGAATCATTGTATCCTTTGCCGAATTCTACGCAGCTTGGATCAATTTTGCTTTCAGCGCTGATTGGTTGGTTTTTTACATTGAAAAATGATTAATTAGAAAAAATCAATATTCTTTAGGCACTCTCATTGCTGATTATTTATGGCTAATTGCTGCTGGAATGTGTGATTCTCTAACTGCTTCTTTATCGCTGACAATATCAATTCCTCTTTCATTTCTGGCAGACACAGTGATCCGAGATAAAGCGCCAACTATGAACCAATTGATTTCATCGATTCCAATAACATTGGCTTTCGTCGGTGCTGCTTATGCTCAAAATTCTTCCGCTGGCGGAACAACAAATCTACGGATACGAAAAAATACCAAACACAAAACTTCTGACGATCGCATAAATTTGATTGACGCTGATAATGAGGATGATTGATATATTTTATCATATTTTATTTATTTATTGCCCCTTTTCCCTGAATACTGGTATTTTGTGTCGCTTTGAATTACTGTAGAGAAAGAATGCTAGTCGTATAAACACATTGTTTTTTTGAATAAATAAAATATGTATTTACATGAGTCTGACTTTTCGAATTTGTCCTGGAACTGAGATCAAAAGTGCACCACGATCATTTTCAATGACATTTTTCGATGTTGTTGGTTCTTTTTCGAATCTATGAAAATTAAACTTCGGAGTTGCTATAGTCAAAATAACTTACTCTTTTTTGTAAAAAGCTATATCCTCTTTTGTTGGATAATAAAATCGAAGAGGATCTCTTCTGAAACTATCTGCAGTGTAAACATCTTCTCCAACAATCGTTCCAACGGGAAGATCGGTGAAATTAAATGTGGCCAGACAATCTCTCCGCATACATTCCAAAATCAATCGTTTGTCTGGTCTTTCATTATCCACAACACGGAATAATTTTCCTCGACATTTTGTGCAGATTTGTTCTTTCTTTAAAAACGGGTTTAATTTGGAACGAAAAAAAAATAAATGATTACCTTTGAATCGTCAACTTGTCGCTTTCTTTGAGTTCGTTTTGGTGGTTCAACAAAATTAGAAGATGTGGGAACAACAGTAGATAAAACTTTTGGATTCGGCAAAATGTCGTCTGTAAAAAATATCTCATATGGTTTATAAGAACACATTAGAAAAAAAACAAACCGATTTCCATATTGTCTAACTTTTTCAGGATTGTTGGAGAAATTCTGAAGTTTTTGAACTTTTTCGCTTTGCGCAAGAGTTCAATTCTTCTAGGACAAATTACCAATTCCTCAACAAGCCAATCTTCCATTTATGTTTGCCTTTAAATTCTTCTTACTAGAAAACAGTTCTTTAGAATCTCCGTACAAACAAGAATAAAAGATAAATGAAATTTAAATTTACGTGAAATGCCACGAAAAATATAATTGTATTTCAATTTTTGAATAAAACATTTTTTAAAACTAAAATTGGCAAAAATGGAGATCAGTTGTGTGAAAAAAATATGTACAGGTAAATTATGACATTCACAATAACAAAATTCAATACCACCTTTTCACTAAACAGACAAATATTTAGCTAACTTTGTCAACAAAAAAAACAAAAAAAAAACGCCCTCGTAAATCGACAACATTCGGCTGTGTGTTTGTCGTTGCAAGACCAAACGTTGAATATTCAGTCAATTCCCCTTCAACGACCCTCCCTTTAAACAAAAATATTTCTTTTTTGGTTTTTTTCTTCGTTTTCACGAGGTTTTACGTGAATTTTAAGCGTTTTTGTATTTCCAGAATGTGTTTAATTTGAATAGAAAAATTGTTTTTCAGTAGTATTCATATTTTTAATGATTTTTGTTTCGTAATTTCTGTCTCAAATTGTTTTATGGATTGGAACTTGTTGTATTTCAGGGTATAATGGCGGCCAGACCGCTCGTAACAGTTTACGATGAGAAGTATGAAGCCACTTCGGCTCAATTGAGACTTCCAGCAGTTTTCCGTACTCCAATCAGACCAGACTTGGTTAGCTTCATCCACGATCAAGTCCGCAGAAACAAGAGACAAGCTCACGCTGTTGGAGTTCTCGCCGGTATGTTTTATTAATATTTTAGAAATTAAAAAATAGTTTCCTTCTTCAGGAAAGCAACACTCTGCTGAATCATGGGGAACTGGACGCGCTGTTGCTCGTATTCCACGTGTCCGTGGTGGTGGTACTCACCGCTCCGGTCAAGGAGCTTTCGGAAACATGTGCCGTGGAGGACACATGTTCGCTCCATTGAAGGTCTTCAGACGCTGGCACCGTAGAGTCAATCTCGCTCAAAAGAGATACGCTGTTTCTTCGGCTATTGCTGCTTCAGGAATTCCAGCTCTTCTCCAAGCTCGTGGTCACATCATCGATCAAGTGAGTTTTTTGTGAATTAAGAACAAAACATGAAATAATTATTGTCAGGTTGCTGAAGTTCCATTCGTCGTCTCCAACAAGGTCGAAGGTTTCCGTAAGACCAAAGAAGCCGTTGCCTTCCTCCGCCGCTCGCACTTGTGGGCCGATATCGAGAAGGTTTGTTTTTTACCCATCTTTCTTATAGATCTCACAAAAATCAAACATTACATAAAATCTTTTTCAGGTTTACGCTTCAAAGAGAAACCGTGCCGGAAAAGGAAAGCTCCGTAACCGTCAACACAAGCAAAAGCTCGGACCAGTTGTCATCTACGGTCAAGATGCTGAATGCGCTCGCGCTTTCAGAAACATCCCAGGAGTTGATGTCTTGAATGTCGAACGATTGAACCTTCTCAAGCTCGCTCCAGGAGGTCACCTCGGACGTCTCATCATCTGGACCGAATCAGCTTTCAGCAAATTGGATGCCATCTACGGAACTCAAGTTGCCAACAGCTCTCAATTGAAGAAGGGATGGTCAGTCCCACTCCCAATCATGGCCAACGCCGATTTCTCAAGAATCATCCGTTCCGAAGAAGTCGTCAAGGCCATCCGTGCCCCACAAAGAAATGCTGTTGCCCACAAGATCCACCGCAACCCATTGAGAAAACGTCAACTCCTCTACAAATTGAACCCATACACATCAGTTCTCCGCAGAGTTGCTCGTGCTGCGGCCAAGAAGAACTAAGTATTTTGTTGTTGATAAAATTTTTGTTAAAATTTGTTTCATTTGTGTTAATCCCATCTTGAAGTATGAAACACCTCAAGTTTTATCTAATAAAACAAACATGTAAATTCAAATAATTTATTCAATTACATTTACTATCAAAAACAACTGAATCGCTAGAAATCTCGTAATTTTGAAAACTTTTGATGTTTTTATCGATTCTTTTCAAAATATCTTTCATCGACCGATCATCTTCAATTACCCGTTTTGATTCTGAAGGTTGAGAAACCATTTTGCTAGACGAGGGTGATGAATAATTATGAGAAACTAAAACTGGATCATTATTGAAAATAGGAATTCGTATAAATTCTTTCATAAAAAGTGCGCTAGGAGACCATAATTTGTTTGCACGAACCAAAGAAGACACCTGGAAAATTGGCTAATTTAAGTATTGAGAAAACTGAAATCAAAACTACATTGATATTGAATATTTTTAAGCTTCGGTGAAGTTTGAACTTGTGATTCACAATTAGAAATTAGATCACCCTAAAAAAAAATTCGAAACGCATCTTCAGATTTTCAAAAAAAAACATGTTCTGAACCTGATTGCTAGTTTCAAAAGGATCTTATTATCTAGAAAATCCCCAATTGAAAATCCTTGATAAATAATTTTTGCACCGAAATTCCCAAATGATTACAGAAAAAAATAGTTCAGCCTAAAAATTTGAACATTTTTAACGTAAAAGAAATGCTTCTCGAATTTCCACGTGACCTTCCTAGAGAAAAATCTAGATTTTCGGGCCCGAATTAGACCTGAAGCCTGAGAAACCTCAGATTTTATGTCTGAAGCCTGAAATTTACCAAAAAAAGCTCAAAATTCAAGAAACATTCAAATTTTTAGGCTGTGAGCCCAAATTTTGTGAAAAATCTAAATGTTCAGGCCCGAAGCGTGTAATTTCTAAAAAATCTAAATTTTCGGGTCCGAATTAAGCCTCAGATTTCAAGCTTAAAGCTTGAAAATTCTAGAAAATTATTTGAAAACGTCCTTGAATTCTTTTCATTTCGTAAATATTCCCACTTCTTAAGTGCAACTAAAATGTATGTTCAAAAACTTACTGAACAATTAAATTGTAATGAAATACGTTCAAGTGTATCATCTTGTTTGACTTGATAAATTGTATAAGAATTCGGAGTTGCTGGAGAGGATTGAGATGATGATTGAGTTGTTCCGTATTGTCTGACCTGGAAAATTAGGGTTTCTTGTTGTTAAAAACACATCTCGTCCAATCCGTGGCTGAATTCCAGTTTTTAGAGGTCAAAAATTGAAAAATTCATATTTTTCATACTGTAAAAAGTTAGCAATTTTTGCCGAGGTGTGGTTAAAAACGAAATTAAACCATGTGAAATCGACACTTACCCTCTTGAATCCACATAGAAACGTACTCTCGTCTGGTTGATAATAATCCGAACTCACTGGTATCATCATCATTCATGATTTGTTATTTTGAAGTATCGATTGTGAAGAGGAGAGAATTTTGCTGGAAAAATGGAAATTCGAACGAAAACCACACAAAGAACACGAGAAAAATTGTATCTTTTCTTTCGTTGTAAAACTCTAGAACAAAGAAAAAAGTACTCTTCAAATTGTTGTGTTCAAAACAAAATGATAATGGTTTTTTATCACAGATAGATAGAGAAAACACTTCTCGCTCATATGAGAAAAATCGATAAAAACATTGCCGAAAAAAAACGAAGGTTTCCCTTCTTTTGTTGCGCGTTGAGAGTTTAGAGAATTAGAGAAAAGTAATAGTGAGAATGCCCGTTGAATATAGTGTTTGCAGACACTTTTTTCTCCTTTTTTTTCATTATTTTCACATGAATAAATGTATATTTTAATGTTTCAACCTGAAACTTTCAGGAAAGTGAAAAATGGAGCCTGGAAATATCAAGAAAACATCATCGTGCTCAAGTTCTGGTTCATGGCTAAATGATCTTCGAAATGTGCCGCACAAAGATATTGCAAAATTGACAATTTTTGCCAAAAAAAAAGTGAGTTTTCCTTGTTTGATAGCATAATAAAGATAAGAAAACGTAAACCTTTCAGGTCGAAAAAGCCGGTCGAAAATTATTTAATAACGATCATCATACAGCTACGAATACATTTGTGCCCTCGAATATTCTTCCACACGAGACTTCAGTTGCAGGTATGTTTTTCTAAAATTGCTGAAATCAATTCCTAATAAGAGTTATGACGTGGCAAAAATCGGGATTTTAGGGTCTCAAAATGCTCGAAGTTTTCCTGCCAGAAAATCCTGATTTTTTTGAGCATTTCGAGCCTAAGAAAGCCTAGTTTCTGGGCTTGTTTAGGCTCAAAATGCTCCAAATTTTCCTGCCAGAAAATCCTTATTTTTAGAGCATTTTGAGCCTAAATGAGCCTAGTTTTTAGACTCTAAGTCTAGGCTTTTCTAGGCTTGAAATTCTCTAAATTTTTAATCTGAATAAGCCTAGTTTTCTTATCCGAAATCTAGACTTTTCTAGGCTCAAAATGCTCCAAATTATTCATCTGGCCAAAATTGAAATTTTAGATCCTGAAATGGCCCGGTTTTTCGACAAAATCTAGGCCGAATCCCGATTTTTTGAAATTCTCGAATTTTGCCACGTCATAACTCAAATTCAAGTTTCGTTTCAGTTCCTCCTCCGTATCCAGAAGGTAATTTTTTCGGATGCGGTTTTCCTCCGCTGCCAACAACCAGTGCTAATAATAGTAATCGTGAGTCTATAAAATTAATTTAATTAATCCCAATTTCAATTTCAGCACCATCTTATGGCTGGGCTTTGAATAGTGATAATAATTCATCTCAACCAAGTTCGTCTGCACTTAGTTTAGATATTGGAATTGGCGACGAAACAGCTGGATCTGGTTTGGATTATATAACAAATGAGAATATGATGAATCAAGATGAAATGAGTTATTTGAAACCGATTAACAGTGAATTAGCAAGGAAAATTGAAGGTATCTAACAAGGAATGGTTTTCAATGTTCCCCCAAGGAAAAAATCGAGAGTATGTGGAATGTTGAGGGTTCCCGTGGGTAAGAAAAACCCTAACGGGAATAAGGAGAAAAATGCCTTATTCTCGAGAAAAAATGTATTTTAGGTCGATTTTTACACCACTTTTTGATTTTTAGAGCATCTGTAACTCGATTTTGAATCTATTTCATGAACTTTTGAGTCGTGGAAGTTGTTCAGAATGGTCGATTATGTGTTTGTGAAACTTTTTATCAAAAAATTAGACATTTCTTGAAATTTGGTTTTTTTAGTCGGGGTTCTTCTGATCAAATGGTCACCAAAAAACACAAAAAATAATTTTTTCCATTTTCAAATGAACGGAACTTGAAAAATTTATGACGGTCAACAGACGTAATTTGGTCCGTAGAATCCAAAAATCATAGTCTCGATTCACACAAACTTCTCCTTTACAACGAAAACGTTGATTTTCTATGAATTTTTCAAACTGGATTTTTGATTTAGTGGACTATTGGGACCAAAATTATTTTATTCCTAATTTTAGTCGAAGTAATACTAAAGTACGCCGTTTGCGCTACAAATGGATTTTTAGACTGACATTTTTCATTAATTTTGAAAAAAGTTTCGATTTTTCTAAAAAATTTCATCGCAAAAATCAATAACACCAAAATTTTCTAAAACAAGGCATTTTTCTCCTTATTCCCGTTAGGGTATTTCTTACCCATGGGAACCCTCAACATTCCATATACTCTCGATTTTTTCCTTGGGGGAACATTGAAAACCTTTCCTTGTAAGTTTTCTGGAATATTATTTCTCTAAAAGCTTCATTTCGCAGAGCAAAAAAGAGCTTATCTGAATGCTAAAAAACGCGTCGAAGATGAACATATTCAGTTGGATATTTTGATGAATGATGATAAACATTTGAGTGATTTTTTGAATCAAATGTATCCAGAAAACGGTTCACTGGTGAGAAATTCTTAAAAGTGTTCCCCAGAAAAAAAATCAATATTTTTTTAGGATATCGAAGCGATTAGGGGTAAAATAATAGAATTGAATGAGAAATTGGAGAAGGCTAGAATTAAAGATTCTGGACGAACACCGCCGCCAAGTGAGTTTTTTTTGGGGAAAAAAAATTTTGATCTACAAAAAATTTGGGAACTACAGTACCCTGGATATTTATTTTCTGAGAAAAAATTGCCACGTGGATTCGATATACTGTAGTTTTGGAAAAGTTCCAAAATTTTTGATCTACAAAAAATTTGAAAACTACAGTAACCCTGGATATTAATTTTCTGATCAAAAAATTTCCACGTGGTTTCGATATACTGTAGTTCAGACAGAGTTCCAAAATTTTTATCTATAAAAATTTAAAAGCTACAGTTCCCTGGATCTTTATTTTCTGACCAAAAAATGCATGCCACGTGGATTTGAGCTATTGTACTTCGGGAAAAGTTCCAACTTTTGATCTACAAAGTTTGGGAACTACAGTAACCCTGGATTTTTTTCTGACCAAAAAATGCATGCCACGTGGTTTCGATATACTGTAGTTTTGGAAAAGTTCCAAAATTTTTGATCTACAAAAAATTTGAAAACTACAGTACCCTGGATTTTTATTTTCTGACCAAAAAATGCATGCCACGTGGATTTGAGCTATTGTATTTCGGGAAAAGTTCCAAATTTTGATCTACAAAAAATTTAAAAGCTACAGTAGCCCTGGATTTTTTCTGACCAAAAATCGCATGCCACGTGGATTTGAGCTACTGTAGTTCGGGAAAAGTTCCGGAGTTCTGATCCACAACAATTCCGAAACTACAGTCTAGTTTCAAAAAATTTCCACGTGGAACCCAGTTTTTAAAAAAATTTCCACATCTTTTTCAGGACCACCTCCACCACGTTCAACAAGTCAAGATTCGACTACAAGTAACTGGAAATGTTCAAAATGCGATGCTGAAAATGTCAACAATCATTATCGATGTCGAAAATGTGATCTTCCAAGTCGAAGAATTGATCCGATTGAATCCACTAATTGTAAATGTGAAAATTGTTCATAATAATATTTTAAAAATTCACAGATTCTAACAAAAAATCCATTTTTCTTTCATATGAAAAAAATAAATAGGCATTATTTTAATTAAAAACGTGACATAAAAAATTGTCCTAAATTCTCGCGCTTCTCGATTTCAGTCAACTCTCCCTCATAACCATTATTTTAGCTACTGGAAACTGACTAGAAAATTTTTTCACTATGGGAATCGCATTCTCTTCATCGACTACTATAAAGTGAGTTAATCGAACTGTGATTTATCGAGAAAATCGAATTATTTTTTTGTTATTTAGCAATATGTTTGATGGTGTTCCACGTGGACAAGACGATTCGATTTTCGATGTTTTGGAGGCGTACAAAAAGGATCCGAGACCGGATAAGATTAATTTGAGTGTTGGAGCGTATCGAGATGATGATGTAAGGCTGATTTGGGCTGGAGGAATTAGGCCATTTGAGAAAGTCTAGGCCTGAAATGTGGAGCATTTTGAGCCTAAGAAAGCCTAGTCTCTAGGCTTATTTAGGCTATGAGTCTAGGCTTTTCTAGGCTCGAAATTCTCCAAATTTTGAATCTAAAAGTAATTCCCTTTTAAACCCCCGCGAATTGTTTGCACGCCAAACGCGCCTTCAAGGTGAAGACTGACGCGTTTGAGCGTGGGAACGAGCCATTGTTTGTTCTTTTTGTTGTTTTTCAGACAAGTTCTGAGTTTTAAGCTTGTTACTGTTTCTTTCACAAGTTCTACGGTGTGAACTTGTGATTAGGTGATAATCCCCGTTGTAAATTGTTGATTCCGGAATCGGAATCCTTTTGCTATTGTTATTTTATTTAAAATCACTCAATAAATTATTGTTTGAAACTTGTTGTTCATTTTTGCACATTTTAAGTGGCAATTCCACTTAGAATTCCTATATTTTGTGGACCCTTATCGAGACTTGAAATAAGTCGACAAGGGCAACCATTACTTGGGGGCCGAACTAAAATCCGACGAAAAACCGAGTGAAATTTGGTTATTTGGAGGAACGAATTGGTTGTATTTTGTGTTGCTCAAGGAAATTCTTTGAGTAATATAAGATTTTATTGATTCGAATCGAGTCAATAAACTGTGGAAGTTGTTGATTGGTGTGATTGGAGGTGGAACATCGACGGAGTCGGGATTGGCAACTTCAGAGGTTTGAATCAAACTTTTGAAGCGTCGTTGTGATCTAAGATCGTCAATTCATTCTTTTTGCAGTGCAATCAAACTATGACATCAAATATGGGAACGAATTGGGCAAATGAGACGGAAAAATCGACAAAAGATGAGAAAGTTGAGACTGGAGCTGTTGAGTCAACGATTTTTGAATGGGTGGAAGAGAACAGTGAAGAATATGTTAAGAAAGCTGTCGCGACCGCAAAAGAAGATATTTTGCGTGTTGCAAAAGTCACGAAACGTCAGGCTGATGTAATTATGGAACCACTTGCCAGAAGTTTTGACAAATTTGTCGCGGGTTTGTGTGAGGAGTTGCGCGAATCGCCGAATTTGGTCAATAATGAGGAGGCGAGATGTATTCGATATTTGCGAAAAGTGGAATTTGCGGATGTCGATATTGTTCATAGATATATGAGTGCTGGCGCGGAAGTTTTGAGATTTGAGAGAGAAACCGGGTATGATGCTGATGGTTATAAAGCTCAGGTTGATAAAGAAATTGATAAATGCAATTTCCAGGTGGAAAAATTGCATGGCGAAGCCGAAAAATGGAAAAATGAAGCCGAAATGTTGAGAAAGAAAGTTGAAGATTCTGAGGATGCATATGGTGAATTATTGGAGAAGTATACAAAGATGGAAAAGGAAGTACAATTGTTGAAGAACCGAAAAGGTGAGAAAACAATCCGAGAAGCATCACCAACACCAAGTTTCCAGATGTTTTCCGATTTGAAGAATGCGAAATCGAAATTTGCGACTCCGAATCGAGGTGCAACTGTTGAGACAATGGCTGGACGTGTTTTGGAAGATGGTGAGTCTACTTCGGGGCTTTCAAAATTGGAAACCGATAAGCGCAGCGAAAATTCGACTGAAAAGAGAACCAAAGATTGGGTTATTCATGGAAAATCGAAGATTGTTTCCGATGGAGGATCCGAAAATGTCGATGGACATGGAGGAGGAAAATCGGAAAAATCGCCAACAAAAACGAGAAGTTCTATTGAAAGTGTTAAAGATGGATTGGTGGCGATGATGGGATTCATGAAGCTGAATAGCTTCCCAGATCCAGAACCGTTTTCGGGATATGCCAGTGAGAATTTGGATGAGTTCCTCGAATTGTTCGAATTGAAATATGGAAGTTTGACTGGAAATGGAAAAGAAATGGGTGCTATTTTGACCGGAAAATTCCTCAAAGGTCACGCCAAAAAGTTGTTTGATTCAATTGATGTTGGAAAAGATTGGAAATGGAAAGAAGTTAAAGAGAAGTTTGAAGAAGTTATGAATGCTTCAAGAACGAGCAAAAGAGGAAGAGCAATTGAGAAATGGCAAGATATGAGAATTGGAAAGAACCAATCGTTGCAGATGTATTGCATTGAAATTGAGAAATTAGCGCGAGACGCATTTGATGCAAGTCCGCGTGAAATCGACATTTATAAGACGGCGAAATTGTTGCAAGCAACCAGAAGAAATTCTGCACTCGCTGGACTTTTGGCAGTCAAGAAAAATGATAAGAAAGACGGAAATCAATACGAAGCACTCAAATCTGCCGCGCTTCAATTTGAATATGATTTGGAAAGAGAGAAATATCGAGAAGATCGAAAGAAGTTTGAAAAGAAAGGTGGATCGGACCCAGGTGAAAGTTCGAAAGCCAAAAATGAGAAATCGGAAAATGCGGATAAAGATGAAACTTCGAGGACAACTAATGAAAAATCGAACCAAGGTGAAAGTTCGAGAAGAGATGCTGGAAGATGTTTTTCATGTGGAAAAGATGGACATTTTATCGCGAATTGTCCGAATCGAGCTGAAGTCAATTGTGTGAAAACCGAAGGATTGTGCAAGATGAGACCTGTAGAAAAAGCGACAATTTTGGGTCAACAAGTTGAGATTTTGATTGATTCGGGATCAGAAGTCTCGCTCATGTCATCTAAAATATTCGACAAATTGATGGACGGTGCCAGAAATTTGGAGAAATCAAAATGGAAAGTTGAGCTACCAGGTGATTGGTCGTTGAAAAGTTGTGGAGGAACGAATATGAAGATCATCAAACAATTTGAAGTTGAGACGAAAATTCGAGATCGAGAAGAAAAGGTGAAATTCCAGATTATCGAGGAAAGTGTGAATATGTTGATTTTGGGATTGGATAGTTTCAAAAATTTTGGAATTTTTGTTGGATGGAAATCCGAATCAAATATGGAAGATTCAAATGTGGAATCTGGAAATCCAGGTGTCGGAAAGAAACGACAAAGAAAACGCGCAGCGCGAAAAATTCGGGAAAAAGGCACTGATTTGGTTCAGAAAATTTATTCCTTGAAGATTTCAGATTCGGAGGATGAATCGCGCGATGTTTCGACTGGACCAGAAGCTGATAAATCAGAAGTTATTGGAAAAGAAGTTGCTGAAATTGTTGATCAAGAAAAGATGTTGGAAGATATGGATTTATGGAGAAATCCATATAATATTGGAAAGAAGTCACTTGTAATGATGAATGGAAAATTTTCGGCGGTTGATCGGGACACATTGGATCGAAGAATTGCGGTTGCCGATGGTGTTTGGAGAAAATTGATGTCGAAGGACAGCGGGTGTTGTGGCTCCGAGTCGATGTAAATAATTTTTATTTTTCGTTTTCCCCCGACCCCCGTAGTTAAGAATTATTATTTTGTAGTTAAGAATTTAGGATAAGTTTAGGTTTTTGTAGGTTAGGTTAGGGCTTAGCCAGGGACGGCTAATTCAAGGAGGGGGAAGTAATTCCCTTTTAAACCCCCGCGAATTGTTTGCACGCCAAACGCGCCTTCAAGGTGAAGACTGACGCGTTTGAGCGTGGGAACGAGCCATTGTTTGTTCTTTTTGTTGTTTTTCAGACAAGTTCTGAGTTTTAAGCTTGTTACTGTTTCTTTCACAAGTTCTACGGTGTGAACTTGTGATTAGGTGATAATCCCCGTTGTAAATTGTTGATTCCGGAATCGGAATCCTTTTGCTATTGTTATTTTATTTAAAATCACTCAATAAATTATTGTTTGAAACTTGTTGTTCATTTTTGCACATTTTAAGTGGCAATTCCACTTAGAATTCCTATATTTTGTGGACCCTTATCGAGACTTGAAATAAGTCGACAAGGGCAACCATTACTTAAATGAGCCTGAATTTTTTTACCAGAAATTAGGCTCAGGCTTAGGCTCAAAATCTGGATCTTTGATTTTTTGATAAACGCGAAATTTGGAGCATTTTGAGCATAAATTTGCTCAACTTTTTTGGCTCTAAGTCTAGGCTTAAAATTCTCTAAATTTTGAATCTGAATAAGCCTAGTTTTCTTATCCGAAATCTAGGCTTTTCTAGGCTCCAAATTATTCAGCCTGAAATGGCCCGAATTTTGGACTTCTACTCACAAGGGAAGTGCATAGGGTCAGGTGTTGAACTTTTGCTGAAACGTTCGAAATATACCAAATCGACCATGCTGATCACGATTCCGAAGTCAAAAATTGCCACAAATGCATGTGAGCACTTTTCTGGAGCTCCAAAGTTGGAATTGAGTTTTGGTTTTTGCCCATTTTCACCATATTCCTGGGTGGAAAATCAATTTTTATAACTTGAATAAGGTTGTTCACCACATTCGAAAACCTATCAGCTTTTTAGTTTTTCAAAAAATATGAAAAACCAGCTGAAAACTGTAATTTTTAAGAAAGTCCTGAAAATACACACAAACACACGTAAATACACACGTTTTTCAAAGTTTTTTGTGCATTTTAGAAAATTACAGTTTTCAGCTGGTTTTTCATATTTTTTGAAAAACTAAAAAGCTGATAGGTTTTCGAATGTGGTGAACAACCTTATTCAAGTTATAAAAATTGATTTTCCACCCAGGAATATGGTGAAAATGGGCAAAAACCAAAACTCAATTCCAACTTTGGAGCTCCAGAAAAGTGCTCACATGCATTTGTGGCAATTTTTGACTTCGGAATCGTGATCAGCATGGTCGATTTGGTATATTTCGAACGTTTCAGCAAAAGTTCAACACCTGACCCTATGCACTTCCCTTGTCAGATTTTTCCACAAAATCTAGGTACTAAAAAAATAACAAGAAATTCAGGGAAAATGGATGGTTCTGAAAAGTGTTCGAGAGGCGGAAAAACAAATTTTCGACGCCGAAATGGACAAAGAATATCCGCCAATCACCGGCTATCCGGAATACAATAAATTGGTGGCCGAATTGATTTTTGGCGAGACATCGGAGGCGCTGAAAAGCAAGCGAATCTTCACAACTCAATCGATTTCGGGATCCGGTGGACTTCGTGTTGGCGCCGCTTTTTTGTACAAATATTTGCCGAAGAAGGTGATGTATTATCCGCAGCCGACGTGGGGAAATCATGTTCCACTTTTTACGTGAGTTTTTGTCTTCAGAACTGGATACAGGATTTTTGTAGTTAGCCGAAAAGTTTGCACCAGATCTCCATATAAATTTTTTTTTTCTTCAAAAACTGACACTATACTTAACACCTAAAAATTCAGGATTACAGTAAGGTCTAAAATTTTCCACGTGTTAATTTTCAGATAATTTTAAGATATGGAAAATACAGTAATCCTGGATTTTTTCCGACTAAAATGGATTCGGTATACTGTAGCTCTGGAAAAGTTCCAAAGATTTGATCTACAAAAAATTTGGAAGCTACAGTGACTCTGGATATTTTATGATCAAAAATTCCACGTGGATGAAGTTATTGTAGTTCTGGAATGGTTCCAAAATTTTGATTTACAAAAAATTTCGGGAACTACAATAACCCTCAATATTTTTTTTCTGAGCAAAAATTTTCCACGTGGATACGGTATACTGTAGCTCTGGAAAAGTTCCAAATTTTTTGATCTACAAAAATTTGAGAACTACAGTAACCCTTTTATTAACCATAGTCGTAGTTCCAGAAAATTTTCACGTGGATTCGGTATACTGTAGTTCAGACAGAGTTCCAAATTTTTATCTATAAAAATTTGAGAACTACAGTAATCCTGGATATTTATTTTCTGAGCAAAAAATTTCCACGTGGCTTCGATATACTATAGTTTTGAAAAGTTCCAAATTTTGATCTACAAACATTTGGGAACTACAGTAACCCCCTGATAAACTAGAGTAGTCTTGTGGTTGGAATTTTTCTAAAATTTTATATTTTTTATAAAAACCTGGAATAATACGTTTCAAAATTTATTAATATATTTTAATTCAAAAAAAATATTAATACAAAAAAATTAATCATAAATTTTGATGTGGCAGATTCTTTTTTTTTGGCACAAAATTCTACTTATCTTTTTTTAAAAATCAATTCTTAGCCTATGGTCATGGTTAAGCCTAACCCTAACTGTTTTAAGAAGCCTAATTGTAAAGTCTCCAAAGTTTTTCCCAAAATTTCAGAGCTGCGAACTTTGAAATGCGTCCATATCGATATCTTGATCCGAAAACGATGACAATCGATGAAATTGGAATGTTGGATGATATTGCAAATATTCCAGCAGGCTGTGCAATTCTTTTACACGTTTCGGCACATAATCCAACTGGGTTAGATCCAACGGTTTGTTCGAAAAAAACAAAAAAAATTTGCGCGCAGCGGGGTTCGAACTCCTGACCTACGCCACCAAAAACTGGAGTACCTCTCCAGTTTTTGGTGGCAAAAACTGGACTACCTCTGCGCCATGCGTCTTTGTGAAATCCGAGGGGAAAACTTTGTTTATTATTTCGATGTCCCAATTTTTTTTTTTGCAGAAAGAACAATGGAAAAAGTTGTCGACTGTAATAAAAGAGACTGGAATCTTTCCATTTTTCGATTTGGCATATCAAGGTTTTGCAACCGGTGATTTGGACGAAGATGCTTGGCCGGTTCGACATTTTGTTGAAGAGGGACATAAAATGTTGGTGGCACAGTCTTTTGCAAAAAATATGGGATTATATGCGGAGCGAGCTGGAAGTTGTAGTTTGGTTAGTGATACAGAAGAAAGTGCGGTTCGAATGGGAACGCATATGAGAAGAGTTGTGAGATTTATGTATTCGGTTAATCCGGTTTATGGTGCACGAATTGTGATTGCTATTCTATCGAATCCTCAATTAAAAGCTAAATGGATGATTGAATTGAAAGAAATGGCAAATCGCATCAGATTCATGAGATTTGCCTTAAGAACTGGATTAGAAAGAGAGGGCTCGAAAAGAAATTGGGAGCATATAACAAATCAAATTGGAATGTTCTGCTATACGGGTTTGAGCGAGGAGCAAGTTACAAAACTGGCGAAAGATTATGGAATATATATGTTAATTAGTGGTCGAGCAAGTATGGCTGGGGTTAATTCGAAAAATATTAACAAATTAGTAAAATCGATTATTGAGGTGACTAGTTAGGCGTTGTCCAAATCGAACAATTTTTCGATAAATAAATTTTATCAGGGTCAAAGTTTTCAGTAAAACACAAAATCAACAATGGTACAACACAACAATGATTTCTTTTTTTTGAGATTTGGAGGGTATTAAAACAAAAGGAAAATAATATAATAGTTTAGTTGTCTCCAGCAGCTGGAGCAGCATCCTCGAAAACTGTGCGTTTTGAGGCTGGCGCGTCAGAATCATCATGATCAGCTGAACGTTTGTCTGCTCTTCTGTCGCCACCTCTGAAATTTTGGATTTTTAACCCTCCTAATCAGCAGAAAGTATATTTGGACATCGACTAAATGACATTTTCATGTTTTTCAAGAAAATGAGTTGAAATTATGGGTTCTAATGTTATTCATATGATAGAATGGTCTAAGACGAACAGAATGATATGAATTTTGATGACTTTACCTTATCCATAAGTGATTTAGCGACTTTTAGTCGATATTTAGTTGATAAGTCGATAAATCACTTATGGATAAGGTAAACTCATCGAAATTTATATCATTCTGTTGGTCTTAGACCATTCTATCATATGAACTTGCTTGAAACACATGAAAATCTCATTTAGTGTCCAACTATAGCAGAAAGATAAATAGCTAACCTGAAACCTCCGCGGTTTCCGCCACGGCCTCCTCTCCGTCCGCCTCTTCCTCCTTGACGCCCATTATTTTGCTTATTATTCTTTCTTGCATTGAATTCTGTCCAATATTTCTCCTCCTCTTCTCCATCCAAAACTCTTGCCGTCAATTCCTTCTCTTGGAAAATGACTTTTCCATCAGTTCCAGCCGCAACAGCCTTGTCCCATCCACTTTGCGCTCCACCTTCGCTGTCGTTGTTGAAACGAATCTCGGCTGTTGAACTGTTGTTTTCATGTGCAACATAACCGACTGATCCGTATTGTTTGAAGAATGTTTTGATTGTATCAACAGTTGCTTGTTCGCCAAGTCCATCGATGGCAAGAATAAGACCTTTGTCGAATCGAGCAACATTTCTGGCCTTTTCTTTTTCAGCATTCTCTGTGGCACTCTTATTTCCCTTTGCAGCTTTAGCGGCGGCTCTTGACTCTTTGGTTTCCTTGTTTTTCAACGCCCAATAATCATCTTGCATCATTTTGACTAGTTCAATTTCTCCAAACTTGGCATCAGATTTTTGTGCAACTTCGGCTTCTTCTCTGGTTTTGTAAGTGACAAATGCACTTCCTTTGAAAATACGGTCCTCTTTTCCAAGTCTACGCATGAGAACATTTTCCAATTCTCCGAATTGTTGAGCCCAACTCATGATTTGATCCAATTGTGAGTCTTGTGGGAAACCTTTCATATAAACTGTTCTATGCTTAATAGTTTGCCAGTATTCCAATGAATTTTCTGGAAGTGGGTTCCCAACACTGCGACGGATTTTTTGCAAATCTTCGGAAAGTGTGATGAGTTCCGAGTTTGCAGCTTTCAAAGCGTTGGCAATAACATTAACATCCGTTGTAATTTGAACCAATCTGTTGAATTTCAACATGGTGGTTAGTGGAACCCCTAAAAAATAAAAAAAATGAACAATCAAAGACAAAATGAATAAAACACTTACATCCTTCGTCAAGTTTCATTTGTTCTTGCAAAAATTTATCACGTGGCAGATTGATGTTACCGAAGTAATACTGAAAATAATTGAATATTTAGGCTGAAAAATTTGTGAATTAATCTACCTCAATCTGTTTGACAATCTTGGCGTTAGTTTCATCGGCGGCTGGAGCAACGTTCTCAGTCATCTTCTGTAAAAAAATTCGGTATGAAGTAGTTCAAGCCTAAAACATAACATTTTAAAAGAAAATAACGCTAATCCTAAAATAATCTGGAAAATCTCTCTTAACAAAAATCTTTGGAAGAAAGTTTAATGTCAGGATTTAGACAATATTCAGGCATATTATGAAATTATTTGAAAAACGTTTCACGCTCAAAATTGCGCAATATTAGGCAAAGTTGCGACACAAAAAAAGAAAAACAAAAATTTTCGAAATAAATGAATGCGGCACACTTTTTCGCAAACTAGGGCACACATTTCTAAGCTCCGCCCATTTTTCCGTTCAATTTTATTTTTTTTTGCGAAAAATAATGATTTTTCGGTGTAAAACAACATTTCTGAGTCATTTTTTTTGTTTCAGCTGAAGAAAAACTTGTGTAAATCTACGAAAAATGGATGAGAATCCGCGCCAATTGGCGTTGGGATTGGCGAAATTTCTGGTTGAAAAACCAGACGAGCCATTGAGCGGTGAACAAATTGGTGCAATTATTTATCGATTACGGGTTGTTGATAATTGTGAGTTGGTAAATATTATGAAATATCTATGATTTTTTGAATTTAGACGGAGTCTCCGATGTAAATCGAATTTGCGATGCTTTCAAAATCATAATTAAACGTGTTGTCAATATTCCTTCATTGACTTTTTGCTCTGATTATTGGCTTTTAATGGTGACTGCAATAATTGAAGGAAGTATTGAATCAGAATGGAAAAATATTGTTGAAGAAACCGATGTTTTAGAACTCGCAAAACCATATTTGAATGAAATTGAAGAGTTTGGAGCATCTCGACAAATTCTGAAAACAACTGAACAAATCAATAAAAATATTGAATATATTGTTTTGGAAAGTGGTTTGATTCGAAGAGCATTTGAAAGTTTTTGGGAAACAAATCTCGAAAATGTTATTGATGTTGTATATAACGAAAAATGGGAAGAATTAGATATTCAAAGTAATGAATGTTCAACTTCTCAAGCATTTCGATTCATCAATATGAAAATATTTGAGAACTTTAGAAATTTGAAAGATCATACAGAATTGGCGAAACAATTGTATTTTGCAGCTCTAACAAGAGTTATTATGTTAGTTTAATATCTTTTTTGAAAAAAGAAATAATATTTTTGTATTTAGAAGAGTCTCACAAATCGAAGAAATTGGCGAAGAAGATAATAGTGAATGTGTGGCAGCATTTACTGTTTTCAAAAAATTGGTTAAATTGTTATGGAGTGATTTATGTGATAACTCTGAAATCCGGAAATATTCATTGGTTGCATTCGAAAAACTTTTGAATGTTGTAAGTTGTCCCGGAATAAACTTTTGACATATCGAAATATACCAAATCGACCAGAAATTTTCTGGAACTCCAAAGTTGAAATCGAGTTTTGGCCATGTTCCTGGGTGAAAAATCAACTTTTTCAACATGGATAATGTTGTTCAGCACATCTCACAAAACTTTAATTTATCAGAAAAGATAAAGCAGACGCTTAAGAACCGTTTTTCAAAACGCACAAAAATTCCAAAGTTTTGTGAGGTTTTCGAATGTGCTGAACAACATTATTCATGTTTCAAAAGTTGATTTTTCACCCAGGAACATGGCCAAAACTCGATTTCAACTTTGCAGCTCCAGAAAATTGCTCACAGGGATTTGTGGCAATTTTTGACTTCGGAATCGTAATCAGCATGGTCGATTTGGTATATTTTGATATGTTTGATCAAAAGTGTATTCCGGGACCTAAAACACTTTCCTTGTAAATGTTGAAAATATTAAAATTTACGCTACGTGACCTCTTTCTAAACGTGTTATCAAAAAAATAATTTTTTGAATTCATTTCCCGATATATTCATTTTCAAAAGTGCGTGAGTGCCCAAATTCACAATTTCAGAGCCTTCCATGTGGATTCATTCTCAGATCAATCAAAGAAATCGAAAACACTTGTGGATGGTTGAAAATTCCGACTGCAGAAATTTGCGAATCTCTAGATTTCCCCCTATGGAGTTGCTATTTCACACTCACTTTCAAACTTTTCGAATTCAAAATTAATATGCCTTTTGAAATGGGTGAGTATTTTAATGAGAAAAACTTGCTGAAACGCAGTTTCAGCGTCGAATCATCTGAAAATCCCGTCAACTGTAACAGCAGCAAATCTTGCCTCACCTGAGGGTTTGTTATAGATGTTGTACCTATTGTTATCAGCTTCCTTTTCAGTTCATAATAGAAAAATATTGAAATGAAGTTCAAAAAAAAAAATGAAAAAATTTATAGATTTTGATTCGGATAATTGGCTGGAAACAATGTGCGAAAAGATACCTGCAATGTTGGATGAACAGACAAAAGAAGAGAAGAATATTCGAGATAAAATTGATCGAACTCGCGATGCTCTCAATTTTATATTAGATGTTCTTTTGAAATCAACAACAAAAGATGAGGCGATCGAAATGATGCGAAAAACATATTCGGAATTGATATCGGCAAGAGAACCCGAAACTGCTGCAAGAGTCAAAAATGTTTATAAAAGTTTTGTTGATCGAAAAATGATCAAAGACGAAGATCAATTGAAATTGGCACATGAAGTTATCAAAAAAGAGGCGATTCATGAGATCAAAGCGATTGTTTCGTGTATTCCAGAAGATTCGAGAATTCTAGAAGATGTTGCCAAAGTTTATTTCGAACAAATTATTGAAGATTTGACAAATGAAGAGGGTGAAAAATCGGAGGAAATTGCGAAGAAACTGGAAAATGCTGAAGAATGCATATCACTTTTAGTTCGATATATTTCCCAACAAGATACCATCAAAATTGTGAAATTATTGATTAATGTTATTCAAAATGAGAAAAAGTAAGGGTTTTTTAGAGAACTATGATCACTATTCCGTTTTCAAAAGCTGCATGAGTTATGACGTGGCAAAGTTGCAGAATTTTGAGAAATTTAGACACCATACTAATGCTATTGACCCTCCTGGAAAACTCTATACTATCAGATTCACATAGTTCAGAACTAGCTTTCAACGTGTTTTTCAAAAGAATCTGATAGCATAGTGTTCTCCTGAAGTCTCAATTTTTCAAAATTCTCCAACGTTGCCACGTCATAACTCATGTTGTGTTCTGCAGTTTTTTAGCAACGGAATAGGTCGAAAACTACCATAAACATATATTTCATTAAAAATATCGATTTTGCAGTAAACATATCGAATTTGCAATGACTCTTCTCTCTCGAATTGTTGACAGTAGTTGTCCGACAGAATTTGCACACCGTGAAAAAGTTGGGTGGTTTCTCGATTTCAATTCCCTCGAAATCTCCAACGAAACATGGAATGCAGTTTTATCGAAAATCGCTGAATTCAATAAAAAAGAGGTGGAAAAACGGTTTATTAGTGGGTTGACGGTTTTGAGTGTCAAACAATTGACAGATGAGGAATTATGTTTTGATGAATTGATGTATGTTTTACGAAGAGTTGGATATCAAAGAACAGAACTTGGAAAACAGTGTATGAAAAAGTTTTATAATAATTCGGAGGAAATTGGAAAAGCTATTGAGAAATTCACAAGTCATCAACATATTCTGAATTTGTCGAATCGTTTCATCAAATTGTTGTCGGAAAGTATTTCGAATAATGGAATCGAATGGCAAGAACACGCGCATTCACTTGAATTGATTATTTCGTTTTTGAAAGAATCTGATGTTTCCAGTGATCCAACAATTATATCGTCGCTTATTGCAATGACTAATGTTATGACTTCTTGGCAATTGTAAGTTTCATGTTCACCAAAACTTTTTGCGCCCAAAGATGGTCAAAATGTGCCAGGGATTTTGAATAGAGACAACACAAAAATGAGAGACGCAGATCTATTGGAGGGATTTTATAGACTTTTAAATGAAGATTTTGGTTTTTCTTCATAAAAAAGTCTATAAAATTCCTCTGACAGACAGTTTCTGCGTCTCTCATTTTTGTGTTGTCTCTATTCAAAATCCCTGGCACATTTTGACCCTTTTTTGGGCACAAAAAAGGTTTTGAGAGCTTGAAATTTTGGTGTACATATAGAAAAAATGAAATTCTGAATTTTCAGATTGATAACAATTGCCTTGCCTTTTGAATCAGTGCTCCACGAAGAATCGTATTGTCTCAGCAGAATTTGGAAATCGACAATTTTTGAATCACTTTCAAAACAAGAAATGGATATGTTAGACAGTCTCCTCATATCGAAAGTCGATGAACATTCAGAAAAATATTCAAGAGAACCTTGGAAAAACGCCCAAGAAAATGCTGGATCATCCAAGAGACAATGGACGAAAAGAGCTCCAACAATAAAAACAAAACAAGGCGATAAAGTTCCGAAAAGAACAAGACAAGAGATTCAATTAATATCATTATTCACTGATATTTGTATGCATTTATTGTCTTGTTCGGATTCTTTAACTGATAAAGATGAAGAATTATTCGGATGGTTGATTGGAGTCACTTGTAGTTGTAGTAATGGAGATGGTTTATATACAGAAGAATTGATTCTTGCTTCGAGGAAATTGTTATTTGAGAAATTTGGGGAAATTGAAGTTGGAAAATTACAAAGAATGCATGTTATGTATTATTTGATGATGGGTTCAACTATCAAATCAGATTCCGAAAATATGTAAGAAATTTTCACTTTTTTTTCCATTGTTAGCTTTGTGAAATTTTGAATTTTCAGCTTCCTCAACGAATATTTCATTGCACTTTATATTTTGACCCTTCGAAAATTCTTGCAAAATGAAGTGGCGAATATTGAAGATGGTGAAGAATTGAATAAATATATGGGAAATTTGGAATATTGGATGAATGAGTGTTCAAATACGGAGAAGAGATCGTGTGCGTTCACGAAGACTTTTGTCAAACAATTTGGAGATTTGTTGCGGGAAGCGAGAGGGTTTAAAGGTACAGAGGGAACAGGATTCAGGGTTTTGGAGGAAAGTGAGAAAATGCTCGCAGCAACTAGTGAAAGTCCTTAGCTCCAGAAAAATTTCTTTAGAAAATGTGAGTTGGTAACTTACCGTAACTCCAACAAAATTTTAACAATATTATTCTCCATATCCATCGAAAAATAAATTAATTAGAATTCAATCAAAATTTTCTTTAAAAAATGTTGTGTTTTTTTGAAGTTTCAATTTGATTCTGTCGAAATTCACTATGTTTAGCGATTTTTTAACGAATTATTTCACGATTTTTTGAGCCGTAAAACCGTAAAATAGATTTTACGGTGAAATCTCGTAAAAACCCACACCTCGGCCAAGCCGTGGCTGGCCAGAGTACAATTTTTTGAAAAATCTGAATTTCAGTTTTTAGAGGTCAAAAACTGAAAAATCATCATTTTTGTACTGTAAAAATTTAGCGTACAATTTTTTTATTGTGGGAACCACGATTTTTGCCGAGGTGTGTTTTGGATCGAAATTCATTTCATAACTTTTAGAATGGTTTTCGATAATCAAATCGTTAAAAAAACTTTTTACCTAAAGAAAACTACGCGCAACAATTTGTAGTTTTTGGGCGATTTGGATAATCGATTATTCCATGCAGTTGATTTGATTTGTCAAAACGAGTACTGATTTGATTTTCCACTGACCTTGCCATTTTTTTCACGCGTTTCACGCATAATTTTTATAATGATTTGAATTTTCTAATCTTTTTTTCAAAATAAAAAAAGGGTTTTATTGTATCCACGTGACACACGTGATGATAAAATCTCTCAAAAATTCTATATAAGCAACAGTCAGAAAGGTGTTTACTCACTTCGAAATTTTCTTCCCTACAGTATTCTATCTAGTAGCTGTCTCCCCTAGCCGCTCAAGGAAAAACGTGAGTCGGATGCTCTCTCTCTTTTTCTGAACCGCAGGAATATGTGAGATCTTTGATTCTCACATATTTCTGTGGTTTCGCCAGGGCTGCTCAAATGGGTAGGCAACTCCCACTTGCCAAAAACCTGGAAGTGGGGTCTTTTTTTTGTTTTTTAAATCCTGTTGAATAACTAGGTCACGTTTTTTCCGGTGTGATTTCAATAAATTCAAATTTCGAAAAATTGTACCTAGTTGTATAGTTTGACATCGTTTAAATGACATTTTCAGTGTTTTTAAGCAAGCTAGTTGAAATATTGGGTTTTAATTTTATTCATATGATAGAATGGGCTAAGACGAACAGAATGTTATAAATTTTGATGACTTTACGTTATCAAAAAGTGACTTAGCGACGTTTAGTCGATCGACTCGTCTTATCGACTAAATATAAACTAAACCTCGCTAAATCACTTAAGGATAACGTGAATTCATCAAAATTTATATCATTCTGTTCGTCTGAGACCATTCTATCATATGAATAAAATTAAAATCCAATATTTCAAATCAATTGCTTAAAAACCCTGAAATTTTGAGCAGCCCTGGGTTTCGCCGCTTCTAATCTCTCTCTCTCTCTCGCCCCACAGTAATATGTGAGGTGTTAGGAAACCTCTAGCAAATGGCGGTTAGAGGGGAACTATCACTTCCTTATTACTGTGGTTCTGTTGCGGATCTCTTCTTATAGATAATCACAGGAATATGTGACATATTTCTGTGATTATATTTTTGCCCGCTTCTCTCTGTTTCGCCCCACGGTATTATATGAGATGTTAGGAAACCTCTGGCACATGCCATCTGGAGGCGAACTTTCATTTCGTTCTTATTGTGGTTCTGTTTTGCTGCAGGTTTTAAAAAGTGCGCTTCGGCACTGACGCTCATTCGAGGCACCGAGTGCGGTTTTAGTGCCAGTGCTTTTCAGCACCAGTGCGCTTCGAACACTCGGGATAGCCGATGTTTTTTTCTTTTTTTCTTTGCATTTTTTCATTTTTGTTTTGAACTGTTGGTTGTTTGGAAAATCTCACTTTGAACAATACGATTTTTTTTACGGTGGAGATTTTTTGATTTTTTTGAGGTAAAGTAGGTGGGAAATGGTGCTTTTTTGGTGGAAATTGAGACGAGTAGGTTAAAATTCTGGTTTTTTCTGTTAAAGTAGGCGATTTTCAACCAGACTCCGATTTTTCTTGAAAATTTACATAAAGTAGGCGAATCCCGTTGTTTTTTCAGCTAGAAATCCGATTTTTATGAAAATTTACATAAGCTAGGCGAATTCCATTGATTTTTCGGTTAGAAATCGATAAAATAGATTTTACGGTGAAATCTCGTAAAAACTCACACCTCGGCCAAAAAGCCGTGGCTGGCCAGAGTACAATTTTTGGAAAAATCTGAATTTCAGTTTTTAGAGGTCAAAAATTGAAAAATCACAAATTTTGTACTGTAAAAAGTTAGCGTACAATTTTTTATTGTGGAAACCACGATTTTGGCCGAGGTGTGGTAAAAACCGTAAAAATTCTGTTCAGAAACAATATTTTTGAATTCTGAATTTATAGCGTTGTTCAGAAGCGTCGAATACCCAAGTTGCAAACTTGGAAAATCATGTTTGAACGTACTAAATCGACACTCCTGAACATCGCTGTAAATTCAGAATTCAAAAATATTGTCTTAGAAACGAATTACAGCCAAAATGGCAACTTTGCCACGTCATAACTATATTTTGGGCAGTAGACATTCTGGAGTTCCATCAAAAATTAATAATTTCCCGTTTTTTTCCAGCTTCATGTTTCCTTGACAAAACGATTGGAAAAATTCTTGAAAACATTGAACAATTACCTGGCTGGTTGGAAAATTCGAAATGTGCAATCACTAGTTTCTCAGCATTCAAATCCATTTTCACAGCTTATATTGAAAGTTCGGATAAGTTTGTGAGTTCTTCCAGTTCTTCTATCTTTCTGAAACAATTATTGTTCCATTTTCAGATTGATTTTGAGCCAAAAATTCAGAAGGCTTTATTGAATTCGGTTGAAATTGTGCTTTCTGAAAGAGCAGTTGAGAATATATTGAAAGAATCGAAATATAATATTCAATTTTCTGAAAATCGAAATTTGTCGTCGTTGAATATTAGAGAAATGGAGAAAGATGAAAAAGTGGATGAGATTATCAGAGATTCACTGAAAATATTTGGATTGTATGGAGGTTTCGAAGTTCAGAAGAAAGTTGTGGAGAGAATTAGCAAGCTTATTCCGAATTTATTAAAATCGATTTCGGAGCAAGAGGGAATTTTGAATGGAAAAATTAGGAAAAGTAACGAGGTACTTGTTTTTCAGTTTTTTTTTCAGAAAAAATAATATTTTTAGGATAAAAGTTTGGCTTTCAATGTGATGTTTGTTACTGAAATGATCGAATATTTGAATAGTATTACGAAAACAATTTTCCCCGATATTTCGCCAGCTGAAGAGCATTTTGAGAAGATTTTCATGATAAATGATGATGAAATTGAGAATCGTCACAAAAAGATGGATAAAATCGAGAAATTGAAAGAGGTTCAAGAGGAAAGTGAAAGTGAGAAAAAATGGAAAGAATGTAGCTTCAAAACGACTGGCAACTCATTCATCCTCCAACATTGGTATAATTGTTATACTTGTGGAATGACGGATTCGAAAGGTGTTTGTAGTGTTTGTGCGGTGAATTGTCATCGGGGACATTCGTTATCTTATAGGTTTGTTGGATTTTCGATTTATTTTTGGGGTAAAATAGTTTTTTACAACAAAGAAAACCTCCGTCATTTTTAAAAAATCGATATTCAACTCGTTTCCGAAAATCTTCGACCAAAAAATGATTTTGTAGCGAAAACCTTCAATTTCTCAGTAAAATTACGCTCATAGATTTTATTTAATGCAAGTTAGCCTATATTGTGTTTTTTTTCCAGGTTATACTCGTAATTTTACTGAAAAATTGAAGTTTTTAGCTACAAAATCATTTTTTGTTCGAATATTTTCGGAAATTTTGAGATGAATATCGATTTTTTGAAATTCACGGGGTTTTTTTGTTGACAAAAGTTACCGTAACTCAATTTTTGCTTGCAAATTCCGAAGTATATTTTTTCCAACAAAAAAAACCCCGTCATTTTCAAAAATTGATATTCAACTCAAAGTTAACCAAAATATTCGATCAAGAAATGATTGTGTAGCTAAAAACTTCAATTTTTCAAGTGAAATTACAAATGTAGCTGGAAAAATCACAATATAGGCTAACTCTTATAGATTTTATTTAATGCGAGAGTTAGCCCTAAATTTTGTTCCAGCTACATTTCTAATTTTATCGAAGTTTTTAGCTATAAGATCATTTTTTGTAAATTTTGAGTTGAATATCGATTTTTTGAAATTAACGGATTTTTTCGTTGTTGAAAAAAAAATTACCGTAACTCGTGAAATAAATTTTTTTCCAGCAAAAAAGGTTCATTCTTCTGTGATTGTGGTGAAAACAATTGTGCCGCTCTCGCAAATCCACGACATATTCCAAATATTCAAAATGTTATTCGTGGACACGTTTCAAGCAATAATGTGAGTTGCAGTTTTTTTGATTTCCAAAAGTTGCTCAATTTCAGGATGACTCGAAAAACACAACATATTCGCAAAGAAATTCAGTTTATAAATTGAGAATGGAAGAATTTGAAGAGAGTGAAGTTGTTGGGATGAAAAGTGTTTTGGAAAAAATGAGCGAAGTTGTTCAAAATTGTAAGGAGGATATGGAAAAAGTGATAAATTCGATAAAAGAGGCAAATGAAAATGGATTGAATGTTGCGAAAAAACGAGAAAGTATTCTGAAAAGCATCGAAAATGTGCATAAAGTTGAAGTAACATCGGATGAATCATTTTTGGAAGAATTGGATTGGATTGATGAAAGATCGTGTTTTTTGCCGGCGAGAAATCGAGAAACTGAACCTGGAAGAGCTGGTTTTCCGAATTGGTCGAATAAAATGAGAGATTTGGCGAATGTTATGAAATTGGAGAATGGAAAAGAGGTTTGGTTGGTGATTCCCGAAAGTACACAAGCGACTTTGCATTTATTCCACATGGATACACGATTTGATTTGAAGACTGGATTTTCGAATGTTGTGAGTTTTCCTTGATTCAAAAACTCTAGGAAATTCGCTAGATGAACCGGCTCAAAAATTGATGATTTTTTTTAGAAACCAAAAAAATGCAAAAAAATTTTCTGAGCCGAGTTAGAGGGCTCCAAAATTCGGAAAATCTACAGATTTGACCCCGAATCTAGTGGCTCTCGATTTGGAGAAAAATCTGTAGATTTTCCAAAAATTATCAGTTTTTGAGCCGGTCTTTGAAGCCAATCACAAGTTTTCCCAGCGAATTTTCAGCTTGTTTAACCTGGCTCGCCTCTTAAAATGACATGTTTCCTTTTCAGCGACAAGAAACTGAGCAACTTCCATTCGTCGGCCGATCTTTGAGCATTTCTGGCAATCGTGTCGCTGTTTGGGGAATCGCTGATGTTTTTTGCATGCGTTTCTCACCAAGTGGAGATGTTATTGATCGAGCACATATCAGATTAACAGAAATGGCGAATATTTCGAATAACTATAATAATCCGGTTGTTAAGGTGAGTTTGTTTTTTTTTAGAAAATAGAACCTTAACAACAATGATTCTTAAGGTTCTATTTTATTAGGGCTGATTCACGAACGAAAAAAATGTTTTTTTAACATTCAAAGAATTCACGAAAAGTCAAAAAATGTCGAAAAAACATTGTAGGTCAAAATTAGTTTTTCGAATTTTTCAGCCAAAAATGATGAGATTTTTGAAGCTTCTGAGGTGATTTCTGATGAAAATAAGCTTTGAGAACCCTATTTTACCTCATTCTATTAATTTTTTCGAAATTTACAAAAAATTTTATTTTACGAAAAATCCGCATAAATTTCTGAAAAGTGAATTGCAAGGGTAATTTTCATTAGAAATCACTTCAGAAAGCTTCAAAAACCTGAATTTGCACAGGCAAATTCAGATGGATGCATAATTGATCCATTATTGATACTACGAAAAAAGGAGTAACTTCCAAATGACGATTTATTATTTTTATCCATAAAAATGAGCTAGAATAGAAAATCGTGAATTCGAAGTAACTTCCAAATGACGATTTATTATTTTTATCCATAAAAATGAGCTAGAATAGAAAATCGTGAATTCGAAGTAACTTCCAAATGACGATTTATTATTTTTATCCATAAAAATGAGCTAGAATAGAAAATCGTGAATTCGAAGTAACTTCCAAATGACGATTTATTATTTTTATCCATAAAAATGAGCTAGAATAGAAAATCGTGAATTCGAAGTAACTTCCAAATGACGATTTATTATTTTTATCCATAAAAATGAGCTAGAATAGAAAATCGTGAATTCGAAGTAACTTCCAAATGACGATTTATTATTTTTATCCATAAAAATGAGCTAGAATAGAAAATCGTGAATTCGAAGTAACTTCCAAATGACGATTTATTATTTTTATCCATAAAAATGAGCTAGAATAGAAAATCGTGAATTCGAAGTAACTTCCAAATGACGATTTATTATTTTTATCCATAAAAATGAGCTAGAATTGAAAATCGTGAATTCGAAGTAACTTCCAAATGACGATTTATTATTTTTATCCATAAAAATGAGCTAGAATTGAAAATCGTGAATTCGAAGTTACTTCCAAATGACGATTTATTATTTTTATCCATAAAAATGAGCTAGAATAGAAAATCGTGAATTCGAAGTAACTTCCAAATGACGATTTATTATTTTTATCCATAAAAATGAGCTAGAATTGAAAATCGTGAATTCGAAGTAACTTCCAAATGACGATTTATTATTTTTATCCATAAAAATGAGCTAGAATTGAAAATCGTGAATTCGAAGTAACTTCCAAATGACGATTTATTATTTTTATCCATAAAAATGAGCTAGAATTGAAAATCGTGAATTCGAAGTTACTTCCAAATGACGATTTATTATTTTTATCCATAAAAATGAGCTAGAATTGAAAATCGTGAATTCGAAGTAACTTCCAAATGACGATTTATTATTTTTATCCATAAAAATGAGCTAGAATTGAAAATCGTGAATTCGAAGTTACTTCCAAATGACGATTTATTATTTTTATCCATAAAAATGAGCTAGAATTGAAAATCGTGAATTCGAAGTAACTTCCAAATGACGATTTATTATTTTTATCCATAAAAATGAGCTAGAATTGAAAATCGTGAATTCGAAGTTACTTCCAAATGACGATTTATTATTTTTATCCATAAAAATGAGCTAGAATTGAAAATCGTGAATTCGAAGTTACTTCCAAATGACGATTTATTATTTTTATCCATAAAAATGAGCTAGAATAGAAAATCGTGAATTCGAAGTAACTTCCAAATGACGATTTATTATTTTTATCCATAAAAATGAGCTAGAATTGAAAATCGTGAATTCGAAGTTACTTCCAAATGACGATTTATTATTTTTATCCATAAAAATGAGCTAGAATTGAAAATCGCGAATTCGAAGTTACTTCCAAATGACGATTTATTATTTTTATCCATAAAAATGAGCTAGAATTGAAAATCGTGAATTCGAAGTTACTTCCAAATGACGATTTATTATTTTTATCCATAAAAATGAGCTAGAATTGAAAATCGTGAATTCGAAGTTACTTCCAAATGACGATTTATTATTTTTATCCATAAAAATGAGCTAGAATTGAAAATCGTGAATTCGAAGTTACTTCCAAATGACGATTTATTATTTTTATCCATAAAAATGAGCTAGAATTGAAAATCGTGAATTCGAAGTAACTTCCAAATGACGATTTATTATTTTTATCCATAAAAATGAGCTAGAATAGAAAATCGTGAATTCGAAGTAACTTCCAAATGACGATTTATTATTTTTATCCATAAAAATGAGCTAGAATAGAAAATCGTGAATTCGAAGTAACTTCCAAATGACGATTTATTATTTTTATCCATAAAAATGAGCTAGAATAGAAAATCGTGAATTCGAAGTAACTTCCAAATGACGATTTATTATTTTTATCCATAAAAATGAGCTAGAATTGAAAATCGTGAATTCGAAGTTACTTCCAAATGACGATTTATTATTTTTATCCATAAAAATTGAGCTATGGATGATGGATCCATAATGTATCTTTGTGAATTTGCCTGTGTTGTCATCATTTTTGGCTGAAAAGCTCGACAAACCATTTTTGTGTACAATTTTTTTTCGACATTTTTTGACTTTTCGTGAATTGATCTTTGTAAAAAAACAATTTTCAACATTTTTCTCGTTCGTGAAACAGCCCTATTATTTTCCCAATCAATAAAATCTAGTTTCTTATTATTTCTAGGCAATTTGGTGTAAAGAAACAGATCGACAAATTCTGGTAGTCGGCACAATTCAATATGTTCGAGTTTATGATCTGACTTTGGACCTGGAAAAATGTATTGAAGAAATGGTTTTGCCGACGGGAAATGTTGAGGATATTGCAATGATAACATTGCCAGAAAAACGGGGAATAAAATTGTTGGTATTGGGTTCGACTGGATATTTATATTCAAATGATATCACCTCAACAATCGCTGATAATAACTCGATTTTCCTGACGAATTGTTTGAATACACCGATTATTTCACAATCGGGAGCTGGAAATGGATTGTAAGTTAATTTTGTCTGAAAATTACAGAAAAATTCTTGTTTTTTAGTTCTCTCCATTATTCACCGACATTTGAGCTCCTTTTTGTTTCATTCGAAAAAGGCACATTTTTCACGAGGATTTCGACCGAAGAAGAACAAACTTTGAATTGGAAACGACTCAATTTGAATACGCCGGTTGTTTGTTGGAAAGAAGCGGCTGGAATCATATCGTGTCTCTCAAATACACAAACTTCTACTTTATATCATATTCGTGTGGGTTTCAGTGAGGTATCGGTGCAAAAAGTTGTGTCGAAACGCATGATTATGTCGCAATTTTTGGCGGTTTCTTCGAAAAATGATGGAATCTTCTCGTTTGTTTTGCACAATGATCAACCGACGATTCAGGTTTTTAAAACGTGAGTTTTTTGAAAAAAAAAATTGGTACATTTTTTGACCCAGAATTAGGCCGAAATGCTGCGATTAGTCAAATTTTGGGAGATTTCTGACCAAAAATTGGTTTTTTTTCAGTTGCTGGGAACACGTGTCAGATTTATGGATTGAAGATATTCCAACTGAACAAGTCCTCTTTCAAATTGCATCAAAATCGAAACCAATGGAAATTACGCCAAAAGAGGATTTGGTTCTGGTAAATTTATTTTTAATTTTTCCCACCATTTTTCCCCATATCCTCTCAATTTTCCAGCTCAACGAAGGTTGTGAAGTTATCGAAAATGTTGAATGGACAAGTGAAGATTTGTCCAGAATCTACGAGAGTTCAGATCTGAAATTGAGATTATCAATCGATACAACTTGTCCGCTTCGATCGATGCAATTGGCGAGTTTCAGATTATCGGGAAAAATTGGAAATTCGAGAATGATTGTGAGAGGATTGCGACTTGATGTTGGACCAACTGGACCGGCTGCGGTTATTGTGAACGGGAATCGATTTGATACGTCGGTTGATATTCAGAGAACTGTTGATTTGAGATTTACGAGAGAGCAGTCACTTCAAATGTTGGTTTTTTTGGGGGTGAAAATTTGACCGGAAATTTTGAATTTCACAAACAGAAAATCAGGAAATTCTGAAAAATAGAGGAAGAAATTTCCTTAAAAAAACGGAAAATGAGAATTTCCGATGCTTTTTGAGTCCAGAAATAGAAAATGTTCAATATTCATTCGGAAAATGCAGAATTTTTTCCAAAAACCTTAATTTTTGTTAGACTCTGAGAAATTTCCTCAAAAAATGTGAGAATTTCTGATGTTTTTTGAGTCCAGAAATTGAAAATCCGAAAAATACAGATTTTCCTAGAAATCTTCAATGGTCGAATTTCCACGCCACAGATAAATTTATTCTAGTTTTTGAGCTCAAATATTGATTTTCATCGATTTCTACTCAAATTCTGACTCGAAAATTTCGATTTTTCAAAAACATCTACTGACAGAAAATCATGAATTCTTGAAAATGTAGAATTTGTTCTTCTAGAAATTTTCTCATTTAAAAAATTCAATTTAAAATAATCGTTGCTCATTTTAGGGATCATCGAGAAATTGAGATAATTTGCGAGGCAAAACGCGGTGATAAAATCACAATTCACTCATTGAAATTGTTTGGATGCGATCGAGATTTGATGGAAGAAATCAAACCGATTTATAAAAATCAGCCAGTTTATACATTGCCAAATCGATTTGTTGGTGCAACATTTGAAATGTTGTTTAATCTATTACCGGTGTCCAAAAAAGAGAATGATCAATGGTTGAATAAATTGAGCGAAAAGCATTTGTCTCGAAAAATAAGTCATCCAAATGTTTGCCTGATTGCAACGCGATTATTGAGAAAATTGAATAAATTGGAAATGTTTGAGATAATAGATGCAAGTTATATTGAAGAATGGAAGAGTTTGAAAGAATGGAAATTGGAAGATGGAATGATTGAGATTAGAAGGAAATATGTTGATCAATTGATTAGAAGATTGGAAACTGTTAGCACAAGATGGACGGTTTTTGAAAAACTTTTGAGAAAAGGTAAGGGGGGCAATGGGAGGTTTTTGGTCAATTTCTGACCAATTTTTGTACAAAATTTGGCCAAAACAGTACAAAAATAGGCATGATATTTTGAAAAAATAATTTTTTTCCCGAAAAAAATTCTGGGATAAAATACGTTTCACAAATATTGTAAATTAAAAATGAGATTTCGAAAATCGATTCTTCTGTTCCCATATCATTTCTCTGAAAAAATTCTGGATTTTAGTGAAAATAGTTTTCGAATAAAATTTCGAAATTTCTAAAAACTTTTTTTTAAACTTTAACTTTTTGGTTGCAAAAAAGAAAAAATGGCGTTTTCTTGAAAAAAAATCCAGGATAAATTACGTTTCATTAATATTGTGAAATGAAAATGAGATTTCAAAAATGGTTTCTTCTCTTTGAGTGTCTTTCAAAATTTTGCGATTTTTTTTAATTCTGGATTTTAGTGAAAATTAGTTTTTGAATGAAGTTTCGAATTTTTTTAGAACTTCTAAAAAATGTTAACTTTTTGGTTCCAAAAGAGAAAAAAAAATGGTTTTTTCTTGAAAAATATATCTGGGATAAATTACGTTTCATAAATATTGTAAATTAAAAATGAGATTTCAAAAATCGATTCTTCCACTTCAAGTGTCAAATAAATATGATTTAATATTTATTAGAATGATAAAATATCGCTGCAATTTTTTTTTTAAATCGCTGCAATTTTCACAAAATTTCTCTTAAAAATTTAAGCCAAATTTTTCAAAAATGCCTACTTTTTTCAGAGTGAAATTTTTCAGTTCCAGATTCCTTTTTTCAAAATTTTAAAAAACTAATTTTTCAGCTTTCCCAAATATCATCGATTTCCTATCATTGTTACGCGATGAAATGGTTCTTATGCCACTTTCAACATGTCAATATATGGCTCAAGGAATGTTCAGCATCATTTTCGGATTCCTCGCTGAATATGCTCCAGAATCAGAAGCCATCACCAAGTTTTTCCTGGATTTGTACACTGATTCAAAGGTATTCAAAAATGTTTCTAGATTAACAAAATAGGAATTTTTGCAGACTTGTCATTTAACCAGCGATATGCGATCTGCTGTTCAAATTGCAATGTATAATTATGGAATGACTGGAAGAGAGGATCGCAATTCGGCGAGGCGAATGATTGAAGAGGAGAATCAGAATTTGTATTGGAAGATGAAGGTTTTTGGAAGTGCGCCCTTTTATGGGCAATGCAAGATTCATTTGTAAGATTTTTGGGGGAAATTAAAATTGGAAACCAGAATTTGGGCTAACTTTATTTCAAAATTTAAAAGGGCCCAGATTTGACCAAAAATCTGTTACAATATGAGGAAATAGCTAATTTTTATGAGCCCAGAAAATTCAGGGCGCCTGAAAATCTCATATTGCCTTTAATTCTCAAATTTCAGAAATGCTGAAAAATTGGAAGATATAAGATGGTTATGTGGAAGTGTTGACGCTTCAAAACATCTCGAAAAACCCGCCCATGACAAAGAATTCGAATGGCTCGATGCCTTGGTCAAAGCGACAATCGATAAATTATTCCAAGAAGGTTCAATCAACTCAATGCCCAATAATTTGCAAGCAATGACTGATTCACCATCTTATGGTCTAACAATGATTGCCATTTCATTTTTCGGACAATATTATACAAATCGTGTACGAGTGCAACTCGATTATTTGATTGGTTTGATGAAATTTGAGAAGACGGAAATTTTGCCGATGAATGAGAAGAATTTCAAAAATTTTGCAATGTTTCGATTAATGGAATATTTGTTGGGCAGATATGCGACTAGTGACAATGGAAAAAAGGAAGCGGTTGAGGAAATTGGAATTGATGAGAAGAAAAAGAGAACGGTTGTATTGTTACAAGAAACAACGAAACAATTGTTGGATTTGGGAATTATTGAGATGTGTTATGAGATTATTGATGAAGTTGTGCCGTATTGGAAAAGTTTGTGTTTCTATTCAGAAATATTTTAAATTTTTTTAAAATTAAATTGGGCGGAACAAAAATTGTTCTTCATCAATTTTTGGTGGCATTAGGATGCATTTAATTTTCAAAATTTGAGGAAAGTTTTAAAAAAGTCTTGAAAATCTTGGGCTGAATTCAGATATTTCTCAATAACAGAAAATCTCCCAAAAAAAATAAACATGGGTCCAAATTCTCAGAATTTTTTAAAATAAAATATTCTGAGAATTCGGACCGGGAGGTTTTCAGAAATCTTCATTGTTCTGAAATTAATTTGTGTTCCAAAGACTTTTCAGAATTTTTTCCAACCCTCTCTTTTTGCAGAAATAATGGCGAATCCCGAAAGCCCAACACCAAATTCACTAATTCCCGTCGATTTGCCACACACGAAAAAAGTCTGGCTTCCCCATGTTCCACTCGTCGCTTCTTCTGCCAATCTTCCGAACTCAAACCCAAATTCTGAAAACAATATCAAAACAGCTGAAGATGTCTATATCACAAGTGTGACTGAAGTATGCCTTCGAATTCCGGCTCTTCTCCAAAAGAACTACACAATTCAATTTGATGAGAAATGGTTCCGTCGATTGTGTGAGCTGGTTTGTTTGCAAGAATCGCCGGTTTATCGAAATTCGAAGAAAATGTTGGTGGCGATTTGTGGAGGAGAGAAATTGAAATATCGTGCACTTCGAGACAAATTCAGACTTCAAGAATATTTGGATATTTTGAGAAAGAAATATTCGTCGGCGAAAAATAATTGCGAAGGACATCAACAATTAACGGAAATTGTTGATATTTTGAAATTATTAACATCTTTAGCAACAACAAGAAAAGAAATGTGGAAAGAAATGTGCGAAAAACACATTTTATGGTTGCTGAAATTGGCCTGCACTGCAACTGATGTTATATCTCTTCTAGTCTTGGATTTGATTATAATTGGTGTGCGAGATTCGAGTGCTGGTGGAAATAGTAGTATACAATTAGCTGATTGTATAATTGAAGCGGAAAATGGGATACTTTTGAATACAATTGTTAATCGATTTTTGTTCGGAAGAGAGGAAAATCAAAGATGGATTGTTCATGGATTACTTCGATCGATTATTCAATTAGCAAGTCGACAAAATCAGGTTGGATTCATTCGGAGATTATATTCGGAAATTTATCCGAAAGCTAAATCGCATGGATGTCACGCTGCACAAATCACTGATTTACTTTCGACATATGCGCCGAGAGTATTCAACACATCGGAATTGTTACAAATGTGTCATTCGGAAATCAGGTCGATTGAAGAAACGGCGAAACGATTTGATAGCGAAGGAATCAGTGGATTGTATAAACAAATGATGGAACTTGGAATTGGATGGCAAGCGATTCTATTCTCTCAAACACCGTGTCTGATTTGTTTTAATCGAAAAGGTGGAAATGAGCTGATGAAAATAACGACGATTAAAAGAGATTCGAGATATTCGACGAATGCGATGATTTATAAATTGAATACGAATTATGAGATTTCGAAAATTATCCTGAAATTGGGAGAAGTGAAAAAGACGAAAACCATCAAACGAGTCACTGTTTATTATTGCCCCAAAGCTGTTGAATCAGTTGTTGAACTCAAATTGAATCCAACTGATTGGCGAAAATGTGCGCATGCAACTGTTTCACCGAATGATACACAAATCAATTTATCATTAGCTGTTCCAGTCATAACATCTTCCCTAATTGTTGAATATTCGGAATTGCACGAAAATCAGCAGAATAATCAAGTGCAATGCCCGCGTTGCTCGATAATTGTTCGATCACATTCAGGAGTCTGCGAAAATTGCGGTGAAAATGCGTATCAATGTATCAAATGCCGTGCAATCAATTATGTCGAAAAAGAGCCATTCTTATGTCAAACTTGTGGATATTGTAAATATGCGCGGATTGATGTTTTGGTAAATGCCAGAAAATTACCTGGAACACAGCATATCACATGCGATTCGGAACGAGCGCAGTGCATTGAGGAAATGTCCAAATTATTGATTCGACAGGAAACGAGAAGAAGTGAATTCTCAGCTCTTCGCGCGTATTGTGACTCGTTGTATTTCACCGCTCGACCATTGGCGCCATTCATTGTGTACGCGGAAAATAATCAGATTCGAGATAGTTTTCGAACTTCGTTGCAAATCGAAACACCCTATACAGCCTATCATGCATCGGTGAATATGTTGCAGAAAACGGCGAATATGTTGAATCTTTGGCACGATGAAATGTGTCAGGATACGGAACAATTGATGAGTTTGCGAGAGGAATTGACGAGATATGATGAGTCGAATGATACGCCAATTATATTTTATAAACCGAAGAAATATGATTTATCGCCGAGGTATTTTTGTTTTAATGGGCCTATAGATTTGCAGATTTTGAAAAATATACAAAAGATTAGAGACAACGTGAAATTGAAAGAGCACAGACTTAAAGTTCAGGTTTTCATTTCAAAATGCATGGGGCCATAATTTTTAAAATACCAACTTATTTTTTTTTCTATTTCAGCAATAATTGTTTCGGTTGCTTGTGCTCTCGAATTTTCCACTCAATCGCTTTGATTCATGCAACTTGTGAAGATGAAGAAGCCAAAAAACAATTGGTTAAAATGACATCGCTCTATCAAATTATTGGAAGTTTATCGATGAAATTTGAGCCGCTTCGAGAAGAATGTGAATCGCTTTTTGTTCGATTTATAATTGATAATCCGGAAGCAACGAAAACGTGGGTTTTTTTGAAGAAGAAGAAGAAAAAAATAACTTTGGAATATTGTTTCTGACATTGAAAACCGGAAAATTTGAAGAAAATTGGGGATTAATTTTTTGATCTACCATTTTATTTTTGTAGCTTATTTTTTTTTGAAAAATATTAAAATTTTAAGCGAAAAAAATCGCTTAAAGCATGAAAACATTTTTTTGTGATACCCCCTATGAAAAATCAATATTTTCCAGCCAAATATTGTGAAATTTGAGCTGGAAATCATGGAAAATCTGGAATTTTGAGCCTAGATCCAGTAAACTATATTTTGACTAGAAAATCTTGAAACTAATGAACGAGGTCCAACGAAAACAAAATGTAGGAAATTTTCTAATTCTTTTTTTTGAAACGTAAAAATTTCTGGATTTTTTTTTTGGAGAAAAATTTCAAAAAAACTCACATCCTGACACCGATTCGGAGGCCCAAACTAACTTTTTGGGAAATATGAGCATCATAAAATTTGTATACCAAAAATTACTGAAGAAAAATTTGGGCGTACCAAGAATTGAACCTAGATTAATAGAAATTTAAAATTATTCAATTTAATTTTCTGAAAAATTTTAAACCCCAATTTTTCCAGAATGGAAGAAATGATAAATCGCGGAAATGCCGATATCCACGTTTTCATTCGATCTCTGATGACTGTAACCGATTCCACGTGGCAAATGAAACTGAAATATTTGATTAGATATTCGATGAATAAAAATGATGAAAATGTTCATCTTCAAACCCTAATGATTCTGAACAAATATTTGGAAATGTCACTTCCGGTCAGAAGTACGGTTTATCGAAAATTGGCGAAACGTCGAAACGAATCATATACACATCATAATAAAAAGCAACCATCTGATACATCGAATCGTGTTGTGGCTCACAATTATTTGGTGCCACAACGAGATGCTGTGACTCGTTGGTTGACGACCGAAGATGAATGGGATACGTGTTGTTTGAATGTGCCGAGTACAAGTTCGGAAAAAGTGGATGAGGCGAAATTTGATACGGTATGTGGTTTCCGAGCGGCTAAGCCGCAAGTGTAAACCGCTAGCTTTCGCTTTAGCGGCCACGCGGATTACTATGATATGGCAAACGTCATAGTAATCTACATGGCCGCTAAAGCGGAAGACAGTGCCGCTGACGCGGAAGTTAGCGGTTTACACTCGCTTCGCTTGAAAATCCGAGCGGCAAATCCGCGAAGCAGCACTGTCTTTCAAGCATCACTGTCTTCTGCCTTAGCGGCCACGTGGATTACTATGGTCCGATTCAAAATTTGCTTTCTAGAACCAATACAAATGGATATGCGAATGTCTCTTCTCCGAATGGTCAACAGTCCGTGCAGCTGCAAATCGACTTCTCGTAAATCTCTCCCATCAACCTGGCCACGAAGGTGTCGCAATTCTAATAATGTTCGAATGGCTCGAAAAATTACCGGAAATCTCTATCAACCTATGCGATCAATTCATGCATTCAGCACATTCAATTGTTAGCGCATCATCGAATATCAAAACGAGATTGTTTGTTGAGAAATTCCATGTTTGGTTGGTGCGAAGAATTCATGCACAATGTGCTGGAATTCATCAAAAAGACAATGATGAATTGTTGAGAGATGTTTCGTTTGGATTGAAATTGAGGTGTTATGTTGGTAAGTTTGTTTTTTTTTGTGAAAAAAATGCACTTTGATTTTGACCAGAAACTATTGAATTTTTGGCCAAAACAGGTAAAAAAATTGTCAAAAAGTCACCAAATTTTCACTAAAAAACTTTTTAAAGCAAAAATGCACCAATTTGAATTTGGTCAAAAATGGCCAAATTTTCACTAACAAACTTTTTTTGGTCAGAAATGGATCAAAATTTGGCCAAATTTTCATTAACAAACAATTTTATTTTTGCAGAATTATTGTGTTTGATGTTTTCTGGATCGTCAGTCGAAAATGTGTTATTGAAAGCGAGCGCTGATGATTTACTCGTTTATCTTCTACAATCAACAATTTATCTAAAACGTTTGGTAATTCGTCGAACTCGTCCAATCGATTCCTCACGAACCGCTCTCGAAAAATTACTTCGAAGAGTCTCAAACAAAGATGGCACGAAACTAATGAAAGCATGTGTTGAAACATTGAAAATCATGAAAGATACAAACACATTGGCTCATTTAGTATCAGTTATGCTCGAAGTAATGGATCCGCAAAAAGAAGTTGACGACGAATTTATGATTGAAATCGAAAAAGATGCGGCACAAGAAGACTTTTTGCAAGGCAGAATGAGTGGAAATCCATATAAATCAACGGATTCAGGAATGGGACCATTGATGAGAGATATTAAGAATAAAATATGTCGAGATACTGAAATGATTGCTCTAATGGATGATGATAATGGAATGGAATTATTGGTTGCAAATAATATTATATCATTAAGTTTGTCTGTGAGAGAAGTTTATGATAAATTGTGGAAACGGCAGAATCCGGAGACGAATGTGATGAATATTATATATAGAATGAGAGGATTGATGGGAGATGCGACCGAACCATTTATTTCTTCTTTTGGTGATGTTGATGGAGGTTGGGTTTTGTTTTTGAGCAATTTTTTGAAAAAAGTGAATTTTTGGTGCAAAAAATCGCAGATTTTCATGATTTCTCGCTGAAAAAATTCACTGTTTCAGCATTTTTCAGAGTCGAAAGTTTTTACCGAAAATTTCTTTTTTTTTTTCAACAAAGAAAAAATCCAGAATTTTCTACGTTTCAAAAAATTGATTAGAAAGTTTCCTTGATTTCTGGGCGATCTGTTCCACATTCACAATTTTTGAGAAGTTTTGGATGAAAGTTTTCCAGAAAAATTTGAATCTCTTAATTTTTCGATTTTTCTGAAAATTTCAGCTGGTGATTTTCACAGTTTTTTCGTACAAATTTTCCAACAAAAAAATATTTCAAAATTTTCCAACAAAAAAATCCAGAATTTTCTAGGTTTCAAAAAATTAATTAGAATTTTTCCTACATTTTGTTTTCGTTTCGTTTTCCTTCATTATTTTCGAGGATTTTCTAGGCAAAATACAGAAAATTTCATTGGAGGATGTTTTTGAATCTGCTGAAAATTCCAGATTTTCACAATTTCCAGCTGAACTTCTCCGAAATATTGGATTCCGAAACATAAAAACTGATATTTTCAGCTAAAAAAATCCCTAAATTTCACGTTCTGATTGAATTTTCAAATTTCGGTTCCTAAAATTTTCCAAAAACTGGAAAATCGTTCAACAAAATTTTCAATTGCAGAATCAATTGTGGATGAAGATGAATCATTGGCAAAAATCACAAAAACTCTCATCGAATTTGGTGGATTAAATCGACTTCTCGAACTTCTTGCAACTAGTAATGTCAATTCATCTGGCCGATTTTTGCTTGGACAATTACGTCGAATTTTCGAGCGAATAGTTCGAACATCAACTGGAAGACAATCAATTGTTAATTTAAATACAATTCCGATTATTGTCAAAGTTATCCGGCAATGTTATGAAAGTGGAATTGTGGCGAATTATGATGAATCGAAAATGACATTGGGTGTTGATTATTATAAAGTTATTGAATTAATTGTGACTGATATTAATGTTCATCCGGTTGGTTTTTATTATTTTTTGAGAAAAAAACATTAATTTCTGTTTAGAATTTGAAAGGAATTGGCGAAATTGATGCAAAATGGCTGGTTGAAATGTACAGACTTCGAAACGATGATCGAACTCGAATTGATCCAATCAATGAGACAAATCGAAAAAGTATCGCAATTATTGGAATTGATGGCACCAAATCTGGCAAATGTTTTGTTGGGATCTGATGATTCGGAAAATGTTTTGATTGAAAGATATTTGAAAGTTTACGATTGGGCTTATATTGATTCGATTGAGTGAGTTTTGAGGGGGGTTTTGGGTGGGAATTTGAATTTTTTATCAAAAAACCTATCAAAATTTCTCCCAAAAAATCCAGAATTTTCTACGTTTCAAAAAATGAATTAGAAAATTTCCTAAATTTTGTTTTCGTTCAAGCATTTGAAGAGTTCCAGAAATCAGCTGAAAATAGATTTTTTTAATTTTCAGAATATCTCATTTCTTTTTTAAAAAATAAGTACACGATAAATTATTTTTCTGAAATTTCCAGCTAAAAATTATCACAGTGCAGACTTTTTGTATTTTTTCAATTCGCACAAATTTTATCCGAAAAAACTTTTCAACAAAAAAAATCCAGAATTTTTTACGTTTCAAAAATTTGATTAGAAAATTTCCTAAATGTTGTTTTCGTTGTCCTTTTCTCCTTCTCTTTCAAGATTTTCCAGTAAAAATGCAATGAAATTTTGAAGCAAAAAATCTAGTTTCATGAATCTGGGCTCAAAATCACAGATTCTCATGATTTCTATTGCTCAAATATTTGAAGAGTCCCAGAAATCAGCTGAACAACAGATTTTTTAAAAATTATTTAGAATATCTAATTTCATTTGGGAAAAATACACGATAAATTATTTTTCTGAAATTTTCAGCAGAAAATTATCACAGTGAAGATTTTTTGTATTTTTTCGATTCGCACAATTTTTTTCCGAAAAAATATTCCAAAAATCCAGAAATTGCTACGTTTCAAAAAATGAATTAGAAAATTTCATAAATTTTGTTTTCGTTGGATAGTTTCAAAATTTTCTAATCAAAATATAGTCTTGTTCCAGATTTTCACAATTTCCACCTGAAATTCATCAATTTTTGGCTAAAATTTCCACATCTAGACTCAAAATTTGGATTTCTACCCATTTCACTTCAAAAATTTTGCAGAAATGTGAGTGAAAGAGAAGATGCAATGTGGATGGCTGAACAATTATCAAGAGCAACATCAAGTGTAATGAAATCAAAAAGAGGAAATGATTTCAAACAAAAAATCCTTGATTCTGGAATTATTGTCAAAACCTGTAGTTTTCTGACCGAACATCATCCACCATTATATTCAGCAACTGAATCATCAGAATGGAAAACATTTCTGATGAAACCATCACTTAAATTAATGCTGAATCTATTGCATGGATTAGCTCGAAATCATCAAGCATCGCAACTTGCGATTGCCGCCTCAACTTTGCCACTTTTACATCGATTAGAACAAGTGGCGTCGGAAAATTCGATTGGAATTATGGCTGAAAATGTGATGGATGCGTTGAAAGAAGATCCAGAAGTGGCGAATAATATTTTGGCGGTCAGAGCTGAAACCAAACAGAAAAAACGGCAATTGGCGATGGCGATGCGGAATAAACAATTGTCGAAAATGGGAATGCAAATTGGAAAAAGTGGAGAGGTTAAAGGTACATTTTTAAATATTTTTCTCGTTTTTTTCACGGAAAAAACATTTTTTCTGTAATTTACATCTGAAAATTATCCCGAGATTTTTTTCAATTCGTATGAATTTTCTCCCAAACGACATTCAAATTTTAAAATTTTTCAACAAAGAAAAAATCCAGAAATTTCTACGTTTCAAGAAATTAATTAGAATACTTTCCTGCATTTTGTTTTCGTTCTGCATGGTAATGGGTATTGTATATAAAACTTCAAGATTTTCTAGTCAAATGAATTTTTTGGTGGAAAAAATCCAGATTTTTATGATTTCCAGCTCAAATTTATCGATTTTTCACAGAGATTATTGCAAAAATATTGATTTATAGAAATTTTCTGAAAATCCTGAAATTTGAACACTTCAAATTTAAAAAAATCCGGAAAATTTACAATTTTCAATTCAATTTTTACAGTTTCATCTCGAAAAATAACAAATGAACCAACACTCGAAGAAACCTCATCAAATGATCCATTTTTATGTTGTATTTGTCGAGAATCGGCAATTTCTCCAGCCAAACAATCAGCTGTTTATAGTTTTGCATATCAAACATTTGGAACAGTTTCCTTGATGGTTATGGTTCATTTAGATTGTCATAATAATGCAATTCGACGAGGTGGAAATGGTCGAAGTATTGATGAATGGAATAAAGCAATGTTGCATAATGCGGGAGTTCGATGCAATATTTTGACACCAATTGCATTGATAAATGAGGGAAATTCGTTTGAAGCTGCGATGAATAAATTGAAATTGGATTATGAACATATTGGAATTAATAATGGACCGATTACAAGACAATTTGTATTTACAGATATGTGTAGACTTGTTAAGAAGTTTATTCAAAAAGAGTGAGTTTTGGGATAAAAATTGAAGTTTTTTAAAATTTTTTTCCAGAAAAGTATCAAAAAACTGGACTTTTTAAAATGTTCTTTTCAAAAATTCTGGCGATTTTCTGTTTCTCCACATATTTTCGAAAATTTTTAACCTGAGCAATCACAATTGTTTTCAATAAAATTCAGAGATTACTTTAAAGGGAAATCTGGATTTCTGGACTTAAAGGAAAAGTCTGAAAACAGACCAAAACTCAAAAATTGAAGTTTTCAATTTTCAGATAAATTCTCGAAATGAAAATACCTGAAAACTTATCATTTTCAAATTTCTCAATTTTTTGAATTCAAAAAGTTTTAAAAAAAATTGACAATTTTCTGTTTCTCCTCATTTTTCGAAATTTTCTAACCTGATTGTGAGCAATCACAATTTTTAAATTATCAATATTCAGAAAAATTTGATTTTTCCGATATTTAAATTTTTCTTAATTCAAAAATGTATTCTTTCAGATCATTCTCTACACATTCACAAGGAGGTGGAAGAGAATCAAATCTGCAATATTTCGGAGTTTTATATCTTTTAGCAGTCTCTTTACCTGAAGATCCATCAAATGATCTTCAAGTTTCTGATTCGAGAGATCGACTCATCACATTCTTATTCACCGAACCAAAATTAGAAAATTGGCAAGAATCGAAACAAGATGTTTTGCGAGCAAGTTTGAATGATGCGAGAATGTCGAATTTTGAAATGACGTGGAATGGAGAAGTTCGATTGATTTTATTGACTTGGGCATTTATTGATGCGTATTTTACTAAAATTGTGCCGGTTTGTTGTTGTTGTTTTTTCTTTTAGTCTTCAATTTTCAAAAAATTTCAGATAACTGGCGATGATCGTATTACTTGGCTACGCGAAAATCTTCGAGAAGTTTTAACAAAAACCTCGAAATTCGTCCAGGATTTCGATGATGATTTGATGAAATGTGAAAGTATCGAAGAGTTTTGCGATGTTGCCGGTGTTTCGAATCAAGAATTGGCACAAATAATGGATGTAGTTCCTCTTGAGGAGAATGTTTAGAAAGTTTTTTGCATAAATAAATTTTTGTCGATTTTGATGCAGATAAGATTTGAAGCTTGAGTTCCGGATTTGAAGTTCTCGAGGAGAAAGAAAAGAATCTTGATTTTGATCAGTTTCACTTTTTGTCCTCTTTGTCTTTCGCGCGCTCCACAGGGGGTCCCAAGTTCCGCCCATTTTGGAGAAAAAGATTTCAATCTATAGATAGATCTATTATAAAAAGGAGAGGTGAAGTGGCGAAAACATTGTCACATGTTTTCATCAGCAGCTACCGTATTATTCCTCTTATTGTTTTCATCAAAAATCGCGATTTCTTTGGTTGTACAAAGTGGTATGCGCATATTAATTGGTTTCACATACCGCTTTACAGCTAAAGAAATCGATATTTTTGGCACAGTATTTCAAATAGATAAGTTTATTTTGGTTAGTTAGTTGGTGTAAATAAATAAATATATAAATAAAATAAGAACTACGGGGTGCAAAAACTAAATACATACTTATTTAAATGCGATAATACAGTAACACCCTGATCAAAAATTATAAAAATATGGCAAGACTAGGGACAATTTTGGCGCTGGGTTACTGTAGTTGGTATATTGCTTTTTTGACAAAGATTTGTTGGGGGGAACATTTCACAGGGTACCTAAATTAATGGGGCAAAAACAGTAAGTGAAAATGTGCTCATGGAGCAATTGTTATGCAATTAAAGGAATATTTGTATTGTTTGCGTGATTTATCGAAGTGGAACCAAAACCTGCAAAAAATCCAAGTTTTGGAACTTAATTAAAATTAAAAATTAAAAAAAATTACCTGAACATAGGTAACAGGGAATAGTCCAGTTTTTCCATTACATCTTCCTTCATACCAATTTTCATCGATTTGCGAGACTAATTCGATAATATTTCCCTCTTTGAAATCGAGTTCACCTTCACTTTGTGCATCGAAATCGAACAGTGCTCGACACTGCGGTTTTTGTTGTTGTTGTTGAGAAAGTGGAGGAGGCATTCCGCCTGGTGGTGGACCTTGATGTTGATTGAATGCTGATGGATTTGCTTGAATTGATGAACCACCTCCGTTTATTGTCTGGAAAAAGGGGAAAATTTGACAGAATCTTGGGTAAAATAAAATTCAGAAACTGAAAAAAGCATGGTGAACTTCCGGAGCCAGAAATTATTTTTTGAAACTTTCCGAATTTCTCAAAATCTTATTCAAAAAGCTTTGATTATGCAAAAATTCCTCCAAGCTGGTAGAATTTATTTTCCGTAGCGAGAATATTTTTAAATTTTTAAATTTAAAGAATATTTTTATTTAAAGAATAAAATTTAAAGATTTAAAGAATTTCAGAAAATTATTTCTCAAAAAAAATTCTGTAAAAATACTGCAAGATTTTCAAATTTTCAGAGTAGAACTTCTCACAAAACAAAAAAAAATGGGAAAATAGTGGCTGATTTTCTAGATACACATTTTCATTTTGAAAAATTGCTCAGAATATAGATATAACATTTTTAAGTTTTGAAAACCCATATTTTTATTCAAATCCTATTTTCCTGGGCCAACACTTATTTTTGAAATTTAGAATTTCTCAAAACAAAAATTGCTAGAAAACTAATGAAAAATTCTTTTTTTTTTTAATTCGAGGGAAATGTTTGAAAATAAAATACATTTGGAAAAAATTTTCAGTTCTGAAACAGAAAATCCACTTAGCTAAAAAAAACACGATAAAATCTAAATTCAGGTTTTCAAAGTATTTTTTCAATTTTTCGATTTTTCAAGTAGGATAATTTCAAAATTATTTTCTAGAAAACTTTTGAAAAATTTTCTCATTTCAAAAATTGCTCCAAAATCGATAACAAATTTTTTTAGTTCTGAAAAACCATACATTTATTTTGAATTCTTACAAAATTCTCCCACACATTCAAATTTTTACTATAAGGTATGAAATTATTCAAAAAATCTGGAAATACCCTGTTTCAGTCTGGTTCTCTTCAATTTTCTTCCCAACAACAACATAATAAAAACCCACCAATCCCGACATATTCGTCTGATGCGACATTTCTGACGGTGCCGGCGATCTCGATCTCGGTGTTCTACTTTGATCTCCAAGTACAGCCAATGGTGTATGATCTTCTCTCGGTCTTCCAGCCGCTTCTTTGATTCTACAAATTTTCGAAGATTACTTAAGGTCCCACTTTTTTCATGAAATTTAATAAATACCTATAATTTAGCTGTTGTTGAAGATTTTCGAGAACTTGTGTAGTTTGTTTATGAAATTCTAATTGCGCATCAACGAGAGCACGAAGTTGCGAGATTTGTTCGACCTGAAGAATTGAAATAAAATTAAACATTTCAACAAAAAAGAAGAAAACATACATCATTGCTCAAAACATTAAACATAGCCATTTCTGCCAATTTTTTCGATTCTTCCAATTTTTCTTCGGCTTGAATCATTTCATCGTCTCTTCTTTGTTGTCGTTTTTTGCAATCGTAATCTAATCGTCGACCTTTCAGCTTAGTTCTATGATGCTGAAAATAGAAAGGTTGGGGCTTGGAAGAATATAATTTTAGGGGGGGAATTCTGAAATCTCGTGCGATTTTTCAGCACAAGATCGTCTAAAATTGCAGAACTCAACTCCTAATATTCGGGATTTTAGGGGCTGAAAACTAGCTTCAAAAACTATTTTCATGCAAATCTGATGTTCAGAAGTTCCGAAAAATTCAGAAGTTCAAAATCTGCATGAAAATCATTTTTGAGGCTAGTTTTGAGCTCCTAAAATCTTCAAAAATGATTTTCATGGATTTTGAACTTGAATTTTTCGGATCTTCAGAACATCAGATTTGCATGAAAATCTAACTAGTTTTCAGCTCCTAAAATCACGATTTTCTAACTTTTCCACGTCATAATTCATATTAGGAGTTGGGTTCTGCAATTTTAGACAGCGGAATCAAGATTAGCGGGTCAAAAATTACTAGAAAATATATTTTAGTAGTTGAAAAATGTCCCTTATCAATTAGAAAAGTTAAAAAAGGTCCTAACAAAAAAATTTCCAGTTTTAGAAACTCATTAGGAACTTTTTAACTAATTATTTTCTTCTAATTAATATATTTCTTCATATAACCAACTCACATTAACATCCTTCAATTCATTATTTTGCAAATGCGTAAGTGGATCCAAAAAGTTTTGCTTGACATTATCCTCCATTTGATATTTAATATCAGCCATTTGTCGATAGGCTTCAGCCGAATCATTCAAAGCTTTTCCCAAATCGCTTCGCTCTCCAAGTTGTTGTCCATATTTTTGCATTGTTTCCGCCAACATTCCTTCAGTTTGTGGATATGGCGAGGTTTTGGTTGTTCCACGAACTTTTGATAACGCCGAAACTGTTGCCATTTTTGCGCGAGTTGCTAGAAAAATTAATTTTATTTTCTGGAAGTTTTCCAGAAACGTTCTCACCTGGATTTGGTTGAAGATATTCATTTGTTCCAGCAACTAAATCAGTTATCAAATTATAAGTATTATCAATATTTTTCTCCATATCATTGAAAACATCGTCCAATTTTGTCGGCTCAGCAGCTCCCATTGTTTCAGAGAGATACTAAAACACTTTTTTATTTTATTTTTTTTTAATTTTGTTTAAAAACAAAAATAGTTACCTGATTAGCCTTATTGAACTGCTTTCGAAGTCCGGACAACGACATGTTCGATCTGCAAAAAGTAAATTTTTCTCGATTTCAGATATCTCGCGAGTTGAGGGAACAGGCGGTGAGTGAAGAACGAAAAAAAACAGAAAACATATGTCGCTAATTTACTGAACAATTTCATAATGATTTTGATTTTAGGTTAAACTTGCACTTATTTCGAAATTGAGTCATTGAAATCAGGAAAAATTAAGAAATTTTATATTTTTCCTACTAGGAGTTTGAAAAAATATTTTTGAACTTAAAAATCTTAAGTCAGCCAAAATCGTGGTGTCTGAAAGTCAAAATGAACTTTTGACGGAAATTTTTTCTGTAAACTTTTCAGTTTCATGAAATTTAGTGTTAGAGAAAACATACAATTTTGAAAAAAATTTAAATTTCAGTCTCGTTAAAAATATTACGCTAACTTTTTCAGTAAAAACTATGATTTTTCAATAAATTTCAGTTTTTCGTTGAAAAAAGTTAGGCTGAAATTTAAATTTTTTCAAAATTGTATGTGTGTTCTAACACTATCTTTCAAGAAACTGAAAAGTTTACAGTCAAAACTTCATTTAAACTCTCAAAAACCACGATTTTGGCTGAGATATTTAAAATTACTCATTTTCAGGTAAATCGACTCTCACACCCTCGGAAAATGAAAAAAAAAATTCAAAATGACTCATATGAAACCAAAAATAGAGGCAATTCGCGAAAAAAAACAACAAAATTTAGTCATTCCTTTCGATTCATCAAAAAAAACGAGAAAGAAGATGAATCGTTTTTTTTTCGTGCTTTGAGAGAAGACAAAATTATAGGCTCTGTGAATAAACACAAGGGCACTTCAGGAAGGAAAAAACTGGCCAATTATCGATTTTGTTTGCAAAAAAATGAAATATAAAAAAATAAATTGAATATTTGTTTAGAATTAGTTGGGTAAACAATGTTTTTGTGGTGTTGTGTCAATCAGAATTGGAAGATTTTTTCTTTTTCATCTGGGCATGGCACCAAATTCAATTTTCTTGGTGCCAAAAGTTTCGAGCTTTTTTTTTACGAAAAAAAAAACATTCAGGAAACAATTCCATGTATTTCGTAACTTTATGAATATTTTTACATAAAAATTCGTCATACAAGTTTAGAAACGGAAAAATAAAGTGCAATTGATATTTAATCCACGTGGATTTACTCACCAAAAAAAATGCTAATCTTTTCGTTTTCAAGCGAAAAAAACGAGGTGCGCGAGAAACAAGAAGAAGAAAAAAAAACCGAAGGATGAATAAGAAGAAGACGAAAATGTCTGCGTCTCCTCGATTTATCGATTCAGTCATTTTTTCTCTCTCTCCTCTATCTCTACATATATATTATGTGTTGTATAGTCGAAAAAAAACGAGAGAGAAGGGCTCCTTTTTTGCAGCAGAGCTCGGAGAAATTGCGCGCTCCGTTTTTGTTCTCACACACAAAAAAAGCATGAAAGAAAGAAAGAAAAAAGTATTTTGGACCTTTTAGTGTGAAACGTAGGATGTGCTCGCCCATTTTTTTTTGGAAGAAATGATGACGTTTCAAAAAAAAGGGAATATTTATGAAGAAAAAAATGCACAAAGTCATAAAATTGAATGAGAAGGAACAACTTTTTGGAGTTTCGGAAAAAGGAACAATTTTTGACGTACCATAAAAATTGTTTAGCAATTGTTTCAAATGAATTTAGCCACAAGAGGCTAGCTAATTATTAAAAACCCAGAATTTCTGAAAATTTCGTGAGAAACAACAATGACGCAGTGTTTTATTTCTATTTTAAAATTTAAAAAAATCTATATCTAATGAAGCATGATCTCACGAAAAAACAGCAGAACAAGATATTTTGCTAGTTTTCTCAAATCTCACAGGGGAACCTTAGCAACTCGCTGGCTTTTTGTTCTTTTCAAACTTTTTTTCTGAATTAGTGGCAACTTTTGTTTTTTTTCGGGAAAAAAACAAACTTTTATACATCCTGGGACACATCTCCAAAATATATATTTCATCTTTATTTTCAAAATTCATTAAAAATCTTGAAAAAACAGTAAAAGTTAAATAACAAATAAATTTTAACGAAAATGGGCGGAGCCTAATATACATGCATACATGCATGGGTAGACAACAGATATATACACGAAAGATGCGTTTCTCTGCGCTCTGCCTATACCTGTATATTAGGATTTCGTTAAAATTTATTTGTTCTGTAAAAGCGTGTGAAAAAACTTGATGTGGGGTACATTTTAGTGTCAAACTGTCGAGATTTTCGGAGCTTCTGGTTTTGCGAAAAGCCCAGAAAACCTTAAGCTTTTTCACTGAACATTGCAGCTGAAACAACATTCAGTCACTTCAAATACTTCAAAATTCACGTTTTGCAGACATATTCAGCCTCAAAAATAAACAAAAAACCCAAGTTCAAAAGTCACGATGAGAAAAAAAATGCAATATTCTTTTTTTCACATCAACCAAACCAGGATTTCTCATTTTCTTGAGACATAAAAAAGTAATAACAGAAAACCCAACCCGCCTTTATATATCTATTTCCATATATGTTTTTTCACAAAAAATGACATTCAATCCTTTACATGTAATGAATAAATCTCAGTGGAAGACGAGGAGAATGAAATAAATAAAATAAAATACTCAAGTTCTCAACGAATTTATTTATTCATGCACTCACTAATCGTATTTTGTGACTCTAACCTAATTACAGCAAGCTATATACGCATTTTTCATGCTTTTCATCTTCTAATGAAAAATACGAAGTTTTTCTTGCAATTTTCTTCGTTGCGAATAAATAAGCTCTTTTTTGTATTTATTCATTCGTGAAGCATAAGAATAATAATAATATGTATGTATACTTGGATTTATGTTGAGAAAAAACAAAACTTGAAAACACTTACTTGTTTTTCTTGGTTCTTCCATAAGTGGTCGAGTTGTCTGTTGGAACCTGGCTGACTTTCATCTAAAAATAAAAAAAACACTAGTTTTTGAGATTATTTTATTGAAAAATGAAAATAAATACGAAAATTAGAGATTTCAAAACGTGAATCTAGATAGTTGCGTTCTTAATTTCAAAAATAAAAATTATTTTCTTATTTCAAAAAAAAATGACTGATTGTGAGAACAAAAATATGAAACCAGTCAATCTCTGGAGCTCCATCGAAACTCAATCTTTGTCTTGCAGCTCATCTCACTGCGATATCTCCCGCGGATTTTGAAGCAGGACAACTCGCGAGCTCAAAAAAAATGAAAATAAAAACAGACTGTCGTCAAATTGTGTGTTTTGACTGCCTGTTTTGCTCGGTGTTTGCGGAAATTGCACACAAACGTTGATTCTACAGTAATACGAAAAACACCTTCAATTTCTTAATTTGTTCATGAAGTTTGGTCGAAGGTTCAATTTTGGTTTGCCAATTCGCTCCGATAACTGTTGAAATATTTTCGATTGTTCAGCTGACAATTTTGGGGGGTTTCGCAAATTTTCGTGAGTTTTCCAGGGTTTTTTTTCGATATTTTTTCCGAAATATTACGCTACTGATAAAATTGTACAATTTTTGACCAAACTTCGTACCCAGAATCAATAGATTAGTATGATTTCAGCGATTTTTTGAATTCTGAAACACAAGTTCATCTCTAGTTCGTTTTAAGTCGAATCACGCGATTTTTTGATAAAGTTATCAGTTTTTCAGCAATTTTTTGTCTGAAACTTTGTTCTTTCTTATCTGAAACTTTTTCAATGTATATTTATCTAACAACACAATATTTCGACTCGTTTTGTTTATTAAAACTAAAAATTGAATAATCAGAAATATATCAATGCGTTAAATATGATCAGGTTAGAAAAAAAACTCACATAAATGTAACATTCTCAAACAAAATCAAATGAAGGGTGAGACAGAGGTTGGGGCGTTATATTTAATGAAAAAAAACACACATAAAACTTCCAGAAGTTATGCAAAAATATAGAAAAAAAAGAAGTGTAGGGAATACAGCAAAGCGCCTACCATCGTACGAAAAATAACCTCACAACAATTCCCTGAACGGGCTAAATTTAAATTCGAGAAGCGAAAACGAATATTAAATTTCCCGAGAAACCGGTAAAATTTGTTAAAAAAAAGATTAGAATCTTGGAAAACGGGGGGAAAAAAGGAAATGCATTTTTCAAGAAAAGTTGGGGGATTATGCAAAAATACAAAGATTGTGCAGAAGAATGTGGATTCAGAAGATAGCACATTTGATTCAGAATAAAAGGGCCGTTTTCAATAATAAATATGAAAAGAGAAAAATTGCATATCAACAAAAATAGGAAAAGTGTACACTGAATAAGTAGAGGGAGACAAGATTTTTTTGGGGGGTTTTTTTGAAACATATTTTGTTTGAGGTGTGGTGAAAAAGCCTTGTTCTGGCAAGATTAAGACAAAAAAATCGACTAAACATGTGAACTACTTGTTTTGTTGTGGTGTTAGTATAAAATATGATGAAAACTACTAGCGGGTTTTTCAAGAAAAAAAATAAAAACAAACTTTGGAATAATAAAAAAAAAATAACAACGGGTTTGGATTGAACGGACAAGATTGCGAACGGGCAGATTTTGAGATGGTAATAATTTAATTTAAAAAACAAATAATATCTTGTTTGTTTGGGGGTTTCAATCCAATGGGCGACGATATCCTTTTTTCGCCATAGTTCTTGAATTATAGTTGCAAAGAGCACGGCCGAAATGGAGAAGTTGAGATTCCATGCGAGCGACGAAAACGATTATGACAACATGGAGTTTCTCGGAATCTTTGAATCCATGCATACATCTCAGATAATCATCATTGACTCTTTGTGGGAAACATGCCGTGTTTTTGATGTAGGTTTTGGTTTGTCGATCCATCAAGAGATTGGTCTGAAAAATATTTATAAGCATTTTGAATTACGCTACATATTATTTTTCAAAGGGTTGGAATCTTTCTATCGCCAATTTTTTTCGAGCGAAGTGGGTATTATAACGTATAACGAGTATAAATGCGCTCTAATGCACATATTTTATTTGTGCGTGTTTGCAGATTTTACGCGTAACACGGTGACGAATATTTGCAGACAACCTTTTCAACAACATCCCTCTTAAAAGATAAAATGAAAAACATACATTGGAATAATTGTAGTCGTCATGTTTGATACCAAATATCAATTGAATATAATTCCAAACAGCCAATCGATATTTTGTTGTATCAATATCCCCGAATTTTCCAATAAAGTTGTAAGTGAGTTTATGAATATGATCGATCATTGCATCGACAGAACTCGCACTTTCATATGCGAATTCACTGATAACATTGAAACTGTGATCCCATGTGAATTCATGAATCTTGAAATCCTTGACATTTTTATCCGAACGTTTTTGGAAATCAACATAACCGTATTGCGGTTGGAATGAGAGTAATCCATCGTTTGAACTGTCCTCTTCTTCCGATGGAGATTCTGGCGATTCTCCTCCAGTCAAATCAAAACTCGCACAATTTGGGCTTGTCGGTTTTGTTACAAATTTGTCCATGCGATCCATGTGATTCAAGATTTTCTCAACTTCACAGGATGATGTGACCGCATCATCGTCGTAGAATCGCTCCAAACTCACAGCAACGAGTTCTCTGAAAAAAATGAAATATTGATATGGGTATTTAGCTGCCGTAAAAAAAATGAATAAAAACATTTCTCCGTCAGTCGCGTGCGGCTCTGCGTCGCGGTCGGGAAACAAAACCGCGGCGCAGAGCCGCACGCGACTGACGAACTGATATTTCGCCACGACAATAATAAATTCTTACATTTGTTTATTATCCAAATTGATCGCACGAATAAATGAAACCATATTGTGAACAACAGACATAATAATCGCTGCATGATTCAATTCAGTCAATGTGAACGTCTTCTCAGCATCCGGAGTTCCGCGACCAACCAACTTCTGAATCAAATCCGCACTAATCATCCACGGTTGATGTGCCATATAACGATTCAATTCGTCCAAAAGACCGAATCGAATATCGGCGTGATTCAATCCTTTCAACCATTCCGAATCACCGTTGCATCTCAAATACATTGCTTTGTGATATTCGACAAGAAAATCGCAATTGTGACGCGTTGCGGCCATAATTGCGATATAATGTCGGTGAGCCAAGCAGAATGGTCCAGAATGTGTGAAGATGGTGTTGCATAGTGACTTGAAACTTTCATGAAATACCGGATGGACAGATGTGAATCTGTAATCATTTTTTGAGATTGAAATTATTTAAAATGTAGATTTAGAACTCACTCTAATACAAGATCTAGTGGTGTTAAATGTTTGATTTGGGATACTTCAACTTTTCGTTTCGTCGCCATGATTAAAAGAAAAATAAGTGAATTTATTGGTAGCGCGTCGAATCGAACCAAAAAACTCACGATGTAGAACCCGTTTTGATCTGAAACAATAAAAATAATTATAATATTGTACGATTCTAGTGCGAAAGAAGTAGCGAAAATGAGAATTGCTCGATTTCAAAACAGAATGGATGGCAACAAATGCTATGAAACCGCAAAACAAACACCAAAGCGCCAATAAATCACAATGGTAAGTGTTCTTTTTTTTTTGAGGCAGAGAGAAAAGAGAACACGAACAAGTAATCAGAAACCGCAAGTGTTACGAATGGGAGAAGAAAAAACAGACAAAACAAAATGTTTTTTTTTCTTCTTCTCCTTCTCATTTTCCTTATCTGAATTGGCCATCTTTTGGCGAGAGTGTGTGTGTTTGTGTATGTATGTTTTTTCAACTAACAACAACAACAACAGCCGGGCAAAAAAGCACTAATGATAGATTTTATGGGATTATTCCGATTCACAAATATCTTCTACGTGGAATAGTATCAACTCAGCCCATGTTTTACCTCTGCGTTTCAATCATGTGTTGGGACGAACAAATAGAGAAAACGCGACGCAGACAAAAAAAACCGTGAATAAGAATCGTTCAAAGGAACATGGACCATCGCTTCAGGACCCAACAGTTGGCTGGTTGCCAGTCTTATAAAATTTCGCGGTTTTTTCTTCCGCACTCTGCACGAAGTGGAAAATACAGGCTCCTCTAAAGTTAGAGTCTAAACCCACAAAATAAAAGAAGAAAATGCGCTCTAACGCACACATTTTTTTAAGCGTGCGTGTATACGCAACACGCTGACGAACAATTGCAGAGAAAACAGATTTTGGTGGGATTTTAGACCTGTGAAGTGACTCAACACACACAAAAAGGTGACAAAGTTACTCATCAACAGAAGGGTGCCATACCACAACAACAAAAAAAACATCTGCGCACTTGACAAAAGCCCGTCCCGGTCATAACCTTTCCTGACCCGCCCTTTCTCTTCTCTTATTTCTGCTCTCTAAAAGTAAAATAATACGAATAATGAGTCTATTCAAGGATACGTATACATATACACATGCTGTTAGTTTATAATTGACGTTATTTGAAAAAATATATATATATATGTGTATTTGAAAAAGAAAAATCTAGTAAGAGAACAAAAATCTAACAAAAAGGTGTAAATGAAACCACAAGATGAGAAGAAAGAAAATGAAACAAAACCAATAAATTATACCAAGACACAACAAAATTGAAACCGTTAGACAAAGACGCAACGAACCTGACATATGGAAATGTGTCGTTTTTTCGTTCTCCCGGTTGACTAATTATCCATCTATCTCCTACCAGTCTCTGTGTGTGAAAAAGACAAATCGCCAACAACCAGGGAATCGGCAGGAAGAAGAGAAAAAAGAAGAAGTAACAAATGCGGTGCAAAATGGCGCCAAAAATATCGTTGTTTTCAATATTTTTGGACGAATTTTGAATCGTACCATAGAAATCGGACCAGGGGCCGATTTCATAAAAGTGGTATGACCATACATGAACTAGTCGCTCCGGGGACTCTTGAGTTTACCCCCTTCCAGGAAATATTTTCAAAAAAGTTAACCCCCCCCCCCTAACCAATTTTTTGTGGGATTTTTTCAAAAGTTAAGGACCCTACCTCCAAAAATGAACCTAAAGTTAACCGCCCTCCCTCCGAATTCGGAAAAAAATAAAATTAAGAAAAGTTTGGTGTACCAAAAATTGCTTAACAGATGCTTAACATAATTTTTGGTACGCCCATGATTTTCTTCATTAGTTTTTGGTCTAACATTTCATAAATACGGCCCCTGGTCCGATTTTTCCCCTTTCAAAATCAAAAATTGTGCTCATTTCTAACAAGCCCATAAGTCAAAAAAAGTGATTTTTGAATAAAGCACGCTCTATTGGATGTTATGCATCAATGATTATTGATATTTCTATGCACCCGGAACCTTTAAAACCGAAAAAAATGCATTTTCTAACGAAAACTATACAAAAAGCTTGGTGACAACAACAAAAAACAGTGCCTCAATTACAATATGTTGTTTTTTTCATCGAAAAGAATGAAATGTGTTTACTATTTGGCCGGTCGTCGGGCGTCATGGCAAATAAACAACATATCCACAGGCACACGAACGAAAACACTACTGTAGGCAACCAAAGGTGTTTACTCGAAGAAACTAGGGACAAAGGAATGGATTTTCATTAATATGTATATTATTCAAATTACCCCCCCCCCTCCCCCAGCGAAAAATAAAATAGAATAAGGTTTGGCATTTTGATTCTTCTTTTCATTGAGAATCGAAAAATCACAATACTTATGTTATTTTGTCGAGCGCAACGAAGCGAAACACTAATATTATTTAATAAAAATTGGCTGTTTGTGTGAGAGAATTTTCAGAAAGTAAATATGTGGCTGGCTATGTGTCAAACACAAAAATAAACATAAGTAGAGAGCCCGCCAGAAAAAAAAAGTTTTGATGTATATTTACAAATAAATATATCATATTTCTCTCGACTTTTTGCTCGTTGCCCTTAAATCTCATTACATAATCCCTAATTCCCCAAACACACACAAAATCAAAGGGAAAAACCGCAGAAGATTTTTGATTGTTGGCTTCGAGAAACCAATTGTTTTAATAAATATTCAAATTTTCAAGCAGATCAAAGAATATATAAAACTAAGAGAGTAAACACACTTTTTTATATGAAAAAAGGTGTAAAAACCTTGGTATTTGTTCAAAAATTGCCCAAATTCGTTCATTGTTTACCTTGTGAGAAGAAGAAGAGGAGAAAAGGATTCAAAAGATGAAACAAACTTTGTCTAGGAGAAAAATGGAAGAGGTCTTGTTTGAATAAGAAGAAGAAGAAGAAGAAAATAATAAAAGGCGACGACAATGAAATTCGAGTAGACAACGAAACAAAAAACGGACGAAGAATAAAAAAAAGGAAGAACGATGATCAAAAAATTAAGGTGAAGGAGTTTTGGGATCAGGCTGGATTTTTAGGAAACTCTGTAGATTTTCTGAAAATGTACAGAACTTCCAGGGACCGAATATACAAAGATGTAACACTAAGAATTAACGAAGAAAATGTGAACAGAAATTTTTGGCACGCCCCAATTTTTTCTTCATTAATTTTTGGTGTGCAACTTTTATGAGCCGCAAAATTTACATTTTTGTTAAATATTCAAAACTTCTCGTATAATTTTAATAAAACAAACTTGAAATCACGAAAAATCAGCAGATTCAAAAAAATCTTGTTGATTTCTTGATTTTCTGAACACCACAAATGTATGTTTTCATTCTTTTGATTGCATAGCGCAAGGCTTTAGTAAATATCGAATTTCTTTTTCAAGAGACACACACAAACATCTACAGTAATTCAATTCAAAGTTCATTTTCTGATAAGGTGTTCGCTTTTTCTACGGTATCTTGACAACTTCAACAGGTTCGATGCAAAAAAAAACGGCGGGCGAAAAAGAAGAAAGAAAACTTCTAGATAAGAATATGGGGCTGACTGGTGGCTGTCTTCTCTGATAACAGGCTCCCTTGAGAATTATATCCCCATTTCAACACACTGCCAAAATGGGAGAGGGGGTTAACTTACAGTAAATTCAACCAAAAAAAAGTACAACAAAAAATGTCAATCTTTTTACGAGGTCGTTTTCATACAATTATCTTTTCCTCCAAAAATGAAAAATACAACTTTTTTTACGACGACATAATCGCCAATCCGAATTTTATGACTTTTTTGGGGGCAGAAAATTATAATAAGTCATAAAAATTTTCGTACATTTTTCGTCTATCTCTGTCCCCGCTGGTAGCTAGCTAGCTGTTTATTAAATATGCTAGACAATTTTATTGTGGCAATTAAATGTGGGAAAAATATGGTAGTGAAATATTTGACACCCATGCAAAAATATTATTTTTTTTGCATTTAGGCCAGATACATTCTTATCAATCAAACCTTTGGTTGGTTTGTGATAAAGCAAAATAAACTCAAAACTTTTTTTCGCAGAGAAAAAAATTCTGAGGAAATTTAGTTAGTCTAACTACATACAAATGATTTATTGTCTTAATTGATTGAAATCGGAAAAAAAAACTTTTTTGGGGGTAAAAAATGATTCTTTTGGTTGAAAAGAACACCTGTCATTAATCATTCGAACCGAACCGAAAACTTATTAAGAAACGCAGAGAAAACCTAGATTTTCAGCACGTATTCTTCTGAATAATATAGAAAATCTAATGGTTCTCTCACAAAACTAGACTATAGTTTAGTTTTCTTATGGAATGAATCATGACCAATGTTCAGCCATAAAAATAAAATTTAGTATCGTGTGAACTGTGGCTCAATAAAAAATTTAATAAACAGAGCTGAGCAATACACAATTGGTTCGACCAATCAACCAACCGATAGAAGCAATTTTGACTAACGCATGCGGAAATTAAAAATATGCATCAGAGAACAAATTTCATTTAAACTTTTGAACCCTTCAAACATTTTCAACCAAAAATGATTTTTTTTTATTTCAAGACGCAATGGCGCCAAAATATACTAAAAACTTTTTATCACAAAAACCCCGTCCTCTTTTCATAAAGAAAAAACAACACACACAAATCTTATCAAAAACGATACGGTATAATATTTTTTGTTCATTTTTTTTCAAAAAAAAAATGAAGAATGAAAAAAGATATATATATTTATGACCCTTTGATTGAGCACCACAGCAAAAAAAGTGCATTTATGTAAACAACACACAAAATTATTGACGGAGGAAAGAATTGCCTTCAATTTTGTGTGTGAGGAACAAAAAATGGGATAAGGCATTTTTTGTTCAAAAATCGGTTTAGACCAGAAAAATTATTAGCTGGAAAGTTAGGGTAACACTTTGGAATAGTAAAATCTCCAGGGTTTTTTCGATTCGAAAAAAATCCCTTTACTTTTCTGGGGGGGGGGGGAATTACTTTAAACTTTGCTGTAATCATTTTTAAGACCAAAAATTCATTATCTCAAAAGTTAGGGTAACTTTCGAACACTAAAAGTCCCAGGCGGCCTTAAAACTTGGTATAACTAATTTTGTGACCCCCCCTCCTCCCAAATAATAATTTTTCAATTCAATAATAAAAATGAACCAAATTGTTGTTTAATGAATTTTTCTTTTCCATCTGAAAATCTTATCAAGATATAGAAAATATAATTTCTTTTTTCTCCCCTTCTTTCTTCTTTACAACAATAATTGATTCGATTTGGGACATTTAATTGAATGGGAAAATTATTGGTTTTCAACTAACACATAAAATAATACTTTCTTTCTAATATAAGAAATGTCTCGCAGCGACGACGTTTTTTGGGGGAAGAAAATGAAAATAAAAATAAACAAAAAATTAGGGGGTTTCTATAAGAATCTAAAAGCTTATAGAGCAAATCTAGAATACAAGGCGTATTTTCCTCCAAAAGAATCAAATAATAAATATTTTGGTATGGTGTGGTGGAACTTGGAAATAAGAAAGACGAAGACAAAAAAAAGAAAGAAAAGAGAAAAGATGTTTGGGTTTTTCGCAGCCGATTAGACAGTTGAGAGAAATAGACGGTTAGAGAGCACGCAAAATATTGAGAGAATAGGCGACGAAAGTGTTGCAATTTCGCTCGAACGAAATAAAATCAAGAAGAACAATTTTTGAGGGATTTTTTTAGGAATGGAATTTTGACAAATTTTGCTTTGAAAAATTGTGGGGGAAATTTTTGATTAGGCTTAGATTACTCATAAATACAAAATGATGTTATTAATCCGAGTAATTAACACATTATGACCCAATGTGACCTCTTTGGTTTCCTGCTGCTCAAATAAATATATATGAGCACTACAACAATAAAACAAAGAAACATATGTAGTTTGGTCAGTTTTTGGAGCACTATAAGAGATATTTGCTCAACGAATCGACGGGGAAAAATTAGAATTTCGACCTTGAATATTATTTTTTATATATACATTTCATCTTGTTATTAATATTATTGTTGTTATTGCGAAGAAGAGGAGGAAAATGAAGAAGAAGAAAGATGCGATGAAAATGATGGGAAAGTGAAAATTTCGATAATTTTTATGGGAAAAAAACATTTTTGGAGAGGAGGGAGGAAAATGAATGTTTTGAACTGAAACAGTTTCCTTTCCTATATAGCAATAAATGTATAATAATAATAATAACATAAAAATAACATTAACGAATCAGAAATCGAGGAACACTGTCATAGACAATGATTCATT